ACACCTAGTCTACCTCGAGTCTACGTACCTCGTTACGTGACAACAGGCATCTAGACCTCAGGTCTGAGGGCTGAGGTCAGGGTCGAGAATGGAATCATGGATCGATCTGTCATCCATCTGCCCATCCAACTCATTCATCCACCCAGTCACGCAGTCATTTGTTTCGGTCCCACAGTCACTTCAGCCCTGGAACCTCGACTTCAGCGGCATTTGGACTCAGCACTCTTGCTGCATCTGGTTAGATTTGGCGAGACGACTTGCGCACTTCCTTTTTGCCTGGGTCTTGGTACGTCATCAGCCAGCCAGCCCGTCGATGGGCAAGTCAGTCACAGGCGAGCGGCAAGCCCGCAACCCACACTCGACTCCCACTCCCACTCCCACTCCCACGCACACGCACGACCGGGACCAGGACCAGGACCAGGACCAGGACCAGATCCATGCAGTATGCACGCAGCACGCACCGCACAGCACAGCACGCAGCACGCAGCAAGCACGGCGCTGAGCATTGCTGGGTTTGGGCTCGGTCGGGCTGGTTCCCAATTTTAGCAGCTTCTAGATTCCGCCCGGGCCCATGGGACTACCACCCGCGGTGTAGGGTCTATATCGCGCCGCATTGTATTCCCAGGTGAGCAATGGGCAATGATACAGCCATTACTGACTGTCCCGCGCTTCCGAATCTGGACTGTTGACGCATCGCGGGCAGTGAAAACGACACACTGGAATAAAGTCTTCCCTCAACCTCGCCCCACTGCGTACTGTATGTCTTGAGCTCGGCCCAGCCCGGCCCAGCCCGGCCCAGCCCAGCTCAAGACCACCTCGAGCCCAGCGTTGCCACTCAATATCTGTGCCTGTGCCAGTCTCCCGCTCCGCTCCTCACTTCCACTGACAGGAGACGCCGCGGTAGCCGATTATCGAACCCCAGGCCCAGGGGCAGGTTCGCATCCAGCTTCACGGCCAAGCGAGTCAATGCGGGCAGGCAAGCCCTACGTTAGACTACCATACCGCACCGCACATCGTAACCTATCTCACCTGCAGTGTGGCACCGGATGCTTATCCCTGTTTAGGTTTGCGCCACAAGCCCAGCAGATTCCGACAGTCTGGATGCCTGGCGAGATGAACCACGCCAGCGACATCATCAGCAATGGCCCTATCTCCCGTCCCACTCACACGCTCATTCGGGTGCCATGCTGGGACGCGGGCCCGGCCTCGCGTCGTGCCCGGGTGTGGATTTGCGAGGGCGGCAGAGAGCTGAATTGCGACAGAGATACACCGTCGAATCGCACCTCAGCCAGCTTGCACGGCAATGTACCTACCTACATGCTTGTCTGCCTGCCTGCCTACCTACCCACCCACCCACCTACTCGCCCACCTAGCTACTTACCTACCTACCTAGTTCAGACAACAGCGCAAGTCAAGGCCACGAGATTGGGTCTTGCTCAATGGGGGAACTGTCGCGCTTGGGTCATGTTACGTCTCAAGTGGCTCCTTCACCCGGTACCAAGGTATCCACACAGCCATGCCACTCAGTAGCCTAGGCTCCATGGCCACTGCACAGTCTGTGTGGAGACGACAGGCCACCCCAGTCCATCCACCTCGCGGCGACAACCGAAGCCTTTTCCCCACGGATTCGTGCCCAGACGCGAGGGTCGGTTCTACTCCTCCTCATCCCCTTGTTGGCTGGCTGCTAGCTGGCATTAATCCTTGAACCTCGTGGTAGATGCACAAGCTGCAGGAATGGCGCCAATTACGACGAGCTGCAGGCAATTGCTGCAGTCGGTGTAGAGGACCGTCGCAGTATTGCTGCACGATTCTCCAAAGCAGAAAGGTCCGTCGATCTGATCTGTGCAGCAGCCACTTGTGTCCCGGCCCTTCTGTGGCTCTGCCCCGGATCTGTCAAAGTTCCGGCCATGGCAGCTATCGAGATTTGAGCCAAAGACCGGATGACAGATGGGGCTCGTTTTGGCTAAGGGAGAGGGCAACCACGGATAGAGTCGACCAGAAGACCCAGAGCCGAGCGAGATCCAGCCCTTAATCTGGTGGCAGATGTCCATCCAAACCTCCAACTGTTTGAGGGTACACACGAACCTATGCTCGAGCCGCGAGTGTGACAATCCCAACTATGGTTAGCCCCAGTGTTCTGCTGCAAGCTCTCGGATTGCGATCTCCTCCAGCTGTCACCTCATTAGAATCAGCCATCACCTGCCCCTCTCTTCTCTGTCTAGTGCAAAACACCACTCTGAAAGGAAAAGAACCATGCACACGCTAGATCCAAATAACGACTTAATCTAGTGCGTGCGAGATTCCGTGTCTTTCATGCAGTAGAGACGGGATGGCGGTCAGTGGGCCACCCCCATCAGTCGGTCTGTGGTCGCCAAGCCTCACAATGTGAAGAGGTGCAGCTTAGCTGCAGAAGTCCAGGACCCTGGAAACCCTTGCCAGTTCCGTGGATCGAATGCCCATGAGGTGAAATTCACGGCGGCTTGGGCCCAGGTCGTTGGGAATTGCGCTCGAGATTGCCACCTCGAACCACACCTGACTCTGTGTGCTCGCACAGGAGATGCGCCTCACGACACCACCAGCGAGCAGCTGCGCTGTACGCCGTGTACTTGGTGCAACGGGGTCTGAAGGAAAGAGAACCCATGACAAGCATGAGCGAGTCTTTCGGAAGGCAAGAACGCTCAAGACGCGTCAGAAAATGCTGTTTGACTGAGCAATATACGCAAGCCTATCAATTTACTCTTCGACATTCGATCCCACCATGAGCGTTCTCTTTTCGGCCCCTATTGGTCGTCCCTGAGCGCTACCGTCCCTTTTCATGTCACTCCTGTTATTCGAGGGGGACAACAGCTTGATCGCACAAGATTTTGTGTCGATGGGACACCAATGATAGATCCGATGCGAGACATAGATTTGTACCCTTAGCTGGAAATATCTGGCATGGTACGAAAGTCACATTCGAGACCCTGCTCGTGATTTGAGACTCTCGACAAGTACACTGTCATCGGATCCTTGCGCCAGACTCAGCATGACAAAGATGGCGAATGTTCCGCGTATTTCTGTTGAGCACGAATGGCGCATCGTATGGGGCACCGTCGCTGAAGCGAGTCGCCTCATACCTGCTGCCACGCTCCACCTTGAGCGTGCCTTAGCGACCGCAGTGATATACCTTACTCTACCGCGCGGCTGCAAGCTAAGACTGCAGGCTCTTAGCGAGCAGGATCAATGTGCAGAATGCGTGCTGCCCACCACCTTCCTCTGAGGTCCAACAACCCCAATTGGACAGATACACGTGCTTCTTTGATGATTGCAGCAAGCGACACACATGAGAAGGCTAAAGGTGGTTGCTTTTCACGCATTCGTGAGGGTGTCAAGCTTGGCGGTATCATTGAAGAAAAGCCATACGATGCCGATCACATTCAACGAGGCTAGCGGGAGGCGTTGTCGCTCAATGCCCTCCCTCCACCCACGAACCCAACCATGAGATCCAGCGATTTGGGTCTGGAGATCCCTGTGCCGATCTCCTCCTCTAACCCAGACCTCCATCGCCCATCTTCGCAATTTCATATCATTGAAAAGGCAAAGGATGTGATGGTCAGCACTCGCCATTGTCGTTGATGTCATTTGCGACTCTCGTGGGTCAGTTACACAACCTATTCTTAGGTCAATATGGACTCAAGCCAATGTGATACACGGCAGTGTAGTCGATAGACAATCTCAAGACCCTGGGTTGCCTTTTGTGACAAGGCTGTCAGCGTCGGGTCGTCGCCGAAAGCCGCCGGTGGGCCACATTTCGGAGACCCATGAGACATTTTCCTCTCAATACCCAAAGGCACCTCTTAAATATTCCGGCATCCCGGAGTCTTGTGTATCCCCAGCTGCTGGGCTCTAGTCGAGTTTTGCCCCGCGCTACTTACATCTCTGTCTCAGATGCTCGGTATGCGAGATATCCCCTCTACCCTGATACGAGCGATTCTGTTTGACAAGCCTGGATCGGAGCACCATTCTAGTAGCATGGGGAATTGAGGCTGCCGTGCTGGGAATTGGGCACCAGTAACACTGTAATTTGCAGACCATGGCAGGGAGGAACCTTGGTGCTGGGAGAGATGAAGGAATGGGCAAGTGTTCAGCCCTTTTGCTTCTCGGTGAGAGGTCATGCGGAATTTCACCGCCCCCCTGCTGTCGATGTCTCTCCTTTTCAGCTTGTCCGCGGACGAATCGCCCAAGGGAGAGATGCTCCACACGCTCTTCGACCCAGCTGAGATTTCACATTCCAGAGCCTATAGTATTTGCATGTATGTGTTGATAGTTCTAGCTGGATTGCAGGCAGATTCATCACCCTACAACCGGTCGGTACGATATTTCTGCCCAAAGTCGGGTTGGGCACTGAGATATGGAATGTCTGGGAATGGTATGATCCTCCTACATCAGAATCTGACTCTTTTTAATTGAAGTGAACAGGGGAAGAACTATCTGAGCACCTTCGTTGCAGGAAACCCCCACGCCATTGATGCGTTGTGGTCTCGAAAATCGACCTCATCGTCGCCCAACAATTATTCCGAGCCAGGATCCATGCCGGACAGAACCTCCGATATCCATGCTTCCATTTGGGCCAGCAAGCATTGAGCAGTACGGGTGGTCACGTTCAGGCCTCTCCGGGAGGACTGGATGCTTGCCGTCGTCAGAACTCGAGCAGCCCGATGTGTGCCTTTGTATAGGAATTCCGTCCTGGGTTGTTTCATATTAAGCAGCCTTTCTCAGTGTGCTGTCCGGTTGCCAACTTGGAATGTGGCATTCGGTGCCTACCTGCCAAGTTCCCTTTTCGATGCAGAGAATCGCCAAAAGTGCAGCTCAGGTGTCGAGGTCAGTCGTGAAACAACAATGGAGCCCATCATGTCTTCCTATGCAGTCCTCCCACCCAACTCCGTGGCAGTCTCTCGGTGGCCCAGGCCAGTCTCGCATGCAGATCTATTGCTCGGAGGATGTCAGCTGGTGGTCCCATGATGATTAATGAGAAGCGCCCCATGCTTTCCCCCCAAGGCGGCCACCCCACGCGATCCGCTCAACCGGTCAACTGGTCTGGCCGCCTTCTTCTCATCGAGGCGCCTCTTGGCAGATCAGGGCCCACGTCCAGCTTATCCGCCGTCTTCACACCCTCAGCGTCGTATACGACACGGGATAGACCTGGGTCCGCGGCCGTAGATGCCGCCCTGTGGGTTTCGAAATTCTCCGAGACGGCTCGGATGATGCCATTTACGGTTCGCGACGAACTCCGGGCTCGCCTCGAGGTTCGCCTCGAAGCCCTCACTAGGAAGGCGGCTGGGGATCGCTACAGACTGCTCTCCAAGTACCACCCCAGATCCTGTGTCATTCAGTGGGCTGCTTTACAACCACAATGACTCTGTGCATTTGGCTGATGTGACAAGGGGAATGGCAGTTGTACTGTCGGCGACCACTCTACGGGAATTCGCAGGAAACAAGGTCTCCCCGGGTAGGCCTACTAGAAGAGGGAGACCAGGAATGTCTTAGGCTTCTGTAGATTCCCGGCGTGGACCGACCACCTGGTGTGTGAGTGACAAGCATTTTGCTGGGATTGGACGACTTGAGGATGGACGGCGGGAACAGCTGAGCGGAGCCGATGTTGCTCGATATAGGGCCCCTGCGCCTTCTATTTTGGTAGTTTGGGCCTTGGTTATCTGGCCAGGCAGACTTGGAAGAGGGCTCCTCGAGTTTCCTGCTGGCCTGCTCGCGGTTGATGGTAGCCGTGCGAAAAGCCATGACAGACCTGCCCTGAATTATGCTACACCGATTCCCTCTGCTTTTCACATCAAGGTCAAGTAGTTCGTGTGAGGTGACATCCAGTGCCAGACAGAGGTCCAGAGAAGGACATGTGAGTTGTGTCGCCGTAGCATCGGGCGAGGTGACTATCCGCTGCCAGATAATGATCCGCAGGAGGACAAGTGAGTTGTGTCGCCGTAGCAGTGGGGCTTGAAGGCTGAAAGGGGGCTTCCTGCCACTGCCACTGACTGTCTCCAGGCTGGCGACACAGGTTTCCAGCGGGCTCACGTCAGATCCGTCGTGTCGGTAACCAATTATTGTGGTACTATCGACGGCGTTAATATCTTTGGAAGAGACCAGGGTGCGTATACACGAGAAGTAGATTATCTCTCATCTCGTGGCTCTCTGGCCCTCCGAGGGCGTTAAGACTTTGAGTTGCCACTAGTGGTCACGTATTCCAAGTTGGGCGAATTGTCCTTGGTCTGAGTCGACGAGGTGGCCTGGGTTTATGTGAAGAGAGTTGAAGAACGTCGCCACTTTGACCTTGGGGGAAGCTCTTCGAGGGTGGTCTCAAGTCGCCACCTACACACATACGACTGGCTACTGTGCCCGCATGTTCGAGCCAAATTCGAAACATCTGAATGCATCTTCTTATCCGAGCTAGGTCGACATGGGCCTGTGGTCTTACTGGAAGCAGATGCCTCGACAGTGCCGCAGTCTCGACCGCTGCTCGTTGTCCAAGTCGCCGTGGTGCCGAGACTGTACACACGAGACTGTGCTTGCCGTCGAACAAGAAAAGCACCAGACTTTGTTTGTTACCTTGAGACGCATGTGAGGTTCGGGCTGCGCCTCTGCATGTTTGCGGTAGCAGAAGCCATTCTCGTGATGGTGAGATACAATTGCCGTGCTCACTACTTTGGCACCTCAGAGAATTTCATGAATTTGAGGTGGTGTCCCAGATTTATTAGAACCCGTATTCCGTAGAGTGAATTTGGCTATCTCCTAGTCTCTGTTGTAATGCTATTTGTGACACCGGTTCAGACCGCGATGAAGCGAACGAGTGTCTTCACCTCTGGGTGTTGACATATTAAAGCTCTCAGCCAGCAGTGAGCTCATATGCCTCCATCCTCAATGCTCATCAGGGAGTTCTAGAAGATTCTGGGAAGAAAGGACACTGTTGGCAGAGGCCTTGGTCCGGGCTGGTAGAGCGTACTGTCCCATCGTCCATAAAACCCACACACAAGCTGGCAGGGAAGACGATATCCCGAGCATTCAGCTATGTCTGCTCTCATATAGACTCTGGTGGGCACACAGAGATACTCGTCCAGAATTCGCCTTTTATGCCTCAGACGGCCTTCGTCGAGGATGAGTGACCCCTTCCGAGCGGACGGCGTCAAGAGATACAACCCAAACTGGACGCCTTCAGCCCTGACGAAGACACCGTGGAGGTGTCCAGGGCGTGTACAGCTACAACAAAACTGTGTTTTACGTTGCGGTGTGAGCTCTTTGTGTATCGGATCTTTGACTATCTTTCCTAGGTCGTTGCTCGCAGCTGCTCGCGCGCCTCGTCGCGAGGGATCAACGGCACGGAGCACGTTGGCAGCAGATAGCCCAAAAAATGTTGAATGACTCTTGCCAAGAGAGAGGTAATCGCAAGAACAACATACGTAATGTGCTACGCGTGGTCGAAAGTAGACTGTCACTAGTCACATTAGACGTTCTAGGACGATGTAGTAGGTGGTCTCTACAGGAGTTCCACATGTTGACGAGGACTTGAAGACATAGATAGATCGATTTACTATCAATCTGGTGGTTCGCAACTCGTACACGCTTCAGTAAATCATGCGCCCATAAAGTTTCAAACGAGACAGGCCTCACTCTCGCATTCCAGTCCACCACATTACAACTTCGATGCAGGTGCAGCATTTCCAACCGTGGTGATCTCATTGTACAGCAGCCTGCGGATAGTGTGTTAGCATGAGTACAGATCTATCTTCGCCCAGCCCCATGAGTGGCAAGGGAAGTATCATATTGAAACTCCTGTTGGGAAAAGGGAGGGGGTTGTTGGGTAAAAGCTTACGAGGTCAAGAAATCAGCGTAGTCCTCGCCCGTGACCTGCCCTGAGAAGTACTGCGCGGCCAGGTGGAACTTGTTGCCCTGGCCGGCCTTCTTGGCCAGCTCCTCGGTTTGCTCCTTGAGCAGCTTGAGCGCGTAGGCCTTGTCCACTTTCTTGCCCTCGGAGGTCGTCACGCCGTGGCGGACCCATTGCCAGAGCTGACTGCGGGAAACTTCTGCGGTGGCGGCATCCTCCCTGGAGTTTCACCTCATGGTTAGCTAATGAGTTTCTCGTCTGACAAGAGCAAATATGCCCTTCTGAAGGGTGGATGAGATGGGCAGCAACTCACATCAGGAAGTTGATAGGTACGCATCCAACACCCCTGACCCACGCCTCCATATAGCCGAGGCCAATGTTCAGGTTCTTGCGGATGCCCTCCTCGGTAATCTTGCCGGGGACGTTCATGTTGAGCAGATCGTTCTGGCCAATCTTGACGTCCTCGCGGCGATTGAACAGCTGGTTTGGCGTCGGCATGTGCTGGTTGAAGATCTCGACAGCAATCGACGCCAGGGCCGGGTGAGCGACCCATGTTCTGTTTTCATGTCAGTCACCTTAGTTCTCATAGCATGTTTGCGTGTGATCCCCGGTGTCAAACAGGACATCATCAATTTCGTAACGTACCCGTCATGCCCAGCACGCACTTCCCTCAGCTTGTCAGCTCGCACGCCTTCCATCGCCTTGTCGTTGGCCTCCTTGTCATCCTTGATAGGAATCTGCGCCGCCATACCACCCATGGCGTGGACACCACGCTTGTGGCACGTTTGGATGAGCAGCTTGACGTACGCGTCCATGAAGGGCACGGTCATGGTGACAGCGCTGCGGTCGGGCAGCACGAAGTTGCTGTTTTGCCTGAACTTCTTAATCACGCCTAATATGTGTTAATCACCTGCTACGGATCCCAAAGTGATACATTCTAAAACATTCCAAAGCACAAAGATCAGGGAACTGTAGCAGGAGAAGAATAGTACTTACTAAAAATATAGTCCCAGCGGCCGCAGTTCAGGCCCGAGGAGTGGTCGCGCAGCTCGTAGATGATCTCGTCCATCTCGAACGCGGCCAGGATGGTCTCGATAAGGACGGTGCCGCGGATCGTGCCGCGAGGCATGCCGATGTAGTCCTGTGCGAGGTTGAATGCGTCATTCCAGAGGCGCGCCTCAAGGTGCGACTCCATCTTGGGCAGGTAGAAGTAAGGGCCAGTGCCGCGCTTTACAGACTCGAAGGCGTTGTGGTAGAAGTACAGGCCGAAGTCGAAAAGAGAGCCGGAGATAGGCTCGCCATCAACCGTGACGTGCTTCTCTTCGAGGTGCCATCCTCGAGGCCGCACGATAAGTGTGGGCAATGTGCGGTCGGTGCGCAGCTTGTACTCCTTTGGGCCCTGCTTGAAGTCGACCTGGCGCCTGTTGGCGTCGTAAAGGTTCACCTGGCCATTGATCATGTTGTCCCATGTAGGGGCACTGGAGTCTGTTCTCATAGCTCGTCAGTCCCGAATCCGGCATCCCTGTAACTGCTTCATCCCGCGCAGCCCAACCTGCCAGGACTTAACCCCGGTAGGAGCCTACTCACCTTCGAAATCAGCCATATATGTCCAAACATCCGAGTTCAACGCATTCACCACCATCTTCCTGTCCGTCGGCCCCGTAATCTCGACACGCCTATCCACCAGCCCGGGTGCGGGCGGCGCGCCTTTCCAGGTGGCATTGTCGCGGATGTGCTTAGTCTCAGGCAGGAAATCGGGCAGGTTGCCCTTGTCCAGCTCGGCCTGGCGGATCTTGCGGCGCTCTAGCAGCTGCTTGCGCGTGTTGTTGAAGGAGCGGTGGAGGAGCGCCAGGAAAGCCAGGGCCTGGGGTGTCAGGATCTTCTTGTGCTCATCCTTGACGGCACCGAGAATGTTGACACCCTGCAGGATGGTGTCGGTGGAAGCCATGACTGCTGTTGGGGGCAATTATATATGGTCGGGTTGTGGTGATATCGTGTGCAGTTTGAGGCCAACAGATCCAGCCGTTGCTAGTTGTTGGCAAAGACCTCGGCAAGAGTGCGTGCGAGGCAGGCAGGGAGCTTATAATTGTTGCTCAGATGCTACAGCAGGGGAGTACGAGGGTATCAATGATGACGGAGGAGACTGGGAGTTTGGGAATTTGGTTCGGCAGTAGCTGGCAGGGCAGCGCGTGGAGGCGAGAAGATTGTCCGGTTGCTGTTGCTCTGGAGTGTTTGTTCTACTTCTTCTAGAAGTCTAGTTTGAGGAGCAAACTCGGGGAGCAAACTCGGAATCTGCTTTCAAGGTCCAGAGTAGGGTATCAGGGTATCTATGGTTGGTCAATGGGCGGCTACTCCTGGCAAACGTTGGTGGTTCGCCGTCGGTACGTCTCGGGTGAGAGGGAGTTTCGTGCCTGGTACTTCCCCAGATAGCCGGCGCTGAGGCGATGATGCGCTTGTGATAATGTGGGGGAAGGGAAGCCAAGCGCTGGTAGGGCAGGGTGGTACTCTGTGAGCAAGGTTCTCTCTCTCACACTCTAAAACGACTCGATTGGCATGTGAGGGGAGCACCAGGCGGGAGAGGTCCGTGTCGTCATAATAAGTACTTTAGTCTACCTTTCTCGCACTGAGGTGTATCTTAACCCCATTTGTCACGATGCGAGATTGAGTGACATTCCAGTTTTGCAGTTGTCCAAGCATCCCCTCTCTTGTTGAGCATCTTGGCTTCCGTGACTCGGTGCTCAGTGCTCGACCATCCTGACGGGTAACAGTGATAATTGGCGATGGTGGTGAAAGCAAAGCACATGGCAATAAAAGGACCGCCTGCTGTTAGTCAAGCTGCGATCCACATCTCACATCCCCAGATTCTCGTGCCGATGTCGTATCTGCTCCCGCTCTACAGTATCTCTCCAACAGTCTGGGTCACCCAGGCACACACACATGGAGAAAGAGGAGAAAGCATGTTCGAGGCTCGGCCAACTTCCGACTTCCATACTGCCGAAGCCGGGGTGTGAGCTGAGTCGTGCCGAGGTCGACCTGCTTGGGCCGATATTCTCCGATCCTCGCTTATTGTCGCCACAGCATAGAGTTGCATAACATCTTTTACCATACTGTTTTTGTTTGACAGCACTGATGACTCAAATCTAAGAATAAGCATATTTCTACCAATTCTGCCTATGGGGAATCAACTCATGCTGAAGCTAGTCGGGGTCCATGTTCTTCCATCAAAGGAAGCAAAATTAATCCAACCGGGCCTCGCCGAGGGCACAGCATATTACAATTCGTCAGCAACTATCCAGGTGCCAGCTCCTTTCTCTTCCATTTTCATTACGATAACAGCCAAAGATAGAGTTGCACTCTCCTGTCGCAGTCCTTCAGTAGTCCCATCGTAACCTGTAACACAGAAGTGCCAGGCTCGCAGCGTAAAGCATCAAGACGTATTGTCCATCCAACATCAACAGTTTCCAACCAACATGGAGCCTAATTCAGAGAGACTACTTCCACACTTTAGCCCTCCAGTCGCCTCTCGCCTGGTTCGTTCGTGACAATTCCACCATGAGTAATTCGGAGACGCTTGAAATTGAAAGTGACAGTCCAAGCGGTAGTAGCAAGTATTCAGCCATGCAAATCCGGGGAAGCCCTTCGAAATACAGGAATGGCAGTTTGAGGTGTCGATATGTGCTCAAATCTGGCAGGGGACCGTCGCCCTGCAAACAAAGGCCCGACCACGCCGCAAATGCCGCTGTGGTCACCTAGATACAGCGAGCGGCTATCTGAGGACGACAAGAGCTCCGCCTCCTAATCTCAAGAGTTGAGCGTCTTTATCATCATCTTGGCCTTTCTGCTGTCCTGTACTAGGAGGCCGCGGCTCGTGAAGACGCTGTTCATCGTGTCGACCACCTTGTGGAAACTGCTCGCGGCCCCCTTCTCCTGTGTGAAACGGACGATGCTGAGGTGAGTGCGCTTGCCATGCTCAATGACAGTGATGATTTCTACAGCGAAGTGTACCTCCTTGATGTTCAGGACTGTTTCAGACAATATGTTAACATAGGCTCTCCTTCGCGGTAAGGGTTGCTAGAACAAGAGGTGGGAGAGTGGTACTCACAGTTCTTCTTGCCTACTCTTGCAAATACAATGTTGCGCTCCTTGTCAACTTCAACATCTCGTATGCCCCATTTGCGCCACTCCCGGAGCAGGATCGTAACCTCCTGCCGGGCGCGGCGGCGCGAAATCTGTAGGCAAAGGTACCGCATCGCAGGCTTGACTCGGAAAAGACGTGCGAGCCAGTTCTGCTGGGGCTCGATCTTCCGTGCGACGACATCAGCATTGTCGCCATAGCCATCCTGGGTCACTGATGGGGCTCCGGAGAGGTGATGGGCGGCATCGAAACTATTGGAGTCGTCTTCGTAGTCTGGAGCTGTGAGATATGTTAGCAAAGCAGCGCCGATTTCTGGGAATGAGGTAATCTCAATTCATACCTGCGATTGACATTCGATTGTTGCTCTTCGACGTCTTCCAGAACATGAAGCTCTTCTTCCGCGAGGGCTGAGCGGCCACCGGAGGCGGTGCAGCGCCAGTCGAGGTGGAATCGAATCGTTGAGGCTTGGTGGCTACTGCTGCGGTCTCGCGTGCCTGATCCTCATTCGTCACGGAAGTATCGGTAGTCTCATCCATATCGCCATTTGAGTTGGCCCTCGAGTTCCGTCGAAACCACGTTGACAATTTCTTCCTAGGCCCGATAGAGGAACCATTACTGCTTGACCTACCATGTGTCGTTGGCTCTTCCGGCAGGTCCGGCATCCAACCGTGGACACTATACTTCTTTCGAGCATCCGACTCTTGCGATGCCTTGTGGCTCTCGACTGTGTCAGACGGAACACTTGCAGATTTCTTGCGCACGTTGAGTGGCCTGGGGATTATAGAAGATCCAGTTTCCTTCATCGCTGTGGGAGACTGCACGATCCGGATTGTCTGCTCAGCGTTGGCGGCAAGGAAATCCAAGTTGCTGTTGTCATTAGGAGTCGGCAGCGCAGCAGGAGTCTTCATGGGTGGTGCTGAAACAATCCGAGACTGACCGTTAAGGACATTCGGTGACTCGAAAATTGATGGAAGAGGGCGTGCATCACGAGCATACTGTGCATACACGGGTGCAGACGTGATACGGCGCTGGCCTGCAGATGTTGCCAAAGGAGCCACGTTGAGAGAGACACTTGGGCCATGGCGACTGGTCGTGTTGATTTTTTGAGGAGCTTGGATGCGTTGAGAACTGGGAGTGACTTCCGTCGGAGGCGTGGGTGGTAACGGTCTCGAATCCCAAGGATGGATACCAGCACGAGGTGCGCAAATAGGCTCTGGTGTCCTCTCAATCGCAGGTGTACCGAAGTCAACAGAAAAAGGGGTGAGGCTTTGACGGTTTCTATCCATAGTGTCAGAAGGCGAGGCGATGAGTGAACTGCTGAAGGCATCATCGCAATCCCTGGCAATGCTGTTGCTAAAATGAATCATCTCATCATCTACAACGGAAGCAGAAGTGCCGATGTGATGGAGGAGGCTTGTAGAGTCGTACTCTTTCTTGGCCTTTTTGCGAGGACTATTTGGTGAGGTATTGTCCCTGTTGTACGTCGTCTGATCACCTGCGATGCTGGCTGACGCAGCAATACTGCGGCGATTACCTTGTTGATCAGCTGATGGGGCGCCTTTGCGGACGCTGGAAAAGTTCACGCCGCGTTTATGTCGAGGCTTGACCAACACGCTCGCGGTACCTTGACGACTGCTGCGGATTGAACTCATTGAGCTGCGCTGTGACGGTGCATAGCTCACAGTACGCGAGCGAAGCGAAGTATTCAATCTCTTCCTTGCAACCGATGAAGATCCTGTACCCATCCTGGATGGAACGGAGCCGGAAGCCACGCTCCTCGCCTTTCCGGGCTCCAGACTGCCAGCACGATGAACCACGATCCTCGCGTGACTCGCTTGGCCAGGTGCCAGGTTGCGGGAGGCATAATATGGATCGTAGCTGCGGACCGTGCCACTAGCTTCGGTATCGGCGACAGTCGAGATCACTGTAAAGCGGGATGGTGTTCGGCCCTGGACGTGGAATTTACGAGTTGAAACGCGTGTTGTCCAAGCCGGCGGCCGCAAATGATGGTAGTCACTTGTGGAATGGGCCAAGTCGGGGTCGTAATTCTCCAAGAGTCGGTCTCGGTGGCTGACCAGAAGGTGGTAAAACAGCTTTTGTTCATTGAACCCCTTGCTCAAAAGCTTAGACTTGATTTCCTTCTCATCAACAGAGTGCCACATAGCACGCAGCTGCCGCAGAATTTGGGGATCGATATCGCGGATATTGATAGGGGCATCCTTTGACCTCGTCCTCATGTCAACAGGCTGCTTCCGATGCTCCTCGAAACCACGAATCCTGTCGTATTTCTTGATCAGTGGGTGATCCCACATCTCACGGATCGAGATACGTTTATCTGGCTCAGTCACAAGAATACGCCGAATCATATCCTTGGCGTCAGGGCTGAAATTTTCAGGCATGGTGTAGAGTGCCCTCTTTGATAGTGACAACATGGTTGGCAAGTGTGGGTCGTCGAAGGGAAGACGTTGCGCCAGCATTGCGAACAGGATGACCCCCATGCTCCAAATGTCTGTCTTATCTCCACGGTAGTTCTTCGCCTTGAGAAGTTCGGGAGCAGCGTAATGAGGGCTTCCGCAGGAAGTGCGTAGTTTCTTATCATTTTGATGGAGCGCAGCCATGCCAAAGTCAATGATCTTGACTTCACCCGCTTGTGAGAGGAGAATGTTCTCCGGTTTGAGATCGCGGTGGCAGATATTAAAGGAGTGGCAATACTCCATGGCGCACATCATCTGTCGAAAGACGTAGACCGCGTCATGCTCGCTCAGTTGCCCATATCGGTTGATCCATGAGAACATGTCCTTGCTCTCGCAGTATTCGAGTATCAGGTAGCTGCCGAAATGGATCAGAATTAGCAGGTTGTCAGTGACTCGAGATGGTGCAAGCTGGGGTCACCTTACACTTCATTTCGGTTTTCCCAGACGTCAAGAATCTTGATGATGTTTGGATGCTCGATCAATTTCATAATTGCGATCTCTCGCTCCACGGTCACAGGTAACCGGCGAAGCCCATTCTCCTCTTCCGGCAAGTCCTTCTCCACCTTGTCGAGTTGTGCGATGCTGCCAGCTTGGGACAGGTATGCTGACTTCTTGGATATAATCTTGACAGCGACGGACTGGTGGGTAAGCCGATGGCGCGCGAGCCGCACGCGAGCCGACGAGCCCTTGCTAAGGGTCTTGCCAAGCTGCCATGGCCCAATATGCGTCTTCAACTTGGAGTCGCTGGACCGTGCCGTCGAAGCGGATGCCGTGGAAGTCTGCGAGTCGCGCTTTGATGCCTCCTGTTCCCGGGAGGCTTGCGACACGGCGGAGAGGCGCGGGTCGGCGGGTGGCTGAGACACGGGCTGAGATACCTTTTTGGGCCTCCCAGGAACCGGTTCATCTTCGGCGACCACAATTGGGACGTTCTCTTTGCAGTCACTCTCGTAGGTCTTCGGAGCCTGGGAACGGGTTCTGGGAGGTACGCTGTTGCCTCGCTTTCCCTTGTCACCGAGGGGGGCGCGAGGCACTGGATGATAAGTAGTTGTGCGCTTGTCCATGTTGGAGCTGCTTCGAAGATGATGCAGTTTTTGAATGATCTCAGCGCATGATTGTTAGGTGGCGTGATAGGGGTATTTAGGAGTTTCGGGGGGCCTAGGACGAGCGATCCTGCTCAGTGAAACCAATCGAGCTGATGAGGTCGCGTTCTGTGTTCTTAGACAAGCGAGCACTTCTCTTAGCAGTGACAGTTAAGCAAGTGGCAAATAACAAGCACGTCAAGGTTGTCGCGTGTATGTGGGTTGCCAGTGGTGTTGTTTTTGAATGTCGGGCGTGCTGGAAGGAGGGGGCGATACATGCAACGAGGGTGCTTGGTCACTGAGGAAACCAAAGCTTGGACCCGTTCGCCAACAACAAGGTGTCAATGAAAAGATGATATTCTCAGCTCTCGATCAAGCCCAAGTTTGAGGCTCGGAACCCGCGTTGCGGACGATGGCTCTAGTGGTTGGCAACGTGTGAAGCGTGAGGGTGGAGGTCAAGGGAGAGAAGTGCAAGTGCGCGGGTGAGCGGCAGGGGCAGCTTCCAACCACCAGCATCCATCAACTAGTTATCCAATTTTCAGGGTCCAGCGCTAGGTATCAAGATATTGATCGGCTCACCTTTGGAATGCCTGTTTCATGAGAAGTTTTTACCTGAGCATCGGGCCAAGCAGATCTGATAGCCCACCACTAGCCGTTGAGCCTACCCTCCTGTCTATGCACTTGCAGCGACAGGTTCGCGAAGTGCCTTCCTCAACGCACTCACTCAAACTTTGGGACAAGAACCCTATCATAGGCGCACAATAACTAGGGACTGCAGAGGCTTCTCAGCTGTCTATAGCTACTCGACGAGTACGTAATGTCCAACATTAAGAACACTTGCTTTCCTACACTGCTTCAAAGCACTTGACCGCAACGCCGGAGCCCCCAGCCCCCAGCATTACGACACGGGCCGCTGATTCATGAAGACTTGAAAAGGACCAAGCTCTGAAAGCAATCATCAGCACTGCCACATTCGGCCCGTCGAGAGTTGTCGCGAAGTAGACACCCCGAGGCGGATGTGACACCAGCAGCTGGGCTGCATGAAAGGAGGCATACAGGGTTTCGGGTGCTTCCACTTCCCATAATTCTTGCGCAGTTTGGCAGCCTGATTGCGAATGCTTATCCACCTGAAATGATTTGATGGGTGTCTCTGGGGTAATCATCAAGCTAAATACAATGGAATGTTGTTGAGAAGTTAGTCTGTCTATGAGTGGATCATTTTGACCTGATGTCGACGGCAGGTAACCACTGATTCTTAGTCAGCACAAGAACCCCTCCTGATTGGTTGCCTGTCTATAAGCAGGGACCCCGCCAAAAGTTAATGGAGACGCGTCTGCGGCTCTACCGCGTTTCTGACGTCCAACGGGCCATCTTCCGATAGCAACTCGCAGTCTTCCTTACGCTCCACTGTCTTAGATGAGTCTCGCGCGGATCGCTTTCCTCCTCGCCTCTGCTCCCTTCCCCGCCGTCTAGTCGTTACTGCACGGCGACAATGTCCAACGTCACCGCGAGACGACGCTCGCGGTCGCAAATGGACGATGGAGATGATGCCGATGCTGCCAGAGACGGATACTGGTCTTCTCCAACCTCGTCAGATGGCTCCAAGAGAATGCGATTACGAGGAGGAAGAGGCGCTCCCAGTCAGCTAGAGGAGGGAGACGAAGAGGACAGTGAGGAAAGCACCGACGACGACCACTCCTTTCCTGACAACAATCACCACGCGCCCATCCAACGAACGAACGGGCATGTCACAACCAACGGCACGCCGGCGTCTCAATTCGCGACTGGTTCCATTGTGCGTGTCAAAGTCGAGAACTTCGTCATTTACGAAAAGGCAGAATTTCTGCCCGGGCCCAACCTGAACATGGTGATTGGCCCTAACGGCACAGGCAAGAGCTCCTTGGTTTGTGCAATATGCCTGGGCCTAGGCTACCCTGCCAGTGTTCTTGGCCGTGCTACCTCCTTTGGAGAGTTCGTGAAGCACGGCAAGGAACACGCGATAGTGGAAGTTGAGCTGCAAAAGAGACCAGAGGATCGTGCGAACTACGTCATCAGACTGATCATCAACCGCGAGGACAACACAAGGAAATTCACCCTGAATGGAAGAGACGCCACACACAAGCAGATCCAGCACGTAACGCGGCAGCTACGTATCCAAATTGACAACCTTTGCCAATTTCTACCACAGGACAAAGTAGCCGAGTTTGCCGGACTGAACTCAGTGGAGCTCCTGACGAGGACGCTTCAAGCAGCCGCGCCAGAGGTCATCATAGAGCAGCAAAATAGCCTCAAGCAACTGTTTGATGAGCAGAAAGCTATATCAAGGCAACTCGAAACCGACGCGGAGACACTCCGCGGTTGGGAGACCCGGCAGCAGGGACTTCAGGCTGATGTCGAGCGCCTGAGAGAGCGGGAGCAAATCCAAGCCAGAGTTGCTGATTTGTCGGAAGCGCGTTTGGTTCTTGACTACGATGAGAAGAGAAAACTCTTTTCAGAATGCAGAGACAACAAACGAAAGGCGCAAGATAGACAACGCAGACTTGAGGAACGGTGTGCGCCATCCCTCCAGGATGTCAATCTGAAGCAAGAGTACCAGAAAAGAGTCCAGGGCGCCTTCGAAGCCAGGCAGCGACGAGGCAAAGAGGTGGAGCAAGATCTGCTCAAGATCGTCTCCAACATCGAGAAAATTGATGAGGGTATCGAGACTCTTGCGAATAAGAAATCGGCCGAACGGGAGTCATGGGAGGCAAAGAAGAAGCAAATATCAACTGCCCGTTCCAAAATCAACCAGCTCGAGGGTCAGTACAGGAGCAATCATTACGAATTCAACGCTGCCGAATGGAACCACAAAATTGTAGGCTGCCAGGTCCCAAATATCATAATTCATGAGGATGAGACTAATGTGTGTTCAGCGAGAACAAAAATCCCGCATGGATCATGAACTCAAGGATGAGAAGCAAGAGCTTCACACCGCAATGGCCGAGTTGAAGGAGCGCGGCAAGGCCAACCACCAGGAAAAAGGGAGGATACAGCGGGAGCTTGATAACCTCAATTCTCAAGAAGGCCAGAGATTTCTTCAACTCCGAAAGGCTGAGCCTGAAGTTGCAACGGCCTGGGAATGGCTTCAAGAGAATGGCGACAAGTTCGAGAAACAGGTATTTGGTCCACCAATGCTGACCTGCTCCATGAAGGACAAGCGGTACTCCAACCATGTGCAGTCTTTGTTGCAGAGGGATGACTTTCTCTGTTTCACTGCCCAAACCAGGAATGATCACAAGCTGCTCACAGATCAGTTCTTCACGAGTATGAAACTGGCCGTCACAGTCCGCACGGTCACTACGGATTTGTCCTCTTTTCGCTCCCCCATCCCTCAGGAGAATCTCGGATCCATGGGTTTGGATGGCTACGCGTTAGACTTCGTTGAGGGACCTGAGCCGGTGCTTGCCATGCTGTGCTCAGAAAAAAGGCTCCACCTTACCGGGGTGGCATTGAAAGACATCAGCGAAGAGCAATACCAGAGGATAATTGAGGATGAGGTGTTCAACTCTTTCGCTACTGGCAGCACAATGTATCGAATCACCCGTCGCAGGGAGTATGGACCTGGTGCCACGTCCACAATGTCCCGGACTATTCGACCTGGCACATACTGGACGGACGAGCCTCTAGATATGGCGGCAAAGAACGAGCTTGAGCAACGCCTCCAACAGTGCCAAACAGACTTCGCAGAGATGAAGAGAAATAATGAGGAGTACAAGGCAAAGATGGCAGCTCTCAATGAAAAGGAAGATGAGATCAGAGACGCGATAGTAGGTTGCTCGTATCAATTCCTGGCGGCCCTTCAAGCTAATTCTATTGCAGAAACGACTAGAGGAAGAAAAGAACACCCTACAGCGCGAGTTCAACCAGTGGAAGGCTCTTCCAGACAAGATTGGTTTGTTCGGGCACTACCTCAATAATCATAATATTACTGACTCGCGCTTTAGCTGTGTTGAAATCGAGCTTACAAAACGCGCTCAAAGGCCTGAAGGAAACAAAACACAGACTTTCGTCATATGACAGTGAAGTAGACAAACTTGCACTGGAAAAGGCCCAGCGTGTTTTGGAACACAGAAAGCAACTCGACATTCTCCGTGATGCAAACCAGGCTATATTTGAAGCCGCATTCCGCGCTCTTGAAGCCAAATCAGACGTTGCTGCATTGAAAGAGAGAAATTCGGGAATTGTTCAGAGGCTGGAAGAGGAGAAGCAGAACTTGCACAGGCTGGCGCGCGAGGCTGAAAAGGCCAAAGCTGAGGCCAAAGCAGCTCAAGATGTCATCATGCAACTCCTATCATCTGGCCCAGACAACACAATCGACGAGGAGAGGAGAGACTTTCTCTCTGCGATCAAAGAAGGCCACACATTAGAAACCATGGATGCCGAAATTGAAACCGAGAACGCCAAGCTGGACCTCATTCATGCCGCGGATCCTGGCGTCCTGCAGGAATTCGAGAAGCGAGCGAGGGACATCGAGCGTGGTCAACGGGACAAGGCTAAGCGGGAGCGGCAGCTGGAGTCACTAAGCCAGCAGATCCAAGAACTGAGATATACATGGGAGCCGGCAGTCGATGAAATTATCAACAAGATCAACGACGCCTTCAGTTACAACTTCGAGCAGATCAACTGCGCCGGAGAGGTCAGCGTCCATAAAGACGAGGATTTTGACAAGTGGGCCATCGATATCAGGGTCAAGTTCAGGTACATTCATACATCCTCTTCAAGCCATGACCATTCACGATGGAGCTCAACTGACCACATTATCTGCCTTGTAGAGAGAACGAGACACTCCAAAAGCTCGACCAACACCGCCAGTCAGGCGGCGAGCGTGCCGTCTCCACCATCTTCTACCTCATGTCGCTCCAATCCATGGCGCAGGCGCCATTCCGCGTTGTCGACGAGATCAACCAAGGTATGGACCCGCGCAACGAGCGCATGATGCACGAGCGCATGGTCGAGATCGCATGCAATGAGCACGCGTCGCAGTACTTCCTCATCACGCCCAAGCTGCTCTCCGGTCTGAGGTACCACGAGCGTATGAAGGTCCTGTGCGTTGCCAGCGGCGAGCACATGCCTCAGGAGGGCGGCAAGCTGGATTTCGCGCGCTGTGTCAAGATCAGGAGGAGGCTCATGGCTGCTGCTAGCGCGTAAGGGGAGTGATGGGCATTATTCTAGGACAATAAGTCAGGAATTGTGTCACTGGAAGGGCGTTGATGGGAGGACACTCAGGTTCGGTGGGTTTCGGTGCGACGATCACTTCTGGCGGATGCTTTTGCCCTTCACTATGATACCCAATCCCTCTGAGATCAAATCTCCTGCCTTTTAATTTGGCCTGCAGTGACTGCCAGCTTTCTGAACGCGATCCTTATGTTTGTGCTACTGATGCCTCCTTGCTACTTTCGGTGCTTAAACATCCAGCAGTAACATTCTCTGGGATGACGGAACGCCATATGGGCGATATGCTACTTAAGCAGCCACCCGTGGCATTCCGGCATTCCGAACCGTTACGACCTGCCCTTTGCTTCTGCTGTATCAAGATGATACTCGAGCCAAAGATCCCGAATTCCGATGGCAGGCAGCAGCGCTTACTCCCCCGGACTCATCAAGCTGCGACGAGCCACTCGCGGTGCTTTACGCCGTTGTACATACTTCCCGCGTGGCGGTCAAAACAGCAGCGTTGTACGAAGGGTCTCAGCCATCTATAAAGATCACGTGGCAGCCACTGGTCTGGACTTGTACACGCGCACTTTGCTTCTTACACGAAAACATGGCAGCGCTGCTCATGCCAGGAATAACACCGCGGACAGATCCACGAATTCGGGGAGAGCAGGACGCGCCCGGCGTTTCCCACCGCTTCTCCTTTCTTCCTCTCGGAAGCCCACACGAGCGCCCAGTCCGTCCGTCGTTCCTGTGGTCTCGGGTAGGTGCATACTCTGTGACACCTTCACTCAAAATTCCTCCGGCGCGGGCCCGTCTCGGTGGCGCCCGCAACGCCCGCACGGTTTGATACAGATTGCCTCCTAAGGGCTGAGAGGCTGCAGAGAGGGTGGGGGGAGGGGCAATTTCTTTGGGGAGCAGGGGAAGAATGATCGTAGTTGGAGGCTGTATCGGCTTCAAGTTTTGGGCGGCGGTGCTGTCCTGACGGCGTATTTGCCATTTAGCAGGCCTCCTCCTCTTCCCAACAACCTTGCCTCGGTTTACTGGGGTATCAGAAGGAAATTGTGCATCCGCTGAGAAGCTCTCAACAAGTGCGTAGTAGTATCGCAGACGGGGGATGCATGGAGGATGTTTGGCCCTCCCACCAAGAGCCCTCCACAGTCGCCACTCGATGATGTACTCCTGCACCGGCAAGTCCCAGATCCGCATCGGTCGGTCGCCCGTGACGAGAATAGCTCAGTACACACACACAAAGTCCTCCATGCACACTTCATCGCTTGTGTCACTCTTGTCACCACAGCAAGTGGCCCGAGTGGCCAAGTGGCTGATAGTGCCCAACCGACGAAGCGGAGGCCACGAGATTGGCATTCAATCCATGCCGGGTGACTGGACTGCAGATCCCACGTCCGGCCACTGCTGAAATGACAGAGTGATCTCCGTGCCCTTGCATGCGTGGCGAAAGAGCCGCAGGCCAATGCCGTGGGCGAACTTTACCCCCAAAGCTGTCAGAGCGATCTTAACGTACCCCTATAACTTGCTAGCTTACGCGTGGATCATCGCTCACCCGCAGCCCCGGGCGCAGAAGGAATTGCCTAATCAAAGCAAATTCGGATAGCACAAAAGATTCGCATTCCCGCCTTACACAAGCTGAACGAGGGGAGCAACGCATCGCCAATCCGCGAGCTAGCTGCTTCAGCTGTGCCAGCGTTTCGCCTGCCCACACACGCGTCAACTTGCGCCACACCTAATACGGAGAATAGATATGCATGTAGATAGATTATCACGAGAGAGTGGGCACGCAGGCGCACGCCACCATGCACGGCTTCAGACCGGGGAGACATCGCATGCCGGCACAGCTCCGACGCCGTTGACAGAACCTAGGTGTTGCACTCGGCCGCAGAAGGGGTCAACGCTATCGGTGAGATCTCTTAAGTTGTTTCGCCATCTGTCAGCCTGTTCATTGTCCTAGAGGTATGGTACTGATGACATATACCCCCATGAGAATACGTGTTTTGGATGCTGTTGTCGTTGGCAACAGGATGTCCTCTCGTTCACCAGGACAAGCACACAAGCTCGACGTCAGGAGAAAAACGTCCGGGCCTGACGTGGGTGTACCAATACTCTGGTACCCCAAAGAGCCAACTAGTCTCGCACGTCGCGACATTGGTCAGCTCGGTGTTGCTGCCCTGGTCCATAGCAGACGAGGAGATACGTAACCACGTGTACGGCCAACGGGACGACGAGCACTGGGGTCAGCGACCTCTCAGTTGACCGTTGGCTCACCGGGACAGTCGACATCCGGACAGCAGGTCAACGGCAGGCCGCAGATTAGAGGGGCGAGGGCCAGAACGCGAATGAGCCTATGGAGACTCGACTCTGGGGCCTGGGCCAGCCGCTGAGGGCCGAACCGTTTGGGTCGCCAGCCGCATCCGCATTGCTCGGTACCATGGTAGAGCGCGGCTATGTCGTCAAAGCTGACGGCGTATGTGGCTCTGATATACCAGGCGATTGGCAGCTGTGCAGGAAATGAAGGGCCGCCTCATTTAGCCTGCCTTGATGGGCGTGCTGGAGAGGCATGTCTGCCAGATCTCTGTCTGGCTGTCGAGTTTCGGAACAACTATCCGTCATGGTCCTGCCGCATACGTCGAGATCTGTGGCGTCCGTGTCAGCATGCGGTGCCGGTCCGCCGGAGGTCGTGGCGGGACGGATCGGAGGCCGCAGCTGCCAACGTGCGTGTTCGAGTCACGGAGCCTCGTCGAAGTCTCAAGGATGCTCCTGACCAATATCAACAGCGATAGTCGTGGTCGGGAGCATCCGGACAGGGAGGTGCAGGGAACTATACAATCTCTGGAAGTATACTTTGTTACGCAGCCCAAGAACACATCTGGGCGCGCGCGGCACTCCATCCTCAAGGAGCCAATGGTGAGCCCTCCCCTCAGGCCAGCCACAGCTTGTTTCAAGGAGGCGATCGTGAGGAAGAGGAGGCAACAAGAAACTTAGAGCGTCCAAGAACGTTGATTCGCCAATTGGAACCTGCTAAGGCGAGATTAAGATGTTACGATGTGACAGCATAGTCCGTGGAATATGATGATAGGATTTGTGTACGTGCTCGAGCTGCATATCAGAACGTTGTGTGCCCATTGGAGCAGCGGCCGCTGGAGATGATCGGTCAGATCTCAACGCGACTTGGTGATGTCTGCCTCGGCAGGAATCGCTAGCTTGGGTACTGTCCAGTGTATCATTGCCTCGTCATCGTGGGGATTTATCAATATGCGAGACATTTCGACGTGTTGCGCGCTCCAAACAGAAGCGGATTTCGCGTTGATCCCACAGATTGAATCGGAGTGGCCCGCAGGACCACGGTTACCCATACTATTGTTTTGACCCAGTATCGAAATCGCGCGGGCCGAATCGACTTGTTGCAAAAGCTCCGGATTGTGGAGTATGGGCAAGGCTGAAATGGTCTGTTGTAAATGTGCGGATCTGCACGAGGTTTCAATGCTCAGTAGCAGCAGCACGAGTCTCTGAGGGACGGCGCTGGTTCAGCCAGGTTCAAGCTCGCACCTCGTCAATGACAGTCAAGGGTACGATCCACACACAACGAGATCTAGCCTTGAACAACTTCGTCAGCCGCGAAAACCTCGAAAGAGCAAATGGCCCGGGGCTCGAATCGATTCTGCGGTTGGATGATCACAAGTGACCAATACCTGCAGGACCATCATTTTCTTAGCCTGGATCTTGTTATCTGCAATCTAGGGTGGGTGAAGTCGCCATAATAATGGAGGGTGTTATAGCTTCGTATTCCTACCTGCATTTGTTTTGTCACACGTGTAAAGTGATTGCCCATCCCATCCCAGCATCCCCACGATTCGGCATGATAGCCTCAAAGTGGCAAATGGATTAACAGGAAGCAACCCGACAATCTGTCTACGAATAGCACGTCCAGCCCTCGACTTCAGCGCAGCCGGCGGCGGCGGCGGTGATTTGCCAGGCGTGAGGCGTTCATGAGCATGGATGTGAGAGCTTCACGGGCATGCGGGTACAATTGAGTGTCCGCAGTGCGGAATGCTTGATCAGCAATGCCGACGATGCAGGCCATAAGCCACAAGGTCCGGGAAAGCTAACGCCAGCCGGCCACATAATCAGATAACACAGCCGGACTCCGCATCAGAGGAGACTGCGCACCCAGTACAGGTGTCGCTTTCGTCAGCTGCAAACCGCTCATCCCAAGTCGCCCATCGTTTGGCAGAATGCCATTTCGTTGCGTGGAACTTGTGCAGTTGCCGCTTCTACTGTGGTCGGCCGTGCATTCGGATGTTCGCATGCACGGCGTCATCGAGCCACAATTGTGGAGAGACGTCGAACGTGTACCGGTCTCCACATGCTGCTTCAGTCTTTGGCGGGACTGCGATGCACAGGCCTGATGGGGAATTTGGCCGCGTTGGTCGTCGAATTTGTCGAAAGACGGTGGGTACTCACTCGTACGCTCAACGGACCGCCACAGTCAATAGCCGCAGGCAGGCCTTCCCGTCCGGTTAATTATTTTTAATATTCGGTTCGAGGGGCCGACCGTTGACAACCAGTGTCACTTCACAAGGACCCCAAGCCCTGTAAGCAGCCGCGCAGCAAAGCCTGGGAGGCCTGGTGTCAGGGCCAACTCTGGACTGCTCGTGGATCGTCAGCTAGGAAAAAGGATCGAGCTAGGAAGCACTGGTCTCCATGGATTGAAACTCGGGGATCCCAGCGTCGGCAACAAATAGGGGCAATTGCACGCGGTGCGCGACTCCTGCAGCAAGATGCCATTTCCCTAATTTCCCATTCCAAGTTTTGCCAAGTTGTTGATCGCTGCCGCCATGCAAGCGCGCCGGCAGGTTTGACGCTGTTCAGCTTGTTGAGAAGCATCCGACCAGTTTTGCAAAGCTGAGAATGTCGGTCAAGCAGAAAAGGCCAATTCCTCTGGAAAACCCGTCCTGAATTCTTCAGGTTTGGCTTGTGTCGTGGCTCTCCGCCTCACGGTAGCAGGAGCGCCCTGTCCTGGCGTCAGAGAGAAAAAATTGCCCGGCCTGCACAGTAACAGTACAAAGTACCGGAGTACCTGACACATGCTGGGGCGTAAATCAAGATGGCAAAAGCGGAGCTGCTAGACAACCCGACTGGCAACGCGGCTGCGGCCCTGTGCTCCCCACATGGCCCGTTCAGACTGTTCATGAAAGGCCAGGGTTGCGCGGCAAGTCAAAGGGCCCAGGTCCGACAGGATGCTGGCAGTACTGTGTAAAAGCAGATGGAGCGCAGTACGAGTTTGAAGCGAGCAAAACTAAAGCGGCAAAGAGCTCAATCGATTGAGTTCAGTCTATCGCAGCACTCCTTGGAGTGTTGCATCCGTCGACATGGGCCCTCCTTGCCCGATAGCCTTAGACTCGTCCGGATCCCTCGGCCATAGGCTACACAAATTACGGATGAGCTGGGCATGGCATGTCGTCTCTACTTCCAGACGCAAGTCTCGGACGACAGGCCACTGGTGTTGACGGCTGGTACTGACTACTTCAACAACGGGCACCGAATCCAGGAGGGTGTGCTGATGCCCGTGTTCAAATTCACTGATGCAGTGAGGGTGGGATCGAAGGCAGCCAAGCGACCGAGCTGCAGCTATGGTCTAGCAGCTGCCAGCTGCCAGCTGCCAGCTACCGGCGTTCCGCGATTGCGCGACGAGTTGTAGGCGATCAATCTCGACCGTGTACTAAGCGGAAGAAAAATCTACCTGGCGGCCGGTGGGAGAATCAGCGGGCTAGTTGCATAGCTTCTCAGTGATGAATACTGGACGCGTCGTCTACCCAGCCACCACCCATGTTCAGTGGTCCATCGGCCGTCCTTTGTCCAAGTGTCCGGATGCCCGATGGTCGACGGGATAGGAGGCAAGGATCAAGCCTGCCGAGGACATGGGTGGCGTGGAGGACTTCGCGCTGCCGTGCGAGTGCGGTGATTCGCACCCCCTGCTCAACACCCCCTGTGTGGCACGGCGCGTCTTTGGGCACGTGCACCGGACGTTAAGCCGGAATCAGCAATAGTCCCCTTCGCTAATAGTTAAGCGAAAGACTTATGTATATTCACAAAAGACTCAAGTACCTTACAATTATCACAATCAATCCAAAAACGCATCTTCTTAATTCTTTAAGTACAGTCTGAACGGGTTGGACCTCTGGGACTCGGCGGCGCCTACCGGCACCGTCGCTCCTCGCCCCAGCCGGCCCTTCAAATCTGATTTAGGGATTCTTATTTACTAGAGAAGTAGGAAAGTCTTGGTTGGGACAAGACTTTGAGGTACGTGTGAGAAGCAGGGGGTGTTGAGCAGGGGGTGCGAATCACCGCACTCCTGCCGTGCGTGCTTTACGTCAAATGTGGTAGTACTCAGAGTCAAACATGGAAATTGATAAACCGATCTACTTAGGCAGATCGTGAGCGTTCGCAACAGTGACGATACCAAATGCTCTGAGTATACCTGATATATGGAGGGGTCCTCAGCAATAAGAGATGATTGTGCGCTGTCGATGTTGATCTGTCAGGTCTTGATAGACTCACCGGAGCATTTCAAGTCAGACTTCCCCTTAATATTTGTACCGACAGCAGCAGCCCCACGCTATGCATTATACAATGGAGGCAATGGAGACGCAACTGACTCCGACCATGCTCCAGAATCGGCCTTGTACTGTGCCAGTTGGGTTGGAGGCCAGACACCGGAGGTGACGGCGCTTGACTGAACTGACGAGGTATCAATGTTCCCTCGGGGCACTCGACTGACTGATGGAAGAAATATGTCCTGGTGGAGCAAGGTGGTCGTCCCGTCAGAACCCAATGGCCCACCTCGAGCCAAAGCCACGGTCGAGAATTTTGGGCCCACACAGGGGCACGCGAGACCCCTGGCACCAGGCAGCCAGGTTGAGTTGCTCTTAGGCGACACTTAGACAACTTCAACGGCACTTCAATGTAAAGAGGGCGTAAGGGGTTCTGACATAGTAGACCCTGTGAAGGACCTGGCCGGAGCCCAAGAGCATGGCATGTAGTGAATGGAGAGAGCCTGAGGACTACTAGTGGTCTGCTGATCGTCCCTGCCAAATCTAAGATCACGACGAAGTTGCTCCTTCCCGAGCATGCCGAGATGTGACTTGCGGCCGTCGCCGTTTTTGACTGACGTTCCACAAACGCGCGTCTATAGACGGACGATAAGGCGATGAATTGCCCAAGCCCCAGGCCATTGACAACACTGGACAGGTGTGCCGCGTGTGTCTATTATATCTACCATAGCAGTAGGTATGATCCCGAGGAGCTTGGCCGACGTTGGGCTGCTGCATACGGAGGAAATACGACAGGGCGAGTGGGAGCTTTGAGCCCAACAATCATCAACAACAGTCAACGGCGTGCCTAGATGGTGCTCACATGCAGGTAGATGCAGGTAGTCGGTCAGCATGCAAAAAAAACCGACCGTAGCTCAGTACCAAGAATCAGCATATCGCAGTTTTCACACCAATCTATCCACCACAACATCGATTTCTAAGTAGATGTTGATATTATCGAAGTCACACGCTTATTCTGAATATGTCAGTGTAATTAAAATCAATCACATACAATGTGGTTGTTGAGCAATTTGGATTCTAACATGAAGGGTTTTGTTAGTTTAGGAGGGGATTTGGGGTACGGTCGGTTTCTTTTGCATTCTGACCGGTAGTGTGGTGTTGAAGAAGGTGCCTAATAACCCTGTCCTGTCTTGCCCTGCCCTGCCCTGTCCTGCCTTGTGACGGCAGCGCCGGCTTTTCCCCCCTTGGCCTCAGCTCGCACCGAGTGCACCGTATACCCACAGCGTATCCGTATTTGCAGACCGTAGACTGGGCAGTTACCAAGCAGTTGGGAGACGGATCTTCTTCAGAAGATTCTCTCTCCCGTCCGTGAGTGGAGCAGATAACGGCCGGTTCGTCTTATTATTAATAGAAGCCTGCACACCACAGGGAGCTCATTGAATCCTTTGCAATTCCCTGGGCCAGCCTAGTGTTCGAGAAGAAGCAGTCTGTGGACGGGCGGGTACCTGACCAAGTACCTGAGCTCACGCATCTCCACAGGGTGACACTGGTGGTAGCACCAGAGGGAGCAGCACACGAAGGAGGAGGTACCTAGAACGGTACAACCAACTGACAATACCTAGTGAAAGCATGATTGGGGCAGCCGAGAGCAAAGTACCCGTCCTCATCACCCAAACACGAGCTACGCCTGGAAGAGAAAGGAGCCCATCGCGGGTCGTGCAGGCCCAGCAAACCCGTCCGCAATTACAGCTAAGCACATCCATCAATTTGCACAGCCTTTTTTGGGCTGCATCTCCACCCAGTCTTTGTCTTGTCCTTCCTTTGCCTGTTTCTTGTCGCGTCAAATAGTACTGCTGCCAATGTCAGTCGGTCTGCTAGACCGTGACCACACTGTCCTTGCCCCTCTGCTGTGCCGCCTGTTGCTACTGTGTGATGATGTGTTGATGACTTGCTGTGTGCTATGTGCTATGTTGGTGGTCCAGTCTACAGTACCTGACCCATCCTCGTCCATCCCGTCTTTGGTCTCTGGTTTTTCTGGTCTCCTTTGGATCCCTAGCTGCCAGGTGCCACCCACAGACCAGCCCAGACTAGACAAGACAGGACAGGACAAGACAGACCTTGCTTCCATTCTTCCCTAGTCTTTTCTCGTCCTGCGTGTGCTGCCTGTCCTGTCCCACGAAACACGCCCACGCCCATGCCCACGCCCACACACACCTCACCTTTCCCATTCACGGCGCATCCTTTTTTGCTATAGCTGAACGCCGTTGTGCATTTGTGGAAGGAAGGACTCGCATACACACCCTTTTATTCCAATTGTCCACTCTCGCAGGGCTCACTGCTCACTGCACCCAAAGCAGTCGCTGTTTCCTCGAGCTCAATTCAATACCAAGCTACCTGGCTTTGCTCAACCGAAGGACAGACCGAACACATCATCGGCCAATTCGTCCCTGACGACAACACAAGACGCTCGTTACCTTGCTTTTTGGCTTTCTGGGATACCGCACCGGTACCTCTGCACCCTACACCGTTGATCCTGACACTGCAGGCCAAACAGTCCGTCCCAAGAAACAAAAGGGACGAGCCCACAAACCGCCAGGGCACTCTGATAAGGTGAGCACCGGTGGCAGATGGGACCTCCTGGTTCAAGCCCAGCCTAAGCCTGCGAGCGCGGCCTATCAGCGCGTGGCTCGCACCCTTCCACCCAGGGCAAAACCTGAATACATCGGCAATCCCAGCCCCTCCGAGTCTGATCCCGCAGCCCAGTTCACCCTACCTCTACTTCTGCTCTACACGCTCTGCTCTGCCTCTCTACCTTTTACTTTTATTCTCCGCTTGCTTGGCCCTGTCTTTTCCCGGTCACTTCATTCGAGACGGAGGAGGCAACCAGCAATCGTCCCATCCGATCCCAAATACTAACATCACCTCTTCTTTTTTTCCCAGGCGCTGTCCGACGCTTGCCACTCGTTCAAGTCACCTTTCGTTTTCTTTTCTTGCGCACTCGAACCACAGCTTCGTTGCTGCACCGTCGTTGCTCCAGTCCCACCGGGCTTGTCCTATCTGCGCCACCGTCGTCCGCAAGACCCGCAGTCTTCGTGCTTCGTACCTGTGACCCAACGCTCGTTCACCGCCGCACAACACATCACGAAAGTCAACGTGCCGAATGGGGTCTGCGTCTACCGAGACAGCGCCGTCCCAATAACCATCACCTAATTATCCTGTCCGACCACCGCTATCTGAATACAATCTGTGGTGGAAGAGGGAAACCAGGGAAAATAGGAGGCACACAAGGCTGCGGCGCGGAGACTTTGGGGACCGGCCACCAAAATCGTGAGACGCCTCGACGAGCAAAAAGTTGCCAGGGCAGATCCGAACTCTTCGGCTCAGTCCAGCCACAGTCCGCTTGGCAAGGGAGGTGCAGACCATCGCGTCTTCCAGTCGTGGTACCGGGCTACTTCCAAAGCGGCAAACCTTCCGTCTTGCTGATCGCGAGAGCCCATCTGCATACCAGCCGTGGGCAAGCCCCCTCGCTCAGCTGTACAACTGCACCCTCGAGACTCGGCTTCCCACTAGGCCAATTGCAAAGAGTCCCCTAACCATGGCTCCCGCAACGCCCCGTCTCAAGATATTATCAGGTGCGTTGACCCCGAATTCGCAATGCCCTGTGCGAGCATCATCTGCTGTCTGTGTTGCGCTGCTGCCGCTGTCTGCATTTACTTCCTCTCACAAGTGCGACACTGCATTCTTCGGGGCAGTTGGCCGCTTGTTTCCCTTGAACTAGCCCCCTTCCCGCTGCTTCCACGCCGCATTCCTCCTAATCTCCACTCCCGCACGCTCGTTTTTTGGTTTTCAGTTCCTCTGGGGAGCATGCGTCCTCGGTCGATTCTCAACTCGCCATGGATGATCTGGAGCTAATGAACGTTATAACAGTGGGTGGAAACGCCGTCTCTGCTTTCCTGTCCTGGAGGTTACAGGCAACCAATGCCTGCGATGTCACCCTCGTCTGGAAGTCTGGCTACGAGCACGTAGCTCAGTATGGCATCACTTTCAAGTAGGTTGCACCCTATCCTGGACCTAGAAGTATCTTCATCCTAACAATTCTCTTGCAGGTCACAAGTATTCGGCAATGAACGGTTCAAACCACGTCGAGGTACAGTAGAAATGATCCTATTTGCACCCCAAGACCAAATACTGACTTGCATCTACAATAGTGGTCAGATCACCCGAAGAAGCCGTCAACACCAAAGAAGGACACTTCGACTACGTCGTTCTTTGCGTGAAAGCACTCCCTGATGTATATGACCTCGCCTCAGTGATCGACTCAGTTGTTGTCCCACAGCACACGTGTATTCTGGTGAATACCACCAATGCGATAGGCGTTGAGGCTGCTATCGAGGAGCGATACCCCACAAATGTTGTTCTTTCCCTGGTCGCAGGTGCAGATCTCACACAACTTGGTCAGAGCGAGTTTGAGCACAAAGGGTCGACGGAACTTTGGATCGGACCGGCGAAGAGAAACAGCGAGATCCCCGCTACGATCCAGGACGACATGTCTTCAGCGCTTGCTATGACTCTCAGTACAGGCCAGGTAGATGCCAAAGTGTCTCCGAACATCCGGCAACACCAGTACGAACGAGTGATTGGGTCAGTCCCCTTCCCCCACCCCTTCCCATGGGTCTGGTCCGCCGCTAATAGTATTTTCTTCTTCACAGTCCTATTGCTTTTCATCCTGCTAGCGTTATCTTCGAGACTGCGAGCTACTCCGAACTCCTATCAAAGCCTGCCGTCAAGACACTGGTCTTCGGCGTCATTGAAGAACTGCTCGAGTTGGCCGAAGCCCAAGGCTGCAAATTCGGTGCAGAGTACAAGCAGAAAGTAGTCGACGACATGGTGAAGCAGACAGGGACGGATAGCATCATGTGGCAAGACTATCAGGCTCGGCGGCCGATGGAAGTCGAAACCTACCTCGGTTCTCCTATAAAGCTGGCAAAGGAGGCCAACGTCAAGGTCCCCCGGATCGAAACTTTATATGCGATGCTACATCACATGAACGTGGTCAATCGAAACAGGCCGAAGGTGGACACTGTGGCAGCAGCTGGACCACCGCCTCCATCTGGCTCGCCCACATCTATGGCCTTCCCATCACCAATGCCCCGCATGTCGATGCAACCACCACCTCGCGGCATGCCACCCAACGGCATTCCCAATGGTAACGGTATGCCTGGCCGGCCACGGCCCCGAGGCTCTTCGCAGCTAGGACCTTCTCCTGGCATGCGTCGTCCTTCGTCGAATGCTGGGCCGCCTAACGGATATGGTCGACCGCCGATGAATGGGCCGAACGGGCATCCTCGCCAGCCATCCAGGCGCGGATCGATGGATGGCGCCGATTTGGAGGAATTCAGCCACCTTGTGGTTTATGACGATATCCCTGAAGGAGGCGAGGGGCACTCCGATCCAGCTGACTTGACAACCAGAGAACGCGAGCTGCAGTTACGGCAGCGTGAGCTCGCTTTAAGGGAACAAGAGATGAGGATGAGACGAGGCCCAGGCCCAGGCCCAGGCCCAATGGGACCGCCAATGGGACCGCCAATGGGGAGACGCGGACCTCCGCCAAGAATGATGAATGGCGGGCCTGGAGGGGTGTATGATGATGACGACGACGACGAAGGTGACTTTTTTGATCCCAACTCAGGCCCGCCGGTACCCATGATCGATCCCGACAACTTCGACATGATGAGCGTCACTTCCCGAAAGAACAGGCAACATGGGCATAAACCCTCAGCTGCTCAATTCCGCAAGAACCCAGAATTCGACACTCTACCTCCTTCCAGGGGAGGTCGCTTCCGACCGAACTTCGGCCGGAACCGCTCGAGTCAGATCGGCCCCCAGGGAGCCAGTCTGCGCGAAAACCTGCTAGAGGACCCTCTGATGGGTCTCACGTCCAACAGATACGGTGCCGTTGACCGAAGTGCGATGCAACAGGAATCGAGGGCGAATTCAATCACGTCTCAGCGTATGGACGATATGGGTTGGGGTCCTGGTGGAGGTGGGCCAATGGCAATGGGTGGACCGATGGCCATGGGTATGAACGGAGCATTTCCTCGACGAGCGAGTCAATCACCTGGATATGCACCGTCTATGAGAGGAGGCAATGGCAGGCCCTCACCGCCTAACGGACTCGGCGGTCCTGGCGTAAACGGCAGACCGTCCCCGCCGAATGGCGTCCGTCAGCCGACGCCGCAGTATCCTCCGGGCCAGGGCAATACTGTTGCACCGCAACAAGTCGAACAGCACGCTGGGGTGAGCAACCTGAACCCGCCCAACAAGGGCAAGAATGTGCCTAGTCTGACCGGGAGTGCGAGCGCCAGCGCGGGCAGTGGTGAATCCACCAACCTCGACACGCCATCTGCACATAGCAGCCAAAGTAGCCTCGGGGCCCGCCCTACAATTGCAGCACGCTAGGGGCGTCGCATTCCAGGATATGGTCTTCTGAGTCGAGCACAGGGGCAATTGCGATACCCGAGTATCTCAACGCTGCGGAAGTCGAGTAACAGATCGGTCTCTTCCGAGGAGGCCGTCTGAGAAGCCGCCACCAAAGCCCTCCCCTGTGCCCTCACCAAACTACAACCGCATGGGCGCTACGACGTGGGCGAGGAAGAGTGTCCCACTGCTTGGGGGCACGACCTGTTTCTTCTCTACAACAATCTGCTGCTACTTAGCCGCGTACCTATAATGAATGGTCTGAGGCGACGAACACATGCACACGAACAAATAGACTGGGGCGTTTGAGGCGAACTGGGAGGAGACAAGCCAGAGCTGTGCTCTCCATTCTTGGGGAGGACGGAGGGCTTGCAACACAAAAGACGACCGCACAAAGTCACCAACATAATTTTAGTGGACGAGATCCCAAGGATGAAGCCAGGGAAGGGATCGAATCCAAGAGTACATAGGGCATCTTGGCACGGCACGGCACGGCGGTGGAAGACAGCATATCACAACATACTTATTTTATTTCTGGTAATACAGCAATCAACACATGGGAATCCTTGTTCGACCTCTTCTTCGTCCGCGTTCCTTATCACCGCCCGTCTACCGTCTGCCGTCCGTCAGCCAGCCCAACTCATCGAGGACGCCATGGAATTCGAGATGGGAGAGGATGCTGACAAGAGCATATGGAGCATTGCATAGGGTTGGGCCCTGGGTGAAGGAGCTCAGTGGGTCAACAAATTTCTGTCAAACCAGAGAAGTGACGGGAAAGCATTGCAGGAAAGGGCGAGATATGATCTGCTTCTGTATAAACAACAATCGTGGGAGTCGTAACCACATTTCTCCATCACTCCTTCATTTTCCTTGTCCACCGTTTTCCTTGTCTATCTCATTCCCCTTCGGAAAAGTTTGCATTCATTCACCAAAGCAAGCGACATACTACCACATGTACAGGAGGTCTCATTATCTTTGTTGGTTTCATTTGTTAGGATTAGCTATTGGGATATCGATCTCTTCCGTGATGGCCAAGGGTACAGTAGGAAGGTGCATTGAAGGGGGGTTGGGTTGACTTGGTGGGTAGTGGTGGTCACGGGAACTGGGCCTCCCTTCCCTCATCTTCCCCCATTGGGGCGGATTCATGAAATAATAGACTCATGGGGCTTCGGTTTCCTCTCATTCCACGCTCACGGAGTTTTTTTCTTTGAGCATCAATGGGCCCGCTGTTGTTGTGCAGAAGTCTTGACGTGGTGGTCTATATTTAATGTCTATCAATGATAATCCATGGGGGGTGGGGGGATGTTGGGCGGGTGGTCTTGCAGGAGGATGATCATAGTCTGTTCAGGGTTTGGAGACAACAAGATACTGTCTGTCTTGCGCATCTCGTCTACTCCCAAAGTGCCCCCAGGCGTCACTCCAATGCAGTTTCGGTAACATGTCCCTCACTCGCCTGGGCTCATGGTCTTATCTCTACGGCTAAGTATAACTACCAAGACCTGCCTCGAGTCCGTGGGATTGGGCGAGACTTCTTGGTCCATCTTATATACTTGACCAACCCTTCAGCCAGCTCCTGTGACACGACATGCCCAGGCCCAGCACAACAGTCCAGCCAGCCTCGATCCCGGGTTGCGGGTGGACAGACAGGTTTAAAAACTCCACACTTGCGCGCACCTGGGCCGCCCTGTCCTCTCGTGTCTCTCGCCTCGAGTCACACGGCGCCGGAGATGCGTGGTGGACACTTGATGTGCTACGGTTGTGCTTCCCCCGCGTATACTTCTGCTTGCGTGTGGTCTATGTACGTGTAATAGGGGGGTATGGGGGCAAAATATGGGTGGGTACACCGCGCAGTACGCGCACGACACACGAGACATGCGTCGTGTCTGCCCGGAGTGGCACGACGGATCCCACCCGCGGTTGAAGGGCGCCGTTTCTATATTTGTCTTGGTGGGGCTTCGTCTCGAGCTGCCGCAGAGGTGGACGAGACCATTGAGTCTGGGATCGCCTCTGGTGAGGAAGCTGCGTGTCTTCTGCTGAAGCTCGCGGTCGTATCTGTCTCTAGACGGCCGCGGCAGCGTCGAGTGACCTGCGTTGCGGGCGGGACATGAAGCACTGGGTCGAGGCGTACCAAGTACGATCTTCTTTGTATCATCTAGGTACATAGCTTCCTAGGTACTATTTACCCCTGGGCGGGTAAAGTAGCAGGAGTGTCAACTTATTCATCCGAGCCATGTATTCATGCGAATCTGCGATGGTTTCGGATGACAAGACGTCCAAACATGTCCAGGTCGTTGTTTGACTAGGGAGAGGGGAGATGGCAGGCCCACAGCTGGCGGCAGATGGTAGCAGCTGGCTGTTGGCGGGGATACTGCACCTAGACCGTGCTGGGTGAGCAGCGCGTCACGTAAACATCGGCTTCACATACCGCAACGAGACTGAGACAAATGAAGCAGGCTTGATCGTTCATTCCCATTTTCCAATATACTGGAGCAGATTTTTACACTGAGAATTCTTCTCATCAGAAGTCACATCACTATGAACACAAACGCCCAAAGCGCACAGCGGCAATCGATGGCCACCTCGGGCAGCGCCCTCAAGCAGCGACAGCTGGTACGGTAGACACCGAGATTCGTGCTGAATGTTGAAGTGCATGCAAGTGACGCTAATATCTCCGGTACAGACTCAACTGCATTCACAGCTCGCGCAGCTTTCCAACAACCTCTCTGATACTGAGAACCTTCTGCGGATGACCAGTGTGCAGGCGGAGTGCATGCGAGGACTTGGTAGCTGGCATGGTGGACTGTAAGCCTTGCTACTCCTTATTCACTCCTTCTGATATACTTTTCTAACCAGCCCTTCAGCTTCATGGCGGCGAGCAAAGTTCTGGGCGAGGAGTCTGTGAAAGAGCAGGCCCAGCAACAGGGCGGGCAGAAGTGACGGGATCCTTCGTTGCATGGACCGTTTCCTCTCGATCACGGACGGCCTGTGCCGTGCGGCCCGGCGTGGCGCTCTCGAGGATCTGGCTTCTTCAGGGGTTATCACGCGACTTCTTGCTAGAAGATGACGCTCATCACGGGACTCAGGGCTGTACCGGTCATGTTCAGAACCTAGCGACGCCTTGGCTGGGCTCCGAGGTCAGGTCTTGATCACCGGCATCTGGACGAGAACGTCAAGCAGATGATTTCAAAGAGCCACCTGGGGCGCAATAGGTTGACGGTGTCTCAAGGATCTTTCTGTGGTTGGGGCAGCGGCTGTTGGGCAGTATCCCGCTGCGATGCTTCTTCTTTGGGCGTACGCAGGGGCCGCCGTTGTGGTCTTGGCGCGTTGACGGGGAAGCGCTTCGCGCGGTGGCAGGTGTGGCACTTGACAACCAAGACATCTGCCCACGGCTTCTTGCCGCCCTTGCTCGTGTTCTCGACGGTGGAGGTGCATGTCTGGCCCTCTACGAGCAGCGTGTCGCAGAATTTGCAAATGGTCCGCTTCATATCCGGGCTGACTCGGATTTGACACTTCAGGGAGACGGAGCGGAAATCGGTGAGCAGCCTGTGAGACATGTTCCGAGTTCTTACGGCGGTTCTCTCGTCCATTTGTGTGCTGGGGTTGTTGGCATTGTCGTCGTCGAGTTTCATAGGGACATCAGAATCCGAGACTTGAGTGGCAGCTGGATCGTTCACCTGGCTTGGTTTGGCTGGTGCTGCCAGTAGTGATGCTGCTTGGTACATGAAGGAGAGTCGGCAGTATGAGGGCTTGTTTGGAACCCCAGGAACTTTCTTTTTTGCCATGATGCCAGGGAGAGAATGCTATGATGCCGGTGTGATGAGGCGACGTGGTGCTGGCCTTGATCAGATCCAAAGGTGATTCACAAATACTGATAGTCGTCTTCTCGTCTGTATGTTCTGAAGTCTTGTAGGTGAATTGTTGAAGGATTGCGCAATGGTGATTTGTGAGCGTGTTGTTTTGTGAGATTTCCGAATTCATTCAATATTTCATTCACCTCTACCCAGGTTAGCTCTTCATTGATTCCTGCTCCAGCTGCTCCAGCACCAGTCACCATCTCTGCACGCAGCCTTACCAGGCACTACCAGGACCTGTCCCCATAAAAGCGGCCCGTGCGCCTGTGGTCCCGGATCTGCTTGTGGAAAAAGCGGGGTGGCTGCCTGAATTGGGCCTAGGCTGTAGGAAAGGCAACCACTGGGGCGGTGCAAAGCCAAAGGCAAAAGAGGTAAAGAGGCAAGAAGGTCCAACCAGCGGCACAGCTGCTTGCCCCCCTCCCCCCCCAGCTGCCCCCCAGCCCAGACCCAACCAGGCCCAGGACCTGCTCACACCTGCCCAGGACAGGACCACCTCCCGCGCCGCTGCCCCTGCCCTTCCCCTGCTCTGACCAAGCTGCTGTCAACTTCACTCTTCTGCTGGCCTGAGCATTCCCAAGCTTTCTTTCCAACTGCTTCCGTCTTTTTTCCCCTCTGACGGCCAGCCCAGCTCAACCTTCTTTCTTCCTCCTCTCCACAACCATCACATCCAGACCTCAGAGTTCCTTGCTCTTTGTCTGCGACCTGCGCATCGACAAAGGCTTTTCTTCTCTTCTTCCGTCCACCGCGTTTCTGCATTCCTTCTACTCTGTTTACCCGCCTGCGTGACCAGCCTCGCCGTGCGCGTTTCTGAAACTTGCATACCACAACCACTCACCTCATCAACAATCACAATGTCTGCCGAGGAGGATCTCATCGACTACTCGGACGAGGAGCTCGAGACCCAGAAGACCACCGCTCCCGCCAACGGCAAGAAGACCGAGGCTGCGGCTGGCGACAATGTCGACAAGAAGGGTTCCTACGTTGGCATCCACTCCACCGGTTTCCGCGACTTCCTCTTGAAGCCTGAGCTGATTCGCGCCATCTCCGACTGCGGCTTCGAGCATCCTTCGGAGGGTCAGTCTTGAAAACTCTTAATCCATCCCAGCCTATCGTTACCCAAACCAAACTCCTTCTTGCATACCAAACGGTCCGTCCATCTCGCACGCAAAAGCAAAAGCAAAGAAACATCTCGTCAGAGTCACTCTCGCCCATCTTGGGGGAGCGCATGTCGGTATCGTCTTGGTCAGAGAGGGACAGCGGACCTCCACCTACCTGGGACAAAATACGTCATGTTCTGACTTTTTATACTGGAGTGACGAGGAAGGCCACTTGGGTCGGCGGATGACCATCGAGATTGCCTGCTCGGGACCGCCTGGTGCCATCTAAAGCACAATCTACTGGTTCCATCAAAATGCTCCATGCGAGCGACTGCCATTTCACAATGGTTGCTGTTGGGGGCGTGGTGTTGATAGCTCGTCGTCGAATCACCAGCGTCTAGGACAGCCCGTCTCGCGAGACGGGCTGGACGGCGCCCGTGCTGTCGATCTTGCGGCTGCCGAGTGGGGGCGTACTATTCTGTCAGCTGATATTCTGCGACTGGTTGACAACGATGTTTTGCGACGACGAGAACTTTTGCTGCGACGATGGACGGACCTCTTCGACTCCCTCTCCGCCCTCCGTGCAATCCTTGCGAGACCTATTTCTGACATCCGATCGCCCGTACAGTTCAGCAGACATGTATCCCCCAGGCGCTCCTTGGAGGTGACATTATCTGCCAGGCCAAGTCTGGTCTCGGTAAGACTGCGGTCTTCGTCCTCACAACCCTTCAGCAAGTCGAGCCCGTCGCCGGCGAGTGCTCGGTTCTGGTCATGTGCCACACTCGTGAGCTGGCGTTCCAGATTCGCAACGAGTACAACCGGTTCACTAAGTACATGCCCGGCATCAAGACCGGCGTCTTCTACGGTGGCACTCCCATCCAGAAGGACGCCGAGATCCTCAAGAACAAGGACACTCACCCCCACGTCATCGTTGGAACGCCCGGTCGTCTGAATGCCCTTGTTCGGGACAAGTACCTGCGCTTGGGCAGTGTCCGCATCTTCGTGCTCGACGAGTGCGACAAGATGCTGGACCAAGTTGGTAAGGATCTTCCTCCTCGTTTAGGCGTCTTGCACGCAAGCGCTGACCAAGATCAGACATGCGCCGCGATGTCCAAGAGATCTTCCGGGCTACGCCTCAGCAGAAGCAGGTCATGATGTTTAGCGCCACTCTGTCCGACGAAGTCAAGCCCATCTGCCGCAAGTTCATGCAGAACCCTACCGAACACTATGTCGACGAAGATACCAAGTTGACCCTGCACGGTCTTCAGCAGTACTTTGTGCCTCTCGATGAGCGTGAGAAGAACCGCAAGCTCAACGAGCTGCTCGACGACCTCCAGTTCAACCAAGTCATCATCTTCGTCAAGAGCACCGTTCGTGCCACGGAGCTCGACAAGCTGCTGCGCGAGTGCAACTTCCCCTCCATCGCGGTTCACTCCGGCGTTAGTCAAGAGGAGCGGTAAGCAAAACCACGCGTCTTCATTGATTAGGATCGAGACTGACAGTCCCTCAAGTATTCGTCGGTACAAGGAGTTCAAGGAGTTCAACAAGCGAATCTGTGTCGCAACCGACGTCTTCGGTCGTGGTATCGACATCGAGCGCATCAACTTGGCCATCAACTACGACATGCCCACGGACGCTGACTCCTACCTGCACCGTGTCGGTCGTGCTGGTCGTTTCGGTACCAAGGGTCTCGCCATCTCATTCGTCAGCGGCGAGACAGACAAGGAGGTGCTCAAGGACGTTGGCAAGCGCTTTGAGGTCGCTATTCCGTACGTTCCACACTTCCTTCTCCATTCTACGCACCAACTAACAAATAACAGTGAATTCCCTAAGGAGGGTATTGAGGCCAGCACTTACATGGCGTCTTAAGCGCATCAGCGCGTGGTGCAGCTACCATGTGTGATGCAATTTGTTATGGGATTGGTGAACCTTTTGATTTTCTCGAATCGAAGTCGCAAAACAAAAAAACGCAAGGTCTGGGCATTATTCGAAATCATCGTGTAGGATCATTTGCGGCATACGGAGACGAACTTTCCTCTGGCTTGCAGGATCGTGACTGGCGAGGAGGAAAAGTTCATTCAAATGCTTCAGACGAGCCAATCTGAGAGTCTATCAATAAAAGGATGGTTTCTGCCCAATTCCATTCTGTCCACTTTAGTCGTAGCTCTGCCTGTCCTGCTATACACCTGATGCTGTGACATGACCTCTAGAACAACATTGTCCGCTCCCGCCCATCCGCACAATATTGAGGATGTGTCTCAAATCAGCTACCAGCCACAGTAATTGTCGCAAAAGAATCCTTCGCAAGTGTCGTTTGACTTCCCTCAGGTGATTTTTTCATTGTCCTCATCTTCAATTCATAGCTGTACATCGGCTACAGGCGCAAAGAATATATACACATAGCCTTTCTCGATGACTTCGTGACTCTCCCTTGCCCTTCTCAACCCAAGTAGGCAGTATCGGATCTCTTTGCAGTGAGATCAGCTGCACTGAAACCATATTGTATGCGGGAAAGTTTATGCAAGATTGGCGAAGCAGTGTACGTAGCTCAAGTTATAGAAGCCCTGTGTGGAGGACATAAAAAGATCCACACCAGGCCGTTTCGATAGCAGGTTAAACCCAACATCATAAAGTTGGGACAGAGCTGGAGTTCACTCATGAACATAAACATCATCTTCATCCTATCCTAGTGGATGCTCAAATGGGTGACGTCCTGCGTGTTCTTCTTGTCCCCCACAGATGGTTTCTGCGTTGAGAGACCAATGGAGAATATTCACCGTCTTGCAGGTGTGGGTGAACATTTATTCAGCGATTCCACTGATTCAGAGCTTGGAGTTGTGTGGGAATTTTCTACGTTGCCAGGCTCATGGGAGACCAAGCAAGGGAGCCAAACGGATGAAGACATTGAGCAACAGTACATAAGTTGAGTGTAATAGATTAGGATGAGCCCGAGCAGATTCATTGCGTGGGCTTCTGACAAGCAAATGGCCTCTGTTGTACATGCGTCCGCTGGTATGGCCAGCTGCTCTCTTTCGTGGATTTTTTATGGGCACCTCGTCGTCGTGATTTTACGACTTGTCTTCATGGTGATTCTCTTATCTTATAAATGGAGATTTCTCCTAGAAATTTCAGAAAAATAGTCTATATGACTCAAAGCTGCACTGCACCCAGTAGGTTGGAGATTCTATGCCTCATTGTGCATCAAAGTTAAAATCTTCAGACTAATTAACACTGTTGAGAGCCGGCGTCGCCGGAAAGGAGCGATATGGGATTTTCCGCCGATGTGGACAAAGGCATACCAAGTATACCTTCCGAAATGTCAACTGAAGGTTGCAGCAGAGAAAACTCCATGAACCTATATGAGTACAAGAAGATCCATGACACTAAATTGGCGGAGTGCTGCGATATAACACGTTAAGTATCGTCTGCGAGGAGTTTTCCAAGGCTGCAGGCTAACAACGTTATAAGGTTCTGGAAGCTTTTTGAGTGAAAGCGCAGAGAAAACACTTTCGAACTCCTTGTGGACGTGTGATGCAACGTCACAATTCTAGGCACGGTCTGTCTCATCATATGATCAAGTATCAGCTCTGACAAACCAGTTGTCATCGACTCAAGAACTCACGTCACAATAGGACTTCCGTTCTCGGACAGGCGAGCTGAAAGAGGAAGCGAGAAAACGCCGCTAAGAGTTCGAAATTTGACCAAGGATTTGGTTTGAAGTGTTTCATAACGGACTCTACCGCACGTGGTTACTCGACTACGGAACGGAGTATTAGGGCTTGATCAGGGCCGGGCTCCCCATTCGACAAAAGACCAGACATGCTTGAAGATGTCGCATGGGCCGTTGCGAAAGGAGCCATGAAAGAAAATGCCGAATGAGGAAAAAAATTGCAATGTTTCGAGAACAAGCACACATATCCGATGTGCAACACGGCGGAACTGCAGGTCGCAGGAGAGAACAAGAAGATGACAACAGACGCCGACGTCAAAGAAATCGGAGTATTACGAGACCATGCCATTGAACCCGCGAGTGTCAATTGAGTTGCAAGTGCATAGAGGAAATGCAAATGAAAATCTTGTACACAGATAGATACACTGGGCAACTGACAAACCTATCAGGGTTGAGGCGGTTTTGTGCCAATATGGGAAACCTAAAAAATTGTGCTGTTCAGTTCGGATCTCTGGACGGCACGTATCTCTCACACTGTCTAAGGCCTAGCAATTCTGGGACGGAAATTGCAAGACTATCGCAAACTCCGGCGTGTGGCTTCTCGATGTCTCGCGACCTTTGTGTATCGCATCTGCACGGCGACGCTGAAGCGTTTGCTTTCAGATTGCGGTACTGACATCGGAAAGATTGAATGACTGAATTCTAATTACGACCAAGCATTTTAAAGTTCCTGTACGCTTGCTTGGTGTTTAAAATAGCCAAGAAGCGCAAAGTAGCTGGAGACTCAATTGCAGATCTCCATGAACACTTCCAATGAGAACAGACATAGTGCCGTTTCCTCGATGAAATCATTAGGCTAGTGGATCCAAAAATTCCTGTAATCGGTATTGACAACGAGGAATAGGAGCATATCTCGCTGAGTTTGTAGTCTCGAGTCTCTTCGTTTCGACGCAATGACGACAATCAGAAATGGATAATTATGCTTGACAGACGTACTGATATTTACTTCGGGGACTTAGAGGTGGAAAATAGAAAGAATATATTGCTGAGGTTGTGGAATCATGCTAAAATAAAACAGGGTCCCTGTGCTCTCAACACAAGAAGGTATATCTTCCGTAGCGTATCAGGAATTGCGGGTCATCTAGTTATCCCCATCAAGCCAACGTACACACACACACCACACTGAGTCAAAGAACTCCTAATACTGCTGCTTAAAGTCGAAGCATAGATTGAAGAGAACCGGTGAGTGTGGAGTGAGAAGCGTGTCGGCTGACTCTGAGTCGAAGGCAACTATGTGACGGATATGAAAACCTGTGTCGTAGCTGGCCGTCACATTGTGAATCGACAGTCGTTTGGGAGTCACTGGCAGCGTTGCTACTGCCCATACTATGAATGGTCACATTTTCCACACTTATTGACACTTTTCAAGCTGAAAGTAAGAGATTTTCTTGAAGCTACCATCCGACACTCAACAGTTTACAGAAAGTAAGGCATTCAACGAAACACTACAAGCAATATGAAGCTAACGAACATCTTCTCAACCTTTCTCATCGCCATGGGCGCAGTAGCGCAGCAGAACCACTCAAGCCCACCAGACAACGGCATGAACACAACCAACGGCGAAGCAGAAGACCAGGGCAAAGACCTGGCAACAATGAACCGCTGGGTGGAATGGTTCCCCCTAGACGACGATCAAGAGACCTGTGCCGACGCTCAGGCCAAGGAGGTCGGAGACATGGTCATCTTCAAGGCGGACTGCCAGAGAGTCGTCGACTACATGAACAGCAGGAGCGGGTACTGGACAGTCTCGGGCTATGGTGGAGGGGATATCTACGCCCCGCTCGTCAACCGGGGGACATGTTCTTTTTCCGTGGCCCGTGTGGACGGGCAGAATTTGTATTTTGAGTAAGCCTCACGATCGACCCTTTAATAATTCTCTCCCCCAAAGTACGACTTTGATATAAATGCCATGAGCTAACTGCTGTTGACGCCAGGTTCGGTAATTTAGACGTGGTGTACTTTGTCCAGCAGGCCATGAGGACGAGCGCCAACGCCAATCACATGGCAACGGTCATCGGAAGTGTACAATGCGATGGCGAGAACTCGCCTCTGGTCGAATGGAAGGTAGGTCTGCCACCCTCAGGGGGCGTGCTGTCGGCGCGCACCAGCGCTGTGGGCTGGATAATGGTAGGTTTATCGGCGGTTTTCCTTTCGCAATAGCATTGATCACTCGCTGCCTTGGAAACGAGACATGATTCGTCCCACTGTCAGACACCGTGAAATAATGATCGAAGAGTCTCCCTTCTCGTGTGGGCAAAAGTAGCCGCAACCTAGAATAACGATAGATGCAAATAATCGATTGAATCTCGGTGTGTTTCCAAGCTATCTAAAGTGCCATTTGCCACGTGAAGTTGTCCCTTGCCCTTGCAGGTCCCTTGCAGTGATCTACTTAACAGGCAGCTCAGTAGCTATGGGCACATGACACTGTCGCATTCGCAGTTAATGCGTGCAATCTAATTCTAAAGAAACTAAATTCCTGCTGAATATGAATTCGAGTGTTGCCTACACTAGTAGACACAACCATCGTATATCGGTATTACTCTTGGCCAGCCCGGTTCAGCTGAGCTGGAACCGAGCTAGCCAACCACCCTGCCTGGACTGGGGAAGCGGCCGAAGCTCCCGGATGGCGAAACCTATCGCCGCGTGACAATGACAAATGGGCGTGCCAGGGTTGGACGAAGTGGAAACTTGAGGATTAGGAGCCGTTGATCCCACGATCGTAAGGCATAGCTGCCTCGGCGGAAAGCATTGACGGCGTGAGTGAAATGAGTACAGACGATTGCTTCCAAGGTAAGGGACGCCAAGCCCTCGCCCCCCTGGGCATCACCGCCGTCAGGCAGGGGAATGGAGTCACTTGACTCCTCCGGAGGGCCTCCGGAGGACTCACTCGTTGGCCTTCGTGGGCTTGTGGAATCCAGGACCCATGCGATAGCGAGCCGCCGTAAGTGACAGACTCGCCGTGGTGGTCGCCAGCGATACGCGAACACGATATCGGACGTTGAAACGGGCACGAGGTGACTCAGCGGGACGGGGACAAGGTTTTTTTGGAACCCCTGCTCTGTTTGCCACCTGGCTCAGCCGGACCAGCTGGCAAACCGAACAATCAAGTGCTGCAACAGCGCCTGAGCTCACCGCTTTTGCCCGACGGGGCTGGGCAAGGCGACGTTGTTTGGGGGCTAGGTGACCATTCGTTGTTGCTTGTTGTTTGGCGAGGAAGAGAACAAGCAACAATGTGGATCATTTCCCGACTCTATTACTCCATCACAGCTTGCCTGGCGAGGCTGTCATTTGTGTACGAAGCCGGTTGCGATGGGGCGTTTCGTTTCGTTGTGAAAGCCCCCTTTCATCCGGTGCGTGCTTCGCCACTTGCCTCAGACGGGTGAGGCCTCGGCATCTTCGTCATGGATCGCCAAGAACTACAGTAAGTCGGTTTGTGTGAAGGGAGAATCCGAGGCCATCGTCATGTCGATTCCTGCCTGGAATGGAACCGCCGTCATCATCAATGAACCCGAGAGTTGCCGGCAACGCCACTGTAACGAACGAAAAGGTGAGACGGTCAGTAGCTTGGACCTCGAGACCGAGCGAAGGCTTGGCGTTGTGTTCCATCTGGGCGAAGGCGAACAAGAGTGGCCCCGATCTTGCACCGGATCAAGAAAACCTCGGCCCCCGCGAGAGGGAGGTGATGATGAGCGCCGCCCTAGTGTCGATTGACAGGGTTTACTCATCTCTTACGAAATACCGCAGGCGAGGCCTCATTGGGCGGCGGCACACCACCAACTTCCATCGGCCAGCCAGCCATCTGGCAAGTCTTTGCCGAAACGAGAGCGAAATCTTGGGGGCTCGGAAATTCATCACGAATATGGAAAGAAATTGCCGCGGCCGCCTCAAGAGGCTGGGAGTTGATCCGAAAACCTCGTGTCAAGAAATATCAAGATTGCACGTCACCCAAACCAGCGAATCTGCCACAAGGCTCGCCCCAGCCGATATCGTCCATGGTCATGGGCGAGCGTCCGACGAGTGAGTGAGTCAGCCTTGAGCTGGGGGCGCGTTTATCGTAGATTTCATCTCACGAGGACGTCTTCGTGGTCCAACCGCGCGGCAAACATGCGACGTCGCTGGTCTGCTGCCTGTGCCGCTTTCGGTCACGGAAACGCTCAGATTTTCGTTCGCCCCGTCATAGCATGTTTGCAAACCTCGCGTGAGGACACGATGTCCAAGCCAATGTGTCTAGGCCGAACCTATTCGCTAGATCCCGTGAGCTAGACTGGACGACTAAGGCCTCTAAGCCTTTGTCAAAATGTCTCAGTCGCTCACGCCGTAAATTTTTTACAGCGAGCGCTGTGACGGGGCTCGCGATTTGACTCCGAGATCGCTTGATACAAGGCCTTATTCTACGTTTCTGTGAAAGAGCCTGGCCCAGCATGACCCAAAGTATGCCTCGTCTATAGTAAGGCTGGGAGAGGTTGAGTCATCGGGCATTCCTTTTTGAGGTAGAGTCACATAGCTATAGCGCAAGCGGCTGTAATAGCATGACGTGCTAAGGATGCGCCCGTGAAATTCTGGTGACAGGTGGATTGGTTTGTTTCGAGTTGGGTAGACGATAGACCGTTTTCTCGAACTTTTCCTTGCTTCGACCACATGGCCGGCACATGGGCGATGAGCTGTCTCCTTTGTCGATCACATCCACTCAGAGCTGGGCTATGATTGAACCGCCAACGTACATGGCAAATAAGAGGGACTTTGCGTGATTGATGAGTAGTCCATGCTGCTAGCACACCCAGATTGTCCTCACTCAGGTTGAGATCTGTCCACGTTGATGGATGGATGGATTCGGTGCCTTGCAACCTGTTCGATAAGAAGAACGAATGGTGGGCCCACAGCTGCACCATGAGCAAGTGTGCGAGCGAAGCCTCCTACGCGCAACACTCTTTCGCAAGGAACACCGACCGAGTTGGCTATTCAGGTATGCAACCATGGCGGAGCGGGGAAAGGCCTGGGGCCGTGTTGATTGGGGGACGTGTAACAGGGGCGGCATCTCCAGGTTTCGTCGTGCAGACCGGTAAGTCGGGGGCATGCTCGGGTTTCCCCTACTGCAGCAGGATGAAAGCTTGCGAGTACTTCCGAAGCAGTGACGTTGACGCCATGTGGATGCTGAGCAAAAGGAGCCGGGGGTTAAAGAGATCAGGTGAAGCATCGTGAATATTCTCGAAGGCGGTGGGGGAGGGGCTTGGGGCCGCTCCGCTCCTCTCCTCCCGCGCAGTGTCAGCTCAAAGGGTGACGAACATCAGCAGGCTGAGTAGCGACGGGCTTGGACAAGGCCCCGTGTGGGGTGACCGAGCATGTATTACTATGCCTACCGTGCATCCGAGTGGACCCATCAGTGGGGTGTTGTCTCTGTGTGGGGTTCCAAACTTTCAGTGGGAAGACAGCAGTGCAGAAAGCGGCCTAGTCGCCCGCCGTAGCAGGCGTGATGCCGATGGTAGTCACTAATTGGGAGACCGCCTGTGCCACATTGCTGGCTTAAAGATAGGCCATGGACAAAAGTCTCATCGATCACAAGGCGTAGTTGGTTGTCTGATGTCTGCTCAAAAGGCAACGCCAATATGACATCGGTGTTGTGTGACCAGTGAGACAGCGGGCGAGAGGAAGCCGGGTGTGTTCGAGATCCCAACATGAGAATGAGATTGGGCTGTTCCTCAGTGGCGTGGTAGTTGCATTTACCTCATCCCAACAAGCAAAGCTGGCGAGCGTGAGAGTCGAGACATGGGAGAGTAGAGTCTCGGGAAACTGAGCCAAATACCGAGAGTGCCGTGCCGTTAAAATCTGGTGCCGTCTCAGGAGGGATGTGTGTAACTGATGCAGCTGCGGAGCGACCGGACACTGGACACTGAACAGCAGGTCGCCTCACGTCGTTACCGTTGGCTCTCTGAAGCCAAGGTGGGGCGGACGCAATGCCCGTCGGAATCGCTGCTTCGTGATCGTCCTCGGGTGTATCAAAATAAAGGCGAATCTGGATCTGGAGCCATGCATAGGGTGATGTGACGGGGCTGGTGAGAGAACTGCTGATTGCCGTTCCATCAGCCTGCTTGCCAGCTTGCTTGGTCCTGGCAGGTAAATGCTGGCGATGGGGAGGATTCCTGGAAAGCAGGCAGCTCACCGGCTGGGCGGTCGCCCGTGGCTGGCCAAGGAACTGATGGTCTCCAGAGTAGGACGCAAGAGACAACGACATGTAACATTGTCACACCGTGTCACTATGGTTTGGAGGTCAACACAGAACAACTGGGGCCGTTCTCTATGGCTAGCATCTCTCTGGGGCCTGGTGCAGTGCAATCTGGCATTTAGTGTGGGTTGAATCATTTCCTAGAGGCTCGTTAGTCGACGATGCGCAATCCGGCGACCCGTCCTCCGACAGTTGTTGCATCCACTATGTGATGAGCCAAGGCTGTGCCTCTCTGATGAAACTGCAGGATCTTTGCTGCCAAATTTGGGCACGGGGTAGTTGACAGTGGCTTACGACGATGGATGGGAATTGCGAGGCAGCAGCAGCAGCAGGGAGGAATAAGGAGGGTAGTCCCATGTTAGGCGGATTGCCCCGTCCGCAGCCTCGGGTGCTAACGGGGCACCGCAGCTCGGGGCACGGGTACGCCTGGCACGGCTGCAGCCAAAACTTATTATTAGGGGCCGGCTGGGCTTAGGCGAGGGGCGAGGGGGGCTTAGGCCTGGCCTGGCTTGGCCTGATGATGAAGACGATGATGATAGTGATTGATGATGACCGAGGCGATGAGAGAGAAGCGCCCAGCCGCGCCGCAACTCGGCCGAGGGCTGACTCAAGGAAGTGCAGACGAACGAGGCCGTGTTTTCCAAAGATTGGTTTTGGCATGTCTAGCATGTTGTGTTGGTTGTGCATGTTCAGGAGCAGCAGCAGCAGCAGCAACCAGCAAGCAGCAAGCAGCAACGTGAGGTCATCGCAATTTCGCAAATCCCGTATTGAAGCATCGTATTGCGCGTCTGTTATTATTGGTGTACATGACACATACAAGCAGTTTATTATGAAAGTAAATGTAGGTTTGCGGGACAAGTTGGTAAGCTTTTTACTTGGATGCAGTCCCACATGCCTACATTTTGTCTTGACTTCTGACTGACCGAGTGACTGAGCGGGCGAGTGGGTGAGTGAGTGAGTGAGTGGTGAGGTGCTTTGCTGATAGTAGCGATAACTGTGATACCAATACCGACAGGGAGATTGATTGATTGAATGAGCGTGAGAGGCAGAGAGGCAGACGGCAGAGTGTGCCAGTGGTGCCAAGGGTCTCGGGGGAACAACTCGGGTTCTCTGGGGACAGCATCCATGTCCCCTCTCAACGGCCCCCTTCCCCTTCATCTCATTCTTGTCACCGATGATGACTCTTGCGACCCTGGAAATTTCACGATCTGGGTGTCTGGCTCTTGTCATTCGCATGCTCACTTCTTATCCTCGTGTCCTATCCCGGCTTTTGTGGCCCCTTGCCATAGTCGAGTGCACGCAGGATGTGAGCTGATTGATGTCCATGAGCGGTTTGATAAATGATCGGGCACATGGTTGTGTGATGTGTGCTGTGTGCATGTGGGTGAGAGTGAGCTGGCAACAACCAGCCCAAAAGGCCTGTTGCATGGTGGCCAGACCTACCTGCCTCTCACTGCACCGTTCTGATTCTTGGAGGGCAAGCATTCTGTGGCAGTAAGAGTCATCTCTTGGTCAACCTTGTCGTCGATGAGATGCGCCTGCACCTTGCAGAGACATGGAGCTAGGCAGAAACGGGGCTGGTCGGTTGCTGCAGGTGCGAGGAAGTTGCAGTACTGTAAGAAGTCAGTGGCAGGGGGGCTGGCACCTCTGAGGCATCTGAGAGGATGGCAATGGATGGTGAGAGGTGGCCACTCCACTCCCACCTCTGCTGCAGCCAATCGCCTACCTGCTGATTGCCCGCGCTAGTCTGATTATGGGCCGCCAATACGTCCATTCGCTCCTACTGATGGGCAACGAAGGCCCCTTCGACCATTCCCTGCCCAGAGATACCTGTGCTGCACTACAAATCTTGCGTGTGCAACGGGTACCTCGGCGTGGTTTGGGGGACGGCCAGGTGTGGACGGCAATCTTCAAAACTGCTTCAGTGCCCGCATCACCGCAATTCCTGCGCTCCCCTTTCCCTTCCTTCCCCCCCCATAGAGCAGTCAAGATGCTCGATTCTACCGTTTGAGAGGTGCAAAGCGACTCATCGTAGTCTGCTTGAGCATCTGGTTGACAGGTCGACACAACTCTCCTCTCCTCATTATCCATGGTTTCAGTCTAATCTTTTGCGCACTGCACTGCCGTTCGCCTCATTGTTGCCAAAATCAGAATCTCCTCTCATCCGTCTCCTCGTTATACCCTCTTGCTTTACCGCTGCTGTTTGTCCCTACCGCCCCCGGTCAGTTTGGGTCTATTCTCCGTCTCCTTGTGCGGCATTCATTTGCACCTGCGAGGAACAAAGGACGAAGTCAGGCCGTCTGTCTACCGACCTTAATACCTTTTACATCCGTGTGATCGACTCACTCACTCTTCGTCGCCTCCCTTCCCTTTTTTTGTCCTCTCTGCCGGGGCTTGAAAACCGAACCAACGACGTCTTCTTTTCTTGGGTGCTGGCCGGTGTTAGTCAGTCTTGAGTTGTCAAGGATCACCAAGGATCTCCTGTTTCGGACTCGCCTTTGGAGTCAGTCACAGCCCAAAGCCGTACGCACGCGCTGCGCACTCGCCACACGAACCCAGCAACCCAAGCTAGGCCCAAGACCTCCCAGAGACCCATTCTCAGGCTACCGTCTTCGCCCCCAGCCCGTCACACTACAGTTCATTCTAGCCAGGTAGGTTTCCTCCGTCCTCCCGTTGGTTCCCCCCCCTCCCGCCTCCCACAGAGCAGGCCGCAAGCCCAGCCCAGCCCAGCCCAGCCCATCCCTCGGACAGCCCACCATTCCCCCCCTCCCCTGCCGCCTACCAAGGCCTAAGCCTGCCTCTCTCCCCCATGGCGGCAAAGGCCGGTTGCATATCCACTCACGTTGTCTTCGCCACTCTCCCTCCTATCACACGTCCGGAAGAGTCATCGAGAGACACGTAAAACGGGACTCCCACCTGCCACCACCATCGCCGTGGCCATGGATACCTAAACCTCATTAATGCCGGAGTGACCAAACCACCCACTGCCTGGCAAGAGACCACTTTCATCATCCTCACTCATCCTATATCCCACCTGTCACACTCATACTCATCCTCATCACACGCCCTCAGCCTGGCCTACCACTGCCTAGAGCTGAGTCTTCCTCCTCGCCGGCCTTGCTAGGCTCCGGTCCTCGCTTTCACTCTTTGTGCCTTTGCCTCTTGGAACAACAAGCAGTTACTCATGATTCAATAATAGTGGCGTCTGATGCCATCCTTTTAAAACCAGCCTCTTCCTCTTTTCTCGACGGCATGACATCGCCAGCAAACGGCGACTGCATCAGAAATACCGATACCTTGCGGACCTCTACGTACCCTCTCGTCGTCTAGTGAGACTCGACATCCAACGGAATACCTTTGGAACACAGCCTCGCGAAACCACACCCACGACTCCAACCAATCCGATAACACCAAAACTAGTAATATTTATGTGGCATATGATGGCTTCCGCTTAAGGCCCATTTCTTGGTTAGATACTGCGACTGGACATCCAGAGGCTCTGATCGCGCTCGAAATAGCTCGACAACGCTCCTGACCACCTCCTCGACGCAAAACTAAATCAAGATGAAGCCCGCAGACGTCGACTCACCGGTCTTCGTCACAGCCTACCGAAATGTGTTATATACTTCCTCACTAGCCTCCTCCGCAACGGCCTCCTCGGTCTCGGTATGTTCTGATGCATCGTCTCAACTTTCCGCCGACTACTCCACAACTTCCTCCCTTACCGACTACTCCGACTACCTACCTCAGTCCCGACCATCTCTCTCCCAGCAGAGCTCCTGCGCATCTCTGAGGTCCAGCAGCATCCTTCCTCAGGGTCTTCGCCAAAATCCTAGGCGGACTTCAAGTAGTGCGACATCTCGAAACGGCTGCCCTCCCCCGTTGGTCAGACAGGTCGAGCGGAAGCACAACTTCGTCGACAATCTTGTCGGTAAGTTGTGAAGAGCCGTCATGCGCGCCCCACAGATTCGAGTTCTAACAGACTTCACTCTAGATTCTTCCACTCAAATCGTCGAGGCCATCTGGCCCACGTCTTCTGTGGTATGCCGCGAAGAGGCTAGCAACTCAAGCGTTCTGCCTCTGCGGACCTTCATCCAAGAGACTCTGCGCCGTTCTCGGACAAGTTACTCGACCCTGCAGGTCGCACTTTATTATTTAGTTTTGATCAAGGATCACCTTCCTGATCGCGACTTTACTATGGAGCAGGCTGACGACTGCCATGCCAGTCGCGCTCTTCAATGCGGTCGCCGGATGTTCCTCGCAGCTCTGATCCTAGCTTCGAAATATCTGCAAGACAGGAATTACTCGGCCCGCGCCTGGAGCAAGATATCAGGCCTCGCGACACACGAAATCAACCAGAATGAGATGGCATTCCTCCTCGCGGTCAACTGGAACTTGCACGTCACCGAGGAAGTTTACAACCGCTGGACCGACTGCGTCATGAAGTTTACGCCATCCCAGCCCCCATCGCCAGGATCTGGTGTTGCCCTCGTCGAATTCGAGCACCAATGCGAGGACTTCAAGAGGATCATACTCCAGTTGAACTCAGATCTAGACAATCTGGAAGATATTGTGTCGATGGGTGGATTTACTCCCGCGCCTTCCATGAGCCCGAGGTCATTGTCGCCGCGATCAGTCCTGGCTGCAGCCCAGGATAAATATGATTGTATCTCCAGCAATGCTACGCCGACCCCGAGAGCTTACAGCACTCCTCACACGATGGAACCTGCTCCGTCACCGGCGCATACCGTTGTTCGATTGCCGCCGACGTTTGGACTGCTTCCTACGCCACGCCTTACCCCCCAGCCCAGTGCTGCTCGCGAGCCGTCCCCTGGATTGGCTAGCCTGTCGCACTGTTTTGGCAGGAGCTCTTCGATGAGCTTGGCAATGGGCGCAGCTGGCAATGTTCAGATGGACAGGTGGCCAACTACGTCGTCACCGCAGAATTACTACACGGCAACACGTCGATCTTCGCTTGCCAACTCGGTCTCAACACCGTCTTCACCCGAGTCCATGATATCGGACACGTCTCGAACGTCTCGCTCTTCCTCAATCTCATCGGCTTCATCGCTGACTAGCGCGCCGCACACCAAGTTGGATGTGCTGGCGCGCTGCCGTTCCGCGAAGCTGTGCAGTGAGAGGTACGCGCTGAGGCCAACTATCGCGTCGGTCCCTGAAGACTATGAAGAGAACTTGACTTCCTCCCCCGAGTCATACACCGGACCGGTGAGCGACTTGAAAGGCATGTCGCTCGAGACACTCACAACCAAGAAAGAATGCGAGATCGATGATGCCACCAACGACGCAGCTCGAGCTCTCCAGGAACTGCATGACAACTGGCGCCGCTCGCATGCTACGCAGCAGCTGGCAACATCGGCTCCCAAGGTCGGTTCTAAGCGAAGCCGTCCAATCTCAGTTGATCACGGCCTTCAGGAGAATGTCCGTGGGATGTTGCGTGAGCAGTACACCTCTGTAGGCTCCGATGATAGCTACCAGGTGCCCCTCCCAACATCCTCGCACGATGGCAGAAAGCGAATTTGTTGCTCAGCAGAGGCTGCTCAGTACAGCATTCCGTCTATGCATCCTGCGATGGGAGGATTGGGAGGTCCCGGAATGTGGGCCGGCATTTTGAATTAAGCGATGGCTTGTCGTGCAATGGCACATTTAGGCAAGTCCATCATCATTATCACTATCACTATCATTTATACTTTCCCTTTCTCTTTTTAAAATAATCTGGAACATCAAATGTCTTCTGTCAGGGGGTGGGAAGAGGTCTTGATACCACTGCGCTGTGGCATGTCCAAACCGATAGATGGCTTGGACGATAGCCCAGGGCTCGGGGCTGAAAAGCGCGCTATTGCGTTTTGCATGCATTGGGAAGGTGTCATTTTGGGCTCAAATAGGTTTCTGCATGGGATGGAATTCGGCGGCTGAACTGTGTACGATGAAGTGTGAAATAACTTTTGCTTTTCCTGTTCGAACAACCATCTGGCGGAGTTGATGGCTTATGATGAGGAGAGCAAGCGTCTTCTACGAGGCGTTCGAACGAAGTATGCCTTGCATACTTCGTGGCAGCAAACAAGAGACAACCGGATTGGCGAGAAAGCGCGGTAGGCGCCAAAGCTGCGAAAGCAGAGCAGGCAGCCAGCTTCGTTAACGACCCCGGGACATCTCGAGTTTTCTGCCGACACGAAAGACCTGCACTGGACAAGATGAGGGCTGGTCCATAACTTCTCGATTTCCTTCAATACGGGGCCATCTCGAGGAGCGGACCGGAATACTCCCTTGGCAGCAACAGCAGCAAAAGAGCTCTCGAGCTTAAGCCGTTCGCTACCCAGCAAAGCAGAGCAATTCAAGATTTAGGCAAAAACAAAACTTTTAGATTTGAGAGTCGATGACTTCCACGTGTTCCTGGTACCCACAGGAACAGACCTCTTGAGATTCCATAAGATTTTACAACACTGCAATCGTCCGAACCTCTGCGTCCAGCATCACGCTATTCGATACAGAGTCGAACAAGCTGAATTGAGCCCGTGAAAATCGAATACCGTCCACTTGTCCGCAATGCCACATCACGAGAGCCGCACACAACTGCTCCGTACCCACGTACACCCAGGAGAGCAGAAACTCACTCCCCACACTCACAAGTCACAACCGGGAGTGCTTACCCAACCATTCGGCCGGGCAGAGCTTTGCCAAACAGAGCTCAACTTCTTGGTTCGTCCGGTCACGCGGACCTTCAGTTCCCTCAAGCCGTTGCCATCGCGCTGTACTGGGTATCCCGAGTGAGTCACCCCGAGAAAAACTCACCATCGTCTCCGTTATAGGACAAGGTCGGGCGCCCGCGCATTCATGAAAGAAGTCCACCCCCTGGCTCGGGGCCAGACGCTTCTGCGGCACCTGACAGCACGCATCTGACCTGTTCCGGTCTCGTCATTGTGGGACCGCACCTGGCTCTTTGTGGGCGTGAACCTTCGTGCTTGGATTGCTAGAGTGTGTTCACGAGAGTGCTTTGAGCCCACAGATGATGGCAAGAGTTTCCCGTACCAACGCATCACCACCCAGAACAGGGTACTTAGACACAAGCAATCATTGTTGACTACGCATTTTAGTAACCTTTCTCTTCATTGCTCTTCAAAGAGTCTTTTTGGGGCCTTCAAGAAGGTATGTGCTTCCTAATCACCAACGTGAAGCTGATGTCCGGGTAGAAGGCTGTTGGTTGCTTGAATGCCAAGACCAACCAAATCCTGTTATAGATTCCACATACATAAACTCCATTGAATGGGTAAGTGTTCCCCGCGGTTTGTGAAGGGTCTTGTCCATCGGAGTACCGCCGGGCCTCCGCTCTGCCTCTATACTTGTCAGCTGATGGGTGGACGTGCGAGCAGGCAGACGAGTGGGTCTACATCGTGTCCGTAATCCTTCCTGTCATCCATCCCGAATGTCTCAGGAAGGAGGAAGAATTCTAAGAAACGTGTCGTGTCATATTCACAAAGTAGCTGCGTGTGTCAGAGCGGCAACAAGTGTTGCCACTGCTTTCTTCTGCCAGGCTCCTGCGCCCTTGTACCTCGTGGTGAGGATAGGGGAAACTGTCCCAACTTAATTAGGGACGTAAATTTTCCTCGGATTCCAAAAGCTCACATCGACATAAGCGCTACGTTTTTCTGTCTCCTGCATCCATCCCATGCGGAGTATCTCTTGGCCCAAGCCGGATGGTCCGGAGGGGGGCTTCAAACGTGCGTTCGATGCTGGCCCTCCCCCTCACGCAAGTCAGACGGCAAGAATGCAAGATTTGGCAACACCTCATTTTCTTCACAGATCGAGATCTTGGGGTGGAACGCTACTGCTTACCTGGGAAAGTTGTGCTTGAGCAGATACGGCCTGCGAGGGCGGCTAGCCGAAGTGACTGGGCGGGAAGTCTGTAGCCGCGAGACTTGACCCCTTCTGGCCCCGGCGAGTGCTTCGCGCATTGAGACATTGGTCGGCGAGCTGAATGTGGCAGGTTGGTTAAAGTAAATGAAGTGACGAAACTATCCGTCTTACTGCTGCTGTGATGTGGTTGTCTGTGCGTCTCTGCCTCTATCTTGAGTTGATTGTTCGTAGTTCGGCCATGCTCTCATTGGGACATGGAAATGATGTGACTCTTCCAGGAGGACAGTGCAGAAAGGGGAGTGTGGAAAGGTCCCCTTTTCCTGATGCCTGTCATTCCGATGCCACGTCTTGATCGTCTTGACCGTCTTGTCACCAGGACATGCTGCCAACTCAGGGGCCAAGGCACGCGCGCCCTGCTGTCACGAGAGATGACCCCTTTTGAGGGGAATTCAGGGGGGTTGTTCAGCACACTTCTCCTTGCTGTTAACCCGTGCTCGTTCTCATCTTGCTCACGATACACCCTTCGAGCACGCCCTGCTGTTGACACTGTCTGGGCCAGCCTCCTATGGATCAAAGCGATCAGACCAATCTTGTTATCACAGTCCTCATCCTGAAGACAACCACACTCTGGCTAGCAGGAACTAGATTTTGTTCAAGGAGAACGGGCTGATGAAACAAGTACATGAAACCTCCGCTCGTCCAGCTTTGCCATCATCTCACCTCAACGCTTCTGAAGTTAGCTGCTTTAGATGTACACAGCAGTTCCTCAAATTTAGCCATGCCTCTGTTTTCGTGAAAGTCTAGATACTCAGCTAGATTTCTTGTGAGTGTCCAAGGTCAGAGAATGCATAGGCCTGGAGCAGGACTCGCATAAGACCAGTGCACAGCAAGTTTTGAAGCAGTTGGTCAACGAGAGTGTCTGGATTGAATAATTCAAATACCAAGCTGGTACAGAATCCCAGAAAGCCTGAAAATTGACTCAATGATCTCACGGGTCTACGAAACTAATCTTGGTGATCAGGCCTTGAGCAGAGGCCAGAACTTTGTGTGGTTATCTGGCTTTCACAAGTATGCTTTGCAAGTGCAGCTGCATGAACAAACTCGTCCGGAACCATCGATAGCAATGCGCGATCTTTGGCTGGGACAGTCAAAAATGGGTGTGGTATGTGAGCACTTCCCTGGAAATGCTGAAGCCATTGATACAGCGAGACGGGAAATATGATCATTGTAGTTCACGCAGGGGCTATTGAAGCAATTGAATCCAGGTTGTTGATCAACTATCGAAGATGTAGTCTAATTGAAGATGGAAACAGATCTGACCGAACATGACAGGAGACATGCCGCATGCCGAATCAGACTGCCGACCTCACCGGTCATTAGGATCTTCGCAAAGTATCTGCCATCCACGTTTTCAACAACCTCACCGTGAAAATGAAGGGCCTGAACCAGAAGTCAGGAAGATGTTCCTCACCAAAGGCAATCTCCCAAGACACTCAAGGGCATCAAGTCAGCATGAAGCTGTGCCATGCTGTATCAGAGACGGAAGGAAGCGGAAGCATTCTACCAGCCACCACCGCCAGTGGAGGCACCACCAGTCTCCCAGCCACCAGAACCAGCAGCAGTGGTATCACCACCACCGCCCCAGGCGTTTCCAGGGTCACCACCACCAGCAGAGGTCTCACCGCCACCCCAAGCATTGCCAGCATCACCACCAGCATCACCATCGGCATCGCCTCCCCAGCCGCCACCGGAATCACCACCTCCAATGTCCTCATCCTGCTCAGACGGAAACTGGAGATTCTCAAGCTCATCACCCTCCGGCATGTATTGCTCAAGGAACTCAGGGACCTTCTGCTTCGTCTCTAGCAGCGTACGGACCAGGATGGGAGCCAGAGGCTCATCGCGCTCGGTGTAAAAGGATGTTGCCAGACCGCGGTTACCAATGCGACCGGTACGACCTTTAGGAGGTTAGGTACCAAAATCCAATAAATGAGAGCAGACGACTTACCGATACGATGCGTGTACTCCTCAATTCCACCATGATCCAGGCTTGGAAGATCGAAGTTTATAACGTGGCAGACATTGCGAACGTCAATACCACGAGCAGAGACGCCAGTGGCAATCATAATTGGCATAGTTCCTTTGCGGAACGCGCGCATGGCATCCTCGCGCTCAAGCTGAGTGCGATCAGCGTGAAGAGAGGTGCACGGCAAGCCCCGGTTGAAAAGGAAGTCGTCAAGCTCATCCGCGGTGCGCTTGTTGTTGACAAAGATCAGGGTGCGCGCCGGAGGCATAGAATTGAGCAGGTCCAGCATGGCCTGACGCTTCATAGAAGGATCAGTCTGCACAATGGTCTGAACGATGTTCTCGTTGGCTCGGCCAGCACGGCCAACACGGAAACGAACGTGCTCAGTGGCCAGGTGAGTCATTGCGAGCTCACGCACACGCTTGGGGAAGGTCGCCGAGAAAAGCAAGTACTGAATGTTGCCCTCTTCCTGCTCTGCGTTACAAGTCAGTAAATAGGGCTGAGGAAAGGACGATGCGCAAAAGGCTCACCGCCACCACCGAGAATCTTGTCGAAGTCCTCCTTCCAGTCATCGTGAAGCATCTCATCAGCCTCATCAATGACCATGAACTTGAGGCGACGCAGGGTCAGGTTCTGCGGGCGGTCCATGAAGTCGATGAGACGACCAGGCGAAGCAATAAGGATATCGCAGCCCTTGCTGAGCTGGTCAATCTGGTCGCGAATGGGACCACCACCGTAGATGACGCAAGGTCTTAGCATGCTCCGATAGCAGAACTTGCGCGCCTCCAGGAAGATCTGAATGGCAAGCTCACGAGTGGGCACCACGATGCAGACAAGAGGCTCGGCGCGAGCAGGTGGGTCGATTCCAGGTCGATAGGTCGCTGGGTTTGGACGGGGCGCAGCAAGCTTCTTTGCCTTGCCCATGAGCTTGTTCAGAATCGGAATCAGATACGCTGCCGTTTTGCCCGATCCTACGAGTTTTGTCAGCCAAAAGTCATGTTTTGCGCTCGTGAGAGGAATATTTTACCAGTCTGAGCGATTCCGATGACATCGTGACCACGAGTGATGGCGGGCAGGCAGTACTTCTGAATGGGGGTTGGAAGACGGTATTGTGAAAGCTCAACGTTCTTCGCCATGGCCGGGTGCAGACCAGCTTCAGTGAAGCGCATGATGGGGTGGATCTGAATGGGACCCTCCTGCTCGAGCTCAACCGGGGCCATGCTAGAAGACTGTGAGCTAGATTCCCCAGATCAGAGAGGCAAGCAGTGTGGACTTACCTGGAGAAGTCGATGCCTGTGGGAAGTTCGCGCTTGTCCGCAGGGCCGAAGAGCTCTTCCTCGAGCTCTGGAAACTCTGGGCCGAGGTCGCCCTCTTCGCCGTCCCAGTGATAGACGCGCTTGCTGCCATCAAATCCTCCGGCACGAGCGTCGGTGAATTGCTCGTAGTCGTACTTTTGAGAAGGGGCCCATCCGTCGGCAACACCACCCTCGTCAGTGGAGCCACCAGAGGTAGGATCGCCGTCCTGAACACCAGTCGCATTGTTTGCAGAGCTGCCTTCGGCCCGAGGGCGGCCATTGGCGTCGGGGAGGGCGTCGGCCATAGCAGCCGTACCGAAAGAGTCAGCGGGAGGCTGTTGGGAAGAGCCCCAGCCTGAGCCGGAGGTGTCCTGAGTTCCCCAACCAGAAGACATTTTGGCTGATGAAAGCTGGATTATCTATTTGAAGAAGTATGAGCACACATGAAAGCCGGAAAGCAAGGGAAAGGATGATTGGGAATCGCAAAGTTACTCGAGACTGGACGATAAGAACAAAGGGAACAAGAGTTGCTCAAGAAAACGCGAGAGGCGGAGAGAAACAAGGGATTGCTTGACAGGTGAGCAGACGAGTGTGAGGGTGACAACTTACCGGAAGTGACAATCGCTCAAGGCGCAGTGGCAGATGCACGGCTTGAAGAAGGGTCAGACCAAAGAGCTGCAGAGGCTGTCAGTAGGATGCTGATAAACGTAGGTGGTGAAGGCAAGCTGCTATGGAACGAAGCTGCTGAGAAAAAAATGGAGGGACACGCAATTGACCTTATGTATGAAGCACCTCGACGGGTGGTCGTCTAGGTACAGATGGATCAAGGAGATGTTCGAAGATGGGCCCGCTTTTCCGCAGAGGAGGCGCGATGAAAGCCTCTTGTGAAGGAAATGGGGGAAGGGGAGGGGTACAGGTCAAGTGTTGCAATGTGTGAGGTAGAAGAAATGTGAGAGAAGGTGGAAGGGTGGCCAAAAATGCGTGAAGGTATGTGCTGAGAAAGAGGTTGACGCGTCTCAGGGTAAGGCAGAAGGAAGCCAAAGCGAAAGCGTACCTGGAAGGTGGGCAACGTGCCTGCAGGTAATGTTGGAAGGTGGGGGAAGAAGAGGAGAGGCAGGCACAGAGTGCAGTTCTAGACACGACTGCCTAGGTAGGAAAGACAGGACTGCGGAAGGGTGGCGTGACACAAACAGGATGATGCCTTGACAGGTGTGCGAGTAGTCGCTGGGTCTGCGAGGCAAGCGGGCCACCAGTAGTTGGGACGTCTTGCTCTGGGAATTTGTGGTTGGGGAAACTTGTGCAGGCCAAATGACCATTGCAGCCGTTGGTACTGACTGAAGATGCAGGAAGGAAACGCGCAGTGTGCATTACAAGTATGCTGAGGTTGATGGGGAGGGTAGACAGAGATGGACGAGACGGACCCTGATCTGGTGATGCAGAGGGTGGATGCTAGTGTTGAGGGTGAGGGTGGGAGGAACACTTGCCCACGGATGCTGACCAGGAGAAGAAGACAAAGCATTGCTTACCTGAGCCTGATGACCGAGAATCAAAACAAGACCAACAATGCTCGAGGCGTGATGTCTTGTAACTTCTTGAGGGCGAAGGCAGAGTCTGTTGTCGGTGAGAGGGGAGGTGGGGAGGAAGGAAGAAGGCACGAAGTGGTCAACGCGAGCTGGAGCAGCTTTTTGTGTGCAGCTGTAATGGTACTGGGAGTGTTTACGGTCAGTGTACGCAAACAGGTGGCCTGTCGAAAGCTAGTAGCTGCAGACGCGAAGGTGAACAGCTTCCCCGGAGGCAGGTAGGTTTGAAAGAGAGGGTTTGGAGGGCCAGCGAGTTGGGTGTACAGGGGTCTGGGGGTGAGAAGAAGGCTTTGGCTTTTACCTACCTGAGAACGAAGATACAAATGTGATTTTTCAGGGCCTCCTAAAGTTGGGCAATGAGGCTGAAAGACAGCAGGAGCCTCAGGGGTTGAGATATGGGGGAGTGACCACAGAGGAAAGTATGTCCCAGGCTGGTGCGTCCACTTTGTATGGAAGGTTACCGAGGAACAGATACCTTTGATGTCTGTCACCCTTTATGCCGAGACACGACCAATCAAGCCTTTGATCAAAGATTTTGAGAAGAAAAGATGGTCTCCGAGGATAGGACGAGGTCGGAAAGAGTATCGTGCTCACTGTTACAGAGGACACACCTTCGTGCTGGGAGAGGCAGTTCGATGCGATGGGAGAGTACGGTGCTGCAGAAGGGATGACCATGCGGCAGAACCGAAGAATTACCATGGAACAAGACGCGGCTTTGCACCTTCTATCTGGGGTGTGAGTTTTCGAAGAAATAAATGTTGTTGACACCAAGACCTCGAACCCATATGAAGAAGGCCGTAAGCTGCGCAGGATTTGAAAACAGACAGGAGCTTTGGAATCAAGTCTGCATTATATGACACAAGAACACACAATCGAAATGATGGAAACAAACACAACACTGTTGAATGCAATTCCACATAAAAACAGGATACGCGTACCTGGTGGCGTGAACATCTATGTAATGCCAAACGCCAACTACCATTTACAGTGAAAATGGCCGTCAGACATGCGGCAGCATACTGCTGTGTCGTCTTCAACCCGATCAACAGATCACCAGTCCAATTCCGCAAGCTCGTCATGTTCATATCCCTTAAAGCCCTCCTCAAGGGCCTTGGACAAGTCCGTGGCCGCTCGTCCCGCCAACCCACCTTCCATTCGAGCCTGAGTGGTTTTCTTCTCTATAGTTGCCTTCAGAGACCATAGAGCACGTTGCCTCGACTCGGTATCCGCGCAGATCTCCCCATCCTGCGGCGGGCCAAACAGCTGAAGATATCCGAACGGGTTTGGCCCCTCGGGCAGTCTGTAGACCTGATGCCAGTACTGGGCATCAGTCCACGGCTCGATTGGGGGCGGCTTCTGCAACCCCAGCTGGATGAATCTGGCAAGGGCTGCCATTTGGTGCGCGTAGGCTGACCCGCCCTTGTCCGCACCAAAGGTCGTCTTGGGCGCCGAGCTCCAGCCTTTGCCCGCAGCGGCGGTGGATGATGCGGAAGCATTCCTCCAGCCCATCATCGCGATGAACGCATCCAGCGTCTTCGTCCACCCGCCGGCAACGTCGAGCAGCTGGTCAACTGCAACGTCGAGCAGCCAGTCCATGAACTTGAGTGCGTCATCCCTAACCTCGGCTGAGAGGTGTAGCATTCCTAGACGGACCCATTTGACGACCTTATCCGCGTGTGGTTGGACTTCGAAATACGGAAGGGTCTGGAATAATCTCAGGAGGCTGCTGCGAATCGCCGACGAAGTATCGGTGATTAGAGGTAATAACTTGTCGAGAAGAACATATGCGCCGACAGGGTTCTTCGGCGGTGTCGACGTGAGCTGGCTGACGAGGTGGGATAGGGCCTCGCGCCGTTGCTTGTCATTCCGAGAGGTAGCTAGTGACAGATTGTGCTTAAATAAAGCTACATCGTCAGGAGCGGTCTCCGAAAGGGACTGTTGGTTGACGACGATGGCTATAACCGGTGTCAGTATCAGCATCAGTTACCCCGGCTACCATTGTCCCGTAAATGATTTTGCCTGTGAACACAGCCAAACAGAATATGGCCCCATCGCTGCAAAAAGAAACCGTATTGAAGCTCGTTTTCAACCGGTTGGCTGTCCATCAGAGACTGGCATTTGGTAGCCTCATGGGACGGTGGCTCCTCGGGAGTCCACTCCTTGAGCTTTTCCCCTCGTGCCGGTTTGGGGTGAGAAGTGCCTACATTTTGATTGGAAGCTCGTATCTGTAAAATTTGCAGACTTCGGCTTTGTCTTTCCAACCTTCAACTTGGGTTTCTGCACTCATGTTAGGGCTGGTGGATCATATAATCTCTGGGCGCAAGACATACCTGAAAGTCCTTCTTCTTTTCCTTCTTTTTCCTGGTACTTGAGCCCATTTTGACTTCATTCAAACAAAATTAGCTTCTGAGAGCTTGCAAGACTTCACGCCAGGGGAGTTCAGCTCAATTGATAAGAATTTTCAGGATCTTGACTTACCTTGTTGTTGCAGAGAAATCTTCAGTGAGGTTGAGAACAGATCCAAATTGGGGAAAGGCGGTGAGGGTCCAGAACGGGCAGGAAATGCGCTTGGGGAACCTGGGAAGCGCTCCCGAGGGTGCAACTCGGCCGCCTCGATGTAAACAAAACAAGCCCCCACGCAGTCTGGAACCTACTTGCGCAAGACTCGTTCTCGAGTTATTATCCCGCGACAGTTAGCTCGAGCTACTACCTCGAAAAATGGCAGATATGAATACAGTACGCAGAAATCTCAAATAACTCAACCACTTGCCCAAACGACCGCTACTCGCAGCGCTAACCCCTGCCCGCCCGACTCGCAGAGCAACGGCGCCGATGCGCTCGAAGAGACCCTCAGCCGGCTGTCCAAGAAACCTGGCGTGAAGGCGACTATCGCCCTCGACCGAGCCTCTGGCGCGATCCTTAAGACAGCTGGACAAATCTCGTCGTTGCGAACGTCCAAGTCCCAACAGCAGCAACAAGATTCACAATCAACAGCCGCCGCAGCCAGCTCGCTTTCCGCCTCTACCTCCGATGTCCCCGCCTCATCTGGAAGCGCCGTGGCTGCAGGGACGAGCAGCGAGACGCAAGGAGCCGAGGAACTGGCGTCGATGGTGTGGGCTTTCGTGAACTCGGCCGGCGGGCTGGTGCATGGCCTGGATACGGAGGTAATACCACAATCTCAGGGGCAGAAGATGCGCACGGGGCTGACACCCAGACCAGGATGAGCTGAAGCTGCTTCGAGTGCGCACCAAGAAGCAGGAGCTTGTTATTGTTCCGGACGCGAAGTATCTGCTGATCGTAATCCACGAGACACCGGCGGCTTGACCGGACGGCTCAGACAGATTGTGGTCGCCGACACGGCGGCCCGTCTATAGACGCGAGATCGCAAGGGGATCACCTGGGGCTCCTGGCACTGGTCGAGCCTGCCACGCCCGACACACCGCTCATTCTAGCTGAATCATCTACTCATAACAAGACCGCTTTCGAGCACACCGACAGCGCAGCACAGAGAACGAGAGTGCACGTTCTAGCGGCCGCCGTTGCCTGCATAGCTTGCAATGGGTAGACAAGATTTCGGCACAGATTCTGCAGGTCGTCATCTGATGCGACCATAGATCTGATAAATCTCGGCTCATATCTTGACGTCCCTTGCTGCCACAGCCCGTCAATATCGGTGGCAGCCGAAATCACGCACACCACATATAGTACAGTATACAAGGACAAAGTACCGCAGAAACAGGCGTCGAGAAGACCAAGGGCTGTAACAGACCAGTGGAATGACGACGGATGTTGATGTGCAACAAGCAAGTCGGAAATCACACAGGTCACACAAGCTGCAAATTGTCTTCCGACCGACATCTAAGCACGACAGGGCCATGTGTTCGCAAGGACAGCCAACCTTGTGGTGTATATAGCTCCCGAGGTGGATTGGAGATTGTCAGCGAGGAGGCCTGGGTGGGCATTAAAGCTTGGCCCTGGCCTGCCTGGGTGATTGACGGTCGGATCGGGCCTTGGCAGAGCATGGGCTGGTGGAGCACCTCTGAACGCCACACTACACAGAACAGCTGTAGCTGGTGGTGACCCCAGCAGAAAACCTTGGAAAACTTGGAAGACTGGTGTCAACCATTCCATTGATAGTTAATAGTGCCCGACTGGCGGTGACTTTGCCAGCATCCGAATGGCCAAGGACCAACGCCGTCGCATCAGATTTCTAGCTTGTCAGCCAGCACACGACCGTAATTAGATGACAGACACCGGAAACCTGGAAATTGATCTCGAAGTCTCAGCGTCGTATGGGCTGCACGCGGGCAGCACACCTAATCTTGCTTTGCATGCTTGGACCTTGTGAAAGCTGCAGGGTGAACTCATGGCAGCCCAGGCATCGGCTAGAGTAGCCAGGGAACGCCTGCTGACGTTCCGGTTGGTGAGAAAACGGCATGTGTATCAGTTAGACGATATCAGAGCCGGATGTTAAACCCGAGAGCCTGGCCAGAGGCAGTAAAGTAGAGGAGTGCATTTTCATAATTCCAACAGGTCCAGCATAACTATGATTCCCAATTTCTTTGCACATCACCGGGAGGGTTACTTACTTACGTCCAGTCGGTCACTCAATCCTTTCGGGCGTTCCGCTGTCGCTTGCATCTGTTTCTCCCCGCGGCTGTCAAGTCATCGTCGTTCGTCTCTTGAATGGCCAGATCCAGTAATTGGCCTTCGCATGACGTCCTTGCTCGCTCTCGTTATTATCCTCGTCATTATTTATGCGTCAGACCTACAGGGCGACATTGAAACTGCTCGGAGAACAAGCAACTATTCATCGGCAGTGCAATCCACAACAGCCCTCATTGCCACATTTTGTCACCGTCATGCCCACATAGAAGCAGCAAGTCGACTCATGAATTAGGCCATCTGCATTTGCAGCCTCTCGGTGCCGCCCGGCGTTGGAAGATGCCCTCGCTATCGTTCTTCAAGAAGCGAAAGTCTCGTGATCACCAGAGCAACCCGAGGAACTCCGTTCAGGACGACAGCAGACCAGACGCGGCTGAAGCGCAGCCAGGACCCAACGCGCGTGAACTGGACCTAGCCCAAACAACGGGAGAACCAAGCGTCGCCGGGACGGGAGCAAGCGGTCACAGCAGCGGGACCGGTGCACTGATAGCGTCGCCAAAGAGCCCGAAAAACGTGCCCGGGGAAGACGAGAAGACCAGCGCGAGGCTCGCGCGGAGGAGTTCGACTAAGGAGCTCATCCGTGGGTTCCTGGGCCACTCGTCTCGTGGCAGCCGCAGGGACCTCGACACCGGTAGGTCGAGTCCCAGCTGGACGCCCTCGCGAAGCGCGGCCTCGACGCCTCTGCCGGAATACCATCCTCCAAGGAGCGAGCCTGAGCATGAGCATGAGCATGAGCATGAGCATGAGCATGAGCATGAGCATGAGCATGAGCATGAGCATGAGCATGAGCATGACCCCGAACCCGGGCTTGAGCATAAGCTTGGACACGGGCTCGAGCATGAACGTGAGCCTGACCCTGAGCCCAAGCCTGTTAGTGCAATAAGAGCAGCAGCAGCAGCAGCATCTGCATCTGCAACAGCAGCAGAAACGCCAGCACAACCATCGCCGAAGCTGCGTAAGAATCCCAGCCAACGACCACGCCCAGTCAGTGCCATCGTTGCGACCCCAGACACTGGAGGCAGCCTGCCGAGCCGTTGGAAGTCACAGAGGCTAAAGAGGCTGCAGAGCCTCGCGTTCAGGTCGCGCGAGAAGAAAGACAAGGACAAGAACAAGACAGAGACGCCACAAGTAACGGTCACACCAGCCACAGCGGTAAGTCAACCAGACCGTTCATTTCTCCGCGTGTGTCTCTCCCCTCATGCCACCTGCCACCTGCCACCCACCGCTCCAATACAGAGCAGAAGGCCAGCGATCAGCGACCACAGAGAGACCCAGACCCTGGCCTCCCGTCGTCAGTCCGAACCCCACATTCCAAGGTTCTACCCCAGATTATCAGCCCATGCCGACGGAGACTTCCACAGCACTACACAAGGCCGTGGTCCCTCCCGCTGTCGCCGATTGAGTTTTTGGAGGGTCTCTTTTCTCATTTTCTCCATCGGGCCTCGGGAGACGTGATTTATTCCCGTTTCCTGCATACTGTACATGAGTCTGACCACCTCCTCGCGTGACCATCTGTCTGCCCGGACATAGATTTTCCTTTCCTCCTGTTCCTGCATCCAGATCTCTGAATCGTACGATGCAGAGCGCCTCAACTCTTCCCTTGTGTGAATCTTATTGTTTAGCTCCCACTCTTGGACTTTCCTTTCTTCGCCTCCTGCATGTGTTCCCTGAAGTCAATTGCCCTTGACTGGATTAATTCAATCTGACCCTGCATCGTGGCTGACGTACATCTCCTTTTCTCCAACTCGGCAGACATCAACCTCTCCCTCACAACATTCAGCAACGGCATCCGGCTCCTTCTCTCCAGGATCACCACGTTCTCCTGTCAACTCAGACAAGCCATTGCCATCTCCCCCTCCCGAACATCAAAGCACCCCAGGGACCACCACTTTCAGCCCGCCCCTGAAGCTCAACCGCATCATGGCAACCCTGTCTGACCAGGACATCGAGAAGCTCTTCTCGGGTGCCCCGCAGTTCTTCGCGCGGGCTGAGGGGCACTACACCGGCGCGCCACATCCCTCTGTCGCCTTCCCATGGGACGAGGCATTGACCATCAGAGACCTGACCGACCACACCCAGATTGACGATGCAGCTTGGGGGTGCATCACCGCATGGCCCCACATCACCCGCGATGTCGACAAGGGCCCATCAGCCTCAACATCCAAGAGAGTGGCCGCCAAACGTCGCGCCCACTTCTTCCCCAGGTGCAGGGAAAGACCAAACATGCTCAGCATGCAAGGGCTTGAGAAGGGCACAATGGGATACCAGGCTGCGCTGGAACTGGGTGTCTCGGATTCTCTCAAGGAGGAGCAGTGGGGGTTCGGCAGCCTGGGCGCCAAGGACAAGGTCATTATCGAGTCCAGGCAGTCCGCGCTGACCTCCAAAGACGGGTTGAGGAGGATGGATGAGACCACAGTTCTCGACCATCTGATGAAGAATGCGCAGCGGTATCAGGAGCAGCACCAAAAAGACAAAGCTACATGTCACGAATTGTTCCAGGAACTCTTCACTCATATTCTGCACCTGCCGAACCGGTCACTCACGGACCCCTATAGCCTGCCTGTCCAGATCATGGCTCTGCTTAAGGTCCTTGCGGCGCCGAATGTTTGGATCGACTTTTCGCATGTCGAGTGGAGGATACGGCTAGGCCAAATTCTGTGGGGGACCCCCGATGACGACGACGAAGATAGTGTAAGTGATGGTGCATCTATTACGGATGCGGAGGATGCCAAGGGCCTGCATGAGGAGAGATACTGGCTCTTGCTGCAGATCTTGCTTGCTTGCGAGCTGCTCGTGCGCCTGGACGCAATCACAGAGGGCGACGAGCTTCCGGAGGATGTGAGGCGCTCGGATGTCTATCGATTTGAGCGGGACGCCAATACCTCCGTGAAATGGTCGCTACATCTGGCCCGAGCATGGTTGGAGAATATTGAGATCACCAAGACGAAACCATCAGGAGAACAAGAGCCGCCCAAAGGCTGGCTAGCGAATCTTACGCACAAGATGACACTGACTAGTGATCGTCCACATTCCAAGCACCACGATGCTCATAAACAACACAAAGAGCAGTCCATATACGTCATGAAGGGAAAGTACTGGGAGAGGCAGGTCCGCGGCCTGACACATTTCGCGAGGAGGCTCAAGTGGCCGGAACTCGAGAGACAGGCATCGCTCATTTCCGACAACTGCCGTGCGGTAACGGAAGGAACGCCTCTTAACACGCCGTTGCAGACCCCTTTATCGACAAGAACAAACAAAACAACGTCGTCGTATTTCACAGCAGCGAATAATGATGGCTCCCTTGAGAGGAAGGCCTCACGGCGGCAGAAGGTCGGCGCAGCGCTGCATCCCGCTGGCTGGCTGTCGAAGAGTTATGTGTCGGGGTTGATGCTTCCAGGTGAAGGGCTTTACCACTTCATCATGTCGACTTTAATCGAGAATGATGTGACCGCGATGACGAGGCTTGGGCCGATGGCGAATCTCTGCGGGGGATTCATGTACCAAGGAAAAAGCTTTTGGAGCACGGCCTGCGTGGTTGGACGGGTCCTGGCTGCTGGAAAGGGTGCTGTAGAATGCATGGGGTGGATATCGAGCGATGTCACGCCCCTTGGTCTGGGGGATGGCTGGGTCGATGTCGACATTGAAGACATCCCTGGTAAGTTTTCGATATTAGGACCCCTTCCTTCACCGCAGTGAACTGCCTCGGCGATAGCTTGTGTCGAAGATTGTTAAATGCTGACAGAATCTACAGAGGATGTCAAACGCACTGGTAAACAAGCGAGGCTTTGGGGCAAGCTCGCGATCGAGCGGGAGTCCTCTGTCCTTGGAGAAGGCTCTGAGCAAGACTCCATTTTACCCGCCGACTTCATCATTCCCTTCGAAAACAATTACAAGTCTCCACCGCCTACAATCAGTGTCGAGCTGAGGTCACTTATTTTGTCTGAGCCTCTTGATTCGGTCCAGACGACACCGACACTGGAAATCGCAACCCCATTCTCTGACTGGACCACTCCCTTAGAGATGAAGACATATACGCCTACAATCACCTTCAACGTCACCAATTGGGAGGAGGACGATGATATAATGGTTACAGTTCCTGTGGCCAAGGATGTCTACTTCGTGACAGCCCACCCATGCGTCCCTTCGCAACATGTCAGGATTCTGAAGTCGCCATCCAGTCCTACTATCCAGCAGTTCGATCTTTCAGGCCCGTTTGCGCCTGGTACTGGCAAGCAATCTGGCCATGCCAAGATCAAATGTGAGTTTTCCAGATACCACCTAAAGTGATACTAAAGAAGAAACACCGGCTGACAATTCTTGAGGCCACCCACTTCACAAATACTATACCTATACCGCGATCCACCTATCCGATCTCCTCAACAAACCCAATTGGACGCTGGAACAGCTACTAACCGATGCCTCGTCCAACTTTGCCCCGAGTATCGCCCCATCATCCAGCACCGACAAACCGCCTCGTGTCCTTGTCATCGACGCCATGACTAACTTTCTGCCGCAACCGGAGGCACATGAGATTCCCCTGTCACCAGCCATTAGCAGGGCCAGCACCAACCAGAGCTCGTCGAGCCGACACTCGTCGCTGAGTAGTGCCAGCGGGCGTGGCGGCCCTGACATGGACATCTCAGGAATGTCACCCGATCGGGACGGCAAGAACAAGGAGCGGGACCGGGAGAATAATGGGAAGGGCACGACCGAACAGAAAATGCATTCCGAGACTAGGAGGCGGCAGTTTGGCAGCGACATGGAGATCCTCGTCAGGGCGCTGTGCGCTGAGAGGGGATGGAACGCGCTGATTTCCCGCCGGAGGCGCGGGTGTCTTGCTTGTGCCATCCGTGAGGCCGGCGCACTGGGGTGGAAGGTTGTCATACGGGTTGACTGAGAGGCCCGACGGGGTTGCAATAAGGTTGCTTGTCCGTTTTGGACTGACGCCGTGTACAAGAGTGTTTACGATACCCTGAGCGAGCGAGTTTGATATAGGTTACCCACACGGAGGTCATCTCATGGGAGGTTTTCCCACGAAAAAAAAAATCTGCATCGGCCAGGCAGTTCCCCCCGTGTTTGGGATCTCTGCGCGCTGTACAAGAAGCATTACGCATTTCGGAAAGTTTGGTTTGTAGCATGGATTAGGGTATATCAGGGTCGAAAAATCAGGCAGCTTGACTCGGGAAACATTGGAATGGAGTTTTTGTGCATTGCAAGGAGTCTCGTCATGCGGGATGGATATTTCTCGAAGTGATTCCATCTAAAAGTCGACCTTGAAAGTCTACGCTTCGCCCTGCAATGACCTGCTTGTAAGATGGAATATTGGATCTTGCTATGCATATCTGTCTCAGCCACAACGGGCTTGCGTAACATATGTAAAACTGCAATCTGCGAAAGGAAGAACGCCGCTAAGCCAACGCCATGATCCTAAAGTGTAACTAACGAGTGATGCGGCCATAATCCGTTACACATGTGCTGCCCAACAATTCGTCCATGACCGTGTCACGTAGATGCAAAACCTCCCTAACCGCCACGTCACAGCTCATCAACACCCCACTCCTTCCAGTGCTTCTCCTCCCCAGGCAGCCTGACGCCCTCCCACTCCTCACGCGTGACATTCCTCCACTGCTCAACTGGGATCCAGCCGATATACGCCCGGTCACCAAACCCGCCGACCCAGTACACCTGGTCGACGACGAGGCGCACCCACCCGGACTCGTGAATCCGGTTGCCCGGCAGCCAGTATTTCGCGTCCGGGTGGGCCTTGACGAAGCAGTCCTGCAGCGCCGCGACGTCGGCGCCCGAGGACGACGAGATGTCCTCCAGGTGGCCGAGCAGGCTGAAGCGGGGCAGGTTCGCGGCGCTGTAGGGGACGGGGTCGTAGTGCGGCGGCAGCAGCGCGTCCGCGTCCTCGTCCTCGTCTCCGGACCACCGCAGCCACCACCTGGCAAGCCTGGACAGGGGGTTTTGCGACGATGAGGAGGATGACGACTTGATGCGCTTCGAGGGCGGGTACGGCGGCACCCAGTTGATGCCGATGGACATGTTGCTCCCCGCGGCGACGTTCTTGAAGCTCGTGGCGATCTTGATGGCCAGGATGGTCGGGTTGCCCTCCTCCTCGGCGCCGCAGTCAGCGATGTAGTCCATCATGCCGATGGGGACGCCGCCCAGGTTCGGGGGGCGGTTCTCGAGGAGGGCGGCGCGCGGGAGGCCGTCTGCGTCTTCATTTGGGTCTGGGGCGTGGGCGCCGGTGGAGGAGGATGTGGAGGGGAAGACGGTGGACAGCGTTGCGAGGGGGCTGAGGGCTAGGATGCGTCGGCCTAGCACGGCGGACTCGTAGGAGGTTGGTATCCGTTGTATGTGCTGCTGGTCGGGGTCTTGCGGGAACGTCGGAGGAGAGGAGGGTGGTTCGATGGGAGAAGCTGTGACGGCCTTCAGGGCCGCGATGGCGGAGAGAGACGTTGTGAACTTCATCTTGAGTTGTCGTATCTTGAGGCTCAAGCACAACAGAGTTCTGGAAAACCGGGTGCTGTTGAGGGGTCAATAAGTGTTTAGCTCCGAACAATCTGAAGCACGGAAGCGAACGATGATGAGGGATCGACAACCGTTGAGCCGAGGAACCGGGAAGCCTGGGGTGATTTATCTGATCAATCTAATCTCTTGGCAGTGGCTGTGAGCGAGTCATTACTGGCAGGGATAGGAATGCTCTCGTGATCCTGTGTGAAGCCTACATGTGACGGCTTGGAGTGGCCAGGTCAATAGTGAAAGCTTAGAAGACATGATTGACAGTTGATGGCGTGGGGTTTGACCACAATAGCGCCTCGTTCTTACGATATTGCTTCAGAAAACTTGGGGGTCTTCTGTAGAATTGTAGGGCCCTCTTCGCGCCCTCAACTGGCTGTGGCATGCTGCAGGCCACTTCCTCCCCCTTTCATGTTTCTTGTTTTCTCTTGTGGTGGTCTTGTCTTCAGAGAAATATATAATGCCGACTGCATGTGTTCCTTAATGCCAATCAACTCTGTACCTGGTTGCACGGCTTCGCGAATGCAGCTACCAGCTCCCCAAAGCCCATGCAGGCGGCGGAGCAGAACAGAGCACAGCATGCCTGCCGATGCAAGCTGGACCCCTGAAAATCCCACGTAAAAGTCCCCAGAAATCGTCCGGCAAAGAGCTCTGGTGGCACCACAACAGTAGCGACGGCCCAATTTGTTCTGGTCTTTTTTCCTGCCAACCACCATACCAAGCCATGAATTGATCCTCACACCTCACGTCTTGGAATTGAGTTGCGGGAACACCAGGGGAAGTTGAGAGCTATGGAACAAAAGATGCAGGCCCAGGAGTTCTTCGACCAATGGCTTGCCCAAGCTCAGGCGCGCCTTCGGGAGCCTCCGTATGTGCAGCCCGCCCCTCAATCACGACCATCTTTGGCCAAGCTGACATGGTGTGCGGTAACAGCTTCGATAATGTACCGTTATTCGCCTGGATGGCTCTCTGGCCTTTGATCCTTGTCATCATCGTGGTGTACTTCAAGGGCGAGCACGACAAGCCGATCCGGTATCGAGTGCCCTCCCCCAAGGTTCCTGAGCCAAAGGAAATCCTTCAGAAACCAAATATCAAGGTGCGAGCGACGCTGCGTCGACGTAGCATGGAACCAATGGCTCATTCGTATATTCTAGGTCTCCGGCGCGAGCGCAATCCAGTGTTATGCCCCAGCCACCGGCCAATTCCTCGGATTCGTCAACCCCTCGAGCCCGGCTGCCATCGACCGTGCCATCGACGCCGCAGAGGCTGCACAGAAGACATGGGCCAGTACCAGCTTTAGGGAAAGACGCAAGGTCCTGCGCTCAATGCTGCAGCATGTACTCGACAACCAGGAGGAGATCTGCCGCGTGGCCTGTCTCGACTCTGGGAAGACGATGGTCGACGCCCAGCTCGGCGAGATCCTTGTTACAGTCGAGAAGCTGCAGTGGACCATAGACCACGGCGAGAAGGCTTTGACTCCCAACAGGCGGCCGACAAATCTTCTCATGATGTACAAGAAGAATACTGTCCAATATGAGCCTCTGGGCGTGGTTGCAGCTCTCGTGTCGTGGAACTACCCTTTCCACAATCTCATAGGACCTATGATCTCGGCAATCTTCTCTGGAAACGGTATCTTGGTCAAGGCCTCGGAGCAGACTGCTTGGAGTGCTAGCTACTTCGCGAGTATCGCCAGAGGAGCCTTGATCGCCCACGGACACGATCCAGCCTTGGTGCAGACCGTCGCATGCTGGCCTCAAGTTGCGAACCACCTTACCTCACATCCCAAGATCTCACATATTACCTTCATTGGCTCCCGTCCAGTGTGCCACAAGGTTGCGGAGTCAGCTGCCAAGGCTCTCATCCCAGTTGTCGCCGAGCTGGGAGGAAAGGACGCCTGCGTCGTGCTGGACTCAGCTAAGGGCGACCTCTCCCGAATATGCGAGACACTCCTCCGGGGCACCTTTCAGGCAGCAGGTCAGAACTGCATCGGGATTGAGCGCATTATTGCCACGCCTGGAGTCTACGACAAGCTAGTCGAACGTCTCGAGCCTCGCGTCAAGGCCATTCGCCTGGGCCAAGAAGCTGACATGGGCGCACTGATCTCTGACGCCTCCTTCAGCAGACTAGAAGGCCTGGTCCAAGACGCAGTCAAGAATGGCGCGCGTCTGCTCTCAGGCGGAAAGCGCTACGCCCACCCCGATCATCCCAGTGGCCACTACTTCAGCCCGACCTTGCTCGTCGATGTTACGGCCGACATGGCCATCGCCCACGAGGAATGCTTCGGTCCCGTCATGGTGCTCCTGCGAGCCCCCTCCAACACCGCATCTGACGTTCTTGGTGTGGCCAATGCGCCTGACTTCGGCCTCGGTGCCAGCGTTTTCGGGCGGGACTCGGACCCAGTACTGCAGGCCGTCGTGAAGGGCTTGAAGAGCGGCATGGTCGCCATCAACGACTTCGCCGCCTTCTACGCCGTCCAGCTGCCCTTTGGCGGGGTGGCTGGCTCAGGGTACGGCCGTTTCGCCGGCGAGGAGGGCCTGAGGGGTCTGTGCAACATCAAGGCTGTGTGTGCGGACCGATGGGGATGGGCCGGTGTCAGGACGAGCATCCCGCCGCCCATCAGGTATCCGATTGACAGCCAGGACCGGAGCTGGAAGTTTGCCAAGGGTGTCGTGGAGACAGGCTACGGCCTGGGCGCGGCAAGGAAGGTCGGAGGTGTGCTTGGAATTTTGAAGAACATGTGAAGATGAGAGTGTGCAGAAAGCGTGGGATATACCCCCTCCTAAGACAAAGATAGAGTTAGATCAGAGAGGTCAAAAAGAGGTACGATCAGTGGCTCAGGAGCCGTCAGGTCCAGAGTGAGTAGATTATATATAATACTAATCTAATAATGCGTTCTTCACTGTCGTAGATAGATAGCAGGCTGTAGATTCGTGACGATTTACGCTGATGAGCAAGACTGATGTCCAGCCGAACTACGGGTGTTCTGGTAGTGTGGACGAGCAATGCGACTACAGCACGGCGACTGTAGCAGAAATGTCGATAAGCCTGTGACAGTCTAGTATGAATATCTGCTCTTGGTAGGTTTCAATAATGTTCTTCGAGTCTTCTCCATTCAGCCAAATCATGGCTATATCTGATCACAGTGCCTTTTTAATATATACCAGCACCCGCTTCACGAAAGCTCAGTCCAGGCCAAAGTCTGACCACGGCTCATGCCCAAACCCGCCCGCAGCAGCTCCCGCCACGGGCGACGAGGGCAGGTTATCCTTCTCAGCAGAGCCCTCCGGCGGATAGAGGAACATCTTTGCGCGCTGCCGACAGACGTCCGCAAAAGTGGCTTCCCGCAGATACGCGCGGGGACTCTCAAAACGAGCCGCCCGCGTCCACGCCATGTCGACGTGCCGCGCGTCGACGCGCCCGCTGTGCCGGCCCAGCACGCCGCGCAGCTTCGAGGCGAGCGCGCCCAGGAGTGACTCCTGCGCCGACCGCGGCACCGACACCGGGATCAGCCCCGACACCTGCAGGAGCGACGTCTGCACGATGTAGCGCGGCCACTGCGCGTCGAAGACGCCCAGGAAGTCGAACAGGGCGAGGAGGCCCGCCGCGAGCTTGAGCCTCTCCAGGGGTGATGGTGCTGGTGGCGCCGCGCCTTGGCCGCTGGTGGGCTCGTCGTGGTCGTCCCGGGGGTCTCGGGCCCCGGAGCTGGCGACGAGCTGCAGGATCTGCTGGAATCCTGTCCGTGTGGCCTCCCATGTCTGGTCTTCTTGGAGGCAGGCGCCGCCGCGCACGAGCCAGAACAGGCGCTGCATCTTCTCGATCCCGGTGTCGATCGTCCCGTCGTCAGATTCGAAAGGCCCTGATAACAGGGACACTGGAATCTTTGTGCCAGGGTTGATTTCGAGGTGTGTGCCGAGTAGAGCGCGGAGCCGATCGCCGAGCATCTTGAGGGATTGCCGGCCAGAGGAGCCTTTCGAGTCTGTGCTGGAGGGAAGAATGTATCTCTGGAAACAGTCGAAGTCGAAGCCGAGCTTCTCGCGCATGGTCATGGCGGAAGCGCTCTCATCGTCGTCGTTGGTAATGTACGCCCTGTCGTACAGACTGCCTGTACGTGGAACGTCCGCCAAGCGCTCCTTTTTCAGTTGAGGAATGGTGAAGTATGCCCGCCCGGCAGCATGCTGTCGGACCCAGACATCAAAGGAAGATAGGAGCATTGGAGTCTTCGCCCAGGAACAGGCGAGTATTGCGGACTGAAATAAAGGTTAGCAATGAGAATTCACCCTCCTCGGTGCAAACAGCCAACTTGCGTCCCACAAGCATCCTACTCACCTGGAATTGAGGATCGCCTTCGGTCCTTTCCGCATCCCATTGCCAGCCGTCGTAGGAGGAGACCTCAAACTTGTCTATACCGTAATGGGCATCCCACGTTGACCCGAAGGCGGCACCGACCATCTGATATTTGATGGAGTCGCTCGACAGACGGTGGTGCAACTCACGGTTGACGAGGGGGAGAGATAGATTATGCGAAGCAATGAAGACACGCTCGAGGACCTCTTGAGGAAGATCAGAGAGCCGTGAGTAGCCCTTTTTCATCCTGGCGTCACCATCCTTCCTATGGTGCTTTCTGGCTCGTTTCGTGCTTGATACTGGTAGTCCTTCCAATTCGGCATCACCGAGTCCCTCGTCTTTAGGCTTCTTTTCACGCTTAGCTTGGCCCCTCTTCCCGCGGACTCGTATCGGTGTCAGCTTCATTGCTCTCCAGAGCACTTGCTCAAGAAACTCTCTTCTGAGGAGTGGCGATGAGATGGTAGGGAGTATGAATCAACTTTTCCCCGTGGTCTCAACACCCATACAGCTCCGGACTCGGGTACCAATGTGAGCTCCATTGAAGGTCATGTTGTCGATTCACTCGTGAGGGAAGCCATCTTTCGATGTAGAGTAACATAAGATATGATCGTAGTTTTGTGCAGACTTTGATAAAGTGCATCTGATGGAGACCTGCCTATAGACACACCTAGTGTGCACCAGCCGGGCGGTAGCGGCTCCTAATCTGTGGGGGAGTGTGCGCAGTCTCAGCGCCAAGCATGGGGGTACTCACAGCAAGGAAGTTTTTAGCTTGCAGGCTTGACGTAGTTGGAAAAACCTCGTCCTAAAAACTTCGGCTCACCATGACAGCGACCTGCGATTGCGAGATCGAGAGCGCCGAGTTGCAGGAATAAGCTCATTCCTGTCTACCAGCGACAGAAAGGATCAGTCACGATGCGCCCAGCATTGCAGCCTGCGGCTCCCTCTCGCAGGCTGCTCCGGTTTCTGCGGTTCCAGTCTGAAGGGAAACCCTTCTTCAGCCCGAGCCATTTATGTGCCGCTGCAACGAGATGCCATGGCCTGCCTCTTCAGGACTATCCGGGCTGCGCGCATGCTGCAGAAACCCCTCGCCATTCAGCACGACGATTCTCAACCTCGAAGGCCAGCCGATCCGAAGCCGCCCTCCATTCCTCTGTGTTCGATCTGGAGAGCCTCCTTCCGAAGTCCCTGAGAAAGGTTCGCTCGACTGGCACCGACCTTGTCAATGGAAATGCTGCTACGAAATCACGGAGGTTCGCTTCTACAGATGAGCCTCCGGAAGAGGAGCGTGCCAGGACGCCTTGGCAGCAGAGACTATGGGGTGACACCACCGTCAAGCCCGACTTTCGGAGCAGCACCACTGACGATTACGACACGTCGATATTCACCTCGTCTATGACAGCCAGGAGGGCCAAGGCTGCTCTTGAGCCTGTGCTGCGGTGCACAGAGGTGGACGAAAAAGGCGACGCCATCTTGACTGATGGCGCGTTCAAGAAGAGCGAGCTTATTGCGAAGGTAAGGCCTGAGGGGAACAGCATCTGCAGATGTGCGCTTGACGAGAAACGAAAACTTTGCTGAAAACATCTTCTTTTGCACTACAGTACGGCCTTATGCCCCGTGATCTGCGCAAGATCGACTCTTCCAACCTCCCGCACATCCTCGTCCGACCTGCTGCGATCCTCCTTAACCTGCTACACCTGCGCGTGCTGATCAAGCACGACCGCGTTCTGCTCTTTGATGTCTACGGCTCCTCGACCTCCTCTGCGCAGTCCGAGTTCATGTACGAGCTGCAGGGCAAGCTGCGGCAGAAGCAGGCCCCCGGCACGGCAGGCGGCCTCCCGTACGAGTTCCGCGCGCTCGAAGTAGTGCTCATGTCAGTGACTTCAGAGATATGGAAGGATTTCGGTACCGTTCAGAAGCCCGTCATGCACCTCCTGGGCGACCTGGAAGAGGATGTTGACAGGGAGAAGCTACGGTACCTGCTGGTGCTTTCGAAGAAGGTCAGCACCTTCGAGCAGAAGGTGAGGCTGGTACGAGATGCTATCGACGAGCTGCTGGAAGCGGACGACGACCTGAGCCAGATGTATTTGACGGAGAAGACACGAGACATCTCGCGCGAGGTCGACGACCACACTGAGATCGAGATGCTGCTGGAGTCATACCACAAGATTTGCGACGAGGTCGTTCAGGAGGCGAGCAACTTGGTTTCCGGCATCCGGAATACGGAGGAGATGTAGGTGCCCAATCAAGCTCTGAATATGATATATTGGCTAACATTAGTACGCAGCATCCGCGCCATCCTCGACGCTAACCGCAACGCTCTCATGCTTCTCGAGCTCAAATTCAGCGTCGGCACGCTCGCCTTGGCAATGGGCACCTTCTTCGCCGGCCTCTACGGCATGAACCTCGAGAACTTCATCGAGGAGACCAACTGGGGCTTTGCAGGTGTCACCGGCGCCTCGGTCTTCTTCAGCTTGCTGGTGGGCTGGTACGGCCTAATCAAGCTGCGCAAGGTGCAGCGCGTGCGCATGAGCCAGTCCTCGACACGCAACCGCCGGTCGATCACGAGCAGCCAGGCGAAAGACGGCTGTGACCCGTACGGAGCGATGCAGTGGTACAAGGATGACAGCCCCACGGCGCTGCTCGAAGCCAAGCACCGTGAGAAGCTCAAGAGGATCGCAATGGCGAAGGAGAAGCGTCCCCAGCCCACAGGGTTTAAGAAGTGGTTTCAGCGGCTACAGTGAATCACTTGGAGACAGAGGGGACCGTAAGAAACAGTACCTCTTTAAAGTCTGAGAATGGTTGGTCGTAACCTGCGCTTATTGGGTAAGGATGCCTGAGCAGATACTGGTCAAACATGTACGAAGATATGATGCTCCTTTTACGATAGCATCTCGAACTCACCTCATTTTTCATAGATGATACCCCCTCCAAGCAATTATCATGAGTATTATTTATTGCCCCTTCATGACCAATCCGTATCGCCTGCGGAAAACCCCTTGAATATTTTTGGATGCCGCCCCGTTTGTGCCCTGAACGATTTTCCTCCGCCAGTGTGCCAATTAACGCTCACCGAGCCAACAGCTCCGTCAGACGGAACACCTCCTCGTCCCCTTGTTCCTGGAACGACCTGCCCCTCGAGATACTGACCCACCTCCTCCCCTCGCTCTTCTGCGTCTCTAGCACGTCCGAGAAGCTCACGCCAGGGATGATCGGCACGTCAGACGCGTTGGGCCCGCTGATCTCCTGCGTGGGCGGCGGCACGGGGACCGGCGCTCGCCCGTCCAAGCTCGACCTCGACTCGGACATCTCCAGCTTCAGCGGGTCCCGGGCCGAGACGGTCACGTTCACCTCGACCTTCCCCTTGCGCGACTCCAGCAGCGCGGGCACGACCTCGGTGTCCTCGATGTCTATTTGCCGCAGGGCCTGGTGCACGACGTGGCGGAGCACCTCGTCCTTGTACTGCTTGGCGTAGGCGGCGTCCGCCTGCCTGCACAGGACCATGGAGGGATATGTTGAGATGAGCACCAGCAGGTTCTCATCGTGGACGGACTGGAAGAGGAAGTGGTGGCTGCGCTTAGGTGGGGTGCTCAGGCTCAGGGCCGCCTGGACCTGGACGCTCGAGGACCTCGGGCTGGGTGTGTAGAGGGCGCAGAGCTCCAGGATGGCAGTCCACAGGGCCAGGAAGCCCGGGTCGTGGGCCGATCTGTCTGGTTTGAGAGTGAAGAACCATAGTCTTGTGATGGCCATGGTGACGAGTTGATGTTGATGTTGATGTTGCTGTTGTATGCTACTCTTTGGCGTGTTAATGAAGGTGACGGTGGGTGTCCTTGGTGAGGAAAAAAAGGGAGGTGGTCCGAGTTTTGACAAGGTTTTCTTTGTGTTAATCGAAATTTTATTTTGAAAAGGGAAGTGATTGCTGTGGTGACGAATATGGAAGTTGATATGTCTGATGAGGGTCGTGGACTGTGGTTCTGGGGTCTTGTGGAAGCTGGATGAGGTAGTGATGGGTTGGTGAGGCAGGGGGGCCGCAGGATGGGCGTTTGTGCTACTGCAGCTTGCAGCTCTCGAGATTCGCCGCTAACGACGTCACAGGCGGGCTAGTTCAGAGACCAGGCCAGTCCCTTCTCCATACCAATTGTGCCAATGTACATCGTAGGCCCTACGGGCCTCTGGGGCCACTGGGGCCTTTCAGGGTCTAGACTCCACAAATCCCGTGTGGACCCCTGATGATCAGGCATCTGCTGTGTGTACTGCGTATAACTTTTGCATACATGGGTACATCTCCCCTCGTACCTAGGTGCCACAGGGTGCCTACCTCCAAGGTACATTACTAGGTTGTCTGCTGATCAGGACAAGCGGCGGCAACTTCCATCCATGGCTGTGAGATCTGCTCGCATGCTGCCGATGGGGAATTATATAGAAAGCATTCGATAGTCAAATGATGTCACAGGCGTTGTAGGTTTGAGATCGAAGCATCGAAGCTTCTGCCCACCGGTCTCTATAAGCAGTCTCGAGCAATTGGCTGCTCGCCGGTCGAAAGTCGAAACATGTATGGCCCTCCACAAGGAATGTGGCTGGTCGCATGTCATGTCAGACACCAGGTAGTATAGGGCGGGCCCATCTGCCGTCTGCCGGATGACGCTCGATGACACGGTCCTCAGCACATCCCCATTACGAACCCAAAGAGCTAGCTAGGGCCGTTGTGACCTACCTCCGCTTGACATCTCTTCTCCTTCCTGGGCACCTTTCAATTGGAGGATCAGGCTACCACGGGACGATCAATTCGGTATCCCTCATCTGGGATGATTCTCGTCCGAGGCACAATCTTCGAGATGGGGTCATCCCCACTATCCGCCCGTTCCTGGGCCCGAAGATATTGAATCACTGATGAACTCATCGCGGTTGTATTTGTGACAAGGTAGCTCGATTTCCCAATGGCGATCACTCATCAATAAAGTGTTCGGATCCGTAAGAGAGCTCCTAGGGTTCCCTGTGTAAGTGCCAATCGCTACAAGCTGTGCCGTAGGGGTGATCTTACAATTGCATGCCACGACGATGTGAGTTCCGTACCATAACGCTTCATCCGCCCCCTCTCAATGCTTCACGCCCCCACGGCACGCAAAGACCGCCAAGTCTTGCACGCGTCTTCCTCACGATGCTCTGAACCCTCGCAACGACAACTGAGCTGGGATTTCTTTATATCCATAATCAAACGACGCTACGTGCCCCCCCCCCCCCACACATATGTACTCTGCCGCATAACGGCCCATGCCCAGTATCCCTGTCTTAAGAGGTTGTATGGGCTGCTTAGGCTCGCCTGTGACGGTTTTCCGGCCAGCATTCAGACCGTCGAGAAATGCGACCTGTGACTTTATTTCGATCATAGGCGCAGTGCGTCATTCCGTTTCAGGAGTGATGAAGAATCGTCGCCGGTGAAGATCTCGACAATGAAATTGACCAGCCTGGAGGATGGGTCCGGGAAAAGAGGTTCTCACTGTTTGCTGCCGTCTAAAGGGGGGGGGGGGGGCAGGGGCACTCGACAGAGCTGCCTTGCTGAGCATTTTCCTTCTCTAACAATCAGACCTAAACTTCAGTCATTGGCATCTTCCCTGCATTTGACCTTGTCGACGACGCTTTGCCAGTCCAGTAGCCTGACGTAGAGGCATTCTAGGACAATAGTGAGAGCGACGCCCGAACCAAAACCGACCCACACTCCGTCTATTCCGAGCGCAGGCGAGCCCAGTTCCAACCACATAGCCAGAGGTACAGCCTCCAGGTAGTTCACAGAAACGGCGATATAGGCCGCGGCGCTCTGTTTCCCTAGACCCCGTAACAGGCCGTTGGTCCCACAGACGACGGAGTCGATGACCTCGAAGACGGCGGCTAGCCACATCGAGTTGACTGCGAGCTCGCGGATAGCCGGATCTTTGGTGAATATCGAGACAATTTGGTATCGGAAGAAGTAGATAAGGGCTGCATTGAAGAGGCCGACGAGGAAGAAGACGAAGAAATAGAGAGCAGCGGCACGTCGTGCAGTATCTACGTAGCCACCGCCGATTAGGTGACCTACGCGAGTCGACAAGGCCACACTGATGGAGAAAGGGATGTGCCAGACAACGACAATTGCTGTAGTCTAGCAAATAGTTAGTGATCTGATGGGAGAAGGAGGGTAGAGGAGGAAGTATCAAACATACCAGCAATGTCTGAGCCGCGAGGTGGCCAGTACTAAGGTACGAGGTGCTGAAGGTCAAGATCTCGAATGCGGCCCACTCCCCAATCAAGACGATCACCCCAGCAAAGGAAAGCGATACCATCGGACCCCAATTCCGAAGGGCATCCCTCGAAAGACCACCCCAGCAGACATGAGACCATTTCCCGAGTGGCGACATGACATAGAGAAACAAGAGAATAAATCTCAGATTGTTGCTTAGGGCAGATCCAAGGGCAGCACCCGCAAGACCCATATCCATGGGGAAGGCGAGCCAATAGCTCAGCCCAGCGTTGACGGGCGCACAGATGATAAGAACAACCATGCCAACATTGCAGTCACCTTGGGCCTGAAGGAATCGTTTTCCAGCCTCGAAGGCGCCATACCCGGGCAGTCCGATCAGGCTGTACTGGAGGAAGACGCCCGCCTTGACAGCAAGGTGGTGCTGCTTGACGAAGAGGGGCAGTATCCACGGCGAGAAGATCCAGATCAGCCCAACCGGGACCAGCGAGAGCCCCATGAGCGCGATCATCCGCTGGATGTGGAGCCCGACTCCGATCTTGTGCCCGGAGCCGTAAGCCTGGGCGCACAGGGTATCGAGAGCGGTCGCCATGCCCTCCAAGATTGACAAACCGATCACGTTCATGGTGGTGGCGCCTATGCTTGCCGCGGCGAGGTCGTCGGCGCCCAGGTGCCCTGCGATCATGATGGTGATCACGAAGAAGGAGTACTGCAGGAGATATGTGGCGATGAGCGGCAGCGAGTACTTCAGGAGCAGCGCCAGCTCGGAGCGCCAGTGGATATCCTCCTGTACGCCGTCGACCGCCGAGGCTGAGGCCGGGCGGTCGGACAGCAGGGGCGCCCGCTCGTCGGCGCCGTCGTGGCGGTCCATTGTGCTGTCCCGGCTGGGTCGACAACTCCAGGGATTGACTCTAATTTGACATTTGGCGGGGGTAAGCTTCGACGACGGCGGACAATGGGCTTCAGGGCGAGGCCGATTGGAGGCTCTGACCGCTGACGGGGTTACGTGAAGTTGGGCAGGAAGAAAAAAAATATGAGCGGCCCACCTAAATTAGGTGCAGGTACGTCCCGTCACAAAGGGGATCGGCCCGGACTCGGCCCCGGAGACGGTGCGGCGAGGACTCGAGACAGGGTCCGGGGGATGGAGTTCATGGGTGGGGAGTTTCGTCATCTTATCATCTTGTGCTTCTGCTGACTTGTCACGGAGATTATTTAATGGTTACAACGCAGCTGCTCACCATCACGCCCCTCCCTGATGCCCAACCTATGAGTGATATGCATTTATTACCCTGGCTGCTGTGAATGGTGGAACTGGAGTACCACTCAATTGAGTCTTACAGGCCAATGTCAATGGGCGCCAGACATGCCACACCACCGGACCAATGAGTCTGTGTTTATTATGCAGTCTTCTTGAATCTCTGCCCCGCGCATATTTTAATTGTGGGCACGATGTCGGCCTGACTCCACTTACTGCAGTCTGGCGAACCCCGATGACGTCGGTGAACCCTTCAGGGTCCCGAAGAGATGGTACGCCCCGGTCCATGTTTCAACCGATGAGCTTCAGGTTCACTCCTCACCATGTCCCACTCGAGCGGTATTCCCACAATTGCGCGGTGAATTAACGTTGGATAGACGCACATGTAGTTTTCAAGCCTCAAGACAATCACATTGTTGACCAGTGCTATCATGTGCTACGGACAACACTGCTATAAGAAGACATGCAGAGAAGTACAAGTCAATCTCTTAAGTTGTCAGTCAGGGAGCAGTGTTTGGTCTCGAACATCCAAAGAAAAATGCTGGAAGGGAAACACACAGATTGACTGCAAGAATACGCAGGGTGAAGTCGGGATGAGACCAACTTGACAGCGAATAAGGCACGGGTAGGTATGAGCAAAGGATGTATTGCCTGGTAGTCTGGCTATAAATGTGGCTATACGCGGATGCTACAATAATGACCGCAGGGCGCTCCGCAGGGCGCTTATACCGGCTCCGGCCCATGAAAATCGAAATGCGGGGGGAGAGAGAGAGTATCCAAATGCACACAGTAAGCATACTTTCACGGCTAGTGGAATTTACGTCAGAGGCTGTGGTATTAGTGTTGTACTTACACATGCATGCACCGTATTGTAGCCTGAGTCGGGAAGGGCGCATTGAATTCACAGGGCCTCAATAGACATGATGTACGCCTTTGCTTCCACACCAAAAGGCGTGTTGCGGCAAGTTTTACGCCCAGCTAGATACTATAAAGAGACGCATATTTTGGATTCAATTCTTGCATAATAGATATTTCAGTGCAAGATTCATCAGTCGCAGGCAAGACCATGGCAGCCTCACGCTCAGTCGACATCAGTTATGTGCCCGCAGATTGCGGCTCTGTTCTTCCAGGAAAATCCAAGGCACCCCAGGCCTTCCAAGACGTCGGCATTGTAGACGAGCTACGCAAGTCTGGCATCCCGTCCGTCTCAGAACACCACGCTCTGGATTCTCCCGCAACGTTCAAAGCAACAACTTTTTCTCCGGGCCATGTCCGCAATGAAGACGTCAATGTATCCGTCTGCCAGTGCGTACGTCGCACCATCGCGCAAAACCTCAGCGCCTCATCCTCCGTCCAGCCACCTTTCCAGCTGATACTCGGCGGAGAATGTGGTATGTCACCTGCGGTCCTTTCTGCCTTCTGGCAGCATGCGGGCTCGCAGTCACCTCCCGCGCGAGTGGGCCTCGTCTACATCGACGCAGATACCGATTTCGCCTCGCCCACCGACCCCAACTCTACAGGCATCTTCGCAGGCATGAACATGACGCACCTCACCGGGTCGTCCGGCGCACTTCAGAGCATGAAGCAGTTCTCCCGCCCGTCCGGCGAGCCCGTCTGCGACTCGTTCAACACGGTCCTGTTCGGCACCAACATGTCCTTCCCCGGAAACAAGCCCGAGCACTTTGCATATTTCTTCGACAATGACTACAAGGTCTTCAGTTCAGCCTCCGTGGCGCGCGAGCCCGAGAAGCGTGCGGCGGACGCACTGAGGTATCTCGAGGATAGAGTCGACGTTATCATGGTGCACCTGGACGTTGACTCGATCGATCCGCGGATGTTCCCACTAGCACACCTGCCGAACTTCACGGGGGTTGAGTTTGAGGAGATGATGCGGGCGTTGAAAGTGTTTCTGGGGAGTGAGAAGGTTGGGGGCTTGACGATTGCTGAAGTCAATCCCGATCATGACCCAGGGCTGGAGATGGTGCGGAGACTGACAGGTCAGGTCGTGGAGATGTTGGCTGCGAGGAGTGGGAAGGTGGAGGGCTCTCAAGGACTCTAGTGACTCGGGCTTGAGGTTGTTGAATTGCTTTTCCCTGTTCCTGAGGATGAGACTACGAATTAAAGGATCTATACCAGGCTGATGTACAATGCATGTGTTATTGCCATCCTCAAACCTACTAACAGGACAAGTTGACATACTAGATGAATTGAAGTTGCTCGAGAATCCGGAGACCTCAAAGAATTGCAAACGGCTCCCGTACCGATTCTACCAGGATGTACGAGAGGTCATTCGGGGGCGAGGAGTTGAAGTCTTCCTTCAACAGGATTTGTAATTACTTGGCTTTGTATAAGACGTCATCACGATCAAGTAAGAGGAAGTTGGAATTTCAAAACATTTCTCGACGAGCGGCTCATTCGCTCTTCGTAATTATTTGCCAAAGCACAGAAGCCGTCCACGGACAACTAATTGAGTGCCGTCTACCGTCAACAATCTCGCGCCAGTGGCGAGCGCTTGAGTATACCGCAAATGCCTGAAAGAATGTATTAGATGGAAACCACTTGGCCAAGAAAGCCACAGCTACTGTGGTAAGCCGGAATGGAACGGTGATACGTGACTTTTGATTACTGTGATATTTCCCCACCGGATCAGGTTGAATCCCCCAATTGAAGTCGCCTAGCCGGGATCCGCTACTACCTGAAAAGGAAACACGGAGAAGCTCACGCCTGTCGGCGCATAATAAAAGAAGCATACTATGGCTAAGATGGTGCACGCGACTCACTATACTTTCCGGCGCTATTATTCTGCTAGTATATAGGTGCCAGAGGTGCCAGACAAACCGCTGCTTCAGCCCTTGTGTGGCCTTGTGGCTATGAATAAATCTCCACAACGTCTGTGGAGAGGCAAGAAGTGAGAGACTAGTCTGCAGCTATCGAAAACGAAACGTTCGACAGATATGGGAGCATTCAAGGCGCTGGCGTTTCTGGCCCATTTGGGACTTGTGGCAGCCCAGACCGCCATCACAGTCAACCTCGGGACAACGTACCAACAAATCGATGGATTTGGCTTCTCACAGGCCTTCGGTCGCGCAAAAGAGTTTCAGAACCTTGGAACCTCACCGGCCAAGCAGCAGGGACTAGACTACTTGTTCAATACCACCACCGGGGCCGGCTTCACCATCATCCGCAACCGTATTGGCTCAGGCGGATCCGGCGATAGCATCCTGCCCACTAGCCCCGGCTCGCCGAGCGGCACTCCCACCTACGTCTGGGACAATGACGATTCCGGGCAGGTATGGCTGAGCCAGCAGGCCATGAGCTACGGCGTCAAGACCATCTATGCTGACGCCTGGAGCGCTCCTGGATTTATGAAGACCAACAACGACCAGAGCAATGGGGGTTACCTCTGTGGGACGACGGGGCACTCTTGCAGCTCCGGGGACTGGAGACAGGCATATGCGAACTTCCTTATCAAGTACGTGCAGTACTACAAGGACGCCGGTATTCCAATCACGCACCTTGGCTTTCTTAACGAACCGGACTACACGTGAGTTACCTCCCCCCTCGCCCCCCAACAAGAGAGGAAGATGGAAAAGAATTGGGGACAAGGCGATTTCATGTTCAGTGTGCCTTCGAGGCAACATCTTCGGGAATTGGACTGACGCGGAGGCCAGAGTGAGCTACTCGTCGATGCTGATCAGCGTCTCGAACCCCGTCGAGGTGACTTCTTTCCTGCCCACCCTCTCCTCGACGCTGCAGAAGGCAGGGCTGGACACCCAGGTCAAGATCGCATGCTGCGACACGATCGGCTGGGCCAACGCAAAGACGGTGGTCAATGCCCTCGTCTCCGCCGGCATGGAGAAGTACCTAGGGCTGCTGACCAGCCACATGTATACTGGTGACCCGAATTCGGCCATCACAAGCTCAACGCGGCCCGCATGGATGACCGAGGGCGCAGATCTCAAGAGCGCCTGGTGCACGACTTGGTACTCGAATGGTGGTGCCTGCGAGGGACTTACATGGGCGAACAAGGTTGCCACCGGAATTCTGAGTGCGAATCTCTCTGGCTATATCTACTGGCAAGGGCTCGAAGTCAACCAAGGCCAGGCATCCAGCTATCTAGTGTATGGTCTCTTCTCCTCACAACCTCTCGGTCTCTATAGCGAGTACTAATTTGCTCTTCCACCTAGTGCTGTTCTTGATGGTAAAACTGCAATACCCTCCGGACGACTTTGGGCACTGGCTATGTGGTCGCGCTTTGTGCGGCCAGGAGCTGTCCGCGTCGGCACATCGGGGACCATCTCGAGCGTCGCGATCGGGGCCTTCAAGAACACAGACGGTTCCGTCGCCGTGGTTTTCACGAACTCGGGCGGCTCAGCCCAGTCTGCTAAGGTCTCCTTCAATGGCTTCACCCCCTCAGCGGCATCGGCCTGGCTCACCGATAACTCTCACTCTGTCGCTTCGACGGCCGCTACGCTGTCCGGCGGTGCTGTGACGGTCTCGCTTCCGGCTCGTTCTATTGTGACGGTGAAGCTCACATAGGTGGCCGATGAAATGAGAGGCTCTGGTAGCGATGCCGGCTTCGTTTGATGTTCTGGAGGTCTTGTAAATATTCAAGTGGACTAATAAGTAAAAGTCCACTCATGGAATATAAGTGCAAATTGAAATGAACATGAAAACAGCTTTGTCAGGTACAAGACCTGCCCCATGGCTACTCAGTACTTGTGCAGACACTTGAAACTCAAGATAATAAAGATCAAGAGACTGGCTATTGTGAGGATCTTATTGTTTATCAAAGATATTCGCGAAACCCCTGAAAGCCCAATCTTGCTGGTTTTTTTATCAAGGCCGACAGGATATTCCATTCCAGCCTGTGGGATTGAATATGGACGCCCATTGACACCGTGGACTTGGACACGATGTGCCTGCCATCTGTTCCACGCTCAGTCTACACCAGTCCACGATTCACCACAAAAATCGTATTTCATGTCCCTCTGTGAGTGAGGTCAGTATCAGCTACTAATGGCTCTGAGGAAACCCTTGTGGTAAGGCAACAGCAGTGCTAGACGTACAATCAAGTTCCGTGGCTGAATCTCCTCAGGCATGTAATGATTCTCTTCGGTGAAGACAATGTAGAGCCCTATCATCCCATCAAGCTGGCCACTTTGAGGCTTTGAGAATGAGAAAATTTCTTTTCGGAGGTCCTCGAAAGCCTGAGGTACCTCGCTGGGGAGGTCGCCATCTCGCAGCTCCCGTTGTGCATAAACCATGAATCAACTGTACGTTATGTAGGCTGTATCGGAATTCTTGCTTGTGCAATGCGGAATAATAACACGATAATTGTCCTTGTAACTCAATTCGCGTATTTTGGAAACCAGGAGTTTGGAGATAAGGTCCTTGTCAGGGTGATCTGGGTAATAAGGGGGAACGCTGTCCGTCTCGCCGAGGCCATGGACGACAAGGAAGGCGTCAAGGGTAGACACCAAAACCTGGAAGCCCTGGAGAACGGTGACTGCTGGCAGGTTGATGCCGGGCGTTCAATTCTGTGCTGGTGGTATCTTGTTCAGATCTAGAAGAAATATCAGGCTAGGGTGACGAGTTAGGGAATAGCTTGAGAGATGAGAAAAGTTGATGTTTGCATGTGTGATATGTAGAGAACTAACTCGGACAAGTGAACAGCAGCAGCAGGCTACAGTCTACCTACCCTCATCATACTGGACAAGTGATCTTCGACATACCTGCTTGGTCCACAATCTCCTTTACGCACCGCCTACTGATCTCCTGTCGACTGTTTGTGCGGTCTGGCATGCAGAAGGTGGACCTTGTTGCCCCAAAATCCCGAGACGACTTTGAATGTAAGCTTGAGAACTTTCTTTGAGGCCTGATATTCAAATAAGCCTCAACACTTCCTCCGGTCACTCCAACAATCTGCTCACCAGAACAGATCAAAGCAGCACCCCCGAGCACCAGAGAACAACAATACCTTCCTTCAAGACAGATGCCATGGACCCTTCGGCGTCTAAGCAACAAACTCGTACCTTACCTACTTCATCAATCCTCCCACGGGGTGATTTCACCAACCTACATACCATCAACATGGACACCGATTTCCAGCCACATAACCCCCTTGATCACAATGCCGCGCTATGGCTGAAGAATGTGCCTCCTGGTTGCACCATCCGCGACCTGATCCGAGCCATCACCAGTGTTGGTCCAACCGGCAGAATCTTGTACACCAAGATCATGCCCCCGGAGCGCCTGAACCAGACTTGGGCGGCAAAGGTTGTGTATGCGACACGTGAGGAAGCACGACGGCTTCGAGCCCTGGCCCAGAGGAACTTGTTCATTATGGAAGGCCGTCGCATTTGGGCAGACTGGAATCGCCAACTCTCAACCTCTTTCCGGGCTATCGAGCCCCTCAGCAGGGTCGTGATCATCGAGGGCCCTTCGCACATCATCAACACCCGCTCACTTGAGAGGTTGTTCAATAGGAGGCTGAGAAAGTTTGATACTGAAGAGGTCCTTGTGGAAGAGAACTTGGTTAGGAATGGTTACTCAAAGCGTGCAACCGTTGTCTGGCGATTTGGAAGCTGGTACTACCAGGCAGAGACTGCTGTCGAGGTGCTGCAGGAGCAATACCCTGCCACGGTGGATGTGCGATACGGTCTCGATCCTTGCGCTTATCCTGCACCAGATGGATTTATTCCATGAAGTACCTCCCGAGGTTGTATCCAACCTACGTGGGCGACCGTAGGTACCTACAAGACGCCTGATACAACTGCGGTTCGCAACCCTTAAAAAGGCATACCAGAATTTCGGCCGACGACTTCTTCCTCAGGATTGGCACAGGATTGGAAAGACTATGCTCTGGCTTGAGCAATCAGCTGGCTGTGGATTAGTTCCGAGAGGGTTTCGATCTCATGGAAGCCATGATAAGGAGAATTGGCGAGGTTTAGCTGAGCTTCACTTCAGGCAGAGTACCTCAGCTTCCGGTTCAACTTTACTAATGAACCTACTGAAACAATATTCAGAATTCAAGATCTGTGCTCTTCTTTTCCAAGTAAGCTTGGAAATGGTGTTCTCCGCCTCCCATCACTTCCACAGTCCATCCATATCACCCAGCTCAATCTCGGCTTAGCTGATCACGACATCCTTCAGGAAGTCGCGGCTACTTCTAATCTATGTAGTAAATGAGCTACTACTGTGCCAACCTGATTGATCACCATCATCTCAAATTCCGTCCACGAAGACTTGAGCAGTGGGTCGTTCACGACCTGTTCCATGAGCTCCAAGGCTAGACTGAGCACCACGAAGGCCTGGTTCGCCTTTATGTCTCCCATCTTGAAGACTTGGCTCTGCCTTTGGAACCGAGTTGAGAGCGGTCCCACTATCACTGTGACGCTCGACCTTCGAGGTAATGGTTCTACCATGGCGAGGCTTGCCGAGGCACTCTGCGCCGGATCATGCCGGAAGCTCTGCTTTTCCTGTTGCTGCGGTCTTGGTGGATAATACGGTGAGATCGTCGAAGCATTGTAGCTGTGAGTCGGAGTTTGTGCAGAGTTCCCCCCTTGTTGCCCGGGAGGGGTTTGAGTAACCGAGGGATAAGGGCTCAATTGCTCCAGGAGACTGCGAAGCCAGGGAGACGCGTCTGCTGCGATTTGGGACTGTTGCAATGTTTCGTGACTGCGGGATGATTGTGCAGACCTGGGTGACGGCTCGCCTTTGTGTGGAGTTGAAGCCAATAGAGGGACTTTGGGCATCGTTGTTGCTGGGTCCATAAGAGACATAGATAATGCACGCCGGGGCGAACTCTCAAGAGTACCTCCGGAATGAGTCACTCGTGTGCTGATGTGCTCTGGTGTTTGTGTTGCGGCATTCCTCGACTTCGGCCCAGGAGTCGAGATTGAGGACGGCACAGAGGGGCTTTGTTTCGAGGCCGAAGCCGGTGATGGCTGGTCATGCTTGCTAGCACGCGTGACGCCTGAGTCCTCAGCCTGTCGATTGACGCTCGTTACGATCTTTGGAAGCTTGTCGAATTTCTTTCTGGAAGATGGAAGGCTTGCAGCTGCTGCTTGGCTATAAAGCAGCTTCCCCTGTGGACGAGGCTCTGGAGCTGGCAAACCATTCTGAATCACCGAATTTATGGCTTCCAGATTCACTGACACGATTTGGTTGTCCGAAAGGCTCGCTACTAACGGAAACCTCTTTCGAATCGCCAGTATGTGCCTTGCCGAGAGACCATCACGTGCATTCTTCTGTAGAGGTGCTAAGTTACGCACTTTCTCGTATGACTTTCGCAAGGCTTTCTTGGCGTATTCAAGAACCGCCTCTGTAGCTGGATCGACTGCTTCCATGGTAGAAATTGTGTCAAGATGCAAGCGACCTTTGGCTGACATCTTGAAGGACCTCGCTTCAGAATTGGTAGAGGAAACGCCCAGATGCCGAAGTCCTGGAACGTCTTTGAGGACGAGCGTCCGATCTGATGAAACAGATAGTTTTAACTCTGAACGGTAGATATGTGATGCAACCACGAGTGAATTGAGACGTGTGTCGGTGTTGAGGAGGAACTTCACGGGTGAAGGCGAAATAGATGTTGAGCTCGTGGGCTCATCGGTGCCACCTTCTCAGGAATATGCTATTCCTTCGCTCAGGTGGATTGTTCTTTCCAGTTTTCACCAGGGCATCTGTGGGAGCGTCTGATGTTCGTCCCTGCATGTGGCAGTCTCCAGGTAGACACACTGGTGTCTCCAGGAGGCAGGGATGGTCGACCTCGTGCCATGCCGCCTCACCTTCGTGGCTACTAGAAGGTTGAAGAGTCTCTGAATATTCTGTAAAGCCTCCGGGCTTTCTGTTGCCCTAATTATCGACACTACATTAGACGACTTGTCTAATGAGATACGTGTATTTCTGGCATATAGGTATATTTTCAGAATACCGTCTGGACAAAAATCAAAAGGCTGCAAGCTTTCTGACACATTACACACTGTCACTTGGTGAGCCTGTTGATCGTTGCAGTAACCTGCCTCAGAATGCCGTCGACTGGCCTGCATTGATATATAGTAACCGCTCGCGACAGTTGAGAAGCAGCATGATCTAGAGTCGATCTGGCTCCGGTAAATATAAGCAATTAGGCATAAATTATAGCGAAGAATACTCATGTGCGTAGACCTGCGAGTTTCGAATCAAGTGACGGTTGCACTAATAGCAGCGGCACAGGATCGGGAGATATACATACAACCCTGTCTAAATTCGCCGCGATACGCACTGTGAAATGACGGAAAAGCGTTTGTAGGCACAGGAAAAAAGTGCGACTGCGCTGAATGTTAAACGCTTTTGGTTGTGTTTCTCGGTTCCAAGGTCTATTGGTACGGGCGGGCCACTGCATCCCTTGTTTTCCATATGTTCACCTCGAGACGGGATTCGGGTCACTCAAAACAGCCATGCTTAGACCAGTCAGTTTCCATAGAATATGAGTTACTGAGTAGTGTCACCGTGCACTTTGTCGCCAATTGGTTCAATCTATCGTAGGTGGTGTCATGCTGTTTTCTGTGTGAGCAAACCACTTTGCGGGGCGAAGTCGCACCCGCAAAGAGTACAAAATGTTTGTGAGGCATAAAATCATCGCAGCCTCTGGTTTGCTTCAGGGGCACAGGAGGTCAATCCGGAGCGGTGAAATTCTCAATAAGGCCTCGTGCATACTTTTTCAAACCTTCATTTGAATTGGACCCCAACGTTTTGTTGAGTTCAAGGGTGCCTGTCGTGCATATGGGCTGACACTGCAGAAAGTGTACCCAAAGGTGACTCGACGCAGCTGAGTCGTGTTTACTCGGTAACGTTCTTAACGACGGACTCCTCTCAGATTAGCTATCTTCGTTTCCCATTTCTCCGGTTCATTACCCCATTCTCGAGCCCTCAGACTCGACTGGACTATGGGGAATAACACAATCAAAACGAGCTTTGTGGCCAGGCACAAGCCATCTTTACTAGTCCTGGCCTCTCAGGTCTCGGCTGCTTTCATCCATGGCATCGTCAAGATACTCGAGACGGGGCAGCGTCCTGTCCATCCCTTTCAAATACTCCAAGTCCGGCTCTTGATTACAGGCATCAGCTGCATGTTGTACCTATGGTGCAATGGCTTTCCCGATTTCCCTCTTGGTCCAAAGGATGTTCGCCCGCTTCTAATTGTAAGGGCAGTTGGCGGAGTATGTGGAGCTATTGGATTCTACTGTAAGAAACTGGCCCAGGACTCCGGAGGTGCCTTTCACACAGGTGAAGCGCTCGCTATGCTAACCGCATCTTAGTTTCGATAATTTATCTTACCATTGCCCAAGCTACGGCATTAAACTTTCTGGCACCCATGGGTGCGATGTTGATATCGAAATACTTCGATTACGGCACTTTCAGTCTAGCCGACAGAGCCGGTGCAGTGGTGGCCCTCGCAGGCGTGATTTTGGTCGTGCAACCGGACACTGTCTTCCATTTCACGGAGAAAGCAACAGGAGTGACATCTAGGAGTTCTCATGAGACACCGAAACAGTTGAAGGGAGTGATCTGTGGACTTGTCGGCGTGGCGGGTGGTGTCGTAAGTCTATTTGCTGGCATGTGCTGCCGTTAGTCGAACATTATTAAGACTAACGAGAAATGTGACACGCTAGATCGCTCTGGCAACTATTCGCCGAATTGGTCGTCGAGCTCATCCTCTGATAAGCGTAAACTACTTTGCTTGGGCCGTCGTTATTGTTACTACAATTCTGATTTCTATTCAACGATTGACTTCGCCGACGAGTTCGAGGGATTGGGCATTGTTAGTGTCGGTCGGGGTTTTCGGCACACTCATGGTGAGTCCTCAAGCACATGAAGCTTGCTTTCTCGGTTCGAATTTGACACCAGATTCTAGGAGTTCCTCCTCACCGACGGCCTCTCGAGCGACACGTCCTCCGCTGCCACTGTCATGATATATTCTCAGGTGCTGTGGGCACTAGCTCTTGACCGCGTTGTCTGGCACATCAGTCTGAATGTTTGGAGTATCATCGGGGTCGTAAGTGTCATATGTAGCCTGAGCTTTGTGTCTTTGGCGAAGGAAGTGACAATCTCTCGTGTTGCTCGTGGGATCCAGTACGAGACACTACCGGCCGGCGCCAACGATGCCACTCCAGATATTGATCTGGAGAGTCTTTGCGCCTCCGAAGATGACGACGAAACAGCTTCGGATGGTGTCTTGGACAGCCGATGAAAAGTTCATCTGCGTCGGGAACCGAGGAAGTGGCTGCTGCAAACCCGTGAATGAATAAGCCGCACCCATTAGCTTGTAGCGCACTTAATTTTACACACTACATCCAGCTGCTGCGCTTAAACGCCCCTCCGCGCGAGAGAGTGGAATGCACCGCGGAATGCACCGCGACATATTTAGGTGGCCACAGGAGGGTCAAGGCCTGGTCTAGATTCTCCTTGAATTTCCAAGAGTATGATCCCACCACAAGATTAAGATTACGTCAAAGTCATTGTGTACTACTTTCAAATTTTTGGGTTTCGAGAACTTGGAAAGTCCAAGTCGCGGAATTTGAGGCTGAGTTTCACTGCTAACCTAGGTTCACATGCCTTACTACTACGAGCATCCATAATAACCTACAATCACGGAAAATGATGGTTGAAAAATATGAGTAACAAGCAGTTGTGCACAATATGGTATCCACGATACACAGATTGAAGAGTGACGCCTTTGCATGAACAAATTGCTGATAGTGTGGGACTCGGGTTCTTTGTAACGTCCGGAGCCCGGTGTTTCCGCCTCCGTCATGCCGATTTGAAAGGCACAACGTCACTTGAATTGATGTGTTGGTGGAGCTTACAAACGATTTGGAGCTACGAAGCAAGAGCTCGTCAAATGATCATCGAGACTCGAAGTTATCGTGTGGTTCTGTTCCTTTGTATGGGCCACATGGTCCAAAGTGGTCAATAATTGAGTGTGTAAGGATCATGTCTTATCATCCGACTTAAGGCGTAAATCACTTGTATAAGTTCCTAAGGCAAGGCGATGAGGCTTGAAACTACCAGAATCTAGCTTCTCCAAGCTTGGACAGCACGGAACGAGCTACTTGAACATCATCGTGCAAATATGTAAGGGTATTCTGGACGACCACCTCAATGAGGAAAGTTCATCTGCCCCAGGTGCCTCAGACCGGTCCGAGATGCTATGCATGGAAGCCAAATTGATTCGGGACAAGGGATAACCGATCGCAACCAGTTGCGCTGGCGCTTGAGATGTTCCCCACGTGGTTTTCTTGCTGCTGTGAATGATGGATCTGTCAAATCTGCAGCGATCTGTGGGTTGATGAGATCGGTCCATCGCATTTCCTTGCCAAGACGGGCTATGCAGAACCTCAGTCGACGGATCAGGCTACGCGTGGCTGCTAACGACAGAGGATGGATTTCAAGCAACCAGGGTCAAATGGGGCTGACGGGGCTGTTGGAGGCTCGCGCTGATACCCGCCGATTGAAAGCGCGAGCAAGCACCAATTTCACCCTATGTTCTAATTCCGAGACCCATTCTTTTCACGCCCGTCACGTTGTCGTCTTTAGGTAGCCTCCGACCACCGACCTGTTGCGGCCTCTACACGGGGCCGACAGGTCCGCTTTTGAAGGGAGAAAGAACAATTGAAAACAATGTTCACCTCCTCAGGTGCACTGTTGCTCGTCAAAAGCTCAGAAAGATGCAACGCCACTGATTATTTCTTTGAGGACTTCTTTCCTTTTTCCCTCTTGAATTCCTCTTCTCGGCCACAGTAGACATTTGCACCCACAACATTGCGAGCCAGTAACCCAACCCGTCTTGAGAGCCGACCGGTATTTAATCAATCCTTCCTCGAAAGTCGACATTCCGAGCAGTATCAATATGGAAAACGGAGCTCAAGGCGGGCCACCGTCGCCCAAGAAATATTTCGCGATGACGAGGAAACCATACTTCATGGCCACAATTATGAGTGGGCTTATCCTCAATATTCTCTTTTTAGCCAACATGTCATACATTTTCGGATCGATATTCCAGAGTGTGCAGAGAACCCATGCTCTCAATGTTCTTCTGGTTGATTATGACGGTGGAATTGTCGGCCAAAGCCTGCGAACCGCGTACTCCAGTCTCAAGTCCAACTCATTCGTCACCATCGACGAGCAATCCGCCAGCGACTTCCATGACACAACGGCGATCGACAATGCTGTATGCAGGGGAGAATACTGGGCAGCTATTTACGTGGCACCAAATGCTTCTTCAAACCTGGCTCAGGCGTTGGAGGGCGGGTCGGCAGCTGAGAGCTACAACGCTTCCACAGCCTTGGGCGCAGTATGGTAATACTTTACCTTTTCTCTTACCCCATATTTGGCTTTCAATTCGAGCAATTATTGGATTTAGGCTTCATATTACCTATCGGAAAAAGAGCATCTGGCTGAAAGAAAGAAAACAGGAATGAAGTACACTACCCCGTTATCTCTCAAGGATACGTCTACGCTGGCCTACAGTCACTCCTTGGGGCCACGAGCTCCTTTTACTACAGGATCAATGGCACACAAGCACTATCTACAATGAATCAATCCGATCCTACTGCTCGAGCCGCTTTATTCCGACCCATCTCATTTACAACTAAAAACCTAAATCCAGTGGGAACTGGTGCGAAGGTTCTCTGGAACACGGCGACGATACCGTTTCTGATCATCATGCAATTCTTCTTTATACTTGCATTGAATGGTATCACACAAGGCTTCGACTACTTTGCAAAGATTCCTACCAAGACTCTGATCCCTATGCGCCTAGGTATCTCAGTCGTATACACTTTCATCGCGTCGTTGACGAGCACTGGCTATATTTGGGCTTTCCGACAAAACTTTGATGTAACTGGGAGTCAGTTCGTCGAGTCCTGGATGGCCATCTGGCTGACCAACCACACAAACTTCCTCTTCATCGACATCGCTACCGCCATCATTCCAATGGCTTACATGTCGCACATCATCCTCACCTGGATTATCTTGAACGTCACCAGCACGATCTTTCCGTTCGAGTTAAGCGCAGGTTTCTACCGAATAGGATATGCCTGGCCATACCACAACCTCTACGAGATCCTCGTCAACATATGGTCCAGTGGCTGTGTGAACAGGCTGTACCGAAACCTGCCAATCATTTTTGCTTGGTGGGTTGTCTTGTTTGGGGTGAATCTCTGGGCTCAGATGCGTCGATGCCGGCTTGCGAAGCAGCAGACGACGCTCGAAGGGCAGAAGCCGCCGCAGAAAGGTGGACCACCCGAGAAGCCCGGGACCGCTGATTCCTCCGACTAGGGCTACGAGTGGTTATGTCCCTGGCCTTAGGGAGCTCAGAACTCGGTCAACACCTGAATATACCATTAACATGCCATTTTGGCTTTCTTTAATTAACCCATTCTCTGCATCAATTGGCGTTTATGGTAGACGGACCCGGACAATAGACAAAATGAGATACCTGGACTGAGTTAAAAAGCTTAGTATCAATGTGGCGAGCAGGAAGGATAGAAGATAATCTTACGATAACAAACCCATGTCTACTGGAAGGCATTTTGAATGACAATACTCGATCTGTCTTGCTGAGTAATTATGCCAGTTTCTTCTTCGTCGCATAAAACCCGCTCCAGTCTTTGGAGGTATATGAATTTCAACTTGTGTCATAATATCAAGACGAGTCAATTGGCGAACAGACATAACTATGTAGTACTAGCATTTATGTGTTGCATTCGAGGAGGTGCAATTTGACACCTGTGTAATCGGCGAGGGAGAACAAGTGTCCGATGCGGTGTTTCACCTTAGAGTTTGGACCATCCCCACCGCCCGTGCCATTCATAATCGGCCTTCAACATTCTTCAAACGTCATGTAGACGCAGCCTGAAAGCCACTTATTCAACCTGTCCTGTGTCCTAACTGTCTATTCCAAAGCATCATGGACGCTGCTGCGGAGTCAGCCAGTAACCCATTCACTTGGCTGTCATCTCTTATTATGGCCCTAGATCTGTTAGTCCATCGTTTAATGACCCACATGTGGAAATGCCTGCACATGCTGACCATACCCTGTAGCAATTTTCTCATAACCTTCTTCTACAACCAGTTCCGGCGCCTGCCTTATCCCCAAAAGAAGTTTACCGGGAAGACGGTCATTGTGACAGGGGCCAATGTCGGGCTTGGTCTCGAAGCGGCGCGGCATTTCGTCCGGCTCGACGCTGCTAAAGTCATCCTGGCATGCCGTGACACCGAGAAGGGAGAGCGTGCCAAGACCGACATCGAGCGTACGACGGCCAGGAGTGGGATTATTGAGGTGTGGCCGCTGGACCTGTGTAGCTTCGAAAGCGTTAAGCAGTTCTGCCGGCGCGCAGACAAGCTCGACCGCCTAGACGTGGTAGTCGAGAACGCGGCGGTAGCCATGGTCGGGCCCCGGGCAACTCTGGCAGAGGGCTATGAGAGCACGATCACGGTCAACGTGATATCTACTTTCCTGATGGCTTTGCTACTTTTACCTACGCTTAGGCGGACCGCGACAAAACTCAACATTCAGCCGAATTTGGTGATTGTGTCTTCGGACGCACATTTTGTGGTACGCTCCAGTCCCGCGTACTTCCATATCTCGCCTCACTTGCGCCAGCCGACCTGCTAACATCTACCCTAGGCAAGTTTCAAAGAACGGACAGCACCCAAGATATTTGACGCATTCAAGTCAGCTACAGTGGCGCCTGACAGGTACCAGACCTCGAAGCTATTGGACATTTTTGTGGTCCGGCAGCTGGCCCAGGACATGTCCAAGCCCACCAGTAACAGTAAAGGTGTTATTCTCAACACGCTGAACCCGGGCTTCTGCCGAACAGCACTATTCCGTGATAACAAGTTTCCCGCGTCCCTTTTTCTAGCGTTTACAAGCAGACTTATTGGTAGGTCGTCTGAGGTGGGATCGAGGGTCATAGTGGACGCTGCGGCTGCTGGACCCGAAACGCATGGTAAATGGCTGGATAGCTTCGAGGTCAGGGAGCCCAGTGCATATGTGCGCAGCGAGGAAGGGAAGAAGATGCAGGGACGGCTTTATGAAGAGCTGATACAGATTTTGGACCAAGTCGAGCCGGGCATAGCGAAGAATATTTGAGACTATCGCCCACCGGTACTCCTCCCTGAGGTATATCCTTGTTGAACTCTCTCAGAACTCAAAGGAGCTGGCTAGCCTATGATTAATAAAGCGTATCACCATGAAAGCTGTGTAGTTATGGCCTGAGTCTTTGCTAAAAGAGAACCAACTAAGCTCTCACCATAGATCAAGTAATGATATGCCTTCCGAAGTCCTGGACATGCCGGAAGTTTGGGCAGCACTTTGCACTTCTGATGTCTTGAAATTTCAATATATTGATTAATGAAGTAACACTTCCTGGTAGTTGCAAAGGAATTTCGACATGGTAGATTAGCCGATGGCAGATTGTCCTATGGAAGATTATCCTATAGTTGATTGTCCTGTGATTGGTTATTCTATTCTCTGATCATCCTATAGTTAATTAACTTATAATATGTTATCCTATAAAAGACTATTTTATAGAAGATTACCCCATGAAAGAAGAAGGAGTTTTGGATGGTATTTGAGTTGACCTGTTCGTCCTATGGACTGCCATTTGCAGCGGTGTACTTAGCTCGAGATAGTATTGTGATAAGTCTGATAGTGGCGTTTGTTTTCTGGGCAGTCAAGTGGTCATTGACATTACTATAACCCCGTACTGGCAAGGGTAGATGTGAGATTGGTGCTCTTTATTGGCTTTGGACCTAAATCCAAGCTGCAGCAAGGGATTGGATCAAAGAACACTATGCAAACACGGCTCGTATTCTGTTTGGGAACAGCTATCACATAGACTACCAAGTTTTGTGCAGCGTGGGCTTTGAAAATGGACTGAAATAATTTCACAGGCACAGGCCACTGTAGGTGGCGTAGCGTTGGGTGGTCTGTGGTTTGCAAGTGACCTCACCCACTGCAGATAATGAGCCGTAGTGGGGTTGCCTGCCTGCCTGCCTGCCGCCTCGCCCATTTAATTGTCAACCGCGAACCGTGGACCAGGCGCGTCGTAGGGAAGGACCGCCACCACAGCAACCACGTCTCTCTCAACCAAATCTGCCCAGTTATGCTCAATGAACCGTCCACTCAGCCTCATATAATTGAAGTCTGGTCTCTTTCGCCTGGGGACCCTGCTTCAGTGGCGTGCTCGGGACAAACCTTGATGGTTCATCCGTCACCTTCGTCTGGCGACCACATGCAGCGCCACTGAACGAGCGCCGACTACGAGGGCGACGGTGCGAGAGCCAACAACAAGGCGACCATTCGGGTCGAAGCTGAACAAGTAAGTCCTCGCTGCAAACTCGGGCTCATTCGGCTGTAGCCTGTTCGTTTTGAGACAAGTGCTGCAAAAGATGCTTACGGGTCTTGTGCGACGCAGGCAACCGTCCACTTAACTTCCCCTCGGGGGTAGTCGCACACAAACTATAGCCGGCTGCGCATTGGTCTCACGCATCCTACAAATATGGACAGAGCCTCATCCAGCTCCGCTGGAGCGACTCCTCCCGACCTGGACGGGCTTCTAGATGACCTGGCAATTTCGAGAACAATCCTCGCCTCCCTCCAAGAAGGTCCGCAAGATAACGACAGCGCAAGACAGATTGCAGAGGCGAAGAAAGAGGTCGCTCGATTGCAGAAAGATATTAGCAGGGCTCGAGGCAACGCTCAAGGTCACACACATCCGGCGCCACCCACCCTCGTCGCTCGCACATTTTCTGACCTCGGAGCAGGCTCGAAGAGGGCGCCCAACTCCAACATGCAGTGGTATCGGCCAGAGGACTATGCTGGTGAGTACTATCATGATGCTTGACCTCCGTGTCATCCGCAACTATACTAAGTGGTCTTCTTCTATGCAGGCCCAACTTCTTACTCGAACTCCGAGAACCTCACGCCTGCCAGCGCCTCGCCTTCTGTCTTCGGTCAGAAGAAGCGGGCCTTCGGCGCACATCTCGACGACGATGCTTCCTCCAGCTCCCGTGTCAAGTCTCGAAGGACGACTCCAAGTCCTCAGCACACCGCGATTACTACTCCGTCTGTGGGAGATGACTTCTGGGCGGACGATGCTTCGATCATCGACCTGACTGGTGATGACACCGATATCGAGCAGCTTTTCGAGCAGCAGAAGGCAGCTTTTGCGCAAGTCGAGCAGGCCAGGGAGGATGAGAGATTGGCAAGATCACTCCAGCAGTCGGGTTCTTCGCCTGCGTCCCCAGCACCTACTGGGCCTACTGCCTTCGACAGAATCCTGGGTCGTCCATCGCAGGCATCGCAGGCATCGCAGGCATCGCAGGCATCGCAAACATCGCAGGGCCAACCTCAGCTCCCGTCTTCCCAGGGACGCGATCCATTCGCTCAGGCCAACAACAACACCATGTATTCAGCTGGACCAAGTCAACCAGTACAGCCCCGCATGCCAGGCTCTTTCGATTTTGACGACGATTATGACTACTTTGATCCTCCGGCACATAGTGTACCCTCCCAGTCCATTGGCGCGTACGGCGCGCCGACCTATGGTTCATCCCACGCAAATCTGCCGACTAGGGGTCCGCCCAATACGGGATTTCCGACTATGGGTGTGTCTCCCTTTTCCAATCCCTTGCCCGGCATCAACTATGCGCCAAACACTTCAGCCGCAGAGCTGGCAAGGCAGGCCACTCTTGCCCGTCACCAAGGCTATCTTCCTTCGAGCGGATACGGAACCACGGCCAATAGTGTTATTCTGCCTGGTTTCAATTCTGCTAACGGGTTCGCAGGTTACGCTGGTGATGTTTCCCCAATGGCATCACTGGGTAACCGACCAGGAACCCTAAATTCAGGCGTCTACGCTCCCTTGCAGACCTGGGGCGCTAACAATCCCTATTCAGCTGCTCCGTCGACACAGGTTCCCAATGGAGGAGGGTTTTTGTCTGATATCATCAACTTGACCAACGACATTGACTGGGCCAATGGTCTCGACGCTTTGGGCAATCCGCTCAGTGCCAATCTGAGGTCTTACTACGAAGATCTGCACGATGATCCCAGAAAAACTGCCGAGGAGATCAAGGACCTTCTTGCCAACATCCGACCTGACGAGGACATCCCCGAGGAAGACCGCATTGGTACCCCTGAGGCGCTCAGGTATGCCTTATATGCGCATCAACAACTTGCTCTCCAATGGATGATGGATAGTGAGACGGGCAAGAACCAGGGTGGCATTCTGGCCGATGATGTAGGTCCTTTTCGGGTCTCTTGACACACCCCCCCTTCAAACCCCCTGGCACAAGAAACACTAAAACTCTTGGACTTGGCTTCAGGGGCCATTTGGTTCCTTGTATATGCTTATAATACGAAGAGATCCAGACTTACTAACGAGTTGCAGATGGGGTTGGGTAAGACACTGTCAGCGCTTGCTTTGATGGTGAGCCGTCCCTCGTCTGATAGGATCAAGACGAACCTTATCGTGGGACCCGTCGCTCTGCTCAAGCAGTGGGAAATTGAGATAAAGAAGGTAAATTCTCCCTGTAACACCTTAGCCCCTCAACATACACTTCTTTACTTGTCCCTCAATACATACATTCTCAATCCCTACATCTGGTCTGGAGCGTGTTCTGTGCTCTGTCCCCCCCCCCCCCCCCAAACCCAAATAAAAAGCTACCCCCTTTCTTAATATGTGTCGTGAGAGCGGGTTTTGGACTTGTGCTGACAAATCCCATAGAAGCTCAAGCCGGCCCATCGTTTGAGCGTCCTGCTGCTACACAATAAATCGGCCAAATACGAAGACATCCGTAATTACGACGTAGTCCTGACGTCGTATGGCAAAGTCGGCGCCGAGCAGAAACGCTTCGAGAAGTGGGTGGAGCATCACCCCGGAGCCAGACCTGAGCGTGACGCAGATCTGGCGAAGAGCTGCCCGCTTCTCCATCCGAATAGCAAATTCTATCGAGTAATCCTTGACGAGGCTCAGTGCATCAAGAACGATAAGACCCTGCAGGCAAGAGGTTCATGCTCTTTGAGAGCCACCTATCGTTGGTGTTTGACCGGGACCCCAATGATGAACGGTATACATGAGCTGTTTTCTCTAATCAAGTTTTTGAAAATCAAGCCGTACCATGAACAGAAGGAATTCAACAAGACCTTTGGCAGCCTGACGCCCCGGACTAGTCGAGGTCGTTCTGCCGGAGAGTATACAAAGACGAAGGCTATGGATGCTCTTCGTGTCCTACTCAAGGCTATCATGCTCCGACGAATGAAGACTTCCACGCTTGACGGGAAGCCACTTGTGACGCTCCCTCCAAAAACGGAGGAAATCTCGCACGTGGAGTTCTCGGAAGATGAGCGGCAGTTCTACAATGACTTGGAATCAAAGACCAGGATCACGTTCAACAAATACCTTCGCGCAGGCACGGTCGGGAAGAACTACAGCAACATCCTGGTGCTGCTCCTGCGTCTTCGCCAAGCTTGCTGTCATCCTCACCTGAATCTAGATGTAGAATATGTGGGCAACAACGAGGTCTCCGAACAGGACATGAATGCACTAGCCAGAACCCTGGCACCCGACGTGGTTGCCCGTCTCAAGGCACAGAACGAGGAAGGCTTCAAGTGCCCCATATGCCTTGATGCCGTCATCGATCCAACGATCGTTCTGCCATGTGGACACAACACCTGTGCAGAATGCTTCACCACACTTGCCGAGAGGGCTGTCGACAACAACATCCGGGCTGGCGAGGAAGGTAGCACATTCAGATGCCCAGAATGCCGCGGATCTGTCGACCCGAAAAAGGTCATCAACTTGACCTCATTCAAAGAAGTTCACATGCCCGAATCGACGGCTGTGAATGAGGGTAAGCACTGATATCCAGCCCATCATCTGTGTGCGATTGCTAATCTGTCGATTCTACCAGATGAAATCGAGACTGCCTCAGAGGGAAGTGCCACGGCAGACGACGACTCCTCCGAGTCTGATTCGGACTCTGATGACGATAATGATGACGATGATGATGAGGTCGACCGCAATGGCAACTTGAAGGACTTCATCGTTGATAACGATGACGAGGAAGAACCTGCCGAGGGTAGTGATGATGACGATGACCTTTCCATCAATCGACGTGCCAAGGTCGTTGCGAAGAAGCCCAGGAAGAGCAAGAAGTCGAAGCGCAAATCCGAGGGCAGAAGCAAGGGCAAAGGTAAAGAGAAGCAGGAGGAGGTCAAACCTCACATGCTCAAGACCTTGCGAACTGAGGCTAGGAAGAACAAATCCGAGTACAAGCGGTACATGAAGTACTTGAGAAAGAACTGGATGCCATCGGCCAAGGTCTCAGAATGCTGCAAAATCCTGGAGAACATTCGAGAGAGTGGGGACAAGACTATCGTCTTCTCGCAATTCACATTTCTGCTCGACTTGCTCGAGATCCCAATCAAGTACGAGCTTGGCCTCAAATACTGCAGATACGACGGAGGTATGTCGCGTGCCCATCGGGACGCTGCTGCTCAGGATTTCCAGGACCCAAACTCTCGCACGAAGGTCATGCTCGTGTCTCTGAAAGCAGGAAACGCGGGCCTCAACCTTACTGCTGCGAACCATGTCATTGTCATGGATCCCTTCTGGAATCCGTACATTGAGATGCAAGCTGTGGACCGCGCCTATCGCATAGGCCAACAGAAACCTGTCAAGGTTCATCGCCTGCTGGTCGAGGGAACCGTGGAGGACCGAATCGCCGACCTCCAAGAGCAGAAGCGTAGGTTTGTTGACGCTGCTCTGGATGAGGGCGAAAGCAAGAATCTGGGCAGGCTTTCGACTCGCGACCTACAACGCCTCTTCAACGGAGACTAGACTGACACCAGAAGTCTGACTGGCAGGGTCCCATACCCTCCCGTCATTATCAGTTGTTCCGGTTTTGCTACGATTTCTTTTGTCTGCTTCTCCTTTCGGAGGGCACTGATTTATCGATACCCATGGCTGGTTTCCTTTGCTGCTCTACGGAATTAGCAAGGAGGGATAAATGTCACCCTATTTGTTCTTGTCTCTTACAAGGCTTTGATGGTCAGCCGGGGACTTGATTTGCTCTGTCATATTCTACGGTGGTCTTCTAGGGTTAGACTGCGTGTATGTCCTAACGATTGTTGTGTCTTTCAGATGGAAAAACTTGTTCTCAAGGGGGTTACGGGGCAAATGAGTTCAAGCATGGCGTCTAGGACTGGAATGAGTGAAACGAGCTTCATGTGCATCCTGTCACAATAACATGCTGCATTTCTAGGAATTTGGGGATTGCTGGGCTAGATAGATATGCTTTCACATCAAGACTGCCTCAAGGCTTACATATGAAAACTCACCTGTAATTCGTTGGCAGTGAAAAACAACAGTAGATTGTCTCTTCTGCATGCGCTCTGATTCACTTGCACACTTCATAATGCTAAAAATTGGCACGTGCACTTGAACATGCACAGTTGCATCGCTTCTGACGCAGCTAGCCTTTGAATTTCTTGGTTTTCCCCATAGAAGATCATCCAAGAGGAAAGTATAATATAAGCCTTTAGGGAGGATCCTTAGCGAGGTTATCCTTAGAAAGGTCATCCATCCAAAGGGAGGTTAGCCCAAAGAAAGGCATCCCAGGGCAAGTTGTCCCAAGAGAGGTCATCCGAAGAGATTACTCTGTGATGGGTTATCCTATAGTCAGCTGTTCTATGGTGAGTCATCCTGTGTTCAGTTATACTATGGTTCAACCCTTTTTCTTTCATTTAACTATCAGAGATATTCTGGCCGTAAAGCGGATACCTGAGCTTGGCCTTATTATTTCGTAAGTTCACAGCCTACAATATTTTACAAATGAAAAATAGGCGCATTCCTTCATTTATTTTATGGTAGAATGCCGACCATTGACCAAAACGCTGACCGGGTGGGTGAGTTTGCAATTGCCAAGCTAGACTCGGGCCACCGGCGATATTAAATCATGCACACAAAGGCCATCGCCCTATGAAGTAAGCAGCGTAACTACCAAGAAAGCATAGATGATGAAGGACCGAATGAGGCTGTGCAATGTATTTCCACCCAAACAGCCCCTGAGTTCTTTCATGAGATTCGAGATCGCGAGAAACCTCAAGATTTGAGCCAAACTCACGTCCGCAATTTTTCCATTGCGTCTCTGGGCTTATCACGGCAATCTCGCATCTTACTTTACAAGAGCTCATGGCGAGGCGCAGCAGTGTTGCGTCGGCAAGAGGAACAGCATACGGTGACCATCCTCGTTTCATTTGCCGAGTCAACTAGCATTCGTGGACCTAGCAGATTCGGGAATGAAGGCCGTAGGATGAGCTTCGCGGCAGTTCCCTGGCTTGACGATGGTTGGCTGATTATCTCCGGCTACCGGCATCCCGGAGAGGACGACGCGCGCCGAGGCCCAAGTCCGGTGCAAGTTCGGGACTCTTCCGCATGCTCGAAATCCGTGGGTCAGCTCAAAAGGGTCAACCCATTCTGTGACGAGGAGAATTCTTTACGAGAAGTCCTAGCTTCTGCAGCCGACGCTTTATACCAGAAGAGGCCTCTGGACGGAAGATTGTTTGGTACAGCCACCGGTGATGCTTTGGAAAGTGGATTCATGCGGATCTCTGAGCAGGGCCTTAATCTCTCGGCACGTTCCGACGTTCCCAGAACACCCATGTTGGGATTCCTGTCCGCGTTTCAACGTTTCAAGCCGACGCCAATGAAATTGCCCCCTGTTTATGGCAACGGCCCCATGCTCGCGTCTAGCGCCGTGTTTAATTTATTGCTGGCTGTGTTTCCTCTTCGGTTTGCTATTTCGTGCTGCTCTTCCCCCATCCGCTCCGTTCGTTGACGATCTTTGTCCGCAGATCCCGCCGGTCTCTCTTCAACCCACTCATTTGATTCATTCGCTTCTCAAACGTGGGCCGGCTCCCAAGATGTACCACTCGTTGATCCTTTCATTATCTGTTATTCCCATCCTGGGACTCGCCCTGCCGACAGCGCCATCGGCGAACACAAACACAACACCAACGCGGGGCCTCGTGTCTGGCGCCGCGCTCTTCAACACGTCGATCCCCAGAATAAACAATCTCGCCAACAGCACGAACCAATTTGACACGATAAACTACTTTCCTGACCCGGTGGTCAAATGCTCCGGACGCAAACTCGACGACGACAATAGCAACTGGAGTACAGACTTGACCACGGCGGTCACCGCGACCGACACGTCAGGCATATACGGGACGTGCGACGCGGATGGCTCAGAGGTCGACGGCAGCGGAAATCTAGCCTGGAAGAGCGGAAAGGTCCAGGTGTACTACTGCAATCATGGATTCACGCCCAATCCTTGCTCTGTAAACGAATACTGGCGAGCAGACGATCTCATCAACGACAAGTGCGGCAGTAATGGCGGCGGTTGGGTGTCAATTTCTGACTGGGGGAAGACGATTGGTCGGGATCCCACAAACTCTGATGGAAGCTTCAGATCGGAGTGTGGAGCAAGCTTACATGGTGTCAAAGCGAACGTTATTGTCAATGTTACCAGCACTTAGACCTTCTAGATGAAGGTCAAGTGAAGCTTGGGCGGATTACAAACGAGGATGGAGCTCCATGCCCCTTATCATTTGGGATATACTTCGAATAATTCACTAAATGAGAATCTGGGCACTCATGCCCAATAGTGCAACTAACATTTTTAAAGTGAATGATGCGCATCACTTCATTTACTTACATGTGTTTCCATTGTTACATGGAGGTCGCTGCCATTGCTAGATTATAGGAAGCTGGCTTCTATTAACAACTTGTTCTCGCTAGCAGCGAGGAATGCAGGCCGCTAGTAGAGTACGATCGACAACTGTCAACTACTTGCACGTTTCCGAAGCCCCGTGCTGAGGAGCAAAGAGGAATGCCAATTCGATCCACCGTCATATTTTACTGGCAAATTTGAGGAAGTGATTCAAAATCAGTCGTAATCCTCGGGCTGAGGGAAGAGTCTACACGTGCATTCAATCGGCAAAAGGCGTTTAGATCTGTTAGTTAGCCTTCACTAGTGGCATCAAACTATAGAGAATGACGAAAGAACGCTATGCATATTTTCAGCGAAAGAACAATTCACTAGTCTGATTTGAACGTGCTTTGTCACAAGGACAGCAAAGTTGAGGTTCGTTTGTCTAGACGCAAATGGGGCCTGATCTGTCCTGATTTGATGCCCCTTAAGAATGGGTCTACTCCCGAAAGACTCCTTCATTCGTTACTTTCGGCTGCAAGCCATCGGGATTGACTCAGTATTTCATCAATGCCTCTTTCGCCAAGCTAGTACATCCCACAGCGCGCGCCTGACCACCAGTCTACCTAGCGCGGGCGCCCACGTTCTCATCCGTGTGGCTTTCCGAAGCGCCTGAAGCTTTTCGTGCACACAGCGTACCAACAATTACCCATCAGCAGTTGATTTCGGACCCGGAGACGCCGAATATACTTCTCTGAGGTTTCGCCGGCATGAATTCCGACGATCTTGAAGCAACAGTAGCCACCGATTACGATCCTATCAAGAGCTGCAGCGATGTGGAGCTTTCTCGGTACATAGAGAAGCTGCGTCTAGCTCAAGATGAGAACCCACATGTCATTGAAGTCTCGGGAAGATACGTCACCAAGTCATACCGAGAAGACGAACTCGATGATACCAAGCAAGCTCTGGAGTACGCTGAGTCACTCGGAATTCGCGTCCCTTCCATCAGACGCATCGTTCGAACAGCTGATGATGTCTTCGAATGTGTTCAAGACCGAGTTGATGGTGTCAACTTGATGGACTGTTGGACTTCTCTGGGTTGGGTGTCGACGATTCGCCTAGCGTTCCAGCTGCGTACAATGGTGCGAAAGATGAGGAAAGTCACGTCGCCAACAGCAGGCTCACTTGGAACCGGAATCTGTCGCTCATTTTGGATCGAAGACCGTTACAGGTTGCCCATTAGCCCGAGCGCTAGGGTAATTGCCTGTGTAATCAACTTCTGGTTCAACCACACATCGTTCCGGCAAGAAGCGAGAAAGAAACCCGAGGATCATGCCACGTCTGTTGCCGGCCCCATCACAGCACAGCCCCTAGTCTTCACTCATCATGACCTTGCGCCACGCAACTTGATTCTCGACAACAAAGGATCAATATGGCTGGTTGACTGGGACTATGCAGGCTGGTATCCGCAGTATTTCGAGTACGCTGCCATGCATAACTTCATTCCGCCAAATACTTGGAGCCGTTTTGCCAAATACCGGTGGAACTTATTCGCTTGGATAGCGACTGGGCTATTTGAAAGGGAGCGGAAGATCTTAGTCACTGCACAGAGAAAGGCCATTCGATTTCCTGCTGCGCGTCGATTCAACATCAAAGCAGGAGCGACCCCATCACTAAGAACACCGGATGATTAATACACTATCCGCCTCGTGTGAAGCTGTGCTGGCGGTGTCTGAATTCGACTAGCGTTCATAATCAAAGATCACAGGCAGTCCTCTGTGGATTTGTCTACATGTTATAATGAGCATTTTCCAAAGCGGATCTAGTTCAGTGTATCGGAATATCATTTGCATTGCGGCAGGCCCGGAGCTTCCCACTACATACTCCTGGCTTAATAGCGATGATTGGATTCTACAGCTGCTGCAACAGGCCAGCGCTACCATTGGAAAACGAAAGCACACGATCTACTTGGAACTCAATAGGATTCCTAGTATTCAGTGGCCGGCTCTTTAAACATAATGTGTCTTTCTAAAGAGAAGTCACTTTCAAGACTAGTACCAATCTCAGCTAGAGGAGTCATGCTTGGTACATGTTGCTCAACTGATAATGTCTGGCTGGTCTCTCAGCCGTTACTGGATACATGATTATCACGCAGCTTCTCTGAAAGAGCCCTTTCCCCCTGATCAGTCGGCATAGTTGTTGCAACCCGATGAGATGAAGTCACAGATCCGTGACTTCTACATTCAAACCTCACCCTGGAGCCTTCCACGAATGGTTTTTCCAGGTCGTCCGTTTCCCATCCTGAATTATTAGTACTGAATGCAAATATTGTAACTTTGCATTTTCGTAACTGAGATACGGGGTTGGTGGAGTAAGAACCGCTCTAGAGACTTGGGCTTTGCTCTGTTAAAGCTAGATAAATGCTCAGAGCCCTCACTTGCCGCGGACCTTATTGTCAGCTCTGTATCACTAGGACTCGGCTCCAGGAGTGTGGAACGAACAAAGGAGTCTATTCCTTGCCTTTTCAAAGAAGCATGAAGCGGCATGGGGGATGACAAAGATAGATTAAGTATTCAGTCGGCTCAACAACAAATGTCTCACATCTTAAATAGAAACGCTTTTTCCGACGACAGTCCGTTAGACCCATGGCTATCATCGTTCAGTATCAAGCAACACGGAATCCCTCGAACATAGATCCTACTCATCCAACAATAGCTTCAACCGTATTACAGTCTGACTGATCTTCCATTCACTCGAAGATACTTATATTTGGGTTGCAAGCAACTACGTTCAATTGTATTTCCAAAACACCCATCCGATTCATCTTGTTGTATCTATCCAAAATCATGGAGACACCAGGATCCGAGCCCCTTCGGCTCTCGCCTGATATGGATATCGAGCGTTTTGTCCGGGTCCAGGACCGCAAAGTTGACTCAGGGTCACTGCAACAGGAGACAGAGTACGAGCGTGCGATCCGTGAACTGCGAGAAGGCGAAAAGAGGAGTGAATGGATCTGGTTCATTTTCCCCCGGGTTTCCGGTTTGGGCAAGCACATCAACAGCATTTTTTACGGAATAGCTTCGCTGAAAGAGGCTAAGACGTACCTGGCGCACCCTGTTCTTGGCCCAAGGCTACATGATGCAATTGAAGCTGTCCTTGGAAATGGAGACGACGACATCAGCAAGATCTTCGGCAATTCGGAAGAAGCCGCGAGGTTCAAATCTTCTATGACACTCTTTGCGCAGGTCTGTCTTGGTACTTCAGATGAGCTCTTTTTGAGGGTGATCATGAAGTTTTGGGGTGGGATTCGTAACGAGAAGACAGTACGGATCACAGAGTCGTGGTAAATTTTATCCGAAGGCCATTGGGTGGCAGGCAAATAATTATATGGTTTGAAAATAACAACACATTCTGCAAAATTGAGTCAAATTTGAAAATTTCCCCCTTCTTGCCTGTCCCTCTCGTGAAACGGACCCAGGACAGACGGTGACCCATTTGTAAGTATAACCTGATGGGCTGCCGACTGGAGATGCTAGTAGTTTTGTTTACCACAGCATTGGACAAATGGTGTATGCGGCAAGTCCTGCAGCCTGGTGATGGTCTATATTTTCCAATCTACCCTTTCTCCCCTTCGTCGACTATATCTCCACCAAACCCGCCCTTCTCGGTTACGCAATGGTAACGTCGCTGACGGAACTCGCATAGCGAATTTTCCGAATCCCTGTGAGGACAGCATCAGCTGATGGTGTCACCTGCCATAATCTACGACAACCGTAACTGTGACGAGGACGGTCGAAAGATCTACAACATCAAATACCCGGGCCTATCCAACCTGAAATACTACCAATTCAACGATATCATCAGCTCCGCGCGCTGCTGGTACTGATTTCAGCACACTCACATCAGCCATGAGTTCCTGGAAAGTCATGATGGATAGGAGATTGATGATGAGTATATTCTCTGATGGAATGTTTGGTATGGATGTTTCATTCTTATCATTTGCCGAATTTTGATTAGCCGTGGGAAAGAATTGCTTCCATTAGCTAGCCTTGGAAACAATTTGATTCTAGAACATAAAACGTGAATGCAGATGGCTTATGCAACCGTATTTAACACCGCGCTTGGTCTTCGAGCCTCGCCTATTTCTTGAATTTGTAACTCAGTTCGACTTTGATATGTCTTGGCATGTACGAAGCTTCAGTATCTAAAGAGTTTATTGGTCTGGTCGAGCCTAGAGTTGACCTTAAGTTTTCACGAGAATTGGGAAGCTGTGGATCCAGTTGATCCTCGACAGGGTGAGCAAAGAATCATTCTCTGGCGGCATGCGCAAGGCTGCAAAGTCCCGTATAGCCTAATCCGTACTCTTTGAACATCAGAACTGACTTTGAACTTGAATTTATGCCTGGGATATACTGATAGACCTGACAGATTCATTTGACAAGTATTTGACAGATTAACAGTGGTTCACCCCGCCGCCTAAGGCTCATGCCCAGCGGCAGCGAGCACGAGCTTGTGGTGTAAGACACGAGACAGATTGCGCCATCCCGATTTCAAATCCAATGTGCAACAAAATTGGAGAATCGCTCACCCGCGACATCCTCATGACAGAATACCCTGGCAACCCACCAATGTCTCGGTCTCAGCTCCATACGTGTCAGTTGCGGCTATCTGGGGCTGGTCAGCACCAGATACCATTTGCTGCATCGTGCATCACAACATTATTCGCCATAGCTCGCCCGGCTTGCTACATGATGAGAACTGTCTCCTATTAAAGGCCTTGCAGCTGCTCCTACCAAAGATCTAGCGACGCGTTGGAGTCCCTTCTGAGCGTTGCGTGTGCGTCCCCCTTGCTACCGGATGCCCCCCACATCTGAATATCATACGCGCCATACATGCTTGCGATTGCGAATCTCGAGGACGGCTGTACTATACTTGGCCTGCACTAGCCCCGTGAGCTTGAATCCATACAACGGAGTATAGCTACATCGACTCCATGCACACTCCTTGACTAGTCCGAGAAGAGTTTGCCATCACCCTTACAGTCCGGCTCCGCTTTCTTTTGTTGATCTCCGAGAGATAAGCTGGAAATATGTCGGGTCGCACATATAAGGGTACGAGCCCGTCGTTGTACTTGGATGATTCCCCGGATATCTACGTGCCGCTGCTCTCAGGGACAATGGCGACCGAAGACAAATCCCAGCACGACGTGCGCACCTCCTCGACGGATTCTCCACGTCTGGGAGGAACCAGTTTCGCCGACGACTCGGCAGGGAATAAGGCACCATGGTGGTCCTACTTTTGGGTGAGGGGACATCTCAGCGGCATTTTCGAAATAACAAACCTAATGGCTTCCCCAGGATTATGAACCATCGAGGACTCCCGAAGAGAGGAAGTTCGTCCAGAAACTAGACATTTCGCTCTTGACGATCCTTTGCTTCGGGTATTTCATCAAGAATTTGGACCAAACAAACATTTCCAATGCCTACGTGTCGGGGATGAAGGAGGACCTAGCCATGGACTCGAATCAGTTGAATCTGATAGATGTAGCATGGACCACGGGATATGTCATCGGACAACTGCCATCCCAGTTCATTCTCACCAAAGTACGACCTTCGATATGGATACCAAGCTGTGAGCTTGTGTGGACAGTCTTGACCTTCTGTCTCGCCGCCACGAACAGCAGCACTCAAGTCATCGTCATCCGCTTCTTCGTCGGGCTCGTCGAGAGTATCTTTTATCCTGCCGCCCACTTTCTGATCGGCAGTTGGTACAAACCAAGCGAGCTGGGAAAACGGGCTTGCATTTTTCACGCATCGTCGGCCGCGGCAGGGATGTTCTCCGGATACCTTCAAGCGGCGGTCTACACTGGCTTGAACGGGACTCTGGGGAAGGCAGGCTGGCAGTGGCTCTTCATTATGGATGGTGTCATCAGTCTGCCCATTTGTATCGCTGGGTATTTCATGATCCCCGACCTACCGGAAAACACTCGCGCGTTTTATCTAACCGACGATGACGCTGCACTCGCCCGAAAGCGGATGGAGTCCATCGGCCGCGCCCCACGCCGGAAGCTGGGCTGGTCGATACTGAAACGAGTTTTCACGCGCTGGCATGTGTGGGCATTGACGCTCCTCTACATTATTTTTATCAACACGGGACCATCGTCAAGTGTCAACCCGTTGCCTCTGTGGTTGAAGGCCAACAACTGGCCAGTGACGTCTATTGTAAGTCTTTGCGTCTACGCGCACGGCATTCCAAAAGTAGAGGTACTGACAATCACACTTCAGAACATCATACCCACGGCGCAGTCTGCTGTCCAACTCGTCTCGACTGTCAGCTTCTCCATATTGTCGGACTACCTGCGCTCCAGGCCGGCAGTCATGTCCATATCGACATTTTTCGGATTTCTGACAAATTTACTGCTCGCCATCTGGGCAATTCCTACCGGTCTCAAGTGGTTCTCTTTCTTTGCGTCGAGGATCTCGGTTGCCTATGGACCTTTGTCAATGACGTGGGCCAACGAAATTTGCGGTGCAGACGCTGAGGAAAGGGCAGTGGTGTTAGGAATTATGAATGCTGCAGGCTACGCATTCAACGCTTGGCTTCCGCTCTTGACATACCCGGTAGTAGATGCACCGAGGTTCAAGAAGGGTTTCACATACACAACGGTTGCATTTGCAGCACAGGCAGTCATCACTTGGACAGTCTGGTGGTTGTCCAGACGGGACCGGAAGAAGGTGGAAAAGTCCGCTGTTGAGGCGGCTGGAGTCACTGAGGAATTGTAGACCAAGAAGTAGATGAATGCCATTGACTAAACTACACTATCGCTTACGGACCAGCGCTTATGTTTCTTTCTCCGGCATGGAATGTTACACGGTCATGACGAATTAAAAACGAGTCGAGAATATCTGCTTCATCTTTCTAAGCCAGATTGAGTCTAGGTTACAAAACAATCTCATAAGTGTCCTGAGGAAGCGGCCAAAGAGTTGTCTTTCAGCCTAGGACATGATGGAAATAGCGCATTATATGCATCGACACTGAGGTCTATGACTTTGGCGCATACCTATGTAGTGGACAAAACTCCATCGAAATAGTTACCTCCGACTCATGACACAAGCAGAGCACTGCATCGATTGAGTGGCCTTGGTAAGGCCATGCACCTGGCAGTAGATACTTAATTGATGTGTCGTCTGTGGGTTTACACAAGCAGAGCATTGCCTTGACTCGGTAGCTTTCGTCAGGCCGTGGACCTGGCAGTAGATGCGCCATCCATGAGTTGTTTGTGGCTCAACGCAAATAATGCATTGCTTTCCGAATGCCGTGTTAGTAGCCCTGACTGGGCCATGTATGGAACATTCGATGTTCATAGGATCTGTCGAATCTGTATTGGACATTGTGCGGATTCTAATGTTGATGCAAGGTTTCTTTGAAAGTTTGCGCGTGATGAGCATAGGCTTTTACTGTGTGGTTTTGGGTATGTCCAGCTGAATCATATTGATGAGACAGAAGACTGAGTGTTGACAAGCAAATAGATGGAAGGCATCCTTTATATGTTTTTGACACTGGGTTGTGATACGGTCTGAGCAGTGATTGATGCGTTCTGAACTTAGAGTGAGCAACGTAATTCAAATAAGAATGATAGGCCAAGATTGGAATCATTTGGTTTGCTGCCAGCAACACACACGCATTGACTAGTAACGAAGGCGCCATAGAGCCTGTTCAGTGACCGAAAGCTTTTTTAATGTGGCCGGTCAATTTTCACGCAGGCACAGAAGCATCCATGGCCTCGAAATAGAAAAGAGCACAAAGTGGAAAAGATCGCAAGGATGACAATACTGCAAGGAATTGGGTAAGCATCCTATAGATACAAAGTGCACTTCTTTGCCTGAGCGAGTGATGATTGTGATGAACAGATACATATAGTATAACCGCACCTGAGACGAATCATATACACCGTACTTTGATATTTACCAGTACACAGAACCTACGTCGGTCAGAGAAGCCCGCCATTCAAGCAGCATTCTTCAATCCCCATTCCTCTTTGATAAGGTCTGCAGCCTTCTCGCCGATCCCATACGCCGGCATCTGAGTATGACCTCCGTGCAGAATGGGCATAACGCTGACATCTGCCACTCGCAGCTTTCTCACGCCCTTAACCTTGAGCTTCTCGTCTACCACCGCATTCTGATCGTCGCGTTTGCCCATGGCGCATGTACCCGCTGCGTGGTAACCTGCATAGACGTTACAACCAAGCCACATATGTATTGTGAACACAGGGGGAAAAGCGGGAAAGGTCTTACATGTGGTAGCGTTGTCCCTCACATATGCAATCCACTCATCCCGGGTGGTGTAAGTATGGTGTGTCAGGTCAGGTGGCCACGACCCCTTGATGACATCTTTGGTCCCTTTACCTCCCACTATGATCTCGTTACCGAACCGGCAAGCCTCAGCGAGAACCTCAACGTCCAATGGGTCTTCAAGATATCCGCAATCCACCTTTGGCCCGTCCAGGGGGTTTGTACTATTTAGTTCCACCGTTCCCCTGGACCGGGGCGAGAAGAGCTCCGCAATCATCGCAAAAGCATGCTTGTTGTCGACGGGGTATTTGTCATATTGCTTGGGGCCACCATAGCACTCTGTGTGGAAGAACTCGATGTTCGGCTGCTTGGATGTCAGGCCCATAGGGTCACGGCCAGGCGCCCTGGGAGCGGAATTCCACAACTGGGAGTCAGCCAGCCTGTCATCCAGGCGTGCGAACCCAAAAGAGCCAAATGGGAAGGTCGACAGGAAACCAGCCTTGCTCTCTTTCCAGAGCTTGTACGACTTTTCGAGGGCACCTTCGTGGTAGGCCAGATGGTCATTGGTCAGGCCCGGCTTGGAAACCTCGTAGAACATGAAGACGATGAGGTGGTCCATGAGGTTCTTGCCCACGCCAGGCAAGTCCACGAGAGTCGGAATATTCAGGGCAGCTAACTTGTCCTTGGCCCCTATACCAGATCTTTGTAGGATATTAGGACTGCAATATGCGCCGCCGCTAACGATGACCTCCTTGGTTGCCGTTAGATCAAAGGCCACGCCGTCTTCGCTCACCGCCCGGACGCCGGTCGCCACATTTTCACCGTCCACATCTTTAAACAAAACCTTGTCGACATGTGTCTGCGTTAGTATGAAGATATTGTCCCTACGGTAATCCTTGGTGATGAAGTCGGCCCCTGTAGTGCGAATTCCCCTGTGAACAGTGCGCGGTGCGTGTCCGCAGCCATGGGGATTCTCTCCATGCGAGAACATATCATCGTCCAGTGGAAGCCCTTTGGAGACCATGGATTCGATCACGAGCTTCGAGATGGGTGCTAAGTCGTGGGGCTCGGTATGAAGCGGTCCTTGGTAACCATGAGACTTGCTGTGTGCTTTGAACCAAGGCTTGTCATGAAATGTCTCGGCCTGGAACCATATGTCAGTCAGTATATGTGAACAAAGGAGAATTACCTAGGTAGAGCGCCTGGTGCAGAATTCCTAACCTTCTCCATGTATTTGAAGAATTCATCGCCACTCCATCCCTCGAGCCCCCAATCATCGTAGTCCTGCTTGGAGCCTTTGATGCAAAGAGTCCCGTTTAATCCAGAGGACCCACCGAGGAATTTGCCTCTGCTCAACTTGACTTGCCGTTTGTTGATACCTGATCCCTTCTCGGAAACGATGTTCCAGTCCTCCGGTCCGTCGAGGTTGTTGGCCCATCTGCATAGTGCGAAATTTAGCGTTCACTTCCAACAAGGTCATCAAGGGGCGGACAACAAATTTAGGGCACAGACGCTCCAGCCATATGCGTGTTCTCCAAGTTCTCATTGTCTTGTCCGGCCTCGAGCACGAGCACTCTGACGCTGGGGTCCTCTGCCAGCCTTCCTGCAACCACACATCCTGCCGTGCCTCCGCTGAATGCAAGTCAGTCGCTTGTTTCCATAGAATCAAGTTCATGCAGTCACTCACCCACAGACGATGAAGTCAAAAGCACTATCGGTATCCAAAAGGGAGCCCATGGTGTTGCCGGCGCTCGGTGAGGGGTTCCTGATTTCTGAGACACTTGTACTGGTTCTGTTGTTGGCCTCAGTGGAGGCTTGTCGCGATAGTCACGGAAGCAATTGGCGCGTAGAAGCCTTACAAGTCTCTCTATTTGGACAGACAAGAGCGAATCAGATAGTCACACATCCAGTGGAAAATCAAGTGGTGTGGTCAAGAAATTAGGCGATGGACAATAGTTGAACGCGTGCCTGTATAACCGACCCCCTCACGGCCTCGCCCAACCCGAGCGGACTAGAGCATTGGAAGCTATAAGCCGCTTGGCTGTTTGACCGGATGACCAAAAGGCGAGTTCTCCAACTCTTAAGCAAAAACTGTTCGGCTCAAGGACCGGCAGTGTATACGGCCCACGGGATACCTTGGGGATCCAGATGCGGAGACGATGCACGCCTAGGTCTCTATGGACCATCCTGGGCCAACCGACGGCACGGTCAAAGTGATGGGCCAAGAAGATATTGACATGCCTTTGAGTCGTTCACATAGTTGTTCAGGCTCTGGTCATAGGTAGACTATTTTCTGACTGTGGTCTTTTACCCACTTGATACCTTGGTGGGACCCTTAAGCGAAGAAAATCTTGACCCCTCATGACTGGTCATTTTCCACACCAATGTGTTGAGTTGACTATTTGTGTTTGAAGCCGGGAGAAGCGCAGTGCTTAGAGTGAGGATACTCAGTGAGGCAGAGCACAAATGAATGTGTGTAGAGAGTGACGAGAATTCTGTGTCTAATTCTGGAGCCCCACGGCGACTGCCTTGTGGTGGACTAGCGTTACCCCATAGCTCCGATAGCTCTACTCAGATGGCCACGTTGTGGAAAATTAGCCTTCGGCGCACTTGAGGTTTCTGAAGACTTGAAAATTATGTAAGTATGGACTTCTGGGAAATCCGAACGAGCCTCAACTTGTTGGACATTGGCATTGTCGGGTCTTATTACTAGGGCGCTAAGGGGAAGGGGCTGGAGACGGCTCTTCATTGTTCCCTTCAATTCGGTGCAATAGAGAACGGACCTCTCCACCAACAACTGTCTCGAGGCTGCCCGCGTAAGGCCAGCGCTTAACACAACGATAGTTCTGGCGGATATACTCAGGGGCTGGATCATTCCGATTAGACAGTCTGGCTACAAAGCCTTGATTTGGATCACACCGGTCCATCTTCGGGAGTCTGCCCTGCAGCTTTTCTGCAGGAGAAAGTCATTCATGGGCTTGCGGCTCCAAAAGGGTGACGATTGCCTTAGGAGCCGGGAGCTATTATAGCTCCCTGGACGCTATTTGAGCCGAGGGGTTCCCATAATCCGGAATCGAGGTCGTATCGTGGCGGTCGAGCCCTGATTCTGCGAGATGCGTGCACTCGGGAGTGAGACGCTGTCACCGTGAGTGGCCCAGCCACATTCTGGACGATGCCAGCAGCGACCGTCTCTCATCCTGCACGGTTACGTCACACAGATGGCCCCGCGATGGGATCGGCTGGCCCGCGCGTGGCAGGCTTGCGCAGGCTTGCGAGAATTGGTGTTCGTCGAGGCATTGTGGACGAAGATCCTGCGTGACCTTCAGTGAGAACGAGACCACCGGCGGTCCAGAAGCTGTGTCTCGCTCATCGCGCCTGATAAGGTTTGCGTTGGGCATCGTTGGGATGACTCTGGCTTTGCGTCTGGAAGCAGGCAGCGCGGGGCTGAGTGAGGGCAGTGAGGTTGGACCGACCCGACAGGACGCCCCACCCTGGGTTCCAACAAGCAGTGCAACACTTCGCAGACCTGCAGTGGGAGCCATTGCCACAAACACAGTGCTACAGTCTGCCTGCTTGTCTTCTCGAAAAGAGAAGACCCAGAGCCGCACGCACATGCAGCTGTTGTTCACAGCAGCTGCAGTTGGTGATAAATGTGGGCTGTCAGCTCTAAATACAGCAGAACGTGCCGCTGGATCGAGGGACGGGTCTGGCCTCGGGCCTGGCCTCCAGAAACAAGACCTATTCCAAGATCCTGCCCGTCGACTCGACATGAATCCATCCCGGAATAAGGCGTTTCCATGCAAGGACGAGGCACGTCCGACCTGAAACACGCACTCACAGCGAGCACAACTTTTCTTGGGAGCTCGAGGATTTGCTGTACAACACACAAGAGACAGACCAGACAGTTTCTTGTCAGATCCAGCTGCACCAGCTGCAACGGCACGGGCAGGATCAGCTGTCAAATGCTCGCACACCACCCCCCATCAGCCTGCGATCAAGTGCTCTCAGCCCGCCACCACCCGCCCACTCACACCAACTTTTGACTGGCGCGCGACTCGATAAAACCTGTCAGACTGCTCGCTCCCGGTGGTTAGCTGTTGATGACACCAGGCAAGCAGACCCTGGCATGCCTGGCCATGATCGCAGCGTTGCAGCGTAGCATAGCAGGGCAGCCAAGCCGGGGGATTCCAAGGTTTGGTCTACCCGCTTCCCGAGGGCAGAAGCTCGAGAGCGGTTTTTTCTGTGCACTCTGCATGAGACGAGACTAGACCGCCGTCGACATCCACGACGGACGAACCAGACGGGATGAGCTTGAAGCATGACGGCTGAGTGGACGGCCTGCCTAGTAGAGAGGAGCCTGCAGCAAACGGCGTGTGTGGGTGTGCATGGGCAGACGCTGTCCAGCTGTAAGATGACGACGTAGGTTTGCACTGTACTGTGTATGTGCCCAGTCACAGCCCGACAGAAAGGACAACCAGACTCGAGCAGGAGCAAAGCAGGGAAGGCGTGGCAACGGCCCAGAAAGTCCCTCGATAGAAGTAGAAGTAGAACTAGAACTGTTCCATGCCGTATCGAACTATACCGTACCATACCGTACCGTCTTTGCCCCGTTCGCGATGCAATTGCACATTCGACCCGTCCTCTGAGCCGCGAAAGCAGGAAAACGGAGCCGGGAGCCTGGTCTTGGGCCTGGGCCTGCTCTCTCTCTTTCTCATTCCCCACCGCCAGTAGCTCACGCAGCCTGGTGCATCTCTCCTCCAAGCCTGCCCACTTACACGGCATCTTGTCTGGTGCAGTCCAGCTTCACAACGTTAAATTCATTCTTCATCACGGGCAGGACGAACGAGCAACAAATCAGACAGAACACAACATACCAGACCAGACTGGACCAGGCCAGGCTAGATCAGATCAGATCAATCAGATCAGCAAGACCGAGGCTCGGCTACGCTATCAAAAAATACTCCAGTGCTACCACCACCATCACTAGGTTGCCAGTCTGACAGCACGCCAGCCACAACTCCCGGATTGGCGAGCTCGTCCAGACCAACCTTGGAAAACCCTGGAAGCTCCACGGGTGACACAGTCAGTCACACAGACACAAGACGCAGACGCAGACGCAGACGCACACACAGACACCGGGCCTGCCAAACTCATCCCATCCCGTCCCATCCCCGTCCCCCCGTCTTCATCCCTCCCATCCTTGTTCTTGGATCCCTTGTTCCTCATCTGCTTCACTTATTTTTACTTTGGGTCCATCACTATTCCAAGGTTATCGGCCAGCTCACCATTCCTGCCTCGTGTCCTGTGTCTTTCTGCGCCCTTCTCCTTGTGCTTGCAATTGATTGAAAATCCGGACACAGAGGACCAGGTATAGACTGGCCCTGCTTAGCCCAGGAGGTGGTCTAGCCTCTGCATTCCGTCATACATCATCGCTGCTATCTCACTCATCGAGGCGGGGAAACTGGGAGCAGGCAGCCCATATCAACACTGTACGGCCCTGCGCTGCGCTTCGCAACCGACCCCACCCCCCACCTTTGGGCCAGCCTCCTCGACGCCAGACCTGACCAGCACAACCTGGCCAGCTACCCGAACAAGAACAACCAGGATCGCACCGAGACCACGCGGGCGGCCGGTAACTCAGGCGGCACGACCGCTGTCTAGTGCCTTCTGCCATATACCCTACATCCTGCGCCGGTCGTCTCACTCACACACCTCTCCCATTCCCTCACTTGTCCTCCACCTCCTCCTGAACAATACATACACCACCTCCCAGGGACGGGAGACGAGACCTCCAGGTGACCTACCCTGCCTGACCCTGCCCTGACCTGGCGTCTGGCCCTACCTGACCTAGGTCATACGTCTCTCACCTGTACAGAGCACCCTCCTAAGGTATAGCTTTCCCAACCTACAATAGCCTCTATTGCAAACCGACAGGGCACTGACCTCTTCCCAAAGTGACGGTCTCCAAATCTCAGCCCTCCATCCGAACCCGTCCAGCCTGTGTCGATCTCCCGTTTGCAACCAAGCACCCAAGCTCCGGCCCAGACACAAGCGTCATCATGCCTGAGACCTACCGCCGCTACGAGGAGCGTGACACCTACTACGACGATGAGCCTCCAAGGCGGAGACCACCTCCTCCCCGCGAGGAAGAGGTCTACTATGAGCGCAGAGAGGAAAGAAGGTCACGCACACCCCCTCCTCCCATGGCACGGCGCAGCGATGTTCAGGTCGCCGTACGGGAAGAGGTAGAGCGCGAGTCCAGGGTGCCCCATTTCATGCGTGAAGAATCCCGTCGCCCACCTGAGGCAGGCCCCTTGGTCCTGCGCCAGCGCGATGTCGAGACAGTCGAGCGAGCTCGGCCCCGGCCAAGATCGCCTTCTCCCGTTGTGAGGGAGCGCATTATCACCAAGACAAGGGCAAGGAGCGTGAGCCCCGGACCGCCTCCACCACCGCCACCACCAGAGATTCGTGAAAGGGAGGAGATCCGCACGCGGATCGTCGATCACTCCCGAGAGCGCGTACGGAGCCCCAGCCGAGGGCCGGCCATGGACAGAGTGCGTCTCGGCACACGTATTATCGAGCGACCTGACCGTTCGCCCAGCCCACCCCCCGTCATGGAGCGCACGCGCACGCGAGTTATCGAGAGGGAGAGGTCGCCTTCTCCTCGGCCGCTGCCGCCACCTGAGCTTGAGCGGAGCAGGCTCAGGATCATTGAGCGGGAACGTGAACGGGCTCCTACGCCCAGTCCAAGTCCCTCGCCTCCTCCACCTGAGCCGCAGGTCATCAGAGGTCCTACGATTGAGAGAGAGGTTATTACACACTACAGAGATATCGATCATGGTAAGTGCACTCATAGCCTTCGGACATGAAACGTTCCATAACCTCAGTTTCGCCAACGTGATTGCAACGAAAACGAAGAGAACTGCCACTAACACTCTGGTGCAGGCTTGGTTGTGGCACGACCACCTTCTCCTCCTCCACCACCCCGTCGTGTCGAAAAGCGAGAAACAGATATCGACATCTACACCAGTCGGAATGAGACCGAGATCGACATTACCAAGACACGGTCTCAGTCACGCTCGCGTGCCCGTTCAGTGTCCCGAGAGCGGCCTAGGGTCTCGTACGACCCGCCTCCACCCCGCGACCACTCATACTATCATGAAGATGATATCATGATCTCCAGTGGACGCGACAAACTGAAGGTCGACATTGAACATGAACGCCGAAGCTCATCGGCTCGGCCGCGCTCACACTCCGCGGCACCAGGCTACGATGATGAGGCGGACCTGATCAGGGGCAGAATCGATTCCCGCGGTCGCATGGGTGAAGCCTGGGGAGGAGCCACTAAGGACTGGGTGGTTGTCGATGTCCCACCTGGCACCGAGAGAGTACGCATGGATGGCGTCGGTGGTGGCGCTGCCGAGGTGACCTGGCAGCGGTACAATGGTGCTCGCCGTGCAAAGTTCATCCCTGAGCGTGCCAGTGAAAGTGCCCTGGTGCCATTGTCACCGCCGGCTTCATCGTCCACGACGGTCATCTCTGACCGCGATACATACGCTCCTCCCCGCGGTGACAGAGAGCGTGATCGTTTGAGCGTTCAGATCTATGACAAGGAGCGCGAACGAGATGTCGAGGTTGAGAAGGTGACTGATAGACGTATCAGCCTGAGACCTACACCTCCGCCGCCTGCACCAATGCCCAAGACTCGAGACATGTGGACCGAGGTCACGAAGGATCTTGTTGTCAGAGAGGCCATCGAAGAGATCGGTTACGACTATGAGGAGACCGAGCAATTCTTTTACGTGATGCAATATTTGAAATATGTAAGTCTATTTCTCTTGCCCGACCTGCAAAGATTCGTTGCGGTCCGCTGACCCGAGTGTTCTTCTAGGAGGACGTCCTTGAACTGGTCGAGATATCGGACCGCATCCGAGCACGGAGAAAGGACCGTATCCGAGAGATCCAGTTTGAGCGCGAAGTTCGCGACGACTGGGAGCGCGATCGCCGTCATCACCGTCACCGACCCAGGTGGGAAGACGAGCGAGAGAGGGTTGTTGAGCGAGAAGTCGTGTATGACACAAGTCGACCGAGAAGATATTAGGCGACGACGACACGGGCGCCTTCCCACAATGTGTTCACATGCAACTACAATCCTTCCGAAGACCCGACATGTACAACGATCACTCAATTGATCAGCATATTCTGGACAGATACTTGTTCAATCTTTGGATACGATCCTCCGAACATAGCAGAGATCTGGAAAATTCGCGTATCATTACATAGACAGCGGTGGATTTCTGATGGCTGTGATCTATTTTGCCGTCCCTGTGCGTTTGGTTCCTTCAGCCTGGATACCCTGACGGCGACTCTTCCTCACTTGCAGATTGCCTTGACTACAGAAGGACTCTATTTTCCCACTTGGTGGATCAACAGTACACGCTTGTTGGTTTAGTTGCAAAGCGCGAAGCATAACGGCATGACGACTAGGGATATGAAAGTGAAAGAAGAGGATGGATGCTGGTATTGGGAACGAGAAATGATGAAGAGACGATGGCATTTGATTTCCTGCTATATAACTGGTTTTGTTTTGATCCCCTTGCATGATGCGCCTGGAGCAGTCTCCACGTGCATCGCAATCATTTACCGCGATCATCTGACGAATTCATGATCAAGAAAAAGTTTGGGGACTCATGACAGCGGAGAAGGACAATTAAGCAAGAGATCGACTTGCTTTCTTTCAGCTGGGCGTTCATGTACAGAGGTTTATCTTGCTTATGAAATTTACGAAGTCTACGACCATTCATTTCACTTACCTATCCTTAATGGCTTGCATGGTCTGGCAGCCCGGACGTCACACTGGCTCAGTGTTGTTCGCGCTTCACTAAAACCCCGGCACGAAAAGCTGAGGGTGATCCACTGTTGAGCAGCAAAACAAAGACGGCTACTGCAGCTTGGCCCCTGCTTTGTCACCAGTTTTGCTCTAGGTGGTCGAAGGAGGGCAGGACTGCATACTGGCTGATTGATGCGGAGGCGCACGTTGCGTCACCACGCAGGTCAATCAGTATATGCTCGTGCATCCCTTATGTGTCTCACGCTGCTCGATGAAATGGGTTTACGGGACCACTACGCCGTGGACACTCGGCTCTTTTGAAGCTCTCGTCAAATAAATCCCTTTAGACGCAATGACAGTGCTGACTGTCACTCAAAAGGCGAACATATCTGTAAGTTACTGTGTCTACTCCGGCTCTAGGCAAGCCCAACGCTGACTATGTATGGCTTCAATGTTTCAAATAGGACAGGGCCTCCAGACTCATCAGGCGGTCGATACTAGCCATTTCGAATGTGACCACATCTCCCTATTATAGATTTTATCGGCAGAACACTCTTCTTCCCATTATTCGCTTGGCCAAGAGCATAGAAGATGAGGATTCCGCCGACTCGATATCTCAACGCTTGCGCCAATGGCAGACCCGGAAGCTAGATGAGTACAGATTTGTGCAGCTCTCGGTAAAACACCCTCCTCCCAGTACTGCCTTATCAAAGTCAAAGTCTCCCCCTTCTAACAATGCAGCCCAGGGGAGTCTACTCGCCGCCGCGGTCATAGGCTCTTTCTCATGGCCGATCCCAGACACAATCCATTGGTTGGGTCCGGCATCGTGGTATGCATCGCTCATCATGTCCTTCTGCGCCGTCCTCCTGTCGTCGTCCGAGCACTTCCTTTACGCCGCAACTAGAGATCACGCGAAGCATCCAGACCTCAGGAGGAGGCTGAATATGGTCTTGAAGATCAGCGGGGGAGGGCCGGGGGACCTGCTGCTGCCGACGACGCCTCCGCCCAGTCCGGCCCAACCACAACCGGTGGCGCAGAGCGCCAGCAATGCCCAGACGCCATCGGCGGCGAGGCTGCAGACGAACAAACCGCCGGTCCGAGCCCGAGTGCGGTGGAATATGGTGTTCACGTGGCAGGCACCTATGATGCTCTTGTCATACTCGCTGATTGCTTTCGTTGTGGGCTTGACGATATGTGTGCTCACGCCGCTTTATGATGGCCGGGACTATGATGACGCCTGCAAGGTTTGTCTTTTCTCTTTTGTTTCTTGATTTACTCTCTCTAATTTGTACTCCCCGCATCTTCGTCTACATTGCTCTCCGTGATTACGTATGAGTGCTGAATATGGCACTTGAATAGGTTGCAATACTTTATATTGTCTTTTCCGTGTTCGCTGGGAGTACCTTTGTATGGTGCTCCTTTTGGGAGTATATGTTTGTTGATCTCGATGACCTTTAAGAGGAATCAGCTGGTATCTCAAGGTATTGACCACGGACAGGCCGAAGGCCACATGCAGGATTGTCCATACCTGGCCACCTGGGCAAAGCCATGATCGCTCATCTTGTCGAGTTCTCGGCTTTTTAATGATTTCATGACCAACCGTGGATAATGTCACGGCCTTTGTAACGTATTCGACGCTGGCATGGTCTCAATCGAGAGAGAGGTCTCGGCATTATATTCGGTCAATATTGTTAGATTGCACTGATGCAGCCTGCAAGCTGGGATACCTTACGTCCACATCGTTCAATAGAGAGAGGTGAAGATAAGCATGTTCGATCTGTAAGGCTGTGCTTCGTTGGGATTGGCGTTTGCTTTTTCAGTTTTCTGCATTTCCAATTCCCGAGGGATAAGCCCTTGGCAATGCATCTGACCATACATGGTTGGATGGCAGGTGACTGGTGCTCGAGAAATCCTCAGCTGCACCCATTAAGCAAGGATATCAAAGCTTTCTGTCCACTCACCCTCCTCACCGACCCTTTTGCATCGGACAGACCCAGACCGTGGCCGCCTGAGCCGCGCTGATGTGTAAGCTATATGCAGACTCTTGCCAATGCAGAGAACGAATTACACTGTGCAAATAATTGTGTTGGTGTAAGTGAAACGAGGCTGTATATGTGGGCTTTGGTGGTCTAGAGGTGGGTGGGCTACGGTAAATGGACTGTGCAATTAGTTCTCCGCGCCAATGCAGCTATGCAGCCCACATACTCCTGGGGCTGTCGTACCAGCACAATACCACCCTCTGAGGATGGGCACGTTGATTCGTCTATCTTATATTGATTTGTGCCTACGGGGAATGCAACCCTACGAGAGGGACGTACAGGCCGCAGTTGTCATCAAATAGTGGGCAGTGGTCATCAAATGTAGAGCACCCATTCACAAACGGCTGAACGAACCGTCCCACGAACATAAATAACCAGACAGAAGACCTCTGAGCGTGGGAGCTGCAGGCAGCAAGCACCATTCAATCCACGACCTACACCGACTCCCCAGAAAAGCCCCAGACAGGGAGGCCTCACCATGGATCAACTGTGGCGTGATGTCCAGCTGAGATTCCAGGCCAATACCGGCAAGCAACTCAATTTCAAGCCCCCGAAAACGCTAAATGACTGTATCGAGGCTATCGAAAATCGACATCTGCTAGTGACTCCAAACGCTTCTACGAAGAAGCCAGGAGTAGACAAGGCCAAAGAGTATGGCATGGATATACTACACTGTCTGAAGCTGTTGGGTGGTGTGGCCTCCCAGGCACTCGGAATGGTATGTCTGAAACTTGGCCCATTTGAAGAAGGAATCCAGCTGCTGACATTTGAAAAGGTATTCTCACCGTCAAGCCTTTGCTTCAACGCTCTCTCGCTGCTTCTAGATATCCCGGCAAATCTCCATAAGTTTCACAACGCAGTAGATGGCCTGTTTGAAAAGATCGGTCCTGCTCTCAGCATGTTCAAGATCTACGAGACAGTTGAACAGTTTGATTCCATCGAGTCCACATTGAAGCAAGCCATTCATGAGCTCATGATCAGCTTTGTGGACATCTGCTCGTTATATATCAAGATGCGTGACTCGAACAGATGGGAGAAATCTAAAACCGGGCTGAAGTTAATTTTTTTGGACAAGGATTCTGGTATCCAGGAAGAAATTGACAGATTCGAAAACCTCACCAAGGCCCACCACAACATCCAAGGAACACAGACGCTTAAGGTAGTCCTCCAAACCAACAGCAACGTTGCGAACTTCCTCGAAAAGTCATCGGAAACCTATGACATCCTGAAAGATTCAGAAGATAAGCGCAAGTCCGACGAAGTCAGACGGAAGCATCTTCGAAACATCAAGGCAAAACTTGGTTTAGAGGATGACAGTGTTGTGAAGGCTTCCAAGGCTATGAGTGATGAATTCTATCGCAATGCAGTGCCTGAGACAGCGAGCTGGTGCAGGGTTAGCGACGAGCACATGGACTTCCACAAATGGGTGGACCGGAACGACGCTGATGCGAACTCACTGTTTCTGCTAACCGGCGAATCCAAGACTGGAAAATCATTTATGATGTCGTGTGTCCTCCATCAACTCCGTGCTATTTATGAGTCGCCGATCAGCTCCCTCCGTGACACCTCCGCCAGGCAATCACCACGGACCTTGATTGCCAGCTACTTCTTTCCCAGCAACACCAAAGAGACCGACATGGATCGACCAACCATTGAGACAGCATTGAAGTGCATTGCTGTCCAATTTGCCGACGCAGATCCTGCCTACGCTCAGAGAACGTCAACAGAACTCGACGGCAAGGCAGACGCAGGGACGTTCGTCAAAGGGTTGTCTCCTCGAGAACTCTGGGATTTCCTGGGCCTCGGGGCTCCAAAAGGAACGACTGCTCATTACCTGATCATCGATGGACTACCAGATGGGCAGCAAGAAAAATGTCTCGGACTTCTAGGAGGACTTGCCTCTCTCCCTTCCTCGGTTCGACTCATCCTATCCACGGAACAAGACATGCGCAAAAAAATCAGGAATATCTCCTCAAGGGCCTACAACCTGGAAGTTGAAAAGTACAGTGAAAGAGACATCTGCTCTTATATTGACCGTGAACTGAAGAATGAAGGCATTCTCCAGGACCAGGACGTTGACTCTGCGAGGCTCCGAATGATGATCGAGAAGGATTTATCTACCGGAGTGAGAGGCAGTTACTTCCGAGTGAAAACCGCACTGCAGAAGATCAAAATGGCTATTGCGGCCTCCAAGGGCGAAGACGCGATCCAGGGCATACTCGATGAGGCGAAAGAGAAGGATGAGCAGGGAATTTCTCAAGCCATGATTGACGCATTGAAGGATAGGCTGACTGCGAGAGAAATCTATGAGTTGAACGAGATTCTAGTGTGGGTCATCTTTGGGTTCAGCTATTTCAATATCGAACATCTGAACGCTGGGCTGGTGAGTTCTCACCTGCTCGTCGGTAAAATAAGTGAGCAATTCACTCTAACACAGATATCCAGTTTCTCTGTTTCAAGGAGCGCTCTTATCAATCTCTTGAATCAAAGCTGGCGGGCAAATACGCCAATATCTTCGACACTGGGAGCAGCGGCTCATCTGATATACAGGTCACCGATGACATGAGACAGCTACTCACGAAAGAGAGAACAGAATCGCGGCTACAGAAGAAGGAAGATCTTGCAAAGTTCAGTATCGAAATCAAGATCGAGAAGGCCGAGTTCAAAGAGGTACAAACGTTTCTTTGGAGCGTCATGCAGAAATTGACACAAGAGCAATTTGCCTTCGAGAAGCGGGAAGAGCAGGCAGTCGCCAAGGGAAACATTCAAGTTAACGAGTTTGACTCGCATTTCACTATCGTCCAGCGAACGTTCGCTCTTCTCGCTGCAGAACCGGACAAGAGATCACAAGCGTTGGCACCTTATCTTCTCGACTACCTTCCGCGACATCTCGGAGTGCTGAGACAAGCAACTGGGCTGGACTTACTCACTGATGCACAGAATAGAGAGATCGGTGATGGCCTGTTCTCTCTATTCGAGTCAGGAGAAGTCATTGCAAGGCATTGGGCCAGCTGCGATGAGCTCACGTGGTATCGAAATCGTGATGAGCTCGATAATTTTCTAACATGGCTGAAAGACCCACTCGTCGTTGGTCATATCCGGCGCGTGGGCAAACGGAATCGAGACTGGTTAGACCAACTTACTCAGAGTGATGGGGATTTAGATCCGTATGGTGCCTTGCTTAAGGAAGTGATGAAAGTCGTGGCTCAGCATTGGTTGGAGAAAAATGAATGGGCAGTGCAACAGCCCTTTCAGTGGCTGCAGGGCTTCATTGCAATGGCTTGTTTCTCTCACTTTGGTCTCTCTGGGCTTACCAAACGCTGACGAGGCATAGAATAAGAAATCCGATGACGCCGACTTAGCGGTAGATCCCCTCGATGCCGAGACTGTTGCAAATTGGTGCAAGAAAGAGCTTGGCGTGGAAAGAAAAAATCAACTTTGGGAAGAACGCCTCGCGGAGACTTTTCATGCGGAGGGACAATATGCCAAGGCGATCGAGATGTACAACGCTGCTTTACTCGAACGGAGCTCGAGTACAAAGCTTCTAAAAGGTCTTGCAGAATCGTTGGCCGCGGATAACAGGTATTCTGAAGCCTTCCAGAAGATGAACGAGGCAATCCTTGAGAGTGAGCATTGCTCAGACATGGCCGCCCTTTGCAACGACTATATGAGGGTAGCCGAGTGGCACAGCAAACTCAAGGACCCGAAACAAGCTATCACTTGGATACGAAAGGCGCTCAAGTTGGATCCGGAATTCCAAGAGGGGCCTTACAAGCTTCTACAATCGCTTTTCGATGACAAGGACGTAAAGGGGGCTACTCAATTGCTATGCGAGCTCGCGGAGGATGCCCTAGACTCGAGCAAGGCAAACAAGTTCGGCCAGATGATCGACTACATAGCGCATGATGCATCTGAACAGGTCCTCACGAGTGATGCATCTGGACAGGTCTTCGCAAATTTCTTCGCGATCGTTTTCCTTGAGGAAAACGATGGCCATGCACTGTGTGAGCGGACTCTACGGGAGATGGATCGCGCCATTGACAGAGCCAGGAAAGACAACCGACTGTCGGACCTAGGTACTTTACTGCTTTACAAAGGCGTGGCCATATATTACTATCCGGCCGTTCAGGCAGAGTTCAAGTCTCTAATCGAGTCTGCCGTTGACAGTTGGAGCCAGTGTGTTGGAATTGATGACGGAAGCTTTAGCAGTCAATATGCCAGCCAGTTGCTAAGCGCGCATCATTTCGAACAAGCCAGGAAGTCCCGTGACGGAGAAAAGCATCTCGAGGAACTAAAGTCTATTGTGAAGGCCGAAAGGTTTTACGGTCTTTCCGAGTCAAGGGCATATCTGGCAGGCTACTTCGCGTTTGTCGAGCAGCCGGCCAATGCTAGATCGACAACTGAAGCAGTCATCGAGGTAGCGTTTGAAATGCTCTCCGATGCTTCAGTCGAAAATGACTGTTGGGGATTTTACGACCTTGCAATCATCTTGATGCATTGTGGCGATACCCTCAACGCCCTGTCCGCCTTCTCTCTTCTTTTGCCTGGGCCAGGTACGACGAACGTCATTGCATGGCTGCTCGATTTTGACATGGATCCCGAAAAGAACCTTGGCCAAGATCTCGCTGCGGCTGTATTGGCAGGTTCAAGACCAGTTCTACTCAAGGAACAAATGAAAAGAGTTGAAAAACAACTTCCTGATATCTTGGACAGCACTGAGCAGGAAAAGCCAAACAAGGGGTACGAGAAGATCCGAGCGAGGCTTAATGAATTCCCCAGGGCCAAGGAAACCGGTGACTGGGATTTCATTTGCGATGGTGGGTGCGGCAGGAGTTGGAATTTTGACACGGCGCTAAACCACTGCAAGTTCTGCTATGGTACAGGCTTTTGCGACACGTGCCTCCAGATCCTTAAGAATGGCACATTGCACAAGCACTGGGTCAACGTCGCGGCCCTTAAGTGTAACAAAAACCACGAATGGCTGCGCCTGGAGAAGTGGGACAAAAACCGCTACCTCGAGCCTTTGCGAGGAAACGTACTTGTAGGTGGGAAGCTGGAAGGGGGCAAACGCGTTGGGGGAGAACTTGTGCCCATCTCAACGTGGCTGAGTGGACTGAAGCAAGAATGGGGTTATGAATCATGAGCACAGGACCGGATAGGTTACGAGAGGTAATGTCCCTGTATGTGTCATTGAGATGCTTCGGAGTCACCACATCATCTTCCATTGTTTTGCAGCCAAGTCACTTGAGAAATGGGCGTGATAAAATCCACTACGATATTATCCTGATGGATAATTGAGAATATCAAATGTTCATGGCACGTATCAGTGGACTATCAGGAGGACACATTGAGGCCATACATTTTCCAATTGCCAAATCTTCGACGTCCTTGAGAAAACCTTAGGTCAGGAAATGACAAGATACATCTTGTCGGAGTTGTGACGCTGAAGACATTCAATGGCCTGCCGCAATATCGCTCAAGAGGCATAATATCTTGAAAATACAACGAAGTGTTTGAAACCTCGTGGGTTATAACTCAACGATAGCAAGATTTGTTTCTGCGATTCCAAACATTTTTGGATGGTTAGGTAAAAGCAGATGAACAAGTCCAAGAATCAAGCCCAACATTCAACAAAGCTGCAATACAGCAGCATCTTGTTCCATTTTGAAACTACCTCGATCCGGAGCCCACGCCTCCTGAACTAGAAGACGTAGGATTGTGACCAGCATTCACGTTTGCCAGGGACCAAACAAGGCACTTGAAAATCACCATAACCTCCAGATCCCGGAGTGAGTTCTGAATTTGGGCGAAAGTCTCCGGGTAGGCTTTCGGAAATCGAGAAATGGTCAACCATGAAAGGGCTGTCGCCTTGCAAGCTCTTCTGGAACGTGATAGAGCTGTATAGTCGAGAGGGGAAGGACGACTCCAACTCCATGGCAGATGTCAACTTAGAGCGCAGTGTCACCTCTAAAGCCTTACGAGATGTTTCATTGGCTGTCCATTTGATCTCAGTTCGGCCCGTTCGGATGTAGCTGGCATCAACTCAGAAGTCGCGAGTCTCTCCCACAGCACACACATCGAAGATACCAGTCTGGGCCAAGCCCTTGATCTTCAGGGCCTCCTTCAGCTTCATCGGAGGCTCTTCCACAGGCTCACTGGTCAGGGCAAAAGTGCCCCAGTGCATAGCCATAGCCTTCTTACATCTCGTATCCTGGAAGATCTCAACAGCATCATATGGGCTGGCATGAACTCCGCTATACATAAAACGCGGGTGGTAAGCCCCGATCGGAATGAGTCCCACATCAAATGGTCCTCGGAGCTCACCAATCTGCGCAAATTGTGGGTTCTGGGGAAGCTCATCGAAGCCTGGTCCGAGTTCCTCCATACCCTCGGGGACACACCGGTAACCCGTATCGCCGGCGAACCATACGGATTTGCCGCCTGAACTGACAGCCCAGGATGCCCACAAGGAGTGTCCATAGTCGAAGGCAGACCTCCAAGATCCATGTTGGCTGGGCAGGCACGATACACGGGCTTGAATCTGTTGCGGAGCATGGTCTCCTTCTTCCCCAGTGGCGTCTACTTTGAGTCCTGGTGGCTTTTGAAGGACAACCTCAGCGTCATCCCACCAGTCCATCTCCGTCACTGCACTGATACCGCTGTCACGAAACCACTTGGCCAGGCCGTGGCCGACGAAAAAGTGCAAGTTAGGAAATCTCTCGGCAAGCTCCTTCACGCTCGGGAGTGAGAGGTGGTCGTGGTGGTTGTGGCTGATGAATACGGCGTCAAGCTCGGGAATATCACTTGCCTGGCAGGCAGCTGGCGTGAAACGTTTCGGCCCCAGCGAGCTCCAACGCTCCTCGAAGACAGGGTCAAATATTGCGCGGAACCCTGATGGGAACTCGACGAGGTACGACGCATGGCCAAGCCATGTAGCGTGGAGACCAGCTCCACCGATGCGAGATTCCGCAAAGCTTGGCTCGACGATGGGAATCTTGACATTTGATGTGTCTGGCTTGGGAAGTCTACCTGCGAAGCGGTTGCTAGAATCGGCCGCAGATGGTGAGAATTATGACCTGATATGTGCAGCTTTGAGGTCACGGGCAACAGGGCCCACATACCGGAAATACATTGACAAGCCTTGTATCAACGGCATGTCCCTGAAAATTCCATAAGATGGGGTTGGATTCTGGAAAGAGACAAGCCGTCCGGTCTTGTCGTTCACATGGTGTGCCTTGGCGTCCTCCGGCGCCTTGCCAGCCTGCACAGACACGGTGCACGTGTAGGATGACATGTTGCTATCAGTCTTGTGGTGTGGGGAGGAAAGCCTATTGGAGTTTCTACCGAGTATCCATGAGAACATGCGCCAAAGGCTCGCGATATGAGTGCTCATATTGATGACCTTGTAGCCAAGAGGTGACGCAGGCTGACGTTCAGAACGAGAGCAGCCTGACTGCTCGTCGGACAGAGAAGCCTCAGACTAGAACCCTAGCTGCTGACAAGGGTGCTGCACAGGGTTGAAAGGATTGCTCACTCCCAGAAATGCAAGCTGAATTGTCGACATTGATACACTTTGAAGAGACTCGAGAGGGACAAACCTGCCTCCTGGGCCAAATCAAAGTCGTAACCAACAGTCTGCAAAGTGGAATCGTGAGTCTCACTAGCTCGCACTATCCGGTGGTACTTTGAGGCAAAACGTCACACTGAAGGGGTGACCTTATCTCGGGGTCGACATTCTCTCGCGTTCGAGGATTGCTGTAGAACCAACAGGCGACCGATCGGCATTCATGTACCCGTCAACGGCCAGTTTAGACAACATTTTGGTGCACGTATGTGGGTCGACTGGCTTATAAAAAGTCACTATATGCCATCAACTCGGTTGAATTCAAAATTACCCCTATCCGGAGCCTACGCCTCCTGCAGTCAAAGACTGAAAGGATACCAATATAACTGTAAGAAACGACGCTCCCGTGAATCCTGTCAACGCCTTGCACCAGCCCTTGGGCATATGTGAAACCTATCCAAACAAATAGCCACGGGCGTGCTATATGAGTCACACAAGAAAAGTGAATACTAAAAGTCCAGGCACAAGTGCTTTCAGACACCTTCGGTCTCTTCGCTTCCTGCCCCATTGATCTTCTCCCAGGCCTCCCCGGCCTTTCCGGTTGTCCATTTCCAAGCTTTGCCAAACTCGTCGCTAGCCCAACCCCAGAAGTTCTTCGCCGAGTCGCCGATAGACTCTGCCAGGTCCTTGTCTTCATCGACGGACTCCTCCGGGACGTCGACCCCAACTGGCGAAGACACCTCACCAGTCACAACAGGGTCAACGCCTAGAGCCTTTGACGATGTCGAGGCTGGCGGTGTCGGAGTGGTTGTTGGTACAGCGGTATAGCTCGTGACGGGGTCAGATGGAACCTCGATCGCCGGCACGTCGTCATGTATGCCGACAGGCTTGAGAGGTAGGCGTAGAGTGCCGTTATTGGGTGAGGGCTCGAGGCCCAGGGAGTCGCAGAGTATATTGTACACTTCGATATTCTGGAAGGGTTCAAGTTTGCTGCCAGGCGTGTGAGGGAATGCAGGCCCTCGTGCAATGAAAATCGCCCGCATCAGGGGATGCTCATGATCGTAGCCGTGCAATCCTTTAGGGTTGTACACGAGATTATTTGCCTTCGCCTCCTCTATGTTGAATTCGTCTTTTGTCACGATTGCCCACCCGGTCTTGGGAATAATCCAAAGCGGCGCAATGCGGTCATTTTGGGAGAAATGATACCGCTCAGGCATGTTGACGTCGCGCAGGTAAACATCGAAATTCGGGTTCGTTTTGGCCTTCTCCGCCAAAGCATCGTACATTTCTTGCAAATCGACCGAGCTCTTCGGTCGCAAGCCAACAAGTGGCCAACCATCGATGTAGTCAACCTTGCTGAGGTCAACGAGATCGTCCATCTGAATCATCCTGGAGACGTCCGTGGTGGCCATGCCGTGATCGGACACAACAATGACATTGACGATGTGGGTCAAATTCCTTGCCTCAAGACCCAAAAAGATGCCGTCCATCATGGTGTCGGCACGCTGAATAGTGGAGCGGATCTCTGTGCTGTTGGGCCCGAACCTGTGGCCGTCACCGTCAACATCAGGAACATACGCTGCAATAAGCTGCGGCCGCAAGTCGGCTGGGTCCACATCTGGGTTCTCCATTCCGGGCCGATCGAGGAACTCAAAGATTCTGGAGACCTTGTTGGGCAATGTCTCCTTGCCGTTGTACTTATCAATGAAAGCGGGCTCGACGTCACCAAGGTGAGCCTCACTGCCCGGCCACATATGGATGGCACTGCGCACGCCCTGTTTCTCCGCGGTAACCCAAAAGGGTTCGCCATTCCACCATTTCGGCTGCATCGAAACATCGGTATTTGTGTAGAAGAATTCCTCCCGCAGATTGGGGTCCCAGAAGCTGTTGCCAACCACACCGTGCGATTCAGGATAGAGTCCAGTAGCCAAGGTAAAGTGATTGGGGAAAGTAACGCTTGGGAAGGACGGGTTCATGTAAAGTGGCGACACGCCCTCTTGAACGAATGCGTTGAGCCGGGGCGTAAGATTCCGTTGGAGAAAATCTGCTCTGAAACCGTCCAAGCTGACGATGATCGTAGTCGGCGCGAACAGGGCGGTACCGTTACTGACGAGGGCCTGTGGCTTGAATACAACTGGGGCCTTGATGGACAGCCTCCACGCAACGATGGACAATACTGCAAAAGCGACTGCGATCAAAGCGTATACCACTGTCCATCGGCGGCGGTTCCTCTTCCGCTGTGATTTGGCGTCCGCCAAGTGTAGAAGGCCCCGGCGGTCGATCTCGTCGCTGTCCTCGCGGTCACTACTTCCTGTCGAGCTGGTCTCCTTCATATGACCCTCCTCCATCTCATGCATCAATTCGCCATCCTCACCCTCCATTGCCTTCTCCAGCAGTCTCTCTTTCTTCTGCCTCCTCCTTTGGCGTCTTTGTTTCCTCGCCTCGCCTCTTAGATCCTCGATCGACTCTTCTTCGATGACTGCTCTATCGGCTGGACTGATGGATCGACTCTTCTCGCTCATCGTCTTCGAGAACAGGCGCATTGGCAACGGCAACGACAGATTTGAGCCTCTGCGCTGGCCGGACCCGCTGCGTTCGCGCTGGCGCTCCTGGCGTCGGCGTGCCTCGATGACCAGCTGGTCCATCTCCTCCTCCTCCAGTAGTACTATGCGATCATGTGCGCGCAGCTCGCGGCTGTTGCGAGCTCTTGCTTGACGTTCGTCATCTTCGGAGTCGCTCTCCTGGTCGCTCCGAATCGAGGAAGCATCGGGGTCATAGCTCTTCGCGGACAGCAGAGAGCTGTTGGGTGACTTGGGTCGGGTCAATGGTTGAAGGAGAGGCATCGTGGATATGTATCGTGCGTGGCCGTTGCCAGCAATGTAAAGGAGAGACTTAGAAGATTAAAATGCTCATTGAAGGTGACATGTCGTTGCGACAAGCTTCTGAGGTTTGATGGTCATGACAGTTGATGTTGATTTGCCCCTTTCCCAAATCTTCTGACACTGGTCGCATTGGAGAAGGTTCAACGGTGGGTCTGCGGGACCTAAGCAGCTTGGCGTTTGATGCGGCCTGGAAATGCCGGGGGTTGATTTAGACGCCCGGGCTACTGTGCGTCCCGTTGAAACAAACACGACCGCCTGACATTGTTCACCCCGGACCCTTTCTTATCTTTGTGCGAAGGGTCTACTTTACAGGGCTGCAGCCCGCCGTTTTGAGTGACAGCTCTGCTTGGAAACTTTATGCTAATATGATATATCAAGCCAACGGACCTGCTCTGTACTGCGTCGCTTGCACTTCATCGGGTGGGTGAGACTCACTCAGCATGCTGATACCAACGCTGGAAAACTTCCGAGTCAATCTTTTCTACTCCAGTATCCATTATGGAGACGAGGTCCCATCGTCTCCACCTGTCAGCCCTCCCATGTCAAGCTGTCGTTCGAGATTTATGTACCAGGCCCGTCTACCGTACGCTTGGGTCTCGATGTGGGTCGTAACATTCCTTTGAGGCTCAAACAAGCTTGAGAATTGTCATCTGCATCTCCAGTCGACAGGCCTATTGGGAGAGGCCTACTGCAGTCGCACCATCATAAGGGAACGAGCTGAGCTGAACTGCACTGCGGAATGTTGCAAAAGAAGACACGGCTTCTTCATTGGGCAACATGCGAGCACGATGTCTCATCTCGGATAGCATGGGACACCCTTTATGGACGCAAACTTCGAGGTGGCTTCCAGCTCGCTCCAGGCTTACCTCTCTTAGCGAAAGAATGACTGGACGCCACCGGTGCCTGGACCCAGTGGTCTGGGAATATCTCGAGTGGTACAATATGCAATATTGATCCCTTGGCGTTGCTTCATTTCTTGCGGCTCCTAGTTGGACAGATGACCCGAGTAGGTGTGAGAGAATGCTCCCGCTTGTCGTTGTTGCGGGCTTCTCCTCCCGTGTCTTCCGCATAATGCGGAAGTTTCACCAATATCTTTTCTACTGTCTCTGTCGCGGTGCTTGCAAGTAATACGTCATGTGCTTTCGATACGGGACCGCTTCATGATTACTTCATGAGAGAGTTTAACATCTTTGAATATGGTTTCTAGCCCCCTGGCGACGTCCCGGCCGCCTGATCGCCGACCGTTCGCTCATATCGAATCTTTTCCCTTTACACTACCTTCAAGAGCAGACAGCTGGACTGCAAGAGATGACATTGTCCGGAGGTTCTCAGACTCGGCTCCAAAGCCAGAGAAGGAAGAAACAGACAAGAACATCAAGTGCGCGAGCCACCTGTCACAGTCCGAACAGGGTAGCTTCTGACTGCAGCTTGTAGACATGCCGTTGATGCCTATCACGATGCCATTGTGCAGCTAAAGCAGGTCCTCAAGACCGATGACCTCGACAATATCCTCTCGTCATCCTCGACAGTCACAGAGCTACATAAAGTTGCTATCGGCATTCAGAACGCTCAGGCGAATGTGCTCGAACAACGCCAGATTGCGAGATTCGTCGATACGATTAATCACTACTCCGGAGTCTTCGACGTCCTGTCACAATGCGCATTCGGATATATGACGCTGATTTGGGGCAGCCTCAAATTCGTCTTGCTCATGGCAAAAAGCCACTACGACACCTTGTTCAAATTCACAGATGTCATGTGCCAGATCGGTATAAATCTACCACGGGTCGAGCTATACAGGCAGATCTTTCCCACGGCACGAATATTGCAGTTTGTGTCGCAGCTCTACGCGGCTATCGTCGAGTTCTTGCAGGAGTTTATCGTCTACCTAAAGCAAAAGAGTTACCGGAAATTCTTCGGGAACTTCACCAGGCCCTTTGACTTACAGTTTGGCCGCCTCGTAGGGCGAATACAGTCCCTCGAACAGACTATCGACAAAGATGCCTACGCGAGCGCCATCTTGTTACAAGTGACGCAGAGCCAAAGCATGGCAAGGCATCGAGTCGACCTGTCCATACGACGAACCCACAACGAGGGTTGCCTCTCCGACGTCCCTGACATCGCCGTGTCGCCCTACCTCCTCGACATGAAGAAAGCCCTCTTCCACGGCTTCGAAATCGAGGCGTCGTACCACGAAGAGCTAGCCACGACGTTCAAGATGACTTCCTCGAAAGCCTGGGCCAGTTGGCTGTCCATCGAGCAACAGTACGTGCCCAGCAAGTTCTCGCACAAAACCACCATGGTCCAGGCCGAGTGCGACGCCCCCGATGCCGCGACCTGCCTGCAGTGGGTCACGCAGGTGCGCGCCGAGTCCCCTCACATAGTGTCCGTGTTCCTGCTCTGGGCACGAGGGATGACGGCCCAGAGCGCCATCGCGTCGATCGTGTTCCAGATGGTCCAGCAGCGGCCCGCGGTCCTGCAGCGGGCAGGGCTAAGCATGAAGTCCTTCTCCGCCGCGAACGCATCGCTGCCCAAGCTGTGGGATCTATTCCTCACCCTCGTGCAGCACCTCGGCGGATTGATGGTGTACATCTCGATCGGCTCGGTCGGGCAGGAGGAGTTCGGAATCGTGGCCTGGTTTGTGGATCTATGCCAGAAGTGGTCCGGCCCACCGCTGAATGTGGTGATCATCCACCCCTTTGATGAGAATTTCGTTCATATTGAAAACTGTGTTGATTTAGACGACAAGTACGACGTCCATCCTTCTCTAACCACTAGCGATGCGCTCTACCACGTGGTTCTCCTGGAGCTGGAGGTCCAGGAAGCTCTGAGCGAGACAGTACAGTTGGTCCTCTGGGAGGCTCTCTGGCGGGAGGTCCGATACGCTGTAATTGGTATTGCTGTCACTTCGACTGTAGACGAGATCATCAAGTGCGCGAAGGAACTGATCGAGGAACGAGGTTGCGAGGAGGACGTGATGAGCCGCTGGGTGTCGACGGTGATGAAATGGACAAACGACAACAGGGCGTTTCACATCATGAGAGAGCAGATCCAGCGGCATTTGAACATAGTCGATATACACCTCCCGCAAGTGGTGCGGACAAGGCTGGAGAGGATGGTCAGCTCCGCGGCCGGCTCACGACTCAGCACCCGGGAGAGAAGGAGGCTGACGAAGGAGCTGCGTGAGGGAGAGCCGAAGCCGCTGGATGATGACGAGAGGGGCGCGATATGGCGGAGGATACAGGATGTTATCAAGCCAGCTACGATGGACACGTATAATGCTTCTATTGGGATGTTGATGCGCAGGGTGCTCGATGCGTATCTGGATGATCCTCCGGAAAGTGAGAGTGACGCCAAAAGGTCGGTCAAGGAGCTGATGAGGGGTGTGTTTGGGTGGAATAAGACGTGGAAGGCAGAATTCTTGGATGATCAGAGCCCGATCCTAGAGAGCATGGTCACGGCAATAGATATGGGGTTTGGCGACGTTCTAGATGCGATAATCGTCGAGGTTGGGATTTAGGTACTGCTCCTCGGCACCAACGGACTTGGAAGCGAGGCACGGTTTATATTGCTTTATACCGAGAACCTATAATACAGAACCAGTCTACCAATATTCCCTAGGCCCCCTGGCCTCCAGAACGCCCGCTCTAGCCAAGAATTGCCGACTGCACAAAGTCATCAACACCAGCAATAGTAATAATTCTCCTCCCAGACCGTATTCTGCGTGCTCCTTCCTCCTTTCCACCTGAAGCTCGGGATCGAGCCTTCGTACCTCTCATCAAAGATGACATCGACATCGTCCTCATGATAGTTGTGGAAGCCCTTGATCCCTCGAGTAACAGTCGGGTCGGGATTCCAGATCAGGATCTTCTTCAGCCCCCATTCGGTTGCTTCCGCAGCTGCCGCCCGCAGCAGCTCCAAGATGTCAACGATCTTGTTTTCCTCCATGACCTTCAGACCAGTCTCCGGGTCGTGGTCCAACGTGACAATCCGCATAATCTTCAGCTTGCCCTCGCGCCAGTCGTGGTCCCAGTACATCCAGGTCTTGCCACTGTGAGTGATGGCGCCCCGGTGTTCAATGTTTCGCTTGTGGAGGACCCCAGCCATAAATTGTTCCCGAGCGAGCTGCCATGCGATCTGTGAATAGCTAGGAGAGAAAGCCACGTGTGTCTTCTTGTGGTCAGCGGCGAGCGTCTGGAATTTAGCCTTGACTGCAGCCACATCCTTCTCGCACAGTGGCTCTAGCTCCTCCAGAGTGAGGTATCTTGTCGCCGGATGCTCTGGGAGCTTAAAGTCCTCTGATTCCAGGTAGACGGTCGCCTGATCCGAGGGGAAAACATCCCAGCCCAGGTTGGCGTAGTAGATTTTGCCGATGTCGCTGTACAGCGCACTGCATTCGCTGTCGGCATCCATGTGCTCCTGCAGCCGCTCCATCATGAACGCGGCCATGCCCATACGTCGGTACTTGGGATTTGTATACACGCTGGCGATGGCGTAACCTTTGGCTTCCAAGAAGCCGTCGTTGATTCCGGTGCCGTGTCCAGCAATGAAGACGGTCTTTTCAACCGACTCGCACGATGCGACGATGTGCGTAGGATCATCCTTGTGGGATAAGACCCAATAGATGCAACGCCCGTCTTTGGACAGCGCCTGCTGTGACAAGTGCGTCTCCCGAGCTATGTAATCGTCAATGCTCATAGGCGCTGCCCACGCCTGGCCGTTCAGACGCCATGCGAGCGTCTGGAGCTCCCCATCAGCTTTGCTGAAAACGACATCATCGGTAGTGATGTCTTGGTCATCGAGAAAGGGGTCGCCCATAGTATCAAATCCGTATCTTCTAGTAATCTATGATGAAGTTCCGGTAAGGTAAGTGAGATAAAAGTAAGGAGGGGGTTGATAAAGGCAGTGGTAGTTGGCGGCGCCGTGTCCGCCCTAGCCTCTTTATAGAAAGCTGAAAAAAGAGTCTACACAGACCCAGCTTGTAAGCCGGGAAATGTGGGTTATCAGATGTCTTCGCTGAAATTGAATCTCGCGAGCAGATTAAAGTTGTGTTGCGTGAACTGATGATGAACACAAGACGCCAAGACAGCCTGAAGATTTGTACGTCAGGAGCCTGATTGAAAGGCAATCGCCATCGGAGCCTGGCAGAGCCCGCGAAGAGAGATAGCTCGCGCCCAGAGGAGTGGGCTGGCATCCTCAGCCAGCCAGTCTGCCTCTCCAGCAGGACGTTGTCCCAAAGATCGTTAATTGGACCGTGCTGTGCCACCCTCTGACTTTGCATGTGGGCTTGGCTTCGAGCAGGATGGAGTGCTGCAGCCACTCCGTCACCACAGGCCCTGGCCGGCGGCGAGTTTGCCGTGTCTGTGCTTGGAGCATGTCAGGTTGCGGTGCAGGATTCGACATGTGTCACCAGGTTTCGATGGTGGTCTGGCCAAAGGTCTATTTACGATTTCATCATCTGCAGGCTGTCATTTCGCGGTTCGGTAACCGTTTGAACCCAGAAAGCTTGGGGTGCTACAGCAGGCAAATGGGGCCATTGGGCGGCAAAATGGGTCCTTCAACCGTAAGGCTCATCTCGTATCTTTGCCATGCCGCCGTGGCAAGGCATATCTTTCAGGCCGGGAAGCTCTCTGGAAAGCAGACAACTTCAAGTTTGCAGGGACAGACAACAAGGAAACCTATGACCTTGGGTCTAGCTTTGGGGATGGGTTTTGGATTCCGTACACGCTCGTGCAGTGTTCAGGGATGCAAAGAAAAAGAGACAGGGTTGAATAAATTTAGCGAGACGGGGTAAGATATGATGAGTGGGATGAGTGGGATGACTGACGTCCATCGATACTTGAGAGCCTTGCGGTGGGACGATGCTTTGAAAGCAGTGAGATTCCTCCTTAGTCACCTTGAGCCTGTAATGAAGAGCTGATGCATCTGGATTTATTTGTCCTTGGAGAAGAGAAGACAACGCTGCAATCAAGACGGTTGGTTACCTGCGGCATAGACACGAGCATTTCCGATACAAAAACACATAGGGACACACTGAACTCTTGATGCAGTTGCACCGTAATCGGACAATCACAGCACCCACGTAGATAGCTTGTGTCAAAGCAAGTAAACAAATGCCCACGATTAACAATTCGCTAGGGAGCGCCAACAGGGTACCCATATCCAGGCACTCGAGGTTTGCAGCGACTGCTGGCTTTCCGAGGTTCGGCTTACTGCTAGACTGCAGACCAGACTGCAGACCAGACTGCAGCCCGAGTGCAGCAGCTGGCGCAGCCGCCTCGGAAGGAGCGAAAACTTTTCGCCGTCGTGCACGGACCCGCCAGCACAAATCGCGCCGCCTCTCTCGCAAAATCAATCCACTCACTGCTAACAGCGGATCGCCAACGCCGACTGGGGAATTTTGATACGACCAACTCACCTCACAACCTCCAGCACTCGACAACAGTACGTGACACTGCTTTCTCTTCTTTGTGCCGACGACTCAACCGTACTTGTCCTTTCTAATCAGTATACCCCCGCACACAGAACTTCGTCGAAAATGGGTGACGCGACCATCTCTGCTCCCAAGTGGCGCCTCGTTGAGGTCGGCCGTGTCGTCCTGATCCAGGAGGGTCCTGACGCCGGCCGCCTGGCCACCATTGTCGAGATCATCGACCACAAGCGCGTACGTTGACGGCCCTGCGATTGAGAAAATGGCTGTGGAAGGAGGACATCTTGATTGACTTTGGATGATATCACAGGCCCTGGTTGACGGTCCCGCCTCCGATGCCGCCCTCGCTGTTCCCCGACAAGCCGTTTCCTTCTCTAACGTCCTGCTCTCCGACCTCGTGGTTCCCAACCTGCCCCGGGGCGCCCGGACGCCAACCGTCAAGAAGTTCTGGGAGAAGGCCGAGATCGACAGCAAGTGGAAGGCGTCCAACTGGGCCAAGACCAAGTCTCAGCAGGCCAAGCGATCGGCTCTGACCGACTTCGACCGCTTCAAGGTCCTGCGCCTCAAGAAGCAGCGACGATTCGAGGAGCGCAAGGCTGTCGCCAAGGTCAAGGCCTCCGCATAAGCGACCCCTATTCGGCAAACGACAGACATCGAAGAGTTCGGCTTTCGCGCGTCGGGGCAAGCAGGTGAGGGATCGGATCGGCGATGATGACAGTCACGTTTATTGCGCGGCTGGCTGGACGATGGTGGATGGTGTTCTACTAGAGGGTGACGGTATTCTGGACGGCACTGCATGAACACACAACAACCAACACGACAGCATTTTGGGCCGCTGGGTTTTCTTTGCTGCGTTTAACGGAACATATCACCTCCAAAAAGGCAAAGGTGGCCGGCGTCAATGATAGGGAAATTCAGAAACCGAGAATCAAGACCACTCGTCATGGTCCAAACCAAATTGTGATACCAACATTTTAAGCTTTTGTAATCAAAGTGAGGAATCACGTCGAGACCAAAGTACGGGCAACATCAGCAGCGCCGAGTACCCAGCCTCGAAGTTCGAGCTTCTGACTTGTCCCGTTGCTCTGGCGATGTCATAATAGACTGCGACCAGTGGCCTGCTATGTGCGCGTAAATCCGGTCACAAAGAAATTGTAGATGCCCAGATAGCTACGACGTAGTATGAGCGAGGTTACAACGCTCTTTCTGTCAGAATTCCTGTTGTCTGAGTGTAGTCTGTATGTCTGTCTGGGCATCTGTGAGCCCGGTCGTTGTATATGCAGTACAAAGCTCACTCAGAAGGTCGGCTGCTGAATCGGGTTAGCGCGACTAGGGCTTTCGTGGGCAGGTTACCAGGGACATTTTGAGAGCTTTGCAACAACCAAGGCCGCCCCTCTCAGTCGGTCAGTTCATCACCTTTCCGCCACTCTAACGACGAGCCACCTTGACCTTTTGGGGTAGATATTGTTGCAGGTGAGTCTTTGTGATCTCAATTACATGTCATGCGATTTTGGCGGTCGTAGGAGCGGGCGGTCCCAAACAATCATCAACCGAAAACCGCCCTCTGGCCCAGCAGCTTTTCTGCATTGTGTGGGGTCTGCCGGATTGAATTTTGTGGAAGGCTACGCTTTGGCGCCCGCATTCACTCGACGCAGCAGCTTGACCGAGCTTCGACTGAGCTGACCAACTCTCCCCATTCTTGCAGAAGCAGAAGACAGTCGCGAAAATGGCCAACCCTAGAGTCGAGGAGCTTCCGGACGACGAGCCCACCAAGAACGTCTCCGTCGAGGAGGGCAACGACGATGACAGCTCCGACTCCGAGATCGAGGCGGGCGACTCCAGCCTGCCCGCCGGCTCTACCGCCGTCATCCACTCTCGCAACGAGAAGAAGGCTCGCAAGGCCATGGAGAAGCTGCATCTGACCCGCATCCAGGGCATCACCCGTGTCACCCTCCGCCGACCAAAGAACGTGAGTCTACATCTAGGCTTGAAGAAGACGAAGCAATAGGCAGCGCTTGGGAACATGCTGTGGGAATGATAATGGCGACACTGTCATTGGGAGACGAGCTGCCAGCAGCCGCAGTAGGCGCAGGGAGAGAGACATGGCTGACAGGCACTGTTACAGATCCTCTTCGTGATCAACAACCCTGAGGTCTACAAGTCTCCTAACAGCAACACGTACATGTGAGTGCCCCACAAAACTACTTGCCCCTCGCTCAACCCAAGACTAATCCCACTCCCTCACAGCGTCTTCGGTGAGGCCAAGATCGAGGATCTCAACGCTTCCGCCCAGGCCGCCGCCGCCCAGCAGCTCGCCCAGGCCGAGCACGACCACGCTGGCCACGACCACGGCGAGTCCAGCAAGGCCGTCGAGGGTGGTGAGGCCAAGAAGGAGGAAGAGGAGGAGGACGATGGTGAGGAGGTTGACGCCGAGGGTATCGAGGACAAGGACATCGAGCTTGTCATGACCCAGGCCAACGTATCACGGAAGAAGGCTATCAAGGCACTGAAGGAGAACGACAATGACATTGTCAACTCCATCATGGCTCTGAGCATCTAAGACCGCCTATCCACACCCTCTAGTCTCTTACGGTATTCAATGGGACGCATGAAAGCGCACGGGGTCATGTCGTTTGGTGCCTCTCCTTTTCTGCGTGGACTCAGGCTTGAAGGGGCCGGATTGGAGTACATCAGATTAGCAGGAGTTGATTCCCAGGGTTGATGCACTCAAAAAATGAAAATTTCATGCACTTGACCAATTTATCTTTGAAATTATCATGTCCATTTGTCGCTTGCTGGACCTGCCATGACTTGGGCAACCAGACTCGATATGAAGCAATGACCAGAGCTTGAGCTCCACAAAGAAATCGCCAGCTCGATCCAAATTGTGAAGACACGAACGATTGATATTTGACAACCTAGTTACGATTTTCCAAATCCTGACGTTCCATCATTGTGTTTCTTAAAGACCATCTCTAGGTGTTGTCCGCTGTCGCTTTGCCCGGTTTCCTCCGTCGAGGCTAATCACGTGACCCGCTGCGACTTTGCCGGACCGAAACCGTCATCGTCAACCTCCGTCCGTCTCGAACCGCGTACCTCAAACTCTCCACTCCCTTGATTCCACATATCAACCGCAAAGATGGCCGCAGTAAGTGACTATCCCCTCAATTGACATGCACAGATCCCATTTTGTTCGATGACCATCCCTCCGCCCGCCGTCTCCGAGCTGCCCCGAACGCGGCCAAGCAGAAAGATCCTGAGCTAATTTCTCCCGCTTCGCCCGCGTAGCGATCCGCAGCCCTGAAGCTCGACTGGGCCAAGGTTACGACCTCGCTGGGCCTGCGCGGCCAGACGGTCACCTCCCTGCAGGCGTTCAAGTCGCGCAACGACAACGCGAAGCGCAAGGTGCAGCAGCTGTCCGAGCTCCCCACGACCGTCGACTTTGCCCAGTACCGCTCCACGCTCAAGAACCAGGCCGTCGTCGACGAGATCGAGAAGCGCTTCAAGGCCTTCAAGGCCTCCACCTACGACATCTCCCGCCAGCTCAAGGCCATCGACACGTTCGAGGCCGAGGCCGTCAAGAACGCCCAGGCCACCAAGGAGAAGGTCGACCTCGAGCTGCAGGACCTGAACAAGACGCTGCAGAACATCGAGCAGGCCAGGCCCTTCGAGGAGCTCACTGTGGTATGTGCACGGCCGAGGATTATGAATGGAACATGGTCAGGATGGTTGAAGATGCTGATGGATTTCTACAGGACGACGTTGCCGCCGCTGAGCCTTCGATCGACGAGAAGACCTCCAAGCTGGTTTCCCGAGGCCGCTGGGGCGTCCCCGGATACAAGGTACGGCCACCTGCTGCACTGCCCTGCAGCCAATTTTTGCTAACGTGGGTCACAGGAAAAATTCGGCGACCTCTCCGTGCTATAGAAGACAAGGACTGCACCTTCCCTTTGTGTACGCTAGCATTGTAGATATCGGGATCGAAGAGACAGGAGAAGTGAGATGGGCGGCATGAAACGAGAATCCAAGTCATTCATATCGCGCACTACGCATCTATTCCCTCCATTGATGCTATTCACCTCGTGCAAACCAGGAAAGGATCAGTTACTCCATCCGGACTGGATGGAGGTTTGGATCCGTTTCGACTTGTCAACGATTCATCTGGGGATTGTATCCACATCACATCCACAGAGAACGCAGTTGGAGGGAATGTGCAATTGGACTCAGCCAAGTGGAACATAGAACGCACGGGTTTGGACAAGTAGGTTGGGCTTCAACGAGGCATCAATTCGTTGACCCCGCTACCCAAGCCATCCCCTCAAGCATCGCTGTATCCGCCTCGAAGGCTCTTGGCAAGTGCGGAGCCTTCAGCCAAAACGTATGCGGCCATCCCCAAACAACATCTGTTTTGACCTCAACTCCGGCGTGCCTCAAGACCATAGCATAACAGGTCCCGTCCGAGTATAAAACGTCGTTCGTGCACACCTGGATCCACGTTCTCGGCATCTCCTTTAGACTCTCCACTCTGGCCTCAAGTGGCATTCTCTCCAGCCCATCCCTAGGCTGGTCTCTTTTCATGAATCCTAGGAGACTCGTATCGAAGCTCCTGTCCCACGCACTGGTGTGCAAGTCATGAAGCCTCGCTGGTACGTACTCCCTCCCGCTGAATGCGTCGCTGGTCACTGGGCAGCGCAGGACCACCCCGTGGAAGCTTGTCTTGGATGCCTGCTGTGTGACAAGTGCAGCAAGCTGGCCGCCACTCGAAGAACCTACGACGAGGACTTTGGCCCCTGGGTGGCTTTTGCTCACAAAATCGAACGCGTCGACGCAGTCCTGGACGATGGTGGTAGCTGTATAGACGGGCTGAAGCCGGTAACCGACAGAGTACAGCCGGAGGCCGGGGAGGAACGCCTCGGAATCTTTCACTATGCGCCGGCAGGATAGATCCTCGCTGTCGGCCTCACCGACGAGCAGCCCGCCGCCGTGGTAGTAGATGGCTACCCATATGGGCTCGGTCTCCGGGTCCCGGTCATACTGCAGCATGGGAATATCGTACCCGCCCAAGGTCGATGACACGTGAGCGGACTGCGTCTTGATCCCCTGCGCGAGGCGGTGGTCCCTTGCGCCTGAGGCTATCATGGCGCTGTTGCGCTCCCGGCACTGTGTCGCGTATACTTCCTGCCTGACGAGGGGGTCCATGGCTGGTTTAGGGGCGAGGAGATTGGCTTCCCGCTCATGTTGGAGCCATGCAGGGTCGAGAGGCGGGGCCTTATGCAGAACTGGTGGCTCGTCGTCCATAGCAGATATGGCAGAATTGTCAGCTATTGAATAGTAGAGTCAACAAAGGATATATCACCGTGAGGACTTGTTGTCGGTTCTGAACCTGTTGAAGATCTAAATATTCATGAGTTCGCGTGGTTCGCAGCAGCCCACTGAGTACCTGACTGCATTCACGAATAACGTACTGTGAAGACGTGAGCTACTTATGTTGAAGCCTTTCTCACGTTTGACTCAAGGCATGGACTCCGTATCGTCTGTTAAGCCGTCATGAGCAGTCGACTTCACACCTTGAGGAGCATTCCATGGCGGAATTTTCCCACCAATCAAATTCTGTTTGCATGCGCTAAGGTCCAACAATAAGCGGCACATTTCAATCGATGGATCTGTGTTAGTCTTGGTATAGTTGCGCTGCGAAATATCTTGCAGGGCTAATATGCAGGTACTACAAGACTATATTTATATTAAACTTTAATTTGCTCGTCAACGGGCTTACTGACGCTGGGGGCCTTACCTTCTCTCTGTCTTAGTTGTCCGATGTACCACGACTGGCTAAGAGTAATGAACGACTTTGAAATTCTCCGGGTCTTTGAAGTAAATTCTTCTCTATGATCTTCAAACGAGATGCGTAGTTTCGATCCAGCCAGACTTGGTCGATAGATATTCTCTCCAACAGAATACTCGCGTGTAGACGAGCACGACAAGCCGGTCTGGCTTGAGAAGAGTCCCAACATTGTCCTATATCATCAGATGTCCCTCTTGGCATTTGATATCTTAGATTTAATTATACCTTTCAAGTTGTATATGCACTGTGTTGAAGTAGATAAAAGCTACTTAAGAGCTAAAGCAATGACTGTAGTACGAGACACCTCAACTATCTGTTTCCGGTATGAGGCTGGGAGCCGAGGTACGAATAGTTCTAGCAACCGGCTTCAAAGAAATACCACACCTTGCATTCAATTGTTTTGACCAAGACATATCGCACTTTGATAACTTGTCGCGACTGCGTCTACAAATGTGAGGTGCCCACTCATCGGTTTGGGGTAAAGTTTATGTACCTAGATATGGTATCAATATTCCCTAAGCTAACTTCTGCCAAGTCTAACTTACTACCGGTCAACTGTAAAACCCGAATAAGACCGCGATTCCGGATGCTGGATCCCGGAGCGCACGGCTGCGAGGCAATTACGTCTCCACACTTGATCACGGATGGGATAAAGTTCGCCCCGTAGTAGTAGCGGACATGCCTCGGCACTTTGACCACTATCTAGTCTAGTTTCACAACCTGTCTGCTCCACTCGTTCAACTCAGGTTGTTCATACCCAAAGTCGAAATGGTCAGAGCCAGCTGCGTTTGTGGGGATTCTGCATACGAGTTCACGGGGAAGTATCAGGCCTATGTAAGTCTGCAAGAATCAAAGTCCTGGGGAATTGATCACATATCTGACTTGCTGTTTGTAGGTTGCATGCCGGTGTATACCCTGCCGCAAGGTCTCAGGCGCTGATCGGTCGATGAACCTGATTGTGCACAAGGATGAGGTGACAATCATTTCAGGAACAGACAAATCGGTATCCAGAGAGGCCGACAGCGGCAAGGACTTGACATATCGTCAGTGTCAGAATGTAGGTCAAGTAGAGCAAAGAACTGTTGCAAGCACATGCTGACGAGGACCAAGTGTGGCAATACAATGTTTGCGGTGGCTGGAAAAGATCCGAATAATTTTATTCTCAAGATTGGTCTTATTGATGACACTGAGTTTCTGAATGGCCTTGGGGTGCCAAAAATGGAAATCTATTGCAAGTATATGTGGGGTTGGGAAAAGCCTTTCGATGGGGCGCAGTTGATTCAGAATTAAGCGCGGAAACCATGTTGTGAGATATTCTATTCTGTTGCAAGAGGAGTTCGATATTGTGCGTATCAAAAAAATCAGGGTGTATTCTACAACGCATACATGTATCCACATTGGCTAACCCTTTCCCGTTTCCCCCGAAGGCATCATTGAAACGGTGATGAGGCACAAGACTGAAGTTCCAAAGGCCAATCACGATGACAAAGGGATGTAGTCTTCCGTTTCCTGGTCAGTCTGAGCTTGCGCTGACGGGGTGCCAGGCGCGCTAGAGGGTTCTTCTCTGGCAAGGCTGGAACAAGGCGTTTGGCCCCCAGGTGCGAGCGGCGGAGGATCAGGTGTCGCCAGCAGCTTGTCGCCCGCGTCACAGTCCTGTGGATCGATGACACGTCCCATGATCCTTCCGATATATGGCTTGTATCCGTATTTCATATAGACGTCCATGAGCTTCTGTTTGATTCTCAATCCCCATACCAAGTCACTTTCGCCTTCGTTTGGAGGCAGCACAGTTGGCCACATTCTGAACTGTGAGACTTTGTCAGCGGACAGCTGTTACCTACCCAACTAGGAAAAGGAACAGTGGAGAACCCAGATCGCCTTGATTTCGTACTCTTTTGGGAAGCCACATCCATTCTTTTCTGGGATGTAGAGGTCCTCTTTCGATGTTACTTACCATTTCATCGTCCACAGCTGTCCCTGGCTCTAGGAGGAAGGTTACCCGACCTCCTATATTGTAGTGTAGCAGTGTCCCTCCTGTCAAAAGTCTATTATGCGTTATTACATCGTTTTCAGACAATCTCCAGTCAATACATATTCCAGAAGCTCTTCAGGTGGATAATCAGTGATAAAAAGGGAAGTTTTCACACACCTGTAGAACATGTTGAAGGCATGACCAAGTATCCCATTCCCAGAATACTATCAATTACAGGAGTCATGTTAGCCATATATACGGGGGAGGGTTTGTGTGAAGGGGGGGGGGGTGTTTACGCACATTGTAGCTCACCCAAATCATCGAAATGAAAACGAGTTCTGTTCCTCGATTACCTAGGTCACCAGGAATGTGCGCGTTTGCCCCATAGTTGTTGATTCCGGAACTTGGAGTGCCATCTGCCTCAAAGACCTTTCGCAGTTCGTTTGCCATCTCATCACTGAAGCCGTGTCGGAAATTTTGTGATTCATTTAGCCACTCCGTAACCCAGGTATTCGTTATGTTTGGGAATCGAGCACAAGGCTTGCTAATTCGCCATGCTTCGACGAGCCCTATGTGTTCTTCTCGCTCTCCAGGTCGTGTGAGGTAAAGCTCTCCATAATACTGTCAACCTCAGATTAATTGCTCCGCGGTTTCGAAAGAACAAAATAACATCATCACTTACACCCATCCGCGTGACACAACCCTCCGGGCATGGGTGAACCTGGACCGACATTCTTAGGGTTCCTCTTTCTTCATTACCGAGTCTTGGCAGTTGAATTTCTGATGTTCCGCGTGCCTCTGCTAAGACTCTTGAAAGTGCACGTCCTTCAGTCCTGATGTTGACCAAAGGATATCGCGCCGCACCCGGCTGGTCCGGGGTTTCAGGATCCGGGCGGGGCGAGTCCCTAGGAGGAGAGCCCGTGGGATCACGAACTGGATTTCTCGGGCCAAGACAGTCGTCAGGGCACTTGCAAGGTTGCCAATTGGATGAAATTTGGCGAAACCTTGCTGACAATTCTCGAAGCCTGTTATAAAGCTGGATTCTGGAGTGCAGAGGAGGTCGTGCTATGTTCTGAGAATTGGGCTCAGGAACAGGCTCGGGATCAGAATGAGGGTCAGAATGAGGATCAGGCTCAGGACTAGGAACGGATTCAGGAATACGCTCAGGAGCGTTTCGCGCTCGGCTTCTTGTGTTTCTTGACGGAGGGTCGTCGGGACTAGCTCTTCGACGCTTTCCTGACACCATACTTTCGCCGATACGGAATTTATCGATCTTGTTCCTCCTTCCTCTTTCCTGATATCTGAGTAGCCCGGCTGACGGAGTTTCTTTCAAATTGCTCAAAGGTAATGATTCTACGGCATGAGAGACTTGTGCCGAAAAGAATACAGGACTTGAGTAAATGGTACGATGGCTAGGGAGGCTGGACATGAGCATATTGAGCCACCCAGTTTGCTTAGAGACTTTGATTTCTATGGAAACGAAGTTCTTTAGGCCAGGCGACAAAGAGAAGAGTACTTAGATAGCTTAGAGTGACCGGAAATGATGCACAGACAAAGCGAAAACAAGACTACTCTCGATGCTGGATGTAGCTTCGAAAACAAAGATAGACAACACGCTGTACTATTCAATTCATGGAAAATCCAAGGGGACTCGTACATTATTGATGTAGTAACCGAAAATTCCGACATTGCTTGAGTGGCACCAGGCAGGGAATGGTCTGGTGAAAAGAGTTGAGCGAGGAGAACAAAATACGTATGTCTTCTATTCAGTAGCAATTGACTATTCTTCTGCTAATTCTGGGGTTGTAGACTGTTATCAGGTACAAGTGAATGCTTGGTATATGGAGCCAGTTGGACACTTATCACACATTGGAGACCATGCGCCTCTTTTGAAGCAACAGTAGTCCAGTAAAGCCCCTGAACCGTTCTGCTCACCCTTGTGGATTTTGACAATCCAAAAAGCTCAGGACTCACAATGGCCTTTGATTTCCACAAACGCGCTCTGCCTCAGTTTAACAAAACAACACTGAAGATGAATCGGCTTCTACCCAGGCCCTGGAGGTCTTTGACCATTTCGGGCCCGCGCTGTTCCGGGGCCGCTCACAGCGGGATCGCCTTGCCATTGACCGTCACCGTGAGCTGCCCAGTCTCCTTGTCACCGGTGACCGCAACATTGAAGCTCTGGTTGTTGAACACGCCGCCCAGGCCAAACTCCACCGTCGAGTTGGTCAGCGTCCACCCGCCCCCGAGCGCACCCTCAGACTGTCCCGGGACTCCAGCATTGAAGCCACCTCCGACGAAGTCTGAGTTTAGAAAACGCTTAGCTTTCATGCCATCGTATTGGGTATTTGAGGAACAAGTCCATACCGGTAGAAAAGTTAAGCCCTGCGCCTGCGGAGTAACCAAACGCGAGGTTGTCCGCGCCCCAACCTAGCTCGCCAACCTTCGCTTCCAAGTCGACATCCTCCGTCTTCGTGATGTTGATGCTCTGGGTGAGCGCCAAGGGCGCGAGCGCAAGGCTGGACATGAGAGCTGCGCGCATGATGGCCGGATATCTCGGATCGATCGTGAAGAGTCGGCGAAGAAATACCCTTGGGGAAATTGTAGGCTTGGGTTGTGTGAACGACTGTGGAACGCTGGAATGGTTAAATGAGTGACTGTTCTGCGATGGGGATGTTCAGGCAGAAAGCCTGGGAGACATGGCGTGTTGGCGACGTTCTTATAAATAGGAGCCCACTGCATGGCTCCACCCCTTGGCGAGATCAAATAAAGTTTCACGACATCTTCTTCCCGTCGCTACCAATGTGTTTGTTTCGGGCCACCCGGCCGGTCCGACATCCCGGGATGATGTTGGTTGGAAACTAATGTGCTTCACTGACTTCAGTCCACATATCACTTTTTTCGAATGAAAGTAGCCTCAATGGCCAGTGGCGGCCCGCGAGTTCGTCTCATATCAATTTCCCATCAAGACGAATGGATAAGCTTCAGCGATCGACGCCCCATCCATATCTCTGAGATCGCGGGGCGAGTCAGTGACAGCCTCGACTCCTTGTCCAGCGATCTGCCCCTGAGAACGGAACTCTATTTTAGTTCGGACAAGGCTCTGGACTCTCATGAACTAAAAACACATATTCGTTTTACGAGGCATGCGGACGAATAGGCCATACATGGTTCACATGGACACTGATAGAGTTGCCTCGTCTAGATTATCTTGGCCTCAAGCCGGTCGCGCGCCATGGGACTCAGCCACCAGTTTGAACCTCATTATCGGACCTATTGCGACATCCGGCCCTGCTCGTTGTCCCAAAATGCTTGTGTGAACAGCAAATGAAGACCCAAATGGTCAGATTTATATCACGTGTTACCCAAGCGGCTCCTCTTATGAAAAGCAAGGCAGCAAGTCTGTTCAGCATGGCTGAGCTGAGTGAGTATTGCGCATGCTGTCATGTAGGACATTGCTGATAAGATCCAGCTTTAGATTTCGTTATCGTTTTCACAGAAGTCGTCGTGATATAGCCCGGCATGAGCTCTAAGCGTAACATCATATCAATTGAGGTGGGTGCTACCTCTTTAGGTACGTGAGCAAAGCAATACTTGATAACTCCTGTCCTGTAACCCCTTTGCCCCCCGAATTTTCCATCGTAAAAACACCGTCCCTTATATACCGCGCTTCGCGTCCTTCGCAGCTAAGCCAGACAGTTTCTTCTCGGGCTTAGGATAGTCCGGCCTGCCGCCGAGAATATCGACGGTCTCCTTCATGTACCACCAGTAGCCTTTGGTCGGCCGTCGGTTTGCCCAGTCGGTCTCTTGCTCCTCCACCTCCTGCATGGGTGTGAACACGACGTCCGCGCCCTTGATTCCGATCACGGACATTCCCATCGGGTCGGACATTACACGTTCTGCGGCGTTCTTGCCGAAATTCTCCAAATGCTGAATGGACTTGATAGCAAGTCTCACAGCTCTGGACCGGTCCATAGGAGAGGGGACACCACCTTGCTGCACGTGGCCAGGGATGCTGTCACGGGATTCGAACCTATCATGGGCCTCATCGCGAATGATGTCCGCCACAAGCTTGGCGTTGTACACCTTCGAAGCCTTCTCATTGATGAGAATCAGCCGACCAGCGCGCGACTGGCCTTTGTCCTTGGCGAAGACTGTCTTCAAGTGCCTAACGTCTGCCTCGAGCATGCCCAGGCTGACGCCTTCTTCGGGGGTATACACGGCGACAGCGCCAACACCGAGACCGGCGAGTGTCGCGACGTAGCCGGACCGACCGCCCTGGGTCTCAATCACGAAAACACGACGGCGGGCAGCAGAGGCAGATTGCTTGATCTTGTCGCAGTAGCTGACCAGCTCATTTAAGCAGGTGTCGGAACCGATAGAGTATTCGGTACCAGGAACGTTGTTGGAGATAGTCGCAGGTAGAACGACCATGGGGATTCGCAGCGAGGGGAAGTCCTTTTGGGCGATGCGAAGCTGCGAGACGGCGTGGAAAGCCTCAAACCCTCCAATAAGGAATAGGGCGTCGAACTTGTAGAGCTTGATGAGATCAGCGATCAGTTCCATCCCGGACTCCTTGGGCAACTCTCTGTTGGTTCCAATCTCAGAACCGCCCTTGCTTGCCCAGCCATCGACCTCGAGCCAGTCGAAGGGACGGACAGCGCCAATGGGCTTGTCGCCGTGATGTCTTGCGAAGCCGGCGAATCCGTTGCAAATGGCAATTGGCTCGTGTCCACGGGAAATGCAATAAGCCACGCCACCTCGTATGGCCGCGTTCATGCCGCCAGCTGGTGCTCCGACGTTGATAAAGCCGATTCTCATGCGCTTGTTCTCAGGGAGGATGTGCTGTGAGCTGAGGTTGGCCGTTGTTGTCAGCATGTACGACTTGTACTGATCCGCGAACTCGGTGTCCCGCAATGACATGGCTCTGTCAAAGTCCTGAGCTTCGATAGCCTTGGCCACAGCTTTTGTGTCTTGGACGGCCTGCATGAGTGGCCTTCGGACGATCTGATTCTCGGTAATAGCGATGAAGCATGTCTCGGTCTCAGGAGTAGCCTCCAGGACGGCCTTCACGGCCTCAACACCCTGAAGGGTACCCAGCATCCTGTCGTAGGCAACCGCTGTGCCACCTCTCTGAACGTGACCAAGTGTAGTGATTCTAGTGTCGAGGTGAAGGCCATTGGGGTCTGCAAGAAGATCCTTGACCATATCGGGAGAGATCTTGCCACCGTACTTGTCGTGAGCACCCTCAGCAATGATGACAATCGTCTTCCTCTTGCCCAGACTGCGGTGCTTCTTGATGATGGCGCACATCTCCTCCCTCCAGTTGTCCTCTCTGGGCTTCTCGGGAATGAAGACAAAGTCAGCTCCGGTTGCAACACCGGTCATGAGCGCCAGCCAGCCGCAATGCCGGCCCATGACCTCGACGACGAAGGCACGGGAGTGTGATGAGGCAGTGGCCTCGATATAGTCGACCATCTCGCAGATTCTCGAGAGCGCAGAGTAGGCACCAATAGTAGCATCAGTTCCAGACATGTCGTTGTCGATGGAGCCAACGGTGCCCACGATGTTCAGGTGCCGGAAAGGGGCAACCTGCTCCTTGGTGAGCTCTTTCTTCTCGATCAGCTCATCCAAGAGTGAGGGCCATTCCGCTCGGAATTTGTCTGCGCCAGTCAGGGAGCCGTCACCGCCGCAGATGATGAGGGCGTCGATGCCGTTGAGGATCATGTTCTTGGCGCCAGTCAGGCGGCCGGGTCGCTCGTAGAATGCCATGCATCGGGCGGTGCCGATGAGAGTACCGCCCTCGGAAAGCCAGCCACGGACGTCGTCCCACGCCATTTTCCGGATGTAGTCACCTCCTCTGACAAGGCCCTCGTAGCCCTCATAGACACAGTAGGCATCACAGCCCATGTGCAGTGCCATACGGACGCAGGCTCGGACCACGCCGTTCATGCCCGGGGAGTCACCTCCCGAGGTCATGATGGCGATCTTCTTCTTGACAGGCGCCATGTTGCGCTGTTTTGAGTGGGGTCTAGGGGATTGGGGGGTCGGGATTTCTTCCCGATAATACTCGTCCACGTGTATTCGTGCCGTGTCTGAAGTGGTGTGTTCCAATCTAGATAGAGATATGACCGAGCTCTAGGTGGTGGTTAGTTGTTTGTTCGGATGTTGCGGGGGAAATGGTTGAGGGAGGATGAGAATGAGACTTGAGACTGAGAGAAAGTGAAATGGCGAGTATTTGATTGGCGAGTACCCGGGCGCGTCAGACTTTGCCCGAGCACCCCTTTGGACGTCTCGTCTCGTCCCGTCCCTTCTCGATTCCCGAGGGTGCTATGTGTCTGACTTGACTGTCTGACTTGACTTACCGGAATGAAACCACGCAGTCGTACTCGCTGCCCACCAGAAGCTTGGCTGTCAGCTGGCGGGGCAAGTCAGGTGTTTTATGTATGTACTGAGTCTAGAGTGACCACAACCAGGCCGTCTAGGGTGTTCAAAAACAAGGAGTTGGAGGAATGTGAGGGATGAAAAAAGGTGCCGAGAGTGAGCAGAAGCCAACAGCTCGATAGGATGCGCTGAGGGACAAGGAAATAGCTTTCAAAAGGTAGGAGGAGGAAGGCAAATCAAGGCAGGCAAGGCAAGCTGAGCTCAGGTGAGGGCGCGCGCCAAGTGGGAGGGATGGAAGGGACATCATAGCTCTTATCTTATCTTGGGGGGGAAGAGCTGGGCCGTCGACCTCAACCCCACCAAACATGACAGAAAAACTCTTGGAGTGACTTCATACCTCAGGGACTTAATCCCTCATACGACTTTCCCTGCTCTTCCTTGTAGCACGGCGCCGTCTCGCTGAAATGCCGCTGTAACACAGAGTTTGACAAGTGGGACCGGACCCAGCAGTGTCTCGAGACGGTGGCCTCACTGCGCGCAAAACTTTGATGTAAGTCATACGTCGTCAGCGTCAACCCACCTGTCCCTATGTTCTCTGCCCGTGCGCCATGTCGGCCACTCTCCATCAACAGAGGCCCAGGCCTGGCTTGCAGCCACTTATGCCTGACGTGGGGGTGTTGAGCCTCGTACAGACCGGACAGGGCCCAAGCTCGCAAATGGGGTGAGCAATCGCGGGAACGTGGAGCCTTGCTGATCTCCGACCTGGCGTGATGCCGAGAGACGTATGCAAGGCGTGCAGCCTCAATGTTAAGTACCTAGACTACCTGCTCTGCTATGTAGGCATCCTCCGACGACATGGCGCACTGCCAAATTGTGTATTAGTTACAGTGGCAATGGGTCAGATGAGGCCTCAAGTCACCAGTAAATCTGCCAAAATTCCCAGATGATAGTCAATTTTGAAGATCAGCAAACACCTAGCCTACATAGCAGATGCCCGAGGAAACACGAGACGGTGTGATGCTTCATTTTGCCTCGACCTGACCGTTTTTGTAACTGTACGTACTGGACGTACCTTTGGACCTTGGGACCTGCCTGCTGTCGAGCCTGGCAGCCCACTAGAGCTAGCGGCCGCGACCCCCTGTCCACGGGAGCTTGGGCAACAACATGTTCCCATTGGCCCGTCAATCGCGACAGCATGGGGGGGGGGGGGGTGGTATTTCGTGCCGGAGCTGCATTCTAGCCTTGCCAACACTTTCTCGCGACAGCTTCGACCTCGGTTCATGTCACTCTGCACGTCGCGGGCTTGTCTCTGAGTCCCCTCTGCCAACACGAGCTCCGCGAATCCTCTTTAGCAATCACGAACGAGCCTGTCCAGAGGACCATTGGCGTTGCTCTCTCTCCACAACCGTCTAACGATCTCCGTCTTCTCCCTCTGAATCTCGGCGGTGGTGCGGCTCAGTCAAGCTGCCTGCCCCTCAAAGGGACACCAAAGAGCCTCAAAGCATCCATGCGCGCCTTCTGACACGGCTTATTCGAGCGACGGACGCAGTGCCTTAACCGCTCCGTGTTTACCGCTGCGCTACGACATCTGCAGACCACAACCGCGACGACAGACCTGAGCTCTAAACTGTCCCTCCGCGAGAATGGCATCAAACCCAGCCCAGGCTTTCGTGCTCAGGCCGGTGCCCCAAAGTGATCGCAGGCCTAAAAACCTGGGTGAATTCATCGCACGCGTAAATGCCGACCGCGGATTTCGAAATGTTACAGAGGAAAGCCTACGCAAAGACATGGAGGCGGAGGCAGAGGCGAATGGCATGCTAGAATCGAAAGAGGTCGACATGGTCAAAGGCGAGGGTGAGGATGGAGATGGGGACGGAGCCAATGGTGAGGACGACGAAGACGCAGATCAAGTTGGAATGGAGGACTTGCACCAAGCAATAGGAGACGTGCGACTTCACGCCGAGTACGAAGCTCTCCCGCCGCATCTGGAGCCATCAAGATTTGCTAACCTGCCTGCAGGGCCGCGCACCAAAATGCCATGCTCGCACTCGACTTTGTCTCCTTGCTGATCACCAAGGAGAACCCAAGGCCAGCCCAAGACACAGTGTCCCCAGCCCTTCGAGATCTCGTCGGCATTGGCAGCTTAGGCGCGGACAAACTAGCTGCTTCGAACATCACACCACAACGCCTGCTGGATAATAAGCTGGTAGCCACGGGTTGGAAGTTTGCAGACATTGATAGGACGGTCAACTCCGTGCTCACATCCGCCTCTCGACTGCAGAAAGAGATCAGTGTTGAGACTAAATATTGGGCCGAGGTCCTCGCAGTCAGTGAGAAAGGCTGGTCTGTCACTCGTGTTCCCAACGAGCCAGAGACTCTTGGTGTCCGATATGGTTTCTCGGAGGCTGCGCCCGGCTTTCGAAATACAAGCCTTGCGCCCATGAGACGAGGCGACGATGGCACTGTCGATCTGGACTGTGGGAAGATGCTCGGCGAGTCGCAGCGCTTACTGGTCACCATCGAGAAGAACCGTCGAATAGTCGGGCGCTCTGCGCTCCCAAGGCCGCTTCCACAAGATGCTCCGTTGGAAGAGAGAGTCCTAGAAGCCCGAAATACCATATTCGCGCAGGAATTGTGGCATGAGATGAATCGCGAGGGTCGCTTGCTACAGTCTTACGGCGTTCGTCTCGAAGATGAGGCGCTCTCCTACACTCTGGAAGATAACCTCCGGATCGTGTTCAGCTTACAGCCACTCGAACAAGCCGTCGAGGAGGGCGCGTCGGAGACCCTCCCAGAAGATTATCGCGCCGAGTCTCTGAGCTCGGCTCTACATCAGTTGTTGACTTATGCGCATCGCATCAACAACCAGAGGCGCTCCCGTCCAGATTCCAAAAACAGAGACCAGTCCACAACAATGCCGCCGTACCCCCTCTTGCGTCCTGTACTCGCGAATCTTCAGCATGAAACATCGATAGCAGATGCCACGGGCTTCATTTCGGATTTGTCGACCATTTTGCATTCTGCAGGAATCTCCACAGTGAATTTCAAACTGACCGAACCGCCAATCTCCCTGGATCTGGTCTCAACCCATGGTTCTCCATCAGAGGCCCTTATCCAAGCCCTATTTGGGCCCTTAGAGCTTCAGTACGAGCTCAATATCACACCAGAGTCACGACTTCTTGTTCACTGCAAAACGGTCATGGGCAATGTCATCGCGACAACTTATCACGTTTCCCTTCTACCGCCGGCGCAGGGAGGCACGAATCCTCTGTCCACAGCATATCACCCAGTCCACCTTCACGGCGAGGGATATACACTACGTGATCTCAAATACTACCTGCAACAGGCCGTCGCGCGCGTCCTAGTCGATCGTGCCAGCAGCATTGTGCTGACTGCCAGAGCACCGTCGCCGAGCGACGAGGACGAGCTACCAATTGTGTGGGCGAAGCACATCAGCGGGGTGGCCCTCGAGAATAGCAACGACAGCAGGGAACAGTTGCGCTTTGAAGTCATTCTCTCCGAGCTTGGCCACCCCGAATTGCACCTCTTTGGGAGCTGGGTGGTCGACCAGCCGAAGCCCGCAACTAGGACTTGGACTTGGACGGTCGGCGACGTGAAGCAGGGTCTGAAGAAGGAGAGCATCGAGCAGGTTCTACGTAATGTCGTAGCTCGCGTGGCTCAGCCTCAGCCTTGATTTTGCACCGAGGCAAAGGTATGCCGTGCGCGGGGAAGTGCTTTGAATCTCATTTGGAAACGCGTCACTTGATGACAGAAGTGGACAGCTACACTGGGACGCGTGGTACAGGAACTGAGAGATGCTGTTCTCGACGCGTGTGAAATCTCAACAGGTCAATTCACACGCTGTAGGGATGAAGCAGACCGCCAGCGGCTTGTCTGCAATGACTCTGCAGCTAGGTAGTAATATTAAGTGTATTATAGTATACTAAGTGGAGCTTCTTTGGCTGTCATGTCATTCCTTTGTTCTCAACACCTTAACACTTCTGGTATTGAGGGAAGATAAGACGGATCTCGTGAGAAGAAATGAGTGACGTTCCACGTGTCCAAGCGATCCGAACTACCTAAGTCCTCGGACCCGATCGCCGCCGGCCTGCAGATTCATGCGAGTGCTTGCGCCCGGTTTCTTCTAGAAAACCATGACCGCTGTCCTATACCATGTGATACCGTGCTATACGCGCTGACGAGGAGCAACATTCTTGTTTTGTTAGTCCATCGTCTGTGCTTCGGGTGCAACCCAATTTCGCACGGGAAAATCCTTGACAAGATCAGCCTCATCTGCAGGTACGAGTACGACACCATTGGCAGCCTTGCATATATCATGTCACCTCAGCGTTACATTCGTGCGGTTCTGCCCAAGACGCAACCTCCGAGATGACAGTTTCAAGGATCAACAACGGCATCGCCTAGCTGAGGCCTGTCGGAGAGTTGTTACGACTCGAAAGCAGCCTTGGAAAAAGATCTTCGCATGGGCTATTATGGCATGCTTCTCAACCCCCGTCAATCACACATGGGATGAGACGTCCTATTTCGCCGGTGTCGACCGAGGTCTGTCAACATGCAATTACTGGCTCTCGTAGCTTCAATTTGGCAACTCTGGTTCTTCGCCAAAGAGTTCCCTAACGACTGCCGAGATGTCCCCGTCAATACTGGTCGCCAGCCCGGCCTCGTCCAGCTCCCAGGGGACAGCCGTCTCAGGTCCCAAGCCCACCCTGATCAGCTTCACCTTTCCCCTGCCCCTGGAAGCCAAGTCTTCGTTCGGCCATCTCAATACTCCCGGCGTCGACATACCCGCCCCAAGCTCGAGGATCACCGTCGTCTTCTCACCAGCGAGGACTGTGTCCCGGCGGAACTGCTTCCACCTCTTCTCACCCTCCTGAAAGGGCAACTCGTTGAACCAGTCCCCTGCTCTGACACAGATATTCATCTTGCCCCCGCAAAACCGGCAAAGAGGCACCTTACCAGGATCTGTCAGGATCTGAGAGACGGGGTCCAGATCCGGCTGCGCAGCCTCCACGAGCGGCGCAGACAGCACAGTAGCGTCCGGGCGGCAGTTGGCCAGGCACTGAAGCACAGCATACGCCCCCTGCGGCGTGGAGAGCCTCTCAGGATCTAGCCCGTTCGCGACGAAGAGGCCGTCAGCGTTGGACGTCCTGACATGTGCGATTCCGCCGAACCGCTCCAGCCACGAGATCAGCGTGCGATACATGGGGGACGCCGGCCACGTCCGCACCATTGCGAGGTGCGTGAAGTAGTAGCCCCAGCGCACCTGCTCCGTCGGCCAGCCCGTGAAGCCAAACACGCTGTACAGCGTCCGCAGCCCGTATTTGAGGAAGCCCGGGAAGTGCTTCGCGAACAGCGATGGAGAGGTGTAGTCCAGCCCGTCTGAGGCTGATAGCCCTGCGCCTGCGCTCACGAGGACTGCATCTGCGGACTTCAGCCATACCCTCGCGCGGTCCAGCGAGTCGCACTGGAGCAAGGGTGGGCGGTCCGCGTGAGATGGTGGTGTGGACATCCAACCCGTCCCTTCCTGCGGAACACCGGACAGGACCTCTTCGTAGATGACTTGATCCGCATCGGTAAAGGTATTAAAGATTATATCGGTGATAGAAGTCCCGCCATGCTCCTCGAGCCACTCCGCAACAGCCCCGACCGCGACCTTGGCCGCCTCCAGCGCCGGGAACGCAAACAGGCCCGTCGAGATGCCGCACAGCGCCACGATCTTCCTGCCGTCCGGCGTCGCGGGCAGGCCCTCGACGGCGTCGAGCACCGCGCCGTAGCACCGCGCCAGCTGCCCCGTCTGCGGCGGCGTCGGATCCGCGCCGCGATGCAGCTGGGGGCCCACCGTGTGCACCACATAATCCGCTGCGAGGCAGTGGCCCTCAGTGACGATCGCCTCGCCCGGCTCGATCTCGCGGCCCCTCGACTGCATGGCCTCGTGGCACGAGTGCCGTAGCCGCGGCCCCGCCCATGAGTGGATCACATTGTCTATGCACCGGTGCGGCGGCTGGAAGCACCCTAGGCCCTGGCTGTTTGCGGCGTTGGTGATGGCCGTGAGGCCGGTGAGGGTCGTGATATCGCCCTTCCAGAGGCTCAGCCTGACGTCTCTGGCATTGTCACGCTTTAGAGTTGCTCTTGGCTGGATCGATCCTGCTAGTGTTAGGACTCTTTGTGACATCTGCCGTTGTAATATCGAATCTATGCCGTCTATGATGTCTGCTGGGAGAGGTGGGTCTGGTTGCCGGACACAGAGGAGCTGCTGAAGGAGCCGTAGATGACTGGAGGGCTCGAGGTCGTCTAGCTGATCTTTGATGTGGCGGTAATGATGGTGATGGTGGTGATGATGGTGATGATGGTGGTGATGGTCATCGTCGGTGTCGTCCTCTGAGACATCATCTGCCTCATCTAGCAGGTAATACAGTGCGTCTTTGATTGTGGCCATTGTTAATATCTACGGTTGTTGGTGGTTGCTATAGGAAGACGATCGCCACGTTTCTTGCGATCGTGAGCTCTGTCTGGCACGGAATGTAGGGAGATGGCAGCTTTGGTGAACTGAACCTTCCCATTCATTTCCACTAACTTCTATGCATTCCCACGATGATAAATCATGTAGTCGTGGTAGTTGCTGTATCGCGTGTCGCTTACCTGATATCTCGAGCTGGATTAGGTGCAATGGTTGCAACGGGCGCGGTTCAAGGGTGATGCCGGGAAAAATTGCGCCCGTTTGCTTACATGAGCCAACACCCACACCAACATAGACTGATTGTTTCCGAGTCTTGTCATGACTTACTCGCTGCCCTCGGGCCCGGTCGAAACGGGCCTCTCATCGCGAATCTAAAATGCATCCTGCAGGGGGTTAAGGTTATAGCGAGATTCCAGATACATATGGAATTCTCGTAACGGCCGAATTTCTGCCGGCGGTAGTTTCAAAATTGCCAGGACATCACCACCTCGCCCCTGTACTCTCTGTGTCAGAGAAGCTCTGGGGCATGGTTCATGATTTCTCTTGCCCCATTTCTTCCGACTTCGGTAGGTGTTTACTGACGCGCATTTGCCGACGAAGCTCAAGGCCTTGCAGGCCCCTGACGAGATGCATCAGGAGGCCAGCATAAGGCATGAAATCGAGATCGTCCTGAAGTCTTGAGCACGATTTCTAACTCCGCGACGTTTGTGATTCAAAACATTACTGTATCTCATTTTGCATCTGCTACCCGAGCCTCGATGCTTCGGTAGGGGTATTTGTCCTATGTCCCAGTTTTCCGTCCGACCCCATCCGATCCCATCCCAAACTATCCCACGCTGTATGTATCATTCCCTCACGTCACAATCACGTCCATTTCGACTCCGATATCCCTTGTGCATTGGTGACCAGCTCGATCTGGTCCTGGCTTCTGCTCCACTGATCCGCCGACCCTGCCCTCGCTTCTTCGTCCTCGCCTCGTGGGACTGTCCCTATGTGGATCGAGTGGTTGACGTAGATCTTATTCTTGGACATGCCGGCGGCGGAAGAGTCCGGGTAGCCCTTGGACCTGTTGCCGTAGGCTCCTGAGTGATATCCCGATTGGTACCCACTGCCCCCCTTGCGGCGCGTGTAGAGTGCTGTGACTGCTGGGAGGCAAGCGCAAATCAATCCTAGTCCTATTTCTGCGTTTCTGCAGGAAGGGTACACAAGCGTTAGCCACCTGGTTGCAGTGTACGGGCGAAGAGAGAGGAAGAAAAGGGGGGGGGGGGGACGAGTTCATAGGGCGAGATTTGCTTACCCAGATAGAATGACCTTAATAAACACGACCGTCTGGTTGATCGAGTTGCCCTCGTCGATGATCATCCCGAGCCGGTATATGGAGAAGGCGGTCGCAATGCCACCTGCGCACAAGATGCCAGCCACGCGCAGCTTCTTCCTCAGCGGCAGCTGAAGCGACCACGTGAGGGGTGTAGGCAGCAGCAGGATGACCAGGTCGCTGACGGCGCTGACGATAGCGTCGGCAATGATAATGGCCCGCTGGTCCAGGCACTTGCTCATGTCCCCCTCCCAGTAGGCGTGGATCGGCCAGCAGATCCGGATCTTGACGACGAGGGCGGAGAAGTAGTAGCCTCCTAGCAGGCCCATGAAGATGTAGATACCCATGATTGTCTTCTTGTGCACCGACCCGAAGACCCTGGCGATGATTAGGAGCAGTGCCATCTTGACGCTTAAAGCCATCGGGGCATAGAAAATGGTCGCCGCATATCCGGTCTAGGGGTCAACGTCAGTCACGCGCTAGAACTTAGAGCCGTGAAGAGGAATGTGTTTACCTTCAAGAAAGAGGGGATCTGATCCAGAGTAACCTCCCATTGATTAATGCCGCCGCCATATTGGGAAGCTGTCGGTGTTTGATGTGTTAGTCAAACTATTCGGTTGTTCCCCTTAGGACTTGTTCAGGGGAAAGTACATACCAAAGATGCTGTCAACACAGTAGCCAATAAAGAGAACATATGAGAAATAAGTAATGTCTGTCTTGAAGTCAGTAATCTGGTGTAGTTAAATCTATGGAAAGGGGGTAGTCCAGGCTTCTTACAGTCTTCAAGATTCCATGTCCCGCGGAGGACGCTAGACTTGGCATAGGTCTTAAGACAAATGAACACCGTCACGAACACTAAGCTTAGCGCCTGGGTGACATAGTTCACCGTTCGGAGTACGTCCGCCGGGTTATCAAAGTCCGGAGTGACACCCGAGGGGGCTTGGGCGGCGCCCACCTGCGAGGCAGACGACATCTAGACGTGCGAGTTGGAATGATGCTAGCGCGTCCTCAACAAAGTGCAAACAGCACGGTCAGCTCATCTGAAAGTCAACAAACAGCAGAGAGGGTGATCATCGAGGACGGGTCGGACGGATAGGTGGGATGGGCCCTCGCTGAAGAACACCTGGCCCCCTCTGTGTATTTCAATGTGTAGCTTATTGTTTGCCAAGCTCCGCGAATTGTATGGGTCGAGCGGGCCACTGTATCTCTTGGGGCAAAATCTTTTCTACCGCAGCGTTGCATCAGAGGCCGTGCTTCTGTGTGGTTTTGCGGCTGCATGACCTGATCTTATTTGACTGCTGTATCATTTCGATGTACGAGGATGTTCAGGGGAATATTCCCGCTTGGCAAATGCTGTCGCGGGTGACGGTCCCGGGGTAACCAGGCTGATTCCGTGGATCCGGGAGGAAACAACATCAAACCGGAGTGCGTGGTTGCGGTGGAGGCCGGGATGGATGGCCCCGGCAAGCTATCCTAGTATGAGAGACTCATGTCCCTCCGTCCGGCTCAGCCTTCATGCGTCCTCGGCGGAGACCCAGAATCAGTGATATTGTGACTGAAGCGTTAAAGCCTTTGGAAGCTGGAAACTGTCCTGAATCAGTGCGGGCTTCATCTTCTTACACACTAGATTTCACTGTCCCATGGAGCCATGGAGGGGCTTTCCTCACGGTTCAGCAGTGCGGGCGTGAGCTTACGCCGAGCTTGAAGTACCGGCATGAGTTTGGTTGATTGTGGATCCGTTGGAGAGAACCCCCAGTATTGTCTCCGTCCAAGATGATCACCTTCCCCACCCAAAGACGATCTTTGACCCACTTGAGCTTCGAATATGCAGGAGATAATGTCACGCGATCCAGCTGAAAATGGAGCCTCCCTCCGATTTCAACGTACTCTTATACTTCAGTCGACATATGCTGCATACTTATCGGGATCGTTAGAGTTTGGTACCATCTGATAACTCATCTACCCATACAAACTCTCGCATCCGCACCGAGCGTCAGCGGCCGTTCTTCTTCGCCTAAGGAACTCACAACCAACCAGATCCACACACTCGCTCACGCACAATGGGAGACGCTGCCGTCAGCAGAGCTGGGTCTAAGCTGTTCCAGCCCTTGACCATTGCCAACGGCAAGATTCAGCTCAAGCATCGGGTGGTGCTGGCGCCCCTGACGAGGAACCGAGGCACTCCAGTGAAGGAGTCCACATCTGAGGACCCAAACAGAGAATGGATTCCCAATGATCTGATGGCAGAGTACTACTCTCAGCGCGCAACGGACGGAGGTCTCATAATATCCGAGGCGATCCCGCCCAACCTGGAGGTGAGTTTCCGCTGATCACTACGCCAATTAGCATGTGAATAAGAGGACTCGGGCTCACATGCCTTCCAGGGTAATGCTATGCCGGGCGTGCCGGGCATCTTCCGGGCAGACCAGGCTGAGGGGTGGAAGAAGGTGGTGAACGCGGTGCACGCCAAGGGAGGCGTCATCTACGCGCAGCTCTGGCACTCTGGCCGGGCCAACATCCCACAGCTCACAGGCGGGCCGACACTGTCGGCGTCTGCGACGCCGTGGGACGACCCGGACGAGACGTTCCCGTACCCGCCGCCGCACACCACGACGCCGGTGAAGCTGCGCGACAACCCGCCCATCGAGATGACGGTGGAGAAGATCAAGCAGACTATCGGCGACTACGTCAAGGCCGCGCGGTTCGCCATGGACGCCGGCTTTGACGGCGTCGAGGTGCACGGCGGCAACGGCTACCTGCCGGAGCAGTTCCTCTCGTCCAACATCAACAAGCGGACGGACGACTACGGCGGCAGCCCCGAGAAGCGCTGCCGGTTTGTGCTCGAGCTGATGGCCGAGCTCGCGAAGACGGTGGGCCAGGAAAACCTGGCGATCCGGCTGAGCCCCTTCGGCCTCTTCAACCAGGCGCGCAGCGAGCAGCGCCTCGAGACCTGGGGTCACCTGTGCCGCGAGCTGAAGAAGAGCCATCCGACGCTGAGCTACGTGAGCTTCATCGAGCCGCGGTACGAGCAGGTCTTCAGCGAGAACGAGAAGCAGGCCTTCCTCGACAGCTGGGGCTTGCCCGAGGTGGACCTGAGCGAGTTCCGCCGCATCTTCGGCAGCACGCCCTTCCTGTCGGGCGGCGGCTGGAACGACCAGAACGCCTGGGGCGAGGTCGAGAGCGGCAAATACGACGGCCTGCTGTTCGGCCGGTACTTCATCAGCAACCCAGACCTTGTCAAGAGGCTGCGGGAGGGCCTGCCCCTGGCGCCGTACGACCGGTCGCGCTTCTATGGGCCGTTCCCGGACAACCACGTTGGCTACACCGACTACCCGACCTGGGAGCAGCAGCAGAAGAAATAGAGCGCCCTCAGCGAGGAGCAGCCTCAGATGTAGGACGGGTTACCTAGATTAGATGCCAGATATTAGCGGTTGCTTGATAGAATTGCCTGTTGTTGCCCCAAGCGTGCCCAGAACTCTTCTTGAAGGCAGTGTGCCCAGTGTTTCAGGTGTGGTGAAGGTTGAACTTGGCCCAGCTAATTCCCGCCCCGCTTGAGCTTGCTCGCCGGTGGCTCTCTGGTGGAGACTGGTTAGAGGGCGATGTTGATGTTTTGGAATAAAGCTCGGCGCCCGGGGGTCCCGTCGTGGATATCGCCGGGGTCGGTGACTGTCGAGGTTAAGGTTTTTTTCAGGGTCCATAACCTTTACAGCTGCTAGTTTAGGCTGTTTACCTCGCGATTAAGGTTTCCAAGGTTTCGACGGACCCTTTTTTCTATTCTTACCGCGCTATGCTTCTCCCGAAGCTTCGGAGATGAACGCCGAGGAGCTGCGGAGCTTTTCGACAGCGCTGCCTCTGTTCTAGAGCGAATCCGTCCTAGCTTCTTTCCTGTGTCTGCCCAGTAGGCTTTCCACCACGGTGCAAGACTGTAGAAATTCGCCTCCCTCACCTTGCCCTGTCCATGTTAGACGTTGTGATTGTGCTGTAGCCCGGAACCTGGCTGCGAAGGGAGAACAGCAGAGCCAGCCATACTTGCCAGTCCACACCGCCCACCAGCGTCAAAGTCCCTGTCGACCACTCGAATCACACTATCGTGCCATGCTCTCTGGCTCATGGTGGAGCCATCGTCATTCCAGACGGATGGCGGTTCACCTGACCCAGGCAGCGTCGCATCCGCAGGCAATAGTCGGGCACCCCTTTGTGGATCAATGAACCAGCCAAAAAGAAAAAAAGTAGAGAGAGTCAAGGCTTCCTCCACCTTTTGGCTGCCTGGCTCGGAACTTGGGCGTTGCAGAGATAATTGGACAATTTTCAAATTACCTTACACCATTTCGACGTCGGCGGTGACGTGGACCTGCGTTGCGTTGCGTTGCGTGCAGTACGCTGAGGAGCAAAATGGCCGGCTTGAGACGAACCGGGCCCACAAGGAGCTGTCGGAAGTCGACCTCATCCGGAAGCAGAAGGGGACGATCCGCAGCAGAACGGCAGAACGGCTAGGACCGGTTGCCTTTTCCCCATGCTGTAGAGGATGGGGATCTGCAATCTGCTATCTCGCAGATTGCGATGTGCGGCAGATGGCCTGCAAGCATCGCTGTGGCGGCGCGCGCTCGGAGCTGAAGCTTCAATGAGTGCGTTTGCTTGCCTGCAGGAAGCTCCCATGGCTTGCCGGGCTGTCTTGCTGCCGTGCTGCCCCCAAGGGGCGGCTTTCCTGTTATGGTATAAATCCAGGAACACCTGGAACACACCGCATGCTGCAAGCAATATAATTCGGCTGCAGCATGCAGGACCGCGGCGTCGGGCGTTGCTGGCGTGAGGGGTTAACGACGTCCACGCAAGGGCGGGTGGTAGTTGTAGTGGTGGTGGTGTGCGGTCTGACATATCGGGATCTGCCGTCGCAGCGCAGGAGAGGGGTAGACTGTAGAAATGCAGGTTTACTGCGCGGGAAGGATTTCAGCCACACAGACGGTGAAGCTGTCAGCGGCAGCCTCGGTGTTTTGGCCCTTGGCCCTTGTACTATACTCTGATGTACGTACATGTACTTGCGTGCATTCAAACATCGACCGTCGGGATTCCTTTGGGGCAGCCCTCGGCGGACGAAGCTTTGGGAACCCCGCTGCCCCGAGGAGCAGCTGACTTGGGATGCCCGTGATACTGCTACTGTTGTGCTCCGTCGTTGCCGTTGCTTCTTCGTGGCAGTTAGATGATGATGTCGACCAAGGAGGCACACAAACGATTCGAGTTTCAAGTCACGGTCACGCTGGTCCGCGAGCATTCTCTTGACTGGTTGAAGCTTTGTTGCGTATTGATTAACATATTTCGTGTGTTGTGTGTGTGTGTACACCGCTATACTGTATACTGCTATCTAGGTTTCGAAACACGCTCATGTACAGGGCAGTGTCGCCCGATGCCTCCGGCTCGCGTAAGCTACTTTTAGTTGTTGTGACTTGATATCTCGTCTTGCGAGATTGTGTCATTATGTGTATCTTGTATCATAACAGGTGAGAGATGATCCGACCCTCCCGAACATCGCAAGGCTTGACGCGGCTTGCTCGTCCCACTAAACCCAATACCAGTCCGTAAATGCCGTAACATGCTCTGCTCCGGTAAAGACGAATCAACCGAGTAGCCGCTCAGAACTCCATGCTTGCTTGGTGAAAACAAAAGAAAGATGAGTCCGAAATCAGATAACCGTGAATGCTTCGAGAAGGGAATTCATGTGACGTTCAACCTCGTCTTCGTGAAATGGTTCGCCTCTCATGGAAGATCGAAGGCGTCGTCCTCCTTCTGATAAACTTCTTCCGTTTGGCCGCCAAAGTAGATTCCTCGCCGCTTCCACCCCCCACGCTTTAGATAGTACGTTGGGTCATCCGGAGAAGTGACCTGCGGTCTCCGTTGTGGGCTCTGCGGCGAAGACAGCTCGTTGCTTCTCTTCACGGCTGCGTCCTCCTCGTCGTCATCGTCGTGGTCGAACCAAGATTTGTCTGAGTCGACACTCGACGCCGGTGATGGCCATCCCTTCGAGTAAACTTCGTCATGGTGCGCTCGGTTGCGCTCGATCATCCGCCCAATTGCCTGGTTCCTGTCAAAGCCGAAGTCGAAGCCGTCGTGAACAACCAGTGAGAACCCGGAATCGGAATGGTGCATCCGCGGTCGTCGCAGCTCATGGCCGGCGAAAGACTGTTTCGATCGTAATGACTGCGTGTGCGTAGGCAGACTCTCACGAGACTTGGCCGGCATGTCCGGGTCCTGGTCTATCGGTGGGTTCAGCTTGAGTGGGTCCCACTCTATTGGTGGCCAGTGTGATCGTGCATGTTTTTCTGATGAAGGGATCCTCGAGATAGGTGCCGGTGCGCTGTCGCTATGTTGCCTCCTGTGGCCGATCTTTGGGTCTTCCATCTCCTCCGCTGCAATTGTCATACGCAGCTTCTTGTGGCTGCGAACACCACGTAATATCCGATGTCCAGCTGAGCCAACCATGGTGACGTGATGAGAAGGTGAAGGGGCGGTGATGATGCCCAAGTGCGAGGTAGTGTAGTAAAAAGAGACGGTCTCCGCTATCACTGATGAGAGACTCTTGGGTGAATGTGAGTCCAAGTCTGATACTGGCTAAATGTGTGCCAGAGTTGGGTAGGAAATTATGGTAAGGACCGGATATGAGAATATGCAGCCTGTAGGCTGAATGGGTTGGGGGGGATGTCATCTTTGATATATTCGCAAGGCACCGAGAGGGAAGCCCGGCCAATCCGGGTGATGTGCCTTGCAGCACTTGCTGCAGGCTTGCCAGATACGAGGGTACAAGAAGGCGTCGAGAGGTACTTGCTTAGAAACCTGCCTGTGATCGCCATTTTAGCGACGTGCATGGGCCTTGTGAAGCGAACAGGTTTGCCGATGCTACGCCAGGGCATGGCAGAGACACGCAAGAGGGTGTGCACTGGTGTGGTACTTGCCCGGCGGTGCAAACGTGCACCCCGACTTTTTTTTTTTTCTGTCTTCGCACTAGTCGATTCCAAGGTTGTTTGTCTGGCGGTGACTTGTCACCGGCCGAGCTTTTCTATGACAGCAACATCCTGACCTGCTTGACCCGCTGGGGGTACCCTTACCTTGCGTACCACTCAGCCCTAGTGTGGGGCTGTACGTCACCCGGATGACAGTCTCGCAGACGTGATCTTCCCTTGATTGATCGGACGGGAAGCGAAAGCAGTCAGCCAATGCCACCGGAATGCCCACAGACAGGGAACAGACTAAATGAACCGAAGACGGCATCCAATCAATCGTGACTGCCCTTGAGCCTGACGGCAAAAAAGAAAAAGCTTTGGGCCCGCAAGTCTGATACGAGCACAGAAACTGTCACGGGCCTGTCATCGTATCTCGCTGACGTGTAAGCCAATATGTCCCCGAGAGTTGATACCGGCCTCAGTATCAATATCTGTTGCCTTGATATTGCATCTGCTGTGCTGAGGTCATGAACAATCATGATCACTTGTCTTCTTTTTTTTCTGGTCTCCAGGGACCCATCAATTTCATCATTCTTCCCCAGATTTCTGCTGGCAGGGATGGACAGGGGGTGGCCAATTCCTAAAAACTGGGCCATGCAATCGGGAAGTGATTGCCGCTCTGTTTAAGCTGAAGGGGCAGCGATCGTGATCGTTGGGTGTGAGTCCCCAAGTACTGCAATAATCCGGAAACAGTCAAGGTAGGACCAAGCAAAACTAGTCTGCGCGGCTGCCACGAGCGAGACGACTTGTTTCCCGGCGTCGTGGTTGATCTGTAGATCGCGGTGCACATCGGGCAGGTCAGAGAGATTCTGAGACTCTTCACCGATCCTAGCCTCATTAGCGCAGCCACAGCAGTGCGTTCAGTACTTGCAGCCAGACATTGCGTGGAAGTGCGTTGCCAACCACGCCATGGCATGCATACCCCGCGCGATCACAGCACTGGAGACGCACACAGGCTCGTGCAGATGGCAGACCGCTTAGTGGCGTGGGTGTCTTGCAGGAGCGGGCCCACTGCGGGCTGCTGCCCTTGAGGCGTTCGTGAACACGCCGCACAGCAATGAGCACGATGCAGGTACAAAAGTCCTACTGAGTATTCAGGAAGTCCTTGCGATTTCTCCCATGTCTTCATCCCCGGTCTGACAACGGGATCCCACAGACCTCACAGGCGACCGGGCCTCAAGTGCAAGCGACCGGTTGAGATTGTCCAGCTAATGAGATCATCGGCGGTAACTGGGCGTTTCAAACCTTGGAAAACGCCGGATGACGAGACGGCGACTACAGTACCTGTCTGCATGCAGAGGCAGCCTGCCTTTCCCCCTGGCGGCGTCACTCACGTCGAAGCTGATCCCTACGCGTTTAAACCCTGGACCACTCATTCCAAGCGTTCATGCTGCGCGTCTCCTTTTCAACGTCGACGTTAAATAGTTTCGGAGACCAGTCCTTGTGTGTTTGTTCCTGGCCGGAAATTAAGAGGATTAAATGTCTTGCTATTGTGTGGAACAGACCATCCCTTGGTGCCTCTTTTGGGCGTTGCGTCACCTAACAGGGAAGGTCGCTTGACGAAGTACCGGATTCAGCATTCGGATCCCAGGAGCTCGGACAGGCTCCAGTAGCTTGTATTGAAAGTTCTTTCCAGCTTCGTATCGCCGCGTTCTTTTTTCCCCTTTGGACCTCCCTGCTTTCATGCTATAAATGTCAACGGCATGCGAAGCTTAAATTTGGTGCCTTCTCATGGTCAGGGGCTGTGCAGCTGTTGTACTTGGTATTGCTCATTGACTAGCTCATTAACGCTTAGTTGCACAGAGCCTCACGGATGCCCGAGCTGATGGCTCGGTGGCTGCAAACGTCTTCAGTTATGATTGGCGCGGCAGGAACGGACTTGAGACTGTGGCTTCAGACTGTGGCTGAATGAGTTTGTCAAGGCCCTCGTTTCTTCCTGGGAGAGAGCGAGATCGGCTATGTATTCAGACACATCAACCGTGATCTGGGAGGGTATTTTCAAGGTAGGTAGTGAGACATATTCGCCTAAACCATCTCGCACTCGCCCTGCCCTGCTGACGCTCTCTCGCTTTGTTTGTGTGTGCTTAAATCGAAGCAAGCGGAGCTTATTTGCAATCCGATAACAAGAGGTGGCTAATGGAGTTATTGCCAAGTACCGGCCGACACACCGAGGGTGGCGCGCCCAGTCATCAAGGTCGCGCGATGCGGTGCCTGAAACAGCACCTACGTGTCCCACCACCTGCTCCGGTCGCCTCTTCGGTGATCGTGGCCCGCGGCAGAGAAGAACTTCTTGTGAATCTCGGGGTTCTCAGGTGACAGACAACCCTTCCCCACATGCCGTCGAGTCATCCCTGCAGCGCATCGCACGGCTGGTATATGTCGAGCGAGTTTTTGGTTTGCCGGCCGCTTCATCTCATCCGATAAAGCTGTGCCACTCCCGTGATGTTGGGTTGCGATGTTTCAAGATTCTGCTCTCCTCCGATGTTCACATTCGTGTTTGCCTTGTGACGGCCAATTGCCCCCTGCCTCGGCTTTACCAAGTTCTTGGGCGACCCCGCCGCCGGGCGCATTGACCGCACCTTGATCGATTGACAGGCTATTTCGAGATTTTGTGATACGTCAAGGCATCGCAGATGTGCTTGGCTCGGCGTAATCACAGCACGCCGTCGCTCTCGCCTGGCAGTCGCTTCACCCGTCTCTGTTCCCAATCGTCGAGGTCCTTTGCGGCAAGTCGCTGTGAAACATGGGGCAACGTCAGCAGATGCGTCTTCGCCTTCAGACCGCAAGTGGTATGCCGCGATAACTCACGTAGTACTCGTCCCTTATGTCAACCTTGCGTCCCTGCCTGCCGACCCCGAGCTCTTCCTCCCGGGTCATCTGCCGCACTTTCCTGTCATATTTCTCGTATCGGATAGCCGTTGCTGGCGTGAGCACGAAGGAGCCTGCGACGATGATGGACATAAAAGGCAAGCCGAACAGGAGGAATGGGCGTTTCGCGAGTGCGGCTCGGTAGCGCGCCGCAATGGTGTTCGCATCGGCCGACGAGACGTATTTCTTCTTCGGGAACACGCCCATGGTGACAAAATTGTGGCTGGGATAAAGGGGAGGGTCAATGCACGTATTTGGAGGTAGCTGTTGCAACTGAGCAAGCTCCTTGGGCTGACAGTCCGCGGCGAAGTGTTGGCCTTGCTGGACGGTAGTGTCGTACGAGTGGTTTGCTCGAGAGAGCTGCAGAAGCTTTGCAGCGACTAGTGAAGAGCTCCCCACTCCCGAGATGACCTAAGCTGAACGGGCAGTAAATTCAGGGGCTAGGGTTATAGGGCAGGGGGGGGTGTCATATCAATGTTGCGAACCAAAGAATCACTCCCCAGATTCAATGCCTTTAAATCAGCCTCCTGACGGGGTTCCCGTCGTCTTTGATTACTCTCTCCTGAAGCAAGAAAGGATATGATGTATTTCTCCCGGATTGGGCTGGCATGTGTGACGTTGACTGCGAGAGTGGCTTGGTGCTGGGAACATTCAGACGAAGGAGCGCTGAAGACTACCCTTGCGGCTCATGATGTTGCTCTTGTAGCTTGTAAGTGCACTGCTTTTCGAGAGTGAACATCTGAACTGACCACTCCTCTGATCCTTAGTTGTTGCTGTAAGTATTTCATCTATCGAAATGGCATGACCCTTCAAGATTGGGCAGTAATCGCTGATGCCGGATTGTCTGCCAGCCAAGCGAGTGAGTGTCTCTTCCCGCTGATGTGAAGGTTCTTGGGACGCCGCTGACAACTTGAAAGGGCGAAAAGTCAGGCTTTGGAGACTGAATGGACGTCCGCTGCCTCTACAGCTGGCAACATACTTCTAAGTATTAACTGTGACGCTGAGCCGAGCATATGTGCCGAGTACGAGGCCAATTCTCGTCCAACTATACGTTTCTTCGAGAGCGGCGTTCCTGTAGCCACTTACTTGGGCCCTCGTCGAGAATCTGGGTATGTAGACTACCTGAAACCAAGGTTGTTGAGTCTTGACTGATAGTGTAATCATGAAGAATGTCGAACTTCATCTCTCGACTAAGGAGACCCAACGTGACCGAGATATCACCAGAAAGTCTTGATGCCTTCAGTGGCATCGATGAGACAGTCTTCGTTGGCTATATCGATTCGGATGACCACGCGTCTCGAGAGATCTTCTCAGGAATCGCGAAGCAGTATAGAGAGGAGTTCACGTTCGGGCTAGTTTCTGATGTTGCCTTCATCAAAGAGCGAGCCTTGATCTCGCCCACTATAATATGTCACCTAAAAAATGGAGGTACGAGGACGATCAAATCCTTTACGAAGGAGGCGGACTTGGAAAACTTTGTTATTGAAGCTTCAAGACCTGTGATTGGGGAGTTGACTCCGTACAACCAGCAGAGGCTGCTCAATGTGAGTAGACTGCTTAATAAACCCCCCCCCCCCTCCAAAAAAAAAATACTCCGTCTAACGATATTGCCTGCTCCAGCGTCAATGGCCCATGGTTTACCTGTTCGCACAGACCGAAGAAGATCGTCAAAGGTTCCGGGCGGATTTGCACAAGTTTGCTCAGGACTACTACGACTCCTTGACATGTGTGACTGTCGATCCACTGGAGTTCCCGGAGTTACTGGCGAAAATGGGGCTGGAGCCTGGTGTTTTTCCTTCAGGGGCTGTTCATCAGCTGTCGAAGGACAGGGTCTACCCGTACCCACGAGACTTGCCCATAGACTCGCGGTCACTACAGAAGTGGGGACTGGATGTTTGGCAAGGGCGTATCAAACCATGGGCGCCTCCCGGCGCAGCAACGTCTTATGACGATCCAAGCCCGACTAAGAAAGCGAAGAGGAAGGTCTCGCTAGCCAATATTCCGGGTGTGACGATCAGGGTCGCAGGGCATGATGAACTGTAAATAGATACCTGGTGCTGCAGTGGCTTGAGTCGGGTCATCGGCGGAGTCCGAATATGATGGTGGGTGATGGAGGGAAGGAGTGCGTGTGTGCTCGGGTCGAGGATCAACCGATCTTCAGGCAAATGATGGACACAGCGCCATTCCAAACTAAGATCCTCTCATCTGTTTCGCCATGCGTCAAATGACGACAGTAGCATCAACAGTTACAGAATTGGTGCCCAGATACAGTGATTCGATTTCTCAACACTACCCATTTGAGCGAGAATCATTTGGATCCTGGACGCTTCATTCATCATCCCACAACGGCCGGCAACACTCCCAAGGTGAACCCCCGCCCCCTCGCTCACGTCAAAGTAGCTGAAGTAATGGCAATAAGTACGTGAATGAGAATTGTGAATTTTCACGCAATCGGCACCCATGCCTCTCATGGGATTGCTTACCTTCAGTTTCTAGTCTATCAGCCTCCAAGAAGTGGATGTCGGAGAGATGGTACAGTGCGTGAGTGCCTGTGAGATTGAGATACAGGTGCCCAGCTGCTGAGTCAGCCCGCTAGATTAGACTTGACGTGCTACAGTACCACCTGCAAATTGAATCTCGTGACAGCGCGCCTGCTTATTTGACGCGTCGCGCTTGTCAACCCCATCAAACTCCTGCCCAAGGCTGCCGTTTCATTTGGCCCACGAATTTGTGCGGCGCCACTCTTTTGAGTGATCTTGAGATGAAGAGAACGGGGCAAGATGGCTGCCGAGTCCCATAACCGGGCTGCACCAACCTCTCACAATGCTGGGAACCCAATAGCAAACGCGAATGGTGGACCTCCTCCGTCCACCTTGGCTGCACAGCTCGCCGGTAACATCTCGACCTCAGCCAAGTCCTCGAGACCTGACGAGGCCAGCGAGCTCAAACGCCTGTTTGAGGAGATTGAGAGGGTCAAGAACAAGCCAGAGTCGTTAAAGACTCCAGACGAGCATGTGGAGCACAATCACATGCTGATCTACGTTTACGCCCGCGTCATTCTCGATGCTCTCAAGTGGGACGACCCATTCGCCGACCGCGAGCAGTTGAAGGCCGATGCCTTGACCGCTATCCACTTTCTCAAGGTCACCATCGCCGAAACACCAACCGTTCTCACATTTACTACGAATGGCTCAGCCTTCCTTCATCGAGGCTCCGAGCCACTGTGGGTCTGGCTGTTCCCCAAACTCCTCAGGATGCTCGGACATCCGCGGAGTATAGCCTTGTTATCTCCATTGGAATCACTCTTTCACTTTGTTCTCGTGACAGCAAGCACATCTGGCGGCCTATGGAATGTCTGCGATCCATTGTTTGGCTATCTGCAGGCAAATTTTCGGTGTAAGATGACTTCATCCCATAATTCATATCAGGACTAACCGCTACATAGCGATCCTGGCCCATCTCAAGCTGGCTTCACCAGCTGCTAAAGGGAGTGTGGATATTGAGCTACCGGACCACCATACCCTGGACTCATTACTTCCCCGGGGGACCTCTACGGATGCTGTCCGCTGTCCAGCTTATACCCTTGGTGATGCGGATCACGCCCTTCGGCATGCTTCATGTCTTCTGAAGATTTTGCATAGTGTTGCGGTGCCAGATGGAATGCCAAAGCAACAGGTGCCTCCTTTCATCAAGCACATTTCCTGGCTGGTGGATTGCGTTGAGGCCCTGAACGAAGAGCAGAGGCGATGGAGAGAATATGGCAATCACAACCCGGTTTCCCTTTTGAAACAAGCTTTGAGCCTGGTTTCTCCCCTCTCAGGCGTGGAGCAAGTGGTACTACACAAGTTGTATTCAGTCATCGTCTTGCTCACAGCAGATGTTGTTGTGCACCAAACAGGAGCCTCAGATCATCAGCAGGCCGACGCATCGGCCATGAAGGTACTGGCTTTGGCCCTTGTCCAAGTTGCTGATGTTGCAGCCAAACACAGACCTGTAGCCAAACTCGCTGCTGCTCAACTGCTCAAAGCGTTGGATCAGATGCTCACTGAAGGGATCGCCGGCGATGCTTCCGGGGATTTGCAGGTACGTTCGCTCTGACCGTTTCCATTGCAACTATAACCTAACCCTATTTTGAAAGCGGTCTATATCTCTGTTTCGCGAGGCAGTGACCCTCCCTGTACCACAACCATTCAGTCCCGAGCTCTCCCCAGGCTCTTTTGTGGACAGGGATTTGCGGTTCAAGGTACAATCTATTACGTCGAAGGCGCACGCGCCAACAGATCAGAAGCGGGCTATCAAACGGAGGAAAATTGCGCAGGAGTCATCGTCCATGCCTCACGTCCTAAATCAGCTCTCTCGAGTACTTCGTAAGCCTCAAGTGACGAGCTTGGGCCAGCTTGAAAGCCACATCTTGTAAGATCTGCAGAAACCGTGATGGTGAATCAAGCTGACAGCAAGGGACAGGGCGTCTTTTTCGAGTGAAAACGACGTTGTGCGTTGTTCGATCATAGAGCTGCTGGCCCGTATTCCTTGCGCAGCTGATGGTACCCTGAGCCTCGGATCAGTCGGACAACCTGGTCTACATTGCTCGTTTTGCTCCACGGCCGACAGAACGGGACCACGGCCGCCATGTACTGATCCTGTGGCTGTGACCTTGGCTGGCACGATCTTCACAGAGCTCATACAGATGTCAGCATTTCGCGAATCGCGTCGACCACGGGTCGTGGCTATGATAGCCCTCCGACGTATTGTTGTACACTCAAAAATCCCAGATATGTTGGATCTGGAAAAGTCGGCTATTGGCCAGTGGTGCTTATCAACCCTACAGAGCTCTCTCAGAGAGCTCCGCATTGCTGCCGGAAGAGCAATCACACTTTTTTTGCGGCCAAGTGTCAGCCAGGCTGTTGGCGTCCAAATCTTAAATCGGAATACAGCCAACGCTTTGGGGTTCTTAAGGTCAATTTCCGATAAAAACGAGCCCAACATCAATGAGACTTCGCTGATGGCTTGGGGCCAGCTGGGCAGGGTTGTATCGGATGAAGGCCTTAATCTTGTCCTGGTCAAAATGTTGGAATTCCTCGGCCATCAGAACCCTATCGTCTCTGCAGTCGCCTTGAACGAGATCACAAACCTCGCCGCCTCTCGGAGAACAACACCTCGACGCCTCTTGGAGCCCTTCTGGAGAAGTCTTGCATACTCAATCGTCAAAGACATGCTCACGCGGCCTCAGACTACACAAATGGTGGCAGATCTCTTGAGAACCAGCGTCACAGAGCTACTCCTGCTCATCCAATCTCATGCTTTGCCCTGGCTTGTGCTGCATAGGAAGAGGGACATTATACAAAAGTTTTCGGAGGCCAGACGAGATGAGCACTTACAAGACATGTTCCTGGATGAAACAAATTTGAGTGCCATCCTAGCACGTCTGTTCGTGCAGGATGATGCAAATATCGAACATTTGTCGATGTCGGCGCTGACCGATGTCTGCCCAACGTTCCGCGGCACGGCTCTCACAGAGGTGTTGAAGACCAGTCCTGTCCTGACGATCTTGGAGCTTCTGAGAATGAGTGTGGAAGGAAACGAATCGACGAAGGCTTCTGTAAGTTCACCGGGTCAATCTGCGCATCGAAATCTAATTAGCAACAGGCCCGCTCCGCACTCACTATGGTGGCAAACTTGTTAGTGATTGTTCCTCGCGATGGTAAGAGAAAGGGCGGCCACCACATTATCGGCCGCTTTCTCCGAGAGCATGCTCTTGGCTTGTCGGCGCGAATGGTAGAGGTCATCAACAACACCTCACCAGTTCCTCCGCCTATGCGGGAGCGCAGACTGTGCATTAGGGCCATGGAAGAAATGATAGTGTTGGCCAAGGAATACATGCGCATAGCACGACCACAGGTTTGTCCCCTCCTAGATGTGATCTCTGCTTCCTCCGCTGATCAAGTAATATCAGATATCCGTATGTCTCCTGTCGGCTCTGTCACTAGACGAATTGAGGACAACCGCATTTGCGTGTTGGCACTCGATGGTGACGCATGTTGGAGAGGAAGATGTCGAGGAGCTCATCGAAACCACGTTTTTCATCATCGGGCAATATTGGACTTGCTTTGCAGAGGAGAGCCGAGAAAAGAGCAAGGCTTTGCTGCGTTTCCTGCTCAACAACCACGAGGCAGTCCTGAACAATACCGTCTCCAAACTTCCGTCGCTAAGCCATATCAGTGAGCTCTCGGAGCTCTGGAACACACTCAACTCGCGCCGGCCGCTGCTCGATAGTCGCGCTGCCTTCGCCCTCTACATCGAACGGATACGTCACGAAAATGCTGGTGTCGTCGAAAAGGGTCTGCTTGAGCTCTCAGAGTATCTACGGCAGAATCAAGGTTACATACAGGCGTCGGCCATCAGTGAGCAGCCTGACAGCGTCGTGGAAGACTTGGCTCGAACATTGCTGGACTGCACTTCGAAGTACAACGGGATCAACTCCAATATTGCTCGAATATGCGCAGAGTGTATTGGCTTGATGGGCTGCCTCGACTCAAATAGGCTCGAAACCGTTCGAGAGCAGCGCGAGTTTATTGCACTCTCGAATTTTACAGATGCGGACGAAACGACCGATTTTGCTGCGTTCATTTTGGAGGAGGTGCTCGTCAAGTCTTTCGTGTCGACTACGGATTCTAGTTTGCAAGGGTTTCTGTCATATGTCATGCAAGAGCTCCTAGAGAGATGCGACTACAAAACAGCCGTTGGCCTGCAGGGAGCAGAAGGTGAGCGTATATATCGGAAATGGCTGAGTATGCCGGAAAGCGTGCGCGACGTCCTGCTTCCCTTTTTGACGTCCAGGTACAAGCTTGCGCCGATGCCGAGCATAAAGACCGAGTATCCCATCTTCCGCACCGGACGCTCATATGCCAACTGGCTCCGGCAGTTTACACTGGACTTGCTACACAAGGGGCAAAATCCTTTTGCAGACATCATATTTGACCCTTTATGTCGGGCTATCAGGGTCAAGGACTTGTCGGTCGCCATCTTCATGCTCCCATACCTCGTTGTCCACATCACTCTTGGCAACAAGAGTACACAACAAGAAAAGAATGCAGTGTGGAATGAATTGCTGTGCATACTGAAACAAGATGTGCCTGAAAATGCGTCTTACTTGGAGAGGGAGGACAAGAAGCTGTTTTGCGAGGTATGTGACCCGAACAAGATTAGTTGTTCTTTGCTGACCATGACAGGCTGTTTTCCGAGTCATCGATTATGCAATGAGATTCTTGCAGTTGAAGAGGTCGTCTCGACTTAGTAAAACCGATGAGAATAACCTCGCACTTATCCAGAAACGGTTGGATTCCATACCGCCAGAGCTGGTGTCTCAACGGGCCATTGACTGCAAACAATATGCCCGGGCTTTGTTCCACCTGGAGCCTCATATTTTGCGCCAGCAAGAGGAGCACGGCGATGACGCCGAGAACATCCAACAGGCACTTGACTCTCTGCAACATGTCTATGCCCATATTGACGAGCCCGATGGTCTTGAAGGGGTATCCGCCAACCTCAAAGTCATCGATCTCAAGCAGCAAATTTTGAGTCACAGGAAGGCGGGAAGGTGGTCAAGGGCGCAGACCTGGTGCGAGGTTCAGCTCGCGGAGAACCCGCACAATATAGACGTGCAGATTGATCTGCTGACGTGTCTCAAAGAGTCAGGCCAATACGGTAAGAGCAATATCCGTCATAGGGCCGTTGTTTGACGTTGCTGATACTGCACAGATGTGTTGTTGAACCATGTTGGAGGCATGGACACCGACGGACCCTGGATCAACAAGATTGCGCCTTTTGCAGTGGAAGCCGCTTGGGCCACCGGAAGATGGGAGACCCTCAAGAAGTATTTGGGTTCCTACAAGGCTGGCAATCATCTTGATGAATTCAATCTTGGTGTTGGATCAGCGCTCCTGGCCCTCAAGGATGGCCAGATAGAGAGCTTTGTCAACCAGATCCAGGATTTGAAGGAGAAAACTGCTTCTTCAATGTCGATGTCGGCTACTGCATCACTCCAAGCAGCTCATGACGCCATGTTGAGGTGTCATGTCCTAGCAGACCTCGAAATTATCGCCGGAGATCACAAGAGAGGAGCTAGCGATCAACAACAGGTCATGACCTCTCTAGATCGTCGGCTGGAGGTGCTGGGTGCATATGTTGGCAACAAACAGTACGTGCTGGGAATACGCCGAGCAGCGATGGAACTGATGAGGTGAGTACTAAATGGGCGGCCTGTTGAATCACCTCCACTGACTTCGAAAGGCCGAAATTTTCGGACGGAGATATATCATCCCTGTGGCTGTCTAGTGCGAGATTGGCTCGAAAGGCAAACTCGCTGCATCAGTCTTTCAACGCCGTTTTGCATGCGTCCCAGCTTGGAGACGGCTCTGCAACTATTGAAAACGCTAGACTGTTGTGGAAAGAAGGGCATCACCGGAAAGCCATTCAAATCCTCGAAAACGCCATCCAGACCAACTCGTTCATCGGGTACAACTTGGGACCCGCTGCTCCTACGTCGAGTAAAGGCCCCGAGGTGCAAAGAAATCTGCTGACTGCCCGAGCGCATCTCCTCCTGGCGAAATGGCAAGACTCCGCGGGGCAGACACACGCAAGTGCTTTGCGGGCGCAGTATCAGCAGGCGGCAAAGACGCACGCGATGTGGGAGAAGGGCCATTATTACCTCGGCCGTCACTACAAGAAAGTTCTTGAATCTGAGAAGGCCTTGAGTCCAGACGAGCAGAGCGATGAGTATCTCACTGGGGAAACAGCCAAGCTTGTTATCGAAAATTACCTGCGCTCACTAAACTACGGCACAAAGTATCTATACCAGACATTGCCACGGATTCTATCACTGTGGATGGATTTGGGTGCTCAGATCGACAAGGCTCCCGAAGGGAAGATTTCAGTGTCTAGGGAACTGTCCCAACGGAGAAAGACCTTGTTGCACGAGCTCAACAAGTACTTCTACAAACACATGCAGCGCATGCCTGCGTACATATTCTACACAGCAATGCCACAAATCGTGGCCCGCATTGCTCATCCGAACCCAGACATTTTTACTCACCTGCAACACATTATCATCAAGGTTGTGGAGGCACATCCACGACAGGCTTTGTGGGGCCTGTTCGCTATCATGACCAGCAAGCAGTCGTCCGACCGAACAAGACGCGGCATTCAGCTGCTGACTCAACTGCGCAACAGTAGTGGAAAGAGGGTGGACGGCTCATCTTATGACCTGAGACAGCTGTTAAGGATGGGCGAGAAACTCGCAGAACAACTGCTTCTGGCTTGCAATAACGGTGACTTCCAGAGCAACAGGACTACACATGCCAGCATTACTCGGGATCTCAATTTCAACCACAGGTGCACGCCCTGTCCGCTGGTTGTTCCCATTGAGGCATGTCTGACGGCCACACTGCCAACACTGACGGACAACATCAAGAAGCACAAGGCCTTTTCGAGGGACGTTGTCGCAATCGACTCGTTCCTGGACGATGTGCTCGTTCTGGGCTCGCTCGCGAAGCCACGCAGACTTACCGCACGAGGCACGGATGGGAAACTATACAACCTGCTGATCAAACCCAAGGATGACCTGCGGACAGATCAGCGTCTGATGGAGTTCAACAGCATGATCAACCGGTCCCTGAAACGAGACGCAGAAAGCAGCCGCAGGCAACTCTATATTCGCACCTACGCAGTCACCCCTCTGAACGAAGAATGTGGCATCCTCGAGTGGGTGGATGGGCTCAAGACACTGCGGGACATCCTCCTGGGTCTGTACAAACCCCGTGGCATTATACCCAACTACGCCCAAATAGCACAGATGATGAAGGAGGCCAGTGCGTCAGACAAGAACATCACACTCTTTACAGAACAGGTGCTGGGCATGTTCCCGCCCGTGCTGCCAAGCTGGTTCATCTCACAGTTCCCCAACCCATCAGCCTGGTTTGCGGCGCGACTCAAGTACACGCGATCATGCGCGGTCATGTCGATGGTGGGCACGATACTGGGGCTGGGTGACAGGCACGGGGAGAACGTGCTGCTGGAAGAGGGCAACGGCGGTGTGTTCCACGTGGACTTCAACTGCCTGTTCGACAAGGGCCTGACGTTTGCGCAGCCTGAGCGGGTGCCGTTCCGGCTGACGCACAACATGGTGGCGGCGATGGGGATCTACGGGTACGAAGGGCCGTTCCGGCAGTGCAGCGAGCTGACGCTGTCGATCCTGCGGCAGCAGGAGGAGACGCTGATGACGATCCTGGAGGCGTTCATCTACGACCCGACGCTGGACCTGCAGAGGGACAAGAAGCGCAAGAGCGATGTGGTGAGGCTGAACCCGACGAGCGTGGTGGAGAGCATCAAGAGGAAGGTCAGGGGATTCATCGGCGATGAGAGCATCCCGCTGGGCGTGGAGGGCCAGGTGGAAGAGCTGGTGAGGCAGGCGACGGAGCCGAGGAACTTGTCGGCCATGTATATTGGGTGGTGTGCTTTCCTGTAGGTCCAATTATGATGATTGAGAATGTGGCCATGATGGAGCTGTCAGCATGTGTGTACATGTGTAGCTTCAATAGAAACCTTGGGTGATGCACATCTGATGAGGATGGGTGCGTGCCTTGACAGAAACGGCATTTGACGCCAGCCCATTCCAATTCCATCAAAATCTCGAGGTTGATTGGTGGCTTTGCAATCTGTACCAAATTAATTCATCCCATATCTGAGAGGTTCTTGCGGCTGCCTCGTTTGTTGTTTTTACTGTTTCACGAGGTAGCCTATCTGGAAGCTTCAGGCACCGATTGCAGGGGGGGTTGGCTGCCTTGGGTGAGCTTGACGTGACGCCGCACAGCGCACAGCACAGCGCAGCACCGCACGGCACATAAACGCAACGCAACGCAACACACCGGGACGCAACGGGAAGGCGCCACCAGCACATCCACCCGCCACCCTCGTCTTTCATCTGCCTCTGCTCATCTCCATTTCAAAGGCAAAACAACTTTCCCGTCAACTCTTTCAAAAAAGGAGGACGCATCCCATCAACAGTTACGCTGTAAAGTCTCATCGTCTGTGTTGTTTCTGCGAGCAATCTCATCCCTCTGTTCGTGTCGCCGCGATCGACTTTTGATTCACGCGACCGCAGGGTGAGCGAGATAAACGTCATTCCCGTCTGCAGCTCTTTGAAAAGCTGCCTGCATTTTGTCATATCCCCCATCACACTCAAGCAACCTCATCCCCACGGCTGCAGAATAACGCTGCTCCCCTCTCGAGATCACTTTGTTCACCCAGCTCACATTTTTGAGACAACATACTCAAAATGCCTGCATATCGCATTGGTAAGCCAGCCAACCGTCCTCCCCGCGCCGCCCGCAGCGTTCCCTTGTTCCCCAGCGCGTTACAACCGCGTCACAATGCTCTCCTCTGACACCGCACCGATGCACTTGCAACCACGCAAAAAGACTTCATGAACCCCGCTGACATCTTCAAACAGAGGTTTCCCCCAACAACCGTGCCGGTTGCGTTGAAACCCAGCATAAGAAGGAGGGTGTCAAGATCACGAAGGGTGAGCCGCGCTTCGGAACCTGGGTCGACATTCCAGGTTCGGAGCATGGCTCCTGGAGGTGGAAGCACTGGTAAACCAAGCTCTTGCTCAACCCTGCCAGTGACTGGGCCAAAGTACTAACCTGTCTCCTTTCTCGTTCTCTAGGGGCTGTGTCTCTGGTAAACAGATCGAAAATCTGCGTGATGACATTAAGCAAGGTGACTCGTACGATTTCGACATGATTGACGGCTATGATGAGATTGGGTAAGTGTCGCCTGCCTAATCTTTGAGTTCATGGAGGCTGAGCACCGCTGCAGTGATCACCCCGAGCTTCAAGCCAAGATCCGCACCGCTATGATCGAGGGCAAGATCGCAGATGAGGACTTCAACGGTGACCCTGAATTCAACGTGCTGGGCCAGGCAGGCATCCGTGGCCGTGCAAGTAAGAAGAAGGCCGAGCCTGAGAATGGCGACGGCGAGGAGCAAGTATGTGCACTATACCCCTACTTGTCCATACGCTTAAGTGCTAACGTTCGTAGAATGGCACACCTGCCAAGAAGCCGGCCAAGAAGCGCGGTCGCAAGAAGGCTGGTGACGATGAAGACGACGAGGAAGAGCAAGAGGCGGCTAAGGCTCCTCCTGCTAAGAAAGCCAGGAAGAGCAAAGTCAAGAAGGAAGCCGATGACGAGGAAGAGCAAGAGGAGGCTAAGGCTCCTCCTGCTAAGAAGGCCAGGAAGAGCAAAGTCAAGAAGGAAGCCGACGACGAGGAAGACGCTGCGCCCGTCGAAGCTCCCAAGGCAAAGGGACGAGCCAAGAAGGTCAAGCCGGAGCCGGAGAGTGACGACAAGGCCGATGCCAAAGCTGAGGCTCCAAAGAAGAAGGGCCGCGCCAAGAAGGCTCAACCTGAGCCTGAAGTCGACGATGAGCCAGCCGTTGAGCCCGCGGTTGAGCAGCCGAAGAAGAAAGGCCGTGCGCGAAAGGCCAAGGCTGAGCCAGAGGCTACCGAGGAGGCCGTCGTTGAGCCTGAGGCTGCTGAAGAGGCCGAGCCCGAAGCTGAGCCTGAGCCTGAGCCTGTTGCTGTTGCCAAGAAGGGTGGCCGGAAGAAGAAGGCAACTGCCAACGGCGATGAGCACCAGGCCGAGGCACCTAAAGCCGCTCCTGCAAAGCGCGGCCGTCCCAAGAAGAGGTGAGTACGAAAATCATTCGCCATGTAAACACACGACTAAAAAATCACAGTCTCTGAGTTGGTCGGAATTGCCTCATTACGAACTTGCTTGGGACATGCGAGAAAATCTCAACGTCTGCACGTACCATTACCCGGCCGGGTCGATGGGGTCATCACACGCTATGATCTGGGGGTTACGAGATGAATTCTTGCGAAGTTCGCTTTTGTCAATCTTTGCTTTCTACGGCGACACCTCTCCGATCCTGTGTCCAAGTGCGTCCATCGATGTTCTTGGATTTTGGTTCCATGTTCGTGCCAAGCTGGATGGACGACTCCTTTTGTTGTTGTACCACCCAACGCATTTGTCTTTGAAGTCTTGATCCAAGACACACAAACTTCTCCCAGAGAAGAGCAAATGCACGATACCAAAAGTCTTTTATCTTATTGTTATTTTTTCTTTTGGCCAGGAGTATAATTTTGCGGTGTCGACCGAAGGGGTCCGGCAGACTGTTTCAATAGCCGCCTCTTAGTATTAGCTATGAATTGAGACAAAGACCGTCCACAAACAGATTATGACCGTCCATCACCTGCAGCAGTGTCTGTCACTTCTCGATCCTGTGGCACGCCTGGTCCCGGCCCCCTGGCTCTGCTCACAATACGCGGCTTGACCCATGCAGGCCGTACAATGCTCATTATAGCAGCGTTATTGTACTCGAGCCGTTGCTTTGTAACTCTGTTGGACGGGTACACAAAGAACAAGCCTATTGTTGCGCCGTCGCAGGATTATATGAATCGCATCTCAGACTTCTGCCTCTCAAGCTCTTTGCTATCTGTGTCTCATCGGTCAGGGAATCAAAAAACTCTGTAACATACTCGACATCCTCTTTGATTCAGACTGATCTGTACGATTCCACAGACCTCCATCATTGTGACTTCAGGACTTGAACATCATGGGTAAGTATCTTCTAAACCATACTGAACATGCAGAACTTGTACTAAATCTCACTCCAGCCTTTTCGTACGTATCTCAGGAGGAGCTGGCTCTCCCATTACTTACCGGGAGTCCAGTCGTGGGTGGCAAGGAGGAGTTATTCGAGCTCGAGGCCGAATCTATCCACAAGCTGCCAGCTGGAGATGTCGGCATCTCCGTCGGCCAGAAGTCGCAGAAGAAAGCGCCCAGACCCAACAGGGCCCGCCGTGCATTCCGCCACACGCAACTCGCCGTCAACCAGTTCCTCCGACGGCGTCACAGGGCGGATCATCCGCGCAACAAGCGCCTCCCATTGTCCATGGTCGAGGTCATCCTCAGAAACCTCGACATTAGAGGCGCAGCGACCGAAGAGGACAAGTACCGGCCCACCACTCGGGCCCCCGTGAGGCCCTGCCCGCACTCAGCCCAGGACATCTACGACCGGCTCCAGCTGTCGCGGCGCATCGCGCGCCGCGGCCTCACCTGGCGCCTGTACGGCTGCAGCATCACGACCCGCCCGGCGTGGTGTGTCACCCACGATGAGCTGCCGCAGCTGCTCTCGCCCGTCATCGCTGAGATGAAGGCGTGCCTGGGCTACGTCGGCGCGTTCCGCGCGCTGCTAGACATCGACAACGAGGGCTGTGATGCATGGCTTGACCTGTCGCACCTGCGTATGTGCGTGTTCCGGCTTATGGGATACTGGCCGCACGATGTCAAGCATAACCTCGAGGCCTGGGCCTTTGGACTGCCTGACGACCTGGCCCGCTTGCTGTACCCGCAGTGTGGCAGGTTTGACCACCGCGAGATGGCGATGAACTTGGATTGGGTTGTGCTTGGGCCTGGTTCGGAGGCGGTCGCGAGCCTTGAGGGTTGTGTTCGCGTCTGTGAACGCTGGGACTCTCAAGTGTGATTGCGGTTCTTGCTAGTAGTTTAAATCAGATGGGATAAAGAGTCTAGTTTTCTTGCCGTTTGTCTGTCTACGTTACAGGCAGGGTCTCGAGTTGGGGAGGAAATAGATTGATACCCAAAGTTCACGTTCGCCTTTGTTCCCAAATCTGATATATGAGTGAATCCTAATTTAGGTAGGCAAATGTTAACACACCCATCCAAAATGATCAGAGGCAAAGGTTTAAGAGAAATGAATTGAATATAGGACCATAAATAATCTAAAGTGAGGTAAGCCCGATGTGGGGAAAACGAGTACAAGAGAGACATCATCTGGTCGCTACCTGGTTACGCAGGTGAGATTGGTCGACCAACATTGACTTGGAAGCCAATTGCGCCGCTTGTTTCTCTTTCTTGTCCCTCTCACAGAGTTTCAGACAAGCAGGTGCATCTTATGGGCCAGCTGACTAAAGCCTTTCGCATTGCGGAGTTGTGGGCGTGCTTGCGCCGAGCAACCTTACCACCGACAACTTGAGGTCTAGGCCACCAGGACTACCCAAAATTTGAGTAATTACAACATTCTTCGTGCATTTCAGTGCATTTTGTCTCGGTTGAAGGACCAATTTGTGCTGAAGGTTTTCTCGATGTTGTTGCTCGCTATTTATCTTCGCCGAGCGATGCGCTATGTAGGTATTACTGAGGACATTTTGATTCTCCGTCTAAAAGGTCATTTGTGGTGACGACACCGTTCGAAAAGAGAACTGAATTCCCCACAGTCGTCTGAGGAAGTGTGGACGATGTTTCTGCTGAGTTGTGCACCTCGTACTTAGGTTGAACGGCCGCACGTAGTAGTACTCCTCGCCTTAGGCGACTTGGAGATGGTGGTGGTGAAGCACGGGTTTACCGGTGAATGGCTCCATCCCTTGCATTACACCCTATTGGTGGAACTGCAGGAACAGAGCGAATGCTGAAAATCTGTCAATGACTAAGCTTCGGATGGAAACTGCTAAACCTAAGAGTGGTATGTCAAAACTTCGTGGTTGAGCACACGATATGATGGTCAATTGTTGGGAGTGCTTTCAGTAAATTGGCTTGTGTACGTAATGCTAGGCCAAAAGTTTTGCTCGGTTGGCGTATCCTCTCATGACTTTAAACAACTTGACGCAATATGCAAATGCAAGGCCTCACTTTTGGTCCTCTTTTGCAACGGTATGGAATCATTAATGGGTCTGTCCCAACACATCCAAGAGTAGAAAAGGAAATCGAGGCAACAGACAAGTCACAATCAACAGAATTGAAAGTCAATGTTTCCATTGTCATCAGTAGTGAGTAATGGATAGAAGGTAAGTCCTGCAACGTTGTAAGTCGGCAATCCGTTCCGGAAACGGAAACGCACGTATTTGTTGTTCCTTCTTGTTTCTAGTTTATCGAGCCAAGAGATGAGTGGAAAGCTTTGGAGCAACTGTCTCCTGCGGTATGCTTCACAGCAAAAGATGAACTATCCCATTGCAAAACACGAAGGCATATGTGGGCGAGACTAATCTGAAAGTTAGGGAGCTCCCGGCGTGGAAGGGTTTCTCCCGCTTGTCCCATTGTTGCTGCAATGCTGGGGAACCAGCTACCCGTTGACTTTTTGAAAACAAAAGGCTAGTTTAAAGAGCTCCTGGGCTGTCACTGAGCTCCTGCGACTTGCCTGCCTAGTCCGTTGGCCCAGAAGCCAAGTTTTGCTGGATCAACTTCTGCAGCCCACCTTCTCTTTTCCCCACCATCTTCAGTTGTCGATTGTTCACTTCCGTCTACGGGCGAACCTTCTCTTCCAGGCTGAGCCTGTAGCAGCATTGTTGAGCAGGAACAAAGCCATTTCTCTTACTCGCAAATACGTACTTCGCGTGCTCCTGGACACGGCTCAAAGAGCCCGTTGCGGGGGACTGGGAAGCGTCACCGAATTCCACCTTTCTTTGTACTCGCTCAATTGAACCTGCAAGACGACAACAAACCACATTTCGCTGCCGCCACTCCCAATCGTCTAAATCTGGCCGCGAACAGCAGCAACGCTCGTAAGTGCGAAACTTGGAAGCTTTCCTGCTCGTGAATTCCTTCTGCAACGACCAGTACCGCATGTTACTGACAATGGCCGACAGCCGAGAGCTCTGCCTCAAGATGGCTCAACTTCTCACGCCAAGCTCCTCCTTCCGCTCAGATAATTTCATCGACCTCACCGCCGCCGACAAAGGCGACCTGACGACCGTTTACGACGATGACATAATCGCCAAGAACCGCATGACTATCCTCGAGCTTGAGGAGAAATACATCCTAACTCCTGGCATCGTCACGATCGCGCCTTCTGGTGAGCTCAAGGTCGACCTCTCGCACGAAGAGCCCGACCAGGGCACGATGGCGGGATTGTACCCGACCCTGCCGCCGCCCGAGGAACTCAAGCACCAGATCCCCTCATGGCTACGCGACTACCTCCTCAAGGAGCTCAACCTCTTTGGGCACGGCCCACCTTTCGCCTGTGGATCTCTCTACGACCAGATGCAGCACAGCAAAGAGATGGACATGGAGGGAAACAACCTGTCGGTCAGATCGACTGTGATCATGATGTCCGGCGCGATTGTGAGCCTGCGCGACTCGATCGTCGTTCTTCGCGACTTCTGCTCGAGCGGCGAGGCCCTCTATGAGGAAATTTACACGATGGAGTTTGGCATTGTTGAGAGCGTCGTCAGGAAGCTCGCTGGCTGCGACGCGACCAAGAGTATCAAGGAGAAACTGCTGGCTTCTGCACCTAGGAATTACGACAAGGAATCCTCGCCTTCAAAGCGGCGCAAGGTTTCCGAGGGAAGGCTGGTGGAGATCGCTCACGATAGCAGCGCTGCGTCGAAGGAGCTGCCAGCCGACATTGGGCTCCTGATTGACCTGGGGTCGCAGGGGATGGCGATGAAAAGCGCCCTCGACAGCTCGCTGGAGGATCTTGTCATCACACCGGTGTCTCGTCTGGTTGAAAAGCTTGAGGTCATCCACAAGGGCCTGTGCAAGCAGGAGGAGGAGCACATGAAGGCGGAGGCCCATGTTGCTCAAGGTGACCATTCTTCGGATTCGGGCGTCTCGGCGTGCTCACCTTGAGGATGGACGCGTTATCTTGTGTTTGGCTTGTCGCATATGCAATGAAGGCTTTGGCGAGAGCATATTGTTGGATCGGAGGGCTACCTTTGGTTCAGGATTACGGAGGAACCTACGATGATGGATACTACAGTTCGTGTATTACATTTCCCGCCTTGGTTGACACCTCTACGTACATACACTGGACGAGCATTCGGCTCACTGAACTGGAAGTGCTAGAAGGAATCAATTGCACTTCTGATATCTGGAATGAAATGATTCAATTGGTATTCGGAGTCTGTCTTCCTGCTTTGTTGGAATTTGAACCATCACCTTCACTTCGTCTTCGGGTGAGTCCGCATGCAGGGGACGGCTTAGCCACGTACATCACTGCGTTCAGGCGAGAGATTGGAGATCATCGCGGATAGAGAGCTTGATTTAAGAGATGGAAATCACAGCAAAAACGGCCACTTTCATAGAATTGGTGCCGCGAGAGATATGAGAGGATTGGGAGATGTCGGCGCGAACCAAACAGAAGCCGCTAACTACGAATCAGTGTCTACAACTTACATCGCTCCCAGCCCCCTTCCTTGGCATTGATTAATCTACACCTTTTGCCGAACTCCTCATAGCTCAGATAACCTTCCACCTGGAAAGTCAAAATGAGCCGCAAGACACTTACTCTGCATTCTTCACTGTTGTTTGATCCACGGAAGAAGGCATTTGTGAAAGATGTCTCCATCAAAATCGACCGCCACTCAGGCGGCATCGCTGACGTGTATGAGCGGGCATCAGACGATGAGATTCGTGACGGCGACATCGATCTCAGAGGCAAGGTCGTGATGCCCGGCTTTGTGGACGCGCACACGCATATTTTTCTCCATCCTTACAGGTAGAAAGACCAATCCGCTGACGCTCTGGAATTGGGACATTGCTAACTAAATGATCAAAGCGAGCGGCCCGCAGCCGAGCAAATGCGCGACGAGTCTATCGTCGAGCGTACCGTGAGAGCCACGAACCACGTCCGCGAGGCGCTGCTCTCGGGCTACACGACATACCGCGATCTGGGCACGGAGGCGATGGAGAACTTCGACGCCAACCTGCGCGACTGCATCAACCGCGGCTTGATCCCGGGCCCGCGGCTCTTCGTGGCCACGCACGCGCTGGCGTCGACGTCGTCGTACGACATCCGCAGCGAGAACCGGCAGAACGGGCTCAAGCTGCCGCAGTCGTCGGACGCGGAGGACGGGCCCTGGGGACTGCGTCGCGCGGTGAGGAGGCGCATCGGGGATGGGGCGGACGTCATCAAGTTCTACGCGGACTACAGGCGCAAGGTGATGCGGTTCCCGCCTCTGCCCCCAGCTGTGTCAGGGGGCGGCCCTGGGAACGGGATACGGTTCCCGCCAACGCACGCGCTGCCGAACCCAGCGGTTCCGCTGTTCAGCCAGGAGGAGATGAACGCGATTGTGGAGGAGGCCCGGCTGGCTAACCTGCCGGTCGCGGCTCACGCGGGGTCGGTGGAGGGGGCTACGATGGCGGTGCGGGCGGGCGTGACCAGTGTAGAGCACGCCAACGAGAATACGGATGAGCTGTGGGAAGAGATGGTGAAACGCGGTGTCATCTACGTGCCGACGCTGGCAATACTAGATACGGTGCTGTCCCGGGCGGAGATGAAGAATATGCAGGCCAGGGTCAAGAAAGCATTCGACATGGGGGTGAGATTCGCGGCGGGCGGCGACACGGGAACGTTTGCGCACGGCGAGGGCGTGAGGGAGATGGAGCTCTTGAGAGAGGCGGGCATCCCGCTTGAAGACGTGCTCGAGGCGTGCTTCGTTGGCGGATGGGAGGCGTGCGGCAAGGACTTGTGCGGGTACAGGTTTGGGTTCTTCGAGAAGGGGGCTAGGGCCGACATCATTGCCCTAGACACCGATCCTAGGGAGGACGAGAAGGCGCTGCGGAAGGTGAGCTTCGTGATGAAGGACGGAGAGGTGTATAAGCAGGGCAGTGTGCCGGCCAACCTGCCAGGCGAGCACAGATGGACCGATGCTAAGGAGGAAGAGGTGGTGGAGGAGGAGGAGGGTGAGGAGGAATGGCTCAGAGTGTGAGGATAGGTTGGGTCGATGCCATCCGAGAACACAGCGGAGATCAGCAGAGACATGGCGAAAATAAGACGAGAGCAAACAAGCTTCGAGGAGCAGCAGCATGAGGTTGCAGTGCAGCTGCTGCAGCAGGATCGCGTACCTGGGCCGTGTCCAGGGCTACCCCTCACGACTCAGACGCTTATACCCACAATGTCACTTCATCCGAACTCCCATCTCCAACTCGTAATGAAGCTTTTCTCCCCCGCATCGTGGCCCAATTATACCCGCATTCATCGCAACGTTGTCTCGTCATAGAATCGGATAGTTCGGCGGGTGTTGGGGAACGAAATGGGGCTAAACGTGTAAGTGAGTCTGGTGGGTTTACTTGCGCCGAGAAAGCTTGTCGATCCTTCCCGCTGCGGCTATCTTGTTCCTGTTTGTCTCCACCTGCAGCAGGTACCTACTTGGCCTACCTTGATATTAGGTAAGTATCTAGACCAGAGTACCATTACCTGGACTAGGTATCTATGTAGGGATCATGTCTGCTATTTCTGCTGTGTGGCTCCAAAGTGAGCAGTAGTGAGATGATGAGGTTGCATTTTCTCCAACTCGATCCCCAAAAAACCGTTGACCCTCAACCCAGTTCGCGGTCGCCTTTTGGTGCAACCATCGACAGGGGAAGGCAAGAATGGGCCCGTCTCGGTGCAACAACATGCGAGGAAGGTCCGACAAAGCATATGGCTATGATGAGGAATACGGGCAGTCGCATGCGACTCACTGCCCTGGTCCACCTTCCTGTCCCTTGTCCATCCCCTCTCGGAGGTGAGTCTTGGAAGATATACCCTCGCCTCCTCCCCCGCTGTTCATCTACTGACACTGAGCGAGCAGACAGTACCTGCGACGTCAAGGCCGTCGAGAACTGCTTCTCTCCGTCGCAATGAGGCTCGCCAACATCCTCAGCATCGCCGCTCTGGCGGTCCAGGCCAGCCACGCCCTACTCGGACGACCTAAGCAGCTCTTCCAACCCGCCCACAGAGACCTACTTCAGGATGTCGTCACCTTCGACAACTACTCTCTGTTCATCAACGGCGAGCGCCAGTTGATCTACTCTGGAGAGTTTCACCCCTTCCGACTGCCTGTGCCTTCCCTCTGGCCCGACGTCATGGCCAAGATCAAGGCCTTGGGCCTCAACACCATCTCCATCTACCTGCACTGGGGCGCTCTCGAGGGCAAAGCTGGCGACTTCAACGCTCAAGGTCCTCTCGTCATCGAGCCTTTCCTGAAGGCTGCTCAGGCTGCTGGCTTGTACATCATCGCCAGACCTGGTCCCTACGTGAATGCAGAGGCCACAGGTGGGGGCTTTCCCGGATGGCTCCAGCGCATCGAGGGAAAGTTGAGGACTAACGCAACCGACTACTTATCTGCCACCGACAACTACATGGCAGAAGTCGGAGCTCTCCTCGCCAAGTACCAGATCACCAACGGCGGCCCAGTCATATTAGTCCAGGTCGAGAACGAGTACACCCAGGCCCAGTCCGGCTCCGGGGTTGTCTTCCCAAACGGCGAATACATGCAGTACATCGAGGACCAGCTTCACAACGCCGGTGTTGTGGTCCCATTGATCAGCAACGACGCTAGACCCGCCGGGCACAATGCTCCCGGCACTGGTGTCGGGGAGGTCGACATCTACGGCCATGATTCCTACCCTCTTGGCTTCGACTGCGCCAATCCTTCCTCATGGCCGGCCAACGCGATCCCGACAACTTTCCGCCAGTTACATCTGCAGCAAAGCCCGAGTACTCCGTATACAATCCCAGAGTTCCAAGGAGGGAGTTTCGACCCTCCAGGAGGTGTTGGCTTCGAGAAATGCTCTGCGCTCGTGAACATGGAGTTCGAGCGTGTCTTCTACAAGAACAACTATGCAGCTGGCGTCACCATCTACAGTCTATATATGATCTTTGGTGGAACCAACTGGGGTAACATAGGCCACCCTGGTGGATATGTACGTGCTTCCCATCACATTTCATTTCCTTTACTCCACCTTGAGGGTTGGCACTCGCACTCTACAGCATTTAATCCCGAGCTAGACCATTTCGCACTTCCAGACCTGTTTCCGTATAATTCTTACTGAGAAATTGGGCTAACCAAGTATTGAACAGACAAGTTACGACTACGGCTCTGTTATCCGCGAGGACCGTGCCGTCGACAGAGAGAAATACTCTGAATTGAAACTTCAGGCAAACTTCCTCAAGGTCTCTCCCGGCTATCTCGTAACCTCTGCCGCAAACTCGTCGTCAAGCGGCGTCTACAACACGAATGCGGACGTGATCACCACTCCACTGCTGGGGTCCAATGGATCATTCTTCGTCGTTCGGCATAAAGACTACACTTCCCAGGCCTCGTCCAACTACACCTTGACATTGCCTACTTCGGCGGGAACTCTTTCCATCCCCCAACTTGGTGGATCTCTAAGCCTGAATGGCCGTGACTCCAAGGTCCACGTCACTGACTACCCCGTCGGGGACTCGAAGCTACTCTACTCCACGGCCGAGATCTTGACTTGGCAAGTATTCGACAATAAGACAGTGCTCATCGTCTATGGCGGCCCCAATGAGCTCCACGAGCTGGCAATTCTAGGCGCAACTGGCGCAACTGTGGTTGAGGGAGATGGTGTGACGATTCAACAGACGAACAGTTCTGTCGTCGCCCAATGGCAGACCTCTGCTGACAGGAGGATTGTGCAAATTGGAGATCTCTTTGTCTATATTCTTGGTATGTTTCAAAATTGTCGCTGCCCTTGTAACATGCGTCAGACTGACAAGCCAAGATCGCAACACGGCTTACAACTACTGGGTTGCGGACGTGACAGATGGGTCTGTGGTTGTTAACGGACCGTACTTGGTGCGGTCAGCGTCGATCGAAGACGACAAGTTGATCTTGGCGGCAGATTTCAACAAGACAACAAGCATCGAGATTATCGGTGTGCCTTCGACTGTCACCTCATTGCAGGTCAACCAAGCCACTTTGGAGCATAGTACCGACTCCTTGGGCTCATGGACTGCTAGCCAAGACTACTCGCCCCCTGACTTCAGCATCCCCGACCTTTCTAGTGCCACATGGTACTACATTGACTCTCTTCCTGAGGTTCAGGCCAGCTACGACGACTCAGCGTGGCCCAATGCGGACCACACCAACACCACTAATCCAGTAGGCTCTCCTCTGCTCACGCCTGTCTCTCTCTATGGCTCAGACTATGGCTTCAATACGGGATCTTTGCTATTCAGAGGTCACTTTACTGCCTCTGGAAATGAATCCAAGATCGAGCTTAGCACACAAGGCGGAGAAGCCTTTGGTGCGTCGGCCTGGCTTAACGGCACTTTCATTGGCTCCTGGGCAGGAAATTCCGTCGAGGAAAACTATAACTCCACCTTTACCCTGCCTAACCTGGCAGCAGGAAGTACATACGTGTTCACCATCTTGATCGACAATATGGGACTGGACGAGAACTACAATGTTGGAGGTGATGTACAGAAGAATCCTCGCGGAATCCTCGACTACACTTTTGCCTCAGATATTACATGGAAGGTTACAGGCAATCTCGGTGGCGAGGACTACGCCGACCGCATTCGTGGCCCCCTCAACGAGGGTGGTCTTTATATCGAGCGTCAGGGTTACCACCAGGCCTCGCCGCCTCTGAGTGAGTTCACAACAGGCACATCGCCGTACGAAGGAATCACTTCTGCAGGTGTGGCTTACTACACGACAAACTTTACCCTCTCACTTCCATCCGATCAATGGGACGTCCCCTTGTCCCTAGTGTTCGCCAACGACACCTCCGCGGCTGCGGCCTCACCGTACAGGGCGCTGATCTACGTCAATGGGTACCAGCTTGGTCGGTACACGAGCAACGTCGGCCCCCAAACTGAATTCCCTGTGCCTGAAGGCGTTCTAAACTATAGCGGAGAGAACTGGCTTGGTTTAGCGCTGTGGGCATTGGGTAGTGATGGCGCGAAGGTGCCCGGGCTCAACTGGACACACAGCTCGACGCCTGCGCTGACGGGCTGGGCCACTCCGTCGCTTGTGGAGCAGCCTTCTTGGGAGGCAAGGCCGGGGGCATACTAAAAAAGCCTTTGTTTTGCCCTCCTGGAATTGGCGAACTTGTGGATTAGGGAGGACAATTCTCATCTTCTTGTAGTATATTTTAGGATATAGGCGGCACCTATGGGTGCTGAAATTATTCATGTCATGAGTCCTTCAAGGTTTTCGAAGTGCACAGAACTTTTGAGAAGTTCGTAAGTGCCTTGGCTGTTGGGACAGCAGACGTACGCTGCCGGCGCATATTACCTTGCCAGGAGCCGACTTTACTTGTTTGCACCCGAGCTTCCATGAATGCTTTTCAGTGCTTTGGCATGGGTCTCTTGTCACAAGTGACAGACCAGACAATCTTCATTCAATTTGGGATTCGCCAAATGTTCAGTGTGTAAAGTGTACCGGGGTACTTTGCAAAAACTAAGAGCAGAGCTTGTTGACACTAGGGAGCGAGTCTATGAGCTGAAGGTCACGAGGTTAAGCACGGTGATAACAAAATGTCCTTATGTGAGGGCAATAATATGAGTTATCTCATCGCCCGTGCCAAGTAAATTTTTCGCTCTCTGAGATTTTGCCAGTAAAGTGACTGTCCCATACCAGTGGAAAGCGATGTCGTTCTCATCGACTTCTGGCAGTGATAGAATTGCAACAGGACTAATCTGTTTGTGAGAGATACTTTCGCAACATACACCACAAGTCAAGCTGTGTATGAGCTGCCAAAGGGCTAAGACTGTATTCGCACATATTCTCTACAACACAGCCTCTTCGGTTGCATAACAACTTTTGGTGAGGACCATTCTTGGTCTCCCCCCGGCAGCAACATTACGCTCACTGCCAAATTCACTGACAACTCGTCGTATGCCAGACACTGTCCACAAAACGCATCGCACATCCCATTCACTTTTTGAAACTCAATCGCACTTACGAGCTGATTTCAACCCGCTGAAAGCGCACCCCTCCGCCTCAAACTTACCTCACAAAACTTCCACCCACCTAGCAATCCATCAACATGGTACTCCCTGAGATGTCATCGCCGCAGGGCAGGAGTGCCTCTGTGCCTGATCAATCTACCTCGGGCGGGGTCTTTCCCTTCGAGCCTTCCAATTCACAGGGAGCAAGCAGCAGTCAGCAGTCCAACGACAATCCTCAACCAACATCTGCTCACGCTGGAGCACAGGCGAGCGGGTCCCACAAGAACGACGGCAATCAATCCAAATCTGTGCTTGGTGATACCTGGGACGGCCTCATCATTGAAAAGCCCACCTCCTTCTCCCTATCCGAAATCGTCGACCTGAGGCCTATGCATTATTCCGACCACCTCTACGCTTACACTAGGGCAAATGGGAGGTCTGGCTTCATCATGGACAGCTTACTCGAGGACTTTCTCATGGAGAAAGGTTTTATAAGCGCGTCCAAGCCCGAGCCAAATGCCGAAGGGAAGAAGTCGAAGGAGAAGGGAAAGGGAAAGGTCAAGAAACAAGACGGTCCACGGGCAACAACAGCCCAAGACGTCGCCGCCGCTACGGGCAGCGCCAAAGCATCCGACACTGAGGCAGAGACCGCATTCGCCAGCCAGACGTTCGAAAAGGTCTGCGACGACCTCCAAACCTTCATTGAACTCCTCGACACCAGCCGCTACGACGAAGATGGAAAGCATCAGACCAAGGTCTGCATCGACGCTATCAAGGCCGTGTCCGAGAGGGCTAAAGAGCTAGGAAAACAACCCCTTAAAGCCCGTGTGGCAGCACCGTCTGCTGTCGATCCCGAGACCCACTGCGCCGTGCCCCGTCCGCCCCCTTGGAAGGGAGAGCTCTGCGGAAGACAACTGCCGTGCGTGGCGCATTCGAACAGGGAATATATCCCAGACAACCCACAGCTTGATACATCCGCGGCCAATGTTCACAGTGAGTTGGACCCTGTACAGTTGCTCGCTCCCACCGGATTGATGCTGACTTGAGTTCTTAGAGGAAGCTGGTATTATTGAGGCTGCGGTGCAGGAAGAGAAACCCCAGGGAACACCGAAACGGCTGAGTATCAGGGGTAAGAAGGCTGCCAGTGAGAATGTCAGCAACGGCGGGCAGAAGAGACTGACCTATTCCCAAGCGGCGAGGGCGGCGGCGAGGTACTATGCGACTACCAGTGCGTATGGGCGGCCATTGGAGAATTCAACGGAGGGTGTTGACGGCGTTGGTGTCTCAGAGAAAGAGCCTGGCCCGGGTCACCCATCTTCACACGGAGAAGACATCTAGTGCTGTGGGGAAGCGTTCTGAAAGTTACTTATCAAGTGTTTCAATGTTTTCCCTTGGAACTGTGGCTTCCAGAGCATCTCCTCTGTGATTATCAGAGGTTTTTTCCAACAGGTCACATCAGACTATGATGCCAACTACCTTTGACTGTTGGCGTGGATCGACTCATACGACACAGAGGAGGGCGATGCCGGTGGACACTGAAAAAACGGGGTGTTTAGGCTTGTTCGTTGAAACATGGCTTATTTTGTCCAAGTAGCTTGAGAATAAAACCTGGATACTCAGAACTGAGTGCCAAGGAATGATCTAGATCTCGCTGAGAGCAGTGCGTTACATGCAAACAAAGACAAATACCGCGAAATCCAATGACACGCCTGCCTGAATTATACCCTGCAGAATCCCACAGGCGACATGAAACAATGATCAGCTCATTGGATACAAGGAAAATGCTCGGTTCGTACTATGAAAATTTGGTTGTGATTTCCTATATTTTGATGCGCCGCGCTCCATCGTGTCATTCCACCGCCAGGAGTTCAACAGCGTCACGACCAGACGCAGAAGAAAACACTGACTCAATTATCCACACCTACGTCAATTCTAAGGCCCCGGACATCCTCAAGCACACCCAATATGACTAAATTCGGCCTCAAAATCAAGACCAAGAGCGAAGTCAGTGTGGCGCCCCTCAACAACGGGAACACTACCTCTGAGGCGAACATTCGGGACATACAATGCAGGATCAAAGACCTTGAGGATAAGGTGGCGCAGCTAGAGCTCCAGAGAAATTGCCAGCACTGCCAGGGTGCGGCAGGCCTTGAGTGCTATTCACAGGCTTTGTTTGGTGAACAGCAGCCGTCATTGTTTTGTCCATCGACCTATTCGGGTCAATAGGGCTCGCAAAAGCAACTTGGGGGGTGAGTGGCGAAAACGACCATGGGATTGACGGGCTCCTACTCACGACGTACCGGGTGATCTGGGTTGCGGCGGATGAGGTGGGAAATGAGGAGAGAGGGAAATGCGATGTGGGATGGCTAAACAGGCAGACTGTTTGGGGACACGATGGGCGACGGTAATCTTCAATAAGACAATGGCTTTGCCTCGGGCTTGATTTATTTGGTCGATTCGGCCGTGGCTTTAGATTTCTTTCAAGTCATTATTTGAACTGTGTTTATCGATTGGCTGTGTATGTACAGGAGTTTCAGTCTTTGCCGTTATGATGGCGATGGTAGTTCCTCGAGGGCCACGACGAAAGATCACGCGGATATCGCAGAGAACAATGCCTCACGTCGTGGGAACAAAGACGAGTACCGCAAGATTCAGGAAGACATGTTACTGCCTGAGGTGAACACCGCATACAGGCTTCCATCAGACGTCTTTAAAAAAGGAAGCTCTTGCTCGATACCATGGAAACAATGATTTCGATTCTGAGACCTTACTTTGCTGTGTCACCTCACTCGCATGCTCAACATTTCAACACTCATACCTAGCATCACTACGACCAACAAACTACAAGAGAAAGACTCGCGATCCGCCTCATCCACGAGTCAAACTCCACTCCTACAACTCCTCACAAAAGGCCCATCATGTGCAACACCAACACCAACGCCCGCGCGCCAATCGCCAGCAGCACCCGCGTTGCCGCCACCAACTACACCTGCAACAACAACAGTGGTGGCATCGTCGTCAATATCCCGCCCCGGACCAACGGCGACATCTACTTGTATTTTTACAAACCCGACAGCTCGTCATCCGCACTGAGCACCCAGGAGACCTCGGCGAGGATGAAGGATCTCGAGGACAAGATGGAGGACCTCCAGAGCAGCTACCGGCCATGCAGCTGCGCGCTGTCGTCGCCTTCTCTGCCTGGCAGACGAATGTGAGGCGGTGAGAGGGCTCCCACATATCTTGGGGTGTACATGACGAGGTCGGGCTTGAGTGCAAGGGATGGTGGTTGGGCACCTGGCTTGTGGTCGATGAGCAGAGACATGGGAGGTAAATTCGATTCGGAAGCGTTAAACGGGATGGCTTTTGGGACAAAGTGCTGGGAAATGTGATCAACATAGATGGCAATGGCGACATTGGTCACGATAACCGGGTTTAGTTAGGGCAATCTCATCTCAATCAACTTGTCTCTGAATGCATGGTCCTGTGTATCCCTGAAGTGAAAAACAAATTTTGATTTGCTGTATATGTACAAGAATTTAAGCCTTTGCCGCAAGAACCGCAACGCTCAGCTCAGGCAAGCTGAAGCTGAACACGCCATCGACAGCCGACACAGTAGATGTCGTGGTTGTGACGGCCTCGCTGTCAATCTCATTATGCGAATACCCATCCGGCGCCGTCAGCACCGTCAGCGTCGCCGAGTCACTGCTGAGACCCTCGAAAGAAACGTCAAAGTCCACATCCGCGGTGCTGTTGTACACAGCAGCCTTGAGGTAGTACGTGCTCGTGGCATTATCGACACCCGCGACCCAGTAGGCCGGGCCGAACGCGGCGCCGGAAGTCTCGTCGGCCGGGAGTGTGGAGGTGAAGACATTGTTGCCGAAGAGCTTGAGCACCTCGTACGACGTGCTGAGGACCGTCTGGCTCGGGTCGGCGGTGTACGAGATCAGGTCCGGGGACCACTCGTAGCTGTTCAGATTCTGCAGCAGCGGTGCGTAGGAGACGCCCCAGACTCGGTCGGCGTTGCGCTCTGTGCCGATGAGGAAGATGGCTTCGGAGACGGAACCGATCCAGTATGGCCATAGACTAATATGCATGTCAGTATTTCTTGTATCCTGCTTTCAACTTGCTAGGGTGTCGGAGCTTACTTCTTGGGATTGCTCCAGTTCGTACCATCAGCAGCGTTACCAGTGTTGTTTTGCACAACAGCGAATTCTCCGACCATGATGGGATGACCGGACGAATTGGCAAAGTTGTCAAAGTAGTTGAACTGGCTAACGAAGTGGTCTGGTAACGTGTACTGGTGATAGTCCTGGCCGGAGCTCTTGTATACGTAATCCGTGTTGGAGCTGAAGACGAGGATATCCGGGTATGCGGCGGTGATCGCGTTGTAAAAATCATTAAATCGATAGCTTGAATATGTCGACAAGCCCACCGTCGACAGGCCATCCTCGTTGCCGATCTCTACGTAGTGGATGGGGAACGGCTCCGTGTAGCCAAGCGCGATGCGCTGCGCGCCCCAGGTAGTCGATGAGTCGCCCATCAGGAACTCGAGCTCGTTGAGCGCGCTGTCGACGTATTGTTGCAGCTCGGCTTCCGAGGCGGCAGTCTCATCCAGCCAGTAGCCTGCGAAGATGGCAAGGACGGGTTCAAGGCCAAGGTCTTGACACCAGAGCATGTACTCGACAAGGCCAAGACCATCTGTGTTCTCGTAACCCCAATCACCGGGCCGGCCAGGGCGCTCGGTGAGGTTCCCGACCGTCTTCGTCCAATTCCATTGCAAGCCCGCTGATTCACCTTCTATGTTGTTTCCGCCGGGGATACGGAAGTACTTCGCGTTGAGCCCTGCCAGGGCTTCCATCAGGTCCTCGCGATTACCATTCGGGGTATCCTTATACGTGGGAGGGAAGAGGCTAATCAAGTTGAAATTGAGAACGTCGCCGGATGCGGCCTCGTATGTCAGCAGGAAGCTGTTGTTGCTGCTGGATGCGTCCGCCGAGGGCTGAAGCTCGAAACTGTGCTCGATCCACGTGTTTGCGACAGACGAGGAGGCGACAGTTGCCGAGGCGAGCGTCTCGTTGGTGATGTCCGAGACGAGGCTTGCGGTGAAATTGCCCTGGTATGATCCGAGGGCGTAGAAGCTGCCAGAATAGGTGTTCGCGGCTTTGACGTCGACTGTGGAATGCCATGTCAATGAGCGCTCATGACTGCTTTCAAGTACATATCCGAGCTCTTGAATCAAGGGGACGGCCAACAACAAGACCTGTGAGACTTACTTCCCCACCAACCAGGGTTTTTGATCCCTACGGTGCCATCGGCTGAGGCAGTTACTTGGATCGATGTTGGAAGCGCAGACGAGAGAGGGCTGGAGCTGTTGTCCAAGGCGATCGAGGCAGAGCCAACTGCTGTCCACGGATCTAGTGTTGATGGGTGAAGGTCCGAGCCTTGAAAAGCCCTGTTCTGAATTAATTCGGCATAACTATGAAAATTATTAGAGGTCGTCTGCAGTGTTGAGTCTAATGCGCCTCACATTCCCCCATCACCACTGTGGTTAATGTCCTCAAACATGAGACCATATTGATAGCCCGAAGTCTCATTGCCACCGGAGCTGGCAACTGAGAGCGTCACAGCCGAAACAGCTCTAACAAGGAGAGGAAGCGACAGTATCGACAGAGGCGCCATGATGAAGCCGAGCACGCGATTGATTGACGTTGGAGGCCAGCGAGAGGTTGGCAGTCATCCCCAGCCTCGTGGAGAGGGCCAACGCCTTCATTTTATCACCATCTCGCAACTCTCACGCGTCTCGCCCGGCCAGGATAAAAGCTCAGATTTCCCCATGTTTGCCTCCACAGCAAGAGTAACATCATCTCCAACCCTAGCAAAAGCTCGAGACATGCGCATCAATAAGCTTCGAGGAAATCGTGCCAGCCCCTTGCAGGATGGTCCTGGATATCGAGCTAGTGGCACGTGAGTCCGCGCATTGTGCCGTTGGATGAGGGGAAGATTCCACGTCCTCGGGGTATACAACTGAATCAGGGGTATTACGCCTGCTCTCGACCGCGTGAGCAAAGGAATGTCACCTTCGTCCCGAAATGAGGACGCGTAGTCGGCACCGATTTGGGCCCATGTCTCGAGCCGATTCGTGCCCTGGCTTGTACTTGAAGAGCATTCATCCTGGTAATCTGGGGAAAAGTTGGGGGAGGTTGTGTGGAGTGGACATGGGGTTAATGTTGGAGAAAGTCCTCGAGCGAAGACATCGCATGTTTACCCAAGTGTATTCGCTATATCACCCACCGAGCAGCGCACTGCACCGAACCTATTAGAGTGCGATTTCGGCGCTCTTCTGGGTGGAAACTGTGGGCAGCTTGCAGTAGACTGTAGATAGTCTGGATCCTCTGCGGTCCTTTCGTCGGGTCATGACGTTGATGGTGTTTTTTGTTCGCCCCCCTGCGAAGAGCCATCGGCTCTTGAACGCGGGTGGCAGATGCTTGGTTCCCTTCCCGGCTTGGCACCAAGCCACTGGATAACAGGAAGACAAGTCAAACTTGGGCGAGTGATGAGACTTAGCTGATAGGGCACCTTTGAAACCTCAGGCGACAGCCATGACTATCTGAATTCTGTTTTTACAAGCTCTCCTGTCCGCAACTTTGCGCATAGAAAGTGCTTAGGTGGGCCCAACGGGGGAAAGAGAAGCCGGCAGTCAGGACGCTTGTCCAGAGGCATCTGCGTAATGAGGACAGTAGAGGCATGGTATAACAAAGCTAGTCGCGCATGCCCCCCGAGCGGGGCGTGAGTCTGTGCCGGGTGCCCGACTCGTGGCGTTGTCCCGCCGGGCAATGAATAGGTAGACATAAGAGAGGATGTGGGGGTCTGCTTGCGCCATGAACAACACGCTAGATAAGCTTCGATCTAGTCACAACGTCCGCAACGGCCTCCCGCTAACGACAACCTAAAGGCCTGCTCACTGTCGAAATCGGTCCTGCCTAGGCTGAAAACCTTGACTAGACGTCGAGCGGCCGGCCAAAACTGCAGCGTTGAGCCCAAAATGGACGTTGCGCGAAGAGCGGCTAGTATGTTGTCTTGACGGTATCGGATATCCAAGGAAAACAAACAAGACCCGTGATGCTAAAAATATCGGCTGTGGAAAGTATTACATAGTCGAGCCTGTGGAAACAACGTGTTTCGAATCACGTGTGGATGTCGGGCATGGTGTCTTGTTTGACGTCCGTCAAGCCGGCTGGCGGCTAGGCGAAGAAGATCAACGGGGTCGGGTGACATTTGAGTCCCCCTGGGAGGACAGGGGTTCGAGCAAGATTGTAGTGACCCATGTACTTTGTGTTTGCTTGGTATGACACAATCGCTGTGCCCGTTGCATTAAGTTGGGTGTCAACGGAGAGAAGAGATCAGAAAAAGGACGAGCAATGTTGACTCTTGAGTGAATCTCGAGGTCAAATTGTGCGCGCTCCGTCAGCCATAGGAGACGGGGAAGAGGTCTCAGTGTCCGAGTCCGGTGACCTGAAAATTGTCCCGGGACTGGGGGCTTTGGGCCTCGCGGCTCGGTCTGAGCAGCGCAGTGGAACAAGGGCGATTGTCTCGCGTGCAACAGCGCAGCGCTTGCTCGGTCGCTTTGCGATCGTGGAGCTTCAAACGCCGTGGAGATTGTTTGGCCCCAGCATGTAAATCTCTCAGTTGCGTTGGATGGGCTGGTGTTCGTCAGCTTGGTAGGCGCACGGCGCATCGAATGAACCCTGGGATTCGCTGTGGGTACAGCCTCGGGACAAGCGGGCGGTGCAAATGAGCAATGAAAGGGGGATCCCAGCGTTTAGCGGGCGGGTAGACGGGGCAGAGAGAAAGGCGAGGCTGCGATGATGTAGATCAGGGTTGAATTGACCGGTATGACGAGAGCACGACCAAATTTGGGATCTTGGTCCTTTTTGGATTGTCACCCCAGAGCTCAGATAGGAGGTGAGGCCCGGAGACGGTGGATTGTACAGTACTGTGATGCTGCGTAGGGCTGCTGGGGCTCCCTACCCAGCGACCCTGGCGAGTCTTAGCATGATACCTGGCAGGCTGGTGGCTTGCAAGCTAGACTTCTCGCACTTCTGCAAGATGGGCGTGCGCGTGCAACCCTCTATGAATAGTACACGCGGGATGGTCGATCCTGTCGGCAGATGGGATGCAGTAGGCTATAGCGATGGCTTCTCGAAGGTCGTGGTTCAACTGGATCCAGCACCTCCGTTGTTTCCCAAGCATCGTGGGGTTTCTTGGTGGCAGGTGACGACTGAGTGCTAGATGAAACGGGCCCATGCCCGCAAGAGGGTCATTGAAGAGGCATTGGCGAAGATCGTCATCGACAAGCCCAATCTATAGCAGGTAACATTGACCTGTCAAGGACGATGGAGTCATTTTCATGCGTCCTCCCAGGTCTCCTACTGCATAGTACCCCTTGGACACAGCATGATGACAGGTACGTCGATGGCAGGCAGTGCTGGTGGTAAGCAGGTGGCAGCTCGTAAGGAGAACCAATGCTGCCAGGCCCAGCCCGGCCAGGTGGCGAGCAGGAGTGCGATGTTGCCAGCCATCCTCCTCGAGGTGTGTGGGTGGCCATGTCGATGGTCCATCCAGATGTCAGACAGACTCTTGACCATTTTGACCGCGGCCGCCAATCAGGAGACAACCATCGGTCTGCATGGAAGGGCCATCGTCGATGGTCGCAACGTCGCATACATCAGCAGGCTGGCAGGCTGGGCAGGGTCGTAGAACAGACGACATCGCATGAACACCAGTGGCTGGAAACTCCCAAGCGGTCAAGCTGCGTGTAGAACACAACACCATCCACAATTTTTTACCCCCTCTACATCAAGACGTCGCAAGTTGAAGCGTGGTTGGTAGTCAGGCGCTCGCTTGTTAGGGCAACGGCTGGAGGGCTAGAGGGCCGGTGGCCTCTGGGTCGCATGCCAAAAAACCAATACGAGGTCGGTGGTCTGCCAGCCTACCACGCCAAGACGAAAAGGAAAACGGACGTGGGCGTGGGCCGGACGGAGCTCAAACCAGATCTGGCAGCGACTGTCGTGCCGTGACGTCCCCGTGCCGTAACACGTCTGTCTGTACAGTGCAATGATGTATGCATGTATTTGTGCAGTGTATGCAGTTTTCATTCCAATGACGGTCGAATAACGAGCGTGCCACAGAATTTGCTGTTGTGCGATTCACATCACATATCGGGGCAGCACCTATATACTGTACTGTATTTGCAACATCTTGTCTCGCAAGCGTGAGAGTCTAGACTGTGCTTTTTTAATGGTCTCACCTATTAGTAGCAAACACCGGCGTGTCTTGGGGCAAAGACGGGAAGAAAACTTCAAGCCAGTCAGAGCCGACACAGTAAGCCCACGGTACAGCCTCATCCCTGAATCTTTTGGTCTGGTACGCTTGCCTAGTGTGTGCCCCTCAACGATTGAATTCCACAGGATAGTATAATCCCTCATACACGTTCGCATATTGTACAGTATGATCAACAAGACAGGAGAGTGAAAATCAGACAGGAATGGCATGCAGGAAAGGCAAGCACAATCTGTGAGAAGGAGGCTGTCCCACAGTCCAACCTGCCAGCATAATACGGAGGGGGATACCGAGGTGGTGGTGTCGCCCCCGTTTTACTTAGCGCCGTTTGCCATTCCAAAGGGTCTTCAAACGGCGGGTCCAGGCTCTGCTCTGTCTGACGGTCATCTGCACTGGCACCCGGAACGCGACGCTGCGCTGCTGCATCGGGGTGGCCTGACAGCCTGGGAGAAAGAGAGATCCCGTCCCCAGTCCCAGTCCATCCGCCACCCCTGTTTTCTCCCTTGGCCCCTGCCTCCTCCCTCCCCACTGGGCCTTTCCTTCGGCACCCACCCACCATCAATCTCAATAAAACCATCACACCCACACAACCCATCCCAGGCCAGAGTCACTCGCTTCTCTCGTTTTCTCATTTCGTCCATCGTTCAACAATACATTCATCACTCGCTATCTATCCAAACAATCATAAGCAGGTTGTACATCGCAGCCAGTTACGCAAGTACCCATCGACTTCGACTTCGGTATCAGCATCGGCACTGCCGACGTCAGAGTTTGACTCACAGCGGACTTCCCCTTCAAGAAACCCCTTTTAATTAAGCCCCTCGCCTTGGTCATCGTACGGTGCTTCGACCGCCGATACCATCGATCGACGACTCGTCAGTAATCGCAAGAGACGGTTTCGTCATCGTCAGTGAACCAAACCCTGGTGTCGTATCCGTCGCGACCGAGCCTCCCGACAACCGACGAGAGCAACCGACGACACTACCAAAAATGCATTCTACGCGCATGCTCAAGCTGCTCGTGGCAGCCCTGTCTGCCAACTCCATCGCCCAGGGCTTCATCATCGACGCCGCCATCCTCGGCCGAAATGGCGTCGAGTTGGCCCGTAGGCAGGGACTCGTGGGAGACGCACTCAACAATGCCGCCGATGCCGTGACCGGAAGTGGGGGCGCCGCGACCACAACCTCTACCAGTGAAGACTCCACGCCAACAACAACTACGTCAAAGGCCGAGGAGACCACGAGCACTACTTCCAAGGAGACGACATCCACGACGTCCCAGGACGCAGCGACCACCACATCCGACAATGCTGCCACGCCGACCACCACATCTACTGACGATACAACCGCCCCGTCGACTTCGGCAGGCGGCACGGCTGCCACCACATCCTCCTCTGAGACCACTTCCGACGCAAAATCTAGCTCAGCCACCACAACCGCAAGCCCAACCACCTCCACCACTGTCATTGTCGTCACCGCCACGGATGGGTCGGTTAGCAGCTCCACATCCGTCTCGGTCTCGACCCCAACGCCGGGCCTGAGCGAAGCCAACAGCGGAGGCAGTAGCTCTGGCATGTCCACGCAGACAAGGAACACTATCATCGGCGTCGTAGTCGGTGTTGGAGGTGCCATCGTGCTTGCCGTCGCCGGTCTATTCGCCTGGAGAATTTGGGGCCGCAAGAAGGCTAATGAGGAGAACGACGGCCTCATGGGCTACAACAACGGATCCGAAGGCAAGAGCGAGGTCGGCGGGCTCAACGCTGGATCGACGGTCACTGGCAGTGCAAGGTCTCCGTTCCAAAGCACACTCGAGAGCTATCATGCCCCAAGCAACGTCAATGCATCGTCCAACTTTTAGGGTGGATATCTCCTCAACCTGAAGTGGTTGCATTGCGATGGATCTGGCTTCAGCAGTAGCTGTGCCACCTTCACTGAGGCATTTTGATTTACCTCGCTTGACGAGGCTCGGCGTTTTTTTATTCGACAATTCGGAGTCAACAGCATAGCGTTCATTCGCAGATCGACAAAAAGTCCAAAAGGAGAGGCATATCTCTGGACATAGACTAGCAAGGATTTCTTTTTAATGAATATGACTTGAAGGCAAAACGAAGCCTGTCAATACGTTTCATGGGGACGCTTCATTGTTTTCTACGCTGCCACTGCGCACAGACTTGATTCAAGGGAGGATTAATACAGATACCCTTTTGATTTTACATCAATTCGTGCGTTGAGAAATATCTCCTGTGACCGATCGATTTCTTCCCACCTAGCTTCAGTGATGTTCGGCATAGTGAAGGCCATTGAAACAGGAACGGCAAGAGTTCATCCCATGGTATGCCGTAGATGCCACACACCCAGGAGCTCGTAGTCTACCATCGGAAAGATTAATAAGGACATGAAAGGTCGCCGCGTAGTTTCTCATCTCAAAGCAGGCTAGGTCGTAGAAGACCATTCAAAGGGGTGTTGTCTTCGATAAGTTCTCTCTAAGCAACATATTACCACGGAGGCCTGTCCCGCAGGGAATCTCAGTGAATTGCATTGCCAACTTTGCCTATCTTCATTTGAGCATGGCCAGGTACCCCGCGAAATCCCCCAAATGCATTTTACTTGAGTAGTTCTAGGTGGGGAAGGCAAGCTTGCCTATCACCCATCGCCATGTCTATGTTCGTCTCAGTAGCGTTTCAGGTTTGGGTGCGCGACCCAGGATGGCGGCCGTTTCATGTCTAGCCCGAGATGGCCTCGGACCGTGACCTCAACCACTTCGCATTCGACTCTTGCGCGAACTTCAATCTGATCTTTTTGACACTCTATAGAGCTGGGCTTTGTTAACGACATTCATTCCTTTGTTTTATTAGTATCTAATTGCAGTGTTGAACGGCTGGAACAGCCCTCGTATCGAGATTCGCAAGGACAAAACCAGGCCGGCAATTGGACCCTTGGGAGGACTGAGACCACGATCACGACCCGAATCAACGAGCGGAAGGACGAACGAACAACTTGCCTAGGTTGACTACCCACAGTGGCCTGGCCCAAGCGACGAAGCCCACAGAATCCTACCTTCAGCCGCGAGCTCACGGAACGCACCCCACATACACATATACACAGGCATAATGCAGCTCCCGACATCCTCAGCCCTCCTGCTGGCCGCGGCCCTCGGCGGGGGCGGCGCGCTGGCCTCTGCGGGGCCGGAGCTGGGCGTGGGCGAGATGCTGGGCGGGGGCTCGGTGCTGTTCCCGCGGCAGGGAGGGGCGACGCAGCAGAACCTGCAGGCGTTCACGGGGGCGCTGGGCGGGATCAAGGCGGACGCGGTGACCAACAGCGGGCAGTCGGACCGCCCCTTCGAGGTGGACGGCGACACCTTCACCGACTTTGCGTCGGCGGCGGGACGCAGCTGCGACAACCAGAAGAACAAGTGCGCGCAGGCGGCCAACTCCGGCGGGAACGGGGCCGGGCTCGAGGTGTCGGATTGTGATACTCAAAATAGTAAGTTTGGCCTTTCCCTCTCTCTTGCCTCTTTCCTGAGGACTGTGTTGGTAGTAGCAGTGGTGATAATTGCATGGGATTTGTGAGAGAGGAGGAAAAAGCTGACGATGTGTGTGCGAAACAGCTCAGTGCAAGGCAGCCATCAACTCGGCTACTCAGACCGCTTTCTTGACTTTGACGAGCTCGAATGCTGAGTTCGACTTCTTCTGTGAGGGTTGAAGGAACCTGGACGACGGAGAGATGGCAGGACCTCCGGCCCAGCGAAGGGTTCTCAACTGGACTTTTGCTGGTTGGCGAGGAGCTAGCTTTCCCTCGCCATTTAGCATGGATATGACATGGCATTGGGAATGGGAACGGCGTTATGGGATTTCTATGGCCCGAGGCGGCTTGATGAGCAAGTAAATGCTTGAATGCTCCTAAGTTGATAATGTTATTCAGTGTATATGTTATTTCGTCGGAATCGTTTCAAAACGTATAAGAAGTACGATGTTCCATGTCACGTCTTTTGCTTAAGCTGTATTGAACCCTGCCTAGCAAGTTCAAGGAAGACTTGATGCAGTCGGCGACTAGTAGCCAGTGCGCTATTAAAGGTCGAATGCTGTTTGGCGGTCTTGATCATATATATATCAAGAGCTGCCATTGTCACCTGGTTGAATTGGGTAGCACTTGGGTTGATTCTTCTGAGTGTGAGAACGGAAACGGATGCACCCGCGTACTTGAACGTGGTAAGTGATTGTCTCACTAGGGAGCATCATTTCGTGTACTAGGCCAGTACTCCGGATGTCGCGTACAGGTCACAGTCGTATCACGTTTTTCTGAGTCTCGAATAGAAGTCTCGACATATAGAGACTGATGCACACAACGCCGAACATGATTTACCACAGCCTCTCTGTCGATCTCTTATTCTTGCTTGAGAGAGGCTAGGCCATTTGACACATAGTCAGGACTTGCGGCCGTGTCTATTATGGACTATTTCATGGGAAGGGCTTGATGTGTCTAAAGAGTGTATAATATTGGGGCATGATGCTCTCTGCTCGCTGTTCTCTTCCCTGCGTCGACAATCCTCGCCTCGCACAGAACCGTTCGTGCCGGGACGACCAATTTTAGCGCCCGTTCCTTGGTCAATAGACCCTGAGCACAGGTCGACGCGTCTCTGCTGAAGAATTAGCGTGCCGACCGGGTTGAGCTCATGGGGTTACACTGAATACGATGAATGCACCCATGTGAGAATTATCTGATCGATTCGCACGCCTCCCAAGGTTATAGACTCCATGCTGTGGAGCTGGTCACAGGCTTGACTGAATAGACTTCACTCCACAGGCTAATGGATCTGGCAATCTGCAGACATAAAGCGCACAATGCACCAACCGAACGGACCTGGAAAGCTGCTGACCCGGGACCTGGGAGCTTACAGGCGTTGCTTTGTCCTGCACTTGGCCTGTTGGCGAGGTACAAGATTCACCGCGAAGTCTGGGTGCGATGATGAGGTACAGGTTATCTAAGTAGTACTCATTTGGATGAAATTGCCGAGCCAATGCAAGGTGCCTGACCTCCCTGCAGCCCAGCGGAAGCGTGTCCAAAAATGACAGGCGCAGGAACAGGAACAGAAACGAACAGCCACAGTACTGTGCAAACTGTTACGGTGGACGGGAGCTCCCCTCCCCCCAATTTGACCAGCAAAGGGATTGGTGGGTGCTCAGGTGCAAGGCAAGAAAGCAGAACGCGATCTCCACGTTTGTCTCTGCTGTCATTCCGCCCGTCTTCTTTCCTTCTCTCTCTCTCACGCCCCGTTCTCAAGGTCATAATCATAATCCCTCCCCCGACTTCCGACCCTCTGGAGCCTCTCGTCACACACTCCACCCACCAGCCAGGAAGGACAGGCCACTGCTTGGTTCGCGCGTCGTTTGTTTGTTGGTTTGTGCGCTGTCGTTGCCAACCCGCCAGTCACTCAAGTGCCCGATTCGATGCCACTCGGCCCAACCTGGACTCGACCATCGATTCCATTCGACCTGACCTGACCTGACCCGACCAGACCCGGCTGTTGACTTTTGACTTTCGAGGCACGGCCAGTTTTTGTTCATGCAGTCGCAGGATCGCCGACAACCAATACACGACCCAGACAAGGCACGAACCGGCGATTTGAAAGTCACTTGACATGTTCTCTTGTCCCACCCTTCTGTCACTCCTTTGAACGGACCATCGTCTTCTTGATTTCTTTGGTTTCCTTTTGGTTCTTTCTGATTGGGATCTTCTCCTAATTGGCCCTTATTTCGCAAAATTTGAGTGGACCCAGCTGCAGCGCAACGCCAAACGAACCCCGGCTCTGGCTGCACTCACTCTGCTGGAGAAACGCCCAAGCTCCCCTGCCCCAGTCGTCCCCGTCTTCCGGTTACGCGACGCGATCAAGTCAGCCCCCGGGCCGCCCTTTACAAAAATCCCCACTCGCCGCCCTTGTGTCTGCTGAAAAGGGGAGCCCTCTTCGCTTCGGGAAAACAAAGGACTTTTGGGCATCGCCGACGACGCGATAGGTATCGAGATACAGCTGCAGACGACACGGTCCTCGTCTGCGCTGATCTCCAGTGGTAAGCTTCGCCCAGACCAGGAAAAAAAAAAAGTAGCCCCATGCTGCGGCTAATTGCACCTGCCCTGTGCTGTTGCTGTCCCAGCTCCATCATGTATCGAGCCATCTGATCTGACGTTCATCGTGTCGCTGTCGCGTAGGTCCACGCAAAGACGTCTTCGCAAGATCCGTCTCCACCACTTCCTCCTCGTGCTGCTGCACAGGACGGTCTGCGGCACCCTCGGCTATCCAGCCAATCCCCTCCGAGGTCCCCAGCCCTCTCGACCGCGTCTACCGCTGACGGCGAGGCGTTGTCTCCGTTCGTTCCCAACCTCCAAGCTCCGCGACTCCCGCAGAGAGCGCTGGAGCTGCTGAGGACCCCGCCGCCGCGCCAAGACCCGAGTGAAGACAGCCAGTACGTTACTGCAAGCTGGGGAAGCCCGTACCCGAGGTCTGAAGAAGCCAATCTTCATCGACAGAGTCCTGGCAGCGATCCGTCAGAAGGCTCGCCAATACACCGTCTTGAGCTTGACACTCCTTTCTTGCGCCCAGCCCCATCCTTGGTGGTTTCGCCGACAGAGCAGCAGTCCTCTTCTCTGGCCGCTATTCTGGTGAACCGCGCTAGACGACCCGGCCCTGCGCGTGGCTTGACAGAGGACTGGATACGTCAACACACGGCTGCTCACGAGAACGCCGAACCTCGTCATTGGCTCAGTGACGGTACAGATAGTGAGTCCTCTTCATTGAGCGGCTCACCCTCCGGCGACGAGGCAGCGTGGTTGGAAGGAAGGAGTTCGGCCACGCCCCGAGCCAACCTCAACCACCGGCCCACATCATCACGATTGTCTTCCAGGCAACATCCGAGAGCGCGATCGAGCACCGAGACCCTGAAGCAAAGTAACGTTGATCGGCAGCCTAGGATGGAAACCGAAAAAATGGCCAATCTTGGCCCCGAGGGAATACTGCCCAAAGGCGACGCCGAGAGTTCGCTGCCGACCAACTTCGCCGAACAGCGCCCATCGACGCCAAATGGTTCAACTGGACCAACGGGTGTGGAGAGGACAGAGGTAAAGGCCCCGGCTACTCCGTCGAAACCAGAGGTCAAGAAGGCACCTGTATCGACGCCTCGAATAAAGAAAAAGGTGCCATGGAGGGGCAAGAACATAATGGTTTTGCTTCCTCGAGATGAAGAGCGAGGTCAACGGGGCAAGGCCCCCATTCCTATGAAGCCGAAAGAAATTGCGAATATGTTTAGGGATTGGGAGGAGCTGGGATACGACATCCGTGGTTTCGACCTGAACGTCCCGACAGAGTACTCGGCTCTTCCGGTAGAGCACCATTCTAGGAGCAGGGACGAGTGGCCTGATGTAGAGGAAATCAGGAGAGAGCGGGATGGTCGCAAAATCAAAGTTACCCTACCTGATCTCGAAGGTAAGAAGCCCAGGTTGTTTACTCAAGTTACAGGATGATTTGCTAATATGTCAAACAGCCTGGAAGCAATACATGAATGAGTTGACTGAGGCCAAGCTCAGGGCTCTGGGTGTATCACTCGGTGGTGATGATCCGCCGCCGCCGCCGCCATCCATCTCTCCCAATCCAGCTGGCCTCAATCGACGTGCTACGATAACTCAGTACCCCCCTCTGCCATTCTCGCCACCGGTTCCAACACCATCGGCATCGAGTGCTCAAGGAATGCAGCAGTTCCCGTTCCCTACCAGTGGTATCAATGCAGCTGCATCTCCAGTCTCATTCAACGGGAGCTTCAATCCTCACCATGCCCGGCAATCAGTCTCGATCCCGGCAAGCCAGTCCCCGTTCGGGTTCGTGCCACCTCAGCAGCAGCCTTCGCCTCGGGATGTGATGTTCCACCAACAACAAGGGATGCACCGTGTCTCGCCGTCTCTGTCAACCTCACCCTTCTCGCCTGGCGGTTTCCAGCCTCCACTGATGCACCAAAGGCACCAGTCGCTTCAGTTCCCTCAGCTACCTCATCAACAGTTCATGCAATCTGCTCGGGCTTCTCCCCGGTTGCAAGAATTACGTGAGGCGGATGAGGAAGAAGAGACGAAGAGCGTATCCAAAACACCCGAGCCAGCACCACAGATCCGTCATAATGCCAGTGACAGCCTCCAGAAGGAAATCGATGAAGCGGAGTACCACTTGGAGGAGCAATTCCGCTCACAGCTCGAGCACGATGAGGATTACAGCCCACACAACGAGGACGAAAAGAAACACGCAGCGGCTCAGTCAACCCACGAATCGCCGGTGCAGTTCGCGCCACAGGCACCACGCTTCGAAAATGCCGTCGATAAGAACCTTGTCCTTCATCATCCTCGACCTCATAGTAGAGGTCATTCACTCTCCCAGAAGTATTTCGGAGAAGACGACATGAGAGCCGGCTCGGGCAAAGGTGGTTTCAACAATTTGAAGCCTATACAAGACGATGACAAGGCCGACCAGGACGACGTTGAGACAAACCCCAGTAATCTCGGAACACCAGTTCTACCAAACTTTGAAGACTCATCCCATGAGAGAAACTTTTCCACCATGAGCAACCCCTGGAAGGATGTGCAGTCAACCTCGCGGCGGCCGAGCCACAGTAGCAAGCCATCCTTCTCGAAGCTCAACGTCGCAGCGCCTGAATTCAAGTTCAACCCCACGAGTTCCTTTCAGCCCGGGCAGTTCAATTTTGGAAGCAACACCTTCCAACCCGCTGTTTTCCAAGGGGCCTCTGCACCGAATCCTTTGGATTCGGATCACTCGAACCAGTTGAGCCCCCCGGCAGGTCCTTCGCGCAAGATCAACGTCAATGCTCCAGTATTCTCTCCTGGGTCGAGTGAATTCTCGTTCTCTGCCGCTGGTGCGCCGACGTTCCGACCGAATGCACCAGCCTTCACACCTCACTCGGTAGCAGGCTCGGTAACATCCCCGATACTGTCCGGTAGCGAGAGCGGCAGAATGACATCGTCAATCTTCGGCAGTATCGACTTGAACATGCCAGAGATCTTGAAACCTCCAAAGAAGTCCAAGGCCATTCCCATTGTTCGACCAGCTAGTCGCACGTCGAACAGGGACGAGCCAGCTCCTGCTGAGGATGAAAACGGTCGCATAATTGACGAGACACGGGTCAAGAGATTCAGAGGGGCTAGTGGTGATGACGATGATGAGGGCCCTCAGTTCGCAGAGCCAAACTCATCCGCTCAAGCAGAACCTAAGAGCACAGAGGAGGAGCGCCCAGCCCGTGACTCTGGAATTTCGTCGACTATCCTCTCTGACTCGACGGAGGCCAAGGACAATACCAGCTTGTCCGAGGTCTCTGCGGACCACAATACCAATGTCTGGGCGCCGTTCGAATTCGGATCCGAGGCTGATGTGTCAGCGTTCAACACAGCTAGACCTTTCGGAGACGACGGTTTCATGGCCCACGGCCACCAAAAATCGCTTTCAGCGTCGGCGAAGCCATTTATTCCTGGCATGTCTTTTACGACTGACGATGACGATAATGATAAGGAGGATACCCCAGTTCCGGGCCATTTTGAACGGTCCGAGAAGCGGTCTGATATGGAAGCTGAGGTGAGCCCTGTAGAAGAGGACCAGAGTCTTGAGGATATGCCTCAGGAGTCCATCGAGAGGGAGCCTTCGCCCATCATCAGCCCTGCGGAAGATGAGAGTTTCCGTGTCGAGACATTTGCGCCCTCACCTCCGCCGGTGAAGAAAGGTCTTGCTGCAAGCAGATTCGCCACTAGCCCCTCGCCGCCTAAAGGTTTGGGTGCCTCGAAGTACGCTAGGTCACCATCAGCTGCATCTGAAGTTGAGGCTCCCCATAGCCCACTTGTGAGCGACACGCAAAGGTATTCGGCGTCTCCAGTTGCTGCGGAAGATCTGGAGGACACTCAGGACACAATTCCAGAGTCTGCAAGCCCACGGACGGACCGTGAAGAAGAGCATGATGATGCTGGAGAGCCCACATTCGAAGAGATCGATGCCGTCATGCAGCACATCAACGAGAATGATCCCGATCTGGGCGTCAAGAAGATCGTGGACTCGCCGAGATGGCACCAGCCAAGCCCGACGCGGCATATTCCTGTCGCTGCCATCACCAATGAGTCCCCCAAGCGCAGTCACCCACAGTATCTTCGAGGTGAAAACCCGAGCCCGAGCCCTAGGCACTACCACTTACCACTTGGAGTACACCCGCCTTTGCACACAACTGAAATGTTGGAGAATCCGTTTATAGATCCTCCAGGCGCCCAAATCTCTCGGCCCAACACGAGTGAGAGCCAAGCTGCTAGTGATGACTGGGAACGGGCTTTCAGTGACGAAGAGCAAGTCAAGCTCGATTCTCGTGCCAACTTCTTCGACGGTAAGGTCAACGAGCTGGTTGGTGGTGTCTTGCAATCCCGGCTGGATCCTCTCGAAAGGACATTAGAGGGAATACTGCAGACCCTCGCATCGATGTCTGGCCGTACGCCGTCGAGCCGCCGCGAACGCCGTAGCGTCTCTGCGGAAATTCAAGAGAGCGATGCAGACGATGAGGATGATGAACCAATTCCACGACGCTCAATGAGTCCCCGCAGAGACAAGCGAATGGAGCAGATCAGAGTCGCCGTTCTGGATGCATTTGCTGTTCAACAACGCAGCGCCCCTCCATTGCCTCCTTTGCCGGGTCTTGCCCAAGACGGTTCATCTGCCGAGGGTATGGCTTCAATCTTGAAGGCGATGGAAGAGATGAAGCAACAATTCAGCGAGTCTCTGCACCTCGACTTCCGAGCCGAAGACCTTCGAAACGTTGTTGAGGAAGCGGTCGAGTCACGCATGCCTGCCACTCCACCCCAGCCAGTTGCTGTGGAAGGCCAAGATGAGCTAAGTGAGAAGTATAACGAACTGCAGGCTCGATACGCAGATCTGGAACAGCGTCATCGTCTGGAAGAAGCCAAGGCTTCAGCAGAAGCAGCATCGAAAAGCATGGTGGAAGATCGAGCAGCCGAACTCGAAAGACAGCTGTACATGACAGAGGCCAAGGTCGACGCTGAGATCATGAACCGCAGCACCAACGATCAACGTTTCTTGGATCTCCAGAGTAGACTAAGTAACCAGGAGGCCATAAACGAAGCAGAAGTCCAGCTTCGGCGAGCAGCTGAAGACAGATTGTCCGAGGTGCAACGTCTTCTGCGAATTTCTTCCGAAGAGGAGGTACGGCTGAGGGAGGCACTCGAAGAGAAGGAGGAAAGGCTGAAGATTTTCGATGCGAGCCACAGCAAGAACACTATGCGCCTCGCTATGCTTGAAGCTGCCGCCGAAAACTCTCATAAAGAGAGGTTGGAGCTTGAAGACCGCGTCAGTGTCGCTGAAGTAAACGTGCGAGATTTGCGTCAAGAATCAGCTCATTGGAGGAATGAGGCAGAGCGAGCCATCCAGCTGTCCGAAAGGCAGAGCGACGACTTGCACCACGCGGTAGAAGAGAACAAGCAACTTCACAAGTTGATTGATACTCTTGGCACCCAGCTGAACGAGAATGAACGGATGCGCGATGACTATAGGTCAAAGTTCCTCTCGCTGCAGGAAGATATGGAGAACTCTATGCGCCACGTTACCGAAGAGAACGCCCGCCGCGCCAAGAAGGAGCAAACGATGCTTGCCAGACAAGAAGTCCTGGATGCGAAGCTCCAAGCTGAGTCCAAGACCCGCGAACGTCTGGAGACTGAGCTCGAGAGATTGGAGGCTGGTGAGCGTCAAGGCATGAAGGCTGTCAATGAGGCCAGGAGACTTGACGGTCTATTGGCAGAGATGCGGACTGAGAACCATAAACTTCAGCAAAGCGCCATGCGCTATCAGGCTGAGTTCCAGGAAGCCCGCGAATCTGGGGCACGAGAAGTGCAGCGCACTCGCGAATCGATGCAAGCACAGGTCGAGGACGCGAACAACCAGGTCAACGTCGTCCGTGAAGAGCTCGAGGATGAAATCTCCCGATTGCGTGCGCAGCTTGACCAGGCCAAGCTTGATGCTGATACTGTCAGGTCGCGGTACGACATGGTCATGGAGGATGCTCAACAGAACAGGAAGGGCGACATCGACGAGGTCATACGGAAACACCAAGACGAGATCGAGGACATGCAAGCCAAATTTGAGAGACAACTCAACAATACTGTTGAGGACGCCCAGCGCGCCGAGTCCAACCTCCTCGAACGCCTCAGTATATCGACATCCAAGTGTGAGCACCTGCAAGATCGTGTCACTCACTTAGAAGAGAAGCTCGATATTGCTAGGGAAGCCGCACGTGCTGCAGCACAGGCCGCCAAGGCATCTGGAGTTGTTTTGCCCTCTGTTCCGGCTCCTCCTGTCTCAGCAACCATTCCTGAGCAGCCCGCCGCGACCTCACAGTCGCAGGGACCGCCTCAGTCGGCAGCCGTTGCCAGAGCTATGCAATTACCAGAGAAGATCTCTCCTCAGGCCCTCCGAGAATCCATTATGGTCCTGCAAGAACAGCTCCAGGAGCGTGAGCAGAAGATCGAGGAGCTTGAGCAGATTGTGGCGAAGCTAGACCCCGACTCTGAGACGAAGATCGCAAAGCGGGATGACGAGATCGTGTGGCTGCGGGAGCTTCTTGCTGTAAGGCACTCAGATCTACAGGATATTATCACTGCCCTCGGTCGGAACGACTACGACCAAGAGCGTGTTCGAGATGCGGCCATCCGCCTCAAGGCGAACCTGCAGATGGAGCAGCAAGAACGCGAGAGGGCCATGAATGGCGGGTCGGCAATCAATGTGCCCAACATCGCGGCCAGTCTCCGGGATGCTGCGACGCCTAGAGTTGCTCAAGCTGTCGGACCCCTCGCTGCTGCATGGGGTAATTGGCGAAAAGGTAGCGCTCTTTCTAACGTCGCGTCATCGCCGGCAGCGAATGTCAACCACACCACGCCCCGGAAAGACAGCCCTGCTTCACAGAGCAGCTTCCTTTCGGGTCTCTTGACCCCACCAGCGTCAGGTGTCCGGCAGACGCCAACACCCGGACAACCGACTGCTTTCTCCAGCACCGGTCGGCGCTTCACAGCTCAAGACCTTGCTAACCGGCCCAAGGCACCGCCTCAACGGCAGGCTCAGATGATGCCAGCTCGAGGAGGGAGTCCGGCGCAAAAGCAGCAGAGTTTTTCAAGCGGCCCACAGACGCCGCCGATGATGCGGCCCGCGGCTTATGATGATGACGCGATGGCAGCTGAAGACTTTGACGATGCTGGGTTCTTTGATGATGAGTGAACTCGGTCTGTGGTTCAGATCGAGATCACAACTCTCTCTATATTCCCTTTGTCACATGAGAAAAAGACGGAAACAACAAGTTAGGCGACGACATATAAACGATTGGGTCCGCGGCATTTTTTGGCTTTTCTGCAACGTCCTTCACTGCCACTGACAGCAACATAAAACCATACCCACAACTGCACTACTAGAATGATACCCCCTGATAGCAAGATTTCGGCGAAGATTCTTTCACCATCCGTCTATTCTTCCATTCCTTCACGTCACGCTGCGAGCTGAGGTTGGAAACTGAGAGACAAATGGACTACATTTTCTTTTTCTGATTTTGCACAACGCCTTTTTATTTTCTTTCGTCAGTCGCTTCCAGCTTATTATTACTATTACCACCACCACTATTACTTGTCAACGTGTGACGGCCGATATGCACGAAAAAGAGATGGCGCAGCAGATGAGAAGGGGTGATTATCAGAAAAGAGAGAGGCAAAATCGGGCTCTTTTATGGGCTGCGGCCGGACGTATCTATCATATAGTCTAATCAATCCCTTCAACCCCTGTCTGTGCCTTATAATGGCGTGATGTGTGATATGTGCTTGTGCCCCTTGGGATTCCTACTTGATCGCCTCACGAAGCAGCAGTAATGCCTGGCTCGTTTAAGACGGAAGCTGATGCGGTGGGACATCCCGTGCTTCTCTACATCCATGCCCTCTATACTGGCAAGGCGCTTCGCATAGAAGACAGCGAGCAAGCTTCAGCGGGAAGACATGCTAGCGCACGATGCCTCATATCTTCAAGCATCCTTTCCAGCCCGTTGATACTACATTGGAGGAGGGGCAGACTGTCCTGGCAACGACCCCAGGGGCTTGTGGAACAATCACCGCGGGAGAGTAAGCAACGGGAGAACACGCCACGGAGATCAGCACACACAGACGCTTGGTCCACAGGAGAATACCTCATCGGCTGCCTGCAGCGAGTATCATTGTTCGGCAGCAGGGCGGATAGCTAGGTCCTCGGTCTGTGACGTGACAGCGCCGTCGGCGGGGGTCGCGGCGGCGGGGCCCTTGGCCTTGTCCTTGGGGCCGGGGAACATGGCGCCGCGGTCCTTCTTCTTCTTCTCCTTGACCTGCTTGACCTCGGGCGGGTAGGCCCTCTCGACGAGCTCCTTGAAGTCGGGGCTGTTGGCGAACTCCTCGCGCACGGGCGCCATGAGGGCGTTGAGGGCCTTGGACACGGCGGGCTTGAGGATCTGGGGCGTCAGCACGTCGTTGCGGTAGTCGTCGTGCATGGCCGCGATGTCGGTGTAGACCAGCTCGGGCAGCTCGTCCCTGCTGCGGTCGACGACGAAGCCCCGCTCGCCCTTGAGCCTGGCGGCGGGCAGCAGGACGTGCTCGACGAAGGCCAGCACGCCGTTGCCCTCGGGGACCTTGGGCACGCACTCGGCCTTCTTGATCTTCTTGACGACGGTGGCCTCGTCGTCGAGCAGGTCGATCTTGGAGTTGGGGTCGCTGGCCGACATCTTGCCGCCCTGCAGCCCCGGCACCATGGGGTTCATGATGTGCGCCCGCTGCCGGTACCCCAGCTTGGGGAGCCACTCCTTGGCGGCCGTGAAGAGCTTGCGCTGGTCCACGCCGCCGAACTGCACGTCCACGTCCAGGTACTGCTCGTCCAGCACCTGCAGGATCGGGTACAGCAGGCCCGACAGCGGCGCGTTGGCCGTCTGCTTGACCACCTCGGCGCCGGCCTTCTTGGCGTCGTGCTCTGACACCACAGAGCACAGCTTGTACACGTCCATGGCGTAATCGGCGCTCTTCTGGTAGGAGCTCCCGAACACAAACTTCAGCCTCTTGATGTCCTCCTCGCCGCAGGTGGCCCGCAGCATTGCTGTGATGACGCGCTGGTAGTAGAGGGCCCTTTGTTGGACGAGTTCTATGGGCGCTTTCAGGTTGTCCTGTCACACAAGGGCGTCAGTCATTCGTGTCTTCGTAAACCGCGGCGGTGGTTGCCAAGGGGCCCGCGTACAAGGAAGCCATGGATATCGGCGAGGAGGATGGTCAGCTCGCAGCCGGACCGCAGCAGCTGCGCGTTCTTTATCGCGGGCACGAAGTAGCCGCAGTGTGGACGTCCGGTTGTCGCACTGGTCATGGGTCAATGGTCAGCAATTGGGTCGAGAATGTGGAAGGTTGGCCAACTAGAGAGTGCATGATAAATGTTGTGATCGTGTCGGGATGCGAGTGTTCTTGGCCACCAGTGGGGTGTTCGCGGCGAAGGAACAAGGAGGATGTCTACTCACGTTCCCCAGTAGACCTTGGGATCCTTGCCATCGTTAATGATCTTCTCGATGATGTCGAAGTCGAGCGTCTCGGCCAGGTTCTCCTTGATCAGGGCGATCCTCTCCTCGGCGGACATCTGTGCCATTGTGGGCAAATTTTACTGGGTCGGGATGGGTGTACAAGGAGCGCAGAGTCGGTAGATCTGTTGGCTTCGATTAGGTGCCGAGAACAACGAGTGGAGGGTCTGGCGAAAGTGGAATCACAAAAGTGAGTATTGGGCTTGAGAATGACTATTTACAAAGTCGAGGGGTGAGTCAACTGAGATGCGCAACTCAGCTAACAATTTCCATGATGGCGGGGCAGCTGGGGGCCAGGGGTCCGGTCCCTCGCGCCGCCCACCCACACCTGGCTGCCCCTCGCGTTGGCCGTTAGACGTCAATGCTGCTATAATGCGCACGCAGTACAGCGTCGAACTACAACATCTGATAGAAATGGTCAATGGTTCCAGGCCAGACTCAGTCCTCGCCGGAGTTATGGATTTTTACAAAGAAAAGGTCTCATAAAGTCGCCTGCGTTTCCAACCTGGACATTTCATAATACCAAGAGCAGAGCTAGGGAGACCTCCCTGGATGTACTGATCAAGCCAATTGGTGTGGTGCGGTATACGTCTCAATACTGTCTCTACTGCTCATCGATAGATTTGATTCTCAAAGGTAAAAAAATTTGCTGTTCACACTTGATTAGGACCAATTCAGCCGCTGCTTCGTTGACAGCAGCTGCCGATGTAGTGTAACGCATCCCAACGTCGAGGGCGTTTAGACTCAAATTCGGTCATATTTCTGATAGTCGAATAGCACACTACCAATCTCATAGTTTCCCGGGGGTATTCACATATTTTCTTTTACAGGCGTGAGGTCATCAGCCTGCTCGTTTCTTGCCAGTCATCATCTCAACTCCCTCTGATCCGCACTGCACACGGTGCTTACTGGAAGTTGTTAGCAAAGAAGGTCAGAACCGTCTTGTAGCCGCGTATGTATTCCTCCTGGACGCGCTTATCCGTCAGGTCGGAACGCGCAGCCATCCAGCCGTGGATCTGGTCCTCGAAGATCTCGACATGCTTGGGCCCCGTGAGAGCAGCCTCGAACTTCTTGACGTCTTCAGCGTCCTCGTCCTTGGAGGCCAGCATAATCAGAGGAACCTTGATGCTGCAGGGATTTAGTATCAGCGCTGCTCTAGCATATTGTTAGGAGGGGTTAACGCTCACCTTTCGGCATCCTTAGCATCAACCATAGCCGGGTGCAACTCGGCGGCAATCTTGAAAGGGCTCTCGCCGGATGCGAGCGACAGCGAAATGACCTTGGACCCCCAGCAGAACTAACAATTGCAGTGTCAGCTTGTTGCTATTCAATCAAGGTCAGAGCTCGGTAGTACTCACGCCAGCCACACCCCACTCCTTGATGTTCGGGTACTTCTCCTGTGCAGCCTTGACGGCAGAATGGGCCTTGGGCACGAAGCTAGGCGGGCTGTTCTTGCCGAAGAAGGCGCCGACCTTCTTCTGCTTCTCCTCGTTGTCGGGCGGGAACAGGTCAATGGGCAGCGGCTCGCCGTCGAAGGCGTCGGGCATGAAGACAGCGTATTTGTTGTGATCATCGGCAGATGCCAGGATGTCGCAGCCCTGCACAGTCTGATCGAAGAAGCCAAAGATGTCCATGACAACGAAGATGCCCTTGGTGGCTTCCTTGGCAGGGCCGGTCACGTAGGTCTTCCTGCCATCGATGGTCTCGAAGTCGCCCTTCTTCTGGTAGCCAGACGAGACGATGGGTGGGATGTTGCAGCAGGCCTCGGAGTGGCCGCCGGTGGCTTTCATTGTGGACATCTTGGGCGTTGATGTGCTGAATGGCCTAGGCAGTTGTGCGTTGGTCTTGTTGGGGTTTAGAGTTCTCAATTGACTGCAGCAGGACCGTCGTGACGTTGCGATGCTGTGGGCAGGGGTGCAGCTCGGCGTTGGTGGAATGAGTGAAGAAGAGGAGATAGCCGGCAGGTGGGGCCTCAGGGAGTTGAGGGCATTGGAAGCTGCTCGAAGCTGCCCATTTGCGAGAGGCATGACGTGGATGAGTTGAAGCGGAGCTACTGTACGAGACAAGGACAAGGCCAACCAGTACGCACCACTGACTGACTGACGCTTAGATCTCTGATAGTCAGTTAGGGGTGCTAGCCTGTTCTCTTACACTCTTACACTCTTTGATATTGCTGCTATTCCTTGCTGCTATTGCTGCTGCTGCTGCTGCTGTACGACTTCAAGTTGCAACAATTATGTGTTAACCCCGCGTCAGGCTGCACTGCGTGCTTATGATGCATCGATTCACCTGCCGACCATGTTCTGGAGCTATCCCCCCCACTCACTACCTTTACAGCGCTCGGATAGCTGGATTTGGTGTGACGTAGAGAGGGGTTCGATACCGATAAGTGACGGAACAGACCCCTGCCAAGCTGCTCACCCGTTCTGCCCGTTGCCGCCATCAAATGTTAGTAATCATCGACTTTGTGACCAGACTACTGAATTCTCTGGAGAAGTCCATCTCATACCTATGGCCATTTCGCTTGCACGGGTCTGCATACGACACATCTTTTGTGTCGTAAATCTGACGAGACGGCCCCTTCCGTCTCCTCAAGCATCCAAGTCCACGTGGCACGTCAGACGGCCATGATCCAGCACGATGTCTCTCCCTCTCGCCTGCCCCCTCCCTTGCCGATGTCCCATTTGTCCTTTCGACCTATAAGAGAGATCCCAGCTACCATCCTGCACAGCGTATGCACCTTGTTGTTTCTGGCCTCGTCGTCCTCGTGACGAGCAGCCTCTGTCGGGACAAAAAATCCCGCTAGAAAAATGGACCCAACTACAGCAAAGGCAAAAGCAAGTGCAGTTCTAGGCCGTTTCTAGGACGTGCGGCTCATGCTTCCGCATGGCGGATTTGAAGCCCGCCTTGCGTCGCACACCAGCTGCAGTGCCTTTCCACAAGCAGCTGCTCAGTAACACAGACAACCGCCTCGAATTTTACTTTTCCGGCAAAGGCTGAGGCTGCGGCTGCGGCTGCTAACCACTTGGAAGCTTTCCATGAGACTCGGTCAATGCCGGCTCTCAGCAAAGGTAGGACCATCTCTGTTGTCGCGCTCTACAAACGCACATGTGGCTTCCGGTCGTGAGACAGCTGCTACACCGTCATTGTCGAGTCATCGCTGCGACACGTTGATACACGTTGATACCGATACCCCGTCACTGCCAGCTGGCACAATGCTTCAGCTGTAGCCGGGGGCAAATATGTGTCCGGATACAGCTTATGAGATTGTACCATCGATCTGGCCGTGGGGGGACACGGAAGGGTATCGCAATAAGACATCCCAGATCGGAAATCAGCCAACCTGCAGCCGACAATAGTGGCATATGCAGGACAGCCTTGAAAAGCATATGGCACACCCTGGCGCTTCCCGAGCCGGCGGTTATACCTACCTGAGCAGGTGATCTTCTCCAATCCTAGGTTGTCTTCTCATAGGGCCGGAGGTATCCATGTGGGCCAATGTGTAAGAATGTTTCTTCGGTGCATCGTCCTTGGCTACCGCAGCACCATACCATGGCTGCCCAATAAGTAGGTGACCCTGACCGGTCAACTAGACCTTTTACTGGATCGCGAACGTGGCCTGCCTCACCGGTGAGTCCGAAACAGTTGGTTGGCGACAATGGACGAATGGGGAACGGAGCTGCCGCGAGCACTCGTCAGAGGCATTGCTTGTGAGGCCTGCACAGGCTGAAGCGAGCACATGTTCGAGGGCCACTTTTTTGCTCAGTGGTCAACAAGCTTGTGGCTGCGTTTCGTCCGTGCCTTCACGATGCAATATCTATATCCCGGAGAATCTTGTTTTCGGCGTCGTGATCCTCTACCGCCTTTCTCCCCTCCTTTCACAGAATTGCAACATATTTTTGGGTGCCAAACATACCTGCAGAAGCAAACGAAACGAAATTGGACTATTTCAAAGCAATTCGCAATCATGTTCAAGGGAAAATCGCCATCTTTTGTGGAGAACACCAGGGCATGCCCTCCTCATGAGTCCATCCCCAAATCCTTCAATATCAACACCACGCACAACACACGACGGCAAAGAAAACCCCTGGATGTCGTCGCATTCGACAACGCCATGGCCTGTGCCAAGAGCACGGACTTCTGCATCTGCGCCGGGACTGTGACTTTCAAAGGCAGGGGTGAAGACAGCCGAGTCCTCGTAATCCTGAACGAAAAATACACTCAAGACCTCTGGCAGCTGCCCAAGGGCCGCAAGAACATCGGCGAAGATGCCCTATGCAACACAGCAATCCGGGAGACCTACGAGGAAACAGGGTACAAGGTCCAGCTACTCTCCAAGAACATCCTCACCCGCGCGACGATGGCCAAGGGCAGGAAGGACCCCGGCCCCATTTTCGAGGCCCAGAGCGCCGAGCCCATCGCCATGGTCCACTACACGGAGCCATTCCCAGGCCTTGCGGGAAGCCCGGTGACCAAGGTGTGCTTCTTCTTCGTGGCGACGGTCAGGGATGATGCCCCGCCCGCGCCGAACACGCAGGACGTCGACGAGGTCCTGGAGGCGTACTGGCTGACATGCGCTGACGCGATGGAGAGGCTTACCTTCGCGGCTGAGAGGAGGGCTTTGGAGATTGCGATGTGTTACTTGTGAGATCGAGCTGAAGCAAATTCGTTGAATGCTTGGAGAGAGGGGAGGGTTCCGGAGTTTTATAAGAGGTGGAAACTTTTCAGGAGTACTACGGAGTAGAGGACGAGGAGTTAAGAGGGTGGGAGGCGTCGGAATTTTATACACGTCGAATTTCCAAGCCATCAAAAAGCGCAGTAGTCTGAGGAGATCATCCTGCGCCGAGAACCAGAGGTTATGCAGTTTTTTATTATCATGTGAATGGATGATCATATCTTCAAAGGAGACTGTTCGATCACATGCGATAGTGTGGCATCGTTAGGGCTGATTGATACCCAGGAGGCCCCTGTTTCCTCTCCGTGTAAGTCAAACAACCCTATCAACGGGGAGCTGTGGACCCGTGCCTGGAAGGAGCAGCACCACCTCTGTGCTGGCCATACACCAATGTTTTTGCAAAGTCAAGGCGAGATATACGACCGCAAAACAGTTCAAACCCGCAAAGCATTCCAAAGACAAAATATTCACTATTACTTCATTTGCCACCAAATTGCATAAATTGATAGGCGTGTATATTACTACGTAGGGCCCGGGCAATGGCCTCGGCGGTATGAATTGTGGAGTTCCAACCGGAACGAGTCCGGGTCACAAAGCAACTGCCACAAAGAGAACAAGCACCGAGAATTCCGCCCAGAAAGTGATCTCTGACCTGCATTGGAAATTACCGTCCAGCTGGTAACGAATAGCAAGAGTCCCTTCGTAAGCGCCGGTTCAGTCCCGCATACGCATGTTGGACTAAGCGAGTATCCACGGTGGGACAGCAGCACTATCTTTGGGTTGTCTGCTGTGCGGGAGCTCACCAACGCCTCTTCTGTGTGTTTGCTCGTATCCACGTGGTCCGAAGTTGAACTTCTTTCTCTGGAAATGCCACTGCTCGACCCAAGATTGGAGAGCACTTGCACTGGAGGGGGCTCGCTGGTATGGCTCACGGAATCGTGTTCAGAGATAGGCGCTTCGATATGTGCGCCGCCTCAATCCTACTCTCAGATCTGTTCACAAGTTTAAGAGCAGAGCAAGCGCCATGATTTATGCGTCTTGTTTCGATGTGATGGCCGGGATAGTTCGATCGCTCCACATTGGTGCACCGTAATATGGTGTCAGGATTGGGGGGGGGGGGGGGGGTCACAAGTGGAGCGGACAGGTATATGCAGCGATGACGTTGCGCAGACGCGACGAGAATAACAGGGACTGGATTAGAACTACTGAACTTGACCCTCGTCTCCCATTTCCTTCGTTCTTCTCTTGCCCCTATTTATAATACGAATTTTCTTCCTCTCGCGCAGCGTTGGCACGATATACATTTCGGTGTAGGATATTCCACAACCATGATTGGCCCACCCGGTATCTACATTCTTTATACAAAGTCTTAGGTTTGAATGTATCTTTTTGCTAATCAAGAAAAATAACTACCCGTATTGAAACTTTGCTAAAATTATTTCTTTCCCAATAATATTTTTAATTACTTAAAACTGATAACCAGAAAGTCAGAAAGCTAGATGGCTTCGTAATGCAGACCAAAAAGCTTCGGGGATTAAGGACTTCGAGGCCAGAGCGCTCCGGGGCCAGAGGACTTCGGGGCCAAAGGGCGGTGGGGGCTAAATGATTTCGAGGCCAAAGAGCTTCGAGGCCAAAGAGCTTCGAGGCCAAAGAGCTTCGAGGCCAAAGAGCTTCGAGGCCAGAAGGCCAGAGGGTCAGAGGGCCAAAGGACCAAAGGGACCAAAATACTTAGGGGCCAGAGGGCTTGATAGCTTGAGGGCTTCGGGGCCAAAAGACTTAGGGGCCAAGGAAGAGTCAAAAGGCCTAAGGATCCGAAGTATTTAAAAAGTGTTTCAAAATTGAAAATGTAGGTCAATACTTCTTCAATCTAACATTTTGTCAAGAAACATATGTACTGGGTGGGCCAATCATGGCTGGAGATTCCATTCCTCGCAGCGTTCCAAATACGCAGGAGCAGTGCCCCTATTGATCGTGTAACAATATCCCCTGCCGTATGACAAGACGAAAATCGGCACCTGGCTAGACAATTTTCTTATTGACGAAAGGTGCCGCGTTGGGCCACTTGTATCCGATTCAATCATCAACGACACACTTGACTTTTGGATTCCCAGCTTCAGGTGACATACGCTATGACAACTTGCCTGCTTGCTTTACTTTGTTTGAATTCACACACGACCTAATGTCGATCACACATTGTTATATTGTCCCGGGTATGTACAGTAAAATTTGGTTCCCCTGCGGACCAGTGAACGATACGGTAGCCGCAGTACCATGTTGCTGGTTAGGCGATACCTGCATGAGCGGCGGGCTCTGCTCTTACACGCATTCCCTCAAAGGAGGCAGTGGGTGGTATGCCTCGGGCTGCACCGACTCGACCTTCGACGACCCACATTGTACGGGCCGATGTTGTGAGTTCGTCCAAGATTTGCTAGGCCATTATCAGAAGCTAACCTCTAAGACTGACAGTGGACAATGGTGCAAATGGCAAGCCCGACGTGGTTCAGGTTTCCGCATCGCTGTGGGCTTGCTGCACCCTCACAGATGGCGAGCGCAACTGCATGGACCCCTCAGATGAGACTTTCAGCTTGGCAGCGTCTTCAGAACTGTCGAGCTACTTCTCCATCCCAGCGACAGGTTATGTGTATACGTCCGTCTCGGTCTCGAGCTCAATTACCGTGTCAAGCCCTACGTCAAGCACCTCGATACACACTGTGTCTACGGCACCCCCAACGGCTAGCAAGACCCCGACGTCCGAAGGTCTCAATAATACTGGTAGAAGAATTTCAACGGCCACAGCAGTTGGAATGGGCATAGGGATAAGCGCTGCGATCTTCCTCGTTGCAGCTCTGTGGTTTGGTCTTCGCAGAAGACACAGAACGGCCGAAGCGCAGCGCCCAGAACTTGACCCTAACATTTTCCCTGAAGGCTCCAGTCCCAAAGGTGCAGAAGAAACGGAACTGGCTGGCGTTAAAAAGTGTCACAAAATCACTCGTGATCAAAGACAATTGGAATTGCCAGCCGATCGAGAGCCAAGCGAGCTCCCTGGGTCACCGTTATAGGTCGACAAGAGACTATTTTGGACAAAGATTTCATGCCGATACGAGCACGAGTTGAGCTTAATTTGTAACATACTTACTGCTACCAAACGTAGTAAAAAGCCTTCCTGAGGAGAAACCCATTTCGGCTAAATATCAAGCCAAGACAAGGTATCAACATGATGTCAAGGTTGGGCTATTCTTTTCTGTCTTTTCGAAAAGATACGATTGGCCTGCTGGGACAGCATCTTGATTTATAGGGCACAGAAAACTTTTGCTCATTATGTGAACAGACTCTTTGTGCGAAAATATGTTCATTTGAAGACGTAAGGTATTTACACCGTGCGCTCGACTGACCACTACGCAGCATTCTCAGCGCAAGTAATGATGATCGATCAGCTCAAGTCGCCGCCACCCAAGCCCCCTTCCATAAGCTGACTTCGCCGAATCATTTTCAAATCAACGAGTCGTCTAAGCCCGATAGTTTCAAGTTTCCCGGTCCCCTTCCAGGCTCAAAGCTCTTTAACAGCAGGCAACAGTCTGGACGCAGCTGTCACCGCGGCTTAGGCCGACGCAGGCGTCCTCGTTGGCTTTGGTGGCAGTGTCGTCGAAGGTATCGGTCTTGCCCTGGACGCACACGCCCGTGTTGCCAGAGCAGAAGAGGTTGTTGCCTTGCTGGCAGACGGAGAGGTAGTTGGCGGTCTCGTAGGTGCAAGACTGGGCCAGGCCCGTTGCGGCGGAGGCGGCCAGGACGAGAATGGTTGTCAGCTGCATGTTTGCGGGTGGTTTTGTGACTTGTGGATGTGGAGGATTGTATAATGTATGCAAGTTCTGGTCAGGCTGGTTTGGGATTGGAGTAGTGGTGCTGTAGCTGGATCTCTACACCTGTAGACAAGACGAGCATGGCAGCATATATAGTTGTTCTCATCGCATGGTCACTATTCATGGTGCCCCTTTAATTAGAGCCCCAGATTCCCCAGACGATGGAGAACTCCATAGATCCAGTTGGCCGTCTCGATTAAATTGAGCGCGCGGTTGAGCATCCGAGTCAGGCGTTGGTCTCCATGTGGGAAAGGCTGGGCGTCACTTGGCCGCCAAGCCCCTGTAAACCGTTTAGGGTCATTTCAGACAGCTTGAGCCCTGCGGTAGGGCTGTGTGAAACGAAGCCCGCTTGTGTATCAAGGGACGCACCGGTGAAGCTTGCTCGTAAGGTTATTTATGGGCGCTGGCATGAGAAAGAACGCGGTTGTCGGCATTTTCGCAGTTTTGGTAGGCCGACCGAGCAAACGGTTGGCGAAGCCACAACTAGACTGAGTAAGTAATTAAGTAGTTTTCCGAAGTCCTCGAGCTTCCTGTCGTCATAGCTACTGCCTTTCAGCCATTGGAGTCAGGTCTCAAGACATCTTGAATATGAAGGCTCAGAGAAATGTCACGAATAGCCCTAGGCTGAGGATGCCAGTATATGAGGAACTCGGAGCCATTATACTAGAGACTAGTATACCTCTCCTCGTCTCGTTGAGAGTCTGCATCTAGTTCATAAAAACAGATTTACTGAATCTGGTAGCCTAGTTAGTCTATGGTAAGACGCCGTGGGTGGATCACAGCAGCATATGGGAGACAAAGGTTCGATTCCTTTACTGGGTAATTTTGATGACTATATCAATTTGTGTCACTTGCCAGTTCAGGCTGAGAGGCACTTTGATATGAATAAGAGTTCTAGACACACTGTTACAAGGGGAATTGGGGCCCAGAGTATCGAGCACATTTGACCTGCTCCAGCCTAGACTATCCAGGTATTTTGTGACTCTTTTGGACCTCTTCATATACTGCAACTGTGTTAGCTCTCACAACATGAAGAACTTGTATGACACTGATAGTGAGCTTACGAACGAGCAACCTTGAAAAAGTACGAAAGCCAGGTCCACTAAATTAAGTGATTAAACAAAAACAAGAAGAAAAAAAACTAACCGAGGCGATCACGACACTTGAGAGTCGAGATTGATTTCGAATGCACTGGTTTCCTAACCTCGGCAGGGCGCTGTTTTTGGCAAGGTCAGTGGGCATCGGGGGCTCTGAATGCGCCGAGCCGGCCAGTTCGGCTTGGCCTGGGCCCTGTAAAATTGGGCTGTGGGCACCACGGCTTGACTGTCGTCCCGTCAGCAGGGTCGCGCTGTGAGGTCATTGACCATTGGCAACGGAGACATCTGATGTGGTATTCCAAATATCGTCCCGTGAGGTCCGCTGGGTCTGAGAACACTTTGCCTCCGATCCCGTGTTTATGCCACAGCCTTCCACAGCCCAGAATCCCAAGCGAAAACGACAGAAGCAGAAGGTCATCTGGATCTGGGAATCATTCCATCGTCGAGCAGTGAAACAGGGATGCCGAGGTCGAAGGCTTTGCTCAAGCCTGCTTATCTATCTCATCAGATTGCTTCAGGTGGTGCTATATCAAGGCAGATCACCGGCTCATCTCATGTCGGTCGCTCCTGGTCGATAAACATCCAAGCAGTCAAGACCCACCAGCCTCAGACCCGCCGTCTTCATTCTACACCTCAGCCTGCCCTTCACAATCTGTCCAAGCAGCTCCCACGCGGCCAACAGCCAAACACACGAGTCGCGCCCGCCCGGCAAACTGCAACATCACCATTTAAATCACCTGCGAGGCAGTACGCTACGAATCGATCTCGACCCGGTCCTCTTGGAACTGCCTTCCTGCTCTTCCCAGCTGCCGCAATCGGCATCGGTGTTGTCACTGGTTACGTCTCGCTGAACCCATTCTCAACAACCACCAAGGACTCTTCATCTCAAGCCGCAGGCATGTCGTCAAAACTCATCCCGGCCAACCCGGCCGACGTAATGGTCATTCGCAACATCACTCCCAATGTTGTGACTTTCTCAGTGCCTTTCAAGAGGTTCGGAACGATTCCCGTTGGAGGCCGAGGCACAGTGGGTAAGTGATTGGAGAGGACGCGCGCACTTTAGGCTGAGACAGCATGTACAGCATGGTGACAGGCCGTGCGCGCACATGCGTGAGGCTTGCACGAGGGCTGATCACTTGCCACGTTGTGCACGCGGACGGATGAGGCTAACACAGCATCACAGTGAAGCTCACCTCGGGTGCGCTCGCCGTCTTCTCACCCGTCGCCATGACTGACGACGTGAAGGCGAAGCTGGCCGAGCTTGGCGGTACGGTCAAGTACATTATCGCTCCAGACATCGAGCACCACATCTTCATCACGGAATGGCACCAGGCCTACCCTGAGGCCAAGATTATCGGCCCTGAGGGCCTGCCTGAGAAGCGTGTGAAGCAGTCCGCCAACGACCCAAAGATCGGTAAGGAGGAGTTTGCCGTCGTTTTTACCGCCAAGGACAAGCTCAACATCAAGATCGACGAGGAGTTCGACCGTGACTTCCTGTATGAGTACGTCGACAGCCACGCCAACAAGGAGCTGGTGTTCCTGTACAAGCCTGAGAAGATCATGATCGAGGCCGATCTCATGTTCAACCTACCCGCTGATGAGCAGTACTCGAAGTGCCCTGAGAGCGAGAAGAAGGTCGGGTTCCCTGGCAAGCTGTTTGTGAATATGCAGTCGACCGAAGGCGAGGCCAAGGGCATGAAGAGGTTCTTGTGGTATGTCTTGAGCGCAAGGGACAGGACCGGTTTCAATGAGAGTGTCAAGAGGATCGATGCTTGGGACTTCGAAACGCTCATTCCTTGCCATGGAGAGACCCTGGTGGGCAACGGAAAGGAGACCTTCAGCCGGATCTTTGAATGGCACCTGAACGGCAAGAAGTAGGGGGCTTCTAGGTGTCGAGGAGTGTTGCTTTGGTTGTGCAAATTACGAAGAATGTTGATACCTGTGCTGCAATAGTAATATTTTCATCTTGCTTCAGTAAATGCGTGTGGTGAGTGATGCTGGAAGGGGGGGGGGGTGGTAGTAAAATACGTACCGTGCCAAGTATAATACGTGCACCCTTCCGAAGCTGCTGTGCACGCACCCCAAAACTTTGGAGCTATCAATTATTACAGACGCCGACGACGCAGACCGAAACGACGCCGAGCAGACATATACTGCGAGAAGGGACGCGCAGATGTGAAGCTTGGCCCTCGTGCATCTCTTTGAGTTGCAGGAAGCACACTTGGCGCCTTCATGTCCCTCAATGGCAGGCTGTCCAGCCTGCGCCCTCGGCTCGCCCATGCCACGAGCCTGTCGCTTCGCCCACAGCGGCGAAGCTTGAACGAGTTCATTACCCCTGGTGAGCACATCTCCAGCTCTATGGCTATTCCAATGACTAACTAAGATGTGCCGCCAGCTTCCGAGCCTCCCAATTCACCCCCACCAAGCTCCTTCCGCCTCGCTGTCAAAGACAACATCGCAACTAGGCCTCAAGATGGCCAACCCCTACCCACTACCTGTGCCTCGGGCATTCTCTCCTCACACGAGTCCCCATTCGAGGCTACCATCGTCCGACAGCTGAAGGATCGTGGCGCACACGTGGTCGGGAAGACGAACCTGGATGAATTCGGCATGGGCACACACAACATCAACTCTGCCTACGGCGCGGTGGCGCAGGAGGCTAAGGATGACGCCAAGGGCAGGTCCATCAAGCTGAGCGCGGGCGGAAGCTCCGGAGGCAGTGCCCTGGCAATCGCGCGCGGCGAGGCAGATGTCGCGCTGGGGACCGACACGGGCGGCTCTGTGCGCCTCCCGGCCGCGTACTGTGGAGTAGTTGGGTACAAACCTTCATATGGCATGATTTCCCGGTATGGCGTGGTGCCATATGCGAACAGCCTGGACACTGTTGGGTTTCTTGCACGCGATGTGCGGACGATACAGGAGCTGGTCGTTGGAGGTGGCTTGTTCAAGGAGCACGACCCTCAGGATCCGACAAGTCTGTCGTCCTCCGCTAGGGCACGGTGCACGGCAGCAAGAGGATTTTACGGCCCAGAGTCGCATAGATCGCAGGATGAGCAAGGCCGTAAGCAGCTGCTACGGTCGCTGACCTTCGGAATCCCGGTCGAGTACAACATCGCAGAACTCAAAGGACGCGTTCTCAAAGCGTGGCAATATGCGGCGACATTCTTGCGCGACGAGATAGGAGCGCGCGTCGTTCCAGTGTCCTTGCCGTCGACAAGGCACGCGCTCTCTGCATACTACGTCATCGCTCCCGCAGAAGCATCATCAAACCTGGCCAAGTACGACGGGGTGCGCTACGGAATGAATCAGCCGGAAGTCGAAGGCGGCCGGGACAGGAGCCCCGAGGACGTGCTGTACTCGGCCGTGCGCGGCAGCGGCTTCGGCGCCGAGGTCAAGCGGCGCATCCTCCTGGGCTCGTACACGCTGAGCTCCGAGGCCATAGACAACTACTTCATGCAGGCGCAGCGGGTGCGGCAGCTCGTGCGCCGCGACTTCGACGGTGCATTCAAGCTGCCCAACCCGCTGCGCGACGAAGACGAGGCTCAGCAATTCTCACTGGCGGACATGGACGAGCGCGTCACCCTCGAGAACAAGCTCGGCCCGGCGCAGGTCGACTTCCTGCTCTGCCCGACGGCGCCAACGCTGCCGCCGCGGCTGGACGAAGTGGAGCAGGGCCAGGAGAAGAGCCCCGTGGCTGCATACGTGAATGATGTCTTGACGGTGCCGGCGAGCTTGGCTGGGCTGCCAGCTGTGAGCATACCGAAGAGCACTGATTCTAATAGCCTTCCTACTGGTGAGCAGCGGAGTGGCAGTGTGATGGGCCTCCAGGTCATCGGTCAGTATTGGGACGATGCGAGGCTCCTTGCTGCGGCGGATGCGCTGAGGACCTTGTTGAAGTGACGCAGTCCAGGCCACGGATGTGGAGGAAGCGAGAGCAATGACCACATTTTACCGTTCCGGAGTTTCAAGGCCAGTGGCTCCAAAGAAATGTAGAGCAACTTCGCATCAGGCCATTGAGAACATGAGATGGCAGTTCTCCATCTGAGTGAACCGCATGTTTCTATTCTATCTTAACGGCGAGTTGTTTTGCCGGTGTGCAATATGTGTTGAAAAGCCTTGTACAACCAGGGAGATATGTACAGTCCGCTTCCACAAAGTCAAGTATATCTACTCACCTCCATCCTTATTATGTACATACTCTCAGGCCACCACGCCTCATTCTCTATCTCGTCTCCTCCATCAATCTTGCCTCCCTCCCGCATATACGCAACCACCCTGCCCAGCTCCCAGGCACCGATGCCTCCAATCCACCACACACCGTCCAGCAACAGCATAAGTACAAGCCAGTGGGCGAAGATGTCCATGGCAAGCCGGTGTGCAGGGCTATCGCTATCGCCACAGTCAGGGGTGGTCTCCTGCACTCTGTTTGCATCATGGCCGGCTGTCCTCAAGGGGATATGCTCAAGGGTCGCCTGCACCATGTGCAGATACGCTGTAGGCACGCGGTTGAGGAAAGCGTTGACGGTGCGCCGCAGCGGCTGCGAGTCTGTACTGTTCATAGTGACTCGCGCTGTATAGTTTCTCAGCCAGGGGGCCACATTGGACAACCGGCCTAGCGAGCGAAGGTAGCCTGGCTCCTTTTGATCTTCCATAAGCGACCCTGGTGTGCCGGGAGAAAAGCTGGTGTGTCCCCTGCCCCCGAATGTTTCGCTTATTATTGTTTCGAGCACCCTCAGAGCCTCCATGCACACTTGAAGGCCCGCGGCCCCGACATTAGCTCTCCTTTCGACCTGGCGGGCTCTTGCGCGCAGCTTTTCCATGGCAGACTTCGACGTGGCAGCAGCTACAGGGAGGAACAAACGCCTCGTCTCGTCGGAGGGCCCGTCCTGAGGGCACGCAATGTCCACGTCGCCGAAATCACGATGCGGTGGACTATCCCTGACATAGTCCTTCACTTCCGTCATCCCCGGATTCTGAGCCTGGTCGGCAAGGAGTCCAACATACGCAGAATGCACCGCGCGAATCAGGGACATCCACTGTGACTGCACCGGCACGAACTCACCGGGAGGGCGCACGCCGCGCGCCTCGCACATCCCAGCCAGCCGTATGCGGACCCAGTGACTCGCGGACCCATACAAAACCATCAGCGCCGCGTTCGCGAGAACGTGGTCGTACCGCTGTGTGGACGGAATGTCCTCCTGGATCTGCCGCAGCGACGTGCCGTGGTGCTGCTCGGCGAGCACCAGCAGCTCCTGGATGCGCGCCATGTCCGGCCCGTCCGTGGACTGCGCCAGCAGGTCGTGGCACTGGCACGCGGCGGCCAGCGCGAGCATCGAGCTCATCAGCGGCTTGCTGCTGAAGGCGAGGTTGGGGATCCCGACGTGCAGCGCGTAGAGGTCGTCACGGTCGTAGGCGATGGTCCGGCTTGTGTGCGAAAGGTAGTGGCTCAGCAGCTCGAGATCTCGGGCGTCCAACAGACTTGTGGAGAGGCTCGAGGGTATGCCGACTTGGGTTTCGTCGCCATGTAATTCAGGACTAAGGGCGGAGAGATTTCCCGTGGGCGGACTGGATGCTGAAGAATGCTCCCCAGAGTGTGTGCCCGAAATGCGTGGACTCACGCTCGGGAGACCGAGATAACGACCATCATCCGAAACCGTATCATTCGTCTGAATCATTAATTTAGAACTGGACATTGACTGAGATTGGCCTTCTTCATTTGGGTATCGGCAGTCTTCATCTAGGTCGTCGCACCTCGAGCACCGAGGGAGCCGCTCATCACACTGCTCACAATTGTCAGAATACTGAAAGCTGATAGTCCAAGATTTGATGACCTGCCTTTCTTCTGAGTCGTTTGCATCTTGTGCACCCATTTCTTGACTTCGTGTGAGGCCGACGGCCTCGGGGCTTCAAGCTGGAAGGCATACTCTGTGATACATACTTTGTATCAGCAGGGGACACTGAGTTGAGATCTTCCTCAAAATATACACTCCAGAACTCTGACTCTCCCGACAATAATCCAAATACTTCGAGGCGCAGCGCCCAGCGGCTGATGAATGTAGCCCTGTCTAGTGCCAATACTACGGGTTTGATCTCACGTCAGCATCCCATTGATTTAGCACAGTGTTCGGCTTCCTCTTAGGACCTTGGCAAATACTAGAAATGGTTACATCGAATGAGAAGACGAGTGGATCAAAAGTGAATCAATGCTATTTCGAAAATGAGAGTGGGGCCACAGCAGAATAATCCAGGTGGGCTAAAAGCTTTCGGCGAGTTGCCGTGGTGTACGAAAAAAGAAATCTATGGGTAGGTGTAGAGCTGAAATGACAATGTCGGTCAGACGAAGGGCGTGGAGTTGCCAAGACCATGAGCCGGTGTTAAGACTCATACCGGCCTCAAAGGCCGTGTGATTCCAAATAAGAGAACATGACCTCGTAGCCGGCCGTGGCGTTCGTGGAGAGCGTCAGCCCATGTCCAGTGCCGGGTTGAAGATATACTGAGATGTTGGATGCAGCGGGATACAGGGCACTGATGTTCCTCAAGTTGTAGACGTTGTTGCAGTCACCATCGCAGACGGGGTAATCATATTCACCGACGAAAATCTGCAGAGCACCACCTGTCAGCAATTCCTCCAGAGCACAGCACAATACTCCATTGTCTGGTCAGATGGACGTCCTGCAGGAACAAGAACTTTCACTCACCTGTAGCGGCCCCTTGTAGTCTGTGGCCGGCCTGCCGAACGCCTGGCTGCCCGAGACGAGTTCCGCGACAGCATTTGGTTGCTTGATCTGCTCGGCATACTGTAGCAGCTCGGGCTCGAATGTGCCCTTCTTCAAGAATATCTGCTGGATGTTGCTTTCCGTGGCCGACACAATGTATCCCGATGGACGATCTGCAAAGCGGTCGGGATCACTTTCGGCCGCAAATTCGTAGCCAAAGGCCTCGGCTCCAACTTCGTTGAGCAGGTGCTCGTTGATCAAGAAGCCGGTCAGTATGGCGCCGTCACTGAGGTTGCCGTAGCGAGACAGTAGACCTGAAGTCATGAATGAGCCGTACGAGTGGCCGATATGAGCGATCTTGCTGGGCTTGTAGGCTTCGAATGCTGAGACATCATCGCACGACGCGCCGACCACCTTTGAAGAATGGACCAGATCTCCATTGCGCGCTAGTTCAGTCAGGTCCCGGACAATTTCGATTTCCACACCAGCCTGCACCACTTCGTAGGCATCGGCCTTGGTAGAATTTCCTGTGCCGAGACGGTCGTATGTGAGAATCGAGTATCCATATCGAAGCGCCGAGTCGACGTAGGAATATTGTTCTGGATTGAGCTCAACGTCCCAGTATCTGCTCATGCGATCAGCATCAATTCATTTTGTCCAGTATCCCAGCGGTGCTGAGCAGGGCAGTCAAGCTTGGGAGCCTGACCGTCCTTATGGAAAGCACCCTCACCTTTTATCGAACCCGATCCCATGTGTTGCGATTTGCAGAATATCAGACTTGCTCCCATGCGGCGGGACGCACAACTGAGCACTGATGGTAAACGTGTCATCGATGGGAATAACGCCTGTAACGCGCCCGGTCGCATTATGTGACCAGGTGGTCAGGTCCCAAATGCAGTCCACAGCATCTGTATTGCTGTCGACTCGGGGAAGATCAAAGGCGCTGTTGTTGGCGTTGATTCGCAGCGGCACTTCCAGCTGAATGCATTGTTTCGAGAAGGTCTCATTCGGTGCCGGTGCAGCCGAGGTTCGTGCGCACATTACCAGTGCCACGGAGACAGAGAATCGTACGAAGTTCATTTTACGTTTTCGATTAGAGGAGCGTGTTAAACAGAAATTATGTAATATCAAGGATTGTCGTTTGCCTTTTTTGTTGACTGTGTTGGTTGGCATTTTGGCGTTTTGAACTCCGGGCGTGAGGGGCTCGTCTTTTATATACAAACACAATGTGGTCTGTCTCTTAACCATGGCGTATATCTACCGGAAAATGAGCTGTCAGATGCTAATTATTGTTGGTCGAATCAACTCAACTGCTTTTACGCTCAGGTCTATTTTCTCAACATTGAGCGAGGGAGGGGGGACATTGCGTATCGCTGGACCGATCACACAATATCAAGGTATACGGCTGTGAGGGCTCTATCTGTTTTCCGCATGTCAGAAGGGCGAACGTTGCATCAATACCGACTTATCAACGTACAGGCGCATAGGCGTATAAGCGTATAGTCAGGCTGCGCTCACCATTTTAGGTAAGCTGATATTGCAGTCGAGCGCCCAGGTGCTAATTGATGATCACGAATTGGGGAAAAGGTCGCCAACAACCACGAAAACCTGGCGTTGCATCCGGTCAAAGATCGGATGGATTGCGATTTTAAATGCTCAATTTGCAAAGAATACTATTCTCTCGTGTTGCTTCCATACTAGTCTCCAATATGGTGTCATGTGAAGTGATTCAGAAGATCTTTCTCTCCACCCCAGGCTCCAACCAACAAACACTCCTCTCCACTCCTTCTTTCTCAAAGACCTCCTTTAGCTCACCTCCAAACTGTGTGAAATGCCCCCACGATTCAAAATGCATCGGCACCAGCACCTCCGCGCCCACTTCTCTGAGCAATCTCGCCGCCTGCGTTCCATCCATCGTGATCTGCAGCTCACCCTCCGGCAGCGGTACCTTCGCCCGGCCGAGGTTCAGCAGTGCGACCACGACGTTCCACTTCTCCTGCAGCCCGCGAGAAACCTCTTCAACGTACACCGTGTCTCCAGAGAAGTAAACAACGTTCGGCTTTCCATTAGCCCCCACGCCAAACTCATCGCACTCAAGCACAAACCCGGTGCACTCTCCGTCGGGCAGGTGGACGCACGGCGTACCGGTGACGCGGAAGGTACGGCCGCCGGCACGAAGGTTCACGGCCTGCCAAGGGGCCAGACCGACAACTCCAGGGCGTGGCGCGAGCTTTGCGGCACCATCAAGTGTGGTCAGGACTCGTCGTCCGTCGAGGAGCTGGCGGCCGAGGTCGTCTAGGTTGTCCCAGTGGTCTTCATGAGAGAGGAGGACCGCATCGATGGGTGGGAGACGGTCGAGTGTGAGGGCGGGAGAGGTGCTGTTTTTGAGAACTACCACGCCAACATCATGTTCGGTGCCGGCAGGTGAGAACTATGAGAGTTAGTGTCTCCTTTCATGTATTGAATAGGGAGACAAGATGTGTCACTTACGAAAGGGTCAGTTAAAAATTTAATGCCGTCGATCGAGAGGACGGCAGTGGCGGTGCCGATATGCGTGATGCTGATGGCGCTGTTGAAAGTGGAGGGAGGCATGATGGCACACTTCGGACTGATTATCTGTTTGGGTGAAAGGTTGTGTGATGATGGAATGTGCTCTTGCTTTGGACCATGAGCGACAGGAAGGAATATATAGACTTTCTGAAGCGGTGCAGAGGGTGCTTCAGAAACGTGGGAGAAAGGGTTTTCCCGGATGAGGATGGCCGTAAGATCGATTGTTAATTTAGCTTCACGAGCAAATAGTTCCAAGAAGAATTTCCATGGTTGTTCAGATCATTCGGACAGTCGGGCGACTGAATGCATGCTGCGGATGCGGCTCTTCCACAAGAAGTCTTGGCGGACTTACAAACCAGATCAGGTTAGACCAGGCAGGACAGTCCTGGGAGCATCCCTCGTCTGGGACCACGTAGTGTATTGTGCAACACCCAGAGGTCTCGAATCGCAGCACGTACATATTGTCATATTTGAGAAGCTTACACAGAGGAACACATAAGCTTACATAGCATTATCAATCAAGTTCTATCCCGGGTGACGCTTTCGCCACAATTGGACTTTATGTGTGGGTGGCACCTTCATCGATTTCCGCGACTATGCTCAGGCAGTAATATTTGCATTCTAGCTATCTAATCTGTCAGTCTATCTCAAAGGAAGCCACTAATCCCTAATATTTCGCTGGGAGGCGTAGGATTACTGAAAGACCCTTTTGGCGGATGCGGCCGATGAGTTCTTGACATCGATTTATGTTCTCTTGATTTCTTTCCCAATGTTTGCTGAACACGTCGTATGCGATCCGAAGTGGAAAGATTGCCGAAGCTGGCCCAAACATCTTCATCTCATCTCGAAGGAAATACTCGACGCTTTGGCAGATCTTGCACGCGAGCTCGTATACTTGTTTGTAGTTGTAGTAATTGTTTTCTGGCATCTGGCCCGCTTCTGGCCCAAAGGTAGACCCATGATCGGCTAGGAACAGCTCAACCTTCTCCATCTCCGTGAGACAAATGATCTCGAATGCCCAGGTGTGAGTATGAACGTTTCCCGTCATTATGTCAGGAAACGAAGAACTCGTTGCATGCATCTCGTATTGGGCTTCCCACTTGCGTAGATTTTTCTGCAGGTCCAGCAATTCGACTTTTATACGATTGGCTTCCAAAATATTCATCTCAGTCGGAAGGGTGCTCAGGAGATCAGTGGCTTCTAGAAGAGATGGGAGAGTGGTAGTGTCGCTTATGAGGAGTTGTATATCTGACGGCGGATAGTATTGGAAGGGTTCAGTTTTCCACTCATGCTGGGCGAGGAAAGTGGACTTTCGCGTGTCTAAAGCATGAAAGAGCTGCTCAATCTGTTAGTAAAACGTGATGAAGGACTTGGAAATATTGAGGCTCACAAGGATAGGCCTGCAGCCCACGAATATGGCATGAAAGACGTCAGAACTGAACAATTCCGGAGGATAAAATTGGAAGAGTGCACTGAGCCCCGTATAGTGCGTGTAGAAACCGTCTTCCGAAGTTGGAGACATCAACTGGCAGACAGTCATTAGTACTAAACTTCTGATTCAAGAAACGGCTTTAATACTTACCTCCACCATAGCCAAACACGCAATGGAAGCTGCAGTTTCGACTCTGAAAAACACACCGGGGGTTATCAGGTCATGGTGCAAACGTTTTAACGTCGAGGTGTAGGCTTCGAGGCTTCGAAAGTCTAAACGTGTGCCTTCTGGTCCTCGGTCAAGGATAGCAGTCCCCAAAGCCTTGACTGCTGTAGAGATGAGAGCACCAGACCGCACCCCAGCTGCAAGTCTGGGAAGCACACCCACCCAGGCACCACACACTTGAATCGTGCTCGAGTCGAGAGAAGACGGTACATAGTTGCTGGTGGGAGTGAAGCAGTTGAGGATGACTGCTGTGAAATCTCCAAAGGTTGGCAGTTCAACAGGGCTGAGGGAAGGACATCGCCAAGTACTTCGGGCACGCGCCTTGGCAAGGCCAGTGTTCACGGTCTTCGATTGAAGTTCGACATTCGTCTGCGCTTTGTTGACAAGTGCAGAGGACGGAGTCTTTCTGGATCTGCGCTTCCGTGAAGTCGGTTGGTAAGAAACGAAAACCGCATCTACCTGATAGCCTTCGCACGATCGTCCGAGGAACAGACACTGAGAGCAGGCCGGGCGCTTTCCGTCGCACTGCAGAAGTCGTCAGAGATAGTCTAGATGGTTGAGTACCTAGGTAAAGGGACAGAGCACCTACGCCTAGCTTGTGGGCTCGGCAAGTGCGGCAAACCGTGGTCTGCTTTGTTCTCATGCTCGTGTATAAAGTATATAGCTTCGACTGCTGCTATGATTGTTTCTTGGCATCAACTGCTGTCCAAGTCATGATCGTAATCTCGGTTCGACTGGGAGGTGAGCGTGCTGAGTGATGAGAAACAGAAACAAAGCCCGCCAAGACTTGCAGGTCTTGGCGGGTTATGATTCCTAATTCAGTAATCGGCGATGACAAATCGGCCCGCGGGACAGGGTTCATGCGAGGAACTGCTGCGGAATAAGAACTTGAATACTGTAGACTACATAGTCTAGTCTAGCACGTTTGACCAATCGTGTCATTGCCTGGCCATGCTCAGGCATCCGGTATCAGCCCTAATGTACATTTTTATTTGGACATAATGCCCTAGAAACCTGCATGGATACGTGTTATGCTTTGAACCCGTTGAATGCCTCGTCTCAAATATAAGTGCTGGCCTGGGCGGAAGTCATAGTAAGCTACATTCTGGAGACTGCCGTCGAATCGGTTAGATGCAAGCAATTTTTTAACGACTAATTCACGCGTTTTGCTGACATATGGCTATCTACTTGATGCGAGAAATGATGCCATTTCCTCTAGAGAAGAAAAGTTAGCAGCAGTGTAATGTTCTCGTCCATCATCAGCCTGCGTTTGGCTAAGAGAGCCCACCTTGTAAGCATTGCCTTCCTCTACGCCCACAATAATTACGTGATGTGATGGCTTCGTCTCTGCCCTGCTGAACACCACAGTCCCACGGTGTCCCAACAAATTCGTTTTCTGCATACGGATGCTACAGTATCCAATAGCGGCACCGTCAACACGCATCAGTCATCGAGGACACTGCTGCCGAAAATTTGCAGAGCACGAGACTGAGCCTGAGCGCAGTCTGTGCTCATAGCATTCGCAGACACCGGCTTTATGGGTATGGACCCGTCACGATCTCTACAATTGCATAGGATATGTTCAGGGCAGATATCAGGCCTTTCAACAGTATCAGAAAAATCAGAAAAATCAGAAAAATATTGTTTGGTATTCGATTGTATTGATTGGCAAATTAACAACGCTTGTTTGTACAATTTTAATGAAACATTATGTAATAGTCTCGATGTTCTACTGTGCTTGTGCTTCAGAACTGCCCGGAGGTCCTTCTTCTGGTTGAAGGGAAGTTTGGGTCGAATTGTTGATTCTTGCTCCTGACCATGGCTCTCAGAAACTGTTCGTCCTTGGTCGTTCCGGCCCCGGTGCGTACAACTCATAATGCGGATTCATTCTGTTATTTCCGCTCAACTCATAATCCAAAAATTGCTCTTGAAGTTCTGGTGGCTTCGGTTGGCCCGTCATTTCTGCTCGCGGCGAGCTCTGCCGAGGAACTTGCCCATATAATTGCCCGTGCTGAGTTGTTGTGTACACACTAGAATGTTCCGGCCATCCCATAGACATTGCATCCCTGTTAGAGTCATCATAAGGTGTGTGGTTCTGTGGTACTTGCTGACTTCTGCGGCGCCTGCCGAAGAAGAACCAGCCCACAGCTACGCCGAGTGCCACTGCGCATGGTACACCAACACCCAGGCCGATCGTTGCTCCTTGGCTCAGGCCATTAGAGTTCGCAGTCGGTGGTGCGGTCGTCGAAGTCGTGCTGGTCGCGGTGGTCACGGGGGACTCGGTCGAACTTGGTACCTCGAATATGGATGAACTGGTTGTGGAGGATGATGTCGAACTACTTGTGGTCGTGGCCGATTTGACACTCTTTGAGGAAATGTTGAAATAATGTGAGGTTCCTTCAACCACTGTTCCGCCTTCGATGTATATGCTCAGCAAAAAGACATTAGACACCGTCAAGTCCTTGGCCGTGCCCACAAGCCATTGAAAATTGGTGACATTGACTACACTTCCTAGAGCCAAACATGGGTCAGATATTACACAAATTAGACCTGAAGATATGTATGAAAAACACACTGGTGATGTACTCAAAATCTCCGATCACATATCCATCGGTAAGATTGGCCTGGTAACAAGTGACAGATGTGGCGATGTTCGTCGGTGCTTGCCAGACAATGTTGACGCTCGAGCCCTCAACATAGACGGGATTATCGCTGAAATCATTCCATTTGGCCATGTTTGGCGGGTTTGTAAATCCCCATCCCGTCATGTTGCAAGATAAAGAAACAAAAATGCACTAAGATCGCGAAGCTTGGGGAGAGTGCCTGTCACAGTATAATGACGATGAAGTCGCAGGGAAGAGGGCACAATCAAGGTGGTGAAAAATGGACCTGGAGGAGGAGATGCTAGGCGGAGGCTGCCGTGGCGATCTCCATTCTTTACGAGCACCGCGGAAGGATTCTGGGTACAAAATGTTGGTACCAGTCCTTGTCACTGATCAGTCCAGCAAAGCAAGACACCCTGCGATGCTAGCCAAATGTAGTATTGTTAAATGCACTACAGCAAGTAACATTTTCCTTTATGAGCACTATGTGACAAACACTAAACACATTGATTAATTATTCCAGAAATACGTTCTTATTCATATTCGAAGAATGTATCACAGTTTCAAACATTTCCACTTATAAAAGTCATATAACCTCTCTTTGTTGAGTACAAATCAGTGGAAAAAGGCCAGCTTTGATTCTTGACAGCTATCGCTCCTGTAACACTGTCTAACTAATACTGGTAGTACACAATCTATGTTTGGGCTGAAATGTCGTGCTGGCCTGGTGAACACTTGCGGGGCTTAGGATAGTTTTTGTCTGTTGGTTTACATCAAATGACTCGGGGACGTCCCGTTGTGGGCTCCATGGTTGACTGAACCACTCGCTGTCTTTCGTTTAAGCGCATGGTCTTCCTCCTCATTTCAAGTTGGTGCCCTCTCTTCAAGCCATCCAATAAGCGGGGAGAATACTGTTACATTTTCGTGGGTTCTAAGTGTTGGATCCGCTGGTGATCAGCCTTCTCACTTTTTCTCTCTCCTTGCTCCTGCTGAGCCGCGGTTCAGCAATCATTTGAAGCCAGGCAGCTGGATGGGGTCATTCAAACTTAGGAGCACATCAGTTCAAGATAACTAGATATCTAAGCGTTGTTTGCCTGGTAACGCCAAGATTCTTCCAAACTTTCAGGGACGAGTCGCCCCCCTGCGCCCCCACCACTACAGTGCTTACCAATGTGGAATATCCAGACTGGGTCAGACGTTTGCTGCCGAAGATGATGCCCCGCAAAAATATTATAACAACTAGTGGATGGCAGACTCCATTTTGCTTTAAGTGTGCTTTCACCTTCCAACATACTTCCGTCTCATGCACGCGACTCTAATTTTCTGCTGTCGATACTTTTGTTCATTTTTCCTTTTTCGCCGGCGGACGTGGAACTTCGGCAATCTTTCCACAAAGGCCAGCTCTGGTCGTCCATTGCTGTATCCGCCCAGCCTTGTCAGACTACTAACTCAGTGAAGCCTTTGTGGCTCTGCCTGCTTCACAACGACGGCACCCGTCTCTCTGAATGGAGAAGTACCACAACATCAGTGGCATGACGTCTTGGAGGCGGAATTATCGCATTCCGTCCGTGAGGAACATCGCAATCATCTGTGCTGTCTTCGTACTGCTCTATCACTTTCGCGCATGGAACCTGAGTTACCAAGAAAGTCCGACACCGCTGGTATCCGTAGAGCCTCCCGAGGCAGCGCCAGAGACACCGTACCCGCATGAGCCGGAACAGCCGGAACAGCCAGCACAGCAACAACAGCAGCCGACGACGACGCCAGTCCTAGAGCCCACGGGTATTCCTAAGAAGATCTGGTACAAGCTGGGACCCAAGGGACTCAGCGACGACGCCCGTGGATGGACGGACACATGTATCTCACAGAATCCGGAATATCACGCAGAATTCTTGACAGACCAGTCCGCAGATGAGTTTGTCCAGGACAGGTATACAAGCCGTCCTGATATCGTGAACACGTACATGGCCCTCACCATACCAATTCTGAAAGTTGATCTGTTCCGTTACCTGCTTCTTTATGCAGAGGGCGGTCTCTGGTTCGATCTCGATGCGACGTGCGAGGGTATACCGATTGACAAATGGGTCCCGGAAGGGATCGACCCCGACCTAGTTGTCGGCTGGGAATTTGACGGCGGTTACCATTTTGAATTCGACAGGCAATTTACAACCTGGACTGTTATGGCAAAGAAGGGTGTACATCATCTACTTTCTGTAGTAGATGATGTTGTCTATGCCATTACTGATCTGGCAAAGGCGAATAATGTCACCATTCCGCAGCTGAATATGGAAATGGTGGGTGATGTTGTGGATTTTACTGGGCCGAAGAGATTTGCAAGAAGCGTTATGAAGAGCGTGGAGTTAGCGGCGAATTCTACTGGTGGTTGGGAAGGATGGGAGCCGTATCACGAAATCTTGGAACCAAAGCTCGCTGAAAATGTCCTGATCCTCCCAGGATATGCGCTAGCGGCATCATATAATACGTACGAAGAGCAGGACAAAGTCGGCCCTTCCTTGGTGGTTCACCACTATGCCGGGACTTGGAAGAACGAGTATGGCGGAGAGAGGGTGGAGGAAAAGGCCCAATCTTCATGAATAAATAGCTATAAGAATACACTACAGAATTTCAAACAATTCAAGGTACCTCAATGTTGTTTCTCCGTGCTGACTTTCCATCCAGAGCACAGCTGTGACAAATACTGCTAACTGGCAAGTTGCAATTGTCTTGCATATATGCTTACTGGCTCCTCTTTATCCTGGTAGGCCTGGGTTAGCTGATGACCCACGGCGGGTGATGATCTCTGATCGAATTTGGTAGCGAGAGGTGTGTTATTCAGGTGTGTTTTTGGCAGCTGAAGGAGAATAGTCGAATGACAATTTATGCGTTGCAACAAGTCAAGGGATAGAAATCTAAGTACTACACCTTTTTGATGAGAGATATCTGAGCCCATAGACAAACAAAATTTGTCCAGTCGCTCGGCCCAAACACGATCGATATCTCTATAATCTGGCCTTCAAAGGCTTCCTCGAAATCCAGAAATTGTTGAAGAGATAGAAGACTGAGCTCAAGCATGCAATTGCTGCATGAGTAGCGAACCCCATTATATACCGCGGGCTGTCGCTGTCCGGCCATAAGTAGCTCGTGGCAATCTGAGCCGCATTCGCATATCCGACCATAATGGCCAGAGCGACCGACCTGACTTCGGGCTGTACGGTCGCAAATGCCGTGGTGGCAAATGCCAGCACCAGCGGTACAGAGCTATAAAGGCCAATATTGAGGAGGCACATGAGAACGTACCGCGCGGCAAATAGCCTTACGCCAGCCGTCAGGGCCGCGAACAAGGCTGCCCAAGCCATGACTCCTGCAATGAAGTACGCCCTGTACTGCGGCCAGCGGTCGCCCACGAAGGACATGGTGATAGCAACGGGCAGCACAACGACATACAGCGGCGCGGTCATGTACTGGGCCGTGACCGAGTCGTAGCCTAAAGCCTTAACCAAAGTAGGATAGAAGTTGTTGAGGGTAAAGCTCCCATCCACGGTCATGAAGCTGATGTAGAAAAGCCAAAAAGCAGGCGTCGTGAGGGCACTCCACAGGCTGCGTGCCAGGCTGAGACCGCTTCGGCTCCTCTCCGAATCGCCAACGTCGAAGCCGTCCGCCTGGAGGCGCTCGATGGCCAGCCTCTTCTCCGCGGGCGTAAACTTGTGGCACGTGGCCGGGTAGTCGATGAGGACAAACGGGGTTCCCAGAGCGACGGCGACGGTGACGACGCCCTCGACGATAAAGAGCCAGCGCCAGCCGGGGATGCCATGCGCGCCGTCGAGGCCCCCGCTGATAGCGCCGGCCAGGATGCCGGCGAAGGCACCTGACATGATGGACGCGGACCAGAAGACCATGAAGCGCCTAGCGGTCTCACGCCGCGTATACCACATGCTGAACAGGTACAGCACGGCGGGCGAGAAGCCGGCCTCGAAGATGCCGAGCAGGAAGCGCAGCGCGTACAGGTGGCGAGCGTCGCGTACGGCCGCCATACATGCCACTACAATGCCCCATAACAGCATGATGGCACTGATGTAGCGCGACGGTGGCAGCCGCGGCAGCACCGTGTTGGACAGCGGCGAGAAGACGATGTAGCTGATCTGAAACATATTGAGCGCCAGGCTGAAGTCGGTGTCGCTGAGTCCCAGCTCATCGTTCATGCCTGCCACTCTGGCATTGCCAAGGTTAGCTCGGTCCATATACTGTCGTGTTCAGGTGCTACTGTCAGCCGAATGTTTTCAAAGTTGTTGGGAGCATTGCCAGCACGTGTGTATGTTCGTACCGCGATGAGATACAGGAGCCAAATAGCCGGGAGCAGATGCCAGTCGATCTTTCTGAGAAGCTGCTTCTCTTCGGATGTGCCCTTTGTGTAGGACGACGGCTCCGTGTGTTGCACCGTTGAAACGGCATCCTTCTCTGGGATATGGGCGGCTGTGCCATCAGTTCCGCCGGCACGCTCTAAGCTGATCATTTCAAGGTGCTGCGGTGTTTCAGAAGGCAATGTGACAATTCTGAGATGATAGGATCAGTATCGAACCACTCGTCGCGGTCACTTGCCCCTCAGGTGAGATTTGGATGCAGCTTGAAAAATGTAACTGAGTGAAAGAATTAATGAGTCAAACAGGTCCAGGAGAGAGCTGGGTATCGGCGCGGAGGGTCAAGCAAGGTGCTCAGATTTTAAACTTTAACTAGCCAAAGTCTCAAGGCATTCGCACACTTGGCACAATTCACTTGATTGAGTACCGAAGTCAACACCCGGTCTCATCTCTGAGTTGGTCGGTGCCTCGCTTATTTGGAGGTATACATTGTGACTCCACTACTGGCGAGAGTCTTGAGAATCTCGTTTTCCTCTTCATAGCATAAGTCCACCTGTAAGACTGGTCAGGTCTTCTTGGCATCGCTCATGTCTTGCCAAGAGATCACTATATATAATATGGTTTTCGATCCTGGCATCATCAGTCAAAGCCCGGCAGTGGAGATTTAACATACTTGACGGGCGATTGGCAAGTGTAGAGGAGGATGCTAACTTGCTCCCCATATTCGTAGTCACACATGAGTCCACAAATTTCATACCATTTATGAACCCCCTATGTTTCTCAAAGCGGTCATGCAATAGTCAGAAGATAAAATATCCAAGCATAGGTAGCCCAGTGCTATTTTCTCATAATTGTAGGTCAAAGTTGCTGCAATGCTCTCGGTACGGTCACAATCGTGGCAGAGAGACCAACCCGCTATGGCCATCTTCACAATGTCAGCTGTTCAGCCGACGTATGTGTAGATCAGCTTCTAGAATAAGTATAAGCCTTTTTAATTACTATTTGCTATTCCGCGAACTAGGCACCAAAGCATCTGATAGCAAAGGCAACACCATATTTCTTGGGGTTACGATTTGCGGGCCATCGGGTCGCTGTATAACTTTGGCAAATAGAAGGAGGATTTGGAAGTTCTTGTGAGGCTTTTGAAGTCCAAAGGGGATGCAGATTCTCTCAGCTTAAAGCTTAAATCCGTTTCAGAAAGTCATTCTACAGCCTCAAGAGGTTTGTAAGCAAATTGGTTCCAATAGAAACAACTTAGCTGTCATTCAGCCATCCAGACCTTAATCACGGTTTACTTTAATGTCTCACCTGCAAAGAACTTATTCAAGATTGTTTCTTAGGATTAACGAAGCGCAGATTTGTACATATCATGCACTCTATGTACAGGTCTTGCTTTTGAAGGCTACGTGTTAGAATATTATCAATGAGAAATCTCATCACGCGTACTCCATAGTTAGTCGTATATCGTGTAGCTTCTTTGGTTTCAGAGCTTGTACAAATTTGAAAGGGGAAAAACAATCTTTTCATTACATCCACCAGATCGACACACTGAAACCAACTAAATGCCTGTATTCAATGAGATGTGCGTATTATGTCTAATGAGTGTTTAAAGCATGATTCAAATCTATAAATACCTTGATCGTCCTCCGTTTAGTAAAATCAATAAGGATTGTAGCGTTCAGCAAGCCAAGAAAGGAAAAAGCCCACTATCCCTGATGGTCGAGACACCCGTTGGGTCATCTGTTAAGTGAAATGCAACCAGTAAGGCACAAAGTTCCTGAGGTACTAGACCCGTTCAGGTTCACTTGATGTATTGGAGTTTCCAAAAAACAGCGGATGTTCCGAAACCATTCTCACATCCCATTTCTCCCGAGGCACCGACTTGACCGTTGTTCTAAGCGTATGTTAGTATGAATATTCAGACCAGAGAGGTTCCGACCAAAAGACAACATACCGCAAGTCGTTTGATGGATTCAGTAATAGCAGCACTGATGTCAGATGAGCCGATTTTGGCTCCAAGCACGTTCTTCGAACCAGCTCCGAAAACGCATGATCCAGCCCTGAGAAGGCCGTGGTAGTCTCCGGTATTGCCCCAGACAGAGTAAGATGTGGATTGACGAGACACCCAATCGCCCAGGGTAGCACAATCACTCTCGACCGGCCAAGGGGCTTCAGTGCCGCTATAGCTGCCGTCATTGCAGTAATCGGTCTTATCGTCGCGCTTAGCAGGCGAGACTTCCTCAGCGTTCTCGTTGGAAGAGTTGAAGGCAGCGGGGTTGTACTCGATAGTCTTGCCCTGAAAGTCAATAGAGACCCAATCGCGGGTATCAAGTTGATGAATAAGGGCGGTGTCCATAGTGTTGGGTATCGCCGCGGCCAGAGAGGTCGTACTGAAAATGGCCATGAGGGCAACAGAGGTGATCTTGGTGCATAGCATCGTGAAATCCGAAAAGTTAGTGTATATTAGATCAAAGAGGAAAAGAAAAGTGGGAATGAAGTGTAAATGTTAAGATGAGCTATAGATGATGAATGAAGTGAAGATCGTTCGGAAGAATCGAGGGTAATTCGAGCCCTTTTATAGACAGCACAAGCGCTGTTACCATACTCAGTCCTGGCACTTGACATGGTACCCATTCCTGAAGTCGTGCATGCGGTTGATTTCACGGCCTCTAGATCATGTCCTGCCTTGAAGCTTACCCCAGCTTGAACACAGACACACTATGAAGATGCTATTGAAATCGTAGAACTCAATCGTCGATTCGCTGGTTCGGTTCCTGCCACGCTGATAGGAATCCGAATAGCTCATTTTCTTAGTGACTCTCCACAGAGCAAGCAGTCGCTCTGTTCAGTGGAAGTCCATAGGTGCACCTTCCGGATAGGGACATCAACCCCATGCGCCTCCAATCAGCCTCACCCAAGGATTACAAAAATATAAGCTACGCCACACATTTGGCCAGGCGCATCGCAATCTGAGGTCAGATTATACGACATTCCCACACCCCATGAAAAGGCCGAGTTCATCCGATTCTCGAAGTTCTCTTCATACTTGGTCTTTCGCTTGACTATCTGGCGCCAACTCGGCAGGCTGCCCACGAGTACAATTTAATGCCTGCATGGTCGCATGCTGAATGGCGAGGTCAGATGCCCTTCAACCTGCGCCTCGATTGATCGACTGTACATGCAGGGCAGTCCTAGAATTCCTTTACCGTGTGGACTTCTACATCAAAACCTAAGCTCAAATCTTCAGAGGTACAGTTTTCATCGTCATTTACGATGGTCGCATTGTTGGCCTCGGCGACTGAGCAGTGCTTGGCAAGAACAAGGCGCGCAATAATGGAGCGGCTTATGTACGGTGGGAATAGCTTTGGATCAAGTCGATTACACACGGCTCTGCTTTCAACCTCCGCTCACGGTTTCTACGTGTCTTCAAATTAACCTCAACCGGCCCATTGCTACCGGATCCTTGTGGCAGCGAAGTATTTCAAAAGCCTTCGCATTGCTCTTGCGCCTCAGCACCAGGACTGGGTGATGCATGTTTGGCAGCTTGCGGCGAAGGGATGACCTCAATGACGATTTCTAACGGTGGCATGGGACTCCTAAATAAACTTTGTCTTGTGTCCCCATGGATCGTTTCTACACTACTGTTCGCGGTCCTTGTCCGCTGGTGCGCTAGAAAGTTGATAGCGTAAAGGCCGCCTCCTTCTGCGCCTGCACCTTTGTCCGCCATTGAGTATACTCTGATCACAGCATTTCCCTGAGCTGCGCCTTCTTGCGCCTCTGGCTTTTTCTCCTCAGCTATAAAGTGTTGTCAATTTCGTAAATAGGTCTACAATGCGGCCGCCGAGCGGCATTCACAAGCATATTGTCATTGCTTGGATACGCCGCAATTTCCCCTGGGGTTCCGTATCGGGGCATAGTTCAAAAGAAATCAGATTGGATTTATGGCACTTGTATTTAGCAATCTATGTATTATAGGATGACGATAGATAGATTTAGGCAACCTTACGGATAAGGGAGAACGTAAGCGTTAATACCATTTCCAGACTGAAGAAGGCACAAAATCGTTGAAGGCCTCTCTAGTTCATCACTCCTTCTCATGTCGGATTGTTCACATTAATCAGCATTGAAACGTGTCATACTCTAATCGTTTTTAATCTTTGAGCAAAATCAGCAACGGGGAGAGCACCGTTCAGATATATAATGTACAGCTGATGTCAACGTAAGATGATTTCCATGATGACTCGAGCCAAGGTATGGAGACACCAATACTTATGCAGCAGATATGGGGCCGCCCATTTGAAAAGGTAAAATGAATATATAGGCAAAGGAAGGAACAACTTTTTGCCGTCAAGCACTCAGGCCTTCTAGGCCCTGTTTGATAATTCTTCGCCCGCCATCTTTGCCAATATTCAAGACAACATCCTGCGGCGTGTTACCCTCTATCTTTTCCTTCAATGAACCAAAGACTGTTGCAATACTTTCAAATTTGATTGGGTACTGTGATCAGATGCGATGCGTGATGGTTGCCTGGAAATAAATTCCGGTCTGCGCTGCTGTGCCAGGTGCGAAGGCTGCCGTCTTGGCGATTAATTTTTAAAGTGTGTCAATAATATATGATGAACCCCGAGTTTTGAGATTACATCTTCTACGGAGGCACTTCCAGGTGAGGGACAAACAACACTAAAGGGCAATGATGCTAGACTCCATCGCTGCCATTATGACGGATCAGCTCCGCACCAACTACAATGTGACAGCGTGCGGCCTCACTGCTAGGACGGTCGTGCTCGTCCAGGTCCAGTGGTTTGTCTTCTTGCTGCTGAACAAATTGTACGTATACAGTGAGAAGTGAGATACGTCCAGAGACACCGAAATACCAACATCAGGCGCTAGGGATCAGGTAAATTTCTCTTCATTATTTAGCATCTGAAATACGGCAGTTAGTCTGCAATTACATTAGAGTGCGTACCCAGGTGTTTAAAATATGTCCAGTGTCGCCTGCGCAAATTATATCGTAGCGATACTAGATATTACTCTTTGGTTGCTCGGAACTCGTCCCACATCAAGCGCATGCGAGCCTCTTGTCCCTTGGTGAACTCGACACGACATGGGCTAGATTTCTCGTTAGTAAATTCAGCTCTGTAGGCCAGGCGGGAAGCCACCTTGGTGTATTTTGACACTTACTCATCTGAATAATCCACTATTAGAGCGATGAAAGTCAGCATAGGTTTCAAGCCAAGTCTCTTTCGACCTGTGCTCGGATAACGGAGGTACGGCCGAGGACATGTCTTGCCAACAAAGGGCACCGCAGTCCCACAAGTGATGAAATATTGCTTACTATGATTCTTGTAGTTAGGAGGATCAGTGCCCAAGAAGCAACCCGGCCTGGTATCTTCGCACATGCCCTGAACAGTGTATGTATAGCCCCCCTGGGGGAAGGTATCATTTACATAATCGCCTGGGCCCGAGCAGCCACCCTCGAAGACGTGGAACAGCCCGAACCAGTGGCCAGCCTCATGCACAGCAATCTTGCCCTGGTTGTAGCCCCAATCATTTGTGCCGTTAGGAGTTGTCGCAGAGCTCACGAAACATCCATCTATAGACTTGTCGAAGTCCGTGGGCTCCGCTGTGCCGTTGGGAGTCCAAGTGGCGTTGCCCCATGGCCACGTTGACCAGCCGGTACCTTCGTTCCCGGGGCCGACTGTGATGTATGCGACGTAGAAAATGTTCAGGTCGGCATAAGTGCCTTTCCGGAGAGCTTGCTTAACGACATTCTCGATGTCGTCCCCTTTGTTGACGGAGGCGAGAGTCTTGTTGACGACCCATTGAGTCTCTGCTAGCTTCAGGTTGAAACTATACGGTGCAAATGAGTCCTGAAGCAGCTGAAACTGTGCATTCATGGTATCATTCTTTGATTGAGGTCAGCCGGGTTCGGCTACTCATTGCATATGGAACACAGGCCAGGCTCAAACTCACTGAAAGATAGCCACCTTCCAAGGTCTCATTGAACGCAACGACATGCTGGTAGACATTGACATCGATAACTTCGTCGGCTCGTGAGGTCAGATCGCTTGATTTTGTGCTGGCCCGCAGTCGGCTTGCCAGTGCCTCCTTCTCATACTCGGAGACTGAATCTTGACCACAGGTCACTGGCTGAGATCGTCTCAACTGCGGTACGATGGAGGCACCCGCAGAGCCCAAGAGGGTAAGCGGCACGAAGATCCCAGAACGCATCTTCCTAGCTATCGATGGGAATAAGACTTAGGGTAATCAAGCAGACGACCTGGTAACTCTTCATTTTGACAATATACGAACCAGTGTTTCTTGTATTTATATAGTGGCAGCAAGTCGTATGCACAGTGAACAAGCTTGAATTTAGGCTTGAATTGAACGGGAAGGTATCATTGAAAAAGGGGTCTCTGGTGGGCCGGCTCGGCAATCTTGGCCTCTGGGTTGCCCCATGGTTTACGAGAAATGCATGATATGCATGGTTCGGTGGGCGGAAACCTCGTATCGCAGAATATATTTTTACACCAATACAGAACACTGGTAAACAACTAACCCGACTTATCCGAGTCGTCAGGAATTCCACCGTTGGGTTGCTCGAAGCGAAGTACAAATCTTGAGCAGATCTGCACTCGCCAGAGAATGATGTTCCCCTCAGACATGGGCGTGTTTGTTGGCCTCCATCTGCAAAGACCGATATCGTTAGAAATAAGCGATCGTGTTCTCTCGTTGCACAGAAGCAGAAGAAAGGCATTAGGGATACCAATTGACAATGAGTAAAAGTCTAAACTCATACTGTAGGTGAGGAATGAGACTCTAATTCCATGCCACTGGGACGCCAATATTCTTGAAAAAAAGAATGACGAGAAAAAAAAATGCAATGTCGAGTGCTTATAGAGAACTTCTTACCATCAATGAGAAATATCATGTTAATCTGTCAGACACCTGTGCGTTGGCTCTAGATATGTTGGCCTCGCTTTTGGACAAGCAATGAGTTTGGGGGGGGGCGGGTCTTCGGGACAAGAACCCCCAACCCTGGCTTGGAAGGATCCCGGATGCGACTGCACCATCCCGGCCGGCAATGGGACAGCAACACCAATTGAAGCTACTACATCCGTGATGTCTTGACGACTCTGTTCGTACATCTCCGTCTTAAATCGCCCAATTTACACCCTGCCACCTTCCCGGTGTTGAGCATTCCAATATGGCATCGAAGAAGGACCAGCGCCGGCCTGACCTGGGTAAGTCGGCCTGTCGAGACTCGTTGATCGCTTGCGACTAGCAGCTAACAACCGCCGCGACAGTGATCCCCTACCAGGAGCCATTGTCCAAAGGCGACAACCCAGAGCTGTCGTCTACCCTCTCCCAGACCCTGCCGATGGCCGCGATATTCATGCGCAACCGCTACATTGGATGGTACGTTGCCTCTCTGTCTTGAGGCTAAACTCCACCCTGCGACTCAACTTGCATCCGAGCCTCGACTGTCAACTCACAAAGGTCCCACCACACAAGCAATGATGGCTGACCATATTTGATGACTGTTTAGGGCAGCTGTGGTTTTTAGCGTTCAGAATTGGCTGGGAGAGAGCGAAGACAGTCAGAAGAGCTCCAGCACACCTGGGTACTTCTCCGTTGGCATGTCGCTCATGTCGCTGGTCGTCACATACCTGCCTATGTTCCTACCTCCACCGCCCGGTTCGCAACGAGCTGCGACAGGCACCGAAGCTGCGGCGCCGGTGCCTCCTTCATAGTTGGAAATGCGCAGATAAAAGAACTGGAGGATTCAATAACGGAGCAAGCTTTCTGACAATGGTGGTCCGGTGCCTTGGAAACATGTTGTACGATACCCGCCATATAATAATATCACAGTCCATTGGGTGAGTCCTCCGGCCAATTGGTCCGACGGATTCTTGTCAGGAACTCATGATTCGGTGCTTCGCTTCTTCTACAACTCCTGCGGTGTCACCGGCACAGGAAGCTTCCTCCTCAGCCCGGTCACAATCTCCAAGTAATCCTCCTCGTTCTCATCCGTGATGATCCCGTGCCGGACAAAGAAATCCAACATCACCAGGCAGCAGTTCGGCTTGAACTCCCCGTCCAGCATCGCCTTAGTCACCTCCTCCACCGTCATTAAGTAGAATTCCTCCACCTCGCCGTCCTTCGGCACAGGCTTCATGCCTTCCTCGAGCTCCAGGTCGTACACGTGCAGTATGTTCGGCCGGACCTGGCCCGTCTTTCTACTCTGGCTGACATACGTCACTACTCCAGTTGGGACAATATTTTGCTCGACATAGGACAACGGCAGCGCGGCCTCTTCGTCTGACTCGGCCACGATGCACTGCAGCGGTGTGTCTTCCGCCTTGACGCCACCAGCGACTGTGGTGTCCAACATGCCCGGGTAGGTGTGGAGATTGGCATCGCGACGGGCTACCCACACTCTCAAGCCGCTTGAGATGGGTAGACTTGTATTTCGCACGTATGCCGTCAAGTGTGCCCCGCGGCTGCAAATCCCAAACAGCGACGCGGCGAACCGTTCCAGGCATATGAAGTCAGTCTGCTGAGGCGTCTTCGAAAGGTACTCCCTCGCACCGATGATGCGAACCATCTCGCTGTGAGATGTCAGGTTGGGGAATACCGACGTGCCTAATGCGATAGCACCGTCAACCACGCCCTGGAGGGCAGCGTTGATGCGGTCGGCTGTACTCTCGGCCACTGCCACCCGGACTATCCTGTCATTGTGGTCGATGGAGAAGTCTGCTGTCCATGGCAACTTTCCGACAGTATCTGGGGTGAGATAGCCGTGCGTTCGAGAGTCGTTTGGCAGAAGTAATTTGTAGAGGCCCTTGTAGTCCGAGCCGATGGGCACGCTGGTGCAAAGGGAATGGTGAGCGTGGGACTGGGCCCGAAAGGATGGATTTTTCCTACTTGTCCACTCCTCTGATGAGGTCTATTGACCGCCGGGCCTTGAAAAATTCAGCCATTATTTTTCCTGTATTCGCGACGAAGAAATATAGTCGGCGAAGACTTAAGTGTGCGAGTGTAATGTAAGGTCTCAGATGGTCGCTGTAAAGCCGGACGCGATTTCGAGGATGTGGTGCAAGGGTTCAACCCTACCGCAGAATAGCTCGCCCAACCGCACCTCCAACTATGTGGTTGATCTTCGGCAAGATACATTACCAGTGAAGACATGTGTAATTGCGTAATACATATGTAGTGTTTAAATACTCGAGAATTGTTTGGTGTATAGTTGTGGCTGATACAAAGTCATCCACAGCCAATGTTGGCCATGTCGATCAGCCTTGGAAATTTGAGTTTCTGCAAGTACCATGCTTCAATACTGATCTGTTTTTCCTTTACTATTTCTCACATTATTTGATCTCATGCTATTCCCTCTCTTCTACATTGTGCAAGTTGTGAGCGATCTCTCAGGGGTGTGATACTCTATTCAAATTGACCTCTCAATATCAATCAATTTGTGGATGTACAAAATACGCCGCGATCCCGATCAACACCCAGTCGGCAAGGAGCAGGATGCCATGAACCCAGTGCACCTTCGCATCCACCACGAGGAAATTCAGAAGCAAGATTGTTGTAAACAAGCTCACGACCTCGAATCCATCGAAAGCTAGCGTGACATCTGGAATGCGCAGGCCCCACGCCAGGAGCACGACAGCCGGCTCAACCAGCAACGCCGTCTGGATCGACCGCCCTACCGTGTACTTCATGGTCTGCTCGAGTTGGTCGTCGACGGCGAGCGAGATGGGCGCAAAGTCACAGTTCGGAATGGGCAGGAGGATGAGCCCCACGAATGTATCGGTCAGCGAGGTCTGCTCCGTGAGTGCCGAGATGCTGTTGACCGTCGCGTCGATGCAGAAGTATAGCAGGACGATGGAGGCGGTGAAGAGGACTGCTGCCACCGGAAGGTCTAGCTGGGGCCCATGGATTTCCTCGTGTTCGTCGTCGACGGCTGCACTCTGGGTTGAGAAAGGCCGAGGGGACTGGATGAAGGAGACAGTCCTGGGTGAAGCAACGTCTCTCCTCGTCGGCGAAGGTATGCCCAGGGCTTTTGGGGATGCGATGTCACCAATTTGCTGAATTCCAATGGATACACCGCTCGCGGTAGCAGACTGTATCGCAGATGCAGTGACATTTGACTTGCCTGATGCTCTGTACTCCGCTTTGTGAGTCCACATCTGACAGAGCGAATATGTAAAATAGACAAACAGCAGGACGACGGAGACCCCCCGAGACTGCCGCACCAGATTTTCGTTTGATGTTTGGTCCAGCAATTTCACAGCTGTTGGTATTAGAAGGCTCGTCGCAGCGATCGATAGGAGACTCGAGGAACCCTGGGCGCCAGTCCGATTGAATTCTTGCTGGCGCTGGTCCATGTTTGTTGCCCCCCCGAACGATATGCTTAGGCCCAGGAGCACCAAGATATTGCTTAGAATTCCTCCGATTAGCGATGTCTGCAGCAAGTCGACCTTCCCGTCAAGGAGCAAGAGGACACTCGAGATTATTTGCACGGTATTGGTGGTGAAGATGTCCAGGAAATCCGTGGCCGTCACACCGATATACTTCTCAAGCTCTTCCAACGAGTAGTCGCACAGGAACCAGAGCGGAATTTGAGCAATGTAGTTCAGTGTGAACGTTTCGGGGGCGCCACCCCTAACTTGCGAGAGAACGATTCCAGCCGGTACGCATATAAGCAGGACGTTGATCCACGATGTGAGCACTGTTCTCTGTATCTGATTCGCAAGTGTGAATGGTTCTTCCGGCGGCTCCCTGATCTTCAAGCGCTTGTACTCGAATCCAAAAAGGCTGATGGTTGTGCGAGATTTGTCTTTTGTTGTTAGTTCAAATGCCAAAGCTTTAGTGAGTATCGCAAGATAGGACAAACCTTGTGGGGTGGAGAACTTGGACGGCTTGTACCAAGCAATGTGCCTGAAAGGGTTGAATAGGTCCCTGCGATCGAGTGTTCGGAACACTCGATGAGCTTTACGCCTGTTGTCAATCAGAAGCGTGTCGGTCCTCTGATCTACCCCTAGGTTTTTCGGATCTGACGCCATGATTGGTCTTGAATGATTTGATACTTAGAAATATCTGCGTGTAAATGTCCTCGATTATATTTTTCAATTGGCTCAGAAAGGAATCAGCTGTGCGTACTGGGAACGAGAAAGACGAGCCACAGATCGATAACAATTAAAATGCAACTGGCAAAGATGGAGAGCGACTTGTACAGGGCCTTTATCTATCGCGTCTTTTTTGACGAGGCTGTCACTTTCCCAACCTCAGCTAAAGCTGAGTCCCCCACCACACCTCCTCTGGCCGCGGTTGTGGGTGAGGCTTCCGCTCCTGCAAGCCACAGGCGTTTACGCTTGAGTACAATAGGCCTCCAGTTTGTATTGCATGGATAGGTAAGCATGTGTGATGGCCTTCTCCTCACTCAGGCATGGCCCATGATACGCCGGATTCTTTCGGAGTTTCATGGGGCGTAAAGACAGGATTAGCTGAGGAGGGTCGGCGACGAGGGCGGCGACCCTAAAGATGGCACGAAGCACGTCCTATGGCATGAGTGAAGCGGTTGACCCATCCCCTTTCATTCTTACGGGGCTTAATCATGAAGATGACATCTTTATTTCTACTTGGCACAAAGCATCTCGATTATGATGTGACACGACCTCTGGGGCGTGTTTGTGTTCGGGTGGGTGGTCAGCAGGGCAGCGGTGTCAACGTCCTCATGGGGAAATAGCCCCTTATCCTGGTCTCTTCTGTCAATCGCACATCTGTATGTAAGGGTTCTTTGCAAACGTGACAGATCCTTCCCAAATTTTGGGCTCATTTTCACCGAAAATGCCTTGGTGTACATCTTTCAATGGCTGGATGGTGGTAGCTTAAGAGTGTTTTCGAAGCCCCAATCCCGGTTCTCCGACCAGCCCAATTACTATTAACTCGTGAGATCTGGTCCAGTCATGGAAGGCTTTGAGATTTATCAATACAGCGGAATATACAATGCTGCACCTGGACGTCAAGCTATTCAGTAGTGCGGACGCCAAATCCATCTGACAGCGGCTAATACCGTGATCTGACACATGTTTGTTGAACAGGCAAGGGCCGACCTGGTGCTTACAGTGGACCTGGTGGACATTTAGGACACTCCCCTTCAGAAACATCGGTTTATGTAAGCTGATCGACGACAAGTTGCAAGAGCTTGCTATAGCGGCTGCCTTCCGCAGCATCTATGCCTCGGTGCAAAGCAACTTCACCCGGTCAGCATCCTTCATCCGAAGGATTACCTCCATGTTCACCTCGTTCACGCAGCTTATCACTCGGGCTCTGGCTGCTTCTTCGCTTTCGCCGGGGTTCTTCTTCACAGACAAGCGATGAGACTTAAACAGGCATGCCAAGATAGCCACGACCTCAACCTGGACAAATTTTTTGCCAGGGCAGCTCTGAGGGCCGTCGGACCAGGGGAAATATGTGTTCGGCGCGGGTTCCCACAGCTCTTCCCTCCCGGCTGATTTCCCCCCCGAGAACGGACTGTCGCTCTTGCCTGTGGCGACATGGGGCGAGGAGCATATCCAGCGCGATGGCCTCCAGCTATGCGGCTCATCCCAGTATTGAGGATGAGTGTGTATGGCGATTATATGGGGAAAAGCGTAAGCACCGGAAGGGATGGCAAGTGTCCTGTGGCCGATATCAAGGGTTTGAGGTTTGGTGCCTGTCCACTTTGGCAGCCCAACAATAGAAGGATACAGACGTAAAGTCTCGAGCAGAACAGCTCGGCAGCGCTTGAGTTGCGGGAAGTGCAAGCGGTAGTCCCACTCCTCAATCGATTTACCCGCAGATGCCGCGAGGGCAGCGATCTCCTCGGCTAGCCAAACCTGTACTTCAGGATGGACTGCTAAAAGGTGCAAGGTGAAGACCAGAGTGCTTGCTGAGGTATCATAGCCAGCGAAGTTGATGATGAACAGATTTCCCAATATCTCGTCGACAGAAAGACCTTTTTTTCTTTGCCCACCTCGGACTACTTTGACGTCGGGGGCGTTGTCGGCCTCCTTGTCATGAACGTCCAATGCACGAACAAATGCAGTCATCATACCGCCAGAACCGGGCCGATTTTCTTGCAGAGCCTTAATCTCGCTGTCAAGCATTTCCAACATATGCCGTCTAAAAGATCTTGCAGCATTGCCGATTCTGACAAAACTTTCTGGCAAGGGAGCTTGCAGAAAGCGGTAAGGGATAAGCATCATAAGTATAGCTCCAGTCATGATGGCCTGAAGCGTATCGCGATAGGTTCCCACCTCATCTTGCGCTTCCGCTGACCCGTGGAACTCATACGGCTGATTGAAGGTTGTTGCAGCAAGAACATTGAGTGTCAACGTCCGCATATCCTTTTGCACACTTGGAATCCCGGCGGATTTCCCGGTCCAGTACAGCACCATTGATTTCGTCTGATGCAAGCTCTCGCCCCAGACAGACTTCATGATGCTTTCGTTGAATGGTGCTGCAAGAATTTTGCGGTGACGCGGCCAGTCATCCCATCCCGCGGTTGATATACATGGCCCATACACTTCCAACAATTCTAAGCCAGGACCAGTCAGAGCCTTATCAAGCGCATGGTGGGGCCATCGCCAACTTACTATACTCCTTGACAGGGCGGATGAATTCGGACGGCCTCGCAAAGATCTCCTTGATAGCCTCAGGGTCTGTAAATCTGAGGTAGATTGTAACCGGAGTAACAAGCGCCCAGACAGGACCCAGGCGGACTGCCGGATCCGACTTCTCGCGGAACTGCCAATCACGACGAGAGAAGCGCACGAAGTCGGGGTATGCAGACCATTGGAAAGGGAGGCGGTCGACGACAGCCCATACGTGACGTTGAAGGACCAACCAGAACACGTTCGTCACGTCGACCGGCAGTCGAACAAAGGGTACCTTGAGAGCGCGGGCCTTGCGCGCGTTGACCTCCATGCACCACAGACTCCAGAAGACGTAGGCCAGTGCAGAGCCAAGCACGAGCTTGACAAACATGGTCTACTCTGGCTCGGAATTGTCACCGAGATTATAAGGCTGGTGGGATGAAACCAGACGAGACGAAGGTGGTGCTTCGGCTGGGACCAAATGAGATGGTAATTATATCGGTTCACTGGCCCACTTGGAGCAGTTCGGTGGCTGTTGGTTCCAGCGGATATTGCATTTGGGCGACCCATGTCCCAACAGCGCATGTTGGCTCTGAGAGTCGCGATCCATCTCTGGACTAAAACTGTCTGTGAATCTGCTCCTCGACGGCAACTATCCGATGTCCCGTCTGCAATGGTACGTACATGCACAGACATGTGAAGGAGACATGACGTCCAAGGGTAGCATCGTTGAATCTACAGCTTTCCCCCTTGCGATTGGAGCTCATAGGGTTCGCCAGGCATGTTCATCTGTTGCCGTCAACAGACAGACGTGCCGAGGTCAGGACGCTGAGGTGTAAGGCTATACGTCGGTGAGCCAGGCATATGGTTGCTTGGTCGAGAGCAGACGTCCAAATTTCAACGTTTGTTTCAATGGCAGCTTCCGAGGTCTGGTAGGGATGCCCAAGTAGCACTTTGAGTGGCACTCGAGGCGGCTGACCCCGCGTTTGACGTTTCTCAAGCTTCTCTGGCCCAACGGTCCCAAGGTTTCGACTCAGCCTAGCGCCCTCGGGGGGCCAGGGTTTCCTCCTGGCTGCCTGGGAACCCTTTTCCCGGCTCGGGCAGCCAGCCAGTTGGATGTTGGGCGCTGGCAAGCTGGTAGGCTGGCAAGACGCAGAGTTGCAGGCCCAGGCGCGGGTTGCGGGTGCGCGGGTGGAGCGGGCGTGGAGCAAGCAGCCCCTGAGATCAGGGATGCCTGCTGGGGCCCCCGATTGTCTCTGCTTCTGCGACTGCTGTCAGTTGAGGCGAGGACTGGCATTGATGATCTTCCCGGAGGACGTGTCAAAGGTCTGTCTGTCTGTCTCGAGACGTCGACGACGGTTCATGCAACACCCTGCCCTCACCCTACCCAGGAACCTACCAAGGAACCCCCGTGGCTGACAGCTCCAAAGCTCAAGCTCTCCTCCGCCCTCACCACCATTGGGACAAGAGACAACAGGTACTTTGCCCCCTAGAATATGTCAAGTTTGTTCTCCGGACTGTGAGTAATGTCCTTGACCGCCTGGCCCCCCCATCCTCTCCGCCCTGCCTTGTCACCGTATCTATGCATGCACGCATCTATGTACACACACAGATTCATGTAAATGTGTATCTATGGAAGATGCAGATTGCAGGTTGCAGACGCAAACGCAGACGGCAGACGCAGCTGTGCCGGGTCAAGCCCAAGCACTAAGCCTGGCTGCCGCCAGCCGTCGCATCACTGTCCACTGCCGCGACCTGTCACGAGCATGAGTGCTATACATACCCTAGATACGCCCTATGCCCTATGCCCTTCCCTGCCCTTCCCTGACTTGTCTTGGCGCCTGTTGCACTCCTCCATAGGCCCAGCTTGCCTCTTGCGTGTCCACCAGACTCATGCCCATCGTGTCTTGTCCGCTGGACAAGGCGACTAGAAGAACCCAGTCTCATCCCCGTCCACTAACCCCTGACACTCACTCATACACTTGTGTCACCACTTGAATACCCGTCACTGATATCCCTCACAGACGGTCACGAAGCAAGTCACGAGGAGCATCCAAGAACTCTGGCCGTCCTGGGACACCAAAGGACTCTATTCCCCCAGTCCCATCCCCAACACTCGAGCAGCAGCAGAGAGGACGCACCCTAGAAAGCGTCCTGCCGCCGCTGCCTCAGTCAGACTCCCTCGCCAAGTCTGTCGGCGTCACGATGGCCTCAAGCGCCAACGGGGATGACGTCCTCAAATCTTACCACCTGCCTCACCCTCTCCCGGCATGGGTCAACCCGGCCTATGCCAAGCACATCGTCAAGGGCAACTTTATGACCCTCAGTGCCCGGCCCAAGACGGTCGAGCCGGGCGAATGGATTGCCCACCAATGTGTTGAGCACTACCGCAACCTGTGGCACTTTGTACGTGTGATTTACGAGAAGGAGGAGAACGGCACCAACATCTGCAACCCCACCACGTGCCCCAAGATGACGGCCGGCCCGTAAGTCCACGCCAATTAGACTCATGGAAGCCAGCTAGCCAGCAAGCAACTCTTGGGTCCTTTGAAAGCCCGTCGGCTAATCCCTTACCAGGAACCACTCATATACATGGCTAAACAGCCGATATGAGCCCATCGAGCTGCCTGCCTTCGAGTATATGACCCTCATGCAGCGGTGGATATCGGGCAAGATCGACAACACACAAGTGTTCCCCACGGACCCGGCCGGCGTGTCGTACGCGCTGAACCCGGCCCTCGGCTCGGGCCAGTCGCTGTCGAGCATCGCCAACCCGGCCGACGGCGACTATGTGGGCCGGCGCAGCGGATTCCCCCAGGACTTCATGTCCATCTGCCAGACCATCTTCCTGCAGATGTTCCGCGTCTACGCCCACCTGTACCACGCCCACTTCATCGAGCCCTTCTACCACCTCAACCTGGAGAAGCAGCTCAACAGCTGCTTCAGCCACTTCCTGCTGACCGCCACCAACCTCGACCTGCTGCGGCCCCACGAGCTCGAGCCCATGCAGCCCCTCATCGACCTCTGGGCCGCCAACGGCACCTTCCCGCCCGAGTCCAAGGCCTACCAGATGGCGAACCTGGCCGCCGGCCAGACCCTGCTGGCCAAGGCCGGTATTCAGCCATAGGCGCTGGGTGACCTGACGGTTATTGGGCAAGTCTCATTTCGTCGAGCGAGATACGGGGGTCCGGCTTGGTGGGAGAGGCAGGGACACTACACGATAATGTAGGTCCCCCGTGACGGGAATCAGAGGACCATCTTTGCATAAGACTGTAGTAAGCAGAAAAAGCAGAAATTGCATGGCATTGCAAGCCTTGTTAGAATTTTCTTGATTCTACTCTTTGGGAATAGGCGCACAATAACAGCACTCGCATATCTTACCACTGACTTACCTTGCTGGCCGAGACATCTTGGAGTCAGCAGCCGTTTCTTCACAGGAGATGCTATGCCTTGCGGCTGTCTTGGGTGCTTACGTGCAACCTCTCGTGACCTAGTCCGTGCCCAGACACCCGTCATCAGAGTGTGCTTTCCAGTCGTGTTGAAAGTCCACCTACACTCACTCCCCTGAGTCCTCGCCCAAAGCCTAGTCTTCCTAGAAGCACAGCATGGCCATACCGGTCTGGAAGTCAAATCATAAAACATCGACTATCAAGGTGACTAGTATGCGCCGGCAGTATAAACGAACATCGCGAAGAACAGGCTATCTTATTCCCTCTAACCGTACATATCTTGTGGACACAAATAGCCCCAAGAAAGCGAATGCCCTTCCTAGCTATTAGTAATCCCTACCTACTCACCTACTTCCTCATGACTTCAATGCTGCACCAAACACGACGCAACATGGTCGCTCCGTGCCTGCCCAAAATCACGTGTGGGCTCAAACCCAACCCAGCGGCCCAGGTACCGTAGGCAAGTACGTGCCGGGCCACGAACTTCATTAGCCTAGAGACGATGCAGTCGGGTCTCGCTATAGCTGACTATACCGTTGTCGAATAGGTATGTGCGCCCGTGGTCCACGGCCTAGGACATGATTATCGCAACAGAAGTGCCGGCTCCAGCAGACCATCCGTGGATTTCTGTCAATTCCTCTGGCTCGATGCCTCCCGACTAGGGCCACGCGACACATAGCCCAAACATTGCTAAGCCATTTTGTAGTCGAAATGAATTTCAGGGCGCACCATGGCACGCATTGCCAGCTACTTGCTCGCGGCGACAAAGGCTAGACGGGACCTTGAGGGAAGACTAGGGGACCTGCCGAACCTCACCATCAGTTGCAATATTTCTTTCTGAGCAATTCATGGTCTTTCTGAGCAATTCTTACTAGCCAAGTCTGGTCTCCATGGTTATCATAAAGCTGGGTTGCTTTTTTCATATCCAGACACACAATACAGACACACTCACCTGAACAACAATACTGGAGCTCTCCTCAGCTCCCATCCCTCATCTTGCAAATCACTGTGATAAGAGGCAACTTTACATTACATTACCACTGACATCCCTATCTGATTCCCTTTTTACTGTTCCGACATCGGAAATGTCGTCGTACCAAGAACAGTGGTCGGAAGGTGCGCGCCAGCGGGCGCAGCGCAAAAACGAGATCCATGCAGAGCTGAGGCAAATGAGAGAGGAGGCCATCTCGGCGAATGTTGCCAGAAACTTTAGGCATGCAGCGAGCCACGTTGTCGACCCCTCTACCGAGCAAGAGGTGAACCAGAGATGGCTTGAGGCTAGCGAGCGGAAGGCAGCGGCCCAGCGTGAACGACACTGGGACCAGCTCCAGAGCGAGCTGAGGGAGATCCACAAGACAGACCGACTTGAGGCCTTCAATCTCATTCAGCGCCTCAATGGGGCCGGCCGTCGGGGAGAGGACCAGGCCGACCTTGGCCGTCAGCTGCAAAGCTCCCGATCTGAGGCCGTCGACTCAGACGATGAGGAAGGCCCGATGGCAACAGCTTCCCAACCTAACGGCAGCCTCCAGCCCATTACTTCCGTTTCTCTACCGGGTGTAACTGTCGGAGCTATGGTCTACCCGGAAGAGGTTGGCGGATCAGACGCAGGTGACGAACGCGACCTGGGCGAACCAGATGAGTCGGACCAGCTCGATAGCTTAAACGAGCACGACAGATTATACCCATCAGAAGCTTCAGACGGGCCTCTGCCGGAAATAAGATGGGTATCGCAGAAGTATCTGCATGAACAGGGCCTCATGGGCAGAGGAATATACGACCGTGTCTACCGCAGCAGCGTAACTGACGCGCTATACTTTCTAAACCACATGGGTGAGAAGATCTGGTTGACAGACGCAAAGGGAGACTGCGTGCTTGCCCAAGGTCAGGACTTGTAAGCGGCTCGGCCAATCGATCAACTCGAGCACGCTTGAAATTGTATCAGGTTCCGCAGAAGGTCCTTGGGAAAAGCTGTCCCATGAGGCTTCACGTTCCGGGAAACTGAATTGGAAGGAGTTACCGATTGGACGGAAGGCCGGGCGCCTCACGACTAGCAACCAAGGGACTAGCTCTCCACAATCGGGTGGCTGCCGCCGGGTGGCGTCTCTTCGGAGGCCGCAAGAATGAAGCTGTCGAAGCGGTGACGATGTGGTCGGGGATACCGGTCAACAGACTAGCTGCTCTAACGAGGGTCCTAACGAGGTGCGGACAAGCCCCCACGTGCCTGACTCTGGCTGTGCGCAAAGTCTCGCCATAATAAGCTTCCCGCTCCGATCAGTGGCTTTTATCCAAAACAGGGGTAGGCCAAGAAAGCAGTGGAACTATATCAGAACAGACTCTTCGGACTGACAGGAACCACTGGGCTGTGCGTTTCGATTGGACCTGGCTCCCGCACGGCTCGAGAAGTCGAGATTGCAAGAGAAAAGACTAAAAATCTTCCTCAGAACGTCGGCTCTGTGAAGTGTGTTCCGCCATTCGGCCTGTCACATACGGAGGATGTCTTGACAAGGACGTGGGGTGGACAAGAGACGTCTTTTTATGGATTCGAAACACACTGCCCTCGTGCTCGTGGTCACGATATGATCATCATTATTGGGAAGGGTTATTATTGGCTATGGACTCAAATGAATCGTCGACCACTTGGTCGATGGAAGTATGCGAAAGGCGGGCCAAACAGCACATAGTGTAGCAGTAAGGAATATAATACCCGAAGGCTGGGTTTATGAAATGCCTGGGCCGTAAAGAAAAGTTATTGTACTGTACTCTGTGTGTGTGTGTGTGTGCGTGTGGCAGTAGCAATGCAGGTAGGTAGCTGGATGCCCGACAGAACGAGACCAGAAGTGTGGCTGTAGCAGTTCGGGCTGTCCCCGTGGGGACGGGGTGCCCTGCAAGTCATGCCGTGCTGTGCTGCGCTGTGGAATGACATGGTTGGGGGTTTGTTTTGACTTGGACATTGAGGAAGTGATGAGCACTAGCCGGGAGGAGAAGAGATAGGGATGGTTGGACATTGGGCGATGCAGCAGGTTGGCAGCTCGGTGCTTCCACGGAGAGGCAGCAGCGATGGCAGCTGGGTCGTGACGCAGCTGTGCGGCCTGACCGTCTGGTTGTCTCGGTGTTCTTGTGCTGAGTACTTAGTACTGAGCGCAGAGGGTAGGTAAGCAGAGCAGTCTACTGTTGTCGTTTGCCGAGATGATGGATGGGTCGATTCGCTGTGGTGGTGACGGCGTGGCCCATTGGGATTGGCCTTGGATCCATTCTTGCCATGCCCGGGGGTTGATCGATGAGCACTTTGAAAAACAAGACCTCGGACAAAGCCGAGGAAGATTCCTCAGAAGGCGGATAAGGTGCTGTGTTGTGCTGTGCTGTGCTGTGCTGTGTAGTAAGAGCATGCATCTACTGCATGTGTATCTGAGTGGAGGTGGAAGCTTCAGTGGTGTGGCATGGAAGCTGGTGGTATACAGTACTTGGCGCAGCATCGAAACGTCACATTGCGGGTTGGTCGCGATATGCTGGCCGCGCCGGAGACGTCGCGGTGAGAGACAAAACGGGAAGTGACCGTCTGCTAGACACCAGCTGTGCTGCAGGGAGTCCGTCAAACTCAGAATCTGTTCAGGTGGGCAGGTGGTGTGGGGTGGGAGGACTGGAGGAAGGAGGCATCCGGCTGTGAGTGGCCACTAGCTGGTGCAATCAGCCAATCAGCCAATCCCGACCCCTTTCCTGCCTCTTCTGCGTCTGCTGCGTCTCCAGCCTCTGAGGCCTTCCCTGCCAGCCTGCCAGAGCCACCCAAGCAGACCCAAGGGGATCCCCTCCTCGTCGCCGCTAACTCTCACCAGTTGCAGTCCTGTAGCGTAGCAGTCCAAGCGGTGCTGTGGCACAGACCAAGGTTACCTCACACACCAGCAGAACCAGACACACGCCTCTGCGTGCTCGGTGCTCTGCGTGTGCTTTGCGTGTGCGTGCCGCACCGCTCCTCCCTCTTCCAAGGTTTTTTTTGGGCTGGTTCCCAGGCTCCCTACCAAGATCATCGTCGATCCGGGAACATAATAATCGTGTGGTACCTCTCTCAAACAAACGCCTCAAATCCACACAGACTCCCCCCAGCTCCGCTCTTCCTCTCGCTTGTGCCATCCACCTACACGACAGCCACCCAAAATAACCCCCGCCTGGCAGCAAGGCAAGCATTCATTCGCCCGCTGCGAGGCTGAATCCACCACGGGGGCAAGCGTCAGAGACGGACGTGCGTCGTGCGTGCATTGCTCTCGCTGGCACTGGGCTACCTGGTACACGACCAACGACCATCTGGACCTGGACCACCTTGGGCCACCTGGACTCCCTATCGCTGATCCCAGCTGTCCGGCTCTCCGACTGTTAGCCCACCGCCCACCTTCCACCGCCTGTGAAGCCAATCCTATCCAGTCCAATTGACCGACCAACCGACCCAATCTCACCTCGTCCCATCTCTCCCTCTTGATTCGGTTCAGTTCACCTTCGCCTCAAATCCTGCTTTTGCCCTCTTGCAACTTCAATCCGTCATCGACCCTCTCGACCATGAGGGGCCGAACACACCGAATCACATCTGCTGCATCTTCCACCGTCACCCAGTGACAATCTTACCAGCTTTTGCAGCATTCCCACCGCTGCTACGCCCCGACCGAGACGGCGACGACGAGAAGCAGTCCGGTCCCGCCAGCCACCGTCGACTCGGGTTATGAGGGCCTAAGCCCCATTGGCAGTCGGTACCGCTGACGGCGTCGTCTTGTCGTCTTGTCGTCTTCGTCGTCCTTCAGCCTCATCGTCTCCCCCGGTCTGGACCCTGTGAATTGACTACGACCTCATCTCACCCCGTCCCGTCTCTCGGCCTCCAGCTGCGCCACCCCCGGCCAATTAGCCTGAGTTGCTAGAGACATTGATTCACCTCCCTCTTGGCGCCCTCAGCACTCAGCTGGGTATCGAGAGATCGACATCAATCCTCAGCTTCATCCTCTCTTTCCTGACATGTCGCCATCACCAATCACCCGTGACCATGTCATCATGGCTCGCGATGCGTCGCCTGGCACCATCGCCGGTGCTACTGTCGGCGCTTTTGCAGCCGTCATCCTCATACTCGTGTGTAGTTTGCCGTTTATATTAAAATCGAGGAGAAAACGACGACTACGAAGACGCCAACAGCAAGATGCTCTGCGCCCCGGGATGGGCGCCGCCCCTATGCGTTCTCGGCCAGTCTCCCAGACTTTTTCCCAATATCCCGCAAACCGCCTCTCCCAAGGCCGAATAGCCTCCACTGCTGGCACCTTGTCCGATCGCGACTCGCAAATCGGCAAAGAATACGGCCCGGACGGCATCGTATACCACCATGCGCCTCCTCCACCGCCTACCGTTGCACGCCACTCGCTACCCTCGTGCTCACCCGCTCCCAGTGTCCCTTCTCTGGCTGACGCCGTTGCGGCAGCCAGCCGAAACGCCTCCCCGGCCGTTGCTCAGGGCCCATTTACTCCCCCACCGGAGGGACAGCCAGATCGAAAGGGGACTTTCGGAACTTTGACTACGGAGCCGGAATCTCTGTCACGATCGGCTACGGGTAGTTTACACGGGTCGCAGTCGCTAAAGGGAGGCGCCTTCCGCAAATTCAGCAACAAAATCTTCAAACGGGGAAGCACGAGATCAAGCGGAAGCGGGAGCGAGTCTCGTGGCACGGGAACTAGGGTCTCGGACATGGAAATCGACGATGACCGCGTTGAAAACGCTCCCGCTGTACCGTATTTACGTGACGACAAACCTCCGGGAGGAGGAGCAGCCGACGAATACTACACCAGCGCAGCAGCAGACTATTACTCGGGAGCTCCTCTGTCGCCACCAGAGGAGCCGAAATTGCCAGCGCCTGGCCCCGGCTCAGAATTCATCCATCTGATTGGGATGCCTGGAGCCTCTATAGTGGAATCGGTCATGCCACACGCTGGCAAACAACACCTCGGAAGTGCATTCAATCCCGTTGGCGCACCGCCGAGTCCAGCATCGCCTCAGGTCAAGCAGGAAGAGAGGAGCAGCGAAGAGAGTGAACAGACAAGGTCACTTGAGGCCAAAAGTGACACCCTGTCTCCGCCACCCACCAGAGGCCTCCCTCCTTTTGAATCCAGCCCAAAGCGGTTCGAGCCTCCACCCAGCCCGTACCGACCTGCTCCTGGCACGGTCAACCCGATGGAGATGATGAAACCAACAACTGCCGCTGAACAGGCTGCCTGGGTAGATACGGAAATCTGGAAACTTGAAAATTCGCCTCCACCTCAACTTGATAACTCCCCTCCCCCATCTGAGCCGTCTCCTCCTTCACAAACCGATTACTACTCGCCGGCTCAATCACCACCTCCCCAGCCAACCCAGGACGAACCTTCGACACAACCTGACCGCCCACATTTTCAAGCAGTCGTTCGGCACCCAACCCAGATGGACGTGACCACCAACGGGCAAGCCATGCCTCAAAACGAAGAGCAAGTTGTGATAGATATCTCCGACTCCTCGTCGCCTGGTTTCGATCAATATGCATACGGCCCATCTCCATCAAATCATACGTCTCCTGAGACTCGATTCACGGGGTCAAACTATACCGCTTCTCCCTCACCGCGCTCATCAATGTCCAACCGCCCCTCAAGTTCTTACGAACCGACCACAGGTAAGATGCCGAGTTTATCCAAGAATGCCGCTACAGCGCGCTAACAGTTGTAAAGAATACCTGGAGACGACCATGAGCGGCCAATCACAGGGTTCTGTATCGGAAGATCGGACTTCGTCGTCCCCCAAACCCACGTCATTTGCATGCGAGATCTGTGGAAGCAAATTCGACCAGGTGCACAAGTTGAAGTACGTTCTGTTTGCCTGCCCGTGCTCCTCTGAGCTAATTCTATTCTGTATGCTTACATTGACCTACAGTCATCACAAACGTTACCACGAACGACCGCATCAATGCCCGCAGTGCGACAAGCGCTTCGGCACAAAAACACATCTCGACCGGCACATCAACGACAAGCACAACAAGACGCGAAAATATCACTGCACTGTGACGGGGTGCGCTTACTCGAAACAAGGAGGCGGCAAATCATTCCCGAGGAAGGATAACTGGCGAAGACACATGCAGAACAAACATCAACAGGCCAACCCTCCCGAGCCGCTGGAAGAGGACGTTCTTATGGCAGGATAGGGGACCAATTTCCTGCCACACCATACCAGATCAGAAATTATCGATTAGCCGCGATCATGTGATCACCCTATCATACGTCCTGGCTCCAACAGAGCGGTGCGTTTGAGAAATCCGGAAGCCTTTGACAGCGAGATACTGTTATTTAAGAGGCCGCTGGCAGTTGCTAGCCACGTCAATAGAGGCTGGTCCGGTGAGGACCACCCTGTGGTTGTAATTCCAGTAAGGAGGGGTAGAGAGCAAGCATCAAAATACGACAGAAAGTGGCATCTGCGAGCGACGCAACGTCGTTTGTCAGTCAGCGTCCTTCAAGACGCCCCTGCGGTCATATTTCAGCGTGCCAATAAGCAGGAGTCGACGTTCTCAGGATTGATGCGGCTGTGGCTGGGTGAGACCTCGCCAAAAGGCAATTAGCCTCTAGCTCAACCAATTCATCTTCGAAGCTCGGCTGTTTCACTCTCGTTCCGGCGTTAGCAGTGCAACGTATGGGGAGAACAACAATTAGAACTCTGAAGTAGCGAAACTTTGCACGAGCAGTGGGAACTCAGGGTGGTGAGAGAGGATAAGAAACTGCGCTCGGCGCCATGCGTGTCTCGAAACACAATACAGAACCGTGGAAAGCAAAGCGTGCGATTGAGGCATTGGGCAGATGGAAACAGCGCATGTGCCGTGCCTTGCTAGGCTTACAAAGGAAAACAAAAAGGAAATGAAAAGCATAATAACCATGGTGCCATGTGGCACGCGAAAGGTGATCCAATATCGCCGAGTGAAATTGTGCCTTCATGTCTGCTCAAAATACCTGTGCAAATGGTACATCGTGCATGTGGGAGTCGAGCAAGTTGGTAAGAATCCCATAGTGCAGGGCAACAACTTGTATGTTCCGCTCAGGGGAAAATACGAGCAGAAGAACATGTATTCCACACGCGCATATACCAGCCCAAAATGTGACTTCTAGAAATTCGGTATTGCCTTGCAGAGATCTAATCGTTTTATTCAACCAAGTCCTCTATTGTGCTATGCGTACATGCGAGCTCCCCTCTCAGGTCTCGCTCGTCATGGCCCTCGTCTTCAGGCGGTTTCTATATGCGCCTCCCACACTGCTGGTCTTGATCCACCCTGAGACGCCTTTCCTCCATCCAATTGCCTCTATTTCTCGTGCAATGAAATGAACTTAGGCAGACAGCGTGCCCCTGACACCACCCTTCGCACCGACCTCCCTTGTCTGAATGGTGACGCTCAGGTCCGCCAGGACATTTATCGTGACCTCGACCTTGGCACCCTTCTTGACGCCGCGGATAGCAGCCTCGGCGAGCGTGGACCCGATCTTCCACACCTTCTCGCGCTTCTCGTCGTCCTCGTCCTCCTCATCGTCGTCGAAGTCGCTGTCGTCCTCGTCTGCATCCTTCTTCTCCTCGCCATTCTCCTTCGCCTTGGGCTCCGGCTTGGTAACGTGGATGTGCGTGTTGCCCTCGGCGATCTTGACGAGCACATCGCCGCCGTCCTTGGGCGCGCTGACGTGCACGGTCCTCCGCGCCGGGACGGCCGTCTCGGGTGCGATGACGGGCGTGAAAACCTCCTCGGACCCGTCCTCCGACAGGGCGACGACACCGATGGCGTTCGTGACGTGCGCGACCGTCGTCACGGCGGCGTGGGTGCTCTGCTGCACGTCCTCGGTCTCGAACTCCTGGATCAGAGATGCCTGCAGCGCGGCGCCGCGGGCCTGCAGCTCGGAGGGGTTGATGGCTGTGGGGGTGGTGGAGGGGGCGAGCACAGTCGTCGATTCCGGGAAGATGCTGCTCAGGTTTGCGGCAATACGGGGCGTGTGTGCGGTACCACCGGACAGGATAATCTCGTCGACATCCAGGACATCCAGGCCGGCCTTCTTGACGGCGCCCTCGACAAGGCGATTGAAGCCCTCGAAGACAGATCGGCCGACCATCTCGTAGCGCAACCTGTTGATGGTAGAGGCGAAGTCGACACCGTCCACCAGCGACTCGACGCTGAAGCTCGCGTTGGTTCCCAAGCTCAGTGCCTTCTTGGTGGCCTCGGCCTCGTACTTCAGCTTGGCCAGCGATCGGGCGTTCTCCCGCGGGTCGGTCTTGTGCTTCTTGATGAACTCCTTTGCGAAGTGGTCCATCAGAACCTTGTCCAGGGCGAATCCGGCGAACTCGTAGTCGTGGGCGGTAGCCAGGGTCGTGTACATGCCACCGCGGCTCGCGACAACCGTCACGTCGGAGCGAGTGCCGCCCAGGTCTGCCACCACAACGATCTTGTCCGTGACCTCAGGGGCATCGGGGCGCGCATCGTAAGCGAGGACCGATGCGACGGGCTCGGAGATGAGCTGCAGGATCTCGAGGTCGGCATCGTTGGCGGCCTTGACAAAGGCGGCCTTCTGAGCATCGGAGAAGTTGGTAGGCACAGTGACGACAGCGGAGGTCACCTTCTTGCCGAGGTAGTCGGAGGCGGAGCCTACGAGGCGACGCAGGTAGCGGGTTGTGACCTCGGAAACGGAGACTGTGGACGCTTCATCGCCCTCCTTGTCCTTAATGGTGAAAGCGATGGTGCTGTTGGATTCTTGAGGGTGGGCAGAAGCGTGGTTGTGGGTTGGGTCAATGGACTTGAAGTCTTTGCCTAGGAAGTCCTTGAAGTATGCAACAGTGTTGTTTGGGTTCCTGACCAGAAAGTTCTTTGCTTGACCGCCGTAGTACTCTTCGCCGTCGACGTAAGATAATATCGTGGGAATTTGTCGGTCTGTTCAAGTACTGTCAGAATAACAATATGGCTCCGTCTTGCCTTGTCACACTCACCTCCATCCTCATTTGCAATGACCTCTGCCTTGTCGTCGATCGTGTATGCGATAGAGCTGTTGGAGTTGCCAAAGGTGATACCGATAGCAACACGGTCGCCCGGCTGAGGGCTAGGCCCTGTGACTCCGTTCTCACTCATCTGGACGACGGTATAATTTGTGCTTGGGAGTGGAATTGCAGCAAAATCGATGTCGAGATTGGAGCACAAAAGAATCGCAAGGCTGAATGGTCGAGATAGTAGTCGGTGGTGGGGTTGAACTCTTCAGCTGCGAATCTGACCGAATTTTTTTGGCTGCTAGGAAATTCTACCGAGTCCCTTGCCAATGTCTGGGGGCCCCTGCCAGCTGGGCGTTCTCGCTGGTCTGGGCACCTCCATCAGAAGTACGTACCCTTAACTGATAACGATAAGAGTCACTCTCGCGGCAGGCACTTGAATTTATGAGGAACATCGAGCGCATCATCGCGAACGTCAACCTTCTTGTCATTGGACATTGAACTCGCAACATCAGGCGCCGCGAGGATGACTTCAACAGAGATACCTGTTGTCCTCCCAGGGGATACAATAGACCCCTCAAATATTCCTTCACACCCAAAGAAAGCACTCCAACTGGGCCCTGGACTGCGGCACATCCCACCAAGCACCATTCTGCCCACTGTCGCGGGGCAGCTTGTCTCAGACCGGAGGAAGAACTCATTGTGGGTCGAATACAATGGGGGAAGAGTAAGGATACCATCCACATGATTGGATTTATGGCAGCTGACAGTCGGTCTTCTGTAGTATGTACCCTCACAAGGTGACCTCGTAATCGGACAAGTCCACCACGGCGCCGCCGACTTCTACTACGTCCAACTCACTCCTCACACCTCTAACGCCCTTCTACCCGTCCTTGCGTTTGAGATGGCCACGAAAAAGACGAGACCGCAACTTGCAAACGGCCAACTGGTCTACGCACGGGTATCACTGGCGAACAAGCACATGGATGCCGAGTTGGAGTGTGTCAACCCCGCCACCGGCAAGGCCGACGGACTCGGCCCCCTGACCGGTGGCATGCTTTTCACTGTGTCACTGGGCTTTGCTAGAAGGCTATTGATGCCCAAGAGCACGACTGATGGAGGCGTTGTAGTGCTCGAAGAGCTCGGCACCATGGGACTTGGCTTTGAGATCGCGGTAGGCAGGAACGGAAAAGTATGGGTGAACAGCGAGGCTGTGAGATCCATCTTGGTGGTTGGCAGAGCACTCAAGGAGACAGATGAGGGTCATTTGGACGTGGAGGCCCAGAGAAAATTGGTGAAGAGGCTGGTCAGAGAGACTGTCTAGGTGAGAGCTGGGGACAGTACTGTGGTGCGCTTGAGTTCCGTCAAATGCAGTTTTGGAAGCATCAAGGCGCCTCAATAAATACACAGGAACGACGAAGGAGCTTCGGGGGCTGTGACTATTCATTGTCCTGCAAGCAATGTAATGGACTATTGCGCAGGGCCATCTACCACGCGACTTGACTCGCCTGCCCTGAGAAACAGAAAGGCAGAGATGAGCAGATAGAGCAGATGAGACAAAGATACCCGAACCATGTTGATAATGGCAGAGAAGCAAGAAGCTTACGCCTGAGGCAATGCAAAAAAAATAAAAATCCAACCATTGAGAGGCGACATTTCATCATTACCAACCCATCCAGGGTTTACCAAAGAGACGCCAAGTCACTCCTAATCACCGCTAATTCCCCTTTGCAAGGACACAACAAGGTACCATCTGGCAACACCTGACACAGCGCCAGGCCAGCTGCGTTGACCCAATCGCGTGGTATGAAGAAGTGTCGAGTCACAACGTCACCGCCTCCGTTGATATGTGCAGTGCAGACCCAGAGATCTTCGTCGAGAAAGATCATGCGGCCATCCGGAAGAAGGCCGACTACTTGCTCAACAATCTCGAGCAGGGCCGGCGTGATGGAGTGTGGTTTGATGATTTGCACGCCATCACCAGCAGTTTGCGCGCGTAAAATTGACAAGTCGAGTACTGATAATGTTTTCTTCCAGCTCCTTTCAGAAGTACTGTTGTTGATGACCATCAGGAGCTTGTCGTGGTCCCTGGAGGAGAAGATTTGCTGCAGCTGAGCTTGTGACTGCGCCAATGCAGATGGATCTGAATCAATTAGTATTTCGTGCTTGTGGTCGAGATTGGACCAGGCGAAGACATGTAGTCCTGAGCACGTCATGTAAATCAGGAGCTGCCCATCCACCGGGTGGCGCTCCCACACGCCATGTGTGTGTGGTGTGAGGATCTCGGTGACTATTTGACCTGTGGAAATATGCAGTATTTGTGTCTTTTCCCGAGCCGATATGAGCAGGAGCTCCCCTGTCTGGTTGAACAGGATCTGCTTCGGTGCTCCTCTCTTAGCTGCGGCCTTTTCAGAAAATACCTGGGTCTGCTTCACGGCCAATTTAGGGCTCTTGGCTTCGCGGTCCACGGTGATCTTCTTTACTGTCACACGTCCATTCCATGTCACGTAAGCGATGTGATTGTCCGTTGGACCCCAAGCGACTTGGACTACCCCCATCGCAAACGTTGACTTGGCAACAACATGTTTGAAATCGAGATCCATGTCGTAAATTTCCACCGTACCATCTTCATTGCCATAAATGATGAGCCGGAGCGACGGGTTAGCTGCGATAGTGGTGATGGCCGGCTTTCCACCAGCGTGGGCTTCTGACGCTGCGAAGGAGAAGTTTGTGCTTCTGGCATCTTCTGTATCTGACCATACGTCGTCACAGCCTGAGTAGCCCGAGCTGTCAGAATCATCTAAAGCTCTGTCGTCGATGAGCCGGACAAGACAGTTAGGCTCCCAGACATTGCAGTACAGCCCGCGTAAATCGTAGAATACTCGGCTGTCGGGACTGAAGCACAGCCCTTGAATGATATCCTCGGATGTAAGTTTGTAGATGAGAGCTAGGCCGTAAAAGTCGTAGATCTTCACAGAGCCCTTGACGTCTCCAGTCGCAAATACCAAGCCATTTGGGCTACATTTAATCTCGCTCGGCGTGGCGTTAGCATCCACGTCCACGGCCCTGACCTCGTCCACTGTATCATCAGTTGGAGACCATTTGAATATGTTTCCGTCGTAATAAATCCCAAGAACGAAGTTATTCGATGGATGCCAGGTCACTTTCATGGCACCGAAAAACGTGTTGCTCGTAGTAGTCTGCACACCTTTAAGCCTTCTCCTGATCCTGCCCACCATTTCTGGAGGATCGATGTTCCATACAGAGAGCGGAAACCCTCTGTACCCGATCGCCAGCTGGGTATTATCTGAGTTGAAAGCAACAGCCGAAGGAGCATTCAAGAATGCTCCCTCGCCTATGTTCACCTCTTCAAGGAGTGCCGGATCTGTGTCAACCCAGGCAGAAGACTTGTCGTTCAGCATCAGTCTGTGTACTTTGCGGAGATCCGTGGCGACCATCAAGGAGCTATCCTTTGGACCAAAACTCATAGCAACTGCTCGAGCGCGATGTGGATTGGGGCATTCGACAATCAGGGTGCCCGTCTCAACTTGCCAGATGTACGTGTATTTACTGCTGTAGCATGCCAGCAGCAGTCCCGAAGTACTGAGACATATTTGAAAGATAGGACAGTTCAACGAAAAATACCTCTCTCTCTGAAAGATCATGCGCCTCCATATTGTGATATTGCCGGCGGGTGAATCGTCACCGACTGCGAGGTACTGATCGGAGACTGCGACATGCATGGCTCGACTTGGACTTGTCGTTACACGTGCGAGGCAGTCATCCCAATCTGAAAGGGTTAGGCCTGAAACGGAGAATGCCTCATTTTTTGTGGCAAACTTTTGATGTATCATCGATCCTGCTGGGCATAGATGTGGGATGAGTCTGTAGACCAAAGAAGGATCTTTGACAAGGTGGCTCCCGAACTTTGCTGTTACTCTGAGAAGATCTACTGACCAGGACCCGAGATACTCCAGATCGGAGATGCGATGGAGAAGGGGAGATTGATCAGCATCAAACTTCCGCCTCTTCTGCGCAAAAGTTGTCAGAGACTTGGCAGCTTTGACAACCTCTACCAGTTTGTTCACTCCTGCCAAGTACTGAATCCAGGGCAACGTGTAAGGGCCCCTGAAAAATCGTAATATGATCTCCAAGGCTTTATCCGACTCAATAGGTATATGATCGAGATGGAAGGCCCAGGCGGTGGCCGCATATTCCAGGAAGTGCGGAGGCCTCTTCTGATTGATACGGGTCCGTAAATTTCGACTGCACAAAAGGGCAAAGCACTTTAGCAAATGACTCTCGTGGGAAGCTCTGCTTTCCAAAAGGAATGGCAATTCCTTTGACTTCCGTAAGTATTCTCTTGCGGTGTGGTGAACGAGAACGAGTTGACCATTTGAATCAATGGTGATAAACTGTCCTCCGACCTGACTTGCCGTGTTGCGTAGATCCATGATAGTTCCGAGTTCCGTAGGGTATGCTTCTTTCAATTCATCAACAGTCAGAGGCCTCTTTGCATAAGTCGCCCAGCCAAGGAGCAGTCTTGACAAAGCAATGTCTTCCTCAAATTCCAAAGTCGAGACCGCCTCGCACATCCTGAGGTAGAGCTGATCCATCCCGTCCGGTGTGGTGTCAAGGACCCGTTCAACATCTTCAGATCTGTGGCATCTCAGTACTCGTTTGATAACCAGGCTTGCCCAAAGGAAATTCCCATTCGAACGTCGAGCTATCTCCGCCACTGTAGATTCCTTAAAACTTTCGTCCGAGACCAGGTAATCCATTTCTTCAAGCGCAACTTGGCGGATGTCTGCGATATTCTGCTGTAGGGAGTGTGTTGTTACTGGAATGTTCTTGCTAGTCTTTTGGAAGGCCTGATTGATGACTGGCAGGGGCCGACTAAAGACAAGAAGGCGTATTGGTCCTTCGAATAAACCCAAGGTTGACATAGCTTCTATGAAGGCCTTACTAGACTCCGATTCGTCTAGCCCATCAACTACCCAGTAAATGTCTGATGGCAGAATGACCATGGACAACATTCTTTGGAATATTATCCTCCAGGCTGTCGGTCCATCGACCTTGTCAAGCTGCATCCCAGGCTTTGCATGCTCTGACAGCGTGCGCCGTACAGCAGGGATTTGGAAAGCCATCTGTAGCGCTAGAGAGCGAAAGCAGTGGCTGAGAGACCTCCTTGACTTGTCTCCGTATTTGAAGAAGTAATAACAGCAGGTGGCTCGTTGCTCCAGGAAGTGATCGATCACCAAGGAAGCTTGGATCGATTTCCCACTTCCCGGCGGAGCACTTACCCACAAAATGCAGGACTTATCAGCTTCCGTCCATTGCTTGAAATCTTTCTGTGTGAGGAATTCTTCGCAGGTGCCCTCTTTACGAAGCACCCGGAGCGCTGTGGCATCATCTGCCGGTGTCACCCCAACTGCTAGGTACTCCCGGATGTCTTCGATGCTATCCTCAAAAGCCTCCTCTGTTGGTCCAGGCGAGCTCGCAATTATCGACCCGACCACGCTGCGCATAGCACCTCTGACTGAGATATAATTCGGGTCTTCCACATCTGTGAACTTGCAGACGTCGTGGTGATTTGCATTCAAGGGCTGTGCTGTCTCATTTGGATATCCCAGCAAGGATGATGATTTGTCGAGGATCATCATATTCCGCGGCCCAACGGAGGTGACCAAGGTCTCGTAGAACGAGAAAATCCGCATTTTGGAAGCATGGTGACGAAAGGATTCGTTCAACTCATCGATAGTCACGCTATTCCTGGTGAGCTCGGTCAAATAATCCTTAGAGCTATGGCCAAAAATGGAGCTTGAGAGAATGCGATTGAGGGTCTCTGCCAAGTCACTCCCCCTGTGAGGTGTGGCTAAGAAAAGAACGGCTCTGATGTTTTTGATGATCCCTTGATACTCCTTGTTTAGAGATCCCTGGATAAATGCCCTCTTGAACACCAGGCCGCCCATTGAATGTGCCACGACAATGATGGGGGCGTCTCCGAGGGATTCGGTTTCCGCGTCTCCATACTTCATGCGAAATAGCAAGTCTGTCGCGAAATCACCAATCGTCTGCGAAGATGAGCCTTTTGTAGATGCGAAATGTGCGTTGTAACCGAAGGTCAAAATCCTGGCGCTCGAGAGCCCTGGCTCGTATGGTAGCCATAACTTGGGCCACAAGAATTCGGGATCACGACTTTTGCACCAGCTGCGAATACTCGTACCACCGAGTCCGTGTATGAAGAGGACGTCGACTTTTCGTGGTATGTCTGGCTCATGCAATACCGAGATTCCGAGTGGATCGTTGCGCCTGTCTTGAGACCGTTTACGCTGTATGTGCGGGGGGACGCTGAGCCCAAGCAACGGACCCGGCACGTCTGACAGGTTGCTTGCGACAGAGTCGCGGCGACAAAATCCAGGGTCCGATGGTTTGCGAGTTCGATCAGCTATAGGTGTGATAACGGGAGGCGAAGACTCCGACGAGCCTGCTGAAGGTTTGTTGTCGTCAGTGAGGCTTTGCTCTGCCTTCTGTTTGTACCGACGTCTCCACTGGAGGCGCTGTTAGTTGATGTTCAAGGGATGCAGCGGAAGACAACAGCTTACCATATTGCGAGTATCAATTCGACTCACCGGTTCTCGAGCAGCGCATTAACGAAGGATATCAATGCTTGCGAGAGACCCAGGCCACTAGTCAGGGCGTTGGCATTATCGAGAAGTCCGTGACAAGGCTGCGTAGCGAGAATCACCTCGGTGACTGACGAGACCAGTGGCTGGCTGCGGGGCAGAACGGCCGACATGTTCTCGCAATCAAATATCATAAATACATGGTTGCACAACTAAGGCCGCACCAAGCCACTATCCGTCACATGCATGCAACAGTTCGACCTGTATGGGCCGGGGCTCGGGATAAGAAGTCCAGACTCCTGCAGTTGGTGACACCCAGGATTTGTGGAGGCAAGATAGACCTCCTGGTTGGAGTCGCCTTGCGGCAAGAGTGCGGCTCAGCGCTTCATGTATTTTGGAACTGGGGGCTTGATGTTGCTGTGCCCAGCGCTAGTCTAACTATAAATTAGTCGGTATTCCCCGATCACTGTTGGTTCCATATGAGTGAATCTTCAGATCTCAGAGCCACTGCGCAACATGTCGTCCGGCCATAGCAACTTCAAGGTCGATAAGGCCGTAATACAAGGTACGTGTTCGTTGAACCATTCGCCTACTTTCTTATAGACGTGGGCATCTGACAAAGTAAATACAGCTTTTCCCAAAGGCGCCAAGCTGGTCCAAGCTGAGCAATACGGCCATTCAGCCTGGTCCTCAACTGCCCGTTTGAGTACCCAAAATGAAGATGGATCATCATTCGACTTCTTCCTCAAAGTATTTAACCAGTACATTCTTATTATATACATGGCCTTCTAACCATTGCCAGATTGTGACGGGTGCAGATGCGGAGGAAAGGGTGAGGGGAGAGTACTTGAGCATGCTGAGCATTTTCAACACGGTGCCGTCTTTTGTCCCACAGCCCCGAGGACATGGGAAGTGCTTGGAGTCAGACGGTTTCTTCTTTTTTTGCGACTACAAAGAAATTGACCATCGAGCTCCTGATCCCACTAGACTTGGAGAGCGACTTTCAGAGCTCCATCTCAAGTCCAGGGGCAAGTCTCCAAACGGCAAGTTTGGGTCCGATCATGTGCCGTATGATGGCAAACTGCCATTACTGGGCGAATGGGATGAGAGTTGGCTGTCCTTCTTCACGAAGCTCATGAGATTGTCGTACAACCACGACATCCGTGCCAATGGCCACTGGCAAGAGCTTGACGATGTGATGCAGGTTGTCTTCGACAAGCTCATCCCTCGACTTCTCGGACCCCTTGAAGGCAATATTGAGCCATGTTTGATCCATTGAGACCTCTGGGAAGAGAACATTGGCACTGATATCAACACCAATGAGCTGTACATCATTGATGCCGCGGCATACTATGCTCACAACGAGAAGGAGATTGGGATCTGGAGATGCGACCACCATCAGATGAAGTCGAAGGAATACATAAAGCAGTACCTCAAACACTTCGAACCCGATGAGCCGACCGAAGAATTTGAAGACAGGAATCTTCTGTACTCGGTGCAAACCAAATTCATGAATTGTGGCCATATGCCTGGCACGATCGTCAGGGCTCAGTTGATGGGAGATCTTAAGTATCTCATAGGGAAATACCTTGAAGGGGATGGGAAGTAAATGAACTACCGGCGCCATGGTAGAATATTCAAGACTTTAGCTGAAGTACCTGATCTGTCATTGGTTCTGCCAAATAGCAATTTTAAAATGCTACATATTACAGAAGCCGAATCTGCAGTTCGTGCCTCAACTGTTATGTCGGTCGTGCGATCCGCCCTCCACGCGCCGAAATGACGTGCCCTTCCTCATCAGCAGCATCAAAGCAGGCAGAGTGCTTAGGTACAAGCATCCCAAGATGACAAAACACCAGCCGACTCCTAAATGCCGTATCATAGCGTCCAAGGCAGCAAGACCTGCTGCTGCGATCTCACATCGAACAAAGTTATTAGCAGCCTGTGCCGCTGACGGTCGACCAGGGTGCAAGTCCACAAGCAAAGCATTGAGCGACTAAAGTCGTCAGCTCATGGATCGTTCATAGTCTGGATGTCGAGAAGACTGTACCGTAAAAAGCAGCTGGTTGGTGAAACCAATCAGAAATTGAAGGACCAGGGGCACAGCCATGATCTAGAACAATTGTGAGCTTTTCCGCCGCCTTGCACGTGTTACCTTCCCCTCGAAAACACTCACAAGTTGGAACTGGAGTGTCCACCCATATGCAATGATCAATACACTGCACACACACAGAGAAAAAGTGGCAGTCCTCAAACGAGCGTACTCGATTGGAAACCTGGACAAGTCGTCCCCTCTCGACCTATCTATGACGAAGCCATTTTCTTTGGCAGTCCGCTGATAATCATAATCCAGGATCTTACCTGGCAGTTCATCAGCAATTTGATCTGTGCGAGGACATTTTGAAATGGCCTCATACCTGTGAAAAAGGCCCCGATAGCACAAGCAACGCCAAAAGGGATATAGCAGAGGCCAGCGATGAAGCCAGATACACCATAAGTGCTGATAAAAACAGTGGACAGCGAGGCCTGCAAACAAGAATAGGTCATATAGTAAACAGCAAAACACGATACAGCTATGGCTGTCCCTGGGCTTTTGAGGATTGCTAGTGTTGAGAGAGGATTAGCAATTACAACACACTTGGAAGGCATCCATGCCCTCCCTGAAGAGCAAGGTGATTCAACCGGTGCAATTTGAGCTGAAAGCCAGGGGAGCAGTGGCCGATGTATCGTGCTAGCCTGAATGCTCCCATTGCCTACTTGCTTCCGTGAAGTTTCAGGGAGCAGCAGGATGACAATTAATAATGTGATAGGGGACGCAATTGACAAGAACCAAAATACAGATGGCCATTCCCATCTGATCAAAAGCAATCCGCTGATGACAGGTCCGACACTTGGTGGAGTATTGAGGCTTGAGCGAGTTAGAATGTGGGCCGAAGACAATTTTGAGGGACGCACAAAACAGAGACAGTGCCCGTATAGCCACCGCGCTCGGCCGGGGTAAAGAGATCTCCAACAACACCGTATGCAACTGAAAAGGTGCCTGAGAGACAGCGTCGTTTAGCAAAAGAAGATAAAATGGTCCGTCCAATCGGAACGGAAAAAAATATATCTCACCAGATATGGCGGCGCTCTGAAGCATCCTAAGTCCGAATAAGGCTCCATAGGAACGTTGTAGAGCCAATGCTACATTGGCCAAGAAATAGACACCCAGGGAAGCAATGAACACGGGACGGCGCCCAAAAAGATCGGCAACGTCACCGGTAATGGAAGGAAATATCCCTGACGCGATCAAGTAAGATGTTACCGTGAGATTGATGTTCTCAACGCTGACTTTCAGGTCTTTGGCAATGAATGGTATGGCAGGGAAGTAGATAAAGCTGCTGACTGTAGAGAACCATCCCACAGAAGCAGCAATGGTCACGATGTACTTCTTCTGTGATGGAGTGAAGAAAGAATACATGCTCAGTTCGCCGCCTTCTTGATCCGTTTGACCCGGAGAAAAATCTCTCCTCTTCTTCGAATCAACGGCGGCTGTCTCCGATGTCACCTCAGGTACGCGATTCCGGTCCAAGTCAACCTCAATCTGGAGGTGTGAGGCCATCATGACTAGACCGGTGGTATATTAAACATGAGACCAACGATCGAGCATCCACGGTCAGCGCCACGGGAGAATATGAACAGACACACACGCATTGATTGATCAGACAATCTGGAGGTGTTCTCTGACTCGACCCAGTTTCGAGCTTGAAAAGAAATGTCCCAGAGCTATAGTTCATACAACGGGACAGCAATCTGGGATCGGACGAGGTAAGATACTGTACTTTGTTTGTCTAATCGTCTCTATGGCACATGTGAATCAGAACGGGCCCAGAACCGATATTGAAAGTCGAAGACATCAGAGAAGCGGGGTACATTTGGTGCACTATAAACCAATGTTCATACCCCTCCATGACACCCCGGTGCATTGCATATATGCATCATCAGCCACACGGAAAAGAGAGCAGCATGCCAAAAGTTTGGGTGGACCAGGCATCATAATTTGCCTCTTTCATGGATGGGATGCCAGAAGGAGTAGAGAGATATGACAAGGGATACAAAGACCCAGTTCTATTGTACTAAGCATTACAGGAGAGAAAGGAGGTCTGAGTGGAGTATGGAAGTGCGTTGCGAAGTACACACCTCGATTCAAGTTGTTCCCCAGATAGGACGCAATAGCTGGATTATACTTATGGTAGCGACATTAGATACGCTCTAGCAATTGATGTTTGACAATTCCAGTATTTTGCACGGTGAAATTAAGTCCAAGGCGGAAAGCACTCGAGATCATATTGAGGTCATATCCAATCACTTGCTCAATGGTCAGTGATCTTCTAGTTGGACTTTGGGTTCTCGGCTCAACTCCACAAAATAGGAGATAATCGTGGAGGCTGAATGACGGAAACAAAGACTCGGATGGAATCACTCTGATCTAATGACGCTCTCCCCTGAGATTTACAGTTCTTTCTCATATCTTGCTGAAATGGTTGGCCACTACGTAAAGACACCGTGCCTTGTCCACCTGGGTATTCTGCCTTTCTTGGATAGTTATCCAACACTACCACCTGTATTTCATTTCCACAGACTTGCGTAGATGACCCGTTCGCCCTTGAAGGAATTTCTTGAGTGGAGTGTCACCCAATTATCGACAACCAAAACGTCGCCTCGCTTCCATTCAAATGCCACAGCTAGCTCGTTCATGATGTCTTGACACCTGCGCAGGATGTCCGCATCGAGAGGGCTACCGTCTCCAAACACCACCGCCTTGCGCGGATCATTCCGCGTGTCTTTCCAGCCCGTGAAAGCTGCCACAATACTGTTGAACCACGATGTCTTCCCGGTACGCGGGTCTTTTTTCGTCGCTGGAATGACAGCGGTCGTCGTCTTGAGGAGGTTGCCCTCCAGCCATTCTAACTCCATCCCCATCTCCTTCCCAGCTTTTTCGGCGTTCTCTTTGGTGCTCACCGCGAATGTGGACATCCACCCTCTACCTATCGCGCTCGAGGGGTCGTCGACCTCAGGCAAGACCCTGACATACCTGACGCCCTTCTCCTCCAGCTCTGATACGAATTGCGGGAACTCTCCCCTGATCCGCTCATACACCAGGTTGGAAAGTACAATGGGTGTCTCTCCCCCCTCTGGTGGCGCCTTCATGCAGAAGAAGAACAGGACGCCGGGGTGAGTCTTGCTTTGAGCCATCTCATGGTGGAAAGGGATGAGCTGGTCGGCGGGGGACTCGTTGGCGGTGAAGACGGAACCGGTGATGACAGTCCGCGGTGCTGCCCCGCCGATGTATGGGAATTCAGCCAGCCCAAAGGATTTGCAGACAGCATCGAAGTCTGCGGCTGTGGAGACCGGTGGACAGAAGTCACGGAGCAGAATGGCGCCATGGGTCTTGGCCAAGTCGACCAGTTGCTTCTGGTTTCGCGTGATCCAGGCAGTGACTGCGTCGGTCGTGTTGAGAGCGGTCGTAGGTGTATTGAGCTCAGATTTCCCAGGGTTGAGAACGAGTGGGAAAGAGATTGTTGTGCCGTCTATATCGAAGAGTTTCTGGGCAGGAATGTGGCTGACTTGGGCCGGACTTAGATCCGGGAGGGCGGACATTTTGTCTATCCAATTTGCGTATTAGAGAGTTATTAGAGGCAAATGCTGGATAGAGTGCCTCTCGATGACGATTACCGGCTTCGTTTCTAATGTGCTAAGTTTACATATAGGAAAATTCTAAGTTGTTCAGGTCCGTACATGTCAGTTGATTTATTGTCAAGAATCTTCACATACGGGCCATCGGCGATGGCGCAATCGGCAGCGGAACGGAGACGGGGGCCTGAACCCGGACAGCATGATTACGCCATCGGCCGACATTTTCTCCGTTTCTGCAACTGATCGAACGATTTCATATGCAGTGCAACTCTCAGAATACCATTTTGCTGCCTTCAACTTATTCTACATAAGAGTCACCGAGTTGCTGTCACCATGCTGGGTGGACTCGGAGCCCCTGAGATGCCATTGGCCAATGTCCCATGCGTTGGCGCGCAGCTGAGCCTGCGGGGAGCGGTGGGATGACCGACTATTCCCACACAGCCCGCCTGGTCACAGGGCGGATTTGCGCAAAACGCCCATTGAGCCGGGAGCCTTATGATTGAGGCAAGGCATTAAAAGTAATCCCAAGCCCCAGATCACCCGGTCTCAGAGGGGCGGCGTTGTAAGCACTTTCAACACCGCTCTGAAGGAGCCTTGTTCGGTTAGTAGCTGAAGATGGCCGACTTTCATGGCATTGCCGACATGCACCATGGGCACCGTGGGCACCGTGGCGTCCTCGAAGGAAATGACTCCGGCCGACCCAAGGCCGAGAGGGACCGGACCACTGAGAATCCACCCAAACACCCTCGGATTCGGGCCAGAAAGCCAAAACACAAAACAGGATGCGTCACTTGCATGTGAGTCCACGATCCTTGTGCATGAGACGCATGAGAGCTCTCTGGAGAAGGACTGAAGTTGAGATACCGCTGTAGAAAACGAAGAATTAAATGTGATGAGAGGAGGCCTTCTTGCACACAGTGCACCCGCTCGAAGAAGATCTGCGCCGGCTACCCTCCGTCTCCAGAACCGGTGATGCCCTCCCGAGACGTCAAGGTTGCACCCCAACCAGGGAATGCGGGTCGTGAAGGTAAGCCGCTTTTCTTGTCGGTTGTAGGGCCCGTCGTGTTACCGTGACAGATCCCATCATACGCTCGATGGTTCTGTCTAACTTATATGTCCTTCTAGACCTCCATCTATCTGCAAATGCCATGCTTCAAGCTGGGAAGAAGGCTCCGAGGCCTACAAATGTGAATATGGGGGCTTCGATACCTCCAATCCATTCAGCAGGCAAAGCGGACCCAACTATGCGTCCGCCACCAGTAAATCCACACGCTGGCCAAACCAGTGTCGGAAAGTCTAGAAACACTCTTAAATATGATATCTGGAACAAACCATCAACACCGGTGGCAATTCCAGGAAAAACATCACGCAGTTCGTTAGGAAGACTGGGCTTATGCACATCGCTTGTAGAGAGCACAGACATCCTTCTTTCGCAGTCCCTTCTCGAGCAGTGCCGGCTTGACGAAAGCCCTGGAAGCATCAGTCCGAGGTCCAGCGAAGCAAGCTGGAAATCGAGGTGGTGGTCTGATGCTGCGGACAGCAAGCAGACGTCCCTTTCGACATGCAGAACGTGGGGATCCTCCATAGGACAAGCTCAAACCGTGGAGGAATACAACTGTGAGGACCAGGATGACATGGGACAAGAGAGATCGAAGTTTCCCAAACAGCAGACTGCTACACAGAGGTGCTGGAGCCATGTCTCTGCCTTGACCTCTATGCTTGGCAAGGCCCAGGGCCCGGAGCCAGTGTGCCCCCCAAAACACGATATCTGGGCGTTGATGGCGACGGCGAGAAAGTTCCAGCCTTGCTTAGGTAGGCTTGCCCGTTGCTCAGGACAGAACAATAGAAAGGCTCAGAGCTGCCCCAACCCTCAGACTCAGAGAATCCTCGATGAAGAGGCCCTGAGCCCCTCCAGCGCTTCGAAGCCTGTCGCGATCCCAGTGTCAAAGTCGCCACTCGGTCGCGCTGCTCGTGGGGGCGAGTCAGCGGACACGTTGTATACCAATTCAGACCAGACATCGGCAATGAAAACCTCAGTGAGCAGCAGCTCATCACCGGGTCTGCTGTCACGCGAAGAGCAGAAAAGACTTCTCCTGGACCGACTCATGGAGTACTTCTTCGCGGTGCTTGTAAGGGGTCAAACAAAGGTCGGAGGCGGATCAGGATGCTCTGCAAGTCCAGGCTCGAAAGCAAGGAGAGGTGCATCGAGCTCCAAGGGAGCAAGCCCAAAGAATGGGCCATCGAGGAAGGGCAAGCGGCCCGCCAACAGCGACGAGCACGGAGGGTCCGACAACGAGGACAACGAGGCGCCGAAACCGAAGAAGGCCAAAAGTGAAGAGACCGAGGTCAAGAGGCTCGCCTGCCCCTTCTTCAAGCGGAACCCGCACAGGTATAAGGACCAGAGTAAGTGCGTCGGGCCAGGGTGGACGACAGTACACCGGCTCAAGGAGCACCTCTACCGGCGCCACATGCTCCCGATCCACTGCTACAGGTGCCACGAGGTGTTCCCGAGCGACAGGCTGCTGCAGCTGCACTCGCGGTCCGAGGCGCAGTGCGCGCTGCGCGACGACTCGGCGCACGGGCTCGAGGGCATCGACGCGGCGCAAGAGCGGCTCCTGAGGAGCAGGAGGCGCACAGATCGGAGCGAGGAGGACAAGTGGCGCGATGTTTTTCGCATCTGCTTCCCAGCCGACATGCCCGACGCCATGCCCACTCCATGGTTCGAGCTTCCCGCCTGGTGCGAGAGCCCTTCGGCCGCCGGCGGCCCGGCGTCGGATATCGCGCAGTACGAGGAGTTCCTCCGCAGGGAGCTCCCGCGGCGGGTGAGGGGCGAGCTGGAGGTCAGGATCGAGCAGGAGCTTAGTCCCGTCGAGGAGAGCCTTAAGCGCCAGCTGGTGGATATTGTGAGGGACATGCAGCAGAGACTGTTTGCGGACTTTAGGAGGCTGCAAGGGGAGGGGGCTTCTCAGCGGGATGAGCCCAAGGGGGACGAAGAACTGGGACGCTGTGAGCTAATGGGCGATGGTGATGTGAAGGGGAAGGGAAAGGCTGTGGCGTCTCAGTCGCCTGAGCAATTGACTTTCGAGACCTCAGGGACATCTCTTAACGACACCATCGACGAAACACCCATCAGTACTGGCTGGACCACCAGTCAGCCGATCGCAATGTATCGGCAGCCACAGCCGTTCTTCGACAATGCGGCGAGGTTTGACGGCGTGATTTTTGACCTTGGCCAGAGCTGCGGGGACTGGAGCTGGGCCGACTCGGGGTACATGTCTGCTGCGATGTCTGCGGCCAGTAGTAAGATTATGGCAGATGAGGATAGTATGCTGTGTGACGACGGAACGATCGGCGGGCAATTTGGTCAAGCTGGGGCGTATGGGGAATATCGTGATGATTGGACTTGAAGCGAAAGACAAATGGAGGGGCTGGAGATTAGGATCGATGATATTTAATCCGTCCAGACTGAGAACATGGCCTCAAGCTCAATACCTGCTTTTGAAGACATCCTTTTCATCCCTAATAATCATTGCTCACTTGACCCAGCGTGTTCATTTGATTTCATCCGCCAACGCCTGCTCAAATGACTTCCCAGTGAGCCTCTGGAAGACCTCCTTGTACTTCTGCAGCGTCGCTTGCCTTACGTCCTCGGTCAGCTCGACGCCCTGCTTGCCCTTGAGCCCCTCCCGCGTCAACCAGTTGCGGATGATCTGCTTGTCGAAGCTCTCCTGGTCCCTACCGACCTCATACTTATCGGCGGGCCACATGCGGCTGGAGTCGGGGGTCAGGCACTCGTCGATGAGGACGACCTCGCCCGTCTCCTCGTCGAGGCCGAACTCGAACTTGGTGTCGGCGATGAGGATCCCACGCTCGGCGGCGTAGTCCCTGCCGGCCTTGTAGACGGCAAGCGCCAGCTCCTGGACGCGGGCCGCGTGCGCAGGGTTGCCGATGATGGCGGCCGCGCGCTCCGGGCTGATGTTCTCGTCGTGCTGGCCCAGCTCCGCCTTGGTGGACGGCGTGTAGATGGGCCCCTGCGGGAACGCCTCGCACTGCCGCAGGCCCGCCGGCATCGCGAGCCCGCACACGGTCCCGTGCTCCTGGTACTCGGCCCACGCCGACCCCGTGATGTACCCGCGCACGATGGCCTCGACCGGGAAGACCTTGTACTTGCGCACCTGCATGCTGCGTCCACGCACGAGGGCCACCTCCTCGGGCGTCAGGCGGTCGGCAGGTGGCTGCAGCGTGACGAAGTGCGTGCGCAGCCCGGGGATCTTCTCTGACAGCACGCGAAACCAGAAGGCGCTGATCATGGTGAGGATGGCGCCGCGCCCCGGGATGCCGTTGTCCATGACCACGTCGTAGGCCGAGGTGCGGTCCGACGACACGAAGAGCAGGGTCTTGGCGTCGAGGTCGAACAGGTCGCGCACCTTGCCTGACGCGACCCGCGGCAACGACTTGATGTCGATCTTGAGGACTTGGTCGGTCATTTTGGCTGGGGTTTTCTCCTCTGCTATGATATCTGAGATGAGACCCTTTTGATGATAGTGGAGCTTGCCCTCAGCGGACGGGTGAGTCGTCTGTGCAGAACGTCTCAACGTGGGAAAGGTATCTGCAATCTGGTTAGCCCAATGGCTCTAGGGTGATAGTGACGAGTTTGAAGAATTACCTAAATGACGTGTAGAACCTAGAATTTGATAGCAGCCTCCTGACTTTGGGCAGCGTGGTAAGAGAGACCGGGTGACTCTTCAAGTTGAGACCCTGAAAAGTTTGCGTTATGTAAGGGCGATCGCGGAGACGGCGTCGGCTATAACCGCAACTTAAAGGCAACCTTAAAACCACTCTCAGAATTGTTGAACTACATAAATGAATGAAGCTCAGGATTTGGTTGCTGATTCCACTCCAAAGAAACGACTTCGTCTTGATGTTGAGACAATGAGCTTCGCAGAACGCGGCGGGCTGAGAGGGTTACTTGATGTGCTGTGGCGTGTCACACACCTCACAACAGCATCTCTAACCTCAGGTGATGCCCCGAGTCGTGGTTCCGTTGCTCATCTCATCCCGTATTGTATAGCATGACCGTATACCTTGCAAACTGAATAAGGAGGCACTCAGACACATGTACAAATATGCAAAAAGATGAACTTCCAGTCCATGTGAGAATGGCTGACTACACTGCAACGTGCCCCCCATGCAACCCGGGGGCACGCCAACGAAATCACTTACAACCATTTTGTTCCTTGGTCAGCCCACACCAGTGCAAAAGACCAGAACACTGCAAGTCCGACCGATCTCAGCTGTTTCGAGTATATGTGTGTATGGAATATTCATCGAGACAGCCTTGTTTACACTGAGCACCATATACGATGGGAACTGTCCCAAAGCCTTCCATCAGACTGGATGAGCTCTCAGCTTCATCAGACCAGGCAGGCGGATTTGACCCAAATAGTTGCAATTTTTTGAAATACATCCCACTCTGCGAGGTAAGTAGGACACGGCTCCAACATGCCGCACACAAAGAGCCATACTACGAGCTGCAGCATGCTGTGTTGCGTGTCTAAGCTTGGCGGCCGCAAATGGAGGCCCGCGATCGAGCACCACTGTCAGCTCTACTGTGTAGGCCATGTGTACTTTCAAAGATACTTTTGTTGACACTTCAGGATGCCAGGAATCTTAGCACGTTTGGATTTGGGTGTATCTTCACTCAAAGGTCATCCGCGCCAACATCATGTGTGCACGCGTGGATCGTGTTCCCATGCCAAACTCTTCCGTTGTTATTGGAAGAGGAGGTACGCTCTGTGGATCAATGGTAACAAGGTTCGTCAAAATGAGAAATCAGGAAACGAGAGCATTACACAGGGCCGACGAGCCAGGGCCGATCATCTTCGATGGCCAAGGCCTAGGTCTAGCAAGGTGCTGACAGCCCTACGTAAACGACATTCGCTTATCACTTTTGGCTGCTTCTCCTTGATAGTTCATTTGCAACGGCGATCTAGGTAACAAGCTCCACGAGTCCAGGCGAACACGCTCTCCGTTGAGGTCGTGAAGAGCGAGACATGCGGAGAGTTGAGAGATGGAACAACGAGACATATGTGCACGCAAGCGAAACACGCCCGTTGGAACAAGCAGCCTGGCAGTGTAATGGTACGGGGAGAGACACGATGGAACATGGACGGCTTGCCCGGGCCAGCATTGATGTCACGGTGGTGGTGAAGAAAGGGCTGCGGCCAACGCCCAGCTTCCGCCCAGAGCGTCATGGCGCGCCCAGGCCAGTGCCAAGCTCTGGGGACAGTCACACCCAGGTCACTGATCCAAGCAATTGGCCTGCGACAAAGGACCAAATGGCGTCTTGATTGGGTATCGCGGCTAGAAACTGCCGTTGATGTGGTGGCGGGTTTGTGACGACGACTGAGGTGGAGTTGATTTGAACCTGAGAGGCCTTGAAGGAATGAAGCTCTAGGCTGAGGGGGGAGGAGAACAACAGCATTCCTAGGTAGAAATCCCCGACTGTTTAGGCCAAAGCCAGATGGGCTGGCAGGCTGGATGGGCTAGCGAGCGGGCAGCCACGCACTCCCGCACCCCGCTAGGCTGCTTTGGCCCGAACACCTGGCTGCTCTGGACCAACCACACCACAAGTCTGGCGATCATGCATCTTGTCGGCGCCTTTTTCGGTTTGCCATTGCCGAGAAAGCCTGCTGCTGCTGCTACTCCACAAGCAAGGCACCCGGCGACAATGACGATCGTTGCTGCAGCTCCAGGCATGGGCATGCGAGGAGCCCTGTCGCTCTTTAAAGTCCCATCGCCCTGGGGCCCATCGTAATTATGCTCTTTCATGCTCCCATTGCCTCGATATACGCCCCCTATCCTGACTGATTGGGCAAGTCTGAGTGTGGACTGGCTGGTCAGTGTTGTTGTCGTTGGCTTTTTTTCAGCCCTTTCGTATCGCAACCCGGCTTGAATTTGCCGTCATACAGCGTGAACCGCCAAGTTGCTACTGCAGCTCAGCTCAGGGTGTTTGTCTCAACGAGCTGTCAGGGCTCATCGGAGACATCACCGCCACTTGTGCAACCCTCTTTGTGCCTCTAAATTAACTAGGTTTCTCATATTCACGCCACGGGAGGAGCAGGGCTAGATCTATCATTAACGTTAATAAGTAGAGCAGGGCAGCTTCCAACATCTCCGGGACGAGAGAGTCAGAGGTCTTCGTTGGCTCACTGCACCGGTGCCAACATGAAATCCCATGTAGCACCCGCGCTCCTCGCGCTGCTGGCGACGACGGCATTGGCAGACGTGCTTCGGATACCAGTCTCCAGGAATTCACCGGGCACCGTCACAACACGAAATCCCCATCTTTCCAAAAGGGCCTCTTTCGCCGAGTCCCTGGTCAACAATATCACAGGCGGCGGATACTATGCCAGCGTTTCTGTTGGTACCCCGGGCCAAGACATTGATATGGTCTTGGACACAGGGAGTAGCGACGCCTTTATAATAGCCAGCGACGCAGACCTGTGCGTGAGCCCGAGGTTACAGCTACAGGATCAGACGTCGTGTGGGCAGACATGTGAGCTCTTCTACCATTTGACTCCTCTCTGCCAGGGATTCGTGAAGGACAGTCGGCATACATGGTTTCAGTGGTCTGAGTTCCACGAGGGCGTTCACTGGAGCAGCACTATATTCGACGCCTGGCAGAAGGATAGCATGTGGATACATCTTGATGGGCAGCCTCTTAACGGGTCGGTAACTGTACAACTTTGACCAACTGCTGACCATGAAAAACAGTCGATCCATCCCAAAGTTCCACATACGAGGTCCTCATACCTGGTGGCTTTCAAATACAGTACTTGGACGGCAGCACTGCATCAGGAGACTACATCGCCGATCACTTCGAGATTGGCGACACAGTCATTGAAGCATTACAGATGGGCCTTGCCAACGAAACAGCTTCAGGCACGGGAGTTCTTGGAATCGGTTTCACTGCTAATGAGGCGGCGGAGGTCGCTTATCCAAATCTCGTGGACGAAATGGTGGAGCAGGGCCTCATCCCCACCAAGGCATACTCTCTCTACTTGAACGACTACCAGTCATCCACCGGTAACATCCTGTTTGGTGGTGTGGACACGGAGAAGTTTATAGGCAGCCTGACCGTCATACCCATCCTGCCGGACGCACAAACCGAGAACTATACCAGTTTCTCGGTAAACATGACCGCGGTCTCCTTTGCCTTCCCCAACGGGACGACATACAACGCGACCTTGCAGGACAACGGCCTCAATGCGGTTCTGGACTCCGGGACTACACTCTCATACTTCCCTGACGACCTCGCGGCGCCGTTCTTCAAGGCCCTTGGTGCCTACACATACAGCTCCCTTGGCTCTACCGGCCTCACCATGGTCGAGTGCAGCCTCCTCGACTCGGGGCTGAACCTCACGTTCCGCTTCAACGACTCGGTCTCAATCACGGTGCCGGCCGACGAGCTCGTGATCGACGCCTTCGGGGACTACCGCGGCGCGATCCCGGCCTCAATCCCGCTGGAGAGCCCCTGCCTCTTCGGGATCCAGAACTCGGGCGACTCGCTGCCAAGCGAGAACGCGCGGCAGATCGACTTTGCGCTGCTGGGAGACACGTTCCTGCGCAGCGCGTACGTCGTGTACGACCTCGACAACAGGCAGATCGCGCTGGCGCAGGCGAACCTCAACAGCACCGACACCAACGTCCAGGAGCTGACTGAGACGTCTGACCTGGCTTCCTTTCAGGGCGTGGAGGAGCAGCAGCAGCAGTCGAGCGGCACGTCTGGTGGCGGCAGCACGGGGACGGGCACGGGTTCTTCGGGGAGCAGTACGGGTACGTTGTTTGTGAGCAGTGTTGGGAGCGGTATTATTAGTAGTGCTCTGTCTACAAGTGTGGGCAGCATGACTTCAAGGGATACGAGTGTGGGCGCGTCTAGTACCGGAAGGAGTGTGACTGCTGCAAGCACAAGCACGATTTCGAGCCCGGGCATGAGCCTGAGCGTTACCTCGAGCCCGTCTAGCTACTCTTCTCCTCTGGCTAGTGCCAACAGGACCGTACTCAGCAGCTCAGAGGTCCAATTCGTCTCTGCGACTTTTACTAATGGCGTCACAGCTTCTTCTTCAGCCAATGCGGCCTCGCGGGGGCTTACAACGGGACACGAGGCTATGTATACAATTGGACTGGCGATGTTGTTTGCTATTTCTGGAAGTACACTATTCTGGCTATAAATTTGAAATATCAAGGGAATTGGGTAACAAATTCCCGGGGGTAGTATATGGCAATGTCAGAACGAAGATAGGTCTGCATCCTCGCAATCTTTTGGCGAACGGGCTATCAGTGCCCTGGGAAAAGGCATAATAGACACATAATATGCTGTCCTTCCAACACCACCTCCATGAGTGATATCCGTATGCCAACTGCCAATATTCTCTTTTGGGTCGTTCCCACCTGGCCTATTAGCACCGTTGAAATCGATCGACATGTTGTCATTGAGAAGTCGGCTGTGGTTTTGGATTGACCACAGCTCCATGGCCCTTCTCCCCAAGCCTCCGCGGCCTCACCACCGGTCCCATAGCATCAGGGACAAAACCGCCCTCCCCCTCGACCTCGGCACCATCACCCCTTAGCTGGCTACTTACTCCCCTCGCCTCAGCCTCATCCTTACCCTCAGCCTCGGCCCCGCCCTCAACCCTCTCCCCCATGACCCCGTCCCTATTCGCCCGCCACACCGCGCTCCGGTCATCCTCAAAGGTCTCGAGCTTCCAGATCTCGGCGCGCGCCTTGACCTCCTCGAGGCACTCCTCGCCGGCGCGCCACGCGGCGGCGCGGTGCGGGCTCGACACGGCGATGAGGATGCTCTCCTCGCCGACGGGCACGACGCCCAGGCGGTGGACGACGGCGACGCCCTTGAGCGCGTGCTTTGTGAGCACGCCCCCCGCGATGCCCTGCAGCGTCCGCAGCGCCAGCGGCGCGTACGACTCGTACGACAGGTCCAGCACCGCGCGGTTGTTGAAGTTGTTGCGCGTCGTCCCTGCGAAGAGCACTATGGCGCCGGCCTCGGGGCTGCGTACTTTGTCCATGATGGATTTTGCGTCGAGGGGCTCGTGGGTCAGCGCCACGTAGATGCCGGGCGAGGTGAGGGAGGTTGTTGTGCTGGGATCGGTGGCCATGGTGAATGAGTGAGCCCCGGGGGGTCTGGGGTGTTTGTGAGGGCGAGATCTGGTTCAGTAAGGCTCGATGTGGCCTTGTAGGGAGCACATGAAGTATTGCCAAAATGAGTCTGCTAAATGGCTCGCCGGTCCCAGTTGGACTTTTGATATTGACGTCAGGGCTCTTCGATACCCCTCGAGGGTCGAGGGTTGCCTTTGTTAATGGTGATGCTAACTACAATGTCTTAAGATTAGCCATTTCGAGATCAAGTAGATGATAGCAAAATGCAGGCCTGGACTCGCAATTCAGCGGTCATCTTTTTCCTATAGACGTGGAATTGGCTGGACTTGTATAGATGGATGGCCGATCCGGAGCAAGGTGCCGGCGCTGTGGAGCTCTAGGCTCCGGGGCCGTCCTCGGCGATCGGCCAGGGGCCTGGGCCCATCTGCAGGGTTCAGGGTCCGCTACGATGCGAAAGCTCGAGCTCTAAGTCCACTCAGCGCATTCTCGCCGATAGCTTCGACCGCATCTTCATTTCCACTTCATCCCATCCAAGCCACGTCCGATTCAATCAACCGAGCCAGTCCAGTCTGCTTTTCAGTCTTTTTTCCCATTTTGTTCCGGTTTTGCTTCTGTGTTCTTCCTTTTTCACCGCCACAATGTACGACGATGATAGACCGCGGCACCACTACAGAGCAAGATCGCGCGAACGAGACTACAACCGGGACTACGATCGTGACTATGACCGAGACTACGACCGAGGACGAAGCAGCTATCGCCGTAGCTCCAGGTCGCCGCGCCGCGAACGGGACGAGGGCGATTATGAGTACTATCGCTCGCGGAATGGTAAAACCGCACTGCCTGGAGGATGAGAAGCTCAAGCATGCCCTGTCGAGGGGCTGTCATGTTCGTCTAAGCTAACCCGCCGCCCCAAAACAAAGACGATCAAGGTCCTCTACCCTACGACGATGACCAACCCGAATACCGCAGCCGTGATCGTGATCGCGACCGAGACCGCGACCGCCGCCCATCATCACGCTCACCTCCAGGGCGTCGACACGCACCGCCTCCCGCCCAGCCATCTCCCACCATCATCGTCCAAGGCCTGCCCGGCGACGCAACCGAGGACGACATAATAGACGGCTTCGCGAGCGTGTCGCCCGACCTCAAGGTGTTCAACGCGGACAATATCAAGACCGTCCGGCTGCGGAACAACGGGCGCGGGCGGACGATCGGCTTCGTCGAGTTCGCCGACACCAACGCCGCCGCCCACTTCTTGGAGTTTCACTACCCCTCGCTCGAGTTCCAGCTGGCGCACTCGCGCGGCGTCAACTCAGAGCCCGTGAGCGTCAGGATCAATTACAGTTGGAGCAGAGACGACGAGGGCTACGATCGAGTCAGGGAGGATAGGCCCAGGGACACGGAGGATTGGAAGTGTGCTGAGGTGCGTCTCCGCGCTGGGTGCCCCCTGGCTGAAAATGTGCTGACAAGTCGTTTCCAGTGCACTTATATGAACTATGGCTCAAGAACACGATGTCACAGATGCCGTGCCGATAAGCCAGGTGAGTGCCGGCTTTTTTTAAACTGTGCCGGGGCTGGTAGCTATGAGTGAGAGGCTTTACGCCTCCACGTCTAGCACCTTGGTCATCCTTTTAGCTAGACATCTCGGAACTCTCCACTCTGACGGAACAAAAGCTGACAGAATCCGTAGAAGGGCATTATCGCAGGAGAGATGAGTCCGCTTCCTACGGGCCAAAGCTAACAGGCGAGACGGATGAGGATCCACAGCAGTTACCATCGCAGTATGTTGTCATTCGTGGCCTAGAGCCTTCGGTGACAGAGGAAATCTTTGCAGAAGGCGTCAAGAAACTCTACATTGAATCAAAGCCGGAGCCAAAGAAAGAGACGCAAAACAAGTTGAAGTCGACAGCGCCTACGGCGAGGACAGCAAGTCTTGGCGCAAAACCAGACTCTCTTCGGCGAGTCTTCCTCGTGCGAGACAAAAAGACCAATGACGCGATGAGATACGGTTTCGCAGAGTTTGCCACGCTTGAAGATGCCCAAGGTGCGATGGAGAAGTTCAAGGCATCGCCCAAGTTTGCCATTTCCTCGAAACCGGTCACGGTGGCTTTCATCCATACTGGTGTTTTCATACCTCATGCTGGCCGTATCACGGACGAGAACAGCAGCTTCCTCTTCCATCCCATCTACAATAAGGACATCCTCCTCAAATACTGGGACAACCGAGTCTATCCCAGCATATTGAGGGTGTCTGATGACACAGATGCAGCCAAGCAGAGCCGTGCGGACAACGTGGGAAATTCTGAGAAGCCTGGCGATGATGCCATGAACGTGCAGGACGCGTCTGCAAAGAAGCTGAAGAAATTCAAGATGGTTCAGCCTGCGGCGAAACCTGCGATGGTTATGGGCCCACAAATGCAGATGTGGGCAAAGAAGAGAGCCGAGCTCGTGGGACAAGCGCAAGCCCAGGCAGAGCTCGATGCCAAAAGCGCCGCATCGAGTCCGGCTCCGAGTGAGAGGGGCCTGGGCTCCGCGCGCGCGCAGGCAAAGGACTCGTATGTTTCGTACGGTGACACAGACAATCTGTCCTGTCTCCTGTGCCTGCGAAAGTTCGATTCGCTGCTCGCCCTACGTGATCACGAAGTGCTAAACAAAAATCACCTTGCAAACCTCGCTCATGAAGGAAAGCGTGACGCAGCAGCAGAGAGACTTAGGTCCCAGGCAAAACGGCCCCAAGTCGTCACTCTTCGAGTAGCGACCGCGTCGCGGCAACCATCAGACCTGATATACACATCCTATGCCGACAGGGATGAACTGCATTGCCTCGTTTGCCAGCGCAAGTTCACCAAGGCCGCCATGCTTTCGCTGCACGAGCGTGAGAGCGAGATGCACCGGCTGAACCTGGAGGATCAAAGCAACATTGACCGCGCGATATCCCAGCTGGCGAGGGCGGGCAAGACACCTCGCAAGATGGTGCCAGCCAAGAACAAGGGCACACAGTACCGAGACCGGGCGAGGGAGCGCAGGCAGGCGTTCAAGCAGCCGAACGCACCGCGCAGGAAGGCCCCAAAGGAGGATTCCGCAACGCAGGTCAAGGAGGCAGAGAAGCCCGCGGCGCCGTCCAAGGGCGCCGCACTGCTTGGCAAGATGGGCTGGTCGGCGGGCGAGGGGCTGGGTGCCGAAGGCAGCGGGAGAACGGATGTCATCGCCACAGATGTTTACGCCTCCGGTGTGGGCCTGGGCGCCGAAGGCGGCCGGCTTGGTGATGCGGCGGAGGAAGCGGCGAGGAAGACCAAGGACAATTATACTGACTTTGTGGAGGTTACGAGGAACAAGGCGAGGGAGAGATACGAGAGACTGGGTTGATAGGCGAGCACATTTGGAGAGCATTGCGCATTGTTACCGTGGTAATCCTGCTACTTGGGACCCGAGGTCTAAACCCCCAGTGCGGGTGCCGACGACGCGGAGCCGATGTGCCAAGCCATAATCCCGGGCCGTCCAGCACGGCAGAGCTCGCATGGCAAATTACGATTCATCCATGTGTGCCCCAGAAAATCCAAGACTATATTTGAGCAAGACTTTTTTGCAATCATTGGAGGCACTTCCTGCACGCTGCCGATCATTTATGAGCCTGCCAAACTCGGGAGATTTCTCCGGGGGTACAAGGACGGCATCACGACATCCCGGCAGAAGTTGCTGCAAGCCAGGGATCGAGGGAAAAGGAAAATCGCATGGTGCCATCGCGCAACACTAAGCTGGCTCCAGGGGACGGACGGCTCATGACCTTATCGGTGACATCCCGGTCGCCATGCATAACCCACAGCGGCCGATCACTGGCGGGCGGGCGTGGGGGAAGATATCCCCAATCACTGCCGTCAATTCCTCCCGCCCCCCTGCTTAGCGACCGGTATCGTCGATAAATCCCCAGCCTGTTTAGGCAGGTCGGAAAAGGTGGACACATACACACACAAGGCACTCGCCCTGTCTTCTGGACTGCCCTCGTCTTTCCGTGATAATCCCTTGGCTTGCTATAGTACCACCACTGCACACACCCACTCTTCACACGCACTTGTGCCTCGGGAGGGTCCAACTGCCATTCTGGACTACGGATTTGTCAAGTGACACCCCCCGAATCTCCCGCCCGCCTGGTGGTTTGCTAGATGGGCCGCCGCGATGGCGTGCCGTGTGAAGTCGAAATCTCCTATCGTTCTTATCCTCCGCTTCTGATCAAGCCTGTTGCATGAGGGCCCTCTCTCCTTTCCTTTTTCTTTCTGCCCTCGTCCGGCAGACCTTGGTCTTGTTCTGTTCCAATTCCTTGTCTAGCCATTTCTCCGGAGCACTTGTTTTCGGCGCTGTCTGCGCCGGCGAAGTCGCCATACAGTGCCTCGCCCACATAGCGGCACTTTCATGAGCCTCCTTGTAACCTGGAGCAAGACCTGTGTGCTATTTCTACGTGTGGTAGCAACCGTTCACCGCATCAAATCATAACGACGGACGGAGCCGCCGTGTTCCCTAGCCCGCGCCAAAATTGGCATGCTTTTCCCGCCCCGGGAAAGCCAAGATGGTGTTCGGCATTCGCAGGCGGCATGAGGCCGAGATCGTCGAGTTCGAGGTGGCCGAGACGGCGTCGGAGCGGGAGATCCTGAGGTCCCTAGGTGTGGCCTCGCTGCAGCAGTTCGAGAAAATGCACCATCTGGACCCCAACATGCCCCTCGACGAGCTGGAGCAGATCGACGCCGCCATCCGCGAGGGCAACGCCGAGAAGGGCGTCGAGATCGAGCACCTGATCGTCGAGGATAACTCGCCGTATCCTGAGGTAGGCTACCACCCTTTCCCCGTCCGGCTCTGACGAGGCGATGGAGGGTGTGTATTTCTTTTGGAGACTCACACAGTGGGTGGTTTCTAGGTCCGGTCGACAGTGAGGAACTACGACGTTGATCTTCCGGCGAACACGATACGGGCGTGGGTCATTGGCCTGATTCTGTGCACGATAGGATCTGGTGTCAATATGCTGTTCGCCCTGAGGAACCCCAGCGTGGTCGTGACGACCTACGCCGTTCAGCTCGTGGCGTATCCTCTAGGCCTGGCCTGGGACCTGATCTTCCCAGACCGGGTATTCAAGGTGTGCGGGTTCAGCTTCAACTTGAGGCCGGGCAAGTTCAACTTCAAGGAGCACGTCATCATAACGGTCATGTTCGTCCCCATCTCTGGCTGCTTGAGCCATTTTCCATGGCTGACACTGTGACAGGTCGAACGCGGCGTATGGCGGTGGGTCTCTGTATGCAACCGATGTGATTATTGTCCAGCAGATCTGGTATAAGCAGTTCTTTGGCTGGACATGGCAGATCTTGTTTGGTATCACCACCCTCTGCACGGGATATGGCCTGGCAGGCCTGTCTCGGAGATTCCTTGTGTGGCCGGCCTCGATGATATGGCCTGGCGACTTGGTTGTGAGTCGGCTCGTCGATTAGCAAATGCACTGGTCATGTCGTCGCTGATCCATGTTTGTTCTAGAACTGTGCTTTGTTTTACACACTTCACGACCACTCGAAATCCGACCCCGAATCCGCATGTGGCTGGCGAATAGGCCGCTACAAGTGGTTCCTGATCGTGTTCTGCAGCTCCTTTGTATGGTACTGGTTCCCGGGCTGGATATTCCAGGGCCTTAGCTACTTCTGCTGGGTCACCTGGATCGCGCCCGAGAACGTTATCGTCAACCAGCTGTTCGGCGGCGTCTCCGGCTACGGCCTGCTGCCGATATCCCTCGACTGGACTGTCATCTCGGGCTACCTCGGGTCCCCGCTCATCCCGCCGTTCTACGCCATCGCGAACACTATGTTCGGTCTGATCCTGTTTTTCATCGTCATATCGATGGGTCTACACTACTCCGGATACTGGTATGCGGCGTACTTGCCCGTAAGCAGCTCTCAGTCCTTTGACAACACCGGTCACATATATAACGTGTCGGCGATTCTCGACAAGAACTTCCACTTCGACGCTGAGAAATACTTCTCTTACTCGCCCCTTTACCTACCTACGCAGTTTGCCCTGGCTTACGGCCTGGCTTTTGCCACCGTCTCCGCAATCGTGGTCCATGTGATACTGTACCACGGCCGGGAGATCAAGGCCCAGTTCACGCTTGCCCGGAACCAGGAGGACGACAGCCACATGCGTATGATGAAAAAGTACCGCGACGCTGAAGACTGGTGGTACGCGGCACTGTTTGCAGTCATGATCGCGCTCTCCTTCGTGGTCGTCTGCGCCTGGCCGACCGATTTCCCTTGGTGGGCGCTCATCGTCTGCCTCCTCATCCCAATCGTCTTCACCATACCTATAGGCATTGTGCAGGCCATCACGAACATCCAGCTGGGCCTGAACGTCCTCACCGAGTACGTAGTGGGCTATATGCTACCCGGAAAGCCTTTGGCGATGATGATGTTTAAAAACTACGGCTACCTGTGCATGGCGCAGGCGCTGTTCTTCGCGCAGGACATGAAACTAGGCCACTACATGAAGGTCCCGCCGCGGACCATGTTCTTCGCGCAGCTCACGGCGTCGGTGTGGTCCGCCGTCATCCAGATCGCGGTGATGAACTGGGCCCTCGACAACATCCCGGACGTGTGTGCCGACGACCAGGTGAACCAGTACACGTGCGCGAACGCCAAGGTCTTCTACACCGCGAGCATTATCTGGGGCGTCATTGGCCCGAAGAGGATGTTCAGCGCCGGCGCCCTGTACTCGTCACTACAGTGGTTCTGGCTTCTGGGCGCTGTTTTGCCAGTGCTGGCGTGGCTAATGGCCAGGAGGTACCCGATGAGCATGTGGCGATGTGTCCATGTTCCGCTCATTTTCGGGGGGTCCGGGTACTTGCCACCAGCAACGGTCTACATTTATCTGTGCGTTACTTTCCTCTTGTGTGTTTATATCTTCGCTTGATCTTCAAACTGACGCTTCTATGTAGCTGCTGGGGCACAGTTGGGATCATATTCAATTGGTACATCAAGCGGCGTATGAAGGATTGGTGGTAAGTCCCTCTCGTGCTTTCCTTTACTTGTTTTGCTCCATACGGTGGGTTTCAGGAGCATATGAATCGGACCAATGTGCCCATACGCTCATGAGACATGCTTGGATGCGCCAAAAATGTTGGACACCCCGCTGACAAACTACCATAGGCTCCGATATAACTACATTACCTCAGCGGCCCTTGATACCGGGCTTATTATATCAACCATAGTTATTTTCTTCAGCCTTTATCTAACAGAAACCACGGGGCCCAAATGGTTCGGCAATGTACAGGCCTTGTCGACACTGGATATGACCGAGACGGCTGTGCAGTCTGTGTTACCACCGGGGCAGACTTTTGGTCCCAGCACGTGGATATAGGCGTGTGTGAGAGGTGGCTTCTCTATGCAGCAAATTACAAATTGAACAGATTACCAGTATCACAATCAGTGACAGCATCTATAGTGTTTGCGTCCCCTTGTTGCTTTTTCGAGGAGCTTGAGACCGTCCTCGACTTGGAGCCCTTGCTCGGTTATCACTTTGTAATCACACCGGGATTTGCTGACACAGGTCAAGTGTTCGGAGAAGCAGGCGCAGGCCAAGACTAGGGCCGAAACCAGGGCTACTCTTCCGAGTCAATTACGAAGCGAAGCGAATCGTGACATCTTTTGTCCTCCATCCCTCCTGTGCCAGCGACCTTATCCATCCCATCTCGACGCTAAAATTGCGGCATATAGTGGTCCTAATGACTTGCCTACCGGTGGGCTAATACAGACCAGGCGTATTGCTATTGGCAACATCCTATAAGGTTACTTCCTGTGGGATAACTTCTTGCAGGGTCATTGCCTATGGGATAACTCCATATAGAACAGCCTCCTGTAGGTATACCTCCTTTGGAATAATCTCCTATGGGTTGGCCTTCTATAGGATAGCCTGCTATAAGATAACCTTCTATAGGATAACCTTCTATAGGATAACCTTCTATAGGATAATCTTCTATAGAATAATCTTCTATAGAATAACCTTCTATAGGGTAGCCCTCCATTGGACAGCCGCGTCTGGGTTGGCCTCCTACAGTGTGTTGTTTGTGTGCGACCATTTCCTTCGAAGACCGAATGATGGCTGATTACGGGCTTCTCTTGGCAAACTGTAGACGACATGTTCCTCGTTGGCCAGCCATGTCATGATAAAAAAGAAACGGTGTTAGCTCGGCTCAAGGACACTCATTGGGGCCCCACCCACGATATCTCAACAGGTCCTGACGCTTCACACATACGCATACAATAAAGTCAAGAGGCCAAAAGGGGGGGTATCATTGCCATAATCTCATATAAAAGTCTAGGTTGTCAAGAACATAAAAGGCCACATGCAACAAAATCCACTTCCATGCCCATGCTTTTAAATCATCAATGCAATGGCAGCAAACCTCATCTGGCTCGTCGTCCTCCCCCGCCCCAAGGTATATGGTCTTGCCTTTGTCTATGCCATGCTTCTTGTACAACAGCAATGGCAACAACATCATCATCAACAACAGAAAAGCAAGCCCGCCATTCAACCGTGTCTTCTCTCTCTGTAAGCTTATTCCTCAGTGAATCTATGTGTCTAGATCTACAGCAAGACACAACACTTCGGCTTCTTTGAACGTGTACGATGCTTTCCTGTGGCCATGTCCGGCCTCTCTGTCCCTTGCTTGCGATCTTCGAGTCATGACCCAGCTTCCGGCGGTCCGGGCCCATCGGTGCCTGTAGTGTTCACTGCTTCAGTAGCTTCAGACATCTCGACTGTCGGGACCCGGCTCTTCTGGTCCGCCTGCATGGCCACAACCTTCATTTTCTCGATCAGTTCTGGCATGCGGTACGGTTTGATCATCACATCGTCGCAGCCAGCAGCCTTGGCCTCGAGCACCTGCTCAAGCCTCGCATTTGCACTGACTGCGATGATCGGGATGCTCCCTCCCAAAATCCGACCCTGCCGCTCTAGCTCACGGATCTGTCGCGTGCAGGTCAGGCCATCTTGGACGGGCATCTCCATGTCCATGAGAATGAGCGACAGTGGGAACTTGTTCGGTGTTGTGGTGGGCGTGAGATCGGCTGCGACAGCGGGGTTGAGTCTCGTGATGGGGGCAGAGACATTTGATTTGGTCGGAGTCGTAGGTGATGTCAGGTCAGTCGACGGCGGAATAGTTGTGGCACTACCATTAGGGACGGGTGCCGTGATTGGGCCATCTCCCAGCCATCGGTCAGAGGCACGTAATTTTTCCAGGGCCTCGATGCCATGGTTTGCGACATCGACCGTGAAACCATGGTCAGCCAGGCCTCGTCGCGTGATTTGCTGATTGATCAAGTTGTCCTCCACAACCAGGACACCCTCGATTTTGGGAGGCTCAGCACTCGCCTCTGTGCCAGGGGACTCAGAGTCGGTGGCGGCTGAATCGTTCGTCTTAATCGGTGTACTCTTCAAGGGTACTTCCGCCGTTCCTATCTGTAGGGACTCAGCTCTCTTCGTAATGGGCAAGCTGGTCGCCTTCAAAGCCGTCCGCGCCGTCGCCCTAGCTTCTCGTAAGGACGCCTCGCTGGGTATGCGCGACTCTACATAAAACGCAAACGTCGACCCAACTCCGGGGAGCGAAGCCACCCCAATCTGACCGTTGTGCATCTCGCAAAGTCTCCTGCTGATGAACAGACCCAAGCCTGATCCTCCATACTTGACATGTGTGCGAGCTGAAGCTTGTTTAAATCGCTGGAATAGGCTCTTCATCTCTTCTTCAGTCAAGCCCTGGCCAGTATCCTTTACTTCAAAGGTGACGAATATGGGATCGGTGCCGCTCGGATTCGGGGGCTGCTGATACTCATGCCCTTGTGAGCGAGGGATAAACTGCACTGAGCAGGTCGAATCCGTAGGCCTCTCGATCGATGCACTGACAGTGAGCGTAACGTTCCGCGTGGGTCCACTCTTTGTAAACTTCAGGGCGTTCGTTAGAAGGTTGATGAGGACTTGTTTGAGGCGGGATGGGTCCAAGTCAAGAAACTCCAGTCTCAAGTCTTCGTATGACTTGTCGACCTTCATCCTCAGGTCTATATCTACCCTGCGAGCTTCGACTTCGAACATCTTGAGCGATTCCTTTGCTATTTGGAGCGGATCGACGGTGATCGGGGTCACAGCCAGCAATTTTGAGTCTAGCTTTGACATAGTCAACTGCGGAATTCGCGTCAGCTATCAGACCTCTGGGAGAGACACAACGAGGCAGGAACGGAGCTGGCCAGCCGGCTCTTGCCCACGGCTCATAGGTATGCTTACAATATCATCCACAATCCTCTTTTGATGCTGGGCGCTACATTCGCAAGCTTCTGGTCAGCGCCTTCCACTCAAATCGGGTGTCTGCGAACTCGGCTTCTAGTCGAAGTCGACCCACGCAAGCCATCGCTCCATAGAGCTTATGCCGTCGGAGGGCACCCCGAAGCCCCAACCAGCGCCCTTCCTGGAAAGGTAGCCTGAAAATGTAGGGGAGTGCCCGTGCTCATTCTGACGACCCTGAAGCCTGCCCTTAGGAAACAACTCTTCTCTCCTCTTTTCTTTCTTTTTCTTTTTTTCTTGTCTTCTTGTCTTCTTTTCTTTGCCTCGTTCGTTTACCTTTCTTTCTTTTTTTCTTTTTTTCCCTTTTCTTTTTCTTTTTCTTTTCCTTGTCTTCTCGTGTTTTCTCTTGGCTCGGGTGGGGAGAAAGGGGGGGGGGAAGGAGGGAGAAGAGGAGGAGGGGGGGAAGGAGGGAGAAGAGGAGGAGGGGGGGAAGGAGGGAGAAGAGGAGGAGGGGGGGAAGGCTTACCACGCGATGATTGTCTCCGCGTTCTCGACGCTGCTCTCCATCAGTAGTTCATCCTCCCTGCGCATGCCGCCGCCACTAACGCCGCCATTTGTCGACGGATTCTGCCTGGTAAGGCCAATCTTCCTCTGCTGCAGGTCCAGTGCTTTCCCAAGTGACGCAATCACTGCATCAGCGCAGTGGATAATTGCGCTCAGGGGGTTGCGCATCTCGTGGGAAGTCATGTCGATGAAGTTCTCTTGCTGCCGTTTGGATTCTAACGCTTCCTCCTTGCGCAGCCTTTCTCGCTCGAGTTGCCACTTTTGCAGGGATACGTCGCTCACACAGCCGCAATATGACTGGATTGCACCGTCTGATCCTCTCACCGGCAGGAACGTTCCATACGCCCATCTCGGCACGACAATTTCGGTTCCTTGGCTGTCCTTCACTGTCAAAGGCGTCTTGAATCGGACCTCGATCGTCTGGGGCGTGCCTTCGTGTGTGACCTTGTTCATGACATCATGTAGAGCAGGTAAATCCTCTTCCACTATGCAAGTTTGCCATGGCTTGACGCCTCTTTCTTTCCAGCTTGTATCGGCCTTCTCGAGACCGCACATCTGGAAGAAGACATTGTTCGCCTCGACAAGATGGCCGTCCAAGTCCATCTCGTACATTCCGACGGTTGCCAGCTCCGCCATGCGCTTCAAATTTTCGGCCTGCTGCGCCCTGCGTATCGCCTCCTCGGCGGTCTGTCTGTGTAGTGTGACATCCGTCAAGCAAGTCAGCACTTGAAGGATGCTGCCGTCTGAGGCACGTTCAGCTCGAGCAGCTGCAAGGATGTGGCGTTCAGATGCTTGGTTGTCAATCCCCCGAAGTTCGATACCAGCCTTCTCAAAGCTTGCAGATTCTCTCACCAGTGGCGGTGGGCTGTTGACAGTGTTGCGCCGGATCAGTCGACATTCGAAAGTGATGCTGTCTTCCGTGCGCAAATGCTCATAAGCCTGCACGACACGAGGGCGATCTTCCTCCACGATGTAAGAGAGGATGTCTCTCAAAGCCATCGACGGACCGGTCTCTCGATGGGGATTACCAGTGATTCGATGCCAAGCATCATTGGTCTTCGTCAAGACGCCTTGAGCGTTCTGAAAAGCCATGCCGACCGGGATGAAATCTGCGACCTCCTCGAACTTGTGCAGTGATTCCGTTGCCTCCTTTTTCTTGTCGGAGAGCGGTGACTTCATTCTAGCCTCTTCATAGGCAGCTTCCTCTACAATGTTGCGCCCCCTTCGAGCCTCTTCTTCTAATAGTACCGTCGAAGCCAAAGTAGTAGTCAATTTCTGGTTGAGAAGTGAAATAAACTGCCGGTAGTCGTTGTCGTAGGGCCGTCTCGGGTTCAAGCCAAGTAGAAGAAGACCCATCACGTTCTCTTCTCTTGTAGGCCGAATAGGGCAGACAACAGCGCTTCGGCAAGCGTCGCCAAACCCTCTCCATTCTAGGCCCTGAATAAGGGATTCCGGCAAAGTGCCATCCTTTGTTTGAAGCAGAAGCGGATACTGGCCTTGCAGAGCACTTCGGAAAATAGAGGCGAGACCCTGATCAGTGTTTCGAAGCGAAATAGTAGATGGAGCAATGGTATGGCCTTCGGGCACACCCAGCGCGCCCTCGAGCTGACAAATTTTCGGAAATCCGTAGAGTGAATGAGTGACACTTTGTGCTTCTGGGTCATCCTGAACCGAGTACAGAATCGCCAATGGAATATCGTATCGAGGTTCGACGGCGCCCAGAAATTCGCTGGTTTTGGTCCAGTAAGACTTCGCATCTCTGGCGGTGGCCAGCGCGTCACCAAGATCGACGAGCATCTTCACCCGCCTCTCCCATAGGCGCACTGACGTAACATCAAGTACCGGATGCAAGAAGCCTGAGACTTTCTCATCCTCCATGATGGGCACGACCGACCACTTCAAGTATGTCTCCTCCGGGCCATCATCCGTCCTTTCCATGAAGAATCGCCACTCCTTTTCGACGATACCACGGCGTTTCTGAGCGGTTGTGAGCATGATCTCCTTCAACTTCGGACCAGCCTCGAGCCACACATCCTCCAATGACTTTCCCAACAGATCTGGGTGTTTCGATCCGCATAGCTCTCCGAAAGCCTCATTGTATATCGTGGTGAAATGTTCGCCCCAGTACAATGCAATCGGCCGGGAATCCGCAAGAACCTGGTTGAGTGTTTGTTTGAGGAGAGTCGGCCAAGTACTGAGAGGTCCAAGAGGGGTCGAGGCCCAATCGATGCTGGTAAGAATTTTGAGGTAGGGCCCTTGGTCGTGCATAATTTCCGGTAAAACCCAGTCCGGCTCAACAGACATCCTCTGCGTGGCTTCATGTTCAGAGGCTGTTCCTGGTCCGCATAACGACTCTGATCGGCGGTCATGGTGCGGAATCGCTATGGGTAAAGTGGAAGATGCAACCTTGTTGGCGCTGCCGGAGACACCAAAGCTACCTTTTTGAGAATCGAGCCGGATCTTGCGGGGACGATCGGCAGATGAGGGCTGTTCGTTGGTTCCGACGACCAGCCACCTTCCCTGGACCAAGCACTTGCTCCATTGCGCGCTTGCATAGTAGAAGGGCGATGAGGGGGAATCCGAAGAAGAAGAACTGCGGGCCTTGGTCAAACTCGGGGGCAGGAAGGAGGCGGAGATCCACTCCCAGAGGACAGCGTGTTGGCTGCGGGAAGACTGAACAAGCTCAACCAGGTCAGGACAGGACGAAAGTGCGGGATTGCAGTAGGCGATGGAGGAGGTCTGTTCCGAGTCTCCGGCGGCGATGGTGAGATCGACGATGAAGGTCGGACGAGGATCAGCCTCGAGAAGATCAACGATGCCGACGCTGCTGAGTTGCGGAGACATGCTGTGTTTTTGCCGGGTCCTCAGTCGGTGCTATTCGGAGGTCAACATAGTTGGGACAACATAGTTGGGATCCGGCACGAACAGGCGGGTGTGTAACTGCGCGGGAGATGCTCCAAACACACGCACACACACAAGAGAACCCTGCGGGGGGAGGGAGTGAGGTCCCAGAGGTCTGCCCGCCTGGCAACAGGGGAGACGGCGGCGGCGGGCGGGAGGCGGGCGGAAGGCGTGCCCCGTCCTTGCGGCGACTAGCCAGGCCGTCTGAACGGAACGGAACGAAGGTCTCGGGTAGGGGTGAGGATCACAAGAAAGAGGAGAGGCTTTACTCGGCGCACAAAGACGCAGGAGATAAGACGTGCGAGCGTAGGCGGGCAGCCTAGGGTTGACGGAGAAATCGAACGGGCAACGCCAGGACGAAAAGACCCAGTCAAATCAAGTCAGTCAGGTCAAGTGAGCCATGACCCGGAAGCTGGGCCGCTGGTAAGAGTGATGTGGGGGGTAGAATCCCTCACGATCGCCGTCCCACTGCCCAAACCTGGAAGTCGAAGCAGCGCGTGCTGGCAGGGATTGCGACCGCCTCCCAAGCAAGCCAGGGCCTGTCACTGCTGGACCGCACCGCACCGCGCACCAGAGCCTTTTCGGCGCGATTCCCACGCCTTGCGCGGGACGGGGTCATGAAGGAAGCCGGACCCAGACGAAGACGGCGACGATAGCTGCCTGATGGTGTGTGGTGGTGTACGTAGGGGTGCCACTGAGTAAGTAGTGGGTTCCGACAAGCCGGCGCTGGACAGGAGAGGGAGGTGCCCTGAAATCATGGGAGAGACTACTGTAGTGATCTGAGGCGGGGCTTGTCGACATCAGAGTTCTCCGAGCTTCTCCAGCCCTTTTCCATGGCGGAGCGCGCCGTTCGCCAAGCAATTGGCACCCACATGGATACAATGGCGAGGCCAACCCTGTCGTCCGGCCCTGGACGATGGATGACCAAAAGCTTGACGTCTGCACATGAGGCGAGACATCACCTGGGAGGACGTGCTTGGTGGTACTGTAGCTAGCGGCAGAGATCGCAACGCTGCGCTGGGACTGCGCTGAGACTGCACCACAGTCAGGAACGCGATACCTGATATGCCTGGGCTGCATGCCTTTTCAAAAACCGGCTACAGATACTGGCATACACACCCAGGTGGTAGAGTAGCCGAGGATTGGTCAGCTGTTGAGTGCATTTTTTTCTCTCTCTTCCTTTCCAAGGGATGAGGATCTGAGATGTGATAGATCTCTGTGATTCGGCAGGCGGGCGAGCGGGATCGCAAGTATTACTGTAAGTCATCTCGGTACCGATTCGAATGAACTTTGAGCTTGAGATCGGAGAGATAGGCAGGGTTTGATATATCTGTGTCCCAGCCGCTGCAACGGCCATGCTTCTGCGGTAGTGAAGCAGTTTGGCGGCGATGCAGCCAGCGGATTGTAGGATGCTGTACATGGTACATGCATGTGGTACTGTGCAGGCAGTGACCGATGTTGACAGGTGGGTTCGCTGTAACGCGGCTAGTTGGCAGGGACTGCGACGGTGATGGAGGCACGGGGCGGGAAGACGAGGTGTGTCAATAATGCGTGTGTGCGTGGTTGCAGTCCCAGTTCCAGCACTCTCGTCCCCACCACTTGCACAGTGGTGCCCACCTGAGTTCCAAGGTAACTGTAAGGTACCTTTGACACGACTGTGGACGTGCCTGCTATCCCCTATTGTTACCACTGTAGTGTTCCTCCCATCTTGTTTACCAAGTGTTTGTTTGACCCGCCCGTCGCTCCTTCCCGGGCGCCGCCTTTTCACTGTGGGTGCTGGGCAAGGGGACAAGGGACAAGGGACAAGGGACAAGGGGACAAGGGACAAGGGGACAAGGGGACAAGCTCCTGGACAGGGAAGGTGCTGCGTGGCCAAGCATGATGTCATGATGCACCCGCACGGCAATAAAGCCTGCAACGGAACTGTGCCCGTTTCCTGATCCAAACGGCTGTCAACAAACGAAACGGCACAACCCGCTCCTGAGTCAGGCGCACACATTTGGGGGCCATCTCAGGTGCGACATGCTGTATCAATTGCTCACTGAAGGGCCCGGGACAATGGTATTCTAGACGAGAGCAGGCTAGTTGAAAATGATATGAATGCTCAACTGCGCGTCGCATCCGTCCACGATTTAAGTTCCGGCAGGGCTCATGGGTACCCAGGCACGTGCTATGCTGCGGTAGTAACCTGTACTGCAAGAGTACGTAGATACATCGTGACAGACAAGGTTTGTTCCTCAAAAATCGGAAGCAGCCCGCTTGGGCAGCAACGAGGGTCAGCCCTGACCCAGGATCGACAGGGGATACTTTGTCGTCGGTTGTCTGCGGCCGTCAACGTCCGCGTCTCGTCTCGCTAAGATATATGTCTTTGGCGCGAGAGTCAGTCAACCGCGTGCTTCAGCGCCAAATCAAAATACTTCTCACTCACTGACCTCGCCTCCTCCGTGAAGCCAAGATGTCTGATCGTCAAGTTCTCAGTGTCCAGTGGCTCGACCGGCGCCTGAATCATATGAGGCGTTCCCAATCGCTGTCGTTTGTAGCTATTTCAGTATCTGCAGCACATCGAATGTCAAATACTAACATGCAAATAAAGAGAAATAAACAAGAGCCCACAGCAGACTGTTCCCACAAACAAGGTTTATTCCAAGGCCAGGCGTGCAATGTGCTCCTTCCTAGTGAGGCGATGGCTGGCTTGGCTTGGGATTCATGTGCCTTACTTCATTACCAATGATATGTGGAGAACTCCCATCATAGATGAATAGCCCGATGATGTCTCGGATTAGACCACTGACCCATTGCCACCTGATTTTAAATTACTTTTCATTGGCTTCTATATCTTCCAAAACATCAAATCCACAATGAACTGCCTGTGTTCACTCACTCTAGAGGCCAGTTTCCTTACTTCTACAAATGCATGCCTAAGCACCTAGTCAACATCGATATGACACGAGAAATTTCTATCCGTCAATATTCTCACCGGAAATTACTGGTCCAGTACGTCAAAACTTTTGCAGCCTCTGTCCCCCGGCTGGTTGTTGCCTACTATTCAGTTATAACTTGATAGCAACGAAATACATACCAGACGTCGAGAACCCAAATAGCCAAATGACAGTTGTTTTGTCTCTTCAAAGAGACAAAGGACTGCTAATCTTCTGCCTGAGAGTTTGTCAATCTGTTATTAATCCAAGTGCCGACCAACCGCGATGATGTTATCAGGGAGGTTTTGCTGGTTCCCGGGTCAACAACAGATCGACAAACCCTCCATCAGGTATAGGTCACCTTCGTCCGGGTGTAGCTGATCGAGTTCCAGGCGATCCGCGTCAATCGAGGCTCCCACCGACTTGGCGAATTGCATCGATTCTATATCTCGAACCAGTCGACTGTATGGTCGAACGTCTCTCTCTCTGCCCACCCAAGCAGCAGAACCCAGGTGGCCATCCCCCTATGAAAATCTCACAATCGAAATTTTTGGCAGCGACCCCAGACTCTCGGCCTGTTCCCGAGTAGGCATCTGCCAGTTCCCTGATTGGAAAGACTTTAGCAACACTCTTACCGGTAGCAGGTTTGTACATGTACCTGTCTAGCAACTGGCTTGGCAGATCTAGCACATATAGGTGACCCTAAACAAAGTTTTCATTCGCATTTCATGAGAATTCAGCTCAAAGACCGATGCATCACGAATATAAGATAGTCAATAAATAGCGTATTAACAATAACTTTCACATATCACAGTCATAGACGTGGTTTTCTCGTACAACGTAAATATATTTCCATATTCCTTTAGACTCGTATCTAATTACATCCCATCTATACCATCATACTGCGTGTTAAAAAGAAGACCCCAAATTACTGCTCTTGAGGATCGCCGAATTCTATGATCGGTCTCGAGATGGGCCACTGACAGCATGTGTTGGGTCATTTTGGTCAGTCCGCAATAGAATTCTGCACTTTTGTGAACTGGGCTGTGTGTCATGAATTCAAGGCAGCCAGTGCACCGCACACTGGCAACTGCTTTTGCAGGTCACACGATCCCGCTGTCTCTTTCCATGTCTTGGTTGAATATCTGGTCGTGGTGAGGCGTGGCCTTTTGGTGATCTGGCGGCGCCACCGGCATTGGCTCATGGTACTACCACCAGGGAGCACATGACTGGACAGAATCAAGATCGCCTCTGTCCGGACAGCGGCCGCAGTGCTGAAGTAACATACAGTCCAGGGGCTATTACTAAGATGGACATTACCAGGTGGTCAGCCTCTTTGTTGGTTTTGGGTAGACAGTATTGCGCCTCTGCGATGCTCAGCTGACTGGTGAGGCTGGGCCGGACCTGAGTGGAGGAGCTTACGGCATTTCCTCTTTATGGCCTTTTTCTAATGTTCTCACCGGTTCCAGCTTACGATATCCGTCACAAGACGATTGGACCATTGAAGGATGGGGGTCACTGGTCTACCTCCGCCTTGACACTGCCTAAAGTGTGCAACACAACAAATCCCTTTCGTATTACCTCGCTTAGACCATTGCCTGCGTGAGTTCGCAACTTACAAGGTCCTTGCATAATGGTCTATTTTCTGTTTCAATTGACAATTGTATGTATGTGAGGACGATGGGGCCAAATCTGAGGTCAGCGAGGAATCGATGTGAACTACGCACGAGACCGAAGTGATCGCTGAGCCTTGCCCAGGTGGCCTCTTGCCCAAGTTCTGTAAATATATAAAAGGCGTGCCTTTGCCTTGTTGACTGGGAATGAAGTATAATCACACTATTCAGTATCGAAACAAACCACTCTTATTCTTACAACACTGCAATCCCATATCTACCTATTTTCTACCATCAGCTAGTCAAAATGAGCTACACAGTCAAGGCAGGCGACACCCTCTTCTCCATCGCTCAAAGCCATGGCACGACTCTTGAAAAGCTCGAGGCGGCCAACCCGGGCGTAGACCCCAAGAAGCTGCAAGTCGGCCAAGTTCTTCAGCTGCCCAAGTCCGGCGCGCAGCCCAGCAAGGGCAACGGCTACGTCCAGTACGGCGGGCCCGCGTCCAACTTCCCTAAGCCGTCGGAGTGGGCCAGCTGGGACGCCCTCTGGAAGGAGAATGAGCGTCTGATGAAGTTCCACGACTCGGACTCCGAGATCGCCCTGATCAAGAAGTCGATCGAGACGGTCGCCAAGGAGTCTGGCGTCGACCACCGCGTGATCCTCTGCATCATCGTGCAAGAGTCGGGTGGTAATGTGCGCATCCCAACCGTAAGTAAACCACAACATGCATGCACGTCGTTCCGATTGACCCAGTCTGCTGACCAACTACTTTTCCACCAGACCAACAACGGAGTTCGCAACCCAGGCCTGATGCAGTCCCACAACGGCGCCGAGTTCAACCCCAAGGACCCTGCTGGCAGCATCCTCCAGATGATCCGTGACGGCACCGAGGGTACCAAGGACGGCGACGGCTTGAAGCAACTCTACAAGAAGTATGGAAACTACTACGAGGCCTTCCGTGGGTACAACTCTGGCTCGGTCAACAAGCGGGACCTCAACGATCCCGTCGGGGCGACGGCTTCCTATGTTCGAGATGCTGCCAACCGCTTGATGGGCCATGTCTGGAATGGCATGTAAGCAGTCGCGCTGCTATAAGCAATCTTTGGGAAATCTGGAGCTGTAGAACTATGTAGACTAAGTATCAGAAATGGCAACTTGTCGCTCTTTGAACAGTGTCGATTGAAAGAGATTCGGTCTAGTCTGTGAAGCACCATTTTGTGCCTGAATGTCGGGTAGGTTCCAGCGCATATGTGGACAATATGGTTTTGTGGCCGTGAGAAAGTCTTTGGGAACCGTCATTGTAGCTGATGTTGAGTCAACGGGCCAATACCAGTAGAGTCTAGAAGTAGTTACATTATTATTGTAAACCATCTCCCCGGCGGCTCACCCAGGCACCACTCTCAAACGATTCAATGCACCCCATTTTCAATACTCAGGAATTCAGGCCGGCATGAGAGCCATTCGCTCATTAAGCTATCAACGTGAAGCCCTGCCTCATTTTACAACCCACGGCCTTTGACTCCGATGTCTGGGAAAGTAAGGCAAATACTGGAATATCTACCCCGTAGCCCTTTGAAGACTGGATATATTACTTACCATAATAAGCAGTATTTGAATCTCAGAGCAAGATCGTTATTAGCTTGTTAAAAACAAGGCAGGAGATGAGGAAAATGCCCTTTCAAGATTCTTCTCACAACCTCGTCTGCTAACAGGCGCTTTCCTTCCGCTTGACCTGTTCTCTTCATACCCCACGCTTACCTTGTTTTGCCAGACTAATCTGCCAAAGTGTTGCCGTCCCCCTTTCCTCTGATCATATAATTGCTGAAGTCTCAGAGCGCCTCGCCCGAAGTAGGGTGGCACGCCCGGGAAGTCTCCTAGACCTGCTGGCCACGGTCCCTGAAATGACAGCTAATTTGCTTCTGGTCTTGCTCTACGCACATGTAATTAATCCAGCCCAATTATGTACTCAGTATTCAATGCGCTGAAGGATCTTGCGGAGGTCCGCCTTCCGAGAGGGCCATCATCTTACGGCCAAGGCTGCGCATCGAGCTGCCAGTCAGGCCTCCCCTCCCTCCATTCATCAAATTTTCTCTGCCCCGGCATCTCAGTCCCATCAGCGAGCCTCAGTCGTGGAAAGTTTTTCTGCTCCCAAGGATACACGGGCTCCTTGTTGACCAGCTCGTCATTCACCAGAACCAGAGCCCCAGAATGCCATCCCGCAGCACTGACTCCAAGTGCGAAATACGCGCCTAACCCATCTTCTTCCTCACCTTGATCCCATGCTCTAGCCTCCTGCTCGATCCACTCGCTCACTTCGCCTTGAACGTTGCGGTCGTGTTTGAACAGTGCCCTGCGCTCTTGGCTCTCGTCCGGGTCAAGGCGGCCGTACACTATGTGGTAGAGCCAGTCCTTCTTTCTCTCGTCGAACCAGACCTGCCGACCATGTGTGTAAGCATGTGGAAGGAGCTTACCTTGGCGACTAAACCCCTCGTAGACAACACCACGAGAGTGTCCTGCCATACTGGTTTCATCGCCTAGGCCTAAGGCGCCACAGGCGTTCGGCTCAGCGCCGTAAGATGTAATTTTCCCGTTTGAGTGCAAGGCGAGGAAGTGATAGTCTCCGAATGCAATTTGAATGATGTCGTTGTGCTGTAGAGCGGCGATCTTTCTGAGCCCCCGGATATCAGCCTGCTCAGGATCGGTGTGCCGGGCATTCCAGCATGCCTCGAGGTATTCTTGATCAGTGGTGATAACTTCGTTGTTCCTAAACACGGCGAAGCGGCGAAATGAACCTTGCACATCAAGAGGCGAGCCCTTCTCGTTGCGCAGTTGCTGAAGCTCGAGGACGTCGTCCACGCTGTTGTTTTCGCCAAATCTAGCACAGAAGACCTTGCCAATATCGGTAACGAAGACGACGAAGTGCTCAAGAATGATGTAGTTCAGCAGACTTCCAACCGCGGCGCCTAGCGCCTTTTCGAATTCCGACTCTCCATGCGTGTCCTTTACGCGCTTGTAGCCTGTCTTTGGGACCTCAGCATACTGCGAAACAAGCACAGTGTGCGTCTCATCGTCTGCATGCGGGGGTTGCGGCTCAATTGGATCCCACACCACAATGCCCACACCCTGCACATAGGCTGAGCTCCGGCTCCAGCCAGCATTCACTTGCTTTACCAGGCCATAGCCGGACGACGGATGATCCAAACAAGCCGGAGATAGCTCGTTGATGCCTAGGCCAGCAAAATTGACGTGCAGAGCGGGCTGCTTTGCGTCCTGCCACGACCATATCCTGCCACTGTCCGACAGGGCCAAGATGTGTGATCGACCAGCGGAAAATTGCCGTATGGCGGTGATGGACTCGTTCTGCTGTGTTTCGGCGGAGGACGAAGTTGGACCAGGTCCCGCGGGGAATGAGAGTTTCTGCAGCCCATCAGGCGAATGCATAAATCTCTGCCCGTTGAGGACACCGGCAGTATAGAGGGAGCCTTCAGAGGTGAGAAGGGTCGTTGACCAGCCACTAATTAGACCTGGTTAGTTACTTCACGTCCACTTGTTGCCTGACAATATCCCGATGGCAACATACCCACACTGCATGTCAGCGATGACGCCCAAGCTCCGTGTATCTTCCATTTCAGTGGGAAAACCGCATGTACCCCGATTCTGGCGTCGTAGCCTGTCTGACAGGCCTCGTCGAACGATGGGAGGCATGCCAAGGCTGTGGGTATCCGCTGCGTAGCTATGTCCTAGTCTCGTGCTGCCGTTGCTGCCCCAGGTAAATACTCGGCTCTGGGTGAGCAGACGGCGGTACATCTTTTGCCATCGTGTGCCATCATTTGCTACGACTGGTTGGTTAGGCACCCGGAAGGTGCTGCGAGTGGCAAGCCGCCAGTACGTGGGGTCGAGGCATATTGAGGGCTGCTGCAGCGCTTTGCAGGTGCTGCAAAGTGCCAGGAAGCTCTTCGGGTCCAGGTATGGGAAGATGAGCACGAGGATATCGAGCGGGAGATCGGTGAGAGAGCTGATCTTGTCATCCATTGTGGTGAGAGTCTGATATCTATTTCGGTTCAATGTCAGAATTAAAGTGGGTTTGCTGATGTCTGTCTCTTGTCAAACAGCTCCAAGAATCGACCCATCATTCCCCTCTCGTTCTAGGTCAGGCGGCTGACGTCATGGTCTGGCATGTACTAGTGTTACCTAGGCAGTCCACCGAGTAATGCACTGCGCTACATATATCTACCACAATAGTCGACGGGCGCGGCTTGGAACGCGAAGCGAACGTGTAGCAGTGAACACTTTTCGCCATGTTCAACAGCAAATAATACGCCCGTACGTGATGCCTTCAGATTTCACCTGGGCAACTTATGTGTAACCTGAGCAACTATATTTCTATCTAGGTGGATCCAATTCTATGCCTATTGGCTACGCCTAATAGTCACCTATTGCCGGTGCAAATGTTTATGTATGGTGTTTCGAGGACACGGCGAACCATCCCTAGTGCAGAATCGTCATAAAGACACTTATTTTTCAGCACAAGTTGAACGCTTGAGAGAACTCGCTTTCTGCATTGGATATTAGAGTGAGTAAATATAAATCACTCAGCTACACTAGTCGGTTCTCTGAGTCCAAAGAACGTATGTTATTCGACCATAGAGCCTGAATTGGATGACTAGCCTGATCAACTAGGCAGTATTATAGCCTATATTGGCATGCCGTACACACATCCTTGGTCCTCAAGGCTGGTGGTAGCTTCTCTCAGGCATAACAGATAGGACTCTGAGAGGTAGTCTGTGCCCAATCGTCAAGGAGTAAGTAGATGAGTAGTTCCGCCCCGCATTGATCAACGAATAGGAGCCAACGGCAGCCTTGGAGGGGTGTGTTCTCAGCTGCAAAGGTGCTGTCCAGGTTCATGAACCAGAGGGCAACGCAGAATGAGAGGGGCAAAAAGTAACTGAGAGCGCAAACGTGCTTCGGAAGGCAAATTCATTCCCACGGGTCACATCGAGAAAGGATCAGGTTTTAAGCTGCTGTTGGCAGCAACAATTGATTTTCAGGAGAGGTCGAGAACATGTTTCGGCTTCTGCGAGGCCCAAGTCTGACCGTGTATATACAGATCCTCGCTGACCGTAGGATAATTATACGATCTGACCATGTGATTGCTTCACGCCTTAGTTGTGAGTTTCCCCCGACATATCTGTCTCACCCCTTAACAACCGCCTCCCAGGCCAAGATCCGTTGCCGCGAGGATGAACTCCATGAAACCAGCTCCAACTTCCCGAAGGTTGGTGTTGTACTGAGCAACAGTGGGGTAGAACGGGCAGGAGGCAGCCGAGTTACCGAAACCAAACTCAACGGTGTAGCCATGGACGAGGTTGAGGCTTGGGTCGGCAAAGTGTCGAGAGTACGAGTAGTCGTCACTCGCACCTGAGGTAGGATACAGGGCGGCTGCCTGCATGGAGGTGTATGATCGGCCTTTAGATGCACTCATGGCCGCAGCCATCCGGTCTGAAGCCTGGACATTGGCGGTCTGCTCGGCTGAGGGGGTGTACTCTCCGTACGCTTTACCGGAACCTGGGGTATCGGTCAAAACTCCCCGCCTAGGACATGTCAGCTTCTCATTGAATAATGCAATAGAGCACATCTGGGGTGAACATGTCGAAAGACGATAACGAGAGATATACAGGCTGTATGGGGTTGACTCACGTGTTATATCCGTCGTATGTGGTGTTGAGGAAATTGATATAACTGTACTTGTTCTGGTTCGTGTCGCTTCCCCAGCTGTAAAGTACGTCTCCAGCGTAAGAATGCAGATCAACAAACCAACGCACAGCTGAGTAAGTATCCAAGACCCATTTAATGGACTGTGTCTCGGGTTCAGAGAAAGCCTTCGTCCCTAATCAGATGTTAGCGAAACTCGTGGAAATCTGACGCAGGCTTAGGAAAGCCTTCGAAGTGACTAACCATGGTACGTCTCGGAGGAAGGACTGGTGGAGGCCACGCTTGACTGGGCACTGGACGCAAACTTCTTCGTGAAATCCCACAGGAAATCGAAGTTCCTGTTCAAGTCCACTCCAATTGACGACGCGCTACCTGTCGACGAAGCTGGGTTGCGGTTCTTGCGCCAGCAACTGTTCGATGACTGGTCGTATGCCACGCCGTCCGGGTTGCTCAAAGGTACAAAGACAATACCCGCGGCCAGGGCGGTCTTCACTTGAGCGTTTGTATAGCTCTTGGAACCGTAAGTCAAGCCGGCCCCAGTCGCATTGGCGTAGAGGAGATCGGAAATGAAGTAGAGCACTCCGTCTGAGGAGCCACGCTCTCGCGCGTGGATGCCACCGTTGAAGTAGACTCGGTAAGCCTTGTTGCAGGTACCAGTTCCGCCAACCTTTCCGCCGAAGATCGTAGCTCCCCCGTAGGTCTTATAGGGAGTGGTGAAAGTCTCAAGACCATATTCGTTGGCCAGACCGTCGAAGCCGCTCTTGATCTCGGTGGTGCTCAAGATCGTGGAGAAGCTGGTGCTGGAAGCCCGCGTCCCCAGGCCTTGGGGGGCAATGCTTCCACCGCTGAAGCGGTCTCCAGTGCCAATTGGGGTCCCGTTGTCAAGAGCCGCCCTGGGAACGACGCGAGGCAGACCCTCGCGCTCCTCAGGCAGGAGACACCCACTCGCCAGCCCCACGCAGCCCAGAAACCCGGCCCAAATCGATGGTGAATGCATGGCGGAGAGGAAGAAATGATCAGTCAAAGAAGATCGATACCTGAGCAGGATACTATCGACTGGTGATAGGCGACTAGGGCAGGATATATGTAGGTCTTGCCGCCCGGCGCTTTAGATGAGTACCGGCCTTGGCGTGCACGCTGTCGACTTGGCACTCTGTCGTGAACGTCCAATCAATAATTGACCTGCCTAAATAGGAAGCTCGGCCCTGCCACTATTCGTGGATGCTACCGCTTTAGAAGGCAATTGGGCAGGTCGGACAAGCCTCAGTCATGGCTTCTCCACGACGAGTCTATGTGAGATGATAACGTGAGCTTTCTCGGGTTGCCCCTATCCGCTGTTGTCAATTTTTGCCAGTGGGAACAGGGAAGCTAGAACGGACAAAGAAAACATAATGCTTTCGGCTCGGGCACTAACTACCTACTTGAGGAGGTAGCACCTGGGCGTAAAACATCGACAAAGGCCGAACGTTCGAAGTCAACCAAACAAAGGCTGTGTCACCAGCGCCACAATTCTCGAAGTGTTATGAACGCATACAACCATATATTAATTGATTGTTCATGTACGTGGCAGCGGCGCACTCCGAGAATTGTCCATAGAAAACAATGTTGCTACTTCGCTTGTTCCTGGACTACGTAATGAAAGTAGGTATTCGCATAACGCACGTAGACATTGGGTTGAGGAGTCCAGCCTGCACTACAAGAAGCACGTGAATGTTAGTGATAGGCAAGCACATGAGCCGTTTATCAAAGCCTCAGCCATCTCTTCGGCCAGAGTGCAAGTCGCGCTAATCACTACATTCTACAAACTGCGTGGTCGTTATTTCCCGAGTTTTGATTCAACGTTCAACGAATTCTCTAACAAGGTAGCAGCAAAATGTTCTCCATCGAAAGAACAATGGCATTAAGAGAGAGCTGCTATGGGTTTGGATCATAATTTTGCGTCTTTCAAATAGGGAAGGGATACAAGGAGTGCAGATATATGCTCTGTGACTAAAAGTTTTCCGTGGTATGTCGAATGTGCAAAGTCTGACTTACAAATATATCGCTAGCAATTTGATACCTGCCCCGCAAAAATGTTGTGTGCCCATGCTGAAGGTGTGCCCACACTGAAGAAAAGGCTCCAGACTTAGCTGAGTAGTGTTCGTACTAGGATCCGACCAGCTGAGTGATTCATTATGTATAGCTCACTATTCTAGGAGATAAGCTCCAAGTCTAAGTTATGACTAAAGCGCAACTACAGCCGCTGCATCCGCTCTCTGTAACTATATCACTTGTAACATCAAGGCTTTTCGAGCCTTTAGTGTGCTGCTGGCGTCCATGGACTCACTCCCGGCTCTATTGACTGCGAGCGGATCAGACCCCTAACCAACCATCAAGGTGAGCTATTGCATGGATTTGACCATTTGATAAGGCCATGCCGATCTACAAGAAGTGTTGCCTTTTTTTATTTCCTTCCATACTTCTCACCAGACTTCGCAGTCATTTTCATATAGCCTGATCATAAATTTTGCAAAGCTCAACAAAATTGAGTCATCAGTGTTTGAACGCTTCCAGGACTACATAAATTCAACTGCAGCACAAACTATATCACTTTACGGATTTGTAATTATCTCATCCAGAGTTCTTAGTCCGGTAATTTCACGATGTCAACAAAGTCACCTCAACCGTCACCGACGGCTACCCAGGAATACGAGAAGGAATTTGAGCAGATTGACTTGGGACCTGTTCATCCAAATGTCACGATTAAGCCAATATCAGATGAGGTCTCACGACATGGCGTACAGAACGGCACAGGACGCCGCATTGTCACCAAGGAGGAGGCGGAAGGATACACGGCGTACGCCTACACAACAAGGTTGAAATGGGGCATTCTCACTGTCCTCTGGATGGTTAGTTCTTCATTTAGGCACTCTTGAAGTAAAACATGTCTCAAAAACGACTTTTTCCATTTTCCTCCTCCAGAAAGCACAACAATCTGGCAATTTCTCTGACAATCAATTTTCTGTTCACCTAAACAGCAACGACCTACTAACAGATTTCTAGGCTCAAATAGCCATGAATATGAACGGTTCGCTTTACGCCAACGCTCAGGTTAGCATGGCCAATTTCTTCGACGTTTCTATCCAGACCACGACGTACGGAAACATGATATTCCTAATGTCTTACGCCTTCGGCTGCGAGCTCTGGGCACCCTGGTCAGAGGAGCTGGGCCGCAAATGGCTGATGCAGGCATCGATGGCTCTCGTCATTCTATTCACTGCCGTGGTACCATTCTCACATAACTTTACCACCGTCATGGCCTTACGCTTCCTCACGGGTCTTGCCACAGCCGGAGGGTCCTTGACGCTTGGAGTCGCTGCAGATATGTATAAACCACATCAACAACAGCATGCTGTGGCCTTCGTCGCGTGGGGCAGCATGTTGGGCTCGGCTTTGCCGCCGATCGCCGGTGGCTTTATGGAACAGCACATCGGTACTGTCGGTTGGAAGTGGTGTTTCTGGCTGATCGCCTTGTTTGGCGCGCTTGTCCAGCTTTTGCACCTTTTCATTGTGCCAGAAACGACTTACAAGACAGCTCTCAACAAATACGCGAAGAAGCGTCGTGAAAGCGCCGAAAGAGAGGGCAATGAGTCTTCAGACTTGCACCTGTACGGGCCAACTGAGGGAATCTCTATCCGTGACCGCTTTGTGTTCCAGGAGTTTGGTCAAACAGTGTGCCGGCCTTTCAAATTCCTTTTCGTAAGTAACGCAGCGCCATTATAGCAGTGAGCAATTCTAACGCTCCTTCCAGACCGAGCCAATTGTCTACTGTCTCTCTGCACTGTCGGCTTGTGGCGATGCAATTGTCTTCCTGTTCATCGAGGTCTTCGGACATATCTATGGCGAGAAATTCGGTTTTGACAAAGCATGTACAGGCCTCATGTTCATTCCCCTGGCTCTGGGCTGTAAGTGGCTCTAATAAGATAGGCTGGTTCAACCGTGCCCGATAGACCTTTGAGAAGCTCAAGTGTTTCAATCGACTCTCCAGACTAACTCTTGAACTCACATTAGATACGATCGGCTATTTCATTCAGCTTTATTTCAATCGGCTAGGGAGAATGAAGCGCGCCGCCAACCAGAACTGCCAGGACGCTCAGTACGAAGGCCGCATGAGTGTGCTTGTCTTTACCGCTGGGTGCCTCCCGCTTGGCCTTCTCATCTTCGCGGCGACAGCAAATCCGTCTTATGGGCATCTTGCGTGGGTCGGCACAGCTTTCGGGGTCCTGTTTATTGGCATCGCTAACTATACCATTTACGCCTCCACGATCGACTATATGGTCGCAGCATACGGCTTCTATGCTGCATCTGCGACCGGTGGAAACGGTTTCGCGAGGGACTTCTTGGCTGGTGCTCTCACACCAGCGGGTGGGCCTTGGGTCAAGAAGATGGGACCGCAGAAAATGTGCGGTATTCTTGCCGGCATCAGCGCGCTGTTCTGCGCTATCTGCATCGCTGTGCGGATCTACGGTGCCTGGCTGCGTCGCCGTTCCAAATATACTGTGCAAGAGGTCGATACAGTTGTGCAGATGGACTAAGTAGCGCGGCAGAATAGTTCGCCGCAGCTGAGATGAGGGGTGGCGTTGTCATAGGGTCCAGGCTCGAGCTACAGTTGCTGCAGCTCAAGGTATTAAGTGCCATTAGTGAACGAAGCTTGAAAAAGTGTTTCAGGGCCCACGAGACCAAATCGCGCCACAATTCACCTAGCTTCACGTAAAATTGCTTGGCACTCTCCTCGAGGTGGCAGTGGTGTTCAGACGAAGTCGGAGGTTGCTCGAACGTGTTTTGAAACACCAGACGGTGCCTCAGCCAAGACCAGAACACAGCCGCGACCGAGGGGCCAGGACTTTCGACAAAATGATCTGGAAGTTGTGGGCGAGTTTCCGTCCCTTTCAAGTTGATCGAAGCATTACACAGTGAACTGCTCAAATCACAAGAATCGATCATCATTCCAAAATGGCGTCAGAAAGTGTACGACAGCCTTTCCTTGAGTACACAGATGACCCCGAAAAGGAAGAGGCACGCCGATATGTCCGCGTACAGACTCGCCGGGGCAACATCCTGCCGTACCTCTTCGTCGCGATCATAACCTCGCTGCTCTGGTCCGTGGTGATTCTCTTCTTCGTCGACCTCCCAAGAGCCAGCAACACCATCCCCGAGCCACAACAGCAAAGCTCCGACTCCACCGGCAGATACAACATCACGACCAAAGCCCACAAACTCACATGCGGGAACTCGGTGTCCGAGGCCAAAGCTCTTGGCTGCAAATACGACCTCCTGTTGAACAATTGGGTGCCAGAGCCGTGCTTCGACAAGGAATGGCTCGAGGAGTACAAGGAAGACGACAGCTGGGGCGGATACGCCGACGAGGCCATGACGCAGCGGCTTTCCGTGGAGGAGATGTCCGAGAGCGACCACTACTGGACGTCTCTCCGCGACCATGTCAACCACTGCGCGATGATGTGGAGGAAGCAATTTTGGGCGCTATATGAGGAGCGGAAGGCTTTCGACACCGTGATTGCAAGCCCTGGGCACACAGATCACTGCTCACAATTCTTGATCGATGTCACTGACAGAAATTGGACACATCCTACGAAAACTTCGATGGGCTTTGCTGGTTGCTGGGTTAGGGATGACAGGTAGGGTTGTTAATCGGACGAGATTGTTTGGAAATGTAATTACAAGAATAGGTTGACTACAGGTCACAATTATCTATCCAATGATGTGCTTCAAACCGTGGCTTCAAGGACGGATCATGTCTATATTTACCGGTCTGTTGAAGAGGAACACTGCGCACTGAACACAATGGCCAAAAATCATAACTTTTCTTGTCGGCACTGTGCTAGGACTCTTCGTTTCATAGGCGTTCTCGATCCTGGGTTGATAAGCCAACACGCTGCTACATTGAACTACTATGTAACTTTCTTGAAGAAAATTTGAGAATTGGGTAGACCCATAAATTGGCTTTGGCAGATAGCTACACGTGGATATGGAGAATGGTCATTGTGGTGTACATAATAGAGAATCGACAGTCCACACGCTTTTTTAGCCGACTAATTTCTGATGTCGCTGATTAATTTCAACGTATAATGTCTTCGTCCGACCATCTACACAGGTATCTTGAAGCCTGAATGCCTTAGTTCCTGGAACACGCCGTGAGGATCGTATGCCGCCGAGGCAGCCTTGATCTTGGCGACGGCCTCATCCCCATACCCAGCAATAGGGTCCTGAGTTTTGTAGGCATAGTTCAAGTAATGCCAATTCTTATTCGCACCAAGGGAGTCAGAATATGCCTCTAAGGTACTCACAAACTCCTCGGCAAGCTCCAAGACCGCTGGCTGGTCATCCTTCTCTGTCACGGTGACCGAGAAGAGCCAGGCTGCCAGCGGTCCGTCCAGGACCAATTCATCTAGTCCCAGGACGTTTCCGCCCATCTCTTTGCTGATATCCACCCATGTTTGAGGGATTGGCTGCATATTGCCGACTACACTCAGCGACGAGTTGTGAGTTATAACTGCTTCCATCTTGTCGATATATTCAGTTAGAGTTTGGTAGTAGAACTCCAAGAACTCTGTGACGACGGCATTGGATATCGAGCCGCTGAACCAGTTCGAGTATACACCAAGAGGGGTCGCTCCTGTAAATTCGGGTACTAGCTCAGCGATAGAACCGACGGTGGTGGTGTCTGAAAGATTTGAGATGGCGGTATAGTTGTTGAAAGCAGGCGGTGCGATCACGGCTTGCGTATTGCTTAAAATTGACCACAAGGAAAGATTGTCTGCTGCATAGACCATAACAATAATGGCTTCGCTTGCAGGATCTTTGCCGAAGTCCTCGGCGAAGTAATAATACGCATCGAAAACAGCAGCACGATCGGCCCAGTCGTACGTTAGATAGCCGCCCCAAATTTGGGTTGAGTTGATTGTATCTGGAAAGTCAGCGTCGTCATCATGCAAGACCACCTGTTCGGCCCCCAATGGACTCACTTAGGTCAACCCTTGTAACAAGGCCAAGGTTGCCTGAGCTCCCTTTCATTGCTTGGAAGAGATCCTGGTGTTCATCATGATTCACGTCAATCACGGAACCATTGGCGAGCACAATCTCAAAATTATGAACAGTATCGCATGCCCAACCCATTGTTCCGGCGTAGAATGAATAACCACCCCCGGTGATAAAACCGCCGACTCCGACGACATCAGCTCTCCCACCTACAGCTGTCACGCCGAAGGGATCGAGAGCATTGTAAACAGCGCCCCATCTGGCTCCTGGCTGAACAGACGCAATGGTCGTTTTAATATCGTAGGTGGTCTCGTTCATGTAGCCTGTCTCAATGTCAGCATCAAAATGTACGGCACACTTCATAGAGCCGAGCCGTGACTTACTGAAATCGAGAGTAATCCCATCGTCCACGCTGTTCGCGCCTTTGTATGCAGAGTGTCCGCCGCTTCGGATGCCAAAAGGACAGTGGTGACTGGAAACCATGTGCATAAATTGCGATACATCCTGCGTGGACTCGGGCAGTAACATGCAACTTGGTGTCAACGCTGCATTTGCTGAATAGTATGATTCAAGGCGCTCTTCGTAAAGTGTGGTATTGGGATAGGCAATCTTTCCCCCAAGTCCATCAAGACGCGATAGAGCTGCACACTGTTCTAGCATTAGACTATGGCTTGTGGATTTCGAATAATAATAAAAAAATGTGGCTTGGTGAGCAGGTGGATACGTACACAATTGACCCCATTGGACATGGACGCAGAAGCCCCGGCCAACAGCCAGAAGACTGCGGCAAGCTGAGATAATTTGCCCATACCCAGCAGCGCAGGAAATGGCAGGACGGAACAGCTTACTAGGATTCTCACACCAGCCGGCATCCAATGCTGGGGCCAGAGTCATTGAAGGCTTTGTTTAAGACACAATTGTGTAGTTATCATCGTTCCCTGGGGAAATCCCTCGCTTCGAGGTGAGGCTAATCTCCCAGATGCAGGGGCAAATCACAGGGTACAGAGGACAGAAGCTCGGCAGCAAGCCGGTACGGGGCTCGTTGGATGAAATGGTTGCCACTGGAACCCAAGCCTTAAGCTTTTAGACTGGATTTGAAGTCATTGTGGATCACGACCGCGGCATTCTATGACGCCCAACCGGATGGCCCGCAATGCACTCCATCCTTTCCATCGCCACGGCTCGCCCCGATCAAGTTCCCACAATCCTCAAGGATCTCGGTCAAAGAAAGTCTTCGCTCCATCATGTCACACATTAAGACTCGCAAAACATAAGCAAGGTTTCGCACGATGATTGCACAGCAGCTTTACGTCAATAGTCCACATTGCCCACGATGTTGTAATTATTTCCACACGTGCCGGTACTGCAGATTAGAGTCAGCTACTACAGTGTATTTCCTTCATCTACTTTTAATATCTAGATCTAGGTTCTCAAGCAATTTCAAAGCGCTTTCCGCATCAAACCTCTCCAGTCTACAACTTGCCATATACAATCAGAGATCCGGCACATGTACATGCCTTAGACCAAAATATCTAAGGATTGATTACCGTCATAGATCTTGGCGCACTGTGTCACACAAGTCGAATTGGCATGAGCTCTGCTGTAGAATGGTATGTAATATGCATTGGTTGGTCGGTGGTGGAGTCTTCCCAAGCTTTGGCGGTGTATTCCGCCGGCACTTCTGGATCAGTGCGGGATCTCTTTCCTTCCTTAGTTCATGGTCCGGCTGCAATCTCTTCCTGCATGTTCGGACCCATATAGGCTGGCCCTGTTGGCCCGGGCTTGGTGCAGCTGTTGGTTACGTGCAAGCAAACTATGTGATATGTCGTTAATTCCCACTAAGTCTGAAAGCTCAGGATCTATGCGGGAATCCTTCCCGAAGGAGTCTGTTAGTCCTGGCTGCGACCAGCCACACGAACAGTTTCTCGCTTTGAATTTTTTTCTCACTCTGAGTCAACATTGAAGATGTTCAGCGGCGACGTCGTAAGGGCGACCTGAAGTTCGGCCGCACCAATGACAATGGCCAGGGACATCGATACATTCTGGCCAGTGTTTTGTTTGAATACATGTCAGGGTCTTGCAAAGGTGCATACATATAATTCTGTTCTTCGAGATACGAGAAGGAATTCTACTTGAGTTGTGACAGACCCGTGGCAAGGGAAATGATCTACATATCTGCTAGGTGCACTATACCCAGATCCCAGATCCTGATCATTTTTGGTGCTTGAAGTCTTGATGGAGTGAAGATACTACTACTACCAGCTGCAACATGTTCCATCAAGGGTTGCCCCCTTGCTCCAAATAAAACATAAGATCACTGACCGGTGTTGGCATTGCGGCTTATTTCCGCTTGCTGAGATTTGTGGATGGATATTCTACAATAAGCTTCGGGGGATGTGGAGCATTTACCATCATTCCAAGGCCCCATATGCTGGGGGTTGATTACATGCCTCTCTAGGAAGCTATGGAAATTCTATATAATGCTGGCCTGGGCGATTTCATATTCATCAAGCACTGTCAAGAGCTGTTGTGTGGAGCCTACCTTCTCTTCTTTTTGTTTGATATGCCGTCTGGGTTATGCCATGATCCGAATTCCCATGTGCATCCCACGAGTATCACGTCCTGGAAGCAATCATGGACACTTTGCCCATTACGAATGGAGTCAAAACGATGCTGTCTGCCCCGGAAGATTACGTTGTCAACTTCAATGACCCACAGCAGAGTAAGGCGCTGCAGAGCTATCTGAGTTTCGGTATCGAGGCCCCATTAGCTACCCTTGCTTTGATCCAGCGATATTACACCAAGATCTACCTCTTGGGTGGGCTAACTGTAGACGGCGGTGAGCTTAATACAATACCACTGTGTTGATTTGGATAGGGCAAAAGTGAACTGAACATTCTTTAATCCAGGTTTCATGTTCCTGGCTTGGGTAGGTTTCAGACGTCAAATATGGCATGCACATCTGTTCTTTGATGCTTACAGTAGATGGCAGCTTTCATCGATGGTGACGCAAATACTCAATGTCAGTGAGTAATACATATACAAATGAACAGCGTCTAGACTTGAACTAACGCTATACAGACTCTTTTGTGGTGAAAGTATACGGTGTTCACGGATGGGAGATGTCCGTTGAGAAGTTTCAAATTTTCACTCTGGTAGGACTCGAGACCCTGGGCTGTCAAATGTATCCTGACCTACCAGTTGCATGTTACTAAGACTTAATCCCAGACTAATTATCTTACCTCGACGATATATGTAAGCAGTCTATGAATACAGTGTGAACTCTCCAGTGAGAAACATCTACCCAATCCAGGGTCCTTATCACCGCTTGCCCTGGAACCTTTCTCCAGACTGCGATTTTCGAGACAGCCAATGGACGTACGGTGGCTTGTTTTGACCTGTTTGCGACAGATAACTTTCCTCGGGGCTTGACTGCTAACTCTAAATACTGCAGATGCTCTGCAATGGCTTCACGAAGTTATCTCTGTTAACATTTTACCTCCAGCTATCCCCTTTCCTAAAGTTTCATGTCCCGGTCTGGATTGCCATTGGACTGGTGTCATGCTATACAGTTATCATCACTGCTCTCCTTGTCTTCACATGCAATCCAGTATGGATGGGCTGGAGTGCATTTCCCGACGAGTCAAAATGCCTGGACCGTGGTCCTTTATATATTGCTACCGGCGTTTCCAACATCGTCACGGATGTGATAATATTCCTTCTTCCGATCCCGATGATTGTGGGACTTCAGATGACGATCGAAAAGAAGATAACTGCTGTGTTTATTTTCGGTCTTGGAACTGCGTGAGTAAATAAGGATATGTGCCCAGTTGACACCTTACTGACACTGCACCGCAGAACCGTTTTAGTTTCTGGTCTTCGTCTTGCCTATGTTTTCCAGTAATTACAATCTGCGGATCCTTCGTGGGATTATGCATCCATCGGATATGCTTTGTAAGTCTCTTATTTATTGACAATCCTCCAGGGATAGTTGACTTTCTAACCATTGATTTAATGTTATAGACATCTCGAAGCGAACCTTTTCATTGTATGCGGTTGTATACCCACACTGAAAAAATTCTTCCGGCATTTCATTCCTGCGAATCTGATCTCGAGTACCCTCAAAAAGTGGACAGGCTCCAGAACCAATCAGAGAAGCACATATCGTCAGTTCCAGGGAAGCGTTGAGATGCATAGTTTTACTGGGCTTCCCAAGGCGGAGAGCCATTCAGTCATGAAGGAAACTGTGGACATAGGCACTGGTAGTGTTCATGGAGACGACCGAAGTGATCGAGCCATACTCGAGACAAAGACTTTCACACTGCGATATGATTGCGACGTGGATGATGTCGGATTGATCAATGCGCACAAAAGTTGAGACCAAATGGTACCTTGTCAATTTACATTGATCTGTATCATGAAATACAAGTCTCAGCTCTGCCGCGCTGAGCAGTAGACTGCTCTGGAAGCCTCATCGATAGCAGAAACCAATTGAAAATTGCCGACTTATTCCATGTCACCCTGTGCTGCCCCTAGACCGCCTCTCGAGCCAGAGAACATGTACCAGCCCGATCCCCTGTCGGAAATTCGACTGCCAGCAATCGACCTCGCGCTAGGACTCGATTTTATTGTTTCTGAAAATTCACTAGAAGAATGACAGATCATAATTTGCGCTTCGCGAATGCCTCATGTCCTTTGCTTTGGACAGATATGTATTCCAACCTCCGGGGCCGAGAATACCTGTGCTCAAGTGCTACCCTTGAGAGTTTCCTAATGATGTCAGACTACATTCGAAAAAGATATTAGAAAGTAAAAGGAAAGAAAAAGACCATGTGACAAGGTGAGTGGTACCGATACCACTCATTCCAAATTCTCTTACTCGATGAGGGCAGCTGCTAGATCTTGCAGACAATTCTTCATGCTCAATAAGCCCACACGACATTCATTGGTACCAGTGACATGCTAGCGTACAGACCCTACAGCATTTGCTATCTACAAACCGTGCTGAAGAGGCATGTAATGTTCACCCCTTGTGACTTGCTAAAAACGGATAGGATAGCCACGTGCTGACGGTGTGGAAGGTCGCTTGCGTCCAGACTCCGAAAGCGAGATCGTACCAGAGCTAGAATGTAAATCTTCCAACTCCGTATCACTTCCTCCTCGACTGCCGACTTGTTTATGGCTGCCGTGGGCTCGAGCCATGGCCGCCTCATCGATCTCGTCCAGAGAAGTCGGGTTCATCTCCCAAGTGCAAAGACTCGCAACCACCTCAGCAACAGCAACCCAGAACATGACCCAGACCATACTTTGAAAAGATGCAGAGAAAACTTGCTCGACGTCTTGTTTAACTCCATTTCCTGCCGCTGCCCCCATTTGTATCAGCGCCATTGGGGAGCGGTGAAGGGCGTCCTTTTGCACGGTTGAGAGCCTGCCTTCCAGAGAATCTAGATGAATGTTGAAAATCACGTTGCAAATGACGAGGCCCACAGCGCCACCAAGAACCCTGACTTGAGCCATCACACCTTGCGCGACGGCGTGATCTCTCCCGGAGGCTTGTACCTTAGTGAGGATTGTCGCAGAAGAAAAGGTCAGACCAACGCCGAGACCAAAAATTGCCTGGTAGCCAAACTGAGGTGCAGTGGGTGATGACGGAGCGTTAAAAGTGGTCAGAAGCCCAAGACCAATGACCTGGAGACATGATGCAGCTACCAGGGTTCGTGAGGTGTTATTCTTCCTCCTCGACAAGGCGCCAGCGATAATAGACCCCAGGGATGTGGCTCCAAGCATAGGGATCAGGTGAACGCCTGCCATCAAAGCTGAATCTCCGTTTACAATCTGGAAGCGCTCTGGGAGAGTGATGACGACTGCTAGGTAGCAGTAGCCTGAAAGAAACATAGCGCTGGGGAAATTGATCAGCCATCGCGTTTCATGTTTTGCGAGCATCAAACTAATTACAACAAGGAGAGTAGCAGACAATGGCAGATGCTAGAATGAAGGAAATGCACTTACACGACGGCGGCCATGTATACTCGATTGGAAACGAGGCGGACCGGAAAGACTGGTTCGACTTGAATTGGGAGATGTTTGAGAATGAGCTGCCAACCCCAGAATAAAGCCCAGCAGACAACAGAGACTACAAAAGTGGCAAGGAATTCGACGCTCGTCCACGCAAATATCATCGTTCCCGCCTGCTGTAGGCTGTATACCATGAGGATGCAGGCGGCAAGAATAAAAATATTGCCAATGAAGTCGATCCTCCAGAATTCACGCCAGGGATGGATGGGTCTGCCAAAGTCTTGAGGCCAGAGGATGGCGAGACCAACCACGCAGACAAATCCAGCAGGAATACTAGAAGCAAGTCAGAATTAGAAAATTGCAGTCTGTTTTGACGTCTTACTTCATGTAGAATATCCATCGCCAGTTACTTCCAGAGATGGCGCCCCCTAGAAGAGGGCCAAGGACGAAGGAGGTGGCGAGGGTGATTCCGATGAGCATGCCAATCAAAGCGTTCTTGCCGTGAGGCGCGATCTCTGCAAGAGAAATCTGAGATAGGCTGTAGAGACCCGATCCACCAATTCCCTGTAGAGCCCGGAAGGCAACGCTGTGAAAAGCGCCTGGTCAGCTAAGCATCCCTCGTCGATTTTCGAAGCCCAGGCGAAGGAGAGCTCTTACAGTTGTGACATTCTCGTAGCGAGACCGCATCCGAGAGAACAGCTGGAGAAAATGAGCCAAGAAAATAAGAATATTGGAAGACGGCCAAAATGGTCGGCGAGTTTGGCGAATCCGATTGCGCATCCTATAAAGTGCTTAGTTTCTGCCCCTCTTCCTTGGGCATGAGATCAAAGGATGCTCACCCAGGTACGAGAGTAGGTACGCAAGCACCACCCAGTACATGTCTTGAAAGTTCTGAAGATCTGTGGCGATTGTAATCAGGGCCGTTGAGACGATCGTTGTGTCTATCACAGAAAACAAAAGACCTCCAAGCATGCTGTCCCAGATTAGTTTTGTGTCCTGTAAAGGCAAACAACTACAAATATGACGATGCTCACAAGATAATAATCGCACCCAGACGTGCGCCACTGGCCTGCGGTGGCGGGGGTGGGAGGAAATCATCCAGAGAACTCCTGAGTGCAGCAGTCATTGTATTTTGGTCCGCTGGATTCACTGAGCCCATGGTCAAGTCGCTGTGTGATGGTGGCAGATATCTCTCAGATGTTGAGTCTTGTGTTGGACGCTTGTATGAGTTGTGTGGAGAAAATACAGGCCGTGGTTGAGTCGTTTCAAAGCCAATGTTTGACCGCCATGGAGATGATGAACCGGGTATTGGTGTAGAAAATGTCTGTGTATTTTGATTCCTCGCGGAAGAGAGAACCGTGCAAGACCGCCTAGGGACCCACTTTCTATTCACCACAGATTGGCCGTCATGACCTTCCATTGAAGCATTTGATGCTGGTGTCCTCTTCCACATCGTTGGCGTTTGGGAACAAACAGCTAGACAGCCAAGGCAGGGTGCTTAAAGGGAGGTGGCATTCGCTTGAACTTGCTTCGAGACCTGATGTGAAGGGCCAAGGCCTTTTATCTCCGCGCCACAACAACTCTTCAGTCATCAGTATCCAAACAGTCGGGACGTCAAGCAATCAACAATAAGTTCGCTTAAAATTCGAGAAGCAACCGAAGACAACGGCTAGTAAAGCTTCATGGCCTCTCAGCTGACTTTGACCCGAGGCGAGGTCCCAATCTCGTCCAACTACTTTTAGAATGGGTCAGGAAGGACAGACAGGAGGGAGATCGGAGGAGAGGCTGCAGATGCCCAGGCCAGGTCCAGATTCGGGAAACTGCCAACCCTCTTCAACCCAGCACCTTCGAGTAATATAATCTGTTACAGCGCCACAAGGCCGCACTAAGGTGTTGACGGATATTGTGCAACGTGATACAAAATCTGTGCCTGAATTTAGCGGTCGAGTCTCTGAGGAACCCATGCTCAATGTCTCAACGGGTTCGCATGGGACTGAGTCTGCTAAAATCAAGCCAACCGCCTACCATTCACCGTCTCACCGTTCCCCTGTCCATCATTTCATCGACCACACATGAAAGTCAGGGCGTTGTGTGATGGTGCGGGCCAGTGGCCTGGCAGCGTCCGAGTCAATGTTCTGCAATTCTGGTGCTCGAGTCTCTTCAAAAGACCGTTGAGCGGCTAATTTCATACCAAGCTCTTCTTAGAACAAAAAGATGTGTCATTCAAGATAATCAAGGTGCCTGAGTCGCTGGTTGTGCCACCCAAGAGGCAGGACCAGACCGCATTTCCTGAGTTTTCACCCCAGATGAAGATTCGAGGCCGTCCATCCCGAGACAAGCTCAAGCAGAAACATACGTAGGCCGCTCAATACCCACTCTTTTGAGCCGACGAGGCGAATACCGGAAGCCCAATTGTCCAGCGGACTGAGAACAGCAGACTTAAGGCCGTACTTCTGACTCGATCCTGTTTTCCTACTTTGTTGAGGTGGCACCAAGCAATACCGAAAAATACTTGATTGATATGCAGGCAGGCATGTGGATCAGACTAACCGGCCTGCTGATTTGTGTCGCTAAGGGTGACCAATGCAAACTTCCGTCTGTGTAACCTTCCTCCAGCCTGCCAGACACCTCTGGCGGTACGAGCAAGACATGGCTGGGCGTGAAATGGGCTTGAACCACAGGATCTGTGGCTCCGCCTCATATGCAGTACACCTGCTGGCTGCTGCAAGAGCGATCCCAGATGCCGTCGTCTGATTCCTACCAATCCCTCGGATATGAGCCAGCTCAATGGTAGAGTGATCCGAAATCAAATACAAGGCCTCAACGCCATGGAAACTCTTCGGCTGCTCGGCTGTTCCCTAGTGCATCCCAGGAGAGTGTCTTGGTTTGTGTAACAGAACGTCACGGCTTTCACCCGTGCGACTCAGTGCCGAGTGAGAGGGGGTAAGAAGTCCTGCCGTCCGCCTCTCACCGTGCCTTGTCGCCACAGCCGCCTGTTGGGACTCGCAAGTCCAAGCGATCCCAAGAGTGGTCAGCGATTGTCTCTTGAGCGAGACAGTGCTGTGAAATCCCGTTTCGGTTGGACAGCGTCGTGTCATCTGGGCCATCTGTCTTGGAACGACGTCCAATGCACAATCAATCCACCAAGACATTGCACAGCCTTTGGAGAAGCCGTGGCGACTGATACTGGTAGGCTGCAACCTATGTGTTTGTCCAGGCCGTCGATGGTCTTGGGGCGCACTCGGCATGGGTGAGTCAGAAAGTCGGGCCGTGAGCTGGTACTACACCCGTGGGTGCAGAGGGCTGGCTGGGAGCTATATGGCGCACCATGTCGACAACGGCCGCAGCCGCCCTCGATAGAAGAGGGCGATGAAGGGTGCGCACGCTCGCCACCAACCGAACCATGAATATGCGCCTAGAAGTTACCGTCATTCTCAGTGTAGCTAGCAATGGCTACTTCGACGAGATTCTCAGCGTCAAACAGCTCGAGCCAGAAAGATGTGTTGGCTTGGCGTTCTAGCTCGCCGGGCTGTGTATGCAGCCGACAAAGAACTGCTCCTGTAAGCCCAATTGGCAATGAGAGCTTCAGCTCATTCCAAGGTCAGCATATTTTATGAAATTTCTTTTGACTCCAATGGGAGAAAAGTGTTGAGACGGCGGATGGATGCTCGGCAAGGCGCTTCTCCATCTAAATCTTAACATATGTGCCTCCTCGTCATAACTCGCAACTTTTCTAACATCAGCCCTATTTCTGTGTTTGTTCTTTCCACATTTGGTCACACTTCTAGAATCCTGTTGTGTACTGTCATAATTCTCTCGAGGCTAAACATTCGTATAATGCCCACATAGCCCAACGAGGGGGGCGTTTAACAGTACCAGTCCTGCCCAAGCCAAGCATCTTCAATGGCTAGTACATCACCAGCATCACCAATAGTCGTTCCGATATCTCCTCGGGGTCGCACCTCAGCGCTTGATCATATGTCGGGCCAGATGCCGTCAGCGGTTTCCTGCTCTTCCCCGACACTCGCAGCTTCTGTGACTGCAGTGACGTTCTTCGGTCTGATGCCGTGGTACAGCGTCATCTTATCACTCCGAGAAGGAAATCTGACTTTTCTCTCCCCACACCCTCGAAGGGAGCTCCAAGAGTGCCCGGAGAGGGCGACGGTCCTACACAGAGCGTCAGACAGGGCATGCTGCCACAGTGTGTGTTGGATTGATGCTGACACTAAGCCTAGGTGGTGACAAAGAACAGACTGACGGCAACTTGCAGGATCTTGCACATCCACTGCGTCTGTCAGTTGTCAGGTTTCGCACCAGCGTACCGAGCCGTTCGGATACAACGGCCGGACCACGATGACTTCTGATCCAAACGCCTGCTCCCGGGTCTATCTCATACTCTTTCTCCCTCTTCCTCTCCTCCAACACTGTCTTGCATCCTTGGATCTTCAAAATGGCCCTATTTGACACTCTGTGTCATGATATGGTCGCTCACCGCCAGGATAACCGCTCCGCGATTTCGTGTTCGTTTGGTTCTCATCTGCAAGGATCCGTCTTGACCGGATCCGAAAGGAGGTCTACTTGTTCATCAGACCTGTCTGGACGACCCCGAGCCACTTGTGACAATGGTTCATCCGCCATTCCCATCAGACCCCCAGCTTCGAGCGACATTCCCTTTCCTGCATGCTCACAGTGGCTTGCACCGCAGCGAGTCCCCAGTTACCCACGATCCACAGAATTTGTCTGATCTCGAACTGGCAGCTGCTTTGGCTCAAGCTCAAGGCCACGATCATCAGCTGCGAGCACTCCAAAAAGCAAAGATAGCCGAGGCTACTTGCCCCTCGAGCCACATTGATATAACATCCGAGAGCATCGTGGCAATACTTCCGCGTCAGTCTGGCATGCACGCTCTTGACCAAACGCACGCGATTACCCCACACGATTGGCACAGATTTTGTTCTTTTTTTGCCAAGGTAGAACTATTGGAATGCAAGGGCTAAAGTTCCGGCGTCATCACGGCCCAAAGGTCTGTTCTCTTTGGGTGTCCCTCACACCATACCAGTTCATGTCCGTCTCTTTTCCCCACAAACTGTTTTTCGCCCGAAGAGACGGCGCAGTACTTTTCAAGGCTAACGTCTCCCCTGATTCAGGTGTAATCTGTCAGCTGAGGCTTAGTGCTGACCGGCGCACTCGCTACTCAGCTGCTTAAGGAATAAGGATAACATCTGCCATTGGAGACCGGGAAACACGGAAGCCAAGAAACCATGGACACAAGAGAGCAGGTTTTGGAAAAGAAACACCATCTTCTCACCTAACAGGCAATCGGTTGCATGCTCCCGCCTCCCACAAAGAAACTACACAGTCCAACGACACAACGTGTGTTCCGAACCCATGGCAAGCAATTGTATTGCGAGTATAGCCCTTGGCCGAAGAGGTGCAGCATCAAAGGTTTCTTTTATTGTATTTACCCCTGAGATTCTCTGTCCTACTTCCATGTTTTCATAAACATGGCATCTCGCAGTTCGGCCCGCTCCCTGGTACTGTCCATACGCTGCCCCAACCCGTTAGGTGCTCAAAGCAGTACATGCGCCTAATGCACGCAGGCCGGTACACTCTCTTGAGAACCAGTCTATTGGAAAACCTTTTCGACATGTTCTCGAACAAGATGTTGGGGAGTGTCCACTGCTACGTCTTCGGAAACAACCCCCTTTTTGCAATTTCTCTCCTTTTTACACACTTGTCTAATGAGATTTGTGTTACCAATCGATCCAACCCTGTTCTGCATTTAACTCTTATATCAGTCTCGTCATTGGTGGTCATCGTCCAGACTTAGAGTCGAAGCGTGATGAACTATGTGTCACCACTAGCATCGGGAGGGAAATCGTGAGCCTCATCGGCTTGAAGACACCAAGACGTGGAGCTGCCTAGATGTTAGGTTAAGCTTGGTCCCTGTTGCCACCACGTGCCCCCCTTTACGAGGATCTGTGAAAAGGAGTGTGGTGCCTCGAGGCTTTGCTGTCTGCGTGCTCGGAAGTACGTACCATCTGGAGAGGCTTCATTCACTTAAATCCAATTCACCTGCTGCCCGGGCAGCTGGAAAGCGGCAGCCAAATAGTCGGGACAGGACTCTGGCCCCACCGTCGAGTCGCATCTCGTCCACAGCTGCCTCGCATTCTTTTACGACAACAACCACTGCAATATCACCATTAGGGCGTCGAAACCCCTTTCATCCATCGTCATCAGCATTTGCGAAATCTCCAACTGCTCAATCAATTTTGCAGGTTTTGAGGCGCGAAGAATCTTGAATCTCATCCTCGGTTGAGGGACCGGTCATCTTGGGCTGCCTTGAAGCTGAGCCCACAGCTTCGCCTGGTGTCTCCCAAAGCCCCCTTAACTTCTCCGACCTGCAACCGAAACAACCCATTCTTCCTTCTTGCATCCAACCCATACTTGTTCCATCAAGACACAATGGGTGAACTACAAATCCAAGACCACGATGCGGTCGTACCGATCGCGATTGTCGGAATGGCCTGTCGCTTCCCCGGTGACGGTGAGAACGTCGAGTCGCTGCTTGCAATGCTTCAGAAAGGTGGGGACGCTTGGTCAGAATTTCCAAAAGATCGACTCAACATCGACGGGTTCTATCACCCTAGTGGCCAACGTCAAGGCTCAATTGGCTTCAGGGGAGCGCATTTCCTCAAAGACGACATCAAAGCCTTTGACGCTAAAGTAAGTGACAGTTCTTACACACGCGTCTCCACACTAGGAAGCAATGAGTGACCAGTCACAAAACAGTTTTTCAATATCTCCCAGTCTGAGGCACATGCGATTGACCCACAGCAGCGTATCTTGCTTGAGGTGACGTATCAGGCACTCGAGAATGGTAAGCCTACACCTAGTTCTCAGCGAACTGACACACAGCTGATTGCATGCGCAGCCGGCTACTCTAAGGAGTCGCTTGACCTTAGTGAGACTTCTGTCAACGTCGGAACATTTGTCAAGGGTAACCTAATCGTCAGCCGACTCCCCATGAATCAGACCGAAAAGCTCACTCTCATCTGCAGACTACGAGCAAGTTGTCCTTCGAGACCCAGACTGGGCGCCTCAATATGCAGCAACCGGGACCGGTGCGGCGATCCTTGCCAATCGCATCTCGTACCAGTTCAATCTTCGAGGACCCAGCCAGACTGTAGATACAGGATGCAGTGCGAGTCTTGTCGGTGTGCACAACTGTAGTCAAGACCTCCGGACTGGACGAGCCGATCTGGCCATTGCTGCGGGTGTTGGCATGATCCTGACCCCCGCTACCATGATGCCCATGACAGCGCTCAATTTTCTTGGAAAAGACGGGAAGTGCTATACATTCACGAGCAAGGCAGAGGGTTACGGTCGTGGTGAAGGCGTCGGCGTGGTCATATTGAAGCGACTCCAGGACGCAATACGGGACAATGATACCATACGCGCGGTCATTCGCGGGTCGCGCGTCAACCAAGACGGCAGGACTACAGGCATCACCATGCCCAGCTCCGACGCACAGCTCTCCAATATCGAGGCGGTTTACAAGGAGGCGGGTTTGGATGTAGATCAGACTGCCTACGTCGAGTGCCACGGCACTGGAACTCCGGCGGGCGACCCGAAGGAGTGTTTTGCCGTATCTCGAGCATTCTGTGAAAATCGCGACGTCGACAAGCCCATCCTCGTTGGCTCGATCAAGCCCAACGTTGGCCACCTCGAGGGCGCGGCAGGTGTCGCTGGTCTGATCAAGGCAGTCCTTGCTGTTGAGCGCGGTCAAATACCAAAGAATTTGTTCTTCGAACCCTCCATTGAAAGTCCAAAGATCAAATTTAAGGAGTGGAAGGTCAAGGTATGCGCCTCATCGAATGCAATGTTTTGCTGGTGATGCGTCGTTGGCAAGGAGGCTCATGATTATGTAATACAAGGCTGACCACCTTTCCTCTCTTCCTCCTTAGGTCCCCACCTCTCTCACCAACTGGCCAACGGACGGGCTTCGACGAGCAAGTGTCAACTGCTTCGGTTTCGGAGGCACAAATGCCCACGTAATACTCGACGATGCTGGCTCGTATCTCGCACAACGGTCTTTGTCCGGTAACCATCGTTCTCTGCCTACCACAGCCTCGACTGGTCTCGCCAAGGAGCAGAAGACCTTTGCAGCCGCTCAATTGATTCTTGTCTCGTCCCATGAGAAGGATGGCATCGCTAGGATCACTTCAGGCCACGCGCCTTTCATCGCGAAGCATGTCTCAGATGCTTCCCTCATGGCAAACTACGCCTACACGATGTCTCGCCGTTCTTCCCTCGAGTTCAAGGCCTGCATAGTTGCTCAATCGGCGTCTGACCTCGAGCAACAGCTCGCCGCACCTGAGCGCCTCAACATCCATCGGTTTCTCCCTTCCGATGATGCGGACCCAACTCTGGCGATGATCTTTTGTGGCCAAGGCGCCCAGTGGCATGCTATGGGCCGCGAGCTGATCGACTTTCAGCCCTTCTGCAGCAGCCTTGTCGGGGCCTCCAAGTATCTATCCAAGATTTTAGCCAGTGACTTCGATCTTCTACAGGAGCTGAGAAATCATGACGCTTCTCTGAGTCGCATCAACGAGCCCAAGTTTGCGCAGCCAGCGACCACCGCGATTCAGGTCGCACTCGTTGACTTGCTCAAGGCATCTGGTATCTTGCCCTCGGCAGTAGTCGGCCACTCGTCTGGGGAGATCGCTGCCGCATATGCTTCTGGCTTCTTGACCAGAGAGGACGCTTGGCTCATCGCCTTTCGTCGCGGAGAGCACACACACTCCCTCCAGTACTTACATCCGGATGTCAAGGGGCGCATGATGGCCGCTGGTCTGTCCGTCACGCACGTGCAGGAATACATTCGACGAGTCCCCCCTGGGACCGTTGTTGTTGCTTGTGAGAACAGCACGGCTTCCGTCACTCTGTCTGGGAATGAAAAGGAGATTTTGCACCTTGCGCAAGAGATGGACGTGGACGGCGTCTTTCATCGATTGCTCAACGTCACGACAGCCTATCACTCACACCACATGCGCTTGATCGGCCAAGCATACCAGCAATCTCTACATGAAGTGAGACCAATCAACTTCGGGCAAGGTCCTCGAATGTTCTCTTCCGTCACCGGTGAAGAGGTCTTTGCGGGACAAGTAGGCGCCGAGTACTGGACCAAGAACCTCACATGCCCTGTGCTCTTCAGCCAGGCTTTCTCTAGTATGTATAGAGCTATAAAGCCCAAGCTCGTTCTCGAGGTTAGTCCAGCTGTCACATTGAAGCGGCCTGTCCAGGAGATCGTCAATGCCCTCACCGTGGAGAAGGAAATGAAGGAGCTCCCGTGCATTCCACTTCTCAAGCGAAACGAGCACGCTTCTGTCACCGCTCTTGCAGCTCTGGGCGAACTCTGGGCACGCGGTCATCACGCGGACTTTTCGTGGGTTTGGAGAAGCAAAGAGGGTCTTTTACCACAGCTTCTTGTGGATCTGCCTCCATATCCCTTCAATCGTTCCAAGAGCTATTGGTTTGAATCACATTTGGGCATTGCCCTCCGCCAGAGGAAGCACGGCCGTGAAGACCTGATCGGTGCTCCTTTGGCTGACTCCACCCCTCAGCACCCTCGCTGGCGCGGTTTCCTGAGACTCGACGAGAATCCGTGGCTGAACGATCACAAAGTCCAAAAGGTCGTCATCTACCCTGCTGCCGGCCTAGTCACGATGGCTCTAGAGGCTGCGAGGCAATGCAGTGACCCTTCGTTGCGAGTAGATACATACCAAATCTCCAACTTCACCATTGCCAAGCCAGTCATCATCCCAGGAAACCAGCATGGCTTGGAGCACATAATCGACACGCAGGCATTGAAGATTCCATTACCGGATGCCACCAACGGCATGGCGGTCTATACATTCTCAATTCAGACGAGGACGGAACATGGGCCTTGGCAGGAGAACGCAAGCGGTCTGTTCAATATCTTCTACGGCGGAAAGTTGACCGACGAGCCTCGGAGTGATGCCATTTGGTGCCAGGGTTACCGAGACACCTATTGGAGGCTGCGCTCTGAGTGCACTCAGAAAATCAGCGCTCGTTCTTTGTATGAGAGGCTGGATGGAATTGGCATGAATTATGGGCCACTGTTCCAAAACGTTGTCGCCCTAGCCAGGGGCCAGCACTCCTGCACCAGCATTGTGCGCATTCCCGACACCAAATCCAAAATGCCAGCACAATTTGAGTACGATCACCTCATCCATCCCGCCACTCTCGACGCTATGTTTCAAACAGTATTTGCTGTCGGCGATGAGACGATGGTTCCGTCCTGCATCCGCCAGATCTGCTTCTCGCCCGCCATGTTGAAGGGAGCTGGCGCCGAGTTCCATGGGTACGCCATCGCTCAGCGCAAGGGTTTTCGCGAAGCCTCAGCGGACATTGTAATGTCTGACGAGACTTTCAGCAAACGTTTAATTGTTGTGAAGGGCATGGAGTCTATAAAATTGGCTTCTTCAGGCGCGTCCGGGTTCTTGCCCAGTAACCGACACCTTTGCAGCGAGCTTATTTGGCGAGAGCTGTATCCCGTCTGGTCTCATATGCATGGATCAGTATCTATCAACGATGGAATATCGATAATCGTCCTACTCCCAGATGGAGATATCTCTGAGGTCACCAACCTCCTTGCCCAGCGCCTTGCCCTTCCCAATGTTGAGCTCGTTCACCTGTCTCAACTGACTCCACAGCAAGCGAGCAAGCTCTGCATCTCCCTTGTCGAGGTTGATCAAGCCATCATGTTCAACATGTCTCGTCCAATTTTCGAACAGATCAAGCTCCTCCTGAAGGCCACGCCTGGTCTCCTTTGGGTTACAAGGGGTGCTCAGAAGACTGCAGAGATGCCATGGATGGCCCCTTTCCACGGCCTGGCCAGGACCGTCCGTTCTGAGGATTCTTCCAAGCGCATTATTACTCTTGATCTTGATGGGACTCGGAACGAGGAACATGCAAATATAGCCATTTCTGCTATGCAAATTATTTTCAACAAGGCCTTTGTCGAGACCAATATGACCGAAATTCCTGAAGTTGAATACTCTCTTCGAGATAGCAAGCTTTTCACTGCTCGCCTTCATCCCTTAGAAATGATCAACGAGGTCATTGAGAAGGGCTACGATCAGGCGATACGCACTGAGACTCTGCCTCTTGGTACACTCCGTCAGCCTGTTAAACTCAAGATCTCGCACATCACGGATACAACGAGCACGTACTTCGAAACAAACGATGCTGACACGCAGCCTCTTGGACCATACGATGTTCGCATTGCCGTTCACAGCACAAATCTCTTCCAGTTTGATCTTGACACTATCTTAGGTCGAAGCAGTGAGTGCAGCCTGGGCGCCGATGTCATTGGTACGGTGGAACAGGTGGGATCAAGCGTTACCAGAATCACTGTTGGTGTTCTAGTGGTCGCCCTGGCCAGCGGCACAGTACGGTCGTCGGTGACAGTTGACCAGATCTTTGTTCACCAGCTGCACGCCCCCTGCAAAATACGAGGCTTGAGTCCAGCCGCATTGACCTGCGCTTATCATCGCTTCAACAATATCGCAGGCCTTTCTTGCGGGGATACCGTCTTTATACACTGTGCGGCCGGCCCTTTCGGCGATGCAGCAATTCGAGTGGCTCAATATCTCGGCGCAACTGTTTTTGCAGGTGTCAGCAACGCAGAACAACGCTCCGACCTGAATATGCACTACGGCCTGCCGCAGGAGCACATCATTGATGTGAACAACGAGGCTTTTTCTGAGCAGCTCATGCACCTGACAGCCGGCGACGGTGTCGACTGTGTGTTCTCACCCACGGTGGATCATTTAGACCAGAGCGCTCAGTCCGTTGGAGACAACGGCCACATTTTCCTTGTCAGCAACACTGCTTCGTCAAAGGCAGCTATTGCTCCCCGGTATGCCAACGTCTCTATCCATAAGTTCGACCTCTTTGAAGTTGCGAAGAAACGAACCAAGGTAATCGCACAGGCTTGGGAGGATGTGCTCAAGCTCGTTTTGGAGGACCGCCTTGGCAGCCCATCTCCCAACCTCGTCCACGAGGAGCGAGTTGAGAATCTTGATCGGCTCTGGGACTCCATGGCCGCGAATCCGGGCCGCCACCTGAACACCCTTCGCTTCACTGCCAAATCCCACATACGGGTTGGCACCAACCCTTTAACTCCTATGGTGCTACATCCCAATGCTACCTACGCCCTTGTTGGCGGACTGGGTGGCCTGGGCAAAGCCCTGGCTGGCCTGATGGTTGACCGCGGAGCGCGAAACTTGCTATTTCTTTCTCGTTCAGGCGCGAACACGCCAGAAGACTATCAATTTCTGCATTCAATATCGCAACGCGGCGTCAAAGCCTTAGCTCTTGCTGTTGACATTTGCAACGAAAGAAGCCTTCGTCAAGCGTTTGCTAACATCTGCATGCCGCCTGTCAAAGGAGCTGTCCAATGCGCAGCAGTCGTGGCTGATGCGGTGTGGGAGAGCATGTCATATGAGGACTGGACGGCCGCTACGAATCCTAAGATCACTGGCTCTTGGAACCTTCACAACGTCCTGCCTCATGATATGGACTTCTTCGTCTTATTGTCATCTGCCTCCGGCGTGATTGGTAATCGCGGCCAGGCGAATTATGCCGCTGGTAACTGTTTCCAAGATGCGTTGGCCCACCACCGCGCGTCCCTTGGCCTGAAAAATTCCGTTTCCCTCGACCTTGGCCCTGTCATGGGTGCCGGGATGTTGGAGGAGGACGAGAAGACCCTGGCCACTCTCAAGGCTGGTGGCTTCTTCACGGTCTCGCTGGAAAACTTTCTCTTTCTCGTAGAGCGCGCCATGGTCGGCGGCGGCAGCAACGCCCTCCAACTTCCAGCTCAGGTGATTACCGGCGTTGGCACGGGCGGCTTGATCTTGCAGAACGAAGTCACCGACCCTTACTGGACCGAGACCAAGATGTTTGATATTCTCAATCAGCTCGATCTCCCAGAGGAACAATCCGACACTTCTGGCGATACACCGTGGAGCTCCTCAACCTCCACGAGCATCTCCTCGCAGAGCAGCGGCAGGGCCATGGTCGCGGCGCTCAAGTCGGCTGACTCTGCTGACGAGGCTGCTCATGTCGCCCTCACGGCCTGTGTGGAGTATCTGTCTGTCTCCCTGAGCATGTCTCCGGACGACATGGATGTGGACAAGTCTCTCACGGCCTATGGCGTCGACTCCCTCGTCACGTCCTCCTTCCGCAGCTGGATATTCAAGAACACCAGCGTGAAGGTCAGCGATATGGAGGTCATCGGCGCGGCGTCCATCATGGAGTTGGCGCGCTCCATTGTCGAGAAGGGGGGTTTTGGCATATAGAATCGGAGGATACCTGGCAAGCAAAGGAATCATGTACAGTAAAATGGCACGTGCTGAAGAGAGGGGTGGAAGGCCCATTGCGGAGAAGGGACTTTATGGCATTTAAGGTCGAGGTAGTTCTGGCGACGAAAGTAGAGATGATAGGAGAGATACGAAAAGGAACAAGAAAATATAAGGAGAGGCGAGATGGAGAGGCCATAATAGATAAACTTTTTTATAGATGTTTAATCCAGTTTACACGGCTCCTTGACCTTTTCCAGCGACTTCTTGCGTGCCAATTGAGCGATTGTTAAATACAAGACTAGGCTTCTCATGTAAATTATCAGTCTGGAGTTGGGTATGAATAGACTTGAGACTGTAGTTCAACAGTCTTGACGATTTTTACATATGTCCCCTAAAGCCTTCGAAATACTAGCAATGTCTAAGTGTCTTGATGTATGACATATATAGAGTTCATGTGGAGTATTTCACTACTCTTTACTAGCCATAACCATTGCACAAGAGGTAGCTAGGTAGGATAGGATGGGACGACCAGAAACAACATGATGTGGAACATCATTCAACATCACTCCTGTTTCGACATGAAATTTCAAAAGATGATTTACTTGGCATATTGCAGTTTATAGCACTTAGGGAGTTATCTAGTCAGTCGGCAAAATTTGATGCTTAGGATTTGTATTGTTTGGGTGTCAAGAGGGGGGGAGAGAGAGAGGTTGAGAGCAGAAGAGCCCAGGTATAGTCGACTTATCATTCTCTCCTATACTTCAGAAGATAATCCAGGGCTTCCAGCCAACCTTGCACACCTTTGCGAAGTACAGCGATATGAAAGAGCCCAGATACACCAGACCGGTGAAAACAATGACCCCCCAGTAATCACCTCCATTCGACGTCAATATGTTGCCCCCAATCGGCACACCTACAAGGCAAGCAAAGCTGACAACCGTGTAGCACGTGGCATAGTACCGGCCATAGTTTTGCGTTTTGCACAGCATGCCAATGCACACCGGAGTGATGCTGATGTTGCTCCCGCTGGCGAAACCAAACACTACTGCGAACAGAATCAGGCCGGCTGTGTAGGACCCCGCGGGCAGCCAAATCGCAAGGCACGAGATTATGGAGAGGATAGCCATGAGCATGTTAATATTAAAAGGTCCAATCTTATCGCCCCAGTAGCCAGGCAGCGCTCGACCGAAGGCGGACGCGGCGTTGAGGATGGGCAGTATCTGAAATGAGAAGGCCTCGCTGAAGCCCTTGGACCTGGCATAGGACGAGATGTATGTCAGCGGAATGAAGAGCGCGAACTCTAGCAGGAACATGCCGATGGTGGTTAGCAGGAAGGCGCGGTTGCCGAAGATCTTGAAGTCGGGCCGGGCGCTGGCGTTGAGCGCGGGCGGGAGGCGCGAGCGGATGAGGAAGTTCGCGCACGCGCAGATGGCCAGCACAACGAAGCTTAGGATGCGGATAGACCAGCCCCAGCCGAAACGAGGGAACAGTGACTGCAGCATTAAAGGGAATATGATGCCGCCAATACTCCCGCCCGTGGAGGCGATGCCCGTGGCGAGACCGCGCCGTGCTTGGAAAAAGTGCCCCACGGCGGCGATCGAGGGCGTGAAGAGGAGAGAGCACCCTAGGCCGCAGAAGACGCCGAAGGACAGAATGAAGTGCCAGAGTTCTGTATAGCCGTATGTTAATGACAGTGTTCAGCTTTGATGCATCGATGTCATCTACCTGTGGAAATACTAAAAAGCATCATGCTAGTGCCCACAGAAAGTGTTCCTATGAGGACCAGCCATCTCGGCCCATGCTTGTCGAATAGGGGCCCAATGTACAAGCCCCCAAAGAACACGACAAATGTGTATATCGAGAATATCCAACCGACCGTTCCCTCGTCATATTCCTCAAGTTGATGTGTTGTTAAATAGGTCTGGAAGGTTGCGAGTGTATTCATCAGGCCGAGTGAGGACACCAGCGCAAGCCAGGCGCCGAGGACGACGAGCCATGCCCGTAAACCACCTTCTGGGTATGTCTCATTGTCCCCAGCCGATGAGGACGTGTGTGTCTCTGGTTCATGTTCCACGTTGCTAGGAATAACGAACAAGGGTGGTGGGACGGCATTATTGATATTGTTGTGGTGGTGGTGATTATTGAGGTCTTCGTTGTCGTCATTACTGTCGACCAGTGCCTTTTCGGTCAACGAGTCAGGGGCTTGACCACGGTCCAGAGAGCCTATGGGCTCTGCCATTCTGGAGACTCTCGCGCTATTTAGGCAGTTGCCGAAAAGACTTAAGAGTTTGGAGCTCTCGAGCCAGAATACAGAGATACTCGTTGCCTACGACCCAGAGCAAATCCACACAGAAAATTTTGATTCGATCATTGTAGTCACAAGCTCTACGAACCATGAACATCCGCTCTCGGAAGAGGGGGCCGAGGTGTACTAGGCTCCGGAAGGTGTGCTCGGGAATACCATGGACGGTATACACATTGCCCGATTTTATTATGTAACAATTTCATTTGTTGCGCGTGTGTTGTGTAAACACACCTGTTGTTGGTCCCTTGAAAAATCATTTGTTAGCGGCGATCGGCTTTACGGCCCATAGCTTGTCATCATAGTGGGTGTGAAGCACACCTAATTGCTAATGCTTGGCGGACGGACCGTATACGGTATGGCTTCATGCCTCGAGTTGCGAGCTTCTCCTGGGCTGTCTTTCCATCTCAGCAGACGAAGAATAGTCGCACATCACTACGGCCCTGCTGACAGTATACCGACCGCATTGAAAGAGCGGCGGAGAGGCTGGCGTTACTGATAACCTTGTTCCTCCATGCGCTCTTTGCGCGTGGTCGTCGTAGGATACCTTGCTCGAGAATGGAACTCTTCAAGGACTCCCCTGGACGGCGCAGACCTGTCTCTTTGGTTTGACGATCTTGTTCAGCGCCTAAGTCTTCAATCTTCATCGTCCTCAACTTCCTCCAGTGTGACTTGACGCGATGCTTTAGACGAGTCGATGTCCGGTTCCGTCGACTGTGCTCCCTCGGTGTCGCGATGTGAGGTCGGCAGGTATCCCTCTTTCTCAAGCCTGTCCGCCTCCTCGGGTTCCATGAGACCACCCTTGCCCTGAGTCTTGTCCAGCTTGTGCCTCACCACACTAGGGACAAATGCAACCGCCTCCTTCCGCAGGTCTCGCACCATCGGCTTTGATTCGTAGACAGTCTTTGCTTCAGCAACAGGCGTAGGCGTCGAGGCCTGTCTCTCACCCCTCCCGCTCCTGTCGTTGCCGCCACCTAATGGCTCCAGATTCGCATTCTTGTTCTCATTCATCTTCGCCCTCCTCTTGGCCCACCACCTATCCATGACCTCCTTTGGAATCGGCGGCGGCGTATCTCTCGGCATTGGGATGCTGCGCACGTCCTCTGGCACATCGCTGTCGCTGCTCAGCTCAACCTCGTCGTAGTCCCTTCGTCTCTTGCCTAGGGCTCCTCTGTCATTGTCGCCATCTCGCCTTGGTCCGCTGCTTCGGAATTGTGGCGCCGCATCGCCCAGTGTCTCTCGTGCCTTTTGGACGGCTTTAAACTCCTTCTCTAGACCCTCGAGAACCTGCTCTTCGTGATGAGAGAGTTTGCCGCCACCTGCAGTGACTGCTTTTAGGTCGTCAATCTGCTTTTGTATGTGCACCGGATTGCGCTTTGCGAGTCGCTCGTTGCGCTTGGCGGTTACGTCTGCTTTGCCTTTCTTGATCGCCTTGGCCTTGTCGGCCTTGCGCTGGGCCTGCACGGGGTTGAAGTTGCGTTCCTTTGGCATGCTGTGTGAAGAGGAAGGGGACGAGAGGTATTAGAAGGAATTGTAAAGTACGAAGATTCAATTATTGGCTTCTATGCCGTACCGTCCAGGGCCTCAGCTTTCGGAACTCCAATGCAGTATCAGCAGCTGCATGCAGCCAAGAATCTCTTATCGGCGTTTCTTATCGCTTAACGCCGGTGAGTCACGTGCACCCAGCCACTAGTTGGAAACTCACCCGACTGGCCCCGCTGTGGCGGCGAAAAACGAGTGACAATTCCACAGAATCCGACTTGGCCGTCTACGACTCATCACCCAGCGCTGACGAAACCCACCGACTTTCATCAAACAATCCATCAACGAACCTTCGTCAATCGATCAGACAATCATCGAAAATGGGAAAGGTTCACGGATCTCTGTAAGGACCACGACATCCGGGGCGACGGTCGCGGAAAGGGGCGAGCGGAAAGATCAAAATTCTAACAAAATTGTCCACAGCGCCCGTGCCGGCAAGGTCAAGTCTCAGACCCCCAAGGTTGAGAAGCAGGGTGCGTACCACCGCAAAATCTTGATGATGCTATAGTGTATGCAGAAATGCTCACGGATTTTTGATTGCAGAGAAGAAGAAGACTCCGTATGTCTAACAGGACCTCGATCACGCGATGCCGATGACGAACTCGTCACTGTCGACCCAAAACCATCGATGCTAACGATCATACAGTAAGGGACGTGCGAAGAAGAGACTCACATACACCCGCCGTTTCGTCAACGTGCAACTCACTGGTGGCAAGAGGAAGGTGCGTTTGATACTGAGACGCGATGGGGCGCGATCCTGCCCTCGCGGCCCCATTGCAAAGGTCCACCGCACACAAATACAGAGGCTGACATGGAACAGATGAACCCCAACCCGACCTCCTAAGCTCGCCTCTCTACTTTTCTGGGATGAACGGTGACGGGTCTATCGGAACGACAGGACTAGAGTTCAGAGAGGATGGCGGGCGGCTGCCGTAAATGAAGGGATGTATGGAGTCTATGATCACCAGAGTACACACCACGGCGACTTCGGCCATTACGGTCTACTCAGGGGCTCCTCTGCATGATGGAATGGCATCTGAGTTTCTACTGGATTTAGGCGTACGGGTCCTCCGCAATCCGGAGCCCGAGGACGCCCCATCTCGAGTCCTCGAAAACGATTAGAGAAATCCGATCGATTTGTCTGGTCATCAACACCTTGCGCTCCACGTGCAACAGGCTTTAGTGATAGGGTGATGGTAGACTGCTGTTTGACCGGCCTTTTGATAAATGCGACATCTTCGGAACACATGGACGATCGCACGTTTATAGACATCCTCAGCAGGCCGCGTCTCAACTCGCGCCTTGTGCTACATGTCAGACCGATGTTGTCCTGTTGGCAAATGCTTGGGCCTGTACTCTGAAGACCAGAGTCAATCTTTCGTCGTGTTTGATGCCATGGATACACGTATGTCTGTGGGATATTTCCACAATATCGTATGAGTTTGAGCGATGAATGCTTCGCTGCAGTACTTCTCCCTTTGGTCCAGCTGCACTGTGGCGTTGGTCTGGGCCTCTTGCACCATGGTGATTCAACGGCCACCAAGCGGCGTCGGTGTCATTCATGTCCCAGTGCCATATTGGAATTGCTAGCAGTGGCATTACGCCGCAACCACGGCCACCAGGCATGGAGGGAGCTACCCACTACCTGTGTATAATAAGCACGATCTGAAATTCTCTCGTGTCTTTAGTTGTTCTTCCACTGCAGGGCATATTGAGCGATCGCACGTCCTCGTATATAAGCTGCCTTCCGAGCAACTTCGAGCATTTACTTTTCAGTGAAGGTTTGTGCGTGAGCATGAGTCTATCAAAGAGTGCTTCCCGGCGACGCAACTCTACTCCAAATCTTTGCTCTCCGTATATGATGGATACGGTCATTACCCAGTTGACGTGGGACCGGAAAGCATGCCAGAGATGATGATTTCCTTAGTTGGAAAGTTCTTTCAGGTGACGCAACCTTGACAATGCTACCATGAAGAGGCTATCTCCTTTCAGCACACTGATCGACAGTCCAACACGGCGAGGCAATCAACGCATCTTGATCCCGTAGTCCAAGCTCCACCAAGACACAGCGCTGCGTGCCTCGATACTCCAGGCTTGGTAATGCCTTCGAAGAGAACAACATACTCGCATTTGCGGCGGGTATGAGTATAGTTGATGGGGTAGGGAAGGGAAGTCTTGGCAGGGAGTGCTGAGGACTAAGGACAAACAGCCCGTCTACATACACATTCGATGTGCCCACCATGGAGTGCCAACACCAGTCTACATGCCCCCGTCACGTTGGGTCGTTGAAGATGATGGCGGTGATCAGTACGTAGGTACCTATTTGGCAGCATGAGTATCACGAGCCCTCAAATGGTGGACGATATCGAGGGAAGGCGCTTTTGTTTTTACTTGATAATGTGGGTCGCTTAGTTGGCAGCCTGGGGCAGCCCACGCCCAAGACTAGAACGTGGGCACATCATCTACACAGCTCCGCGCTGCAGGGAGCTGCTGGCGACCCCAAAGCCAAAGCACCGCCAGCCCTGGATATACCGCACCAGACGCATGGCAGATACATGGTTCAAGGTAGTCTACATGGATTGGGTTGGAATGGAAATTGGACGTTGAAAATGCAGTTTTTTGTCTCGTTTCATGGCTTTAGCGTGGCCTTCCCCGGTCGCGTTGTGTTGTTGTTGCTTGACCAACCCGCGAACAGATGTTTTGATTCTGGGTGGGGCCAATGACGCCGCAGTGACCAACAGAGTAATCCTACGGATTGTTCGCTCCCCCACCCCCTCCCCCTCCGCCCTCTGTCTCGCTCTTGCGAAGGAAGTGCTGCCCGCCATTGCCAGCCTTCCTCCCACCAGAGACAACAGTTGCACGACACAACCTGGATAAATAAGTGGGCTTCTCCCGCGTCTTTCTGCCCCATGCTCTTTCTTGCATTTGATCGCATCGGTTGTGCATTGCATCAGTCGCAATCTCTCCCCCCCACCTTGATGCGGCTGAGCCTGCTTCACATGTTGTTGTTGCCGTAGCCGCGCGTGTGTCTCTCTGCGTGTGTTTATCTCGTCGACTTTTCAGGCTCGAGCTTGGGCTGCAACACTCTCTCACTCATTCTCTCACTCGCTCCCCTTTCAGTCCCCAGCAGGCTTAGACTATCATCTCTCTGTCTGTCCGAGGGATTCGACCAGTCAATCCTTGCCTTGTGGCTCTTCTCTTCAATTCGACAGATCGCATCGCAGATCCGCCACTTTTGGGCTATTCAGGCGCATTCAACGCGCCCTCGCCGTCAGCTCCCCGCGACATCAACGCGCCACACACTCACACATCCAGACGAAATGGCCAGCTTTGTGTCCAACATGCTCTCCCCTGGAGGAAAGGATGGTAACAACAACACCGCCAACAATAACAGCAGCAGGCTCGACCTCGGTCGGCCCTCGACGCCCATTAGAAATAGCTTCGTCGAGCCAGCCAACACCCCGAAGGGCAGCCCTAGCAAGAGAACCGCTCCCCCTGGTGCCCGAGAACTGCCCCAGGCCTTTGAGAACCACCTCAAGCTCAACGCTGCCACTACTCTTGACAGCCCCATCAAGCTCGGCCGTCCTCAATCAGTCATAACCCCACTGTCTCCCACCAAGCTCAGCAACGCCCAGTCATTCGACCCCTTCGACGCTGAGTCTACCACAAACACTCTTATTGACGATAGCATCCTCCAAAGGGGACCTCCTTCTCCCCCGCTGAAGCACCAGGGCCAGGAGAACACTCCTCCTACCGCCTCCAAGATACCCATCTCCCACAGCCATGCCGCTCAATCGAGACAGGACCTCTACAACAGTCCGCGCGCCCCTCCTCCAGGAAAGAAGTTCGACACGTCTCGTGGCCTCACAGACGAGGAGCGAGCAATTCTGGAGAAGCCCAACGTCAGGCGTCTGGTCAATGTCACCCAGCTTTGTGAGCCGTTTCTAATTATCCTGCCTGGCGGCTGACCGCGCGGAGAGCTAACTTGGAATTCGTGCGCAGATTTCCTCGACTACTATTTTGACCTTCTGAACTATGCTGGCAACCGCCAGTCTCGCCTCAATGCCTTTCGCGCCGAATACCCTGAGCCTCCCGAGACCGACGAGGAGACCTACAAACAGATGTGGAGCAAGTACGCCGGTCGTGAACGGGCTAATCTGCGCAAGCGACGGGTACGGCTCCGACAAGGTGACTTCCAGATCCTGACGCAGGTCGGACAAGGTGGCTACGGTCAAGTATTTTTGGCCCAGAAGAAGGACACGAAGGAAGTGTGCGCTTTGAAGGTCATGAGCAAGAAGCTATTGTTCAAACTGGACGAGGTGCGCCACGTCTTGACCGAGAGAGACATCCTGACAACTGCCAAGAGTCAATGGCTTGTCCGTCTGCTGTATTCGTTCCAGGATGACAAGAATATCTACCTTGCAATGGTGCGTGTCTCCCTCCTGTGCTCTGTATGGCTTTGACTGACATGACGCAGGAATATGTGCCTGGAGGCGACTTCCGCACTCTGTTGAACAACACGGGTGTCCTGTCCAATCGACACGCTCGATTCTACATTGCCGAGATGTTCTGTTCCGTGGACGCTCTCCACCAGCTCGGCTACATTCATCGCGACTTGAAGCCTGAAAACTTCCTTGTCGACTCTTCGGGGCACGTCAAACTGACTGATTTTGGATTGGCGGCCGGTATGCTCGCCCCTGCAAAGATCGAGTCGATGCGACTCCGTCTGGAGCAAGCATCAGAGACCTCTGTGCCTTTTGGCAAGCCAATGGACCAGAGAACCGTGGCAGAGCGACGAGATGGGTACCGGTCGATGCGGAACAATGACGCCAATTACGCCAAGTCTATCGTGGGCTCACCCGATTACATGGCCCCCGAGGTTCTCCGCGGGGAAGAGTACGACTTTACTGTCGACTATTGGAGTCTGGGCTGCATGCTCTTCGAGGCCCTGACTGGTTTCCCGCCGTTTGCTGGATCCAATGCTGACGAGACCTGGCGTAACCTGAAGCATTGGAGGGACGTTCTGAAGCGGCCTGTGTGGGAGGATCCCAACTACTTCCTCAGCAACCGGACCTGGAACTTCATCACTACCTGCATCAATTCCCGCTCCAAGCGGTTCTCTAACATCAAGGACATTTATGCCCACCAGTACTTTGCCGAGGTCAACTGGGAGACGCTGCGGGATACGAAGGCGCCTTTCGTACCAGAGCTGGACTCGGAGACGGATGCCGGCTATTTCGACGACTTCACCAACGAGGCCGACATGGCCAAGTACAAGGAGGTGCATGATAAGCAGTCGGCCTTGGAGAATATGGCCGAGCGTGAAGACGACATGGGCAAGGCGCTGTTTGTCGGGTTCACATTCCGTCACCGCAAGACGGATGAGACCGGCAGCAGTTCAAGGAAGCCGATCACGGACAACACGTTCGGCACAATGCTTTAGGGGCAGCAGATGTTTTCTGAGCCGCATACCCCTACTATGAAAAGGAGGTGTGGGGAGCGGGCCTTGCGGGTGCCGATGAGGATCTCACCCACAAAGTCATCGCCGTTGACGGCTTACATCGGACCGGCACCTAGCCCTAGGAGCCCAACAAGGGCTGGAAGTTAGCAGGAATACTTTGATGAAAGGCACGATTGCGGATTGATGGTAAATGTTGATATTGATGACGTGTCCGAGGATACGAAGCAAAGCTCTTTTCTTCTCTCATCTGACCGCTCGCGGTTTTGGTCTGATTGGGCCGTGTATTACATATGACGCATCGGTTCGAGGAGTTCAGGGTTACTGGCAGAATAGAGTCGCAGACGAGCGTTGGACAGGCAGACAGGCAGGCAGGCCGGCAAACGGTAGGAAGCTTTGCTTGTCGGAATTCCCAGGCGGTAATGACAGCAGAACACGAAAGCTGGGGTGTTGGGGCGAGTTAATTGCTTCTTGTTAGTCTTTCCTTGTCCTCGACGTTGCCCAGATACGCAACTGCTCGACAGGAAGAATCTTTCCGCGTATAAGCAGCCTCAGATACGTAAATTGGATCGCTATTCATTAGCCTCTCCAACTTTTTCGAGAACATTGAAGAAGCGCAGAAGCGCAGATGCTCCACCTACGTACATTGTCAACCCAGTCGAGTCAGGGCATCACTTACACGCTCAACAGCCAATCTCGTAAAAGGATCTAATCTAATCTCATGGATCTCTGGCCCACACCCAATCCTCGCCGACTTCCGAAGTAAGCTTAAAACAAGCTTGGCGCCGTGCCGGACCCAACTTGACGATGAAACAAGACCGAGAGACGAAAGCTGACATGAGGAGATCAAAGCTGCGGCTGACGAGGGAAGTCTGTCTCTGGAAACTCGGAGATGATCGTCAGACGTTGACGTATGTTCCATCCATTCCGGTAGCCCAGTGCTGACATAGCCGTGCCCTATATATATGCATATGGGAGGGTCAGGACCACTTCTGAGCTGGACTGCTTCGGACATTCCCCAACCTCTGTCCTCCCCGACCGCCGACGCCATCTCGGTCCCGACGTCGCAGCCATGGCATTGACTTCAGACTGTTGCCTTTTCCGCCTCCAGGTCCTCTTTTTTTTTTTCTCTACCGGTCGGTCAGAGTGGCCTTGGGTGTGTCAGACCGGGTGACTTGTTCGACCTCAGCTGTTGGAGCTGTCGGAACTGCCACCGCTCTTGCTTTCCCCCTCTGAACTCTATCGTGATTAGGCTGGCCTGCGTTGCTCTAAATTCAGTTTGCCTAATTGCTGACGGCTAATCTAATTGACACAGAGAAGCATGCACGAGTTGCGCTGCCGCGCAAGCGTCAACGTCCCCATCGTGCGCCTCTTGCTGTTGTCCGACCGGCTAGCGCCGCGATCAGGCATGTCGATCTGTCTGATTGACTTTTCTCCCTGCTACCCTCTCGAGCCCACGTGCGGGCCGAGAGAGAGGTAGCTTGGACATATGCCGGAGGCCCGGCTATCCTCCTTCGGGCCTGTGTATTCTCTACAATGCCGTCTCACGCTGCCTGCACGGCATCTTAGTGCTTTCCCCTGTTTGGCCGTGCTGGGACTGTCTCTCACTCTCTCTCGGTCCCGACAGTGGGGCTGATGGTCATAATGGGCGGGAGCTGACGAATTCCACAGCGCATGGATTGGGGCTGAAAGAGCCTCGCAAGTGTAAGGCTGTCTTTCCCTGTCACCTATGACATATGCGGACAGCGCATGCGTGGGTTACTCAAGCGTATGAGCCCGCAGGTTTATAAACGGGCTTCTTCTTCCTGCTTCTGGTCTTGCCTGATGCAGCTCTCGGAGAAGTAAGACATTCCCTGCACATCTACCTTCTTGGAACAGCTTGGCTCCAAGGACCCCCGTATAAACCAGCCCTAGAAGAGGAAACATACCGGCGACTCCTCAAGATGAAGACAACCACTTTCGCAACTCTCGTCAGCGGGGCCGCTGCGCAATGGTGGGGAGGCGCGCCTGACTGTGCTGTATGTCCAAGACTCTACCCTTTCATCTCCCATGTCTCCCCCTCTCCGTTGCCTTAAGAGAATCCAATGACTAACAAAGCTAACCAGCATTCCTGCCTGTCCTCCTACTGGGGGAGCCAAACCCCAACATCAAACTGGCCGGAGCCGACATCCTACTGTACGGCCGATACCAACAGCGGACCCGGCTCATGCCTGTCCAGCGCGTGCTCTGCGACCCCGACAGCCTGGTCCTCCTACTCGTCCGCTTCGGCGAGCATTTGCAACGCCTGGTCATCGTGCTCCTCTGCTGGCTCCACCGGCGTCTACACCGTGTCGTGGCCCGGCCCCTCGAGCGGCTGGGGCCAGGGCGGCGGCGGCAACGGCCAGGGATGGAGCAGCTCCGGCACTAGCGGATACGGAGGAAACGGAGGAAACGGAGGCCGCGGTGGTGGCGGCGGAGGTTTCGGCGGCGGCAACGGCGGCAGCGGCGGCGGCAACGGCGGCAGCGGCGGCGGCAGTAACAGCAACTGGGGCGGCTGGGGCGGCTGGACGTCGAGCTACACGGCCAGCGTCGTCACGGTCACGGGGTGCCCCTGGGACGGGAGCCCGTGGATGGGCCCCGGCCGCGAGGGCGACAATGGAGGCTGGGGCGGCTGGGGCGACTGGGGCCACGGCTGGACCTGGACCACCCGCAGCACCACCGTCACCGCGTCGGTGACCGGCGGGGACGGGAGCGTCACCCTCTCTACCGGCCTTGCGCAGGTTGCCGAGGCGGTCAGCGGCAGTGTGACGAGCACGACCACCCTGACTGGTAGCGATGCCACCGCTACTGCGTCTTCGGCCAGCTCGACCTCCACTGGATCGACCTCGGGCGCTGCGCCCGCTGCGAAGGTGGACCGGGGCGTCGTTGCCGCTGGTGCGGTCTTGGGCGGTCTTGTTGGTGTCATGGCTGTGTTGTAAGGTATAAGTCGGGATTTATTCCGGAGCCATTTATTTTCACAGAAAGGAGATGTGGCCAGAAGCATGGAGTATGGGTGGAGGTGTCTGTCGAGGGATCTTGGGAGATTGGAGCATGTGCTTTTTGCGGAGCATGAGAACGTGTGCATGAACTAATGTTTGAGTTATGATCCGAGTTGCTACGACTCAGCAACTTAAAAATCCCTGATACTCTAATAGAGTACCCCAGTGGTATTTTAGCCCTCGCTTATAAAATTCTGATCATTCTTGGTTGTCTGTGCCGATATATACATGTCTATAAGTGCCATTCGAGTCCCAGAGCAGCGTCCTTGATCAATCCATCCCGAGTCGTCATCGACATTCAAGTCCTATTTGACCCTCATTCACTGAGGTTCTTGGATCATTTCTGAGCATACCGGCAAGCAAATTCCAAGGATAGAGCCCGTTTGAGCTGTGCTGACTCATATATGTGTGCAAATACAAATACTCAATACTCAACGGATTATACCATCTATGGGCTCTGTACTAGTAGCGCACAGTCGTGCCGATTCCGACGTGTGTGGCATTTCCACCTAACTTAAAGCATCTTGGATCGTAGTAGTACAGGAAGGCAAATTGATGGGCAGCGGCAGCGAGGACAAGAAAGTCCTCTTTTTGACTCAATTTGATAGTCAAATTCAGAGATCTCAAATGGTAGGCAATTAAAGGCTTATCCTATGGTCTGCCGATTCTAATTTGTTTTGAAATTGAATGAGCGTCAGTGAGGCTTTGACATGCCTCTGAGAGAACAAATATCGATATCCATGCGGGGAAACGCAGGATTAAAGCATTCTTCGCGTTGCAGAATTGACTATTCATTACGCTCAAACCTTATGCCTGGACTAATCTCATCACTCATGTCCTCATTGGACCCTTCAAGCCTCATCATCTGCTGGTTCTCACCAATCAAAAATTGTCAAATCCATGAAATTATGACTGCTTCGTATGTGAATATGTTCATGTTTGGCGAGACTATAGAAAGGACTTGTAACACATTTGACAGCATTGGTCCGTAAGCGCTCGAACGATCGGATTCAAATTGCTACTGAATAAGTGCCGCAAGGCCTGGCGTGCCATGACCTTATACACGTACTGAAGCAAGCATATGCTAAGAAATGGTGTCGTTAGTTGGCCATGTCAATGACTGCTTCGTGACAACATCATCGCTACCTTAGTCATCATTTGTGGCTCACTCAGCTTTTAAGCCGCAGCCCAGCTGAGTATGCGAAATTGCTGGCACCTGTGTGGTATCACGGGGACAGTTTCGAGATCAGGCCAAGTCAAGTCAGATTTCGCTTCCATTCTCTCTCTCGATATAGCTTGAAATTTCATCTATCGAGGAGCCAGTTATAATCCTCCCAAGAGACCTCCTGTCCTTCCGTGCAAAAATAGCCAGTCTTCGGAGGATCGATCGCTCACAAGGAATTCGCAGATATATCGCTGCCAAATCATCATCTCTGTTACAACTTACACAGCCCACGGGGTATCCACCAAATCTCTACACGACACACGCACTCATCAGACGCAAACGAGGAAAACAAAACCCAGAGCCCGTGCTCTCGCTCAGCCTGCCCCACACAAATATACAGCCATCCCCGGGAGCATCATTTCTAGCGCAAGAAAAACAATGGTGGAAACCTTCAGGTGCTCAAAAGCCCCGGCTGAAAACCAAATGGCCGGAGCAAGTTTGTTGCAAAATCGCCAGAACCGCCCACGCTCGCTTGGTAAAATCAGAAAACATCCTCTCATAATGATGCGTACAGAACCCAGTAGGCCGCATCGCGATCAGAAACAGAGCCGCGCGGGCAAGTAGCTCTTCAGAAAACCGGTCTATGTCTCGACATAGGTCCCCGGACGACCCTCTTGGCCCGGTTCAGGCTCGAGGAAGTAAAGATCCGGCCGGCCAAATCCTGTTGCGAAATGACCACGCCGACAGTCGGTTGTCTAGTCGGTCGATCGATCGATCGAGAGAAGTCGTCGTTGCCGAGAATAGTGATTAGTAGGCCAAGCACCCAAGGGCCTTGATTCGGCAACGGGTATAAAACATTGCAAAGCATAAGATTCGTGAGACCCATCCAACCGCCCAAAGTCAGAACGCGCCGAACTGAATGCCAATATTCCAAAATGATCATGGAAGAAGTTGTAAGTCACCTGACCCCACTCCGACATGCAACCAAGAAGGCCATGCCACGGGTCTGACGCCAATGAAGCTTTCCGAGGCTTCTGAGAGAGGCGTGGTATCATCGAGATATATAAAGGGCCGATAACGCGACCCAGTGGTGCGTACTCATGCAGCAAACGCAAACGCCTTTGGAAATGCAGGTGTCGTTCCCGAATCATTATGATGGCTGCAAAAGCAGGCGTCAGACCACTCAGAGGCTCATGGTCAACCATTCCCATTCCTGGGGTCCAGTACCTGCACCATTAGGTGCCACTGTGACAGCTGGTTGACCAGCGGGCATGCCTGTCATCATGCCGGAGCCGACCATGGGTCTCTGCGTCATACCAAAGCCGTTGGCGAGGCCTAAACTAGCGGAGTTCGACATGGTACCGAATCCGCTGCTCGAACCGATTGACCGAGCCGTCTCATTGGATCCGGTCGAGTTCTCGGGGCTGTCAATGTCCATGCCGGCGTTGTCGGCTGCGCTCTTGCTATGCCTCCGCTGTCGCTTTGCAGACACGGCAACCGTCCGCGGCAGAGCGGAGGCCCCTGGCCCAGGAGTAGACTTTGGGGGTGCCGCAGCAATAGGCACGACACCCTTCCCACCCACTGCACCGTTCGCGGGTCCTGTGCTGCCGTGGAAGCTGGTCGGGCTGCTCCCAGCAGTGTTGCCGCCCGAAGGTCCACCACTGACTGGAGAGTCGCTGGCATTGACGCTACCAGCACGGTTGGTCGCTGGAGGTGTCGAAGCCTGGCTGACGATGTTGCTGGCTGAGGAAGAGATAGCAAGGGACGAGTTTTTACGAGTATTCGTCCCAGAATTGTTGTGTGAAGCATTGACGCTAGCATTCTTCTTCCCAGATCGTGTGCTTGTTCCGCCTACTGGCAAGCTGTTGCCAGATCCACGGTTTCGCTTCTTGATGACATCAGTCTTCAAACTCAGGGGTCTGACAACACCGTGCAGCTTCAAGAAAAGGCCGCATGCGTTGCAGAGTGGTTGACCCTCAGGGTTACGACGCCAAAGAGGCGTAGTCTGGGTGAAGCAATTCGTGCACGTCGTGGGGGCGGTTCCGTCCGTAGACGAATTGTTAGCGCCCTGCAGATTCGTCGACGAGCCGTGCTTGGATCCGGGAGGTGACGACGGTCTGCTGGGGTTCACAGACGAGTATCCAGAAGCGTGCCCAGCCCCGTCTGCTGGTGGGGAATTGGGATTAGATCGCGAGAGGCGATCAAATGCATTGCCTCGGTTCACCGCTGGGGTTGACGCAGTTCGTGGCACTTTCTGTCGGCGGTCTCCACCATGTCGGAATGATTGAGATTGACTTCGGCCGAGATTACCGCCTTCCCATTCATTAGAGTCCACAAAGTCTGTTGTCGTCCCACCAATAGTGACCCGCTTGGCAGCAGGCGGCCCACCTGGGTACCGTGCGGCTTGGGTACTAAACTGCCCAGGCAAAGACGCATCCCACTGCATCGCGTTGTTATGCGATGGCATTCCCTCAGCATCGAATTCAGTTGAGGAAAAGTCGTGCGGCATAGTCATGTTACGGTCGGCAAACGCACCGACATCATCCTCTCCATCGTCTGAATCTGCCCCAAAGCTGAACATGCCATTGCTGTCTGGCATCATAGTCACGCCAGGAGACCGTACAGTGTGATCTGCGAAGACTTGGCTTGGGTCAATGTGGCCGAATGAGTTGCTCGTGGCGAAAGCGGAGGCCGGGTCTGCACCAGAGGTGGTAGGGAACATGGGGTTGCCATTGGACGGGTTGTACATGAATTGGTTTGGCATTGAGTTCGCCATGTTCGTTGGGGCTGGCCGGAATGGGTGCGGTCGTTGATGGCGGACATCCATGGAGCCAAAGTAGAAAGGCTCCTCATTGATTGGGTGTGGTGTAGAGACGGCGGATTGGTACGCCGACCCTGGCGGTGAGTAAAACTCCGTATTCTGGACCGCTGAAGAGGGCATGGACTGGTTGTTGTACATGTTGGCAAACGCCCCATGGTGCGCCATCGGTGAAGTGCCCGGAGAGAAGGCAAAGTTCTGTTGGAAAGGCCCTGCTGAAGTGATTATGGGGTCGCTCTCCATCTGGAAGGTGTCCAGTGGGAATGGCACGCTGGGTTGATTAGGCCCGTGACCCATAGCGGAGGTATGGGGATGATCGAGCGTGTATTCATGGAAATCAGTGTCCCCATCGAGTCCTCCAATGCCAGAGACGTGAGGCGAGAAGTCCGCAGGTCGTTTCCGAGTCTGGTCAGTGTCAGCTGCGATCGAGTCATGGCACGGAGGTCATAGTGAAGGAAGAGACAGAAAGAAAGCCAGTCCGATAGAACTAGATCTGAAAAAGAGGCTTACCCGTCTCTCGTCGATGCTTGTTTTTCTATGGTGTCTTGTAACGTAACCAAACTCGTGCTGCACATTGGGCGCATGAGCTGGCACAGGGACAGACTGAGGTACAAAATGCGGCAGGGAGGCTTGACGGTGCTTGATGGGGATAGCGGTGATGTGCGAGCGCGTTGGCTTGTCTTCGCCTCGCTTCAAGAGCTCGGGCGAAGGGCTACCAGCCGTGCCTGCTGGGGTGGCAATGTTATCAGTGACGATGAAGTCGTCGAGGTTCATGGGGTCAGAAGTCGAGATATTTTGCTCGGAAGATTTTCGCAGCTGGGCTATGCCGCTGGGAGCATTCCCACCGGATCTTTGTGAAACAATAATAAGTTAGCACCTTCTCGATTCTTCGCATAGCATGGCATGGGCTGGCATGGCATGAAGGTGACCATTGCTGCCGTTGCGCAGGTACCGAGCCAGATAACCGTACCTGGAGGACTCATCACCTGCGAGCCGCTGCTTGCGCAAACTGGCGTGCATCATGCGCCATGTGAGGTTTTCCATGCGCTCCTGGTTGGGCAGGTTCTGCCTCGTCTTGCTGAAGAAGCGCCAGACCTGGGTGGCTAGCGGGTCATCCTTCCCCAAGTCCTCTGGGCTGCTGCTCATCCCTGCGATGCCATCCTGAAAGTCGGCGAATACGTCTGTCTTGGACAGGGTGCCTCGTGCATTCTCCAAGGTCTTTGAGAGATCAAAACGGACTTCCTTCAGGCTGCCGCGCATCTCTGCGGTGCTCTTGTTGAGCTTGCTGGTGCTGGTGTTGGGTCTCTGGGCGTTGCTGGGGTTCCCGTTGGTGATGAGTGAGGCGGTACCGGTACCCTTGGTCTTGATCTTGGAGGGAGCGGAGCGCGCTGATTGCTCCGACTTGATATCACCGGTGCCGCTGTCGGCGGGCCTTCGTGGAAATCGAAAGTCGTGCTCTGTTGAAGTAGGGCTCATTGAGGTCAAAGGACTCGACGTCGATATGGCAGCCATGTCGTAACGAACGAGTCGAGTCGGCTTTGAACTATGCTTCTTGGGGGGGGATGGGGGTGGTGAAGAGAGGGAAGCGGGAGGACTTCGGCCAGAATGGGGGGAATCTTGGGACTTGTACCGTCCAAGCAAAGACAAGAGAGGATCCCGGAGGCTCTACCCCACGTTCGGCTGGCCGCACCTGCACACACACACTCACATACACACACACACACACACGCACACGCACAGGCCGGCTGGGCTGGTAGTCCTGGTAGCCCTGGTAGCCCTGGCGTGTGGCCTGTCTTTCTGGTCTGTGTGGCCTGGATCTGGCCTGGTCTGGTCCTTGCTCCGTTGAAGGTGGTGTGCCTCTTACTCTCCCTCTCTCTATGTCTCTTTTTTTGTAGCTGCTGCTGCACTAGAGTCTGGAGAGAGCGCACAAGCCGAGCAGCGGTCACCCACGTCCAAGCAGCAACCTGGTCGGCAGAAAGTGGAATGCCACGCCCTGGCCAACCAAGAGAGGTAATAATAGAGTTGTCGGGACCAAGATGCGATTCAAGAGTCAGTCAGGCTCTGGCAGGACTCGGGTAATTCGCTGGCAGGGGACGTGGGAAAATTATTGAAGAGCCACACGACAGACAGCAGAGAGCATGACACGACACGACACGACACGAGCCGACGACACGGCTCGATCGATCCCTCTGGTCTTGTACAAATATGCATTCTCCTCATCTCTGTCCTTGCTCTCCTCTTCAGGTGCACAAACGAGTTCCAATCCAGATTCCATTACTGTTGCTATTACAGTAAGCCCCTCGAGGGACACACAAGTCACAGATTAATGTGCATGCGCATCAACAGGGCACGGCGCAAAACCGAGTTGCGGAAGCGGTGGTGGTAGTGTTGGTAGTGGAGGTCCATCGGAGCGTCTGATGAAGCCTTCTCCACTTGCTAGCCTCTAGCATCTCGCTCTGCCACTCTGATCCCAGCAGCGCCAGCATCTTGCAGCCGTCCCAGGCCTTTCTTTCGGCTTAACCTGCAAAAGCACAGGACTAGGGGTGGATCCTCCTTGCGCTGGTGGGTCCCTGCGCACGCGAAGGTGGGCGGGGCCACTTGCGATGCAGAAGACGAGAACGAGACATTTTGCCTGAAGTTATGTATCGGATGGCTGGCTGGCTGGCCTGGCTGGCTGGTTAATCGCCTGCAGCCTGACGCACAACGGTGCAATTGATCATCATCTACAGGGACCCTATTCAGGCCGTTTTTTAAGGGTCCTCGAGACTTCCTGCCTGGAGACATCAAATTGCGGCGATCCAATCCAACCCTTTTTTCTGCTCCAATGAAAGCCGATGATTGCAGCCGATCGGATGAATCAGGGCGGAAATGCTGGGTTGTTTGATTACCGAGATGACTCCAAAGGTTGACATAAAAGCCATTCTGAGGGCATCGCCAGCTTCCGTGAGAACGGCTCCTCTCTGCTGAGTATCACCAGCTCTCTCCGGCCCAGTGGGTAAAGTGACGCATCTGGTTTCGTCCCTGGCGCGCTAGGGGTATCTTAGTTTTCCCGGGACGTGAGAGAGGGTCGACATGGACTGTCCAGTCATTAATTAGGCCATCCGACCCCTTTCCGAAAACACCCTTCTCTCATGGCCCGGTGCTGCTAGTGTCTGGAGACAAGGCTTGTTCCTTGTCTGAAAACCGTGGTGTCGGCCATGGAATCGTCGACCATCTTTCCATGTGGAGACTGGGACAGGCTACGTTCAGGTGAGATTGTGCACACGACAGCCGCTGGGAGATCCAGGCACGTCGCCAAACCGGCAGCCGTACTTCGGGGCATGCTTGCGTGCAACCGTGAAGCTAGGAAGAGAACGCCCCGTATGCCTGCGACACCGACCTCGTGTGGGGGCAGTTGAGCACCCGATGGGTATACCGAGTTTGTGGCATGTACACAATCATCCTTACAGTCTAGACTCGAGGTTGCATATCCTGGCACCCAGCAGGCGCCCATGTCAAGATGCAGTGCAAGGAGGCCATACAGCGGACATTGCTTGCTCAGCTGCGGTGGAAAAGCCTCGTGCTCAAAGAGTCAGTCTCTCGGTGTTAAGGACGTGGATGAAGCGGACATGCCTGACATGGTGTGAGGCTTTGGGGCTAGTGATGCGGACAGGGTTGGCAGCGTGGGGTTCTTCCTGCAACCACGGATGAAGGAGGTCGTATGTAGTCGGTACCGGCAAGGGCACGCACGAATGGATGGGCCGTGATCGGCAAGGGTGGCTTGCTCCGTGCGAGAGGCTGCGACGGCGACGCTGGCTGCAGCTGGACTTGTAAGTGTGCCGCTGCTGTGGCTGCTCACGCATCGGCGTCGCTGGGCGCGGATCGGCCCCCTCTCAAACTCGGCCTGGTGAGCGTAGTTGTCGACATGCTCATTCGTTCAGCGAGGCCGAGTCCCGCAGTGCCCGCATGGTTCATCCGGCATCGCTGGAGCATTTGGACCTCATGGAGACTGTGAGGCCAGACCATATTTGAGGCGATGGATTGTGCACGAGCATACTTCTGTGGGCTACTTTCTTACTGCTGTCATTTGATACCAGGTAAGACTGTGGGGCAACTCGTGTCTCCTTCCTGGACTGGGAACTGGAAAAACTGGGAAGAGGTAGTATTTGGTCTTAAACCCACGAGATTCCCGGAGCCCGAGGTCTCTGGGCGTCAAACGGCCTCCACTGCGATGATTCGTATATGATGGGACACCTGAGGCCGTTGCCCTGCCGGGGGCGAGGGCAAAATGAGCTTCTGCAAGGAGACGAGGAAGGCAAGCTTCGTATGGTGCGGCTGAACTCTCTCTCTCCCCACGTAGATCCACGGAAGTTGGCCGGGCGTGCGGCGGCGGGTGGAAACGACAGGCGGCTGCTGTCGACTCGAGACCTGTGCCTGTGAACACCCAGAATACCCTACATCTTTCTAGATCAGCCAGAGGTAGACTGCAAGAGGGCTCTTGAATTCCGCATCTCGTCAAGCTACTTAGCTGCCTGGGAAATGCCGTGCTTGACGTCAGTAAGTCAGTTCTGGCGACCGATCAAATGTGGGCTGCCCATGTGGCGTCCACACAACGCTCTGTAGCGTAGCGTACTTCGACAGTAGATGTCACTCATCAGCGGGAGTGCGGAAGTCAACGTTGCTTCCGCGGTAGCCCGGACGGAACATGTTGGCCAGGAATACTAGAATACATGGCATTATTCCCTGCCTCTTGCACAGTCACTTGCTTGGTAGCGCTGCACTGAGGTGGTTAAGGTTCTCCTCCCTGCGTCCACGACCGGAGGCGAGGAGGAGCGGGAGCCATGTACCGTAAGATGTGATCTAAACGGGTGTGGTTGCAAAGTGATGCCGATGAGTATGCCAGACAGTGTGTGGTATGTACAGGGCGCTTAGCTGCACAAAGGGTCGCGGCTGTCGGTAAAAAGTCCGTGGTGAGAAGAAGCTGGGTATTCATTTTCCCATCGTTTATGAGTAGGTAAGTAGACATGTACACAGTAATAAGAGGAATAGCATTGTTCTGTGGCTTGGGAAGGAGGACAGGGTCCAAGGAGCGCGTACGCATTCCAGCCTTCCTGTCGTTGCCCAAGGGGCAGGTACTTTTAATCACGATGCTGCGCAGACATAGGTGTCGTCAGTCTCGAGAGGGGGGTTGGATTGGATTGGTGGATCTTGAGCTTCTCTGCAGCACGACGACCGCGACCTTGGGAAAGGAAGCTACCCACTGATGAGTGGATCTGTCGCCCTCGTCCTGAGCCCTGACTGTCGGAGCAGGAGGATGGGGTCAAGCCGCCCCGAGGGAGACGGCTGGCGGGTGCAACGCTGCAGCCAGGAAGCTGGTGATGGGCAGACAGGCAGACAGGCGACTCTACCGTGGTAGTTCATACAGTAGAGGTCCACGGTCCGTGGGATTCAAGCGAGTGGGCGGGCGGGCAGGCGGGCAGGCAGACAGGCCAGACAGGCCAGACAGGTGGGAGTGTTCGTCCGTGCCTCGAAAACCCCACACCTTCTGACACTCCACCGCCCACGCCCACATCACACCCACACAACAACCCAACCCACACACTCTGACACTTAGAGTACACAGACCACACCAACATCCACTTCCCACATCCACAACCCGTTCCATTGGACTCCCTCGCTCTTTTTCAGTCTGAATTATACCGCGTTGTAATGGTCACCGGACCTTCCCACGAACTCCCAACTGCCTCTGGGGGAAGGCCAGCCTGTACATCCCGCGCGGGCGCTCACAAGTGCTCATCCGGCATGTCACACCCTCGACACACCCACGACACATTCTCACACTCATATATACCCGCCTGTACGCCCACTCCCCTTTCACCTGCTTCGGGCTCGTCCTCGATGGGTGAGATGACAACGTCATGGGCGCCAGACTGCAGCAAATCAACGGCCACAATCTCCTGCTGGACGACCGCAACATGTCCAGACGCACACTGACATGCCACACACTAGCTCCATTAAGCTGGCGCCAGCTGCGCGGGTTGCTTTCAATCTGGTTGCGTAGCCTTGTCTGGCTCGTCCAGTCGTCCAGCCGTCCTGTCCTCCTGTCAGCCCAGCCATCCGGACGCGAGTGGGCGCTGGGGCCAGTCCAGTCCAGTCCAGGCCTTGTCTTCAGATCGCCCCAAAGTACCGGGTACCCGACTGAACCCACCTCGTCCGACAGGGGTCTAAATTGTGCCCCCTCCGCACCGACATCAACACCAGCCAGGCAGGCCAGGCAGGCCAGGGTGGTGTACTGTGATGCTACAGTACATGTACAAACCCCCACGGCCGCAGCAAGCCTGCACTATGTATGATCCTGTGAATGAGAGATCATAAAACCAGACTGTAACGCACGGCAACGGAACGACATCCATCTGCTCCTTGGTCATGTTGTCCGCCTACGTACACGGAAGGCGGACAGCTGACTTCACACGCGTTCCAGAATTCACCATCGCATGTCTTTTGATTTTCCCGTCGCATCTGACCCCGAGTCATCCCGATCTACTCGTGCGCCGCGCCGGGCTTTCTTGGCCGGCAATTCCCAGCTTCGGTTTGAGCGACCACAGGCTTTGAGACCTGATTGGGCAATGGCTGTTGCTCCTTCACGCTCAACAAAATCCCTGTCCTATCCCTGAGTCTTGCCAAATTGGCCGACATCAGTTACATCAGTCACCTATGCCCAGGCAGGCAAAGCAGCCAGACACCAGACAAGGCAAGCAGCCAGCCTAGGCATCGGAATGCATATGGCCATAGGTATGAAGGACCTGAACATGGCATAAGTAGTCTCGGATGGGTACACGACATGAAAGTAATGATGTCGTACGACTTTGCTGCATCGTTCCACGGGAACACGTCGATATCCAGCCAGCATGTGAAGCTGCTATGTCCAGCATGTGTGATTTAGTATCCAACCACTTCCGGACAAAACCAAAGGTCGACAGGCTGGTCCCAGCGCAACAGCCCTGTTTCATTTCGGCCCAGGCACAGGCAAACCCTCGCGCGCAGCTTCTGACCAACAACGAGAAAAACATCGTTCGGCCCGATCGCAGACACGCTACTTTTGTCCCTGCAACTACGGTACGGCCAGGCGGCCTGCCATCTCCACTGCTGGAGTTGCCGTCGCGTCCGATGGCGGTGGGCCTCGACTTACCAAGCAGGTTCGCCTCTAAAAAAGATCGTGGTGCCTCAGCTTAGGCAAGTACTATCGTAAGTGCTTTGCAAGCAGTCATTGCTGAATGCGGCGTCTGCTTCGATGTACACAGTACTGTATGGAGCTCTCGAGCCGCAGCACGGATCACCCTTGAATCACAGTGTGTGACATTTCAACCCGCCCGACTGCAGCACGTCTCCATTTTCACTGGTAGACCGAGCGTTCAGGGTAAGCCGGTTGCCATTCCAGCCTCTCGGGTCTAACACATTCGTAAATAGTCGATCGGGAAGCCTGCGATGTACGGCTGATTTTTGAGAGCCAAAATTATTCGGACCACGGAGCCGAATGCTCTCAACATTGGATTAGCATTGTGCCCTGAAGAGTTGTTCAGGATGTTCTGTACCGCCTGACCGAACGACCAAGTCGCATCCGACGCGAAGTTGTTCACGGCGCAATTTCCCTACTCAGGGTAGCCATTCGTCAGTGCCTTCATTGGTTGCAGCACCGTTGCCGCCACTAGCTAGATACAAGTGGTCCCGACACAACCCTGAACACGAACAAAGGCCCCACCACCAGGTCATGGCCGGGGCGGCTTTTTGACACTGGAGCGCAACGAGTCGACGTCGCCTCGGCTTCGGGAAGGCACAACCTTTCCGTCGGCAACATGAACTACTCAACGCCGGTGCATAGTACTTAGACAGCCACGATGGTCACGACAATCCACGGTGGTCCCTGGAGTATACTCCCGAACTAGCAACGGGTTCGGCCAGGTGGCCAGGCTGAACACCGGTTTGTGCCAACTGGAGAGACGATTGGACTACTCTGCCGTTCAGGGTCCTAGTGACGGCAATCCATCAGGGGACCACTTCAGCGCTTGTTGAACCAATTTACATGTGACTGCCGAGCTTGCGTGGCCCCCAAGCCCCTCGCAAACATAACACTCATCTCTTGTGTCTCTGTCGAGAAACGATGGAACTATCTTGACCAGATTCGGCCGGCTCTTTCTTTGGGCACCGCTGACAAACAGGCCATTCCCAAGGCATCGGAGGGATGATCCTCGTGGGTTCCGGATCTGTCAAGGAACCCCCTACCCAAGTCTCACCGTTAAGCGTCTCTTGGAGGAGCAGGCGGTGAAGGCTCGGGACAGACAGGCTGCAGACAGGGCGGCAGATTGCTTGATCTTCCAAAACCAGGCATTGAGCCGCCTGAAGCGCAGCGATTTTCTGACACTTGGTCCTTCGGGCCACAACTCCGTGCCAACAACTCGTTTACCCGCAATTTAAGCCAGGGCTTTCGTTCACTTACCGTAGTACCTGGCCCGGCCTTCTTTAATCGGCATACCGAAAATGGGGCTGACTCGCCCACTCTTCTTTCCTGGTCCGCTGGACCCGGCCGCTTTAATTTTTGCAGAAAGTAGAGAGTCTGATATTCACTAGACTGCACGTCTTCTGTGCTCCGGTCAGCGTTGGATGGAAAGGACGTGTCACTGCTTTCGACAACGATTACCCCAACCGGCGCTGGTCCCTTGGTCCTTTTGAATCCCCAACCTCATGACGCCAGGTCCGGCCATACCGTACCATTGAGTGTTGTGGATGGTCGGCACCATAATATGATCACGGAGAGACAAATTTGGATGGACCAATCGAAGTTGAATCCAGGCGTGGGGGTCCGCAGCCAGCTTGCAGGAACCCCTCGTTCACCTCTGAGTGTCGAACTGTCGGGGCGATCGCCCGGCCTCCGCGATTCTCAGAGGAGGCACATTGTCGTCGGATCTCGCTAGCAAAATGGAGGCATGACGGCTGGAGACTCTCGAGCAGGCCATCGTTTCAGCGGCCTGCAAGATGGCGGACGTTTGGCCTTTCGTCGTAAAGATGTTCGTTCGGCCCCGGAATTCTCCTTCCCTCTGCTTAGTGGCGACCTTATTCCCCAGGACTTCGACTGCCCATGATAGAGCCTCTGCTCAAGTACTTTGGCACGGCGGGGTTGTGTTGCACACAGCATCGACGAAGCGATCTTGAACCGACCAAGGCAGAGCTCTGTGGCTCTTGCTGGCGTCGGGTAGTGTTCCTGGTTTGAATCTGCAGCTAAGCTCATTCATGTCGCACTCATGGTTGTCAACAAGGTTCGCCAAGTCCGAGGCCTAAAGTCCGTATTCGCGATGCCGAACCTAATAGTGTTGTGCCTGGCCGTCTGCCACGATAGTCCTGCCAGAATCTCTGAACGACTGGGGGCAGGAGGAGCAGAAGCCAGCTTATATGCATTCCAGAGTCAAGAATGACTTGTGTTCCCCAACCTCATTCTAAGCCCATGAATCCCAGGGGGGCCAAGGCTCCCTTATCTCTGGCGAACAGAGCCTTCCTCTCAACGTGTAGCTCCACAGGGGAACAACAGAACCCAGCGCCGATCCGGCAGGTCACCTCTGCTGCCACCCGCAAAGAGGAAAGAATTTGCAATATTGTGCAATTGGGGCTGATACTGATGCGCATGACACTAAAGCGACTTGCCACGTTCTAATCAAGACAATAAAGTAGATAGACGATGTGTGTGACTGACCTTCCGAAAGGGAAGGAGCAGCTCGACGCTCAGCATCTAAGCGTCGTCGGCATATAGCTGTCCAGCGCCTCTCAACTACTGTCGAAGCTTTGAAGCCTCTTAAAACGAGAAATATTAAATGAATGACGAGATACGAGCTTCACAGATAACCATTTTTCAGTTATCAGCACCTTCTAATTCGAGATGCCCGATGTCTGATCAACCCCAGAAAGACGACATTAGCTCTTCTCCGCGGGCAATTTCACTGCACACGTGCTCATTTATTCCTACTTTAATTCTTCGAGTACACTCGTGAGACGTTACCTCAACCAGAGATTGCTCTTCGAGACTTCAATGGCCAGTCAACTCAGTCCCTGGCCCCTAGTCTACAATCGACTGCCTTCCAGCCTTACAGGCGACGGCGCGGTTACACAGCAACAGACGCCCGAAAAGGCTCGATGCTGATACAGGCCCGGCTGACGCCGATTGTATCGAGTTGCCCTTTCTTCCTCTTCAAGCTTCCTTATCTTTGGCCCCTTCTGCTCTTGTCTCACCGGTTGCGAAGATCCTTGCATTTTACAGAGTGGCATCGAGTGTCAGACCTGCAGACGCGACGTGTCTCCCCCGAGGTGGTGGATTTCGGGCTCCGTCGCCAGAGATAAAAGGGCGGCAGCGCCTCCCAGGCGACACAACCTACGACCCGTTCTCCCGCGGTCCCGTTTCCCTTCACAGCGTTGCAGTCGATCGGTAATGGGTGCGTGTATGCGCGGCTGTACTTGTCACTGCTGGAAATCTCTCGGTGTCGTTGCCGGCCAGAAACCCCATTCGCGAGTCTCTTATTGCCTGCTTGTTATCTCTGCTAGTGGGCATCTCTTGGATGTCGTTATCTCTTGCACGGATGATGAATGCATTTGCGTGACTCGCCGGGGCTCACATAAGATGCGTTCATATCCCTACTCTTCACAATTCCCTTTGTCTGTCTTTCCCACGGATGGTTCCTACGCATCCCACCTGGTTCATGACTACGCGAGTCCGCTGTGAAGCTGTGAGACCGAAAAGTAATGGCCGGCTTGGTATCATGGACGATGTTGCGCTATCCCTCGGGTCAAATTTCCTTCGAACGACACAATGTTCTTGACGGGGACTGAATAGGGCCATAAGTATGGCCGTTTTCGACCCGGTCCTTTGTCGTACGAGCTCGACTGGGAAGGACTGCTTTGTCTACAATGTCACTTTTCTGAGGCTTGATGAACAGACGGGCCTGAAGATGTCGGGCCCGACTTTTTGGATCTTGGCCACGTTCTTCCAATGCTACTCCCGGAGATGGCATCAAAAAATGAAGGCACGATAGGCTGGCGGTACCTGCCGCTGTATGCGGTTGCCCTTCTTTCTCTTCCCGGCACTCCGCAGTGTCAGGCCTCGGAGGGAGAGTTGACGACAATCCAGAGCACGACCACCACGACTTTGTCGTTGACACAGACGATCACGGTACAGGCCACCACTCCGACCTCTGTCCAGAGTGAGAAGATGCAGAACGGCGACATATACATTCTTCAAGGGTGCTACGGACAGGATGGGACGAGCAACATTGGGACCATACTGGGGTCCAATTTCACGGCCCCAGACACCTCTACAAGAGATGGTATGTCACTGTCTATGTGCCTGTTCCTTTGCCGATTGCCGGCATCATCTGCTGTCAAGGCCAGAGATGAGCAAAGCCTACCGCTATACATTGGTTTATCGGACGGAAAGTAAGTCCCGTCCCTCCTTCTGCCGGTGGTAAGACGATCGACCAGATGGCAGAACTGACCGTGCGACTATGTGTTCACAGAGCTTGTTATTGCGGAGCCACCCTCGACTCGACCGCGAAAGAGGTCCAAGCCAAGAACTGCACTTTGCCATGCACTGGAAACAATACCATAGCATGCGGAGGCCACGGATTCATGTTGATCTACAAGCTATCAGACAAGTCGGAATCCGCGAAGAAGCTCGCCGACGGGCCTTACGACGATGGCGCAGGTGGCAAAGGGAAACCAGGCGTGACAGCAGGGATTGCACTAGGGAGCATTGCCGGGTTCGGAGTGCTTCTACTCCTCATCTTCTATGGCGCCAAGACGTACAAGAAAAGGAGACAACGACAAGCAAGCGGCAGTGACGAGCAAGATGCGATCGCGGGGGTTGGGGAGCACGCCGATGATGACACGGTGCCTACGAGCAACACGGCCAGCCGCGAAAACGCCAACCGAGTCGACCTGAGACGATTCGATCCTATCGTGATAGACTTTGCACCCATCGACGGCGGCAGGCGTGCTTCGAACACCGGACGGCCGAAGGAGATCATCGCTGCCTCCACGGGTGCAGATTGGAGGACGGGGAGCCCGCAGACACCGAGAGCCACCGGGGACGGGGCACCGAAGCTGCCAGCGAACGTGCCTGGGAACGAAGTCTGGGACGACATCCCTGACACGCCCACGATACTTGTGCAGCACCCCGAAAGCGTCGCGCAGAACTCCGGGCTGGGCGAGAGGGCGTGGCATCGCCGGCGTCTTTCGACTCCACTCCCTCCAGCGGGTTACGACGGCGGCAGCAGTTCTACCGGAGGCGGAGGGCCGAGAGGAGGGTGGGAGCCACCATCGCAAGGCACTGAGGGCAGGGGCATGAATAGGTCGGAGGACTCGTGGGACTCGCTCGTGCCTGCACCGCTGACTTTGCCGTCACTCAACCGCGATACGGATAGCACCTTGGTGCCGTCCGAGGATGGAGGACCACCGAGTTCGAAGTTGACCATGTGGACTGTGCCATCTGATCCCTCGCTATCAGAGTCCCCGGGGAATAGTTTAGGCAGGAGCGTAAAGACGGGCAAGACGGAATAGATGGTCTTCTATGCGTGGAGTTTTCGATGTACTTCACGCAGAACCAGGCAGTAAAACCCACCAGGAATAATTTTTTCGGTCAGATTGGTGTCTATTCTGATTGACCTCGCGTGTATGTGGATGGTGTTCATGCCTCGGATTCATGTGCTTGAGTGATTGAGTACCCAGCGACCTGGCCCTTTGTTTCATAGCACGATGGCGTCGTCTTGTCCTTCATGCGAATTAGACTCAGCCCTTGTCTACTTTGAGAACCTTCTCTCTCTCAGATCTAAGATGTTGCGGTCATGAGAAACGCGCTCAAAACTGCAACGTCTCTGGGCATGGCGGGAGCTAAAATGCGCCTCTGTTGCTGTGGAAGGCGCTGCTATCCTTGTCAGTTGAACATGGGGAGGACTGTCCTAAAATCATTGCTCTGTAACAAAGCTTCAAGACTCTCCATCTAGGCCTGAGCTATCGTGGGATCCTGGCGGTGGTTTGCTGTCTGACTGCAATTCTATTTCAAGAGACAGGGTATTAGACGGTCGATCTCGCACTAATTTTATACGTCGGATCCTCAGCGTCTCCTAAGGCAGGGAGAGGAGCCCGAAGGACACCTGAGAGAGTCCTTTCGCCGGGATCAGAGGATCTTGCCAGCCGCGAGGCCAACTTGGGTATCTTTGGTTCGGGATTACACTCGATACCGGTGCCGATATCGACTAGGTGAACTTCCAATCTCAGCAAGCCTTACGGAGACTGCGAACTGGAGATGGAAAGGAGTGAAAAGTACTAACTTCTCAATCAAGGTATACAAATACGGGAAGAGTGTGCGGACCGCATGACGACCTCATAAGCCGTGGTTGTATCTTAAGGTTGTAATGGAACGAAACCCCCCTCCCCCTCCCCCCCCCAAAAAAAAGGGGGAACGACTTCCAAGGATGCTTTGCCCCTCGTCTAACGGACGAGGACAAGGATACTCAGCCTGTCAATGCTGTTCACGCGAGGGAAATCACAACAATCTGCGTTTTCATAGGTTATTATTATTTGTTTGGGTGCTCAAGACGATGTCGGACTTCATCATCTAGCCAGTTCCTCAACGTCTTTCACTTTCCATACTCAAATTCCAGAGACGGCAAACAGACTCAAATCTGGATCTCTGTTCTGTCCCTCTCATTCCGCCCTCACAAGCAGTACTTTTTCTCGTAAAACTTGCTGACCTTGACACCCTTCAACTCATTCTCGTAGAAGCCCGCTGTAATCAGGTCGTTGAGAGTGTTGGCGTGACCCTTTCCCACGAGGACGCCGGTCATGAACATAGTCCACTCGAGGGTGCCACTCTCTTCGCAGACGACGACGTCGAATGTTAGGCCGTGCTCATCCATGGTGTCAGAGACTGGAAATGTGTCAGTCAAATGTTGAGAGATCACCCTCAAATTTGCGCAGGACAAGAGGAGTGTCTGCTGGGGCCACTTACTCTTCTGCGCAGCAGCCTCGAGGGCCGCGTCGTTACCCTCTTGCAGCTTCGAAGCCTCGCCATCAGCCGCGTGGGCAGTCTCATACCGATTCTGACACTCCTGCAGTAAATTCGCGTCAGTATTGACAATGAAAACAGCTATCTGGCAAAAAGCTGCTCACCGAGACGCTCTTCGCCAGCGCATTTTCCCACTCGCCGCAAACCTTGGCCATCGCCGAGAGCTTGACGCGAAGCTTCTCAGCCCGCCACATGTCCGCCTCTTCTAGAATCCGGGTGTTTTCCGAGTGCGCTGGGTAGTCCAACAGGACCTTCAGGCGGCCCTGGGCATCCTTACTGCGCTGGGTCTGGACCGATTGGTCGGAGCAGGCGGATGTGGAAGTCATACTGGGGAGGGACCAGAAGCTCGCGCTGCGATAAACGTCGGAGCCAGGATTGGAGGGGTAGGTCATTGAGGTTGGTTGTTTCTTGGATGGCATCGTGATGATCAAAAAGAGGAAGGGTAGACTTGAGGGGAACAGCCTGGCTTAAATACGGTCCGAGTGGTTTGGGTTTGCTTTCTGGCAACAATAGGGAGACGAGGGTGAGAATGGGGACTTGTGGTGACAATGAGAGAGAACCGTGATGACAGAGAAAAGCTCGCGATCTGAAGAACGACACCGCGATCTGAAGGATGGGACCGCGATCTGAAGACTGACACCGCGATCCAAAGAGGGGTCTTGCAAGCAAATGAGAACCTTGCGACGAGAATGGAAATCACAGGTAGTGAGTGAGCGACTTCACAGTTGCAACATATTTGGTTGTGAATTAGGCACGACCGTGACGCGATTTGGAATAAACAAATATGCCAGTGCCTCTCCATCAGTACAAACAACATCTGTGAATAGGATATTGAATATTCAAAGGTGAGTGATTGGCTGCTACCAAGCAGAGACCAGAAGATTGTGATTGAATTAGTTGCCGCTCAGGAGCTTCTCCACCGCCCACTTCACAGAGAAGTTCCTCAAGTCTGAATAGTGCTGTCCAACACCAACAAACAAGATAGGCACATTGGTCGCATGTACCAAGCTCACTAGTGTGCCAACCATATCTCCCACAGTGTCGCACTTCGAGATGATGAATCCGTCAAGAGTCCGTACCGATCCAAACGCTGCGTTGAAATTGCGAGCTTGGGCGACAGAGTCCGTTCCGACGAGAGCCTCGCCCACCATGAGGATCTTGTCAGGCTGCGCAAACTTGGCAAATTTCTCCAGCGAGGACATCAGTCGCTGATCGTTGTGACGCCGTCCAGCTGTATCAATCAACACGACATCGTATCCGTGCTGGCCGGCGAACTGCACGGCGTCTCTTGCGACAGTAGCCGCGTCCTTGCCGTATCCCTTTTGGTATAGCTCAACCTCACCACCCTCACGCGCAGTCAGCTCCTTCAGGTTGCGCACATGCACTCCCAGCTGCTCGACAGCTCCGGATCGGAAGGTGTCACCTGCGGCGATGAGCACCTTGTACTTGTTCTGCAGCAGGAAAAAGCAGATCTTGGACAGGTTCGTGGATTTGCCCACGCCGTTGACACCGACGATGGACATGACATAAGGCCGAGCTTTGCGCATCGACGTCGCAGAGGGCGACGTAACGGAATCGATCTCGCGCAGCAGATCCATGGATGATGTTGGGGTCAGCATCTTGGTAAGCGATGCCTCCATTGCCGTCTGAATGCGTGTGCTGATGCTCTCGAAGCTCCCAGTTGTGACCCCGATCAGCTCCTTCTCGACGCCTTCGCACAACCGGACTGCAGCCTCTCTGGCGACATTCTTGCGCAGCAAATGTTCTTCCATTCCCTTCATCGCCTTGTCCAGGTCCTCCTTGGTCAGCTTCTTGCCACCGATGACGTTGCGGAACAGGCCGCTGATGGCGCTCAGACCAGTGCCCACCAGACCACCATTCGCAGTTTCTGGACTGGTTGCTGCCTTCTTGGCTTCTGCGTCAGCGAGCATCGAGTGTACCTCATCGCCAAGGTCTTTCAACACAAACTTTCCCTTGTTAGTTGCGCCCCAGGTCGAAGAGTCGACCTCCTCAAGCGCCGAGGACCGTCCAACAGCCACGTCACCCGTGTCACCAGAGTAATCGAGCTTCACGTTAGGATCATCCTCGAGGGGCAGTCCGTCGTCGTCCCACTTGCGACCCTTCTTGGTCTGCTTCGCCGCTCCCTTGGTCTTGCGCGATGCAGTCTCGTCTCCGGACGCAGGGGCAGAGTTGGTGCGGTTGACCGCCTTGCGGGCTCGTCTCGATAGCTTCGCTGCTGGGCTTGCGTCGCCACCGACCACGGCATTGTTCGCAGGGGTTGCAGGCCGAGAGGTCACAGGTGTGGACTCGACGGAAGGGGCGATCTCGGGTGATGGAGGGTCGTCGCCCTCCTTTCCGGACACAACATCCTTCTCTTTGGTAGCCCTGGCCGGCTGAGGTTGGACAGGGCGCTTCTCGGCGAGCTGCTCGAGCTCTTGGATCTGCTGGTCGAAGTACTTGTCGAACTGGCTGCACTCGACTTGTGTGGTGTTTGGTTTCGTCAATTGGTCACCGTACAGCTGGACGAAGATGGTCTTGATGTTGTCAACAAGCTTATCGATCCAGGAAAGGTGGAGCAAAGATCTGTAGACGGCGACAAAAATGATGCCGAGCTCCTTGACCATGGTCCATCGCAGGGTGTGCTGCTCTGTTTTGTAAGGCGCATTGGTAGCGGCGGAGTTGTCTGCCTTGACAAAGCTAGATGCGCCCTTCTCCTCAACAAATACATCTGTTATGAAGTTGTTGATGACCGAGGGCTTGACTGGCGCCCACTTCCGGGACCATATTACCACGCCGGCGGTGGTGACAATTTCGAAGGTGTCCAGCATGGTGGATCAAGAACACTTCACACTCGGATATTATCGGACAAGAGGCAGCGGTGTCGAGCTGGTCGTATAATGCAGGAGCGAGTTGGGAGCTTGTGGGTCGGGTCAAGTCGAGTCGAGTCGAGTCGAGGTTGAAGCCAAAGAAAAAAGACAGACTCGAAGTGAGAAGGAAAAGAGACAGTTGATGTGCTGGCGCGGTCAATTGGCGCTGGTGTCGGACTGTCCGTCTGCGGCGCGATAAGACGGCGCATCCTAATCTTATCGATATCCTATTAGACCACCACCTAGTCTTCTGTGGGTGCCTGGGTACTTTGGGTACCTAGGTACATGCCTAGGTACCTAGGTAGCTTCGACCTGGGGCCACAGTAGCACAATGACAGGCTGTGTGTCGTTATGTAAGCGCGCTGCAACGTAAATGACAGCATGCGCTTTCGCAGCCTTGGCCGTCTTTCAGGGGTCGAGCTTTGTCTTGTCTGTCCAAGAAGGCCAAGGCTCAGAAGCTCTCGACCCAGGCCAACTTTGGAACCCCATAGCTGGCGTCTTGTCTTGACCACGTCGTGATAACATTTGCGCCACCACCAACCAACCCCCACGACCGGTTCCTACCGCTGCCATCAAATACTGAGTGATTGACCTTGGCCGCCACACCGCTGGCACGACACGCCAGCACGCCCACAATGCAGCGACCGCAAACATACGGCCAGTCGCCGCCTCTCCACCACCCCGTACCACAACACGTCTCGACCGTGCCCCAGCTGCGATCACCACCTCCACCAACGGGGTCCCAGCCCCAGTCGCAGAACTATGGCAACCCCTACCAGGCCCAGCAGGCCGGCGCGCCGAATGGCAACACGCTCGGCCAGTACGGCAATTTCATGAACGATCCTACAGCGCAGTTCGCCGCCCAGTTTGGTCAGACTGCCTTCAAGCACGGACAGGAATATCTCGAGCAAAACGTGAGTAACCTTGGATGCGGTCGCATAAAATAGCATAGCGGCGCATATGCCTTGGCGACGAGTGACTAATTCCCCATGTCACAGGTCAACCGCTACTTCAACTATCCCGCCCTCAAGCACTACTTCAACGTCACCAACAGCTACGTGATAAACAAGCTCTTCCTCGTCCTCTTCCCTTGGAGGCACAAGCCCTGGTCGCGCAAGCAAGCAGTCGGGCCCAACGGCCAGGAAGGCTGGTATCTGCCGCCGCGCGACGATGTCAACAGCCCGGACATGTACATCCCTGTCATGTCCATCGTGACCTACATCCTCCTCTCCACGCTCCTCGCTGGTCTACGCGGGCAGTTTCAACCCGAGCTGCTCGGCTCAAAAGCCGCGACTGGGCTGATTGTGGTCATGGCCGAGATCTTGGGCTTGAAGGTCGGCTCGTACATCCTCAGCATCTCCAACTCCTCACAGCTGCTGGATCTGGTCGCGTACTCGGGCTACAAGTTTGTCGGAATTATTGTGACTATCGCCGTGGCCGAGATCTTCAATGGTGGCAAGGGTACCGGCGGCTGGGTCGGCTGGAGCGTCTTCATATACACTTTCCTGGCCAACTCGCTCTTCCTCATGCGCTCGCTCAAGTATGTCTTGTTGCCGGAGAATAACGGAGACCCCCGGGGTGGAATGCAGACGGACTCGAGGGCAAAGAGGAACCAGCGCACACAGTTCCTGTTCTTCTACTCGTACGTCGTACAATTGGTCCTCATGTGGATTTTGTGTAGGGCTTAGGGGACACGAATGGGTTGGACGCCTTTGTTATGACAAAAATGATCTCTGGCATGGGGAGTTTGGGAGAGGAGACCGGTAAAAAGGGTATTGGCATATGTACCGGCACATTTGAATTGTAACACTAGTGAGGTCTAAACGGTCTAGGTTCAATAGACGAAAACACACTCACCACAACTCTCATTCAATCAAGCGTGACAGGCCTTGCTTGAGGTCGATCCCAGTAACCGGTGTACCCAAAGCACAAAAAATAAAATATCTCACAGAGAATCACATGTTAGATAAGTCTGCCAAAATCTACCTATGAATGCGACTGCTAGACGTCTTCGTCGACAGGGCGCAGACAAGGCGTCGCAACCCCAAGGCCCGCGGTGTCTTCAGCACAACCACCACAATTATTCACAGCAGACTCTAAGGTTTTACAACCCATCATTCAGGCAGCTGCGGCATCTGGCTCTCTTTTGATCACTCTCAGACATGTGGATCTCATAATGTGGGCCTTTATCCGGCCATGGTTCCCAGGGCTGCCTGAGTCGTTGAAACTCCACATATAATCCACAAACTTGCTCGTTCAAGCACATACGGCCACAGATACAGGAAAATACGGGATCCCGTCCGCTCTCCCATAGTCAAGCCTGTAATCGCTGGATTAGTAGTTGGGTCGGTGACGACCAGCGAATACCCGGTGCTGTATGTTTTTGTTTTGGTTGGGATCTCGACTTCGGTTGGGTTCTCAATTTTTGTTGGGTTCTCAATTTTGGCAGTCTACAACCTCGTGTCCTATCCTACAACGGTGCAACAATTTTTCCGCCTATTCTGAGCTGACTACGGGCCGAGATCTGTCTCTGTCCCAGTATTAATGAAATTAGGTAGCAGGGTTCGATATTGACGACAGTGGGGCTTGCCAGTGGTCATTGCTGTGGAGGCAGATATGGATGCTATAGAGCTTAATGATTATTCAGAAAGCTGTATGTCTACAGCCCTTAGGCCACATTCACAAGCCAAGGAATGCAATATAGAAGTACTATGATTGTTATATATTATTTCACCGCATTTTAGTTGGCTCTGGGCAGTAGAGTGATTATTTACCGGGAGACAATTAGCCTCACGATTTTCAAAGACACCTCGTTGCGTGCAACGCATATCAAGCGACGTTACAACTTGCAGGATGACAAATGCGGTCTTGCAGCTAATGCCGGTGCTGCTTAGGTATGGCAGACTACCCGTGAGTAAATACGTTCAAATCTAAATATATTCCGAAATACGGAATTTTCCCCTTGCAGAAGCTTCACAGTATACTAAACATTTCAATGGGCAGACGCCTTCTTGAACCATCGTCAGTGGATTCAAGCAGTATATCGTGTCAAAACAGCCTGGAAGTGATGACTTGCACGAGAAGAAACTCGACGTGGCCGAGTTCTGCGAAGATATCTGTGCCACACACTTCAATGAGCGTGGACTTTTCAGATGTTTAAACAGATTAACAGCTCAGCCTGTCTAATCTCTCTCTGCCAACTTTCTACATCCGTGAAAACTCCTTCGGAAAACTGGTGATTGCCGGCCTTTGATCCACTGCTTTTAAATCTTTAAGAGCTGCCCACCCCTCAAGGAGCTTGACAGACACATTCGCTCGCACATCGTGCCGATGCCCCTCCCCACTGCAAAATAACCAGCGGGGACTGGGAGCGCGCCTGCCTCGTAAAAAGAACCAAGACATTCACTACCGTCTGTGACGGCACAACTATGTAAGACTGCACTGTATTCCAGAACGCGCTCTGGAATTCTGACCTTTTGATTAAGGAGACAGCCCTAGCCATAGTGCAGCGGTCAGGGCGCTGTCTCACCGTCTAAGGCGTATATGTCTGCTTGGTTTTTCTCCCGGCACGGTGCCTTGACCACGTCCAACGCTATTCGAAATTCACCACATCCATCATTCAACGTCTCAGGAACACAGCCGGATCTACTGAGGATCATTGACTCAAGACAGCGAACACAAGGCTAATTCCTCCGTTGGACTACAATTATATAACGGAAAGAGTAAGTAGTCTTAATTTCATAAGGAAGTGTGCCTAAGACGCATACATAGAGCCTATGTGAAGACGGGAGAGTGTCGGGTGTTGAAAGTAACTTAGTGAGTCTAGCTATTAAAACGGGCAATCACAGAAATAAATATTAGGCTGTGGCGGCCTCGCTCTGCTAGCCGTCCGAAGACTCCGAGGCGCGCTGACGAGGATCGTGTCAAAACAACGGAAACGGAGATAGGGAGGAAGAATAGAGGGGTGATGGGCTCTGATCAGAGCTCATATAGCACAATGATACGAGAAAAATAAAGTAAAAGAATGTGGGTTTGTTGATTATTTTGTAAAGACTGTAGTCCAGGAACGTTTCCTTTTAAAATCCTTAGACGAGAGGGCCCCTGATTATGGAAGCGACGCACGCTTACGTAATTTATGCTCCGCAACACTATGCTGCTGGGTTGGTTGAGAAAAGAATGCAATCCACTGATGAGACGTAAAGTAGCTGTGACTCTCCCAATCCTGATATCTTCAGGGATTCCAACCGTTCAGGACTTGCTGAAGATTGTGAATCAAGCCATTGAGTGTTTTCTGGGTCTCGTCAAACCAAGCGACAGCGTCCTTGGGTGACTTTGGCTTCTCCGATCGGTTCATACCAAGATGAAGATATGCTGCTGCTGCATCCTTCTTACGGTAATATTCGTTGAGACCCTTTTGAATGAGAGCCTTTTTGTCCTTTTCACTCATGGACGTGGGCAGCTGCTCAGACAAGCTGGTCAAAGCGCCGTAGAGATCATCAAGGCGTTGTGCCTTATCGAGTTTGCCTTCATCTGCCTTGTCGAAATATTTGACCTGCCCGGTCTTTAAGTAATATTTGTCGAATGCTGTTTTCTGCTCCGTGGCGCATTTGGCGACTCCCTGACACATTGGGAAGATGTTTTTAGCGTAAGTGGTCATCTTGTTGACTGTTGGAATGAGGCACAACGATGAGCCTTGAGTTTTTGCCTTGGGGAGATGTTTATGTTTCAAAGATTTGTGATGAAATGGCGAGCGCAGAGAAGCAAATGTTTTTCTTCGTCGCTGAACTTGTTGAGATGGTGTAGCTTCCAAAGCAAATTGACTGCTATTGCAAAAACAACCATGCCCTTACTTGAGCAGACTTGTTGAGATTTATACTTGGAAATCTTTAACGATCTGTCTACCCTTTATCTCTAGCACGAACAGAATGCTAACTACGCTTTGATGAAACCGTCGAAGGCCTCCTCATTCATCCCTCACGATCTGAGTGCTAGTAGCTTGAGAATGTAGCATTCCGGTTTTCATTAGCTAGTTCCACCACACATTTGAGTATAATATGACTGAGACCTTCTATTGGCTAGTGTCCTATGCAGTAGCTGGCTGAGAAAGGTCTCCAAAAGCTATTCTAGATTCATTCATTCTCCTTGCGGCTTATGGCTGGCTGAGAAAGGTTTCCTAGTGCCATACTGGATTCATCTATTCTCTTTGCGGCTTGTGGTCAGCTGAATACTGTTTCCTAATGTCATTCTGAATTCATCTTTCTCCTTGCGACTTGTGGCTGGCTGAGAGAGCTTTGCCACTGCCATTTGGAGCTCAACTGTTCTAGCTATTCAGCTGGTAGCAAATTGCGCGTAGCTGCGCTTTCCCATAGGTTGTATCCAACCCTGATTCACTAGTGGTGCATGTGGAATCCCATCAAGACCCACCAGACCCTATCACGCGACCCTGGATGCTATGCAGGGGCCGGCTGCGAACGCTTCCCCAACGCCATTTCGGGCTTGGGTATGTGGCCTGGAACGTATGGCGTTTATCCGTATATTCGAACCCGTCCGGTATGATCATCTCCGGGGCGACTGTTCCTGGCTCGAACGGTGGGGCCCGCTATCGATCATAGGAACGAGGCTGAAAACGGACGTCACACCGCTAATTGTTGCCCTGGTGCTCTCCCAGTGCTCTCGCTCGCTCAACTTGCTTGGCCTAGACTTGCAACTAGCTCCAACAACGCCATCGGAGGGAATGATGTGAGCGCGCTGAAGTGGGAAATTAAAATGTCAAGGATTATGATGTTCACGACTATCTATATTACATTCCGTTCAGTGGTCCAACGAGCCACGTCTCGAAGGGCGCTCATAGGCAGCAGTACCAACTCGACTGCGATCCCGCTACCTGTCAGAAAATCGCACTGCGCATTTGTGAGATGATCACCATGGAACATGCCCTGGTCCTCCAGGGCCTTGATACTCCTTTCGAGCAAGTTTTGCGATCGTAGAATGACGTCCTCGGCCTCCTTGGAGAGCCTCTCGATGTCCCCCGAAGCCTCCATCGTGACATTCCAATTCGTGTCGCTCAGAGTATCGTAGCCCAGCAGCCGCATCTTCTTGCCGGCCGAAAAAGTGTGAAAGTCCTTTGTCCACTTATGGCTTACTTCAACGAACAGGACTTGGACGGTGAGCTCGATGCCATACTGCTCTACTTTCTTCTTCTCGAAGGCCGAGCTGCTGATCATGAGACCGGTGTCTCCGCCCAATCGGTAACCCCAGACAAAGTAATCGCCATACTTTTCTGTGAAATCTTTGTAACCTCCTCCATACTTTAAAATGGCCAGAGCTTCGTGGCATAATCGAGGATTGCGTTCGAGCTCGACCACGCCGCATCGTAGACTCGCCCTGATAGAGCTCTTATCTGACTGCACGAGTCTTGTCAGTCGAGAAGAGAATAGGTATGGAGAGAATCTCGTACATCGTTGTTTTCCTTGAGTTCTTCATCGTATGTGCCTTTGACGGAAGCCGAACAAAGAAACGGAAGACCTACTCCAACACCGAAGCCAAGAGCAAGGTGCTTGACTGTCTCGGTATTCCTCGACGTGCTAACGGAGTGGAAAGTGGAAGTGCTCCCATAATCGCTATGAAGGACTTTGGGGATCGTGTAAAAGTCTGAGAGAATGAATGGGTTGTCTTTGAGCCAGGGATCGTCAAGACGCTGCGATCGAAAACATGTTCCGAGGCGAACCCCTTGTTTCTTCCATGGAAGGACCAAGGGCACTCCTTGGGCAGTCTGTTGAGCTACCCAATTCGTGTCTTCTTCTTCGAGTTGAAGCCAATCGTCAAACTCGGTGTCCTGGATCTTCTGTCGAGGCATGTCCGCGGTTGTTTTCACATGGTCTGGAGAGAGTGCGGAGGTGCCGTACCAGGTTCTGCATTTTCAACTCCTCGTGGACCCCGTTTTCCCGAGGTAAAGTAGCGTTAACAGGTCCTTCGTCTAATGCAACTATTCAATACTCGGGAACTACTGAAGTTACGCTCCACGCCGCGTTCAGCTTGCGGGGTCACACGATCTGGGCCATTCCAGGAATGCCAAAGATGCCACCCCTGCGTGTCCGATGATCCAAGGGGCCACTTCATTTCTCTTTTCAGCTGAACATGTCTAAAACAGGACATGCCAGTGAAATAGACTCTGGTCTCAATGCAACAAGAATATGTCCACGCAGGCGCGGGCGGCTATCATCACTAGCCTGCCTTTGACGAACAATTCCGGGTTTCCGTCTGCGCGCCTTCGTAAATCCAGGGAACGCTACATGCGTAGACGTATTTGTCCGCTCTTGATGGCATGTGATTCTCATTCTACGTTGCTTGTCGTTCGGTGCCATATAAAGCTGATGGACAACTTCTCCTTCTCTATTCTTGAAAGGTCATCGCTTTGTCCGTCAATGATTTTCCTGCTGTCATTCCGCCTCTATAGCACATCTTCCCCGTAACGCTGGACAAAACTAAGGGAGACTCTATACATCCAAAATGGCTCTGCTTCTTGCGCCTTACACCAATGCCATGAGGCTTGGGCAAGGGTAAAGTCTACTAATACTTCATTCTCGAGGGTACCCCCACTAATATCGCGACAGCTTCAACTCTTATACACAGCAAATCTGTGTCGACGATGCCGTTGCTATCGACCCCAACAGAGCGGAGAACATCGTCACCAATGATGGTACCACTATGCGGATTGTGGCAGAACTCACGGGCAAACCGAGCGCCTGGAACCGAATCAGAGAGGTGGTCAAGGAAGGGCCCCTGGTCGACCATGAGCTCGCTGAAAGCAAAGAGAACGTCTCCACAGACTCACCGCCGGAAGCCATCATCGAGGCTGCGGAGCCAGAAACTGTGGCGACCGAGGCCGCCAACCCAGCACCAGGATCTAGTGAAAGTCCTCCAGAGGAAAAGGCAACAGCCTCGGAAGAGACTGCCGTAGCTGTATCGGAGTCTGAAGTCGGCAAAGATGCAGCTCCTGCAAGCGAAGATGCGTCTGTCGACGAGTCAGGGAGACGTGAGAGTGGCTCTGTGATTGAAGTTGATCATGAAGACGCTACCGCCGCCGCCGCAGCTGATCAAAATGATGGACAACAGGCTGTGCCAAGCACAGCAGAGCCTTCCTCTACCGCGCCCACTGCTGCTGAAGAAGGCAAAGGCAAAGAAGTCGTGAAGACAGGTACATCTGCCGCCCACCCATCTCGCAACCGATCGTCCTCTGTTGGCAACAAGCAGTCGGCATCGACGTCAGAACTAGCTGTCCGAAAGTCGGACAAATTCCAAGTCAAGGAAATTCCGTCTCGACAAGCTCACAAGGGAGCCCTCGCTGCCCCTCAACAGATGGATGAGCTTGCTGTGGAAAAGGCCAATCTGGAGAAATCAGAGAAGCTCGAACTATTGCAAGAAGAGAAGAAGCGCATGGCCGAGCAGCGCGCATACCTACGCGAGCTTGAACTCGAGAGACGCAAAGAGCAGACGCTCATTCGACAGGAAGAAGCGAAGGAGCAGCAGGAGATCCGCGCAGAGAAGCGAGCTTTTGAGAAGGCTCGCCGGGATGCAGCGCAGAAAGCCATCAATGAAGCCGTGGCAAAGAACAAGGATGCCTTGACACTTGAAGAGCTGAACAAGATCAAGGCCCAAAACCAATTTGCGGACCGCTTTGAAGGCGTGATGAAAGAGGACAAGAAGTTCTACTTTGACCCCTCCACAGGCCGTGGCACAAGCCAGACCGTGACTTATTCTAGCAAGTTCATTGACAAGCTCAGCGATATTACGGAAGACATGTGCATCTCCGGTGCTCTGTCCGTCAAGATGGCCAAGATCGGTGGTTCCGGTCGAGGATCGTTTGTTGACTCGGATAAGTTCAAAGAAAGTGACTTAAGCTTTTACATCAGCGTCAAAGTCGTCAACCAGACGGTCAACTTCAAGGACGCCCTCGAGTTCAACAAATTGCGCTCAATTGACATCAACTCTGACGACTTCAACAGAGTATACGGTGATAGCTTCATCTCCGGATTCGTCGAGGGAGGCGAGTTCAATGCCGTTGTCAGCATGAAGGTGCACAACAAAGCAAAACTTCTTGACATCAAGGCTGAAGCCAAGGTTGCCCTCACAGCAGGGCCAGTCGATATCACCGCGGAGGCCAATGTTGGGATCGCCCGCACCAACCTGGAGATGAACACGGAGACTACTATACAGGTTAGCTGGTGCGGAGGTGGGGTTATCAAGCCAATGGACCAGCCTTGGAACATTCAGAGTATCATGGAAGCGGCCGCTCGCTTCCCCGAGTTGGTATCCCATTGTCCTCAGCGCACCTACGCCATCCTTACAAAGTACGACACACTTCGCAGCTTCGTTGCTATGCGCCCAGCTTCGTTCTCACCATTACAGTATGAGAACGCGCAGATGTACACCAATGTGCTCATGGACGCATTCATGACGTACAAGTCAATTTACAAAAGGCTAGGTGATCAGAGCTTCAGCATTCAGAACAAAACTCTGGAGTTTGAGCCGGTGGATGCGGCGCAAGCGGAAGCCGAAAAGACTGCCGCAATAGAGGCTGCAGCAAAGACGACGCCTCTGATGGCTGAACTCAAACGCAAGATCGACACAAAGCACCCGCGGGCGGCAGAGGCTCAACAATACCTGGCATCGCTCCAAATCGCGGCTGATATATCTCGTTTCGAGGCGTCTATGAGAGGCATCAGCGATGCTCGCAAGTTTATCCGCCGCCAGATGGTCTACATTGTCAACGAAGTAGACTTGATTGAGAAGGACCCCAAGATCGCAACCGACCAAGACCACGAGGAGCCGTTCCAGTCTCCACTGATGTTTGAGGATCGATTACCGGCTACTAGAATACCGGATCGCCTGAAGTCCAAGTCTGATCCCCTCGGTGGTCGCCGGATCATGGCCAAGACTCAGACCGAAGCAGAGCTCGAGGCAGAACAGAACTCTCAAGAGACAGCCGATGCGGATTCACCTCCACTGTACACCATGGAACAAGATCTTTCCAACGAGGAAACAGCTTCTATGGATATAGTGAAGGAGAAGTATCCGGGCATTGGAAAGAGCCTGAGAGTTTCTGGAGCCGTTCCAAAGGCGGACGGCGGAGTGTTCTTCAACAATCTGGACTTCCTCTTCCCAGAGTGGCAGGTAGAGCATATTACCATCGGTATTGCCATGGGCCGCGTTGTCTCGGTAGAGATCAAGTACGACAATGGTTTGATTCTGCAGAAGGGCATGGTAAGTGGACGCGGCTTTGTCGAAACAGCCCCCTGTCATGCTAACCATGTTTTCAGGCTCTTTCCGACGTCAAGTTCAAAACCCTAAAGGATTTCCAGTCTGGAGAACGTATTACCTCCGTGGCAATCGAGGTTGGCGAACTTGCGTCCGGCGGTAGTGGAGAGCGAGTGTTGTCGATCTGCATGTACACCACTCGTGGCCGCAAACTACTGGGGCAAGCGGTTCGAAACGAAGTGCTATCGAAGGATCTTGTGCGAAAGGACGACTTTGAGTACAAGAAAGCGCACACTACCTTCGTCGATGCAGCCTTCACCTCCGGAACGTTGAAGGGGTTCTTCGGTCGGCTCGACATGGACTCACAAACAGGAGGCTTTTTGCGTGTCGGTGTCATTTGGGGTGCCAATATCACGAGCAAATCAGCTCTGACCACCACCGTACAAGAGGTCGCGCCCATCTACGATACCGACGAGAGCTCTACCGCGGCAACCATTGAGACTTTCCGTGGACAGGTCCGCACCGCGGAAGATGAAACGCGTTCGGTCAAGGCCGAACTCTCGGCCGCTCAAGACCGCGAGCGCTTGCTAATTGAGAAGAGGACACAGCTTGAGGAGACGATCCGGTCCCTCGATCAAGAGAAAGAACGTTATAGCGAGCTCGCCAAAACGGCGGAGTGGGACCGTCATGATGCTCAGAATCTCTTGAACAAGGAGCGCCAGATCATCGTTGGTACCATCCAATACGGCGGGAGGAATTACATACTCAACGAGAACATCCACAACAAAGTGCGCAGGCACATCTTCAATCGCTCGGCCATTTCACTCACCAACGATTTCTTCGAAGACGACCCGCGACCTGGTGAGGGCAAGTATGGTGAAATTGTTGTCTGGTCTTCTGAGAAGGGCGAGCAAAGTCTCCGAGGATGGGAGGGAACATCGGACACCTTTCTCTAACACCACGGTTATTCGGTACACAAATCATGTAAATAGCATTAGAGACATGCTCTATTATACAGCTCTTCACATGTTGTAATCGTCGGCAGTGGCAACTCGAGCATCTCCCGCGCATCTATGAAACCAGCGGTGAATTTCAATGTTGTTTAAATCAGTCGGATCCGCTACGCAAAAGTTGGACTTCTCCCCAGAGCTTGCGGAGGACCGTACAAGTCCAACTTTTCCCGACCGATTTGAGACCTAGCCGGGGGTGCTGTGGTTCAAATGCCAGCCGGGGGGGCTTTTCAAAGTGAGGTTGCCAACCAGGGGGGTCTCCGGCGCAGCGGACCAGGGATAAGCGTAGTAAATAGTTAAAATATGCAGATTGATACTTCCTCCCTATATTGACTGCGCTATTATGTAACATGAATGCATGTCCTTAAGATTATAGTGTGGATGAATACCTTTCCAAGGTCGGCAACAGTCACCAAGCCGCCGAGTACACATGTTTCTTTCCTTTCGTAAAAAGTAGGAAGCGATCGGAATCTCTTCCCCCAAACCTTCAGTCAATATCGTCCAAACAATGAGGGGTCCGTAGTCCCCATACGCAGGCCACACTGTCCGTCGAAATAGTCATAGCCGGCGCCACAGTCGACGAGAAGCTCTGCAGAGTTGTTCCAGGCTGTTCCAAGCGTTTTGCTTCCTCTCTCAAAGTCCCTGTTTGACTCGAAGTAGGAGATCAGACACACTTACCACAGCTCTCGCTCGATCAAGTGCGACGGTCGCGCTACTCGAGATTAATCTCAGCTGCTGGTGAGAACAAATTATTCGAACGGTTTTTTTTGTTTTTTTAAGATACCCAGATATATATTATATGAGTCTTACTTTCACAACTTGATCGACTTTTTACCACCCTTATAACTGCTGGAGTATGCTCTCGTCCATGACTACTCGCTGTTTAATTGCCCAATGTGTACGACACTACGCTTCATTCCTTGCACAATAATTTCCTTCTCTACATCACCATCTTTCATCGTTGACGACGCCTTGAACACATGTTCCATGGCCGCTAAATCAGCCTGTACTAAATTGAGCCATGCGTTATCACCAATTCGGGAGATCCGAGTTTGCACCAGGAAAGCCGTCGTGACCAAAACTATGAGGCCAACATGCACAAAAAGCATGGCACAGACGGCTGCCAGGCCCCTGCTGGACTGGGGGAACTGGATGTTCCTAAACGACGTCACCGAAACATTGGCTTCAACATCAAAATATGGCAGTGTCTCATAGTAAGCTAGACGGCCGAGGATGGTGTAATATGCCTGCCAGGCCCTCGAGGTGTCCCCTGTGGTCTGAACTACATCCTGGAAGATTTGCTCCTGGAGGGCGTTGTTGGGGACGTAACTGATGTTGATAGCGGAGTGGTTCACAAAGTCCATCCCGCAATCTGCGCACATCCAGGTTCCCCAGGAGTACGTGTCTTTGCTGACCATGGCGAGGAAATTTTGGGTCGGGAAGGATATGTTTCCCGCGCCCTGGAGCTTTGCCTCGGCATACCAGGCCTGGACCTGGTCTCTGAGATCCTCTGCGCCAGTCTCAAGGCTCATGATGCCTCGGTCCGTGGGGGCTTGGCTCTGGCTTGGGAGCGCACCGAGTTGCTCTCGCAATTTTGTCGTGTCCAAATGTCCAGTGGAAGCATTCCAGGACCCCAGAGAAGGCTCGTTGCTGGGCTGCTGGCTCGTGGAGTTGACTTCGGCGTTGATTGAGGCGAACGAGTCGAAACAGAGGGATACGGAAAGCCGGAAGTCTGGGATATTGGGAATCGTGAATACCAGCCATTCGTCTTGGGAGTTGATAGCCAGCTTATTTTGTTCTTGCATTGGGCTGAAGAACATGTTGGTGTTGTTTTCGGGCCTGGAAACAGTGGTATTTAGTAGCTCGTAGCTCCTACCGGTCATCAATTGGACACTGTCTCCTTCTTGATAGTAGGACAGATTCCAGGCAAGGTAATCTGGGTTCTCCATGGTAAAGTTCATAGAAGCATCCGTAGCTATGTTGGGATAACGTGGGTCCAGGGATGAGACGAGTGCTGGGCCAAAATACATGAGATTCTGGGCTATGGCCCATTTCCCAGCATCATGAGCGAAGGGTATTTGTTGACTCCAACTAAGGGTTACTGAAGAATTGCTGGACTGTTTTGTGTCGACGCCATATGTAACCGGTAGTAGACCGGAAGTCAGGGCTGGCTCCTCTGCAAGTATAAGGCCAGGAGGCACGATTTCTGGTACTAGAGTGCCGTTCAAAAGATAGCCTAAATTTTCCGATTCGTAGCCAATGCTGAAATATTGGTGAAGCTTGGGCCTAACGCATATAACCCTTGAGTCCTCCACAGTAGCCATGCCGACATACGAGTGAAGCATTGTTCGTTCAGACTGGTTAGATAATGGAATAAAGGCCCTCAGAGTCGTCCCTGTATCTCTTACTGGATAATCTGACGACATCTCACTTGCTGAGGGCTTCTCATGATTCTCAGCGAAGATAGGGAAGTCCGGAAGAAATTCTTCCCAGTATGAAGTGTCCCCTACTAATCTGGTCGCATTGAGCTGACCGATTCCTGCTGACCAGGACAGCGCCGCAAAAGTTTTTTCGGCCTTGTCTTGGTCTATGAGCGATCCAATGGCGAGATCACCCACGAGTATCGTTGATCCAAATTGCAGAGCGAATGTAGTGAGGTAGAGTAGCAAGGTGACTGGCGCCCAGGGCCCAGCATGGGAGTATGTGTCTCGCAGAGCGAGGGTCAGGCTCTGTGGCCCGTTGTTGACGTAACGCAGGGCAGATACAGCCGCTGAACGATGTAAAGCGACCCCTTTGGTCTCCATTATGATACAAGCTAGCATCGAAGTTGCGATACTACGTCAATTGGTTAGCACAGAATCGATTTGTGAACTAGGCCTGGGTCTTACGCTGCTTGGGAACTAATAGCAGCTCGTAGAATCAAGGTGCTTATTGTGATAGACTTCAGAACCCAATCATTCAGGACTATTTTGAGCCACGTTTCGTTGTTCCTAGTGCCATTCGGATTGGACCAGAGAAAGCTGATGAAAGCGACGCAACAAGGCACAGTCAAGCAAGCTAGAACGAACGTCGACGTGGCCAGCGTTGAAAGCTTGTGGGATCTCGGGAATTCGGCTTTTGCTAGATCTCTAGGTACCACGGCTGGAGCTTCAATGGACTTTTTGCTCTCACTGCGAGCAACGCCGTTAGCTTCTTGATGTCTGTTGGGTGTCTGCGGTATGTTTTCTTCAACCGCATTTAGCGTTGAGCTTTCTCCCTCGATAGATTGCTCGGTCTCGCATATATCCCGGTCACTAAGGGCATCTTCAGAGCAATTCTGTTCTGCCTGAATCGAGGCATCGTGGTCGTTTTGTGAGGTCATGACAGTGTCGACAGAAGAAACTTGAGAATGAATCCACTTATGTCGTCGTTCTGTGGTTGCTGCTATCAGAGTGTTCTGGACGTCTGGCAGCGATGAATTTTCATAAACAAATTTATTTGAAGTGACGCCTTCTCAACACTCTGCAGCTCTAGATATATGAACATCCTTCTCCTTATATTTAGCTGTCATTGAGACCCTGGATATAATTATTCAAACAGGCTTGTGTCTTCAAGCGCTCGATTTCAGCTGCTGTAAGGCCCCCACGAGCACATCACTCAGCTGCAATCACTACCCCTTGCAATATTCACGCTTTGCTATGGCCGAGTTCTCAGTCCCATGGCAGTGAACATTGCCTAAAATAATACCCTGTCTTCCTGCCTACTACGTGAAGGTGTGCATGCTGCTTGTATGGCATGCTGCTTGTATGGCATGACAGCCTTGCAGTTTGCCCTATTCTGTATTACCAATTCAGCTTCCCGATCCGGGAAGCCTGTGGGGGCCATGCTGCTGACTGCATTTTGCCCCGGCCACCATTCCTTCACATGTGTGCGCTGATGGTGACGTGTTAAGCCAATGGTTGCAGAGGGACAATATTATCTTGACAGGTCCCTGACGTACGCATTTGTCGACACACCACCCTGCTCGCGCAGTGCATCGACCAGACCTTCTCCCTCGCATTTCACCGTTTGATCGGCGGGTGCAAGCCGATACTGTTGGTCGAGCTAGTGCGCGGTGTACTAAATATGCCAGAGTAGGTCAGCACGCCACAAATGCAACTACGTTATCTAGGCTTTGCCAACACTGCCCACAAGAATTTGCTCGCCTTGCACCTGATTATAGGCCTCGATCGGCAGAATCTCAGCCTCAGAAACGCAATTCGCGGTGATTGGTTGTAAATAGGTATGTTTCCTGCCCGCTCAAATCAATCGAATAGACGGATTCCACTCACTATCTCAGCTCAACTGATGAACGCTAGATATAGCAGCGCAGCAGGGACAAAGGTGCCCACCGCAAAATTGAAGTCCAAAGCCGACCGCCTGTTCGTACACGGACTTCAGTGGTCAGGGCTCAAAATCCAGAGCGGCCTCTATTTGGGAGTTCGATACTAGTTAATTTTGAGAACAACAAATCGGCTGGACCGTCTGGTGATAACCTCAATAGTTCTATATCACTTTGGCTGCGGATAAGAATGCCAGCTCTCGCCATCAGGATGCGAGCTCCAATAGCAGGGGCTGGGTCGAAATTCCTAGTTGCTGTTATACATGAGATAATGCTGGCATTGTTCTGGCTTGTCACGATCAATACGCACGCATATTCACCGGAGATGCCAGGCTTTTGGTTCGAAGTGTTGTGGACTGCCTTTTGCTGTGCTGAGCTCCTTTTAAGCATATACATCATCCTGTCGTTATGCATACGTTTGATAAGTGGGAAAATTCGAATGTCTTTTTCTGCTATACTGCCTGTTGTGGTATGCTCATCTCCATGCGTGTTATTTTATTTGGTGTTGATACCTACAAGATTTACTGATCTCGACACGCATAGTTTCAACTCTATTTGGTTGTACAGGCGGGAGCGCACTTCTACCTCTCATTCTTTTTGCTCTTCTTCAGGGAATACGAATTCTAGTACTAGTAAGAGTGCCCTCATCACCTTAGTTCGAACGGACAAGGAGCTAATTTGTGTTGTCAGGGCCCCGCTCTGTTGTCCTGAAGCAGCGGCATTGCGCACCACGCCTGTGCCATACCAATGGCCAATGACATAACTAGTATGGTTTCGCTGGGCCTGACAGGAATTCTGGGTGTATGGATGCTGCTAGCCTACTGGAAACCGGCCTTCCTCGACAGCAGCATGGCGATGCCCTCAGCTATAGACCCATGTGGTGGCGACTTCACTCTCTTGGCTGTTCATGCATTTCCGCGCACACACGCGTACATGGCTTTGGGATAATGGAGATTCGGAAACCGAATACGAGGCGAGGAGCCGAAACACTCACGTATACTAACGCTCGGATGTATTTTCTTCGAATATCAGATTTATTCCCACATTCACCATCTTTTGAACAATTCCGTGCTCATATGCGATGATTTCTGCTTCAAAGATCCCCCGACGAACTCGCATATCTCAGGAGACAATATGGGTGTTATCGTATCTCCTATATTGACAAATACTCACCCGGCTTTCCTGCTCGGCATGCAGAGTGGCGCGAAAAGTCATTTTGCTGTGGGCATTCAGCTGAATTATGCGGTTGGTGCTGAGATCGCATACGTTACTGCATCTCTTTCCATGCTCATAGGCATCATCTTGAGAGTTGGAGTTCCATTTTCCCAGCAGACTTAATGCTTCTTGGGATTGCCCCCAACACATCACGCTGCACCACGACGGGCTTGTGCGCCCAGACTTACGCCCATGGTGCTCTTTGCTTAAGAACTCTGTAAGTTTGAATGCTTTTGCTCCTCATTTGAGACACGTCCGAAACGCTGTCAAAAGCCCACACATAAACTTGACGATTGCCTTTGCAATATCGCCTGTGCATCGTGCCTAATCGGACCACGTGTGAAACGAATGGGCACCCCAGGCTAGCCCAAAGAGAGGGCTCCGGATTTTGAATAGATAAGATGCAAGTTCCCTTGGGACAACGACATCTTCTCGTAGGTATACTGTATCCGAGAGTTTAACCTTACCATCAGGAGACCTCGGAGTCTGCAACACAACATTTGAGCGCTCCAAACCGTCGGTACTTACTTGTCCACAGATACATGCGGACATCTTGCCCGTATATTCTCCTGCTTTAGTACTCGGAGAGATATCATCCTCGACATGTCACATCCGCAGGTTTGAAAAATGAGCAAGATTCACGAGAATAGTAGTGAACAAGAGTAGTTTTGCAAGCACAACGCTGTGCGCAAGCCCGGAAGGGCCATCAGGTGGTTTTCATTAGATGCTATATCCAGTACGCTCTCATACATTGCGTGTGTATGTTGGTATCCGCGCAGCATGGCTATGTATGTGAAGAATCGAAAGGTATGACGGACGGTTGTTGTACAGGGGTAGTTGTTGGTATATGAATAGTGCAGCAACGAGACTCCAAAGCGCGTGGCTTTTTTCTCCTCCAGTGAGAATTAGAAAAAAAGGGGCAAAAAAAGGGAATTGCTAAATGACTTTCTTCCGGACTCCTGACATTGCGTCTAAAAACACGCTTCCCATGCCTCGTGATGATCGATTGCAGTCGTGCGTCTCAGCTGCGTGTGTTGCTGAAATAAAATGCGTTTTGGTAAGCATCTTTTCGTTTGCTACTGCATCCAATCACGATCCCAAAGCCCTGCCTCCGCCGCCTCTTCAAGAGCACGCTTCGAAGTTGCAATATTTTTGGAGCCGACAAGCCCCGTCCCAGCATCGACGCGGAAATTGACTAGGTCGATCGAATTCCCAGCGCTCAGTGTGACGTTGCTCGCACTGGCAATGGTTGCCGACGTTGATGAGAGGAACGTTTGCAGCGCAGCCTGAGCAGTCGAGGCATCCGCTACTGAGTCCTGCTGCAGAACGAACAAGATCCCAACCCTGGCAAAATCGAGGACTTCACTCGTCACAGTGAACCCTGAGCTCGGATTGGTGGCAGATGGCGGCACTGAAGAAGGCGTTACCAAAGAAGGGGCCGCTGAGGATGTCGTTGGGGCTGGGGTTAATGATGGCGGCGGCCAGCTGCTGGTGAAAGTTCTCGTAATCGTGATGGTCGTAGTCGGAAGAGTTGCGATAGCCGCAGATGACGTGGCAGGAGTGTCGGAGATTTCGATCGTCAGTGTCGTCGTAGTGGACTGGCCTGCCATGACAGTTATGGTAGCTATCCTAGCTTCTTGCAAGGCAACGGCGTTGACAACATCGAAGCTTCCTCCAGTCATGTCCGACACAACTTCGGCGGATGTGCCGAGAGCCGTGCTCTGACCATTTAAGGTCACGAGGGCATTTTCAGCTGAACAACTCAGGTTGCCTGCATTGATCTTGGAAAGAATCGTGGTACCAGACAGAGGGACCGAAAAATTAGTTTGGGCCTGTGCGATGAGACGCGGTAGGGCATTTCCAACTGTGACATTACTGATATTAGTATCGCCTGATATGGTGGCGGTCGTGCAGCCGATATTGTCAGCTACCGAACAGTCGAAGCCTGTGAAGTTGTTGATGCAAATGCAGGAACAGAAGCCATTAATGACGACATTAGTACCGCCATTTTGGCAAGTGACCTGTCTCTGGCATTGTTGTTCTGCTTCGGCTGTGGTGTTGACGTTTTGTCTTCGGATGACGAAGAATTCTATGGGTATAATCACGGCGGCAGCGATGAGGATTATGACGACGACAACGATGGTGATGAAGCCCCACAGTGGCAGCCCGCAACAGCGACGACCTCTCTTCCCGCGACTCGAGTCGCTTCTTGAGGACATGTCATCCGGAGAACCTCGAGGAGTAAGATTGTTATTGTTGTCCTTATTGTTGTTGTTGTTGCGGTTAAGAGGGGGCAGAGGCCACGACAGAACAGAGTCACGTATGCTCTGTCGGATGCCTCCTTGGCGGCTCTGAGCCTGAGCTGGCGGTGGAAACGCCGCAAGCATGTCTGAGAAACCTGACTGGTGTTTGTCATAGTATTCATCTGCGGCTGAAGTCAGTAAATCTACTGGTTGCGAGGCATATTTTTTTTTCGTGTACTTACCAGACTCCTTGTCAACGTTTGCCGATTTGGTTCCAGCGCCATAAAACTCAACCGGGAAGTCATCCAGATCATTCAACCGGCTAGCTGGCCTCTTCCCTCTGTCCAAACTCGCAGCCAATCTTGTTGCTCTTCGAATTAGATCTGGAAGACTGGTCAAACTGCCTCGAGCCTCCGCATCTCTAACAGCGTCGATATCGAGCCGTGGCGGTCGTCTTATGGCCGATAACCGGCTATATGCGCGTGGTTGCAAAGGCTGCGGTGGGGGTTGTGAGATCGTCGACATTCTTCTAGATGCCCTTGAATCCACCGCAGATGCTGCATCATAAGCATTCAATATGTCGTCGGCGGTTAGCGCTGCTCCGACTGCAGGAGGCTTCGAGCTTTTGGAGGAAGGAACCGTCGTGGACGAATTCGATGATGCTTCCAAGTACCCGGTACCTTCATTGAACGGACTTGTTTGCATCGGCGTCGGAGATGGTCTCTTGTCCTCGCCAGCCTCCCCAGTGACTTCCCGCGACCCTGTCGTCACAAGCGCGGCTTTTCCCCTCCTTCCAATGCTCGCACTCCTGACCAGCCGGCTCTCGTCTCCGTAATCTTGCATCGAATGCGCCTCGGATGGGCTTGATTCCTCAACAATCGTATCATCGTAGAACGCATCCCCATAAATAGGACTCTGTGCCGGTGATGGCGTACCCCAACTTTCCGGCATAGCTGCACTTGATGCATAAGATGCGTGAGACCTTGATCTGTCGCTCTCTTCTGGAATCGGTGACACATATGAAAGATGCGAGTAAAAAGACGATGCGCCACGTCTGGCTGAAGGTGGTGGCCCCAAGTTCACACTACGTCTCGGTGGTCCAACCGGCGGCGGTGGTGGTGGTGGCGGAGCTTGTATTGGGAGCGGGAAGTCCGGAATCGAACCCACCGAAGAGAGTGTCGAAGGTCGAGACAATGTGGACGGTGTCTCAGGTATAGATGAACTTATGGTCTCCGAATCTCGGTTGTACTGTGACTGGTACTGGAAGACTGGAGTTGGGTCCTGTATTCTCGACCCGTCGAGTATTGATGGTACTTCACTCGGGCGAGGCGGCCGTTGTGGAGGTTGACTACCGGCGGGTGGTCTGTAAGGTTCCGAATCTGATGAACTAGCAGGAGACGCGATGGGACCAGCCAAAGGCCATTGTGGGACGGGTGCCGGCCTCGATATGGGAAGTGTGATTTGTCCGTCTTTGTTCTGAAATCCTGGCGGTGCCTGGGGCCGTTGCTGCCTCGGTAAGTTGCCACCTTGATTTCCCATCGGAGGTCGACTCCTCGGGGGTATTGACGGAGCATCCGGGGTATCATTTTTTAACGCCGCTTGTCGCTGTAGAAATGTGTTGTAATCCTCTCTTGGTAGCCCTGCTTCCGCTCGCTCCCTCGCCCTCCTGATAATATCCGCTGCTGACGGTCGTTCCATATCGTTTCCATATTGAGGTCGACTCATGAGCAGTCACCAGTCCGATTTAACCACTTAAGAGCTTTCTGGACTGGCCAACGGCTCCCCAGCTTTTGCCGGTCCTGTCAGACCGTCGTTGAACTCGACCTGCGTGGATTACATGCGCAAGATTCGGTTCAGCTCTGTGCAAACTAAACGTCGCAATACCTTGGTGGCCAAAGTTCCGCAAGGTGACGAGCGCGACGAGAACGAGACTCCGTAGCCTGATGTTGTGCGTCCTCGGTACGGTCGTACAGAACGGTCTCTTGCTTCTGGTGATGGGCGGTAAGAGATCTTGATCGACAAGAGGCACAGCCCTAAATTCAATGTGGCAAAACCGTTGGATGTCCACGCATCGGTGATGCCTAGCGACGACCGGCGACGATGAGAGAGGCGTGGTAGTGAGTGAGCGACGGCCTCGACAAGGGGTCGAAGAATCAGACGAAGATGGAGAGACAAGAAGAAAAAACACGTCGGAAGAACAAGTTGTCGACGAGCTCCTGCGACGACCTGGTGCTTGGGTCTAAGGGTGATCGCTGTTAGCGGATGTTCGTCACTGTCGCAGATGATGTGAGTGTGGAGACAAGTGAGTTCCACAACCGAGAAAGAAGAAAGGTACGAATGCCGTGCAATGGCAACCAGCCAAGAGCCATAGAAAAGTGTAGACAAAGTGAAGATTGGACAGATAGATACAGCAGACAGACAAACGGACAGAGCACATTAGAGGTGGGAGCGGGAGGGTCGCATGCAAGCCGGCCCACGCAGGCGAGATACAAGACAGGGCACACAGCGTGCAGGGCAAGGGGTACCTGAGCAACGAGGTGGGAAGTCTCAAGGAGGGTAGTCATGAATGGGGATCACGTACGTTTGGTGTTTCGGCAGGTATGGTCAACCACGCGGTCGTCGAGGAAAGCGAGGTGTCGCAGAGTTTCGCGGATGCCGGATGGTTGTGGAGACAGAGATGAGCGGTTCAACGTGGGTGAGAGTGCGCGAGCAGTGAGTGAGCGTGCAGCACGTGTTGAGCGAGCCGAATCTCGTGGACGAGACAAATGTATGCTGCTTGATGGTGACTCGACGGGTTCGCGGGTTGGAGTGGCAAGCCAGCGCGCAGTGTACCAGGCACTGAAGGTTCCAGAAAAGTATCACACAGAGTACAAGTTTTGGAGGACGGCGGCGACGATGGGGCAGAAGAGAGAGAGAGTCTGGGTGACCAGAATAGCGGACGGACGGTGGAGCTGCAGTGCGTCCGAAAGGCGATACGATGGTGTGGACGAAGTCTTTTGGCGTTTCAGATATGCGGGACAAGCAAGGAGTGCCGTGCAACCTGCTTGGAAGCCCTACTGCGAATCCAAATTGCTGGCCCCTTGGCACACACCCAGCAGAGAGGCCTGCCCGGTTCAAGCACACGTAGGGGTGGGTGAAGGCAGCAGGTCCCTGTCGAAGATCAATCGAACACCTGGTCAAGCCAGCGGGTGCTGCGAGGTTTGGTTTTTGACTATGAGGAGGGTGTGGCGGCGGCGACCGAATCTCAAATTTCAAGTCGTCAAGTGCAGCCAAGCAGCTCTCAGAGTCGCACAGGTAGCAGAGGCCGTGTTGTTTTGAGTGTTTCGGCAGCCAGAAAAGGGGGCCCGCAAACTATACAAGCAGAGAATAATCAACCTAGGAGCCGACTGCTGCACGTGCTGGGTTTGTTTGATGTTGTGTTGGAAACGAGACGGGCTGGCCACTTTCTCCGGCGGGTTCGGGGGCAAGAAATGAATGAATGCTCTGCCGCCTGGCGCACAAGATTTGCGAGTAGATCACGCACACACACATGCACACAGACGCAGACGATATCAAATCAAGAGTATGAAGCGAAAGTCAACGAGAGTCAGGAAGCTCGAAAACATCAGCAAAAAAAAAAGGGAGATAAAAAAAAAAGATGCAGCTAGCTAGGCAGTCAGGATGCTGGGAGGGAGGGGGCGGAAAACGAGTGGTGGTGGTTGCAGCTTCCCCAGGGTGTGTGTGCGTGCGTGCATGCGTTCGTGTGTGTAGGGAGGTATATGTGTATGTGTGTGTCTGTGTTGCGCTGACAACAATAGCGACGTGAGATAAGAAGTGCAAATTTGGAAGGGAAGGAATGAGTGAAGGAGCCAGCGTCCAGGAATATTACGCCGTACAGAGTTGTCGACCCCCAAAGGTACTGACTTCAGGTAGTATATGACATATTACGGAGGGTGGGAATCTGACCAGAAGCCGACAATTGAAGGCAACATGGGGGCCACACGCACCTGTCAGGAGTGATTATGAACTTGATTCTCATTCATTCTACTACTGTACAACACTGTGTAGACTAATTCTGACTGTTGCCAACAGCAAGGCGTGCAAGGCCGTCTGGAGCGGTGGTCCTTGCTCCCGCGAAATGATATCAACAACAAAAAGCCGCCGATTCGATGTCATCACTCCAGGGCGCCAGCGGTAGCAATCAGCCTGCTACACAAGCCAGATGGGCAGATGGGCCACAGCAGGCTGTGGAGATGAGAGGGAGAGAATCTGCCTGCGTCTGCCGCCGCGAAAGCCTTGGATTCAATCTCGCGAGATGAGGAATTATGGAGACCAGAGTGGACACAGAGTGGACAAGAGGGGACGAGCCACTACGAGCTTATCCCGACCCCGACCCTGTCCCCGTCTGGCGCCCGTCCTGGCCGTCCCTAGCCCTGCAGGTCATGATTCCTCCTCCGTCAATCCCATGCGGGTCCTGGAGCCAATTGCGCCGTGAGGGCCGGCATCATGGACAAGACACTGACACAGTACATAGTCTATATCATCTACTCGTATCCACCACCATACCACGTCCAGCGTGAGCTCCACCGGCAGGGCGACCAACATTCAGCACGAGCACCAGCACGAGCACCAGCACCAGGGACAGCATCAACACCCAAGACCTGTCAGGTTTCCAAGATGATGGGCTGAGGCCCAGCACGAAGGGAGAACCTGTTCGGATCTTGATTGATCTCCATCCACGACCGGGTTTCTCGTCACATCAAACCTCGCAGTCCTGGATCTGAAGGGTAAAGGGTGAAATAGGCCGGCCTCAGGACTCGACCTGTGCTGTTCTGGAAACCACCTGACACAGGGATCAACCGTCCCACGCTAGGCATCCCGAACACACTGTACATGTGCTATTTATTTCCTGGGTACCTTTGCGACCAAACTTGGCTGGGCAGGTACTTTGATACGGGTGGACAGGTAGTCCACGGGGCCACACACACACACGCACCAACCAGCTCCCTCCTGCACCTGCACCTGCACCTGCACTTGCACTTGCGCATGCAGGAACCACGGCAGAACGTGGGCGGCCAGTGCAAGCGGCCGAGGGTCGAGTCATTGAAACCTCCTTCTCCTTTCCTCTTCGCGACCAGCCTTGCCTATGGTTCGTCATGTACAATTAAACAGTTAATTGTGTTCAATCAGCCATTTTCCCACACGTGATGGCCATCGCAAGGATGTGCGCGAACTTTGAGCACATCTCCCCAAAGCTCCAAGCCAACTTCAGACGTGGCTTGGCCCAAGCTCGCGCTCTCGACTTGGTAGTCCGGTCGACTAGCTGCTTTGAGATGCGATGGCCTCAAACCCTCGGCTGCACCTCCAGCCAGAAGTTAGAGGCCAGAGATTTGCGACAGGGTATGTGCAGCACGGAGTACGGAGTACGAGGTACTGCACCACACACAAGCATGTCGTATCTTCGGACCAAGCTTGGCTAGATCTTCAAACCTGGCATCTGGCGACATCCGAGTTCCAAAACGAACAACGCTACGGTGCACAATGGCACGGGCTGGGCGTGACCCTCCCAGTGCCTCTCCCCTTTCCCCACCACCCTGCCCCCGGAGCGCACCAACACAGGCCCTTCCCTCCTCTCCCCTGATTGACCGGACGACGCATGGCCGGCAGAATCCGATTTTCGTCGATCAATGTTGACGTGCTCCTTGGCCCACCGGCCCATCGCGTAGCAGAGCAGCTGGGGCTGATCTGGGGCTGATATGGACCTGAAAGCTGGAGCTGGAGCTGGGGCCGGAGGCGAAAAGATTAACATTCCAAGATCTTCACACTTCATCCGAGCATCAAAAGAGACCAATGCGGCTGAGTTTAAGGCACACCACGCACGAAAGACTCCGCGGCTCGAGCGTGAGCTTGATTGAGGTGTTCACATATGTACAAGGCCATGCGCACCGGCCGGTCAGCCATTCTAAAGATGGGGTTGGTTCTCCTGCATCCCGAATGCCGGCTGAGGAGGCACATACTCGACGGTGCCGGCTGCTGGTCCAGGCAGTTGAGGTCAGTGTTGGCCTGACGGTCCCTCATGGTAACAACAATCAATATATCCTCTGGAACAGCCACCTAGAATCGCCATATCTCGTCGACCACACCTGATCACGGAGGTGTCACCAATCCGAGTTTCACGATCGCACACGCAACGCGACGAGGCCATCAACCAAATCTTTGTCTCTCCTTAAATCCTCACGCACCAAGGACAAGACCAATTAGCCTGCCTCGGGTGCCTACCATCCTACTGGGACAGCACACGGCTACACTAACCACCTATGGGATCATCGAGCGGTGCAGACCCGAGCTATGCATACACGATGCCAATGAATTGAACGCCGCTCGGCGCCGTCTGTTCTCAGATAGAACACTCTAAAATGAGCCTCACAGGGCCCAGATGTCGCCAGGTGAACCAATTTCCAACGGTCCGGACGCGAAAACACTCGAGTACCACCTCATTATGCAGGTCTGTTCCATTTCCTTGCGCCCGTTACGTCTCTGCTTTTCCGTCAATCACAGCGCATTGTGAGGACTCTGGTCACCAAGAGTCTTGTACGAAGCCTATACCTATTCGAGAAAGGTTTCTTTCGTAGGATGGCTGCCACCCTCGGTCTCTGACGAGCCGTATCTCATCATCCCCGTGTTTCATCTTGACAAGGGTCCTCATTTCATCCCCGGGTACCGAGACATCAGCCCTTTTTCCACGGCGCGGCACGCGTTCACGGTTGGACAATGACGTTGTTGATGTCGGGTTGCTTCTGAACGAGACCAAGATCCGACGATGGGAGACAAAAAAGAAAAAGGAATCAAATATGGCGGTGACAATCTCCACCGTATTTTCTGGGTTTCCATTGTTCACCAAAAACTGCCTACCCAAATTGCCTCAAGCCACCATGGCCGCGCGCTGATTAGAAACAGCGCCGAAGCTGAGACCAGCTCCAGGGTAAGGCCCCCCCGGACAAAGACTCCCAATTAAGGCTGTTGATTGCGGGCCGGCCGTCAACATGCAGCTATTTCAGCCTGAATTGGGACGGAGAGCCTGTTTGAGTTTCTCAGGACCCTGGATTCGGTGATGGAATCCATTCGCGAGTGACCCCAGACAGGAAATGCCTTTGGCATTCCCTCAGCGAGTGGACGTCACCGAGCCGCGCACGGGAGCCCCCAGCTATATGACACGCTCGCTACATGCTGTGCAATGGGGCAACCGACGGATCCTCAGGTTCCCAGCGCGGACTGATGGCTTGGCTGTCGTGCAAGGCGGACGCCCGAGACCATAATGCTTGTTAGTTCATCTAAAACGCTGCTAGCATCGAAGTCTTATTTGGGCTCGTACGGCGACGATGGGAGATTGCAAGTGCAAAGGGAATGTCGCTATGCAATGTGCCAAAACTCTTTCCCTCATTGCCAGGTCAACGCCCAGTCGCCAAGCCTTCCTGGTCTTCGAGGCTTGACACCTCACTGTACCTCGACAAGGAGTTCGCATATCGCTGCACTGCACTAGAGGGGACCCAAGTGGGCTAGCTGTCCGGTCTTCAGCGTCGATCACGCGAGCTGTCAGTGTTCGGACCGAAACATGAGTACCATTATTGCTTGCGCGGGGCATGGAGCAGTTGGGTGCTCACGGGTTACAAATAGGACTACGATCGAAATGGCCCTGTTTGGGTCACCGATCACAGCGGAGCCCTTGCGCTTGAATCAACACCCTTCAGCCAACGAAATTGCAGATACGTGGCTATGAGTTTGTGACTTGAGCTGGCAGTGCGCGATATCACGTTGTGCTCCATATAACTGGTCGCGGCCGACGGCAACTAGTGCCCGAGCGAGCTGGGATGGTTCGATATAGTGCGCCACGGAGTATATTGGTATTATTACTATCATCATTTCGATATACCTCCAAGCATGGGTTGGAAGCGTACTATGAGCAGTGAACAGACTTTGTCGCCAAGTTTCGCATAGCGGTATTCCAGTCGCCCTCGGCGTATCAACGGCTCAGACTGAAGATTTGCGCATAGCGTAATGCGCTTGCTTGTCATGTGCTTACCACTCGGTAGTAACATGTCACCTGATCGAGTGGCCGGCGATATGTCCTGGCATGACTAGTCAGAGCTCGAACCTCTTCAAGATGCCTCGGTGGGCGGATGGATTTACAAGAAACTCGGACGAGACTTTTTCGTATGCTCATCCAGAAAAAGGCAGGCCCGGTAGTCTTGTGAAAAATATCCTTTCTTGGCTGGATTTGTTGAGCTTTGCTGGGAGAAAGAGGACCAGACGCATCGAGCAAGCCTGACTCAACTTGACGCCCATAATGATGATGATGTGTTAAATCAAACTTTGGCAGTTATGAGTTCGCACCATTAAGTGAGGACTTATTCGGGACACGTCAGCACGCCTTTTTCGCCCCAGGCCGCGCTTCATCAGCATAATGTCAATCAGGAGCAGTGTGTTAAACATATCCAGTCATTCCCAACTACAAGTCTTCGAATACCCTCATTTTCGTACACAGTGAGGTTTGGATGCAGTGTCTCGGATCCCAGAAACAGTTCCAGATATTCAGCACGAGATGTGACACGTAGCTGAAATTTACTACAACATTGCTAGAAGATAATTTTGCATAAACACCGACTGAGAAAGCTCCAGGGCTGCTTGATGGAAGTATAAGGCAGCGAGCTCCGTGGATGCCAGTGAAGACTGCCACTGCGTTCGAACCTCTTTATGATAATGATATGAAGGGATTTTGTGGACAAGCTCATCGTCTCGCTCCATCGTCACGCTGCCATCATCCTTAGATCCCCTGAGAAGAAGTGAGCAAACCTATGAGGCTTCAATTCCGCCACACCAGGCATACCATGCTTTTATATCTGGGCAGAGCTGAAGAGCAGCCCTATATAAAGCATGACCGGAGACAACCTAGGCACATTCACAACAGCCGCTTGCACAAGGAGCTTGTTCTGCTTTATGATTATTTGCTCAGTTATGGAGCTGACTACCAAAAGGAAAGGAGCAGAGAACTAGGCAACACTTGCCCTCTTTCAAGGCTACTTCCGCCTGTAAATATGTGTTTTTGTGGACCTAGGCAAATGAGGCCGGAATTTCTGCCCGGAAGATTGTAGGTGACTCCCTTGTGAACCACTCATTCACTGATCTTTCCATTTTTGTTGGGTTGAGAGTTCGTCATCTGCTGTTGAGACCTAGTATTTCCTTTCAATTTTTCGAGTTACGAATAGCCTCTAAGATCAAACAGACAGGACCTCTCTCTTAGCAAATAAAGCCAACTGAGATAGGTATTACATGCTGCCAGTTAACTAAATCGTAGCAGAAGAGCTCCGGTCGATAGACGCCAGAATGCTTGAAATCAGGCGGCGAGCATCAGATCTCAAAGAGGATCAAGCCGCCATAGCAGTCCAGCAACCTGCATTTCATGTCGCTCGCGAAGTGGCTCCAGTCAGCCACTGTGTCCATGATATCGTCCTTTACACCTGTCTTCGACGCTTCGGATTCATCAAAAGCACGCCATGTAACGGTGACCCGTCCCAGGCGCATCTCTCGATCCCTGCCCAGCTCTGCCACATGGGCATTGTACGAAGCCAACTGCTCGCGCTGAACAGGGATTCCAAGCTCAGAAGCGCACCTGCTGTCCCAACTACAGACGAGACACCGTTCACCCCCATGACGGCTGGACTGGAGTGACCTGAGAAGGCTAGGCCAACATCGACAGGTCGTAACAGACCGAAGGTGGACCTTTTCGAGGCTTGGACACAATGAAGAGAGCATATGAGGGATTCTGTGAACTTGTGCAATCTCTTGTTGCATTTTTTCTGCAAGTCGACGCAATTCTGCGTTTTCGAAGATGTTGGGGTTGTCAGGCTCCAGACTTTGAGACAGTCCCGCCTCGTCCAATTGGCGGAGCTTGATGTCCAGGTCGACGATGGAGGGTTTCAAGTGCTCTAACTTCCTGTAACCTCCCATGGGCCTCAAATACGCGTTTATCCTGCGTGGGAGGATCAGTTCCTTGACTTTGGCAAGTTCCTCTTTGCTGATAAATCGTACCAAACTACCATGCAGAGGAATGTGCAGCTTGTCAATGCCAAAGTTAAAGTAGACATGGCTGTCCCCATTTTTTGGACGAGCGAAAGCGATTTGGTAATGCCTGAGGGTCTCACTTCGGGACTCGGCATTGATCCAGAGTGTCACTGGCATCTGAGCGGAGCCTGTGGTCACCGTTGTCACATCACCCTCCTCGAACAAATCGTCGACCATCTGGCCTACAGCCTCAGCATGCTCTTTCCAGCGGTGCAAGTCGTCTTCTCCAGCGAGCCAGCGTCGGGTGATAGTTACAAGACGCGGTTCCCAAGTCATCTTGTAAATCTTGATTCGAAGCTCAGCAGGGATGGTGTTGAAGTACATGATCCTCATGGGAGGGCGCTGTGGGGCATCTGTTGTGCCCTTGGGCTGATTCTTGAGGCTGAGTGAAGGCGGCATGTCCAACTTGGGTTGACTGGTCTGACGTTCCAATTTGCTGGAGGGAAACACCTTTCGGTCATCCTGAAGGGAAACCATTGCTGTCTTAGATTGGACGCCGAGCTGGATGGGAGGGGACGCCAGCAGTCCAGCCTTGTCTGCTTCCAGAAGTTAGTTAGTCATAGAAGTGTTTGGTACTCAACATTAGATCATTCATACCGTTTGAGGATGACTCTAGCTGCTTGTTTCGATCCGAATTGATGCCAGATGATGGGCACATCTTTGGCTGCCCGTCGGTTTGCTGAGTAGGCTTGACAAGTCAGTAAGTGGCTGGACATCTTTTATCATCGAGATCGGTCACCTACCATCAGGGTGAAGCTGTTCCCAAGCAATTTTGACTCCTGTGCAGAAAAGTTGAGGTGCCTTTGGCGGCACCTTGTTGCTCACTGCGGATTTGTGACGGCGAGTGTGCTTCAGCTTGCGCGAGAGGAAGCTTTCGGGTCAAGTTGGAATGAAATAGCAGATCAAGCTTCACATATGTCTGCCTCAAGCTAGTGTCCTTCATAGATAGGTGAATTCAGGGAACGACCCAGGTAGTGAATTGAACACTGCCAGTCATGCATTTTGTCTTGTCTTTTGTCCTATCCCACACACATACACTGCCTTCTAGTCCCGCCTCCCCTTGAGCAGAAGCTTGCCCGACCGCTAAGGCATCTTGATACATAAATATTCGTCAGCAATCTGATGCGGTTGAGTCTACATCATGATTCAGCCCGAATCCTCGCATCTCATGTCAGTTTGGCCTTGTCATTGCAGTAGTCTTTCATCATCAATCAACTTGACTGTTTGAGTCTAGGCCGTTTTTCAACTACTACAACATTGCTACAATTATGTTCGCAGTGTCGCATCATGGAAGCCATATGTTGCTCAACAGACATTTCCTCCCAAGTAAGGAGTGTCTTTCAAGACTATCACAAATGTGATCATAGCCCCGAGACAATCATTTGGGAGACGTGATCGAAAAAGAGGATCAGAAGGAATCCTAGGGAGTAAAAAATAATGGCAGTAAGCGGTCCACACTGTGGGAAGCAAAAGGGTAGACAGGACCATGGCTTTTCGACAAGAATTTATTCTCTCATCATTTGGGGTATCTACTCTAACTTGATCTTTCTCATCCTTGTCTCGTCATCCAAAGATGTGGGCCGCAGGCGCATACATGTTCCGGTCTGCGCTACATGAATTGCTCATATGGTTCATCTAAAGCAGGTTCAGTACGAGGGGTGTGCTGTTGGCTTTGTCGTGCTGTCCATTTTGTCTTGGGGAGGGGGAATCCGTTTCGACATCCTCTGCCGCATCCATCAAATCAGTCTCTTTGGTCGTAAGGGGTCGCTTGAATCTTCGGCAGGCTGTAAGAAGGGGCAAGATCGGGTGTTCTCCTAAGATCCGGTTCTCGCCGATGTGTTCCTATTCATGAGGTTGGTGAAGAAATTCTGCATCTTTTCGGTGTCGATGGGCTGCTCTGCTTGTGCGTTATCATCAACTGGGCTCTCAGGCTCAGGTGACGAGCCATACGCTTGACGGTCCTAATGAGAATGATTAGCCACACGCAAGCTTGAAGTGCTGCTGACTTCCTAGGAACACCACGTACCTGTAGGCGCTTCATCATGTCGTCGGCATCGACCTGGATGCCACCGACGTTGAATTGCACCGGACCAATGTGGTCGCTGACATTGACCTGGCGACCGTCTTCATCCAAGCCCTTGACGGGCTTCTTGGCATTCCTCGTGTCGTTGGTTTGGCCCTCCTCCTCCATCTTCTGCTTGAAAGTTTCCAACCTCTGTATCTGGGATCCGAGGAAGGCCTGTGTGTCCATCGTCTCTACTTCCAGTTTCGTGGACTGCGTGTCTCGTCCAGCCATCTGCAGAGCATCGAGACTTGGATTCCTAATCGATTCCTCAAACGTTGTCACTGCCGAACCAGGTGTGATCTCATAGCCGTCAATGTCGTACTCGTCATCATTCGCGGTCCCATTCTCAATAGCTTGCTTCCTGCCAGGGGGTGGGAACTTGGTCTCGAGATCAATAGACCAACCCTCGCTCACAGCCTCCACATCGAAACCCTCGCGCAAGACTCTGATCTTGCCCCAAGAGTCCCAGTTCGGAGGCACGGCGACCTTGTCTCTGTCGATAACGTTGGGCTTTAGGGGCTGCTTCTTCAGAAGCGAATGTATGCCAAGACTGGAGTGGACGAGTGTTGGCAGTTGGGAGGGCACAGAAGGTGTAGTGTAAATCAGTGATGCACCGTCTTATCAAACAATTAGCGATGTGTGAGCACTGGCAGTCAAAGTAGGGTCCTTACGTCTCAGTAGTATCGTTCGCATGAATTGGAGGACAACGTCAAATTCTTCCTCCTTCCAGCTCTGTGTCTTCTCCAAGAACTCCATCTTCTCAGACTGTTGGCACGTTAGATTTCCTATCATCAACAACGGTGATCAAGATACTCACGTTCTGGCATACGACACAGAGTGGTAAGCCCAGGGGCTCCTCCCACTCGCCTGGACCGAGTGGTAATGACACATCGCCCTCGCTGGCTGCCGTTGCCGTTGTGCCGTCCAAGTTCAGAGAGCCGCCGCGGCCCCTCTCTTTCCAGAGGCTCATCCCCTCCTCCATGGCTATCTTGCTCTCGTCCGGCAGTGCGAGCAGGACAGTTCGTAGAAGCAGCATCCATTCCCTGAGCTGTCGTACCCACGACCATGGTTCCGACCAGTCTAGCAGGACGACCAGGAGGGTGTTTGGTATGGACTGTGGCGTGAGGAGAGGTTTGATGAGCTCGGCGAAGGAAGGCGAGGGGCTTGTTAGGAGGTACGTAGAGATGCGGGCCAGTATATCTGTGTTGTGTCAGCGGATGACCCGCTGGCGCTCGAGCGCGAGGGGAGCGCCGCATACCTTCATGGTCTGCATCGAGGAGGTCATAGTATGTATAGCCGAGCGCAAATTGGTTGGCCACGGGTGGTATCTTGTTCTGGCGGTCGTAGTTCCGCCGCTGCTCGTTGTTGGAGAGGGACTCTATGAATTCTCGTTGCGACTCGACGGTCCCGCCTGGCGATGAATCAAATGGTCAGCGCGCGCCGGCTTTGCACACGGGTTGTGGGAGTGTTGCCCGGCGTACCCATGACGAGGAGGTTCCTCTCGGGCAGTCGCTTCCCGCTGGCAACGGAGTCGAGCATGGAGCTCCACATGTCCCTCTTTGGCTCGCCATTCTTGCCCTCGGAGCCGCCAGAGGCGGTCGTGTAGGTTGAGAAGCGGTTGGAATTCGACGCCATGCTGTCCCCCTTTGACCTGTCGCGAGATCCTCAGTTCTGCGCGCTGTCGCCGTTCATCGCTGGGAGTTGGGAGACGCGATGCGGTGTAGACGTGGCGAGCTCCCTGCCCGTTGGAGAAGCTGGGCAAGTTTGGGCGCGTTGGGTCTGATTAGTGCAGTGGACGCGTCGGGCCAGGTCTGCCGGATCGCATTGGATGTCTTTTGAGATGCGTTATCTTGTGCTGGTGACGTTTTCGGGTAGACTGGCTGTGCTGTAACTCATGTCCCACTTGCAGCAAGCGACACTCAGAGGTCCAAGTTGTTTATTGAATCAGAGTCTCCCACCTGCCATCAGGGGCCCCATGCATCATTCCATGCAGGGGGCGTGGACGGTTCAAAGGATCCCACCTGGCACTGCACGTCGGAGGTCTTGGCCCAGCATGGTGCCTGCAGCTGTGAAACAGTTGGTTCCAGCTGTCAGCACCCAAGTAAACGGATGTCTCCTCTCTATACCCAGGCAGATACATAGGCATCCAATGTATCCCAAGAAATTACCCAGCACATCTTTCTTACAATACAATTATCTTTCGGATGGCCTTCTTTAGGAAGCTCTGTAGGATGTCATGGAATGGTTTCTGTATTTGCATCAGCCTTTCTAGTCCACAAGGTCTCTCCCTAACCCAGGCTACTGGTGGCCCAAGAGAGCCCTGATTAGATCTGCGGTTGAGAGACGTCAGGGTGTGAGTAAGTGTCTAAGTAGGCATATTCGAAGTTGGAGATACTGGAATACTTCTTTAATCAAAGCAGGTGCAGATATTCTCTTCACATTCGTTGATGCCTACACGTGCAGGTCCTCACTGTATAACGGATGAAGGCTGTCTGCACTCCAACTTAAAGGCTCAGAGAGTAAACTTGCCTGAACAGAACAAGCATCAATCTACCAAGAAGTTGAAAATGCGACTATCTATTTCTTGAATGCAAGTAAATCCAGGAAAAATGCATGTCAGCTTGCTCTAGTGGAAGGGGATCCTTGCACTGAGTGCCGGCGCCACTTCTGGGTCTTCAGCCTTACAGACGTCACCTAAAATTCGCCCAGCCTCGCGAGCACTCCAGACTTCCTCACAACGCCAGCAACGAGGAGCGCAGCCTCCCCGCCAGCCACCATGAACAAGATACGAGCGATCCAGGAGCTCAACAAGAAGGAGATCGAGCAAGGAATGTACGTACCAAGCATATCTCCCAACACAAGTAACCAAAAGGCAGGCCCTCCCGAGAAGTACAAGCTAACACGCCCAACCCGCACACAGCTCCCCGAACGCCTCCTGGCACGTCGACTACCGCGACACGGCCTTTGTCTACTTCGGCGGGCTTCCTTATGAGCTCAGCGAGGGCGATGTCATCACCATATTCTCCCAGTTCGGCGAGCCGACGTTCCTCAAGCTCGCCCGCGACAAGGAGACGGGCAAGTCACGCGGCTTCGGCTGGCTCAAGTACGAGGATCAGCGCAGCACCGACCTCGCCGTAGACAACCTGGGCGGCGCCACTATCAACGGCCGCATGGTCAGCGTCGACCATGCGAGGTACAAGGCGCGCGACGACGAGGACATGGAGGAATGCCGCATCGACTGGGAGACGCTGCAGAAGCGGGAGAGGCTTGAGAAGGGAGGAGGTGGTGGTGGGGACGACACAGACATGGGAGAGGGTAGTAGTGACGACGAGGCCGCGAAGAGGAGAAATCGGCCGATGTTGAAGGAGGAGCGTGAGCTCATGCTGCTGGAGCAAGACCATGACGAGGACGACCCCATGAAGGCCTTCCTGGTCGAGGAGAAGAAGAAGGAAGTAGAGGATGCGCTACGGAGGGCGAGAAAGAAGGAAAGTGGGGACAAGCACAGGAGCAGGCATCACCGGTCGCATCGGTCCCGGAGGGATGAGAGCGAGGACGACGGCGATCGGCACCGGCGCAGGCGCAGAAGGCACGGCGAGGAAGACGAAGATCGCAGGGAGCGATCGAGGCGCGATGATACCCCTGTTCTTAAGGAAAGCGATGAGGATGGCCAACGCCGTGAAAGGCGGCGCCACGATTCACGTGAGCGAGACAGCAGGCGAGACAGAGATCGTGATGACCCCGAAAGGAAGCGGGATCGTGACAGAGACCGTCGGCGACACCGTCATGAGGAATCTGAGGACCACAACGACCGCAGGCATCGAACTTCCGACCGAGATCGAAGTCATAGGCACAGAGATAGGAGTAGATCACCATGACGGCTGAATCGAAGTGCCGTATCATTCAATTGATTATGTGAAAGTGGAGCAAGTGCTGCCTACCAATTCACTAAAGCACGTATGCTATCGAGCTGCTCTTTTTGCCAGTCCTGTTTTACCTGTGCAAAACTCCTCATTATGCTCGTTTCCGTGTGAATGTGACCTTCAAACGCCGTCAAACCAGACCCAAACCTTCCTAGACCTGTTTCGCAGCGATGATTTCGAGGGGTCTGCACCACCAACTCCACTTGCCATTAGGCTCAACATGTCTTCGTCGAGCCATACGAGGGTGTCATCTCGTCTCCTTCAATCGCTGGAGAATCATGGAGCGCTCAAATCATGTCCTACATGTCCTTGTAGTAACGCTTCCAACCCTCGCGGCGCACGCGGCGACGACCGTCGTCATCCAGCTCCACTTTGAACTTCTCCCAGCGGGCATCGATGCCGGCACCGACAACAATGATGGTGTCCTCATCGGTCCAAGCCAGAATACCTTTCGGGGGCTTCGTGGTACCGAGGCTAGCGATGTTCGAAAGAGCAGGCAGGCCACCGGTGGGCTCGTCGCCGATCTCAAAAGGCGCAGATGCGAAGGAGTACTGGTCCGAGAACGCCCGCGGCATGAAGGGCATCTTTCCTAGAAGACCCCACTTTCCACGGCCCTCCTCGACAGCTGCAGCCGTAGCACTAGGGCGGCTGGCTGGAAAACTGAGGCTGATTGGGCTCGAAGGTGACTGCAGATCTTTCAAGTTCTCCTGGGAGGGGACATCGAATACGTGAAGGGTGCCCTTGTCAGAGGTGCAGGCGAGGATATTACCCAGTCTGCTGAAGCCCAGCGAGAAAATGGTTGCGCTGTCTAGGCCACGGCGAAGCTCGCAGATGCGAGCACAGTTTCGAGTGTTCCAAATGCGGATGAGGGTTCCCTAGAGCTTGCATCAGTATGCTGGACTGATACACCGTTCTACGGTAGACTGCAGAGGAGAGCCTACCTTGTCGCTCGCCGTTGCGAGCATATCGCCCTTGTCACTAAAAGCCATAGCCCGCAACGCAGTTGAGTGAGCAGGAATGATGCTCACGTTGTCAGTGGCCAGCTCGACAAGTCGTACGTGTCCGGCGGTAGGACCAGGGAAGGCGATGTGCTTTGCGGACATGCAGATCAAGCCATGAAGGTTGTCAGCAGTCTCATAAACTGCCACCTTCTGCATCTCCTTGGGCCTGTTCCAAGGGGCGTGGAACTCGACACTGTTCTGCAGGACGATGATGACTTTCTCCCGATTGATGCGGACGGCACGGACAGGGGTCTTCACACTGATGGAGGCGACGGGCTTCTTCTTGATGACCTCCCAAAGAAAGACCTGGCGCGAACCCGTGAGCAATGAGAAGGACCTGGGCAAGTACAACAACCTACCTTGTTGGCAGCAAACTTTGGCATGCGGCCACCACCAACCAGAGCAACAATGTTCGTCTGACCAAGCATCTGGGCAAGGCCTATGCCTCCTGCGAGGTCTAGTGGAATCATCAGTCTCGGGATCTCAAGTTTCCAACGTATCTGAGCTCACGTACCTTGAATGAGGGACATCTGACCAGAGTCAGAGTGGATGACTGCCAAATGTCAGCTAGTGAAAGTCTTGGAGGACACAGGTCCGGTGCCAGCACTCACTACGGAAGCCATCCTCGAGTCCCACGGCGAAGTGGAGGCCAGAATCGCTGAAGTCGACAGACAAGATGCGGATGGGCCTATCCGGCTCGATCTTTGGTCGAGTGTCCATGGTGATGGATCAAGGTGGTTGTTGTGCCTGTGTTTCGTATCACAGTAATTCGGACTCGAGTTGTTGACAAAGAGGTGGGATGTTCAGGTATCCGAGTCAAGAAGTTGGTTGTAGGAAAGTGAGACGCGCCCCTCCAGGAAACCAGAAAAAGAGGTGCAAAACCAAAAAAGCTGCCTAGCCTTTAAACTCTATGGTAACCATGTTGCTCAAGGGCGATGTCGTTAAAGTGGGCCCGCGATGCTGGTGCAAGGACGAGGTATCGTGAGTGGCCGGTTAGCAGCTGTGCTGCGAGGATGAGGCCGGTGTCGAGCAAGCTGACAGGAACAACAATGGGGGGTCTATAGCAGACCTCCCCAAATTCCAGTATCCTGATTTGACAGGTCAAAAAATAGAGCAGACTGGCAATGTATAGAACATCTCACAGGCCATGTTGGTTATATATAGGCAGAATAATTGTACAGATCTTGGTTTCGATCTCACGAGTTGTCGTGTAAGTCTGTATGTATCTATATCTATAGTCAGTCTGTAGTCCCGAGGTCTCCAGTCCAGAGGTCAGATGATCCACCTACCGTGACGCTGCCAGCTGGCACCCGCTGTGGAGGCCAGGTGAAAGAGCTCCCAGGTACCTGGGTACACCGGGAAAGCAGCACTGGGTCTCTGGAGCTATGAGACTTGCCCACAAAGGGACTAGCGCCCCAAACTGGGGAGGCAGGCGAGAGGATCCCCTGAATTGCAGCTCTGGGAATCTCCCCTGAGAGAGCTGCTCCTCCAGTGGTGGTAATTTGTGAAATTGCGCTGGTTGCTCCACCCTTTGACAGTGGTTGTCCCGACCCTTGGCACCCTTCAAACATTCCCCCTTTCCAACAGAGCAGAGCAGAGGCCTGGCACATCACCAACAACTTCGATAGCCTCTACACGCGACATTTCATCGATCCAATTCTCTTGCCTTTCGATAGAGCAGGAATCGAAACCAACCTTACAACTCGCAGTTCGATCGTGCTCTGGGTTTCTGGAAATCCGTCAACAATCATGTCTTCCCCTGCCGTACGTTTGCTGTCATCTCCTCTGCAATCACGAGCCAATCTACCGTTTCGTGTCGCTCGCTGCCAGCACGCCCAACAGCTCACCGCGTCGCGTCGAATCAATTGTTGCTTCCGAACATCATCGCTGACCCTTTCTTGATCAATAGAAGATGATCCGCCGCAAGAAGAACGTGAAGAAGGGAATCCAGTTCTGTTTGATGGTCTGCGGAGCATCAGGCACTGGTGAGTTCGGACCGCGCAAAGCTGCAACTTTGTTCCAGCCTAGCTTCCTGCAGTGCACGAATGTCGTTTTCTGACAGCTTTCTGGTCATTTACAGGCAGGACCACTTTCGTTAACACCCTCTGCGGAAAGTCTGTTATCGGCCACAAGGACTCCGATGACCCCAACGGCGCCCATGTCGAGGAGGGCGTCAAGATCAAGCCCATGACCGTTGGTACGAATTGACACGATCCAAACCTCCTTACGAACCCCTGATATCTGACTGGCCATGTAGAGCTCGAGCTTGACGAGGAGGGCACGAGGATCTCCCTTACCATTGTTGACACCCCTGGTTTCGGTGACCAAGTCGACAACGAGGCCAGGTACGACCCAAGTCCCTGAGCTCCCACTCTGCAACTTCATACTAATATTTGGACGCTTACAGCTTTTCTGAAATCGTTGGGTACCTCGAGAGACAATACGACGACATTCTAGCCGAGGAGTCGCGTATCAAGCGTAACCCTCGCTTCAGGGACAACCGAGTCCACGCGCTGCTCTACTTTATCACTCCTACCGGTCATGGGTACGATTCCGTTACTCCTGTGAAACGCCCTTTTGGTCGCCCTCTGACAGTGTCTCTAGTCTCCGTGAGTTGGATATCGAGCTGATGAAGCGCCTCGCGCCTCGTGTGAACGTCATCCCCGTCATTGGCCGCGCAGACTCCCTGACCCCTGGTGAGCTGGCCGAGTCGAAGAAGTTGGTCATGGAGGACATCGAGCACTACCGTATCCCGGTCTACAACTTCCCGTACGATATCGAAGAGGACGACGAGGACACGGTTGAGGAGAACGCCGAGCTTCGAGGCCTCATGCCATTCGCTATTGTCGGTTCGGAGGACGCTGTTGAGATCGGTGGCCGCACAGTCCGTGCCCGTCAGTACCCATGGGGTGTTGTGGAGGTTGACAACCCTCGTCACTCGGACTTCCTCGCCATTCGATCCGCACTGCTGCACAGCCATCTTGCCGACCTGAAGGAGATCACCCACGACTTCCTCTACGAGAACTACCGTACCGAGAAGCTCTCCAAGAGCGTGGAGGGTGGTGCTGGAGTGTTTGTCTCCCTACGTCCCCTGGCATATGAACTTCATCAGCTGACCTTGTCACAGCGACTCTTCGATGAACCCCGAGGACCTTGCGTCCCAGTCCGTCCGTCTCAAGGAGGAGCAGCTCCGCCGCGAGGAGGAGAAGCTGCGCGAGATCGAGATCAAGGTCCAGCGCGAGATCAACGAAAAGCGCCAGGAACTTCTTGCCCGGGAGTCTCAGCTCCGAGAAATCGAGGCTCGCATGCAACGAGAGCAAGCCGGATCTGCAGGAACACCGGCTCCCGATGCCAATGGCGATGCCGAAGCTTGATTCGATTCTTCTGGGCCCGGTGGTTGAGCTCACTGGGAACTGCTACGGCAAGACGCGACCTCGCCACTTCGGCGCGTATTTCTTTTGATTGATCGGCGGTCTATCGCGAGCGAACATGAAGTTGATGACAAAGACCGACCTATGTGGACAAAGGCCAGATCGGAGTCATGGGGTGGCGGCTCACATGGGTCTGGCCGCGGATCTTGAACAGATGGTGCTCGTCTTCCCCTAATGATATCCCCGCACCATCTGCTTCGTTGTCTCTAGGAACGCTATTAAGATGAAAAAGGCAAGGATGAGAGGTTGGCAGAGAGGGCTTGCCGCATATTTTTTCCATACGTCTTCTTTCTTTGCTGTGTCGACTCATCACTTGACGAGGAGACCATTTTCCAAGGACGTTTGGTATTTTTCCCAACACGACTTATTTCTAGTAGAGGACTTCTAATGCAGATAACCTAAATTTATGTTTGTTCCATGGACTACGTGGATGCGTGAGAGCTATTGGCCGTTGCTAAGACAGAAAGAAGCCTTGGCTTCTCGGCAACGCTGATCAAATGGTTGGGCATTCACAGGTGTCAGGTGAGGAGTGTCGGTGAAGGGGCGCCTCTTAACGCCAAATCGTCATGGGTGTAAGTCTGCCAGCCTTCCAGGCAAAGTGCACCAAGTGAACTGTGCACACCCGTAGCAGCTGATGGAAACAGTCGCATCGCGATAGGTCTCCTCGTCCGGGAACAGAAGTCCTACTTCCACACACAGCAAACCGAGCATTGCACGATAGAGATGCTTGCGTGCCCGATGCTGAGATAAATTTACATAGATGCTATATAAGCTTTGCTGGATTTTCAAGGGAGTAATTAAAATTGATTGGATTGAGAATTTGGAAGAAAGGCTAAACCTGAGAACCCTGGAAGTCAACGCCAACGAGTCCCATCTTCCGCCAATTTGATAACCACTTGTAAGGAGACCGCCATTCTGAAGTATGAGATCTGTGAACAGCATCCCAAATCCGTGCCCAGTCTCAGAACGTCAAAGACCTTGGATTTCAGCCCAGTTCGAACATCTCGCAACCAGAAAACACTGCAAACTCCACCTCAACCTCCGTCCCTTATGTGGCATGGCGACATGACCTACGGGAATCGCCCGTCCTCTTCATTCCGTGGAGCGGTATCCATTAGCCATTTAGTTATTCTGCTGGCTGTTCAGGATGCGCAGGATGGCCAGGAACAGGTTGATAATATCCAGGTACAAGCTGATCGCCGCCGCGATCTCCTCCTCAACATGGTGCTTCCGCATGACCAGCTGGGTGTCCACGAGGATGTAGCCGCTGAAGATCAGGGCGGCCAGCCCGCCGTAGATCAGCTCGCCGGTCGAGCTGTAGGGGAAGAAGGCCGCCATGAAGCCGAAGAGGATCAGGCCCCACAGCCCGCCGAAGAGGTAGGGCATCCATGAGGTGAAGTCGTACTTGGTCTGGCAGGCGAACGCGGTGAGGAAGACGAAGATACCCGCGGTAAGGATCACGGCGTTGAGCACGATGGAGGTCTTGTAGAAGGAGACGACGACGGAGATGGTGTATGCCTCAAGCAGGGTGAAGCCGGACAGGAAGAGCAGGTTCGTCGGGTATGAGTGGCGCTTCCAGTAGGTCAGAAGCATCATGCCGATCGCGCCGAACATCTGTATGACGAGTGGTTAGTAAGTCATCCTGATAGTAACTTCTTGAGGACGAAGAGCTCGGAGAGACGCTTTCGACGTACCGAAATGAAGACCAGCGCCGGATGCCCTTGGATCCATTCCTTGTAAGCCGGAGAGACGAAGCTGATGGTGCTCACGGCGCCGGTGGCTAGCAGCTGCACTGTCAGGATGGTGTAGACCTTGCGTATAAACTGGTTGCGGATGTCGATTGTCGCCTCGGCTACGGAGCCGCCGAACTTGAAGTCGTCGGGGACATTGTCCTCGGAGGAGCGCGGCGCGCCCTCGCCGGCGAAGAGGCGTGCTTCATCGTCGGCGGCTTGGTAGGAGGGTGGCGCCTGGTTGTAGGCAGGACCCGCCGGGACGTCGTCAGGGTCCTGCTGTGGGGCGGGGGTGTACTTCGCGTTGGACATGATGGTCCGCTGGCGTGCTCGTGATGGGTTGTACAGAGCTGGATGAAGAAGTTGGAAGGGCTTCTGTCGAGAACGTGCTTGTCGTCGAGCAGAGGAGAGGGAGGCAAAAAGCCAACGATAGAACACAACGGAAATAAGCTCTAGGAGAAGGTTGTCAGGTGAATCACGGAAGAAGGTTGTAGAAGTTATCGGTGATGAGCAGATGATGCGGCTCCCGTCAACTAGGCTGCTTGGGTGCCACTCATTAATCAGTGTGGGGAAACGGGTCGATGACAATCCATCTAAGTCTGCCTAGCAGCCTGGGTAACCTCTGGCGTAACGCTTCGCCACACTATGGGTGACTAAGCAGCCGGAACACAACGTCGTCTGTATTTGTCTTCAATTGCTGGCTGTACACAGCAAATAATGTAGCCACACAAGTCAGCCGACCGTCTCGAAAGAGGAGATCGCATTGTTGTACAACTTGGTTCACGAGTTGCTGCAAGTATCACACCGCAGTGTGTTAAAGCAGTCATGTCTTTCAGCGCACGAAATGTTCGTCCCCGTCCCCGCCCACGGGCAAGCGTGCACACTCGGGAAGCGCAGTGTCGTACTGCTATGAGAACTGCATTAACTAAGAGGGAGTATTGAGACTGTACACCGCAACCCCGATGCTAATGACTTTCCCCTCATGCCTTGTTAGTATGCTGAAGCTCTAGCATTCGCGCCACATGCTACCTCAATGGTTAGATGTCCATTCCAGCCTGAGGCTGGCCATGCCTCCAACTATGCCGCATTACTCACGGCCAAGAACACCAGTGTGAATGCTGTTGCTGGACAGAGCCTTTTCCTGTACGGGCCAGGAACATTCTTCGGGACAATCCAGAATTGCCGCCACACAGGAAGAACCCCCAACAGCGAAGGATATTTTTCGGGGACTTCGTATAGGCACGTCGAGTCGTGCAGCCAGAAGCATCGTAACCGAGACAGCGACTGCAACACAACTTGTTCGAGTTATCCGAAATGCTGAAGAGAAGTGAGAAACAGGTATTTCGATCACCATAGGCGACACTGCGGGAGTGATTAATGTCGATATTTGAAGCACACCTACGTCGCATCGGGAGGCACAACGGGCGGCTCTGATTTCTTTTTCACTACCTAGAACACTTATCTCTGGTTGTGCGGAACAATAATTCCAGCATATTTCTGTCCCTTTTCAAAAGATGGGTTCGGGCTCCTCAAGATTCATCTTTACAAGTGCAACAAGATCTCAAGGCTTTTTTAAACCTCACTTAAAATAACTTGTTCATTAGATCAGTACTCGTTGGCTTGTGGCCAAGTATAATTTGAAATTTACACAGATACAATTCTGAGCAGGACAGATAGGGAAGGTTCATATACACTATGTGATTGTTGCCGACTGTTATTCTCGTTCTTCGTCACTTGATATGGAGTTCTGCTGCACTTTGCTAACGACTTTTGCGAATTCTGGCTATCGAAGTAATGTTCCTCTTGTGGTAGTTTATGGCCTGTCCTCGGTGGACTATTTTGCCGGTATAATTGAGATCCCCAATTTGAAACCGTCTAGTATAGCATCTCTATGATCATTGAGCCTTCTTCAAGTATTGAAATTCCTCAAACCTCCGAAACTGACGAAATCTGGCTTGTCTTTTGAAAGGGTTATGGCCTAGACATGCCATGTGATGGCAAGCATAAAATCTTTTGTCATCACTTTGTCGAAATCTGGCAATGTGACCTAGAGACAGGACCAGTCCCTAGAGACTAAGTGATCGAACCCAACCAGTTTCAAGTGCAGTTGTATTGGGTCTCATTTGTTCGTGGACTCGATTCCAAATTATGCTCTTACTGCTTCGTACTTGACTGTAGACAGGTCAGGAGCAACCACGTTGATTGCAACTATCGCGCCCGCAGATGACTTGCCTTTTGTTATTTATCAACAGACTGATGTAGAGCCGCAGCTCATTGAATCGTTCAAAAGCGCACCTTTGTGACGTCTGTGTTGCAAATGGGACCCAGGTCAGTAACTACTGTCTCACTCTATTAGAGTCTCAATTCCTCAACTTCAGTGGCCAGAGTGCTTCAATAGTACAAGCTCAACTCATCAACAATTGAATAGAGTGTGATCACTCTCTGACGATACGAGGAATGACTTGAAAGTGACCACAGCCTGCGCTAAGGCGTAAAGTCTGCTGGGAGTAGATGGGCAGCAATTTCTTATGATTAAGTTCAATTTTGAACTGATGATGTTAGGAAGATCCATCCTAATACTTCTGTATTACCTGTGTCTTGACATTGTCTGCATATTTCACGATATAGCGGCCCGCTCTGTTCTCAAAGCGATGGTGGATAGCATCTGAGAGCCGGGGACGGCAGACGTGTGAGAGTGCATGTTGCGCGATAAGGCGGTGGATAGCGTTATTGCTCCATCGCCGTAGAACAACCATAGCCTAGGGGGAGATTTGCATAATGTCCAGCTTCAATTGGCTCGGCCCCTCAATCTAGGATGACCGGTAATGAGGAGACCCTAAGCCCATCGCAGAAGTGTGTGCCTGTCTGCAGGGAGGGATACCCCATCAACAGGACGGCTACACGACGCATGAGACCTTGGGCACCTCAGAGATGGGTCGAACGAGCCCGGAGACGTTTCAAGCAAACACGAATTCGGGGAAGATATCGAGATGACGACTTGGAGGGACGAGAGCAGCCAGGAAGAGCTACGAACACAAAGGGGGACAGGACAGGGGGAGACTTTGGCAGCGTTGCAGCGTTCAGGGAAAGGAGCCTTTAAAGGGAAAACGAGATCTGCAGCCAAGAGGGAGGTGGTGTAGCAGCAGATGCAGCCGTAATTGGGCACGTTGTCGCATTCTTAGAAGCCCAACGCCTCGATTGGTGCAGAGGGTGAGTTCGCCTGCAAGACGATCCTGCAAAGCACGCCGTTGTTCCTGGGCCCTGTGCCTTGTTTGTGTGAACCAAATCCGGGGTTCGTGTGAGGCAAGCAGACTTTGGTGATTTGAGCCGCAGCTGCCAGAGAGCTGTGTGTGTGTACCACAGTAGCTGTGAGAGGGGAAGCACCGACGGTAGTACCATGGCCCATGTACTGTGCTGCTCCGATGTACTGCATAACCAGCCTCCTTTTCCGCTCTGCCAGCCTGCCTCCGCGCGTCTAAGAAATTCTGCCGATGGGGTCGCCTGGAGTCGCCTCTGGAGTGGGCCCCCTGGCGTTGATAGGGAACCATCAATCTCTCAACAGTTGTTGACCACCAGCGAATGGATTGAGCGCGGATTAATTGATTGCTCGCGCAACTGAGGGCGTCGCAGTGGGGCGTTGGTTTCCCCGCCGAGCGCTTCGATGAGCTTGCCCTCAACAGGCAAGTTTCAGAGCCCATCTCCACCCCTTGATGGCTCACCGCCTTCCCGCCCGGTGCCCAAGCTGCCAACTCCCGGCACCTAGAGCCTGGGCCCGTCCGCGGCACCCGCCCTGTCCCCAGCACCAGCACCAGCTTCTAGCAGCAGCAGCACCACTACCAGCCGAGCACGGCAGCAGCAAGTGCTCTGGACCCTCTCTGGTAGACGCGCCCCATGCGAGGCGAGACAACCAGCTTGACAGGGGGGGCTTCCAGGGAAGGCTGGTTGGTCCAAACCTCCAGGACTCGAAAATTCGGGGCCAGGGTCCCTCCAAGCTGCTGGCGCAATCTGCCTTGGCCTCTGCTCCAATATCAACACTTTTGAGAGATCCTGGGCCTGTCCTGTCGTCTCTTCTCAGTCAAGTCACTGTGCACTTGCCCGCCGACAACTCCCTCCCTCTTTTTCGCTTGAGCATCCATCTGTTCTTGTGGGTGACTGACGACTCCAGAGCCTCCATTGAGCCTCTGTGAACCACTTTGACCAAGCGAGACGAGCGAGGTATTCCGTGGCCCTCTCTGTTTTCTGCCTGTCTGCCCGTCGGTCGGTCTGTCTGTCTGACACTGCGCAGCCTGTCGCCAGCTTATTGTCACCAGCGCCAGCCCCTCTACCCTGATCTACTTTCTGCTCCACGTGCTCCGAGCTTCGACACGGACACGACTCGGCAGCGCTTCGACTAGGACCACGAAACGACCCTCTGGTCGCAGCACGTTGCTGCCTCCTACCCCTACGTCTCCCTTTCACTGAATACTCGTACTTTGTCAATTGGGCTGTGACATCCTCAACAATTGCCCAGAATGTCTTCCGAATCCGCCCATGGCGCCAACGCGGAGAGCCTCAGGGTCCCAAGCTCCGACTCGCCTCGCCAGTCCTCCTCCTCCTCCCTGAAGCGCAACTACTCTGGCAAGAAGGAGGCCATGAACGGGCCGTTGTACAGACAGACGGTCAATAACACTGTTCTCGTCAGACGTCTTAAGAGGAAAGGAGACGGGCCCTCTAAGCAATTGGCCCGCTGGTTTGTCGAGAATCAGATCGGTACGCCTCAAATTCTATTTCCTCCCCTGTTCTCCCAGACGCATCCCCAACAGCAATCAAAAAAAGGCTTCTCCAAAGTTGTGCGCGCCACACCGCCCGCCATAGTGACATTACACTGCATGCTGCGTGTCTCGTCTTGTGGCGTTGCGACAATCGACCGCCTACTATAGTCAACTCTAGAAGCACCTACTGATGAAGACTCGTCGCAGGTTTCTCACTGAATCTCCTTGCGCTCCTGTTCTGCGCTCACTACCTCCTCCCCAAATCCCAGTCCTACACGGCCAAGTTTGTTCGTCTTCAATACTACAATGCGAACTCGGGAAAATATGGCGCTGGTTTTGACGACTCTTACTTTGTCGCCTTCGTTGTTGTCCTCCTCACCGGCCTGCGAGCTGCGACAATGGAGTATGGCCTGGCGCCATTTGCCAAGTATATGGGCATCAGCAAGAAGAAGGAGGTTACTCGATTTGCCGAGCAGGCCTGGCTTGTCTTGTACTGTACCACCTTCTGGTCTCTTGGCTTCGTAAGTGCACCTTCGCCCTGCTGCTGGAATCCCTGGGTCTCTGTTGCTTCACGGTCGTAAACGCATGAGACCGCCAACTGACCGCGCATTGTTCTGCAGTACATCTACTACACGTCTCCTTACTGGTTGAATCTTAAGGAACTCTGGGCGACCTGGCCAAACCGTGAGCTTGGTGGCCTGCACAAGACCTACATTCTGGCCCAACTAGGTTTCTGGCTACAGCAGATCTTTGTTATCAATATCGAGGAGCGTCGCAAGGACCATTGGCAAATGCTGTCTCACCATGTCATCACTATTGCGCTCATTATTGGGTCATATCGGTACCATCACAACGCCGTGGGCAATCTCATTCTGGTGCTGTTCGATGTTGGGGACATCCTCCTCTCGGTACGTCCTCGCAGTGTGTTGGAGTTTTGTTTATCGAGATTCTGCCGACTAACAATGTACAATAGGGTGCTAAGTGCCTCAAATATATGGGCTTCACGAATGCCTGCGATGTTGGCTTCGGACTGTTCATGCTGGCCTGGTTCGTCTGTCGCCACATCTTCATGAACATGGTCTGCTGGTCCATCTACGAGCATGTACCTTATACGATGACCTACGGGTGCTTCAAGGGCAACCAAGACAACCTCGTGGGTCCATTCGAGCAGCCCGAGGGCTACAGTTTCTACCTGCAGCCCTTCCTGTCGTCTGATGGGCTCTTGTGCCACAATGACACAATCAGATGGACCTTCTTGACGCTGCTGCTGAGTTTGCAGACCATCTGCATCGTCTGGTTCGCAATGATAGTCAATGTAGCAGTGCGTGTTATCAGGGGCGCCGGTGCGGATGATACCCGCAGTGATGACGAGGGCGACGAGGAAGAGGAGGAAGAGTTCGTCTACGAAGAGGCCCAGGCAGTGGAAGAAGAGGTCGGCGTTGACGAGCTTGACTTGAAGATGTGGGAGCGGAGGACTGGCGTGAAGAGGACGAGCTCCAACGCCACAGGCGTCAGCATTGCCGGACATAGTGACCGCAAGGAACTGCTCAACCGTATTGGCTGCGAGAAGCAGATCGACTGAGCCAGCCGGAGCGCGAATTTCGGACTCTCACTTAGCTTGCCCTGGATGGCGCGTTGGGCCCCGCACCGCAGATTACAGAGGAGTTCAGCTGACCGCTAAGCAAAACTTTGAAGAAGTCACGCAGACGAGACGCACACAACGAATTACAGACCTCAAACTCACTGATACCCTGGCGGTGTCGATTCCTCTTCGTACATACCAGACACGAATAAAAGTTGGCGCGACGGAGTTTAGATATCTTTTGGCTTCATACGGGGAGAAAAATATGTGCGGTCGTACAAACCCACATCGAAAAGTGACAGGTCGAAGGCAGGCTAAGGACGGGGGACGGGGGACTTCATGATGAATCTCAGAGGGGAAAAACTTCATATTTCTTCCCCGCATGTTTCTTTTCGACGACTATAGACTTGGGATCAGGAATAGGTTACAGTCATCTATACCCCCAGAGGCATCAGGTTGGGCAAGCATCCTAGCAGGGGATGAAGGCAATGGAACTAATTGTCCTGTGGTCTTGTACGCTTCTCGTGTCTCATTGATGCTCCTCCCTCGGTGGTCGATTAGGCATTCCCATGATGAAGAGGTTCGTATGCCTCCTTGCTTGAATTACTGAGTCCGTACCACGACTTAGCTATGGAGAATGGTTGGACATTGGCTCTCGGATCGCGGACATACCTCGATCGATCGATGCATAACCTACGAGCCTTATACTACGTCCACCGGCTCATTAGCCATCTGGCGGACCATCGCTTAGTCTCTACTCGCCTATTTTGATGGCCGAGGTAAGCGCTCCGCGGTCAACTCTCGGTCATCAGTCATTCAATGTCGTCACTCGACTCACAATTTCACAGGTCTAATTCACGTGCCGCGATAATGATGATCAGTGGCCGTGCGAATAACGCAAGACTCTAGACTCAGGGGCAGAAGATTCTCATAGCAATATGTTCGCATTATTTAAGGAAAGTAATTTCGCGGCGTGACAGCCATGGTCAGATACCTCAATTTCAATATTTCTCCCTCCCACCGCGCCGACATGGACCATTTTGAGGCGCAAACGAGCCAAGGAATGATATATCCAGTCCGCACGCATACAAGCGATAGTGTTTAACCCCGTCCCAAGATTTTCACTCCTTCAAATTCAACTCCTCCTTGCAAAGGTATCTGTTATTGGTCGTTAAGGACATGATCTCGTCACCAGCCTCCTTCAATCATTCGCACTGGGCCTGACCCATTTCGTCATCCTCCCCAGCCCGTCCTCCCCCCCCCCCCTTCCGCCCTCATACCGGGGGAGGGCACGCAACGCCAGTCAAGTAGCGCCACACAGAGCGACTCGACAAATCTAGACCATTGTCCGCCACGCACGACCAGTCTCAAGGCTAGAGGCGGGCTCGTTCCGCTCGGTAGGCAGGGTGATGGTGCTGCCGGGCGGCAGCACCTTGCTGCTCGAATACGGCCCGTCGCCGGGCGGGTTCCGGCAGCCCCAAGGCATTATGCACGGCTCGAGCCGGCCCTCGTCAGGCGGGTTGCTTATTATCGGGTCAAATATCTTGTGCGGCTCTGTCTGGGTGCCGATTGCCCGGCTGCTGGTTATCGTGCTGATGGGCCCGAACGGGGCCGGGAAGCTGGTGGAGATGAAGTCCACGACGAATGTTGTCTTTGGGTACGAGGTGCCCGTCGGGACCACGGTCGTGTAGGACGACACGGTGCTGGGCAAGAGGGCGGCGGCGGCGGCGGCGTCCGCGGTGGGCATGGGCACGGCTGCGGCTGTTGCTGCCAGCAGGGCGGCGAGTGCAGCGGTGTTGGCCTTCATCTTTGATCGACTTGGTTTGTTGACGTGAGTGTCTTTTCAATAATAAGCAGAGAGATATACGGACTCGATAACGAAGATGGAGTGCGTATGTACGGAGAACGAAACAGTACAGGGAGAAGTCTTCGACGACCCCATGGGAGGACTGGCCAGAGACTTATACACGTCGAGATATCGCACATCGTATACGACCTTCGACAAGGCTGGACCGGCTCGCCGCTAGCCTCGCAAGGCTCTCGCGCCCGTCGCGTCCAGCAGACGTCGCGGCAGTCAAAGCGCGCCTGGTTGTTTACTTTGCCGTGGTTACTGGTTGCTCCTCCCAATAGCTCTCACGAGTGCAGAGAAGATTGCTCCCAGGGCAAATTAGCTCTGCGCCGGCTACTCACCGCCAGGACATCGGTATCGTCGTCAGAGTCATCACCCCGACGGTCGCGCTCAGTGTGACGAAATGGTCTGTGTTCCCCGCTTGAGGAATAGATCACGAACTCGTCCATTGCGAGGAGCACATCCGAGGGAAGCCTCCTCTATCCGGGGTGTGTGGTGCGCGGAAGCCTTTCCGTTGAGGTGCAGGATGCGAAGACACCAATGCCTCGGGCTGTGTAGCCTGATGCCTGGGTGGGTAGGTATGTTGACGACAAGACGTCGTCAGCTTGGTCTCATGGCAGTCCATGGAATACAGTCGAATGAATGCAAGGGGGTGGCTGATTGCCATTCGGGGAGCAAGAAGGAGAGGAGGTCAGCGTTCCGTGCAGTGAGCTCTAGCCACCTCGATACCCAGATGATCTTGACTGAACGTCAGGATTCGAATGCTTGAGCATCGACTCTAATGAACCGTGAGCAGCATCCAGCTCGACCGAGCCAGCCAAGTTGCGTGCACCACTCAACTTGAAGATGGAATGATTGGACGTCGTCCAATTTCCGGCTCTCATGATCTAGTGGACGGTGGAAAATTTATTACAACGGGATGTTTTTCTGACAATTGGGCCACTCCCCAGCAGTACCGCGCGACGGGGGACCACTGCATGGTTGTGAACGATTGCCAGTGAAGTAGAAAGTGAGACTGAGACAATCACTCAATCGGTATCGCCCACGAAAGCTATATCACGACAGCCTGAACATTGTGACTCAAATATTAATTGACCGTAGATATCGTTAGACCATTTTGCGCCCTATAAACGTATCATTATTTCCAGGATGGTAAAAGGTGGGCGGGAGGATTGATCTTCGCGCACTAAGTTCGGGCAAAGCTAAATTCTTGAGCCTCAATCCTACGTGAACGACTACTTTTCTTGGCATGAACTTTGCTTACACCACACAGCCTTTTGATGTGCGGAAGATGCATGATTTTAAGTTATTCCAGTTTGCAACACTCACAGACTTCAATTTCCTCTGACGCCTAATAATTCGCTCAAACACTTCTCTCCCGCAATGTGTAGGAATTAGATCGAGCTGAGCCAGGGCGACAACATACAAGGCAGGATGAAGCCCACAAAGAGGCTTGCCTGCGAAGCATGAACAAGCTGGCAGCCTCACTACTAATCAGCGAAGACGGCTAGCACGATGATGAGTGGGGGCCCATGACATATGGAGAAACCATGTACATGAATTCTAATCTGAAGTACTAAACTGGGGGCGACGGCAGAACCCGCATGAGACACTGTGTTCCAAGCGCAAACATGACATATTAGAGCCAGACGTGGGATACCATCGCCAAAGAAGTCAAGGAACGCAAATGCAAGTATCCTCCTAATTTTTGACCCCTGTCCCTCCCATATGCGGCATCTTATCGTGTCCCGGCAAAAACCATCAAGCAACGGACGGGATTATGCAAAACGAGCATTCGCCAACGGGAAAACAATTCCTTCACAAATCAGGCTCTTGAAGATGTTGGATGGTGAAAGCTCTCATTCTGCCTCTTGACCACATAGCGCCCAAAAACCATCCGCAATGGAACTCGCACTATCCTAGAAGGGGTTGCGCGGGCAAGCAGGCATGCAAACAGGCCTGAGCCCCGTCTAGCGCATGAAAGAAGTCGTGACTGGTAGTGAGTAGCCTCTTACGCCGCGACGTTGACGTTGACAGTGGCTTGGTTTGTGGGCGGCAAGACGTTCTTGCCGTACGCGCCGTTAACGTTTCCTGATGTCTGTGAGTGTCTGTGCAATCAAAATAATAAGAGGATGAGGAACGTACCAGCAGGGTAGTAGTTGCAGACGCTGTACCAAGCACCCATGGTAGGGTTCATGGTGCCAGGGGCACAGTACTGGGCGGCACAACCAACTTGTTGGGAGCCGACCCAAACGATCTGAGAGTAGTGACCCCATGCCTCGAAGTTGGTGAAGTCGGGGTTCGCCTGGCCGTAGGCACTTGAAGGGTAAAGGTTGAGCTCGCCGTTGTACCACATGTCCGTGATGGCCTGGGCCATGACTGTCTCCTCTGTCAAGGACGAGGCATCTGTAGATGCGTACATGGCGATGTTTTGGCCGTAACCGCCACCACCGGGGGTGCTGCGAATGTATTAGCTTATGACTCCGGTGCTACAGCAGCATCAAACGTGAAGATAGGCGGCTTACAGGTCGTGCGCAAACTTGCAGGACTTGGCGACAGTGGCGGCATAGCCCGCATAAGAGCTGCCCCAGGTCATGGCAGGCGCAGAGTTGTTTGTACGGTGGATGTTGTGGTGATAGACAGCAGTGCTGGCCAGATCCGAGGGCGCAGCGGAAGCCGCAGCCTGGGTAGCCGCCGATGGAGTAGCAACCGCGACACTGGTGCTCGTGGAGGTCGGAGTCGGGGCAAGCTCGGCGGGGTCAACGGTGACCGTAACCACTGGAATGACAGTGGAGGTGGTTGGGACCACCTTGACTGGAGGGTTCTTAACGTGGACGTTGGCATCCACAGGGACGGTCTGAACGGTCGTGACCTCTTGGGTGACAGTGTAGTAGACAAGCTCAGTCTCGACTACGATGTCGAGCTTGGGCAGGGCCAAGGCGATCGAGGCGCCAGAGAGCAGCATAAGCGATGACTTCATTTTGACGATTTGTACGAATTTGACGCGCTGAATTGACTAGTCAATACTGAATGGCAGCTGTTCCGACTGTTAGTCCAGTTGTTTGTACTTGGAAACGAGTTCGTGGCAAACGAGGGAGAAGAGAGTGAATTATGAGGAGATGAGCGCAGATGCCCTGAATGAGCGTGCTGAAGCTGAGCTTCCGAGTGAAATCAAAAGACAGACGGTGAAGAAAGGAAAAATGAGGATTATGTGAAATTCGACGTTGCGATGTGAGGAATTAGACCGTGTTTTGCTGGCGACGGGAGGAATGCAGGGAATTTAGGTTCGACGCGGTAGTATGGCTTGGTACGTTCCTCGCCCTTGGAAGAGGCTTGGGACCAGCGGCCTTTGTCTAAGGAACGGACGAGATGCGGTCCAAGGCGATTTGCCAGGAATGCTTTATGATAGGAAAGTGGTGCATAATAGGACGAGAAAGCCGCGCAACAAAGCATGCCGAGTGTGGCGGGAGTGTGAAGCGTACCTGATGATGTACTTGTGTAAGTCGTGATTTGTCTACGAGTCCGGTCGAGAGAGAGTGATGATCCCACTGAGATCTGAGATGATGCGACGAAGACAACAAGTCGTTCTTAAATAGCTTCCAGAAGCAGGCGTGTTCAGGACAGCACTTGGCTATTTGTGAATGCACGAGACGGGAATCGAGACCTTGTGATCGGTCTGGGGCGAAACGAGCCGAAGGAGTGAGTGACAGGAGGGCGTTGACTGTCGTTCGGATGAGACCTTGTGGTTCGGAAGCGGGCGAGACACTGCAGAAAAGACTGAATACGGCTGGATGGCGACGTCAAGTGAGTGGGTGATGATGTTTTTAATGATTGGGGCGCTGGTACTAGACCGCAGGGTGAAGCGAGGGAAGTAAAGAATGGATTGGCTGGCAAGCAGCAAGTGAAGATATCAATCTTCAAGATGATGATTTTCTCAAAGGAACGGAATGGCCGAAAAAGACGTGCCTGTTGACTTATGTGGAGTGAAGAGAAAGAAGGGAGGGAGGAGGAGGAGCGTGCTCGGGTCGCGGATATGCACTGCAGGTATAAGGTTCGCGGCCCAGGCCCAGAAACAGTGTGATGGATGATCTTGGTGACTGACTACAGATTGCCTAGACTTGCCCAGTCTGCCGTCTCCGTCTCCGACCCCGTCAGCCCGTCTGTTTGTGTGCCGTCCACCGTCTGCAGACTAACCACCTAGGTAGACTACGTACCTTCCCGGGCATACCAAGCCATGTGCACACATGCAAGTTGGCGCCTCCCCAGCCAGTGGGTCCCGCCTTCCAAGATTACCAGGGGCCAGGTCCAACCATTGCAAGGACCACTGAACCACCGCGCCAGGGCTCTTCTGACAGTCTGGGGGCGTTTTTTCCCACTTGGGCGGTTTGATGAGGCTGTCGTCAGCTGCACAAGGAGATCTTGGCCCTTCTCACGCCCAGCTGCCCACCTCAGCCAGCCCTTGAGCCTTGTGGTGCCTGGATGTTGATACTCGATCCATCTACCTCGACAAACGACCCCTCTATCTCCTGATTTGTGCCGCCCGCTAGCCAGCAGCCCACAGCACCGGCCCCATCGAGCAATTTGAGTTGCGGCGCAGACGGTAGGAGCCAGCCGGTGCTGCTTGGGTCGGGGGTGTGTGGGGGGTGTACCTATCACGTTTCTTCGGCCGACAGTCCCTGCAGGGTCCTTGGAAAACGTCCATATCGCATTAAAGCGACCAGGTTGGGCATGGACATCTACTGTATGAGCTACACCAAGTACCTAGGCACGTGCTAGGGTAGCCAGTCCCGACTGACTGCAGAGGCGGGCGAGCAAAGGTGTCGGATGGTCTAAGCCATCTATTTGTCAAAAGAATGACCTCCTCGACCTCGTCCCAGTTCCCCGGATATCTTCGCTAACCTTGGAAGGCAGAGCGTCAACGGTGATCTTCGTCAGGAAACAAGATGCATCTCGCATGCTCTGTTGTCGTCTGTGGAACTAAGTCCCCACTTACGCAGTCGAGGTCAAGGCTTCCAGGGGCATTGACGGCGAATATCACTTCCTCCCTGGGTCATTTCCACCACGCCGAGGAGCCCACTTCTCTCACTGCTCCCACTTCCTCCCTGCACTATTCGGGACAGATCACGGGTGATTGGCAGGGGCCGAGATGAGGAGGTAAGGAAGTCGCTGACAGGCTGACAAGACTATCTCTCCCTGCGTGCCCTGTGGATTATTTTCTCACTGACGATGAGAAGAGAGAGAGAGCCTTGGAAGTTGACGAGCACTCCCTTCGGAAACGACTCTGCTATGTACACACCCCTTGCAGCCGTCCGAGCCCCTGCTTTAGCCTGGCTCTAGCGGCCGAACACATCCCCAGATGCCCCTGACAGGCCGGGGCTGCCTGCAGGGCGTCAACGTGGGGCGAGGCTTCCCCAGTTCCCTTCGCTCTGGTACCTGCAGATCAGACCAAGCAGAGACTGGCAGACCAGCAAGACCAGCCAGGCCAGTCTCGCCATCTGGAAGAGTCGCCTTCCGTACGCCTTTCGCCGCGTGTCCATGTCTGTGTGTGCGCTTGACTGAAGGAGGGACAAAGACGATTACAGGACGGACGGACGACCGGTCGTTGCGCCTCCACTAAAACGTCCGATCCTGAAACGGAGCTAATTTGGCCACCCCGGGCCGTGGCTCAGTCCAGGTTCATCCAAACAAACCTGGCAGGCATCCCCCCTACCCACCCCCACAGCACCCATCTGATCTTCCTGCCGGGCGATCATTTTCTCTTCTTTTGACTGCACTGCAACAGTATCGCGGTGGTGTGCATATACGGTGAGTGTACTATGCATGGTCCACACCACTTCAGTCCAGATCCTGTGTACAGTTCCAAAATGGGGCTCCACGATCTAACATGGGAATGTGCTACGTAAATAGTCCCTTCGTCGGGAAATAGCACATACGTACGCAAGCTCATTTTCGTCATATGTATCAGCCCCCTCGATAAAGTTTTTGCTTGGCTTTGGCGGGACTTCTCATCTAGAGTCTGCCGCCGACATCCGCAGGGATGCCACTGATTGTCAAGGCGATCCTCGACGATCTCTCGCTGAGGCTCCTCCCCACTGCACTTCTATGTACCCGCTGCGAAGTACCGAGTGCTTTTCTCGGCCCCCTTCGCGAGATGTTGGCTGCCGTGGGTTTATCTGAAGCTCGCCAAGCACGCATTGCAATGATCACAGCGTACAACGGAACCGTATCGGCGAGACAAGAGATGGAGGCGGCGCCTCTGAGACAGATTGGGGAAAACCTCATCAAAGAAGGCGTTGCTTCAGAAAGCAATAGCACCTCGCATTGGGCCGCCGATGCATTCACAAGTGGGAAACAGTCGCTCGCCCACGGGATCAGCATATCAGGAAACAAGATGGCGGCTTCATGAGCATCAAGAGAGATCCCTGCAGCTACTTCCCGGCGCCACGGATGCTGTTCGGAATTTGCAGGGCGGGCAGAGAAATAATGTCCGGCTCAGATGGTGACCACCTGTAGTGGCCTCTCTACCGAGACCAACAGGCCTCGATCGTCAACTCTCCATTGAAGAACTCTGTTTTCTGGCCGATGGACGGTCGATGAAGCTGCCCAAATCACGGCGGCCCACACTCTAATGACACAAGCCCGAGGAGCACGAGGGCATTCGTTCATCAACATCTCGGCCCCTTGAAACCACCAAGACCAGCCCCCCCTCTCCCTGGCGTTCGTTTTCAAAAAAGGAGCAGCCACTGCGAGTGTGACATCAGGTCAGAAACAGCAACTCCTGCTCAAATGCAGTCCTTGCTTGCCCATTGGCCAGGCGCGCTGAGCCGCCAGTGTTTTGATTGCCGACAGGGGCACAGCCAAGAGCCTGGAATGGATTGGCCAGCTGTGTCACCGGCGCCAAAAGGACACCAACGTCATCTCAAGGGGTCCCCTACCTCCGGCGTAAGATTTATAAAATATCATGCCCTTCCGTACCAATAGCATCAATTACGACAGCATCGTCAAGCCATGCGCCAAACAGCCCGACGGCCGATAAGTCGTGGCCGTCCTCACATCAATTAGCCCTTCGATGTTGGGCTGCCTGCAAGAGCACTCCCGCGGCCATGTCGTGCATTTCACCACGTTTTGGTGGCCAGGCTCAACCCGAGACCGCGCATCAACGGTGGTTGGATGCTGTTGTAGGTATTCGATGATGCAAAGTGGACAATGGCTTGCAACCAGCACTTGAGGGAAAGCGACTGGTTCCATGACGTGGCAAACGCCATGCGGCCCTTCACGCCGGGAAAACATCATTGCTAAAGGACATGTACTCGGACCGAGCCAAATGTCACATGAGTACTCGGCATATCTATGGTTCAGTTATCACTCCTAATGTGACCAGTGTCACCGTGATGGAGCAACCCTCTCGGCCTGCTCCGCAAGGCTGCCTGGACAAGGCATGAGACAACCGATGCTTCTGGACCTGTCTTGGTTGTCCCTATAGGGATGTCCCTGCACTACGGAAGGAGGAGACGGATCATGCTGCGTACGCTTTACAAACCCCGTCACTGGAAGGTTTGTCTTGGATCCCGCAGGCTTACACTTGACGCAGATCTGTCAGGACTCGGGTTCAAGGATGTTTCCAGACCTCTGCATCACTCTTCCATCACCCTGTCTTGACTACTGCTCTTGGAGTTCTTGATCCAAGGAGCCACGGCGACGGAGCTCGCGAGGAACTATAGCTGTACATATTCAAGTGAAGCCGCACGAAACAACGCGGAACATCGCAGCGTCGCAACCACGTCGGTGGAATCCGACAGCTACATGATGTTGGCGTAGCTGCTATACTCCAGCCCCCGTACACGTAAGCTGAGGATCGGAACCCACCATACCACGCAAATGTATCAATAGACAAGATGATTTTCCCAATTATCTGGTCCAACCATTCAGGCAAATCACATCAGTGTCGCACTGAATCCTTCAGCTCGACGTGGACGTGAGCTCTTGGGGCACTTGAAGGCCAAATGAGCGCCTTCAGAGTCAGGATTGAATAACTATGCATGTGATGTCGACACGTGCGAGACCTTGCATAGTGTTAAAAGACATCGCCTCGGGTTTCCCTTTCTTTCCTGTTGCAACCCACGCATTGTGCGACCATCCCTCTCGGGTGTTTGCAGTAGTCCAACACCCGGCAGGGTCGGCTATTCCAACTCTGCGGTGCTCAACAACGATAGAATATGGGAACTTTCATTGTAAAGGCTTCAGGCAAAGCGCGATGCATCCGGATCAGCCGAAGCCGCACCACTTCGCCACGTCTTGCTTTTCCCAGTGAACAGGCCCGGCTCCTCACGGCCGAGAGGTTTTAGGTTGATTCAGATCGCCACAAGGTGGCTTGCCTCACCATGCTGCGAGGCTACGCGTGAAAATGCCGGCTTCCGGCCGCCTCGGGCCCCGGGGAAGAAAACGGAAGGGAGGGGAGCAGATGGGCTGGTCACACGAAGATGTGTTCGTCTCACGCAGTTGCGTGGGAAACAGAACAAGACAGGCCTCAGCAGACTGGTTGGCTGGGACATGTTTCGACTGTGCCCAGCCGCCCGCAACGTCACTTCATGCTTGTCTGTCATGTCTATCCGTTTTTGTCTCGGGGAGGCGGAGACATTGCTTCTGTATTTTGCTCCACGCCCGTCTCTCGTGGCCTGGCGGATGACTCTGGAAAGAGGGCTAAAAGGAGGCTTACGCTGTCTGTATACTGGAACTACTTCTGGAGAGAAAGTGGTAAATGCAAGCTCATGCTCGGGTCCCAACGCCACGTCTGATGGCACTGTGGTCTGGACCAAGGCTGACAACGCGAGTCTGGACGAGGCTACGGCTACCCGCCGTAGCTTCCAAAGCCGGTGGCGCTGGCCGTGATGTTGTGACATGGCAACTTGCGGAGGGCTGCGCGAACTGGATGGTGCATAGCAAAGCTCGTTTACAGAAGCTTGGTCGTGATCCTGCTGCACTGGCGATATCATTCCGTTGCCACGTATCCGAATGCCGGCTTGTTTGAGTGGTCCTTAGACATGCCCTCACTCAGACGCGCGTCCCTATGTTATCTTGTGCTGAGTGGATCGAAGATCTACCACAAATGACGGCGAGCATGGCGACCTGGCGTGTTGCTTCGTTTATGATGTGAGATCCGCACAGAATAGGTGTTCCCTATACTCATCAGGTGAAGAAACCCGTGGTGTGGAGCCCTCCGACGGTGTTTGAGGGAGAGCTTGACGTTGCAGCACTCTCTCCCTTTTGTTTCTAAAGGCTTAGCCAGGTAGCTGACTATTGAACCTGCCCAAGTCGCTAGCAGCTTTAATGCTTTGCCTTGTGCCAACTGATCCGCAGATCCAACGTGCAGGTCACACATCAGAATTTCAACGCCCAGCTCCTCCTCGGTCGATAGTTGCCTCCACTCCGACCACCATCGGCGAATGTGGGGCATTTCTTACACGATGGTTGCTAGTCTACTAACACAAGATGAGGATTAGCCTCGATTGACAATCCCATAGCACAATGTAACTATGGCATTCGAATCCCAGTCTTCCGCGTGACGACTTTTGAGGGAACTAAGGACATGCAATTCAAAAATATAGTCAGATCCCAGTGCTCCCTCGTGCTTCGACGCCATTGTCTTGGTGTCTTCGCAAGTCAAGAATACCTTCGGGTTGTTCAAACTCGTCCTCAGTCCAATGTTAGATGGCCAGAGGTCGACCTTATCAGCATCCAACACGCGAGCCAGAAACTGGATTCCAGTTATTGATAAAAGCTTTTGTTCTCTTCGATTCATGCCGCGTCTAGTGTATGTACACATCTTTGTGACCCCCAGATAGAACCCTGGCCTGTAGCATCGAGGAACGCGTCCCTGCTCTGATCCGACGTGAACGGCATCTCTGATCCGACGTGAACGGCATCTCTCTATGACGTCTTCGCGTCCTCGTACTTAACAGATGGCTGGTATGGAATAGGCGCGTGGGCATAGATCTGTTGTGATCGCAGGTGTACGGGGATCTTGCCACCGGCGTCTGGGATCGTCTTCTCGAGTTTCTGTAGGGTATGCGTGGTCAGCAATGCTCTCCGGTGGGTAGAAGGCGATGGGGAGCTATGTCGCCATCGACAAATCGTAGGCAACATACCAGGTTGTGGAATACGCATTTGTTCAGGCGCCACTCAGCTGGCCGACACTGCCATAGCTGGTGGTTGTTGTTGTCCAAGCACTCGTAGTGGGCCTTGAATTGCTCAAGGCAGGACTTGTTGATGTCTTCAATACTGCCGTGCATGTCAGCAAGTAGCCCATTGGGAAGGCATGCAACTACCCGGATGCCTGTCTCCCCGCCCACGCCCACGCCCGTCGAGAGCGGCCGGTACAGCGGGGCCCGCGTCGGAGTTGATTGAGATGGTGCCGGGAGATATGTGGTACGTACACGCTCCTTGCGCATCTGGTGACCCTCCGGCCCTCCTTCAAGCACTCGAACTCGCCCTTGCCGGGGTTCTCGGTCTTGCACTTCATGAAATCATCGTTGTAGTCCTTGCACCGGGCGCCGATGAAGAAGGAAGCTGACAAAAGTGGAGCAGAGCTGGCACCGAGCTCCTTGACCTTGGGGATCGAGTCGGGCAGAGGGGTCGTGTCGATGAGATGCTTCTCACTGAATCTGAGGTTGACAGTTAGCTGGGCTGTTTCGAGATGCTACCTGCATTTTAGAGATGATGAAGAGGGACCCAAGCTTCGATCCCACCTCCAAGAGCTGACATAGAGACCAATTGGCTTACTGGGGGTTTCGCGACGCCATATCTGCGTTGTTTGGGCTGGGACCAAGGCTGTGATCTGTAGAAACCCGCGGCTTAAATGACGACGGTTGACGGTCCTGGAAGTTGGGTGAGGTTTAGCAACTCGAATGAGGCCCGGCGTGATTGGCTGGTGCTCTGCGCTGGTGTGGGCCCAGGCTCTGCCTGCCCGTCCAGGTGCCCAAGCTTCGAGTGCGACTGCATGGGACTGGACTTTTTTGAGCAGCTGTAGACGCGACCTCAACATCCAAGCTGCTGCAGCCACATCTAATACCCAGCACCCTTTCTCGTGGAGTCACTGTACGGCATTTCCCTGGCGACGGCAACACATCTGTGCCCAGTACCATACCGTACACCACACATTTGCTTCAGTGACGCGGTTGCCGAAGCGGGAATGTGTTGATAGCCCTTTGTTTTTCTGATAGCTCACCGGCGTGAGCTCCAACGATTCCCACGACAGCCCATACCGCCTACGATTCCTCCGATCCCACCTCCACTCGAGTAGAAGTGCTAGCCATATCGAATCGCCATGTCCCTCTTTGGAGCGCCCGCTGGCGGCTCGTCGCTGTTCGGCGGCGGTAATACGACCACAGCAGCGAACCCTTTTGCACAATCATCAGCCACACAACAGCAACCCGCACAGTCGCAAGGTCTCTTCGGCCAGAATAATAATGCGAATAATCAACAGCAGCAGCAGCAACAGCAGCAGCAGCAGCAGGCTCCGCAGCTAGGCCAGTCTTTGTTGGGGCAACCGCAGAATAATGCAGCTCCCGGCTCGTTGTTCCAGCCTGGCGCTCAACCACAACCTTGTATGTTGGCCTTTATTCTGAAATCCACTGTCTAGCACACTTGCACTTTGCACAGGGATGCTACTGTCTTTTCCTCGTCCCCTATTTGTAATGAACAGAAATGGCTTACTTGCGGCGAATTCACTCAGACGGCAAATCCGTCCCCGAACAGATGACTCTAGTAGTCAGCAAATGGCACCCACAATCCCCCGATTGCGTCTTTAAGCACTACTTCTACAACAAAGTCGACGATGCTCACGTTCCCTTCTACCACCCCGGCCCGAACGAGAACCCGAAAGAATGGGAGGAGGCACTGCAGAACAAGCCCGCACCAGGCCTGATGCCCGTGCTGGCGTCTGGTTTTGAGGCTGTCGCGGAGCGACTTAAGGCGCAACGCGTCGCGATTGGCCGCTTCAACCAGCGACTGCACGAGATCAACAACTGCCTGGACGCGATCCTGTCGAAACACGACCTGGAGTGGAGCGTGCGGACGATTAACGCAAGGCGCAAACACGATGCCCTGCGTCGACGCACGCTGGTACTGGCTAGGAAAGTGCAGGTTCTGCGAAATCGAGGATACGCCCTTTCAGGTGATGAGGACGAGCTTAGGATCAAGTTGGAGAACATGGAGAAGAGTGTGCAGGACCCAGCAGTCAACGCGAGACTGGAAGAGCTCTGGAGCCGTTTGATAATGCTCAGAGAGAGAGCGCAGATCCTGCAGTCGGAGCTGCAGAAGAAGGGCCTCGGCGAGGAGCAGGGTCTGGGTGAGGAAGTGGAGGTCAGAGTCAAGAAGGTAAGTCTGCGCTGTGCGTGCTCGACAGCGGTTCGGAGCTGACCAGAAATTCATAGATCGTCGAAGACTACGAGAAGCAGCTCCAGCACCTCAAGAAGGAATGCGAGCTGATCAAGCATGACTTTGAAGAATGGGAGAAGGATCACCCTAAATAGAGAGCTAACTTCTGGACCCTCTCATCCAAAGACTCTCAAGAGCCTAGGTCAGGATCTAATTCTTGGCTTGGATCTCCAACTTTCCAGCTGAGCGCAAGCATGATGGCATGATGGCTTCATGACTTGAAAATCAGGTCTCAGTGATTTAGTAACACCCGTGGATGGTCGCTTGGACAGATGTAGATGCACCACAGAGAAGGAGAGGGAGGTGTGGACAATGTCCAGGTGTCTCGGCGACTGATGCAGATGCTTGGCCGTCGTCACTTACTACTGCCAGGTCAGTGGATTGAGCCGCTCGCGAACAGCTGTCTGTATGGAAGCCAAACTCGCCTTCGGGGTGAAAGGGACGCCGAGAGCGACCATGATGGGCTTGGAAAAGCGCTGATCAAAAGAGCAAATAATACGGAAAGGGGAGGACAGTGATCAAGCTTCCTCTGAGATCACAGGTAGAAAAGAAGCAGACCACAGCCGGGCGACATATGCTCGTTTGAACCTGCCGTCCAAGGGACGGATGTGATTTATTACAATGTATATATACGTATGTAAAATACGTGCCGCTGTTTGGGCTGTTTTTAAACAACAGTGCCAGGCAGCTTCCAAGCAACCATGTCCTCCCGCACATCGAACTCGTTGACCTCCTTTGTGCTTTTGAACCCGCTCCTCCCTCTCTCGCTCTCGATCGTTGCAGCCAGGCTCGACAAGCTCTCGCTCCGTCCCCGCATCCCCCCCGTGCTTGGGGCCCGCAAGCTGTCCTTGCTCCCGTCCCTCCGGTGCCCACTGCCGGCACGGAGCCCGTTGTGGTGCGGCGCGTGGTCATGCCTTGCCGTCACGGTGTTGACGCTCTCCCCGCTGCCGTGCCGCGAGTGCTGCCTCTTCTGCCCGCCCATGCCCCTCCTGTCGCTGGGCCGCAGGAATTCGTCGTCGCCGGCGCTGCTGCTATCTTCCCGCCTGAGGCCGAGCCTGCCGCCGATCCTGGACAGGGAGTGGCGCGAGCGGTGGTGGCTGTGGTGGCCGCGGGGCGTGGCGTCGCCGGCGGTGGAGGGGGCGACCGGAGAGCCGCCGTCGGGCTCGCCGAAGCCGTCGCCGCCCTCGAAGATGTCCTCGATGCACTCGTCGGCCGGCAGCTCGCCGGGCTGGCACGCCCAGCTGGCGGCCAGCGCGCGGCGGTACATGTCCTGCAGCTCATAGACGTCGCGCGACTTGCCGTTGTTCTTGCCGATCGAGAACTGCGCGCTCAGGTTGCCGCCGCTTGGGTCTTGCGTGTCGTCCTGCAGGTGCAGGTGCCCGAATTCGGCCGCTGCCGAGTCTGGGCCCGACGCTACTCCGCCGGCGCCGCCGGCTGCCTCGGTCACCATGCCTGCTATGCCCCCGAAGACGGCGGCCGTCTTGAGCGGGGGCGCGGAGAAGTTTCGCTCGCCGTCGACCTGCATCATGAGGATGCCAATTTTTAAAGTGCTGTTAATCTTGGAGTCCTGCATCAGGTACCGCCGGATGACGCCTTCTTCGACATGTTGATCCGTGGCGGGTTCGTTAATGGAAGGGGCCTTGTTGTTGGTGGCCTCGCTGGAGTTTGGTTTTGAAGGTAGGGCTGTGGATGTCGGGCTGACGTTTGAATCTGGGGTGATGGGCGAGTGTTGAGATAGACTGCTCCTCTTTCGTGTGTGATGCGCCCCGTTGGCGGCGTTTCCAGCAGAAGTATTAGCTGTGCTGCCGACACTGGGGCCGCGTCTCCGGAACGGCGCCTCGCGCACCACGGTCTCGCTCTCCTCGACGTATTCGCTTAAATTTAAAGTGACCTTGCCCAACGTGATGGTCTCACTCCTCCCCGGGATGCCTCCATGAGTGCTAAATTCCTGTAGAACCTCGAACTCAATCAGGCATTCGGACAAGTTATTACTCTTGTCGATGCCAATGCGTACGGGGATAACTTTGCCGTAGCCGTACTCGACGCGGTGGTTGGCGATGGGGCACTTTCCGGTCCGCCCGCGGTGCTCGCTATGGATAGAGTGCGGCAAATGCCATTTTATAAGAGAGACGCCTTGGACCAAGGGTACGTTGTTGAGGTCGTAGATCTTGGGATTGTTAGTTGCTTGTAGAGAGACTATGGCTGGACCGTGAGAGATGTCATGAGCTCAGACACATTCAATCCACTTGCCTTGAGGTGTACATCAAACTTGGGCTGTGGGCTCTGAGTTAGCTTATGATTTCGAGATTTAAGGGGTGTAGAATAAGGATATTTCCCCCGTTGGACGCATGCAACGAAGTAGTGATTGAGAGAGAGAGAGATTCGGTAGACTTACTCGTCGAGCCTTGTTGACTAAAGGGAGGTAATTGACGTTAGTCCAGGCCATTGCTCCAAATGAGTGCGGACAGCTATGTGCAACAAGAAGCGGAAGAGTCGTGCATGAGGATGTGAAGAGGTGTACACAGTATGAAGAAACAAAATGGCGGGTAGGGTTGAATGAATCTAAAGAGGAATGTAGATGATGATCACACGAAAATAAGGCTGAAGTGACGGATAAGAGAAGAGAAGAGACGGGTGAGATGAGTGAGATGGTTGAGCGGGAAGGAACGCCAACAGCGCAGGGCAGGCCACCAGTAAGAGTGGACGATACAGAGGTCAGACCTCCCTTCCCTTGCTTCACTCGGTGTCACTCAAGGGATGGCAAACGAAACGACAGGAGAAGCATGGATTGAGTTTTTCTTGACATTGAGCTTACTGAGATGTGCCATGTTAGGCTGCTCTGCTGTCAAGATAAGCTCGAGTGCAGATGCAGATGCGGATGCGGATGCAGATTCGGGTGGAATGCGAACGCGAACGGGTGGGACTTGGCTCTAGAGCTTATTATGGCAATTATAAATGCAGCAGCGCTACAAAACGAGAAAGTATTAATATCCGTATGTCGTAGGAGGCTGGCCGAAGTCCAGTCCAGGCCAGACTCAAGGGCCCCAGACCTCCGGGAGGGCCGGATGATGGTGCCGTCTGTCTCCGTTGGTGCCGAGTGAAACACGACCTGCTGCGTGGGGACTGGCAGAGTTGGAAGAGCCGATGGGCAGATAAACGAGGCCGCAGTGTAATGACGCTGTCCGTAGAATGTCTGTTGCAAGGTCTCGAGAGGGTATCACTGGTCTGGTTTGATGAGATCCGGGGGGCTGGCCTGTCTGTCAGCTTAGCTTGGTCGTCACTGTGTGACATCCATCACGATCCCACGGACATGGACGGTCGATGTCGAAATGAGTCGGTCGAATCAGGGCAGCTGGGCGGGAAAGGAGTCTCAGGTGACAACGTACAATAGCTAGCGACGTTCCAACAACCTTGGACAACGAGCCGAACCGTCGTGCAAGTTGCAGTCGATGTACGTTTAAATCAAGGTCAATGTCAAGAAAGGAGGCGTCAGGACGCTAATGTAACTCGTGGATCATACATCATCTACAATATGACGGGCCTTGCGCAACTGCCAGACACAGGTGGGGGCCCTAAGATGGCCACGCATCTCCACCCACAAGGGTCTACCCAGGGACTCGGGTACCCAGGTACTTCTTCCTCGACAGGGATTGGAGCTAGATTGGTACCTATGAGATGTACCTCTATGGTCCGCTGCGATAAGATAAGGCCCTCACTTGACTTTTTGGAGTTGCATGGCTCGGCCGCAACGCGTGTTGGTGACAGACACTGACATTTCCGTTGCACGTGAGGCACGTTGGAAATTACCATGTGAAAGCTGAGAACAGAACGGAACTTTCAGCAACATGGCCCCACAGCCTGGTAATACTGGCGCAAGGCCTGACGCCGGCAACAAACGAAAAGATGCGCCCCAGGGTGCAGGCCGCGCCTTCAAGCGCGTCAAGGTCCAAGATGCCCGCTCCATCCGCTCCCAGCCTGCAGATGCCGCCCTGAAAGACGGAGAGCTGGATCTGCAAGCATTTCTGAATGCACGTCAGTTCGAGATCGCAGCTCTCCAGGATGGCATGCGCAAGTCCAAGGCCCTTAATAACCGCCGTGCCTTTCAGCTCGTGCCGAGGGAAATGCGCCGTCGCACCGCCTCGCACAATGTGAAGAAGCTGCCCAAGCGACTACGAAGCAGGGCCAGGCGGGAACAGTTGCAGGATAACACCCCTACTGTCGTGGCTGGGAAGAGGAAGCCAAAGACTACGAGGGCACGCATTCGCCTGGAGTCAGCCAAACGATTAGGCATTCTGGCCGAGAAGAAACGGAAACGCAAGCTGCGAGAGGCGAAAGCTAAGGCCAAAAATGGTGGCGGCAGTAGTGGTGGTGGTGAGGGGGTGGAGTCCTCTGCTGCAATCAAGCAGTTGATTGAGACGAGGCCCGCCAGACCAAAGATCCGGAGGAACCTGCTGAACGACCCGCCGAAACCCAAGGCGAAATTCAGAAAACGCCAGATTGAAAAGACCTGGTTGCCTACACATTTGTGGCACGCAAAGCGGGCAAGAATGACGCCTCCAAAGGAGCCGTTGTGGCGATTTGCGATACCCATTACGCCCAACGAGAAGGTCTACAGAGTAACTCATCGAGCCTCAAGCGCAAAAGGGACTATGTTATGGGACATGAGCTATATGAGCACTATCGGCTTGTACGGCCATGCCGCGGGCGTCGAGAGGACTTTGAGATCCCTTGGCCTGTCCCACGACAGCTTGTGGGATGACCGAGGCAAGAAATGGAGAGAAGGCCGGCGCAAGTGGTCAGGCATGCTCAGCAAGCAAAACGGTGGTGATACTAGGAGGCAGATTGGTCCTGCTACGGTCGTATGGAACCCAGAAGCAGTCACCACTCAAAGTGTCCTTCCGGAGGCCGCAGAAGGCGATCACCAAAAGTCCTCCGGAAATTCCCAAAGGCAGCTCTATATACGGCTGCACCCATCGTGTTTCTTGGAGGTCTTTAATATCCTTGTCGCGCTCAACAAACGGGAGCACCCACGTCTCTATGTGGAAGACCTTCGCTTTGAGATTGGCAGTGTCGAGCTCACAGGTCCCGGTGCATGGGAGGCACTCTCGAGCGTGATAGCCTCATATTATAGCAAGGGCGATGCCAAGGAAGCTCATGCGAAGCAATTCGAGTCCATGGCCGGCGCTGACAATGCTGCCTCACACCCGAACGATATCGTATTAGGTTTCTGTGCGCAAGATCCTCGCCTACGATATCCTCCACGCACAGTACAGGCTCAGACCTCGCCTGAAGAGCGAAACGATAGTTGCTCCAAAGCACTGCAGGAGGCGTCAGATGACGCGAAGCCTGCACCGTTTCTCCTTTTCGACCGCGACGCCAGATTTAAAGCCTCATCCTTTCCTTCACAAAAGTCCCTTAGCAGACGAAAAGGCTTGAACTCCCCAGGACAGCCTTTGGGTGTGACAGATGCAGACCCACCGTTTCCCGTTGTTCTATTCGCCTCTCGCAGCGCTGTCACGAAGCACTCCTCGCACATTTCTTGGACGTTACTTGCTCCTTACAAATGCATCTTGCCAATATGGTACAGCCTGGTACATTATCCAATGTCGACGGGTGGAAACCCAAGAGTCGGCGGATTAGACGAGCTGCGGCAGGTAAGCTTTGAACAGGGTCTGCCTTGGTTCCCAGGGGACTTCCCTGGCACGAACGCAGGTGCCGACTGGGAGGTTGAACAACGGGTGAAGAGGAAGGCAGACTGGGCCAGGAGACCCAAATCGAAGAGAATCGCATGGGAATCAATTGATCTAGGGGCTGGTCGCAAGGGAGAAATAGGCATCGGTTGGGCTTGTGAGTTTGAGAGGTTGTTCGGAATGCAGGAACCTGCCCGGAAAGAAGACCTCTCACCTAAAAGCAAAGACCAGGATGTCGATGGGGCGGCCACAAATGAGGTCAAGGACAAGGACAAGATGGATGTCGATGGAAAGGAGACCGGACCAGCGCATGATAGTCAATTGGAAACCGGCGAGGGAGACACAGCTGTCAGGAAGAAAGCGCCGAAGACGCAATCACCTCATCCTCTGACACAGGTCCATCACCTTACGAGATCCACTCTCAACGCCCTGCTTTCTACCAAAAGCAACGACGCGCTGGCGCCGTATTCAATAATTACAGTCAAACTCACCATCCTCGGCCGTGGCGTCGCCGAGCCTTGCGCACGCGTCTATCGCCTTCCAGCCCGCAAGAACACACCACTCCCTGCTACCCAGCCAGAAGTTCCGGCGACCCAACCTCCTTCACAGACCAAAGAGCTTCCCGCCGACCTTCGCGACCAATGGCTGGCCCAGATCCCCGACTGTACGACCAAAAGACACTCACCCTCGGAGAAGAAGGGCAACCAACCCCGCCGCTTCCCACCCAATGCAGACTTCGAGACCCAGAAGCTCCTACTTGCGCAGACCTTATTGACGAGCAGGGACCCCTTTCCACCTGAGAAGCGCTCGGGCGGCAACGGCAATCACCCTCTTGTGCCTGGTGAGGAAGACCTCATTGGGTACGTGACAAAGGGGGAATTCAGCCTTGCGCAGGGACGAGGGGTGGCAGTTGGCAGTATCTCGGTTGAGAGAGCGTTAGAGGCGCTGCGAGCCGATGGCGAGAAGGAGGGAAGGATATGTGTGGTCAGGAATGCTGGCGAGGAGATTGGATGGGCGGCCAAATGGGAGGTAGTGTAGGGTAATAGGGTGGTGATGTACAAATGCTGGCCTCGTTATAAGACCTGCCGAATTACATGATGTCCAAAACCTTGGTTCACCTGAACATGGATGGCTGTGAGAGGGTTGAGAGATTGTACTTGTCAAAGATTTAGGCAGCCAGGTCCACGCCTTCTTCTCAACCACTTTTGCGGGGCCGAGAAAAGGCCACCAACTCTTCTACAAGAACCTCATTCCAGCGCGCTCCATGGGATGACTTTCTCAATCTGCATTTTTCAAAGATAGCGAGCCTTTTTATATTACATGCAGCGCCTCATGCACATGCTTGATCACTAAATCATGTCATTATTGAATCGCGGCATGGCGATTTATCACCCGCAACGAGCAGAAAGTCCTCCCGATGACCGTGACTTCTTTCCCTATCCCCGTGATGAAAACACGTTCGAAGACTTGGAGAGCTACAAATTGCATGGTCTACACCACACCATACTTGGGGAGATTCTTCCAAAGCCGTCCACGTGCGTCAGCCTGCCAGGCAAGCATCCACGATACCGAATCCACCTCAAGATTGGGCTCCGCGCCTTCTCGACTGTGTGGCTTGCACAAGACGTTGAAACTAGGTGAGCTGCGTGGATCCTCGGGATGCTAAAATCGACTTGAAAACCCGTATCAAATCTCCCCAAACATATCTCGGCGATCTTTGTGGTTGATCAATTTTGCTATTTATAGACATTTTGTTGCAATAAAAGTGGGAATGGGGAAGGACAATGCTATCCCGAGTACTGAAGTTTCGATCTTGCAGCATATTTGCCAGACCAAGGGACGTAGCTCGGAGCCCATAATTTAACTCCTTGATTTTTTTTCATCATCTGTGGTCCGAACGGATACCATGAATGCTTGGTGATGGAGGATGTTACACCTCTATTAGCAGTTAATTTAGAAGGAAAATGCTTTACCCACAAAACCTCAACGGGCAGATTGCCCTCGGATTCAACTATCTCTATAGTCAAGGAAACATACATGGAGGTAAAAATATACAGATGCCCTCTCGATATAACGATAGTAACCAATTTCCCATTTGTAAATCCGCATTATGAGAATATAGGTATCGCTACACCTCAGATCAATCAGTTTAACGGTTTCGATTTTATAAATCATATTACAAGGGGGTTAAAAATGTCGCCTGTCATACCTACTGATGCATTATGCCCTATAAAAACTGTGCCCGCCTATATAGTCGGAACAACTTCTATTGAGGATTTCCTTCGCGCTCAGAATGCATTTCCAGTCGACGGCCGATAAATTATTAAAATCCTTGACTTTGGTAGAGGTGAGTTCGGTACCCGACCAAGCACCAGTTTGAGAATTGGCGTCAGCATAAAGTATTCACTTATGATTACTAGCTTTATGGCTTAATGAACCTTGTCATCTCCTGGGTGCATGCCCTGCGCCGTTCTAGCTTCCTGGAGTCGCCATGCATACGTCTGAGATATTCAAGGGGAACATAGGCAGTATCTGGAGTCAGCTATTGGACATCTGGGCGATTGCATGTATTGTAAGTCCCTTTTCAGCATTGTAAAGAGGCTAAGTGTCTAAAAGTTTACTGAATTTTCTATGCCCAAGCTCTTCCGAGTAGAAACTGGCATGCAGCTCTTTAAGTCGAGGAGGGTCATCACAATGGACCAGATTGTCCGCAACACGGAGCTGAGTGGGCCGGTTCCAGTCGAGTGGCGCGAATATTTGCCTGAATCAGCTCCGTCAAAAGGTACCTAATCTGCCCATATATCTCTGTAGATATAGGAAAAGTACCGTGACAGACCAGACACTAAACGCGAACAACTGTACTTTAGTGCCTCCCACTAAGCTGGACCTTCAAAGGATTGAAGAGGCGTGGCACCTGCGTCTACCGACGAATGTGACCTTACGTCGCTTACTGATGCGCATGATACAGATCAAGCCAGAAGACCGTCCTTGCATGCAAAATATTCTCGAAGACGCTTATTTTGGCAACAGGGCGGTCAAGGTTGATGATGGTACTTTAAACGCAGGTGATGGGGAAGGCCACGGGGATTAGCTATAATTATTAGAACAACAGGAGCTGATATTTCGGAAAAATCAAGAATCTCATCCGTGGCCTAGGAGCCTGAGACATATCAATCAAGTTTGACCGGTCGTGGACCGAGACATTTGATCACAGCCAATCCTTCAATACCATCAGATCGCACCCATGCCCAGCGGCATGCGTCCAGCCGGAAGCCTTGCCAAACCTGATTGTTCGGCCCTACTTGAAGTACTTATCCACGGGGCTGGTAAGAATGCAACGAGCATGACAAATACAACCGGAGCCATCGATGGAGTTTCGCGATTCTTTTTTGTGGAATTTCATGTAGCCAGTTTTAGTATCATTTATTTTTCTTTATGTCTGCGGCTGTGCAACTTATGGAGTTGAATATGCCTATACTGTTTGGAAACGGGCTGCGAGTTGGATATCAAGTACGGCAATTGACTCAACATTCGGATCAGTTCTGTCCTCGGGCACATAGAAGTGCTAATAAGATAATTTGAGGAACCCAGTCTACGTAAATCCATAATTGAAGCACTTTCCTCAGGACTCTAGTAGCTGAGCTGTGTTCCCCAATTGGAATCGAGCGAACTTGTCTGATAAATGCCTCCCGCAGCTCACTCTAGTATGTTTCAAGGAAGAATCTCCAACCACCTTTATGACTTGAATTCCTTTATCACGAAAAGGCCCACAGTAGTAATAAAATGAATAACGAAGCCATTAGCTCGCGCTTTTGCCTGAGACTAGTCGCCGAGATTGCCTTCTCTGAAGGCCAGGGACTTTGATTTTTTCTCACGATCAAGAACTCGCTAGTTGTTCCAGAATGAGAATTTAACAATTGTGGACACAGCAGCTTTTGAGGCTCATGCTGATTAAGTGTATTCGGCCGATTCGGGCCTCACAGTCAACTCTTCGCCACTGTCGTCGCGGCGGTAAGACCAACCTGCGCACCCCGCTAGAGATCCAGACTCACTCACCAGTAAGCAAGAAACTCCCGCATTCGGAAGCTCATCCACTCAGCTAGAGATGGACGCGCCAGCGTCTAGCGAACTAGTGCGTCGCCTAACTGTTGGTCTTCGGCTCCGAGAAAGCTGACGTACGGAAATGAAGACGCTACGCAACAATAATCTCGCAACCACGTGCACGATTCAGATCAACCCCCCCGTTCTTGCATGTGCACTCCATGCAGCAGGCGGGCCGCGGTGGGGAAGAGGCTTTGAACCTGGTGGGAATGTGTATAATTAGACGGGTCAGCGTTCAGATTTGGCTAGAGAGCCAATTTCAAGATGAAAGCTTTGTTCAGCAAAACATGAGCAATTAGCAAAGGTATCTCATGCCGTGAAATGCACAAGATTGTTCTACCCATTGGGTCAAAATCGCTACCGCTCATATATGTGTACGCTGTGCTCGTGTGGCAGGGCTGACGGAGTCTCCACGATGTTGCAGAGGAGGAAGAGAGGTAGCATTCTGGCTATATGGCCCACTCATTTGCAACGCGTCCCACTGTAACTGCATCAAATGCGAGACGGACATATGGATTATCTTTTCGAAATTCTTAGAGGATAAAATGGATATATGGGCTGATGATAGAGTCTTCACGCGCAATAGATATATCTGCAGCGTTGCTTTTGGCCGGGTCAGCGTAACCAGAATCCACTATCTCTAAAATCTACGGTGTGGTTTGTTTCATGTCCTTGACAGAGCCCAGCGAAACATTGCAACACGAGTCATTGCTGGTATATTTGGGTATCGCTCTTGTTTTTGCGGAGGGAACAAAACATCACGGCATAGCCACGCAGCCACCATCATGGAAGAGCGATAGTGCTTGATCTATTTGAGAGCTATGAACTCGACAATTTCTCCAAACTCTATATGGACGCATGAGGGAGCGTAGAGTCCAATCATGCGTGTTCTCAGAAAGGGGGAAGAGCAGGGAGACTTCGTGTCGAGAGCACAAATCCCCAGATGTGCATATTATCCTGGGCGACGCGGTCAACAAAGCCATGCGCGACCTGCATCTGCAGGGCGAGCACTGAATAGAAAGAAGTTTCTCTCACCGTTCCCCGGTGTCACCGCTGCAGTAGCGCTGCATCTGCCAGCAGATCGTGCAGCACCGTACGAGCTAGCGCATGAGAAGTTGAGCAGCTGAAAGAGGATCCCCACGGCGCTCGGAAGGAGGAAAGGAAGCCAGGAAAGCCAGCAGTTGCCGAGCAAATGGGCGGTGGATCGCGAGATGCATGGCCATGTGGCGTGGCTAGGCGACGTCGCCTGCCACAGGCGTGCCGCTGGCAGCTGGCCGCAACACTGGGTGCTTGTGGAGACACAGATCAGCAGGAGCGGAGCCCATCCGCCCGGGCTTAAGCTTCACGGCTTCTTCCCGTGAAGAGATTGTCTGGTCGTCCTGTCCTGTCCTGTCTACCGCGGGTGCCTGTGGGTTTTGCAGGAGCTGGTGAGCTGGTGACACTCAGAGATCGACCGGGCGACGGAGGAAATTTTTGCAACGGTCCCGCCCCCAGTGGCATCGCACGGTTCCGACTCAAGTGCTGCCCCAGCGCTGAATGTTTCGAAAGTTGCGAAGCGAGGAGGTGAGGTTGGAGTTGTGATGCCGGACTCGCCCCTGAAGCGGGAAAAAGGACCAGGGTTTTGAGGGTCAAGGGGCTCCCTGTCGGAGCACGAACACCTACCCTTTGGGACTCCTTCCCCACAAACCCTTGGTGGACGTTCTAGAATCTCCACACAGGGGACCCTTAGGTGGGTCTGACATTCGACGGACAATTCGACGACTTTTTTTTTCCCTCGTGTAGCGAGGGGATCCCGGAAGTGTTGAGGGCCCTGGGGCCCTATAGCCAGCTGGGTGCGCTGGTCGCGCATCCAGAAAACACCATCCCGCGATCTTCGAGAATGCGGTGTGGTCGGTGGTGATGACATCGCCGCCCATCCTCGACGGTCAGCCCAGGCACGGCCAGGACCTGGGAGCTTGGGACAGCCTGTGGATCTATAGTCATCAGGGGCAAATTATATGAATCGACGCAGCGGGGGCCGATTGACGGTCCGGGGGTGGAACACGAACACCGCTCCATTGCGAGGCTGTTTTCACATAAATATCGTGCCAGGTTCAGCCTCGACGAGCGCTGAGGACGAGGACCCGACAGTCCAAACCTCAACCGACCCTCTTTCAAACATCTAGACTGTCTCATTTGCTTTTCGTATTGCGACTCGTGCTGCAGACTCCGACCCTTGCCGTTTCCACTCCTTAAGTTATCCATTTCCTATTCTGGACACAGGCGGTGAGGATTCGAGATCCACCGCGTTTTTTTGATCTTCGGAATGCCGTCCAAAGAAGGGTCCCATCACAAGTTCTTTTCACTACGTGGCAAAAAGAAAGACAAGCGTGTTAAGAAGGGCCTGTCCGAAGCACTAGGAGCATCCCTGGGAGCCATCGGCCTCAAACCCGAAGACGAAGGTGAGCTGAGCCCGAGACTGAGCATGAGACTGAGCCCTCGAACCATCCAGGCCCGCCCCAGTTGACACGTTGCCCATCCCCATTAATAAAGTAAACGCGTCACCTTGCAGTTGCATGAACTGACAACATCTGTCTTCTCATCAGAAGCCAGCAGCGTCTCCAGCAAATCCTCCGCCCACGGCACCCTTCAACACCAGGCATCGCGCGATTCCCTCCAGTCACTTGATATGTCCCTATTCAACCACCTCAAGAGATCCTCCAAGCACGACAAGTCAGGCAGCTCCTCCCGCTCCAACTCCGTCGAGCCCTCCAGAGAGATCCCCCGCATTGTCACCACCACCCACGCTCCCTCCATCGTCAACAGGGACCTCCTAAAGCCCAGCATGTCCCGCCCTCAAGCTCAAGACCGCGCGGTCTCTACCACATCTGCCTTCTCTGCCGCCTCAGAATCCACCATTGCTCCTGAGGAGAACACCCGGAATAGGACCAGCATCCTCGACCGGGCAAAGTCTGCCATCATGAGCCGATCCGTGTCTCCCAGCCCCTCCACCTCGCCCGACAGCGCCAGCAGGAAACAGCTGGCCCCGGCCCCGAGAGGCAACCACATCGTGACTGATGCGGTTACAACCTTCCGGATGAAGCTGCAGGCCGAGGTCAAGGGCACCAACGAGCAAATACTGTCGGCGGGCGTGTCGAGCGAGAACCTCTTCCAGTTCATCGCCAACGAGCGTCTCAGAAGGATGCCCGCTAGGGGCAGCCGATGGGACAAGATCCTCAAGTGGGCTGAGGACTTTGCCAAGAAGCTGTCTCTCTTCGAGGTGGCCGACGAGAACTTCATTCCTTCCTCCAAGGAGGCCGTTGAGCTGATTTTGGCCTCTATCCAGCTCCTCCTCTTGGTGGGTCCCGATATTTTTTTTGTGGTCACTTTCCCCTCATTTGCTCTCCGGATTATGGCCCGCAAATGTTCTGCAGGCCGACCTGCAAGATGCAAGAGCCTCTCGGCTAACATGATCGACAGCTCGGCCCGCAAAACGGCGAGGCTCTGGAGAGGGCCTTTGGCATCTACCACGAGTATGGCCTCATCTTCGACTTTTATAAACGTAATATCAGCCTTCTCGTCTCCATCTCAGAGGCCAGAAGGTACCTCAGTCTGTCGCTGGCCGACATGCTTGGGCTTTCGGTTGAGATGACGATTCTTTACCGCAAGAGTGCCCGCTCCATGTCCACCAGCAGCAGCGTCACCATCAACTTCAACCTGACCTTTGGTCACCGCATGGAGTCCTTCATCAGCCACAAGGACCGTATTGCTGAGCTGATGTGGACATGGCAGCTCGAGAACTCGTCTGAGATCAGTGGTAAGTGCAATGACGCACTTTTTTGTTTGTTGTTGCTTGTTTCCTTTCGCATTGTTTCGTGTGGTGTGGTGTTGTTTGGTGTGAGGTGCAGTGAGGTCGAGTCGGAGATGTAAACGCATGTCGTTGCTGAGTCAGCCTGGTCGAGAGCCTCCTCCCGTCTCACCATGCATCACCCCTGTTTCTGCAACCCCCCCCATCCCGATCGACATTCTGGGTTGAACCTTTCATCAACCCTCCGCCTGGCACCCTGTCACTAACACAAATTCTCCGCCATAGACATTCAGGTGTCGATCGAGAGCATCCGGCAATGGCTGCTTCCCCAAGATCGCCAGCTTCAGGCCCAGGTGGCCGGCCGCCGTTCTGTTCGCACTCCCCGTGCCGAGTTCACTTGCGAGTGGCTCGACCGGCCACTGGTTGAGTTCGCCCGCAGCAGAGACAGGGTCTTCACCATCACAGCCGAGGCTGGTGCTGGCAAGAGCTTCCTCTTTGGCTGGATTTTGGAGCGCCTCCAAAGGCGTGTTGGCCACCACGAGTACCAGGCTATCTCGGCCTCTGTCGACAGCCAGGTCCCTGCTCAGGCCACACAGATTGCTCTCGTCAAGACCCTGCTGCTTCAGCTCCTTGAGCAAAACGTCGGCAACGTCGCCCTGTTCCGCTGCCTCGCCAATGTGACGGAGCTCGGTGCAAACACCAGCAGCACCCAGGATGCTGAGGATGCTCTTTGGTACACTCTTGACACTGCCCTTCAAGGCCTCGAGAACGTTGTCCTCGTCATTGATGGCCTGGACTCTCTCGAGGGTGACGAGGAGGAGAAGATCGAGGCCTTCGAGCATCTCCACGAAATCGCCACCAAGAACAAGAACAACGTGCGCGTTATTATTCTGAGCCGTCCCCTGTCCAAGCCTTGGCCCAAGCCAACGCGCCAGATTACCATGACTGCTCAGCGCACCACTGTTGATGTCAAGCACATGGCTCGTGCTTGGCTCATCAGCCGAAACATCGGCAATAAGCAGGAGATTGAGGACATCTCTGAGCAAATTGCCGTCCGCAGCAAGGGCTCTCTCACCTGGGCCGATATGTCTCTTCAACTTCTGTCCAAGGCCAAAACTACTGCCGAGGTCACCACTACTCTTAAGGAGCTACCAAGCACCACTAATGAGATTTTGGCTCGCCATGTGAGCAACATCTCCCTCAAGGGCGATGCTCGCTTGATTATCGCCTGGCTCCTTGCTTCCAAGCGTCCTCTTACCACGGTGGAGATCCAGGCTCTGCTCGAGCTGGACACCCAGAGGGGCGTCCACCAACCTCGGTCCACCAACATTGTTGAGGACATCAAGAAGGCCTGTGGGTCTCTTGTCATCGTCCAGGACAAGACTGTTCGCTTCCGCAACGAGGCTGTCCGCCTGCAACTCCTTGAGCTCAGCAAGAAGGAGAGCAAGGATGGCGAGACTGCTCTGCTCTCTCCTGCCGAGGCAAACAAGGACCTGACTGCTCGTCTGCTCCTCTACGTCAAGACTTGTGTCAACCGTAATGTTGACAGCAGCCTGGACACAATCAACTCTCGGGAGGTTGACAGCCTCTTCAAGAGCCACGCTCTCCTTGAGTATGCCACTCGCAACTGGTTGGACCACTTCAAGCGATCCAGCTACTTCGCAGAGGGCCAGATTCAAACCCCACTAGTCACCGGCGAGCTCAAGGGTATTTTCCCCAACTCTACCCTCCTTGCACGCCTGGAAAAGAGATGCTGGGACAACCAGGTCCTCGCAAGCAGCGCCAACTCCCAGCATGTTCTCGCACTCACTCTGCGCAAGCAGACTCTGGGCGACTCCGCTCAGAGTGTGCTCCAGAGCTGCATTAACGTCGCACAGTCCTACAAGAAGCTGTCCGCGCCTGCCGAGGCCAGCAAGTACTACTACCAGGCTGCCAAGATCGGCCAGACTGTCTTTGGCCGTACCAGCGACCTGGCTCTCGCGTGTGCCACCGAGTCTCTGGATATCTCTGCCAAGAACAAGCAGAAGGCTACTGCCCGCAACGAGGCTGTCACGCAGCGTGAGGAGCTGCTCAAGTATGTCATTGAGACTGAGAAGACGCGTTCTGGTAACAACAGTGCTGTCGCTTCCAAGTACAACAATGAGCTCGCTGAGCTGTATACCAGCATCAAGGAGACTGACAAGGCCGAGGCTGTGTACCGTGACGTTTACAAGACGTCTATTGCCCAGAATGGCCAGTTCTCTGCTGAGGCTACGGTTGCCGCCGAGAAGCTGCAGACTGTTCTCTACAAGAGTGCTAAGCATGAAGAGGTTGTCCAGTACACTCAGCCTATCTTTGAGTCTGCGGAGCGCAATCTGGATATCTTTGATATTCGTCGTGTTGAGATCACTCTGCGCATGGCCGATACCTATGAGCAGAAGAAAGACTATACTCACGCTGAAGAGCTCTACATTTCTCTCTGGCGCGGTCTAACGGAGTACTGCCGTAGCACGTCTCTCGCTACTGCGAAAGCTACAGCGGCATCGATCTCCGAGGCCCATGAGCGTAAGATCCAGATCAGCATTGCATATGCACGCTTCCTGCGCCGCCAGGGTCGTGAAGCTGAGGCCCAGAACATCCTTCACGGTGTCTGGCTCGACTACCAAACCATGACGGAGCACAAATCCGAGGCTGTTGTCAAGCAGCTGAACGATGTTGGTGAGGAGCTCAAGTCTATGGGCATCCTGGACACTGCCATTGCTGTCTTCAAGTCTGTTTGGGGCTACTTCAAGGGCTCTGGCCAGCAGAACTCTGCTGCGGCTGTCAGCACTGCTGTCTCTCTCATGGGTGCCGTCCAGGAGAAGTCCGAGAAGAAGGAAGCCGAGGCCGAAAAGGCCAAGGCTGTCGTCGCAGCTAAGGGCGGAGTCCAGATCGATGCTGTGCTTGACACTGAAGCCGACTTCGAGGAGAGCGATGCTGAAGATGATGAGGCAGACGCTATCCTTGACGAGGTCATCAAGACTGCCGTTGCGGCCCCTGCGGCTGCCGCAGACGCCAAGTCTACGACCAAGACCAGGGAGGTCGCTGTTGTCACGATCGAGAGCCAGATCCAGACCTGCGAGACTCTCTCCAACTTCTATGTCAGCAAGAAGAAGTGGACCGAGTGCATTGAAGTCTGCTCTCAGCTGCTCAAGCAGATCTGGCCTGAGCTGGGCACTTCCGCCAAGTACAGTTTCCCTAAGGCGCATCGGGCTGAAGCCATCAAGTTCACTCGCCGTCTGGCCCTGGCCTACGCCGAGTCGAACCAGACCGAGTCGGCCGAGAAGATGTACAATGCTATCTTCCAGTGCTCTCTTCGTTCCGGCCTCAAGATCCAGGACGAGTTCGTTACCGAGTCCGCCAACCAGCTGATCGAGTACCACAAGCAGACTCAGCAATGGTCCAAGGTCCTCGCTGTCTACCAGCAGCTTCTTGAGGGCTACAAGACTTCACTGGGCTCGCGAAACCCTCTCACGATCAAGACACTCTACATCATGGGTGATCTTTGCATCCAGTACCGCCTGAAGGGTGCTGACCGCTACTACCTTGAGCTGGTCAAGGCCGATAAGAACCCTCAGGGTGTCATCAGCAAAGACACCTTGCCAGCTGCCGTTGCCCTTTCAAAGATTTACTACGAGCAGAAGCGTTGGGCCGAGATCCGCCCTATTTACGCCTCTCTGTGGGTTACCTTCACCAACAAGGCCAAGGAGTACAACCTGTCGACAGAGCTCGTGCAGACCATCTACAAGAGATACACTACCGTTCTCGACACCCACCTGAAGGTCAGCGTTGACGAGGTCCGTAAGATCGCCGTGGAGTACCGCGAGACCTGCATCAAGGTCTACGGTCCACAGGCCGACATTACCCAGTCGGCCTCGCTGGCTTTGGTTGCCATCTCTCGCAAGAGCACCAACGCGGAGCACCAGCAGGAGGCTGTCAAGATCTGTGAGGAGGTCGTTGCCGAATCAGAGAAGCAGAAGGCTGCTGAGGGCGGCAAGGAGGGTAAGGCGGTCGACGCCAAGAAGTCGGCCTTCCAGCTCTCTCTCCTTGCGTCTGCCAAGCGCCACCTTGCTGGCCTGTACAGCATTCAGACCCAGGCCAGCGGCTCGGTTGCTGTGGGTGCCGCGGGTGCCGCCGCTGGTGGCAGCCAGCCCAGAGCCGTCGTGAGCCCCGAGTCTGCTCAAAAGGCTGAGGCTCTGTGGAAGGAGCAGCTTGAGATCAACAAGAAGGAGCATGGTTGTGCTCACAAGGCCACACTCGCCAGTCTGGCTTCCCTTGTTGGAGTGTGGGCACGATCTGACAAGCCTGAGGTCCGCAAGCAGGCCCAGGAGAAGCTTGACACGTCCGTTGTCGAAGTCCTTTCCGAGTCTTGTGTTGCTGGTAAGTCGAGCGTCGACTCTACTAAGCTACACGAGTCTGGTATCTCCCTTGCCAAGACTTACCTGTCCTGTGGCTTCTCCGTCCAGGCTTGGGCTTTGCTGAAGCAGCTGCGCTTCCACGTTGTTGCCCGCGGCAAGATTGCTGGTTCTGCCTCTATTGAGAAGAACTCTAACCTTCAGCTCAGCGACAACATTGACCGTCGCTCCATGGTCTTCATTGCTGCGTTTGAGGAGTCTCTTCGAAGCTCTGAGGCCGCAACTGCCACGGTCAGTGCGGATAAGAAGGTCGTCAAGGTCACTTTCTCCGACATCATGACCGATCTGCTGACTGAGGGCATTCTGTACGACCGTTACAGCCTCAGCATCTCAAGCAAGGAACTGTCAGTTGAGCAGAAGCTGTTCGATGGTGCTCGCCTATACGTCTTCCTGAAGGCCAACAAGGCGCAGCATGCGGAGCAGCTCGTCAGTGTCGAGGAGTCGCTTTTCAAGCTCTTCACAGAGAAGTTTGGCGCTTCCCTCAAGACAGAGTCGCTCGTCACCCGTGCTTTCCTCATTTCCATTGTTGAGGAGCTTGGTCAACTACGTCTTCACGAGGACGACCTCGTCTACATTGCCTGCACTTCAGTCACTGCTAAGGTGCACGCGCTTCTCCTGGCCGACAGCTATGCTCAGGCCGTGGACCTGGCCACTGCCTGGTACCAATTCATTTCCAGCCAGAACGGCTTCAAGAATGCCAAGACGATCCCCTTCGCCTTCAAGCTTTCGCTGTACCTGGCCGGCCTGGGCATCAAGTCTAACAAGGCCGCTGATGCCATCATGCAGAACCGCATGCTGGAGCTGTCCAAGACCATCCTCCGCGAGACTCTTACTGCTTGCAGGAGCATGAACATTGACCTGATCCAGCTCCAGGCCTCCGAGCTTAACAGCCTGGTCCGCCTCATGGGCCAGCAGAAGAACTACGAGGATCTCGAGTGGCTGCTCACCCAGCTCTGGAACTCCCGTATCATCCAGTCCTCCTGGTCAGCAACCACCGTCATTGCCGTCGGTCGCCGTCTGGTAGAGGTCCTCTTCGTCCGAGGCAAGCGCGACCATGCCATCACTCTCGCCGAGTCCATGGCTTACAACTTGCGCCGCACCTGGGGTCTACTGGATGCCGCTACGGTGGACATGAACAACCTGCTCTCGTCGCTGTGTGTCTCTGACAGGCGGTACGCCGAGGCCCTCGATGTGCACGAGGAGATCCTCCGGGCTCTGCTCGACCTCAACATGTCCGGCGAGGACGACGTCGATGACGCCGCCTCCGAGCTCATGGACTTTGATGAGGAGAACACCTCAGCCCTCGCACTGCAGCAGCTCGAGCTTGTCCGTCGCGTGTACGCCCGCAACGCCGGCTGGCCCGAGTCGGACGAGCTGGATATGGCCCAGCTCACCACCGACGTTGTCGCCGAGTTCGGCCACCTGGCTCCCGACGCGTACGCGTCCTTCGGCGACGGTGACTCGTCCAAGTGGAGCAAGAACGCGCCGTCGCCCACCGACAGCGTCGGAACCTTCGTCGCGCCCGCCGTGTGGGAGTTTTCCCTCTCCGAGGACGGAAAGCCCGGCCAGCCCGCCGCGCTGCGCAAGAGCCCTAGCCACATGCTCCGGAGCCTGCAGCTGTCGCGCCAAAGGAGCTACGGCGACCTTTCCGAAGCCCGCAAGAGGCTTGGTGACGGCCAGAAAAGCGGCCCAGCCACTGGGAATGCGTTGCTTGCTGCGCCTGTTCACTGAGTGGGTGCTTGAGCCTTGTGAATGCATCGGGCGGGAAGGTGGGCCGAGAAGGCCGATGTTCACGTATATCGTAACGGCCTGTGACGATGGAGAACGAGCGAAAATGGAAGGGGCGAAGGAAGCACTGGAGCTGTTCCTTGCTGGGCACGAATATCGCGAGGATGAGGATATATTTGTAAGGATGATGTCGTTTGGCGTGCTATTGGTGGCGCTGGTATTGTTTTGGGTCAGGCTGGATGTGTACTACTAGTTGTGTATCATACCTGTATCATCATCGTCGTGGTAATCTCTGTAATAACATCCTTTTGAAAGTTCAAATCATCGCTCCACTGCAGTCATACTTATGATTTAGCCATTGTAGTCACTCTGAAGGCAGTACAAAAGACTGCCTATTTTGGGACTTTACAGTTGGCTGTCGAAAAGTAGGTTTCCTCTGATATCATCTCGAGACTCTCCTTCTGCAAACTTAAGCAGTAGTAATTCACAACAATAGAAGCTCAAAATGTCCGCCCATGGAGAAGACCAGCCAAGGGCACAATTTGTGCCGTGTCAGTGTCCAGACGAATACGTAAGTGAATAAGCTCCCAGCTCGACTGTTTGTCAACGCTACATTAAGTATTGCGTCTTCAACATCTTGCAATGAAAGTCTGCGCATAGTTTGTGGACTTTTGAAGACGGTATACCTCTGGTCCTTCAAGCATTCCATTTCCCTAGCCTCAGGGTGGGCATTTCCATAGCCTTGGTTCCTTTCACCGCATCACGTACAACTGATGGCTTGCCCTCTATCCCTCGCATCCCCATAAGCAGTTTGCAACAATGAGGGTTCAGACATCCGGCCAGCAGCTAACTTATTCTGCTATGTAGCATGTGCGCCAGCCGTGTGTCAACCCAGCACTCCTATGTGACTGGTGCAAGGACAATGGGTGCCAGTCCGGCGGGAAAGGCCTCGCGAGGAGGGGTTCGGCGGCGAGGCGAAAGGATAAGAGGCACAAATCTCAAGGTGGAAGTCGAAATGATGGATATGGAGCTTTTGGCGGTCCGTATTTCGGACCAAGTGGTTGGCCTTTTGCTTTCTCTTAGGTGGAAAGGGAGCGTAAGTAGATAGAGGTGGTGATAACAGAATCTGAAGAATTAAGAACATGTATTTGCCCAAACATTCCTCTTGCCTATTCTTGACTGATTATTACAAGAAGCCTCTTAGGTCTATGCCAAAGTTGCAATATGGGCGAGCCCGCTGCTTTCTACAGAGCTGGTGAGCAGGTACGATCTTCTGGGTAGCATCTCTATGAGCTGATTAGGCACGAAGTATGCACTTTCTGTTAAGCAAAAAATTCGCCGTCAAGCCATCATCCACCATTAATGAAGGTGAAAGTCATGAAATTTTTGATAACACTTCATAATGGAGGATTTGGTAACCGGTGAGGACTTACCGCTAGCCAAGTTTAGTTTATTCTCCTACATGCTGGCGATGTCAACTTCGGCCAGCCCTTCATGAAATGCATACAACTGAACTCTCGGTGAACCAGCTACACATGCCTTCCATTACACTGTTTCCATCCCAATACTGAGACCTGATCGTCTTTGATCAGCCTCAGAGCTGACATTGTAGCAAATTCTGTGGCAACACTGACCGCATCCTAGACTTGCTATAGCGACTGCTGACCTAAGTAGTTGTGTGAATCACCCTAGAACTTCGTTCAAATTGCAAACCCACGAATCCTAGCCTTTTTGAAGCTTTTTCGAAGCATCCCACCCATTCTGACAGGCAAAATAATGAAGCAGACTACCTTTCACCATAGTGATCAGCGTTTGACTGGCGTTAGCGACGATGAGAGTGACAAGAATACAAATTGGGGGTCATGCTTGCTCAGTGTTAAGACGTTGCGCTTTGCATTCGAAGAATCCATCATTTCATGAACGAACGGCGGTCATGAGTAGACGCGAAAGCCGAGAGATCTTGTCTTCACAGATGCAAAAGTGATACAATTGTATTTGACCTACACCTAATACGGAAGGAATAAGGAAGGGTAGTCTATGAGAAAGATGCTGTCATTATTTTGAGGTAGAACAAGGCAGAGCATGGGAATATTCATGTAAATTCATCGCAATGTGTTGTTTCCGTTGTGAACGGCGTGTCAAGGCTGGCTGGCCTTGCAATGTGATTGAAGCGGTGCTGCTGGGGGTCAACAACGGCGACCACATGCTAAAGTTGAAGTCTGTCCCGCCAGGCCGTCGAATGCGTCGACATGCTCACTGCGGGGCTATATCTCGTCATCTCGTTGTCAGCCTTGCCAGCCTTTTGGCCCTCGCTGTGCCAGGCGCACCACTGTCAATGCCCGGGTCTCTTATATATAAGCCTGCCCGCACATCAACATTTGCCGATGCCCCCCCCCCCCGGGGGGCTAGGAATCTACACGTCGGTAGTGTAGTTTAGTGGTCCACACAGGCAAATTGAATCTGAGAAATCGGGAGGCTTCTCAGTTCAAGCCCAGGCTGTGCGCCACTTTACACCCTGCCCTTGATGACGAATCTTGCCGCAGCTTATCGGCGTTGTAGAAGAGGTCGCCTGCTAGCCTCTATAAAGGAATTAGGAGAGTCATATACCCTCTTCCGATCGAAGTTCGATTCGGAGGAGGGTATATGTCTGCCGTTATTTTCTAAATCACTCCCTTTTTGGTTGAATGGCTAGGTTGGTATGGAATTGTAGTAGACCTTGTCTCTATTCACTGACTTCAGGGAGCAAGTGAGTCCTGTGACTTGCAGAGAAAAATGAATTGAGGTAGAAATTGGTGATGTGACTGCTTATGTGTGCTGGCAAGCTCGTAAGACTTGTTGAACAGTCACTTCAAGAATGCCCGTACCTGCTTTTCAAAAACTATATAAACTTATTCCAGAGCCCTAGCAAAACCTCTTCGTCCAACAGGACAACGAGCGCTCAGAAGTTTGACCTCCAGATCGATCTCAACGTCGTCAGCGTGAGCCACATAAAACGAAACGGCGCCAGACAGGACCTCTATCCCCTCTATTTCCTTTCACATTTCTCAGCAGTACTTGAAAGGGTTGCCCACAATGTCTGACAGGAAGAAGAAACACGAGAAGAAAGACAAGAAGAGGCAGCATTCTTCGTCCTCCAGTCCCGCTTCCCACGCGTCATCTCACAGACATGATGACCACTCAGCTGGACATCGCCATCATTCGAAGAAAAAAGTCAGCAGCTCCTCTCAAAATCCCAGCCAAACCGCTGAGAAGTACGTTCAGTCCTCGTCTGGGAAGGCTACCAAGCATTCTGGAGAACACAGCCACTCGTCGACCAGTAAAGGTCGCAGCTCTTCTGGGCAACCTGCCCAGTCCTCATCTGTCACAGTCAGGCACTTCCCTCAGAATCCCAGCCACCACTCCGGAACACATGGGTATTCCTCGTCTGTCCCAAGCAGCCACTTGGCTGGAGATTTCAACCAGTCCGCATCTGGCCATCCTTCATCTGGCCAAAATAAGCAGTCTTCGACTGACAAGGATGTGCCCAAGCATTTCACCGGCAATATGATGGAGAATCTAGCAGAGCTCCATAATACGAGCTTCGGGGCCATGCACACCATTCCTGGCAATTGGAACGAAAACAACGATGATCCCTTATCAAATATAAACCTTGCGACTCCATCTCCGTGTTACTCAAAATCCAGTGGGAGAAGCTCGTCGTCTGCCAGTTCAATCTCGGAGACTAGACTGCCCCAAAGCATCATGAATCCATCGGTGCGCGAAAATATTGGCTCTGAGACTATGACCAACGTGCCAAGCAATTGGTACGGAAACTTCGATGATCCACTGGCAAATGTCAATCTTGCGACTCCATCCCCGGGTTGGTCAAGATCCGGAAGCTCGCCAGGAGCCAAATCAAGCTCAGAGGTAGAACAGTCCCAAAGCGTCACACACTCATTCACTGCTCAAGCCTCACGAGTTTCTCAAAGCAATGAGTACGCTGCTGAAATTTCAAGACCTCATCGTACTGAGATGCTTTCAGCGTCCTCACAACTTTCTCAAATGGCGACTCGTGTGTCAGTTTCACCACAGCACGAAGCAAGCAGCGGTATGCAAGACGCTATACAGCCCCATGGCCAATCTTACCTAGGAACCATGCCACTCAAGCCCCTGCCTAGTACGAGCAGCTTCAACAGAGGATCTGATTCAGCAAGCTACGGCGAGAGCAGTACACAAGGCACTATGGTGTACCAGGGTGGATATAACCCAACCCAGAGCGGCTACAAAAGACACTATCCAGGTATCAATCAAGGATCTGCGGAGCGAACAGATCCCGCAGTAGTACCCCAAGAAAAACGAGGCAAACGCACTGATTTATGGACGCAGGAAGAGTGGGACAGCCTCAAACTTTATGTCGCTAGCCATATAAATTGGGATTCAGACCTCCGTCATTTTCTTGGAAGGACCCTCAGGCAGTGTCAGGAAAAATGGCTAAGAAACGGGCACCATTGGACGGAGGAGGAAAATGACTTCCTGCGCGGCCTTCAAGTTCATTCGAACACAGATTGGGCTGCCATCGCTCGGCAAATGACTACGGTGGAGCGGAGTGCTGATGAAGTTAAGGCTCGTCGCACGTTGATAGAAAAGTATTGGAATTTTACATCCCTCCCTTTGGGAATGCGAGATCCAAAGTATCAAGCAGCTGATTTCAGTTGAGTTGACGTTGATCCATCTACTCAGTTTAGTTGAATTGATTTAGTGTAGTTAGTTGACACACTTAATGGCACTTTAACGACTTGGTACTTCACGATTCTATTAATTCTTTGATTAACTAGCCAAATTGTAGTCATTCTGAGGGCCCAAAAGACACTTGGTGTCAGCGGCCTATAGGCCCCTCGAACTCAGTATTTGGTCAGTTGCAGTGATGAAGGGTGCTCGGCTTCCGTTCTCATTCTTTATTCAGCAGAGGCTGAGTCCGAAACTTCGTCGCCCTCACTTTGTTTTGTACTACAAGTTGATGTGGCAGGACAGCTTGCAATGTGTCTATTCCTCCTTTCACTCAAACTGCATCCACACTCTGCCGTCACAGACACCCGATCTCACACATTGGAACGTGTTTTGCCTTTTTCATTCACATGCCTGCTCTCTCAATCCTCGAGCGTCACCAGATCCCATAGATCATAGTCTCCACGTAAGGCTCTGGGATCAGCTGCACATTCCTCCGGTGATGCGGTGAGAGGGTAGGGGATGCGTAGTCGTGACGACCTCCTTACCATGTTCCATGCATAAGCGCAGTGAACGATACTATGCTATCCCCAGCATATGCCCCAGCTCTCTTCAGATCCCTTGTGTAGGCCCCTCTTGGAATTGAAGGAGACCTTGAGGTAGACTCTTCTGGCACGAAAAATAGATCGGATGTAGGCCACCTCTGCCTGAGAAATAGATTGTCGTACAACATTCAGATCGCGTCAAAGTGGCAGCCGCGCTCCGCCACGTCAACTGATATGTTGCGTCATGAGAGAATATCAGGCTGGGAAGATGTCAGTCAGCGATATGACACGCGAGGATATGGTGAGGAAGATTAGGCAGGCCATGATGGAGGCCCTTGATAAAAGGGGGATTGTATCAAGGAGTTTCCTTGTGGAGCATAATTACGGTGAAATAGTGGGCTGACTGTGGCAAGAAAGTCAACAGGTCGCGAGTGGTTCTGCTATCTTTTGTATCGGCAGTGATCTTCCGTTCCAACAATCTTGTCACCACAGCGTCTCCACATCTACCAAGTAAGCCTAGGACATGCATCTCTTATCTAGTAACGTACGAGTATCGTCCTCATGGTACCGTGCCATGGTGGTTGTAAACAATGAGTACTACAACATTCAATTTTATTCAACGCGGTATGATGTTGCACTCTTCAGATATAATGGTTAGGAAATAATGTCTGTGCTGAAGACAATGTGTTGCACCGTGGAGCCGCCCTTGATCCCATTACTTCTCGATCATAGAGAGTCTGGTAGTGCAGAGCTATGCTGCTCCGGGTATGACATGCCTTTCTAACACGTGATAAGCAATTGGTATCTGGTAGGAGAGTACTACTGCTTGCTTACCATCCAATACGTATAGGAATTGCCTCAGCTTGGTGATACAAGGGTTGTATATACACAGAGGCGGAATAGATTGATACTCGCGCAAGAGGACTGACAGACCAAATTGGCAAAGGAATTGCTAATTGTATTCTGGCACTGTATGTGTGGTCTATGGCAAGCTCTCATTCACAACCTTGCCTGGCCAGTATGCTCTTCTAGTATTGTCTCCATCTTCTCCTTCCACACCTCTGCCCACGCGGGGTCAATGGCACATGAGTCGTAGCTGACACTTGCGTCAATAGAATCATCATTGCCCCAAATGCCAACCAGGAACTCGCCATCCCGCGGTCTCACATTTTGTGCCGTAGTCCTGATATCGGCAATAAGTCCATCCTCCTCGCCTTCTAAAGACTTGCTCAAGTCGATTTGCCCGGGCGACATCCCAGGGTCTGATCTGCCCACAGAACTAACGCCACAAGTTGCCAGGGTCGGATTGACCTGCTTGGGCAGGACCTTCTGGTACGGGAACTCCCTGCGCAGGTGGTCCGGGAGTTTGATGTTTGCGCGCTCGATCACGTCGAGATAGTTCATGGCCACAACCCTCCCGGCGCCTCTAGGACCCATATATTCCAGCAAGCTCACAGCAGTGCTATTCCGAGGTCGTTTCTGATACCTCGACAGCTGCCTCTGCGCAGATCGCACTAAGAGTCTGATCCGTCCGTCAAGGTCAAGGTCAGAGGAGAGAAACGGCAGAACGACGCCGTCTGAGAATGCAAGCATCAGGCTGTCGGGCTTTGCGGTATGATTGAAGAGTGGGCGCGGGTTGATGGGGAAGGATCCAACAAAAGCACGGCGCTCGGCCAGAGGGACGTCGGGGAAGCGTTTCTCATAAATTTCCATCATGACTATCCCAGCGAGGACAAAGCTACCAGCGCCGATGCTACAGCCGACCTGTCGACAGACACTGTGCAGTCTACGGGTTCCCTCTCTGCCGATGTGGGCAGTCACCCTTGCGGCATTCAACGGAGGCACCTTGCTGTAGTCCAATATCCTGTCGAAAAGCTTCGATTCTGGCCCAGCAGCCTTGATTGGAGCATCCGGGTAACGGAGCGGGTTGGGAAACGCTGGTGGTAACGGCTTCTGCACGTGGCGAAGTACGAGGGTGATGGCCCAAAACCACCGTTGTCGTGCGCGAGAGCCAGCAATCGGTGGGTAGAGGTCCTCTTGCGAGGGTGGAAGCCTCTCATGCAAAGTCGAGATGAGGGAGGGAACTGCGGACTCAAGCTCATTGGCCTTTTTGTTGAGAAGCTGCTTGAAGTCTCCGGTCCAGTTGCCATTGGTGAGACCATCAGAAATCTGATGAGCAATAACAAAAAGGAAGCGTAGTGCATAAGTGGTGGAGCCTATCCTTTCTAGGGGCAGTACCATAACCTTGACCATTGACTGACGGGCGTCGAAAGTCCTGGCCACGTTCTGGGCATGGAGATACAGCAGATCGGCATCCACTGACGAGTAGTGATCTTCAAGAAAGACGACAGGGCCTTCTGCCGATCTGACCGCATGCTGTTGGTCCTTCGGTCTTGCTATGACGAAGAATCGGTCACTTCTTTGCACAGCGTTTTTGCCCATGAAATCTGCGGGTCCTGATGCAGTGGCGCCTAACAGAGTGTGCCTTAGGCGCAGGTTGGTCCATGCTAGGAGAATATGCCGCCTTAGCTGCGCTTTTGACTTTGTTGTCTTGATCTCGAAGGACATGGCCAAGTTGATATCGGCTCTTCCCTCGTGGTAGATACCGTCATTGTCGAAGCCTTTCTCTACCACGCCGAGTGGGCGATAAAAGACGACGCCATTGTTGTGTTGAGCCTGTTCCCACTTGTGATAGCCCGTGGCATATCGTTGCAGCCAGCCCATCGCTTCTTGATGTTGGCCATCGTTACTTCCAAGTAACTTGCGTGACATCCTCGGAACATTCAGGGTCGCGTCACCAGCGCACGACATCGACTTCACAAGAGAGCTGCTTGCCGCCACATGAGCGAGATCGATGACTAACTAGTATGCCGACCCGAAAATCTGGTTGTTCCCCACCTACTGGGATCTTCAAGCGGGACCGACCGGATTCAGGAACCCTTGCAGGAAGGGTGTATTAGTTCCAACACCATCCCGAGGTTTTTGCACATCAAGACAAAGAGATTCTTCGCTTCCCATCTCTGTGTTTCCTTCGAAGCGAATGAAAATTGATCTCAAATTCATCATTGTGGACAAGACGTGAGTAGCTTTGCATTTTGTACAGCCATCTCGTAACACGCATAAATATTCGGACTAGTTACTCACACAGCACACGCCTGGTATTATGTGGGGCTTTTCTGTTTGCCTCAGAACAACTACTATGCCGCGTGCTACTCAGAGACATGGAGCAAACCCTCCATTTCAAGAGGGCGCGATTAATTGCATTGCAGGGGGGTGTTCAACTCGCTATCCCACGGGGGATAGATAGTCCACAATGCAAACGCACGAATGTGGATCTTGCATCTTACTTATTCACTCGGTCTGGACCAACATGCCGAATCCTTCGGGCTTACATTAATTTCCCCCACACCTTCAAAATTGTATTGCCTGTTTCTAGCGCTCGTTAAAGACCTCGGGCTTTTTCATAACGAGACTGTCCACGCCCATTCTTTGGATAGCAGACACTAGGATGGCCAACAACTCAGATGTTGTCGACCATATTGTCGCCACTTTGGATGGCGTGAATCTGGATCAAGTCGATTCTGATCCCGGCGCCCGCATGCGTGTCATTGATGCTGCAAGACGAATGCTTGCACGGGTCGAAACACCCTTTGAAAGGATGTGGCATGTGGCACAAGTCAACATCACTCTCACTGCAGCCTGTCGCATCCTGGTGGATATCGGGCTCTTCGAGGCGTGGCGCGAAGCTGGGGGTAAAGATGCCTTGCTAATGGAATTATGGGAGCTCTGCAGGATTCACTGTGATATGGCCTTGCTGCGTGAGTTTATAGAAACAGACAAAAGAAGGCTTTGCTCTGCTGTTGACAATACCAGGTCGCCTGCTCCGTCTGTGTGTTGCTGCCAACATGATTGAGGAGGTAGATGAGGACCATTACCGGGCGACCGCATTCTCACTTGCCTTGGGCATACCTGGAGGGCCAGTGGTCGAATCTCTGAATGGAGCGTCAGTAGAGTTTCAATTTATAGATCACCTATGGCCCTCATCTATTTGCTGTATTTTACAGTGCATTTCTGACAATAGGACACAGTTTTCATCACACCATTCCGTCCACCTCAAATCTTCCAAAGTGGCTGGCCAGGAACCACTACGAGGCACCTAATGATCCTAAGAACACACCATATATGGATATATCGCCTGGAAAACTCGGCATCTTTGAGACCTGGGCGAAGGAACCCTCGTTGCAGGCTAGCTTTATCGGCATGATGGTTGGCTTTGCTGATATGAGAATGGATTGGACTGATATTTACGACACCGATCGGCTTGTTGAGGGATACGACTTTGGGAACAATGATGGGACCTTACTCGTCGACGTTGGTGGTGCGCAAGGTGTAGATGTCAAGCGTTTGCTAGACAAACAGCCCCAGATTCCACCGGGCCACATTGTCCTTCAAGACCTACCCGACGTCGTTGGAGCCGCTGTTGTCGATGATAGGGTGGAGATTACGGGCCACGACTTTTTCAAAGAACAGCCAGTCATAGGTATGCATCCTCCGTCACCTAGCCGACCGACTAGAATTCGATCAGATTTGCTGAAAACTATTCGGCAAGGGGCTCGAGCCTATCTGATGCACGCAGTTTTGCATGACTGGGATGATATCGAAGCGCGTCGTATACTCAAACATGTTGCCAGAGCTATGAAAGAAGGCTATTCGAAGCTTCTGATCTGCGATGTGGTCATTCCCCCCAAGGGTGCATCGCTATACCAGGCGGTGCAAGACGTTAGCCTCTTGCACCTCTTGTCTGCTGCTGAGAGGTCCGAGTCGCGGTGGATTAAGCTCCTGAAACGTGCCCATTTCGAGGTCGTGAAATTCTGGACACACGATCAATCCCCTGAATGTGTCATTGAGGCTCAGCTGGCTGCCGCAAAAACGCAAAACAAGCAGTCAGGATCTACGGATAGTGATGAGGACTGATAGAATGGATATGTCGGTTGTAGATAGTAACTGTCCCAGAGAAAAGGATACCAACCAAATTCTGCTAAAGCACTCAATTTAGGAGAATTTTGTGTTTCTAAGGTCAATTTTAACATCCTCCCGAGTACTTGAGGCCTTGAGGGATGTACCACATGTAGCCAAGAGGAGGCTTTAAGAATACAAACATAATCGACTAGATTCATACATAGGCCATAGAGGTTACTATGATCCCGGTCTTGCTTGCAAGTGTGCTATTTTGCTGGTAAAGCAGCGATAATTCCTCATTTTGGGTATCGTTTTCTGAGGAAGCCGACAGAAATGCAAGTGAAAGATGGCCTGCCCATGGAAAACCAGGCAGATTGCCTATAGTTGTTAATTTTGCCAGGTCTATCTGTGTCCCATGAAGGGTAAACAAGAGATGACTGGCCCATCGGTTCCCCAGGAGCTTTTGACGATGATCAATACCTGGCCGTGCAACAGTCTTCTTGGATTTTACATTATGAAGCTGGCGCTCAGTAAAAGCTCAACGTGACCCCTATTCACTTGTCGTATGCATATGCTACTAAGAGCGCCGGCTTTTAGTGACCACTAGCCCACATATTAATTGAAGTAAATACCTTTTTCTTCAATTTTTGGGAAAATGAAAATTTTGTGCCTCTCATCAACAGTGCCAGCTAGTTCTAGTGTCAGTCACCCTAAGCTATTTATCACTTCTGCAAATTCACTTTTGTCTGTCTATGAGAATAGACGAGCACCACCACCCCCCTCGCAAAATATTGGACGGAATGTGGAGCCACCTATTTCCTCCAGTATTTCAATCTTGACAATTGCACCCTATTTTCCCATTTTGCTCGTTCCATTCCCCTCGTAAAACCCTCAGTCTCTGCCTTTCCGACACTTCTTGATCTGACCTCTTTGTTATCCGGTACGGTTGAGCCTCGCGACAAGGAGCCCGATCATTCTCGGCGACGAGTCCCCCAGACAGCTTGGTTCCGACGAAGCCTCGCCTCACCGCTACCAGGAAGCCCTACAAATTCTCAATTTAAAGGTCCTCTTGGAACCTGGTCGGTTTCCTCACCTGCAGCGTCATGCCGAGCACACTTCCGAGCGGCCATGCGGTCTCGCTCCTCCTCCGTCTTCCAGCCGAGATTCGCCTCATGATCTACGAGTATTCCTTCTATGGGTCGCAATGGGGCTTTGTACCCGACCCTCCTGACGTCTATACCCCCAAGACGGTGTTTACTCGTCGATCAGGTTTCAGAGACCGCGAGCCCAAACCTGCCTTTCGCGTCAGCGCCCATTGGAGGCTACTCATGACCTGCCGTGGGGTCTTCGAAGAGGCGAGCCCGACCTATTGGGGTGCGACGGCGTTAAACGCATTCACCTTTACCTGGGGCGAAGCCTGCGACCTTTACCATAAAATCCCAGATGATGCAGCCAAGTACGTGCGACATCTACAGTCCGTCAGTCTTGGTCCTGGAGCGTACCTTGAGTTGCCTGGCGAGTTTGTGAGGCTGCTGGGACTCTTCGAAAGGCTCCAGACCTGCACTTTCCTCCCGGCCCGTTACTCGTTCATCAACGACGACCCATCTGGGTTGAGCCAGATCAGGCGAGACGAGGCCATAATCGCAGGACTCCTTCTCAAGCCCACACTTCTGGAAGAAACTGGCGTGAAGAAGACAACTACGGTGGATTTCTTGGGAAAAGTGATCACCAATGAGAAGTTCTTTCGAGCCTCGACATCTTCTCAAGGAAAAACAATTCGAATGGTGAGTTGAAACCAGCTCCCTATATATCAGAATTATGTTGAGAGCTAATGAAGATCTTCCAGGTTATATTTCTCAACTACTCGACCAGGCTGCACTCTGGTGCCTGTACCGCCGAACTGCCAGATGAAGTCGGTTTCCGGATGGTCGGAGGGGGCGGCGTGTAAGAAGCGTGAGACGAGACATGACAGATCAAATAGATAATGGAGACAATTTTGGCACGCCAGATCAGGATATTCAGTCTAATAGCAAGGCCTCATCAGAATAGGTGCGAAATAGAGAAGGCACTCTTATGTGTCGGGGTAATGAGAAAAGAAAGTGTTTGGTTGCCATCCTGCGAGTTCTAAGTGAGAATCAGTGAGAGACTTCAGCCGGTCTCAGCTGCTGGCCAGCTGTGCGTCCAACGCCCGATAAGATAAGACCACTGCAGCTCCCCCCGCCATTGAGACTCCCCTTGGGGTCACTTGCCTGCTTATTTGCACCTGCTTGCCACTCTGTTGGATAGAGAGGTACTGACTCTTAGGGGGGATGAATCACTAAGACAATTGACAGGTTTGGTATTTGTCATGTTGACGTTGACTGTTTAAACATCGCAATCCTCAACTGCCTCTTTTCAGTGTCACCTTCATCTCCACCTACCCGTTTCTCCCGAAGCCCAAGCCCCTCAGAAGCCCCTCAGCTCCGGTCATCGCCACTTCTGGGAACAAGACCGGCGTCTACCTCTGACTTACACGAGGCTGCATCACCACCTTGCATGAACCAGGGTCCACATATCAAGTCACACAAAGAAGCCCTCCTCAACACCCTCAACACACCACTCAAGATGCGGGACATGCCGCTAGACCATGGCTCGCTGGAGCACCTCTTGCCCTCACACTGGAAGACCCAGATCACCGCCTGGCTGGCCGAGGACACACCCTCATTCGACTACGGCGGCTTCGTCGTCGGCGAGGTGCCACGCACCGCCACCCTCTGGGGCAAGTCGGGCGGCATCCTGGCCGGCGTGCCCTTCTTCAACGAGGTCTTTGCCCAGACCGGGTGCAAGGTCGAGTGGCACGCCAACGAGGGCCAGCACATCGAGCGCGACAAGGACAAGGGCGGCATCAAGATGAAGGTCGCCACCGTCACGGGGCCCGCCAGGGGCATCCTGCTGGGCGAGCGCGTCGCCCTCAACATCCTCGCCCGCTGCAGCGGCGTCGCCAGCATGTCGCGGGGCTTCCTCGTCAACCTGCGGTCCGCCGGCTACCGCGGCCAGCTGGCCGGCACGCGCAAGACCACGCCCGGCTTCCGCCTCGTCGAGAAGTACGGCATGCTGGTCGGCGGCGCCGACGGCCACCGCATGGACCTCAGCTCCATGATCATGCTCAAGGACAACCACGTCTGGAGCCGCGGGAGCATCCGCGAGGCCGTCGCCGCCGCCAAGAGCGTCGGCGGCTTCTCGCTCAAGGTCGAGGTCGAGGTGCAGACCGAGGCCGAGGCCGACGAGGCCATCGACGCCGGCGCCGACGTCGTTATGCTCGACAACTTCTCCGGCGAGGGCGTCAAGGTCGCCGCCAAGAGCCTGAAGCAGCGCTGGGCCGGGAAGAGGCACTTCCTGGTCGAGGTCTCGGGCGGCCTGACGCTGGACAATGCCGAGGAGTACGTGACGAATGGTGAGTTTCCCCCCTAGCCCCGCCTCTCTGGCTGCTCATACTTGGGGAAGTTGTCTCGATAAAAGTTGCTGATGACTTTCATGTAGACGTCGACGTTTTATCGACAAGTGCGATCCACCAAGGAGTCCCGCACGTCGATTTCTCTCTCAAGATCAACCATTGATGTTTGTGGCCACAAATCTCGATGTAAAGGATGGAATGAAGGGAGACGTGCAGCTGTTAGGTTCTACGGGAGGTTTGTTCATTGAAGCTATACAAAGCTTAAACTATGCAATGCTCCTGCACTTCCACAGTAGACACTATCGTTTCAGATTAGAGACGGACACTACCAAACTAGATTGCCATTACATTGGCTCACATAGGAAAGGATGGAGTGTCTATAAGGGAGAACTGACGGGACCTTGCACCACTGGTGAGTGTGGGGGCACATTGAGCAAGTCACCAAATGAAAAGTCTGTTTCTGGAAGATATTTCATGTATTACACACTCGTCGCGTATCACCTATCTGCAATATCGCGTGCCCAGGACCCGTGGTCTAGCTGGGGCCGCCTACTTGGATACCGCGATCCAAGATCTTCACCGCAGACCTTTGCCCGCACTCAGACCGTCTGTGTCTCTTGGAACAGCAGTCGGCCGGACAAGGCTACCACTCCCCGACGACATTCTTTCTACTCCTGCTCTTCCCCCTCGCTCGGCTCCTCTTTCTTTCTTTCTTCCCATCGTATCATCAACTCGTGGAATTAGGTACTACAACCTGGGGTGGATGCTGGGTATCATATCCGCACAACGCCTCCTCTTGCCATCCGGTGAACCAAAAAATGCTGAAGCAGCTGCTATGAGGCAGAGACGCAGTGCAAGATGCTCTGCATATGGGAAGGCATGTCGCCTGATGGTATATCCGATGCCAGAACTCCTCGCGAAAAGCAAAATAGCAAAAGGGTTTGGAATGGGTAAAGGCATGATTGGGGGGGGTCATCTACTAGTGTGGGGCGACGGGCGTGACCGCTGAGTGCAGTCTTGAGAGATCTTGAAAGCAGGCGGCTTGGTCGCTGACTCAGATGCTGACACCTTCAAGGTGAAGAACCCTGGAAGAATCGCCGAGGAAACGGCGGCGGAATTCGACGATTCCTTGGGCGATAGTCCTGAAGTCTCGGATCTTAGACTTCTGGAAGGATGCAACCAACTCTCTAAGCCCGTTGTTGAACGTCTTCTTCTGGTCCCCCGCCAAGTCGTCTGAGCTGCCGAGCTCCAGGATAATCTTATCATCTGGCAGGATAAGGAGTTGCAGTCAGCTTTTGAGGGGCAGGCCGGCGGGCGTGTCACTACAGTTAGCAGTCCTGCCAGGAAGGGAAATGTCACTTACCAGGAGCAACCATGTGGGAGAAATGCTGAAATTGACAGGCGTTTCCTCTTGGGCAGTCTTGCCCGTCCAATTCATCGGGACAGATCTCCCTCTTTGGATCGATTCTGTTACTGTATGTCAATGATTTGAGTCCACCTGCAACGCTCTCACTGTAGTTTGGGTGGAATCGGAAAGCATGGTAATATCGCAAAGGGCTCTCGTAATTGGTGAAGGAGGTTTGCGGGGCTGGGACAGAGTCGCGGGCATCCTTGTAACCAATTAGATAACTGCTGTCAGTGAAGCGAGGAAACGATGTATACTTCTCTGAGGACGTCTGCAGTGCGCGATGAAGGATGTGCGAAGAAGTCCGCGCGCGCTTCGATTGTCGGATCATCATTGGGTATCGTGGCGGTCGAAATCTGGGTTGGCATTGTCGTGGGCGGAGTAATTTCTTGAGATTCGCCAACTGGGGCGTCCGCATTTGTGACATTCTCGGCAGGCGCAGGACTGAAAGGCGGAGAGTCGATCGTACCGCGGCCATGACCAGCCGCGTCTGGAGGCTCGTAATCATCAGACGTACTACCGTCGGCGGCAGCTACCACCTGCTCCTCGGCAGTAGCAACAGTTGCGATAGCGGCCAAGACTTCCGCTGGCTGACTGGCCAGAGGCGAAGCAGCATCGTCGGCACGGGTGGGCTCTTGAGTGGCTGGCGGGATGTACACTGCCTCGCCAACAGCAGCAAGCGCTGGAGCTAAGGACGTAGATGTCGAAGGCTCCACCTCCGAATCCGACTTCCTGGACACCGATTCCAGGTCCATGGGTAACGAGTGCGATGGTCCGTCGAGAGCGGCGCGTTGCGATTCATCTTGGCCTGCCTCGCTACTTGACGGAGCACCCTTATCTGTGGGTGTAGTCTCTGAAGCAATCTCTCCGGCAGAGTCAGATCCGAGCTCATCCATGTCCTCTTCCTCCATCTGTTGCTGAGCCAGCTCCGCATCGATTTCAGCTTGTAGCCGCCTCCTCTCCTCTTCCATCCGCTTCAACTCGGCGATCTTGTCCTGAAGCTTAGTTGAAAGCCGCGGGGACTGAGCGCTTGTTGTTCTCACGCGACGCTCGACTCTGGAGTGGCCAACAACGGGTGAGAGGACCGTAGGCTTTGGGGTTTTTGCCGCCTCGGCTTCCTGTAGTAGCTGAGCGGATGGACCATTCTTATCGTCGACGTCGCTACTAGACACTACACGATGTACCAAAGACTTCGTTGCTTGCTCTGTGGGTGTCAGGCCGCCAGCACTCGGCGACTGAGGCGTGGAAGAACCGGTACTTGGCTTGACTTTGGCTCGCGCTTCTGCCTCCTGAATCTTCCGCTTGTAGTCCGCGATTGCCTTCTCCATAGCTTTCAAGTCAACAGTAGCGGTCTTACCACCTGGTGTCCCAGGCGCGGGGCTGGACAAATGGCGCGGCGGACCAGCGTTCGTCAACGGAGGATAGTCGCGAACCGATGGTCCTCTACGAGGAAGATTGATGGTTTGCTGTGTCGGTGCAGGAGAGTCCTCGGTGGTTGAGTCCACCTCCATGTCAACGTCATCATCATCTTCTTCCTCTTCGTCATCGCTAACACTGATTACCAATGACGAGGCCTGCCGGCTGGGAAGCAAGGGCCGCTTGATAGCTTGTGTCGGATAATCCACAAAGTCGGCTGCCACAGGGCGCTTTCGCTGGTTGATTGGCTTGTTTGACAATCCAGACAAGGCTGGACTCTGGATGCCTGAGTTGGGTCGGGATGCTATATTTCGTGGATGATCTGAGGGTGTAGGTAGCGTTCCTGAGGGCACGTCAATCTGAACAGTAGAGTTTAGCTCAGCTGAGGTCTGCGCTGCGGCTGCGACTGCCGATCCTGGCGCTGGGGGCATCGGCGAAGGCTTTTTGGGAAGATTGGTTTCTGGCGCTTTGGGCGGATTAGGCTTCTGGCTAGCTTGCTGAGTCCGGGCCTCTCGTGCTTTGCGCAGGGCTTCCATTTTCTGCTGTAAAAGTAGAGTCTTCTGCGCTTGGGTGGTGGGCTTGTTTGCAGGTGTCGAAGGAGTTGAAGCACCTGTAGATATGGTTGTCGAAGGAGCTTTTGGTGCTGTGGTAGCCTCCGCCGCAGCTTTTGCCTTCTTTTCAGCCAATAGACGGGCGATCTTGTCCTTGCGCTCCTCCTGCTTCTTTGCCATATCGTCCGCCTGAGAGGCCTGGGATGGCGGCGCAGCCTGGTCCTGGGATTTGTTCTCCTGTACTTCCAATGGCTTCACAGATGGTACGGAATCGGCGGTTGCAGGAGCAAGATTAAGTTGGATGAAGAGATCTTTGATAACCTTTTCGTCAAAGCCTTCGTCAAGGTATGTCTGGTATTTGACGCCATGAGGCAGCAACCGAAGGATCGCCTTCTTAGCTTCATTCTGAGCTTCTGGCAAGCTCCTGAAAGACTGCGAAGCAATCGAGCCTGAGCCTGATTGGTTGATGGCAACATCAGTTTCTTTGCTCTGATTGGCATCAATGACCTGTTCTTGGACATTCGCGGAACTACTGGTAGATGAAACGGCAATGGCATCGTTGTTGGTCGAGTTGAATTGGACTTGAGAGCGTCCTAGGCCGGGTCAGTAATGAGTCTTTCTCCCGGTTCCCTGGGAACATACCTTGCGCGTCATCAGCCCCGATTTGTGGCGGCGGGTCGTCCTGTTCGATTTCTCTGGGCGAGAGGTACGGAGAATATGACCCTGAGCGATCGCGCTCTGAGCGCATTGGCTCTTGCTCTCTCAGATCCTGATCGCTCGGTGCCTTGGCTGTGGCAGTTTTGAGACGATCATTTGAGGCAGACACTTCCTCCATTTCGGTATCATAGAAGTTGGCCCCTTGGTCTGTACTACTTGCAGCTTGGTCCTCAGAGGACGTGGGAGACGCTGCTTTAGTCTTTGGCGCCACAGACGGCTGGTCATAGACATCCTCGTAAAGGTCGTCGAACTCGCCATCGCTAATCTCACCTTCGTCTTGGGAGTCGACATCTTTCAACGGCTGACTCGACTGCTCCTTCAACTGCTCCTCCCTCGGCCGCGGCTTGCTTTGTTGACGGGGAGAATCTGGTCTGTACTGCGGGTTCGGTTGCGCCTCTGGTGGCACCGGTGCGCGGGCTTGAGGATTCGCCTGAGATGGCTGGGCAGGTGGGATAGGGACGAAAGTTGAGGAGTTATACGTAGGATAGGGGCCTGGCGTGGCAGACGTTCCATATCCACCTTGCTCCCATTGCCCGCCGAACGGGACGGGGAACTGAGGGGCTGTCAACGGTGTGCCCAGGCCGGGGATGTTATTCGCATTGTAGTCGTAAGCAGACTGTGTCGCGGTGTAGTAGTCGGCCGTAGCAGCCGGGGGCTGTTGCTGGGGAGGAGGTTGTGCGCCATAACCAGGAGCAGGGTAGGCGGCATAGGGTTGATACGGCGGGTACTGTTGTTGGGGCGGCTGTTGGCCTTGGAAGCCATAGCCATACGGATAGTGGGACATCTCGACGCTCTTGACGCGCTCGCTTGAAGTAGTCAAAGAAAAATGTGCCAATTTTGCCGGGACTCGAACGCGCGAAGATGATCAACGGGATGTGACGGGTTCTTCGAGGACGCGCATCGTCAGACAAGCTAATGCAAGGAAATTGTGGAATTCGTATGCGGCGGCGGACAGCTAGAAGGCCTGGGCAGCGGTTTCTGAAGGTAGAAACTTGACGCGCGAAATGTGACACGTGCCTACCAACGTGCTTGTGAACCTGTTGGGAGAGGTGGCGGTAGTTGGTGGCGATACAGTCTTGGATCGATCAGTGGGGGGGATTCGCGGGACGAAGCGAAGAAAGGGTTTTTGGTCTCTGGCACACACGCAACGCGGGCGGAAAGCGACTCGTGGAGGGACTCAAATACCCTGGTGGCTTGAGTAGTCCCGAGAGCGACTGTGTGAATTGCGCAGCCAGCCGCTTTGCCTCTGCGAACGCTTTCTCTGGCCGTGAGTTGCACCTGAGTAGTCGCTGGACGGACAAAGAGGGCAGCGTGGGAGTGCTTCAACTGTCGTTTGTCAGTGTGATTCCCTTGGCTAGGAACGTCGAGAAGAAATTGATTTTTGGCGCCGTTCCGTTTTGGGTCGTCCAACTCCAACGGAGGTGGAGCGCTTGGACCAGTCACTGGGGCCAGCTCACTTACTGTGGTGCTGTGGTAGTCGTTCTGCATGGTGGTGCAGCACGGGCCACCAACAGCTCCAGACCCCGACCCCTGCAAGTGGTGAAAGTTGGCTTGCTGGCTGGGCGCGACTGGTAGAGGACCTTGGGAGGATTTGCAGGGATCCGCAGTTGCCCTGGCGTCATTGTTTACTTTCACGCATAGGCAGCTGCAATTGGAAGGCTGGGAGTGGTACCTGACTGAACATCGTGCCGCCGCTCAACTTCCCAAACTGCGCCCACCACATCGCAATTGACAGTCTCCCCTCTTGCACCGACTGGATCGCCGCCATCATTCCTCATTGTCTTGAACATGAGATTGCGGGCACAGTACAGGAGTTTTCACTCATGATATTCGGCTTTCCTTTGCTTTGTGTCGAGTCCTGCGCACGCGTGCCGCTCTGATTTACACCATTCTCGCGCTGTCGCGTTTGGAGATTTAACCCGGTGTTGATGTTTACATGACTTTCTTGAATCTTTCTCGATACCCATACTCATAACTATACCCACACCCACGAGAATCACTCCCTCACTGTCGACAGCCTCTCCCAGTCGAGACCACCGAGGCCCGGCCAGATGCGAGATGGGCACGGTACGCAACAGCCCGTTTATGAGGCAGTCCTCGCCGTCACCGAGGCCCCCAAGCAATGGCCGACCTAAATCCGCTCTCTTCCCCTCGCCTATGTCGCCTCCCTCTACATCTTCGACCCCCACAGCCTCTAGTCATGTTCGCGGGAAATCTCTGGGTACAACACTCAGTCCAGGCAGCAGCGACATCAAGCAAGGCCATGTGCGAAACGTGTCCAAGGGGGACACTCCGCAGTCCAATACTTTCGCTCCCTCATTCATCAAGAGCGACGAGATGAGACAGCGTCCCGATGTTGTGGACGGCATAGAAGGCGAAAACGACTTCTCGGGAAAGAGATATGTCTGGCTGAAGGACCCAAAAACGGCTTTTGTGAGGGGATGGGTCGTGGAAGACCTTGGCGGCAACCGCATATTGGTCCAGTGTGACGATGGAAGCGTGGGTAACAGTCCAAACCAGGCACGACCGAGTCTCGAGCTAACCATTTGTCTCAGCAACGCGAGGTCGACGCCGAGAGCGCTGACAAGGTCAATCCTGCGAAGTTCGACAAGGCAAGCGACATGGCCGAATTGACCCATCTGAATGAGGCGTCCGTCGTGCACAACCTCCATATGAGATACCAGTCTGACCTGATCTATACGTACTCCGGCTTGTTCCTGGTGACAGTCAACCCGTACTGCCCCATTCCCATTTACACCAACGAATATGTCAACATGTACAAAGGCCGAAATCGCGAGGACACGAAGCCACACATCTTTGCTATCGCAGATGAGGCCTTTCGCAACCTTGTTGACGAAGGTGAAAATCAAAGTGTTCTCGTCACCGGAGAATCTGGTGCCGGAAAGACCGAGAACACCAAGAAGGTCATTCAGTATCTCGCCGCTGTAGCGCCTTCAGAGTCGTCTGCCAGGAGTCGAGGCCAGCAGTCCAATCTCTCAGCGCAAATCCTGCGCGCGAACCCTATACTGGAAGCTTTCGGCAACGCCCAAACGGTGAGAAACAACAATTCGTCCAGATTTGGTAAATTCATCCGCATAGAGTTCTCTCGGAACGGTATGATCGCAGGCGCTTTCATCGACTGGTACCTTCTCGAAAAGTCTCGTGTGGTGCGGATCAATCCGAATGAGCGGAACTACCACGTCTTTTATCAACTGCTCAAGGGCGGCGACAGGCAAATGAAGCAAGAATTCCTGCTCGATGGACTCGATGTTGATGATTTTGCCTATACTCGAGAGGGCCAAGACACCATTGCTGGTGTCTCTGATCGAGAGGAGTGGAACGCTCTGATGGAAGCCTTCGATGTGATGGGCTTCTCGGATAAGGAACAGAGCGCCGTTCTCCGGACAGTGGCCGCTGTCCTCCATCTCGGAAACATCACCGTCATGAATGAGAGTCGGACAACAGATCAGGCTCGACTTGCGGCAGACGCCAAACAGGTAGCGGAACGTGTTTGCACGCTTTTGGGAATTCCTTTGGAGCCTTTCCTCCAAGGTCTGCTTCATCCCAAGGTGAAGGCCGGACGGGAATGGGTTGAAAAGGTACAGACTCCTGAGCAAGTACGGCTCGGTCTCGATGCCCTCTCGAAAGGTATTTACGAACGAGGTTTCGGCGACCTTGTCACAAGAATCAACCGACAGCTGGACAGAACGGGAATGGGAATGGACGAGTCTCACTTCATTGGTGTTCTCGATATCGCAGGTTTCGAGATTTTCGAGGAGAACAGCTTCGAGCAGCTTTGCATCAATTACACGAACGAGAAGCTGCAGCAATTCTTCAACCACCACATGTTCGTTCTTGAGCAAGAAGAATATGCTCGCGAGCAGATCGAATGGCAATTCATTGATTTCGGCCGCGACTTGCAGCCGACCATCGACCTGATCGAGCTACCAAACCCAATCGGCATTTTCTCGTGCCTCGACGAAGACTGCGTGATGCCAAAGGCGACAGACAAAACATTCACAGAGAAATTGCACTCGTTATGGGACAAGAAGTCCAACAAGTACAAGACATCCAGACTTCGAAATGGATTCGTACTCACACATTACGCAGCCGAAGTGGAATACTCTACAGAAGGCTGGCTGGAGAAGAACAAGGATCCGTTGAATGACAACATCACCCGTTTGCTGGCGGCTTCATCAGACAAGCATGTCGCAACACTATTTGCCGATTGCGCGGACAATGACGATGAGACAGTGAGCGTTAAAAGCAGGGTGAAAAAGGGTCTATTCCGCACTGTCGCTCAGAGGCACAAAGAGCAGTTGTCAAGCTTGATGGCTCAACTACACTCGACCCATCCTCACTTCGTCCGTTGCATTCTTCCGAACCATAAGAAACGGCCGAAGCAATTCAACAATCTGCTTGTCTTGGACCAGCTCAGATGCAATGGTGTCTTGGAAGGTATCCGGATAGCTCGCACTGGCTTTCCCAATCGGCTTCCCTTCGCCGAATTCCGTGCGCGTTATGAGGTTCTGTGCCGTGACATGCCAAAGGGCTACCTAGAGGGCCAGGCAGCTGCCGCGATGATGCTCGACAAGCTCAAGATGGACAAAGCTCTGTACCGAGTCGGGTTGACCAAAGTCTTCTTTAGAGCTGGCGTGCTTGCGGAACTTGAAGAGCGGCGTGATGCGCTCATCTCAGAGATCATGGCACGCTTCCAGTCCGTCGCCCGTGGCTTTACAGCACGGAGACTCGCCTACAAACGCCTGTACCGCACCGAGGCGACGAGAGTCATTCAGCAAAATTTCAGAGCCTATCTTGACCTTTGCCAAAACCCGTGGTGGCAGCTCATTGTGAAAATGAAGCCTTTGCTTGGTGCAACTCGGACTGCAACTGAAGTCAAGAAGAGGGATGAAATGATCCGTCAGCTGCATGATCAAATGCAGCAAGAGTCAGCCAACCGCCAGAAACTCGAGGAGGACCGACGAAATGTCCACACAGAAATGATGCGCGTCCAGCAGACGCTAGAGAGTGAGCGTGCTTTAGCATTGGACAAAGAAGAGATTTTCAAGCGTCTGCAGCAAAGGGAGGCTGAGTTGGAGGACAAGCTCGCTGGGGCCATTGAGGACGCTGAAAAGCTCGAAGATGAGCTCGATGATCTCCTTGAAGCAAAGAAGAGAGCCGAGGAAGATGTCGAGAAGTTCCGTGGCCAGCTAGAACAGGCTGCCGCCTTGATTGGACGACTGGAGGAAGAGAAGACTGAGCTCGCCGGGCGCGTATCAGATCTCGAGAGGGCAATCGAGGATATTTCTAGCAGCCAACATGAGCGAACCGAGCAGGAAGCAGCGATGGAGGAAGAGATTCAAATGCTCCAAAGCCAGCTCGCGCTGAAGGATAGAAAAGCACGCGACCTAGAGGGCAAGCTCCTAGAGATTGACCAAGATGCAGAGGTGAAGCTTCACAGGGCTGAAAAGGAGCTACAGTCTTACAGGGCCAGACAGCAGCAACTCATGGCCGAGAATCGGGACGCTCAGCAACAGCTCTCGGCGCTCTCCAAAACATCCACGGATTATGAGGATCTAGTGCGCAAGAAAGAGAGTGAGCTGGCTCTGCTCCGTGGAGATAACAAGAAATACGAGATGGAGAGAAGGACATTCGAGGACCAGCGCAAAACGCTTGCTGCAGAGAAAGATAAGGCATCCACTCGGCTACGGGAGGTACAAGCTCAACTGGATGCTCTCAAGGCTCAGCAGTCGCAGATTCAGAGAGAAGCCGAAGATGCAAAGAAGCTTTTGCAAGCCCGACTGTCTGAGGATAGCCAAGCAGACCAGAACCGCCAAGTGTTGGAATCTCAGATCAAAGACCTCAAGGATGAGCTCTATGAGGCTCAAATGGAACTTAGTAGGGAGCGGCAGTCCCGTGACGACGTCCTTCTGCTTAGCGAGCACAAGTACGACGAGCTTCAAGAAGAGTACGATCAGCTCAATGAAGCGAAAATTGTTATCGAAAAGGAGTTGTACGCGGCGCAGGATACTTTGAGACGCGCCATCGATGCTCGGGCCACGGCTGAGAAGGAACGTGATGACGCTCGGCAAGAGATTCGAAAACTCAGAGCTGCCTACAGTCAAGCGGAGGAAGCGCGGCGGGAGGCCGAGGTTGCTGGCGAACGCGCTGCCTCCAAGCTCGCTCGAGAACGAGAGGACAGCTTGCTAAAGGACCTGGATGCTGCGCAAGATCGGCTGAAGTGGTTCGAGGACGAGTGTGCCAAGTTAAATCATCAGGTCGAGGACCTCAATAAGTTGATCCTGTCCTCCGGAGAATTTGGCTTGAAGAATGATCAAGCCAAGGAGCGGATGGAGAGAGAGCTCCAGACCGTGAAGAGTCGTCTCACAGCGTCTGAGAACGATAATCGCGCGCTTCTGAACAAGCTTCAACAAAAGGGCCTTGAAATTGCTCGGTCCAGTTCGAGGGCAAGCGAAGCTACCCGCGGGCAAGTCAACGTTCTGCAGCGTGAGAAGGTCAGACTGGAGGAACTGAACGCCAAACTCAACAAGCAGCTGGGAGAGTCTCAAGTGAACGCCGCAGCTCTGGAAAAGAAACTTGAGAAAGCTCAGCTCAATCTGGAGGATCTTAACCACCAGTTCCAACGCGAGGTCAAATCGAATCGCAACGCTGAGAAATCCACATCAAACTTCAACGTCCAACTGGCAGAGGCTAATCGGAGCATCGAATCCGAAAGACAACTGCGAACTCAGGCTCAGGGCACCGTTCGGACACTACAAGCAACTATCGATTCTCGCGACAAGGAGTTGCATGAGCTCCGCTCCCAAATGCTGCGAGCTTTGAAAGTCGTTGATCCGGAGTCTGCGCCTCCAGCTCAGGTGGATGGCACCACTGAGCGTGTCTTCAGTGAGAAATACGATCTGGTCAGGAAGATTGAAGAGCTTCAACAGAAACTCAGAGTGCAGACAGCGGCAAGATCTGGCGCGGAGGCTCAGCTGGCCGAGTTCAGGGCCGGACGAGCCTCGCCTGAGAGGCCACGCCTCGGGGAAATTGATCTGAATGAGGCGCCTTTCGATATGTCGCCTTCTTATCGAAAGTCGAAGGTCAACGGACGCAGGGTGTCAAACTCATCCACGCCGTCTCGGCGTTTCACCAATGATGGCGAGCCTGGCAGCGACTCTGTTCGTTCTGAGAAGACTGCGGACATCTTGAGCTTCAACAACCGCATGGACCTCAAGGCTGAGATAGAAGAGCTTCAAAATCAGCTGCAGATCACTCAGATGCAGAACCGTCATCTCCAAAGCCAACTCGAGCGCTCAACGACAGGCCTTCCTGATTATGATGGGGAAACTTCATCACTTCAGCGAGTCAAGAAGCTGGAGCAAGCCAACGGTCGTCTTCACAGTCTACTTGACGATTCCTCCAAAAAGGTGTCAGCATTGGAGAAGGCTCTTCGTACTGGTGAACTGTCTCTTCGCGACATCCAGACGAGATCACACGAGGAAATCCTGGATCTGCTTAACAACACGGAAGAGTCTAGACGGTCGCTACTGCACAGCCATAGGGACGCGGTTGCAGAGCTGACAGACATCAAGGTGCACTATGACAAGCTCAGGCATGACCGCGCCACGATCGAAGTCGATTTGCGTGATGCCAGGGGTGACCTGCAAGAGATGACACAAGCACGCGAACAGGAGGCAGCGAGTCGTAATCAGCTCCTACAGGAGTTCTCTGATCTCCAGATAAGGCTGGATGCAGAAACATCCAAACTTGCTGATGTGACAGCCAGCCTGAACCTGTACAAGAGCCGCGCGGACGAATACTTCAGCAAACTGGAACAGGCCGAGATTGCGGTTCTAAAGGCAAATCGAGCTGAGCAGTTCGCAAAGTCGCAGGCTAAAGAGGCCGAAGATACCTATGCCGAGGTCATGGCAGAGCGCAAGAAAATGGATCAGGCCGTTGAGGATTTACAGCGTCAAAACCAACGGCTTGAGGAGAAGGTCGAGGACATGTCAACAGACCTGGAGGCAGCGACGCAGGCGAAGAAGAGACTGCAACATGAGCTTGAGGACTACCGGAATCAACGTGCTAATGACATCGAGGATACCGAGTCGAGCTTGGAGCAGACCCGCAAGAAGTATCAAGCCGAGTTCGCCACACTCACCAAAGAGCTTGACCTGGCTCGGGAGGAGAAGCTCTTTAAGCAGGCAGAAATCACTCGCCTGCGCGAGGAGCTGGACGAGCTTCGATCCAAGTGGGACGACGAGGTCCTCAACAGCTCAACCTGGTCCAAGGAGAAATCGCGGCTTGAAGCCACCCTCGCAGACGTCTCCGCCTCGCGTGAAGAGGCAGTCAATGCGCACAACGAAGCACAGGGTAAGATTGTCAACTTGCTTTCTCAGGTGCGGTCGCTGCGGTCGTCAGTTGACGAGGTCACTGGTGAAAGAGACGCACTGTTCCGGGAGAAGCGAAGCATCGAAGCAAGACTGGAGGAGGCCAAGGCCGGTCTCGAGGAGCTTGCCAAGGGTGAGAGCCCGTCGCTTCGAGACGCAGCCAGCATTGACAAGGAGATTCTTGAGCTCAAGTCAAATCTTGCGCAGCAGGAGGATCTTGCCGCGGCAGCGGTGGAGAAGATGCGCCGAGCCGAGGCCCTGGCGTCTGAAGTGCAGAAGGATATTGTGGTTGAGCGGGAAACAAGCGTGCAGCTGTCCAAGGACAAGGCAGCACTTGAGAAGACACTCAACGAGGTCCAGGTCAGGCTTGTGGACCTCGAGACCAAGGGCTACTCGAGCGCAAGCCAGGATATCAAGTTCCTGCACAAGCGCATCCAAGAGGCAAGTATTTCCGACACAATCGCTTCATCCCCAGCTTTACACTTTCACATCCGCTGGATGAAAGCAGTACTAACACTTCCCAGCTTGAAAACCAGCTTGAACAGCAGGAGGACAGCCGTGCCAAGTCGCAGCGCTCCAACCGCAATGTGGATCGCACGGTCAAGGACCTTCAGAGTCAAATCGAGCGTAAGGACAAGCAGAACACACAGATGCAGGAGGACCTAGGCCGCATGCGCGACAGGATCGACAAGCTCCTCAAGACAATCGACGAGCTGCAGTCGTCGGAGTCGTCCAACCAGCTTCAAGCACGACGGGCGGAACGGGAACTGCGCAGCGAACAAGAGAAGGCGGCCAGGCTGGAGCGAGAGCTCGAGAGCTGGAAGATCCTCCGATCAGAGAAAGGGTCAGTATTGGGCAGCGTAGCCGGCAGCATCATGAGTGGGCGCGGCGGCATGACGAGATCAGGGACGTTGGCGACAATGAGGAGCTCAGGGCTGGCGAGCGTGGCGGACGAGGACGAGGACGCGGAAAGCCATGTGACGATTCCCAAGAGGAAGAGCAGCATTAGTCGTGTGCCAAGCCTGACGAAGGGATTCTTGTAGGGGAAACGCGATACCCGGAGCTCGGGGTGAGAAGGACCAAAAGAGCGCAGGGCTCCCGGGAAGGGGGCATTAGCATTTTATGAGGTCGGCGTTTACTGTAGCTCGTCGCATAATTCTGGTGGCATAATACTTGTTAGTGGGGGGATTAAATGGTTGTGTGAACACTGGTCTTTTCTTATGTGGCATGGGTTGGAAGACAGCATAGTGAGTGTGTGTATAGGTATGGACGGAGTGGACTTGTGGGGGTGATTCAAAGCTCTCGTCAGGTCAGGTATATATAATGAAGGGGTTTCGGTTTCTGGCCTTCGCAAGGAGCTTTAATTTGCTTTGCTTTGCTGTTGATCTTTGACATTGATCAATGTTTTATCGACTCAGCCAGCACTGATAGGCATGGCGGGCATTAATTAGCTATGGATATGGATCCGCCGTGTGAAGGCTGACCTGAGTCGGCCATTTCAATGTGCCCGTGACTGCGAACATGCCGAGCTGATAGGATGAGTAAGTATTATTTATTATTCGTGACCTTTTCCCATCGGGTGGTTGTAGGTGCATCTAGGCCAACGGGAGATAGCCCACGCATTGCAGTAGTGGAAAGCTTAGATGCGCGTCCATAAACTTGTGGTAACTTACAGTAAAGTGCATAGCCTACATTCTATGCACATCCTACGCACTGCCGTCTTTCGCACGCAGGAGTTGTGTATTTAGACTTTTTGCTCAGGTGGGCCCTCATCTTGACAGCTGAAAGTCGAGGCGGCTTGCCTGCTCGTTCCCCGCACCCTCTTCTCCCCTTTTGAGCAAGCCTCCCCTGTGTCGGCAAGGATGTGAGCTGGTTGCCCCTGCAGGACATGTGGTGGAAGCTTTGTATGGGCTGAAATTGGCATGTTGGTCGGCAAATCACACAGCACGGTGGCGTGGTCGACGGCGAAGGGACTCGCGGAAGTCGGGGAGCTTCATCAATTTTGGGTTTGGCTTTAAGTCTGTTCCGTCAATGGACTGGGGGGCAAAAGCAAAAGTGATGGAGCACCTTGATGGAGCATTAAAACGCGTGCTGGTCCCTCTCCCACTCCTCTTTCGCGCGACGCTTGGTTCCTTTTTCATGTTGGATTAGATCCCTCGCAGCTGTTTTATAAAATACACGTGCTCTAATTCACCACAACAAGCACACAATATAATTCCACAAGTTCATTACAGGCCCAACCAGACCAATACATCATGAAGTCCGCCGCCATCTTCACAGTTGCTGCCGCAGGCCTTGTCGCCGCCCAGGCAGGTCTCGAAGGCCAGCCAGCCTGTGCTGTAAGCTTTCACTCTCCTCGTCCCCCTCACATCTCCGTCCGATGTCTTCGCAGTTTATTCCATCCCATCTCAACATCACATCTCCGCCAACAGCTTGCTAACGTCACCTCTCACACAAACAGACTCCCTGCCTCACCTCCGCCATCGCCGCCGTCTGCACCCCAGCATCAGACCAGGCCTGCGCCTGCGCGTCGCAGTCAGAGATCGGCGCCCAGGCCGCGGGCTGCCTGCTGAGCAACTGCAGCTCGGGCGACCTCATCCAGGCCCAGTCCGCCGGCTCCGCAGCGTGCGTCTCCTTCTCGGCCACGGCCTCCGAGACGGGCAGCGCCAGTGCCACCGCCACGGGGACCTCGTCCGGCAACGCCTCGGTCACCTCATTCACATCCTCCTCTGCGTCCGCCACCACGGGATCCAACGCTACCTCCGCCTCGTCTGGGTCCTCGTCTACCGGCTCCGAGAGCAGCAGCAGCAGCAGCAGCACCAGGACGTCCTCAAGGACCAGCTCCGCTTCCGGCACCGCCGCGTCTGGCTCTGCGTCTGCGTCTGCGTCGTCTGCGGCTGGTGCGGCCTTTGCGAGCCCGGCTGTCAGCGGAGGTCTGCTTGGTGGCTTCCTGGCTGCCGTTGTTGCTATGTTGTAAGAGGAAGATTTGCCTCTGGGTTTGGAAGTTGAAGCGTTGTGGATGCCAATTTAGCGACCAGTTTGATGTGATGTCTCGAATTTATGGGAAAAGAGCAACGAAAGGAAGGCAAATATAATTTTGGATATATATATGATCTTTTAATGAGCGCCTCAATTATCGGTGGCAACGATAGTCTAATGTTATCTTGAACGAGCACACGCCGCCGTCCTCTTGTATCATGCAATCCTTGAGCAGCTGTTTGAGATTTGTTCTTGTCTGAGTCCTTTTCATTTCATGGATGTTCCTCGGCTATCGAGCCGTCCTGGAGCTTTCTCGATTTCGACAACACCTCACTCGTCTCGTCCGCCTTCGCCCGGTGTCCATCATCGGGTGTCGACAGTTCCAGGTCTACCAGCCAAGGCGACTGGTGGGGCTTATATGCCACCGTCATGATGGCAGCATTGACGAAGAGCGTCTCCTTGCCAGCCTCAAACGGGAGAGAGCCCTCATCTCCAGGACACAAACTCACGGGCGTGATCGCGGCCCCACCGCCAGCGTCAGTCCTCTCCAGGACCATCTGCTCGCCCTCATCCTCCCACGACTGCTTGACCGCCCCGTAGGCCTCGTGGATGTGGCCGAAGCAGTGGATTCTGGGCCTCGCCCTCCTGACAGCCGCCCACAGCGATAGACAGCCTGCATCGTCGTGGCTCCTAGTCCGGTCCAGCATCCGGTAGGGCGGTCCATGCGTCATGGCCACATCCGTGCCCTCCTCGATCGCGAAGTCGTGGCCGCCCTCGCCGTACTGAAATCCCCACCTGCCGTACTCAGGCGTCCACGCGCTGGCGTAAACAGTGAGCTTGGCGCCGTTAGCAAGCACGAAGTGGTACGTGCCCTCCTCAGTCAGGACATGAATGCCATCCTGGCGGGCTTTTTCCACTACTTCGTATGTCTCGTGCGGTTGGCGGAGGAGCCGCTTCATCGTTTCTTCAGAGAGGTAAGTTCTCCGAGAGCACTTTACAAATTCATATGAGTCTTTCTGGTTTGCAGAGATTTTGAAAATAGAGGCAGGGAGCTCCTACATCTTTCTCCCAGAACTTGACATCCATGCTGCAGTCGTGATTCCCCGGGATGACCAGCTTCAGCGGCGCATCTACTGACCGCATCACGTCGAAGGTGATTTGGTATTCTTTGACGTGTGACATGAGCGTCAGGTCGCCGCAGTGGATGGCCACGTCGGCACTGGGGAGGGGCTTGCGGAATGCATATTTCTGGGCCTCTTCCGGTTTGGTCTGCGGGTCAAAGAGGCTTTTGCCATGGGTATCTGAGATGATGAGAAGGCGGGTCTTGATCTGTGGTGCCAATGCCATGTCTCCGCTGCGATGTGACGGCACCTTAGTTCCTGATTCTTTGAGCAGACTGAAAGTGGGCGGGCAATGAGGACTCACGCCTAAAACACGTGGTAAAGTATGAGTGAGCCGATATATCTATATGAACCACCAAGAAGACGGCGTGTTGGTTCAGAAAGCAGAGCAGCAACAGCGAGTGTATGATTTTGTCACAAAATCAGATGAATGCGCCTGAATCGGTATAATATATTAAAATGAGAGCGGCTGCCTGAAATGTGGACTGGTGAAGTGAAGATGGTGATGTCAAGAAGCCTCTGCCTTCACAGAACAGAGTAAGCTCAGACCTGGAATTCGCCCCGTTGGTTGAGGGCGGTATACCCGCAATCCACCCATGGTTGGCCGTTCATCTTGCAATAAACAGAAGCTGGGGTCAAACTCCACACGCACTTGAAGACCTTCACTATCCCCTTTCCCAATGGGACTCCACCTTGCGAGGCCTGGGGAGTGAGTCCGGGATACCTGAGTGGGACATTAACTCAATAAGACCAAGCAGTCGTGAGAAGGAGAGGGGCAGCACCTCCCGGCTGGCTTACATAAGCGGGCCTGCCAAAGCATCCAGCTGCACCCGTTCGGGCTTGTGAATGCGACAGCTTCCAACAACTGCCACTTCTCTCTTCAGTGTCAGTGTCAGTGACCACTCCCAGAACCATACTGCTGAAGCACCACGATGGCCTCATCACAAGCGCCTCCTGACGCTCCCAGCGACGACAAGGACAACAAAAGCCGCGAGCCCAAGTACGGCGGATACACTCGCTTCGAGATCGAACTCGAGTTTGTCCAGTCGCTCGCGAACCCAAACTACCTAAACCACCTCGCCGCACAGAAGCTGCTCCAGCAGCCCGCCTTTGTCGAGTACCTCAAGTACCTGCAGTACTGGAGCAAGCCGCCGTATCTCAAGTACCTCACCTACCCGGGCCCGACGCTCAAGAATCTCGAGCTGCTGCAGCAGGAGCGGTTCCGGCGCGATATCATTAGTCCTGATTTCGTTGCGGCACTGATCCAGGAGGGTACAAAGGCCGCTGTCGAGTGGCACAAGGAGAAGGAAGTCTGAGAGGTTGAAGCATTCAAATTTGATTGGGGCTTCTGGTATCTATCACAAAGCGAAGCGAAGCACCACCAAACCGAAAAACACCCCCAAACGCCCTGCCATGCAATTGTCGATCTTAGCTATGCGCCAAACCACGCCAGAATCATTCCCTCCAGAAAACCAATAATGCCTCCCACACTCATCGCGTCACGCGGGGTCGAATCACTAGTTCTCCCTCCACCGATGCCCGCAAGTCATGCACTGCGCGGTGTTAGTACTCGAGCAACAAGGTGGGGCAGATTATTGCCGGTTCACGCGCCTTGAAGAAGCTGGTCATGGGCTCATCAGCACTGCGGATCTGGACCTGGAAGAAAGCGGCCTCCTCGCCGTCGCAGCCCTCAGCCGGGCACTGAGCCTTGCCCTTCTGGGCGTTGTCCCATGCGCCGGGCCCGCCAAAGACGTCCTCCCTCTCCTTGCGGTGGAAGACGCGGCGCGAGTAGAGCGGCTCGGTGATGGCGTATTCGTAGGGGCAGGTCCGGCATTCGAGGCGGTTGAGCCCGTTGTCCATGGCGGACACGGTCAGGATGTTTGCGCAGTGGGGGCAGACTGGGAGCGACAGAGGAGAAGGTTAGTCATGTTGCGATGCGATGCGATGCGATGCGACACCATGCGTTGTGCGCCTATGAGGCAGGCAAAGGGAACACTGAGAGGGTTCTTACAGAGCAGCATCTTCGCTAGGTCGTACAGATAGTTGCAATTGAAATGCCCAGAATAGTAATATGCCGCCCGATGATCCGGTGTCACCGTTGTTGCATGGCTGGTTATCACATGAAAGTTGGGTTGTGAGTTAACTTTTTTTTTCACAATCAGTTAAAGTGAGTCTTTCGGGAGCCCAGGTCTCGTCACCCACCCACTCACTCACTACCTAGGTGCCTAGGTACCTAGCGGCAGGCAAGCTTCTGAGGTTGAGGGCCGGCGGCTAGTCACAGGCGCTAGAGCCGCCCACTGCATAGCGCATAGCGACAGCTCAGGTGGGCGTGGTGGGCGTGGTGGGCGGAGGACCCCTCCTTTCACCACCAAGCGCTTGCTGGGATTGAACCCCACGCGATCTGGCCCGGCCGGCGGGGCGGGCTTTTGGGCGGCAGCGGCAGGTTGCTTGCGGGCTGGCGGGCTGGCGGGCTGCCTGGCTGCTTGGTTTCGTCTGTCTGCACGCGTGGCTTTGGTCACTGCCACCTCCTAAACCGAAGGTTTGAAGGGCCCAAAGGGTGACGTCTGCCCAACTCAAACCACGACGCTTATGCTCCCAGCGACACGACGCAACCCAAAATCTCACGCCGCAGCAACACCATCGGTTGGACAACTTTCCTGCAGTCGAGGCGACCACATCTGACGGCCAGGCTCGCATCATACGTGGGCTGCGGGAGCTGTTCCTGAAACCCAGAGGATCCCTCCTTATACTTCCACGCAGGGCTCCTTTACCTTGAGACTCCTCCCGCGCTGTAACGAGCTGTGTCTGCTCACAGCTTTATCCTCACCATGGCACATGAAGACGAACATGATGTATGCAAACGAGAAAGCCTGGCTATGTTCGTCCACTTAGACCATTACTGACACCGCTCCCTCCCCATAGGGCGCCTCCGCAAAGGAGATCCTCATCGAGGCCTGCCGTCGCAACAACGTCGAGCTGATGCAGGAGACGCTCGAGGGCAAGAGCGAGAAGGAGGTCGCAGACCTGCTGAACAACACAACATCTGTCATGGGCAACCACTTATACCATGAGGCTGCTGCCAGGGGAAACTGTAAGCCAGCCATCCTGGACCCCTAACTCTCCCACTTCCTCCCCTGAACACCATCTTCCTCGCTGCTCCTCCTGCTACGATCACATGCCCTGGAGATTAACCCCACGGCTCCCCCGCAGACGAGATCATCGACTTCCTCCTCGACCAGGACAACTTCGAGTGCGACCCCACGAACCGACTGGAGGGCGACACGCCGCTGCACTCGGCGGTGCGGTGGATCAACAGCGAGCCCGAGGCGCAGCGCGAGTTCGGCAACGCCCTGGTCGACATGATGCTCGAGGCCGGGTCCAACCCGCGCGCCAAGAACAAGGGCGGCCTGACCGCCTACCAGCTCGTCGACCCGCGCAACACGGGCCTTCGCGACCTGATACAGAGGCACGAGTACGCCGCCCTCAACAAGGGCGATTTTGTCCAGGGCTCCGGGAGCGCCGCCGCCAGCGACGGGGTCATCAGCGCGCCCTTGCTGGACGTCGACAGCGACGACGACGCCGAGTTCAGCGGGAGCGACGACGAGGAGAGGGCCGAGTGGGAGCGGAGGAGGAAGGAGAAGGCTGCCAAGAAGGGCTGATCGCTAGGCTGAGCGTGTGGACGCGGCGGACTTGCGCATACAGCATCGCAGCTGTGGCTCATGGCGGATGTGTTGAGCCGGCTGTGCCTGGTCACCCAAATATTAGACGGCACACGGGGTCTCTGGGAGGTAAATTTTAGCAAAAGGCGTTTAGTGCAGAGAAATCCATGTTCAAGATGGTCAGGCAACGCCCAGTGCATGTTGTATAATTCCGCTGAAATGCATTTGCGAGCCTTCAAGCCTTTTCGATGTGGCTTGTTCGTATCTCCCAGCTTGGATCCCGTTGTCGGTTTCATGGGGCTTAGCATCACATTCTGATGGATTTGCACCTACAAATGCTATGTCGGAGTTGATGCACATCGGCCGTGCATTTGCATTGTCTTTTTTTTTGAATTGTCCTCCCAACGAGGAGACCTGGCAAGTAGGTAAATAAGTGCTCTGCACAGTGTTGTACGTACAATATGGCTTTTGAGGGACAGCAAGTCAGCGTGTGCATTTGCTGTACGAAGGATATAAGTCCGAGGCAAATGTAGAAATGGATATGAAATCCAATGAAATTCTGCAGCTATTGACATGCTCTAATAGGGTATATAGTATGTGTAAGAAAAGCCAAGTCACACGAGAATGAGAAGCGCTCCAACTCAAACAATGCAGCGGGATGAGGGATCTCCCAGAGTCCGTCTCCCGATATGCCGCAATGCCTCACTCGTAGCTCATCACTCTGTCGTATCACTCATGCAAGGCCCACAAGCCCTTACAATACAACATTCACCGCCAGAGAAACAACAACTGCAACAAACAGCCTGCCAATGAGTCTACCGCCCGCGCCGCCGCCTGCCGCGCCGCCCTGCGCCTCGATGAACGTCACATTCCTGGCCGCCTGCAGGATATCCTCAGACAGGTTCCCAGACGCAGCCCACTGGCTGATCTGGGTGCCAAAGGTGGCCAGGATGTCGGTGCTCCGGCCGGCGGGGCAGAAGGTGACGCCCCAGCCGCCGCCGCCGGGGATGACGAAGGTCGAGGCGCCGTCGTCGTAGGGGAAGCTGTAGGCGTCCGGGCAGACCTTCTTGGCGTGGCGCGCGTACAGGCTGCGCGGGCACTTGTCCGGGTCGTTGTACTTGCCGTCGCAGCAGTCCTTGGCGCTGCCCGTCTTCTTGCACGAGCTCAGGCACGGGTCGAACACGGGCCGCGGCGTGCTGTCGTCCGGGTACGGGTACACGCCGTCGCCCGGCTTGGGCGGGTCCAGGATCTGCAGGTTCCACGGGCACCAGTGGCCGACCTTCTCCGAGGTCTGCCTGGACTCGTACGGCATTGGGTATGTGTCGTTGGTGAAGTCTGTGCCCGTCCGGTTGGCTGGGGACAGGTAGCCTGTCGTTGCGATGCAGGCTGGGTTGACCATGTTGGGAGGTGGCTGTTGGCCGTTGGGGTTCGGTTGGTACTCCATCGCCAGCGGTAGGTTATACCCATCGACAATGCTGATGTCGACGAAGTTCTGGTTGTTGCCTACTCCTCCGGAGAGGAGGATCTCGGCTAATGTTGCTGGCGGGTTGCCCTGAGAGTCGTGTTAGTCGTTATAGAACCAGGTGAGCCAAGGACAACTCTCCTCGATGAGGCAGATGTCCAAGTAGTTGGGACTTTGACTCACGGATGCTTGTGTGCAGTCCATTTGCCCGCAGCTGCCAGTTGTGCAGGTCAAGACGCCGTCTGACGGTGATGTGCAATTCGTCCGCCCCCATACCCGCCCATACCAATCTGACCCGACCTCGAATGACTTGTTGGCACCAGCTGCCAGCTCAAAGCCACCGGTGCCAGGGCCCGTGCCGGCCGTTGTATAAATGCCCGGCCATATTGTTTCCCCGCAATTGTTGGTTATCAACAGAGGCACGGTATCTTGCCATAAAACCATCTTCACGGTAAAGGCTGTGTGAGGATGTGATATCCAAGGTCGTGTATCTAAGTGGCTCTTGTATAGATCTATGGGGTGTGGATTCTAGATCTTCGCGGTCGATATATGTGAGACAGGAAATGATATGCGGTAGTGTAGCTGAGACTTGGGATCAAGATCAGACGAGAGATATGTTTCGAAACAGATGCAAGCAAAGGGAAGTCGACAAGAGGTCTTTGATTGATGAGATTTGTACAACAAGCACTCTTCCTGGATAGATAGATAGCCAAACCTCGCAAGATCATCGACGTGCGTCAATGGCTTGATGGCCATTTAAGCAGCCGTCGTTCGTCCCAAACGCCCAGGGACGCTGCCATGGTTTCGTTTTCTCACGCTCTTACTGGCGGGATTGATTAGAGCCATGTCTCTGCCATGGACCCTCCCTGGCGTTTACAGCTGGGGTGGAGGATGACGCATTGAGCGGTTGGTTTTCCGGATTCCAAGTCAGCGTTCCCTTTTAAGGGCAGCATTGGCCGGGGGGGTTTGTCGCGCCAGGGGTGGCTGATTGGAGACTGAGCTGAACAGCGTTTCAGTGGGCTGTGATGCAGGGGCCGCAACTTGGTGTGAGTCTCTCGCTTGGCAGCCGCTGATCGAGCGCCAATTCAGAAATAGGTTGGTCGATCCACTCCCGTGAAGACCCTGGAACCAGGCCTGATGTCATCGAGGCTGGTCTGGAATTAAGAGAGGCCATCACGACTTGCACAGACCGCCCTAACTATACACCTGGGAGGAAAACTTGGAATGTTCTAAACCTTAATACTCAGATAAGCGGAAGACCTTGTATCTACTTGCGGTATCTTGATTTCAAGCAAGCACGTTCTCCCTCTGCATATATAGACTTCTCTTCTTGTGCAGTATTCTTCTGCGAACTGAGAACGCGAACACGCGGACATTTAAAGGATTATTTGTAGTTGAGCCTTCTCGTTACCTGATATACTTGTAAGAAACAGAAGGCAATGTTCACTAACAATATGCATTATTTGTTGAGACTGTTCATATGCAAAACGAAACAACTGTATCTTGATAACAAGTAGGAGAGATAACATGTGCACTGCGTTGCAGACAGAAGGATGTCTCATCGTTTGCTGAGAATACCAATGGTTCCTACCACGTACTAGGTGACATTAAGCTGTCGGTAGTACAATAGCAACACATTTAGGTGCTCTATAGTCGCGGCGGCATTGAATATGCTCTCTCCAGAAAACTCCACGGATTTTTCTCGCGTCAAAATTAGTCTTGTGTGTACATATCTCAAAGGCTGGATTTCTGGGGATAATACCGCACTTCACAGCTGACATAACTTTTAGTGTGCTTGAATACTGGCTATTAATTCCAACTGACCAGTCCTGCTTTTCACTGACCCAACACAAAGGCATCAACGATCCTTTCTAGCGGGCGACAATACTGGAAAAATAGCTTCACATCCAGTATGGTCCCCAGTCAGTGTGTCCGTGCTGGAAATTTTCAAGAATGCCGTTTCAAATCCGATATTCCTACCCACGTACAAGATGCCCGGATGGCAAGGAATCGTTTGGGACTGTTGTGGTTATTCCAGGTTTGTATCCTTTTCGCGCGCCAAATCGCCACATCACTTTTAATTAGACAATTAGCCGCCTCAACTTTGTTATAAGTATCAAACTCTCGCGCCGAAAGCCCGGCACCCAACCAGAGGTAGAGCAGCGGAAATCATGGCAACCAACTCCCTGTCATATTCCAACCTCATTAATTTTGTGTTGCGATGAACCACTGTGATCCCATTTATATCGCCCAAATCTGAGTATCTAAAAGCAAGATTGACCAGAATAGAATTATCATCACAAGCCTTATGGATTGTCACAGTTCCAGACACTTAAATCAGTCACTGCGTAACGAAGTGAAAGGGGGCTTGGACAGGACGGGGGAATTCCTCGATTGATACGAGAAGGTGACTGAGGGTCGGGTTTAAAATGTAGTTCTGGCCCAGATTGGTGACCCAGATTGGCTCAGCTAAGTTGATATTAAACAAACTCAAGTGTATATAATGAGTTGTCTAGGTTGTACCTCCACAATTATGACTGTTTGCTTCCAATTCTCATGTCTCATTAAAAGCTGCTCACACATCTTGTACTCTGGTAAAAATGAAGACTAGTAAAGCTTGTGGTGCATTTCAAGGACCATGTATCCCTCGTGCCGCCCAGTATAGGCGACAATTATGAGCGGCTACTGCTTTAAGATAGAACAACTTTATAATAGAAGTCATGTCGAGACGCTCTAACTAACACACCGAAGATACTGAGACGGTTATTGGCGCTCAGGACTTGCTACATTTTGAGAACCTTTAACAGCCTCCTTTCTTAGTGCGCTATGCAAAGTCTCAGTCAAGGCCTCGATTGAGCTAATGACTTCGTAAATCATATAGTTAACGATTCGGTTTTTGGTTTTGAGATTTCCGTTCGCACACTTATGTACTTAGTATAGCTGACGAAGGACGACAACATGTGAATTTGGCCGTACACTCCTCATGCTCCAACCCCTAATAGGTCCGCGGATCATTGAGCCATGATCGATGCGTTGAGCTAACTTAGGGGTGTTCGAGAATGGTTTGGACAAAGACAGTGTCCTTGTAAGACTATCGAAGTCGCGCCATGCCCCAGGGTTGATATAAAGGGGAGACGTACAAGAATCCTTTCGCAAGCTTTCCTGTACGACCTCGTCAGCTCGTAGGTATCGAAGAGACTGTCTCCTTCCTGACTCTGCGCCCACAGAAAGTGTTAGAGTATTTCGCCATCTTCAGACCTAGCAGGCACTCGCTGCCATGATCTGCGAGGCACAGGGTTTCAAACGGTGCTGAATTAGACTTAGTAATTTTATTCACATGTAGATACAGCGTTTGTATCTAACTAGTGTTACACAATTGAAGTCTACTATGCTTTCACCTGGGCCTTGAGAAGGTGATCTAAGACCAAACCTGAGCCAGACTGGCTGACTATAAAAGTAGCTCATGGTGTGCTATCACCGCGACGGGCCGGTCCTTAGTAGAACTTAGGAGCGCACTCTGATCGCGCCGTTCCAACCCGCTAGCGATCACCGAATAGACAGACCCAGTGCGGGATTCAATGTTCATACAGCAAAATCTAGCGATATTGAAAGCTCGCTTAGTCACTTACATCTGGCAGGCACTGAGCACATCATCGCAATCATTGGAAGTTCGGAAACGCTGTGAGCTTCTTTGTCATTTCGGCGCTCCCTAATACAAGATTAGACTAAACATCTAATGCGTTAGCCGCTGCTATAACCCTGCCCCCCTTCTCGCTTGTCAAGACTCTCTTTCTTTTTTTCGTGTGTAAATGGTGGTCATGCCTGCAGTCGTGGTATCAATCGCCTCAGCCAATGGGAGGGCCATTCAAAAAGCAGAAACCAAATCTCGAATCCTCCCAGCAACTTTGAGGACGGGGAAATCCACATTCCAGATGTTTCGCCTCTTCCCTCGCCAGACGTCAGGAACTCGTCACTCGAGTCCACGGCATCGCCCCTTCTATCTGAACCTCGCCCTGCAACGGCCCATAACCTCGCCTTGGCAGACTAGCTCGGCACTGAACTCCGAGCCGTCGAGCGTGAGGTAGATGTCAAAGTACACGCGGTAGAACGTGCCTTGCGGTGTGTCCATGCGTTCGAAATCCTTCTCCAAATTCTTGCGCGAGAGATCCGAGGTAAGTGTGACGACCTCCTTGATACCTGGAGCAAAGAGTCAGCACCGTGTAAATGGACCACAACTATTAATCGGCAGATGTATGAGGGAACTTACGGGGATCCTTAGTGTACTCCGGGCAAACGTCGTCGTCACAAGCATACAGGATATCTTCGTACATGAGAGTCGCCCCGGGAGCGACTTGGCGGAAGAAGGAGACTTTAACGGGCTCTCCAATCTTGACTTTTTGACCCTTTTGCACGAAAATCTGTCGCGTGAATTTGCATCGATCCTTGCCATCAAGTGACGGCACACGGTACGCCTCTGGGTGGTATCCCTCCTTGAACGGCTGCAGGGTGGCCATGAGGTAGTGTCTCCGCGCAATACGGTGAGTGATAACACGCTCTGTGATACCAGCAGTGACGGCACCCTTGACGATGGCGGCGACCGAGTCCATAGGCCGTACGACCTTGGACTGGAATTGCGGAGGCACGTGCAGCTTGATTTGTTGGAAGAGGTACTCGGAGGCACCGAATCCACCGACGACCAGGATGTTCTGTAGTGCCCGGTTCTGCGCTTGGATTGCGATGATCTGGTTGCGCACAAGCTCGAGGATTCGGTTCACCACAGGCTCGAAGCACTGCAGAATCTCTTCGTTGGTGAATGTCATGTAGCCCTCCTCAATGCCAGCCTCGGGGAATTCGGCCTCGATACCCACATCCACGGCCCACTTTTGCCCGTTGTTGCGGAAGTCTGCCTTGATGCGGTTCTCGAAGTCCATGATGCACTTGGCGTAGACGCGGCCTGCGGTCTTGGATCCGTCCGGTAGCTTCATCTTCCTGATCTTGGTCCTTAATATATTGCTGAAGTTCCGGTTCAGGGCGGTCGAACCGCAGGAGTCACCAGATCCGGCGGTGCACTCGGCCACCGTGAAAGGGTTCTCGTCTTCGACCTCGTATGCGATCAAGTCGACGGTACCACCACCGCAATCCACGATGAGCAGAGCATCATGCACCTTGAGGTTGAGGAGACCGGTCTTTGCGCAGAATAGTGCAGCGGCCTCGGGCTCGGAAACCAGGGTCAATCGGTTGTCGTTCTCGTCTCGAAGGAAGCCGGCCTGGATGGCAGCGGCTCTCGTGGCAGCCTTTCCAGCGTCGTTCCAGATGGCGGGCACCGTCAGGTAGTACCGAATGTTCCGCTCCTCTCGGTTAAAGACTTCGCCCAGGGTCTTCTGCAGGGCTGCCCGCATGGCCTGGCGGAGCTTGAACAGGTAATCGGCGGCGACATCAATCTCGGACTTTCCTGGTGGCAGAGGTGGCAGGTTGATGGGGTCGATATACGTATTACCGGACAGCATCAGCTGCAGCTTGAACCACTCCACTTTTTGCACTCCTGGCTTCGGGTACCCTGTTGGTGCGAGGGCATCGGCGATATCGGGGCCCCAGCCAACAACCTTTTGGTATTGATCGTAGTAGAGCACGGTAGGGATCTAAGAAATGTGTCAGCTTTGAGGCTGACGCCGACGCTCTGCCTCGTAGCCTGCCTACCTTTTGCTTAGTGTATGAACCGGCACCTGGCCATTCTGTGATGATGTCCTCCTTTGCCTCGTTATTTGTTGCGAATGCAAATGCGACACCGGAGAAAGTCGTGCCCTGGGAGATGGTGTCAGCAGAGTGGACCTCCAGACTCAAGACTTGTCCATGCGGGTCGAGGTGCTTACGAAATCAATGCCAACAATCAATTGCGCCTTGCTCCTGCTGTTGCCCTCGACCTCGGCGGCTGGTCGAGTGTATGCGGCGGTCGGGAGATTCTGGCTAGGGGGAGGGCCGTAGCCTCCGGCGCCGCCAGTGTAGCCTGGCGGGCCTCCGGCGACTGGCGGGCCGCCTTGCATTGGTGGAAGCTGAGGGGGGTAGCCGGCGACTGGGGGAGCTCCGGTGTTGATGGGTGGAGGGCCACCGACCATCTGCGTGGGAGGAGTTCGAGCCTGTCCTGTAGAGGGTGGGAGGCCGGTGTCAGTGAGGAGAGTTGAGTTGAGTTGAGATGAGCAGAGTTGAGTTGGTTGGGGGCGGGGAATTGGGTGTATGTAAGTACGCGAGCAATTGTATTGGGCTGGGTTGGGTTGATTGGTGAAGGGATTAATAGGCTGGGCCCTGGGGCTTGGGGCTCTGGGAGGGGGTCTGGAGGGGGAGGGGGAGGGGGAGGGGGAGGGGAGGAGACCCACCAGGATACCCAGCTGTGTAGCTCGGTGGCCGCTGCCCTTGGCCAGGGTGGTTCATCTGGGGCAGGGACTGCTGCGAGGAGTTGGAGGCGATGGAGGGAGCTTGTCCAGCGGGTCGGACGTGTGATGGGGGAGTGCTGTTGTGGATGGACGACTGCGACGAGCCCTGCGGCGGGGGAGTGCGACTCTGGCTCTGCGATAGGTCTGGCGACTGAATGCTTGCGCTCGATTTGCGTTTCGCAAAGCCGAGGTGTTTCAAGCGGGAATTCAGAGAGCTCATAAGGGAGGAGGAATGCAGGAACGATTTAAAGAGGAGGGGGGTACTGTATTAAATCTTAAAAGGGACGAAACCCAAGGGTGGCACGATTCAGCCGCCCAGCCCAGAGACGGGGGGAGTAGGATGCGAGCGAGGGGGGGCGAAGGACAGGCAGGACAGTTAGGTAGGACACAAGTACAGGACCCAAAGGGTAAAAAACGAGGTCGGCAAAACGTAAAACGGTAGGCGGCAGGTGGCAGGTGGCAGGTGGTAGTGTCCTCGGTCCTTGGGTGGTGCTCAGGTTAGGTTAGGCTGGACTGGGTTGGCTTGGGTTGGCTTGGGTTTTTCGCTTTTGGTTGTGGGTGAGGGCGGGCGAGAAGTAAATCGAGGGCGCAGGATTGGGGGGTGGAGGTGATCGAGTGAGAAATTAGACAGATGCAGGACTGCTTCGTTTGCGGGTGCGTTGTGCGTTGCTCTGCGTTGCCGTTGCGATGTTGCGTTGCGTTGCGGTGCGGCTGGGCTGACTGCCGCGCCGTGCATGAGGCAGCTGCTTCAGGTTCTCTCGCGTGTGCTGTCCGTCTCAGGACCGTGACTCTTGTCTGCCGGTGAACCTTATGAGCGAGGACTTTTTTTTGATGACTGTAGTCAGGCACACCACAGTCACGGGCACAGGCACACGTCAAGGATGTCGTCGTCGGCCGCAAGGGTATGGGTGGATGTGCCCTGTCTGCATCCAAAGCAAAAAAAATTAAGGGACCATGTAAACTTTGGAAATAGAAAAAGAGAGGGCAAGCAGGAGAGACAAGAGCAGGTTCCTCGGCTTCACAACGAGGGCGGGCTGTCTTTCTTTGCGGCGACTTTCCGGTTCCAGCAAGGTATGTCGTCCGGGTCGGCTTGAAATGGGGAGGTTCTGGCCTGGTCTGTTGGTAGATAGATAAAGGCCTTGACTGCTTGCTTGGGTGACTGCAACTGTGTGCATGCGGGTGTGTCGTCTCTGCCCGTCCGTATTTCCGTCTGTCTGGCTTGTCTCTTTGCTGGTGATAGAGATATTGGCAGTTTGCTGGCCCAGCAGGATGGGGGTGGATTGGGATTGGGATTGGTCTGGATTGGAGACTGGGGACTGGGACTGGGACTGGAGACCAGGACTGGGACGTAGGACTTTGCTGCGAATAATACTAAAGAAAGGACTAAGCACCAACAAGCGAAGAGCTGAGTCCTACACCAACCGTTCTGCAAGTAGGTGGCCTAGTGCCCGGTCAACTGGTGCCACCAGGTACGGAGGGTCCCACTTGCTCGCAGCAAAGAGAGACTTCACTGCACGCCTGTGTGGCTGAGAAAGAGACAAGACTTTTGACTCCGCCGACTTGGATTGCCAGGAATCCCCAGCTTATTCACCGCATCCACGGGAAAGAAAAACCTTCTTCACCTCCTCGTCGTCCTCGTCTTCCTCGTCGACAGCTGTGGAGACAAGGCTGAGTGAGCTTGTTCGAGTCCTGCCTGAGTCCTAGTCGTGCTAGTCTACTCCAGGAGTGTGCCGCCCGCCATGCACGGCCGGGACCAGCCAGTCCTGGCACAGCCTGGTAGGGTTGCAACGGCGGTGCTAGGGCTGGGCTGCAGTGCAATATGCAATTGATTCCTGATGACCCTAAAGTGCAGGATGGAGTGGGGGAGGATGAAGATGTCGATGCAATTTGCCACGACGCACTTTCTCACTTTCTCCTGGTGAGATGACCTCGTTCATGAGACTGTCTCGAAGGCCAATTTCAGGGTGAGCAGCCAACCTGCTTGGGCATGCGCAGGCACGCAGGGTTGCAGTCCTACCGTCGGAAGGATTCTCTGGACTGGACTAATTGTGAATCCTACCACCACTTGGCCCTCTATCTGAGGGAACCGGGTCGGCTGTCCCTGGGGAACAACCTCGGGAGGGAAGAAGCACGGAGCGAATTTCAAATCAAGCTTGGTCATGGTGACGATCGACAACACGCGGTAGAGATCTATACAGAACACCTACCCCCAGCAAGCTCTTAATGGGCTACAGCTGGATGCGGCCGTGTGACACAGCACCAACATCAGCAAACAAAGGGCTGGTTGTTCAGCCTTGATCGACGTTCGCCTCTCTCCAGGGCCACCTCCAACAGACAAATAGCCATCTGACAGGTCCCACGACACAGGGACAGCAGCGCAGATGGACCGTCGAGGTGGCGGCTTTTTTGGGGGCCGATATGCATCTAGAAGCATCTGAGACTGCTGCTGCTTACCTAGAGGGTATCATGTTCATTCATCCGCACTCCGTGGGGCCTTTGGAATGCCGTCCCGACTTGGAACGGGCAGAGGCCGCGCTGATATGCCCGAGGTCCGCATTCAATGGAACGGGACCACTGGGTCAGGTGCTGGCGGATGCTTCTTCAACCACAGGGCTCTCTTGACCCGAATTTTTGGCTTTTCTTTGTCCGCCTGCGCAAGCCATGCTGCATCAAGACTGCCACTCTTCAACCCAGTCTGTGCTATCGTCATATCTCGTAACGCAACAGAAAGTTGTAAAATCGTTGGCGGGCATCATTCGTGGCCATACAGGTGCACAGCCTGCCGTCCAACGGGCGGTGAGAATCTCTGCGAACTTCCAACCCGCGAGCCGAGCCGAGCGAGCGAACGAGCGCACGTTGAGTGTCAGACTAGTCTGGGTAGACTAAGGGAGACCGAGGACAAGGTAGTCCTGTCAACTGAGATCGCCAGAGGACCGTGCTCTACTGCACGGCATCACTACCAGTGCATAACCTTTCCGCACCCGACATCTTAGACAACCAACCACAGCATTCTTCATCATCTTCATCGTCAAATGGGAAGGGTGCCCGTCGCATGGTGGTGCCGAATATAGCTCTCGCCGATCCGACCATCGTGATCAGTAGGCCGTTCTATTTCCAATCACCCTACAGCAGCAACAGCCCAGTCGAACGAGCCCTTCCCGCTGCCGTCCGGCAGTGCAACCGACGCCGGCAGAGCACACGCCCGCGGTGCCCAAGGAGCAAGCGAACAGACCCAGGACCCTCGAGTAGGGGGGGCGGAGCTGCGGCTGAGCCATGTGGGCACAGCTGAGTCGGTGGGACAGGGATCTTTGCTCTTCACCACCACGGCGCTTAAGCACGTAGCGACATTTGCCAGTCCCCACACTAGGGTGAGCAGGATGCACAGGATTCACACCGGGGAAAGAAAACCCCAATCACGTATGCGATTCTGATTCTGGATCGCGTGGCATTGCAGCTGTTCCATTTGCTGCGTTGGCTAGCACAGGCACATGTCTTGTCTAGCTGCTATTTGGAATTTGAACTGATGACGGCGTGGACCTGCGTAGATTTGCCCTCGCGGCTATTGTCATTGACTGAGTCTCCTGATTTGGCGACCTGCCGCGAGATGCGCTTGCTGAGCGACCAACCGCGCATTGCAAAACTGCCCTGCACACATGTCTTTAAGTTCGTATTTATTTTTTCCTTTTCTCTCTTTTTTCCTATTTTCAGAACTGTTTCTTCACAATTTGACACCTTGCATGGCCTGTTAGACTCGTGAGCCCAGCATGCTTGTCAGCCACCGAGCTGGCGGCTGGCGGCTTCTGATTACGAGATGCACTCCAAGTTCCATGGAATTGAGTGCTGCATGCATTTGACAAATGTGACAATGCCCTGCTATTTTGATGAACCTATGAGCTTTATTTTGGTGTTTGGGGGGAGGGGGGAAGGGGGGCAAGCCGCATGAGCGGAAAACCAGTGGTGGCTATGACTTGCTCGCGTCTCTGGCCTTGGTGTGATCTTGGCGGTGACGGTTGTTAGTGGTGTTGCTTGCTATTTTTCGAACTTGATAGATCTTCAACAGCACTGCCTGGATGATTTCCTGTGCTGTGGAAGGGAAATGGTGACAGTGATGGAGCAGTCAGGATCACCGCCATCAGTTGAGCTTCTCTAAGACAAGATGGGGTGGGAAGCAGGGTATTCGCTGCCCGAAGGTGGGACGATCGATAACCGTTATGTAGTCGAAGCCCACTGATGACAGCGGAGCTGTCTGTCTTTTGTAGACTTCTATTGTACGATGCTTTGACAAACTCCTTTCACGATAGACTTTGAAAACAGTTTGAAAGCTGGCTCAGTAGCTGAGCTTGAACATTTACTCAATTCAGCGACTTCCATCGTAAACTTTGAGGGCCCGGAATCGCAGTCCAGACGTAGTGACAGAGTGTCTTACCGAGAACACTATATATGCCATTCTTCTTGATCACTTGCCTCGGGTACCCTTCTTCTCTTCCTAACCAATGCATCGGTAAAGCAGCACCTCACTCTGGCATGGTAAGAGAAGAGTTTCTAAGCAATACCTGGGTACTTGGGTACCTGGGTACCGAGGTTGTCTTAGACGGGGACCAGATTATGTAAGCCTTATCGATACGATACCGGCAGGGTGCATCATCGGCAGCCACTAATAAAAAAGTTAATGTTCAGCAGAATGATGAATTGAGCGTTGAGCGTACCTGGGTTGGTAGTTGACTGCCACCGACTTTGACGATTCTTAGAGCGCGGTGCGCTACACCTTTTGGACGCCATGTCGCGCAGAGCAGTGAGCAACTTCTCGCACCCAATGGCCAATCCTTGTGGACTAACCTCACTTTTCTCAGGTTGCGACCGCCCCATGGGCTCGATCCCTCTGCCGGGCGAACAGCCGAATTTCGATTCAAAGCGTAATGAGTCAACGTCTCCCGCGCACAACATTCCGGCAGCATTCCTACCGCCAATTGACAAGAGTGATACCCTCTGGTCGAGCGACATTTTCACAAGCGCACGGAACCGAGTTCTCCTTCGCAGATATTCCAACCGAAAACAAAACGCCACAGACCCTGACGGAGAAGATCGTGCAGCGCCATGCTGTCGGCCTCCCAGAGGGAAAGCTCGTTCGGAGCGGCGACTACGTACAGATCGAGCCCTACCGATGTATGTCTCACGACAACACCTGGCCAATCGCCAAGAAGTTCATGTCCATGGGCGCCACCCAGGTCAAGGACCCCAAGCAGATGGTTTTTGCACTCGATCATGACGTTCAGAACAAGACCGAGTCCAATTTGAAGAAATACGAGCAAATTCAGGAATTTGCAAAGAAGCATGGTGTCGTGTTCTACCCGGCCGGCTATTCAATCGGTCACCAGGTCATGGTGGGTTGCTCCCGTGGCTCGAAAGGCGGTCTGATATATGCTAACAGCCCGTCAGGTGGAGGAGCTGTATGTCTGGCCGGGCACATTGTGCGTAGCGTCGGACAGTCATAGTAATATGTACGGTGGTATCAGTGCTTTGGGAACCGCTTTAGTAAGGACAGACGCTGCGTCAATTTGGGCCACAAAGAAGAGTTGGTTTCAAATTCCTCCAGTTGCGCAGGTAACTCTTACGGGGACATTACCTCCAGGCGTCACTGGAAAAGACGTTATAGTGGCGCTATGTGGCCTGTTTAACAGCGATGTACTCAACCATGCGGTTGAGTTCACCGGCTCTGAGGAGACAATGTCTAGCATATCGGTGGATAACAGACTTACAATCAGTAATATGTCAACTGAGTGGTCTGCGCTTTCTGCAATGGTAAGTCTCGGATCCGTAGACGACTGTACTGGAAACTATCTAACTTGATACGCTACAGTTCCCCATAGACCGGACTCTGGAACGCTGGCTGCGATACAAGGCCACAGAAGCAGCGATGCACGAAAACAGGACAACAAGAGAACGAATTACCCACGAAAAGATTGACGAGCTTTACGCCAATCCTGTCCATGCCGATCCCGGAGCACATTATGCAAAGCAGCTCTACCTCAATCTCTCTACCCTATCGCCTTATATCTCAGGACCCAACTCCGTCAAAATCTCAACACCCCTCAACGAGCTCGCGCCGAAGAACATCAAGGTAAACAAGGCATACATCGTGTCTTGTACCAATTCTAGAGCCTCTGATCTCGCTGCAGCCGCCAAGGTCTTCCAGGATGCCGCAAAGGCGAATGGCGGCAAGACCCCTAAGATCGCAGACGGTGTCAAGATGTATATTGCGGCAGCTTCAGTCCGTGAGCAGGAGATCGCTGAAGATCAAGGCAGTTGGCAGACCCTGCTCGAAGCTGGCAGTATCCCACTCCCGGCCTCTTGTGGGCCTTGTATCGGACTGGGAACTGGTCTCTTAGAACCCGGCGAGGTTGGAATTTCGGCTTCGAATCGTAACTTCAAGGGTCGAATGGGCTCTCGAGATGCTCTCGCGTACCTTGCCAGTCCTGAGGTTGTGGCCGCCAGCGCCCTCAATGGCGTAATTTCAGGCACGGGCGAATATGAGGTCCCAGAGAACTACTCGGGCGTGGACTACGGTTATGGCACTGGTATGCCTGCAACCACGGAAAGCGAGCTCGGCAACGCTCTGCAACAGCTCGAGTCACTTATCGACCGGGTCGAGTCGTCCGTGGGTGGTGATGACACCTCGAAGGCCACAACTCAGATTCTTCCTGGCTTCCCCGAGAAGATTACCGGTGAGATTGTGTTCTGCGATGCCGACAACCTCGACACAGATAATATCTATCCTGGAAAGTACACATACCAGGACGACATCACAAAGGAGGGCATGGCAGCCGTCTGCATGTCGAACTACGACCCGGATTTCGGGTCAGTCGCCAAGCCCAATGACATTCTCGTCTCAGGGTTCAACTTTGGCTGCGGATCCTCAAGAGAGCAGGCTGCGACAGCAATCTTGGCCAAGCAAATACCGCTCGTCGTGTCGGGCAGCTTCGGAAACATCTTCTCGCGGAACAGCATCAACAATGCGCTCCTGGGTCTGGAGGTCCCGCGCCTCATCGAGCGCCTTCGCGCCACCTTCACCCGCGATGAGAAGACGCCAACCCGGCGGACAGGATGGACTCTAACGTGGGACGTCGCTCGGAGCGTCGTCCAGGTGCAGGAGGGCGAGAATGGGGAGCAGTGGGAGGAGAAGGTCGGCGAGTTTGCGGCCAACCTGCAGGACATTGTCGCAAAGGGCGGCTTGACGGAGTGGACTAAGCACGAGATCTCGAAGACGGAGTCATAGATATACCATGTAAAAGTGATTTGAGCTCGGGATTTGATTCTAGGCACGTAGACCTATGTACAGCAAAAAGAAATACTAACAATCTTGTGTGTAACGCTAACTAGTACATTGAGCAAGCTATGACCGTATCTACGGCCTCCAACAGGTCCCGGAGGATGGGCAGAGTTCCAACTTTTACGACAACAATGATAAGAGGAATCCAAGCCAGACGGCATATACAACAGCTTTGTGGAAAACTTTGAGAAAGCATTATTATTACATGGAGCAGACGTCCAAAAGGTCGAAGAAAAGGACCAATCACTCAATCGCTTTGCTCCGGGTCAGCGGAGCTGTCGTCAAAGATGCTCGATCAGGGCAAGCTCGATGAAAACCCTGGAAGTCTTTTGGGTGTGCCATGAAACGCAAGCTTAGGATTGTTGCCTCCTTCTGATCCAGGCTCGGGATCGAGCATCCACTGGCAAATTCAACGTGGTCTCCTGATATTGGAGACTTTTTATCCTCTATTTTCTTCCACCTGGTAGAATTGGCATGGCAAATGAGTTCCCATAAGTATTCTGGTATAAAGTGTCGGCCAACCCGCAGAGCATAACACATTTTGAGACGACTATAATCCCGCTTTTTCTGGCAGCAGAGTACGAATGTGAATAGGAGCTCAGAAGCAAAAGCAGACCACTGGAAAGGAAGCCGACGCTCGAATCTTTTAGGGGCCCGATATCCCTTCGGAGGCTTAAGTAACTATCATATAAACGAGCACATCGTCATAGTGACACTGTGACAGAAGGGAATTACCAGAACGCAATCTACCGTATAACGAACAAAAATGCAAGAGTACGAAACATCCTCTAGAAATGTTGATACGCAATATGATCCTTCCGCCCGGCAAGAATTGCTGTTCATTGGTCTGCCTATACACAACGTGTTTAAAAGACACAATTAAATAATTGCTGAAACTTGAAATAAGGATTCCCTTTGATATTTCTTTGGTGTGATACCATTGCCCTCTACGTGAGAAAGTGCGTCAAATTGTGTTACTATTATTGGCTATACTGTTTGATTGCCTACTATTCCAGGCACAGATATGTCTGATTTTGCTCTAGATAAATGCAAGAACGCTGATCAGCTGTGCGACTCTGTCGAAGCACAAGAAACGAAAGAGGAAACGACTTGAAGCCACAGACTCTTCCTTCATTTTGTGGAAGATTTTGCGCCCAACAACGACAACGGGAAAACGGCCCTGAAGATCACAACTACTTCGAGGACCACCAGGGCCAGGAAAACAACAGCGTGCCTCAATAACAAGAAGATTTGGGCAGCCAAGTGGTTCTAGAACCAAGCCAATACTTTCTTCATGTTTGGGTGCTAGATGAAAGCACTACGAGAGCAACAGCGAAGAGTCCTCTGTGAATATTGACCTGGTCCCTCGGCCCAGCTTTATGAAGGAAGTCTTGGCTACCATCATTCGGCACACGCCCAGTGGAACCTCGAGATTTTCATAGATGGCAGTTCAATGCCAAATGGGTGCCGGGAAATGTGACAGTTGGTACACATCAATAGAAGGCTAAACGGTCTTAAGAATGTGCTTGATGTTAGCCTTACGCGTCAAGTCTTGACCCCCAAAACAGCCTCGGATCGCAATTTGTCGTCCAGTCAATGAATATGCCCTGTAGATCGTATGATCGGACCGTCATATTCTGCGGCCTCTAGACTCAGGCGCCCGGTCTCATCGTTGGAAGAGTCCGGTGTCCTGAGACGACCTGACAGTACTTTTCCAGGAAGTGGGCTGGGCCAATTGCTTCTCCTGTCCTCATTATGGCGTAGGAGACTGACACTTGATGGTCTTTTCCTGCAAGGTCCTTCAGTGTCCTCTGGGCCCTGTTCACAATTGTTCTCGATCAATTGATTAGAGACCATCCGATTGGGATCGTTATCAAGGCCACCACTGGAAAATACCGTCAGCGCATGAGGACCAAGACGGACAGCTTTCTACACCTGTATTTTATGTTAGTAGTCGTTGGTGGTGATGGTGGTGGTTATATGAATCATGCAAAGGGTGCAGCTAGGGGTGTTCCGAGTCGACTGGCGTCAAGCCCTCCACCATCTTCATCCTGTCACAAATCTCAACTGACGTGTTGAGCATCTTGAGCAGCTCGCGGAAATAGCGAGCTGGCGCGACTTGGACTGTCTCCTTTTGCCATCCAGCCAAAATCTGTTCACGAGACCACTGTAGCTTGCAGAGCAACGACCTCGGTTGCTTCCCGAAGCCCACGTTCAGCACGCAAATTTGGGTGGCGACCTCCCTTTCTCTACTGGGCCTGCCCCAGGAATTCTGGATGACGGTAGCCTCAAATGCTATATCGAGGATGGTCTGGAAGTGCTGAAGGTGCAGTAGCTCGATTTTCTCCAAAAGACAAGTGTTTCATCACGCACGTAGAGGATATTGTTGGAGGGAATCCTTGGCGAAGCTCAGGGAAACTAGGGGTGATTTAGCAGCGTGACCGCTGAGAATTGGCTAGTAAGAAGGCGTTTAAGAAACGTTGCAGGTTTGGAGGGGGAGGGCAAGATGTGAATGGCTTCATGAACCTTCGTCCCTACTCCGTACGTGGCACGGACGCAGCCGGTGCGGAGAAGCGCGTGAATGGCATAAACGAGGGTAAGTGAGAAGACAATTAGCAAGTAATTAATTCGTATCAATTACAATAGGGGGTGTGTCGCGTGACAATTTGTCGCCGGAACACATCTCCCCTACCTAGGCATGGTTTGGAGTCTGGGGCGTAGAGTCTGGTTTCCTGCGAAGCGCTGCACTCCCTGGGGCCCCAGGTCCTCGGTGCTTGATTTTTTTTGGTTCTTGGACGCTTGGGATCGGGTGTCGGTGGCGCCTTCGTCTCGTGAGGATCGTGTCCTGTGACTGGCAAGCGCTTTCTCGTTGTTGCTTGACCTCATAATCAAAAATCAAAACCTGGGAGCCAGGCCTCAAAAGTCTGCACACCTGTCCTGCTCGGCCATCGTCCGTTCATGTTCTGATGCCATCGATTCGGTCCGTTCGGTGTCCTTAGGCCCCCACCTCACCTGGCTCGGATCCCCAGAGACGTCTCCTCCGTATCGACTTGCGAGAGCCTCATCTACCCCGTCAGGACAAGCTGCCCCAGCCGGATTGGTGCCCCCAGGACGACTTATGAGTCTCCTGAGTCTCTGAAACAATTGGATTGGCCGAGGTCACTGTCGTGGCTGGCGTGACTAGGCTTCTTGAGTGGCTGTCAAGACTCGCAGCAGACAAGGCACACCGGGGAAACAGGCTGATTTTGACCTGTCTCGACTCATTCTTAGTGGGCTCGTTTTCTCCACGGGCACCCACGATTTCCTCCACGACTGCCGCCATTCCACCACAATTTCCCCGACCACGTCTCGTCACCCCATGGAAACCCACTGTTGAATGCTGTGGATAGACCTAGCAGCTCTGCGACTGTGGATACGACGGTCGCCCTGCTACGTCATCGGCCCCGGCCGCTGCCAATTCTCGGCGCGAGGTTCCCTGGAAGGTCTGGAAGGTCACCATCGCCGGAACCGATCGGCCGTGGTCTGTGTCTTGTGTGGTGTCCCAGTCCCAGTCCCAGGTTGTTGGGTGAACCGACAAAGTGGGTGTGTCTACTGTGCCTGTAGCGCCCACGAGGCAGTCCCAGCATCGATCGCTAACGCACAACCTGCAGCCAAGCTCGTGGCATTGCATCAAGCGAGCTGGTGGTATTGGCCTCCATTGGGCTCGCTCTTTCTAGCGGCATCCGAGGAAACAAACGATTAACACGGCGATACCACCTAGATTACCATAGATACCGCGCAGGAGACGCAAGATCACTGACGCTCTTGACCGCCCAGCAATCAGGGCGCTCGCTACTCCACCATTTCCTTTGTCGCTGTCCGTCTCCCCAACCATTCAATATCTGTGTTGTACCAGCACAAATTCTCGCTGGTCTGGACTCGTCCCGTCCCGTCCAATTCCACCGAGTGTCCTCGAGTCGCCCGCAAACAAGCAGCAGGGGGGTGCGCAGATATTGGTCGCCCATGATCTCATTCCAGGTCTCACCTGCAGCACATCCGGCCCTTTTTTCTCGCTCCACTGGAATCGCCCCGAGTCTCCGCCAGCCGCCGAGGCCACAGGCTTGTTGCTGGTAGCTGCTTGCGCGCCGCCCGGAGAGCCTTTGTCGTTGATTGACCTCCGAGGTACTTCTCTCACCACCAAGGGTGTGGCCTCATAGCTGGGACACCAGAATCGTCCATCACCTCCCATGTGTATGGAAGGACATCCTTCTGCTTAGGAGGAGGAAGGCCGATAGAAGGGCCTCATAGCTCGGGCACCGTGGAGGCACGGTCAAGGTTCCCGCGGCTGAGGAATCCCAGCGCCAGGTTCTACGTCACTGGGATTGGAGATTCCGCCCTCTCGGATTCGAGCTCTTTGCATAACGGCCGCCAAACTGGAGAGGCCATCCTCGCACGGCAGCGCCTCCTGGCGTGCCATTGACGAGTCGACCGCAACCGCCCGCGACTCAGACTGTGATTTCCGGAAGAACAAAACCCAGACCCAGACTGTGAAGCCTTGTTCGTCGTCGTCGGCCCTCGTCTTCTCGACCATCAGGCCGGTACATCTCTGCTGGGCCTTGTTCCCAGTGCTAATCTTAGTAAGTCTCCTCGAGGTCACCAGGAGGTCACGGCCGGCGGCCCCCCAACCCAGGCCAGCTTGGCTTTTTAGCCGCACTCCCCAGGAAGTCCAAGCTGCGCCTGCGCATGTGCCCCGCACAATCTCACGACTCTCCCCATTCTGTCGCCTGTCGTGTGGAAGCTAGCTAACCCTGCTCCCTGCTGCTAGCTCCTACAGCTGGTACTTCGTGACGCCAAGCTGCTCTATTCCTCTCATATAATAGCTCCCTTCCCTCTCTTCCGTCCTTCTTACTCCCCTCTCGCCCAAGTTTCTCAAGAGCCTGTGTGCGAGAACCCTCAAGTCTTTCCTACTTCAGCTCCCGTATCCAAACCTCTCACCATGGGGCTCACGGCAGAAACCAGCCGCGTCGTGCAGCAGTTCGACCTCAACGATGCCGACCTCAACAAGGGCGTCACCGAGTTCCTCAGCCAGATGGGTGCGTTCACCTCAATGCTCACTATTTAATCGATTGACTGACAGCTCATATCCCTTCAGACCAGGGCCTCGAGAAGGATGGTACGAGCTTGAGCCAGATTCCTACCTACGTCACCGGCGTCCCCAATGGCACCGAGAAGGTAAGCCTCACACACCTGCGCCGCGCGGACCTCAGCTCACTTTTTGCGCGCAGGGCCTCTACCTCGCGGTCGATCTAGGTGGCACAAACTTCCGAGTCTGCTCAATCCATTTGAATGGCGACACAACATTCAACCTTACTTACTCAAAGGTCGCCATACCCAGGGAGCTCATGACCGCCAAGACTGCCCAACAGCTGTTCGGCTTCCTGGCAAAGCAGATCGAGATCTTCCTTCGTACACACCACAGCGAGCACTTTGAGCACCGCGTAAGAAGACGCTTTACGTTCAGCAACCCCGAGGGCTTCAAGGATGAGGAGGTGTTCCGTCTCGGCTTCACATTCAGTTTCCCCGTTCAACAAATCGGCATCAATAAGGGCATTCTGATGCGATGGACAAAGGGCTTCGACATCCCCGACGCAGTGGGCAAGGACGTCTGCCAACTGCTACAGACCGAGATCGATAAACTTGGACTGCCGGTCAAGGTCGCCGCGCTCGTCAACGACACCGTGGGAACGCTGATGGCCCGTTCATACACTTCACCTGGCAAGAAGGGCACAATTCTGGGAGCGATTTTCGGCACCGGCACCAACGGCGCATACGTAGAAAAGCTCTCGAACGTGAAGAAGCCCGTGCAGGGCGTTTTCGATAGATCAACAGGGGAGATGGTCATCAACACGGAATGGGGATCTTTCGACAACCAACTGAACATACTTCCCAACACGACATGGGACAAGCAGTTGGACAAGGACAGCATCAACCCGGGCATTCAGATGTTCGAAAAGCGAGTTTCTGGCATGTTCCTGGGCGAGATCCTGCGGTTGAGCATCGTCGATCTGCTGAAGGACGAGAACGTCCAGCTTTTCAAGGATGAGAACTCCAGCAAGAACGACTGGCGGTCGACGACAACCGTTGCTAAAGAATCAGGCATTTTCAAGCAATGGGGAGTCGACACCGCCATCATGTCCGTTGCCGCCGCAGACAACACTCCTGACCTCGGCACTCTGCGCCAAGCACTGGAGGACCAACTGCAGGTGTACAGCCCCTCCTTGGAGGATGCTCAGGCATTCAAGGTCATCGCCGAGTCCATCGGCCGCCGCGCTGCCCGTCTCTCGGCCATCAGCATCGCTGCCATTGTCCTGAAAACCGGCAAGCTGACCGACCCAGAATGGGAGGGCGAGCCGATCGATGTGGGTGTGGACGGCAGTCTTGTCGAGCACTACCCATATTTCCGCGACATGATGTACGAGGCGTTCCGGGCTATCGAGGGCATTGGTGAGGAAGGCGCCAACAAGATCCGAATTGGCATTGCCAAGGACGGGTCTGGCGTTGGTGCTGCGCTCATTGCCCTCGTGGCGACCGGCGAGGAGAAGAGCCAACCCACCCCCGAGTTCTTGGATGAGGTAAGACTCACCCTGCAAAACTGAGGCTGCTGTTGCGAACTCCTCCACTACCACCTCCGCACGATCGACGCCGCCGTATACTGACTTTTGCTGCGCACAGCAACGTGTATCTTCTTTTTCAATTCCAGCAATTCGGTGGCACCTGCGCAAGGTCCAGCCATGGCAGTGGGCCGGACTGGGACTGATCGCCGGTCTCGTAGCAATCAGGAAGAAGGAGTTCTTTGCAGGTCTTTGGGGGCGTTTTGTGGCGCGGAACTGAGCATTGCAGGCAAGAACTTGTCTCGTCTGCACCTTTGATTACTGTATATGATATGATAATGGTTGGGCATACCATCGGAAAGCGGGTTTTCTGGCTTGGTTTGGCTTGGGCAATGCTCTGCAACTGCAACTTGCACTTCAGGTAGGGGGGTTTATCATGGTTTCATGCCGGAGTCAATCCAAAAACTGATCATTCTTCGGAAGGCTCTTCTCTGCCTGTTTGTTCTTGAGACCCCATGTACTTCATACTGCTGCTTTCTGCTCCTATTGACGGGCATTTTACCGACTGGCCAATAGCATTATATCGCGCACTTCTGCAAATGCTTAATGCGCGCGGAGGTGGTACATTATGCGAGGCATTAATCACAAGTCAGGGTGAGGTACATGTTCCCATGTCAGATCTCACTACAGGCTTTGAAGCTTTTGTGCAAAATCTCACACCTTGTCCTTGGAAGTGACCACAGCTCTGCTGCTTCAACAATCACTCTAACGTCTTCACAATAAAGCTCTTGCTCATCCATAATATATACTGTAAATGTGTTACCCTTGCATAGTCTAAACAAACCTCTATCAACAGGATCAGTCTGCGATGTCTGGACATGCCTGATTAGACAGCAGAACCCAAACACCGTCCTTTGTATCCTATGAGATACTCCCAATGCTTTCCTTTTGGTCCACCGCCTCCATTCTGCCCAAACGCCGTTTTTTTTCTCCCAAAGAAAAACCTGGTTCTATTTCCTTTTCCTCAAACACAATAAACCCTGCCGGCCAGGTAGCATCAGCTCCCGAATGCGGCGGTTGGGTACGACCTGTCCTTCTTCTTGCGCCCCATCGCCGAGCTGCTCCTCGAGCTCGAGGTCGACCCCGTCGGCGGAGAGAGGAGGTCCTTACTCCTGGACGAGCTCCGTGATGTCGCCACCATGTCCTCTGGCAGGTCGTTCCATTCCATGTCCGGCCGTTTGTTCTGGAAGGACAAGGACGACGCCGGCGGGCCGGGGCGAGCTGGCGGAGGGCCGTTCGCAGCCGGCGGTGGCATGGGCGCCCCGTTCGCGGGAGAGAACCCGGGCAGGTTCACAGCCGCGGCCGTGACGCTCGGCGGGACGGCGGAGGGCTGCTGTAGCTGCTGCGCGGCACTTCCATTTGCGACGCTCCACGCGCGGCAGTCCTGCTCCTCTCCGTCCCCTCCGGCGGGCAGCACCCGCCGCTTCATGACCCATGCGCTGCCCGGCTGCAGCTTGAAGTAGTAGCCCTCGAGCCTCGTGTCCGTCTCGAACCCGCGGCGCGCGTACCACTGCAGCCCGTCAGTGTTCTCGGTCCACACGTGCGCGTAGACCCACCGGATATTGAGCCCGTTGCCGCGGTGGTCGGCGGCGACGGTGTGCGCGGCGTCGAGAACGTCCTCGATAGCGGCAGCAGCAAGCCCCAGCCCCCGGTAGGGCGCCAGCAGGCCCAGGCTCTGGACGTAGAGGACGCGGGAATCGGGCGGGCTCACGCGGGCGTGGGCGCGGCGGGCCAGGTCGGGCGAGTAGGCGCCGGTGGCCGGATCGAAGGGGCTGGGCTCGAGGCGGCAGACCAGGCCGCCGACGACCTTGGGGGCGGCGGCGGGATCGTCGTCGCGGAAGAGGATGGCGCGGCTGAAGAGGCCCGACTGCGCCGGGTCCAGGATCGCCTTGTAGAAGCTGTCGGTGTAGTTGACGGGCAGGAGGAGGGCGTTGATGCGGCGCAGGGCGGGGATGTGGGCTTCAGTCACGGGCACGATTGTCGCGGAGGGGTGGGGGCACGGCGTCGAGGGCGGCAGGGCGGTGACTGGTGATGCTGGGAGCATAGGTGCGACGGGCTGTGCTGGTGGTGGCGGCGGTGGAGGAGGTGGCGCTTGCTGCAGTGGTTGTTCCTGCTGGGTCTGTGATGCCGGAGGAGCAGCATACTTTGGCGGTTGCTGCTTGCTGTTGGGCTGGAAGAAGGACAGGATCGAGGGCTGCTGTGCACGCGACATGGCTGGCGGGGGGGGACCAAGGAGGTCGAGGGCGGCGAGGGCTGAGTTGGGCTGGTTGTTGAGAGGTCAATTGGTCGGGTCATGCACTTGTGAGAGGCATGGCAGGGTGTGTGGGTGTTGTCACAGTAGTGTTATGGGTTGAGTGGAAGGTCGAGTCGAGGTTGAGGTTCAGGCTGGGAGTGTTGACAGGCGAGAGGCATGTTCACCCAGACTTGCCGCATTCCTCTTCCCGAGTAAATAAGGTTGGTTGCTGTCGTTGCATGTGTTCATGTCGCCCAAAGCTACACTGCGCTGCACCGCGCTGCACGGCGCTGCAGCAAATCAGGGGCGCCTACTGGCCAAGGGGTTCCAGACCGTGGGGCCGGCTGCTTCCCGACGCTACGGACCAGCTGGGGGCTACACTATGGGGGGGGGGAGAAGGGGGGAGGGCAAGGGTTGTCACCCTTACTTAGCAACTCAAGTATGCAGGTAGTCTAGGTAGACTACTTCTTTCCATGGCCCAGAAATTGGGTTGGGACAAGACAAAACAAATACTTTATTTTGGTAAGAGGAGACTTTCAACGATATACTATCCAAAGATCTAGATTTGTAGATTAGAAAGCAGTAATACAGTGATTGCAGAGTGCTCATGGTGCTATGTACCCAGGTAGTCCAGCTCACAATGTCGTAGTCCATCAGGTAGACATGCAAAAAGTTGTCCTTCCCAAAATGCCCTCTCTGGCCTAGGTGGGCTTGGTTGGGTCAGAGCACTGGGCAGCTGGCAGTTCGCATCTCACCTTGGGGGCACTTTCTCCAATCTCACTCGCATCAATCAAGACAGTCACGCAACGCAACTCACTCGTGCGCGCTCACCCAGTCTCAGTCTTGGGACCGTCTCTCTCTCTCTCTCTCCCCCCACACGCTGGCCTTACCTTACTCCATCAGCCGTCTGCCTGCTCAGGACAAAGAATCGAGCCATCCTCCATTCTTGGTCATCCATCATTTTATTGCACGCTCCAAGGGTTCAGAACCCGCTGTGCATCAAGACATCCTCGTTGAAGCTGCTGCTTGCGACCGTCTCATCACGGCATAGCCATCCTCAGCCGCCAGCCAGTCAGTCACTCAGTCACTCAGTCACTCAGTGAGTGGCCCGACTGCAGCACCACAGAGCTCGGCCCCGAGTGCCGACTGCAGCGCCCGTCCACAGCGCCCGTTCACAGCGCAAGATTACCCGCCAAGGGATCAACCAGTCCTCTATCCGTGCTGTGCTGTGCTGTCCGCCACAGTGCCGCAACCCGTTGGTTGTGCTGGCCCCGTCATCCCAGGCTCGGCGTCGCAGGTCGTCAGCCTTCCCGAAATCCAAAAATTAATTGATCAATTCCCATCGCCTCTTACACACCAAACCTCCCTACATCTTTTCTTCTTCCTCCTCCTCCTACTCTTCTTCTTTCCCCCTCTTTCCTCTCCCTCCCTCTCCCACCATGGATGAGGTTAAGCTAGAGAGCCTCTCTGGCAGAGCAGGAATCATCAAGGCCGGCCAAGATTCCGACGCCTTGGATAGAATTGTAAGTAATCATCCCCCCGTCTGCGCCCGTCTCCTATGCAGTGCTCGCCCCCAGAACTCCCCTATCAGCCTGGTTTGGATTAACCCCTCCCCAGTCACATCAGGTCCTTGACGACGTCCTCTACAATGTCATCTTCGACCTTGTCCTCGAAGTTCACCGTCAAGAGAAGACTCGCCGAGCCAACACCGCTGCCATCCGTGTAGAGAAACTGGCTGCCGACGCTGCAGACGCCTCGGACCCAGACACCAAGCCAGACATACGAACAGAGACCGATGCTGCCATATACGAGGACGGCAGAGTCCTGCTCAAGGGCAACCCATTACAGACCACAAAGGACATCCTGTGCCCACGCTGCCACCTCCCTCGTCTGCTGCACCCCACCGATGGCAGAGGAGCCCAGAAGCCAGACCCTGGAGTCATATACTGCAAGAAGCACCCTTACATCGACAAACCTGGCTACGACATTTACGGTCAGACATGGGTCGCCCCAGGCCCGGGCAGGGGCAAGAAAAAGAAGGACATGGAGAAGAAACTCGATGCTAGTGTGGACGGAACCGTCACGCCCACATCTGACGGCCAACGGCCGCCCAATGTGCTGTCATTCCCCTCCGCAACATGTAGCAAGTGCAAACGGTGCATCTTAGTGACCCGGCTGAATAATCACATGGGAGCATGTATCGGCAACAGCGGCAGGAACGCAAGTCGTGTCGCCTCGCAGAAGATCACGAACGGTGGCACTGGTGATAACACCCCTCCGTCCAGCCAGAAGGGCACGCCAGTCAATGGCTCGCGAGCGGGCAGCCCCAGGAAGCGCGATGCCGACGAAATTGATGACGACCAGGAGTCAGACGCAACTAACCCCAAGAAGAAGAACAAGAAACTCAAGGGACCAACCACCAAGATCCTGCTCAAGAACAAACCCAAGAAGGAAAAGGACAAGGTCAAGACCAGCTCCTTCCTCAGCGTCGAGTCCAAGATCGACGATGAGGATGACGAGGACGACAAGAAATCAACTGTCCAAGTGGCGCCCAAGAAATCCACTTCAAAGCAGCCCTCGCCTGCCAAGAAATTGAAAGTCGGAGCCTCAAAACCACATTCTGCATCGCCCAAACCAAAGAACGGTAGCCAGGTAGATGCAGGCTACGAGTCTTCAGACACCCTCTCAGATCCCCCACATGCGTAATGGGATCTCGACGGCGAGGAAAGCGGGTTTGGAAGAAGGGGGGTGGAGGTTTGGTTTCAAGTCGCATTTCGCATTTCATGGTGTCGGTCGGTCATCATTTTGGGGTTCCCAAGAATAAACTTGAGCTTTGGATGGTCTTGCATAGGGTGCGGAGGGTGGCGTCATTCGATGCAACAATACTGGCGTTTTGCAGGGTGTCAATCTGTTCGAGAGAGCGAGAGAGAGAAAGAGAGAAGTTGTGGTAGAGACTTTGGCGGTGGAGCGCGGGTTTGAGGCGTGGTGTTGTGGATCACCTTAGCCAGAGAATAAAGGTTCTGCACCCAGCGGTCTTTTTTGTTCCGGAGATGTGCCTCTTTTTGGTCTTCTACTGGGCGAGTCCGAACCATCTGCCTGGTGAGCGGGTTCTCAAAGTCTAGGGCAAGCCTGACAGAGTCTCTGATGTGATTAATTGTGCAGTGGTCCTCAGATAAATACCCAGGAGTCCGTAGCTGAGATACCAATATAGCAGTAGTCATCAGCCGTTAGGAATTTTATGAGCATAAGAATATCGAGATCTATTCCTGGATCAATTTGGCTTCATGGGCGTTGTTTCGGGAGCGGCTGCCCAACAGACGCGAGGCACGACGGAGGAAGACGTACACCGGCTACGATGTCTCGTGATTTCCTTTAAGGAGTGGAAAGCCACAGGCGAGGGAGTCAAGTCATATGTACACGCACTCAGTAACAATACCCTGAGACAGAACGGCACGCTGGGTATTAATTGTTCTATTGGGCTTGACGGTCCCAGAGGATCTCCACTCCGCCACCGCGATAGATATGTTGACTTAGATGCCACTGGCCACCCCAGTATGGCCAGTCAAAGCTATGTTGAGATCGCTCAATCTCATGAATGTGCATAAACTCAGGGATTGCTGAGCGCAGCAGTCAAGTGTCCTCGCACGAGGTGCGCGAGACAAACAGGCATGTGCAGGACTCAGCGGCCATGTGCTAGATTCTTTACGGGACAGTGTCCTTTCCCTTGCGGGATGCCCTTCACTAAATTGGTGGGCATCATTCTCTCGCAGTCAACTTTGGTCGCAGAGACAGGCCAGCACTTAGCCAACGGATGTGTGTGCCGACAGCAAAGGAAGCCCGCGCTCCCGTTACTACACCACTCCAGCCGCTTTTTCACTTAGGAATTGAAATCTAGCTCAAGACTCCTCAGCCTCCCCAGACGCCTCAACGACGCGGGCCCGGACAATCTTGACCTCCTGGACAGGCCTGTCCTCGGAGTCGGTCTCGACGAGGCCCAGGCGGCGCACGACGCCCATGCCGCCCTTGACGCGGCCGAAGATGGTGTGCTTGCCGTCCAACCAGGGCGTGGGCGCCAGCGTGATGAAGAACTGGCTGCCGTTGGTGTCGGGCCCGGCGTTGGCCATGCTCAGGATCCCGGCGCCCGTGTGCTTGAGCTGCAGCGGGCGCGCGATCTCGTCGGCGAACTTGTCGCCGTAGATGGAGGTGCCGCCGCGGCCCGTGCCCGTCGGGTCGCCGCCCTGGATCATGAAGTCCGGGATGATGCGGTGGAACACCGTCTCGTTGTAGTAGCCGCGCTGCGCCAGCGTCTCGAAGTTGGCGCACGTCTTGGGCGCGTGGGAGGTGTACAGCTCGACGGTGATCGTGCCCTGCGCGGGGTGGTGACGGGTTTGGTTAGTTTGGAAATGGAGTGGAGTGGAGAGGAGAGGCATGGGTGGTATTGTGTGGGCTTACCATGGAGGTGTCCAGAGCTACCTCTTTCGCCATCTTGTCTGTTGGCCCCCAGTCGAGCTGGCTTGGTGGAATGGGAAGTCAAAGGTCGGATTCAATCCTGGATGGAGATTGGGGAGCCTGGTGCGAAGCTTGTGCATTTGAGTGGGTAAGGCTGAGCCTTGCAGGGTGCGTCTTCCCTGTCCGATGACGCCACAGGGGAGCTTTCACTGGACCCTAGGCGGCCACCTCAGCACTTCACCCCTTCTGCAAGGCTGGAACAGCTTCCTTTACCGCCCAACCACAAACGGATGGGTTGAGCAAGCCACGGCCAGTCTTTGATCATATTGTTGTCTCACTTCATACTGTACGCTCTTTGTGAACTGGGTCACTACCTCAAACTTGAGTCACACCCCGACCAATAATTTCTGAACAAGAACTCCAATCACAACCAACATGCTTACGGTCATTCTGTACCGGTATACTTGCTAGGCTGTCCTCTGCCGGCGCCACCTCATCCTCACCCGTCTGCCCAGTTAGACATTGACGAGGCCTCAACCTGTCAAATCAACTTGATATTCTGGACAGCAGTGGAGCTCCAACCAGGCATCATCTTCAACGCCCGTGGTTTCAGGCATTGCCTTTGGTCCAAGAACAGCCTAAACTCACTAGGTAGACATTTCGCCCATTTACAAAGTGCCGGGGGAAGCCCATCTTTATATACGGCCCGTGGCTTAGAGACAACCTTGGAAATATTGCAGCCTCATTCAGAAATTCAGACTCCTCAACTCCTACTCATCGCATCATCATGGCTGAAGCAGACCCCTCCGCCATGTCGGCCGCCACGGCGATACCGTCTGCCCTCCCAGACGAGCACACCATCCAGCCCGTCCCGACGGTGTGGGAAATGCTTGTTGCTAAGGACTTCTTTTCTATCGAGGCCAAGATGGTTGTCAGTGCCATCCTCATCATCTACGTCGGCGCACACGCCTCGCTACGCAGACCTCCCTCCGCGGCACCGCCCACCAAGTTGAAGAGGAAGGGCGGCAAACTGGTCGTCGATGACGAAAAAGAGCATTTTGCCCAAGGCTTTCAGGCCTCAGACGCTATCGTTTTTCCCTTCATCGCCGCTGCTGTCCTCATCGGGCTGTACTACCTCATCAAGTGGCTCCAAGACCCTGCCATCCTCAACATGATCCTGAGACTGTACATGGCCATGACCGGTATCCTGTCCATCGGGGTCTTCTTTGGGGATTGTTTTCAATTCGCGCTGAATCTCGTCTCGCCAGACTATTGGGCCGACCGAAGGGGCCGCGTCTTCGAGGTAGATACCGCCAGCCGCAGTCACAAGCTCTTGAAGGCTCCGCAGAAGGAGGGCTCGGAGAAAGAGGATGACCCTAAGAAACACCTACCCCTTCCAGGCTTTGCTTCAGAGCTGAATGTTCCTGCTAGCATCCGGGAGTCTGCTTGGGTGTTCCGACACTTTCTAAAAGAAAGCTGTGTCTTGAAAATCCGCGTCCCTGGCGACGGCTTTACGGGAGACGTCAAGATTACCACGATTGTCGGCTTCATGCTTGGCTGTGCCGTCGAGGGCCTGTACTTGTACACCGAGTCAACGATGCTGTCCAACATAATCGGCCTCTCAGTCTGCTACATGGCTTTCAACTGGATGTCTGTGACCTCCTTCTCCATCGGAACCATGGTCCTGGTTGGCCTGTTTTTCTACGACATCGTCATGGTTTTCTACACGCCCTTCATGGTAGCAGTCGCCACGCAGGTTGACGCGCCGCTCAAGCTGACATACGAGACTTCCGGGGGGAGGAGCAGCCTTCTCGGCCTCGGCGATATTGTCATCCCCGGCATCTTCATCTGCCTGGCGCTGCGGTTCGATCTGTGGAGGCATTACCAGCGCAAGGTCACGCGCGTGCAACAGGATCTCAAGACAGTCACCAAGGATAACAAAGAAGATGAGGCCGCTGGTGAAAACACGACCGCAGGCGAAAAGACCACGGTCCAGACCGCATACCGCACTGTCAAGGCGCCCTTTGTGGATCCTCGCGGCCAATGGGGCAACTTCCTTTGGACCACGAGCCCGCGGGATCTCATGTTCGGACAAACCCCCGTCAAGTCCCTGTCTGACGCCGATTTCCCAAAGACGTATTTCCGCAACACCCTCCTGGGTTACCTGGTTGGCATGTTGGCGACCCTTGTCGTGCTGGTGATCTTCAAGCATGGCCAGCCTGCCCTGCTGTATCTTGTGCCTGGCGTGGCTGGTGCGGCATGGCTTACTGGTCTGGTCAACGGTGACCTGAAGGACATGTGGGAATACACCGAGGACGGAAGCCTGGACGTGGAAGACGTTGTTGTTGAGGTTGACGGCGATGGCAATGTCATCGAGAAGAAGAAAGCAGACTCGAAGGAGAATGCTTCCAAAGACAAGGATGAGGTGGAGGCGAAAGAGAAGAAGAAGGAGAAATCGGGTGCGAAGAAGGATAAGAGCGATTACGAATTGTTTACCTTCTCGATCACCGTCCCTAGGGAGGACAGTCTGAAGGAGGACTAGGCTATCTAGGGCTGTGACTGGTAGGGAAAAGCTCATTAGGCATGGGCTGTAATCATGAACAACCCTAATAGTCGAGGGAAGTCTGGGCATTATTCTACTAGCATGGTATGCTAATAATGATATCGATGGATTCTGTATTGCACACCGCGGAAAGACCCTCGCAACTTGAAGACGGTGCCGTAGTAAGCTTGCACATCAATAGCGAGAGGTGATTTCAGTCGCAGTGGCCTGCCAATCGACTTAGATTCGTTTCACTGTGATTGAATCTTCTCCAGCCATCTCTGAAATGTTGGGGATCGGCTCTGCCATTGTCCCTCATCCGGGTGGTGCATGTTCCATAGAATAGGGATACGCAGAATCATACTTATCATCCCCGCGTGGCATTGAATCCTTTTCTTCTTTTCTTTGTTTCTTTGCTCCTTGCTTAGACAGAACTCCCGGAGCATCTTAAATAGCTTAAGGCAGACTTACGATGATCGTACTCGTTTCGATAAAGTGGACTTGTGAGATTGGTATGCAATTAACAAAAACTCGCCTCACATGTTTATGGACGTGAATATACCAGAGCTATTCGACATAGACGGAGGGAGGCACACAAATAGCTTGTACTCATCCAGTCCGTTCAAAAATGAGCTGACAAATCCAGTCATGAAGACCGACTGAGACTGTGTGTACTCGAGGTAATCGGTAAGTATGTACCTCTCAGCAACTAGTTGCCTTTCAGGAGGATCACATTTTGTGTCACTCTTGTTTCGCTTAGTAAGACCCGTCCCCCCCCCCCCCCATATTGGAGATGTTCCCATGAGGCGGCCATAATGAATTATCTTGGAAGCATTGATGATAGATCCCCTCCAAAACGGAGACTTTTACCTGTCCAGTCTCATTCGTTGTTACGACTTTGTAGGGGAAGATGCTACCTGTTCATCGAAACCGTCAGTCATTCACTGGTCCTCAATGGCCTTCTCACTTGCTTCCTAAATCGGGGCCTTAATTATTACGGCCCGATACCAAACAAGTAATACCCCTTGGTGTTCCTCTATCTCTTTATGTCCTCGTCTCAACAGATGTGAAACCTTTCTTCTTGTAGGAACAGCGACTTGCTTTTGACATCACAGCTGCGGACGGGATCGGCCAAGACGATTATGGTGTTTTTCATCTCCCTTGATCACTGGGCCGCCCGTTTATTGTGCATGTAAGACTGATAGATACCGATATGACCATTTAGCAACGAGGCTGCCGTTCAATATCTATATACTGCGATATATTGCGCGATCTTCTAAGATATCTGGAGAAATATATACGAACCACTTGATTCTCTAAAGGCCTGCAGCACACTTTGGTGAGTGCGCGTGACCAATGATCGGTGGAGGCCGCGGAATCTACGATCCATTGAATCTATCAGCGAACAATCAATTGTAATTAATTGTGATCTGTCCTGTTCACAACCATGTCAAGACTGGGGGCGCTGTGGTCTCGCGATGGGAGACAAGGGATTCAGGTCTCAATCAGAAACCTGAGGTTGGCGACGTCGGCCCTCACCGCATATTAATCGCGGCCCCGGTCTGACCTCGATATGCGAGCTGCCGTTGAAAAGACAGTTGTGAGACAGCCAGGAAAGAGGCGACACCTGTGCAACCAGGGCCGCTTGTCACACCCCCACGGGCTGCAAAGGTTTCGCCCATCGCGATCGATTGGGGTCCGTCTCGGCTCGACAGCGCAATTGTTGCTTGATTGTGTTCTTATTCCCTCCCCTTTTTTCCCAATACGTTCTCAATAGACTTATGAGTCAAGGAACAAATCTCCTCCAAGATTCTCTTCTGAATGTTTTCCTGATTATTTGACAAACTCGGAGCTAACAATACTTCCTTCCCTTACTATGCATAAAATGCGTGGGAGGCCGGGTGGTAGACCTACGGCGTCTCGTTGCTTTAATCCCGATGGCACAGCTGAGCCCGATGCAGTTCCATGTGCCTCCGAGGGACAGTCGCACTGTTGCAGTGCTACGGGCGGAATCTGTTTGTCTAACGGCTACTGCATGGACTATTTGCAGCCATTTGCAATTTGGAGAGGTTCATGTACTGATGTGACCTGGGGCTCGACCAGCTGCCCTCAACTATGTATTCACTGTGAGATACCTGATCCCAATTTCATTGGATTGACGGTGCAACTTGGCTCTTCTATCTCTTCAGTTCTGCTCACATCAACCACCAAAAGCCAGTGATTACCTCAACCAAGACGTCCGCTTGTCAGTTTGGCGCGCAAACCGCACAAGCGCGTCGGAATATTGCTGCGGCGATGCAGATACCACACAGACAAACTCATCCTTGGCATGTCTTGATGGGAATCCCACCTTTACGCTGCCAAATGCAACACCGTTGTTGGGAGTCGCCGGTCTCTCGAACGCCCAAGCGGTTTCCTCGACGAACTCGTCCTCCGTTACTACTCGCACTGAAACGTCAACAGCCATTCCTACGACACACGACGACGACTGTTCCTCACAGAAGCAAGACACTATTACGGTCGGGGCGGTCCTCGGCGTCTCGATCGTCATTGCAGCTATCGCACTGATTGTGTGGGCCCTATGGGAACGCAGACAGAAGGTACTGTGGTGGCAGCGTGCGATTGGCGCCGCGCCGCACTGGCCCCCGGAGAACGCGCCGTGGATGAGAGTGCAGTGTCCGAAATCTAAGCCTCCGCCTTGTCCGGTGACTAGGGCTAAGCTGGCATATGCGAATCATCAAAAGCAACGTTCACAGCAGCAGGAGCCTGCCCCGTCTTATGGGCATCAACAGTCTGAAGCCGGTCAACGGGAGTACGAGCAGCAGATGGGTCAAACCCATATTTCCAGTCCACAACGTCCACGGGAAATGCCGGATGGGATGCCTGCGGCGGCCGAGATGGACGCGACGTGAGGAGCATACGTGTGGCCAAGGACTGGCTTGCAGAAATTTGGGCTCATCTCGTGCTACTTCACAAAATGGTTGCTGATGAATTCAGAGACTGAAAACCAGTTCGCTAATTCCAGTGAGTATGGACGAGTAAAGAAACACTGATATGGATCGTCGAGTGGTACAACAGACAACAGAGTTGGTCCAGAAGTGAGGAAGTCTGCCGACAACCCACGGTGAGTGTGAGCGTTGAACGGATGATCGTTGCTTCAAAAATCTATGTCTAGGGCTGGCATGGTTGATACGTAGATAATAATACGCATTGGACGTACATAATCGCAAAACCTTGAGTCCGGCTGGTATGTCTTCCCATTTTGTGACTCAGTCAAGAAGAGATAGAGTATGCAAAATGGAACCTACAGACTAACCTCGAGGTATGTGCAGAGACTAAGACCATTGTAAGGACTCTGCGGAAGGTTTTTGTCTGTGAAAGGGAAGTCCTTTACGACCCCAAGGTTCTTCCCACACCATGTTCAAAGAACGAGTACCAACGCCGTTTGATATTGCTTGTATTAAGGGCCATGATGGTGACACAGAAGATCGGACTTTATCCGTGTATACTGCAGACGAGGTCACCGCGGCTCTAATTGTTGCGACCAGGGACTGTGTTTCCTTTTCGAAAATTGTAAGGGCGGCGGAGCGTATCATCTAACCGGGTTGACGGTCGTAGATAAGTACTTTCTATTGAGATTGTGATAGCCTTTTCGTAGTTAAGTAGAAAAAACATCACAGGAAGCTCTATGGATAAAAATCTACTAGTTATCATGGAATAGGCCGCAAAGACTTCTGTGGGTGCGCTAAGCTCCAAGCTTGGTCTTATCTGTTAAACACCGGTACAGCGTTTTTCTCACTTCAGCATGACTCACTGGCTTATTTGCTGATGCCACAAGCCGTTTTCGAGTGAATGATGTTTTTCTTACTGGGCAGCCGGTCAATTGAATGCCCAATCTGGGGCAAGCTTCATCGAGTAGGCACTTAGTGTGCACTCCGAATGTCCATGAGCAGACCGCGAAAAGGAAGAAGGGCTTCTTGGTCTTTGTATAGACACATGGACAATTTAGACATTGAAAGAATCGTACGAAACGAAAATCATGTATCTATGTAAATGAAAGGGTGATCTTGAACGAAAATGCATTAGTCCAGGGCTGTGCAACCACCCTGGTAAGCTGACTGCATGCAGGCGCTGCCCTCCGCTGGAAAACGCGGAAGCGCTGGGAATGTTTGAGAGCCTTCCTTTTCCGCCCAAGCGACTCTATGTATTTGGAAGGCCTTCAGTGTCATCTAGAATATCTTGCTGTCCTTACATCGCTTCTTGGATCCTATCCATCAGGTATTTGCTGAGCCTCTCGATCCGTCACTGTCTGCAGTGATTTTCAACCGAGCACTATCATTCTACGAGCTGGGTACTGTCCACCATCAAGATGGAGCAGGATGGCCTCGATGACAACGTTGCAGTCATGGACGCTTGGTATTCGCAGTATTTATCAGCGAAGAACATCGACGCAGTTTCAGACTCTATACAATCGGAACCGCTTGACCTCCAAGCAGTCGAAGATCAGATCCTTGAGGCCATGAACGATACCAACGTCGTCGCCGGATTCTGCTCCCCATGCCAAGCCATGTTAGACAATTGGCCCGATTTCGAGGCATACACAGCAGAGGAACGCCTCGAGGAAGACTCAAGTGGAAGCGATGCTGAATCCTCCTCGCTGTCCGTGGGCTTCAGTGCCACATCAAAATTTTGGCTGGATCCCGTCTATGGGATCACAGCCAGCTTGCCATGCCAGGCACAAATGATCGGTCTAATGGCAGCTGCAAGAAATGGTTGCAGGTGCTGCGGCCTGATTGCGCAGTGTATGAAAGATGCCGGACTTTTAGAGGTGTATATGAAGACCGAAAGGAGGCTTCGTAGACTAGGTAAATCCTCACAAATTTCCCTGGTACTTCGTGAGCGGTAAGTACAATTCGCCTTTCTGATGTCTTGTAATTTCGTTACCTGAAAAAGTCTGTTCACTATCTAGTAACGGCAGTCAATCTTTGAATGCGCTGTTATTACCCATTGCATGCGTTTTCATCGGGCCAGTTTATATATGCCTCATCAGCACAGCTATCAAATTTACACGGCACCATCGTAAGATTCGCTAAATAATCTCTTTTCCAGGGATGAAGCAAGTTACACGAGCATACTTCCTTTACCAGGTATAGATCGCACACACATAATTTCGATTGATTTGGGTGTATATTTCCTTATCTTCCCTCACCCAGAGAACTGTAAGTGACAGAACAAACTCCCCTTGAAGTTACCGGTTCCCTAACGCTCATGGAACATTGTTCAGCCCCGTACCCTCATTCCGCACAAGCATTCCACAGCCCGGGCACTAATGATCAATCTTTGATGCTCGTCAATCACTGGACCAAGACGTGTCTGGCATCCCACCAGATCTGTAACCACAGACAAACTCGACAATACCCGAGCCGCCTCTTGTCTATCGCCAAGGACTCCGTACGGCTTGTACAAACAATTGACTGGCCCGACCGTCCTCATTACGCAACTCTGAGCCATTGCTGGGGCAACAAGAAGTTCCTTAAACTTTTTACAACAAACCTTGAAGAGCTGCAGAGATGTATTCCAGCAGATTCGCTCACAAAGACATTCACTGATGCCATCAAAATTTCTCGAAGTGCAGGCATATCATATCTTTGGATCGATTCATTATGCATCATTCAGGACGACCATCATGATTGGGAGGTAGAGTCCAGCAGAATGACCTCGGTCTACGGCGGGTCTTCTCTCAACATCGCCGCGTCGTCGGCAAGAGACGGGACTGAGGGCTGCTTTCTGAAACCTGATGAATACTTCGCGGGCTTTGCAGCAGAGATCTGCATTGATGGGCAAAAACGAGCGTGTGACTTCATCCAAGTCGACGAGTATAGCTACTGCGTTAGCGGAAGTCACTTAGCATCGAGAGGCTGGGCCTTACAAGAAAAGGTCCTTGCCCCGCGAACATTACATTGTGGGGACCGAGGCCTATTCTGGGAGTGCAGGACCGACATGGCCTCCGAGTATTTTCCTGATGGCTTCATTGGAGCCAGACGCCAGCTTTCCCCGTATAGCTTGTTGTTACATCCAAATCGGCTGGCAGATACGTGGGATCTGGTACGAGACAAGTTCATTACATGCGACCTGACTTGCCCTGAAGATAAGCTAGTGGCTTTGTCTGGCGTTGCCCGCGCAGTCAGCGAGATGACAGGGGACCAATACGTCGCAGGTTTATGGCGCAAGAATCTGGAGGCCGAACTCTGCTGGAGAGTATCAAAACCACAACCAAAGCCCCCATACCGCGCACCATCATGGTCTTGGGCAGCAGTGGACGGTCCTGACTATGCTCTAATGAGATATATTTACAGCGCTTCTGACACAGCTTACGTTCATGTGCGCTCCGTATCTGTGACAAACACCGGTGTCGATCCCTTTGGAGCCGTTTCGGACGGGAGCTTGTTGCTCGACTGTGAAGTAGTTCGAGAAGGGATTGTTGGGAAGTTCCAGTCAAGCTCTAAAACTAAAGAGGTGGACTTCGAGCTCTCACCGTGGACTTGTCTTGCCGATTTGGGGCGCGAAGGTCATGGATTCCCGTTTGAACTGGATTGCGCTGAGGAAGAGGACGCGCGTCTGGGACAAGCCGTATACTTCGTACCTCTCCGAAAAAAGCTTCAAAATCGACATTGCCACCGTGAAAGAAGGGACACTTCGGTCATTGACTCACAGGGAATGATCGGAATTGTGCTTGAAGCAGTCAATTCCTCCAAACTCACGTACAGGCGTATTGGGTCTTTCGATTACAGGTCATGCAATATGTGTCCTGCTGCTCCTCTCTGGAAGTTTGAGGAAATATTGGGAAGGAATGAGAGAGGTGCTACCCTTCGCTTGATCTAGGGATGATCGAATCTCCGTCAGCATGTCTGTTGGGTTTCGGGATAAGCGTGGGAGCAGCGTGGGAGCAGCAAAGCTCTGGATTGGACTGCTGTTGGAATACAAGAGTTGAATAAGGGGAGGGTTCCATGGGTTTCTGAGATGATTCTAAGATAGGATGTCTTGTTTCCTATAGGATCGCCAGTTCAAAAGAATTGTCTATATTGAGGGCCTCTCGGGCCGCATCTCCCACGACTAGTCTACTAAGGAATCATGTCATTATTCCCTGCAATGACAAATTTCAGGACTTTGTCATCATCGCAGACTCTTGGAATGGTACAAGCCTTTCTCGGGACTCATGCTACAGTATGTGGATAACCAACGTGAGTAAGGCCTAGTCGAGAGTGAGTTTCACCGAAGTGCGACATCCCATTCTGCTGCAAGCTCAGAACTGGATTGTGGAGTGTTCGTCAGCGGTTGGGGAGCTGTAGCCAAGATTCTTCCCACTTCATATCCAAAGACCGAGTACCTGACGCCGCCTGATGGTGTATGTCTTGATGGCCAATGTTTCATATTACACAAGTTGTCTAACACACTCATGAACCAAAGGACTTGCATTGGGCAGCTTTCTTCAGACTACGTAAAAGGTGTGTTGGCCAGTCTCCTCGTTATAGCTCCAGCAGGGCAAATCCCGTTCATTGCCGAGTGGACGCAACGCGCTCGGTCCTATGGAAACATCCGTCACGTGCCCGATGCGTTCAAACCGTCCCATGCTCGCATCCACAGATTTCAAAAGCAAGCCTTGGACGTTTGAGTAATTCTGAGAAGTGATAGAAGACTCCGAAAACGTGTCCCCGGCCCAAGTAATCATAATGTAGTAGTAGATGGTGTTGTCGGTTTCAGCATCCTCCGCCAAAGTGCGATCATAGAGGACTTCGAGTTCGACTTCTGGCTCCTTGTCAAAGTCAAAGTCCAAAAGATCGTAGACAGGTGCACAGTCTTCATAGCCGATTGATGGAAAGGCATAGCTGAAATGCGCAGGGCAGTTACGAGTTGCCATCCGGCGGCAGGATCTTAAGAACCCCTGTATCCGAACCTCGACTTCAGGCAACGAGATAGGGCCGAATATGTCATCTTTTAGAATATCATCTGGAGACTGCCACGCAGTAGAACCCGGATCGGCAATCTTCTTCCGGTAGTGGACAAAGGCTGCGGATGCAATCGCACGATCTTCGCACTTATTAGGGCGCACTGGTGGACCGGATGGTAACACCATGCGACTTGCGCACGAAACCTTAATCCAGGAAAATGTAGGCATATAAAACTCCGTCGATATGCAATGTTCGGTGTCATTGCTCCCGATGAACCAAGTCAACGACCAAGGTAAAGATTGTGCCCACAAACCTACGGCGTACCGGTCTCTGAGGATATGACACAGTTCCCTGGCTACACCAGCAATAGCAACTAGCCTGTCGGAAGATTTGGTGAGCTTACAGGCCATGTAATCCTTGACTACTCCCGACCACCAGTCTAGAAGACTTCTCCTACGGGATGCCGCAAGCTCACCGCCGGTAAGGCAAAAATGATGAGGTTCTCGAAGAGGGCTTTGTGGCAACTCTTCATTGGCAAAGCCTTGGCCTTTTAAGCTGCTGAAATTCTCCTTGCATAAAGGTGAAGTTGAGACTGGCGAAGGCAGAATTTCACACTTCCAACCCTGCCCGCACTCCCACGATACCTGTTGAGGCGAGAAGTGCAATGCCCGTGGTGCGAGCAGCCGTTCCTGCAAGACCCATCCTCGGCAGTTGAGAGGCGACCTTACAACCTCATCATGCCATAGATTGGGCTGCACGATGTAGTGCGGAACTTCAGGTGACGGTCTGGAATCCAGGTTCGGAGACCTGTTTTCAGGATCCTTCCACCTCAGCGTGACATGGCACGGAGAGTACAAATCATCTCTCTGGAAGAAAAGGCCATTGTTCTCATCACCCCAATCAGCTGAAATGTTGCAGAATGAGTTCGAATACACCTGGGCCATGGTTGTACACTCCTTTCGCCAGTCAGCACCACCATCACCAGACTGAATAATACATAGGGAGTCAATCCAGATGTATTTGTCCAGTCGTTGGGCAATAGTTAAGGCGTCTTGAAAAGTTCTGCGGAGGCTCGTGGTTGGCAAGCCCCGTTTGAAGTCTGGAAGCTTGTCCGTCGTAAGCTGCATGAACTCAGTGTCGCCCCATCGGTGGCTTAATGTAAGATATCCTTTGCCTCTTTGGAATGTCTTGGAATCGGAACGGACGACCCTGAATGATTCCGGTGTAACGAGCTCGATTAAACGGGTTGGATACCACTTTTGGCCAACTTTGTCTTTGTCTGAACACTGGTGCTGCCCAGAGCACTCCTGGAGCCACCCCTCGATAGTCAATCAGGTTGCCATAGACCTAGTGTTGCCAGGTAGCGATCTTGCTAGCCCTAGTTAATACGCATCTGTGAAATGATTAGCGTTGTAATTCGAGAAGGCTTCATATTATCAGCCTCAACACATGCCTACCTCGCTCACTGATAAATATTGGCCCATCGCTCACATTAAGCTTGTACCGCGCCATCCCCAAGTGATTGTGCCACTTGCCCCGATCGAAATCCTCAGGTATTGTTAAGTGTCTCAAATAGTCATCCTTGTACTTCGCGATGAGACAGAATTTGAGGCTTGTGACTTCTCCGCCGTGTGAATCCCACACGGTATCAATTGCTAAGCCTGCGAACGAAACACCTGGCAAGACCTCACTCTAGGCAGTTGCATCGGTCGAAAGCTTGAGCCACTTGAATCAAGCGTGCTACCTCGCCCAAGCGGATGATCCGGCACCGTTCCCTCTGCTAACAATCTAAAGCTATCCCGCACCTCCTCTGGGAGTAATTGGAACATGTACGCACAAATGTAACACTGTCGATTCTTCGCTTCAATGAAGCTCCAGATGCTATCGTGGCGTGGGAATAGCACGTGAGTCTCCAGGCCTTCTCTCGTCAGGGCGGACAAGCACGCACGACAAAGACGAGAATGCTGCGGTCCTGCATCATGAGTGGCTGCACGCGATCCATCGCTGACTTTGCTGTCCATCTCACGCAATGTGACTCAACCTTGGGGTTGTTTGATTCTGCCCAGATTTAAGGGTCCGATCAAGTGGGCCAGGGGCTGTTGTGATATGCCAGTATGACATGTACAAAATTGAATCCGTCATTATCAGTGTACTAGCAGTCAGACAACAGGGGTCGATACGTCTGTAAGAGGTGAGGTCGGAATTAGCTCATGTGGATTGGTGGGGTGGGTGTTTCGTTTGCTTGCAGCTGACAGTGAGGCTCAACTTTCGGACTCCGTAGCTCGACCGGCATCAGCGGATCAGCGGCTCGGGCCCACTGTTGGAGGAGCGACTGCAATACTTCTACTGCTGTCAGATCAATTCCAATTCTGTACGCTTCTTCTCAGACACGAGCCACTACTGACTCGCTGGATACCTTCCGACATCCGGGAGATGGCGCAGACATCAGGTAAACCCGTGATTGTCCAGTGGATTGTAGACACACGGAAGCTATGGCCAAGCGCCGAGAAGACAGCGCAGCTCGAGACAGCTGTATGTGAGCCATTCCCGTCCTCAATCAAATACTCATAATTCACAAGCTGATCAATAGTCATGACAAACAGGCCGCGAGGGCCCTTGCCCTCCTCACGCAGGATGAGCGGAAGGCTGTGCTGCGGTACCTATTCGTCCGCGACGCCAAGATGTCGCTGGCCTCGCACCTGCTGAAGCACTACGTGGTCAGCAAGTTCTGCGGCGTGCCGTGGTGGGAGACCAAGATCACGCGCAACGCAAAGACCAAGCCGGTCTACATCGACACGGCAACGGGCAAATCGCCGGTTGAGTTCAACGTGACGCACCAGGCGGGGCTCGTCGCTATGGTGGCGTCCTACGGCTACGAGGACGTCGACGTCGGCGTAGACATTGTATGTGTCAACGAGAGGCAGGATCGCGACCATGCGGCCATCGGCAGGGAAGGGTGGGGGTCCTTTGTGGACATGCACGCGGACGTGTTCGCACCGTCCGAGGCCAACTACCTCAAGTACCAGGTCCTGAGCGCGGTGCCGGGGCTGCCCAAGGGGGCGACGCCGGCGCAGGTGGTGGACTTCAAGCTCAGGTGCTTCTACACGCTGTGGTGCCTAAGGGAGGCGTACGTCAAGATGACCGGGGAGGCGCTGCTGGCGCCATGGCTCAAAGTGCTGGAGTTTAGGAACTTCAAGCCCCCGCAGCCCACCGAGTCGTTCGATGGGTCGAACGCGGACGGGTCCGATGCGGTCAAGGAACATGACATCTGGTTCGAGGGCAAGAAGGTGGACGATGCGAACGTGTGCCTCAGGTCACTGGGGCCGGATTACATGACCTGCACGGCGGTCAGGACGCCGCAGCAGAAGGAAGTGGGGTTGGATCTGGATCTCGGACCATTCGAATTACTCCCCCTGGATGAGATCTTGGAGTTTGCCGAGTCTAGGATATAGTCTAGAGATATCTATAAACAGAGGTCTGGCTGTGGCGGTGGTGTGGCATCAGCCAATGCAGGAGACTTGCTGCTGACACGACAGTTGATGGCATGTGATAATTGGCCTTTGCTGGTGGCCCTCCTCGAGCTATTGCTGATGCCGTTTGAAACGACGCAGGCCATTCCTGACCTCTGAAACGAAACAAGTCGGCCGCGTTCCTAATGATACATAATCCCACCCAGCAGAGCTGAGCTGCATGTCGTCAAACTGGTCGTATTTGGAACTGGAACCGGAACTGGAGCTGGAACAGGTTTGCCTCATGCACGGGTTCGTCCCATGCCAAGTCTGGGTATAGATAGACAGATACAGCGCAGCTGGTCATAACGCAGCACTGAGCAAAGCCACGGACAGCTAGAGGCCGCCTAGGATCAACCCTACCCAATCACGCTTTGCTGGTGCTGTGGGGTCGGCGGGGCCCAAATTTAGCGGCGTGGATCAACGTCATCTCTCTCTTTCTCTTGTGCCGTGGCCTCGACCCTGAGCTGTAAGCCCAAGCCCCCAGGCCCTAGGTCCAGGTCCCAAGTCCCGAGTCCAAGGTCCAAGGTCCAAGGGCTTCGTCTCCAGACTAACTCCAGATCGTTGACTCCAGTTTCGCAATCCCACATTGAACAATAGACTTTTTGACATGGCATAGTCATCCTCGCCGATCATCTCTAGACCTAGAATCACCACACAGCATTATCCTCCTCTTCATCCCCTCCTTTTCAAACACCCTAATCAGCGGCAGACATTCTTTCTTCTCCTTTGCTTGCTTTGCCCTCTCTCTGCCTTCTGCCAACTAATCCACCTGTCTTCCAAAACGTACCCCACCGAATTGCCCCCCTTTCATATACATCAACAGCCACCGTAACCACACTCTTAATCAACCACCCGGCAGACCAACCACCGGCATTTTTGTGAGACCTTTCGAGATTCCACGAGTCTCCCACCCCTGGACATGTCCGAGTCTGGCGATAGGTATGGCGATTGCCTGTGTTGTTATTGTTATTATTGGCAGTCCTGTCACTCGCTGAGAGCTGCATGCTAATGCGTGGGTCATTCTTGGCTCTCCAGTTCCCACAAGCGCTCCAGATCGGCAGCTGCTCTGTCCCTCCTTCGACGTGTCCGCGAACCCGACGACACTCCCCAAAGCCCTGTCGGCTCTGGCTCCTCCCCAGTAGCTTCCCATCCCCCCTCTGCCGCTCCGACAGTCTCCATGTCGCACCAACAAGCAAACAGGAGCCAGGGCTCCAGGCTCTCTCTTGCCGGCTCTGTCAGCGGCCGCGTGCCCTCATACCAAACCCAGCCTCAAGCTCAGTCCCCATCGCCAACCACCCCGAAGGCCGCTGCCACGACAATCTACGACAAGGGAAACACAATCGAGCAGTCCGTCCGCAAGTTTCGAATCGTCGAGGCTCTGCGCAGCGGCGATACCGCTTCCATCTCCAGGGCCATCCGCGAAACCTCAGAAGGTGGGCCGAGGCCTAGCACTTCCTCCATCAATACCCTGTCGGGAGGAGCGCTGGATGACACTACAGTACTCCATCTCGCTATCCAGGTTGCCGAATTCCCCGTTGTCGAATATGTCATATCCGACGGTGCTGGCTACGTGGACATCAACGCAAGAGACAAGGACGGCAACACGGCGTTGCATATCGCAGCCTCCCAGGGCAGGACTTCGATCGTGAAGCTGCTCCTGGAGCAGAAGGACATCAACGATGCCCTTGCGAACAACCAGGGACGCCTGCCGCTTGACTTGGCTCGAAATGCCGAAATCTTCCAGTCGCTGCAGCTGTCCCGGTCTTTGTTCGCGGAATCAAAGATCAAGCAGGTTCAGGAGCTCATCAATCAGCAAGACTACAAGGCCTTGGAGCAGGTTCTCGAGGAGACTCGCCTCAAGACTGTCTTGGACATCAACAGCACCGAGTTCGTCCTCGACCCGTTGACGGCCCAGGCCGGCGGTACGCTTCTCCATGAAGCCGCCCGTCGCAAGAACACTGCGCTCATCCAAATCTTGCTTCTGCACGGCGCGGATCCCTTCAGGCGAGACCGGAAAGGGAAGCTGCCCCAGGATGCGACCAAGGACGATGTGACTCGCGCTATGCTCAAGAAGTCACCCGCCGCGGTTGCCGCTCAACGAGGCATCCAGGAGAAGGCCGTCCTTGGAACTGCGTCTCAAGCCGCAGCTGCCGCACCTGGTGATCCTCTCCTGGGCAAGGAGGCCAGAGAGATGAAGGGTTACTTGAAGAAGTGGACCAACTACCGCAAGGGTTACCAGTTGAGATGGTTCGTCCTCGAAGACGGCGTTCTCAGCTACTACAAGCATCAGGACGATTCTGGCTCAGCTTGCCGTGGCGCCATCAACATGCGTATCGCCAAGCTCAACATGAGCCCTGACGAAAAGACCAAGTTCGAAATCATTGGAAAATCTTCCGTCAAGTACACGCTCAAGGCGAATCACGAGGTCGAGGCCAAGAGATGGTTTTGGGCCTTGAACAATGCTATCCAGTGGACGAAAGATCAGGCCAAAGAAGAGAACAGACAGCGTGCTACGAACGCTGAGCTGTTGAGCAAGGCCAAGGAGCAAGTCCAGGGAACCTCGGTTGGCGAAGCCCCGAGCGAGAGTGCCAGTCTCCTCGAACCTGGGCCGCGTGCTAGCACACAGCTCACGCGACTGCAGTCTGGCACCAAGTCGGCGAGCAAATTGACCAGCACGGGAGGCAGTGTCGCTGAGGAGGATGAGACCGACCGCGATACCAGAGCGAATATGTCTGTAATGCATGACGGTGATGAGGAAGATGATGATGGTGATGTATCAAGTGGTCGTGAACAACCAAGTGCGGCGAAGGACGCATTCAACATCACTGCGCAGTCCTTGAAGCTGCAGCTGGAGACGATGGCGCAGGTGAACGCGGCACTGGTCGCAGAGGCCAGTCAGAATCCGAATGTCAAGCTCTCGGACCCCAAGACGGCAGGAGCTCTGGCTACGTATGACGCTGCTATTCGGTCGATGGCTGGGCTCACTGGCGACCTCATGCGGATCTCTCGTGATCGCGACTCTTACTGGCAATACCGTCTGGATCGAGAGGTCGACATGAGGCGCATGTGGGAGGAAAGCATGGCTCAAGTTGCTAAAGAACAGGAAGTCTTGCAGGCCAAGATTGGCGAGGCCGAAGAGAAGCGAAAGCACACGAAACGGATGCTCAAGGAGGTGGTCAGCAATAACATGGCTGAAAGCCAGATAGCATCTCCCGGCCTGTCTACTGGCGCCGACGCTCAAGGAGAGACGGATGATGCCGCGGCCGTGGCCGACCAAAAGTCGCCGACACGAAGCCTTCCACTCAGCCGCCACGAAACTGTGCTCACAGAGATAGCGAATCTCTCAGAAGACGAGTCGGAGGACGATGAGGAGTTCTTCGATGCTGTCGATGCTGGAGAAATCGAAGCAGAGCCACTACCTCCTGCTACGACCACCGACGAAGAGAACAAGCAACTTGTGGCATCGTCTGGTATCGACATCAGCAGCTCTTTCCATGGTTATGAGAATGGCATACGGAAGAGACTTAAAATGGATGCGGACAACCGGCCAAAGATCTCTCTTTGGGTAAGAAAACCGCTGTTGCTATGTACTTTCCGCAGAATACTGACAGATTATGTTTAGGGTATCTTGAAATCGATGATTGGCAAGGACATGACCAAGATGACCCTGCCCGTGACATTCAACGAGCCCACTTCGCTGCTTTACCGCTGCGGAGAGGATATGGAGTATGCCGACCTTCTGGACCTCGCTGCCGATCGTAGTGATTCGATCGAGCGGCTCCTCTACGTTGCTGCATTCGCAGCCAGTGAGTATGCTTCGACGATTGGTCGTGTGGCCAAACCGTTCAACCCCCTCCTCGGAGAGACTTTTGAGTACGTCAGACCGGACAAAAACTACCGCTTCTTCATTGAGCAAGTCAGCCATCACCCACCAGTCGGTGCCGCCTGGGCTGAGTCCCCCAAGTGGACATACTATGGCGAGTCGGCTGTCAAGTCCAAGTTCTACGGCCGATCTTTCGACATCAACCCACTCGGCACGTGGTTCTTGAAGCTTCGCCCTACTGCAGGTGGCGAAGAAGAGCTGTACACGTGGAAGAAGGTGACTTCGTCGGTGGTCGGCATTATCACCGGCAACCCCGTCGTTGACAACTACGGTCCTATGGAGATCAAGAACTGGAAAACAGGCGAGGTGGCACACTTGGACTTCAAGCAGCGTGGCTGGAAGGAGGCATCTGCGTATCAGATTGCTGGCAAGATTGTGGACGCCAACGGGCGCGTTCGCGTCAGCATTGGCGGCAAGTGGAACTCGAAGCTCTATGCTCGTGTCACGCCTGGCTACGAGGCTTCCGTCGAAGCGCCCGCCAACGACAATGGATCGATCTACAAGGGCAGTCTTGGCGAGTCTGACCCCAACAAAGCTTTCTTGATCTGGCAGGCAAACGAGCGTCCTAAGGGCATCCCGTTCAACCTGACGCCTTTCGTGCTCACTTTCAACCACATTGATGACCAACTCAGGCCGTGGATCGCGCCGACCGACTCCCGACTCAGACCTGACCAGCGAGCCATGGAGGAGGGCGAGTACGACTTCGCGGCGACTGAGAAGAACCGCCTGGAGGAGGGGCAGCGGCTTCGCAGGAGGGAGCGTGAGGCCAAGGGCGATGAGTTCGCTCCCGCGTGGTTCACCAAGGCAAGGTGTGAGATCACTGGCGAGGAGTTCTGGAAGTTCAACGGCAAGTACTGGGAGCAGAGAGAGAAGGCTGGCAAGGGTGACGAGAGCGCATGGGCGGGGCTGGAGGAGATCTACTCGTAGGACGGTGATATAAGCTACCTGTTTAGGGGGTGGTAATCTTAACAGGTTTTGTATGGATGGCAGATGTTCAGAGTAATGAGTCAAGACACTGGGCCAATAACGAGAACCCGAATTGCGTAACATCATCGCACGTTTGCACTGGTGAAATCATGTGGCGTTCGAGAACTCACCCCTAGAAGAAAGCTCACAGGTGCTTTACCCTAGGGCTTGCGTGAGTGTTCATGTAGCCTGCCCGACTTTAGCGATCTCTTGACGTACAGCGGTGAAGTGCTTACCTAGCGTACGATGGCGAACATGTGACTGCTAGGAGGTCAGGGCAGAAGCGAAGGAGGATAGATATAAGAAAAGGATAAAAAAAGAATTGCCCTGCCAGAGACGAGAATCGAACCCTGGCTGTCCTCCTCCAACTTGCCCACACGGGCGTAATGGGAAAGCTGGACCACATTTGACCCGAGCAACGGCCCGGGGAACCTGACCGCTCCGCCTTTGTGGTGGAATTAGATGGGATGGGATGGCTTATAAGGGTGGGCAGCGTAGGTCTCGTTTGTTGTGTGGTGTGCGAGTGTCTGCCTCAGGTGACAGGCAGACAGCCTCAGGCCCAAGTTCAAGAATGTGACTGTGGCTCCTCCGACAGCCTCAATGCTCAGTCAATGTATTGACGTCTCCGATCCCGTGGTTGATTCGGCCTGCCATCAGCACCAAGAGCCCCCTTGTGGTTACTTGCTTTTATCGATGACAACTTCGAAATTCGATGGTTCGAAGTTCCAGGGAGGCTAGCAAAGTACAATTCCGCTTTATGTATGTTATAGGAACCTTGGAAGCTATTCAAAGTAGCCGAAAGACCCCCCTTGCAAAGCCTGCGCTGGGACAGAAGAAGTCTTTGTCTCAGTACACAGAAACCCTTCAAGGAAGCGTCGTCAGAACTTTGAGTCTTTAATCTTTATCTTCTAAGTGTATACCATGGGTTTCAACGAAGAGCTGGGGAAAATAGGCCGCAGACTCAGCAGCTCCTCACGGTGTGTAAAAATGCAGGGCAGAAGACAATATTTACGTTGATAGCTGAGAAGCAGTGAGCCTGCTGCTAATGTATGTATGTTGAATTGAACATTTCTTCGAAGGGTTTCGGGTCGGAGTAATCAATTGAGAACTTCGGAGTCTCACGTCTCCGCATCCCACATGCAGCATCGACTCCGAGCCAGAGCCCTCTCTACAACATCACCAAGCGCTTTTGTAGTAGAAGCAAAGAGCAAATATGATTTGGAGTTCTACTAATAATAATAGTTACAAAACTCGAAGCTCAAGGCTGAAATATGCGACACGCTTCGAAACCGCAAATGCGGATGCAGGCTCACTGCACCGCTCGCAATTCTTACCTATAATTCAACGCCACAAAACACTAGAATGCCAAGTACTGAAATAATTCTACCCTTCTGAAAAGTTTGTTCATGACCCAGCAGTGTATGGTTTTTGCTCGCTTGTCTGGGAGTCGTAATTAATGGAGTCCTCACCGGCATGCTTTCCATTTCCAAAGACGAGCCCCGGGTGCCCGACCATGAGGCAATAGACAGCTATGATGATCATTCTGCCACATCGAGACCATGTCAGCACCTTTTCAATGCACAACGACGTAATGGGATACCCCTAGAAGATCACTTACACCCCCTCAAGACCAATAAACAGCCCCTCATCCCTGACCAACTTGCCACCATACCCTTCATGCAGCTCCGCAAGACGGTAGGCGCAGCGGGTCAGGATGAGCAGCGTCGCCGTGGCGATGAAGCCGAAGAAGAGGCCCAGCCGCCTCGTGAACTTGGGCCCGCCGACGGCCCGCGAGGCGCGGGCATAGCGAATCAGGTAGTCGCCGAACAGGGCGCAGAAGATGAGCATAAAGACAACCTGGAGCACGAGCCCCGCGAGCGCGAGGTCGACGCCCGTCTGGTTGGCGCCCTTGGACGTCGTCGACATGGCGCCGCCTGCTGCTTGAATTACCAGACAGATCAGGTCGCCGGGAATGAAGATCCAGTAGTAGAGGCGCGGCCGGAAGCGAGATATTTCGGGGGCGAAGTATTGAATTCTGTGGAGAAAGTGTCAGCTAAAACTGCAACGTGTTGAGGACAAGCCTCTATAGAAAGGACAGGAGGGAATATGGTGTGTGTATGAAGAGACGTACGTCGCGGCGAGTGACACGTAGATAGCCGCTGTGAAATATACCGGGCCGCTCGTTATGCAAACTAAGAAAGAGAGAAGATAATGTGTTAGCTCACGCGCCCCATTCCATCATACCATGAATATAAGAAGTGTCTTACCGATTTGGAGCATGAACCCAGTGAAGTCAAAGGGGTTATTGTACAATATAATCCGGCCGGCGTAGCCCGCAATGGCATTGAGTGCGCCCAGGACCATACAACTCATGAAGAACCACTTCTTCCACCGCCAGCCGAGGTATATGTGAATGCAGGCCGATAGGGCATAGAGGACGATGAAGGAGATGCTTGCGCTCAGGCTGGGCCTGTAGCCATACAGGCTGGCCTCGATCGGGCATATCTCGAGTGTGCAGTTGCCGTCGGGGCCAAATAGGACCACGTCGGGAGGGAGGCGGCTATAGTCTGCCATGTCACTGCTATAATTTTCGAATGGTATGCGGGGGGATCTGGGAGAAAACAGGGCAACACTAAACTTGCGAATTTCAGGCTACCAAAGATGAAGGCTTTGTGAACAGTAACTGCGCTGGCAAGAATGGTCGTCGGAGTTATCCTGGATGATATAACGCGTGCGGAAAAGATCATGGGCACCCGTTAGGCACTGTAAGATTAGGCTCATGTGGTCATGTTATAGTCTCGAGGCTGGTCGGGCCGGGTAAATATCTGATTCTTCTCATCGGGACAATACTACAGTTATCCGAGTAACAAGCAGGGCTGAGGTTCCGCATTGAGCATCACGTCGTCAACTCTGCTGAAAGGATTGCGAAGGAATATGTATCGCGGTACCTCGCCCGGTGCAGGGATCCCGCGCGGGCCGCAAAGTACCAGAGCAGGTATTCCAGCGCCATGTGGGACGATGGCGCACGTCTATGTATGTAAGCCATTCATGGGGCTTAGCGCACTCGCACTCGCATATGGGGTTTTGAAGAGAAGGCGGCACAATCTTGGGCCGTCTCCCGTTCGACACCAACCTGCCGCGTGTGATGACGAGTTGAAAGAGGCCAGGCTTGGCATAACCGCCCGGTCGCCGTTCAGGATTCAGCCCGCCTCATTTGGCTGAAGGCGTGCTCAATGACTGGACGAGCCGCATCGGCACACGGGCCGCCTTCTGTACAGAGAGGTGAGAGGATGGCGCAGACGGTGCCTATTCCCTCTTGCTCCGACTCTTCAACTGGCGTAGGTTTTGCTCATTTGTATCCTTGTTGAAATCAGTCACCCACAAAGACTTTGAGCAGGCCATAATCAATCATAGACTCTGAAAATTCCCGAGAAAGGTCACCACGATGAGTCAGTCAAGAGGCAAGATGCGAGTTTTGGACACCGACGTGGCAAGACGTACCACCCATGATCACCAGCCTCAAGCTAGCGAGGGCCAAGAAGTCACGGCAGTCACCTACAACCACACAGACATGAAGGCTACCAGTAAAATTTGAAGTCAATGTGGTCCATGACCAATGCCATTTTCTGTGCTGATTATTATTACATGTTTCGCTAGATGACGACTCCTGCTGTCCTGAACCAGTTTGGGTTCTCCCGACTGTTATCCGTTCCCGTCGCTTGTCCTCCATCTAAATGTTCAGAGAGTAAGGAAAATTTTGGGTTGCAAGCGAGGAACCTCGGGGCCTAGAGTCCTTCGTCTCTATTACATGTATGTGTGCTGTGCAAAAGGCAGCCATGCTCCTGCACCTGGTATCTCAGACCGTGATGCTTTCCAGAAAAAAACCAGGACCACTGTAAATGCTCTGTCGTAAGGATCGTAAGAAGGAAATGTTTGTGTTGATGCTAATCAGGTATAGTTGTGTGACCAAGGAATTGTGCCGCTGAGGCAGAGTGATATGTGGGTATTGTGTTGTTTGATCTTTTTTTATCGTGGCTCAGCTCTCTTACAGAGCGAGGACGGCAACGACGGCCAGGACAGCAGCGCCGAGGCCAGCTCCGGTCTTTCCAGCTCCGGCAGTGACGACGGTAGTCTGGGAAGCGGAGGGCACAAGGGCCGTTGTGCCTTGGGCAACACCCGACACACCAGCTGAGCTGCCGGTGGGGTAGAGGGGAGCGGCGCCAGATGGGGACACAGCTCCTGCAGTCTCAACGGCCGAAGCAGGGTAGCTTGTGACAGGCACGACGCCAACCTCGGTGGTCGAGATGGCAGTGTAGGTGGTCAGAGCAACCTGGGGCACGGTGAGGACAGTCGACACAGTGAGGGTTGAGGAAGACGATGGCAGAACCTCGCCGGCAGAGTTGGTGCAGGGGACAACGGTGGTGGCTTGGACAATGATAGTGGTAGCAGACGCGGGAGGAGTGGCGGTGGCAGTCAGGTAAGTGGTCAACGAAGCACCAGTGGCCACAGCAGGGTTGTTTCCGGCGTAAGAACCGCAGATACCCTGGAAGTACTGGATGGCCTCAGCGACAGTCTCATCAGAGTCACCGTAAGCGTACAGGCACTGGTAGACGTTCGAAACAAAGGTGGCGTCGGGGCAGTAGCAAGCAGCATCGGCGTTGTCAACACAGCCGACAATGAAGTTCCAGGTGCTGATGCAAGCAGGGACAATGCTCGGGCAGGGCAGAGTCTCAGTGGCAGCAGCAGGGCTCTCAGAGGTGGTGCTGGCAATGGGAGACAGCTCGGAAGTAGAAGACTCAGTAGCAGAGGCGCTCTCAACCGAGGAGGTCTCACCAGCGGGAGGAACCTCGCCAGCGGAAGTGGTCTCGGCAGGAGGGACGACCTGGGTCTGGGTCACAGCGTGGCTGGTGGTGAAGACGGAAGTCTGAGTAGCAGTCACAGGGCAGATGGTGGTGCTGATAGCAACAACCTGGAGTAAATGTTAATAAACGTGTGCGGGTTAAAGAAGACAAAAGAGCATGAAGATGTTACTTACGACAGTGGTAGTGGCAGTCTGGCCCTCAGTGAAACCAGCAGGGCAGCTGACAACCTCGGGTCCGCAGCTGGTGATGGTCTGGATGGAAGTGCTGTAGACGGTGGAGGTAGTCTGGAAGCTGGTAATGGCGGTGCTGGTGATCTCGTAGGTGGTTGACTCGACAGTCGAGGCAGAGCTAGGGACCTCGACGGAGGACTCGACAGTCGAGGAGGCAGTAGCCTCAACGGATGTGGATGTGGACTCAGCAGAGGTGATGGACTCAACAGTAGTAGACTCGGCAGACGAAGGAGCGGGAGGAGTCTGGGAAGCAACAATGGTAGTCTTGGAGCCAGGTCCAGAGGGGCCAGCAGAGCCAGTTGGCTTAACTCCAGTCTCGGAAGGAGAAGAAGGCTTGCCACCGCTAGGTCCAGTAGGAGTGGCCTGGCCTGGAACAGTCTGCGCGGAAGTAGTCTTGATCTGCGTGGAGTGGGTCTGGGTGTACTTGGTGGTGGTGCTGGAAGCGGACGAGCAGTCGAAGGAGACTGTGGGGATGGAGATACCACAGGTCGAGGAGGCCGAGGGGATGTTGTTGCCAGACTGGCCGGTGGGGTAGACGATGGTCACGTTCTTTGCACCACCGCACTGGGAGTTCTTGACCGTTGAGCCCTGGGAAGAGCAGGAGCTTCGCTGCTTGCAGGTCGAGCCGTCGCCCATAGAGAAGTGGAACTCCAAGTCCGCATCGAACTCGGTGATGACGTCGATGGTGCTGACAGAGAAGGACTCGATCTCGGTGTCTGAGCCGCAGCCGAACGAGGGCGAGCTCTCCTTTGAGTGACCACAGCTACCGGTGAGGGTCTTGGAAGTGCGAGGGGCAAAACGGCTGCCGGGCTCACGCTTTCCGTAGCCCTCCTCGCAGCTGAAACCGCCGAAGCTGAAGCCTCCGTAGGATGAGAAAGAGCCAGTTTGAAGGTCACTCCAGTCCCAGCCCTGCTCCTGTTGGGTGTTGCACTTGTTGTCAGTGTTGTCGGGGCAGCTGAAGCCACCAAAGTCGTTCCAGCCCTTCACGTGAAAGTTAGCATACTCTATCCTCCAAGCCGGGGGTTGTGGGTTCTTCTGTTGGACGTACGGTGGCTGATACGGTTGCCGCGAGGGCAAGAATAGAAACAGACTTCATTTTGTGTGTGGTTTTCGAACAGTGGTTATACTTGTGTGTGAATAATGACAGTGGTAGCGATACCAAAGAGCGAATGTAGTCGATATATGTACTCAGTACAGGACGAGTGTGGGTAAAGAGTGGTGGTCGGAGGCAAGTATAGCGAATGACTTGAGACTCCTTGACAGAAGGAAATATAAAAAAATATTCACACAGTTGGTTTGGCGAGAAGAAGCCGACTGTTTGATGGAGAGGAAACCTGAGGAACAGAAATTCAAGAACCGATCACGACAACGGGAAGCAAAGCAGATATATACAGATGCATGGCAGCGCAGAGACTGCAAGGCCGGCGCATGTGGAGGGTCCTCCCCCCCGGGCTTGTCTGCCCATGCACCTGCATAGTACGACGGGGCAGTGGCAGCGGTAGGAGGTGAGGTCACACAGAGGGGCCGAGGAGCAGCCATGCCCATGACCATGAAGGTGGCGCGGTGGGTCGAATATAGCAAGGGGTTCCCAAGACGCAGACAGACCCCTGGTATTTTCCCTTAGAGTTGTTTCTTTCGTGCCTGTCGACTCCACCAGAAGGACTGGCACTAGGCTCGAAGTGTAGCCCTGGCTGTTTCTGATGCTCGATAGGGAATGGGAGGTGTGACCTGGCCGACTGGAACGGCACCAGCCACTGGGTAGGTAGCATCGTCCTTCTCGCGGGCCACCACTTGGCTTGAGATCAGACAGACGGGGATTGAAATAGCAGCGCGGGCATCAGCAACCTCGAGCCATGCTGACGGGCGTTCACACGATTCCCGAATCCTCATACATTCTGGGCAGTCTGGACAGTCTGATGTCGAGCCCAGATGGGTTGAGGCCCGGTCGCCACTGGCCCAGCCACGGCAGGGAAGCGAATAAGACGGCGGGCCAGCGCACAGAGCAAGGCAATCTCTCGATCGGACGAACTGGGCCAGCTGGGGGCTCGCAGACGGAGATGGGGGATCAATGATGGAGGGGAGCAGGTGAGGAGCAGATTGAAGGGTCCGAGTGTTGTGGGTGCTGGCGCTGGCTATGGTATGGTACGTTAGGGTACGGTACGGTATGGCACGGAGGTGCAAGCGAGCCAGCAAGTGGGTGGATGTCGGGTGCTGGTACCAGAAGGAGAGGCAAACTTGCCTGATCAGGTTGAGGACGCGGTGGGGAGTTGCTGTTGCGCGCGGCTCTGTCTGCCAGATGCAGGCGAGTGTCAAACCGCAGGTCAGGGGTAGCCGCTCGTAACCACCCGTTCTGGCACACAATCCCAGTCGGCGGCCTGGACCAGCAGGGTAGGTGCCCAGTCTGCCCCAGTGTGCTGGTCTGCCAGGTACCCGAGTGCCCAGGCCCTTTCCGTCCCATCCTTGTCAGGGGTGGACCAGCCTGCCCAATCAGCTTACACCAGAAGACCTGGACCCCACATGGATTCGTCCAAAGTGCTCCTTCCTGCTGCCATGCGTGCCATGGTATGTGCCCTTAGTGCCCATGTACCTCCGTACCTCCGTACCTCGCTTCGACTCCAGCTCCTTATTGAGAAGTGTTCGGCGCATAACTGGAGTAACTAGCCACTTAGTCATGGCGGAGGAGATCTCAGCTCAATTACAGGAAGATGATTACTCCAGTAGTTGCTGTCGTGATCGCGTCAGACAGGCTACGCCAGATATCCCCGAGAAAAAGGGGGCCGCCATGTGGTGCTGGTGCTGATGCTGGTGCTGCAGCAGCAGCGCACTACCTAGGGATGACCAGAAGCTGAGGACGAAATATGGCAGGCAAGATACCTGCAGCTCGATCTCCAGCTGCATTGAGGGAAACAAGATCCCGTAACCTTGTTGCCCAAGCAAGCTCAAGCAAGAAAAACAAGGCTTGGGCAGGCTGAGAACCGTTGTTTTTCCTGTCTTCGAATAGGAACCTGAGCATACGTTGCCCCAAAATGAACCGCCTGCTGGATTCAATGCAGGGCCTCAGGGAGCTGACCAACAGGAACGGCTCTTGGGGGTGCCCCCCTCCTGTCCCTCCTGTGTCTCCTGCAGACCAGAGCCGGCGCCCTGAAACAAGCTTGACCTGCTCAGCCACCAGCGACCTCCAGTGAAGCGTCCCTTCCCCCCCTGTTGCCCGACACGGCAACTGCGCTAATGCAGGAACAGAGCTGCCAGAGTGGGGATCGCCAGCAGCTATGGGCCAACCATTGCCTTTTCTCCTTGCCGTCCCAATATCGACTCATGACCAGTCGGCTCTTCACACATTCTTTCTGCCATAGACAGTGCAACCACCATCATTTCAAGCAGTCATCCGCAACTATAGTAGCTCCTCAGCATGGTGCACCAATTGACCGACTCGACAACTGTCTCATCTCATCTCATCGTCTGGTCTGGTCTGGTCTGCTTCTGAAGCAGGGCTTCTTCAACCACGACCACGACCAGGCCAGGCCAGACCCAGGCCGATATCCGTCTGACAAGGGGCACGTCCTGGACAGTGGTCATGATCTCCGCGAGGTTGCAGCGTTGTCCACAAAAGCGATAGCAGCATCGGGGAATTTGGTCTTTGCACACCCAGGGACTCGATCATCTTGGCATCTATTCCCCATTCGATCTCTGCAACGGCGCGATGTCCTTCTTCCAGAACTCCAGGCCCACCTCGAGTGCTCGGTAACGTGCCCCTCTCCCGAGCTCTCTCCACACGAGAGCCTGGACACCGCACATCAATCCCGCCCAGACCATCCGCCATTGCACGCAAACTTCGTATTCGACCTGTCGTCAATACAACCACCTTGACTTGGTCAGATGTGACTGGAAATCCCTCCGGATCAACATTCCCGCCCCTTCGCGGTACTCGATCCTCGCCATCCCGCCTCGGACTTGTCCTCAGTGTCGTCAGTTCTATTTATTTCATCTCCGCAAATAGGAGTCGGCGGGATCGGCGGCCTTCAAAGTAATGTGCATGTCAGGGCTGCGGGCACATCTTCGGATCCGGATATGGGGGCATAATCCTATGACGAACTCCTCAAGGATGCCGAGTCAACACGTTGCGAGCCATCACGACACAGGTGCTCTGCTCTGCTCTGCTCAACACAAGCATACTCTCGCAGGACTAGCTAACTTCTTCAAAGCTACTTCCCGCTAGTACCGACAAGCGGTGACGGGGATTGCAGACGCATCTGGCCAGGGTTGGCCGGTTGTTTCATGTTTCAGCCATCCCGTGTTCGTCCCTTTTCCTTTTTCTCTGTCCTCCTCCATCCCCTGGACGCCCGCAGGCTGGGGTTGCATGGCTTCCTGACTCCATCCCCGGTCAGGGTCGACCGGCGGCCACGCAACCTCCAATCTTGGCAGAAACATTTTGCCAGCTGCTCGACAGATCTTGAAGTGGTAATGGGCAACCTGAGTTGGATCTGCCGGATCCACCGCATCAGCAGATAATGTTTTCACGATTAATTGCATTTTACGGTGCGCCGGATTGGGGACCACTGGAGAAAGTCCGATACTCTAGTGCATTGCGGCCCGAGGCTGTGGTCAAGCCCTTTAATTTCCGAGTCTTTCGCACCGGTGCAGAGCCGTCGACATCGGAGGACTCGATGTGCGCGAGATGGCGCAAGCCATCCACAGCCAAGAGTCATTTGGCTTGACAGGCTCGCTTGTTGTATAGTCAAGAAAGCCACACCCAACGGCCTTCATTACCCCCGGCCGAGCGATGAGATCACGATACGATGCGTCTGAATTTTCGGGCAGCCTAGAAGCTGTCAAGTTTCTGCCAAGTCCTGAGACTTGGCATCTTTGGTAAGATGGGACGACAAGACGCTGATTCTTCTCGAACAATGCGCAAACTAAACTATCGCACGGGAATCGGTAGACATAGAGACCGGTATCAAAGGCATTAACCTTTCTCTTCCAGTTTTCTGAACGGGCTACAAGAATGATCACCAGGTGGCCATATGGTTCTCATCAGTCCGGACAGTGCATGCTTCATCCCATACCCCCAAATCCCAAGGGTCTTTCCTCGCGTCGCTACCAGGGACTCACGCTGTTCGCGAAAGGGACATCTCGATATGGTTGTATCAAGAGGCCTCCTAGTTCATAGGACCGATTCACCTTCGTCTACCGGCCACCACATCCTGGTGGTGTATGAACTCTTCAAAGCCAACTTGACGGCATGGACCTTTGTTGACGCCATGTCCAGAGTTGATTGTCAGGAAGGAAGAAGCCTGTCAAATAAACTCGGTGGTCTAAGTTTAGGGCCATATAAATTGTTGACGTACGTACCACGGGGTTGATCGGCAGAGTAGAACGGAGCCGCCCAACAGCTCGGGAAAATTTCAAGTTGATCGACAACTACTGCCGTACCAAAATCCCGCCAGCGCAAAGCAACAGGTGCTGGTTGGTGGTTTTCGCCCGATAGATTGAATGACTGCGCTGCTGACGGACCTCATACATCCAATCAGCTTTCTCTTTCTAATGGGGATGGGCAGCGCATCGCTATAAGCAGGAAAGCCACGCCTACTTAGGCTATGTAGACTTGTGTGTTGCACTACAGCCAGGCTCGTACTACAGTTCTGTCATGCTTAAAGGATCCGACCGACATCCGCTGAAGACTTTTCTCAGTCTGCAGTAGTCAGGAGAATCTGCAGCCTCCACGGCTCGCAGATGCACGAGGGGTTTCCCCGACTGGTGCGGTCACGCTGCATATACCCATCGACCCGCAACGTCAGATCATGGCCCCTGAGAATCCATGGACGGCATTGAGAGGGCCCTTAAGCTAGTCTTCTGAGGCAACTGCGCCTCTTGGTGGTCCGGCGTTGCGGTCTCGTGGAAGCAGCGATGCTGCATGCACTTGGGCGTCGTTGCCCAGATCAAAGCAGCCCAGTGATCTCGGGACTGTCGGGGGAGCAGGGTAGTGCACAAATCAGGGGGCCGGACCGATGGAGACACCTTCAAGGTTAGAACTATTGAAAAGCTTCATTGTGCTGACGTCGTCCCGCGATTGCAGCGCGATCACGGTTTTTTGTTTACTGTAGCAAAAGTCTAGGGCATCCTTTCCTCGCGAGCGCAGATCTTCATTCCACGCCATGCGGCTCTCGAGAAACAGCGGAGGATCTTCCCAGCTCTCCACAAACCCAATGCTGCTGATCGGGAAGTTTATCTGGCAGGGGTTCATCTAAACATCTAATGCATTTCCAATTCTGTAAAGGGACGCAGGACAGCAAGTTCCCACCTTTGTGCACTGCCTTCGAGAGAGGATCCACAAACATCAACAATCGTGCCACTGCCAATCTTTTTCCTGTATTGGTTTATACGCGTATTGCCAGTCGACGATTTCAGGGCCATGCAATCACAACTTCGCTACTCTACAGCAGTGATTCGGGCAAAGGATCCCGCGATCGCAGAACGGAGAACGGCCTTGCCCGATGCAGACAGGACCAGTTCGGGCCAGGGGCGCATCTGAATGCAACGTCGAGCTCCCCCCGGCCCCTGGCCCTTGTGCCTCCTGTGTTTCGAAAAACGATGCCATGGCAGAATGGAGGCCCCCCTCCTCCCTCAAGTCCTGTCAATATTCTTTGCTACAACATGGAGGTGGCTGAGCTTCTGCGCGAGATATCAAGGGCTTCATGCTCGACGCATGGTGCGGTGTGACTACTCAGATGTCGAACAGGCTTGGGGCGTTGGATGATACGAGGCCGCCGATGAGCACGATTCCTGCAAACTTGCTTGTTGCGCGGGACGGCATGGCTGGACTTCCCCCATCAGGAGCTGTCGGCGGGTAGCATGCCTCGCGAGCAGATGAGAATCACTCGGGGTCAGGTGCACCATCCAGATGCCCCTCATGTCCTGCCTGTATCGCACGACGAGGAAGTAGCCTTAGCCGGACTTGGACTCCGGATCAAAAATGACCACCAGCGAGACCCACCTAGTATTGAATTGCACATCGCAAGCGGGTCGCCAGTCTGTCCTGCCTCGGCAGCGACTCCGAAGCACTATTGATCCTTTGCGGATAACCTCATCTCCAGCCCCGGGCTCTCATTGCCACAACAGGACCCGTTGACTATCGATCTTGTGAATGAGCTTTCATCTCGTGGACGAGCTCTCATTTCGTCTTTGTAAGCCCCTGCCTCAACCGCCGGCCTGCATCCTCCGTAACCTCTCCTCCGCCGCCCTGGCCCTCCTCTCCCGCTCTAGCCGCATCCTCTGCTCCGGAGTCAGTCCCCTGGCTTCCTCCTGCCTCTTCTCCTCTGCGCTCTTCTCGACGCTGCCGCCCAGGACACCACCGCCCTTCCGCCTCGCGCTGTCGACGACCTTGGGCCCTTGGCTCTTCAGCCTCTCCTCCTCGGCCTTCCTCCTCTCAGACTCCTTCCGCTCGGCCTCTTTGCGCTCGCGCTCTCCCCGCTGCTCGGCCTCTTCCTTCTTTATCCCCGGCGGGACCTTCGCAGCCTCCCAGTCCCACGCGCCCTCGCCCAGCTCGTGCCGTGCTACACGGAACGCATCCCGTGTCGCGCGGTCGCCCGCGAGCTCGAAGGGCGTCTTGCCATCGCCATTTGGCAAGGTGGGGTCCGCGCCTCCCCGGGTCAGCAGGCCCGTGATCAGGGGGGCCGCGTTCTGTGCCGCTGCTAGGTGCAGCGGCGTCGGGGCGTGGTGATTTACATCGGCGGGCTGGAAACGGAAATTTGCTTCGAGGGAGTTGGTCTTGATGTATGATAGCAGGGCGGGAAGTTTCGAGCGGCGGATGAGGGCCTGTATCTGCTGCGTGTGGAGCAGGGCCGTCTCCTCTTCCTCGGTGAGTTTCGGCGCGGCTGGTTTCGAAGACTTGCTCGTTGTCTGTGACTTTGTGGCCGCTTCTGTGGCGGCGTTTGGATCGACCGGTAGTATCTCCCTCACCTTGAGCCTGGTGAGCTCGATGAACGAGCGCATCAGCTCGTTCTGTGTCGCCCGCCGCGTGCTGAAAGGGAACCCCCTTATCCGTGGATCGTTCGCTCGCAGAACTTGCCCCTCGTATGGCCCATATAGCGTCCGTCGATTCGTGACCCCGGTGGCCCGGATGAAAAGCAGGTCAGCCGTGTCCAGTAGACCTTTCCAGTCGGTCAGAAGCTGCCGCACGTCGTCGACTAGGGCTTGCTCGTTGTAACGACGCAAAGTAGAACCTGCTGAGTGCGCGGCGCCTTTGGCGTTGTCGTTTGCTGATTGCGAGCCGCCTTGTTTCCTTCGTGTAGTATATCTGTGAAATGTCTTGTGTGCCAGGACTGTGGCTTCGCGGTTCATAGGCCCTGCCCCGGACTTAGTCTGTCGCGGCGAAAGTGCGACTACCATCGCAGCAAAATGGCCGCCTCCGATCATGCAGAGGAAAATATGCGGCCCCTTGTAGGCCGCTGGGGGTTGAGACCCGTCTTTGCTGGGTTTGGGAGGTGCCAATGGCGGTAGCTGGCGCTTCTTGACGGCGTCTAATATGCTGTCCTCTTTCTCTAGCTCGTCGCTCGTGAAAAGGGCTCTGTATATTCCGAAATAGTTGTTCTCGGGCAGAACGGGAGAAGCGAACCACATCATTGGTGGCTTGCCCGTGCCCTTCCTCTTTCCCCTGCCCCATTCCGTGTCATCGTCGCCATCATCCCCGTTGCGCTTCTCTGCGAGGGTGGCCTGCTTCTTCAAGAGTGCTGTCAACGTCGAATCCTTCCTGGATTCGTCCTCCTCGTCCTCGGAATCATCCGAGTCGGATCCGGACAGGCTTTCGTCCAAGTCGCCAACCAGCTTCTCAAACTCCACCTCGGACACGGGCTTCTGCCCCCTGAGCTTCTGCTTCAGGTTGTAGTTATGCAGGTCAGATTTCTGGTGGCCTCGTTGGTCGAGCACTGTGGCGAATGTAAGACCGCATAAAGAGCAGGCTGGCGATCCGACTGCCGTCTCGGATGGTGTTTGCGACGGCTCAGCGACAGGTTTTTGGGGTGTGTCTGGGTCTGGCTGCACATGCGCTTCGGTATCTAACTTGAGGTTCAGTGTGGCCAAGACTTCCGGAGGGAGATCATAGACTGAAGAATGCGTCGGTGTCAGCAGTGCGCGGCAAAATTATTCGCATTGAGGCGCATGACGTACCGTAGAGGGGACGACGAAGAAGCTCGTCCTGCTTCTTAGGATCCGTCGCCATGAGGAGCTCGGCTGGTCGCAAGAAGCTGAGGATGAGGGTGAAGAATGATCGGTTTGTCACGAAGCTCAAGATGGGAGCTAGGGACTTGATATAAATCAGCAACAGCCCTCAAGATTGCCTCGGCGTGACTGACTGACTGACGCCTAATGAGAGTGGATGACGGTTGCGCATCGGCGACCAATTTGGGAGTTTATCGATAGAGGGGTTGGTAGCCGCCCCCCCCCCCCCCGATTGCTTTGGGATTCTCAGGGTTAGGATTTCCCGCCTCAGCAACAAGCACGGATTTCAAAATACATCTTTTTAATTAGCTGGGGATAAACAGCAACTGTTTCGTCTCGGACTATCTCAGTCACAGAATATGAATCGAACTTGAGAGCTATGCGATGCAAGCAATCTACCGTGTCTCGAATTAGGCTTGCCTGCGCCAAGCCTCAAGGACGAAGTTGTTTCTTCAGCAAGACTGCCTATGTCTGAGAATTCAACACAAATGACAAGGCTTCCTTTGCTCGAATTCATGCATCGCCTTGAAAGATCTACTATACATTTTTTTAAAACTACTTGCACCAAGCTGCTTGTCGTTACCAGCTCATTGATACTGATCAGAGTCAGAGTCAAACATTCATGTACTCAAAGCAGCAAAGCAGGTGTCATCAAACACGCAATTAAAATTTAGTAAAAGATTAGCTAGGTTCAAGGTTTTGGTTGGCTGCCGTAACATTCTGATCCTGAGCTCAAATGATCATCTACCGGAATGAAGAAGGAGGCATGCGCGTGCTGTAGGTATGGTTGAGTCTGTTGAGCTGCATATCTGCGACTTATCACAACGGTGACCTCGGAACTCTAGTATTTCAGCACTCTGTTTCTCCAGATACCTGATTTCAACAAGACCTCTCACCATATCACAATAAGAATTAACGTTTCAATAAGACGTCGGTCGGAGGACCGCAAAACAGGCATTTTGATTGTTAAGATGAGCTCGTGGGATATCAAGTGGGAGCTACCTAAGGTCCGTGAAGGCCACGTAATTCCTCGCTCCATTGAGCACCATCAACCTATCCGGCAATTCCCTATGAGTCCAAACAGCTCAGAAAGTACCCCGCGATCCGTTCAGGTTTCAGCGTCATGATGTCATGACACCTGCAAGAGTCTTCCTCGAACCAAGCTTCACACCTCGTCCTCAGGCTTGGTCTCCTCAACAGGAGGCTGGACATTGTTCTTGGCGCGGCCGCGACCGCGCTTCGCGGGAGGCGCCTCGGGATCGTCGGCAGCGTCACGCTTGCCGGCCTTCTTGCCATTGGCGGCTTTTTCATTCATTGCGTTTCCGTTGTTGGCCTCGCCAGTGCTGGTCTCGCCACCGGCAATGTTGCCAGCGGCCTTGAGCTTGGCAGCGGTATGCCACCAGTTTCTAGCGGCAACCTGAGCGGTCGGGTAGTTGGACATCTTGGCAAGCTTCTCGAAGTCCGGCTGTTGAGACAGCCTTGTGTTAGTCTGCAATACATGACCCACAAGTTTACAATCGTGTCAAGCGAGGTGCCAGTTCGAGGAGCTGTTGTGTTGGGTGGAGAGGTTGCTTACCTTGACTTTGTTCTCGACAAGGGTGATCATAGCCTTGACGGTAAACTCGACCTCACGAGGGGTGAGGTTGTAGTTGGCAAGACCGTCCTTCTTGGGAGCACCAGGCATCTTGACAGATCGGTGGGTGAGTAGGATGTAGATGATGATGTAGAGCTTGAGTGAGTAGAGGGCCAGGAATTTTGAGCTCTCAGATGAGGGCGTTGAACTGAACGGTAATGGCGATATCAAATTAGTGCTCAAAGATTGAGGTTGGTTCGGGAAGGAAAGGCTGGGTGGAGCTTGGGACGACACAAGCCGCTTGAAAGGCAACAGGGAAATGCGGGTGGTTTGAGGTACTCACTTGACAGAAAATTGACCGTGCAAGCTTTCTGGGTGGTGTGGTTGTTGGATTCTATGTCAGGTAAGCTGCGGGACCTTGGTCGACGAGCCGCGATAAGTTATGGACGAGGCTGTGGGTGCGGCTGTGAACGCGGCTGGGGATCAGGGGCGTGGCTGTTGCCAGGGTTACGGAGGCAGGCACATGAGCAATACACGCAGTGCTAGCTGAGCCCAATGCGATCCAAATAAGCAGGAGATCTTGCACTTTGCCAGTTTTGGCTACTTAGTAGATGCTCTGTCCTGTCATTTCATGGTTGGATAGTCAAAGATAATTCATTTCATAATACATTGCAGGCTTGGAGAGTTGATGAGAAGTTGGTAAAAGACATACTTGAATATGATGAATGGAGGCACGGCCTTTAGGCCCGTGATGGAGAGAACTTTTGGAAAGCTTCACGGTCCCGAAGTTGGAAGTAACAAGTACATACAATATGCTAGACAAGCGATAGAACCATGTCTTGCACAGGATCTCAAGCCATACTTACAAATCAGGCAGTTGCACAGGCTTTGGTCAGTACTTCACCTATGGTCATGGGCTTGATTGCTTTGAATGATTTCAAGGCTCGAGTGCATTCATCACCTAGATATGGTATCTTGGCCCCGTTTGATGCCTCAAGGAACCCGGAATCAAGATCGAGATCATTTCTCGTCTTTCTTTTCAGTAAGAGTAGAAACCCAAGATACTTTTCTCTGCACTGTGTTCTGGTAGTTTCTGCTAATAAGTCTATCTGAGTAGACTTGGTCTCGCGATGCTGCACACAGATGCTCTTATGTCTCCAACAACTGTTGCCTTCGATCTCCTTGTGAACACTTCAGATTTATGCCTCCTGTTGCTCAATACTTGGCGACTTCTGCGAATGAGTGTATTTATTTCGCTGTGCCATCGCGGTAGGAAAAGAATGAGCGATGATCTATATCCAGGGTTGATATATGACAATGTATCTCTGGAAGCGTTCCTTCCATCGAAGTTGGTTGCTGTGGGCCAAGTTCATTCTCGGTAAGCTCGAGAGGCACATCTTTATCAAAAAGGACGCAATCAGGAATGAATGAAATCAAAATGTCTCTCCTAGGTAGGTAATCCCACTGAGATATAAAGAAGAAAACAACCATTCCAAAGCATCGAGATTGTGAGAAAGACCGCAAGCTCTAAGGGATGAAATAAGCGCTGGGCTGGGCGAACCTCGGCGGCGAACACCAGCTTCCAATGGACCTAGGACAATGCGGGCCAGGCCCAAAGGCACATTGCCCTTGTTCCTGAAAGTTCAAAATTGCACAGCCTGTATCATTGCACAAAGGCAAGTTTCATGACCACATCATACTTCAGGATGAATGGTTCCATAGCAGCTGCATTCAAGACCAAAGATCATCAAGAATGAATATGTAAAGGCCTTGCCATGCAAGGCCGTTGTGTGTTTCCCCCCTGACGTGTTGCTGCTCGATCATCAAAGCAGGATAGAGAAACTTTCCCAAATGGAAGAAAACCAATCCAATCAAGACACAGCAGAAGATCAAGACACAGCAGAAGCCATTGCTTCTGAGAAAAAGTATCATGGCCAGTTTCATGCCACTCAAACCCCCGAGTGACTCAATTTGCTCTCGTTCAGAAAGGCTTGCAATTTGCGGCCACTAAACCTCGTCCTCCATCTCCAAGTTTGCAGCCTCGGCATCAGCAGCGGCCTCCTTCTTGATTCGCTTGGCTGGCTGCTCGGCAGCTTCCGCTTCATCGTCCTCCACCTCAGCTTGTTTCTTGGTTCGCTTCTTGGGTGTCTTGGATCCCATCTTGGAAGGGGTCTTCTTGGGTCCCTTAGTTGGGGTACCGATGTCGTCGAGAGAAGTCGAAGATCCCGCGGGCGTGGAAGCATTGTTGTCAATCATCTTTTTTCTGGCCATGTACCAAACGCGATTGGCCGAGTCAGGGTTCGTGTGACCAGTAAGGGCAGCAAGCTGACCCTTGTCGACCTGGGTGCATCACAATGTTAATTGTGAATCTTTGGAGTGTTTCTAGCCCTCATAAGAATGGGCGTCTAAGTGACCTCGTACCTTTCCCTGGCCATCCGCGACCATGAGCTTCAGACTGCAGAGGGCAATCTTGACCTCGCTGTCGGAAAGTCCAAACATGCCGTTGGAAGAAGCAGCCATGATGCTTCTGCTGGTTGTAGTCAATATCAGCTACTGTGGCAATGAGCTAGCGGACGCTGTAGCGAACGGAATTGAGCAGAAGGTGGTGCGTCAAGCAGGAGGAATGGGCAGGATGTGGAGGGTAGAGACTTTGGATACTTACGATTTTCTTGATCAATGTCGCGATTGTTGATTGCTTGGACTGTGAGGTGCACTAGGCCTGACCGTGACTGATCAGCAACGCGCGGTAGTGGTGATCTGAAGAGTTAGGATTGCAAGAGTTGTTAACTGAATAGGTTTGATGAAAAGAGAAGGGCGAGAGTGAAGACTAGAGCCGACAGCTTCCTGTGTTTTTGGGACTGTATCAATGCTTGCGTTGCGCAAAGAACGACAATGAGTGGGCACAGATGGAATTGTCGAGGGATGTTGAAAAGACGAAATGGAGGGGCAACGGGCAAAAGCAAGTGAGAGTGGGAAGTTACCTCCGCTTATCCTTCAAAACTTGCCCTGCCGTGACTGCAAGACTCAGATGAGCCCTTTGATGAAAACGGGTCAGGTCTGGAAGCACCACGTGCGGTCTGTGAATGTGTCTTGCAATGGCGAGAGAAATGGTAGACTGTTGATGACTTGAGCATACCTGGACGTATCTCAAAGCTTGGCGAAAATGCTGAGTGTGTGGTTCAATGATGGTTGCGGGACAAGGCCAAAGTCGAATGTTGAGCTGTCACCAAGAGTTGATGCAAGGAGGGGTCTGCCCAAGAAAGAAGGTAAGAACAAGTTCAGAAGCAAGAAAATAACTCTGCTCAACTGACTGAATGATACTACCCTTACTGGCTGGGCTGTCCGCCATGCAGACAAATTCAAGATTCATTCCTCTACAGTTTACTATTTGCAACAATTATCCGCAGGACCAGTAAGGACCTTCCGTCTGGAGGATGAGTCCAATGAGGTTATGCTGTCTCGTATGTGAGATTCCTGACAGAAATCAGAGGTCAGGCACCGATTCACCCATCAGGCAAGTGTGTGCACCATTATCTAGCTCTATAGCTTGCCTGATGTCAAAACGGACACCTAAAAAAGGGCCTGAGATATGCACGACAGGAAGCGATGATGACCATGTGGGAATGTCACAATTATACACATACATTGCAGTCATCGCTTATCATGCATAAAACACATGGACACACTCACTAGAAGGCCCATAAATGTAGAATAGGACCCAATCCCGAGGTCATCAATATTATTAAACAGAGTTTAGCAGCCATCATACTCCTTATCGTGCATTTTCGTGGTTTCCTGGACTCGCACTGTTTCCTGGACCACCAATACTGAATCTCCATTCCTCATTTCGACCCGCAAAGTTATTGGATAATAGAACTGAGTAGCGCAACATCGTCCAGAGGGTTTCACTGTGCATGACATTTGAACTGACTACATGACATGCTAAGATCAATTTGTAAGAATTTGTAGTATAGGCTAGCTAGCAGTACGAGGGATTGGCTGCAGTCAGGGGTAGAGGAAAGGTTTTCAGAGCTCATGTAATACACCAACTTTTCACTCAGATAACAGCCTCTTTTTGGTGCTCAAGCTTCAGGTAGCAGAGGAAGCAAGTGCCATGTCGCACCATATGTGTTGGTGGAGAAACACCCTCACATAGGAAATATGAAAGACACAGGCATGACCGCCATCAGCCCACAAGGATCGTAAATGGCCAGGATGCGAAAGTAGGGCTAAATATTTCAGTGAGGTCTCTTGTAGGTGGAGACCTAATATGCCTAACTCTCAATTTCTTCGCTTTGTCACGAAGTTTGCGCATGGCCCACGTTAATTTCCGGTGTTGTTAGTCTTTCTGGCTCTTGGTCGTGGGCTCTTCTTGGACATATAGTGACAACACATAATAGATGCCAAAGAACCGACCTAAATGCAGTACTCAGACCATAACGATTGTATTGTAGCTGGAAATCTATGTCCTCCCAACGAAATTGTACATGGACGTAGTCAGCTGTGACTAAGCTTACAAATGCCAACTGTCTTTGATGGCCAGTGGCTTTAGATGCAGTTCTCTCAGCAACATCCGCAGCCTGATTAGTGTGGATGTGTCGTAATTTGACCAATTGTTCCTATTTGTTTGATTGATGGTATCAAAGGTATGCTAATGATATTCTCTTAGACAACTAGCTGACCAAGACTTGCGGAGTGGGAGAACCCTTTGTGTGGTTCCACAAAACTCATCCCGTCTCTTACAATACCGTCTTGAATAGGAGGCCCCACTGAATGGATCTCAAATAAGTTCGGATGGTTGAATGTTTATTGTGTACATATGGACCTAGGATCCGCAATCATGATTACCCGAACATGAAGCCAGGTAGAGGCTTCACCTATTTTGGGTGTTCAATTCTGATGAAGCTAATTTGTATCTCAACTCCAAGTCAACCAACTATCCAAAGTCCATGCCTATCTTGTACGTTGAGAGTATATATATTCATCTAACTTAGAGACTTCTATATCGTCATGTTCCTACCAAGCGTCTACGGCATGCGTTCAGCTGTCATGAAGTACTAGGAGTAATACCGTGGAAACATTACTGCCAGTTTTGGAACGATTGGATTCCAGGGCCACCTAAGAATGTACCATAGGATTTGCTTCACCATATGCGCCCTGACAATCTTGGTCATGTAGCCTCTAGGCAAACAGTCCAATACATAATCACATGCTATCGGTCAGCCCTTGTGGGCTTAACAATGGACATCCGAATTAGATGCCGAAATCTTGAACCTTTCCTGGCAGTATCACGCTTACAATTATAGGCGCAGCGTTCTTCTTGGAAGAAGTATCTTCCGTTCTTAAAATTGACTTGCCGAAAGGGACGCAGTGAGCGAATGATGGAGAGTTGAAGGGATAAACTTTCAGCGACTATCTGTGGCCGCTAGGGAAAGTCGTGAATCAATTCAATGTGCGCAATCGTGTGAGGCAAAAGACAAGAATTTACTATAAGCGAACTGTGATCTACTGACTAGTATTGCTGCGACGCTGCGACTTGCCATAAGGGAACGTGGCAAATTACAGACAAGATCCTGGTTATTTGTGATATATTTAGTGCGCAACATACATTTACAGCCGTCCTGATACTTCACGGAGCCAATTATTGCAGGGCCTCACCATCGGGAGCCGTGTCACCGAGTAAGGGACTATGTGCGGATAGATTCGCCAGCTGTATGAGTCCGAGTCCGAGTTTCAAGCGCGGCGCCCATTAAGGCCCGGGCAGAGTATACAAAACTCTAAATAGGGCGATCTTCCTTCCGCAGGCCGAACCCAAAACCAAGCCGGCCTGCAAAAATAGACCGGGCTAGGGTTCCCCTGAGATGTACCAAGGGGTCCCAGGAACGAAGGACTTAGATTTCCCTTCATGGGAGCCATGGGAGCCCAGAAGATATCGAAACGTGGTCAGGATCATCTTCGGCCCCGGAAGGAGGGACGGGCCCGCGGAGGCCTGGGCCGCCGCGCCGAAATACCAGGAACATACCTTGAGAGAGGCAGAAGCCAAAACAAGCGTAAGTATGACCGGAAAAGACCAAAAGAAATGTTCATTGACGTGGCATCCTGCCGTAAAGCCGCACCTATTGGATCTCGCATAAGCCATGGAAACAGCTCGCTTCCGTCAAGCAGCCATCGGATAGCGTTAAAGTAAAAAGTCAATAGATGTCATCCGGGCCAAGGAAAAAAGCAAACACATGTGAGAGAAGCTTCCGCCGACTCCAGAAATAGTGCCGCCGGATGGCCGGGGATACAGCCCCCCGAAGCTCCGACGCCGCTACCAGCCGTTGTGATCTTGAGCTCAAGGATCAATGACGATCCCGACCACTGGGCTGGAGACTCTCCCGAAAGTCTGCTGTGCGGTTCGATGCAGCCGCCGAGACCGCGATCGGTTTGCGGACTCGGCGCCGTTTCAGGCCGGGAACAAGCCGGACCTGAGCAGGAGATAGCTAAATGAGGGGCTCCTGGTCTGCACAGCATTGCTTTTTTGTGATAGCTCGCCAGGTATCTGGCGTGTTGGTTACCAATCTGTGGAGCAAGAGTCCCTTGTTGGGAGGGGCGTGTAAGTCGCCATTCTGAAAAATGGCACGATGAAATGATGGCGGGAATCAACCTCGGCAACGGTTCGGAACGAGGCAAACGACGGAAAAGACGTCCCTTGCATTCCGTGATCCAACACACGCACGGCAGTTCACAGCGCGTCTGTGTGAAAAACACTGACAAGATTTCGGGGATCAACTTTCAGCCTTCTGAACCCCGTCGACACGTGGGAACTTTGAGAAAGAAAGGAGGGATGGGCCGAAGAACCATCCCACCGGGAAAAGCTTCAGGGGGACCGTAAAGCCAGCCAATCGTTTTACATGGTTCAGCGAAGCCGGGGCTTGGGCGCAGAGGGAAGCCGGGCACCAAAACTCAAAGCCTCCCAGGGAACACGAAAGGGCTCAGCATGTATCGCACTGGTTCTCCAATGTACCTGCCAATTCCCACTGCATGGCGATCGTCCAAAGCCAGCTTTTGCGGTGTGAAGACCTAATTGCGAATGCGAAGCCTTGCCGGTAGTTAATCTACTAGGGACCGCTCAAAGTTTGTCTAATTTTACACAGGGAGATCATGATGGGGAAGACCAAAGTGAATTTGTGTTTGGTTTGGTGAATTAAGGTTTTCCTCACGGTAGCATCCGTCGCGGTTAAAGGGGGACCAAGTCAACAGGCTGTGACGCAGTTTTCTCAACGCCATGTGGTTCATCATCATCAAATTCACGTCTTGGCGCCATGCCTCCTGCCTCCTCAAAAAACGGGCTGGACAGGACGCCTCGAAGCCTGAGTCACCAGCTCGACGCTTGGCAATGAAGCCACATGAGGCACACGCCAAGACCAGAGCCCGGCGAGGCTCAGAGCATGACGAGTACGACACAGCAGCACGACTGGGGTTCAGAATCGAGGACTTCTTGGCATGTCTACGATCTGGAAATCAATCACCACAGCGCCGAGTCACGGTCATCATTCGTGGAGGGCAGTCGGGCTGATTAGCATTGACACGAAGGCCTATTTCACCGTCTCATTCGAATTGTTTTGTTGTCACCGCCCGCTAAGAACCCATCGAGTGGGGGTGCTTCAAGGGCCCCTGCGAACTCTGTTTTCTAAAAATGGCTCCCGAGGGCCCTTCCCAACGAACTGATAAGGTTGAAAGGTTAAGCAAGTCATGCGTTCAGGTGCCCAAGAAAGAAAGGCTGTCTGTCGGAGGACAACTCAGCGTTCATTCCAGCAGATAGTTACTAACTCAACTCAAACCTTGGCTGGACTTTGTATTCGCCGGCCCTGGGCTGGGCTGGCCCGGCAGCGCAAGGCCAAAAGCCCAACGGTGATATATTCAGGCACAGTAACAGCACGGACAGGCCGGTCTATCAACATGAGGCAGTCCCAGGATTTAAGCATCTGGATCTCATTTCAGCACCGAGGTGTAACAGATCAGATGCACCACAGGTCGCCCCTGGAGACGCGACTCTTGAGCGCAGTGAACCAACCAATGTCAGAAGCGAGATATCTCCACACCGCGCGGACGGTCGATCACGGTGGTACTGTGCGTGGCCATAAAATGAGCCGAACAAGAGATCAGCGAAAACATGCGTAGCTTGGGTTGAATTATGCGCAAATTCCCGAAAGGGGGGGCCTGCCGTGGTTAGAGTTCAGCATACTTTGGGTGCTCGCCTATTGCGGATCATTGGCTTGTGAATGTGACTACTGATGGTGAGCGAGCCATCATCTGCTGAAGCGCAAGAGAACACCAGAACCAGCTCCTCCTAAGGCTCGAGGCGATCCTCGACTACTCGGACGCGTTGAGAGAGGTCTTCGGGGCAAGATGCAACCCGCGTCCGTCGCCGGGCGGTTGCCGGGACCCGGGTCCAACCACACTTGCTGCGGCCGTTATCCTGTTCTGGACTAGGACAGCTCTGCCTACTGGTGATTCTAGTGGGTGCAGCTTCTACGCGAGGAGAAAAGAAAAAAAAAGAAAGGATTGAATTTTCCGGGATTTGTCATGGGGGCTTGCTTGGCCACGACGAATTGTAATCAGAGGTGGATGACCGATAAACGGTGTCAGGGAAACCCGACCGTAAATCCGGGTCATGGACTACAGTAGTGCGAAGCTGGCTCGATGTCGACCCATGCGGAAAAAAGTCTCCGACTCGGATAGGGGTCTGCACTCAGATGCTCCGGACGAACTCGAACTCCCGAGGCCTGCGGAATTCAGCATCGGGGTCGGTTTACCAGATCGAGACGTCGCAAGTTCTACAACGGGCAACGATACGATTGACTTTCAACAAAGGAGGCGTACATGAGGCAATCGATGTAAGCAGCCAGGTTTTGGACGAGACATATTGGGGAGTACAGTCCTAATTGGGAGAAGGCGCATCGTGAGGGAAACTTCTGAGACAAACACAACACTATAGTGTCTCATTCCGAATACGCTCCAACCAGTACGGATCGCACATCTCTCTAAACGATCAATACGGCGCAAGCGAGGCTGGTCTCCTCATCAGGCTGCAGCAGTAAGCGCCACGCAACCACGGCCAGCCATGTTGATTGCTGCGCCGCCCTGCGAACACCCAAGACCACGCAAGCCGTAGTAATCCCGTGCCCAGATGCCTCTCTCGGCGATGCCCAAACCCAGACTGGGAAGCAGAGGCCGGCAAGGTTGAGCAAAGGCATTGACATCGCCGGCTCGAGTGCCCAGCTCCGGCCCTCCGCCCCGCCGTCGTCGAAAAGCATCTCGGCCCCCCGCGCACGTGGGGGAGTCTTGTCCCTTGCCCCCGTCGGCCCAGAAATAGACGGAGCAGACCAGACGGTGCCCCCTTTCGTTCGCATTGACGAGGCGTGCAAGGTGTTTCCCATTCCTCTCCCCAAGGAAACAACCGCTCTCGCCAGCACATACAAGCAAGCTCACCCAGGCATCAGGTAGGTACAGGTGGCGCGGCGGGCTTGGGAAGGATTGTGGGATCCTTGGGGGCCTAGATGGTTCTTATTGTCAGCATGGCCCCCTTCTTCAACCTTTAATGCCGCAGGGGTGCTGGCTGTTCCTGAACGTGTTGCTTGCTGATGTGCCCTTCTGATGCCGCCGCATTGGGACTCATTCGGCGAGGTCTTCAGGCAGATAGAGGAGCCGAAAAACCACATACCTCACTAATTAGTCGGGCGCAAATCTTGTCCCAAGCACGCGTGTGCCGGGTGACGTGATTGCTACTTCGCCATCGCGCCTGTTATTACACCCTCCTCACATGGCAAGAGATATGAGAAATACCGTAGGGATCGGCCCCTAGGTGGACTGTGACGGGAGCTACCGTCCCAGGTAATATGCAACTCTATTCCGCACGGGGCAGGGAGAGAAAACACCTCTTGTGTCCAAGCCCGTGTTTCGTCCCTTCCTCCCGGCCCCCAAACGGTGGCGATTGGCAGGAATAGAGTTTAGTCTCTGCAGTAGCTCCCGTCACGAGCAAAAGAAGGGTAAACAGTGGGGTGCCTTCGCAGGGCGAGCAGGCTGGGCATCTGGGTGAGGTTTATCAGGCGAAGAGAGACAGGATATTTTCGGCTCGTGGGCGCCCACTCGTCACCCGTAGCGTCGCGTATAGGTGCGTGTGTGTGATATCAGAACAGAGGTGCCGTTGCAGTATTGGCCCACGGCCGATCATGGTCTCTAGCTCGGGACGCCTAGGGATCGTCGCCCTCCAACTCACTCAGCAACAGGCATGCCACATGCCACATGCCAATGGAAGAATACCACACAGTAGGCGTGAGAGCACCTAGTCAGTCAGCCCGGCATGGGTTTCGCCCGAGTGGTCTGACCTGGCAGTTGGACGGTGAGGGCCAGCTCAGTTACCAAGTGCACAGCAGGCATATAGAATGGATGCTAGCATAGTGGAGCTTAGCCTTTTCGGTGTGACGGATGTGACATGGCCAATACGCGTATCCAGATCCAGGAGGGGGGAGACCCCCCAGCCTCTGGGAGCATTATTGTCAGTACCCAACGCAACGAGACTCGGGGCACATGGGGAGCAAGGGGGGGAGAGGAACTGGAGTCAGACGTATGAAGCCAGGAGGAAACGGTCCTGCCACCGGCGATCGGTCATTACAGGTTCCCGAGCCCCATGTGAATAGATGTACCCGTACAGCTCTGCCCAGCCCCAGCCTTGGCGGCACGCATGTACGAGGTACGAATACGTGCGTATTGGCGCAAAGCCTATTCGACCCCGAATCCTTGACCCTCGCCCGAGTCCCTGAGTCTCTGAGGGCCCTCGGGAGAGCTACGGTGTCAGGCCTGCTGTAACTGTTCGCCCTACAATTTTTTGGTTAAAGAAATTCGTCCAGGGTCGCCGACCAGAGGGCGGGGAGGAGAGGAGAGGAGAGGAAGGGACTCCTGTAGTTGTTTTCTTTGGTATCCGTGAATTACGCCCGCCCCCTGGGCTCTTCATTTCCCGCCACGTCAGACCGGCGTGCGTGTCTACACAGCACAGGCACAGAGGAAGATCCCACACTAGAGTTCCTGTACAGCCATGAATCCTCCTGCTCTAAGAGCCGCGACTAAGCTGGAAACGGGCCAGCTTCACCCACTTATGTCGCTCCTGCAGGCGGGGATAGGCGGCTATGTACGATGGTTTTGAAATCCGTCCAATTCCTCCTCCCCCTCAACCCCGCCGTGATGTGTTACCCATCAGACGCGGTCCATTCTGCAACGCATACCCTCGGCACTACTGCTGCATGCATTAGGCTGGGAGGTTCAAACATAAACAACAATAGAGAAACCCAAGAGGCGCCCGCCAAGACGTCTCGGTATCGCATCTGATTGCGGCGGCCGCGCGGGAGAACGGGATGCAGTACGAGGTCGATATAGGACAGGGGTGGGATGCCCACCGTATAACACGGCACAGCGAGTGAGCGAGCAGCACCAACTCAAGCTTTTGGGTCGGTGGTGTGGGGTGGACCCGGGGAGCCAGACTGTCGAGGCTGGTTGGCTGGACTGGGCTGGTTGGGCGAGGCAGCTAGCTTAGCTGAGGCACGTTTCGTCCTCACTTTTTCTGTTCTTGCGCGAGCAAGAGAAAGTGAAAGAGTGTGATCGATTAATCAGCCCGCCGTCAATGCAACAGACGTCGACGGCGAGTAAAACCCCTCCCCCCTCCGAGCTGGACCCCGAGGATTCCCCACTGTGACATTCGGTGCAAGCTAGAGCAAGACAAGCACACGCACACGCACACACTCACACACACATTTCGTAGTAAGGCAGAAGTTTCCGAATAAGTAAGCGAGGAGTTGGGAAACCCTCGAGGAGGGAGGCATGGGATGGGACACGGTTGGTTTCGCTGACGGGGGTCTCCTTGGATCCTCAGTCACAGCTCGCGGCTTCGCGAGCAACAGGACAGATAGGCAAGAGACCAAAAGAGAAGCCCACGGGTCCTCCGATCGCTCGGGCGAACGAATCCCTTCCTGCTAGGCCCCCATGGCTGGCAGCGGTTCTCGGCGCCGACCCAAACGCCGTAGGATACGTACTGTGCGTACCACGTATTGTGCAACCGTTTGGTGTGTGTGAGCCACTATGATTCGACCGTTGCCAACGACATGTCAGACCGGCATGGACACAAGTCGAACCTGCGCCCTTTCATATGTGGGACCCCTGCCGAGGATGCTGGGGAGGGGGTTGTGGGAATAATGTCGGTCCACTTTTCTTTTTCTTACGTCGGACACGCGAGCGAGTGCGAGCATGCGGTGGGCCATTCTTTTTCTTCTGGGGAATCATCAAATTCATTCTCTCGAGCAAAAGGACGTGCTTCGGTGAGCGCGCACACCGGTGACGGTTTGCCCCTCTCCTTCATCAGAGTTGAGAAGTGATAGATCGTACAATCAATGCACCCTGACCAAGTAAATAATGAAAACCAGGTGCTCCTGCCATTAACAACATCAAGTTGAAAGATTGTTTTGGTCGAGACAAAATCCCACCCCAGCACCCAAACAACCTGCCCAGAGTAAACGCCATGCCGTAGAGCCTGAGAAAGAGAGTCACACCACCTGTCCAGCTCTTGTGACGCCTTCTATATCGATGATAGACAGCAAGTCCCGTCGTGATCGTAGTGGCCGTCCATTCCACCCATGATTTCCTGCCCAGCCATTATCCCGTTCTCGAATCGTGGAAATCGTGAAGAGTCCCTCGCTCCTAATCATAGTCGCATCCCTTCAGGATCGAATCCAGAGTAGATCATTGGATCCCCGATACCCAACATCACTTCTGGGTTGGGACATGACAAAACATGGGGCTTGATGGTGCCAAACTCCGACTCGAGCAATCCCTGGTTGAGCATGTCCATGCCTGCAAATGCCCCTGATGGCTGTATATACTGAGGTTCATATCCCATCGAAGGTGTCCGCATCCACGGCCCAAAAGATGCTGGCACTTGGTGCGTTGGTGACGTCGTGCTCGGAAGGCTGTCTGTTGATGGTGCGGAGTAGCCATCGAAGGAGTCGTATGTCAAGCTCGCGGGTGATAGGGTCATGGTGCTGCTTGCCTGGCGACCACCGCCGAACGCCACTTTCCGGTAGTCCTCGAAGTCGGAATGGTCCAGATCGGAGGAGCTCGCGCGGTCCGTCCTTGCGTCATGCTCAGCGCCGTGTGCAGCCTTTTCGTGCTGTTGTTGCTCCTCGAGTTGACGCGCGAGCTCAGAGAGGCCTTGCTCATCCTCTGGGAAGACGGAGTGAACGGGGAGGTCGATGTCGCTGTTGGGTCGTATGCAGCCGAGCTTCTGAGCGATGTTATGGATTACGGGTTGGCCGCGGTCGTTGAGATCGGGCTCGCCAAGGTCCCATTGTTGGCCGTTGCGGACCATGGAGTAAAGCTTGTGCACAGTGGCAATGAGAGCAAATTGGGTGTTTTCCAACACCTCGGCATATCTGCGGAACTAGTGTGTAAGTCGATGCCCTCACCATATGCGCTGTGGAGAGAGTGCAGGTGGCCTTACCCTCGAGGTAATTGCTTGAATTCTGTCTTCTTTCTCGTCCCTGCTGTGCATACGAGGCCATCGTCCTTGCATCTTTTACATGGGAATTCTCCGTCGCACTACCCAGTGTTAGTGGGCGGGTTTACTGACCAGGCAAGCTGAGCGATGCCTGGGTAGTTGTGGTCAATTACCTTTGTTTTCTTCATTCTACACCTCTCACATGCTTTCCACACTCTCTTGTGCCTTGCATCGGCCATTGAGTGTGTGGACTGGCTGTCAGATGGAATTGGCGAGTGAATGTGTGAGTGGGACATGGTGGTGCTTGAGCGCTTGGTGACACGGTGCGCGGGCTTGGTGGGCTTTGCGCCAGAGCTATGTCTCTTTGTTGCGTGAGGCTTGTGTTGCCCGTCCAGGGGAGGACTGGGTAGGCTATGTTCCATTCTTGCGTACGGTGCCACGTAGGCTACTACGGCCGTAAATGAATGATGTATGAGAGCTTGGTGTTAAATGTTGATGTGGATGTGTGGCGACGGTCAGTTTGTGCGAGCGAGCCGTGTAAGTCGAGCCAACGTGCCAAGTGTGTCTCGAAACGGAGCTTCAGCAAAAGCAACGGTTCTGTGTTATGTTTGTGTGTGTGATAAGTGACAATGGCTGGGTATCGAGGTTGAGTGGATGTAAGAGGAGAAAAGTAGTGTGAGGCGAGGGCAGAAGGGGGTGACTTGAAGGAGGATTAATAATGATGAGTGAACAGACTGAGAGGCTTGAGGTAGTTCAAAAAGTGTTGGATTGAGATGGAGATTATGTGATATGTAATGAATTCCGGCGAGGGAGCTGTGGTAATAATGATGCTGTCAGAACAGAGGTACAGCGGTACAGCGTAAGTTCGGCGCCGTTCGAGGGGCCCACACCAACCTTAAGCAGAGATACCCCTGCTAAGAGATGGGTCACAAACGTTGCTGGGCTGAGCGAGGATGCTGGGGTGAGATAATTAGACTCGCTCGGGGTTTGCGCATGTTTGCGCAGCGCTGCGCTGAGTACCCAAGCGGGCTTTAACGGTCGGCGAGTTGTTTATGTCCGAGAGCGGACAGATTGAAGCGGCCTGCGGCCGTCTGCTGATAAGTCGAATAAAGTAGCCGCGAGGTCACCCTGAGAATCTGCCTCCCTCCTGAGAAGCTCAGTGTTGAGCGGAGGTGATCCTTGACTCTTCTTCTCCGAGGACTCTCTGCTCCCCTACCTCACTCTGCTTCGGTTTTGTTGTTTTCTAAACTCTGGCCCTGAGCCGCGGAATTACGGAATTGCTGCGGGCGATGGCCAGAGGGTACACAGTCGAAAATCACCATCTCTTGGCACCAACGCAGAAGGACAATTGTGATTTGAAATTTGTAGATGCGTATAACGTGCTCAGATCCTACCGCAGTGTTTGAATACCACAGTGTCAAACACGTACGCGGCCCAAGCTGGGCAACGAATGGGTCACAAGCCGCACATGGACGAGGCCTTCGCCAACTCCAAGCTCTTGGAAAGGCTTGGACGCCAAGATGAGCGGTGGATCATTGTCGTGCCCAGAAGCTGGCCAAACACAAGACGAAATGATGCTCTCCCAATCAGGCAGTCAATGGGTAGGTTACGATTCTGCGCTGGCGGATCAGGCGAACTCAGCACGATTATGCTCTAAAGGGGGGGGAGCCAAGGCCTTCCAAAAGTCGAGTTTGTGTGGCTTTGCCTTCTTGTCTCCATTAGTGGATGTGGTCTGGGCCTGGCTGGCTCTGGGCTGCCAAAATTGCCATGATGATGAAGATTCCATGCGTTCCTGTCGTCGAACCTTACGAGGCCCGATCGACGGTGGGTGGAAGTGTGCTCCCCCTGCCCCTTGACCGCAAGGTACTCGTGAGTACGGATCGGTACATCGGGCTGCAGAACGGAGCGGAGCCCGAGGCGGCGTCCTGAGTAAGCCCTGCAGCCGCCAAGTACAGGAGTCAAAATGCATCCCATACCATGCGACATTTGCGGCACTGCAAATCGAAACCAGTGCTTGGCCCTGACTAGTGGACTTGGGGATAAAAACAAACCCCCATCCCACTGGCACGCGCAGCATCGCAGGCTGCTGTGGGCTGGCTGTGGGCTGCTGTGGGTTTGAGCTGTGCGCCAACGATAATTGACTGACAGCTGAGTAGATAGTGCTCACAGCGTACGGAAACGAGTACGATAGCGATCGTGTTGTCCACAGGGCGTTTAGCTTCACCTCTGACAGTGTCTCGTGCTGACGGCCCCTTGCAAGGTTGGCCGAGCTCAGGGATGGGGCCCCATCAGGGAGCGTCTCGGACAGGGCATGACATCAAGATTAAGGTTTGGCGGAGCATCTCGAGCTCAGGGCCGTTGACTCTGGCCATGTGCTTGACTGCGCAGAGGAATCGCAGACGGCGATCGCGATGACGAGGGAGATCTCGTGGGTGCCAAGGACGGCCAGACGGACAACTGAACAGAAGCGAGCCGGTGTTGATTGATAAGGGCAAAGACGAACACGAAAGGCTCGTGGTTGTTTTTTTTGACTCCGGAGAGAGCTCCGGCGGGCGCTGGTGAACCTTGCAGGGCATGGCAGGGCAGGGCAGGGCGCGATGTTGTGGTACTGTAGGCGACGGATGATGATCAAGGCCCGTGTGGCCGAGGACGAGGGTCATGAAGCAGCCGGCAGCACGCATCGGTGGTTTGCATCCGACCCCCAATCCCAATGGCACCCACGACATGCATGTCTACCATGAGGGATAAGTTGACAGATGGTCGGAGCTCTGTCGAGAGCGCAGGCGAGCTCGGTCGCGCGGTTCGGACAGACAGGTGGAACTAGGACCCGAGGATCTGGTCCGCAAAGCTTGATCATCAAACTACATCATCGACAGCACCCATCTGACGGCAGCATGCAGTCCAGCCGAGGCTCCTGGTGTGCGAGGGTTCTGCCGGGGAGTCAAATTATACAGTAGGGTGGGAAACAGCTGCCATTTCGAGAGAGAGAAGTCGACGATAGCAGGCTGTTGGGTTGAAATGGATATCTGATCTCTACCGATAGCTGTGACACCTCCTTACTGTAGGTAGTCAGGTAGTCAGGTACAGACAGACAGACAGACAGACAGACAAGTAGGCAGCCATGGCCGTGACAAGTCAAGTCAAGACAATGACAAGACCATGCTCGCTGCTTCCCCGCGTGGCAATTGTCTTGGTTCCCCCAGATTTGGCAGTCGCGCAGTGTGTGCAGTGTGCCCAGTGTAAACGCAGGTGGCAGTGTTGCGCTCTTGCCCTCTCCGTCACGCCCGTCTCAAATCGGCTGCGAGGCTCGAGTTCCAAAGCTGCAGGTGCCAAGGCCTGGTCCTGGTCCCGCGAATACTACTATCTACGGCACTGTGTGTGTGGTGCTGTGCTGAGCTGTGCTGAGCTGTGCTGTGCTGCAATAGCCCACCAGCCGCATTTCAAATCCAAGACGTGGGTTTCAACCTCTGCTTACAGATCACACTTCTCACCCTGTCTCTCAGTGTCTCTGCAGACACCCGTTCTCGGCGCCGACCCCGACCCTTTCTGAGAGAGAGTGTGTATATGCCCATGTCCCTGTCCATACCTTATTTTATTTGAAGGCCACAGACTGCAATTGTAATCATCCAAAGGACTACCATCGTCACCACCACCCGTCACTATCGATCAAGGTTCCTCTAATTTGTAATCGTGCTAACCTCTCTGCCGCGACCGTGGTCTCGGAAATCACAGCACTCCGGGCCTTCTACGATCTTGGGAAACGGCTTCTAGGGGACCCAAACCTTCGGTCAGATCAGGTCGGGTCAGGTGAGATCTCTTTGGCCCAGCGAGCCCAGCCAGCCCAGCCAGGCCAAGCCAAGGCCAAGCTGGGAGGGGACGCCCTGTGTTCCCATAGGACGAGACCTTCACAACACACTGCTGCGATTGAGTTTGACTCGACGCCGGCTGACTTATTAATACACACACATTCACGGTACATCTGCTCACTTGCCCGGTACTGCAATAGACTCAGCCCGCTGCGAGACCAGAACCGGAGCAGACTAACCTGGGTGGGTACCATACGGACTTAACTGCTTGAAATTTTCTAGAACCTTGCCCGGTCAGGCTAGCCGGGGGTCGGAAGCCGATTCGGTTCCGTTGCGTCAAAGTTGCCTCGGCCCAAGCATTGTTTTGATTTTGATTATTCGTTTCACACCTAACGAACCCCTTCCCTAACCCCCCCTGATCACATGGATTATGACATCGTCAACATCGGCCGGGCCGGCGTTGGCACCCGGAGCGGGGACGGGAACGGACTTGGGGTGTAAATGCACGTCGGGCTCGCGCCTTTCGTACGACCGCGAGCTTAAGCTGAGTGAAGCATGGCCGCGGTGTCCACGGGCTGCTCCACGAACCCCTTTGCCGCGATGGGAGCCACCATTGTTCGATACCCCTGACCTTGACAGCATGTCCACGAGGCTGAAATAGGGTTGCAGCTCTCCCTCCCACCCGGTCTGTTGTCGTCGACGAGTAGCGGGCTCCATCCGTTCGCTCAATTTGTCACCGCTCGGGTCGCTTCCTACTCGCCAAGCGTGCTTCCCTCTGCACAGATATGCCTCATGTCATATTGCATGGCTGCATGGGTTCATGGCAGATCGATCAGTACCAGCGACACTCGTGACGAGCCTCCCTCGGTCGTGAAACGAACACCGACCTTGCGCAGATCGGTCCCGGACGAGACCCTGCTTCCGCTGCCTATCTCCAATATTCGGCTCCGAGACGCGGCTACGGCAGGACTGGCTGAACAAGGCCATCACTTCCAGTTCATTATCAAGTGCCGGAGATTCTGAGACGCAACATGTCAACATGAGCACCTCGACTTGATCACTGACCGCGGTCCAGAAATGATTGTCCTTCGACGTTCCATCCTCTGCGAGACTGGAAACAGTCCCCACGAGCGCAATCAAGCGAACGTCATCGTCACCACGTTGATCGGCGATTCAACTTGGAAATCCATCCATACATGACTCGGCTCGGCCACGATGCTCCGATCTGTTGATGCACGAACACAAAAGCCGACTGACAGGCCAAATCAAGCTGCGACGTGATGTGCAGTCCGGTACTTGATGCCGGAACCATTGGTGGCGACGGCCGGCACACATGCAACCCAGGTGCCGACAGCCAAGCCTTGAGGCTCTTTGTCTGTCCACACACTGCCGTTGGGCGATCTGATACTGACATCAAGGTGACAACTGAATTCGTTTGCTAACTACTGCGTAGCTCTGTCCAGCTCGCCCCTTGCCAATTCCGGTTCCAATGACGGGTAGATATCGGCCTAGACCCGATCGCGTGCGCCGGGGAGAGCAAGCCCATGCAGCAGTTACACGCATTTCTGTACCATTTCCTTGAAAGCGACTGTTTGGATGGCAGTACGCACACCAACCATCGATGCTGATCCGCGAATCTTGGTTAGGCCCACTCTGGTAGACCACTCTGGAACATTGCAACGGTCGGTAGTTGATCAAGGTACCAGGGTGCTCTGTCGGACATGACTACAGGTGAAATCATGGCCAAGAAAGAGACCGGTCATATTGTTGGTTGAGGCCCGATGGCGGTCTACAGAGCCGCTCGGGGAATGGCAATCCAAGACCTTGAGGGCCTCGCCAAGCGACAACGATCCCGCTCCTCGCCTGACTCTGCACCGCCGGTCTTGGAACCGCTGGGCGTGGAAACGGAGAGACCCCACTGGTCCCAGCAAGCGGGCGCGAAGCGGAGCTGATATCGCGATCATGGCTCACTGGGCCAAGCATTTCACAGTCCAGTCCTGATACTGGACGCACATGCTCGCATCCGCCACGTGCGGTAGAGCGCTCAGTGCCCACAAGTTCAGCCAAGTACCATCCGTCACCTTGAGGTACAAGGCCCTTTTTTCTCGTCTTCTACAATTTTCTGGGCTTCGGGTGGGTCTCCTTACATGCCTGTCATCTGACAGCAAGGATTTCCGCCGGTTCGCGGTTGAATTTTGCAAAGCACCACCCGTGCTAGCCATTCTACCACAACATATCCCCTATCGCCGATGATTCACGCCAACATGGCCCCAAAGCTGACAAACTGGCTAAATCTGTTTTTCATATCGGAAAAAATCAACTCCGGCTAGGCTGCTATAGTAACACCTATTTGTGAATCATTGAAGTGACCTCAACGGGCAGGCAGATCCAAGCGGGCAGAAAAATTCCTCTCGAGGAAGTTTGCTTCGTTTGGGAAGACGCGACCATCAGCGCGAAGCCGAATGCATGAGATCCGTCGCGAGTTAAGCGCGTGCACGCTGTGGGGACTTTACAGAACTGCCATCTGTTCCAGGAACGCGAATGCCACCGAAACGTGGGAGATATCTCGGCAACTGGTTCACAAATTCACGCACGCTTTTCTCGTTCTCCAGACTTCTGCGAATTTCTGGGGATTTTTTTTTTCGCGCGAGTGGTGTGAGTTTCGTCTGTTCTGGCAGTTTTGAGTACCCCATGCAACTCCAGGGATCCTAAACATTAGCCCTCGACTTTAATCGATTTAGAGTGGGACCATTTCCACAGGGCAGGACCCCGTGGGATAACTTCATGTGGGATGACAGGCCGAGTTATGTTGTGTAATAGGCAGGTAAGGATTCGCGAAAAAATGTTCAGCAGACCCCGTTGCTACCTCTACCCACGTACCCACCAGGCAGCATTAGAGTTCACCAATGTCGACAAATTCTATTATTGCTCTCTTAGGTATTGGGCGGGATCCCCGTAGCTCTCGGGCGGTCGAATCCGGAACCTAGCATGTACTCCATGAGATGGATCCATACTTAAATTTGACACGCAGAGGCCATGGAATCCGTCGTGATCTCGTGCCTTCTATGACGACAACAATCCCCGCGCGTGTCAAAACGGGGATTGGCCACAAGGCATGGGCCCAAACAAGAAGCAGCTTGCAGTGTATGCATGTATCCCGTTAAGAATAAAAGTCAGACTGTCTATTCTAGAGTGGCATAGCAAGTCACTTGAGTGATTTAGCCGAGAGAATGAAAGCGTTTCCGGACTTTCACATCGTCGGACCCCTGCAACAGTGTTTACCATTTCAGAGTTGCGGATCATAAGACCATTTTCGCTAATATGCTGTTGCTGGCATAAGAAAGTCTAACTCTATGCCCACCGAACTAGCTGCAACTCGCTCAGAGTTCATTGATACATGTGGCATTCATAAATACAGGTGGCAAGATAAAGTATATGTGCCGAGACACTCCCGCATATGTTAAGCTACAAGACAGTACCTGCATACGTTCGTATAGCTACGCCGTATATGAGTGTTCCTGGATCCAATACTCCCCCTTGGTAGCTACAACTGGTTATACCGGTACACCTATTTCCATTAGGTGAATGTGGGAAAGAGTGAGAGAATGCCATGATAGTAGATCATAATTTGTATTTCAAAATCTACTCACAGTATATTTCTGTTTACTACTGCTTTTGAATGACATATAATGCTGTTGTACTTGTCCAGATTAGAGCTCGCAAGCCATGGACGATCCGGGCTTTCACTTAAGTCTCCTGTGAGAATGACAAAGGGCCAGGCTTCAGGGAGAATTTGCAAAACTTTGGCTCGCATCAATAAAAATCTGAACAAGTGACTTTACCATTGGTATACAAAGTCCACTTATAGAACTATATTTGCCACATCGGGCCACGGGAAGATTCCCAGTGTCCTACGACGTACTTCTCAAGGGTGGTAGTTGAGGCTTACATCAGCACCCACTGACCGCCCAGCGCCCAGGTGTAGAGACCAGGCACCTCTCTGTATAAGCTACCCGGGCAAAAATCACCAAAAAAATCAGATCTCGATACCGCAACATCACAGTTGCAAGATGGACAAAAGAATGAACCGTGCAGGGATCGAACCTGCAATCTCCTGATTCGTAGTCAGACGCCTTGCCATTGGGCCAACGGTCCTGAGATGGAATTTCGGCTCCTAGAAAGGCATCATAGAGCTGTGAAAATATCAAGCAAGCCGAGAGGCGGCTTAGTGCCGTTTCGATACGCCAAATTTGACACTCCGGGGCATTTAAGCAAGCGGGAACTCCCGCATGTAGACTTTTGATCACTGAGGCAAATTCTTGAATATTCTGTACTGGCTCTTTTCCGTATATTCAAGCCTAAGGGGGGTCTTGGTCTAGGCTGTGCCGAAGACCCCACCCAATTCAAGGCACCGGAGGCCGAGGGCCGGCGATGACATTGACGAACAATTGCCGTTTCTCACCGGCTGCAAGACCGGTTGATCTCGGGAAACACATCAAATAGGATGAAAATCAGGGGTTGTGATTGTGTCACGCGAGGTCAAGTCATAGGGCATGTCATCCATAATCGGCTGGGCCCGAACCATTTCTCGGGCTCGGGCCCTCAGCGATGCGACGGTCCCCAGATCCGCAACTTACGATCATCGAATCGAATTGTCCCATTTCTCGGCACTCGAATTGTCGCAATTCTCGGCACTCGCTGCGCGCGAGTCCGAACCCGAGTTTTCCATTTCGACACTGGGGATATCTGCTGACCTACGTTTTGGTGCTTGCACACGCGGCGGTCGGCCTGGCTCGGTCCGCGAGGTAATTATTATTCCCTCACGACAGGCCCCCCAGATGGGGAAAAACCAAGCGAGACCCTCAGCCTGCTGTCAGGCTGCATATGCATAGTCGCCTTAGCTTAGATCAAGGCTCCAGCCAGCAGGAGCAGGTATATCGTTCCAGGCCCGGCCCGCTCATCATATTATTTTCCTCCGTGGGGTTGTAAATACATATCCACAGTTCTGTACCCGGCCCGAACTGGTTGTTTGTCTCCGAACACGGCGATCAGTGTGGACGGAAGTTATGTCACACATAGCGCACAGAAGGAGATTTACAAAGGCCGTGTTGTTGACTGTCGTATGTCGTCGACGATGACATAGCTTTCACCTATCCTCAACGTCGGGTTGTCCTTTGGCTGGTGTACCAATCTTACGTGACGAACTGCTACAGGACAAACTCCTGCGGAATAACCTACCACAAGATAACCTTCTCCGGGACAACCTACTGCGGGATACGCTTCTGTGCGATAGCCTACTGTAGGACGATCTACAGTGGGATGAGTTACCTAAACAGTGTGGGATAATATATACAGGGCGACCTTCTGTACATCTTGTGATACTAACCCGTAGTATTTCGTTTGTCAGACATATCTACCTAGATACAAGCCCCACAGTCTCTTTCCGACACCCCCTTCAGTACCTGCGTATACTCTCAGTTTCTCTGCGGACTGTAGTTCAGGCATGAACAGACAAGGACTGGAACACTGAACCGGACCCTGTTGAATTCACGCCTCGTCGCGAATGTGAATCACATTCACTGGTGTGGCCCCTTCGCAACTTCCTTCTCTTTTCCTTTCCGACTCACATTTTCCATGCTTCCGCCGGACTGTAAGCTGAAATATCCCGAGTCCGCACGACTACTTGCTTCGTCAGGCTGTCCGAGCCATGCAGCAATTTCGTCATCGAAGTCTTCGAAATCGATCAAGTCACTCAAGCTGGCAACTTCAGTCATGTTATTTGTTGTAGTGGACGAGAAGCAAGAGAAATCCTCTGAGAGATGTCTGGAGGGCCCCGGATCTATCTCAGTTGAAAATCCGTTTTCAATTCGCCACTTTTGTACATTGTTTTCGTGGTGCTGGCTTGCTCGTCGACTACTCTCTGGCTGTTCAATCCCTGGCTCGCATGACATGGCCCAATTTGTTGAGGTGTTCTGTTCGGTGCCGAAGGCCTGTACATTATGGGATGCAATCGCATCATTTCCCGTCAGTGTAAGCTGCGGAAATATCTCTGCCGTAAGGGGTGCTACACCCCTTTCAGTATTGCCGATTCCAGGCACTGACATTTCTGGTGTCTTTTGGGTAAACGTGCTAAACAATTGCGTGACAATATCGTGCACTAATCCTTCTAGCACTCCGTTTCCAAGAGCCTCACGAATGGTGGCATCCACAGACTCTTCGAGCTGGGGTCGTATAAGTCGTGGCAATTCCCTGCCGAAATGCTCTCTCAAGTCCGTCAAGTTACATGACTCTTGGCCCTCCACCGGCCCACCACGCTGGAAATCTACAGAGACAAATGTTCAGCGCATCGTCAGGGTCTCGTAAAATGACAACATGCTTACAGGGCGATGGAATATGGTAGTCGTTGGGAAACAGGATTTTGTACACTTGTATCCATTTGTCGTGTTCAGTACTCGCCTCTCGATTTCTCTTCCTTGACTTTAGTTTCGTGAGTTGGTCTTGACTGATCCCTTCTCGGCGAGACTCGTCTCGCACGACATCGCATGCTGTTTCTGCTTGACTATGTTGTACAAGCTGCTCGGAAAATCTAAAAGTCATGCAGCATCGGATGCATTGAAACGGTGGTTTTTGATGGCGTCGGTACAAATGCTCCCTGCCAATTGCATTAGCCATGGCTCCCAAGGCATTCGAGTGTGCGAGTAGAACACCGACTTGAGACGGTATATCGCTGTCCAGCCAGAATATGAGCAACTCCGTATTTGTCCATATCTCCGTGGATTGTGCTTCAAGAATGGGCATGCAAATTCGACAATCTCCTCTTTGTCTTCAGTCCCAGACTTCTGTGATGGAGGCGGCATACAGTCTTCGCCGTCAGTATCTTCATCACCCGAACCTTTGTGGCATCCCTTTCTCTTTTCTAGAGGAGGCCTTTTGCTTGTCCCGCAAGTCTTGACCTGCGACCAGGGCGGACCCCGAGACCCTTCCCCCTCGCTAGTACCGTGTGTCTGAAAGGCGAGCACAGCAAGCTTTGAATCTATCCACGAGACAATCCACGAGATTGTTCTGTCGATAAAAATATCTCGGCGCGATTCGACAAGAGAAGCCAGTGATATAAGGCTTTCTGAGACTGAGAGACTTTCGAAGCTTCCTCTCTCGGACATGTCTAACATATCGCGTGGTATGAACTCCGGCGTTGGACCAGTGTTGTCGTCATCTGACGTGAGGCCTGTCTTCCCTTTCGAGATTTGCTCCAAAGTTGATTCACTTGAAGCAGTCGGTGACAAGTTGGTATTGGTGGCTGGAGATGAAGCAGGACCGTCTAAATGGATACTTGATAGGACGCTATGACCTTCTATAAACCGTGTCGATAATCTATCTCCCAGAACCGGCCTAGTATTAGAAAAGTACGCTCTTGGTGGTTTCATTGGAACTGAAGGAATTGATAGAGTGCTAAACGGCCTTTGGTAATCCATTTCGATTTGCCCCGTGTCCTCTCGCAATGGCATTTGGCTTTCACTTCCAGCAACAGCCGCGACGCGGGTTTGACAGGGTTCTTGACTAAGCAAATCTTTATCGAGAATCTCCTTTCTGCTGAAACAAACCCCACAGTCGGATCTGGTACATTTGAGTCCCTGATCATGTTCATGTTGGAGGAGGCCGGCGAAGGTTTGGAATTCGCGGCCGTTGCAGCCATGCTCCCAACACTCAGGCTTCGTCTTAGGATGAACGGCTATAACGGCTGCCTCAAGCGGTCTTGGCTCATGTAGGGGAACAGACGCGGTGTTTACCGTACGGAGAGGCGATGGAGGAATATAAAGGGAGTTCCCCAGATATAGCCCGAGAGGTGATGGAGGAATAGGAATAGTGTTGTCCACAAGCATATCGAAAGCTTGTGGAGCTGGTGAGGCGCGATAGTTCCATCCATCTGAGTAAGGATTGATGCTGGGGTTATGGACAGCTGTTGAGTCCTGATGAACCAATCGAACTGAGTAGCCTTCGTTGCTAGAGATCACGCTGTGGGTGTCGCGGCCACAGTCCTCAATTTGCAACAACTCGGAGAGGCCAGACTTTGACGACGGCATCGCATCGAGGGCTTCTTTGCCTATCTGACCCTTTGGCTCGTATTGTTCTGAGTCTCTGCGTATTCTTGATGGAAAACTAGGAGACAAATGAGGCTTGGTCTCCGGATCGTTTGGTGGGGTCATCCATTGGACAAAACTCCTTTGCAGCCTTGGGGTATTGGGAGGCTTGGTCTCTGGATCATGTGGTGGGGTCAACGCTTGGGCAAAGCTTCGCTGCCTCGGGGTGTTGGGCAGCATTTTCGCGTTTGTGAGCGTTTGTGAGGTCTGGTCCGATACTTGGCTCTGAGATCCCAATATTGGTCCAAGGCTTGGTGCTCGGTGCTTCCTGGTGCTGTCAACGAGGCTTTCGAGAGGGTGCGGCAGACTCACATCGCTGGGCACAGACGACAACATTTTATATCCGCCAGAAAGGCTCTGAGGGTCAGATCCCGCGAGATCACTTGTGCGCTGCTGCGTGTGACGAGCGTGGCGTTTACTGCATGGGTGTGGGTGGCACCGCATGCCTGATGGCCAGGAAACGGGCTTGTGCCGCCGCCATTGGATGCAGCAGGATTGGAGATCTACCTCACCTTGTTGAGACTTGAGGCCGATTTTGCAAACGTGAATTTTGTGCGAGAATAACATGTTCTAAACAAGTTTAATTCATTAAAACTTTAGTCTTCGGCTGAGCGGTACACACCATGCGTCTTTACACACAAGATCTCACGGTTATCTGTGATACGAACAGCTCAGCGCGCAATGCCATTCTTCCGCGCCACCGTGATCATCTCCTCGAGGAGATCCTTCTCCGCCGGCGTCAGGATGCCATACAGGTGGTGGTCCGTAGTCAAGCAGCACATGTTGCCGTCGCCGAGGATCCACGCGCCGGGCTCCCTGATATCGTGCGGCTCGATGAGGTAGCTCTCGAACGTGCCGAACTTCCACTGCCGCCGGTCGAGGAACTTGTTCATCACCAGCCCGCCGTTGAACCAGAAGGGCTTGCCGTCCAGGTCGAGGTGCAGGAGCTGCGGCGCGCACATCTTCCGGCTGGGCTGCGGGACGGCTGAGGGGACGGCGGCTGAGGGGTCGAGCTCGTTTTCAGCCTCCGGATCCGTCATGTTCTCGGGGGCCGCCCACTGGGAGAGATCAGGCTTGTCCTCTTCTTCGCTTGGCTTCATTACGCCCAGAGTTCCCGTGTCGCCTTGATGGAAGACATAGTCGGTGTCGCCGACCAGTTCGAAACCCAGCCAGAATGTCTCTTTGTCGCCTGGGAATAAGTCAGAGCCGAGCTGGTGAGATCAAGAATGTCAGACGCTGGATGAGCTCACCATATACCATGTCATAGACGCCGACTTTGTGATCATCCCGATTCCCATCCCGGTCCGGCCCATTCATCCTCGTGACTAGAAGCATTGCCATGAAGTGTCGGTACGTATCGACGACCAACACACCGCTCTCTTGTTGGTGGCCGCTATCACCCGACCACAGCCTGCTCTGCTTGACATTCCTCGATACGGGCTGCGGGAGGATTGACTGCAACCAGCGCCTCCTAAGCTCTGGCATGATCAGACGATCCCGGAAGAACAGAGCTCCCGTCTTGACATACCCAGGGTCGTCGAACATCACTTCGGGGTTCCGGAAGAAGAAGCTGTCTGAATCGATGACTGTTTTTGGAGTACGTGTTAGCTGATGGGCCTCGGAGCCCAAGCTAGCGATTTCTCAGGACGGAATAGGGTACGGAATCGAATATAATCTTATACTCACAGATGACCTCCCGGAAGCTAGACAGCAGGATAGCAAAAGGCTTGATAGCCCAGCCCGCAAGGGTCCAGCCCTGATCGCGCACCATGGCCCCAATATCCCGCGTCACCACGCCCTCGAGGTCCTCGAGATCCTGCCTAGAGTCGCGGTTCAGATCGGCGTCGCTGGCGTACATGACTTCGATGGGCAGGTCGCAGCCGAGCCTTCGCAGGATGGGAATCTGCGTGAGAAGGTAGGCGACCTGGTCGTTGCCAGCTGTGAGGGCGATGCCGCGGCCGCCCTTCTGGATGTGCGAGCGGAGCGTCATGTGGTCGGGGAAGTACGGCGCCGTGAACGGGAAGAGCAGCTCGCTGAGCCGCACCAGCAGCTGGCGGTACGACTCGTACGCATGGACGGTCTCGGCCAGGTCGTTGTAGCCGTCCTCCTCGTTGTTGGAGATGCGGTGCTGGTCATGGATGTACTGAAGCACATCGTCGCGGATGTAAGTGCCGCCCTCTGAGTCGGGCACCAGGTGCAGGTCCTCCCAGGCTTCGAGGTACTTCTTGTAATTGCGCGTGCGGACCCCGAGTTCCCGGAGGCGTGCCTCGCCAGTCATTGAATCTAGAGGCTGTAGAAGACCGCGAATCTCCAATTCGCCTGGCAGAAGGTTGATGATCCGCCTGAAGGCCTCATCGAAGTCTTTCGTGGGAACAACCTCATGAGTCTTTCTCGCTGATCCACCACCCGGACGCTTCAGGCCATTTCTGTGCCCCTGGTGGTCCTGTCCCGTCAAAGGAGTCTGCCCTGGTGGGTCGAATGGTATGTCAGGATGAGGTCCATCGACATCGTCTGTCAAGCTTTCCTCAGTTGGGACCACCCCTTCCGGTGCTGCGTTCTCCTGAACACTTGGAGCGACATTTTGTGGCGGCAGTATTAATTCTTGGTCCTGAGAATATGGGTAATACTCGTAAATGAAGGCTATAATTAAGAATAACCATATCATCAAAAGTATCCGCCGTGTCTTGAGGGCCGACCTCGAGTTCCCACTCAAGGGCAGCAAGATCCGGCCTTCCTTCAGGGGCGAATCCGGAGGTGAGAATAACGCGCCCATGTTCAGGGACTTCTTGCAGGAGGTGGAATCACACGCCCGATGACGATGTCAGAATACTAAAAGGGCAACATTAAGAGCTGGAAGTGAGCAACCTTTTGAAAATCGGCGGCTGTGCGGAAGGGAGGACGGCACGGCTTGCAAATCCATCGTGCTGGGACGTGGGGGGGAGGGGGATCAACGCCTATTGAAGAAAGGGATGGGCAAAGACGCGCTGGTATTTCAAAAGATTCCAGTGCGATCCAGTCCAGTTTAGTCGAGCACGTCGAGCCCGTCAAGGGATATGTCGGGTGTCAGCTAGGAGACGGCGCGATGTTAGCCATCGTGTCGTCCGTGCCAAAAAGTGATGGTCTCGGGACGGCGTTCCGGGAGAGGCTCGTATGGGGGCACCTGCAGCTGCATGTGATGGGGAGGTAGTCACCCGCCATATAGAGTAGTCATTCGCCTTAGACCTCAAGTCAAAGAAAGGAAGGTAGAAATATTAGGCTGTTGACTGTTCTGGAAGAATATCAAGTTAGTCTGGGGACGCCACATTTCTTGGTACTGAGCAAGCTTTGGGGAACAGCGGAAGACCCTGGTCCGCGCTTAAGTGCTGTTAGCTAGCTAGCTACCTTAAGCATCGTAACCTTCATGTGTGTCTTGGCTTTAAATGATCGCGAGCTCCAAGCTTGTGCAAAATAAGGAAAAACTCTCTTCCTCACATCCCAATCTTCCTCGCTAGTGCTTCAAGGGCATCTTCGTCCTCGCCATAATGCGCGCCATCAACCTCCTCAAATTCGACTTCCTCAGCCTCGTCGTGCGAGCCATGCTCCGACATAGGCGAGGCAGGATAGGAACTGCCAGGACTGTCGTCCTCGACCAGGGAACCGTTGGAGCTATCGAAGGCGGCCTGCGCGCCTGGACGGTCGCCCGTTGAAATGGCGGGATTGGCGCTGTGCTGGCCCTGAACTTCCTCGCCAGCGTTAGTGAAAACGGTCAACATCTGGCCGCGATGAACGACCTGGCCGCTCGATGTGCGAACATAGTCTTCGCCGGTCTCCCCATCTTCTGAAACAGCACCTCTTTCAGTTGCGTTGCCCCCCTTCTCTGGTCGGACATCCTGAAGGAGTTGTTGTGTGTCTCCTTCCAGACCAATACCACGGGGCAGCAAGGCATTGTCCGGCATCTCGATTTCTGTCCTGTCAGCCACCAGCTCTTCGTCATCTGTCTGCTGGCCATGTTGGCTGTCGTCCCGGTTCATCCAGGTAGACTTCCGCAGTGCACGAACTTCGCCCCCTCGACCCAATGCCACCCGAGCTAGCTCTCGATGGAATAGCCATGGGAAGCTAATCAGTGGCATTTGGATCTCCTCCAATTTACCGTCCGCGTCAGGCTTTGGCGTCGACCGCTCTCTCACTGCGGCCCTCACCTCGTTGTGAGTGACGATATACATCGCCGCCACGAATCGGTCAAGCTTCTCCAGGTTGATCATGGAATTGGCGAACGCAAAAGTCTGCGTCTGCTCTTTTCCAGCCACTGCCTCCATGCACATCGCTCGGAAACGGGCCTTCAATGCGTCGACCTCTCGGCCAACATTCTCTTGGAGTTTGTAATCGCTACCTACACGAGGTTTGGAGAGAATGAATGTTGACCAAATCTCGAACTCGGTAACAGGTGCCTCATGCTGGCCCATCAGCCGGCGCATGGCGATGTCATACGCGGCTTTGATCTCGCTGGCCTTTGTCAGGATCTCTTCTTCCAGCTGGTAACGCGACAGGATGCGAGTGTCGAAAGACTTCTCGTAAGCGGCATGAAATTCTTCGATTTTGATCCGGTCGTAGATTTGACCTAGCGCAGAGGTAGAGCGATAGCTGGACTTGTCCCTTTCCATCCAATGCGGCCACTTCCTAGGCTGAAGGCGTCTTTGCATGACCGCAGGTTTGCCAGACTTGATATAGTCAACAGCCTTGGAATGAAGCTTGGCGAGTTCGATGCCTGAGCGAAATGTTAGATTGTTATGCCGAAAATAATCAGAGTGGCTTGCTTACACTTTGGATGCTTGACACCCCCTGGCAATTGGTCTGCTTGGGCAAAGTGTGCTGTGGCGATACGGCCGAGAGAATCGTTCTTCATATACTGGGCAAAAAACCTAGTGACATCCGCGATTTTCACGTCTTGTGGCTTGTCCAGCCCAGGAGTCGAGGATTCCGCATCGTGATCCAGTGGTGGATGGTCCCATTCCTTTGGGATGAGTCGCTGGTCCCAGTAGACAAAGTAGTCATCTCCGTCCATATCGCCTCCTGAACACATGCTTGGGATATCTCTGTCTCCAGTCTTTGGGAAGACGACCACGTTCTTCAGATGTCGCAACTCAGGCACGTCCACTGCCTCAACAACCCGCACATCGCCGGGATGTAACGATGGGTTGCGGCCAACGACGCAAAGCCCGGTAATAACTTCGTAATTGGTAGTATGTTTACCATCAGTGCCCTCGATAGGCACCTGGACGAAGATTTGAGGGAGAGACTCAATACGGTTGTAACCCTTGCCCTCAATTGCTTGCGAGTGACCCCTTAGCACACCAATCTCGTCGACGACGCCGAAAATCATCGCACTATTCTTGACACTGATGGCGAATTTATGCTTTAACCTCTTGAGTACCCAGCACTTCCACAAGCGAAGTAAGGTCCAGAGAAATGGCTCTTCAGAATCCATGAACGTGTCGACCATCTCCGCCATTGTTAATGTTGTTTGATTTTCATCGACTTGAGATCGAAGGAGCTCGCCGGCCTTCATGGAGTCCGCCATGGCTTCTTCGTACTCCTTGAGCTCATCATCGAGCATACTGACGAAGACAGCCTGATCCACGCCTAAAGCGACCAGTACAGGTATCACCTGCTTATTCAGAGTCGCATGGGAGAACACAGAGGTCTTGATGATCTCTAGACCGTTGTATATGGCCTTGAATTTCTCTTGAGAAGGTCGGATATGGACCTCGCTCGCTGGGACATCAGGCCATACGACCACAACGCCCTTGCAACCACCCATTCTCATTTGGAAGCACGAAGGCGTCTCTGGCAAATCACGCTCGCTTGCAATCATCTTTGCAAAAAAGTTGGATATCTTGCCAACTCCATCCGTGAAGTTCCAAATGTTGTCACCAGTTCGCCGCTGTATATCGTTTATCTGGCGAAGTTTTGGTATGCTGATACCATTGACCTGTCGTGTTGTCGTGAAACACTGGCCCATTCTCGCGGCAAATTTTCCAACGGAATGGATATGCCGGAAATCTCCCATCCAGTTGCGGATGGATGCACAAGTGACATGATCCGTTTCACAAAAGAGGAATGCGCCGTTCTCCCTGAACTGGGAGTTGCTGAACGCCAAGAATTGGTAATGACGGTCTCCGATGATAACGCCATTTCGCATAACCCTGTGAACACGGGTGTACAGGTTGTCATCTTTGTTGGAATCCTGTGATGAAAATATCTTGCCAAAGGCCATCTCGTCGGTAAATTGGACTCGGAGGAATCGGTCAGTGAGGTCAGAGTATTTCCGAAGTATGCGATTGGTCAACTCGACGCAAGGAGTCTTGAAGTAGATCGTGGTGGGAGTAATAACAGCCCTGCGGACCAGTGTTGCGTAGGGGGGAATTCTTGCATTGGGACAGTAGTGAAGTATTCTCGGTTCGTCGAAAATCCTCATGGGTTCATAGAACTGCCTGTTAGCTTCAGCGACACCTTCGAGCATCATCTTGGCTCTATCCGTGTCGAAGCTGTTGAGTTTTTCGAGAAACTGGGCATCGACGCTGTATTCGTTGATGAGTCCATGAGAAATACAGACCTCCAATTGATACCGCACTGGAAAGTCGAGGTGATAGGTATTCGTTGAGCTAAGAAGCTCCAGTGTCATCTCGGCTGAGTAGTCGAGCAGCTTCCAGACGTTGGAGGCACCGGGACTAACGAGATCAAACTGGTCTACCTGTATGATCTTGACATTGTAATCTTCCAAATACGTTCTGACACTCTCCCACTCGGTTTGAGAAGTGTCCATCTCGAGATAATAGGTTGTCCAGCGGCCAAACTCGACAGATTGCCCGGCTTGCTTCTCAAGCCTGGCGGGAAGGTGTTTCAGCCTGTGCATCTGGCTGGAAATATCGGTCTGCCGGGCCCACAAGTCCCATTCCTGCCACAGTGACTGCTCATCGTCATGAGAGACGGGCAAGAGGCCGTAAAGTTTAGGAGGATTCGGTAAATGCATGGCCAAAGCCCAGGCGCCGTTGTTGCGGGTGCCCCAGACGATCTTTGTAGGGTGGCTGAAATCAATTTGCATCTTGAAGACTTTACGGCCGTAACGGCCGACGTTGACCTTGAATTGAATCTCAAATTGTCTCTTGGAGAACTTGGTCAACATCACAATGTCCTCATAGCTGAACTGTGGCAGGTTCAACATCGTGGATTCGCTGGCCATCATCCCAAACATCAACTTTGTGGGCAGGAATTCCTTCCGGCAAAATTTGGGAGGGATGTACCTATTGCACGGCGTTCGGATACTGTTCGAGAAGTATGGTCTCGCCTCAAAGGATACTCGCAGATTTGAGGAGTCTGCTCTGTTGATGGGAATGGAATCGTCAGGCCCGCTCCAAGTCGGCCATCTGCTCGGAGGCGGCTCAATCATGACTCTCACTTTTCCGTTCCTTTTTCCGTCGTCATTCTCATATATCTCGATCCTGTTGATGCTGAGGTGATCAGCAGTCAACGACTCCCAGATTTCTTTGATTTTGATGTCTGTTGGGAGTCCAAACATGTCGATGGTCAAGCTCTGGGCAGCGCTCAGGTTCGCACCCGTCAATGGGGCTGGTGTGCCGCGCTGCTGTGGGCGCTGTGACGGACGCTGATGTCCTCGCAATGGCACAAATCTATTCTGCCGCGAAGGTAGAAGACCCCGAGGGTCGCTTGTTCGAGCTGGAACATGGGGCTGAACCGAGCGGCCTTGATGGGAGCCGAAAGAGCCGGAATTTTGGCCTTTTGCATTGCCATTGGACATGTTTGTCGTGCCCAGCGGTCGCGAAGGAGTTAGAGTACCGGATGGTTGAGGTTTGGGATGAATTAGGTCAGCCCCATGGCCTGTAGTAGGAGAGCGATGCAGGGCAGAATTCCTGGCATTGCCATCATCTCCATTTACGTGTGGAACTGATGCAGTCCGGGTGTTGTGAGTCAGAGTCGAGTTGCCATACTCGGTCGAAGGACCTCTACTAGGTGAGGTTGGATGTCTGTCGTGAGAAGACATGGTGACTTTGTGAAGAGTATGTGAGTTGGGTCTCTGCAGTTCTTGTGCCTGGTGTGCTAGTTCAGCACTGAGACCCATGAGGTATCGAAACAGTGAGTTTTGTAGTCGTTGAGGACAGTTCAGTCCACGAGAAACGATGATGAAAGTGTGACAGTAAGTTGGGAAAGAGATTAAGAGTTGCGGTTTAGACTTGATAATTGAACAGAGAAGAGCGAGAAGAGATGCCAGGAAGACGTGCAATGTGTAAGGGGCTGCAGATTTCCACACGAGCTTCTCGTGAGCGGTCGGCTGACCAGGTGGTTGGTGGTCTGGCTGGTTGTCGTTGACACGCAAGACGAGAAACTGTAGAACCAAAAGAGGAGTCGAGGCAAAGCAAGGCACCGCAATTTATCTTTCCCAAGCAAGCAGACAGCAACCCCGAAGATCCCAAACAAGACAATACTGAGAACTTGGGATTGTTGTAGTCAAACGCAGAATGGGAAACAATGGGTGGGTTGACGTGTTGAGGTTTTCAGGCGAGTTGGCGAAGAGAGAAGGAGCTGTGGAAGCTGGTTGAAGGTTCCCTGGGGGAGCCACGAACAAACAATAGCTGGCTGTTCTCCAATCGGCACCACGCACCCAGGCACTGTACAAACTTCCCACCACCGTGTCAAGGAGACAAGCAAGCAGGGACGCCTTGAAGTCTGTCAGAGATGTTCTTCTCATCTCTTCATCTGCCCGCCTACCACATGCAGGAAGATAGGTCAACGCACTAGGTGCGAAGGGGCTTTGAGGTATCCGAATAACGGCCTGTATGCGATGAGCTCAAGTTGATCCCGTCTGATCAGTAGACTAGTATCAGAGTAAAGAATGTGCTTTTCGAGCTGCACTGACTTTTATGTGTCCGTCCATCGAGACACGAAAAATAGAGAACAATGCTCCCTTGGGACTTGGGCCCATGTTGCTCCATGTACAGTAATGCCAAAGCCACCTCAATGCGATGCAAAGCAAAACAACCAGTAGACACGGCCGCTCTTACCATTCTGCTCCCATATACTCACGCCATCTTTCATCTGATACCCTGACATGACCTACCCAAAGGATGCCCAACATGTTCGCTCCATGCGATGCTCTGCCCGCTGTCTAGTACTCCCAGAACCATCGGACGCCATCACAACTGGCGGTCAAAGATCTTGCCAGGATTCCTTTGCAATTCGTCAGCCGCTAGACTTCAAAGGTGAAAAAAAAGGAAGGAAAAAAAAAACCCCGTTGTTACGGCGCACTCACATAATCCAGCGCGGATCCAGAGACCCTTTGATCTTGCGCATGACATCCAACGTCTCGGGCCCGACCTCCAGCAAGAGACTCTCCTTCTTGCCCCACCCGATTGAGTGCTCACCGGTACACGTACCCTCCATGTCGATCGCACGCTTCACCATCTTCTTGACGCATTCCTCGACCTTCTCCCGCTCGCCGTTGACGGGATTGTACAGAATACTTTCGTGGAAGTTGCCGTCGCCGATGTGGCCCAGGATCGACGCGAACAGACCCAATTCGTCCATCTCCTTCTTGCTGATCTCGATGATATCAGCCAGCCTGCTGAAGGGGACGGCCACGTCGGTGCTCCCTATCAGGCCCCTAGATTAGCAAAATCGCCACCCACATAGGAATTCGTAAAGATTGGGGGTGGCAGGGGCTAACTTACAAACCTCCTCCCCGCCCTTTCTGAGCGCAAGCATGCTCCACAAGCTCTCCTTCCTGGCACTCCACAGCAGCTTCTGCTCTCTGGAGTCCTTGGCAAACTCAAAGTTGGAACCGCTGTTGCGCTTCGCGATACGCTGCACGCTGCCAATGTTCTCCTTCACCGACGCCTTCGTTCCCGCGAACTTGAAGAATAGCGTCGGCACTTCGTCCCACACGCGCGGCGCCGTCGCACCGCCTAGGTTGACTACGCGCATCTGCACTTCGTCCATGATCTCCATCGCCGCGACGGGGATCCCCGTCTGCATCACCTCGGCGGCGGCCGCGGCCGCATCGCGGATCGATGGGAACGTCACAACTGCTACCGAGAGGTCCTCCGGGATGACCGCGAGCTTGAGCGTTGCTGCGAATGTATGTCAGAGACACGAATGATAGATCTTCCAAGGTGGGTGGAAATTTTTACCTTCGGTCACCAGGCCTAGTGTGCCCTCGGATCCGACAAAGAGACTATTAAGATTATACCCCGCCGAAGACTTTCTCGGCCGTCGGCGCGTCTTGATGACCCTACCATCAGAGAGCACGACAGTCAGGTTGATGACCCAGTCCTTCATCGTGCCATATTTAACGGCATTGGTGCCGGAACAGTTGGTCCCAATCATGCCTCCTATTTTCGCACTCGGGCCTGCGTCACTTGGTCAGCCTTGGCAACTCATATCTTACACTGGGCACAGCTGGCTCAGTGTGAATCTAGATTTGTGCCAACAAAATTGATGGCATCAGGGCAAACTTACCAGGGTCAACCGGGAAGAAAAGCCCACTGCCCATCTTGCTCAATTGCTCATTCAGATCCTGCCACCCAATGCTGGGTTGCACAACGATATCCATGTCCTCCTGGTTGAACTGGACGATCTTGTCCATGTAAGCAAAGTCTACGCTTATTCCGCCAAAGGGTGCCGAGAAATTGCCCTCGAGCGATGACCCGCCTGAGTAAGGGATGATGGGGACGTGGTACTTGTAGCAGACCTGAGCGATAGCGCTCACATCCGCCGTGGATCGCGGGTACGCCACAGCCACCGGTAGGCTTTCCGTGTTCACGGTGGACCATTCCGAGTATCCATGCGCATGGAGGTCGTCTGGGTCCGTGGATATAATGTCCTCATCCGGGCCTATTGCGTCGCGAATTTCTTGGATGGCCTGTGTCAGTGTCAGCCCTGCAGCCATGATGCTTTTCTGTGAAGGCTCCCCTCCAGCTTTGACCACAAACAAGGGGGATTCTTACAATCTCCATTTCCCGCATGCTGGCATATCGCGGCATCTGCTGCTTGCTATCCAGCAAAGTGGGCCCTTTTCCAGTCCCGCTCGTCGTCATCGTCGCAAGACCCCAGCCCAACACACCGGCGAGAAGCGCGACTCCAAGAACGCCATTCCCGGTCCACGCCGGGGCCGAGTCCCCTCCGGCACCCGTGCTGGGCTGAGCCTTGGTGGCTGTTGTAACGCTGCTGGTACTGGCATTTCTCCGGTTCGGTTTTGCTGTGATCGGCAATGCAGGCGAGGGCCGCAGATTGACTGTCCTGCAGGCCGCAGCAGCAGCAGCAGCGCCGCCAACGCGCCCGAGGGCACAGGTTGGCGGCAGAGCCCTCCAGGCCAATTTGACCGACATGCAGGCGACGGGGTTGGATGCAGCTGCCGAGTATCACAACCTTGGCTTCTGATTGGGAGTCAAGCAGCTGTTATGCAGTCTATCGGGCTCAGGGCTGGGAGATGCCACGGCAATTGCTGCAGATCCTAGGCAACCCTTGAATCGCTCCTCGTGCTGGCCAGTGAGGTGTTTTTGTTTCCGGTGGCGAAGTTCAACGACAGAGCCCGCGACCACAAGTAAAGAAGAAAGCTGGGAGAGGAGACGATGAGTGAAGTAGAGGAATAAGAACAAGAAAGTAAGCTCAATCGGGCAGCAAGCAGCCAATGTGTCGTGTTAGACACCAGAAACTTTATGTAGGAGTGTGAAGTGGTGTAGTCACTCGAAGAGAGACTGGATATCTACTAAGCAGGGCTAGGCAAAGCTGCGAAAGATGACGGCAAAATTGCCCCGTGAGTGACAGAAGCAGAATCTGCCGTACCGAGCAGCCTGAGCTTGATATAGAGTGCGATGATAGATCAAGGCAATACCTTGAGTAGGTAGGTGGTAGTGTGCTGCCAAGGAGTATCTGGTTCTAGATCGGATCGATGAGAAGACTGAGTGACAGCCGGAGGGCTACCACAAGGGCAGGTGTACTTGGGTGGTGGGTATCCCACAGGCAGGAGATTCGAGAATTGGGCAGAGCAGCAGACACGAGAATGGGGGTGTACATGAGCCCATTTATATCACGTCTATCGAGCCTGCTGTACTGGCAGCCGAGTCCAGGTTGCAGTCAATGGCGACCGAAACTGGTCTCGTGAGTGGAGACAATGTTCAGAAAGACCCAATCGGTGAATATGAGGGGTTTGGACCAGTCTGACCACGAACATATGAAATGTAGAGCGAGGAAGGGGGCGGAGTGCGGCAGCTAAGTTCGTAGACAAGGAAGCTGTCTGTTGGTGCCGGGCGAGGACGGCCACGACGAGCTGGATATGACGAACGTTGTCGTCCAAGACATTAGGAGAACGAAGGAGTCTCGTGGTGCGGAGACGGAGCGGGCTACTGGCCACTGAGTGAGTGAAAGACTGGCACAACCCTGCCGAAAAGCGATGGAAGGATGTGGGTTGTAAGGAGGCAGATGTCTAGTTCAAGGCACACGGCGGCTGCCAATGCTAGGTGCTACATTGACGATTTACCTTGTGTAAAGGGGCCTGGGCCCGAGGAAGGAAAACCGAATCAACGTGATCACGCAAGCTTTGGGATACGTCGGTATCCCGCGTCCTTCGCCGGCTTAGCAAGGGTTCGTGCCGGTCGACGCCCTTTAGTTCCGTGGGGTGGATCGGATGTAGTGGGACAGAGAAGCCGGTCCAGCACTTGCCAGCCCTCTTCGAGCTTGAATTCCGACCTCGCTCATCTTGTCTCATGGCGCCACTCAATGTATACCAGGCAAGACACTTCGGGCTATTTCACGACAGTCTGCCAACTGCCCACATGAAGCTCGCCGGCTGTTGAAGGAATGCCGAAGCCGAGCAGGTCAGGTTCAAGCGACGCCCAACGTAGCCGTCATGCCCAGTTTCTGTCTCTGTCTCACATGTTGTATCCCAAGCCCTTGTTGACGAATAGTCGCCCGCAGGTGGTGTCTCGGTGCCTGATCTGTGTGTAGAGAAATTGCTCCTCGAGCCCAGTCACTCGGAATACGCCAAGTAGACCCAAGAGTCTTCAGCAGATCGTACCCATTCCGTCCTACCACGCGCACAGCTGGAGTAATATCGCCAGAAGTTGCGGTGACGACCCAGTTCGTGACCGTGGTAGGACAGACTGTAGTAGAGCCTCCGTCCTAGGCTGTGATCCTCTCTTGCTGCAATTTTTTGTGATTTGGATAAAGAGTGGCCCATCGAATGAGGTACGCAGACACTGACGAACGACCGAGCACGGGACTGTGAGACCATGCGCTCAACCCTACTTACTAAATGAACACGCACCGTAGAGAGCTGGAGGAGCGAGACATTGACCTGAGGATCTTTTCTCGGGGTTGACAGCCACCCCTCAACGGGGCTAGGCCTGCAAGGACACTCAACTCGCATGCGAGCTACTGCAAGAGAACCAAAACGATGGTTCAAGTGCCAGCTGATCGCGCCGGCCGGCAACCAAGGCACGGTGCTGGTCCCAGAATGTTGCCCCCCGTACCAATGTCTGTGTGGAAGTCATGAGGCCCGATGCGGCGGTGACACAGCCGTGCGTGTGGCGACGAGGCGCTCTCTGGGGCAAGACGGATGCTTGCTTCTCCTCCCCCAGACTTTAGAAAGCGCGGGGAAGGTGTCAAAACGCCTGCTGTGGAACCAGACGGAACGAAACCGGTCCACTTTGTGGAGGGCTGAGTTGTTGTTCAATGTGCTTCTTCGGGGCAATCGTTGGCGACAGCTGAAAAACAAGGTGAAGTCATCCTTGGATCCCAAGTAAATCTGATCTGTTCGTTCAGCCCCACCGCCTGGGGCGATCAGACCGTTGGGCGATCATTGCTCCCCGGGGATCCTCTTCCAAGAACGGCATTCCGAGCTCCCCTCCCAAGGTACCCAGTTTTTCTACTTTAACCCCGGATTTCGAAGACATCAATGAACCTGTGACTGCCACTCTCGCCTTGCATCACAGTAATCCATACCTACGTGTAGGATTCCTGCCAGCTTGCATGAGACCGGAAGCCTCGATAGCCGCCTGCAGGTACCCAGGCCTTTCAGGAAGCGAGGATATTGTGCGCTCCTACACTGTTCAGGCACACCCCAACTGCGCCGCGTATTGACGGGCCGACATATAGGATGCCCTCCTCAACATCTGCAGTGTGACCGACATGAGAGGAAGGCCTGCGCCGCACAACACCGAGGCTGGACTCGCCTGTCGGGGCTCACCGCGGCTATGGTAGGGTGAAAAAAGACGTACATGGAGCAGCTCGTGGCAGCCTGTGTGCGACAGCATAGTCGGTGTGCTTCACGCAACCTTGTGCTGCCTCGACGGCCTTCGGCACCAGCAAAAGCCTCATCAACGACCTTGGCGAGCACAGAACGTTACGGTCGGCCACCCTCCCACCAGATCTGTGATACTCAACGGAGATGGGGCGAATTCAAGTCTTACACGACGCTCGGTTTCTTTCCTGTTCTGGGCCTTCACCTGCAACCTCGGACGGTCACGAGAGGGCGTCCCATCTACCCCTGAGTGGCTGGAAGAACGGTGTGTAACACAATGAACGCTGACGGTGAACTTGAGGGGTAAGTAATCAAAGTAAAGTGAGGTAAGCTGAGGCGGGTCCACCTCCGTACACCACATCGAGACGACTTCCTTTTTCTACTCTCCATATGCTGTACAGGGCAATACACGTCGTGCTCTCGCTTCGGTGGAGTGCCCAAGGTGCCCCTCAATGTGATTGGGAATTCCGGGGTGGGACAAGGAGGGAGGAGAAGAAGGAAAAAAGAAAGTTGACGTGAGATGAGAATTACCACATACATAGTACGCTCAAGATTGGACGCTCCCGCCGATCTCTTCGCTATTGTTCAATTGTAACGCGAGAGTGCGGCTCCTTGCTTGGTGTTAATCACGAACATGAGGGGGGAGTCGTCGTTGCGGCCATTGGTTAGGATGCCTGCTGCGGTCATACAAGGGAGGTCAGATTCTTTAGTAATAAGCAGACTATATGAAGCTTAAATGGCTGCAGAAAAAATCGTTTAGCCCAAGGTGTGGCCAAGTGGCACACACAAACTGTGTTCAACATGCCGACCACATCACAAGTTGTATTCGAGCCGGTTTACAGCGAGCTAATAGTCAATGGACTAGGCCCATTGGTTCGTTCGGGATGCGACGATGTAATATGTGCAGCCTGTAAAGGGAGCAGTGCGTAGCACGGCAAGGCATAGTTCTTGGGAGAGAAGATAGGACGTTTGCAAGAATTCATTGACCCATCGGCATCTTCTGGCCGAATCTTGGGTATTTGCTATCTACCATAGCTGAAGTTCAAAGCCATAACGTCCGTAACTCCTTGACCATGCTGTCACTTTTTGTGAAACCCGATTGCCTTTTGACCAATTGACCCAGAAATTTCATCAAGCATTTACTGACCAGCGATGGCGTGAGCACGGCGGCGATCACGCTCCTCAGCGATGGTAAGCTTGACACCCTTGCCCTTGGGCAGGGAGATCCAGGGCTTCTCGGCACCAATGACGAAGACGTTGGACTCCCGGGTGGCGAAGGTGTTGTCAATGGCATCCTTAACGTGGACGATGTTGAAACCACCATCGTGACGCTCACGGTGGGTGATGACACCAACACGACCCATGTTACGACCACCAGTGACCATGGCCAGGTTACCAATCTCGAACTTAACAAAGTCGTCGATCTTACCAGTGGACAGGCTGCGGTAAATAGATTAGCATCTCGTCCTAAGGTGTAATTGAGGATACCGTCGAGACTTACTTGACCTTGACAGTGTCGTTGACCTTGATGAGAGGGTCAGGGTAGCGGATGCTGTAGTCAAGCAGGTTAGCTATCAAGGGGATTCTCGAACATACCAACCGCGGATGATCTCGCTTCGATCGTGAATCGCTCTTCCATCGACGAGGGCCGACGTGGGAGGATTCAACCAAAGCTTGGTCCAACGGCTGACAGATGTCGGAAGAACTCACGTTCTCGCATCATGCGTAACCAAGAATGGGATACCGCCACGGCCCAGCTGGACGCGCTTGACCTTGCCGAGCTTGTACTCGGCCTCCTCGGCCTGGATGCGGTGGACCGTGAAGCGGCCCTTGGTGTCGTAGACGAGGCGGAAGTTCTCGCCAGTCTTCTCGATGGTGATGACGTCCATGAAGCCGGCAGGGTAGGTCACGTCGGTGCGGACCTTGCCATCAACCTTGATCAGGCGCTGCATCATGATGGACTTGACCTCACGGCCATTGAGGGCGTACTTGAGGCGGTTGCGGATGAAGACGATGAGGGGCAGGCAGTCGCGAGCCTTGTGGGGACCGGCGGAGGCCTTGGGGGCGTAGGTGCCGGACAGCTTGTCCAAGAGCCAGTGCTTGGGCGCGCTGAGGCGCTTCTGGTGCTTCTTAGCTGTTCATCAAATTGCAGTTAGCATCGTTGTCGTGGTGTTGCGAGTGTGGCCTCGACGCCGAAAGACCGCTTGATTAACCATGTTGCAAACGAGGCAATCCGATTGCATTGAAGCGGACTCAACGTTGATCAAGCAGGCTTCGGCATCGAGACGGTTGGAAATGTTTGAGTTGATCCATCACTTACGTCCTCTACCCATTTTGGCGGTCTGTTGGTGGGTGGTTGTCGGATGTGGTCGTCTTGCACAGGTCGGCGGAAGGAAGAAGTTCACAAAAAACCCAGGCCTTGCTCAAAAAGTTGCTTTGCACCACAGAATTTGCGAGCTTGTGGGTTTCGGCACCAAAATGCGCTAGCATGGTTTAGCGCCGGATCCACGTGACCGTCATGGTCCGTGCTGCCGCTCAGCTTGATTTTTGGGGGGGGGGGGGGGGGTTGATGATGCAGGCTCCAACTTACACCCGCCTCTGCACCATGTTAGAAGCCTTGTAACGTATGTTTCCAATCTATTTCAATTACTTTTCCAACAAGCAAGTTGAACATCCAGAGTACATTTCATGGCTCCAATGTGCATTAGTCCCATTTCAGATGCACTATCGCAAGACGGAGTCCATAAGGCTGTTGCTCTCATACGTTGGGCTGGGTGAGGGCTTTTGACACAAGAGGGAAATGCTTCCGGCGGTCAAATTGCTTCGTTGGATTCTAAGATCGCTCTAGACTCTAGAATAGTAGACCTACTGACAATCTCGCAACAGCTCCCTACGGGTTGTTTTGATCGCCTGTCCGAATTACTCCGTGCTCGGCTCCAGCAGCCGCAGCATCTTTAAGACACGCTCCGACGGTAACGACAGAATTCCGCTATTTCTGATCCCACAGTAAATCCCTCGTCACGCCGGACTCCCATCGCAGATTTCAAAAAAGTGAAATGATAAGTTAGTAGTAGTAGAAGAAGTAGTAGAAATAGTACATCCACTCTCAGCATTGCAGAGAGGAACGCCGTTGCTGTCGTTGTGGACTAGCCCCCATCCTCACACGGTGGCCTGCATCTCGCTGACTGTACAACTTCAATCGAGTAATAATCTCGATATATCCATAGCTTCCAAGTTGCCAATGAAGGCTGACGAGCCCGCCTGTTCCCCTGCATCAGTCCCATCTCCGTCCAAGGTTGGATCCCTCGCGTATGAGTCCAGCCCAGGCAACTCATTGGGGTTGTTATTCACTGCCGAGCTGTGTGAAGGCAGCGTGGCCGTCCCAGACCACTTGTGAACCATCATATCCTCCCTAGACCCAGATCTGTTCAAATGTGGCTCCAGGGTCATCAGTGAGTTCTCATTGACCATCGTATTCACAGACGGCTCCATCACATTACTCCTCGCCCTCGAGGGCCCTGGTGCAGTCTCTTTCGCTTGGATCTGCCGCTCCTCGATCTGCTTATACGTGTCAGGGTACTTATTGCGCACCCGATCTCTGAGATCGGTGGGCTGTCGGCTGGACAGGTCAAATCTCGGATCGCGCTGGATCTTTGTCCAGGCTGGCCCATACATCTGAAGGCCCTCGAGGATCTGATCGTCATCTTGCTGCGTAAATGGCCGTCTCTCGCGACGGTGTGACTTCTTGAAAGGGCCGTGAATGCCCATCTTCTGTAGGTCCTCGAGTTTTTTGCGATGTGCTCGGCTCTTCTTCGGCTTCGTAGTGGAGTCCGAGTCTTGTTGGGCTGACTGTGCTTGACTTGACGGTGCACATTGGTCATTTTCCTTCTCCCAGGAAGACGCTTGCGGCTCCTCTGGATCCGCGAGTATGTCCTCCAGCAGCAGCGCCGTCTTCGTCTTGCTTTTCAGCTTGGGCTCAGCGGGCGGAGCACTAGCGCAGGCCTCCTGGTTGAGGCTCTCTTTGCTCTTGCTGTGCGAGACGCGCAGCTCGTCGGGGCAGCACGTGCGGAACCGATCTTTCAGGTCGCCGGCTGTTCGTCCATTGAAGTTGTACACAGGATCATCCAGGATGCTCGTCCATTTTCCCACTCCGTATTTGTTGACACCAAGCAGCAGGTCCCTGGTTTCTTCCTCTGACCACTTCCTCCGCGGCTTTGCGGCCTTCCTCTTCACCTTGGCCGATGCCTTGTCCGCCTCCGGTGTCGCAGTCTGATCCTGCTGCGCTGGTGGTGCAGCCCTTTCACTTGCATCCTGCTCAACATTAGGCATCACATTGGTGGTGAATTCTTTTATTGGGTGTATATTCGAGGCGTTTTCATTGTCCTCGAGCGCGATCGGAGGGAACACGGCCGCGTTAGGCGGGGGTTCGTACAAGCCATTGATGATGGGTGGGACGATGTTCTGGGCAGACTTCTGCTTCTTCAATGGCTGGGGCAGGTGCATAATATCATCTTTGATAGTCACTGCCCTCTGGCGCTTCTTTGTGGACGCATCGTCCGTTGAGAGCGGCGGCTCCGGCACTTCGTCGAGGATGTGACTTAGAGACAGCTGCGAGTCGTTGACATCCGGGTTGTCGTAGAGCATGCGCAGAGATATGCCCCCGCCGGTGTGCCGGAGCCCACCACTTTCAGGGTATCGGCCATTGTACTCCTCTGTGATTGAGGCCAGCGGAGGGATGTGCTGAGGTGCTCTGGACGTGGACTTGTCGCTCCTCCCATGTTGACTCGCATCTGGTTCCAGAGGCGGTAACGAGAAATTCGACGACTTGGCAAAGCTGCTGAAGCTCTGTATCGGAGGGAGGTCGGGCGGGGGATAATTCGAGGTCTCGGGAGAGTTCGAATCGTTCAGCAAGTGCATCAAGCGCGGCTCAATTGTCGCCATCGTGACATCCCACAGTAACAGGGGGCAATGCCCGCTGTAAGGAACCCTGAGGATCGAGAGTGCGGTCGTGAAGGCGATACTTCGCAGCCATGGAAAGGGGCCCTAGTCCTGGTGCGAAGGACACCCTATCTCGAGGCTCGCGTGCAGGTTGAAGCAGCAGACGCGGGGTCCATTACCCGGAAAGACGAAGGTTCTCTGTCAAAATCAACATTGGCCCTGGGACAATCGTGCAATGCAACGGGGTCGCTTCATCGCGGAGGAGCCTTGAGTGAGCCGGGCGTGAGGGTCGAGTCCCATCCAATTTGCCTTTGGGCCGAGGGGTCAGACTCAATCCTGAGGCCCGGTTCTGTAGTACAAGGATCATCGCATTACACACTCTGGTCTTTGCGCGGGAGGTTAAGCTCGAAAAGATCTACTTAATAAGGAAAGCCGTCGTTAACCTCGACTGATGTTGCTCTCGGGAGTTCTCTAGAAGGAGAGAGGATGTCTTTGTGCCAGGGGTACTCGTGGCGACGCGGTTCTTATCATTCCGACCCCGTACATAGGTGCGTAGTCTGTCCAGAGACTGACAAGCCGCTCGAGGCTGAGTGGAGAGTGATTTCTTTCTGTGCAGCCCCAATACCTAAAAGCTGCTAATGACTGCCGTCCAGTCTGTACGTTACGAAGCGTGGAATGTGGGGCGCATGCTATCTGCACCTATGTACCACATGTGCCGACTGTTAGGCAATGGACTCAACCTCCGACGTCCATCCTCTCCACGAACATGTTTGCTTCCTTACCCTTTGCCTACAGCATAATCTTGACTGGACAATTGAGAACTTAAGAACCAAGACTATACTGCAACATACTTGGCACAGTCTCCCTTCAAGAAGTAAATAGCCATGGCGTCGCGTCTCCCGGCCTTCCCTCGCTTCATTTTCACCATCTTCGAGCCTCTCAGCCTGTAAGTCAAGGAGGTCTGTCACACACTGTTGCATTTCAATAAGTTTAACATCCCTCTCAGCATCGCAGGCTGGGCCGGAGCAACCGTGGATCCATCCTGGTTCGTTAAAGAGCAAACCTCCACGCCCAGCCTCACCGTGGATGACAACTCTAGGCTTGTGGCGCTCCAGCTCGGCAACTGCTATGGTCTGCTCTTCCTCGCAGCTGTCGCCGTGCTGTACACGACCACTGAGCTCAAGGTCGTGCGCAATTACCTGATTGCGCTGTGGATCGCCGATATTGGGCACATTGCAGTGTGCTACCTCGGACTTGGGTTTGAGAGATTTGTAGATGTGGCGTCTTGGAACAGCATGACTTGGGGCAATGTGGGTGCCACAGTAAGTGAAATCATCTTGAAGGAACCTGAAGATTTGCTCGCTAACAAACTTGCAGGCTTTTCTTTGCTTGACGCGGACGGCGTATCTATTAGGTCTCTTTGGCCCGGATGCTCCCGTTCCAAGTGCGAAGAAGATTCAGTAAGAGTATCCGATCCGTCGTGGCTATCAAGGAGTGCCGATAGGCGTTGCTGGCGACCGCCTACTTAATACGCCCACTTAATATCACTACGGACTTCATGGCACATTTACTACTGGTCATCACGCAGCTCCAGCCGTCCCCAGTGATTGTCAGACAACGTGGACGCGGTGTGCATCTGGAAATTGAGCTGTGAAACATCACCATGCCCGCTTATGCCGTTGTACGAGATTCGGCACAGCTAGGCATGAACAGCTTGACGAATTTAAAGCAGTGCCTACTCAGTGCGCAAGATGTCCACAGACTAGCTAACGAGTCACACAAGGGTCACCTAGAGATGAGGCAGAGGACAATTCGATCTGAGACTAAGTTTCCTATTATCGTGGGCATCGAATCAATCTCGCTTGACCCATCGCATCTTGGACCCGAGGCAAAGTCGAAACTCGCTAACCAGAACTCCTCTACATCGTGTTGCCACCAGCCGTGCTTCTTGCGTAAGGTGAAGCAGGCGAGACCTGACCGACATTTGCACCGTAGCCAGAATCCGAGACAGTCTCCGCAAACGTGGTCGCCGGCGATGAGACTGTGAACGTCGGCGCGGCACTCTCTCTCCTCGCGGATCCATCCGTGTTGCTCGTCCTCGTGCTCACATTTCTGCCAAACTCCTCCCCTTCCCCTCCGCTGAAACCAGTGAAGCCACTGTTCCTGACACTGTCCGGCACGGCAGCGGGTAGTTCCACAGGTGCGTAAGAGCATGCACTAGTCTCCGGGATTTCATGGATCTGATTACCCGCAGTAGGTAATTCCGTCGAGTTTGAGTACTGGTAATACTGGTAATGGGGATGCTGCTGCGCTGCAGTCGGATCGCCCACTTTGGGGACGCTTAGCTCCGCCTTCTCATACACCCAGCCCGCAACTCTGTCTCCTTCCTGGACTTCGCGACTCGGCAACTCTGTGCTCCCGGCCCCGTTGTCGAACCACGGCCGGCCGGCATCCGGATTTGTCGACGGTGATGAGACGGAACCAAGCGGCGGCGAAGAGTCGCCAACTAATTTAGGTGGTAGATTGTGCGTATTCATTGTCATATTAGGCTCATTGGGGTCGCGGTTGTTGTTGTTGTTGTTGTTGTTGGAGTACTTGTTGCGCCGCTGCCATCTCTGCCGTCGCCGGTGTCGCCAGTACATAAAGACGGCGCCTCCCAGGAAAATGACACCCACAATGACACCAATGGCTATTCCAGCTTTAGAGCCCGTGTCTAGTTGCCGGGCCGAAGTTGCAGTCTCTGTCGAGGATGCAGATGTGGTCGCTATTGCTGAGTCTGTGGTCGTGGGGGCTGGAGCCGCCGCTACATCGTCATCGTCGTCTGGCGTATCTATGCCGTCGTCGTCCTGTCTCGATCCCAGCTTGTTCCTAATGCTGGCGGCTCCGGTCTCTTCCACCAGCAGGAGCATCATAGCCCCGATATCTAATCCATGTACTGGCATAATGGGCTTCAATGCTTTGATCTCTTGGCGGAATTTGTAAAAGTAGCAAAGGCGACATCCAAGTCATGTCAAAAGAGACAAGGGCATCGGTTATAAGATAGCTGGACGTGACCAAGACTTTCCCTTGTTTCGCTACCCCATATTGTCGTCGAAAATAGACTCCACAGCCAAGCGCACGTCATGGAGACTCGACAATCGACTAGTTGCAAGCACTCGTACCATTTTTCCTGGCATCACGAAATACCCATGGGGCTCGGCCATATTACAAGAGATGACTAGGCACTCCAGGCCGAATGAGAGACCAGCCTGGCGGAGGGCACGTCTTGGCCGCGCGGGCACAGGGGTGGACGAGAAACGCGGAGCGAAACGGTTCGTCTCCAAGACTCTGGGCTGAGGCTCAGCAAACCTCCCAGAAAGCCTAATTACTCGTGCTCTTGTGTCGATCCCGGGCGAACACGGGCGCCGTTACAGGTGGCCGAGGAAGGCTGTGGAGGCTGAGTTATTATAGCAGAACGGAAATTACGACCAAATTTCTAGATGCTGGATATGCAAGACTGAGCTTTACCTAGAAGGCGTTCTAAGATCGCTGCGATCATTGTGATGGCTTAAGAAGCCCCCACGCGACCATCTGCTCTTCGCGTTTGACGCGCAGTCAAACTGTTCTGGGCTCGAGAGAGATGATGGCTTCGTCAAGTCAGATCTGTCAATTGAACACTTCTCGTTCGAGGCGTTTCAGCTCTGGATAATTGAAGTTGAGCAGACAGTTGACGACCTTAAGCTTCACATACCACTCACCTACTGTAGCTTACATAGCTCAGGGCTGAACCCTGACGCGCAACCAGATCTCATCCATGTCTTCATCTAGTCCATCGACCAAGAGGGGAGCAGCTTCCGACGAAGACGATCACTGGTAAGAAAGGCTTTCTGTATCGCATCAATATGGGGTCGGGAGTGCATTTATTATCACTCCACATATGTGTTGTGAAGATGGGCCCCAGTCCGTAAAACCCGGGGTTTAAGTCCGACGTCAGGTTCCCCGACTCAAGCTTTCGAGCTGTCATCCCGCATGTCGTCAACGACCCTGAAACTCCGGTAGAGCTGTCCGATCTAACATAGAACCACGCTTTTCTCTTGACACCACGGCACGGTGCAAACTGTTTCGCAAAGTCGGCCGGCCTCTACGCATCACTCACAAAATCGACTGACTGGCTGACTGTCACTGTCCCCACAGTGGACATCCTGATACAGTACTCAAGTGTCAGGCCGAGTGTCCGTCTGGGTGGCGATAAGAGCTCCGGCGCTGACCTTATCATATAAGCCACCGCCGAATTAACCGAACGACATCACAACACTTAGGAGCCGGGGAACTGTTGCTATTGCTGGCCAAGATGAGCTACAGATATCCTCACGAAGACGACTCGGACGAGAACGGCTTCGGCGAGAGCTTGCAGCAACCGTCAGGAGCTAAACATGACGACTCCTCCGACAGTGACAATGACGTCTTCGAGCCGGCAACAGAGGTCACAGAAGACGACCAGGATGAGGATGAGGAAGATGATGATTCTGACTATGAGGATGAGGGGGAGGACGATGAGGAGGACGAGGATGATGAAGATGCATTTCACGGTCAGTCATGGCCGCTTTGCTTTTGTTATGATTCGCTTATCTGATCGCACCCGCACCTGTAGATGCCGAGACCGGCTACACCGTCGAAGTCGTCTACGGAGGATCAGAAGACAACGAAGAAGGTGACAATGATGAGGAAGAGGGAACACAAAGAGAGCAAAGGCCGGTCACTATCTCCATCGGAAATCTATTGGGTGAGTGTCACTGCGACAGGAAAGCTTAAACTGCTCATCCGGGTCCCGATCGTCTCATCTGAGCACCACAGCTCATCGCATCTTCCTCACATGCTTGGCACTCTAGATACTGACCCTGGGATTGATAGGACGCATAGGGGCCACTCACCTCTCAGCCCAACAATTAATGGCCCTCTTCCACAGCCGAGACCTCGGCCACGTACTCTTTAGTGAGGGCGATGACTGGCCGGGTCCCCGCCGGAGGCGGCAACCCCCAGACCCAAACCGTTTTCCCAAGGTCCCTAGTGACAAGGGTACTGAGCTTATGAACTCGGGCACGTTTGGCGCCACAGACAGAACTGCTATCCGCCACAAGAAAAAACTCGCCCGCCGCATCCTCGACCGGGAACTCGGCGTCGGCGATCCTAGGATTAATCAGGCCGCAATGGCGCAGGAGATGATCCCCACCTCAGAAGCAGACATGATTATTCACTACAGGGCCCCTGTGTACTGCGGGCAGTTCAGCGAGGATGGCAATTTCTTCTATGCTTGTGTGAAGGACTTCAAGGTACGGATGTACGATACGAGCAACCCATACAACTGGCGGTACTACAAGACGGTCAACTACCCTTGGGGCCAGTGGACACTTACAGATGCACACCTGTCACCGGATAACAAGTGGCTGGCTTATACATCTTTACAAAGCCATGTGTGCTTTGCCCCGACAGATCCAAATGACAAGGGCGACCCCTATACACTCGACCTAGGCAGTGGCGCTAGGGACACTGGCTGGGGAGGCTGGAGGGCACGAGGGCACTTTGCCATCTGGTCGATCCGGTTCTCGGGCGATGGGCGGGAGCTCATCGCCGGCAACAATGTTTCGAGCATCATCGTCTACGACATCGAGTCGCGCCGCGTGCTGCACAACATCCAAGGCCACGACGACGACGTCAACGCCGTGTGCTTCGCAGATCCCAAGGACCCACACATCATCTACTCGGGCTCGGACGATCAGGTCATCAAGGTGTGGGACCGGCGGTCGATGGGCGACGGGCGGGAGGCGGGCGCCTTTGTGGGCCACATCGAGGGGCTGACGTACATCGACAGCAAGGGCGACGGACGGTACATCCTTTCCAACAGCAAGGATCAGACCATGAAGCTGTGGGACTTGAGGATGGCCATGTCGACGGAGCGGTACGAGGAGCTCAACCCGCGGCAGCACACGCACCACACGGACTACGACTACCGCATGGAGGACTACGACATGGACAACTGGTTCCAGCACCCCAACGACAACAGCGTGGTCACGTTCCGTGGGCACAAGGTCCAGGGGACGCTCATCCGGTGCCACTTCAGCCCGGCCGGGAGCACCGACTCGCGCTATGTCTACAGTGGTAGCCAGGACGGCAAGGTATATGTGTGGAATATGGACGCGACGCTGAAGACCACGATCGACGTGGGCAAGGCCACGAACCCGGGGAATCGGAGGCACGGCGGCGGCATTGGTTCGAGGCGCGGCTGTGTGCGCGAGCCATACTGGCATCCCAACGCGCCTGTTATCGCTGGTAAGTCAATCTTTCATCCACCCAAAAGCTTGTCCCATCCATCGAGAAAACAGAACTGACATTGTACTTGGCAGCATCTTCGTGGGGTGGATATGATAGGAGCTACGGGACGGTGTCGGTTCACTCGTGGAATGAGAATACGGACGATGATGCTGATGACCCGAAAATGGGCTGGAGTGTCAATGACCATTTGGGGGCCAATCATTTCGGGGCGGAAGAGGAGGAGGATTGGTGAGTGTCTTTTCAAGTGTATAGTCGCTAGCGAGCAAATTATTCAGAAGCAAGGAGTCAGCGACACGGTCACAAGCCACACAAAATTCAATATTTGAGTGACATCGACTTTACTGCTCTTATTTTTGACAAGAGATCTGGCGAGAAAGCAGTATTCAGAGACACGTAGACCAATAGTCTTGTCAATTCAAAATATGGCAAGTTGTTTTCTAGTGGTGAGTGCCATGTTGGTAGATTGGACTCCCAATGACAAGGAGCAGTGTGGAAATGGAATTATCTGGACATTGCCTTGGATTGATGGTTGAGCTGGCAAGGCATCTAGGTAATTTCCCCTAAGTATTTAGAAATAGTGTTCGAACAGGCCCTTCCTGAGTGGCCTCTAGGTCTCGCAAGAGAGGTTGGTAACTTCAAAGTTCGGCTTCCTTCTTTCGAGCTTTCACATGCGCGTTCTGGGTTGAAAGCAACCTTAGGTGAGCTCAGAAAACTGCTGGAGTTCAGGTGGTAACAGGAAGAACTTCTAGCCAAAGTCACTTGTGAACCAGCTGAACGCAAGTAGGAAAGTTGTAGCAAAATTGTCATGCAGAAGCCCCTTTGTCTCGACTTTGGCTGTAAGTCGAGCAGGGAGACCCGCCTCCACCCGACTACCGGGATCTGTAACTCGGAATCCGGGTCCCCACCTCCCGGCAGGAGTCGTCGCCGCTTAACTTGATGAAGCTCCAGGCCCAGACCCCAGATCCAGGCTCAGACCCATGCACACAGGTCATCCAGGAGCTCCAAGCTCCGACTTCAACCCAATCCCTCGCAGCCTCCTCCGTCCATTGACTCTGACAACCCTTCATCGGTCTGTCAGCAAGGTGGGCTGTTATCAACTGCCACTTGTATCTGGTCACGAACCCCAGTGTCTTCACTTCCAATCATTCCCTCTCCCATTGAAGACCCCGACTTGCGACACCCCTGCGCAGTGAGCACCTCGAGACGTTCGCCCTTGCGACCTCCCCCCTCCACCCAACATCTACAGCCTCGCTGGACAGCCCTGTTTAAGAGCCGCCTTTCGAACACTAGTGTCTCGACTTCGCGCCCGCCAATTCCCATAGATCGAATCTACTTGCAAGACAGACTGCACCAGCTGCCCGGTTCTGAAGAAGGAAACAACTGGTTTGGAATCTGCTTGGTCAACACACTTTTCCGGCCTTTACGATCCCTTTGGCTCAAACAAAAACCAGCTTCTTTCCAAAGCAAGCACTTTTTCGGTGAACTGCAGCTGCGAAGTCTGGTTGACTAGCCTAATTCGACTTTTTCGCCAAACCGACAAATTCAAGGACGTCGCCAGATCATTGCGAATACTAACTTCAGTTCAAGCCCTTGGCGTCCACAGCTTTACAACTCCTTCTGTGGCAGAAGAACTTTGCCAGAGCTCTCTATTGGAACAGGATCAATCGGGCTGCAAAGCGTTTATCTGTCAATCATCTTTTTTGATCCCACGTGCATCAAGGCACGCTTGTACACAATTTACATTCCAAGGCTTTGCAAAGTTGGGGAGAAGATTGCGAGCACAGAGCTTCATCTTCGGAAAGACAGATCCAGAAATCATTTCAAGAACCATCAGCTGGGAGGATCTCGCGTCAAGTTGTCTGGGGTCAAAGTCTTGTTTCGAAACTCGGAGTGTACGTATCGATGACTCTGTCTTCCATCATGTTTTCTTGTCCCTATGTCACCGTTTCCTCTTCTCTCTCACGCCTGCTTCCACTTCGCTCTGACGCTGGCGGAAAATGGACGGGAAATCTTGTTGTCTTTCGAGTTACTGATTGCAAGGTGGCGACAACAGACAACTGGACTCCTGTACTTCTGACCCAACAAGACAAAACAATCAATACACCTCTTTCAACAAAGAAGCTCGGGTTCATCGTTTCCAATTGATCAAGATTTAGGCTGCCACGATGGCCGAAGAGGAGTTCGAGATCGACGTGTACGGCGACGCCCAGGACGGCGGTCAAGAACACGAGCACGGTGGCGCAGAAGACTATGGCGACAACGTCCACATGGATGGCGCCCAAGGCCATGATCACGATGACGAGCAGGGCCACGCCGATGAGGACACCCAGAACGGCAGCGGCGACCAGCACAATGACCAGTCTGCCTCGAGTACATCCGCCCCCCAGCAGGGTGTCAAGCGGAAGTCGGAGCCAGATGACCGCCCCGTTGACCCAGGTGCCACGGCAGCATTGCTGATCTCCGAGTTGCAATGGTGGAACACAGAGGATGAAGTGCGGAATTGGGTCCACGAGGCTGACTGCGAGGATGAGCTGAAAGACATTACGTTTAGCGAGCACAAGGTCAACGGCAAGAGCAAAGGGTATGTTCTGTCTGCGTGTTTCATTGTGCTCAACATGCTCAAGCTAAATTTCTTGTTTCCAACAGACAAGCATACATCGAGCTCGCCTCCAACCAGGCTGCAACCGCAACGAAGCGACACATCGATTCCGTTTTCGGCAGCGACGAGAATGGCGCCGGCCATAATCAGCAGCGCCGCCCCACGGTCTCTTACCACAGCCCCGGCAACAACCCATTCAAGACCCTGCCCAAGGACGCGCCACAGCGTGCTCGCGATAATGCTGGTCGCGGTGCGCCTGCCGGCCCCGGCAACTTCAACAATAGCGGAGCAGCGAACAACTTCCAGGCTGGTGGAGGAGGAGGAGGCGGTGGCTTTCAGGGAGGCTTTCGGGGCGGACGAGGCGGATTCAACCGCGGCGGAATGCGCGGTGGCTTCAATCCCAATTACAACAACTCGAACATGAACGCTTTTAATAACAACATGGGCGGCGGATTTAACAACCCCATGGGTGGTGGAGGCTTCCCCGGAGGCGGCTTCAACCGCGGTGGCGGCATGGGTCGTGGCGGACCTGGCATGGGCGCCATGCGCGGTGGCCGTGGAGGCATGATGGGAGGGCCTACAGGTATGAACGGTATGGGCATGGGAGGCATGCCTAACATGGGCATGGGCGGAATGCCCAACATGGGTATGAACATGATGGGTGGAATGGGTGAGTTTTCCCGTGCTGCTGCGTTTTTGCTTTCGATTAGTTTTGCTTTTCTATGCGCGTTGCGCTACTCGCGGGTCATGTGTTGTCCTTGGAGTATGCTTTGCTCTTGAAGTCTGTTTGCTTTGCACTCGTTTTTGTCGTCGTTTTTCGTCATTATTTTTGTTCTGCGCGTCCTGGACGCACATTGGGTCTAACATTCTTGGTGTTTCCAGGTTTTAACGGCATGCCCGGACAATTCAATCCAGGGTTCTTCGGTGGTGGAAACCAGGGCGGCTACGGTGGAAACCAAGCCGGTGGTGGTGGAGGCGGAGGCGGCGACTGGGGCAATCCCCACGGAACTAAGCGACCTCGCGGAGAGTAGCGTGGTCTCCGGTTTACTTTTGATGGCCATTTTGCCATGTCACGAATCCTCGTTCGACTCCTTGGACTTGCTCCGACTAGACCACGAGGAAAGAAATTCCGCGCGAGCCCTTCATCCTGCCTTGTGCACAATAACAGCCACCCCATCAGAGGACATTCGAAGAATCATCATCGCATTGTACAATCACGAAAAAGAAGTTCGTCTTATTCAACGAGGATAGAGCTGTGGCGATAATCTCGCACCTCACCTCGCATAAGGCTTTGACGAGCCTCGCGGTTTAGAATCTCTCTGCCACCGAGGAAAAGAGCAAGGAAACCAGCAGCACGAACTTGGATTTGTGCGTCTGATTTCGAGATCGACAATCAGGAGCATAAGACTATCTTGGAATTCCCTCTAGGTCTCCACAGCCCTCATAGCAGGGGCCGATCCTTCGGTACTCTGTCTCACCCGGCCTGGCCTTGTGGTGTTCATCGAGGTCCTTGGACACATTTTACAGAGGAGCCAGCGGCCTAGTCACTTTTTCTCATTACGGGCGTTGAAGCTGACGGCCGCATATAAGCGCTTTCCTTGACTGAAGACCACAGGAAATTTCAAGCCTCAGCCTTTGGGGTAGACATTGCGCAACATCACCGGCATCTATTAACTTCATTCTCAGTCGGCTGATCCACCTCAACCCCGCTCTAGGATTCTCTCAAGAGAGGACGGCGTTCAACGGAGGTCCGGTGAAGGGTCTTTCATAAGCTTTTTTGCGCTTTTCTTCAGACTTACAATTGCATTTTGAGGATCGGTCATGGTAGTTTCGCCTGAGGGCAGGCAATGGAAAATCATTGATATTGATACAAATGTTGCGGTGCCAGATTTGTATGTGGCGTTATTGGTAAGGCGAGGCGACCTTTTTCCTTTCTTGAGTGTTTGATTATGTGTGTCTATTTCCTTTCCCTGGGTTGAAAGTGCTGCGATGATCATGGGCCCTATGCATTGACGGCGTTTTGATACTTTCCCTTGATAGCGAGTGATTACCGTGGTCATGTTTTATTTGCCGGTGCGGTGTGCAGGTTCAGAGACGTACGATGAGGCTTTATTTGGATATTAGAGACGATTTTGCCTGAAAGGGGGAAGTATTTATTCTTTATCAACTTCCGGAAATCACAAGTGCCAGCCGAAAAGACGATGAGCACCACGACTCATTACCACCAGCTCTTCTAGGAGTGAAAAAGACGAAAATGGAAATACGGCCCTCTTGGTAGTCTTCTACTAAGCGGACAGCCGTGCTCAAGATAGCCCCGGTTTGTTCAAGCCAGCGGTACAAAGCCAGAACATGTGCCGACGGCGAAACACATCATGAAGTGCGAAGACATAGTCTCCCATGGGTAACAAGCCTGGCGTTTGGGGGGAATAACAACAGGTAGAGGCGCCGCAGTTGGTAATTCGAAAATGGCCCACAGCCTGATCTGAGGGTGACACTGCAAGATATGGCACGCATCCACAACACTATCTACGCCGTGGTCATCACTCACAAACCAACTTCGTCCGGGGTTGTAATTAGGGACGTGATCCTGGGCGTCGAGATTTATTATATGAGACTAGGGAAGTGAGGGCTTTCTGGGAGAAAGGCAATAAGACGGCCCTGGGACTGGTAACAGTGGGAAAATGGAATGAAACCCCCGTTTTGCCCCCTGAGCAGGTCCGTCTTGTAGGCCAGAGGACAATCTTCCGGAGATGTGAACCAGACTCGAAGGCAACACTTTTCGCTGCATTGTGGTACGTGATCTAATCAATAGACACTACATTCCCTTGACTCACCTCGATCTCGGGTATCATCAGTCGCATCTGAATTTAGGCTCCACTCTTGTTCAAACCCATCACTCGTTCTCTAGACGCTCGATCGTGGCCGTAACCAAATCCCGTATCTGGGCCCAGCGCCTTAGCAGAATCTCCCTCCGACTCTCATTCATGTCCGCATCTCCGTCTTCCTCTTGGAACCTCAGTTTTCTTAGGTCCTTTTCCTTGGTCTTGATCGTAACCTCATACTTTTCCAATAGGCCCACCGCCAGCGCGTCCACCTTCGCCTGGCTTTTCTCGCCATCGTCAAGCCCGCTGACGAATTTCCGCCACTCATCAATGGGCAGGCCGCCATACCTGCCCGTCACAGCCATCTGCCTCAGAGCCACCTGTGTCCGGTGGCAGACCGTGTCGTTGTCGAGGACGTAGTTCCCGAGGAACCCGACGTCCTCCAGCTCCTCCTTCTGCAGCCTCGTCAGCGCAGGCAGAATGACGTCGTCGAGGTGGACCTCGTCCCAGTGGTTGCGGGCGAGCACGAAACCGTACTCGACGAGCAGGAAGTCGTTGCTGTGTGACCCGTAGCTGATGTGGACCTCGTCGCCCTTCTCGTACGGCCGTGTGGTCCGGAACGTGAACGAGTCGGCGTGGTCGAACGCGACGTGGCAGCCGCCCTGGTCGGTATGGTTAAACAGGTCCGCGACCGGCTGCAGCGCCATGTGGTCCTCCTTGGGCAGCTTCTCCGTCTTGGGCGTGACGAAGTAGAACGTTCGCGTGTTGACCAGTAGCCAGGCATGCAGGTACTCGTCCCTCGTGCACTCCTTGCTTGGCGCGCTGCGCTTGCTCTTGCTTTCGATGGGGAAGGCCGCGGAAACGGTGTTCCAGTCCTTTTCGAATTTGGCCCTCTGTTTTTCTAGGAGTTGGCTAGCGCCGGCGGGGAGGAGAGACTGAAGGGAGGGCGGCCAGGTGAGTGGCATTGACAGCTGGATGTCTTCCTCCGTGGGCACGACTGCTTGCCACTTGCTATACTTGGTCTCATTTGCGGCCTTATTGAGGGCAAGATCCGCAGCGAGCAAACCGTGGACGGTGAAATCCTTCGGAAGGCCTGCAACAATCGCTGCGGGCACTGTATCTTTTGTCCGAAGGGCTGAGACTGGGACTGTGAGAATGTCGGTGCCTTTGGGTATGTGGTCAGTTGCCACGACTGTAAATTGTCAGTGACGATGTCTTCATGCGATCTTCAAGTATAAGTTGAACAATGCTCTGATATCAAAGCGCCGTATTTCCTGGTTCTAGACGCAGCTAGGATTTCATTGCTCATCTCTTGTTACGCTCATGAGCTAATTGATCGTTGCCACTCATGAAAAGCAATTGGAATGGGGTTGCGTGAGATTGTTGACTTGCCTCCAAAGCCACGGCCAGAGATCCTCATGGGACGAATGCTGTTGACTTCGACGCCGATAGAACTGGCCCATGTTAGGAGCTCCTCATGGACCTCCTCAAGTTTGTCCTCCGCTTCAAGGGCCATGTTTGAACTTGGGAAGAAAGCGTAGAATAGGTAGCTGTTTGAGGTTTCTAGGGCAAAGTCAGCGGTGATTTCGAGTGGTAGGAGCGTGTTGTACTGGTATACATTCTGTTGTCCACCCAGAAGTGTTTTAATCGATGGCTGAGCTTCCAGCTCAGTCTGAGCTGCTGTCTAGTTGCTCGCTGCTGACCACGTAAGGATATGGCATGGAGACTCTAACAACATAGAAACAGGCAGACGATGAACACGTCTTTTCCTATATTTGAACAGGAGACTCTAGTCTAGCATTTGGTTGAACGGGTCTAGGGAATGACTCTTCTGGTGAAACCACGACGACGCTGTATTGCGAGATCCGAGGGAAGAGTCGCGTATAGCAGATGACTCACGAACAAATTCGACAATTAACAAACTCACGATGTACACTGACACAAATGAAGGTTCTCGATTCAACACGACAGAGGCGCTTTTGTTGCAGTTCATGCTGTTGTCCAATATCGTCCAGCCCTAAATACATTGCGTCTCGAAGACATTTCTAATTGCACACCCGCGGGTGAGAGTAATGGCCCCGTAGATTCGTCGCCCCAGAGCTGGCCGGAGCTCTCTAGTCAGACCCGGCGCATCATCGAACCATTTCCGCAGCATACTTCTGTTTGCAACGAATCTGCACCTGCACAACATGGTCGTCCAGTGGCCAGCTCTGAGACCAGCATGAAGTCTCTACTTCCAAGGGCGTCAGCTCTCTGCCGAGGGGGCAATGCTGTCTGCAAGGCCGTCACGATCCCCGTCGCAACATCTAGCTCACAGAGGCCTTTCTCCGTATTGAACCGGCCGCCGCCAAACTACCCGGGCCATGTGCCCTTGACGCATGTCGAACGCGCAGGGCTTGCGATCGGGTCCGGCATCATGTCGCTAATGAACCCATACCGTGGAGGTAATCACCATGTCTCTCCCCCAACAACCAACCAGCACGGCGCTCTGGGCTGACCATCTCCTCTCCCACTCGCAGACCTCATCGCCGCCTTCGCCGAGGCAACCTCCACGCCGTACTTCATTCCGCGCCTCCGCAACGCAATGCTGCAGTCGGCGACAGGACGGCGCATCCTGCGCGACCGGCCGCGGCTGACGTCGGCGTCGCTGGACCTCCCGCGGCTGCGCGCGCTGCCGGACAACACCGTCGGGCGGACGTACGTGGGGTGGCTGGACCGCGAGGGCGTGACGCCCGACACGCGCAGCGCGGTGCGGTACATCGACGACGAGGAGTGCGCGTACGTGATGCAGCGGTACCGCGAGTGTCACGACTTCTACCACGCGCTGACGGGCCTGCCGATCGTGCGCGAGGGCGAGGTCGCGCTCAAGGCGTTCGAGTGGGCCAACACCGGCCTGCCCATGACCGGCCTGAGCATGTTCGCCGCCTTCACCCTCAAGCGGAGCGAGAGGCGCCGCTTCGCCTCTGTGTACCTGCCCTGGGCGCTGAGGAACGGTTGGCGCGCCGAGGAGGTCATCAACGTGTACTGGGAGGAGGAGCTGGAGAGCGACGTGGAGGAGCTGAGGGCGCGGCTGGGTGTCGAACAGCCCCCTGATCTTAGGGCCATCCGGAAGCAGGAGAGGGAGGAGAAGAGGAGGCTGAAGGAACTAGCAGCTGCTGCGAAAGGGGCCGCTGCGACGGCATGAGCACGAAGCCATCGCTGGTTGTACAGTATTGTAGATCCCACGAGTATTACACTCCTCAAACCACCAAGACACCACACTCGGAAGCTCATATTGCAGAAGCATCGCTGTCAAGGTATCATTATCTCATCAGGGCCCGAACTCAGCCCAATAAGTATCTTCACATTCTTTTGGTTCCGATCCAGTACTGCGCGGGCGTATCTCTGACCGCTTCCCATATCCGCCAGCGTCCATATACCAATTACAAATCCAGCAGGTCGTCGTCGTCGTCCTCCCAGGCCTTGCGCCGGCTCACCACAATCTTCTCCTTCTCCTGGTTTGCAGACACAGCGGAGAGCAGATCCTTGAGCTGAGCCTCGGTCACCTTCTGCTGCAGCTGGCCCGACCGCGCCAGCATGATCAGCCTGTTCTCGACGTCGGTCGCCCGCTCCTCCTTGACCAGCCGGATGCGTCCCAGGCGGTCAGCCGCCTCGGGGTGGAGGATCTGGTTGAGAATGGACTGGCGGGCTTCGGCTGTGGATTCCGAGCAGGAGTCAGTCAGGGGCCTGATTGTTCAAGTGTCATAGGGGTCGCTTCGTGGCAAGTCACCGATGCAGAAGGGTCGAGGTCGAGGGATCGCGCGACGTTCGTTATGGAAGGCTATGGTGCTTGGTCTGTTGGGAATAGTAGTTCACGTACCTTCTTGCTGTCTGTGAACAAACACGATAATTAGTACATTGATCCGACCCACGAGACTCTGCTTATGCGCACGCGATCACTTACCTCTTCTGCTCGGCCTGCCCTTGACCTGAGCTGCCTGCTCCAGCGCCGGCTGCCGCGCCGGATCCCCCGCCTGATTGCGCCTTGAGCTGCTCCAGACGAGCCTTGCGGATCTGTTGATGTGTGAGATTACAGCGCGTCCTCAATAGCTGGATCTTGTGTGCAGAGGCGACTATACCTGTTCAAGTTCTGCGTCTTCCATGGTCGTGAAGTTTGGAATGACTGAGTGAGTCGTGAGGAGCTAAGCTGAGAGTGCTGCGGGAGCTCGCGTGGTTCGCTGCACTTCTGCCGTGGAATTTTGGCGGGGTCAGATTGGAGGGGGCCAAGCAGGAGGGAAGCTATCGATAGTGACCCTTGTTTTTGGGGTCAAACCACTGCTACGTTGAATGGGATTTGCATCCTGGCGGTTCAACACATCTCAATAGATGGCTGTGAAACAGTAGCCGAAGGGCCAGAGAGTTGTGATTGCATGAAGCAAATACGCAAGCACGACTTGAAGCTACTTGATCAGAGCAACCACGAGGTGAGAATTTCATGTTGGCTAATATTCATTTCATAATAAGAGCATTATATGACAGGAGTGTTGTAACACGGAACCCGTACGCTTTGTGTACTGTGATTCCTTCGACCGCAATAAGGCCCACCGCTATGCATGATTGAGTGCCGGACCATCAGAGAATCCTAGCCTTCAGGAAACAGGCCTGTTCAGAGCCTTGTCGAACTCAAAAGGGATGGCGTTCTGCATCTCGTTCCTCCGTTTATGTATCCTCGCCTTGACCACGTCTACCACCATCTCATTCTGCGGGACTTTGATGCCCAGTTCCCGGGCCCTCCTAACAAAGTAGCCATTGAGGTAATCGATGTCGACCCATTGACCCGCACGCACGCGGCTGAGCATGTTACTCTGCGACGCACCCTTCTCGTAGAGCCGAGAGATGGTCTTCTTACGCAGCGCGCCCAGCCCGCAGTGCTCCACGACCTTTGACGAGTTGGTGAGCTCTGGCAAAGCCATAATCACATTGAACAGCTCATCCAGCAGCTCATCAGCCAGCTGAATGGCGTGCTCGTTACCCGGGATGTTGTCGTATGTCGTGTCCAGGACGACCGCCATCGGCTCGATAACACTGCTGAAGACCAACGCAGGGAGCTTCTGAATGAGCCAGTTCTCCAGGCTGTACCCGCCTGCATGCAAGCCAGGTGTCGTTACCAGTGTTCGCAGAAACTGTGTCGCATTCGACCGCCGCTCAACAGGTGGGTGGAATTTGAATATGGGTAGTAGGTCTACACCCCTCTCCACTGCATGAAGAAATAGTTTCCCTGGCTGCCTCAGCTTCGCCCCGAAAAACCATTGCTTGTTGTATCCCAGGGAGGCAGCCATGTGGCCCAGGACGTAGTGCGGCCGCTTCGTCGGGTCCCGGAAGAGTGTCGCGTTCAAGTGCTCGATGACACCTAAGCCCTCCTGGACTAGGCATATGGTAGTCCGGTTGTCGATTCTGTGAATGATGTTCTCGAGTGCAGTCTTGGTCACTCCACAGGCGAGTGTCACAATCAATTGATCAATGTGCTCGTTGCTGGGCTCGTTCTGGCCCCGGCCTATCCACTCCGCCTCTGCACGCCCACGCCCCCGACTGCTCCTCTCGAGTCCCCTCCACACGCTCACTTGCTCGCCCTCAAGCCGCCACGACTTCATGACATTTCCTTTGTGGACAAGAAGCTTGACAGGGTCGAGATGTGGGTTGCCAGCTAGCTCGTGTGCAATGAAGTACGCGCGGGGGTCGTATCCTAAGATGTGTACTCGCTTGGATTGGTCCTCCTGTGGCATTGCCCTCGGCCCTCTTAAATCGGTAGAGTATGTCAGTCCTATGGGTGTATGCTTCTTGTCCGCAATGGAGTCTATTTCGTAGGGGCTTTGCTCCCCGACTGCATCGAGTAATTTTCGGAGATTGGGACGCTTGGAGAAGGGATCGTAGCGCCCTCTGTCTGGAAGCTCTTCGGTATCTTCTTTCGTCTTGAATTCAGGTGGTGGTTCCGTGGCGGCTGCGGCGGCCTGGTCTGAAGCATATCCTCGTCTGGCCCCCCGGCCCACAGCGATGCTACCGTGACTCCATGATGTGTGTCTGTGAGGTATTCGCGCAAACACCCGCGATCGCGGTAGGCTGCTGCGTAAGGAATACAGATTGAACGACGTCTTCAGGACCCCTGAAAGATCATAGTATTGGTGTCCGTCGAGGAGAGACGCGTGATCCGGACTGAGCGAGCGCCTCTGGGAGCTTGCGGCGCCGAGGGTGCTCTGCTGGTGCTAAGCTCGAGAGTTTTGTAGGAAGTTTGCGCTCCGTCGCGTGGGAAGGCAGATATGAGATACGCGGTTCAGCTTGGACAACGCTCGCCGAGTCGGATCATCCGGTGACAGGAGGGACGGTCTCTTGTGTCATTTTATGCTGGGAAGATGTCGACATTCGACCTTGCTCAGGAGGCAACGGTCTTCGTTTGGGGTCGGGCTGGATGACGGCGACATTTTCCATCTGGTCAAAGACCAATCCTCTAAATTTTTAGATAGCAGGGGTCTGTCTGCATCTGGGCCGACCCACTGCTTCGGAACGACCCTCCATATCCCTGCCGCAGTCAGACACAGCAGATATCTACATGCTGTATGTACCTTATCGGCGTCCCAAATTATTCCCTTATCGAACTTTTCAACCGGAGACAGTGCTTTCTTGCTTTCACTTGCGAAGACAAGAACCACACTCGTTCTCATCGACATCAAATTGTTTCAGGCTCCCAGAAGCCTTGTGTTCACTGGGACTTTCAAGTCTCATTGCGACAGCAAGGCATCGTCGCCCATCATGGCTGATGTGTCGGACATTACACCACATCTCGACCGTCTTGACGGCGACTTGGACAAACTCGAGGACTCGCTGAAGCCGATCCTGAGCAACCTGGGTGAAGTCGCCTCCACGCTGCCTCTACTGGACAAGGCAAAGCTCTACGTTCTCGCCACATATTCCATCGAGACGGCGCTGTTCTCGGCCCTGCGCCTAAATGGGACAGATGCCAAGGAGCACGCGGTCTTCAAGGAACTCGCCCGCGTGAGGCAGTACTATGAGAAGATCAAGAAGGCCGAGGAGCCGCCCGAGCAGCGGACGCAGAGCGTGAATACGCAGGCTGCTATTCGTTTCATTAAAGCTGACCTGGTGAGTGAAGAAAATGCCCGGCTGTGATTGAAACGCCCGATTCTCTCCTATTATTTTGCTTTAACCTTACGCGGGAATACTTCTTGGGACTGGCGAACTGCTTGCTGATCAATTTTCAGGCTGGTGACAACAAAGACGTGGATACCAAGTTGAAGGAGCAGCTGGCAAAGGAGCGCGCGAAGGCGGCTATCCAGGCCAGAATGAACAAGAAGCGCCCGGCCGAGGACTCGGACGCTGCTTCGGCCGTCGCGGACCTGATCTCCGCCGAGAGCTCGAAGGCAGCGGGGGCCGACAGCTCGGCTGTGAACAGCGCCGCTGAGGATGGAGAGGTAAACGAGCCAGACAGGAAGAAGTCGAGAAAGGCTAGAGGCGGCAAGAAAAATAAGAAATCCAAGAGGGACACGCAATGATCTAGCATTGGGTTGATTGTGCTCGGCTTGGCAACATCGACCGGCTGCACTTTTTGGATGGTTGCCTCACATTGGAGTTGTGGCAGTAGCATAGCAACTCCACGAGGGTTGACGTTGGATCAGGCTGATTGAGGGCCGTATTCAGGTACGAAGCAGATCCAGGCCGAGTGCTTTCTCCACGATGACTGACAGCATATCCGGACAGACTGATATTTGGCTGAAGCTTAAGTGCCAGGCGGCTTTGCCCTGGTTTGAAGAATTTGGTGCATAGAAGAATAGAGATACCCATCATCGACGACCGTATTTTCGGTCAATCTCTTTTATTAGGAATGCACATGTTTGGAGTGATGGGAGACAAGGAGTCGGTTCAAGGGCTTTCCTGCCAGTTGAGAGGAGGACGTGATGGGCATTGTGGAATCATGCACTTCTCATGACTGATCTCATCTGAGTAAGCCAGATGCATTCGTGGCACCTTTTTATGGTGTTTTTTGACCATTGCGATGCGGGCCTTTCACGATCATCCCGCAGGATCAGTCTAGAGATAGCACTATAGTAGTGGTGTTGGATGTCAGCTGCGATGCACACCAACCAAGTGCCAATAAAGAGGTTGGGTCTCGACAGCAGCCTCAGCCCGAACTTTCCATAGACACTTTCATTTATTGGAACCCTCTTCACTGCTCTACTGTACGTTTCAAAGTCGCTCAATTTCTGGATCGGCCAAGATGCCGCTCTTCCAGCTGCTCAAGCCCGTCGCGGTGCCTCGCAGCCAGGTTGCACACTCCAATCCCATTCTGTACGATGGCGGCAGCGGAGTAAACGAATTCTTCGCCCCAGGTACAGAATACTTTGGCCGCCAGGTCGTTCCGCCCGACAACAAATGGTCTGATGGATCTCCTAGTTTCATGGGTACTGTTTCCCCCCTTCAATCGTGATTGAGACCTGGCTCGGGCATCCTGAGTGTGACAGGCCTGGAAGCTGTTCATGAGCTATGGGGGGTTTCAATAACCTCATACGCTATCTTGATCATGGCAACTTAGTAATGACATTTTACTAACACAGCACAAAGCTCCGATTGCCCATTATCATCTGCTACAGACCGAATCATTCCACGTCGAGTCTGGTGAGGGTCTTTGGTATTTGCGAGGCAAGACTATCTACCTTAAGGCAGGCGACAACATCACCATCCCGAGGTTCGTTGCACACCGATTCGAGAACGTGCCGGGGAGCACACAGCCGCTGTCTATCCTATATCGGTACGACGCGCAGCGATACGAGATGGAGCGGCGCTTCTTCTGCAACACCCTTACCTACCTCAACGATTGCAGGGTAGCGGGGACAGCGCCAAGTGTGCTGCAGCTCTGCATCTTCCTAAGCGACTGCTGGATGCCTGGGGAATTCTTCTGGGTCCCCGGTGGGGAGCATGTGAGGTGCTTGGTCAATGCTTTGTTCATGTGGACGATGGCGGCTATTGGGAGATTTGTGTTTGGATATAAAAATACCTATCCCGAGTATTATGTCCCGAGGGTTGGCGAGTTATACTACAAGTCAGGCTCCAAGGGGAAGACATGAGACTCAGTTATTGTTCTTCAATGCTCATAACCACAGATGGTTAACCCAGGGTAGGGATACTAGGGAAGATGCCTCTAAGGAGATATAAACATTGCAAGAGTAGATTTGCATGTAAGGACTTCAAGGAATGGCAGGGCGCTTCAGATACTATACAATTACACAAAACAAGAGCCTCGTGCTTTCGCTCAAGTTGCCCAGCGAATAAACAGTAAGGACATTCTCATTACGCAAGAGCACACATCGAAAGGACTTGCCCCAGAGGGGAGGTGGAGAATGACATCGGCTGCAGGATCCCCTAAGCCCCCTGTAAGACCCCCCAGCTCCAGGTGACCCACGTGTGAAATCAGCATCGGTTCTATTGGCTTCCGCGCTTACCTAGCTCGATTTTTGTCCGGCGCATACATTCCATCGATTCAACTGTAACTCCGACCTTTGGTCTTTTCCTCCAACCTCACCCTCGAAAATACACCACATTTCTCTACACCCTCGTCGAGACACACCCCCTCACAACCAAGATGCCTCGTCAAAGATCTGCCGGCCGCGCACCTTCGCGCCCCACTGTCCCTTCGCGCGCTCCCGCCGCCCCGACTTCTCAGCAGCAGACCCGGCCTGCAACTTCCTATGCCGCGCCCGCCACCCAGACTCCCCACCAGCCGGCTCCTGGTGCCCAGGCTCCTGTCTCCCAAGGACCGGGCCTGTTCGGCCAGATGGCTTCCACCGCTGCGTACGTCTAACCTCTTTGTCAGCATAATCCCGACAGACATGAGAAGAGAAGGGGACGAGAAATAGTCACTGGAGACAAGTGCACGGAACGGCTGGAAGACGCGTGTGGATGAAAGAACTCCTTGCTAACAGGTTATGTCTGCAGTGGTGTCGCCGTAGGCTCCTCGATCGGCCACGCAATTGGTGGTCTCTTCAGCGGCGGCGGCTCGGCCGAGGCACCCGCCCAAGCATCGCCCCAGGCAGCCCAGCAATCCCAGAACGACCAGTGGGGCCCCAACTGCTCCCTCGCCACCAAAAGCTTCACGAACTGCATGGACGAGCACCAGGGGAACATGTCCATCTGCGGGTGGTACATGGAACAGCTCAAGGCCTGCCAGGCTGCCGCCAGCCAGTACTAGACGGATGAAAGGGGCAGCAAGCGGGGAAGGCCAGATCACTGCATGCAAGGCGAGAACACCGCCAAGCCGATCACAGCATGGGAGGATAGATGGTGGTGGCTATAGATGGGTCAACTGAGAAGCATGAGAAATCTCAACTCATCATGGGCATTTATTCGGATGCGTTGCATTGCGATATGGGCGCAGCGACCATCGGAGTAGCTTGTAAAAACAGTAAAAATACAACGGCAAAATAGCCTGGCAGCCGTTTCGGCACAAAACGTAAACTCTACTTGTCCTTGTCGTCTTCGTCCTTCCTCGGCTCGAAGTTTAGCTGGGAATTGTTAGCTGCCTTCTGTCGCCACAGCACATCGCCACCTGGCTGAGGATGTTGAGGTCGACTTACCGAGTTCCCGTTGTAAAGCTGTTGATCCCGCTTGCTGTCATCCGGGTTCTGGAAGCCCTTGATCCGACTCACACTGCCCCCGTCTCGCCCCGTAGTCTGCGCCTGGCCCCGGTCTTGCTGCTCTGGCGAGGCCCGCTGTCCGGCCCCGCTGCCCGCCTCGCTTCCTCCGCTTCCCGAGCCCGTCACCGCGCCAGTGATGCTTCCCAGTATGCCACCGATGAAGGCCAGCACCGCCGCAATCAGGTGCGACACCGGGTTGTACAAGCCAGCGTTGATACTTGGGTACGCCGGCACGGGCCGGTCCACAGGCGCCAGCACCAGCGTCGAGCTCGGGGTGAGGCCTAGCTCCTCGAGCGTCTGGTCCTCCTCGGTGGTAGGGTCAATGGAGCGGTTCGGCAGCGGCGTGAGGATGACCTTGAAGCAGTAAGGATTATTGCCGTCCGTGCGGGCCTCGTCGATCCACTTCCTCACGTCCCGGCCCAGCGTGGCTTTCGCGGGCAGCCGCGTGCGGATTGTCGAGCCGTCGAACAGGCGGGCCTGTAGGGCACACTGGTCGTGCTGCCGCCGCGCCATGCCGGTCGGCGCGGGCTCCCCGGCCGCGGCAGTGATCTCTTCGACGTCCTCCCCTGCGGCAGCCCTGCGTTCCATGTCCCGCGCCACACGGTTATTCTCATCGCGCGCCTTCCGCTCCGCGCGATCGTCCTCGATGCGCTTCAGAACCCTCGCCCTGTCCTCCCGCACCTGGCGTTGGCGCTCGGCGAGCTGCTGGGCGGCCTTTTTCTTGGCGTCATTCTGCTTTGCTTTAAATGGGTCCGGGGCCTGTTCCTCCTGCTCCTTTTCTTTACGCCGTCTCTCCAGTGCTTCGCGCTCCTTGCGGGCTGCCTGCCGGCGCACCTCGTCTTCCTGGGTGATGGCAGCTATGGAGGGCTGGCCCTGTTGCTCTGACGATGACGGGGTGCTTGATGATGCTGGTGTGTCCTCGCCAGGTGTCTGGGATTCCGACGATGGCGCGTCGGAAGTCACGGCCGTAGCAGCAGCAGCAGCAGCAACAGGCGTGCTGCCTGGTTGCGCAGCCGATGTGGCAGCTGTCTGTGCTTGGAAAGCCCCGCTCACCCGCCTCACGAATTCCTCCTTGGACGTGCCTGCGGAAATGTATTCCTTCAGCTCGCCGTTCTTGATGATAACCAAAGTTGGGTTCTTAGGAAGGGGGAAGATGGCTGCCAAGTAGCCGGCCTCCTGTGAGCCAGCTTGCAGCCGAAGGGCCACGGCGTCCTTGTCAAGCGAGGGGGCGATAGTCTCATCGGTGAGGAACTCAGTCTCCCAGGTCTTGCTCTCCTCCTCATCATCCGTCACAAAGCAGACGACGAGCTTGGTCTCCTGGAGGGCCTTGGAAATGCCCTCCTGGAGTGTGCCGGTGAAGAACATATTGCGAAGGCCTTTAGTTCTTCGTTAGACAATCTGAGTGAGTTGGGTTTGGTTGGTGTTTCCAACTGACGATGAATGAGTAAGCTGCAGCCGTGGGATGGTAAGTCTAACGCTCAGAAGTCCCGAGTGCAGATCGGCAATCCAAAACGAATTTCGTTGTTTGTAGGTATGTATTCCAATGACGAGTTGCTTGTCAAACAGTTGGTTGACACCTTTGGCGTCAATGTCACTCAAGTACGACGGCTAGACAGGGAGGTGTAAGTTACAATTGGTAAGCTGCCGTAGGTGTGTGTGACATAGGATGTCTTGTCCAGAAGCTAGGAGCTAGGAGCTCTGAAGCTCCACTGGCCAATCGCTGCAGGAACCGTTGCATCATCGCCGAAACTTTTCCTTTCGAGTCCGCCGAAGTCCCGGCCGATTCGCGTTATCCCGCCCGCAATTGACACGCATCTCTCCCCGCCGACACACGGCTTCAGGACAAGCCAGTACTGGAGCTACCTACTGTGTCTATCAAAGATGAAGGCCTTCACTCGTCTAGCAAGGCCGTCTCAGGCACTCCACACACTCCGAAAGACCCTAGACTCGAGCCCCAGGGCCCCTCGAACGACACCATCATCAGCACCAAACCCACCCTCCAGACGACCGTTCAGCCAGTCCACACGGCGCAGCGACAGGCCCCAGCCCGCCGACGACCCAAACTTCACGTCGATCCTCGACAACCCGCCGAACCTGGTGCGCGCGGGGCGGCGCCACGGCCCGGGGCTGATCATCCTGGCCATCATCCCGCTGACGGCGTTCGCGCTGGGGTCGTGGCAGGTGCAGCGGCTGCAGTGGAAGACGGACCTGATCGCCAAGTGCGAGGACCGGCTGTTCCGCGACCCGCTGCCGCTTCCGCCGCGCGTCGATCCGGTGGCCGTCGCCGAGGACTTTGACTACCGCCGCGTCTACTGCTCCGGCACCCTGCGCCACGACCAGGAGATGCTCATCGGGCCGCGCATGCGCGATGGCGAGCAGGGGTTCATGGTCATTACGCCGCTCGAGAGGGCCGACGGGAGCACGGTGCTGGTGAACAGGGGGTGGATCCCCAAGAGGCTGCAGAACCAGCGCGCGCGGTCGAGGGACAGCCTGCCCATGGGGGAGGTGACGGTGGAGGGCTTGCTGAGGAAGCCGTGGAAAAAGAACATGTTCACACCGGAGAACAGGCCAGACAAGGGAGAGTTCTACTTTCCTGACGTGAAGCAGATGGCTGAGCTGACAGGAGCTCAGCCTGTGTGGATTGAGGCTACCATGGGTGAGTGATCCTCATTTGCTATGAGCAATGCTGATGCTACATTACTCTATTCGTACTGGGATAGGTTGCTGACGGTTTCATTCAGACCCCAATTACATGCAGCTCATGGAGTACGAGCAAAAGGGTATCCCTATCGGGAGGCCAGCTGAGGTGAACCTGAGGAACAACCACGCTCAGTATATCTTCACCTGGTAAGTGTCCAAGCTCTTCCTACTTCTCGCCCCCCTGCACATCCTGGACGGCGTCATCACACCTAATACAGCAACACATGCTGACATGTCCCCATAGGTACAGCTTGTCCCTTGCCACCTCTATCATGTTGTGGATGGTCATCAGGAAGCCGCCTTCAGACATCGCCAAGCGCGTTCGTATGAACAAGCACTGGTGATGAACACACTTGATCTTGGAATTGAACGTGAGTGATCACGCTCTTCAAGTGACACCCCCATCCGCGCCAACCGATGGAGTCCTGCGGCGCTTCTTCGTCTTGACTCGTCCCGGAGGAGGCATGCGAAGCTCTTGTAGGAGCTCCCGTGGCAGATGACGCTGTGCGAGCGCAAACGGCGTCGTAGTAGCATTGATCTGCCGTTGTCTGGCAGGACATAGAGGACTGGTTAGCAACGCCTGTACGAAATGTACAAAATAACGATGATACCCTGCTTCAAAACGAATCAAAAAAATCACCACGTACCTTCTCATCAGAGTCAACATATCACTCTCCTCGATGGTCTTTCGCCCCGCATGCTTGGCGTATGCGGACAGGTCGTCTCCCAGCTGCTCGAAGAACCAGTCGGACGCTTGCATCAAGGCTGCTAAGGTGTCTGGGGAAATCTTGGTCTTGCCGGCAAATCGTTGCGCGACTCTCTTGACGACTCCTGGAGGAAGCGAAGGGTACTCGATGCCATGCTGGGATATCTTTTTGCCAGGCTTCTTGAGCCGTTTTGATACTGCTTGCTTGGTCGTCCGTTCGACCGCTGCCGCGGTGGCTGCTTCCGAGGCCAAGTCGCCGAGATCGATATCATCGTCGCCTTCACCTTCGTCGCCCAGGTCCAGCGGGGCGTTGTCATTGTCGTCAACATCCATGTCTTCCGGCATAGGATCATCCCCCATTGCAAAAGGCTCGTTTCGCGGGGACGAGAAGCTTTCTCTCCTGGGACTTGATTCGACCTGTGGCTGTAACATGACAGTACTCTGATCGGCCTCGTCGAAATTAACGTCAATGGCCCCAAAACTCTCCCTTCCCAACGTTTCTCGGCGACCAGCCTCGTCGTCGTCGATCCTCTCGAGCGTAGCGTCGTCATCGCCCAGGCCAGCCATGCCAGAATCGTCACCCACGTCATCATCCCAATTGGTCCGGGGGAAGAAGGCCGAATCGATACCGACATCTTCATCGCTCGGAGGGTCGTTCATAGGTCCGTAGTCACTCATACGCATTGAATACCGTTGGTTGTCCAAAGTCTGCCTGCGGGCCAGCTCTATGCTCTGCATTGTGAAGTTGTCCTCGAGATCTTCTAGCCCGGACGTCCTCGGCGGTCGGAGATCATCGTCACTAACGTCGTCGATCGGGAGGGACAGTCGTGGCTTATCAATGGGGAACTCATCGCTATCATCCGGGTCTTCAGGTATCGTAACCGGCCCGCCTTTTCTGCCTCGGCTCCGGCTGCGGCCGCTCCGCTTGCGTGTGCCACTGTTGTTGGGGTCATCTGGCGATGAGCTCGACGATGTCGTAATCACATTGGACTTGGGCGCCAGGGTTCGACTCAGGGCTCGCAACAGATCTCGCGGCGTCTCTCTCTGGTCGCGTACGGACCGCCGGCGGTTCCGACCGGGTGTGTTGATCTCGTTGATGGCGGCGCGGCGGGAATCAAGGGCGCGGATGGCGGCGCGGCCGTGGGGGGTGAACTGGGTAGGGACAGCGCTGCCTGCTCCTTTGCGGCCTGAGGCGGAGAGCACCTGGCGCGACGATCGGAAGTCGAGCACCTGGTTGCCCGGCGTACGGATGGAGAAGCGCGTGGTGGAGGACGGGGGCGCAGAGGCTCTAGAGACGTTGGGCGTTTGCTGGCCAGCCGCGGCATTGTTGTTTTTGGGCGGTTGTGATGTGCTGCGACGGGGAGTCAACTTTTGGGGGCTGCGCTGGCGGGTTGGGGAGGACATCTTGGATCGTGCTGGACGGGGACGAAGTGGGAGCTGCTGCCCACTCGATCCCTGGTCGTCTGCCATTCAAGCGGTTGGCATCACTTCTGGTCGCCTCCGTAAGCTCGTGGAGAAGATGTCGCCGACTCAATGTCGGTGAATTGAGGGGACGTGTGGGGTCAGAGATCCAGGTGGTCCATCATTGCTTGATGTGCTGTCCCAAGTCCCAGGTTCCTAGATAAGTGCAACTCGACGCGCCTGACGCGTCGGGGGAGCTCCAAGGTTAGCTCTCTCATTTGCGACCCACGGCGAGGGTCTGCATAGCCGGAACCTTGCCGACATAGGTGGGGCTCGCCTTGTTATCGATAGGACCGATATGTGCATTTTGGCTTACCCAATTCGAATGCCCCTCCATCTACATGTAGACACAGAGCAGCCCCAGCGATGGTCGACCTCCTTTGCTTGAAGTAAATCTTTTTTTCAAGAAGAGGGGAAACTAATAAGGAGAAGAAGAAGAGACAGGGGAAAACAAGTGCCTATTTTTATGAAGGACCTGTTGAAACGAATGCATCCTTGACTGACTCTCTTCTAACGTTATCGATATTTGGGAGGTCTTTCTACAAACTCCAAATTCATCGCAGGTCCCACTTTCTGCCAAAACTCTAGTTCTAAGAACTGCTTGTCACTGGCCTGGCTTTGCTGAGAGAAGCAGGGCATAATTCATAATTGCTTTTTTTAGAAGAAAGCAGCCGAGGACTGGTCAATTAAATTGTTGCTAATGGCTCGGTACGCGCTGCTCAGGTACGTGACATCTTTTCAAGCCGCCAACATATCTCCCACAGTTGCCATTCTAGTCTCTCACTTGGATCAGTCAGTAAAGGAAGGTTGATCGTGAGGTTAGGAGATTCCAGACGTCTCTCGAGCATCAAATGTGATATGAATGGTGGTTTTGATGGGGAAAACTGAAATATAGATACTTACTAACAACTCTTCTTTACATTCATAACTGGCTTCATCTTCAAGTAGCTGAGAACTTAAGCACAACCCTGCTTTTTGCTCACATTTATTCAAAATTCATCACCGTCCACCAAAATTGCCCATCCCTTTCTCGTATTTCATAAATGTCCTTAGTAACATCCCCCCTCCTAGCTTTAATCAATGGAAAGAGGTAGGATTTAAATTTTTGAGTGCTGGTACTGGCTAGTTTGTTCTCACAGTCACAACGAAGAGAACAAGAATGAGTAAGACTTACGGGCAGAGTGATCCAAACCCAATGTACACTAATAATACTGGATACATCCACTCTGAAATGAAGAGACTAGAACTTCGCTGGCATGCCTGATGTATATTAAGGAAGTGAAATTGCCCATTGCCAAAGCTCTGAGAATATAGGAACTTTTTATAGAAGGTATGTCTTGTTCTTGCCTACTGAGGAGAGCATAACCTTATCCAATTAAATCTCCAAAGCCGTATGAGAATTGAGAGCAGATTGCAAATGAAGCGAGTAACACGGACAAGAAAGAATGTTTTGAGGTCTGCTGACAGACTGGACTGTCCGTGCTCTATGAAGAAGGACTTCAGCCAACGCTTACATGAACATCATCGTCACAACAGTTTCCACTACTTTATTCCACGAAAATACTGATTGCTCCTCACCAAAACTGAAATCTGCAATTTCACCCACTTGCAACGTCGTCCTGAGGGACCCTGGTGTGACTCCACCAAATCATCGCTCGACAGTATCTCTAGCTAGTCCTCACTATGGGAAGGGAATGAGAGACTACGTGCACTACTTTTTCTCAGGCATCATGAGGAGATTTGGGCTTTGGCTTCAGCATTGTCGCCGTTTGTGGCGTCGAGGGCTCCCAAGCCAGGCACAGCTGTCTCTATCAACTGGGTTGCTACGGCTGAGTGGACCAGGGATGATGGTATGACATACCTTCATTATGATGGACCGGCACAGTATGCTTATCTGTTCATGCGGCATGTGGCGAGAACGAGTTGCCTTGCAACATTCTTGACACCAAGTATGTCCCAGGTCGACTCACTTATTTAGCAGCCTCTCGATGCCCAGTTTAAGTCTGGCAACAACAGCTAGCAAGCCGAAGAGGATCGTTGAAGTAAGATGGTTTTAATTATTGGATATAAAAAAGCTGGTCCAATTGTAGTTGGAGTTGTTCGCCTCGACAATATAGTGCATTCATCAGAGTGGTCATATTACTTATTTGTGAACTATGATTCTGAGGATGGACCCCTTCCATTACCACTACGAGCAATCAATGATAGCTTCCACGACTGGTTATTTACGGCTATCGGCCACATTTCTTAAGTAAGTGCCCGTCACGGGCAGACGGTAAAGTTGATTGTCACATTGTTAAAATACCTCGAGCCATGTCTGTTCGATCATAACGGCGTGGGGAAACGGCTGGATTATCCACCACCAGAAGCAAAGTGTGTAGTGTGAACATTTGTGGAAATTGTGCTGTGATCCTCGCCACGAGGACATTGATGGCATAAAACTCAATATTGATAATGAGTGGTTTGAGGTCTTGCTACGGAGCCGCGTGCAGGGCGTGCAGGGCGCGCAGCCGTACTGTTTGAAGTTCAGGAGGCGCTCGCCGAGGTACGAGCGCCGGGGCCGGGGCGTGCCCCCCGCCCGCTCCGACTGCGAGTGGCTGGATGGGCGCCACATCGAGAACGGAAGTATGCTTTGGCCTCTGGAGATCGAACAGAGAAGAATTGAATTCAGCCGAATTTGTTGCTCGGAAGCCTGTCGCGATGATCCATGTGGTGATCACTGTCCGGATTGATGACGCCGGGCTTCCTGACATCGGACATAACCGAGCGAGAGCGTCTTCCGAATCGCATTCGTCCCAAGAGTTGCATGTCTCAGGCCTGACGCTCGAGGCTTGGTTTTGGCGATGCGCGGTGGGTGTCGACGGTGCGCAGGAATGAGCCTCCCGTGCGTCCGCATCGGCTGACATGACGTTGTCGTTTCTGGAAGACGTGTGTTGCTACGACCAAGACCACACCCAAGATGCCACCCCAAGGACGATCAGCTCCGGCCGTGCCAGTTCTCGATTGGACAAGGCCTCGTGAGAAGAGGCCGGGTCACCTGCCCGTCGACATGCTTTCGTTTCCAAGGTTTACTTCCATCAAACCTTGTCCCCCGGGTGGGAATCCCGGCCGCGACGCTGCTGACAGCCTGACAGGGCGAAGCTTGACACGGGCCTTTGGGGAAAGGGCCGGCGTCCAGGAAGGCGATCCCACGATCACCGCACCGCAGATCACTGCGTGGAACTTACCTGGTTACCACAGAACACCGTGTGCAGCACGCAGCGCAGCCACAGCTGACGAGATATTGTGGCCGTGTGCCGTGGCCATCGAGATAGAGACCCAGAGCAGGAACAGGAGCTGGAGCAGGAGTTGGACTCGGGGTGCTTTCTGGCGTGTGTCACACCATGGGCCATATCTGACCATACAATGCCAGGCATTACCACACCCATCCGCAGCGCGCCCAGCAGGCCGGGCGGGTGCGTGGAAGGGCCGTCGCAAACGAGTCTTGAAACAACGAATCACGAAATGCGCCGTTCCGCCCTGGCAACCCCTGGGTGAGCTAAAACCCGGGCGAGAACGGTGGTCCCTGCCTCCCGCGTTCCATGCCCAAGAGCCTTGTTACAGGACTTGCCTCAAGTCGCGCCAGGACCCGACATTCTTGACAGCACTCGCCGGGGCGTACGGTAGCGACCCACAGCCTTGCCCATGGATGGGCTGATGCTAGCCACGCGAGCCAGGTAAGCAGCACGCACGCATCTGCGGGCACAGCTGGTCGGTGGATCGGAGAGACTGGAGGCGCCGTGTAGAGAGCCACACCGAGATGCGAAGACGACGGCATGGCATGTCTACGTATACTGTGGCACATGCTGTACATGTCCAGTTGTAATGTAGACTACCATGTAATACGTGATCTACCAGACTATAGTAGATGTGACCGAACGGCCAACAGATCGTTCAAGATAATGGAATGTGCCCCTTGAAGCTCGCCTGGGCCTCCGCGTCCCTGAGAATAGGACGAAAGTGTTTCCGAGAGGGACCTGATGTCTTCTCCGTGGTACAGCTTAGCAGCCACGCAGGCCAACCGCCCATTCCAAACATCTAACGATCCATCGCATTCCTTTTACCAGAGTTGGTGTTGTAAGACGAGTTGGGGGCTCCAAGCCATCCGAAGTCGTTCTTCTACTCTGTTTCCGAAGTTTCCAGTTTCCCGGACAAGACGAGACTATCAATCAATCAAACAATCAATACAATCAATCATCGATTCTTCCTGTGAATTGTTTCTCCTCGAACCTGCACTGCACTTCACTGCAATACTCCACGCCGCCATCAGCCAGTTACCGCCTTGCCAGCCGCCGTCTGCCGTTGCTGCTCCAGCTGTTTGGTCGCGGTCGTTCCGTTACCAGCCACTCAGCTTTCGACAGCCGTTGAGGACAGGATAATTGGGATACGGTCCCCACCAGGATCTCCGTCCAGTTGGCCGTTTCGGGACTAACTGCAACCTCACGGGTCACTCAACCAGGCACGGGCTGCCCTGAGTTGCATCTCCTATTTGCTACCTTGACGCTCTTCATTACTGCGCTTCTTCTATCTACCTGCTATAGCTTAGCTTCTTCCTGCCTTGTGGTTAGTGTTCGCCTTTTTCTCTTCTCTCTTTTCTTCAGATCAGAATCAGGGACGGACTCAGTCTACCAACCCTTCTGCGTACGTACGTACATGCATCCATCCCCTCAACCCTTGGTACGTCTCTCTCTCGTCTGATCTGCCTCTGCTTCACTTCCTTCAACGCCTCTCTCGAATCGCCTTGATCTGCACAGGGCGAGAACGAGAGGCGCTCGGGATATCCCCTCTTCGAGAGCACACACACCCCACTTTTGTATATCGGCTCGGGTACCTGCTGGCCAGAGGTCAAGTAGCGCCGTCATACAAACCGTGGTCAAGGGGTACATGCTATCTCGCTCAGGTCGCCTTGACCACCTCGAGCTCCTTAAGGTGGTCCGCTAGTCACCCGTCCTGCTACCCGCTAGTCGGCCTAGGGTCCCCTTCTGCTGCCTGTACCTACCTAACCCGATCAGAGGCTCTCTTCCCCCTCAACCACCTGCACCCAGTACACACCCAGCACGCCAGCACCTCCTGCACCTCCTGCACCTCCTCCACTCCCTCCCCCCGTTACGGTACCCGTCCTCTCTGCGGCATCAATCTGTTCCGGCTGTGTCAAAACGTTTCTAACTTTCATGCGGCAGCACCCAGCTTGGATCTTGACAGTGACTTTGACACTGCATTACAACCCATAGCTCCCGGCCCTTTTGCCTGTTGTCGAAGTTCTTCTGTTGCAACACAAAGAAGTGCTTGTTCGACCACTCTCCATCTATCTATCTATCGATCTATCTATCTACCCTGTCCTGCCCTGTCCTGCCTGGGCCTCCTCTGCTCCAGCCTGTCTGTGCCTGCGACCGCCTTTCACAAACCAGCCAAGTCTAGTCCAGTCCAGTCCAGTCCAACCCAAACCAAACCAACCCAAACCAAACCTGCTTCAACAACTCCACCTCGCCGACCGACACATCCCAACCCAAGGACGTCGTCGCATCCCGCCTCCTTGAAGCTCAACACCACCTCAACCTCTGCACATCATCGCACTCCCGAGTGCATCTTAATACAACATGGCCGCACCTGGGGTTCAGTCTCTGAAGGTATGTCGACCAGCACACCTACATCCATGACAAAGGATGGCAGGTGGCTGTCGTTCCCCCTCCTGAGGGGCTTGTGCAGCTCGGGCTAACCATGCAAATCATCAACTGCAGTGCGTCGTGACAGGTGATGGTGCTGTCGGCAAGGTAAGTCAAGCTCGTCAATCAGCATCGCCTGCAAACAAGTGCTGACTTCCATGCTCCCAGACATGTCTGCTCATTTCCTACACGACGAATGCCTTCCCCGGCGAATACATCCCCACAGTGTACGTGACGCCAGCCCAGCCCGCCCTTGTTGACCGCCCCTGTCCCATCTCGAGCTTCCAGTTCACCCTCGCAGCCACCACCAACAACACCTGTGACAATTATTCTGACAATGTCTTTGCAACAGCTTCGACAACTACTCTGCAAGTGTGATGGTTGATGGAAAGCCAATCAGCCTGGGACTGTGGGATACTGCTGGACAGGAAGACTACGATCGACTGCGACCGCTCTCCTACCCCCAGACAGATGTGTTCCTCATCTGCTTCTCCATCGTCAGCCCGCCATCTTTTGACAACGTTAAGGCCAAGGTTCGTCGACTTCCCTGCCCAGCCTACCGGATGGGATCGCTGCACAGGACAACTTTGCTGATGAGTGACACAGTGGTACCCGGAGATCAGCCACCATGCGCCCAACATCCCTATCATCCTCGTTGGCACCAAGCTCGATCTGCGAGATGACCCCACGACGATCGAGAACCTTCGACAGAAGAGGATGGAGCCGGTGAAGTACGACGCTGCGCTGGTTGTCGCCAAGGATATCAAGGCTACCAAGTACCTCGAGTGCTCGGCTTTGACCCAACGAAACCTGAAAAGTGTTTTCGACGAGGCCATCCGGTAAGATAGCGGAGAGCCATTCGCAAGGGTTGGATCCCTGGTCTTGAGAATGACAACGCTAATCGACGCTACATCTAGTGCCGTCCTCAACCCCAAACCTCAAGCTTCCAAGGCCAAGAAGTCGAAGTGCTCCATTCTGTAAGCGTCGAGCTCGAGCCGAAGCCTGTCGCTCTGTCGATCGAACTTGTTTAATATGCTCCATCTGTGCTACGGACGGAAAAGCTTCTAGAAAGGACGGATCGGTCGAACACCTCGAGCGTCGATCAAATAGAATGGCGAGAAGGGCGGTCTTGGGGCGAACGCTTGTATTGCGTGTTCCTTTACGGCTGGCACGTCACGAGCTGGACTTGAGAGAAGAAACAGAGAACGGGAACCAGGTTATATAACAATCCATGGCAGATAGTGTGCCAGAGAGGCGCGCAGCCAGGATCCGCCTGTTTCCACCTACCAACCATGCTGGCTCCCGCGGAAATCGCATTGTCCTAGCTCTACCGGGCTCGACTTATTTGGAGCACGAGGTACGAGTCTCGAACCTCGTCTCACCGTTGCTTTTTGCTTTCTCGCGATCTGTTCAGCACAATGGGCATTTCACGCCAGTCACCAAAGGATATCCACGATTTGATGTTTGCTTTTTTTTCTGTAGATAGCCGAGGAATACGGAATGGGAGGAAGGGCTGCGATCTTGTGTCTCTTTTCTCTCCAGAGGAAATGGTCGTTAGGGATGGAAACCTACTACATGTCATACCAATCATCACCACCATTTGATCCCCCGGTTGCAAGAGAGATGGAAAAATGTGATTGTTTTTGCTGGAGTTTTGCGTAGAAAGGAAGTCTTTGTCTCAATTTTCTGATGCGACGCTCACTCTCTACTGCTGTCTATTCAGATGATCTGGGGTATCGGGTATCATGCGAAACGGATTTCCAGAGTAGAGTAAAATCCACGAGGTCGATAACCTGCTCGGGGAGCACTGGCCTGTCAAGTGACCACCTCGTGATGAATTCGCCCCCGTAGCCAACTATCCCACCCGTCAGACGCCCGCGACTGGGCAAATATGACCAGATCTTTCCCATATGCTTCCCCTCGCCGTTGCGACGAACTATGAGTAGGTGTGCGGACTTGAGCTCGCTGTCATCCGATGAGCGGCTCATCTAGATCCTTTGAGCCTCGGACTGGAGAAACTCTGGGCTTCTTTTCGCAGAGTTTCTTGCCAGATTAGCTCGGGTGATCGTCCCATCGCTCAAGAGTCTTGAGAGGCTGATCATAAATGCCGTGGCCTCACTTTGCCACTTCGCCTCCTGCTCAAGTAACCGGTCCGCCTAGTGCCCTGGTCGAGCAACTTAGTCCGATAGAGACCGTGCCGCAGTTCGTACTCGGGTCTGAAAGGTCGCCGTCCGCCCAGCCCCGGATCCGGGGTCGGGCCCGGGCCGCAGGAAAGGAGTGCAATGCCGCCCGGATCAACCTACGATCCCTAGCCAGAGACACGGCATTTCTACCATCGGCGCGGCCCTCCGCGACCCCCACGACCTCCACGACCCCCACGACCGCCGCGCCCACGACCGCCACGGCCTCCCCGGCCACCACGACCGCCACGGCCGCCCCGGTTGCCGCTGTCAAAGTCGTCCGCGTCGTCCGCCTCGCCGGAGTTCATCTGCGCCCTCCTACTAGGGTGGACCCAGTCCTCGTCCTGCTGCTCGGGCTGCTGCTGCTGCTGCTGCTGCTGATCGGCCGACTTGCCCTTGCCCTCGAGGGCCTTGGCCTCCTCCTCGGCCTGCATGCGGCGGGCGCGCTCCTCGTTGAGCTTGAGGTTCTTGGCCTTGATCTTGTCGCTGCGCGCGGCCGTCTTGCCGCCGCCGCCCGCCGTCAGCTCGACGTTGATGCGCCGCGTGCTGCCCTGCGCGTCCGTGAACTCGGTGTGGTGGAACTTGGCCAGGCACGTCTTCATGTGCGAGTAGTTGTCGAACTCGACGAACGCGATCCCCCGCGACTTGCCCGGGTTGTCCTTCTCCGTCAGCAGCCGCACCGCCGACGGCTTCAGCGACGCGAAGTGCGCCTCGACTTCGGCCTTGGTCGCTGTGAAGGGGAGGTTGCCTGTGTTTGTGCGACAAGAGTTAGCTTGAGGAATTGGTCTGCGATTGGCAAATTTCAGGAAGAGGGAGGGACGTACCGATGAAGCAGATAAACTTCTCGCGCTTAGCTGACCCCTCCTCTTGCTCAGCAGACTCGTCGTCGGATGCATCTGCGTCTTCGTGTTCATAGGCTTCCTCTTTCTCGACCTTCTCCTTCTTGGACTTCTTGGAAGCCTTCTTCTCCTCCTTCGTTTTCTTCCCTGCCTCGTCGAGCTTCTTCTGTGCCTTCTGGGCTTTCTTCTTCTTCTTCTCTATTTTTGCGGCATCCTCGGTCACTGCGTCCTCGTCGGCGGCGGGTGTGGGCTGAGACTTCGACTTCTTCGACTTCTTGTCCTTCTTCTCTTTCTTGTCGCTAGCGACTGGCTCCCCAGCCTCCTTTGCCTTGGCTTCCTTCTTCGCCTTCTTAGCGGCCTTACGTGCGGCCTTGTCTTCGGCTTCCTGCTGATCGACAGGGTCCTCGACGTCGCTCAGCTTGCGCTTCTTTGAAGACTTCTCGGCCTTGAGAGCGGCCGACTCTGCTGTCCTCGCCATTCTTGGGGGGTCTGTGGAGATTATTCGTGATATGATCGTTTGGGAAATAGGAAGAAGTCGAAGGATGGGGAATGCGACTAGGAAAAATGGGCGTTGAAATTGAGTGTAGATTTGGTCGCAGGAATTTCAGCGTCAAGGGAAAAAGGATAAAATGGGATTTTTTTCCCTGGGAATTATGCCCAGTGCAGTTTAGATAAGATAAGCCTACACACACTAAGTCCACCACTCAATAGTAGTGCAGATCCCGCGACCACTTACAAGACTTTTATTGCTCGCGCCCATGCAGTTTTCTACAACTTGAATTGCCCAATGGTAAATGTTGGTGCATTATTTTGGAAAGTAAAGTGCTTTTGGGGAGACAGAATTTTATGCGATGGCTCTTCAGTGGACGCCTTTGTCTTTCATACTGCAGAGTGCTTTCCGCTGCAAGATAACGACAGGTTCTAAGTTGAGATGCCAGACTTGGATGTGCAAAATGCGGGCAAGTTCACACTTTACTGAAGCTCGCCCTATAACATTCTGCTGATTGGTTGTGCTGCTTGTCCGCGATCACGTTCAGCCTCAAAGCCAGGCAACTCCCGTGATCCCGTCCACTCCCGTGCAAATTCTCCGAGTTGCTGGCACTGAGTCTGCGGCCCATCATGCGGCCTCCCAGATCGAGCGCCTGGATTGGTCTCATTTGCTTGCCGCTCATCGCCTCTCTAAGCCAACCTCAACGAACGACCAACAGTTTCAAGCAGGAACATATCCAGTCAAGTCTCACTTGTGCATAGAGCGCGGTGCGATAGTGCTTTCATAGCCATAAGTAGCAGCAGCTTCTAACATTGTTGTGGCGTGTCTAGAAATCTATCATGTCTGAGCAGCAAAAGAGAAACCCCATAAGCTGAATACATGACCACAAACGAGAAGCCTCCTCATTACTCTGACACCCCCAGGTCTCCTTTTTATAAGATTCGAAGAATAAAACAACCAAGCCATCCGCCGCACCAAAGTCGTGTTGTTGTAAAGGGATAAGAGCCGGAATAAAACGGCAAGGGGCTGAAAAGGCATCGATGACTTGTGGGTGCTGTGTGAGGAGATTCCGATGTCTGCAGGCAACGGATGGTGGCGATCAGACTCCGAGAAGGGTCGCCAGTGGAGTGTACATTCCGAACACTGCCGCGGCCTAGACAGCGAGGGCCAGGAGAGATGATGGGCTTCGTCCATCAAGAGCTGAGGACTGCGCGATGTACGCAGCAGAGTAAGCCGGCTGTGTTGCATAGGCCAGACTCGAGTCTCCTGCGTCCTCAAGCGTCCTAGCGCCGATGCCTCCTCCCTGGATGGTGACGACAGCGACGGTCGAGATGATGGCACCGCCAGCTCCATTCCTAGCACCGCCAGCGCCGTTGCCGCCGAGCCCGTTGCCGCCAAGCCCGCTCCCCAGACCGCCTGCGCCGCCTGATCCGATGCCGTTGCCGCCGCCCATGCCGTCTTCACAGTCACCAGCTCCGGTGCCTGATCCACCAAGGCCGTTCCCGTTGTTTCCGAGGCCTGATCCATCAAGACCATTGTAAGGACCAAGTCCGTTGCCGGAACCGCGACCAGACCCAGCACCTAGTGCTCCATCAGGTGAAGCGAGGACCGTGACTGTTGCTGGGCCAGATTGTCCACCGAGACCTCCCAGACCACCGAGGCCTCCATTACCGCCGAGGCCGTTTCCATTTCCGAGCCCTGAGCCTCCGAGCCCTGAACCGCCGAGTCCTGAACCGCCGAGTCCTGAACCGCCGAGTCCTGAACCTCCAAGGCCGTCGCAATCTTGGCCACCACCGAGACCGCCGGGGCCTCCAAGACCACCTGGGCCACCAAGTCCGCCTGGACCTCCAAGTCCATTTCCTCCAAGGCCAGAGCCTCCCAGGCCCGAGCCCCCGAGACCTGAGCCAGCACCACCAGGAGAAGCCAGCACCGTGATAGTTGCAGGTCCGCCAGCTCCCAGACCATTTCCGCCGAGGCCATTGCCGAGTCCGCCTCCGGCTCCATTTCCACCAAGACCGTTGCCTCCAAGACCGTTGCCTCCAAGGCCAGAGCCGCCAAGACCGTTCCCATTGCCGCAGTCTCCAGCTCCATTGCTACCGAGACCAGAGCCGCCGAGACCAGAGCCGCCGAGACCAGAGCCGCCGAGACCAGAGCCGCCGAGACCAGAGCCGCCGAGACCATTGCCATTTCCGTAGGCTCCAGCTCCGTTGCTACCAAGGCCAGAGCCGCCTAGGCCGTTGCCCCCCAAGCCGTTGCCCCCGAGGCCGTTGCCCCCAAGACCGCCTGCACCTAGACCACCTGCGCCTGCAGGAACGGCCAGGACGGTGACAGTCGTAGCGGCGCCGAGCCCACTAGGACCACCGAGACCGCCAGGGCCACCGAGACCGCCAGGGCCACCGAGACCGCCGGGACCACCGAGGCCGGCTCCATTCCCGAGACCGCCATCATTGCAGTCATTTCCAAGGATGTGTGAGACGTCCTTTTCTCCCTCAGGAGAGAGCTTCTCCTGACTGAGGATATGAGAGCTGTTGGTGGCACGAATGTGTGCGGGAAGGCTGATGGGGCCAGTGGGGACGGAGAGGATCGCAGCGTTAGCAGGCGAAGCAGGAGGGGAAGCCACCTCAGATGCCGACAAGATGGTGGTCACACCAGCAATGGGTGCGGTTGTCGTGACAGTGGAGACAACTGGTGCAGAGAGGGCTGTCAGGGTCAAGTCCGATGCTGCGCTAGAGACGCCGACAGATGAGACAGGATCCATGTGGATGTTTATCTCAAGGTGTAGTTCAGGGGATTCAGGGCTCATGTCGAGTGTATGAGGGAATCCCAGACCTTCAGGATCACCCAGGGTGTTGAAAATGTCTTTTCCAAGTTCTGCTTTCCGTGTCAGTATCACAGCAGACATGACAGACAAGGTCAGGGGAACACCTACGAGCAGGCTGGGCACCCACACTTGGCCCAAAGCTGTGCGGCGGAGGTGAGGAAGCTTCACGGTCTGCTCTGCGTGTCAGTGTCACAGCAGACATGGCAGACAAGGCCAGGATAGGGGGAACACATACTCGCAGGCTGGTCATTGACACTTGGCCAAATGCCGTGCGGCGGAGGTGGGGGATGTTCAAAGTCTGCTTTTTATGTCAGTATTACAGCAGACGTGGAAGTCAAGGCCTGTGGAAAGGGAACACATACGAGCGGGCTGAGCAGTGACAGTTGTGCTGAAGCTGGGCGGAGGTTGGGCCCAGGTCAGCTGAATGGCACAGAGGCCGTATGCTGTGAAGAGAGTGGCAGGACGCATGTTGAAAGATGGGGTGCTTGACTGATGGTCGGGTGGCACGCAGATTAAGAGAGGAGAGAATCGATCGAATTGCTATTCGCGAAGAGATGATCTCCAAAAAAGAGCGTCAATGTAAACAGGGCAGCAAGAGTGCAAGTAGTGCTTGCGGAAGAGAAGAACAGAAGAAGAGCAAAGTATCAATCAGACACGATTCAAAAAAGCCAAGAATGAGTGACGTCCAATAAACGTGCTGGTTGTAGGTTTTGGTGATGATCGAGATGGTGTTCTGAGATGGTGGGCGGATGGATGGATGTTGATGAAAGAGAAGAGAAGAGGGAGAGGATCAGAACGGATTCTCTGGGGGGAGATGATGGCTTGACAAAAACATTAGAACAAGGGCGTGCCTTCCTACAGGACGTGCAATCATCTCGAGCAAAGAGCGTGTTGTGGTAAGAGCCAAGTGTGCCGGCTGGGAAGGAGCAAGACAAGTACAAGCCCCAGGAAGGGCCACTATAGTCTCGGGGTACCTAGAAACCCACCTCCTCATAGCTTTCGAGATCCAGGGAGGGAGATTATTCAATGATGAAAGTCGGACAAATTGGGATTGCTATCTGTTTCTGACAGCATCTGTGTTGTGTGCTTCATCGTGCACTGGCTGGCTGATAGACTCTGCAATGGTGCTGAAGCCGACGAGCCTTGGGCGTACCCAGTTTTTGATTCCCCCATTCCGGCGTAGCTGCTTCCAGATGGAGGCCTGCCTTGATCTGCTGTGTCACCTTCCGAGGGTTTGTCTTCTTGGGTTCGATGAAGGTTGACCCGGTCGAAAATGGAAGGAAGGAGGCATGTTGGCTGAGCGAAGTGGTGCGCTGCTCTCACACCCACAACGTTCGAAAGCCAGCCACTGCGGCATCGCTGTGACCCGCACCTTAGTATTCAGCAGCCGGCTGGATGGATTATGCATTGCCTCAAGTCACTGAGCTAATGATTTCGTTCGACAGGTTTGTTGTCATTTCTCAGGCGCTTGTTGCTCTGAGCTCGGCAACAGTCGTAGACTCAAAAGAAGAGGAGATCCAAAGGCTTCTCCTCAGCCGCATACCTCTCCTTCAACTCCTGCCTCGTCAACCACCGGGCAAGAGGCATCATGGTGTCCTTCATGTCCATGATGCCCCTCTTCTTCTGGTCGATATGGGAAGCGTCAACCACGATGCGCTTCAGGTACTCGATTGAGAGCGCGCCTGCCAAACACATTAGCATACCTTCAACGTGGCTGCGAGAGCAGAAGAAAGGGGCTCACCATTGTCGAGCAGGGCCTCCAAGCGGGCAGGAGTCCCTACCGCGATTCCCGTCTTGCTCTTTTTGAGGAACTGGACCTGTTCCTCGACCTTGAAGTGTTTGGCAAACTGCAGGACCTGGTCAGCAAATGCGCCTGAGTGGAAATCTCTCCCTTCTCGCAAGACCACGGTCTTACCAATTTCGAAACCACGTTCCCCTTCTTCTGGAACTTCCTCGTCGCCCGAACCAGATCGGCAGCCCTCAGCCCAGCCCCCGTCACGATGATCGTGTGAGGTGCCCCCACCTTGGGCGGCGCGTTCCCGAGCCTCTTCCTCTCCTTCTCCTTGGCCTCCTCGTCCTTCTCTTCCGGCGCTACTACAAATTCTTCCAGGAAGTCCGGCAGGTTCTCCTTGACTCTCACCTTGGTGAAGTCAGTCGTGTCCCTGACGGCGTTCGCGCTGATGTACAGGTCGCTCAGCTCCACTGAGCTCAGATCCGACCCGAACCGCTTCGTCTGCCTAGCGACGTGGTCTGCAAGGAGCTGGGGGTCCATCCTGACAAAGGCCGTGTTCACTCCTGCCTCGAGGTCGAGCAGGCCCTCGTCCTCCTCATACTTGCTGGCTTTTTGTTTCTTGGCACTGGCCGGCTGTGAGTCGTCCTGTGCCTTCCTCTTCTTCGACTTGGCCTTGGAAGCCGCCGATGGTGCAGGAGCGGGTGGTCCTGACATGTTGCCGTAGGTTGTAGTAGACTGCAGAAACCCTTGTCTCGAATCACGACGATGAGATGCAGGATGAAATAGCGATGGCCAACAGCGTCTCCAATGGTTTTCGATTGAATGTGTGAAAAATTCTGCTCTCGGGGAATAAGATGAGCCTTCGACTTTTGACTCTGCTGCTTTTGAGTTCAGAAATGAGTGAGATTGCTTGTGAAAATTGATTTGATGCTTGGTATTTTGTAAGTATCCTGCTGCAGTGAAAATTTGAGAGCTGGTGTTGCTAAGGCTGTAAAATCCAATTGAGAGCACTGTGTTATGTGCGTCTACAGACTGTGTTCTCAGCTGTCTAGTGGGTGAGTACATGCGAGGCTCAGCGTTGACCGGGTCCAACGCCCACTAACACAGTGCAAAGTTACACAACGGCAGTCGACTGCATGCGCACCGTGTTGGGGCCGCACCTCAAATCTACTGCCCGTTTGTCACTCGACATGACGTTCGACCAACTCTATTGCATCTGCCTGTATCCCAAAGCCCTTTGTGCTACCCAGGAGAAGGACCGCCATTTCTCACAAAGCACTTGAGCAACACCACCCTTTTCGGCTAGGACATCCACAGCGTTAAATTTCCTAGCCCGGACCGCGATCGGCAAACCCGTCCCGGGGTTTCCAGCGAGCGTCATCAAACCCTAGGAAGGAACAAAAAAGAACTGGAGCATGGGCGCGGAGCAGCGCCGGCAGAGAACGGGGGTGGGGCGGGGGGTGGACCGCCTCTACCGTACTGACTTGCAGTCGGGCCCAGGCTGCATCGAGTAAAGATCATGAGAAATAAAAACCACCCACCGCCCTGCCGGATCGACACATATTTATGGTGGGGGGAGGGAGGGCGGGCGGTCTCCACGGCCAACGACAACAAAAGGACCCTGATGAGATCAACACGGCTTAGGGGGGATGGGAAGGAAAGATACCCGTCCACGTGCCATCGTTCCCTGAGGGGTTCATCTGCCCGTGCAGAACGCGTCCACCGGCCGGTTGGCCCCTTCTGTACACCTCCCTCGCGATACTTTTGCCTCCCGTTTCAACCACCGAGAATGGCCCCATCTCCATCTCGCCGCCTCACTGTAGGCATGCATAAGCTTCCCCGTGGGTGTTTGAGTTGGCCCCTGGGCACAAACTCTCTGAGCGCAACTGTTTATGTGTTGGTCAATGTGGTTTATTACATCAGTGCTTGTGCAACTAGTGCCCGGTAGTTGGTCCGATACTCGGTCCTCAGTATAGGCGGTTCATCTGGGTAGTCAACCGGCTGGGCTTCTTCTACATCAAACCATTTCTCATTTGGTCGCCAACGTGAATGTTCATATATACCAACAACTATCAGCGGCGCAGGACTACATCTATACTCAAGTTGTCATTTCTATTGCCAAAAACAACCTGCTGGACCCAAAAACTGTCCGGTCCGGCATGTCGAGGCCGACCCGGCACCGCGCTGTCCCACAATTTTCACGGACATAAAGCCGACATTTATATCCAGCTTGCCGACCATCACCGGCGCCTCTGGCTGGCCACATATGTCATAACAAGTCCTTCCTGGCCCTCTCTCCAGCCCGACGACTAGACCCTCACCCTCCCGATGGCACCTCAGTCCTCCATCCCCGTCGCGGCGACAGTCCTGGGGACAATAGGCACGATCTTGTGGTGCATCCAGCTCGTGCCCCAGATACGGACCAACTGGCGCACGAAGTCGACCGACGGCCTGCCCGGGTCCATGATGTTCCTCTGGGCCATGTGCGGCGTGCCCTTCGGCGCCTACAGCATCATCCAGAATTTCAATGTCCCCATCCAGGTCCAGCCGCAATGTTTCATGACCCTCTGCCTCATCAGCTGGGCTCAGGTACTCGTCTACGGCCGCGGGTGGCGCCCCTGGACCGCGGCGCTTCTAGGCGTGGCCGTCGGCGCGGCGTGTGCCGGCGTCGAGGCTGCGTTGATACTGACCATTCGGGTGAGTGCAGTCTTTGTGGTGGTGCCGGCCTTGCAGAAGAGCCTCTAGACTGAGGGGACATACACTCTTTCCAACATCTGCGTGATTTCCTGCGTTTTGGACTTGAATAGGAAAAAGAGTGCTTACTGACGGTGAGAACAGCCACTTTATCTCGCGGGCAATGAAACACCGGTGCTGGTCGTGGGTATAGTGGCATCGATACTACTCGCTGCAGGTCTGCTTCCGCCTTATGGTGAGATTTGGAAAAGAAGAGGGAGAGTGATCGGTATCAATTGGGTTCGTTATTCCTCCTCCCAGCTGCATCTCCGTTTCTCGTCGCACAGCGCTATACAGTGCGTTTAAGCTGACAGACTGGCAGGTATTTTTATCGATGGACTGGTCCGGTGCTTTCTTCTCGCTCATGGCACTGGGTATGCGCCTGCCCGTTCTTCTATTATTAACCGTCAGGCTTTCAAAGAGAAATATGGGATCAGCTAACAGAAAAATTTCACAGTGGCGCAAAACACGTTTGATGTGCTTGGAGGTGTACTATATATCATCTGGTAAATCGACTCGCTTTTACAAGCCCTGTCTGCATGCATTCGCAAGGGTTGACGTTGACCATCACGCAGTGTGATACTAGAGCTTGGTATCTTCATCTCGCACATTATCTGGCTTATCAGGACGTACAAGGTCCGGAAACAGGCAAAGGAGCAGGGCAAGACATTCGACGACATTGCAATAGAGCACGAGGAGCAGAGAACCCCGTTTAGATTCGCAGAGAGGAAGAGCAGGAAGGAGAGACGGGATCTGCTCCCGAATGGGGAGCTAGTGCAGGCCGTGGCCGGAGGTGAAAGCTCGGCGGACGACGCAGCGGAGCGCGGAGCTGGACAGAGCGGGAAGGGCATACGAGAGAAGGATCCTTGATGAAGACTGTACATTGGATGGGGATCCCGGCTGTTTGATATGCCACTTGGCATATCCCAGTGTCGAACGTAGCCTCATGTTTCGGGAGTGAGGGGGAGTCGACCTACCTCCAGGGTCAACCTGCACTACGTTTATATGCTAAACAATAAGCCTCGCGTCGCCGCTTAATATCTTGGGGTGGGCAAATCAGAAATCGCTCTCCCTGAATATTGACACAATAACGCAAAGAAGGGGCAGCCGAGCACAGTGCCACAAACCGTGGTTTGCTTCAAGATATGTCTGCGCCCGGACAACAGCCATGGAGTATGGACAATTACGTGCTCTTCCTGGCGACCGACTTTGATTTCTATAAGTCAAGAGCGCAAGGTTCCAGCCTCGAACAGACCAGCCAAGAAAGTCGATCGGCCTGTTTGGTGGCCGGCACGAGTATCATGCACGAATAATCTATCTCAGCCACCACGCCGTTGAAGGTCAAAGAGTCGGCCCCGACATCCCGTCACGTCGGACGGCCGGACAAGCAAGTTTGTGTGACCATCCTGACGGATAGAGGAGACGAAGAGTCCTGATTCGTCACCATAGCTGGTACATTCTCGGACGATGAATATCAACTCCACTGCAACTGTCGCAATTGTACAGGAGTTCGTTGTAGCTAGTTGCTCGAAGTAGACTGGTTTGGGAATTGGATTGTGAGTGTTGGCACTAATGAGCCGGCGGGCTCTGCATAGTCTGGTTGGGATCGCCAGAGTGACAGATCATGCAATGTGAACTACACAGTGGTCGTGAAACGGCCCAACGTCAGCCTGACGCCGTAAACCACCCCCAGCGGTTCGTGGCTAGATACGCGAGAACAGCTTGTCAGACAGATGCAGCGTAGTGTGAGCGGCCGGTTATGCACAAGGTGCAGCTAGAAATCAGCCGTTGATGTGCTGCATTAGCAGCGCCACGATGTGCCTCGTAGCGCCCGGCTGGGTCACCCATAATGTGTTATGTTTTTGCCTGCAATACAAGTACAGAAATGTGCAGTAGTCGGTTGGTTTGCATATCACGCCACACACCAACCCATTCCAAAATTCGACGCTTGGAACGGTCCCTGACATTGGGGGAGGTCGCTAGTAAACTTTGGACCGGACGGGCTGACGGGCTGCCGGCTTCTGACGGGTGCATGTTCCCCAAGGAGCGCTCCGGATCAGGATTGAGGGCATTCCGATTGGAGCTACTGTGTGCTCAGTAGCGTTTCCGCGAGAGTCCGGTCTCTTGGGATAGCCCTAGCAATGTGTGCTTTTAGTGGATTCGGTGAACATCCTTTTCCTGCCGGAGGCTTGCGAGGCAACGAGCGTGCCGGCCAATGCAAGGGACATCACGGCGAGAGCGACGCACTTCGTGCCGAATTGTTGGATAGCTTGAAGGAGATGCTCTCAATTGCTGACTCGAGGCTGCTGATCAAGACAGACAACCTACTCGTGTGGTGGTTTCAGTGACGTCTCAATTACACTAGGAGCCATCAAGGTGGTCCCGGATGAAAAGCATTCCACAAGAAGGTATTAGTGATGGAGGAAAGAGGATATTATTCCTTAGTGGCCGGATTGGGAAAATAGCTCGGAAGACCGTTGAGGCCGCTGAAAGTATAGGCAGACCCAGGCCTCTGGAACTTGGGGTTGTCCAAATCGGGTCTCAAGCTGTGGGGGGTATATCCCGGGGAGGGGCCGGCGGCTGCACACAGGAAGGCACTGAGTGGACGCCGAAGCATATCTAGACTTGTACACCTTTTGGAGATATTCAGACACTACAGCATCTCGCATTATGATGGGAGGCAGAGGAGATGCGTGATCCACTGCCCCCTTGGGTTAAAACGCTGTCTGGCATGGGTGAGGTCGTTACTTCTGCCAAGACGAGTGGATTCGGGGTCGAGGGATGGAGACAGACATGCTTCTTCCGGGTCCCGCGTTGATGGTCTGTTGCCGTGCTTGTCGCAATGAAGTCATCAATGAACATCCGCAGCGGTGTCGAGCTTGCTGTCCGTGGACTTGGTCAGGGTAAGACGGCACGCGGGGTTAGTGAAGTCATGGAGGAGCATTGGTAGTAAGCTTGAGTCGCAACCAAGGGTAAGGTACCATGGCACATGTACATTTTGTCCAAGGTGTACTGTGTTTGGCCTGGGTGGCTCGGAGGCTCAACCGACAGGTAGGAGTCGTATCTGCGTGCGCTCGTGTGGGTGGCTAGGCGCGATGCAGGACTGAAGTGCTGCATGATGGCTTCCCAACGCTGGCCGGGCCTGGAAACGTTGATGCTGTTGAGGCCGATAGCCCGTCCAACTTAGACTATCATTAGGCTGAGTGCGCATCTGACCTCTTGCCTGACAGTGGAGAGGGAAGCTCCTCCAACGGGGCGTCGCCGTGGCGCCCCCAACGAACAGAACACACTTTGTTAGCACAGCTCACAGTACTGTACAGTACAGGGGCAGTAGTCTGGTACATACTGTGGTGCTCGGCTGGGCAACAGTGGGGCGTAAGGTTCGTCGAGGTGCATGGCGACTGGGTTCTTGAAGCTCTGGAGTGGAATCGGTGGGCCTGTGGATCGCGAAGGTGGTTCTTGTCATCAACCTGGTGGTGAGGACTGAAAAAGTGGCCGAGGGCTAACGCAATTGGAATTTGTTCAGACGATGAAAAACCGAAGGCGGTCCAGGGGGGCCGTTCGGGGAACTTCAGGAAGAAGGCCAGCCTGCAGCTGACTCGCAGCACCTGGATCCTCCCATTGGCCGTCCGGGCCGGAGAGCGGTTCCTGGCCCAGGGACTCCCCAGCCTCCCGAAGGTGGTGCCCCCAGGTGCCCCCAATTGGAAAAGGTGAGGTTGTCTGGAAGATTTCGGTCGGCTCTACTGTGGTAGGTTGGGTTGTCTGCTTCTGCTTCTGCTTCTGCTTCGGCTGCACCATCTTCCTCTCTCTCCCTAACTCTCACTCACTATCCACTACCGTGTGCCGTGGCTGTCTGGCTGACTGTACTGTGCAGTCGTGTCAGATCCAGAACGAGAACGAACATGGGGGGCAACATTGATGTGGCCCTGTGGGCTCCTTTCTCTTTCCCCGAGAGGAGGAGACACGGACAAATAGATACATGGCTAGCCAATGCCTGGTACCGTTAATCAAGTAGAATGGGCTGCAAGCGAGGTGGGAGATGACATATGTATTGTACTTATTAGCAAGACCAAGATCAAGGTCAGGCCGAAGCCTAAGTTTCATTACGTCCACGTACCCATTGTAGTGTATCGCGTCGCCGTCCCCGAACGACGTCGAATCAAGTCTCTTTGTGTGTGTGTGTAGGACCTCGTTCTCGGTGCAGCAACTGGTCCAGGTAGTCTACGTAGTCTACTACTACTACTACTACAACACACACACACGCACACACACACTTGCAGGTAGACGAGGCATATTCCGCACCCAGTCAGTTAGTCAGTACCTACCTCAGTAGACAGCTCCTTGTTTTTCTTTTCTTCTCTCAGGTTTTCCCTTGTTTCAAAACCAACCCATTTGCTGTGTGCTTGCAGGTTTTGTGTGATTCTCCCAGGCTGTTTGCAAGACAGATGTACATTATCCAGCACAGACAGAGAGAGAGAGAGAGAGAGACTGTGAGAGAGACTGAGAGTCAAGACGGCCACGGCCACGGCCACGGCAACGGCAACGGCCACAACTGCAAAGTGCAGCAGCCACCACGATCCCTACCTCCCGCCCTTTTTTTATTAGTACCCCTGGCTGCCCACTCCGGCACCTCCAAGCGATCAAATCTCCCATCGCTCACAATTGATCTCTGAACGGCCTGCATCCTGCACTCTGCATTCTGCACACTGCACTCTGCACTCTGCACTCTGAGTTCTGGACTCTTGCCGGTTGAGGCTGCTGCAACCCTGCTTCGATTGGCCAGGTCGGTCTAGCTAGGAAATAAGGCACAGGCAGACAGATTACAGCAACAGGCAATTGCAGTGCAGTGCAGGGCAGGGCAGGGCAGGGCAGGGCAGTAGAGCAGACAGGAAGCAGTGCGGTGCGGACACAAAACACACACAGTACAGCAAGTACGTGTGTGTACATACATACATACCTGACCTGCCTGCGTCTCCAGCATCGCATACCAATCCGTCAAAACCTCGCCTTTTCTCTTCTCCTGCCATCCCTCCAGCTCCAGCATTTACCTTGCTTGCTTTTACCTCTCCTTCCCCTCCGTTTCTAGTCTTTTTTCAAATATCTTTGTCTTGACCACACCTCAGCAGGTTTCCCCCATCCCCCCGTCACGTCAACGCTTAGACTTCCCACCTTCCATGTTGAGGCGTCAATTGGTGTCTCCGTCATCTGCAGCCACTGCACACGGTGACCGCAATAGCCGTCCTAACGAGGCGATCATCCCCGGCGGCCCAGACAGCTCCCTCTCCCCCAGGCCAAGCGCTGCTACTGTTAGTACAGGCTACCTAGCTGCCTGCTAAGCTGCCTGCTAGCCCGGCCCTGTGCGGAACGTGGGAACACCGGTCAAGAAGGGGGGCCTTGTCAGTTTTATTGCCGAGCGGTGCGACCTGCCTTGCGTGCACAACACCTCGGCCTCGTCGACATTGTTGTTATTACTACAATTATTGTCGCCTCAAGGCCCGGCCACTGGGTGAACAAGACGCCCTTCTCCACGCCCGCCACTTCCATACAACCCGACGATCCAGTCCACGTCCTCGATTCGACCGGCCTGGCCCTCGGAACATTACCTGCGCTTTTGCCTCGCCCGCGCCGCGCCACGCACACGCTTTCCCACAACTTCGGCTCCTTTCCTTGGCTTGGCCCTCTCTGCTCTCAACTGGATGCTTGCACTGTCACAAGCTGCCGTCAACCGTCTTTTCCCTCCCAACCGCGTAAACGCCTCGTGCCACCACTACCACGACTCTGCACGCCCTGCTGCCTCTCACCTCTTGCACACTCCGCTGCCAGGTCATCCGTCTTCCATTGGCGATATCCGCTGGCATCTTTTTTGCTTTTGCGACGTTGGACGCCACGCTCCTTGCCGGTAACCGCCAACTGGCACCTGGCCCCTGGACCTTCATTTTCGACCATCATTTCTTCTTCTGTCCACCAAGACCACCTCTCCCCACTCTCTCTCCTACGCTGTTCTCCCTCGATCGTCCAGCCCCCAGCCCCCAACCCACGCGGGCGGAAGGAAGGAAGGAAGGTAGGAAGGATTAGAAGGGATTACGCGCCAGCGCCAGCGCCCGCGGTTCAGGAGAGATCAGGGTCCTCCTCGGCGAACAATTGACCTCGACCGGGTCAATTCAGATCCAACCCGACTTCTCATCCTGATTTGCGTCCAGCAAACTCCCGCTGCATGCCGAACTCAATCACCACGCGATCTTCATATCGTCGTCCCTGCGACTCTGTGACAGGCCTTGGCGAAGTCTGTTGCAAGTCTGTCCGTCCCTGATTTGCCGGCGGTTGAGGCATTGACTTTCGACATCGCTGGGGGACTCTGCTCAACGTCGTCTTCGAGTCAGGCTTGATGCATGCGCTCTTAGGCTCGGCTGAAAACCATGCCGCACTCAAGATATCAAGCGTTGTAGGTCACCCCACCGCACACCCATACTTGCCGACCATCCCTACCTTCTAGAACAATTCCACCAGCTGACATGACTCAAAAGTCGGGAGTTCCAGGTAGTCGTTCTCGGAGCAGGTGAGCACGTGCGCCGCAACACATCCGTTGCAAACCACCCTCTTGATTGATGTGTGTGCGCGTGTGCGCGTGTGCGTGTGCAAGCGCGCGCGAGCGTCAATACACGCGTTAAGTCTCATGCCATTGAACTGGACTGACATTGGGATCTCTCCTCTTTCTCTTTACTAGGCGGCGTCGGCAAGAGCTGTTTGACTGGTGAGTGGAGCCCACCTATTGACATGGGCACCTCATGTAGCCCCCCTGTCGAGACCACCCTATCAAAGCAACCCAGGCCCAGGGTTCACGTGAACGCTGCGTGACTGACCGACTGCCAATAGCACAATTCGTCCATAATGAATGGATCGAGAGCTACGATCCGACTATCGAAGATTCTTACCAGAAACAACTAGCCGTTGATGTATGTGTCTTTATCCGCAATAAAGTCGCCTGCCTGCTACAAACAGCTAACACGAAGCTTAGGGACGCCAAGTTGTCTTGGAAATGTGAGTCGCTGTCTTGAACAAGATGTCTTGTTGAGCCTCACGTGGCTAACACATGTCCAGCCTCGACACTGCAGGAACTGAGCAATTCAGTGAGACACGCCCCAGAGCCCCCTTAAAGACTACTCTACTGACCTGATGCAGCGTCCATGAGAGATGTGTACATGAAAAACGGCCAGGGATTCTTACTTGTCTTCAGCATCACATCGCGATCCTCATTGAACGAGCTGCACGGCCTTCGAGAAGAGATTCTGCGCATTAAGGACAGGGACCACGTGCCCATTGTCATCATCGGGAACAAAGCCGATCTCGAAGATCAGAGAGAAGTCCCTCGTACGAAAGCATTTGCCGTCTCACAAGACTGGGGCGCTCCTTACTACGAGGCGAGCGCCAGAACCAGGAGTAAGTGTCTACTAAAGAATTAAAAGAGCAGTGGCAACGGAATCTGACCAGCGGGAACAGCGAATGTTGACGAAGTTTTCATCGACATTTGTCGACAGATGCTGAGGGTAGATGATGCGATAGAGGCAATGGACGAAGAGACCTTCGAGACGCGATACAAATATGACGAGCACAGCAGGAAGAGGCGGCGGCGGAAGAGAAAGAAGGATCACCCTAAATGCGTCATATTATGATTGATCTCTTCGCTTCTTCTTTTGGGCTTCGCTTCCCCAACCTTGTTCTTACTATTTTCCCCAACGTCTAAGACCGATTTCTTCCGACATTTCGTTTTTGCCCTCAAGACTATATACTCTCTCGGCCGTTCCAAAAAAGGGGGGTTTCAACATCTGGCGTCAAGGTCCTGGAATCTTTGTGCAGCTTACACACCTTATACCACCGTTGCTCCAGTTGATACCAAACTGCGCGAAGACGCCGCCGTCTCACGACGCTCATTTTGTTGTCATTATTTCATTTCTATTCCATATCGAGCAGACGGTTCTACATACACAACGAAGAACAGCAGCATTTGCTCAACCAAGCCACCAAAAGAGTTCTCAACATTGAATTTCACCAGCATTTTGGGGGCAATCCCGAAGGCGTTGTGCTGGAAAAAAGAGGGGTGTTTTGCATCAGAGAACTGGTTTACGGAAAGACCTTTACCAGGTCTGGGTTTTTTTTAAGGGAAGAATCTCGGCTGGGTTTGGAGGACGCGACTTTGGTGTTATTTCAAGGAAATAGACGATGGGGGGGAAAGACCCCCGTCATGGGCAGGTGTGGCTATCAGGAGCCTGTTCCGGCTAGAATCTTAGCATCACTCTCCCCAACAGAGCTGGTTGGTTCCAAGACAAGCTATGTCTCTCGGTGACCGTTTCGCCATGCTTTGCTAGTGTCGAGAGACCAAGTACAACCTGTGACACTGCTGATCAGTGGGTGCTGAGACTTTCAGAGCAGCTTTCGAGACAATTGACCCAACCCCATCCTCCCCCTTGCTGGAGGGCTCAAAACCCCAACCCTACTGCTGTGGTCCTACATGACTTTGGAGTGGTCATTGACTTTCTGCCACACAAAGTGTATCGCTCTTAGAAACCACACCATAATTGTTCTTAGCCCATAGATAGACCTCTTCTTTGTTTATCTTACCCAGCTATTTCAATATACCCGAATCCTCTCAACACGCCACCACCCTCAGTCTCCCCACTCCAAAGCAACCAGGCGCCTGCCAGAATTTCATATCCTCCGACAGGGGAAAAGAAGGGGGCAGTCTCACACACAGAACCCAAACCACAGCCAGTGCCAGACTGAGGGAACAGGATGGAGTCATTCGCCCTCGCGGCCGAGCACTCGGGCGCCATAAACCACGTGCACACGCTGACCATCAGCCCCTCCATCGTCGGCGTCGCGAGGGAGCTGAGGCTGGCTGTGACGGTGGCTGTCGTTGGCTGGGTCGCTGTGGCTGGCATCAGGGCGCTTGCTTCTGCGGGCTCGCGGGAGCCTCAGAGGAGGGAGTAGCGGGCTGTCTGCTCCTGAGGAGATATGGCTTCGGGGAGTGCATTCGTCGACCAGGCGTGCTTCGGTCTTGGGTGCCTGGTTTAGTCCCGCATTGTGGTGTGACTTCCAGCCTGAACCGAAGATGCCACGCCTCACGGGTGTCCGCTTTGCCCCGTGATTCCTAGCGATAGAAGCTCCGGCGGCAATGAGAGGCCGTGCGGTCGTTTGTACCACGATCGGCCTCTGCCGGGAGAAGGCACATTGATTACTACGGCTCCCATTGGTATCGCACATTTTTCGCCAACGAATTTCCAAAGGAATTGCTCTCTGGATTCTTGCGTTATCAGGATATGCTGAGTAAGTAGCTCAGAATACTTCGAGGTCCCAGGACCGAGCCCTCTTATTCACGGCGAATATCAGTATTACTGGGACAAGAAACCACAGAGCACCCTCAGACATCTCGGGCACTCATCCAGATCTGATACCAAGGATGTCTATCAGCACTGGTAAACGCACTGTTTGAAAATTTATATAGACCGTCATTATTAATATACCACCACTGAAGCCCACGCAACGGAGCGCACGCTCCATTTTCTTGGGCCTCTAATGCTCTGGGTGTCGGATGTCAAATATACTATAAGATTCATCTTGTCTCCGCTTTTCTTGCCCATTGGGCTGGCCGAAGATACTTTTTGCAAATAAAGTTAATCGCCTGGATCGTACTCCAATATGACTCGCATATCCCTCGTGTCTATAATGCGGGTGATGCTGTCTTGATCTCGCAGTCGTGTAAGCTTTGATCGCACGAATCGAGCCGTTGTCTGTGTGCGCCGCCAGGAGTTTCAACGCATGCAACGAGGCTTGGAACAGAGACCTGTATTATAATAATATGATCATCCTGAAGCCGACTTTCAGGCCATAGCAGTATCTTTGGAGTGTTTTGATCCAGTAATCCCGCGCCACTTTCCGGCGACAAAGGCGCAGCGCGACGGGGCTATCATGGCTGAGCAGACACTTCAAGTTGAGGGCGCCGAGCCACCTCCACCAGGACGGATCGCCGACCTTGATCATCCGGAAGATGCCCTCCATAGCATCATCTTGGCGATAGCTATACTGACACTTATCCTGCCGTTGCCCTTTTTCCTTCTGCGCGTGTACGCGCCCTGGAAGCTCTCGTCCCCTCTCAAGGTCGACGACTGGTTCTGCGCGGCTGCTTTCCTTTCCGGCATCTCATACTTGTCCAGCGCCATCGTTTTCGCCCAGCACGGGGGTGGACATCACATCTGGGAGGTGACGGATTCGCAACTGCAGGCCGTCCTGGAGACGACCTACTGGAACTCTATCGTCTACAGTCCCGCCGCGCTTTTCACCAAGATCACCTTGCTCCTCATCACGATCCGACCCTTCCGCGGCAACAGGCCCTTCGTGTATGCTGGCTACTGCCTGATCACTGTCATGGTGGGCTACTACGTGCCTGTGACGATCCTCAAGATTATGACCTGCAGGCCTATTCGAGGATACTGGGACTACGAAGTAGACTCGAATTGCTACGACTACCGCTTGGTGTTTCTGTCTGACGCTATCGGGGCGGTCATCACGGATGTTCTGGTGCTGCTTATGGCGGTGCCGTTGGTTTGGATGTTGTGGCGGCCCAGAGTTAAGATGTGGTTGATCTTGGGAGCCGGAAGTGTGAGTATTGACTTATTGTGCCTCTCTTTCATTGGGGGAGGGATATCTCACGCGCGAGAATAATTTGCGACAAACCGCACATCGGGTCCACAGAAAAGCTGACGTGTATTCAAGGTGGCAACAGCGATGTCCCTCGTCCGCATGGGATTTGTCATTTCCTTGAAAGAGACAAATGACCCGACGGTAGACTTCGGTAGACTGAGTCTGTTCGGGTAAGTAAATAACTGCGCAGAGCCCAGACTTGTGTGGGATTTTGTCTTATCTCAATTTTCATTGCCGAAAAAAGTAACTAATAGGTTCACCTTTACGATATAGTCAAATCGAAATAGCAATAGGCCTTATCTGCACATGTCTACCTACAATCAATGAGTATTTCCAGTCGAGAAAAGTGCTCGAGAGCCACTCACAGAGATCATGGCCTAGCATGAGGTTCAGAGCTTCCAGGTTCCTGGAAACAAGTGGCCTCCGACCTCAAAGGCTGGGTTCGCCGGGAGAGGGCGCACCAATAGCATCACATGCTGTTCCTGGTATTCTAGTGGAAAGAGATATTTTGGTCACTGGAACTTATAGTCCCGAGACACCACTCCGAGCTCCGTTATATTACTCACAGTCGTCGATCATGGAATCCTCTCCCACGCTCTTTTCCTCGCTAGATTCCGAGGTGATGAAGATGGACACAACACACAGAGCCAATGCACCGGCACCCCCCATCCCAGAAAAGAGCAGTGCCAGACTTTCAATGCACCGCAAGTCATGGGGGCCAAACACGACCTTGGACAATTACATGGACCCTGTAACGCACGCGACCGAGACAGGAGTAGTCACAAGCTGCAGGCCAGCTTTTGAAACCCAGCACAATTCTCTTACACGGAAAAAGGAATGGTTGTCGTGTTTTCCACCGCCCTTATTCTCCGAAGTGCGGGAGATCCCAGCCATACCAGAGGTCACCACACCGGCTTCACCAGCTTCATCAATGCAACACTCGCCGGGGATGCTCAGAGGAGAACCTCGATGGAATCGTGGGCCTCCGTCGCCTACACGGGGTTCAAGTCCGCCCATATCGCCTCTTGAAGATCTGTTACAGAACTCGCAGCCACCACCTCGGTGGCAGAGTAAATATTCAGAGCAAGATTATCGACATTACTCTTTCTGAATGCGGGAGACTTGGAAGATAGACAGACACTGGTTTACAGTCTTAGCTACCATGTCACCGAAGGTGGCTCTGGAGCACAGAATGATATAATATGAATCATTTTCAACAAGTAATGACACATGCAGATCAATACCTCCTGAAGTTAAGATTATCAAGTAAGCCGTAATATTTTAACTGTCTGTAGTCCAATGCGCTTGTTACTGAGACAAAGGCTGACACTTGCGTCTGATGGAGAATCATATGCTGGGCCAGAAGGATCACTGGGCGAAAACCGCTGTATCCAGGGTATACACTTTGTCATGCCCAGGAGTCTTTGTACGGTGATCTCTCTGGCGCACCATACATCCCTCTCATACGCTGAGTCAGTTCGGTTGAGTAATAACTTGGCAATGGATCGTCATAACGCAGCTCAGCTCATGCATAGTACATGTGATTTCCTCTACTTTCAGAGACTCGTCCTAACTATCCTCTTCCCTGAAGCCTAGTCTTCATGATAACCTACTAATTGCCAGACAAAACTTCGTACCATTGGTCGGTGAACGAATCTCTATTGATACTGCTCTGTGTTCCTGCTATCTATTCTTCCAAAGTCGTGAGCACTATGTGGGGCAATGAATACTAACTGCCAGTGCGTTCTTACTTGTGTCATGTACGACAATACCCACCGTCTTCAAATTGTTGCGTCACGCACGGCACAGTGTAGAGAATGTCACGACAAGATGACAGCATGGCTACAGCCAAGATTGAGAGACAATAAGCTTAGAATAGCAAATATACAATGGCTTGTGTAAATCATCAAGCCCTTGATGCCTCAGGGCCAACAGAAGCTGAGTATCTTAGACTTACGACTTCCTATAAAAGGGACCCAATAATTCTAACATGACCAGAAAGAAACTCATCGACTTACAAGCATCCCTTTGAATCAGACTTGAACAATCAAGAACTGTTCTTCTTCGACCACCAAAAACTCATCATTATGTATTTCACTAGTCTCACTCAGACTGTGCTGGCTGGCCTCGCGTTCCATGCTGGTACGGCAGCCGCCATTTTCGAGTGCAACCCAGACCAGCATGCCTTCGATCCCACCAAGAACAAGTTTGTGGTTCACTACACTTCCATCCGCGACTCCAACTATGACAATGGTCAACCTTGGGTGAGCAATAACTCGACAAATCATCCCAAATCGGGAGACATTTAGATTGGAGCCGGTAAATTGACTAATGATTCTAGGTGCGCATTTGTATGCCAAAGGGCGACTTGAGCGGCTGGATTGACGTTGACCCGCTGCAAACGCCTTGCTCAGATAATCCTGCCACCCATCTGACTGTGTCTCAGACGGGTCTCCACCATGAGCTGGTTGTGACAAATGGCGAGGGATGTGACTCTGGCAGCGGGCATGGCCTGAATGGTGCATCTATTGCGTACAACGACCAGGTGGCCGTCTTGGAAGGTTCGAACGGTCGTTGTGGAGACCGTGATCACGGCGTGTCGTGCGAATTTGACTTGGACTAAGACAGTAGATCATATTCTGCAGAACCTCTCACGTCAGAGGCTCATCCTTTAGACGCTCAAGAGTCTGAGAGACTTGCTCAACAGTACTAGCACCCACCAGAATTCAGTCATAATATTCGGCATCAAAGGAAACATGATTTTCTACCTAGCGACATGCAAGTGCGGAACGTGTGTGTTGTGCCTTTTCCGCCGCTTCGCCCCAAGTGTCGAGTGCCGCAATGAGATAAAGTTTGTTGTACAGTGGTTGTAGAGTGTTCCTACCTCAATCTCGGGAATTCATCATCCCCTGTTGATCGGGTTTCGAATGCGAGACTCTAGATTAAACTAGATCGTTCTATCCATACGGCGTGTCTCGCAATGCATCTCACTGTTTCTCCGGCAAAGATGGAGATACTCACGAGCACTGGCGCTGAGTCACGCCTACCCCAGCAGTCTGCCATTGCCGTCTTCTCCCTGGAGCGAAAGCTTGTACGGCGGAAGGAGCCCAATCTACTTGCTTAAAAGGCAGCAGTGAGTAATGAAGCAGAATGAAACGTGGAGTCGACCAAATTACCCGGTAGCGCTTCAAATATTGTATTAGAACATTTCACTTGGGTATAAAGTAATCATCCCGAAGCCTTGGAATACATAACCCAAAAATCAGAGCACACCATAGTTAATACAGTCCCTGTACATGAAGTTGCAGCTCATGAACGGGGCTTTCTCCCACCTCCGCCGGCATCATTGCCACCATCGTTGTCTCCACTCTTCCGCCTGAAGCTGCTCGGTCTTCTAGCTTCAAGGCTTTTTAGCCTATTCCCCAGGCTCAGCCGTGCGGCAGACACTCCCGGCCCAAGGGGGCTTGGCTTAGCAGGCGTGTTTGCAGAACTCGTCGGCGGTATGGTGGCCAGGATTTCGCCGTCATTCTCGCGCTCAGGAGGAGACCTCACCACCTGGAAGCCCGAAATGCTCGCAGGGGAGTCCGGCCCGGCTACAGGGGTAGACTGATTATCAGTATCGCCTTCCGTGCCTATTGAGAACGGCGCCGGTGCCGACTTCCTCCTGAGTCTGCTCACCATGACCGAGGCATTATTGAGCGCAGCCCCAGAAGACAAGGTACTCCCGCTGCCGCTGCCGCTGCCACTTCGTTCCCGCGTGAAGTCCTTGTCTCCGTGGCTTGTCTTCGCCCTTGAGTGACCGTAGCTTTCCGTTCTCTCCCGGCCCATTCCCAAAGCTGCCCTCATGGCCACCCATGTCTCTACCTGTCCTTTATCCGACTCCTCAACGCACTCGCAGTCATCACCAGCAGGGCATTCGGTCTCCCCCATACTATGCCACTCAGCTAGGCAGTTTTCATGGAAGACGCAGCCGCAGCCCAGGCAAGCAGGATAGAGCGCGTTGATGGCCTCATGGCAATACACACATGTAAGCTGTGACTGTGTACGCCTACATCTCTCACAAATACCAACAGCACCGCCCAGAGAGGGACTCTGTGTGTACTGTAATGGTTGTAGCTGCATCTCGTGGACACGACAGATGCCTGTCACGTCGAGGCCGCGGCCGGATGCCTGCAGCGTGTGGAGTTGTTCGCGTTTGCCACCGAGTATGATCGTAGGGGACGTTGTGCCTGTGGCGGATTGGCTGGCGTCGTGTATGGCGGACTCAATGCAGCTGCTGTCAGCGCTGAGACGTGGGCCTTCACTCCAGCTGCCCTCCTTGAGAACGTTGAACTTCATGATTTCCAACCGCGCGAGAGGAAGACGCCACATCTGTAGTATCTCAGCATAGGCGTAGCGATAGCTTGCGTAATCCGGGCCCCGGCTGGGGTCTAGCAGAGGAGTAGCCAGCCAACCATCGTCATCGAATGCTGATTCATCCTCCACTGTCACTGTCACACTGACTGGTATCGTGGAGACGAGCTCGTCCCTGCGAAATTCGTCATCTGATACAGATGTCCTCGCTGTCTCTGTGGCTTCCGAAGGCGCTCCGAAGTATGTTGAACCTCCCCAGGTGATATTACCCTGGATGTGCGATATGTTCTCCATGATCCTCTCAGCTGGGCTGGGGCGTTTGCGGCCCGGAGGAGATGACGATGCCAGGGAAGTAAACCCACGTGGCATGCCTGACGTAAATGTCGATGCCAGAGCGGACTGAGATCGACGAATAGCACGGTCATTCGGAGAGGTGGAAAGGCTCTGAGTGTGATCTATCTCACTAAGATGATGGTCTTTGAAGAACCTGTGTGGTGGCGTTTCACCAGTCGAATACGACTGCGATGAAGGATCTCCCATCCAGAGAACATCTGGGCTTTGTGGGTCGGAGAAAACGATCGGTGTCTGAGACGTTCGAGGTGTCGTGACTGCTGAACTGTAGCCACTTCTCCGCTCCATGCCCCATTCGGCCGTGTCTGTCGGGAAATACTCTAGAGAAAACGATGGCGCCTTCATTGGCAGCGGTGTTTCCGGCTGTGTCAAGCGTGACTCGGCATAGGCTACACTGTCCTCTGCCGATGACTCTCCAAATATGCAAGAGAGCATCGCCAACATCTGTACGTCGCCAGTTTGCTCGAAGTAGTTGAAGAGATCTTGGACGAAGTCTTGGGCGAGTGGATGATGGCCCCATTTCACTCGCCCTCTCAGGAGTTCGGTCTCATTAGCACGGGGCTCCTGGGTCCTGTATTTCGAAAGGGCGTCTTTAGCGATGACGAGTACGGACTTGTCTCTTTGGCGATGCTCATGTAGCTCCAGTGGGATATCTGACCTCAGGAGAAGTGCCGAATATCTCCAGATATTGACTAAGTCGTAGTAGCCGTACTTCTCCGCTACCCGTGCGTTGTGCTCACAGACATGTGCTCCATCGCCAAATATGATGTACTCCTCAGCGAATTGCTTCTTCGACGGCAGCATATCCCGCATATCATACAATGAAACGATGTTCTTTGGTCGTCCGGGCCTGCGACGATTTGTGCCGGTCCCAGTTCCTGTACCTGTGCCTGCGCCAGTACCTCCGCCACTGGAGCGGAGCGACTCGTTGGCACTCCAGGTTTTGTGGAGGCGGCGTCCTGGGCGATACCACAGACTGATCTTGTGCATGGTAGTCATTTCCGAGTCGCTCGAAGATGACGAGTCATCAGAATCATCTGACATGGCTGATAATTCGTCGTTCACTGAGGCTTCGCCATCAAGGAAACGTTGCCGTGGGGGAGACTCATGAGGGAGGCGACCGAAGCCAGCGAATGTTGGTTGATCTTTTGGCCGCTCCTTGAAAGTCTCATTCGGACTGAAAAGTAGAGCCTTTGCCTCCTTGGTTGGAAAGAAGCTAACCAGCCGCCCATCGTTTGAGAAACGAGCGCCACATGTTCTAATTACTGGAGGTATGGCGGGACGGTGACTTGGCGCCAGTGTATTATCGATTTCAGTGCTTGCGCTCAATTCTTGCGACATCGACATTGATGCTGATGCTCCAGCTGGGATGTCATTGTCTGAGTCCTCGCTCGAGCTCTCGTCGGCAAGCACATCAAGTCCATCGTCCAGGTCCCGAACGTTCTTGAAGAAAGTCGTGCTTTGAGTAAGATCAGCCTCGCCGAGCAGGTAGGAGAAGGCCGCATTAAGACAATTCTGTTTGCGTTTGAGAAACTGTTGGGCGATCTGGTGAACCTCGCTTTCTAGCCTCTCATGGGAGCCAGGTGGCATGAAAGCATTCCTCTCAATGATGAATTTGGGTGGTTTGTTCTTGGGATAGGCGTGCGGAACATCCACCTTGACTTTGATGAAAATGTCATCACCGTCGACCCCCCACGGGCCCTTTAAGGAGGCGTTGAGTATGAGTGAATCCATGTCAATGCTGTCCCACTTGACATTAGGCAGCTGAGTGCTGATTCGGACGAATTCTTCTTGTAGTGACTCGGGTTCGCCCCATTGGTCGTCATGGAAGCCTAGCCCGAACATAGAGGAATCCTTAGAAGCCGCTCGTTGCGGAAAATCGGTACTAGATTTCCTCTTAGTCATCGTGATACCTCTCATCCAATTCATCTGGGCCTGGCTTCTGTCCATCTTTCCTGTTCTCGAATTCTTGGCCTTCATGGATGGTCCTTTCCAGGATGGGCCAGTGCGGTACGATGGTAGCTTCATGCCTAGGGTAAGTGCGCTCTGGCGGCCGGCCCCGGTGCGCGAATCGCTCATCGTAGCTGTTCGTCGGTGATGATTGCCATCATCTACGGTCCGAAAGGTCTTGTACGAAGCTCCTTTTCTGGTTATGACCAGGTTGGTCCTCGCCTCCATGCCCTTGACGTGCCCCACTGACTCTAAAACTGAAGGCTCCGGGCGCGTCAAGCGAAGTTTATTGTCCTCACCCCAGGATACCATTTGGAACTCGCGATTGTCGAGCCTGTCTTCGCTGATGCTACCACGGGCTCTCCAGAGAAACTCCTTTGCCTTCTGGCCGCCATGGCCCTCAAATGTCGCAACTGGCTCAACCCGACCGTCAACAGGGGTATCAGGGCCCACGCGTCGGTCAAAAAGATACAGGTGCCCAGGCTCGTTTTGGGGCATAGCCAAGAGGCCCCTGCCGAAAGGCGTGTGTCTGGCACGCCAGACAGGGAAGTCGGTCCTGATGACCCTTTCTGGGACATCCTCGGCGTTCCTATAATCCCAAAACTTGATACTCCTGTCCAAAGAGCATGTCACAATGGCGGTGGCAGTGAAACGATTCCAGTCGATGCCGTAGATCTTAGACGTATGAGCACTGATAGACCTCAGTGGCTCGGAGGATTTTCGCTCGTCCCATATGTGAAGCCATCGGTCATGAGAAGAAGCGATGATGAATGGGTCTTGGCGACTGTATTTGACCTGTGTAGCGCCGGCGAACCAATCACAGAAAGTGAGAGCTGGTTGCCTTGGTCGCCTCAGATCCCAGCAGTGAACATACCCATCTACGGCGCAAGTTGCCAAAAGATCGGGATGATGGGCAGAGAAGTTGATATCAGTGATTGCCCTGGTGTGGCCCTGCAGGGAATGCTCGATGGCCCCCGAAGTGGAGTCGTCTCGGAGGTTCAAGTTCCAGACGAGACAGCGATGGTTGGCAGTAGATGCCACCCAGTAGTCTCGGGCGGCAAAAGGTGACCACTGGACATCGACGACAAGCCACGGAAGTCCATGGCTACTCAGGCGACGTGGTGGACTGTATGGTGAATCTAGGTCGATAATGGCTAACCCTTCTGGAGACGCGAGAGCGACGTCCCGGCCTGATGGTGATATGGTGGCCGAACCAACCAGCCCATCGACGTGGATAGTGCCATCTGCATCGAAGCTTTCGCTGTCAAAGGCTGACTTGATGGTCTTCACCTTTTTTGGCGATGCCTTGAGCTGGTCAAAGGCTAGAGGCATGGTGAGAGTCCCAGAAGAGGTGCATGTCTTGAGAGGACCATGCTCGTGGTCACAGATGGACTGGTCCTTGAATCATGTGATACCTGTGGTGGGCTGTCATTGTAAGCTGCAATGGGAAAGTATGCCAAAGGACCTCGAAAATAGAGATTTGGCAAATATCGATTTCATGACATGGCAAAGTTGTAGCTCTGCCACATGTGACGAGGTGAGGTTGACAGGATCCAGGGTCCCCCTTCAACATGTTGCTTGTGCTGAGATAGCGGTACCTGGGTACGAGAACTCTTATCTAATCAGCAGAGGCTGCCCCCCATCTTGGCAAGACATCCCACCAAGCACCCTGCCTACTTAGAACTATGCAATAGATTGATTGACCGATGATACCATCACCACCGACATCAGCTTGTAATCTTCCCCACAACACAGATAAATACACCTGCTCCTCACCAGCACTTCCCAACCTGGTCCTGCACCACAGCTCCCACTCGTGCCACCTTCCCGATCCCAGGCCTGAAACTTTGCGACCGTTCGTCCTGTCGAGCTGCGCCACCCAAGCCTAAACCTAGCTGCGCTCTCTTCCGTAGGCCGGCTCTAGATAAGACCAGTGACACTCTGGCCCAAGGAAGGTCTTGAATCTCCAGGGCTACTTACCTCTACGATCCATCTCAGCTGAGCTACCCTGCAGTAGCAACAAAATCAACATGGCCTTGCCAAAGAGAATCATCAAGGAGACTGAGCGCCTGATGGCCGAACCGTATGCTGCCTGCCCAACCCAGAGGAATCGACCATAGATCCTGTGCTCTGACATCCCCTCCCAGTGTCCCCGGAATCAGCGCCGTTCCTCACGAGGAGAACCTGCGCTACTTCGACGTCACCATCGACGGCCCCGACTCTTCCCCCTACCAAGGTGCGGCTCGCCGGAATACGCAAACGCAACAAACAGAGCTGACTGGTCCAATCTAGGTGGCACATTCAAGCTCGAGCTGTTCCTCCCTGACGACTATCCCATGACGCCTCCAAAGATCCGCTTCCTTACCAAGATTTTCCACCCCAATGTCGACAAGCTTGGCCGCATCTGCCTTGACGTCCTGAAAAGTGCGCACATGACAATCACACCCTTGTCCAAAGATCCCGCCACATGGTTAAATCAAGCTAACAAATCCATTCTCAGACAACTGGTCTCCTGCCCTCCAGATCCGTACCATTCTCCTCTCCATCCAAGCTCTCCTCGGCGCGCCAAACCCAGACGACCCGCTCGCCGCGGACGTCGCCAAGTCATGGAAAGAGGACGAGAAGGCCGCTATCGAGACGGCCCGGGAGTGGACACAGAAATACGCGACGGGTCAGCAGCAGTAGGAACCTTCTGATCGTCCTTCCCTACCTGATAACGCTTCCGCTGCGGACGAGGAGCCAGTACGTGAGTGGTGGATTGGTGCTGAAGACGAGGATCTGGAACGTCTTGACAGGGTTTTGGACCAGATTTCGGAGGAGGTACGGCGTTCAGCCAGAAATTAAGATGAGATCCAGCAATCGACGAGCTTTGGAGTTTGTGTGGGCGATAGTGTCATCTTGGGGGGAAGTGTGAATGAGCTTTGTCCAGAGATGAGGTATCTAGGCGTAGTTGACGGCAGAATCATGATGTGAGAGGCATAAGGGGAAAGCTCTTGTGGCAGTCTCACGTTTGCAAGACAGGACATAGTCTATGCAGCAAAGACGACGATGCTGTAGTAGAAGTGATAAGGTCTGACAGACTGCGACCCAACCTCGCCGTTTGGGTGTGACAAGCAACCCTCCATTGTCTAAGACTGCTGCGTTTCTGCCGGGCCGGTGCGGGACGGATCTTCTTCATGCCTCTGGATAGTGTCGCTTTGTCTGACTGGCTTACATGCAAGATTTCGTCTTTACTTTAACGAGATACTGAAGAGTGCCTTTATGGACAAGGATAATGCAGGAAGACAGGTACAATAGTCCTTTTGGGAGTACAATGGCCTTATTTGTTGACCAAGACTGTAAGGTCTAGCAAGAAAGAGAAGATGAAAATGGAGAATATGTAAATCACCCTTCTGATCCTTCTCACAGATGACATTTTGGCATAACCACATTCCTACAGGGATCAAGATTCACTATCAATCAGCAACAACAACATCAAACTCACAGATCAAACAACCTCGCATTTCAGTACCAAGATCACTAACTTGAGAACCACTCGGTATGCTTTCTCTACTGTCAGCTGTGCAGACTTTGAACAACCCCGGAGAAAACGCCCGGGTGCCAAAAGACGCGATCTTGCCGGCGACTTGGTTTTCTGCTGCGGAGTTGCAAACACTTCAGCAGCTCAAAACGCAGCGCCTGGGCATGACACCGCGTAGCAAACCTCAGACGCTGGACTGGGCCGAACTAGAAGTGCGTCAAATCCTTTTCCTCCGAGGAATTCTCTGCAAGTCCTTCAGAGACGTTGGCAAAGAACTCGGAATGTCTCTCAGCAGAGTGACACAGAAATACAACGAGCTCTGTGATGTCTATGGCCTTATAGATGAAGTTGAAGATTAGGTGGAAGTAAGGTGAGTTCTGAAAGGTAAGTTCGATGCAAGCAAGCACCTAGGTAGTCTATAGATTCTGAATCTACATCTCTTTACTGAGTCAAGAATTTGAGTTTTACTTTGGCTTACACCTTATGTTCTCGCATCCGTGTAATATATGTATATAATGAACCAAGTCGGAATCTATACGTAGAAGTATCTGTTATCATAATCTTTTGTCTATAATTTTGGAAGAATCTAGCAGTGATTGTGTTGCTCTTCACACGTTAACAATCAATTGCTTGAGGCAGCATACCCCTTGCTCTTGAGCTAAGTAGAAAGAAGCTTGGTCTTTTATGTACAAAGCCAGTCATTTCGTCCTCACCACAGGAATCTAAGCAGCCTTTAAGCAGCGGCTACCTTTTAAATGGATGCAAGACCTCCGGTACACCTCGACAGGTATCAGAGCACAATGAGTACCATTAAGTCCAATATCACTGAGGCAAGGACAGTCGCTTGCAAAGGTCTCTGTTGAACATTGTATATAGACTATATGCATAGACTGAGATGATCTAGACTAAAGTGGCATCGAGAGCTATAATTATGGCAAATTTGCGGAAGGATAAGTCGAACTACAGCAGAAGCTTGAATTCGTTCCGAATTTTGCTTGCTTGACGATTTCGCAGATGCCTGGGGGGGGGGGGACAGAGTCTATTGTCCAACTCAAAAGCTGCAAGATTAGAACGGCCGATGCTTAGCATATAGTAGACGTAGCCGTGTGCACATCACATCAGAAGACCACTGTGCCACAGAATGGCTATTTGGCGAGGAGGAAAAGGCCACCACAACTCACAAGGAGAATGGATTGGTGGAACATTTGACTATCAGCCTCGACACGAGCTCGACCCGGTTGTCTAAGACAGGCTGTCAACTTCCGAGGGCAGAGACACTCATCTTGACGAGCACGAGCAATGTGATCGTAGCTGACTGGCGGCGATCGCCGAGGACCTCTCGAGTGGGTCAGACTTCTTCGAGATTCGCCTGCGAAAGCCACAAAAGAACAGGAGGGAAAAAAAGGATGCTAGAATACAAGATATTCGGAGCGAGCGCTTTTTTCCCGTTTATATCGTATTGTTCCTTCTTGATGTAAGTGGAGTTCTCTACAATGACTTGGGGTTGAATCACCCGAGATATATCAAGCCGTAATTACTAATGATTCTGTCTGACGTCGAATTGGGGTGCCCATGTGCCGTGCCTGAGCGTGCCGGGATCTCGAGCCTATCTGCCGTCGAGCATTGCTCGCGGAAGGGGACCCCTGGACCCGAGGACGTTCCAAGTGGAGGGGAGCGGGCGGGATCGAACCAGAGAGCCAACCGCGGCTTGCACGACAGCAGCCCCTATTGCTGGTGTTCCTGACCTCGACCGGATCCCACATGCTGTGTTTCGTGTGCTGGGAGCTGACGTCGCTCTTCATTATAACATGAGAGCCCTCTGACATTATCAGAGCCGTAGAAGGCGTAGAAGGGCGGCCGTCAGTTCGCAGCGCATATGGCGCGCGCCAGGGGCACCAGGATCAGGGGGGCAAGGGGTGGGTTCGGACAGGCATTTGAGCTCCCGAGCCAGCGGCGCTGGCTTCTCTATTCTAATACGGGCCGAGCGCAGAGTGGTGAAGACCGGGGCGGCGACAGCTCTCGTGAGGCCCGATGGTACTCTCAGAGTGGCATCGCGAGGATTGCAAGAGCAGCGGGCTAGTCCTGTTCTGGGCTGGGTGGTTGGCCATCTGGGCAGTTTGGGAGCTGTCAATTTCCCGCTGCCCGTTTTTGTCTCTGGGCCGGGCTCTCGATGCCTTGGACGTTGGTGGGAAAAAGACCCGAAACAGAATGTGCCGGCAACAAGGGCCGCAGGACGTGAGCGTCAGAGCTGGCATTAAGCATTAATAAGTTGTGGACATCGGGCATTGAGACGGGGCATGGACACCGTATTCAGAGCGAGTGAGCTGTGTGGGAACCCCCCTATCGGGATTTAATCTTCCAATCATCCAATCCAATCTAGTCCAACCCGCCCTGGTGGCCGTTGAAGGTGTGCAGGTTGGCCAGGAACCAGGTACCAGTCTGCCAGTCTCGGGTGGTCAGCCGTGTGCCGTGTGGCGCTCGGTTAGGCCTGCAGAGCCTGCAGAGCTGCACATTGCTTCGTCTGGTTTTGGTTTGTTTGTTTTGTCTGAGGATGGTGCTGGCCATGCTGATGCTGATGCTGATGCTGATGCTGGAGGGTTGTATTACAGTAAAAAAACAGACATGATGAGGAAAGCAAGGAAGAAGGAAGCAGGCATGGAAGCGATGCAATGCAGCTAAGTGCAGCATGCCAGTGCATCCCCGATCCAAGACACGCGGGCCCAGGCTTGTGCTTGCAAGGCACAGCTACAGGCAGAAGCAAAGGCACAGACAGCATGAGGAGTGAGTGACAGTTAGACAGACCCAGAAGTTAGAAGTTACAAGTTGGAACCCAGTCCCTTCTCGAGCTTCTCCACCTTCCTGTTCAGGCCTCCAAGCTACAGTAGCTCTGGTTTTGGTGTTGGTGCTGGTGCTGGTGCCGTGCTGATGCTGGTGCTGCTCTCCAGCTCTCCCAGCTGCTCTAGCTGCTCCAGCTGCTCTAGCTGCTCTCCCCTTTCCCACGAACCCAACACCAGCCAGCAGTCGTCAGCCATCGGGCCATCGGCCAACATCCAACATCCAAACCCACATCAACCCACCTTCTGCTCCGTTCTGCCGTGACCCTCATTGCTGCCATTGACCTCGGCGCCAACCTCGGCCAGTCTCCCCTCATCCATGGCTGGATCGAGAATCCCATCCCATTCTCAAGTAGCCATCTTATTATAGCCAATTGAGCTCGGACAGCGCATCCATCTTGCAATCCCCAAGCTGGCGACCCACCCAAGAACGAGCACTCTCATTAACAGTATCACGCCCACCGTCGTTGCCCAAGGCTCGACTTGCCTAATAACTTCCGAGACTCCACCCGTCTCCAGCCAGCAACTGGCACCTGGCACCTGGCCCCGGGCTCCAGACTCCAGGCCGTTTCCAGATCTCGGACCCTCTTCATCAATTTGGCCGACAAGGGTCCTCTGGGGCGTCACTCCACCCCAGCGCGCCCAGTACCGTCTGAGCTCCCTCCTCGAGCCTGACCTCGTCCCCGTCCCTGACCCAGTCCCTGTCACTCATCTCCAGATCTGGGCAGAAAACCCACGCCTGGAAACTCTGAAACATTTCTCGAGGATCAACTCTGCGAGCTGCTGAGGTTTCACCGGTACTTGGACAGCTGCTACCTCTCGTCCCGTTTTGGAAACCGCTGGCCTGCCACTCATTACTACTCTCCCAAATAAACAGGACCTCGAGTGTAGCCCTGCCTTCTCGGTCTGGCCCGAAGACGAGGACGCAATTCACGTCCCATTGCCCCCGGAAGACCAGCCCTGACGCCTCGACGCTTTGACTCCCGCTCATATCGCCCCGACTTACCCCTGACGACATTTGTTCTCTCTCTCCCACGAGACCTTCTCTCACAACAACATCCGACGGACGAACCCTGCCCAGTTGCCAGCTGACGCTCCCCAAGAGCCACTCAAGAAGCCAACATGCCGTCCTTAATCAGTACCAAGTTCCAACTGCCCGCTCTCGACCTCAAGTTCGGCTCCTTGACCGAGGGCACCGATATCCCGCCGCCGCTGCCTTCGCCCATACAAGAGGAGCAACCCACCACTCCTCAGCCATCAGCCGAAGAAGCCGCCAAAGCCTCGACCGCGACCAACGGCACCCAGACTTCGCCAGCTGCAGTCAGGTCCAACGGCAACAAGCAGTCCGCTGAGAACGTGCCTCTTCCTTCGTCACCAACCTCGGTCAGGACCGGACAGGGTAGCATTCGACGTTTGTTGAGCCGTAATCGACTGGACTCGGCCTATGCTAACGGAGAGACCACAGCAGGAGATGCTGGTTTAAATGCTCTCAAGAGACCGGACAGCCGACCAACCAGCCGCAGCAACGCCAGCATTACCACCGAAAAGCAGTCCAAACGAGCATCTGGATTCTTTCGCCGTTTCCGGAGTTCGCATGATGCGACAGACACTGCTCGGCCAAGCAGACTTTCCACCTCGAACGAGAACGAAAAGCCCTCCATCACCAGTCCCAAGTCAAGGGGTCCGCCGCCGCCCATGATCCCCGAATTCAAGGCCCTTGGGTCCAAGGTTGACCTTGAAGGCGAAGGGGGAAGTCTGGGAGAGGATCTCTTCAAGAATATAAAGTAAAGCCCCGATCGAACTACGGAACGGGAATGGGCACAGCCGTTTTTGCCACGAAGGCAGCCTCACGTGTGACGGCTTCGATACACCGAGCGCCCGAAGACGAACACCTAAGACACCGCTTGTTTTCATCCATTTCGAAAAACCACCCGAATCTTCCCATGTCGAATTTGGATTGAGTTTGCATTTGCCTGCGTCGGAATCACTGCGATTACTGGACTTGGGGACGAACGTTTGAGATATGTGGCCCGAGATACCCAGCTCGCCCCATGCGGGCTTATTCACACCTACACATTACGAAATTTCTTTTATTCGCTACACGACTTTTTAACTACCTATCGGCTTTTTCTTTCCCTTTCTACGTTGACGACCTGGATGCCAGCGTCATTTTGGTGCTGCGTTTGAGACATTTTTGATACCTTGAGGCTGGAACGCCCCCGCGCGATAGTGAAGGAGACGGAGTGAGCCGGAGAGAGAGAGGAGAGGGGGAGGGGAGAGCAAGAAGAAGGAGGGTCTTTGGTACATGATCGCACGCCTGATGCGTTTCCGCCTGCTTCTGCGCTTGATCGGAGAGGATCCTGGATCGGGAGGCCTTCTTGCGAGGGAGTACATTTTTCGTGTCCTATGTTGTCAGGACTTATTGATGGATCAAGTTTCCGAAAAGACAAAACAAAGAACACAATTTATTAATAAGAGGGTCGGTCGAGTCCTTGGAGCATAACATTGCCCTTCACATATACCAAGACTGGAATAAGACATGAGATGTGCACATGATATTTAACAATTCCATTGCCGGCTCTTGTGGTTGCAGTGAGTTGTAGGCCAGTAACAAGTTAACGGTTTGACAGCAAGCCTTGACGTTGACAGGTCTTACATGAAAATGTGTAGCGCATCACTAAGGAAGCTCCTGACAGATTGTACATCGTATCCAGCTGCCTAAATATGCATTTCTCGAACTTATTGCATACTTTCCGGCCGCCAAGTAGAGCCACATCCATAGTCCACGATCCGTGCCCCCTTCGCAAGCCCACACCCTTCTCGACATCCATTATCCATTACCGCGGAACTGGCCATCCCGCGGTTTCTAGAGGCCGTCAATAGGCCGGAATGCTCTCTGGATTGCAAGCCTCTGGTGATCAAGCGCGGCAAGCTCGCATTTCTCCGGCGCGCTGATAAAGAAGACGACACTGATGACAGCAGTGTATTCTGACAGCGCTCCTTTTGCACATGTTCTCCGAGCCGTGACCATTAATGTTACGGAGAACGGTTGAGGAACACCCCTTGAAGAGGATCTTGAGATACCAGATCGAGACTCCTGCCGTGATGATCAGTGAGTCCGTCTCAGAGGTCACAAGGAGTGAGAGGAGGCCAGAGCACACACGCATTCACGGTTCAGCAATGACCTGAAACAGAGCAAGAGGAGTCTCTTCGGACCATATCCAGTCCAACGAAGCCCTCGACGAGAGCTTCAGTTGTTCCATCAAAAGCAAACCCCCAGAACGCCATGCGAACACAACGTGAAAAGCAAACATAGACAATCGTGATGCGTCCATAGAAAGGTGGTGCTGCGCCGAGTGCAGGGAACCCGGTTTGAGCCCTTTCATCTCGTCCACTGGACCTCCTTCTTCACAAAAGGGACGCCCCTAGGCCCCACAAAGAAATGCACACATCCATGGCGATGAACCAAGCGGCGCGCGAGCCCGTCATCGAGCCAGAGAATAGCAACTTCAATACGGATTATGCCCGTCCATAAACACGCCATGCATATCCTTACACTGCGCTCCACCACGTGAATGATGCAAATGCCGCCACTCGATGAAAGTGATGGGCCAGCATCAGTCGGACTCCAAAATGCCACCCCACCCAGAGGGCCCCATACACCGATGCGTGCATACCGCCCACCATTCGTCACCTCATCTAGTCATACCTTTCCTTCGCAAGTCAGATAGTCCCCCAACCATCACACAGTTGCGAACCTCCTGGGCGTGCGGCCTGCCCACTAGGTAGCCTTGTCGTGCCCATCGTTGAGCAACAGCTCCAGCACGATTTGCACGCCGGGCGAGCCCGGCTTCGACTCGGGGTGGCTCATGGCAATCTTGACCGTGCCCTTGGAGTCAGCTGAGCCGGCTGCCACAGCGCCCGCGCCGACACCACCGCCACCCGTGGGTCCGCGGCAGCCTTGATCCAGCACACGGACGTCACGGCCGGCCACGATCTGCCTCAGCCGCCCGTTTTCGGCGTTGCGCACCTCCACGTAGTCCTCGTTGAAGAGGAGGAGGTACTGCCCGAACATGGTCGCGCCCCTCGCCTTCTTCTGCTTGCCCGAGTACTCCATGATCAGCGTCCTCGAGACTTCGCCGTGTTTGTCCACATACACGGCGCAATCCTCGTAGGCGAGTAGGAACTCCTGGTCGTTCAGCTTGAACATGCCCAGCGGGCGCTGGTCACGGATCCGGTTGGCGATGTTAGCGATGGCCGGCAGGTTGAGCCCGCTTGGGACAGACATGGTCTGCTTCTTGTCTAGGGTCAACATCTCGAACCCCTTGGCCGTTGCCACCGCAACGTACGACTGGAACAGGTTGAGCGAGTAGCATTCAGTGGGGAGGTAGAATTCGTCGAAGTCGCGGAACGTCTCGGTGGAGCCGGCTCCGCCGCGGCGGCCGCCGAAAATCCGTGGTCGCTTCTCCGAGGACCGCTGGAACACAGGCTCGAGGACTTTGAACGTCGTGTGCATGCCCTCTTTGCGCTTGTAGAAGACGAGCGTGCGTTCCTTCATACGTGCCGTTGCGAAGAAGGTCACGTCTTTGGCCAGGCGTTGCGGTGCCTTGCGGGCGCTGTCATTGCCCGTGGCGGGGAAGTTGGCTGTTGGCGCGATGATCTCCAGGGGATATGCGATCAAGGACCTATCTGCTGTGACTAGACACACGGAAAACTCATCGAGGACAGCTATTTGTGTTACCCTGCTGATTTGGACAGACTTGGGCATGGTCAGTATTTGGTATGAACACAATCAAGATCGCGTGGTACTTACCCTGGTCCAGCCGCGTGGATTAGATGTTTCGGAAATAAATACGCCATAATCCGTCCCTATCGCGATCAAGGACTTGCCAAATGCCGTGAAGGTCGTGGCACAGTTCACCTGAGCTCTGCACACGGGTGGCGGCCGGCCGGTGCCATAAACTTGCTCGATCTCGCGGATGGCCCGATCAAGGGGAGTGCCCTGAATAGCAACACCTGGCGCCTTACCTGCCACAGAAAATGAGTCGTAAGCAAATGCGCCATCCGCCAGGACACGCAGGCGGAATGGCTCTGCGTTCTGTGCATGCAAAGCCCTCGCGTGTTGCTCCTTGGCCTCGATAATCTTCGTGCACCAAGCCGCCCGCTCGTTTTCAGATTTCGCAAACAAAGTGTACACTTCATGACCCAGGTGCTTCACCCTGAAAGGCCACAAAATGTTGTCCGGATCAGAGCTCGCAGTATTAATGCGAGTCATAGAGCTCATCGAGGACCCCGATTGGGTGTGTTCCAGTACAGGACGATCCGAGACACCGGTGAGAGTTTTGTTGACCGCGGCCCCAGGTCCGTTGGCGACGGCCGCATTTCGTGCCAAAGGCGCTGTAATGCCCTTTTGCTTCGAGATCGGCGCATCGTCCTTGCTCTCAAGGAAAAGTAAAGGCATAGGAATTGGCTAAGAAGTGTTAGTATGCAGATATTTGTCACAGCGTAGACATATGTTAACATACCTCTTTCGACACATCATACTTCTTGTCTCGACCATCCTTGGAAGGGTACTCCTTCGCCAGGATGAAATAGTGGTCGAAGAGTAGAGCGTGCGTGTCGACCCATCGCACGCCTTTGGATCCCATCCTCGCCAGGTCACCTCTGTGGATCAGCTGTCTTCCTAGGTGGTCCAGATTCAGAACCGACTGGAACCCAGGTCGCAAAATCAACGCTGTTTGCAGGGTGTGGAGATCAACCTTGCCCTTGCTGCGGGCGACTGCTTCATCACACTTCATAGTGACCGCCCTGATCTCGTCGATTGCCTTGGTCAAGTTGGCCTTCTCTTCGCTGTCTTGTACCATTTTCTTGTGGCAGGTCTGCAAGAGAAGACTATACCTCTGCAGACGGGTAATAGGCGACTTCAGGAATGTATCCCAGCCAAGACGATTCGATCGCTTGTGACCTCGTACATGCTCTAGAAATTGGGCGAATAGCACGTTACGTGAGGCCTCCTTGCGCACTGCCAGTTGGGCTAGAGGATAAGCCGTAGAGAATTCCAGGTACGGCAGCTCTGCTTTGCGAATCCACTCCCGAAAGATGTCAGAAAACCCAACAATCCAGGGCCCTTGCTCATTCTGACGGTACTTCAACTGGGCGAGCAAGTATTCCTTGTTGACTTGTTGAATCGCATCAAACTTGCCAAAGACCTTGTCTACAAATCCGTTGATTTTTGCAGGCGGGATGATGGGCGGTTGCCATGCACGTAGCTGGTCTTTGTAGAGAAGCCGGATGACGTCCAGTTGGCTCATATAGTCCTCTTCGCCGGTAACAACCTCATGGAGGATGTTTTGCCGTTCAATCTCTTTCGCTGCCTTATCTTCTACCATAGACTTATCAAGCTTGTAGTATGTCGCCCAATCAGCATGTGTTGTTGACTCTTCCGTCATGAGGTCGTCCAAACTGGCCTTCTTGAGTGTTCTTGTGCAGTGGTGAGAGTAGCATCTGCCAGCAATCTCGATTTCATGGACTTTTGGCGCATAGCATCCGGAGCCTGTCAATTGCCACAAAACGCCCGACAAAGATCCAGGGCCAAATTTGGCCCATTCTTCTTCTTCAATAAGGATGCCAGCGTCGTATAGCCGGTCCGTAACCATGGTACTCAGAGTCTCTGCGTCGGCGACATTCATAGTTGGTACTTTTGTCGTGAAAAGCTTGACCAGGCCTTCTTCGATGGATTTCCGCTTCAGGTCAGGCTCGCCTTCAGCCATCTCACGGAGCCAATTGGCGATGCTGCTCAATGCCCAAGGCTCGGCACAACGTCGAACGTCTGACGAGGACAATTTCTCTGGTACGAATCTTTTCTTGCGTCCGGTTGGCAGGGTTATCATATCGTAAGCCACCGAGGATGGTGTACCAGACTCGTAGCCTTCGTGAAGAGTACCAGGGTGCAGACCGAGCTGCTGTTGCTGTTGGGCCCTGAGTGCCTTCTTCCTCTCTTCTGCCGCGTCTGTTCTTGACCGCCCAGGTACCTGGACGTGTGGCGTATTGCTATGACTGGACAGCGAGATCGACCTCTCAACCTGCTGCTGAGTGAGTTGGCCTTGAACCCCATCAGCACCAGCTGCTCTCGAGTCGGCACTGAGCGAATAACCATGCTGGTAGGGTGCACGATTTGGTGACTGCACCGACAACAACGAACTTGTGTCGGATCCTGGCGGCAAGGCAGGTAATGGGCGATTTGAGAGTCCAGGATGAAAGAACAGATCCGGAAGATCTTCCTTAACGGGCGATTCACTAGCGCTTGCTCTGGAGTGCAGAGACACACGCTCATCGCCTTCGTCGAAGCTGAGCCGCTGGGTTGTTGGAGCTTGCAAACCACCCGTACCACCATAGTCCATGGCCGCACCGTAGTCTGCATCGCTGTCGTCATCAGGGTAAGGCGGATCTTGGTCGACCGGTGGCGGTGGCAGAGGTCGCTCGCGGTTCTGAAGCGAGGTTGACCTCGCTGGAGGAGAGGTCACATCATTTCCATAAGTCAAGTTGCCCGCATAGCCACCACTGAAGAGCCCGATGTCCATCCCAGCAGCATATTCAATATCGCTGCCGCTAACCTGCTCCTCCGCGGGTGTCGGCAAGGAAGGGTTCATAATTGGCAGGGTAGACGTTGTTGAGAGAGGCGTATTACCGCTGAATCGCCTCTCTTCTTCCAGATCCTGTTCCATCTGCGCAAGACCAGCCGCCCCCTCCTGGTCACTCTCATCATCTTCCCAATCATAGGTTGCCGTCACGTTGTCATGGTTTAATGTTGACGCAGTCGAATCGTACCGCCTGACTCCACTACCGCCACCGGGTCCTTGCACGGTCGACGCACGCGAATCGTACCGTCTAAGCCGGTCCAGATCGTCATCCGACAGGTTATTGCCATTGATCGGCCTGGGCCGTTGTGCCCCCGCGTTCCCGCCCAGCTCAGCTTCGATGTCCTGCATGAGGCTATCCTGTGTCATGTAGTCATCGATAGGATTCCATTCATCATCCTCAGGGGCGTGGTCTACAGGCCGGCTCGGAAGAGGGGCATTCGTTGGATGTCTCGTAACGCCTCCGGGCTGGGTATGCGGAGGCGGAGATGGAAGCGCAGACATCTGCGAGTTGGAGCGAGACCTATTATCGCTGATGAAAGCATTGGGGTCTGCTGCAGAGTAGTTCGGTCCGACCGGCATTTGGATGTAGTTCGGGTACGGTGTTTGGGATGCGTAGGAGCCTTGAGGGGACGTGGTTCCGTTAGATGGGTAATTGCCCGCCCAGGTCGAGTGGAAGCCTGTTGAAGCTATAGACGGCGTTGAATGGGTTGAGTATTGACCAGGACTGGGCAGGCTGTTCCCGTACTGCAGATTACTACCTGGTGACTGAAGTACTTGTGGAGATGTGTTTCCATGATTATAGGTAGGGCTGTAGGGAGGGTTGGCCGACTGGCCGTACGAGGCGGCCGAAGGCTGGGACACTGTGGAATTGGTGTAGTTGTGGGCAAATGAGTTGTAGCCTTGGTAAGACGGCTGGCGCTGTGGTGAAGAGACACTTGCGTAGGCCGAGGGATCGTATGTGGGAGGTGTGTAGTTCGCGGGCTGGGGGGTGTAGCTCGTCGCGGTAGGCGCGGCGGGTGAAGCATACCTTGAAGCGGGGTGGTAAGGCAGAGTTGATTGCGATCTTCCAAAGTCTTGTGGGTTGTATGTTGATGGGGTCGGAGGGGCCTGGCTATGATACCGCTGGTGGCCGGCGGAGCCTGTCGGACTCGTCATGAAGAGTTCGGCTTGCCTCGTCGGGTCGGACTCTCCCTGGCGATCGGGGTCGATGAGGGTAGCATCGTCGCCGGCGTTGAAGCTATTTGCCCTCGCAGGGTAGGCGTGCTGCTCTTGCCCAGGGACTGGGTATTGTATCGGCGGCAAATGGCCATACCGGCGGCCGCCGTCTCCTCTGAAAGACATGCTGGCGTTCGCTGTCGCCGTCGCAGTCGCGGTCTCAGTTACTGTCGCAGTCGCAGTCGCGGTCCAGTTCACGTACAAGCCGAGAGTAACTGTTGTGGCAGATTTCGCGTGACGTCAACCGGGTCGCAAAGACGAGAATGGTTTCGTGATGTCCAAGCAGTCACGCTGGCAGAGACTCGCCCGGGGCAATCTGTGCGTTCGCCGGGAGGGGATGGCGGTCGATCGGTCAATCGGTGGGTTTCGGTGAGGAGGAGCAGGCCTTCATAGATGTCGTATAAGGCGACGCTGGCGAAAAGTAGGCACCTAAGCCCCAGGCACTGGGCTGAGCGCACAAGTTGGGTGGGCCAGATGGGGATTCGCGGTCCGCGGTGGAATGCGGATGGAGAAGCGCAGAGGCAGGGTAATGCAGATCGCCGGCTCGTCGGTATGACAGGACTTCTGGAAGCTCTCAACTCGACAGCCTTGTGCGGCTTGTGCAAGAATCCTTCATCGCCGTGTCCGCGCGTGGGTTCGCTCTTCGGCGGAGGGAGGCCCCCAGCTCACGAGGCCGTGGCTGTGTGCAGGGTGTAGTCTATATGATTGGGTATCGAGTCGCGCAGCCGGTCTTGGGAGTGAGGAGAACCCAAGCAACCTTTACGCAGGACTGGACAAGGCAGGAATGGACAGCAGGACCTTGCACTGGGTTTATCGATGGGAATGATGGCCGGATCTGATGTTGATGGACGGCAAAAAAAAGAGCGTGATGGAGACTGGGCGCATCCGACTTGGGGAGCAGATGGGATGGGCGGGCGGCCAGGTGCTGTCAGGCAGTTGGCAGCTCAGGTCATCGACCTTGGGACCTTGGGGAGCCTTTTGGTGTTGGACGGTTTAGTGGCAGCGGGCACGCTTCTTCGCCAATCAAGACCGTTCTTGGTGTACTGCAGATACTGTACCGCATACCTATCTAGACCTAGTAGTCACCAGCCAGATCAGATCAAATGCGACCTGGCCGAGAGATCCAGGACAAGAACGGAGACTTGGCCGACGGAAGATCAGGAGCACCAAGGGTACTTGTGTCTCGCCGCACTTCTTCACGCCGTCCAAGGTATTCTGATACGCTCCAACTGGAGCTGCACATGTCACTCCCTGCCCAGAGCCTGCTGCCGATTCTGAAGCACCGTCACTGTCATCAATTGGCCCTCATACGAACATGGGGCTGCCAATTTCTGGAACCCACGGGTGGGAAACCTGTAATTATACCCCATACATCCTGACAGCATGGCAGTACTGGCAGGATCGTCGTTTAATAGTACTGTAATCTTGCCATTTCCTGCAGTTACGTACAGTACACACCATACACGCTGCATGCTACTGTGGTCAAACCGAGGTCGAATCGCCTGCGCGCACTCTCGCATCCGGCCTGGCGGTTCTGCGGCTCCAGCTCGAGCCTTGTATGAAACCAGCCTTGTAAGGGTCCTTTTTGGACCCATCATAATGGGACGAGCAAAGCACAAACTTGGAGCCAGCCTGGCCAGCCTGGCGCCAGCCAGCCCAGCCCTCTCGTGTCTTCCGAAGTCCAGAGCTGGCCCCAATCTTGTTAAATCGATCATACCAGTCGGTGACAGCGCATTTTCGTCGTCCACACATCGCTGGAACCGCCTGTGAACGCACACCCACTAGCCTGACATTTAGGCTTACAACGGCTCAACTTAGGCTCGTTTGAAGCATATGCCCCATCCAACGGTGTAGGCCGCAGGGCCTAGGCCCAGAGCCTAGATCTTACCGAGAAGACGGGTTTCTGGGGAAGCAGCTGAGGCTGGATCGAACCAGATTGACCTTTCTTCAGACCACACTCCGGCCTGGAAGTGCCGGGCTGACTTGTCGCCTGGTCCAGCAGGTAAACAGCCTGACTACCAGGCAGGATGTGAAACACTTTGAGGCTGGCTGCTCGCTGGTCGTGACCTGTCCACCTTGGTGGCGATTTGCTGTGCTCGATAGACCAGCTAGATAGTTTCAAGGCATTTTAGCCTTCTGGAGTGAATACTGCCTGGCTGCCTCCGTCACATGAAAGTTCATGTTGTCCAGAGGGCCTGAGCCTCAGCCTGCCCTGCTGCCCGCCATGGTACAGCCACATTCTGCCAACACCCATGAATGTGGCACGGCAGGAGGGGGGCGGATCGCGTGCTACAATGTTGATAAGACGCTCAGACACAGCTACTCCTTGCGAGCATCGGCGGAGGAACCGGGCTGTTACTATTAACCCCGAGCCGGTAGCTGCCGGAGCTCCCGTAGTGGACCCTTCTGCGCCAAAGAGGACAGACGCGCAGCAAGAAGACATAATCTGGACTGAAGAGGCGGAGCGTACCCTACACATAGTGAATTGGCCTTGTCTCTCGAAAGGTCCGCTCGGATCGGCATAGGTTTCGCGTATGTGCCGAGGTGCTTAATAGTCCGCGTAGTACAGTAAGTAGCATATAGCAGTCTGAACCGGTCAGTTAGAGGTGAAGGTCTCCTCAGGTGGGGCTGCGTCCCAATGACGAAAGCGAGCTGCCCGCCCCCTCATCAACAGCGAAGGCCGATCGGGGAAGAAAGCTTACCAAGACGACTTCGGATCTCCACCTGAAGCATAAACTGGCACCGTCCCCAGCTTCTACCGCTTTCTCCTGCCAAACCTCCTCGTCGTCAAGCAAGAAAGCCAGATCACCAATTGCCCTCATCAAGAATCACTAAACACCAGCTACACAACTAAAACAGCCAAAATGGTCAAAGCAGGTGAGTGAGATCCAGAGTTCATATATATACACATAGACCCCGCAGAGCTGTCAAGCTTGTTTGTTTGGCGACTCAAGTGAGGGGGTGCATCCAAGCCCATCCTGGGCACCTTGATGGGCCTCGAGAAACGTTCTCAAGCACCCTGATGGCCACATCTTGCAGTCATAGGCCCATCCATCATCCTTGACACAGAGCGCCGTCGAGACTTGCCTCGCAGATCTCTATACGCACATTTTCTTGAGCCCAAGCTACCCCTCCAGGTGTCTGGACAACCCGCTGACATCAGTCCGTACGCATACAGTTGCTGTCGTCCGTGGTGACTCCAAGGTCTCCGGCACCGTCACCCTCGTGCAGGAGTCCGAGTCTGCTCCCACCACCATCTCCTGGGACATCACTGGCAACGACGCCAACGCCAAGCGTGGCTTCCACATCCACACCTTTGGTGACAACACCAACGGCTGCACGTCTGCCGGCCCTCACTGTGAGTAGTACCTGAGACGCGGTCCTGCCCGAGCCCGAGCCCGACCCCGACCCGACGTCCGACTGTCCTTACACTAACCTCTACTACCTACTAGTCAACCCTCACAACAAGACCCACGGTGCTCCCGCGGACGAGAACCGCCACGTCGGTGACTTGGGCAACATCGAGACCGATGCTCAGGGCAACGCCAAGGGCAGCGTTGAGGACAAGCACGTCAAGCTGATCGGACCCGAGTCCGTCATCGGCGTACGTTCAAGCCCCTCAAGTTTACATACTTGGTCTACAATCGAGATGGTAACTGACACAATCCACAGCGAACTGTCGTCGTCCACGGCGGTACCGATGATCTCGGAAAGGGTGACAACGAGGAGTCGCTGAAGACTGGCAACGCTGGTCCCCGTCCTGCTTGCGGTGTCATTGGCATCTCCAACTAAGTACATCCTCTCGACCATGATATTTCAGGTACTGGATATTGTGCTGGGTCCGAGAAATTGTATGGTTCCTACAGCGCTGTTGGCTCTGCCCAACATAGTGACGGACCCAATCGCGATGGTAGCCTAAAAATACAACTCTGGACCTAAGAGAATCTGTCCCAAAAATGTCTAGGCCACTTGGTGATGTGCTTAACAATGACTGTTGTTTGAATGTACTGTATATGGCAGGCACACACTTGATTGTGTCTCGACAGCCAGAGATCCACAGCTCTGAGAGCTAGAATTGCGCTCTGCCTAGAGCTAGCGTATGTGTCCAGTAGCTAGCTATATCTGAGATGTGGGTTTGCGAGGTGTAGAATCTCAAACATAGTGATATAGCAGCTATAAGCATGGCTGTATCTGCAAACTTCTAGTTCATTCCATCTGCATTGCGCCTTCTGAGGCACAGTCACCATCATCGATGTTGCTTGCCCCTCACCAGACGCAGAGCTCCCTGGCTCCCTGGCCCAAAGCTGCTTGCCGTATGTGGATTAGCGGCGAGAGCATAGTTACCAGGCACAGTTAGCGCTGAGACGTTGACCCCACGTTGGAGCTCACTGGCCCACCAGAATTCTGGACCCTGACGACGGACATCTGGCCAGAAGGGAGGCACACGACACCATCATCAAACGTCCAGATCGCCTCGTGACAACAACCCCTTCCTTCTCTCTTCAGAAAATTGCTTGTCTCTTTGCAGTCAATCAATTATCACAAAATCAAAAATACCTTAAAATATCGCATCCTTTCATTGCTTGTTTGGAATCCAGGTATGTTTTCTGGCTTCTGTTTGTGACAATCTGAGCACGCATGTCCTCTTCCTGTCCACATTCCCCTTTCCACCGACTACATTGATGCAGGCGACTGGTGCTCCTCGGGGACATAAATGCTGTGTTCATAAGGCAAGGGCATTTGTCACGGTATGGATACCCTTCTAGTCTATCCAGGCCTGGCACTGGCATGACACTGTTTGGGTCCATTCAGTGAGGGTTGTCTTAGGACTACTTTTGACAAGGAGAACAACTCACCTTGCGAGCCCCACGTTTGACCAGGTCAGAGCTGGTCTGGCCCAATCACTTGCTCCCAGGACTCTTTATACCACGAATTGGTCGAGTTTGACTCTTGAGACACCTGTTCCATCAAGTTACATATAGCCCCTTGGGAAAGCCTCTGGCACAACCCCTCAGACTGCAGACGACCCTTGTCACCTGATTCATTCTTCCACACCAAGTCAATTCACAATGTGGACGAGAACAAATCACTGACTGCTTCTCAGGCACTGTCACAAGCTCTGCTGATTCCAAATTCCACTCTTTACGGTATCCCTGACTCCAGTCATCGTCATTGCAAACATGTCCAAGCCTCTGTATGCCACTGTCAAGTCCGTCTTGAGCGGCGATACATTGGTTCTTGCGAATCCTCAAAACCCAGCTGCTGAACGGATTCTTTCTCTCGCCTATGTCAGCGCTCCTCGCCTGAGCAAGGATGGCGACGAGCCGTTTGCTTTCCAGTCCCGAGAGTTCTTGAGGAATCTCACCGTGGGAAAGCCCATCCAGTTCACTGTTCTATACACGGTACCGACCTCGCAACGAGAGTACGGAACGGCAAAACTCCAAGATGGCACTGAATTCCCTGATGAGCTGATCAAGGGCGGCTGGGTCAAGGTCCGCGAAGATGCCGGCAAGAAGGAGGACAACGAGGACCTTCTGCAACGACTCGACCAGCTCCGTGAATTCGAGACCAAGGCTAAGAACGAGGGCAACGGTCTTTGGGCTGGCACTGGTGGTGTGATCGAGGTCCAAAACGACCTTGGCCACCCGCAGTTTCTGGATGAGTGGAAGGGCAAGACGGTGGATGGCGTTGTCGAGCGCGTTTTCAGCGGCGATCGCCTCCTGGTTCGCATTCTGCTCTCGGACAAGAAGCACCTTCAGATCATGACTCTTGTTGCCGGTATCAGAACTCCTGCCACTGCCAGAACAATTGTCTCAACGGGCCAGACCCAGCCATCCGAGGAGTTTGGTGATGAGGCTAAGGCATTCGTCGAGAGGAGACTGCTTCAGCGGTCCGTAAAGGTCGAGATGGTCGGAGCAAGCCCTCAGGGCCAACTGGTGGCCACTGTTCTGCATCCCAATGGAAACATCGCCGAGTTCCTCCTCGCAGAAGGTCTCGCCCGGTGCAACGATTTCCATGTCACCTTGCTTGGCGACAGAATGCCTTCACTGCGCGCTGCAGAGAAGAAGGCTCAGTCATCCAACCTTAGACTGCACAAACACCACGTTGCCAAGGAAGCAGCAAAGGAATCCGAAATGACGGTCTCGAAAATCATCAGCGCCGACACCATCATTGTAAGAAACAAGAACGGCGAAGAAAAGCGGATCAACCTCAGCAGCGTCCGTGGCCCACGCACAAACGAGTCATCAGAGGCGCCGTTCAGGGATGAGGCAAAGGAATTCCTGCGGAAGAAGGTGATCGGCAAGCATGTCAAGGTGGCTGTTGATGGGTCTAAGCCCGCTTCCGATGGGTATGATGCTCGAGAGGTTGCGACTGTGACCCAGAACGGCAAGAACATCGGCCTGCAGCTCGTCCAGGAGGGTTTGGTCTCAGTCATTCGACACCGCAAAGACGACACCGACCGGGCTGCCAACTACGATGAGCTTCTGGCTGCACAGGAGAAGGCCAAGGAGGAGAAGAAGGGTCTCTGGTCAGGCAAGGCACCCAAGTCAAAGGTTCTGGTCGATGCGTCTGAGAGCCTTCAGAGAGCCAAGATGAACCTGGGCTCCCTTCAACGACAGAAGAAGATCCCTGCAGTCGTTGATTTCTGCAAGTCCGGTTCCCGTTTTACTGTGCTCATTCCCCGCGAGGGCGTCAAACTTACACTGGTCTTGGGCGGAATTCGTGCGCCACGAGCCGGTCGTTCGCCCGAGGAGAAGGGTGAGCCATTCGGAAACGAAGCCCTGGAACTTGCAAACAAGCGGTGCAACCAGCGGGATGTCGAGGTCGATATCGACGACACGGACAAGATCGGAGGCTTTATTGGTGACCTGTACGTTGGCCGCGAGAGCTTTGCGAAGATACTCGTCGAAGAGGGTTTTGCCTCTGTGCACCAGTACTCAGCAGAGAAGTCTGGCAATGCAGCAGAGTTGAACACAGCAGAGCGGAAAGCCAAGGAGGGACGTAAGGGCATCTGGCACGACTGGGACCCATCTCAAGAACAGGAGGAGGAAGAAGCTGCACCCGCTGAGACTGCGGCGGTTGATGCCCCTGTCAACATCAAGAGGGAGTACCGGGATATTGTCATCACCAACATCGACCAGAACGGCAAGATCAAGATCCAGGAGGTTGGCAAGGGCACTGCGGCGCTCGAGCAAATGATGTCCTCGTTCAGGAAGTTTCACCTCGATTCCAAGAACAACGTTGCCCTGAAGGATACGCCAAAGGCTGGAGACATCGTCTCGGCCAAGTTCTCCGAAGATGGGCAGTGGTACCGGGCACGCATACGATCCAATGACAGAGCCAACAAGGTTGCGGAGGTCGTTTACATTGATTATGGCAACACGGAGAAGATCCCCTGGGCGAAGCTGCGGCCACTCAACCAGGCCGACTTCGGCACGCAGAAGGTGAAGGCTCAGGCCATCGACGCGTCACTTTCCTTGGTCCAACTGCCTACGGCCCCAGAGTACCTCAATGACACTATCGGCTTCATTGGCGAGGTGACGGAGGGCAAGACGATGGTGGCTTCCTTCGATTATGTCGACCAAAAGGAGGGTGTAAGCTACATTACGATCTACGAGTCTAGCGGATCGCCGAAGCCGCACGAGTCTCTGAACCGCGAGGTGCTTCTCAACGGACTTGGCTTGGTGCCCAAGAAACTGAAGGCATGGGAGAGAAGCCCTGTGTTTGCCGACACGCTCAAGGAGTACAAGAAGTCTGAGAGCGCAGCCAAGAACGACCGCCTGGGAATCTGGGAGTACGGTGATCTTACTGAGGACTAGGGAGACAGTTGGATACTGGTGTGACGAGCTCTTGTTGCTCCTGACATTCACCACCTCTATAGTCTCATTTTGACCTCTGAGCAAAGCGAAGAGACATGAGAATGGACGGATTGGGAATGAGGGTGAGAAAATAAAAGCACTCGTAAAGCATAGGGTGCACATATGACCTTAAACCCTGCTCTATAAAAATTGGCGAGGCACCTTCTCATAGCATGGCATTGTTTCACATTGTTACACAGTCATAGTAAAGAGGTTATCATTATTACCAAGCCCAGCCTCTGTCACAATCTCAGCCCGCGGAGGTTGTTTGTAATAGTCTCAGGGTGAGAGTGTCCGTTGCCATGGCATTTGGGCGAGCGGATGAATGCTCGCGCTTCGGGCTAGAAGGGCCGAGCTGAGTGCTCCAGCGGCGCCCAGATATTTCAAGATATCCTGTCCCGGGGCTTCCGTCCAGATTGCGACAAAGTTGCACCATGGGGGTGATAAGTTAGTGTGACTAAATACAAAACCCAGTAGCAGACTACTAAAATTTTCCAGTAGCCGCGAGGTATCCCGCGTTTTGACGTCGCAACAACTCATGTTACACTTTAGCCTGAGTAAGCGACCACCCACCCACCAGTGTGTCCCTACAGGCCTGACAGGCCGTGGAGACGTGAATGCAGCTAGCTGTGCCGCATGAGGCCAGGCTGGAGGGGTCCTAGCAATGCCTCCAGTTCCGTTCCAATGGGCAGGGTCCTAGTTCAGTAGTGGGGGTGACCCTGGCCTGCCCCTCCCTCAACGGTCTGAGGTGTGCGTCGCCGACTGCGACCAACATGGAACTCGAACTTGGACCTGGACCTGGGCCTGCATCTGTGTCTCTGTGTCTGCACGTGGAGGCGAAGGGGAATGGAAGTCGAGGAACAAGAAGAAAAACCAATTCTGCACTGTCAAGAAGGCCAGAGTAAATTAGAGAGCCTGCAGACAGGCCAATTGACAAATACTACAGTACTTAATTGTACACACGGGTGCCCCGAGCTCAGTGAGAGGGAGTGGTGGGGGGCGAATATCGTCATGGGCCCGTAAATCTGACTTGCCAAAGAAGTGGCCATTGAGAGCGGAAAGATGGCCCAGGAGGTGGAAAGCTCCAAGTCACCCCGCCATTCGAATAAATACCTCTCTTGTCTCATCGCACGTCCTAGTCAGTCCCGACTAACAACACACCTACAATCTCTATACCCAACCAACCTCTGATCAAATCTTCATCCAGACACATAACCAAACAGAAACACTCACACTCTCATCATGTCGAACTCCCTGGAACAGCTCAAGGCCTCTGGCACCGTCGTCGTCTCCGACTCTGGTGACTTCGCCTCCATCGGAAAATACAAGCCCCAGGATGCCACCACCAACCCCTCGCTCATCCTCGCCGCGTCTAAGAAGGCCGAGTACGCAAAGCTGATCGATGAGGCCGTTCAGTACGCCAAGCAGTCCGGCGGCGATATCGACACACAGGTGGACGCCGCTCTCGACCGCCTGCTGGTCGAGTTCGGCAAGGAGATCCTCAAGATCATCCCCGGCAAGGTCTCCACCGAGGTTGACGCCCGCTTCTCCTTCGACACCAAGGCCTCCGTTGACAAAGCCCTGCACATCATCGACGTAAGACCCAGAATTACTGCTCAGACATGCTAGTACGAGAAGGAACCGTCGCTGACTCTTTGTGCCATTAGCTCTACAAAGCTCAGGGCATCCCCAAGGAGCGTGTCCTGATCAAGATCGCCTCGACATGGGAGGGTATCAAGGCCGCCGAGATCCTGCAGCGCGACCACGGCATCAACACCAACCTGACCCTCATGTTCAGCTTGACCCAGGCCATTGCCGCTGCTGAGGCCGGTGCCTTCCTGATCTCTCCTTTTGTTGGCCGAATCCTGGACTGGTTCAAGGCCCACACCAAGAAGGAGTACGCCAAGGAGGAGGACCCCGGTGTCGAGTCGGTCAAGAACATCTTCAACTACTACAAGAAGTACGGCTACAAGACTATTGTCATGGGTGCTTCTTTCCGCAACATTGGCGAGATTACCGAGCTGGCTGGATGCGACTACCTCACCATCTCCGTAAGTTGATACCTACACCCCACCTGCCTCTCCGATCCCGGAGGTCTCGGACAGAATACTGACGTTGCTGCCAAAATAGCCCAACCTGCTCGAGGAACTCATCAACTCCGACGCCGCCGTCCCCAAGAAGCTGGACTCCTCGGCCGCCTCCTCGCTCAACATCGAGAAGAAGTCGTACATCACGGACGAGGCCACCTTCCGCTTCGACTTCAACGAGGACCAGATGGCCGTCGAGAAGCTGCGCGAGGGTATCAGCAAGTTCGCCGCCGATGCCATCACGCTCAAGGACATCATCAAGAGCAAGATCCAGGCATAATTGGTTTTTTCACAAAAGTTGGGCGGCATAGATAAACACACGAGGATGGGAAATGATACCGTATATAGCAGGCGCTTATCAGGATGTCTAAAAGACGCCTTGGGCCCAAATTGAAATCAACTGAATTGCCAATCTTGACACCCTGGAGATGAAAAGATATGTATGTGAGTGGAAGATTCCGCATCTATGAGAGTGAAGTGGCATGATGATTTGCAGCAGGGCAGAACAAGCTCAGAAACAAGTGATTGGGTGGATGGATCGTGTGGTTTCGTAGAGGTTATTTAAGCCTATCACCTGGGACGATGTAAATTTGTCCTCGGGGCCCAATTAACTTGACAGTACCTGTATTCTTATAGTGTGATGCTACTTGTAATTATACAAGAGTCTCATCTAGCCTTGGTCTGGTCTGGTCTGGTGTCTATAACCATCCAAGCCACCCAACAGCCAACCCGCTTTATTACCCAGAATTGAGGCTCCATAGGGGAACGAATCACTTTAAACACCTCCAACGCCGATGCCCCACCGGTTTTGTATGCCATCCCAAGCCCGTGATGCAATTATGCCGCTCACACACTCACTGCCTCCCCCTCACGGCTCCACGGCCTTCTCGCACTTGACCTGCGTGATGCCGTGCACGACGCCCTCGGGCCGGGCCTCGATCACCAGCGCCGACAGCTTCCGGCCGTAGACGCATCCCGAGTCCAGGCCGAACGTGTGGCCCTTACCGTTGCCGTAGGTGTCGGGCACCGTCAGCCCGCTCTTTGCGTCGTGCCCGTACACGATCGTCATGCCGCTCAGCTCCTTCTCCACGGCGGTCTGCTGTCGCCGCTTCTTGTCCTTCTTGTTATTTTTCTTGCTGGCGTCTACGTCTCCGGGCTTGTTGTCGTCATTAGAAGTAGCAGCGGCGGCGGGAGCCTTCACCTCGGCCTCCGTCGTCGTGGTCTTTGCCAGCCGCTCCTGGAAGCGGTTCCACTCCTTCCACCACTTAGACCCCTCCCGCCCGTCCGTGGGAACCGCGACGTCGTCGCCCTCGTGGTCGCTGCTCAGGCCCTGCGCCTCCATGATCTTCTGCAGGAACTCGTCGACCTCGTCCTCGTCGATCTGGCTGTTGGCGACCATGCCCCTGTTCTTCTTCTCCGCCTTTTCCTTGAGCCACCTCTTCACCGCGTCTCTCCTCAGCTCATCCACCGGGTACACGAGCGTGCGCATCGACATCACCGCCCGGGGGTCCTGGTCGGCCAGTGACACGTTCGGCACCAGACCCGCGTGCACGACCACCATGTTCTCGAACGCGGGCGGGAGGTCCTTGTTGGAGGGGATGCGGCCGATCTTGAGGATCAGAGGGAGCTGGGAGAGCCATTCGAGCTGGCCCTTGGACAGCGAGCGCGCGGTCTGGTACTCGGGCTTGTCGCCGCGGTCGAGCAGGGCCTCGTTGGCGAGATACTCCTCCTTTGCGGCCTTGGGATCCTTGTCGTCCTTTTCCTCCTCATGCCCCTTCTCGTACACCTTCGTCTCGAGGTCTACCTTGTCGCTCATCGACTGTGGTGATTCGGAGTCCTTGTTCATGGCCATGCTCACATACAGCACGCGGTCCTCGTGGTTCCCCCTCACGGCGTGCGCGCCGAGCTCGATCGCCAGGTCCACCACGCCTGCAGAGTCCGGGCCCTTGTTAACGAGGTCCCCTGTCAGGATCAGGTGGTCCTTGGTCTTGTCGAAATGGACCTTGCCCAGGAGCTTCTCCAGGGCGGTCTTCTGGCCGTGGACGTCGCCTACTATCACCAGGCGTTTTGTCCGGCCATCCAGGCTGGGGATGTACTGCTCGGGCAGGTCGGCCACCAGCTTGTCGGGCATGCCCTTCATCGGGGGCCTGTGGGTCTTGCCGTAGCTCATGGGTGATATGCCGTCGAAAACCGTCGACAAATCGTCGTCAGGTTCCAGTGAAATTGGTTCCGGCTCGGGCCAGAGGAGAGAGTATGTAGTCGAGGATATCCTGCTGTAACTGAGGAGAAGTGTGAAGGACAAGATAGCAAGTACTGCGACAAGGATGCGTGGCAGTCGCGAGGAGGAATGGAAATCGGAAAATATTGACATGGTGGTGTTTGGTGTTGGCGGCTTTTGGGCGTTAGCAAATGCGTGCTGCGGTCACTGTCGTCATGTGAGTGGGGAAGACCCGTGTCGTCGAAGGTCTTCGTATAATGCGTGGGGAACGCGAGTACAGAACGGGATGATAATGAGGCTCGAGATAACGCTACTGCTGCTGAGTATGATGCTAATATCGTGAAAGACAACTCCCTCGTCGAAGCCTCAGGAAGTGTGGATGTACTGTATGTGTGGAGCGTGCCCAGAGTCCGGAAACAAGCAAGCCGATGTTGCAAAGCGAGGTTCAAGGCAATAGGCAGAAGGGACTGTTATGGTAGGCAATACAAAAACAAAAGGCCAGAAGAAATTGCAAGATGCGAAAGCAAACATCAATAGCAATCTGGCATTCAGCAGATATGGAAGAGTTCAGATATCCTCCCCTGCCAGCAGGATATGGATATTGATATTTGAGGAGAGATTGAGCCAAGATCATCAGCCACCTTCTTGGGCTGCTTGGACTGCACCAGGACCGGGGCTGCCTGCACGCCTTCCAAGGTTCTCTCGGCCCCGAACGGCAACTAACCACGCGACAGCCTACCCTCCATGGTACCACACACTTCAGGCGGCTAGCTGCCTAAGGTAGCAGTCGGAAACGATTACATCAGACCCAGTCTTCATCATCTTGGGCTGCCAATAGAATACTCACGCAGGGAAAGTCGACATCTTAGCATGACAGTTGATACATCCAGATAGTCACCCATGTAAATCTTCAGGCCTATGAATTGGAGAGCATCTTCGGGCGATGCTTGTCAGCATCATTCTGATATCAATTGTGGTGAGCGTAGTGTGTCTAGATATACACAGGTACTGTACACAGCTAGGTGCCGCTTTCCCGCCTTACAATCCATAAATCCGGCCCACAGGAAAGCACCATGAGTTGTCTCCCGCCTACTGTATCCGTAGTGACAAGCCTCAGACGCCTTCCAGAAGACGATGCATTGACTTTTGGCGGTGTGATCACATGCTCTTCTGACGCAGATCAGGATCTGTGCATTACGTATGGGCACTTCTGCACATCCGTGAGTGAGTCTGACAAGGCAAGACCCCACCGCTTGAGTCTTGGTGAACTTGAGCTGTCCCCAAGCCCTGGTATCAGAGCGAACGGATTTCTTGTCCAACGCCTTCCTTCTGTCCTTTTCACACATGTCCTGCGTCCATAATGTGTGGATCTCTTGTCTTCTGCGAGTGGGGTTTGGCGCCTCATCCGGAGATCTGTGGATATTTTCTTTCCCGAGAACTCCATACGCCATTCCATGCGTCAAGTCCAAAACGACGCATGGTGATCGAAACACGCCTCCCTTGATGCAATCTTCCGGCCCTCTTGATCACGGCTTTTTCGACTCGACCTCGTTCCGGTACTTTGCATTCTCGAGATCCCTCCAATCTGGGGGTGCTTTGCCGTCACCGGCCGTCTCGCCCCTGGTCCCACCAAATGCAGACTTGCCAGCGTACAGCTGGTACCCCTCGCCAGTGGCTTCGCTTTCTTGTAGGTTCTTGAAGGCCGCGGGCTGGTTGCCCCGGAAGCGCTTGCGCATGTCGATCATGCCGCGGCGGCACTCGCCAAACCCCTTCTTCAGCTGCTGGCATTTCGTGGGCAGCGTCTCGGCGAGTGGTGACCGGAGGCAGTCAGCGGCCGAGTTTCGCTGGACCATGACGCATTCGGATTCCTGGAGGCATTGCGCCAGGGCGGCTCCTGGAGAAAAGTGGAGTGATGTCAGTTGGGAGAAGCTTTTCGCATAATTGTAGTGGAACACGCGAGCAGGTGCGTACTTATTTCCTTACATGAGCTCGGCATGGCGGCCAGAGATCTGCGGAATCAGGTGTTGTGGTGATTGTCGCAAGAGGCTCTTCTTGACGGAGACAAGGTTGGGTGAAGAACCCGAGTGGCCCAAGCTCCCGTCGCCGCCAGTTTGGATGCGTGCAGCCACCCACGTAGTCTGAACATATCCATGGCTTCTTATTTACCCTGGCGCCCGACTTTCAGCCTCACCAAATCAAACATTACAGTTAGTTACTCGTCTATTATCTACATGTGATATTTGACTGCTTCCGAAGTCTCTGTCTCTCACAAGATGCACAGATTCAAAGCACCTAATGCTACTGCGTCATCTGCTCGTATGTGATGGCAACTCATAGTAAACTTGAGCGGCATTCAACTCAGTCGCTGCCGGAATATGACCTGGCATCTCCGTCAAGGGTATCTGGTGAGGCATCTGTCCCGCATATATCGGAGGATACTTCATCTCCTCGACACTGGACACCTGCCCTGCGCTGGAGGGGGGAGCTTCGATCCTGGCAAATGCGCCCTGCCTAGCCTTCTGCCGTCGTCGACGCATACACCAGATGCCTGCGCTGACGCCAAAACAGATACCTGCGATGGCAACACCAATCCCTACACCAATCTGTGCTCCCATCGATAGTCCGGCGTTTGAGGCTTGAGAGGACTCTGCTGACGCAGAAGCCGTCTGGGAACTCGCCGATGTGTCCAACGCAAGACTGCTGCTCGTGGGCTCGTCCGACGAGGTTGCCGTTGACTCGGCCGAGGAAGTTGTACTTGACCCACTCGAAGAAGCCGCCGTTGACGTCATGGATGAAGTCTCTCTAGAAGAGTCTGAAGAAGTCGTCGTGGTTGTGGCTGAAGAAGTTGTCGTTATCGTTGGAGAGGCGGTAGCAGTCGCGGTCGCGGAAGAGCCGAGCACGACGGTGGTTGCGGCACGTTCTGATACGTCAAACTGCCAATTGTCGGAATTGGCGCCCTTTCCGACGGCTGCTCCTGCGCTCGGCTTCAGGTTGAACCAGCATGGTGTATCAGAGCCGGTCCACGAAAGTTTGAGGAGAGCCGTGCTGTTGTAGCCACCCACGCCCTGGCTTTGTTTCTCTACCAAGAAGTGTGAGCATCATATGGCTCCCACTTCGCGGTTCCCGTGTCGAGGAGGGACTCGATAGACGAACTGAACTTACGAGAAACACTACCGCTGGCCGCTCTACAAAATGTGTAGAGGAATGGGGCGCTGAATTCCGATGTGTATTGCACTTGCACATAGTCGTTATAGTGCAATGTTGCGCCCTGGGTCGGAAATAGAAACTCGACACCGTTCGAAGGTGTCATAGCAGACACACACGCGAAAAATAAAGCCAGGAAAAGACCGGACGCCATGATAAACGGCGGGCGCGAAGCCATATTCACACCTAACCCCTCCAAAACTTCCAGGCTGGCAGAGCAAAGAAGAGAAGGCAAAAGAGAGGTTTCGGAGAAAAAGATTACCAAAAACCGCATTCTCTCCGTCGCAGTTTATTTTCCATCAACCACTGGTGCCTCTCGACCATCAGCGCGTGTGCAAGGGGGCTGCTTACTCTTGGTGGGGGCCAAGGCTCAGCTCATCTCCTCCATCCGGGGTCCTGCGCCCAATCGTACTCATAAAATTGGCTAGGATCTAAGGTAGGATTGGCCGATTGAAGGTCTAGAGGCCGTTCTGGCTGCATTAGTTTAATGATAATTCTCGTGGGGTCATCCTACTGTATTGTTAAGGTTAATCGTGTCGCAGGATCTCTTGGCTATGCTCTTCACAGCATACGCCCAAAGCTCTCCTTGCCACAACACCATACTCTTCAAGAGGGAGATATCCCACATTTCAGCAAAATCAGGCGAGGAGAGGTGACGTGACCAGCAAGGAAATCCCTCGCCCTCCCAGGCTTTGTTCTAACATTGTCTGCTTTATTATCGTCTGCTCGAAGATACGGCAGTCGACGAGGTCGTTCAACATCTTCACAATTCGAACAGGGACGATGGAATGACCGCGGGTCTTCGGAACTGCGGCCTGTCAGGGTACGGCAATCTGCCTTGGGACCTACGAAAGCTTCCGAAATGTCCAAGATGAGCCTCACACAGGGATGGTTAAGCCAAGCTGGCCATCAAGGCGGGCGAGTGCCAGCTGTGTGTCAACATCTCACGTGTCGTGGATGTTTTTCTACCTCGCGACCATGTCGATCAGCCTTGTGGCTGACAACACTCTTATTGGAGCCTCATGCAGTCAGCATGTCGCGTGGCTGGACAGGATTCTAGACAATTTGTCTTGTCAATGTCCAATAGCGATCGCTCTTCGATATACCTCCCTTCGGACTCGCCCATCAGCACATTATGCGGTAGGTATGAAGGTATGAGATGAGGAGACATGGGTTTCCGTCGGGTGTACGAAGGACTCTCGGGTGAGATCTGGGGCCGAAAAAGCAATTTCCTATTAGGTCGCGAACAGGCAAATCACAGCAGACTTGCTCGGTTTCGAAAAGCCAGGCTCTTCGTCACGAGGTTGTGCCTCTAGCCACCAGCACCGCTGTTCCACAGTGGTCGAGCCTTCAAGACTGGCCGTACGAGTGAAGACTATTTGTGAGGCCCAGTTGCCATTTCCGGCGTTTTCTGTTGTTAGAGTCGGGACCCAGTGCAGCTGATGACATACCTCGTCCTGTATGTCGCTACTACCAAGTCTGAGGGTTTCTGGCGTTGGCGGCACTACATCATCCTGCTGGGCTCAAAAGATCCAAAAGATAGGGGGACTAAATTGGGTCTTCTGGCTCAGAGTCAGTACTCTGAAAGACCTCGCCTCAAAGCTGAGAGCTGCCCAATTGCCGGTCAAATGAGAAATTACAATTATGCCATCATTACATACGAGGGTCCATGGGCATCACAGTGCTACGACTAAACAAGAAAATAAATCGCGGTATGTTCTGATTCCTTATACAGTCTCATCTCTCCTGCTCGCCTGACCAATGGCAAATCGAGCCTCAGGCACAAGCCAGGTGAACGGAGGTTCTCGGTGTTTGTCGCGTTCAGAGCAAGAACATATGATTTATCGACCAAACAGGATTAAATTACCCTCACTCGTGGTCGTGACGACTCCTTGCTGCGGAGGCGGATTGATCGTGAACTCAAGATGACAGGGTCTTCCGAAAGTACACTCGAGAGTATCCATCCTCCACCTTCCTCTCTACCTCAACAAACCCCATTTTGGGATAAAGGACGATATTCTCAGTCATCTTCTCATTGGTAAACAATGACAATGCTTCCCGGCCTCTCTCGTGCGCCACGTCCTCCGCGAAGCCCATGAGCAATTTGCCGTACCCACGTCCCTGAGCCGCCGAATCTACAACGAGATTGTTCACCTTGATGGAACCATCACCAGGGTCCGAGAGTAGTATGGATCCCAGCACTGTGCCATCTTTTTGCTTGCGGAGTACGAAAACTTCCTGGGAGTGGGATGTGATGATGCTCTGATAGTCGGCAGTCATGGGCGCTGGTTTTCGACCGCCCATGCGAGGGACATACTTCGAGTAGGCAGAGATCACAATTTGCTGAATAGCTTCTGCATCTGAAGTGACGGCTCTTGTTATCGCTACATCGTGACCGAAAAGCCTCACAGGCTCGTGGACACGAATATTGCCCTGCATCCCGCCCTTGTACCGAAGATTGTAGACTCTCACGCGCGGCTTAGCTAGGTATGAGGTGGTGAAAAAGAAGTCGTCTTGGGTGGTCTTCACAAAGGAGAATGAAGGTGAGCAAGGATTTAAAGAATTGGTATTTCTTACATTTTGGAAAGAAGAAGGGGAAAATTGTTCGGGGAGTTGGACGAATGTGCATTTGAAGAGTCAGACCTAGATAAGTGGTGTCCCTACCCCGCTGCAGCAGTTGGACGGGCAGTGTTGAGCAACCCACCCAGGCTCTTAATCCTCCATCGCCCATGGAATTGTCCTAGTTACGTTTGCTTTCCCTCTTCTCCATAAGTTGCCAATTTACGATATTCTGGGCTCGTACAAATCCCTAGAGAACTGGGTGGTCTTATGCGACTGTCATACCCTCTCCGATTTGCTTTGATCGGGAAGGCTCTCTCAACGGTATCAGGATGGCCACGATAGCAGCCAGCGCTGAGCCGGCCAAAATGCAGGCAAAGACATACTTGATCTTACTGGTAGGTTGGCTACATTGAATGACGAGCCACTTGATAGCATCCAAGGCCTGCAGTGTATCATGATCGAGAGTGAGACCATTGTCAAGAATATCCGACGAAGCTGTGTGGTTAGTCGGAGAGCTATGTGCGCTGCACAGTCATGGGCAACACCTCGTCGGACTGCTATACACAGCCCAATTTTGTAGCCATACAAATAAGCGAAGAAGGGGCCTCCTAAGTATTCAACGACTGTGAAATCATTCGCTCATGCCCCTTTATAGCTGGGGCACAAGGCAGGAGTAGTCAAAGTTTCAGACCGAATCCTCTGGGATCGTTGGACCTAGAGAAATTCCAGATGTTTAGGCCATTACACCAGATGATGCTTGCTTCACCCATGTCAGGGCACTCTCGGTAGTGTCTTCAGATGCTACCGGCGTGGAAGATGTGATGCTGCAGAATGAATCATCCAAACCTTTCTCACAATTGGGAGATCACCACAAGCTTGCTGCCGAAGGTGGAGACAGGCCACACCAGGGCGTCGACAGGGTCGTTTTTGAGAGCCTGATAAGGAATGCCGGAGACGCGGACTCCACCATCGCCTTGGAACACCCTTTGATTGCATGTAAGATGAACCTTTCCATTGGCAGCCTCCCGGTGTTGTTTGAGCATTTCCACGATGTGAGAAAATGAATGTATTAAGCTTTCTTCTGACCTGCTCGCCGGCTTTCCCAGACATGTTCGGGGATGTCGTCGAGCAAGCCGTGAAAGGAATATAGTAGTGCAAATATATAACGTGAGTGCTCAGTGATGAGAAAAGAAGACTTGAAATCACATTTGTCCAGCTTTGTTTAAATTGGATCAAATATATTTCACCCACTCCAGCCCCAGGAAAGTTGTTACTGCATGTTTGGGGGCGACTAAGCGAAGTGCCGTCGTTGGCGACATTAGCCAGGGGTCTGAACAGGAACATGGGTCGTGCGGCCCCTGTTGAGTCCCTGTCCCTGTATCCACTCGCTACTGCATCCCAACGGTGCAGCATTGCTGCAGCTCGAGGAATGTCGATTCGCATGTGACAAGAATAGACTGGTGCGCTCTTCACTCAACACCCCAACACGCTAGGCCTCCGCTCTTCGTTTTCGTCGCTCTCTTTCGCTCTCCACTCGCATGATGTCGCACTCTTAGAGATACCAGCTCAAACGATCATCCCACGGGTTTTGCGCATCTGATCAACGGATCGCGCTGTGGGCGCTCCAACTCGCGCCAATAATGCCAGTCCCGTTCCTCGGGCGCCTCGCCATGTAAGCTCCAGCATCACAGCCCGAGAGTACCATTCAAGTCTCTGACGTCCTGCGCAAGAACCGAATATGTTGCCGTAATAGGGTCTTTTATCTTTGTCGGCCTCGAGGTCATCATCCGAGTCCTGACCTTCGCATTGCGTGCGCCGAACTCCAGCCCCTGAGCGATTTCCTTCCTCTGACCGCGAAATAGCGTCGCCCCTTATCGCTCTGTGCTACAATGCCTCGCGGCGCCTGTACAGATGGAGGTCGCCAACCGATAGCAAAAGAGAATCGGAGAAGAAGAATGGTTGGTTTCCAAAGCACCTCTCTACCGACGATTTCCCAGGAATTCTATGTTGACAGAATATTATCCAGAACGGTCGAAATCCATAAGGAACGCAACCGATTTTGTTGAACTATGCGAGCTCTACGGATATACAGCTGAGGAACACGTCGTCCAGACTGATGATGGGTACCTCCTGGGAGTTCATCGGCTCGCGTGGAAGCGAGGCGAGGAAGATGCTAAGGTCAACTCTGGTCCCAACAGCGTGCAAAAGCGTGTCGTCTACCTACATCATGGCCTTCTCATGAACAGCGAGGTGTGGGTGTGTCTCACGGATGCTCAAAAGGTGTTGCCGTTCGTCCTGGTGGAGAGAGGTTTCGATGTCTGGGTATGCTCCTGTCAGCCATCCCCCAGAATGAATATAGAAACGCTGACAGTTCCCGAAAGCTTGGAAACAATCGAGGCAACAAGTACTCCAAGAAGTCCGTCCGTTCGGCTCCGACCTCTATTGAATTTTGGAACTTTTCGATCGACGAGTTCGCCTTCCATGATATTCCCAACAGTATAGAGTACATCCTGGGCAGCACAGGGCAACCGTCGCTCTCCTACATCGGTTTCTCGCAAGGAACAGCACAGGCCTTCGCGGCCCTGTCCATTCACCCAAAACTGAACCAGCAGGTCAACGTCTTCATCGCGCTGGCGCCAGCCATGTCGCCTCCGGGCCTAGCCAACGGCATCGCTGATGCTCTGATCAAAGCATCACCTCAGGTGCTGTTCCTCATGTTCGGTCGAAGGTCCATCCTCAGCTCCGCTCCATTGTGGGAATCGCTCGTCTATCCCCCATTGTACATCAAAATCCTTGACATGGGTATGAAGTTCTTGTTCAACTGGACAGGTAAAAACATGACCACACCCCAGAAGCTCGCTGCCTACCCCCATCTGTACTCTTTTACTTCAACCAAATCCGTTGTCCATTGGTTCCAAATCATCCGCACCAAGTCCTTCCAGATGTTCGACGACGATCCGCCCCTGACCATCGGTACGAACCCCCGCTTTACGAAGGTCGCCAAGTACCCGACCCGCAACATCAAGACGCCTATTGTGCTCGTGTATGGAGGCAGTGATTCGCTAGTCGACATCAAGGCGATGCTGCGTGAGCTGCCGCCAACTACGGTTGCCACTGAGATCCCTCACTATGAGCATCTCGACTTCCTCTGGGCCAAGGACGTCGCCGCACAAGTCTTCCCCCACGTCTTCGATGCCCTCGATAGTTTCACCGATGCGGAGCACACCAAGGATGAGTTCGACATCTACCGCCGCGCGAGGCATCAGAGCCTGAGCAGAAGTAACACTTTCTGGAGGAATGCGCACTCACGCAACGGCAGCGATGTCAACACAAGTGATGTAGACAGCGCACTAGGCAGTGCGGTGAAGCTACCGCACCAGGCTCGCGAGGGTGTTGCGCGGAATTTCCAATACAGTGATGACGACTCTTATGTGACTGAGACAAGTGAGCCAAGTGGGGGGAGCCTGAACCTGGGTCAATCGAACAAGAGCTCTACCTCTGTCGGCCTTGACATTGCTCAAGACAGGCGGGGTAGTAGTGGAAGTCTTTCGTCAAAAACCAGCGGCAACACCAAAAGATCGCTTCGCACCGGCAAGGGGATAAGTTTCGGGAAGGTCGCGAGTGCAGGTGTGAGCACGACGGACGTGACGGGCGTCGCGGCCGCCGCGGCCGCGAGTCCCCAGCAGGCGAGCACGGATGATGGGGCGAGAAATCGCCTACGGATGGTCTCGGGGCAACGGTAGCATAAAATAAGAATGTGAAGGTATACATGCGCCCTAGTGGCTTAATAACAATAATAAATACAATCGAGGCACTCCAACCGGGAAGACCCTACGGTGCCAGGTAAATGCAGTACCTCAGCAAAATTTCTATTCCTTTTCCTATGCCCCCTCCTTAGATATACGTGTCTTTGAGATCAGATATCGTCGTAGTATGGCTTTTATTTTGAAGTTTGTCATGCCATATGTTTTCCGTAGCGAGTGGCTCTTGATTTGATCGAACTCGTGCGTTTTGCTTCGTAGAGCTAACATGTAGTATGTGAGTGTCTGTAACAAATGCACAATATACGTAATGAGATATACACTCTGGTAACAAGAATTCACATCCGACTCCGTGTTGTCTCCGAGTCCAGATAGTCCTGCCAGTGCCGCATCCCAGCTATCCAATATATCATCCCTCCAGACTGCAGTACCTCTGATGTGGCTGCATGCTTCACAGACTGATCCTGAGCATCAACAAGGCCCATAGAACGCATACTTCCTTGCTTAGATAGTAGAATTGTGCGAGTGGTACGCCTACTCGCCCCCGGGAACCTCACAACCTGCTTCATGGCCTCGTTCCAATATCGGAGCGCTCTCTCATGCTCAGACCTCGTGTGGTATATCTTGGCCAGCACGATACAGACACGCAATTTGCCGAGTTTCATGAGGTTATCCGCACGAGCCTCGGTCTCGATACAGAGGCGTTCCGCCTCTTCGATTCGCCCCTGCGCGAACAGCACTTCCGCTAGAGACGACTCCAGCAATGACTTTCCTGAAGCAGGCACTTCTTGCTTGTCCACCACCCGACGTGCGAGTTCTTTCCGCAGGTACTCCTCGGCAGCTTGGGGCTTGTCGAGCTCTCGCAATGTATCCGCCATCTCAACTGTAAGGTCGCGTCGATCGTCATCGAAATTGAGGTCTGGGAGTTGATCAATCAAGTCATAAGACCACTTCAGATGCGTGTGCGCTTCAGAGAACATGCCCTGAATTCTCAAGGTTCTTCCGAGCATCATGCCCTTACGAAACCGAACAACTTGCTCCATGAGCGAGGGCTGCTTGTCGAGAGGACTCCACGTCTCTAGAAGCTGCTTAGCTTGGGAGAGGTCATTGACCTGCAAGCAGTTGAGGGCACGCTGGAGCATTATGTGTCCCATGGCAGCGTTCGCCCTATGAGTAAGGGTGTTTGGCTGCTGTTGACGGAGAAATGTATCAAGGATCATTACAGCGGCTGGGTGCTCGCCATCAAGCCGGCGCAGCATAGCTTGTGTCGAACTGAGACAAGATGAGAGGTGCCAAATCTCAGCCTGGCTGTGATTTAAACTCCGCATGTTTGCGGCGGCTTCAGCGACTGCGAAGCGTTTCCATACCATGGTTGGAAATCGTGACGCTTCAAGAAGTGTAAGAATAAAGTCGGCTCGAGTATCAGCGCTCAGATTCTCGAAGCAGTCCTTATGATTTTGTGCAGCAAACTGAAGGTGTGGCAAGACTGAAGAAACATCGAAGTTGCTATAACTTAGGATCAGTAGACGTGACGATGACTTCCAAAGATCCAACTGAAGACTGACCTGGGCTCGATGTACTTCCAAGAGCTGGCTCTATACGCAACAATCAAGGCCTGTGTTTTCCAGAAAAGCAGCGCATTTGTGGACAGGTCCTGGTGGATACGACTGACGGCCTCGTCGTTTAAGAAGTAGGCCTGATCGGACTTCTTCAAGAAGGCTGTTGACAGGTCGTCGAGTGCATGGCTGAGCCTTGCAGAATCAGAGAGCAGGCGAGTAAGCTCAGGAGAGAGGTTTGTAGTCGTGGCGTCCACCTCCGTAATACCGCCGTCCAGAGCCCAGCGTTTCCGAGGTGAGCCTCCGCGGTGGAGAAATTCATGAGTTAGTTGATGGGATGGTGACAAGAACGATACCAGAAGCCCTAGTATCCTGGAGTCTTCGGTTGCCCAACCATCTAAACGAGTACTGGTCCTTGATGCTCCTTCAATGGTGCTTCTTCTGCTCGCTGATACCCCGCCGTCCTCGAGTCTCTTCTCATCGCGAAGGGACAAAGAAGTCGTGGCGAAAAACCTCTGGTCCGACATCATAGTTGCCGTCTCTAATTGGGAAAAAATTGAGAGGTGTTAGTTTCACTCTGAGTAAATTTGCCGATAGCTGACAAGACCATATCTCTATGCCCATGAGCCATCAGCTCCTGAAGTCGCAACTTATTGAGGGAACAGGCCAATGTGCACTCCGCGTCTTCCTATCTGTGCTTTGAGAAGACTCTGTAACATCTTGTTGAATACTCACCTCTGCTTGGTTCTCTTTACTAGAGATTGGCGACTGTCCTGGAGGAGATGGACTGATCGCCGACCTTACTCTTGACGCAGTCCTACATGCAGATGAACCCCGTGATTTCGTGCGGGGTCATGAATATATAATAGGCAAGGATTTCGAAAATATATGCCCAATGTCACTGTTGTACGACGTCAACTGCATAGCGGTACCCCTGTCCCTAGTATCTGTGACTTGTAACAATCCATGCAGAGTGTTGGCCAAAATAGGATACATAGATACTTCGTTCTCACGCAGCTTTGCCACCGCGGAAACTCAGACTCATCGAAGCTGACAGTCGAGAGTGGGATCAAGTCCATCGATTGCAATGTATGTCTTTTGCCAACACTGATCGTTCCCTTGTTCTGCCGCAATGTGGCACAGCGCTGCAACCGCTGCATTATAGTTGTATGCTGTTTCAACGAAAATGTCAGGATTTCAAACTGCATTTGGAATCCAGTGCGTCGCAAAATTCGACCCGTATGAAATTTCCAATGATTTATACGGCCCTTTGCCACAATCACTCACGCATAGGTAGATAGCCTTTACCTTGCTACTATTTAAAGACAATAAATCTGGAATCCTCAATCTACTCTTGGAGACTTCTTGAATGCGTGGACAAATTTTTGGGTGAAGAGATTACCTGTTGTGGCAGTCTTTTTGCCCATGTTTTAGGGCTAATCGCAGTCTATGCTCTTAGGGAAAAGGCTTAATCAACACATTCGTCAATAAGTAGAGTTCAAATGTTAAAATATTATTCTTTTAAAACTACAACTTATAGGATTCATTCAAGCTACAGGAGGGGGAATAGGTAATGCTTTAAAGATAAGAAAAGAGGCCCATGCAATCTACTAGTTAGAATGAGTGTAGTACTATGAGTAGCTAAGGTAAAGATAATATAAAATTGATGTGTTCAGATAGTGCATTGCCCTGGGTGAGTTTGTACATAAGCGCAACTCTTACAATAGTAACCGGTTCCACTTTTAAACACTACAAATACCTCAACACACGGAGACAACTTCGCACTCTCTGCGTTTAGTTCAGACTTCAAGACGAGATCGACATTGCGCAGAGCGCAGTGCTCATTGGGATTCTATAATGCGCTGGCCGTTTCCATTCCCTACCCTTCGACTTCGAGTCCGTGCGATCTGAAAGATGCAGCTTCACGCCGAGATTAATTTCGTCACCATGTTGCTCGAAAAGCATGTGTATGTGGGGAATGGACCAGTCTTTGGTGCGTCAAGGAAAGGCGTCACGCCTCTTAACTCTTAAATTCTTTGGACTGAACCATGTGCACTACCGGTACCATTGCAGCGACTTGATCCATGACTCTACCGCCGGACACGTTGTGACGGCTCCCATTCTGAACCGTTCGAAAGCGCTCTTTTGTGAGAACTCCTTGGCAAACAAGTTTCCAGATCCTCGAGGATACGAAATTTTGAGTCGAATTCGCCGTCTGAGGCTCCGCCAGACGGTTCATCCAGATCTCTGAAAGTATTTTCCTGCTCCATGATGAATGATTGCTGTTTCTCGTCAAGTCCCCATGCTGAACAATCGAAGAGCCCTCTTTTGTGTGAGCTTCCTGGCGAATGGCTTGCTGAGTCCTCAAACATGTGAAAATTCGAATCAAAATCTTCACTAGAAATTTCCCCTGACTTATCCTCCGTAGCCTCGAGATGAAATTTTTGCCCTCCAGAACAACATCCCTGGTCCTCAGAATCGTCTTCCTGGTCCTCAGAACAACATTCCTGGTCCTCAAAATCGTCTGCCTGATCCTCGGAATCGTCTTCCTGGTCCTCAGAACCATCTTTCTGTTTGATGAAAAGGTATTCCTGTTGTTTAAGGAGATCTTTGTGTCCTCTGAAGAAGTTTTTCTTTTCCTGAGAACAGTCTGGCCGATCTGTCGGTAACGTCATGTCAAAAGCGAGAGCAAGACGTCGAGGAAATACCTTTACTAGCGTGGACCGTAACCTGCTCTAAGAAAATTCGAGCTTCTCCCGTATTGCGAACTCCAACACCTTTCTTAAAACATTGGACAGGAAATGCCACCGGAATGTCTCAGTCGACGGTCTTCCTTGCAGAGCTTGAACTTGCGCACACAGCAGCTGCTCTAACATCTCCACATCCACTGACTTCGTGTTTGTATCCTTCGTCACACCCACCGACAGAAGTCGGTCAAGCGTCTCGAGGAACCGTGGATGCCGATTCAAATCGTCAAGTTTGAAGGCCAATATCGCCCAGGCGAGCCAAACCGGAATCGGCGATGAGGACCCTCCTCTATTCGTTGCCGTTGTGACAAGGCAGCCCCCATCCGCGCCCTCGTCGAGCAGGTGGAAGCGCATGTCGTAAGTCTCTCGCACAAATTCGCACCTTGAGGGTTGGAGCTGACCATCAATCAGGGCATCGGTCACCGTGCCCCTCAAATGAAGTACGAGGAGAGACTTTGCGAGCTGAGCGCCTATACTTGCCATCTCAGCTGGTACTGTGTCCCGATCTGGGAAACGAAGTACAGATGGACACTCAGCAACTCCTTGCAAGAAATTTGGGTCTTTCTCACTCTTGTGGAGGAGGTAGCGCCAAGATTCACAGTTTCCCAAGAGCATACTCCGGAATTTGACAAGGAACTTGGCCTCATACCGGCGGGTGTCATCGTCCCATGGTGTATTCAGCTTCACAAAATGGTCGCGGAAGAGTTCGATAGAAGCGCTAGAATACTCGTCGTATATCTGGTTGACTTTGATTAGGAAATTTGAATCAAGCTCAAGCCTGGAATATGCCTGCGTTTCTGATATTCCATGCTTAAGGCGATCCCAGCCGTCTCCCGTCCAGTTGGTGGGCCGTGACTCGTCGACGCGCACCTCGGTTCCGGGCGGCGAGCGCTTGTATCGCGCGAGCTCAGCACGAATAATGGCCAGTCGAGCGTCGAAATCTTTTGAGAGATGCCCTTTAAGATAGGAGCGCACCGGCATTGTTCTGAGCCAATCCGCCACCGTGCGATGAATGAACTGCACACGACCACCTGTGTCGACCTCGAGAAGGCCTTTACAAAACGCATCCAAGCGCTTCACAACACGGCTACAGGCTTCTTTCACGTCATTTTGACCCTCGAATCCGACAGGCTCCTTTAGAGCGAAGTCAACATCGTCATACTCTCTCTCGTGGAAAAAGTAGATGACCGCGTCGCAGGGACACTTGCTCTCGATGGCAATTTCAAGGAACCCTGCCATCTTAGCGTAGTAGACTTGCGAGACACTGTCCAGAATTTGTTTGAAAAATCGCTCCAGGTCCCATGGAATCGATTTGAGGATTTTTTGGAGGTCACTCAGGGTGTCGCCATTAGTCAATTCGTCGCGGAGAAGTCTTGTAACTAGAAATACCCAAAGAAAAACCCCCTGAGCCTGTGTTGTGATGTTCTGGATCAATGACTCAGCACCATCCGAAGCAGCTATTTGACCCCAACAAGGATGCCGCGATAGTTGGCTTGTTGTAAATGCCAATATATCAGGCGTGGTCAGCTCGTGAATGTAAATCTTTGAGCCGGGCGACCGCCCGAGCGTCGTTTCAAACACATTCCACGGACGACTGGACACGCACAATTTGATTCCCTGAAAATTCGAGAGTTCAAAGAGGGTCTCGGCGATATCTAATTGATCACCTTCGAACTCGTCAAGGCCATCGATGAAAATACAGAACCTGGTCTCCCCGGAGCTGAGCCGGCCAAAATGGGAGAAGCATGCTCGCAACTCCCCGACACTCCACGGATCCTGCGGCTGCGTAGGGATTCGCTCAGAGCTCATGGTTTGACGCCAACGTTTCTGGCAGACATCGCTGATAAGGTGTGGCGCCTTAGAAAGGATGTTGAAGAGAAGAGTTTGCCAGAGGCCCTGCTGGGATCGTTGCATCAGGGTGCCGATGCTCCAAAAATAGTGACTAGCAACGACGAGCTTCTTAGGAGAGGCCCAAGACTGCAAGAGACGACGAGTGTCAGGATGGCCAGTGACAAATTTCATGAAGGTGGATTTTCCCGAGCCTGGTTTTCCGGAGATCCAGAACACGCCTTCTCCGGATTCAAGCCATCGCCGCAGGTCACCCTTGCCTCTTCGAAGCCCATTATCATCTTCTTCGGGTCTGTGCCCCTTGAGTGCCCAATGAAAAGTTCGCGAGTGGGCTTCTGCAATGTTGTTTTGCCTGATAGGTCTTTGAGGGAAGTCCAAGGAGGCCAGGATCTCTAAAGCAATGGAAATATTTTGACTTCCAAGAGATAAATCAGATAGTTTGCTTGTCAATGACTCCATCCTCGCCGCGTCGATATCAATTGGGCGCAGCCTTTGGCGAAGTCTAAGGCGAAGTCTTAGGTGAAGTCTTAGGCGAAGTCTTTGGAGTCTTTGTCTGAATATTTCCGTCTTTTGTGACTCGTCATTGTCATCGGTCTTGTCGACATTAACCCCATCGAGCTCACTAAGCCCCCCGGGGCCGATGGGCCAGCTGAAGATACTGTGCAAGGGTTCTGTGGTGTCTTGTATTTGATTTCCATCAAGCCAATTGAGCCCATTGAACTCATCGAGCCCATCAAGCCCATTGGGCCTGCTGAAGATACTGTGTACGGGTTCTGTGGTGTTTTGTACTCGATCTCCATTGAGCCCGTCGAGCCCGTCGAACCCGTCGAACTGATCGAGCCCGTCGAGCCCCTTGAGACCATCGAGCCCCGTGAGCCCGTCGAGCCCATAGAGCTCGTTGAGTCCCTTGAGTCCGTCGAGCCCCTTAAGTCCGTCGAGCCCCTTAAAACCGTCGAGGCCCTTGAGTCCGTCGAACCCCTTGAGCCTAACGAGCTTATCGAGCCTGTCGAAGCCCTTGAGCCTAACGAGCTTATCGAGCCCGTCAAGCCCGTCAAGCCAGCTGAAGATACTCTGCAAGGGTTGTGTGGTGTTTTGTACTCGATCTCTATCGAGTCCGTTGAGCCCGTCAAGCCCATCGAGCTCGCCGGGTTTGTCCAAGATGCTGTGGCGGAGTTCAGTCGCCTTTTGGGCATGATCCCGTTCCTTATACGTCGCTCCAAGCCGCTTGAGCCCACTGCATATGCGAAGGGCAGAATCGAAAATCTTTCTGAGCTCATACGTACAATACCGGGCTTATACGAATACGATAAACGGCTCATCTGTTGGAGCTGCTTTATAACAGTTCCAAGTAGTAAACGGCTCATTTCTGGGAGCAGCTCAAAAATGGGAGCCGTGCACGTACAGTTTATTTTTGGGAGCTGTGCAAAGGGGGAAAGGTGCAGGGCGCACGAAGGGTGCAGGGCGCATAAAGGGTGCAAAGCGCAGCCACCAGCGCCTTCCTCTCTCTGAAGGAAGGCACGCCTATGCCCACGCCTACGCCCGCCAGCCAGAAGGGGGGGGGGGGGGAAAGGGGGAAGGGAAGGGAAGGGAAAATATAAAGAAGATGAAGATAAAGAAGAGCCCATTTGGATTGGAATGTAGTTTAAGAGAGCTCTGTATATATAAAAGAACGAGGAAGCAATTCTGAGTGGGCTATTTTAAACGCCGCGCCTTTCCCGCACTCTGCACCTTTCCCGCTCCTGCACCCTTAATGCACCCTTCCCTTACCTTGCGCCCTCCGTGCACAGTTCCCATTTTGAGCTGCTCCCAGAAATGAGCCGTTTAATACTTGGAACTGTTACAAAGCAGCTCCAATAGGGGGAACTGTTTCTGACGGGAGTGGTGCTGGCACGGTGCTGGCACGGCTCCAATACAGTTCAAATATACCATAGACGACCGGTATTGTATGGGAGCATCCTAATTGTTTGTTTTGTGTCATCAGGGCAGACACCTGTTGTTGGAGCTCCAAAACATTTTTGCTGGAAAATGCTGGTCAGTTAGACTATCGTCAAATATCCAGACTCTGTATGCTCACTTAGAAATGATAGATACAAGGAACATCATGTCAGACTTGAGTGTGTCGATATGCTCTTGCAGCTTCCGCAATTCACCCTGATTCAACACTTCTTTAATGGCAGACTTGAAACACTTCCACCACCGGGTCTTCCCATCGCTAACCCGCAACCTCTCCACGAGGAGAAGGAGATCCCTACATGCATCTTGGCAGGACGAAGCGAGCTGATTCAGGTCCTCCTCGGGCGAGCCGCTCGCCAGCAATCCGTGCGTGCCGTATCCGCCGCACTCGACGCGGCCCGTTAGGTGTGAACCCAACCTGGATAGGCGGCTGTAAATCTTTTCGAGCTCCAGGCTTCCCTGTGACGCCCCTTCGGAGGATTTGTAGATCTCATGGGTGCCCCGGACAAGGGTTGACGCGAATTGGATGAACTGGACGACTGCTGAGGTCAGCCCCACAGCCGAGAGCGGATCCATCGAGAATTTGCTGTTGGGGCATCAGAAAGATAAATGCACAGCTTCAAGTAAATAAGGCTGGAGCGGCAGAGGTGTAAAGCTGCGAGCCGCGCGTGGTTGTTACCAAGGAGGTGGGGTTTGGTCGACAAGAAAGAGAGCATCAATCACGATGGGTGTCAAGAGGAGAGAATTGGATTCAGAAAGCAAAAGAAGAGAGCTTTTGGTTTCATTCCTTTGTCATACGGCACAACGCATGCAGTAAGAAAATAATTGAAACACAGCCAAATCACTGAGCCTCAATTGAGTTCAGACGTGCAGATCTCGGGGGGTCAGCAGGTTGCTATTCGCCCCTCAGCACAGCCCAAGGCGGATTAGACGCAGTGTAGCAGCACCAAGTTCGATAAACGGTATTGCATTGTCAGCATTGTTTCTGCTAGCCACAAGTTGTGTAAACCATATACCAAACGGTCAGCCTCGTATTTTATGAACCTGCATATATGGGAAAATGGTTCCCCGTGATAGCGTATCTGCAGCCCTAGGTTGGTTTGTACTTTTGCTTGAAGCCTCTGCATGATCATGAATTGGTAGCCTGCGCGTGAACGAAGCACACGTCCACCTGGGCATTAACGGCTTATGCAAATCGCTCAACCACCTGCGGATGCTTGATTCCTTGACTAACCCATTCTGAATAACTTCGTGCCTCCTTCTCCAGCGCATCAGCCTTAGGCACATTTTCCGTCTACCCACAATTGTCTCCCTTAAACACTCTCTCACTCCGTTCGTAACCAGAGAATGTATGAATTTTATTACGAGAAGCTACTAGATGATATTTCAAAATTCGGTGCGGTAAAGGGTAATCAGAATACGATCATCGAAGTCCTTAGTTCCGGGGCAAGTATGCTCAGTGAAGGTTGGTTTCACAACACAGAGAAATCACATTAAGGTCCAAACGGCAAGCTCCTCTCATCGTAATGCAAGGAACATACTAAGAGACAACCATTGATGATATACTGATAAGCTACTATACCGGTATACAGTCTAATCGGACAGCGGGATAAACGCCTCAACCACAACATGGCCAAGGATTCCCATCGCATCGCCGAGATCAGCTACCAAGACAACGCCGCGATGAAGACCATCTCCCTTTCTTGCACAACGAGATAACAGCGACATGCGCATTATCGTCTGGGCGACAACGATCTTCTTGCCAGGCACTGTCACAGCCACATTGTTCAGCTCAACCTTCTTCGCCTTCCCTCCCGATGACGATAACCCGCGGATTGTTTCGTGGCGGATATGGCTATACTGTCTGGTCACTGTATTCGTTACGGGGCTTGTGCTTCTCGGATGGTATCACTTCTCTAGACAAAGTAGATTCAAGATCCTGGAGGACATGGAGAAATTGACAAGTAGTGTTCATTTGGCCAAATTTGGAACTCGAAGTACATCTATACCCAACTGAGTACGGCTCACAATGTCTCAGAGTTTTCGTGCGGATTCTCAACTACATACATTCAGAATCTTATAAGGAGGCTATCATGTGGAAGAAAATCCTGTATGAACTGTGCACTCACTAGGCTGAAGACATGTACGGAGTAGATCATATGTTGACTAACGTTCTGAATCTTTCCCAACTGATCCTGGGAACGCAAGTCCTCCTTTAATCTATTTTGCCCACCTTTTTCTTGTTCCAGGAAGACTGTCTATATTCTATTCAAGTCAGCTCGTGCAAAGTCCTCAATATACTTGCATTTGAATCGATGTGGGCTTCTAAGTCTGTTGTATTCACTGCTTAAAACACTCCCAACGCGAGTCTGAAATAGCTATTCGTGTTCCTCACAAGCTATGTTTATGTAGACAAATAGTCTTGACTTTCAACTATATACAAAATCGTACATTTTTAGCCCAAACTCCCAACAGAGTACGCAGCCGGGATATTTGCCAGGGGCGTCACCGTCGGCACACTTTCATACTCGGCAACCTCCACTGTCCCATTCGCAAAACTCGGCATCCTCCTCACAGGCACCAACTCGCTGATCTGCTGCGCAATACTCAACAAGCGGGCCTCACTCCACGGCAACCCCAGGATCTCCATCCCGATCGGCACACCGATAGGCGCATCTTCACTCGGGCTGGAGAACCCGGCCGGAACGACGACCACGGGGCTGCCCGTCAGCGCGGCTAGGATCCCGTTGCGCCCGGATTGTGAGGGCGAGCCGACCTTGACGACGAGGTTCTTCTGCTCTGGGTAGATGAGGGCGTCGAGCTTATTCGTGGAGAAGGTCTTATGGAGCGCGTTGGTGAGGTTCTGGATGCCCCACTGAGCTGTGAAGTAGCTGGCGTTGGACGTCGACGAGACAGAGGATTTGTTGACGAACGAGTACTGGTTTGGGATTACGAGGAACTTGCCGCTGGTGTAGAGCTCCTCAAAGGAGGTGGGCTTATCACCGGTCAAGTTGGGTCCTGCCAGATACTCACTCAACAGCTCGCGATATTCGTAAGCTTGGACATCCAGGGCCGAACTGATTGCCGTGGCGTTATAGAAGGCCTCGGTGATGTTCACAATACTTACGCCGGCCGCTTTCAGCTTGGTCACTATGGAATCCATAGCCTCATTGACAGGTGTTGTCTCCTCTGATTCCGTGGAATTGAAAAGTCCCTCGACCAACCCAATCCTCAACTCCTTCAACCGAGGCCCCTCACGCAGCGCAGCAACATAATCTTTACCAACAGCCTCAGGTGGGGCGGATGCGGTAGTATTATCACGCGGATCATACCCGACACCGGCCATAACCGTCATCGCGACTGCTAGGTCCCGTACTGTCCGGGCCATCGCTCCTACAGCGTCCTGGGTGTAGCTGATTGGGATCACACCGGCGCGAGAGATGAGGCCCCTCGTTGGGCGGAAGCTGAACAGCGAGTTGGACGCCGCAGGGCTGCGAAGGCTGTTGACGGTGTCCGTCCCCGTGGCGAAGACCGCAAGGTTGGCCCCTACGGCAGCCCCAGATCCGCCGCTGCTTCCACCTGGGGTGCGCGTCTGGTCGTAGGGGTTGAGGGTCTGACCGCCCAGCGAGGACACGCTGAGGCCCTCGAGGGCGAGCTCGTGCAGGTTTGTCTTGCCGAGAATGATGGCGCCTGAGTCCTTCAGGGCCTTGACGGTTGGTGCGTCCTCTGTGGGGCTGTTGTCTGCCAGGGCGAGGCACGCGCCGGTGGTGGCCATTGGCGTGGCATCGTAGTTGTCCTTGACGAGGACAGGGATACAGAGCAGGGGCCCTGTCGTATTCCCTTGAGAGATCTGAAGGTCTATACTTTCTGCTACGGACAGCGCTTCAGGGTTTAATGCTGTGACAGCGTTGATAGTAGGGTTGAAGGCTTCTATACGCGCGAGGTATGCCGATACGACCTCACGGCATGTCGTCAGTCCGGTGAAGAGGGCATTATGGATTCCATCGATGGTGGCTTCTCTAACATCGAGGGCGTCGTTGAGAGCTGCTGAGCTGGCTGGATGGAAGCAGAAGAGCAGGGCTAGAACCACTCTCAGGATTAAGATTGATATGCTGCTGTGACTGTTCATGATGAACCTGGAGGAATCGGCCGAATCAAGGGACCCTTGTAATCAAGATGTGCTGTAGCTCCAAATTGCTAAAAAGGCGCGACCACGTAAATCCAGGGTCACCAGAATCGACCCAAAAGTTGATGATGGTGACACCTACCTGACGGTCTCTTTCGGTACAAATCTCTCCACGGCCGCATTATTGAAAGAAGACTGCTGGGCTGATAAGAAATGACGTTGAGCAAGACTGCCGAGTGGGTGGTCCGGTGCCGGTGCATAGATACATCTCCGCTTTATCAGATCCGCGGCCAAGTTGGAACCACTGGCTTGGCGGCCGGAACAGTGTCTGATTCTCGGGGCCGCGATCGTGTTCTGTGTTGCAAAAGACGGAAAAGACTGGAGCTTTGCAGCCAACATCTACTCTACGAAGGTCATATCACGCGAGCCAGCCTTCTCGCGAATAACTCCTGGCACGATCCCACTATCGAGAGGGCGAGATCTAGGCACAGTGGCAGGATGCCTGTGATAAATGCTTGTCCAAAGACAGTACCTCGATGCCTTTTTTGGGTGGTTTGAACGGTGCTGCATGGATGCACTCGCCTTCTTTTTCCAAAGCGCTGTTCTGCCAATTTGATCCAAAAAGACCGGCCTGGGAAGACGCAGGTATGGGGCTGGCGTGCGCCGAGAAGATAACGAATCTCTTCGCAGCCCACCGCTAAAATCTCAGCAAGTCATCGACAGAAGATGGGACACAGAGACAGAGACAGAGGGAAGAAATGAAAAGGGAAACTGGAATTGTCCAGTAGGCTCTTCCGACCTACCAGACCCAGGGAAATCCCACATTGATGATGCCCCAGTTTGACGGCACTGCCACGTAGACCCAGGCGCACCCAGATCCAGACGAGAAGGACTACAGGAATAACCCTGATGGGGGAAGCGGGAATCAAGCTTGATTGCCGTGACCTGGTATAACCATGCTGACTCTATATTCACGATGAACTCAAAAGTGATAGACACTCGAGGCTCCCAGAGAATGCGGTACTCGCGAGGCGGGATCAAGGCGCCACCCTCCTTTCTTTCCCGTGAGGCTTGTTGGGTGGGTCCCTGTTCCTGTTCCTGTGCCTGGAGCCCGACCATCTTCGGAAAGTAAAAGATGAGGGTGAGGGGCCAGACCAATTGAGAAGTCGAGGAAATCAGCCCGCGGCATCCGTCAAGAAGTCAATACCCTAAAAGAAGTGTGTCAAGGTGGGTATGTGGTTGCCCCGGCTGGCACCAAAGTCGGAAATGACGCGGAATATCCTGCGTTGTTTGTTTCTTTTTCTCCTCTTTTAGACGTCACGATGATTTCCGCTGGGTATGAGGCTGCAGGTACAGCTGAAGCTGAAGAACGCCCCGCTTCCTGTGGCAGGAGCCTGGAATGGAGACGAGGCGACGAGGCGACGACTCGTGGCGCTCGGCTGCGGCCAAGTTGACCTATTGCACCAATACAGGACAATGGTCAAGCCAGGAACCAAAGCTTGGCTCCATTGTCATCAACAAAGTATCCCGTCGTTATCTCGGGAAGTGTAACAAGGTTAGGCTTTGTGTGCATGTGATGGCTTGAGGGGAAGACTGAGAGAGAGACGCAAGAGGTAGAGAGAGACAAAGGGACCGGCAAGGATGGAGATGGTGACGAGATCTCGATAATGCCTGTCGGGTCCACTTTTCCGCGAGATTAAGATTAACGAGGTGGCCAGTGCTTCCTTTGTCCGCTCCACATGTTTGTGGGGTGGATGGCGTACCGTACCTATGTACCTGGCCTACAGCAGGTACCCTGCTGTTTCCTCCATCCATGATCCTCTCGCCTTCTCATCTCTCATGCCTTTCCTGATGTGTGCCGCCATCCAGCGCAGGCAGTGCCTCCTCTCCTCCTATTTCAGTAGTCCGAAGAGCACAATCACCACCTGTGCGACGATTGCCGGATAGTTTGGGTAACATCGTGTCCATGGCGTTGCTTCGCCCAGACCTCCTCCTGCTTCATGACCATTCGGTTCCCTCCGACAATTACTTCACTCACACCCATTGAGTCCTGTAGTCAGGGCACGCAGTAGTCTACCGAGAAAGAGGCGATACTCCTGCACAGATGCAGCATCTACGATGCATCGCATTACCCTGCATGGCCTGCACGCATGGACGCCCAGGGCCGAGTCGTACAGCGTCTACACGTCGGCACATGACTTCTGCAATCCTGTTGGTCATTCATGTTGATGATCTTGAACTTGAACAACTTCAAGTCGCCGACACCTTCCCCCATTCACGTAGTGCACTGTAGATCAAACGGCGTGCGGTGGTAGACTACTCGAGTCGGGCCTGGCTCGCAGGCAGAAGTCTGTTCGCTCTCCACAATGCCGTTGAACAAGACCGACTGGACCGCCACAGACACCGTCGACCGTTGCTCGCTGTAGTGCGCAGCTGTCAATTGGACCAACTCTCTCCAGCATTGTTGAGAACAGACCTTTCCAACCCGTCCCTCACAAGCGGCCTTTGTTCTTTCTCATGGCTGGGGGACCCGGACCGACACGCTGGGCGTGCACGCTTGGGATCCCCTGGCCGTGCGTCCCTACGGGGCAGATCACGGATCTCTGTACCGGATCAGCGGTGCGATCCGATTCAGGTTATTTCCAGCACGCTGGGTCCTTGGTTACATTGCAGGAAATCCTGCAGTGCCACAATGACACAGTACCACCGGCTATGTCTCATCATCTGCGGCTCCATGTCTACCCATCACACTCGTCCACTGTCGAGCCCAGAGACATTTGCCGTCCTGAGCATTACTTGTGCGACCATTTCCAGGAGAAGTTGGCGGCGCCTCACACAATAGCCGCATGAATGCGAAGAGAAAACGTGGTTGCTCCGAACAAGCAAGCAAGATGGGTGCTGTCAGCCCCCTGGCACCAGCATTTGCAGCTTGGTCTGTTGAACCACTTGCCCTTTCCAGGCTCGTCTGCAAACGCCTCACGACAAATAAGAGAAGTCCTCACCAGCCGAGCCAGTAGGCTAATGCACGGCCGAGTGCTCGAGATGTCATGCAAAGAGGCAGTCCAATCACTGACCCAGGCGGGAGCGCCATATCCCAACCGATCCTCCCGCTAATGAAGCCGAAGCTAGGACCGGGGTCCTGTCAGGAACTGGCTTCGGATAACCTCCAATGAAGAAGGCGAGGGATCGTGGACTGGAAGATTTCGGTGGATATTGACCCTTCTGATGTTATTATTATTATGGACCTCTTAGCCCGCAATCATCACGCCAATGACGGCCTATGTGCGAGGGCAGGAAAAAGGCAAATAGATGAGCTGAACTCGAGGCAGCAACAATGTCGAGTACGGGTCCATGTTACTGTGGGGTGGGAGAAGGCTTGCCCGAGGCTGGAAGGTGCCAAAACTTGAAACTTCCGCATCTCTTTTTTTGCACAGCCTAGTCAATGAGAGCCAAAAAGGAAAACCGGAAGAGATTAGGTGGTCGTGTCGATCGCGTGTGGCATCCGCCCTCCCTCATGAATAAAGCGAAGGCTATACCGGGGGAAAGGGTGTATGGCTAGCTCGATGTGGACACTCGTGGGTCCCGAGAGGCGCAATCCATCGGCCACTCAACCGTCACGATGGGAGCGGCGCTGAACAAGGGAAACCTCTTGTGGCATCGCCCGAGAAGCTCACCACCCCTGCCGTACACCTGGCGATCGGTCTAGTTCTCTCTACCCCGTCCACATTCTAGCTTTTCTGGCTAGGTGACCCACCCTCTCCGCGATCACTCCTCCCCTGAGCTAGCTTGCATCCACGAGGCTTGCTGTCGAGGGGGAAGGATGGGCGGCAAGGCCTCGATCGAGTCGGTGTCATGGACTATATCAATAATGACCTTCCCGCATCCTCGTGGCGGTTGGCGGTGTTGTCCATTCCCGTGTAATTGGATATATTGAGACATCAAGTTGATGTCTTTCGCGTGCCGCCTTCACAGACCAGACGTTTATCATCACCTCCTTCCAGACCGCAGTATCCTTGATTTCGCTGCCTTTCCGTCGTTTCTCCCTTCCCACTTCTGATACCTCATCGGCTACCTTCGTCTGGTTAGCTCATCACACTCGCTCAATATGGGTTTCCTTGGCCTTGGATACCGTCGACCTGCACGGGTCGACCACCATCGAGAGTCCATCGACACCATAGATGACTCCATCCGATCAGGTCGTTCAGGTGCCTCAGCAGGTGTCCCGGAGGCCTTGACCTTCGACAAGATCATTGAGGGCGGTACCTGCCCGGTAAGACTCTCATGTCAAAGTACCCATCGAGGCTCACAAAGTTTCTGACACCTCTGTCTAGCCATGCACCATCCGCGACTTCATGAACTATCTCATATATGTCGAGCTGTCGGCCGAGAACCTCCAATTTTTCCTGTGGCACCGGGACTATGTCCAGCGATTCAATAGCGCAAAAACCAGCGACATTGCCCTGGCACCAGAATGGACACAGGAGGAGCAGAATGAGACGTTTACAAAGTTGCAGAAGGAGCACCGCGAAGGACTCAAGCGTGACCCAGCTGCCACCGCCGCAATCTTCAAGGGGACAGACTTCGAGAAGGCAGGAGTCATGAGCCCTACGACCATGGACAAGCCGAGCCCCATATTCTCAAGCAACAACCCGTTCAACACACCACCGCGGACGCCGAATGGTGACGCCATGTCGGATTTCACGGCCCAGAATGCAATGACCTATCGGAGCCAGGCCCAAGAGGCGTTTGCCTCGGTGGGAGCCAAGGCGCCTTGTAAGTGACAAGCAACACTTGATGCTAGCCTCATACGCACACAGAGAAGAGCGCTGACAGGAATCGCAACAGTTACAATCCAGCCCTTCCGGGAGGAGATAGACCGCGTCATAGCAACATACGTGATGGACGACGCGCCGAGGCAACTGAACCTCTCAGCACGCGAACGCAAGCAACTACTCATCGCGCTCAGCCATACCACACATCCCACAGCTTTCCGTCAGGTATCACGGTCAGTAGAAAGCACACTTCGGATGCAGGCGCACCCCAACTTCATCCGGTGGAGCATCTGCAACGGTAACACGGCGCGCGTCAAGTTCGCCAACCTGCTTGGGGCGTTCCTGATCGTGGGCTCGATTGCGGCGTGGATCCTCCTCACACTGTCGTCGGTGCCGCGGGGGTTCCGGGCTATCCCGGCCGCGGGCTTCGTGCTGGGCGTCAGCACACAGGTGGCGGCGATCAAGGGCATGTGCGTGGTACTGCACGGGATGCACCACCGGCACGTGCGGCCGTGGGAGCTGTTCGTCGACGAGGAGATGCTGGACGATATGTCGGCCGACGGCAAGTCGGCGCCCTATAGCAAGAAGTCGTTTGAGAGCTTCGGCAGCTCCAATAGTTACGAGGACGAGCCATGGGTCATCAAGTACGAGAAGCGTAACCTCGTGCGCAAGGTGTTCGACCGCGAGGTCTGGATCCAGGAGCCCGCACTGAGGAGCATCCAGGACACCATCTTCGTCCAGGCCATGCTCGTGGCGCTTTTGTCAGCCGGGGCACTGACGGCTGTTTTCGTGTGTGTGCCTGGTGGGCACTTTTATTAATGGGGCCATGACAGCGAGTCTCACATGAGCAAATATTCCTGGCTTTTTTGGTGAGCTCTTCAGGGTTTGAGGGTGTATACTGATATTTATGTGTAATAATTCCCGGGGTCTCGTCGTATTTACGAGCTGGTGTTCGAATAATGAGGCGGAAAGCGATTTCAAATTAGTGGGCATCATGACTGAACGGCCTGAAAGAGACTTGGGTTGGACAAGGTTTCATGAAGTGTGCTTGTGCATGGCTGGAGGGTCTTCCTTGACGGCCTTCGGAGTATGGGATTTGATTAGTGTCTCAAACAAAGATTATTCAACGACTCCTCGCATTGATTCCGTCAAGTTGGTGGCGGGCAAACGGGATCGTCTGTTCTCATACAAACTTGCAACATATTCAATGAGAGTGACTGTGATCCAAGACAGCTGAGAAACTAAGCACAGTACAGATCTAGTCATACAACCAGACCGGCCGAGTAGGGAGTCAAGGCCGAAGGTGCGAAAAGGCGAGAGGGACGAGAGGACGAAGGGACGGGGCTTGCAAGTCTCCCATTAGTTCGGAGTTGAAGTTGCGCGCTCGGAGGTAGTAGTGTAGGTCGGGGATGGCTTCAATGGGAAAGACAACCTTGAATCCCACCAGAGAGGTGTCCGTGGCGCGGACTTTTGTGACGGGCACAGAACCAGACCATCAGACGACTCGTCTGCGCCTCCAGCACCAAACCCCCAAAACCCCCCCCCCCCGGCGGCTGACCCCTGGTTCATTGGAGCTTCCCCAAGCAAACTCCTCGTACCTCGGGCCCTCGGCGGGGTCTCCAAGCTCCACTGCAGCTTTTCTGAGAGATCCGATCGGGGTTCACAAACCTGGAAATTCAAACATGACCATCCGGTCAACCGGAGCAGCTGACGGACCAAACAGAAAATACCACGGCGTAGTACATAATCCCTAATACGTGCCCGAGTGCTGCGTACAGCCCGAGACTGGACCACCAACATGTGGCTGGCATTGAATTGGCATTCATCTCCCTCCTTCAATTGACTCACGGCCATCTCGTCCCATCGCGATACGATCCCTTTGGACCCACACAGGTTATCGCGAATGCCGCGCGACTCGACTGCGACAGCCACAGTTCAGATAGAGATACTGGCGGGAACCTGATCTGACAGATCACATGCGCTGAGCATACAGACGTCGCCTCGCCTCGCCTCGACTCGACTCACCTCGCCTCATCCCAACTTCCTCTCGGCAGCAGCAAGCAGAAATCAACCCTTGGCCCAGGTCTATCTTCGTCCAGCTGGGTGCGACGTCGCACTCACTACCAGTACTCCTCGACCACGCGCCAGAAAAATGACGGAGCGGCCGCCACAGCTGTCGCACTTGCGCGACGATGCGACAACAGCCGGGGCAGGAAGTGGGAGCGGGAGCGGGAGTCTAAGTGGGAGTGCGATCCAAGACTTAGCTGTCGACGTCGAGCAGACTGGGAGGCCTAGGACAGCGACCACCACCGCCGAGATCGACAGCACCATAATACACCCCGGCAGCGTTAAGATCAATGTCAAGGGCGCCTTCATCGTGGAACAGGACTCGGCGACCCCAGTGGCTCAGAGCTTCAATGGCGGGAGGGGGTCGCCCGATCACCACCAGACCAAGGACATCAGGCTGCCCAACCACACTGCCGTCGTGAGCCACATAGCCGTCGATGTAAGTAGCCCTGGTCATCCTTCACAAACCCGGCGCGGTACTTCACGGCCCCAGTCAGCGCTGACAGCCTCTGCGAAATGAATAGATCGGCGGCTCCCTGGCCAAGCTAGTCTACTTCTCGCGCGAGGGCTTCTCCACAGAGCCCGGCGGCCGCCTTAACTTCAGCATATTCGAGACCGACAGGATAGACGACTGCATCGCTTTCATGAGGCACCTGAAGGAGAACCAACAGACACTCAATGGCTCCAATCCCGGTCAGCTGACAGTCATGGCCACCGGCGGCGGCGCCTACAAGTACTACGACAAGATCCGTGACGTGCTGGGCGTCGACGTTATACGGGAGGAGGAGATGGAGTGTCTGATAATCGGCCTGGACTTCTTCATCACCGAGATCCCACGTGAGGTCTTCACCTATAGCGAGACCGACCCTATGCACTTTGCGAGCCCCGAGGAGAACATGTACCCCTACCTGCTGGTCAACATCGGTTCCGGAGTGTCCATGCTCAAGGTCTCCGGCCCACGGGAGTACCAGCGTGTAGGCGGCACGAGCCTTGGCGGCGGTACCCTTTGGGGTCTGCTGAGCCTGCTCACCGGTGCGAGGACTTTTGACGAGATGCTGCACAATGCCGCGCTCGGCGACAATTCCCACGTTGACATGCTGGTGGGCGATATCTACGGGACGGACTACGGCAAGATCGGCCTGAAGAGCACGACTATTGCGAGCTCGTTCGGGAAGGTGTTCAGGATGAAGCGGGAGGCTGAGAGCGAGGCGGAGGACATGGGCGGCCTTAGCAACGGAGATAAAGACCACGCTCTTCACGAGCAACGACAACAGAGCCAACAACAGAACCACCACCAACAACAACCACCAGCATCATCATCTGGTACAGGGGCCTCAGCCCCCGCACCCGCACCCGCAGATACCTCGCGCTTCTCCTCGGCCGACGTATCCCGCTCGCTTCTCTACGCAATCTCGAACAACATCGGCCAACTAGCCTTCCTACAGTCGCAGGTCCACGGCCTCGAGCGTATCTACTTCGGCGGCTCCTTCATCCGCGGCCACCCGCAGACCATGAACACGTTGTCGTACGCCATCAAGTTCTGGTCTAAGGGCGCCAAGCAGGCCTACTTCCTGCGCCATGAGGGCTACCTGGGCGCGGTGGGCGCCTTCCTCAAGAGGCAGCCGCGCAACTGGGGCCGCAGGGGCAGCTTCGAGGAAGGCGGGAGCGGGAGCCTGGGCCTGGAGAGCAGGATGAAGGGCCGCGCCGACGACAGCATTGAGACGCCGCAGCCGGTCATGGAGTACCCCGGGACTGCGGCAGCATTTGCATATCCTGGCACGTTGTCGTAGTTTTCAGCGCTTGAAGATGAAATAGACCTTGTAGAGATTGGTCTAAGGCCAATTCTTGGATAAAAATTAAAGGGACGCTCGCTCATGGGTCTGGCGTTCAGGTAAACGCTTAGTCGTGCATTACTGGGCTCGCAGCCGAGTATATATTATTGCAATTGATACCATACACAGGCGTTCCTGTCGATAAAAGGACTGCGGTTACAACATATCTAGAGAATCTTGGAATGAGAAGGCGAGAGTGGGCTCGACACTGTTGAGGGTCTTCAATGAGTCGACCGCCTGTACCGGCCTATATCCCGTCTTCAGCACAGAAATAGAGAGGCACCTTAGGGTGCCACACTCGGCTCCAGCTAACACAGCCTTTAATTTAATCACATTATTGTTCGAGAAAAGTTAAAGAGACTACTGAGCGCCTGAAGTCAAACCTGAGACACCACGTACCAAATGTCTAGAAACGGTCGCGAGGCGACCTGAAAGTCCACAGTCTTCTATTGTAACCTGGAAAATCACTTAGAAAAAATCTTTTGGAGAACGCTCAAACGTGGGAAGAAATAAAACCATGCGTTCAATCTTGATAGGCCATCTTCAGCCGTCATCCATCTCCATTTCCTCATCATAGTCGTCGTCGCCATAGAAATGCCTATCCCCAAAGACATCTTCTTCTTGCTCCCTCAAGAGAATCGGGCGGCAAGCTGCCGACCCGGGAGCAGGTGGGAGCGACGGCCGGGCAAGGCACGGCCCAAGAGACGGGCCATCCAGCACGCACGACCGGCCCTCGTGGATCTGCTGGTGTTCACGCGAGAGCCCCGGGACGGCCCGAAGCCGACATGTCCTGGCCCCGTCTTCGCCTCCGCCGTCGCCGGCGCGGTCATCGGGCGAATCACTCCCATCCCGAGCGTGCCCGACCTCGCTCTCGCACTCGACAACCCTCAGCTTCCCCTCGTACCCGTACAGCCGGCGGCCCAGCTCGTCGAGGTCGCGCTCGGCCACGAACGGCATGGACCGGACCTCGACGGGGACGCCGCAGTGCACGAGCTCGTCCCGCCCGGACACCATGCTGATGGTGCCCCTGCCGCCCGTGACCTGGACGCTGCCGCGCCCGCCGTCGATCATGTCGGGCCGGCGGCGGAACGTCTTGTTGACGGGCCGCGCGTTCGTCTCGCAGCAGTGGTGCTTGACCGTCGCCGGGATGATGCACAGCCGCTTGTCCGCGACGTCCTTGCCCGGCAGGAACCGGAAGACGCAGTGGACGCTGTGCGCCGCGCCGATGGGGCACTCGTGGTCCGGCCGGTGGTGGTGTCGCGGGTACAGGTTCTCGAGGCTGGGCCGGTTGGTCTGGAAAAAGACCGTGTGCGGCGTCGGGCACTGCCAGCCGAGGTTGCAAATGTCCGCTGGGGGCTGTGTCTCGTCTGTGTCGTTAGCCTAGCCGTCTCGCTCCATATTCTTCCTTTTGTCTTCTTTTTGATTTCCGTCTCTGGTGGAAGGGAAGGCGGGTTGACCTACCGGACCAGCTGGAAGTAGAGGCTTGCACTTCCGGGCCTTCTTGGCCTCGACCACGCGTTGAAGCTCCTGCATTTTCCGCTTCACGTCCGGGTCCTCTTCGCCCTCGGTAAGCGGGAGACTGGTGCTGAAGTTCGGGGAGCCATCATCAGAGAACTCCTCTTCAGGCGGTGGCGTGGCCAAGCTGATAGCCTGGCCAGGGCCTCTCCCGGTGTGTGGCATGCCTGTGCTCCACGGGTTTGCGATCAGCCCTTGAAGACCTGCCTCGAAAAAGGCAGGGGCAATTGCTGCAAGACTGCGGTGGAAGAGGTCGTTCGTCCTCCGCTTTCCATCGGGAAGGGCTGTCAAGTTTTGGTACTTAAAGGACGCCTGCTCCACAATCTCCCTAACTTCGACCTTGTCTATCCTAGTGATACCATTCCTGACACGCAACCGTTGAACTATGGCTAGAAGGTATATTTTCCTATCGTGTTTTCTCACCGGAGGTCCGGAGATGGTCAAGAGCTCCTCCTCGTCCTCTCCGCAGTCGATTTTGCGGAACTTTGGGATCCAACACACGTCGTCGAGTGCCACGGTGATAGGTTCCCATGTTCGGAGGTTCACAGCAATGATGTCCTTCTGATCCTGTATAGACTCGTTTTTGTCCTCGCAGGCCGTCTCCGTCAGCCACACTCGATCCCCCTTGCGGTAGCCTTGATCCGCGTGGGACTGGATGATGACCCCGTGGGCGTATGTGCTGCCAGAACCGCTGCTGAGTCTGTTAACTTGGGCCGCTGGTTTGAAGGTGACTTCATTTTTGTACTGCCCCTGGTCCTGGCGGACGAGGATTTCATTACTGGGCTGGCGCTCAGGGGAGACAGGAGACTGCAACAAGACGGTGCTGGAGCCATCAAGGTAGACAGGACGATAGTAGTCGACCTCAATGGTGATATTAACAGCCATCGCTGGTCATATGATCACAGGTCGCGAAAATGATGACATCCGTCTAGAAACAGGTTCTAAAGCGGTTGGGAAAGAGGGACGGCATTCACAGCAGACAGCAACAGGTTCCGCGTCTGGCATGGTTACATTGATTAGCACATACTCTCCGAGGACCTTTTGCTACGCATTGAAACATGTGTATGAGGCCAAGGGTGCGTAAATGGCCTGGTAGAGAAATGCATGTCTAAGGGTAACCATCGGCATTGTGGTGGAGTTTGATCTCGAAGAGTGAAGGCCAGCCAACCACATCGGAGATGCTTCCGAGTAATACACAGGCTCTATTGGTTGTGGGGAAAGGAAAAGCAAGTAGCAGGGGGATTTCGAAATAGTTCCATCATAAGGGAGACAGTGCTACCAGCCTAATCAATGTATATTTGGTAAGGTGCCTGCGAGCGCCGATGGGTACCTCCGTCCTGTGTGCGGAGCGATCTGAATCCAGCCTAGGTCAGGCCGACATGCCCGATTTCTCTCGGGGGGGTTTGTCCAAAGATAGCCCCAGCGCAAACGGCAGGAAGCTGCATTTTTCAAGACACCACGAGGTCTCCGCGGCCCGTTCAAGCTCGTGTTGCCTGCTGGGAAGCTTCCCCTGCCCTGGCATGGTCGGAATTCCCGGACGCACCTTGGCTTGGCTTCAGTCTCGTATGCAATTAAAGGGGTTGATTCATTTGATGGCTGCCGTGTCTTCTGGGGGCAGGAAAAAGGTACTTGGACGGACTTCGCGGCTCAATGGGCGGACCAGCTGGGCCAGAATCGGGTAGAGTAGAGTTTTTTCGTGTCGTGAGCAGCGATCCTTATTCATCCGTTCTTCTTGCTGGCGTTGGCTTGCTCGCTCTCCCGCTTGTCTTTCCTCGACAACACCTCTGCCACCCACTCCTCGACCTGCTGCTCCGCCGCCGCGTCGACCACGCCATCCGCACCATAAAGTGATGCTCTTGCCTTCCTCCTCAGATCCTCAAGGTTGGAAATGTCAAACGCCCACATGAACCCGCCCGTCATCATGACTCCGAAGCTGAACACGTTCAGCGTTGCTAGGCCCAGAGCTTCTACCGCAACGAACGCGTCGTCCCCCTTGTCTTTCTGCCCCCGCGGTGGTGCACGCGGGCCATGATGACTGGGCTGGAACATTCTTGGGGCCGACTCAAACATCCTGCGCGCCACGGCGCGTCGCGTGATCAGGGTCGAGAGGGTGAGGAAGCCGGCGCCGGCGGCAAAGAGACCCAGCTGCTTCGCCGAGCGACGAAATTCCTCTTCGGGTGAGCGCGGTGGCTCGTAGCTCTGCGTCTGAACGGTCGGGTTCGGTGGTGGAGGAGGAGGAAGTACTTGCGTGGGCGGTTGCGTGGGCGGTTTTGCGGGCTCGTCGGTTCCCGTCAACGACGAGAGGAGCTTGGCTAGAATCGGCATCTTGACTTTGACTGGCGACAGCAATGAGGCCGCAAATGGATTCTGAGGTAGATGAACTGGTCTGGGGAAATTCCACCACCGTTACCAGCACGTCGGCTTTGGAATATTTTCAATTGTTCGTTCGGCGGCAAGCTTCCCCTCGAATTGGGGTCAATCTGCGAGCTTGGGGGAGGTGCACCAGCTGAGCCCCAGTATATGCAACTATTGGATAAAAGCATATAAATCGTTACATTCATATCGTCGCATTCACAATCTCCTGCTTGTGCATAGACGTTGCAAACAGCAAGACCAACCACACAGCCATTACTACTTTTCGCCTTCCCGAACAGAGGAGAGTCAAAATGCAGGCAAAGGGGCCAGTCGCAACATTCACAGCCGACGCTATTGAAGACAGACACTCCACCCAGCCAACAGGGACTGCCCCTCGCCCACCACCATCACTGGATATCCCACGTGTTGAGCCTCCCAAGGTTTAGGAATACTTCGGGAGGATCTACACGGCACAGGTCAGCTAGTCCCAGGCCCCATATATCTCCACCGCGGGTTCGGTTCCTGGTGTTGCTGTTGTCACGCACCTTTCCGCTGCTTGATGCAGGCCTCGTTTGCCACTTGCAAGTGCCCATACAAGTCTGGATTGTAGTAAAAGTACGGCGTCAACGTCCGCAGCCCATGTGACATGAAACGCTTTGGGAATTGGTGGTGTGGGGAGGTCAGCCCTGGTCTTGTCCGCTCCTTGGAACGGGCGTATGTGATCTCGCTGTCGAGAATGAATTGCTGCTGCAGATCGCCCCGTTTCCACAGCTCGGACATCTCCTCGGTATATTCCCGGAGGCTCTCAGGGAAAGATATGTCGGCGATGACGTAGACAAGTTGAAATGTATGCCTCAAATATTCATGCCGCACGTCTCGCGATCGAGTATGCTTCTTGTCGAAGGCCTCGGCGCCGATGCTCTCCTCCCAGTAAGCGAGGGACTCCCGAACCTGGAGCAGGCAGTTGATCCGATGCTGGTAGTGTGTGAAGGCAGCATCGGCGTTGCCTGACCTTGCAAGCCTTTTCAGGCCTGCGACTACCGTGAAAGCCTCGACCAGATGCCGACCTGCACATCGGCAAAATGCCTTGAGTGTTGTGTCAGCCTCGTTGGTTGGCCTAACTCTCTCCTGCTTGGCTTGTAGGGATTTGATGCGCCCAACTTCTGGTAGGCTGTCAAGTCGATCGAGCGCTTTGCGATTAGGAATGAAAGGGATCTTTTCTGGTTGATAAAGCGGATCCCCATGTCCGAGAACACGGAGACTCTCTTCGAGATAGATGTCTCTCAGGGTGCTAAAGTTCATGATTTCGACAGTGACCAGGGGATCAAGGAGATCGGGGTCCAGCAAAGGTCTAGGCGCACGGTACACTCCTGCGCCACAATCTCATGAACTGGCTTGCAGGAGGCTCGGGATGATATACCACCACTGTGCTAGCCCATCCTCAACACCACTGCATGGTCAACTGGCCAGACTGGGGGAGACGACGCTCATGGGCATTGTGTTCCATCCCAGCAGCATCGAATTTCCACTTGATGGTCCGGCCTGGTATGACTGTTAGCAACGTGCATACACAAGACGCCGGTTAAAGGCCACTCACGAGTGGCTTTTGCCTCCGTTGAAGCATCATCCACTGGCGCCAGCCAACGAGAAAAGCAAAATGTGAACCCACCGGCAAGGTCTGAGCGCTTGGGGCGGCTTAGAGACCCAGATTTCAGCAGGCGACTGATCGTCGTGTGCCATTGCTGAAGAAGTTGTGAAATGCAGATAATTCTGCCTCCTCCCACATTCCATGTGCCAGTTATGCCTGCCACCGAAGCTAGGTAGCCAGGTGTGCCAGCAGGTGTGCCAGCAGGTGTGCCAGGCCAGCCCAGCAGGCGATCCAATAGAGGCGTCGTGATTCAAGGCCGTTGCAAGCAGAAACGGGGGTCTGAGATTGCCGAGGCGGGGAAACGGGACATGTCACAACTCGGTGGTATGACAAGAGCTTCTAGTAATGTTTTGATGCGGGCCATTGTATTCAAGGGCATTGCTTCTGGGGACTTTTAACTCAGCCTGCTGGCTGTGGTGCCCGAGGTACCGTCGACGTGGTCGTGGCAAAAGAAGCAAGTCGGCCAGGTGAGGGGTGGTGGTTGGGTGGAACGGATCCAGATTGAGCAAAGGCTGTGGCCCTGTCTGCCTCCTCGACGCTGCAACCAGAGTAACACGACCTGACCTTTGCTGTACAACTCCCGCATGCCAAATCCAAACACAACAAGAAGCAATTCCACTTTGCCAACAACCGGCCTCCATACGAGTCTTGCAGCCGCTGCGCATGGCGCATGCGCTTTCGGCCATCATCCGTACCCCCGTCTGTCTCGCTGTCGCCGGAGGAGCCTCCATCAACATCGAGGCCAGGCCCCAGCATTCTTCTTGCTCTCCAGCTCCGAAGCTATCACCATCACCTGCAGGCCGACGCGGGAACGCTTTACCCACGCCAGGCCACGTGCATCGCATTGTGACCAGGCGGGCAGCCAGGCAGCTTGAGGTCAAGGTGGTCCAGGGGGCGTCACGAGAAGGCTCGCATCAACGGCCAGCCATTTACTAAGGCACACGCAAGCCTCTGCAAGCAAGGGTCCGACTTGCACCACGCCATCTAAGCCTGCTGTACTGCATAGTGCCATTCCCTTTCGAGGAAGCCGACATGCCCAAACAAAAAGGCAACAAAGCTATCGCCAAAGCAAAGCCCGTGGTGGGTGCGGCCGCAGCTGCCGAACCGCCCTCCTGGCCTGCCTTCAAGCCTCCGCTGCCCCTGGTCGATCTTCAGCCTGAATCGCTTCTGAACTCTAAGGCCCTTCTCATCAGGAATTTCTGGCCCAAGTCGCTCTGCCGAGACTATGTCTCCTTCTTACGAACCCTCCCCCTCACCACAACACCTGGTCAGCCCAAACGAGGGGACGCTGTGAGGGTCAACGATCGGTTCCAGGTCCATGACCCGGGTTTCGCAAACCGCCTGTGGCTTGAGACTGGTCTTCGGGATGTGCTCATAAGCGATGAGTGGAAAGCCTTGTGGTAAGTGCCTACCGTCAAGCCACCACATGGTCACTCCAGCCGCTGACGGTTGGTCTGCTGCACCTGGTTCAGGGGCGGAGATGCCGTGGGCTTGTCCCCGAACATCCGGATCTACAGATACAAGCCCAAGCAATTCTTCGACGCACACTGTAGGTAAATGGCTCAACAATGACTCCTGTGTTATGTCACTTCTCCTTCAAACATGCCGCTCGGCTATTTAGCTGCCGTGCTGCGCAGATCGCCTCGCCCAAAGCGCCTTCTTCAACGAACCTGGATGGGCACATGGACTGGTCGAGACCCAAGTGGGCTCGACTAATGCACGGCATCGCAGGTTTTATCTGCAGCCTGTCATCGAAATTTCGCATCTCGATGTACGAGACACAGATATCAGCATGGGAAATTCGAAGGAATAGGCCCTTGATGCGACCAGGCAAAGCATAATTCTGTGTTTCCCACCATGGCTATCCCTTTTCCCTGTGCATGTGCATATGTGAGCATGGCTGTCCAAGGAGACGGGCAGGTACACCGCTTTGTTTTTGTTTTTTCCTGCGGCAAGGTCATGCAGGCTCTGGGATGAATGGCAGGGGAGGTCGAGGTTCGTCTTGTTCAGTTCGCCACTGGTTTCTTGTCGCTCAACCGTCAGGCCGAGCTGCGTCAGAAACCCAACCCAATCACGTCTTGCATGCCTTTTCGTCCTTCCCTATGGCAATGTACAGATTGCCCTGCGCGCTCAGTTTCATGGTCTTTTGTGTTTAGCCCTTCTCTACCTATGGGCAAATTGCACAACATCGATGTCCGATGTCTCACCTCGGCTCCTAGCGTTCCCCACGGGGAGCCGAGACAGCCTTGAGCCCTTATGGCTGTTTAGATGACTGATGCATGACAGACGACGATTCCAACACTATCATCTCCGATTTTGATCAGGGAAAATCCATCACCACCAAGACGACATGGACCCTGCTCCTGTATCTCACTTCAGAAGCCGACGGGTGTCGAGGCGGTGAGACGGTATTTTTCCCCAACGACCGGAGGGTAGCCAAGGAGGAAGTTGCCGTTGCACCTGAAACAGGCATGGCATTGCTTCACAAACATGGAGACGACTGCATGCTTGTGAGTGACCCCTTGCTGGGTGGCAATTTGACCACGAGGTTGCTGGCGCTGTCACATCGCGTAATGCCGGTACCGGCACACCTCTGCCATGTTGAAGTAACTTGCTGACTTCAGCTTAAAATATAGCACGAAGGCCGCGAGGTCACTGCCGGGGAAAAGTGGATCATTCGAAGCGATATATGCGTCCGTAAATAGCCATGTTGAGTCTGTACTAAAGCAAACACCCTAGAGCCATCCTCTGTGTTTCCTTCTTATGGGGTTTGAAGTCCCAGCTGCTTCTTCTTGTCCTCGTGTCTCCTCTCAACAATTATCATGGTCAAGGACCTTCTGATTGTGCCACCTGCTTTCCCCCCTTCCATTCTGATGCCACTCTCTGCACCACAAGGATCCACGGGAATATTGCAATTTCGGTCATCCCGGAATGGCATGTTATATCATCATTTTGACTTAAGGCCGTCGTCACTAGCGCGCAGCGAACGATGCTGACCATCGTGGGCCAAGGTGACAACATGCGAAGAGGGCACGCGGCTTCGGTGTGTGGGTCAGACTGCGTTGTGAAGGTGGGACGAACAAACTGCTCGAGGCAGATCAAAACCAACCGGAATATTAGTTCCGAGATCTACACCAATGCGTCTTGGTTGCTCCTCACTGTCCACTCAGCTCTATCATCTGTTTCCAAGCGGCAGCAGTATTTCCATCTGTCCGTCTCGTACAACACCAAGCCGAACCTTTGCATTCTGTTCTTCTCCAAGGAATTCCATTGAGGCTGCGAAAATCCCTTGCTTCTGACGGGCTCCGTAGCCTAGTGAGCGGTCCTTAAGCACTCATGCGCCCAGGAGCATTGCTGATCTTGCCGTTAAAATGTGGTGTGAGGTGCCAGTCAAGCATACTGACTGGCTCTGAGGCCTGTCGTGCCCAATAACATGTTCAACTCCTCAAATTGATCTGCGCGTACCCTGCTTTTGTTCTAGTCGCCCTACATGCCGGGTTGCGCATGTGCCAAGTGCAAATCGCATGTGCGGACTTTTTCTCGGTGCCATTGTATGCGAGGCTCTGGCCGTGACACCTAGTATTGACCGTGGCGTTTTTGCCCCTTTCCGAAAGCTGTTGGCTCTAGACCAGCCGATGTCGAGGCCATGTGCGCGGCCTCTTGTGTTGCAAAGTCAACTTCTCTATGTATCTAGTCCAGATCGCGACTAGCCAAGCTATATTTCAAAGCCTAGGTTTTCAAAGGTATAGGCCTCCACCAAAATGGATATGTCTGCTTCAAACTGCATCATGAGGGCAGTTACGCGGCGATTTGTCGGAGGCTCCGGAAGAATCACGGGTTCTAGACCGGGGTAAAGGGCTTGATCAGATCATTGAGGCGTTTGCAGTAGTCAAGGCTAAAGCTGAATGCCCCGGGGCTGACGAGCTCGGCGTCGCCGTCTCACGCCGCCATGGGCGATCCCCCGTGATAGCCAGACCAGATCGATGGCGCCAGAGACGTACTTCTAATGGGGGGGCATCAATCTATCGTCCCCTTCCAAGCCTGCAAGTCTCGCGTTGTCCGGCTGAGGTCATTCAAGCCTTCGAATGCTGATGCCTTGTTCATCGTAGTGGGCAGGCCATAGCTGTGATGGAATTGTGAGAAGCTGTCTAGGAAGGTGTTTCTGGCAGAAGGGTTGGCTTGTCTCTATTGTTCTACAAGACCTGAGAAGCATCCGTGCGTGACGACTCTGAAAAATGTCCAGGGAGGAAGTGGCCATAGCAGTGAATTGTAAAACATTCAGAACCGTTTTGCGTGACCCTTGGGCCTATTTACTGTCGTCTCCTTTGCACTATTGCCTGATGCCCTGGAGGTTATGCTCATAATTACACCCAGGAAGTTATTGTTACGAGTAGCAGTGAAATACTGAGAGTAAGATCCCTTGAATTTCAAAGCCAAGTGAAGAATACGAGCAATTCGTTTGCGAAGCTGCGAGATGGCGCGACTGTCTTGGACTCGGCTGGCGGGAGATCGCACCGTAGATAGGAGTTGCATCCTGCTTTGTCTTCAATCCTAATGATTTTCTATTCCGTGGTATGCAACTCAGGACAAATTGTGGACGCATTCTTGATGGAACAGAAGAGATGTTAGTAAATGCCTATTTCCTGCATATCCCCTCACCAAATGCAGATGTATATAGTAGTAAAGACTGCAGCACTGCAGGCAATTGTGACAGGTCTGTTTTCAAGAATAGAAAGCTTGAGCGGCCTACTGGCATAAAACTACAGACATCATCGGAGTTTCAAGAATGATCCATGTTATGCGCGGTCATCTTTCTGCAAGAACTTCAAAAGCCTAGGACTCGATTTTGACCATGGGCCTGAGAGTCATCGATATTTTTCCATAAGCAAATTACTGTGGTCTCCGAGGTCGACTAGAATCACTCAAGTCTCCCTGGAGCCAGATACGTTCATAAATTTCAATGAGGCCTGCCTGATGTACCACATACGGAAGTGCCTAGATCCGTAAGCTTACGATTTGAATTGGTCATCGTGTGGTCTAACACTATAAAAGTTACATGACATATTCAATGGATCAATTGCGTAAAAACTCCCCAATATAGAGGGAAAGAGGAATAGAAGAAACAGTGCGAATTTTGATACAAATGATGACCATAATTAGTTATTATAGGAACAGAGCTTGTAAGTTTCAATCAATGCATCCAGCCAGCAAAAGTTACCGCATTGTTAGAGTCGACCGATTCATGGAGACCTGGCTGTGTGTATATCCCAGTATTTGCCTGAATAGACATCTCTTCCGCTGTGTAACCCATATTCGTCGTCATTTACATTCCACCCGACACCCCTTCACAATAGTGTATCAGACCCAGACTCGGACTGTGCTGTCGTGCAGTCTATGCACTGCTCCCGGAAGTCGCCACAGGCTCGGCGGTAGGTGAGGTCCCAATAAAGGTTTCAATGGGAGTCACGGGGTCAGCGGTAGGTGACGTGCCGACAAAAGTCTCAATAGGGGTCACAGGGTCGGCCGTGGGTGAGGTACCAACAAAAGTCTCAATAGGAGTCACAGGATCGGCGGTAGGTGAGGTCCCAATCAAGGTTTCGATGGGAGTTGCGGGGTCCGCCGTAGGAGAAGTCCCGACAAAGGTTTCGATAGGGGTGGCGACTCCAGTCTGGCCAATATCCACCGTTTCCTGCCGGACTTTAAAGCGAGAGCTGTCAGGCGCACCCGAGTCGGAATTGTTCGTCGTAGGCGCGCCGGAATCAGGGTTGACTATCTCAGGAGGGGTAGCGCCTCCACCAGGCAAGGACACTGCGGGAGGCAATTCGGGATCGTTTGTATCAGGCGCGCCGGAGTTGGGATCGGCTGTGTTATTAAGCACAGCGGCGTCGCGATTGACTATGGCAGGCTCAGAGGCGATGGCAGCCGAGGTGACAGGAAGAGGGTTTGGGTCTGCTGTTGGAGCATCCGGAACGGAGGTGATCACGGCAGGCTCTGAAGTAATTACAGCCGGCTCTGAAGTGATGACAGCCGGCTCTGAAGTAATTACAGCTGGCTCTGAAGTAATTATGGCCGGCTCGGAAGTGATAATAACCGGTTCAGAAGTGATTACAGCAGGCTCAGAAGTGATCACTCCCGCAGCTGTACTCTCCTGGCGCACTTGTTTACGCTGACTATGAGCGCTGCGAACGGCGTTGTACGGCAACTGAATATAACACATTAGTCTAAAATCATGAAGCGGCATTTGATGTTGGCACTGACTCCTCGCCCTCCCATAGAAGACACTGCGGTTGGAGCAGCTTGGACAGTCCAAGCGGTTGTAAGAATGATAGATGCCACGCTGTACTTCATTGTGATTTGATTGCAATGTTCAATAGTGAAATAGTGATAATAGAGAAATGCGAATAATGGTTTTGTACGAGAGCTGCCGGCAGCAAGTTGAGAAATGGGTAAGAATGCAGGATGTTCGGGAATGAATACTAGTGATTGATGGTCTGAGTTGAGCACTGGTTCAACAATTTACAGCAACAGCGAGGTTGTCGGCTCTTATACTCCTCGAACCAAGCCTACAAGACGAGTGCCTACCACTTCATTTCGTAGATATTCACGAGTCTTCTGGCTTGTTTGCTGTGCCCGGGCCATGAGACGCCTCATCCCCTGGATAGGATGAGGCTCAGCCTGAAGGTGAGACATCGTTGCAGCCTGAATGATTGTGTAGGCATCACGATATCCTGTTAAGTTCATGTGCGCAAGTATCATGTAGGCTTGGAGGCAATGACAAACCAAATTAACCCACACCAATTGGAAGTGAGCCCATATATTCCCCCTGATCGCTGTGCTGCCTACTGCATGTGGTATCCGGGGGCTAGACCACTTCGGCGACCAGTCAGCACGACACTGAATGCGGTTGACAGCCCCCATTATCCACGGCACACGTGGTAAGATTCAATTCTGCTGACAGCAATTAGTACTGTCGCATAACATAAGCGAACCGAGCCTCTAGCGAAAGTCCGAGCCCTGGACCAGAGAAGACCAACTTGGCGACCGTGAGGCTTAAGGCAGATGGGAACTTACGCCGGCGGAAGTTGGAGTTCATCAGAATTGTGCAGTCTCTGAAGGCGGCCTCCGAAGACCTTCTGCCTAGTTGCCAGGAGTTCGTTTTCAACTCCACACACGCCGTCATCCCGGCGCATTCGGAGCTCCATGCAGGCAGAGATAGAAATTCAAGTATGCAAAAAATGACAATATCTGACTGGATGCCTTGGGCCTTATTCCTTTTTCAGTTTCTTTTCTCTTATTTCCTTTTATTTCCACACTGCGTTGGAAGCCTAAGAGCGATTATGGACTCGGAAAAAGCAAGGCCAGCAATCCGAAGTCATGTCCAATGCTCCTGTTGCGCTGCCTAGTGGGCGTTCCATATGAAAAGTGCTCATTTCAGCATCTGATAGCCTTGCGGCTTGAGATGCACACATGGTAGTGAATGCTGAATACGAACCATCAATGAAATGTTATAGTCACTACGGCCTGCATGACTACTATTTGCGTACGATTTCTCCCGGGTTGTGAAATCTCCACAATGAGGGCCCTAGAGAGTCCAGTACATCGGGAAAGTTTAATTTTGGCAGATTGTCGCCGTGAATTGATAGTATGTGTTTCACATTGTTGACTCGGTGGACACTTTGTTGTAAACTCTCGGCTCTGATCCGACACGATCTGTATTCCTCAAATAGCATGCTCAGAGTCCACGATGGATCTCAAGCGAACGATGAACATGTCGCATACTCAATGGCAAAGTTAAAATCTTCGTGGGCACATGCCCTTTACGTAAATGAGGACCATTTCTTAGAACGGCGAGGCTTTGTTGGCTTGCTTGCACCTGATCAAATTCAATCACCACCGGAACGGACTCAGACTAGGCAGTCGAGAATACGAGAGTTAATCACACAATGGCGATGCCCAGACGGACGCCAAAGGCCGTGGGTAGGTCGTCCCTTCTTTTGCTTCCCGACTGGTGCACGCGCATAGCCTAGCACCCCTACCCTCTGCCCCCTATTCTCGCAGTTGGCCGCAGCCTTTTGGAAAGGTTAAGCATAAGAGCCGAACAAGGGCCGCCTTCTTGGCAGCTCGAGAGGGAACCGTCCGGTGTTTTGAAACCCAATCGGAAAGGCTGTGCGCCTCGAGTGACAGTATCTTGGAGACGCACTGCTACGCTATTGGTCAAACACTAGCATGCCGCATCTTAGGCCACCCCTGACTATTTGGACGTCACTCGTGGCATAGACGCCCGCATTGTTGTCCCCATCGCCAACATCCAGGGCACCCGGCAGCAATCAGTCTATCTATCGGACTGACTGGGCGACAACATCAGACCATATGTCAAGCAAGGTTGTCGACTTCGGACGTTTGGTTGATGATGTCAAACAAACCGGCAAACCCGACTGGCGTTGCTACTTGGCACCCGATGAAGTCCACGATGTTGTAGATCCGTGCCCGCTTTGCGATGAACCTATCGACGCCCCGGCGTCACGAGTTGGGACATTGCAGGATACACTGGTCGGCCGGCGGCAGTCTCCCTCAGCACTGAAAACAGGCTTGACTGGCTATGACCTACTCAAGGCCTTCCTGAATGAGACAAGCTACAAGATCTCCGGATCGTCAGGGGATCCAACCAAGAAAGCTAACCAACCAACCAGGTCCTGAATAATCTTCAGCCTGTGTGTGCATTAGGCCATGCGCCCGACCGCCATGTCTTGTCTTGTGGTCGGTGCTCTTGTGCGCGACCTGACGTTGAGCATACGCTTTGTTATTAAGACGTGCTATTTTGGACTGACTGGCCACCCCTGGCAAGGCTAACTGGCCGTTACTTACCCCTGACCTGCCGAGGGGGCGCCAGCCACCTCCGCGATACAATTCACGCTATAGCAACGTGAATAATTCGGCGGCGGTGCAGTCAACCCTTGGTAGGTTGCATTTTAAATGAAGTCCATGCTCATGTGGTCGTAGGCAAAGGATTCAAAAGGCGAGCACCCTCCGGCCATTCTATAACGTATTGCCAGTGTACTCATCAACAACCCTTATTCATTCATTCCCTCCGTGTTGTGTTGCTATCGCACTCAGAGCGACAAGAAATTATCTATTTCTCTATAGCAACTTCAACAGCCTTCGCTTCAACCCACATTCACTATGAAGCTTTCTCTCTTCACTCTCACCTTCGTTACCGGCACAGCCCTCGCAACCTGGGGCAGTGGCGGCGACGAGGGCGGTGATGACAACTGCAAGGACTCCGGCGACAAGGGTGGCTGGAAGAGGCTCATCAACGGCCGCACATGGGGCCACGGCGGCGGAGACAAGGACTGCACCACCACCACAGAAGGATCCGGCTACGAGACACAACCCCCCAAGGGTGAGCACACCAAGTCTCACCACAGTGGCGGCGGCGGCGGCGGACAGATGACCTACTCCACCATCTACGCAACATCAACTCAGACCATCACCTCCTGCGCGCCTGAAATCACCGATTGCCCCGGCGAGCAATACACAACCGTCACAGTTGCCGTCTCAACGACGCTCTGCCCAGTCACTGAGACCTCGCCCATCCCAGTTGTGACCCCTCCCGTCGCAACACCACCTGCTCAGACCACATCCGTCATCACACCATCCTTGCCTCCTGTGGTGTCGTCTGTCAAGCCCACGACTTCCGTTGTGGTCCCACCGGCGCCGGTGACCACGCCCGCGACCTTGTCAACGCGGACCACCGGGCGGCCAAGCGCCACAATCCCCGTCAACGGCACAACGACGGCGACTCGCCCGCCTGTCGTTACCGCCGGCGCGGCATCCAACGGTGTCAGTGCCGGTGTGGCCCTGGCCGCCCTGTTCGCCGCCGTGATCTGAGGCTCCATCGCGCACACTCCGGTGTAAGCGAGGCGTCTACGGGGAGGCGGCGCTACGCTTTTTCTTCTCTCCTCACTTCTTGTACAATGAAGACTTTTTCTTTTCTATTCGCATACCCAGGCGCATCGGCCTAATATTTTGGGAAGGAGGAGGTCATGACTGATCAGCATCATGAACTCTGGTCACGGCTTGTTAGATGATTGATGACAGCGAAGGTAGCGAGCGGCAATGATTCACAGCTAAGAGACATAATTAGCCTAATGAAATGCCATAATAGCTATTCTTTAACAACCAAATATCGTGCAAACCACTGCCGCGGTGATAAATTGCTTCCCGGTACACTGCAGCGGACAATAATGGCCGGTGTTAGTGCCCTGCTATAGGCTGCGCAAAGCGCGCTCAATATAGCAAGGCCTGATCAGCAGGATTTGTTGATCATGCCGGGTGACGACCAGCATTGGTGTACTCGCGTTCGTCTGTTGTTCGGTGAATGGTACGTCACTCCCACACTGAGTATCATCACAGTTCGGGCATTCCATTGCGAGGTGAGGAAGTCGGCAGATCCCTGCTGTTGCTCCAGCCATCTGAAAAAAAGAGTCCGAACAACGTGTGATATTATGCAATGCTATAGCTTGCTCCCTGTAGGGTGCAGGATAAAGCTTCCACATCGAAAGCCTCCTGTGTCGTTCTTTTTTTAAAGTTTCCTGATTCGGCCTGCCATCTCCTATAGAACCTTGACGACCATCTATTCATCCGAAGATGCGGTTCACATGCCGAGAATTACCCTTGGCCAGGCGATCCTCGCTTAATCCGCTGGCTCTATTGGATGCGGCGCAAAGGGTTGGAAAGCCTTGAATTCTCAATAGCATCGTCTGTATTTTCGGTTGGCTGACATGACGCCCTTATGGAATGGGTACGTTAATGACGTGTTACCAGTCGACAAGCAGCACGTTGCGATCAAGTGCAAGGCAGATTGGCCCTGCCTCGCATTTGCAATGAGGGGGCTGGATGCTGGTGTTACCAGGTCCTCGGCTGACCGCGCAGTGATTCAGCCTTGAAAAGCAGGTTTCTGTGAAAAGCTCAGCTTGTGTGTGGCAGGAAAATCCAGCACAACTCACCACAATCGGCTCTTGGGTGCTTGGGCCTGCCTGTAAAGACCCTGTTGGCTGGTCTGATGCAACATTGCTTCTTTAGAGCTCATGGCATTGCCATTCAAGGAGTATCTCCTCATGATGCGGGCTTCACACAGAGCCCAGTTTGCGCGCAACATCCTCCAATCGCGAACCGTCACTGAGCAGCTCCCGGGTCAGCTCGCGATCCCGGCCCATGTCCCCGAACACGACCAACTTGACCACGTCGCCGTCATCCCCAATGACGAGCCGCCCTGACCGGCCGTCCTTCCAGTCAATCCTGACCTGTTTTGCCTCGGTGTCCGCCGCACTGATTGCCAGGAGCGAGCTGCTCTCCGCCAGCTCTTCTGCGTCCCTCCGCTTGCCGTCCAGACCCACCGCCCTACGCAGGTCCGCGATGACGGACACGCGGTTGTGGTACCGCACGATGTCTCGGCGCAGACATCGCACGAAGCGCGAGAGGTCTTGACGCTTCTCCGGAATGGCCTCACCATTCTCACCTTCGGACCTTATCGGCTTTGGGGCAGGCAGGTACCGCGCCGCCAGGCCACTGAGCGGGATACACGGTGGGACGGTGTGGCGATGCACCCGTAGAAATCGTTTTCTCTGCTCGTTTCCTGAGTAAGGGCGGTTAAGTAGCACGAAGTAAGGCCGGAGGAACTTGGACCGGGTCATGACCTCGATGCGCACGCCCAGAACGTTGCCGCCGTCGACGGCGTTTGGGTCGGGATCGCGCACGCGGAAGGTGGTGATCCCGGCGCAAGCACGATAGAGACAATGCTGGTCGTAAGCTATTTGCTTCTCCAGGCGTTCCTGTAGATCCTGTGCGCTGGTGTCTGATGTGATAGCATGGCGGGCGGAGTCTGTTGTGAGAAGGACGCTGGCCTGGAGGCAGACTTGGCCCCTGAGCGTCTCGACTATATTTTTTGATCAGCGAAATTCATGAGACAGGAATGACAGGTGCAAATACCTCGCGCCTTGAGATCGGCGATTTCATCATCTATGTCTGCTTCTGATGCCATATTGTCTGTGATATTCAACTGTAGGGGGGACGCGCTATGGGTGTGAGAACGCGTCTCCATCTCCAATTGAGTTGTGGTGTTTACTTACACTCAGGTGCACAGGACGGTGCAAACTAGCCACATTTACACCAGGGGTTATAAACGGCCCGTTCCCCTCACCCAGGGAACAAATCCAAACTTTTATCAGGGCTGTTAGTTCCAGCTGCGTTCAGGCAGGTTTTAAATTGCTCATCTAGATGTATTCTTTTTCAATATTCACAAGCGAAGGACATCAGAACCAGATAACAGCAATGGGTAACCTAGGCGGGTTGAATAACAAGCTGCATGCACTGGTGTGCCTATGGTATATGGCGCCACAGTTGCATTTAGGTGCAGGGATGCAAAGCACGTCAGAAGATGCAACCCGAGCTTGTGATAAGCTTAAATCGACCTCCTTGCATCTCATTTGAGTGGTGTTGCAAATTGATATCGGTGTAGACTCGAGTGTCGACAAAAGTCCTCGAACACTCTCAACTTGTTATGAGACATGCACAGAGTACGTCGAAGCTTGACCTTGACCTGCTTGGGGCTGGAGCTAGGCCGTCTTGGGATGCCTTGCCTCTGAGTCTGGTTCCTTGAACAAGCTGCCGAGACGACCCTCGAAACGGCCAGCAAGAGCACGTGAATGTATGGAGACAAAACGATGCACGAGGTCAGATCTGAGCCCTTACATCATCGCTATCGTGGACTGTTTCTGTGCACGCTCTCACGGGAGATGGTCGCGGACCTATACCGAGTCGGGCGTTTTTGACGTCGTCGCCTCTGAGGCCACGGTAAGCCGCACCGACGCTCGGCCGGCAGCTCCCCTGCAGGGGCCCGGGAATTCTAGAACCCTTGGTGGCCAAACTCGACTTCATTGTCCATGCACAAGCACAAGCACAAGCTCGCCTGCCGCCTATCTCCAAGAGGCCAGCAAGACCTCTCAACAAGGCGACTAACTCTACTGTCTTTCATGGATTCCTTTCGATCGTACTGACCTTCACGTCCCTCCTTCGCTTACCATTTCACCTCGACAACCGATCCGACCTCCCCTCAGAGCTCGATCCCGAACCATCGCAGCAATCCTTCTGCCTACGTCTCCTTCGCCACTGCACCAGTCGGCGTCGACCGCTTCAACGACTCCGCCGCCTATTCCTTATTCTCTTTTCTTTCCTTTTCTTTTCAGCAATCACCTATGGGTGTCCGGACTCGACGTTCTGCCAAATTCTCGCAAGAGAACGGTTCTCCGCTCTCTGTGGTAACCTCTGCAGACGAGTCCTCTAGCAGTTTGGCCAACGGCAAGGCCAAGGGGAAGGGCAAGAAGAAAATGAACAATATCGAACAGCGAAGAAAGGGCGCCGTGAAAGCCGACTCGACCACCGCTGCCGATCACCTCATGGCGCACGAATCCTTCAACCTCGACGACCCCGTACCGAAAACGCCCGTACTGAACAATCATGGATTCTTGGACCTGCCCAGGCACGACCAGAGGAACTTTGGGCTGCTCGTGCTTCTGTACTTCCTGCAAGGTGTGCCTTTAGGGTTGGCGACAGGTTCTGTTCCGTTCCTTCTCAAGAGCCATATGTCCTACGCCGAGATAGGCATCTTCAGTTTGGCCTCGTATCCGTACTCTCTGAAGCTACTATGGAGCCCTATTGTGGACGCCATCTGGAGCCCAAAGGTCGGCCGAAGAAAGAGCTGGATTCTGCCAATCCAGCTCCTATCTGGCATGGGAATGCTTTGGCTGGGCTCCGAGGTAGAGGACATGATGGCAATGGTTGGAAAAGAGAACGGCCCGACCGTATGGAACTTTACGGGGTGGTGGTTTTTCCTCGTCCTTATGTGCGCCACCCAGGATATCGCAGTTGACGGATGGGCTCTCACGCTTTTGACCCCTGGAAACGTCTCCTACGCCTCTACGGCACAGACTGTCGGCTTGACGGCTGGCCAATTTCTTTCCTACACCGTTTTTCTGGCTTTCAACTCCAAGGACTTCGCCAACCGATACTTCCGCGCTGAGCCCCTGGACTCCGGCCTCATCAGCCTCGGTGGATATCTGAACTTTGCGGGCTGGCTCTACATCATTGTCACCATCGGCCTGGCCACCCTGAAGAGGGAAGAGAGGACCAGGAACGAAGATGGCATCTGGGACGTCTACAAGATCATGTGGGGCGTACTGAAGCTTAAGAGCGTCCAAACCATCATGATCGTCCATCTCATTGCCAAGATCGGGTTCCAGGCCAACGACGGGGTCACCAACCTGAAGCTTCTGGACAAGGGCTTCGGAACAGACAACATGGCTCTGACGGTTCTCATCGACTTTCCTTTCGAGATTGGGCTGGGTTATTATGCTGGAGTGTGGTCGCAGAAGTATACTCCGATGCGACTATGGGCTTGGGGTTTCATGGGACGACTGATTGCTGCTCTATTTGCGCAGTTCACGGTCATCATCTTCCCAGATCAGGGCGTCACTTCATGGTACCTGCTGGTGGTTATTGCTGAGCACATCTTCTCAACATTCATGAACACCATCATGTTTGTGGCCGTCTCGGCGTTCCATGCTAGGATCGCGGATCCAGTCATTGGTGGCACTTACATGACTCTTCTTGCGACGTAAGCTGTTCTCTGATCCTCGATAATTACGATTCATCTGCTAACTTTGCACAGGATTTCTAACCTGGGCGGCACACTGCCTCGGTACTTCGTTCTCCGTCTTGTTGATGAGCTCACTAGCGCTACATGCCATCCTCCCACCTCGATCTCTGACACAACCGCTAGTGTTAAAGGCCCGCTGGTTACCCAGCCATTCTCCTGCTCTGTTCAGGCCGACAAAGAAAGGTGCATCAATGGTGGCGGCACTTGCGAGATGATCCGTGATGGGTACTACATAGTCAACCTCATGTGCGTTGCCGTTGGTGTTGTCTCATTTGTGTTGTATATCAGGCCCAAGGTCCTGCACTTGCAAGGCTTGCCGATGAGAGCATGGAGACTGTCGGCTGGTGGCAAGTAAGAGACAGAGAAATCTTACATAGAGTATTTAGATGAGATTGTGTAATAGGAGAAGTAATATGCGCTCTCTGGCATAGCATATGTGCTTTTCTGTCTTTCTGGGCTTCCAAACTTTTACACTCAGACTTCAAGTTCTCGTCCGTTGTTCATTGACGGAGTCAGTTCTTCCAAGAGCTCGCAGCAGAAATACCAGCCGGTCACACATCATTCATGCGTACGACCACGCACAAGGCCACATCTCTCGGCAGTCAGGTATTCATTAGGGCTTTTGTGAGTATCCCAGGATATATCGCTCCGCAAAAGGTCGTTACAAGAAAGATACTGTGAAGAGATCTTCGAATGTGCAGAGTTCGAACCCGTCACCCTCATGCTATGTCACTAAGACATTAGGAAATATCTACACACTTTCGCATTATCTTGCCTGCCTACCAAATTGCACCGCTTGCAATAAGTAGCACTCGAAGTTCATGGTGTCAAAAGGACCGTAGAACATCAGAACCTGCCCACTGCTGGTTCTGGGCCTCGAGCAATTGAGATGTGCGGCCCTGCGAAAATACGCAACAGCTGCCCAGGTCTACACCACGGTCTTTGTTCCATGAGAGCTTTATGATTGGCATTCTCCTCTCAGAGACCTCTTCAAATAGTTTCAAATCCAATCAGGCCCCTCAAGATCTTTTGGCTGTCCAGGTGTCGTCCGCCTGCGAACCTCAGAGGAGGCAGCCACGCTTCGCCATGCTAGGCCCTGCCGCAAGCTGCCACACCTTCCTCAAACGACTGTCCCTTTCCATTTAAAGAAGAACAAACTGCCATTTCCCCATCCCAGTAGTCCAGTCGTCAAGCCGTCAGATTTGAATCTCAAAATGCTAACCATATCCCAGAAGCCGTGTGTTCAACTCACTTTGTGAGAAGAATTGCTAGGCCTTCGTGCCAGCAAAAATATCCAGAGATCTCGATCTCAAAATTGATGTTGCGAACAGCTCATCTTCCGGCTTTGTAAGTAGAAAACTCCCCGACTCTCTGCTTGACGACTGGACTCTGGAATTGCGTGACTGTTGGAATGTTGTCTGCTTCAGTGGGTTGTATGACAACCTCCTTTTTGTATAATGTCACAATGCATTTCATTGTTGCTGGAGACTTTTGAAGACTCGAGTGTCTGTGTCAATACAGGCTGAGAAGCTCAAGACGATGGAGTGTATGAACTGGAACGATGCGTGGTAAAAGTTCAAAAAGACAACAAGTCAGGGTGTTCTGATTCAAATGGACTGAGCTTCTCTGGACAAACCAATAAGCTGAAGAAAAAGCTCGTAGAATTACACAGGCGCAGATACCAAGCCGCTCACTCTCAACATGTAACATTGATGCGCGACTTTAGTGTACAAGATCAAAGAGTGCTTCGTACACTTACCTTTTTGGCCATCGTGAATGAAGTACTTCTCGTTTCGCAAATGACTTTCCACTTGGCATCTTCCTTTAAGAAACGAAAGGTTGGAGGCTCTCCACAATCTTGCTAAGTAGCTTTTCTACAGGCGCTTCTCATCTACAGGCGCCTATTTGAAGACGGGCGATATTCGACGTTTGTTTGTGGATGATATCCTCATTTAGTAGCATTCTATGATGGTGTATCCTCAGAGAAGCACCAAGTTTTGATGGCTCATACATGCGAACTCTTGTGGCGTATGCTTTTATGAGACCTCCATGAGGTCCTGATGATTTCAATTCCATAGTACAAAGACACCGTGAGTTCTCATTGTTATTCGGCACGTGCAGAATTGACAATGTCATCCTGTGTTGCGGTCTTCGTGATTGAACAGCGCAAGCAATATCGAACCGAGCCTGAACAAAGGCTAACCAACATTCAACGAGTTTACAAAGTTTTACCAGATGGGAGCCGTCCCAAAGTTCTAAAATCTGAACCATCTCCTCAGTTCTCGCTTACTTGAAGCGTGCTATATGTACTTGTAGCGAGGGTGTAGGATGCTTCGAGCTGACTGCAACGCCACTGCACAAGTGTATTCGAACTGGCAAAATTTGAATTAAGTATATCCTATCAGCAAGAATAGTGCTCGGACGTCCCCGATGAAGTCGTACTTTCTGTTCTGAAACATGAGCCAGCTGAGCGATCTGTCTTTCCATGTGATGTACAAGCCGCCAAATAAACAACCTGAGTCTATCATCTTCATGGCTAGCTTCGGTACGACTCATAACCCTCTACTTTCTGCCGCCGTCTCAAGTATTTCCCTGGTATGGCTACCTTCTATATCAAGCCTTTCTTCGTTGATGGACGTAAAAAGCCTCCACGACCGCGCACGCGAAGACAGTGAGAATGCCAAGACAGGTCATCACCATTGTCGCCATCAGCATTGCACAGCCAGGATAGGACCCGATATTTTTATAGCAATGCGTCTTTTCGTCGGTTAGACTAGTGTGCGCGTTCTGCAGCGACCCATTGATTTAGCCTCGCCATCACAAAGGGGTGATGCAAACGGATGAAAGTGTCCACTTACATATACCGCACCAAAGCCCACTGTAAAATAAATGGTATCCAACCACGCGAATATGTACAACCCACACCATTTGCGGCCCCTTTCTGACATGAAGACGAATCTGTCGGACAGGAAAACGAAACCAAAAGTTACGCTGACAACCCCCAACGCGCCGGCTGCGAGGATCAAGGGTATCGCGCCATGGTCATCCGTAGTGCCTGGAGGATACGTTGGTATAGGGGGGTGGAGAAGACGATAAATCCCGACGCCGAGGGTGACAGCCACGAAGGCGAGCTAGAGTTCAGTTCTCAGTACATTGCGAGCCTTTTAAATTTGGAGTTCATTGTTTCATACCTCGATGATACGGGAGATTACCACACACCGACGACGCGAGATCCTGCTGCCAGAGTGCTCCAGATATCCACCAGCTTCAACAGATGGGTATGATGTGTAGTCGTTGTTGTAGTCGTAGTTGTAGTCGTAGTTGTAGTCGTAGCTGTAGTCAGGAGGAGCTGACGGGTATTGATTTTGCGAATATGTAATTGAAACGTCTCCGTATTGAGGTGGACTTGGTGTATACCTGTTTTGACCAGGTCTCTTTGACGAGGTCTTGCGTTGAACAGGCCGTTTTGACGAGGGCTTATGAACAGGACGCTTGACCGAGGGTTTCTGTCGAACAGTTTGCTTTGATGAAGCCTTCTGTCGAACAAGTGACTTGGATGGCTTCTGTCGAACTGATCGCTTTGGGGCCTTGATTGGCTTCAGGGCCTTACTTCGCTTCGGGGCCTTGCTTCGCTTTGGAGCCTTGACACGCTTTGCTGAGCCCTTGCGCCCGCGTCCCATGATGAAGAGTTTACCTGTATCGTGGTGTTGAGTGGTCAGTGGACAGTAGTTAGTGGTCAAGGGTATTTGTGAATTTATAGATAGTTTATGTTATTGAACGTAGGCTGATCAGTTGGGAATCTATAGAAGCTGGTGGCTTCCTTGCTGTCCTGAGAGTTGTGTAGGCCTGATATCACGATACGCCAAAGGAAAGAAGAACGCATGTTTTGAAACCAAGAGGGAAATTTATAGGTAGCAGATTTGGAGTGACTGCATTGATTTCAGCTTCAAAATTGTCAAGTCACTGCACTCTGTCTTCTAAAACAGGTAATTCCGTGCACAGACATGGCCTCCTGTCATTCTATTTAGTCCGTCAGTACCTAGGCGTTGCAGTGATAAATGGCCCGAGTGGGCTGTATGACAACCTCCTTTTCGTGCGATGTCACAATGTATTGCATTCTTACTGGACAGTTTCAATTTCTTGGTATGTGTTTAATGAAAGCTGAGAAGCCCGAGAAACTGTGGGAACGTGCGCTGATCAGCGATGTAAAGTACTTGTGAATAGGATCACGGTTTCAATGTGTAATCTGAGGATCGACTTTGCTCCCACCTAAGCATAACATGCTGCTTCTCGCTTTGGAAACACTCGTACATGGCATGGAGGCTGAATTTCAACACCTCACTGACCACGTGTGCATAGTGCATTTACTTTTAGGCAGAGACAAACGGCAGCCACGTCGAGAAACATCAGTATATTTTTGTTGGAAGGAATCCGTAGATCTCATAGCCTACCTGATACAAGCGCTTCTTAGCTGACCGCACGTCCACTTACATGCCTTTGGCGAGATCTAAATTTATTTCTGGAATTTTCGTTTGGACCTCATCTGTGTTCCAGAGCTAGGAAAACTTTCGTATTCAATGCTTCTCAACGAGGTGTCACAGTGCGTTAATTACAATTTTTGTAAAAACCATTTCAGGAACTACGGATCATCTGATTAACTTGCGTTGGTTGTCATAGCATATCCATTCCATCCAAATGACTCTCTTGACCAACTCAGGCTTGTGGCGAATCGAGATACTTGTCTAATTTCTGCGACTCGCTCGAACGCTCCCACAATCTGCCCACCTTTGAAGCCCAAAATATTACGAGGCCCCGGGAATCTTCACACATTGGGCGAGAACCTTTCTCCATTGCCTAATACGGCAAGTCTCCAAAACCAAACACACGAGCGCCGCAAGACCACTCAGGATCGTCAACACCGCAACGGCCATCATCATGACGCAGCCTTGGTAGGTCATGTTTACTTCGCAGTTGAAACCCCCTTCGCCCCAGTTCTGTTTCCAGTGCTGCAGCGAACCCCGATTTTAGCCTCAGTGATGAAGAGAAAAGAATGGTGTGGTAGCATCCGAATCAATAGAACGTCTTGACTTACGTATACCACGCCTACGCTTGCTGCACCGTAAGCCAAGTCAATATACACTGGTATGTACTGCATACTGCAACATTTGTGGGCCCTCGTTGCCATAATATCGTCCGCGCTGAACTTCCATATTAGCGTGATGAAACCAAGACTTGTGCTGATAAGGCCCAAGGTCGATTGCAAGATGAAGAAGATTATGCTGTCGTTGTCATTGGCGCCCGGCGGGTACTTTGGAATATGGACGGTGCTCAAAGAGACAAGTAGGCCGAAAGCGCTACCCACGAAGATTAACTGCAAATTTGGTTCTCAGCACGTGATAACACAGTTTGTTTCGGGATTGATCATCTTGTACCTCAACAATGCGAGCAATCAGAACCTTCCTGCGAGACTTGGGCTCTTCCCCGGAGTCCTCCAGCGCAACGGTTTCCATTTCGACAGGTTCTGGAGGTGCATGTTGAACAGGCGGATTTGGTGGCCATCCATATTGAGGCACATTTGGTGGGTGGGCGTATCGCGTGTATTGAGGAGGTGGATTTGGTATGTCTTCGGGTTGGAAAGGTCCCTTCAAAGAGGACTTGGGTGGAGCAGGCCCCTTTGATGAGGACATGTTTCGGACAGGTCGCTTGAAGAAGGACTTAAAAGTCGATCGCTTTGGTAAGGATTTGCGTTGAACAGGCTGCTTTGAAGAGTATTTGTGGAAAACTTGTTTTGGTGAGGGCTTTGGTCGGATGGGTGCCTTAGATGATTAGGTTTTCTGTTGAGTAGGTGCCTATGAAGACTTCTGTCGAAGGGTCGGTTTGATAAGGATTTATGTCGAACAGCTCGCTTTTTGGAAGGCTATTGTCAACATGGCATGGGGAAAATCTTGACCCTTGTCCTAGTGTTGAGTGGTCAGTGGCCAGTGCTGTTGGCGAATTGCTGGACGTCTGGTGTCTCAAGGTTGGCTGGACAGAAAAGAATCCTCAAAGCCGAGGGTTCCCTTGATATGTTGGTAGCTGTGTACGCTGGATGCCACAATGCGCCTGGAGAAAGAAGAGGAAAACCCATGCTGAAGGCCAAGAGAGAACATTTATAGGTGGCAGATTATGAGTGAGCACTTTCCTGTCTGCTTGAAAATTATCAAGTCACTGCACTCTCCTCTGACAGAGACAGTACCGTGCACAGGCATGGACTGCTGTCATTCTGCTGGGTCCGTCAGTACCTGGGCAGTCCAGTAACAAAACCGATCTTGCTATACCTTTAATATAGCCTCATCAGGAACAAAAACAAGTATATATGATTATCAAGTATATCTCCATGTTCAGATCACCAGTGCTTCTCACTGATGTCCACAGTGTTCACATCCACGCCATCCTTGTACCATCTCTCCTCCTCACTGATCTTGACATCATTCGTGCTGTTCTGTCTCTTCCTCATCAGGCCGTTGTCCGCGAAGGTCCAGTCCTCGAGACCGTATGACCTCCACCACTGGCCAGATGTGTCATGCCACTCATACCAGAACTGAACAGCAATCTGCACAGACATGTCAGTGGCTACCGCACAAAAGTTCGAAGCAGGAAGGAGGCGACCTTGTTGTCAGTGAAAGCAAACAGCTCCTTTCTCAGCCGATAACCGTTCTCCACACTCCACTTCTCAGTTAAAAACTTCTCGATCGCGTCTCGGCCCTGAAAGAACTGATCGCGGTTGCGCCAGATGGAGTCAGGCGTATATGCTAGCTGTGAAAAGTGTTAGCAAGGCCATGCCTTTTTCATCATGCTTGAGCATATTTTGGGTGCTATATGAGCTGCTCTAAAAACTCTTGGGTCCGAGTTTGCCCGTGAGTAGCATCAAACACGTAGACGGACCTTCACAGCAGCTGGGTTTCTATGAGAGTGGTCAGAAATGGGTCTTGTACTCCACCATCATTGCTAAACATAATGACAGACCTTGTATTCCAAGCATCTTGGGCGGCCTTGACCTTTTGGGTGGCGGTCTCCTTCGTGAAAGGCGGGAAAGGCGGCTTGGATTCACTGGCCATGTTTGCTGTATGTACTTGTGATATGGTGACGTGGGGGGATGAATGATTCTGATATTGTTTGCGCAGGTGTATGCTCTGGATCTCTTTTGGGCGAGGGACTTGATTTAAATATAACTCGATCAGTATGGCAAGTCACGGAGATGCAGAAGCCTTTACAGACGCAGAATAGCTGTTTGACGCAAGTACTCCGGGAAACAGGCCTCAATTCGGCGCGGACCCGGGATTTGGTTGGGCGGGATGGGCGGAGGGACGGAGGGTTGTGTGGGGGCGGTGACGGGATTCAGGTGTAGGCTCGAGGGGTTAAGAACTGCCCGGGCTGACCGGTCCTAGCCCGGCCTTCTTCTCTGGTCACAGTCTAATTATGGCCGTAGGTGTTTGGATTACTTATCCACCCAAGGCGAACGCGACGCCCTGCGATAAGATACCGATTCTGGTCACTTGTCGATGTATTTAGCATGCTTACGGGCAAATGGCATGATGGTCCGACGAGGATCTCCGCGGAAGGATTCATAGCTTCAATATCACACAGAGCCCTCGGTCCAAATCCCGACAGAATTGGGAGCTGCAGGTTTGTGTAACACAGCAGATGTAGCGACAGAACATGGTGGGGAGGTTGCGTGATACTACTGCGACGTGCGCGCCCTCCAGCCCCGGGCACGTCCAGTCGCGATGTCACGAGAACTGGCGAGGTTTCTGGACACGCCTTGCGCGATATTTGACAGGTCTTGTGTTCAGCCAAGAATTGGAATAGGCTACCAGATGTTCGTCATGATCTGCTGCTCATTTGACCGAGCAATCCGCTCGGATTTATCCAGAGTGGACTCGACAATGTGCTACCCCGACGATGACCGAAAGGCGTGGCCACGCAGGCAGGAGTCCCATCCACGCGCGTGGGACAGATCGGACGCATCGACAAATTGCTTGTTTTGGTCGTAGCATATCTCCATCAGGGTGCACATATGCTATAATCAGCGAGTAATACAAGCTCTGTTCTGGGAAATTCGTTGGGCGAGCGCTGACGAAGATGCAATGCCGAGCTTCGGCGAGCTGCAAGCTGTTGACAAATACCGTACTATGGCGGCAGGGGTCGAGCAAGCAGGCAAGATGTTATGGCGGGGCGGATTGTGCAGCTTGCGAGCGAGCAGGCGCGAGAGAGCTTGCCGATCAAACTCAAAAGACCCCTCCACCGTGCGCGACCTTTTTAAAGCCAGAGAAGCTCTCGCTCCCCTCCTCAACCAGAAATCTCCGAAACTCTAGAGCATCTCTCTTGACATTGAAACAAATACTACATCTCGTCAATCACAGGAAACAACAGTCAAATCAGTCAAAATGGCATCTCTCACCGGCCAGCCCTTCCCCGAGGACGTTAGCTTCCTCTACATCCCCTACTCGCCCGACAAGGCCGGCCTCAACAGCTGCGGCCTGCCCATCAAGTACGAGGCCAGCAAAGGTACGTTCTGACTTTGCAATTACTTGCTGTACCTTCTTCAATCCCAGGGATACTGACCTGTTTTCACAGAGTTCAAGGAGAAGAAGGTCGTCCTCGTCGCCGTCCCCGGTGCCTTCACCCCCACATGCGCCGAGAAGCACATCCCTACCTTCATCGAGCAGAAGGATGCCCTCAAGGCCAAGGGCATCGACCAGATCGTCGTGATCGCCTACAACGACCCCTTCGTGATGAGCGCCTGGGGCAAGTCGAACGAGGTCAAGGACGACTTCATCGTAAGTGAAACCCCACAGCCAATCCTCCCCTTCTGGAGCTTGGGGGATCCGTGTCTCTACAGAATAGCGGGACAGCACCGGCTCACATGCGATCCCTTACTCGCAGGTGTTCGCGACCGACGCAGAGACCAAGTTCTCCCAGCAGCTCGGCTGGACAATGGGTGAGAGAACCGGCCGCTACGCGCTCGTGATTGACCACGGCAAGGTCATCTACGCTGAGCAAGCCGCCAAGGGTGGTGTCGAGGGAACGGATGCTGCGTCCATCCTGGCCAAGCTGTAAATGGTCCCTGCGTGGAATGTCCTCTTACATCATACACGCCTCTTTAGACATATAGACCTCTCCGCTCGACTCGAAGTCAGTGCATGAAATAGAGGAATTTCTTAATTTGACACCCATCAGACTTGCCACTCTGGAATTTGAACGCCGAAACGCAGTGTAGTCTTCATTTAGGTATTGGTGCCGGGTATGTAGTACTAGAGAGTTGTGCATCGTTATTCAGATCGATTCGTGATCAACATTTGACAAAGCGCTGTAGAATTATCCCACAGATAATCATTCTCCAGACACAATATGCCAGCAGAAGTCGGTGTTGGGAACCGCCATGCCGAACAGTTCACTATTCGACCAAGGATTCCCAACTGACGTGGCCTTCCAGGCACTGGCTCGATCGCCAGCCTTTGAGGACTGTCGGTATGATCAATGCACAAGTCTCATTTCTATGAGCTACCCGTGCGGAATCGTGTCCCCTATTCCATGCAACCAGTCCCTTTTCAGACGTCTGTAGGCCGCCTAGCTTTTATAAAGCACTGAGAACCCGACTCCAGCCCTTCCCTGAAATCTCAATTGCAAAAGTTGTACCGAACCAGAGAAAAGATGTCCACGTATGCAATCGACTAGCACCCGCTCATCTTGATTCCTTTATCGGGTGGTGGCCTTGACCTTGGGGGCGGAACCCTTGGCTCCCTGCTTGCCGACGATCCGTTGGGTCTGGCCCTTGGAAGCCTGGGCGGCGTTCTTTGCCTTCTCCGACTTCTTGGCAGCGGCCTCAGCAGCCTTCTTTTCCTTGCTCTCTTTAATGGCTTGCAGACGAGCAGCGGAACGGGCCTCAGGGCGCATGGATCGCTTCTCCTTGATCACATCGAGGGAGGCACCAACGATGGCACGCTGGGACTTGACGGTACGGCGGGTTCGCTTCTTGGCGGCTTCCTGTATGGGATGTTAGTCACCGTCACGCTCGTGCCCCCTATGGTGGACTCTGTTCGATGTCCTGGGGAGAAATCCCATGTGGGTCTGGTCTCGGGGCGGTTCGCGATTGTGGGTTGCGATCGCAAATCGGTTCAAATTCGTACCTCAGTGATACCCTTGCGGTGCTGGCGACGGTACAGGACGGTCCAGGCAATGCGACGGGGGTTCTTGCGCTGGAGGAAGAGAGACTCGGATTTGCCGTTCTGGAATCGGAAGACCTTGGAGTCGCCACGGACGTAGAGCTTACCCTGCAACAGTCGCAGTGTCAGCGTTTCGTTCCTCTACCCTATCTTTCATGAAGTCCTCTCTTTCATCGCCGATGCGATAAGAAATCGTGTCCCAAAAAACACACTGGGCCTTCGATCTGTTTGATCGTTCCTCCTCTTGCAGCCTCCTAGGGGCTCGCTTCCGGCCCATCCACTGCCCCTTGGTGAAAAATTCATCGTACCTTTCCAGGGTAGATCCTCTGGCCGGAGAATGTGTCGTCGTAGGTCCTCATCTTGAATGTGGTTGCCGATTGTCGGTGGTCGTACGCGGATGAGGGAGGTTTCGGGACGATGAGGTTGGCTGGCTGGCTCGCAGGGCGAATTTGAAATTCTGTTCTGGTGGGCAGTGACTACCCTACGCGGCAAATCGGGCGTAAAAGCGGGTCAGCCAATGCTGGAACAGAAGCGGCCAGAAAATTGTTAGTGCGGCGCCAGTGCACAGCTGAGAGACAGGTGACCACAGCTGGCGCCAAGACTTGAGATGCTTCACTTGGAGCTTTCCAGGTACCAAGGCACTTACATCCGTCAAGCTGGGTCCCGAACTATTTCTCAATAATTGTCGTCATATTCGACCTGAGATAAGCTCTCACAGGGAATTCCTCTGCTGGGTCTTGAAAGGTACTTTTTTTCCTGTATTGTCATTGAGGATCCCATAACTTGAGCACCTCACGATCGTTTCCTGTACCCAAATTCCTAGGGATTGACGATATATCCTGGTCGAGCCTACACATCGACAGGCCGCGACGAAGCTGCTTCTTTTTGAGACCCTCTTTCTTGGCACTTTCGACTTCTTGCCCATACTCACTGTTGATTTCTTCAAGAACCTTAAACGATGGTCTTCTTCCGACTACAACTCATCATCTGACTGGACGACAAGCCAACTTCACCTGATATCAAAGTATATTACCAGATCTCTGATGACAACCAAGGCAGATGACGTTGCCTCCGTCGTCCTAGACCTGTTCGACAGGCTCCCTGCAAAAAGAAAGCCATGTGTGCGCGATAATGGCACACGAGAATGGGTGCCGCTGGCTGGGATAGTCGCTAGACATGGTGACGGATCATTGATTTGTCTGGCTTTGGCGTAGGTCCGGCGATTCCTTTTGCAGATTTCTACCTAGAACGAGCGTTGAGATGCTCGTAATTGAACCTCACATCGTCACTCTTCCTATTCCTCGGTGAGCTGCTGGAAGGGCTTGGTCCTCGAACACGAGTTTTTGAGCTTCAAGACATCCTCAGACAGCAAGCATGACGCCTGTGGAAAAGCGAGCGGCTTTCATAAACCATGACAAGAATGCTAAATTGTATCAGAACCGGTATGAAATGCCTTCCCATGTCCAAACTACAATCCGCCAAAGGCAGAGTCTTGCATGACTGGCACGCCGAAGTCCTAGTCATCCGGGCCTTCAACCACTTCGTCTTGCAGGAATGTAAGGCCATCATAACCGATGGCAAAGAATCTCCTTACCTTCGCCGGAGCATCATCAGCAGTGACGCAACGACCGAAGGACCAGGGTGCAAGCGCCCAGTCTGCTGGAGGGAAGATGTGACGCTGCACATGTACTGCTCAGAGGCTCCCTGCGGCGACGCATCCATGGAGCTGACCATGTCCGCTCAGCAAGATGCGTCCCCATGGGAGGCCCCGCTGCCGCCGCACCTGATGCCCGAGAAGGCATCCACGCCAGAGCTAGCCCTCCTCGGGCGCGCGTGCTTTGACCAGCTAGGCGTTGTCCGGCGAAAGCCAGCTCGTGCCGATGCGCCTCCCACGCTGTCCAAGTCCTGCTCGGATAAGCTGGCGCTGAGGCAGTGTACCTCGCTTCTAAGCTCGGTCACATCGCTCCTGGTCTCACCAAAGGGTGTATATCTCACTTCTCTGGTGCTGCCGGAGAGCCAGTTCTCCGCCGCGGCGTGCGGGAGGTGCTTCTCGGCCCAGGGCAGGCTGGCACCCGTGAGCTCTGTGGAGGGCTCGTGGGAAGATGGGTACGCGTTCCACCCATTCGTGGTATGTACAACTGAAGTGGAATTTGAATACTCCCGCCGTGGGCCGGCACATAGTGAGGAGCTACGTTACGTGGCGAGCAACCTTGCTACGGCTTGGTCGTGTAATGACCTGGCGGAGAACTTGATTGGTGGTGTGCTCCAGGGGCGGAAGCAGTCGGATGCACGAGCAGGCAGTGCGGTCTCGAGGGGGAAGATGTGGGCTTTGGTGGAGGAGATTGCACGCCTGGTCGAGCCGAACGTGATTCCGCTGACGCTTGAGACGTACGGACTTGTGAAGGATAGCCTCGACCTAGCTACCAGAAGCAGGGTGAAACAAGACGTGCGAGGAATGGCGCTTAAGGGATGGGTCAGGAATACTGGTGACGAGGACTTCAACCGACCGCCCTGATGGAACGGCTGTGAGGATGTGGTAGAACAGATCGTAGGAATAGCCCCTGGCATCCTTTTAAGACGCGCTCTGCCCTATCATCCTCGTTCAGATCACTGTCCAAATCCGTAAAAAAAAGAGAGCCATCCATCTTGGTCCGCTGAGCCTGGAAGCCTGAGATCTTATTTGGCCGGCGTACTCGGTAATTGTGCGGTGAGGTCCAGCATCGCGGCGTTGCTGCTCCTATGAACACCCTCCTGATTTCTTGTGGTGTTGTCTTGTCTGTCTCCTCCCGTTGGGAAGACATCCCATGTTCGAGGGCAATCTTGGGGGGGGGGGGGCATCTTGTGTTAGTAGTATGGCACTTCAAGCACGGGAACCTAAATGGGTTCATTTCATTCATTTTTGGTCGATTATCCCAAATGCTAGGATGTATCACGAAGCTCATGATCTGCCGTTCCCTTAACCCTGGCCGAATTCATTATAAAACAGGATAATGCTTTCTCACGGGATTCGCAGTGATTCACCCTCCACCACCAGCGCTTGTCAGACCAAGACCATGGATGTCACCTCCATATATCGATAGCAGTGCAAAGTCCTTGCTCGTTTCTTAGCAGCCCTTCGTAGCTTCAGGTCCATCATCCCTTCCAACAGAGCAGTTCCACCGGGACAAGCTGTCTACTCGACCTTGGACTCGCCCTCGAAGTTCTCGCCGGCCACCAGGTCGGGGATCTCGTCGTCGTCGGCCTCCTTGTCACCCTCCTTCTGCTGCATGCTCTGGTAGGACTCGGCCAGCTTGCGAAGGGACGCCAGGGAGTCGGGGCCGAGCTGGTTCAGGATGCCGGGGACGAGCTCGGTGAGCTCCTTGTCCTCGCCGTTGCCGTAGATGGCGAAGGTGTTTGCGGGGACGGCGGCGTGCACTGTATGATCAGTCGTCGCATCAGCATCATCAACTAATAACAATGCCTCGTGTCTCTCCTCCTATGTTGTTGTCTTGTCTGTCTTCCTCGAGCCAGGTGAGGGAGGGATGTGGGTCCATGTCACGTACCCTTTGGTGCGGCGAAGTGGATGACGTTTCCGTCGCTCTTGAACATGTTGACCTCCTCAATGGCCTGGATGGGCTGGACATTGAGCTTCTTGAGGGCCTGCTGGAGCTTCTTGTCGTCGGTGGCGGACCGCTGGGGCGCCCTCTTCATCTTCCGGCGCGGGGTACCCTTTCCACCAATTCGGGCGGAAGCACCGAGCTTCTTGAGGCGCTCCTGGACGTCGGCCATCTTTGCGAAGGGGGTTGTGAGGAAGAGGCGGGTTTCGGCAAAAAAGATTTCGGGGTGGGAGATGGGGATCAGGGAGGTTCGCCTGACTGTTTGTAGCCTCGTGTCAGCCCGAGCTGTCGCAAAGAAATGGCCCTGACCCAAGCTCTGTGCCTGCTGCCTCGCTCTTCCCGAGCCTCCATAATTTTTTTTGGTCTTGCACCCTAAGGCCCTCCCATATCCGCCTTTCACTTTCCCGTCGCCGATGAAATCGCACCGTCAAAACATGGCCCAAAATTCAATCGTACTCACTTTTTACAATTCGCTCGTGCTCGTCGACGTGATGGCCGCAGGGAGGTTGATGAGGTGAGTGGTCGGGTTGTGTGGTACGCAGGCGTAATTTTTGCTTGCGACCCCGGACGTCCACGTGATCCAGCCTTTGCAAACGGCCCCTCCAAAATCGGCGACAGACAGACGGACTGAGAGGAGGCTCTAGCTTTGGACGGCGAGAAGCGAGATGGTCCGTGCAGTCAGTCACCTTGTTCTCATACGATTGTTTGACTTTGAATATCTCTTTGAATATCTCACTCATGTTGCAATATTCTATTTGATGTGACCTACCAAAGGGAAGGGCATGAGATTTCTTTGGGAAATGACCAGAATTTGATCTGCATAATGAAACCACATTGAGCGGTGTTGATGCGCTATGCTGACGGTGCGCTTGCAAACCTCATCCAGCTCTCCCAGATGAGCACAGATACCATTCACGGCCTGTGACGCCTGCAACCTCAACCTCGAACCGAGTCCGTCCCTCTTGAATAGATTAATATCTTGAACCGACCAAGACCTTTTGCAGCCCTTTTGGAGACGACCTTGAGCCCGAGAAGATCCGAACATCAATACCCCTTTTTCCTGTCCTCATGACCCGGTCCCAATGCTCCCTGACGCCGTAAATCTGCCTGATGCAAGTTGATGCCATATTACTACAATCGTACAAAGACGCTTCATTTCTCCGCCGATAAGCCGACCTCCTTCCTCAAGGCCTCTCGCCGTAGTCGCTCCTCTTCCGCAGACTTCTTCGCCTGCAGCCGCCGCATCTGCCTTTCTTGCTCTGCTGCCTCAGCTTGGACAACCCATACTGCGATCCGTTAGCACACGATACTCTTCCTCATTGACTCTCATCTCCAGAGGTGAGTCTCATCACCATTTTGAGGCAAACATACTTGGCTTGTCGCTCTTGGAGTACTCCTTCAGCTTGCCCACAAAGTCGTCAAACTCTCTCTGCCGCTCAGCCCTGTTGGCGAGGCTCTTTTTCTGCAGGTCTGGGTTGTACTTTTTGAACAGCTCCTCCTCTGTTGGGGAGACCCAATATGTGAACGCTGGGCCGCCCACGATTATTGCACCGCCGCTGCAGAGATTGGTTAATTGGCTGGCCATCGACACTGCAGACGCGTCCTGTTTTTTTCAGACACGAGACTCACCCCAGGATCATCTTTGCCCACATCCCCCAGTTTGTTGGTTTCTTCGGCATGATGCTGGTGTAACAGTAACAATCCAATGAATGAGGGAACGGTATCAAATCACAGAATGAGTTTCAGTTCAAATCAGCACTGCCTACTCGAACTGGCGTCGTGACGTCGTTGACATGGGCGGCTTGCTCTGGCTCGCTGCAGAAAAGGACGGCCGCTAGACGGCAGAATTGCCGCCGGGCTGTCAGCGAGAGACGGGAGCTCACTCATTGGACGGGCCTCTGGCCTCGGGGCCCACCCCCTGACTTTCAACCAAAGTTGACGCTGCATCTCGAGTCTCGACAGTGATCCATGAGTGAACGCAGCGTATGCTGCTGCTTGCTCCAGATCGGACGGAAGCCAGCACAGAGGGCTCGCGCTTTGAATCAAGCGCTAACGCATCCCGGCGAATCGTCTGTGTTGTTGTTGCGTCCCTAGATACAGTACCACACATCGCGGCCCCCAAACCTGCATGCGCCTCCCCTTGTGGTCGACATTTCCCCACGAACGTGATCACCGTGAGGCAGTGCAGACAAGATGCGCGCCCTGCCAGCCCTGGCACGGATATGTTCCCAGTCCCACGGGCCGGAAGCCCGTTTCGATTTGTTATTGCGTCTGAAGTTGAGCAGTTCGATGCAACGTTGACTCCCTACACCGCCTGCACAGATCACGGATGCAAACAAGGCCTCCAAGGTAGGAAGTGGTGTTGTCAGAAATACAGCAAGGCCACAAAGTCCACAGGGCGAAAGGCGGTTGTGAGTGGTTGAACCAGGCAATCTATCTGAACCAGCCGCGCAGGCTTAGCCGCATTGTGTTTCCTGGGAGGAGCATTTTATTGTGGAATTTGTTTTGCAAACCATTTAGCTTTATTTGTTTGTATGGTTTGTCAAGGGAATAGAGCCGAGACAGCGAGCCATCTCGCCACGTTGTGCATGCTGTGCAAACAGGAAAGTTCATCGCTTGTTGGACAATGGTGGTGAGTAGGCAAGTGCCTCGGCCAAGCTCGACGAGACTTTCCTCAAAAGTGAGGTCCTGAAACTGCAAGCCCATGGGCGTTTCTGTCAAGTAACAGGTTTGTCATAAACTATCAAACTGCCGTGATGTCTAATATTCTGAGGCTGTCAACAATAACTCCATCCTTGAGGACTGTATCATCACATCGCCCAAAGCTTGTTGATGGAGGTTGACTGGTAGACTGGACAGATCACTGCATCGAATTTGGTCGTGCGAGGCCATTTCCAGCTAGGGCCGCGTGGCTTGGCTGGAGAGGCTTGCTCTCTTCTACCTTGTCCTAATAATGCTTGCTGCCGGGAAGATATTGCGCCGGAACAGAGCCTCATCAAACCGGTGTCATGGGGCAGGGATCTCCAAACACACCGTCAACGATCAAGGCTCAGACAAAAATCCAACAGCAAGGGAAAGCTTTACGGATTAGTCTCAAGGAAGGTTACCGAGAAGCTCTGGTCGTAGATCATCTTCGGCCTTAATTTTGATTCCTCTGGAATGGAATTACTCTAGGCGTCCAGAGAACCAGACCATTGAGACTCAGGCCTGAGTCAGCTCACGCGTTTCGAGCAGCGTATGGAGATCCTGACGCGGAGGAACGAAGACACGGGGGAAGCGATGAAGCATTGCTGACGACGAGATGACACTCGAAGTGGTTTACCGATGCGCACCGTACGATGTGGAGCCAGCGACTGCTTGCTGCTTTGCTGCTTTGCTTGCTTCGCAGGCCTCTTCAAACGGCCCCATCCGTACATAGATGGAATGGGGCCTTTGGAGGTGTTGTTGGGGGCATGAAGAAGGAGAGATCTGAGAGGGCCAACCTTGCGCTGACTACAGGCAAGTCTCCAATCACGCTCTCGGCATGGTGGGATGCCAGGGCGGGCCCAGGGCAGGGGAGAGAAGCCGCTTTAAGCTGTCATATTGCGTGTGGAGAGCGAGTGCAATGCGTCAGGCAAAGACGGATTGGGCGGCTTGAGGCGTCAAGAGTCCCTGCCCTGCCTGTTCGAGGCAGACTGTCACAAGCAGCTGAAGAAAGAGTTCCGGCAGTGAGAAAAGAAGAGACGAGGAGGGTTTTGCCAAGCCTCGCCTGAGGGCGATCAGTTCGTGACTGGGGGAGCCAACGCGTGGAAATTCGAGACACTTCATCAATGCGCTTGGATGAGTCTGTGGGGTGCTGCGCCGTCTTGTGCCGTGCTTTGCTGTCAGGTTTATGGGGCACTCAGAGGGCACCAATCCCTTCGCCTTATGATTGCTGTTGTGGCTGTATTCTGAGGGGCGAGAGGCGAGCAGTGACTGTCATGTCTCTTGCACACCCCATGTAGATGTGTTGGTTGGTCAGTAGTGAAGCACAACTGTAGGATCGGTTATTTCGCCGTTAAGGTGGAGGGGCGTGACGGTGGTAAAGATCTTTCTGGTGCGGCATCAGATCACCATCCGGCCTCGGGAAGATGCCGTGCCTGCAGTAGTGTCGTCTACATAGTGCCTGGGGTGTCTATCCGCGGCGGCGAATACTGAAGGTACTGTGGTACATGCGCCGAACACTCGAGGCGCTAAGAATAAGATCGATGTTACAGTGCTCGTGGTACATGCATGTTGATGATACGAAAAACAAAGGACTATATCCGTACAGTCAGTCAGTACACATATAGCTCTTTGACCCGTAAGTCATGGACAAGGCTGTCTCCAACCGTGACTGAGATGCTTGAGCACATACTATAGATGATAGATGATATGATACGTACCGTTTTCTGAACAAGCAGCAGTTGCATCGATGGTACTGTGCAGGTTAATTAAGTGAGACCTCATTTACAAGCCACCCAACTCAGCCCGACCTTGACTGTCGAGGCGACTCTTAGCGGGCTACCCCTCAGCTGTACCAGAGACACTGCAGTACAGTCCGCATTTCGGTACGTGCTTTTAGGTTTCCCCAGTTTTGGAGGCCACCCGTCAGCCCGTGGTGTCTTGGTGTGTCTGTCTCTCGCTCTCGTACTACTGTGACAACGGCGGCGGCTTCCTCCCGCGCTTGCGCAGCGCAGAGAGTGCCCAGCTGCCCAGAAGCCAGGTGCCCTGGCCTGCCCGCATGCCCGCATGCCCTGCCACATGCCCCCCCTCCCCCAAACCTGCAACTGCAACTTGCAACTGCTCCATTCCAGACTCCACCACCGTCCAATCCATCCTTTCACACTCCATGTCGCCTCCTGACAGTACACCACGCATTTTGGACGACTGGATACCCGGTCCATTCTCTTAATTCCAAGCCTTTGTTTTATTATCTTTTTTTCTCCCTCCCTCTTCACTTACCCCAACAATCCTCCAATCCTTTCTTTGTTTGCTGAAGCGAGACGTCCATCTCCGTCCAGCTCCAATCACTCACTCCTTTGACCGTATCGCATCGCATCGCATCGTTTCGCGCCGTCCTTTCAATCGTTGACCGAGAGCAGCTTGATTTTCGACTTGGACAGGGCACCCACCATTCGCGACACTACGCCATCAGTCACCCTGGACGGTCGGTCTTCAGCCTGGGTCGCAACAGTCTGAGACTTGTGCTCCAAGGTAGTCGCATCTTTGCCGACACAGCCGAATCACCACCGAGCCGAACGCAAGAGGAGCCAACTACAGGCGACGATAGTACCGCACGCTGCGACCACGAGCAACAGCACTGCATTTGCTCCGCCTCTTCTAATACCACCGCCACTGGGCGTGCCCGTCTTTTCACCAAATCGGTACTGTGTCTCATGGAAGTAACACGGCTGTGACTTTCGCGAAGCATATAGCCTGAACTCGGAGAAGGATTTCAGGGTGTGATCGACTGAAGTGGGTCGCACATACCCAACAATCGACACAGCGGGAGACAAAGAGCTTACGAGAGTAGCATAGACTCAAGTCGACGCACAAATGGCTTATAACGGAGGATACCCCGCCCAGCGTCCCTTCAATGGGCCAGGAGCACCACGGCCGCCACCTCAGCGCCAGTACACTCCTGGCCCGGGACCACAACAGTACGACCAGCAGTACGACCAGTACCAGGATGATTACGGTCAGGGATACGACGGATACTATGATCAGGGCTATGGGCAACAGTACGACGACAGGAACTTTGCTCAACGAGGCCCGCCTCCGAGAGATCCGTACGGGCCAGGCCCTGGCGGTCCCGGTAGAGGAGGCCCTATGAATGGGGGCCGGGGCGGTCCTATGCCGAGACCTCCACCGGGGAGGGGATACCCTCCGAATGGCGCACCAGGGCGAGGGCGCCCTCCAAATGCTGGAGCTCCTAATTCCGATCCTACCAGTAAGTTACAACAGTGTTCTTTGCATTTCTTTTCTGTCGACGGTGACGTCTAACTACGGTCAAGTGAACCGCTCAAGACCGCCCATATTACCCCCTCAAAAATCCCCAGGAGAGCCAGGATTTGGAGACAGCCCATTCCCAACATTCCCAGGCCAGCATCGTAAGACAAATCTCGATAAAGAACAACAAATTCTCAGCGACATGGGCGCTCTGGATATTGACAACAAGAAAAAAGGCCCGAAAGGCAGGGCCCCTACACGAGGTGCTTCCATAGACGACTACGGTCCTCGACCGTCCATGGACTCTCAGCGAGGCCCGCCCCCACCGCGAAACTACCCACCGCAAGGCTACCCAGAGCAAAGGCGAGGGCCACCACCTGGTCGGGGAGGTTACGGCGACTACCCCGAGCCAGGTTTCGGGCCGCCGAGCAGGACGATGACAATGCCATCGAACATAGGAGGCATGCAGGAGATGGCACCGCCACCGCACCGGTCAGATTCCGCACCATACGGTCCGACTGGCCGGGGGATGCCTATGGCACGACCGTCAACCGCGTCAGGACATCGCCCACCACCTCAGCGGATGCCTCCACCGAATCAGCAAGGAGCAGGCTATGGCGGCCAGGGATATGACTATGGTCCGGATCAGGGATACGGATATGATGATTATTACAACGATTATTACGACGAGCAAGGAGCGAATGGATACCAGCCGCCGCCGCCGGCGGAACCAGACATGCCCAACTTTGACGCGGCTCCTCGGGGCCGCAACTCTTTGGATCTGTCCATGCAATCCGGTGCGCCAGAGCCACAAAGAGGGCCTGGCCGAATGCCTGGACTGAGCACTGCAAAATCCCAGCCTGATCTGCGCCAGCCACAGCAAGCAGTATTCGAGATGGCGCAGGACGTACCACCAATGCCACCACCGGGAGGCCAGGGCGGTTACGGTGCGAGGATGAACGGCCCAAGCCCTCCTCAGGGTGGGTTTGGACTGCCCAGCAATCCTCAGGGTGGGTTTGGGCTGCCCAGCAATCCTATGCCAGTTCGCGCGGGTCACCAACAGACACCACCAAATGCCAATCCAGACACCTTGCCGTCTCATCCTCTGCCCGTGAGAGCAGGTCACATGCAGGGCGCTCTGGTCAACAACAAGCCACCGCCAGTCCGCAATTACGGCGGCACTCCTACACCGGCACCTGGCCCAACCCCTTCTCCTGTGCCCACGCAGGGCAGTGCTGCACCTCGCGCTCCATCACAGGCAGAGCCGCCTGTGACGACCGAGGAGCTGGAGCGTCTGAGGAATACTGTCAAAGTGAACCCACAGGACCAGGCAACAGCATTGCGCTTGGCAAAGAGACTGATGCAAGCTGCCGATGTGCTTGTGCCCAATGTGGCAGATCCAAAGTCCCGCCATCGAGCCCGCGAGCGTTACGTCATGGATGCGCAGAAGATCTTGAAAAAGCTGTCGAATGCTGGCAATTCTGATGCAATGTTCACACTGGCTGACGGGCTCGGCAAGGGATTTTTCGGCTCGGAGCCTGACAACAAGGAGGCTTTCACGATGTATCAGTCTGCAGCAAAACTTGGCCATGCTGCAGCAGCCTATCGCACAGCCGTGTGCTGCGAGATTGGCAACGAGGAGGGCGGCGGCACACGAAAAGATCCTTTGAAGGCAATTCAGTGGTACAAACGCGCCGCCATGCTGGGCGACACCCCGGCCATGTACAAAGTGGGAATGATACTGCTCAAAGGACTATTAGGACAGCAGAAGAACCCCCGTGAATCCATTGGCTGGTTGAAACGGGCAGCAGAAAGCGCGGACAGCGAAAACCCACATGCGCTCCACGAACTCGGCTTGCTCTATGAGTCTGCTGGACCGAACGACGTCATCCTGCGTGATGAGCCGTACGCTTTCAGGCTGTTCAAGCAAGCTGCGGACCTCGGATACAAATTCAGCCAGTACCGTCTGGGATGTGCGTATGAATACGGACTTCTTGGCTGTCCCATCGATCCAAGACTCTCGATCATGTGGTATTCCAAGGCGGCGGAGCAGGGCGAGCACCAGTCCGAGCTTGCTCTTTCTGGGTGGTATTTGACGGGCAGCGACAACGTGCTCGGCCAGAATGACACTGAGGCGTATCTGTGGGCGCGCAAAGCCGCGATGGCTGGCCTAGCAAAGGCAGAATATGCAATGGGTTACTTCACGGAGATGGGCATCGGCATTCCTGCGAACATGGAGGACGCGAAGAGATGGTACTGGAGAGCAGCTGGTAAGTTTCATTCTTTGTGTTGTGGGATTGTACCTCACGTCTGACATCTATGCCAGCCCAGGATTTCCCGAAAGCCCGCGAGCGCCTCGAAGAGCTGAAACGGTCCGGTAAGAACGGCCCCCGCCAACGAGAGCGCATCACGCGCAGCAAGATCGGGCAGCAGAATGAGGGTGAGTGCAGCGTGATGTAGGGCGTTACGACTGCACTTGATTTACCCTTTGCGCCTGCTGGATCCGAACCTGCAATGCCTGCAGCGCGAGATGCGGAAGCTGTCGGTATGACTGTGGCTGCCTACAGAGGTTTGCCTGCGCCCACAGGGATGGCCGCGGGAAGAAAGACTCCAGGGCCCGGTTCCCAAAGACGCCCTGGCACACCTACATCTTTGCTTCCTATCCGGGCGGCAGAGGGCGGTGCGGTGGTGAATGGGGTGATCATGAAGGGGTTGACAGCCACGCTTAAGCCTTCAGAGCAATCGCAAAGCCGTGGCGATGTCTTGAGGGAGAGGTACCAAGCTCTGGAGGAATTTCAGAGGGGCAAGAGTCTACAACGAAGCCTCAGCCGGCCGGTGATGCTGTCCTCGGTGAGGAGCTTCAGTTACGAGCTCCCGACGCAGATCGCCGAGATGGAACGCATGAGCAGCCAGCGTAGCTCTTCGCCTGCGGTTCCACAGCCAAATCAGACACCCCACTTGACACCTCGCAGATCAGCTCCCTCTAGATCGACCACTCCCCTGGCTGGGGAGGACACAGGTGGGGAAAACCCTTGAAGGCGTGTTCGATATCAATCGACAAGAATAATATGAAGGCACGAGCAAGATGTTCATTGATACCTTGCGCTAGACACAAGGGTCCTTTTTTTTCCCTCGTCCTGATTGCATTGGATTGGCTTGCATTTCCGGAGGTACCTGCACAAGGCGTCTGGTTCGGTCTTTTGCTCGTCTTTGGTGAAAAGAGAAAGAAAAGCAGGCAGGGCCGGCAACTTAAAGATCGAACTATTAAGAAAGACTTGAGAGGGATCATTCAAAGAGCGCTGCCCAGGATACCCACCTGCCTACTCGTAGTAGTCTAGTTGATAATCTTTGGAAATGCAAAAGATAAAAATTAGTGTAATTCACGGTGGTCAATGTGAAATCGGAAAAGGCAGCTTCAAACTGCAATCATCACCACGCTGTACCTCGTATTGCAATGCGTATCATTCTATATCTGGGGAACTCCTCAAAGAGTCTACAAAAGACGACATGGTATGGGAGGCTGTGAGAAATGAGCTTAAGACCGTCACTGGAGAGCAGCTTATATCAAGTACCCAACCCATCCGTAATGAGGTACGGGTCATAGTGTGTATGTGAAACTCTTACTTTCAGTTCCGTACTTGCTAATTGTATATCCAGGTCGTTGAGTTCGCAACGACCTCGAGAGAACACCGAATGCAATACGCCTTTCCCAATTTCGCGTTTTCCATTCAGCACGCCGCCCGTCCGACCAAACAGGATCTCGAATCCGGCCGGACCGATATAAAGAACAGAGACTTGGGCCTCCATCTATCCTCTAGCCCTCATCCACGAAATCTTGATAAGTTCGACCCCCGTGGGTCCTTGGAAGCCCACCACCCGTCATCATCACCTTTTACCTGCCCACCCACCACGGGCCCCGCGCCACGTCGAACAGCGGGCCGTCCTGCGCACCAGCAGCCCCTCCACCGTGAGAGCCACCACGTCCCTAAGCGCTCTTGATGGCCTCCTTGACCTCCTCCTTGACCTCGCTGACCTCGTCGGCGAGGGACTTGTCCTTCTGGCTTTGGCGCCACAGCAGGATGCGGGTGACCTGGACGACGCCGACGACGCCGAGGAAGAAGTTGACGGCGGCGAGCAGGTAGTTCTTGGGCTTGATGATGAGGCACCAGCGCGTCCAGATGATGCCAGTGGCGGTCAGGGCGCCGTTCTGCTGCAGCGAGAGCTTCTCGGCCGGGCGGCCGAAGTCGGCTATGCCGGCGAGGACGATGGCCCACTGCAGGGGAGAAATAAAGTGTTAGTTAGGGGTTCTGGGTGTAGGTGTAGGGTATGTATATCGGGTGGTGCGTACCTTCATGACGGGCGCCCAGAAGTGTACCGTCTTGAAGCCGATGGGGCTGTCCCACATGCGCTTGAACCAGCCGACCTGCTGGGCCGCCTGCTGCTCAGCACTGGCGGTGGACTGCCACCTGCGGCCCCATTGTTGTCGCTGCTGGGTGCGGAAGGCCTGTTGGAAGCCCGAGGCGCGCGAGAAGGCCTGTCGGGTCTGGGCTGCGGCGGACGCGGAGGAGAAGAGCGGCCGGGAGGCGCGGGCGAAGGAGGCGGCGGAGGAAGACATTGTCTTGTCGTCGTCGCTGCTGCTGCTGCTGCTGCTCTGCTGTGTGGGGTGGATTTGTCTGAGCGGGTCGACGACAGAGAAATTCGAGCGCAGGTTTGGTTGAAGGGGTGGGCGACAAGGCGAATGTGGCCGGAGTGGAGAGTTGGGGATTGTCCTGCTCGTTGTGCTTGTTCTTGTGTGACTCTCTCTCTCTCTCGTGGTCCCTCGCAATTCCAATCTAAGTCAGATCAAATCGGGGTCCGATCAAAGGAGCGTTGGGGTCAACCAGCAGGTCGGAAAAAGTTGGGGGAGGGAGCTGCCACTTCGCTGACCGTGCCGGAGATAAGAAAATGTGACGCCCCGTCCCACCTCAGCTGCCGCTGCAGTTGCGCCAGAGCACGTATTCTGTCTACCTGGCACTCCCTGCTGTGGCACCTGGGTAGGTACTTAGGTACATTGCATGCACAGGGCACAGCCCCCCCCCATCGGTGCAGCCTTGTGCAAGGTTTATGCAGCTCCCGAAAGTCCACTTCCAACGTCCATCGTCACTCGCCTACATCTCTCAAAAGTTCGCCCACCCTCTCTCCCACGCCCGCCATATATCCACCAATTGACCGCCGCACCAGCCAGTTCCAGTTCTGGGAGAACACACTGAGGGCCGAACCCCAAGATGGCAACCAGATACGCATTCACACGGTCCCTCAAGGAGGTCCGCTTCCTCTTCTGCCAGACCTCGGAGCAGAGCGCAGCCACCAGGTAAGTAAGCCGATTCGGGCGCATCGTGGTTGGTCAATTGGGACCAATGCTCCTCGTCCTCGACAAACAACGCCCTCTCAGAGGCTACATAAGATGCATGACCTGCCGAGGGAAATGAGGCTAACAAGACGAAACCCCAGGGCGTTCCTTACGAAATCCTACCCGACCATGAAGAAGCACAACCCATCCATCCCCATCATGCTGCGTGAGGCTCAGGGCACCTCGCCCAAGGTGTACGCCAGATACGAGTTTGGACAAGAGAAGAGCCAGTCATTAGAAGGTACGAACCCCCGAGCAGCATACCATTTCCGGCCACAGGGCCCCAAACCGGACATCGAGGCAAGGCGCGTCGGCGCTCAGAATACATGGCTGACGACAGAGCTGCAGGTCTGTCCGACAAGCAAATCGAGGACGCCGTCACGACACTGGTCAGGAACGAGTCATAGCGTGCGGGCGGCTAGGTGGACGAGTATATCATGAGCTTGGACCCGGGTCGAGGCTGACGAGGGCCGAGATGTGCTGTGGCAGCAGCCGTGGGTAGACGAACGTCGACGTGTACAACACGATCTAAAAGAGCTGTGAATATAAGAGATCACGAACGACCACATGGCGATTTGGCAGTCACTCCCTCTGGGGCGCGGACAAGGGCGTGGCAGCCATGAAGTGAAACTTCCCAGTGGAATGTCGTGGCGTGTTGAGAGTCTCCTGATGGGGCAGTCCCCCGGTGAAAGATACTGACCATTCTTCGACTGTGGACAAGTGTGAGACGCAGGACTTTCCGATGATCGAGCTTCATTTGTCCCTGTTCATCTCTAATGGTGATATCCTACAAAGCTATCCTGACAAGTCGATAGCCTGACGATTTCAGGCCATTAGGCCAACCATTTTTTCTTCCTCTCATTTTGCTCATTCCTCAAACCCTTGACTTCGTTGACCTGCGTATCCGCCGAGCGACCCATCTCATTAACATCTGTGTCAATGTCTGCGTTCTCATGACTGATTCATCCTCTCCACAAGTCATAAGATGCCCCCAGTGACTCACTTGAGCCAGTGGCAGCTTTTTGTGTTCCTCTTCCCATCTACAGCAATCTCTGATTTCCTCTTTCTCTTCCTCACGAATACCTCAGCCGCCCTTCCGCTCTTCGCCAACAGCAGGTTGTCCACCACGGTTTCCCTGTCCACCTGTTCGCCCACCATGTCCAGTGCCACTGCCGCCAGCCCTGCTAGAGGCAGACCGAGCGTTGTTGCCGTTGCCTGTGTTCTTCCCACCGGCCTTCTTGCCTGACCCCACAGTTGTCCATTGATCTTCGCTGGCCTTGATCTTCTCACCCACGGCCGGCTTGTCAGCCGCCGGTGCGGAGACCTCCCCGCGCTGTCCCAGCTTGATCTTGTTGGGAGACGTGATCGAGGGCTTTGTGGTGGCTACCGCCTTGGATACAGCAGCGGTGGCAGTCTTGGAAGCCGTGGCTGATGCTGTCGCGGACGTCTTCACGGCCGACGCGGCACGCCTCTGGGGCACCGCAGCCGCCGCCGCAAGAGTAGGAAACTCTTCCTCGTCCACAAGCTTCGGCACACCACTCGCCGTCGACGCGACCTGTGCTGTGCTCTTCGTTCTGCTTGGGGCCAATGCCGTTTCGAATGACTTGGCGCGTTCTTTCAGGTTGCTGTCACCACGGTCGGGGCCAGGACCGACTCGCTTCTTCTTTGTGGGAGGGCCCGGTTGAGTGACTGTAGCGGGGTCGATGACCTGCTCTGCTGGCGTGATGAAGCGCTGCTCGACAGCTCCCTTCTGGCCCGGGAGAGATGGCTTCTTCGTGTGGAACGGGACGGCGTTGACGGAAGGAACTGAGGCTGCACTCGCAGCCGGAGACGAAGGGATAGACGACGGCGCAAAGGCCTTGGCGGCGGCGTTGAGCTTGCTGCTGCCGGCGCGCTGTTCCTTCTTCTTCTTCTCGGGCGAAGGGGTAGGGGACGTCTGGTGCGAGGTTGGCTCGCTGCTCGGCTTCTGCGCAGACTTGACCGCCTTGTCCTTCATCCAATCGTCTGGCTCTGGTCCATCCTGCACACTCGCGAATGGATCATCGCTCTTGGGCCGTCCCCCCTTTACAGCAACGGTAGCCCAGCCAGATGACTTCGCGTTGGGCGGCAGTAAGGGTAGTGCAATCCGTGCGTCGTTGGTGGTGAAATTCCTGTTGTTTGGGTACCTGTGGTAACCACTCGGCTCACTCATCATCAGTGGAGCCGCCATAGCCGAGTCCTTCTTCACCTTGTCGATGGTGAACTTTTGGTTGGGGAACAGGTTTGCCTCGGGTGACGCGTCGTCGCGATTCCTGTCAGCAGGTGGCTCAAAGACGGTCTGCAGGGGCTCCGGCGCCTGCTTCTGAGGCGGCTCGTTTTCTTCACTGCGGTTGCCCTTCTGTTGAGGCTTCTGCGGCGGACGATTCTTCTCTGGGCGGGCAGAGCCGCCTGCTTCGTCTGGAGAACGAGATTTCTTCGATTCGTCTTGTTTCGCTCCGACGAGCTTGCCCTGAGTATCATCCACCGACTTGGCTGGCTCGGGTTCCGACTGCCTCTGTGTCTCGGGCGCAGGCCCAGATTGTAGAGTCTTGGGCTTCTTTGCTGGAGATTCCTGCCTAGAGGCTACCCGGCCCTGATCCTGAGACCCCTCGGTCTTCGCCTGCCCAATTGGAGTCGCCGAGGTTTCGGCATTGAATGGTTGCTTGCGCTTCCTCTGCGACTTGGTGTTTTTCTTCTTCATTGGCTTCTTGGGTTCATCAACAGGGGATGGGTCCATATGACTCTGGGTTGCAGATTGGGAACGCGAGGGCGATTGAGTTGTGTCACCGGCCGACTCTGGGCGAGTAGTTGAAGCTCGTGACACGGGACGGTTGTTTGAAGCCCGGGACGGACCACGGGAATGAGCTTCCGTGGGAGTTGCAGAAGAAAGTGCGGAATCGGGGGTGTCATTACTGGCCTTCGACTTATTCTTCTTGCTCCTTCCACCCTTGTTGGTGTTGGTGGTAAAGTTCTTCTTCTTAGGCTGTTGAGAAGGGGCTTCTTCGGTCTTGGGGGCCTCAGGTGCCATGGCAACACTCGTTCCTTCTGTCATTGATGCAACGACTTGGTTTTCGAGAGCTTCCAGCTCAAGAGCCCCACTCAGCTCAGTGAATCGATTACGCAAGTTGGAGCATCCGCGTTCTGAGATGGGCATCCATTCGTCTGGGAGAGGGCTGCGAGAAGGCTTGTGACGAATCACTGTGTTGACATCAAAACCTTCAGTCGCCTCAGTCAGCTCAGAGGTTACCTTGCTGTAGTAAGAGAGCCCCTTCTTGCCTTGCTTCTCCGTGGGCTGCAGTTGCTCAGGATCAGCGGTAGGCTGGAACACCTCTACCGGCACAGCGAGCTCAGCGGTTGCCTTTCTGTACCCCGTTGAGAACGGAATATCATCTTTGGCAACAGCTTCTGTCATTGAATTCTGAGCTGTGTCAAGTCCAGCCTGGGCTTCATTTTGATCCACACTCGCATTCGGCTTTGGCGAGCCCCTCTGAACCTGCTCCTTGATGCGGTCATTTCCAGACTTTGGAGAGACACTGCGTGAGCGCGAAGATCCAGCCTCATCCGGCAGGCATACCTTGATGCTCCTAGCACCCTGAGATGAGACGTTGCTGGAAATCTCAGCGGGGCCGGCCTCATCACCTGAAATGTCCTCAATGACCTCTTCCGCCGGCGGCTTGGATCGCCAGTCCTCCTTCAACGCCACGACCTCGACAGGCCTCTTGGGATAGGTCTTCGGCTGGTAGATCATCTCATCCTTAGTCATCGTCTCTGTCTTGCTGGGCTTCCGGTTCTCATCCGCACTGGCCGGATCCCACAGCTTGCGTTGTGTGGGCTGCCGGGAAACAGGCACCATGTTGAGATGAGGTGGGCCACCTGTCTCTCCATGCCAGATCTGAGGAGGCTGCATAGCGGGGCCGCGAGTGGCAAAAGTCGGAGTGTTGAAGAGGACATTGCTCGGCTGCTGATTCCGATACGGGTTCGAGTCTCGACTCAGAGTTGAGCTTGAGCGGCGACGGTTGCTCTTCCCCTCCAATTCACCGCGAGGAAGGCCATCAGGGTTGTCATAAGGATTCGTATAGTGTTTCGAAAACAACGCATACCAAATCCTGGGCACGGTGCCCAAGCCTGGTATATCTTTTCCCTGGTTGGGCTTGGCGCAGAGGTCTCGCATGGCGCGAATGGCATCTTGATCTGACTTGAATCTATGCGAAAAGCGTCGATTAGCACTCGTGCCTTGATCAGCCGGAGGGACAGCAAAGCGACTAAAGACTCACTGCACAAGACTGCCACCACCTTCGGCTATCACGATCACTTGTGAAGCTCCCCATCCAGCAAAATGATTCATAAGAGCGGTCTGGACCCGTTCTTGGGGAAATTTGTCGTGCTTCACGTAGAGGCTTCTGCAGGATCTCATGCATCGAAAACACGGGCAGTCGATGAAAATGCGATTGTAGGTCTTGGGCTTATCTAGTCGAAAGTTCCTGCATTCGATGTTGGGGCTAGAAGCCGGTTGCTTCGAATTGATGGCTGAACAGCTGTCCAATTTCGACGACTGTCGACCTGTGGACGTGTTGCTGTACTTGCGTGACTTCAAAGCGTAGACGGGTCCATGGATAGGATCATCACGGACCTTGCTGCGCGAGCCAGCCGAGTTCATACTGTCGCGACGTTCATCGTGACGCTTCTTCTTGTTTCCAGTTTCACCAACAGGCCGATGCTGGGATTGAGGAATGTACCCGTTTGGCTGATACATTGGAGCACCGGCGTTCTGTTGGTCACTGCAATGAGTTGGCATACTCGTGGGAGGCGCAAGAGGATGATTCAATTGAGGCTGCTCCGTGTGAGGTAGGCGCGTTGGCATCTGGTTCTGGAATTCCATACCGGACAGGCCCAGCATTGGCTTCAGACCAAGATCTGGTTGAAGATCTTGTCCCGAGGATGTGAAGGAATTCGGGTGCGCCGGCATGCCGTGGCTGGAAGTTGGCTGGATGAAGCCTGGAGGCGGTGGCTGCATACCATTATGCGGCGGGCCGAAAGGCTGCATCATGTGCTGCTGGTGCGAGGGTCCCATCGGAGCTCCTTGTTTAACAACGGACTGCCCACCAGGGAAAGCGCCGGTGTTCGCTGAAGTCTGCTGGCGGTTCGGACCATTACCCTGTGGGAAATCCCGCGATCCTCCAAAAGGTGGTTGGTTACCATTCATGTTACGAGGGACAGTCCCAGCTTTCTCTGGGAATGTGTGTTGAAGCCGACGACCCTGCTGCGCAGTGCCTTCCATCTCGGTGGCAGACACTGCACGAGGTTGGGTGTTGTGCATGTAAGCGCTGAGAATGTAATCTTGCTTCTCTCCAGGCGTCGATTGGGAAGACAAATGCCGTGCCGTGGCCTCAACACGATCGGCTAAATCTTGGTTCGTAAAGAACTCATCTTCGGACGTGCTCTTGAGGTCCTTTTGCTCAGGGACATCTTCAGCTTCCTTGGCGGGCTGCTGCTCGATTGTGATGCGAGGAACTGCAGTCGCAGGCGCCGACACTGTTTGATGGGGGATCCGAGTTGAAACACTCGTGTCAATTGAAAGACCTTCCGACTTCGTGGCAGTCTTGACGGCAGCGGCCTCTTCAGGGATCGTAGCTAGAGCCTGGGCCGGAGACGATGGAGTAGGCGCAACACCGGGGCCTTTACACGTCAGTCTAATGAGCTTGAACTGAGAAGGAGGCAAGGCGCTTACTAGATGAGGCCTTGGTAGTAGTATCAGCCGATTCATTCACAGGCTTTCGAGCTGAAGTGGGCTTGTCCTCTGCAGCGTGGATGTTGAAGCGCGCAACGCTGGGTTTCTTCCCCGTGAGACGTTCGAAGTGATAGAGGAAGCACTCGCGCAGGATGTTCTGACCAACGAGGTCAAGAAACTTGAGATCGTTCTCCCAGTCAAACTGGCTGGTGACCGCCGTGAGGATGTCGCTCTTCTGGTCCCACTTAACGAGAGACTCGCGGTTGGAATCAGCTGCAGGGAAGCTTTCGAGCCAGTCCAAGACCCAGTTGTTGCATTCGCTTGCAACGTGCTTCTCGACCTCACGCCAGTTGTGGCGCGCGTCATTCGCGAGGAGGTTGACGAGGTTCCACATGTTGACCGCACCAGATGCCCACAGGGTGGCGCTGTCGAAATATTCATAGAGGTCTTCGAATCGTTGCGGCGCGACCAGCGTCCTCATTTCTTCCCAGTACTTCTCTCGAAAGCGAGCTGCTTCAGACTCGAGTTTCTCGTCATCCCAAAGGACCAGAGTCCGTCTGGGTAGTTGCAAACCTTTCTTGATATGCTGTGGCACGCGAGCGCCGTTGTCCGTAGACCAACGACACTCTGCGTTTTCGGGTGGGTTAAAGTAAAAGCCAAGGACAGGGTCGATAACCATCATGCCATTCCGATCTCGTACATAATGCCAATTGGTTCGTGAAGGGCGAGCGTCCGCAGTAGTCGCAGACAACTGGGACGCAATCCAATCCTGGGAGTTGGATGCAATGAGGGCAGCCATCTTGAAAGATGATGAAGGACGGGGTGAAGTGGTCGCAAAACCAGCGCGATTGCTCTAGAGGGGGAAGATGGAATGTAGCAAACACGACAGTGTTGCGATACAGAAAGAAAAGGGGTTGGTTGGGCCGTGGGAAGAGGATGTTTTGCAAAACAAGCTGGGGTGGGTTTCAGTAAGTTTTGTGCATGCGCGAGGTTGAAAAGAAGGGGGACTTGAAAGTTGAAGGTCGCCCGCGAGGCACCTGGGGAATCCAGCCAGCACTGCCCTAGGGAAAAAAATGTTGTCTTCGAAGGGAGCTTGGATGTAAGCTCCACCTGTGCTCTGTATGAGCATCAACAGGAACAAATTTTCCACATGAGTGCCTTACAGCAGTGGCCTCGCTTGTGGCTGTAGGGTTTTGGTGGGTTTTGGTGGTAGGTTTTGGAAGACGTCTCGTATGCAGTGGGCACATGTCAACGGTAATCCGGTCTCAAACAGTAGAAGACGCATCAAACCTTTTTTCCATGCCAGGCCTGACGGTATCCGAGTCCAGCCTCCATTCGATTATCTGGTAGCTGTAACCTTTCCCACCAGATCGACAAAAGGATTTTGTTCATGCAATGAACGAGGGCACCTCCTGAACTTGAGACAGAGCCAGGCTCCTGAAAGAATACCTTTGTCCCAGATTCAATGATCCTCTTCACTCGGTCTTACCCAGGGAGAGTCATATCGAGAAGCCTGACACAGAACACAGAGCCATATCTTGCACCGGCGGGAACACGATCTTCACAGTACTGAAATTGCATCTTGCAAGTGGAATTCCAGAGGTCTACTGCCTCGCAATTTCAGTCAACAGACTCTATTAGATACAGCTTCAGGGCTTTCAAGCAGGGCACTCGCCTAGCACGGCTCCTTCAACTCGACTTCCTTCTGAGGGGCTCGGGGAACTTTCCCCGTGCGGAGTCGTCCATAAGATCGATGCTTAGTATATCAAATTTGCGTATTTACTCTTCTCACCTTCGCCGTCAAACCCAGTGTGCAAGTATCACAGATCAATGCTAGAAAGGGGGAATCTCATTTTGTACAGAAGTTGCTGACGAAGCTGCCCAAGAGCGCTGAGTGCTTCTAGACCATACTTATTTCTTCGGGATCTGATCAAGAACCTTCAGTATTTTGGACTCGTCTGCCCCGGCAATCGCCTTGCCGTTGTTCCAATCCACCGTCTGTCTCGGCGTCAGTAATGCTCACAGGAGTAAGAAACAGGCATATGGGATTGAGCGTACCACAGGCCGCTGGAAGGCCTCCGCACTCTGCTTGAAGATTTTCAAGGCTTCGCTCTCACTCGAAGCACCCTTTATGACGGAGGAAATGGCAGGCTTGCCAACATATTGCAGAATGGTCTGGAGCTGGTCTGGTGTTGGTGGGTCTTCCGTGATGTTCAGCTCGAACTCGGCACGATCGGGGGCAGTCTGCGCCGAGTGGTCGCTGGCCTGGTCCTCGGTCGCATGCTCGGTCGCATTGGCTGATGCCTGCTTGAGAAGATTGGCAACTCGAACGGAGGCGGGCGAGCTGGCCTTGTGGAAGAGGGTGACAATGTCTTTGGTCTTGTGCTGTTGGCGGACCGGACGAATCAGCAACGGAACATTTCTGAAGATAAGACGAAAGTCTCCTCATCTTCTGTTTTCATTACATTTACTTACAAAGCGAAACATTTTGAAAGATTGGAGATTTTTGTCGGTGTTGTGAAGGAAGAGTGACAGCCAAAAAAAGCCCAGGAACGTGAACAGGTGAGGTCAAGGTGTGTGGTCAAGGTATGATGTCGTCGCTTCCAAGTTGGGGTAGTTCGGGAGCTATGGCCACCCAACGATCAGTGTGGACTGCAGATGTGGAGACCGCGTTTTAATTGACGCCATGCCACCAATTTATAACTGTATCTGCTCTTCATCTGCTCTGTCTCACGTCCACACATGATTTTTGAAGAACAGCCGCAGAGAGCCAGGTGGCTTTCCATCAAAACTAAATTGCTGTAGACTTGAACTAGGGTGAACACGTCCAGTACATGTGCTGATCACGTCTAGGTCTTTCAGCCGCCTATGATGTTTCCACTACCTTTTTCTGTCTACCAGTAATCTCTTCAAAGTTGCCGACTAAGAGCGGCGCAAATCTAGGTTCTGGCCCTTTACCTCTGGATGGTCTCCTTGCTTCCTCCTTTGATTCCTCGTTTCAGACTGCCCTTGGATATCCTTACTTACAAGTGATACCGGAATGCCAAGTTCTCCTTGTCAGTCAATCCGGCGTAAGCCTGTTTATCCGACACGTCATCAACATGATCGACCTTCTGTTCCCTTGACCTGTTCTTCAGCGCGTAATAGCCCCCGGCCAAAGGGGAAATTGCAACCAGCAGAGCCCAAGCGATAACCAAAGTGAGCTTGGCGCTCCTAAATCCGGGGGCCTCGTTGGCTCTGAATGTCTCTGGCCCAATGATATTCCCAATGGCAAAGGCGGCATTCGCAGCGGCCGATGCGTATGCACGCTTGGTGTGTCCGGCGACGTTGCACGATAGCCACTGGAAAACTATGATGGTTGCCCCTGGAAGTACATTAATCAAGTACACGCCAAGAAGCAGACCACCTTTGTTTGAGTGAGGGAGAAAGCAAAGGAGGCCTGCGCCAATGGTGCCAATTACCGCGTCGATGGTGACGACGAGCCAACGACGCCCATAATAACGCACAAAAGTGGCATTGCTCAGCGTTGCGATCATGTTGACCGCACCACATGGCATGTTGAGAAGTGCAGCATCCTTGGACGAGTAGTCAAAAGACTTCAAAATCGTTGCCGAGTATGCCGTAACGACCCCAGAGCCGCAGAGTTGCAGCACCACGTTGATGAGCAGGAGCCAGCAGCCGATGTCGAGCAAACCCTCCAGAAGCTGTCCAGGGTGGAAATGTTTATTTTCGATACCGGTCTGGTTGACCTTGATGTGCTCTAGCAGCGCAACCTTGTCATCATTATTCAAGAACCTGGCGGTCATTGGCGTGTCTGGGACCATAAAAATGACAACGACACCAAAGGCGATCGTTACAAGACCCAGCACGAGGAACATCGTCTTCCAGCTACTAAGGGCTGCGTCAGGCGACACATGCTGAAAGCCGAATGAAATCAGGCCGCCGAATATCTGGCCAAATCCCACTGTGACACATCAGCCTTTAGTACAACATAAGTTGCGTGCGAGATTAGACTGCATCCACTTACTTCCAATGTACCAGAACGAGAAGCGTGTTGCCTGCTCCTCATACGTGAAATACTGGCTGGCGATGAGTATCAACGCCGGGAGGATCCCGGACTCGAATGCACCGCTCAACACGCGCAAAGCAACCAGACCAGCGTAGTTCTCAAGGGCGGCATGGCAGGCGTTGCAGATGCCCCAACCGATGAGACAGCAGCCCAGGAACTTCGCGACGGGCAGTCTGTTCAACAGCCACACGTTAGGCAACGAGAATACGAGAGAGGCTATCCAGAAATCGGCGTAAGCGTGCGAGAAATCATTGCCCACAAGGTTGATTTGCTTGGGCATTCCCATGATGTTCGCATACTAAACAAGCATGTCAGCAAGTTACCCGCTCTGCTCTCTATTTCGAGTAAAATGGCATACATTCAAGAGAACCTTGTCGAGGAAATTCAGTGTGTAACAGCAACACAGGAAGGGGATGACACGAGTGTCAATTCGTCTCCTCAAACCACGAGTGAAGGAGGCTTGTCTAGATAGAGAAACCGCTGCCTCATTCTTGTGTTGCTTGAGGAAATTAAGCGCTTGATCGAATCGACTATCATTGTCTGAATGATCCGATAGCACTGCGTCCTTCTCTTTTGAAGGTCCCTCAGATTCATGAATGCTGATGTTCATGTGTTCCACCGCATTGTGCGCCATCGTGGCTGCAGGGTATTGTGGCAAGTATTTCAGATGGTGATGAGTGGGACATGCAAGATAGACAAGAAGCGGAGAGCGACTATATACAGAAGAGCGGCCAGAATTCCGGGAAGCGATTGGAATCATTCGGCGGGTTCAATGTCACCATCTTCTATGGGTCACATTGTGAGGGCTGTCTCGTTTGATTATGCAACTTGCCGGTCTCCGAAGGCCTATGAGAGTAGAGTTTGGGATACGAACATGCGCCTAATGAATCGAACCCAGATATAGATAAGCAAATATTGGCTGCATCAACAAGCTCGCAGTGCTGAGAATTTGCCAAGGTCCCCTTTTTGTAAGCACTAATCAGCCCATGTAACGTCTTCAACGAGGAGGCGGGGGTGTGCCATGACTGGAACGTGCAACGAGACTTGCAGTCTCTCGCAACTTGCAACTGTGTGACCATAGGGTGAGTCAGCAGATTTCCCAGACCTTTACAATAGACGAAGTTCCAGTATCATGCCATAGCTTCTGTGCTTGATCTTCGGCTCTCGCCCTTTATCACCGGACTCACGAGCTTGATGATGGTTGAGTAGGTTGAGTTGTGGTCACTCATGCACTGTGGGCTCTGGGATGATCTGTGTGTACCGCACACCAGGATTACGGTCGCAGATCAACGCATGAAGGTGATTGGGTTCTAGAATCATTTTGTTGATTCAAATAAATAAGCTCCATCTTGGACTCTCTTATTAAAGGATGGCGCATGCTGTTCTTGTGTAATTGCTTTTGAGTCTATTCAAGATGGCCGTTCCAGGAACGGTTCTGAATTGCGAGATACTATAGTCTGTTCTTGAGTCTTCTATGAGGCAAGCCCATCTTGAACGGTTCTTGAGCTCCCCGGAATATAGGCTTCAGGACTCTATGGTAGTCTCACACATGTTTGACAACACATGCATGACTTTAGACACATTTCAGAAGGAATGAGTATATGTTTAATGTCAGAGAACGGAGAAGCATGTTTCATAGGTAACCTCGGAAACAATCTTGAGATTTCATGTTACGAATTGCTTGATTCTAAATAAAGATTTCACTATACGCCGGTGCTAATCTAGCGACCACTAGGCATCGTCTCGAATGGTGGTGCTTGAGCTAAGAAGAATCCAGGTCATATTGTAGAAATTCGTTTCGGACGAATCTGAAAGGAGACTCTAAATTGCAAGAAACTGAAACAATGATGCACTACACAGGAAAGTTACAAATAAATGTCGGCGATGTAGGGTACATTGTGTAAATGAACCTTCGTTTCGCGCTCGAAGAGTCACAGCTTGGGTAAAATCGAGGTAGGACATGCCGCTCACTCCTTGCTTAGTATGAACCTTGAAGTAGGATTTTTTTAACGGTAGCCAAATGAATGTGAAATTCGAGCAGACGATTCGACTCAATAAAGAAACTTACGTACGTGTCAATCTACGGTTGTTGGTCTTTTGTTTGTTGGGCATGGTGGATCTCTCGGGTAGATACAGAAAATATGTGGCACAATCTGGCAAGTACTCAGACCACCTAGGCGGCTGAGATGATATGTAGGGAAGCTTCATCACATGGGGTCTCTGAATCTTGGTTGTTGTCAGTGAATGAATGTGTTTTAAGGTAGCGCCTTCTCAGATATGCACCCACACCGTAAGTATCTGCAAGCACATGAAAGCTGGCACGCATGGCGGGCACCGAATTTTACGCCCTGTTGACGAGTACTTTAGTCTCTCCAAACCAACCGTGCCTCTAAGGAAAACCTTCTGAGACAGCTAGATAAAGCCGCTTCCAAGATGAACCAGCAACTATAGCACGTTGTCCAGTGGCCATGTAGATCAATCGTAGATCGCCACTCTCCTATACTGGGCAAGTGGAGGTTGCGGGTTCAAGTCCCGCCATGGTCTTTCCATTCATTTCTTTTGTTCTGTAGCCTTTTGTCTCTTTTTAGGCCGTTGAACGGAGGATGGGCGTTCTGGTCCCTGTCGTTGGGACGGAAGCTTGCTGGGAGGCTAGCTGAACCACAAGCAAGATATGATGTCTACTGAGAGCAATGGGGGCGCTTCTGGTGCTACCTAAGCCTTTATTTTGCCGTGGTATTCAATATGTTGTTGTGTAAGCCGACTTCGTCATTCATTATCTGGAGTCGCCTGGGCAAGATAGCCCTCCCACGACAAACGGCCCACACTCACTTGCATACATTGGTATACCCCAGCGATGACAGGAGAGAAAATTGGCAGGTTACAAAGCCTGAGATGCACGCTCTTGAATACTGGAACGATTGCGCTTGAAGAAATCATGATTGATATATTGAGTCAGTATGTACTTCCCCCCTTGCTAAGTGGTTCAACATGTACCGTACATCTCCCACATCTACGTAAATTACTCTTTCTTCCCCGACTTAACTGGCTTCGCCCGCTTCTCGCTTCCAGGAGGGCTACTCAGTCCACCAAACACTATCGCGGCCACTCCCGCGATCCCAGCAGCACCGATGGCATATGCGACCTCGCGCCCAGCCCACCAGTACACGCTCGTGAACAAGATCGGCCCGAGTCCACGACCAACCTGTCCCCAGCTCCTCATTACGCCAAGCTTTCCGCCCCGCTCGCCTTCGTTTGCTTCGAAAGAAGCCAGCGCGTTCAAGCCTGTGACGACAGTCGCCGACGTCGTGGCGAGGAAAGTGGCGGCAAGGTAGAGCATTGGCACGCTCGTAAGGCGACCGAGGAGGACGAAGGCGAGGAGGCAGGCGACAACTCCAGTCTTCACGGAGAGCAGCGGAGGCAGTCGACGGGTCACGCCGCCCTGCAGAATTGATGCAACCAGCCCGACGAAGCCGAGGAGGCGGCCGTTCTTCGCTGAGGAATATCCAAAGAGGTCGTAGGTCATGAAGGGCAGTGAGAACTCCATGCCGGAGAAGAATAGCAGAAAGGCGAAGTGGGTCGCGTTCAGCACGAAGTGAGAGTTTGTGCGCTGGATGGGCTTCTGCTCGTCGGGCTTTCCGTTCGACTTCTCCTCCTTGGTGGCATGGCCATTTGTGTCTTCGGACATCGACGGTAGTGTCTCGGGGAGCGAAGTGTATAGGTAGACGGTCTCGGTGACAATCAAGAACAAGCTGAACCCTGCGGCGGTCGCGAAGGGGTTGGCTGCCACGGTCGCAATGCTGCTGAGCCATGCGCCGAGGGCGGGACCGAATGTAAAGGCAATCGAGAAGCACGCGCCGATGAGGGCCATTGTGCTCCCTCTCGAGCTGCTGTCGCTGATATCCGTCGCAATGGCTGTTGCCAGCTGGACGTTGCCCTCTGACAGCCCGCCGACCACCCTGCTTAGTAGGAAGGTGCGGAAGTCTACGGCCATGACCCATAACAGCACCGAGAGTATGTTGCCCATCATGCTAGCCAGGAGTGCAGTGCGGCGACCATATCTGTCGGACAGTGTTCCAATGATTGGCGATGCGACAGCCTGGAGCAGGGAGAAGAGCGAGCCGAGGGCGCCGCCGAGAAGGACGATATCATAGCGAGAGTCGATGGGGCGCGCGAAGGCAGCCTTGTAGGCATTGAGCTGGCTGAGGATCCATGACAGGAGGGTGTCTTTAGGAGGGGCGGCAGGGTCGGTCGGGGCTTCGGAATTACGGTAGAATTCGAGGAGCTTGGGGAAGAGCGGGAGGATGAAGGTGAAGGATATCTAGCGGCTCGCGTGTCAGCGGGATGATTGCGTCTGAGACAGAGCAATAGATGTTGTGCTTACCAAATCCAGCAACAGAGAGATGAAGACGACCTTGAGCACCTTCTTGCGGGTGGCCGCATCGACTGATCCGACCATGATGGCTTCTCGGCGCGACGCAGCGGTCAGAGCGAGGGACAGGCGGGAGACAGCTACAATCCAATACAGAAGAGATGCCAAGTGTCTTGAGCCGGGAGCGAGGGACGGCAAAGGACGGGACGAGACGAGGGTTGACAGGAAAAAGAAGGAAAGTTGAGACGATCAAGAAAGAAGACAGAAGGAAAGGACAAATTTGGTACGAGCCAGCTTTCGACAGGCGTCCGTGACGAAATGTCTGGAGACCCTGACGGAGTCGGTTTCGTTTCAAGCTCCAGCACCAGTGGGGCTGAAGTACGCCTGTACGCCCGCCGTGCGCACCGGTGCGTCGTATCCGTACCGTACGACTGCCGGACGGTTGCTGTGACCCATGGCCTCCCCTGCCGTTAGCTGCAGACAGCTGTCATTTTAGGCATCTTCGGGGTCTCGGACGGACCCGTTCTGCTGCAGGTCAATTAACCCCCTGATCCTAGCGCAGATCTCGAAATCCAACCTCATCTCTTAACACACACACCACATCTGGATGCCCGGGGGGACCTATTTCTTGCCTGCCACTTGGATGATCTGCCCCGTCTCCATTATATCTCGGTTAGTTCTCACCATAAGCTTCAGGGTCTGCGTCAATTGTTGCGTAAGACGCTTCCAGAGCTGTCAAAGACCAATCGGGCGCATTGTATTTCCCTCAATCCGCATTGATCTTATATTTGGAATCGCATGAAGCCGCGTAACTTCGACTCCAGCACACCGTGTGTGAGTAGTGTACGCGCTGGAGCTAATAATACCTGCACCAGTCATCTGATGCTCAGGATTCGCCCTGATCATAGCATTCAGCGCTTATCAAGCTACACTGAGGAAAAATGTGTATTCTTAAGTGTGAGCTTCAAGAAGACTAATTCAATAAAGACTTCTTCAGCTTAGACAGAGGTTGACGCAGTTAGAGATCAGTATGCATATCTACCTGTTGAAAGGCCCTGAATTCGACTTAGCAGTCACTAACAAATCCTCGGCGGAAAGCCTGAACAAGTCATCAGCTAACTCTGTGGCTGAGAGTGAGCATGTCCCATCGTGGTTTCGTTGCTGATTAAGCTGAATTCGATTGGTTGAGGACGCGTGAGACCAAAAACATGGTCGGGAGAAGAGAACCCCAGATAATGCAGCTGAGATCTTCAGCAATATGCTTCCACCTTCCAATCTATTGAAAATCTAGCATGATCTGCGCTGGCAGCCTGGTCAACTGACGCGCTACTGTAGACTATGCAATAAGGAAATTTGATGATAGCCTCCTTGCCGTGCCTTGCCGGGCGGGAATAAGCCATCCGCGCCACAACTTCCCAAGCCACCAAGTTATCTTAAGCTCGCTAGTGAATTTAGCCAAGATTTGGCCAACTAAAGGTGATCGGCTTCAGCATGTGAAGTATCGTACAGTATTGCTCTCTCAAATCCCAGTCAGCTCCTGGCCTCCATATGTCTTGTAATTCTTCCGAGAACTCGAAGCAGATATTTCGATTGGGGGACCACTCGCCACCAATTACCACATAGCAGCCTGGCCATCTCTGTAACCTGTGGCATATGCTGAGACTGTGATGTGATAAACAGTAGAGGGAACCGAGGCGTGGCTTACAGGCACTTCGGCGCAAGAGATGGGTCACGAGGAGTATTCAACCTGGCAGAATTTGAGGGCACAGACCTGCAACCACCTGTCAAACTTGTCCATAACGGCGATGGTGGATTGTGGTTCTATACTATATAATCTATCCAGTGGGTAAATCCCAGGTATCATGCGCAAGAAACACTCAAATTTCATCGCCATCTCAAAGGCATCTCTTCTCAACTCACCCTGGACCATTGATCAGACGCTCCCAGGTCTTTACGCCACAATTCCAACCTCTACATCTTCTCTTGCCTTTGAGGGCCACCTGAGCCTACAGTCTACGATGCCGCAAACAGACTCATATACACACCCCAGACAACGCCAGCCAAGGAGCCAACCAGGTTCCTGCCCTCGACAGTTTTCACCACCACAAAGTTGAACAAGCTGACGGCAGGCCAGAGGCTGAGACCCGCCACCATGATCGGATAGAATTCCAACTTTGCCAGCTCGAGGACCTGCCTCCAGTCGACCTGGCTGTAGTCGATGGCCTTGCCGCTGGTCAGGAAGGCGATGCCAGCTGACGGGTCCGTGGTGAGGGGCCGGTGGGCCATAGCCTGCTTAATGCTGTGGGTGAAGAAGCTGAACATCAGGGTGTTGAAGGCGGCGCCGACGGTCTGGTCGAGTATGAACTTGATGATGGTGTGGGGCACGTCGAGCTTGGTCTCGACGAGCTTGCCCTCGCGGGCCTCGCGGTCAAGCTCTTTCTCATTGGAGCGGGATGCTGACTTGATGGCCTCCGACGATGGGACGGTCTTTGTGGCCGGGAAGGTTGACTCGAGGAAGTCTTGCCCTGCGAAAATGTGAGTGAGAGAAGTCGGGTGAGACATTAGGCGCGAAAGGATAGCCGGTGCAAGTGAGGCAGCGGTAGGCCCTAGCTTCAGGACTTACACAGGAAGTTGGGCGGGGTTGAGACGACGGTGTACAGGAAGAACTGGAAGACGGGGATCCAGTCGATCACAAATTGTTTCTGGGACAGAGTAAGCTGACACGCGCAGTTGAAGCATCTAAAGCCAAGTAGTTGCATGTCTCGTTGTGAGGGAGGTAGAGATCATACATCGCTCCTGTAAGCTGTGATAGCCTGGGCCAGGATGTTTGATGTTGCGCTCAGCACCGCGCTCTGGGCGGTGGCCGAGACAATTGGTGGCAGAGCCATCTTGAGACTGGTACTGGAGCTAGTCCTGGTTATCGAGCGATGTTCCAGCAGATCTGTCCGCACGAGAATTTGCTTGTTTTGGCTGTCCCCCCTTGACCGAGTGCGAGGCGCGAAGAGTACAGTAAGAGTCTGCGCCCAGCCTATGTTGCTTTGTTGCCGGAGCAGCTGACGTCATGGAGCAAAGACGGCAAAACAAAGCAATCCCCCCCCCCTTTTGCATTTTGGAGCTCACACCTAACCCTGGGGCAAGGACCGTGCCGATTGCAACGCCGTATTTCGACTCCCGCCTGTGCACGATCGGCAAGATTTCCCTTGCCCCGAGGGAGGACACAGCAGTTCGAGTTACCACCAACCTGTTCGCTTCCCGAAGTCTGACTCACAAGATGAACGCTCGACTGACAACCTAACTCACTGGACTGAAGTGGCCGTTTGATCGTGTTGCGGTTCGAGGTGAGCAAGCAGTCTCTCAAGTCCAAGTTCAATCCCATCCCATCCCGCACGTTCCGTTCCGTTTTTCTGCGTGGCCTCAGCTCCGGCCCACCGTTGCCCGTGCAGCACGGCGCCGTGCCCAGCTGTTCCCGCAACCCCTCTACTCCGCAACCGACGGCCGAGGTCCCCCAGGCCCCAAGCCCGACCAAGATCCGTCCACGTTCCGAGTCTCGACGGGATCGCGAACCTTGATCTCCAATTGCCGACCATTGGCACATTACCCGTCGCTATAGGTTCACGTTCATAAAACATCATGCTCCCGCTGCACTCGTTCCGGCATGGCGGACCCTACTGGTCTCGCAATTGATTATACAGTCTCTGCACAGTTATGCTTCAGATTGCTCGACATATGCGAGCCAAGCTATATAGAGTATCTTCACTAAAAAGCTGACAATCATGCTACAGTCGTCGCAGCCTTCACATTCGCCCCGGGGCTCCAGGTCACCTGAAAATCACCTGACGTCGACATCGCTGTCCATCTCCTTCAACCTCACGCCAGCTCCTGATTCCCAGCCGCCATCACCCGTCTCTTCCATCTTCTCATCCACGTCCTCCACACAGGCCAGTATGGCATCATCAAATGGAGTAGAACCGGTGTCTACCGAGGTTGAGAACCACTACTTCAGCTCGAACCCGCCTCCCAAAGACCTGCCTCGTCATACCAAGCAGGCTGAGGACTTCATCAAATTTCATCATGCTGCCAACCGCCGCGTATGCCTCGTCACGTCAGGCGGTACCACCGTGCCCCTGGAGAAGCAGACAGTCCGATTCATCGACAACTTCTCCGCAGGTACTCGAGGCGCCACATCTGCTGAGTACTTCCTCGAAGCTGGCTACGCAGTGATTTTCCTGCATCGTCAATTTTCCTTGCTCCCTTACTCCCGCCACTACAGCCATGCGACGGACTGCTTTCTGGATTTCCTCACCGAAGGGCAGGACGGGACCGTCCTTGCCAAGCCCGAGTTCACGCCAAAGATGCTCTCCGTCCTGCGCAAGTACCATTCGGCTAGGAGGCAGAACCTTCTGTTGACGGTGCCGTTCGTGACAATCGGTGACTATCTTCATGAACTGCGTGCTAGCGCACGCCTCATGCAGCCCTTGGGCCCAGATGGCCTGCTGTACCTTGCCGCGGCGGCGTCTGACTTCTTCCTGCCGCAGGACAGGATGGCGGAACACAAGATTCAGAGCACGGATGCCGCGGACGGGGTGAAGAAGGCGGCAGAGAAGGCGGAGCCAAAGGCGCCGTCGAAGGGAGATTCGAACGAGGAAGAGACATTTGACAACTTTGACTCAAGCCCCCAGGTGCCGAGGAGTAAGAGGCTTGTAGTGGACTTGGACCCCGTGCCGAAATTCTTGAAGAACCTGGTCGATGGGTGGGCGCCCCAGTGCATGATTGTGAGCTTCAAGTTGGAGACGGATCCAGGTAAGCTGAGCCTTTTAAATCCGCAATTTTTTTTTCACACCGTCAAGGATTCACTTCTATTACTCCCCGCCCTCTCAAGGTTGCGATTTTCACGCCCGAGATGTTTCTTCTATTTGGGAATAGTCTACTGTGATGGACGTGTAGAAGCATTTTTAATTGGACTGGCCTCATGACGAGGAACGGCCCCGGAGTTTCCCCTTCAACGAAGCCTGAGCTTCTCATTCGTGTGCTAACCACTTTCTCAGAAATCCTCGTGCACAAGGCAAAATATGCCCTCGAGCGGTACAGTCACAACCTCGTCATCGGCAACCTCCTTTCCACCCGCAAATGGGAGGTCGTCTTCGTCTCGCCCAATCGTCCAGACAAGTGGATCCGTGTGCCTTCTGTCCAGACTACGGCAGGCCATAAGAGGACGATCAGCGAGACAGAGAAGGAGAAGCCTCTGGATCCTAGCATGCTGCCGGAGGGTGAGCCAGATGTCGAGATCGAGAGTATCATTATTCCGGCTTTGCAGGAGGTTCATACTGCTCATATTACAGAGGCCAGGAGCAAGGAGAATGGCGACAAGAAGGCCTGAGATGTGATACTGCCAGTGTAGGTAAAAGTCGCTGAATCTTCGGACCTCAAGGTGTTTCTTAGCATTTTTCCTTGCTGTAAATACTCAAGTAAGTATATATATCTTAGAAGTATCACACTATTACAGAGGCAACATCGTTCAATGCCCAGCGACAAAACGGAAATAGACAAATTGGAGACGACTGTAGAAGATCAGCAGACGAGCAGACGAGCGGACAGGTTGACTTTCAAGTCATTTCTCTGAGAAAGCAGATACAAAGCCACAAAGACTATCTCAACGCAAGGTCCAGGAGCCTGGTTGTGGCTTCGGATTGACTCTTACAATTTCGCTCAATACTGTCATCAAATCCACGTTTAAGCCTGTTAACAGTATACAATAAGTGATGTGTAGGTTTATGCACCAGAAGATGAATGCGAATACACTTGCCCATTCGGAGGAAACCGTGCTTGTCTTGTTCCACGATAACGACTGTCTTTTGATGTCATGCCACCAAGGTTGACAGGCCAAGGGACAAATGTTGGCTAGTTGAGCTGGTTTTGGTTCCGAAACTTATTGTATAGATTCGGCTGCAGAATTCAAAATGCATCAGATGTTCTTCCCGCCGTTACTGAACTCGCCAAATCCTGGATCAGGACGACTGGTGAAATAAAATTCCTATCAATAAACCCATCAAGACGAATGTGGAATCTGCTTTGTCGGCCCCTTTCCTGCAGGTTGTAACTTCGCTATTAGTATATCCACGGCTCAACTTCGGCCAGAGCGACCATGCCCCTGACGACCCACCGTCGGACAAGACAGTGCTCCTCACACTTCTGGTACTTGGTTCTCTTTGCTTTCTATTTACGGTCTCGGATCATGAGTAGAGGACAAAGAGGGTTCGCACATAGTGATCCAATACTACTTTGACTATGCATAGTGGAAAGCTCAAACATCCAGAGAACAGCTTCCGACGGATGAGGAAAGTGTCTTTCAGTATTGTGATCGACGTGACTCCGCAACGTCACGGTTCTTCTCCATTGCTATGACTCGGACCCTGACGGCCTAAAGCTTCGTGGGATTAAGGTATAAGCCGGATGCTAGCCCTGGAAAGGTCAGCCTCGCAGGATCTATGACGTCTAGTCATCCAATCAATTCATGAAATGAGAGAGTGCGGTTCGACATTTTCGCCCGAGGCTAAGTGGTAGACACGGCCCAATCTGAATCACATTAAGCATGGTCGAACCTTCGCAATTAAGCCCATTTGCTCTGCACTGTGCCGGCCGATCCGGGGCTCCGGATTGAATAAGAATCCAGATAAGCAGCCAAACTCCTGGGGCAAATCCACGTGAGATTTAGAAGAAAAAAAGGGTGCAGTATCCGCTCCGGATCGCCCATCGCCCAATGAGCTTATCGTGGTAGTGGGGCCCCAATCTCGTGATGATCCTCAAATGGATACCTCTGGATTCTAGCTGGACTTGGCCCTGCCCAGGCATCCGAGGCATCGTGTGTTAAAAATGTCGTCCTCCCCGTGCTCAGCAGGGGAGAGGCTGGGCTGCTGTTTCCGAGCAGCCCATCTACTCGCACCACAGCATTCTCAACCGACGGCGCGGTAATGGCCATCCGCTCTTTTCTTTTCGCCATCGCGGCGACGACGCTCGCTTCGGCCCAGATCACCGTTGACGTGACCGAGACGCATCAGGCCATCCGGGGCCTCGGCTACTCCGAGGCTTTTCAACGATCTCAATGGGTCTACAACAACATGTCGGAAGAGAGGCAGCAGGAGATGTTCGACCTCTTGCATGACCCGGTAACGGGTGCTGGCTTCTCGATTCTGCGTATCGGTATCGGGTCATCTGCCAACAACTCCAGGGACTGGATGAAGAGCATTCAACCAGAGTCCCCCGGGTCCCCGGATTCGGAGCCGACTTATATTTGGGACCGAAATGACTCCTCGCAGGTGTGGTGGGCAAAGGAGGTGCAGAAGAGAGGCGTCAACCTCTTCTACGCCAACTCATGGGGAGCAGACGCCTACATGAAGGATACTGGAAATACCGACAACGGTGGCTTACTCTGTGGCGTGACCAACACGTCCTGTGAGACGGGTGATTGGCGCGAGCAGTACGCAAATAAGCTCGTCCAGTGGATCAAGTACTATGCAGAGGAAGGCATCAATATCACACACCTGAACCCGCTGAACGAACCAGATATCGCGGTTCCGTACGCGTCGATGCAGGCGGACGGCCAGCAGACCACCGACATCCTGGAGAAGCTTGCACCCGCGGTTGCCGACGCCGGTCTGGATGTCAAGATCACCTGCTGCGACTGGGCCGGCTGGGAGGATGGCCGGAAGATCCTGAGCGGGATCCAGGAGACCGGCGGCGAGCAGTACCTCAATGTGGTCTCGGGGCACGGATACGGACAGCCGCTCTCAGAGCCGTACGACACACCCCTCGAGGTTTGGCAGGGCGAGTGGGCCGAGCTTTCGAGCTACTTTGACCAGCCGTGGTACTCTGCCGCCGGCGATCCGAAGGGCACGTACGGAGGAGGCGAAGGACTTACCTGGGCGAACAGGATTCTTCACGGTTTCACTGTCTCCAATGTCTCGGCTTTCCTCAACTGGATGGGAGCTCAGCCATCGAAGTGAGTCATTTTGGCCTGTAGACTATTTTGCGTCAAGGCGCTTCCCCGTGCTAACATAAGATAGTGCCGCAACTCCCGTGATCAGGACCATTAATGATACGAACATCCTTTCTAAGCGTTACTGGGCATATGCCGCCTTTGGACGGTAAGTTTGGACCTTTCATTCTGCAACGACTGGTTGAACCTTCTGTATGACTAATTGCTCGCAGATATGCCCGTCAGGACTCATCCAGAGTGACAGCAACGTCCACCACCGACAATGTAACAGTAGCGGCATGGGTGCCCCAATCGGCGTCATTCCCTGCGGGCGGAAACTTGGCCATGCAAATCATCAACAACGCCGACGAGGAAAAGACCGTCCCCATCACCATTGACCAGCTCGCGGAAATCTCCAACTACACCGCTCTCTTGCTGAACAACGACTTCGATCTGGCCGAGAGTGATTCAGTCATTGCGGCCAACGGGACTATTGTCACGGCTACCATACCTGCCCGTTCACTTGTAGTTCTTGCTATGACTGCTGTTTGGCCGTGAGTTGGATCTTATTTTCCCTTCTTGCCTAAATCCAGTAACAGCCACAAGATAGGTACCAGGAAGACTTCACCCTGCATGTACTGACAGTTTTTCGTTAGGGATGATATGGTTGTGAACGCTCAGTCCAAGGAGAACAATGCCTCTAAGCTGCTAGGCATTAGCCTGCCGACATCTGGAGGTTCATTGGGCCTATGGATATTCACTACTGCTATGGTATTCATGGCGCTATAATCCCAGTAAAATAATGATATAATCTCAATGACTTTAAATGATAGCTACATAATAGAGGAACAGCATGTCTATGATTTTGTACGTCATTGGAGATCTTGCTATCAATGCACTCAGTTAAAGCACACATTTGCAAACATCTTGTGGACAATTCGTGTACAAGAAAGATTGTTGCAAGATCAGCAGTAGGACGATGTTCCCACTGTTAGCTAAGCCTGATAATTGAATAACGAAAAGAAGTGGGTCTGTTGGCTGGGTCACGTATTCGAATACGATGCGCGTTTGGGGAGGTTGGTGTTGATTTGTGTGTGTGTGTGTTGCTTACTTGGTTACAGGAAGCAGCCGAAGGCTGTATCCCTCCAAGGCCTACTTATAGCCGTAGGCCCAACGGACCGATCAGGCAGCCACAAACGCTAACGCTCCTTTTCACACAGGGTCACATATAATGTCAGCTGACTATCCAACAGCCCAGGGGAGATAGCTCAATCGGCAGAGCACCTTGACCTTATCCCATTGATTCATTAGGTCAAGAGAGATCCGTGGTTCGAGACCCGGTCTTTCCATCAGTCTCCATCCCTTTTTGCCGCCTCAGTGACAAGCCCCACCTCATTACATATATTAAAAAACCACCGGCACAGGAGGGGACAAGCAGACATAGAGCATAGCAATACAGACATTTCATCGAGTCCAGGGGGGATAGCTCAATCGGTAGAGCCCTTGCCCGCGCGCTGAAGCGCACAGTTCAGAGTTATGGGCAGGGAGATCCGTGGTTCGAGACCCGGTCCCTCCAGTTGTTTTTTTTTATGCTTTTTTATGCTGGTTCTGTTTCCTTTTTGGACGCTTTGCTTTTCTCAGAGGACGGACTTGGATTTGTAAATGCTGTGGTATATGGATGGACACAAATGTGTATCATTGAGTCATCTCTCCTCCAGAGGACCGGCGCAACTTGCCATGCTCCTCAATGACTGACTTGGACGTGTATTCGCATAGCTTCGAATCTCTTCGCTGAAGGAGGCTACGATAATTTCGTAGTACACATCGGGTTGTAGGCTCTTCTTATGGGTGGCGTCAGCTCGATTGTGAGTTTGCTACTTTGCTCGCCGGCTGCCTTCTCAAAACCGTTAGAAGTCGGCGCCAGAAGCAGCAGCTCTGTGTCTGTTTCATTCCCATAAACTACTGAGGAAGGGATGGGAAGCACAAACACGATGGCTGTCGAGGAACTGATCAGAAATACTCTTCACAGGAGTGGAGGTCATGGAGCTGGTTGATCAGGAGTAAAGACTTTACAAGACTGAGTACAGGATAGGAGCTCAAGAAATAGTTCGTGGATACCAACCATCCTTTCCAGGTCGCCATGCCATTCCGATCGCTCATCGGTACAAATCCAAAAATGCTCTGTTTCCAGCAACCCCGAGGAGGAGGGTGCTAATGCCAGTTCGATAGCACTCGTAGAGGTAGGAGTGTCCAACAGAAATGACAATACCCCGAAAGTTCAGTTACATTGAAGAGATATCACCTAATCCATTTGATCATCAGACAAGACTTTTGAGGGCCAAGATCGACATCATGGCTCCTCACTACCCATCCTGCTAACCACCCGACTCTGCACCCTCGACGCGACCCGACTGGGCATTCCCGCAAGACCACTGCCCAGGTCTCGCAACAGATTTCCCAGACTTTCGACCAGCGGTGGCAGTGGTTCTGTTCGAACGGGGTAGTTCTCTCTAAACAAGTTTCTTGCGATAGAAAGTATCTTGCTCGGGTCCGACAGCGGCTCCACCGCCCCTTGAGAGGTCTTCAAAGCGGGCACACCGCGGTCAAATTGCAGGAACGCCTTGGTGTCTCTGGTCTCCTCCTCGTCAAGTAGGACGTATTTGGTAGACCCGCCGCCCGGAACCGAGGATGCTCTTCTGTTGCCTGTGTTCGCTTGCTGCCCTTCTCCTGGTTGCAGGTAGCCTGTGTCCAAGTCATCTCCACCTTGAGGAGCTGGTGAACAGAACAGCCCATACGTCCAGAGTGTCATGCTTGCAAGGTAGACGGCAATCGCATTGAAACCCCTCAGACTTGCTGGAGGTAGCCTCTTCGCATTGGCAAAGACTTGACCCGCATGCCAAATTGCATATCGAGCATCTGAGGTATTGGCCCAGTTCTCTTCCAAGGAAGCTCCAGCGCGACGTGACTCCTCTTCTCCCAACTTTCCGGCGAACCTCTGTATCTCGTCCGGTGACACGTGCATGATCATTAAAAATAATTCAACAACGATGGCAAGAAGGGTACTGTGGTTGCGAGGGGTATTTGACGTATGTATGATCGATGAGAAGCCACAGAGATCCTGGTATAGTTCCTGGTGCTGAGACTTTAGCCACAGGCGATTTGTACCTCCCCTATTTGCTGTTGCAAAGAAACGGACACCCTCGCGATAAGCCCAGACCTGACCCCAGTAGCCATTGAGAACGGCGCTGTAGCACAGGTCAATGTCGATAAATTCTTCGAGCTCATCTAGGACATCGACACAATGAAGCACCTCGGAAACACGCGGGAGCGGCCTGGGCATGGTCGTCTTGGAATGATGGACCTGGCGCCACGCCTCTGCCGTCGGAGCGCACCAGAGATCACGAGACGCGGGGAGGCTAAATGCAAGTTCGCTAAATGAGACCAAAGGATTCCTTTGGAGAGAGATAGATGTCTGGACATCGTGGGAAAATAGGTGGAGTATGAGTCTGAGAGCGGTCAGTTTGCGCAATTTGACCGAGAGCGTAGGCTGAGAATTACCTCTTGTAAGATTCGCGTGATATGAACTTCTTCCACTTCGTCTCAAGAGCTTCTGGAGAGTCGGAATCTAGCGGAACTAGGGCGGGAGAGTCTGCCGGGGCGGAGAAAGCACCAGCTCGTCGGAGCATCTGGACCTTGTTAGTTTGGGCGTCGATAACTCCATTCCGGAGGGCCACTTACGGTAAGGAGAGGCTGCAAGAAGCTCTCTGCTATCTCCATTTTCCGTTTGAACCCACTCCATATCCCCACATCCAGAGTGAGCATAAACGTTTGCAGCGCGCTCAGATTCCGAGTGTGGATATTGAGCTTCTCGAACTGCGTTCTTGGATTAGTATTTCTGCTCTTGTATACGTTTCCATGACTGTACAGGCTTACCAGATCTGAGACACCTAACCGCACGACCTCATGCATTGCAAGTCCAAATTGCCAAATGGCTGGCACGGAGATGAAACTGGCGCCGCTCGAAATGATAGCTGCCAATAGCTCCGGAAGCGCGTTCTCAGGGTTGAAGGAAGGAGGATGTATCCAGCTGTCAAACTGGTGCTCATCCTGGACGAAATGTGCTTGCATAAGGTAGTTGAGCAGATCCAGAGTAGGAAAAGAGGGCACTTTTGCCGGGTCCTTGTTCTGGGCCAGGACGATGGAGAATATTCGGTCCCGTTGATGTGCAGTCATCTTCAGCCTCCGCGATGGCCTGTCCATGAGTTTTCCAAAAGCGGGCGATTGCGAGATGGACTGCTCGTCGATATGGAGAGCCTCCTTCTGCTGCTGCACATAGTCTTCCTTCTTGGGGTCCCACAACCATGGCGATCGCTTGAATGCGGAGTGCCCACGCGAGGAGTCTCTGACTGTGTTCCGCGGAGACGGCTTGGTGACCGCGTTGGTACTAGAAGATTGTGGGCTTGGTCCTTGGAGGTCGAATTGTGGAATGGAAAAGGCATCAAAGTTCATATCCCAAGACATTGTGAAGTCCATGTCCTGGAGGAAATTGCTCATTGGATTGAAATAGACCATGTCGTCGGAGATGGGTTCAATCAAGGAAGCGTTTTGGCCGATGACATCGGGCATGAAGGGAGTGGGCTCCATGGCGTCGTGCATTGGTATATGAGCAGGCGGAACATGGTTGTTCATGACTGAACCGACAGTGCCACTGTCAGAGGGCGAGTCGCCTGTTCCAAGAAAGGGGTCAGCGAACATTGTAAATGCGGGATGCACGACAACTGAAATTCGCTGAGGGCTGAGGCGGAGAAGTAATTACAAACCTTCTGTGGAAGTCTTGTACTGATACGAGCGTCTCGTCGAAGCCTGACAGGCGAGCTTCTTGGCGCGGCATCGACCGCAGGGTTTCTGGTCGTCACATTTGGCCTTTGCAGAGGCACAGGCCTCGCAGGCCTGGGCAGCTCGATCGCTGCGTCTTATAAATGACTTTGATTTTCCAGCATCACGATCATGGGTAGCCTCATGTCGAGTTAACAAATCACTGTGGATTCAAGAGGGTCATCAGTCAAGCACTAAATGTAACATCCTGGATTGGTGATCTTGAAACAGCGAGGCAGCAAGCCACGCAGACGCGTTTGAAGACAGATGGAAGAATGGCTTGGGCCTGGGGGCAGTCCTACGCTCGATTGAATCTCTTCGGGCACCTGGTGCATTGGTATGGCCTCGCATTCTCGTGCGACCTGAGATGCCGTGTAAGGTGGTGTGCTCTCTCGTAGACGCGCTTGCAAATGTGGCAGATATGGTTGGAGGAGGAGGTGGAGGAGCCGGGAGGCGGAGATGTGTCGGACCGCTTTACTTTCTTCTGCGGCGGATGGTGCTGAGGCTGATTTTGACTCTGCGCCTCAGCTGAGAAGATGGATGACAGCAACAGATCAGAGCCTGCGGCGTCACACAGGATGTCGATGCCATTCTGCTTCGTCATGGTCGGTCGCACAGGCGTGGGCGCGCGGTGTTGCTAAAGTCAACGAGGACAGGAAGCTCAAAGTTCCGGGTGGAGGAGGGGGGACCGGCAAGTGGATGGATAATGAAGCTGGTACTCTGGTGCTGCTCAAGAGCAATTGGAACTGGCTGATTCGTGTCGATCCAGGGGTCCTTTCGCCCTAGTCCGGAGCCTCTGGGGACGCCAACAGCACATTCCCCAAGCTGCCCTGCGTTTCAAGCGCAAAGATTCCGTCCCAATAATGGTACAGCTGCACGTGCCAGCCTAAGAAAACGGGCTCTACTGTAATGCAACATGCGCCCTCTGCCTTCGTGCTTGTACATATGGAAGGGTGGTCCCTTAACCTTCTCCGAGAAGTCCAAGACGTTCACGATGCCCGGCAATGAATGCCTTCTTGGGCATCTCCTCTCAACCCCAAGACCCCATGTCTTAGCCACCGAATCTGCAACGTCGGTCTAAGGTGCTTTTGCTAGAGAAGAGGTCCGTGCAGCAGCCCAAGAAAAAGCATCAGGGCGGAATCTGTTGCTCGAGAACACAGCAGCCAGCCATCTCGGCCGGTTCTGCTATGCAATAAGTGCCTAGTGCGCCGGGTAGCCCCACCCCCGCAACGACCCAAGCAGCCTGCGGAAACTTTATCGGCCCCGGACACCGAGCCATGGGGATTTAGTTAGAGAAAGGTCGAATTCCACGGCTGATTCCGTCATCCAAATTATTTTCCCGCATGACTGGACCTGGCTTCCTGTGATATATAACCCTGGGTTGGGGAGGTCTTCGCTGGCCGCTTGGTCTTGACTGGGAATTGGGTTGAACCAACTCGTCAAAATTGATGTGACGACTTCGCCGAAAACCCACCCGAGCATGTCGGACTGATACCACTTTAGTCAAAGCAGATGGGTCCATAATCCGGACCGCAGCCTTGTCTTGGTGTGACATACGCACGATGTGGGGTTAAACGCTCAGAAGAAGTCGGACAAGTCGGCATGACGTTCCTGTGGTAGTCTATGTGCTGAGGATATTACAGCTCTATTTTCTTCGTCGCGGCAAAATGCTGAGTGGAAACAAATATGCTCGAATTCGGTTGGTCTTTCAGAACGTGCCTGGGATACCAGAAGCCACCAAGAAATGCGGATGTATGCTATGTAAAGGGACGAGCCACAAACGCGCTGCGCGATGCACTCCATATATGAGATATGCGATGAAACCACGACGCGGAGACTGGCTGAATGTTGCCAGAACGCGGTCGATAGTTGAACCCAGACGAACGCCGGAGCCGCGAGAGGCGATCCTCTCTTGCTTGCATTCAACCCTGCAAGTGCCGATGTGATGATGCAGACAACGCCCACCCACAAAGTCGTCCCAGTAGACAGCCGTGACAATTAGAGTGAATAATGACTGGTGGCAGTCCTCACTTTCGGTACAGCTCCCTCAACCGCCCCATCTTCCGCCTCACGCCCAGCCCGGAGCCCCTCTCCCCGCCATCCGCCGACGGCCCGTCGCCATCGCTGATCTCCAGCGACATGCTCGGCCGCGCAGACCCGGCAGGGTGCTCCTTCTGCAACTTCCTGATCTCCCGCCTCTCGCCCGTCCACGTCCCCGACCGCCTCACGTCGACCAGAGAGTTGCTCGTCAGCCACGACGAGGGACCGCCGGACAGGGTGTATGATTTTGCCCTCTTGTGGTTTAACTGTCCCTGCTGGTGATCAGCGCTGACTTGGCGGGTCCGGGTTGACTTTGATCGTGTGATTCCCGGAGTTGTTTGCAGCTGAGACTCGAACTGTTGCTGTTGATGCTCCTGTTGTTGGTGGTGTGAGTTCTCGTGGTGTGATGTTGAGGACTCCGGGATCACGACGGTCCTGTTGTCGAAGTGGGGGTATTGATTCCGACGACGATGCAGCTTGTTGGGTCCCGGTGGCGGTAGTCTCTTCGTGTGGTCCTGAATGAGAGGGCGGGAGAGCAGCGAGTCTACGTGGGAGGTGCGAGAGTGCAGGGAGCGTATTGAGACCATGTCCGGGTCCGGATAGCGGGACGACCGGAGCGACTCGGCGTCCGCATCGGCGAACGGGTCTCCAAGCAAGGAGTCGAAATGTGAGGCGGGATCGTCCAAGTCCGTGGCCATATGTGCTCCCCCAATGGCCTGCGAGGGCCGCGTCGCAAAGAACGGTGACATTATGAGTAGCCTCTCCGGATCGTGAGAAAATCCAGATGTCCTTTGAAGAGAACTCGAGTTAGGAATCTCGACGTGCCCGCTTCCCACTCTCGAATGTCACACAATGAAGCGCCACTTGGTCTCAGTTTCCTTCGAACCCGTCCAGCCGGACTCCCACGCAATACTTTGACGCCTGCAGAGCAACGAGAAATGCAAGACTTGAGAAGAAGGCAGTGCAACTGGGAAAGGCGGTATCAGTCCCTCCAGGGGCTGTCGGAGGCTGTCTGGTTGTCGCGCCACGAAGACCTGCTACTGGCTCGATTGCGAGAAGGCCGAAAGGAGGAAATGGCCGTGGAAAGCTGCAGTCATGCGAGTAAAGTAACCCAGGGTGAACTGGAAATAGAAACGAGGAAAACGCAAGAATGCAGAGACAAGTGCAAGTGAGGTCAAGCAAAGATTTGTACACGTACAGGAATCATGCGGGTCGGGGTTGGGCTGGCCGCCTGGCGCCTTGAGGCTTTGAGGCTTTGGCAGCGATGCTGGGCGCAACCCTGCTTCCTTGCCCGCCGTGGTTGCCACCGACCAGCGACCAACCCTGCTTCTCCGCAGCTCCTCATCAGCCTCCCCAGCCAGGCCAGCCCGAATCGGCAACCACTGAATGGCTCGGCTGTCCTTGCCCAGCCTGTCACGCCTGCCGTGGCCTGCCAGTAGGCGGTCACTGGCCCAGTAGGCCCAGGTGCCTTATCGTCGCCTGCTGATCGGCGCCACTAAACTGGCCCTAACACCACAGGACCACCTGGAAGCAGTAGAGACTCGTCAATTGTGGCAAGCAACAATTGCCAGAAAGGGGCTGTGAGCTGGTCATCGATGTGTGTCCGAGACGAGACGGTACATTGTTTCTCTTTTCTTCTTGTTTGCCAAGGACAACAACAAGCAACAAGGTATTGTAATGGTCACGGACAATAGGCTTCAAAGTTGCAACAAGACGTAGCCCTCCCTCAATTGCACTCTGACCTCGCTCGTAGCGCAGACCCCTTACACCGAACCCAACAAGTCCAAAACCATACGTCAAACCAAGCAGCACGCGCTCACCGCTAACTGGAAGTGCTATCCACCCATGTAAGCGCGCATAAGCAAGTGACACCAGCGTAACCTGACTTAAAAATGACCTGAGCGACACAAGATAACTCAGCTACACAGATGTTTCTAAGTGATAAAGATACCCGTTGGATGTCACTCCCCTTCCGCTGTGGAGGACCCTGGGTGCGTGCATAGGCGCAAATGCAAAGCCCAACGGGCAAACGAGGGCCAATCGACGGGGCCGTCGCTTCTCAGTACCACGGTTGGCGCTTCCCCCGGATCTGAAAAACCTACGACGCAGATCATGAGATGGGCCCGTGGGCGGAGCTCCATATTGATTCGGTATGGCATCTCGCAGCTTTTCTTTTTTGTCGCCGCGGATCAAAGCTGTACCAACATAGACTTGACCACAACAGTCTACCAAGAAAGGTAATTGCCATTCAAGTTGACTGCAATCTCGACACGCGGATGCCAAGGCCAGTTACGAAAAATGATTCTTGTGTTCCATTTTCAGAACCCACGATGTATTGTGACCTGGCTACTCTAGCGGTCACATCAAATTTCACTCAAAACAAACTTCAATGTTTTCATCTGCAACAGATCATCGCATTCATGCTATCAAGCTGCTCAGGGTCGAGTATGCCAGTACAAAAACTACGGCCCAAGTCGACCAGCGTTGCATTCATTGCTGCACCTGCATCCGCGCCGCTGCCAGGCCTTCCAATGATGCATCACGAAATTCCACCATAGACCAGAAACTCAATCAGAAACGTTGACCAACTCGTCGGGTATAATGTCTGTATGTTATCTCCCAGCAAACAAAAAGAGGCAAGAAGGAACAAAGAGGGTACCACCGGCCATAGAAAACATTGGACAAGATGAGCCCGGAATAAGAAACAATTCCCACGTCTTGGGAAAGACTCCACCATGGCCCCCTTCGGCCTTGGCCTTCGCTGTAGTATTTCAACCCGTGGACCTGTCATAATTTGCGACCGTTACCAGGGCCCCGCTGGCCCAGAAAACTCCGTTGAAGACTGAGGTGCTTCTCGTGCAGGACATAAGATGAAAAGAGACAAAGAAAAGTTGATTCGGCAAGGAAGGTCCGAAAGGAAAGTGCATATTTCATGACGTAGAGTCGCCTGCGATGTGTAAGTCCATGTGGCTGGCGCGAGGTGATCAACCATGCTCGTGTGAATCGAGGACCGATTGCCCCAACTCGAAAAGCACGCCTCGCATAAATGATGCTGTAAAACGCCGAATCGATGCAAGTATATGCAATCCTCGATACAAAACCAGAATATAATATGAGGGATCGATAATTGATGGTGCAAGCGGCACCCTAGCCCCAGATGGGCGCATTTCTGTATGCCGGTGAATTGTAGCTGTGCAGAATCCTGTAAGGCGGGTTATCCATGGGATGTTGTGGTCCGCTACCCGTGCTCATATTTCGACGATGCACGGAAGGAGGCTTCGACCATCCATGAGACATGCTGGGTCCCATGCTTTGATGAGCCCCTGGCGGCCTGTTCCGCCTGAACCCGTCGATGCTCGACTGACGCCTCAAAACAGGGTTGTTCATGTATGCTTGGGCACCAGGTACATCAGTTGGGGTCGAGGAGGAATTGTGGCGCCGAGAGTCAAGGGATGGGTCGTGTGAGCCAAGAGAGTTCTGACGAGTGTTGGGATTCCAGTCAGCGGTACGGTATTGAAGGGTACCCGGAATCGACACAACTCGCCGAACGCTGTCCAGAGAGCGCTGAGTGTTCAAAGATGGAGTTCGAGGCGTAGGAGACGGGCCGCTTGCAGGGTCGCGCCCGGCCTCGTGTCTCTTTTCGTGGAGGCCATCTGAGTTTTGAGGGCGATGTACCGAGCGTGGAGGGGGCGGAGGGGCCTTGCGCAGTGAGCGCGTTGTCATGCTGACCGGAGGTGGACTTTTCACCTTCCTCGACGGCGAGCTCGCCCTTGAAGTCGGGCTCGAGGGAGATAGAAGTCGGGGTGAGGGAGCTGAGCCGCTTAATGGCATGGTGCTCAGGCTGTAAGTTCTCAGTGGCTGGCGCGATTCCCGAGAGGAGGTCATGGTCATGGATCTTCCCGGCGATTTCCTCTGCTGAGTTTGAGGATCAGTCGCTGCCTGAGTAGCAATATAAGGATTGCTGCCCAAGCTTGTGCTTGCCGAGATGTGACTGATGAAATCACCCTCCCTAGCAACCGATTTCTTAACTGCGGTTTCATGCACAGTTTGTGGGTGTGAGACCTCCTTGCGCGTTGTTGGCACTGCTTTTGATACACTCGGCTTTTTGTTTGGTATCATGGAAGCCGCGGCTTGCTTGAAGTTGGACTGCATAGAGGTAATTGTTTGCCTGATGGAATGTTCCTTTGCATCTCCAGAGGCAGTGTCCTCATCCTCACCGAGACCGTCGTCGGTGTCATCAAAGAAAGTTGGAGTAGGAGGAAGCTCATCCTCCTTGGCAATTTCGAGGCTTCCAACACTAAGGATCGTTTTCAGCGTTTCTTGACTCAGCTGAGACTTCAACGCAAGCCGCTTTGCAGACATCGGAAAGCGGCCCGTGTGTTCGTGCAATTTCTCCTCGACATCTTTAGGGATCGATGGGACCTGATCGTTCACCGCGTGAGTCACATGCACTGTCAATGGTGCTTTTGAATGAGCTGAGCCCCTCAGACTCAGAAATCTATGCAACCGTCCATGCTTTTGTGAAGTGCTCGCGATGCTTAGCGAGGATGCCGACTCAGATGCATCAGATTTGGCACTTGCCGGGGTCGGCGGAACAGACTCGGTCTTCTTGAGGTTTCGAGTATCTACCCGACTAGTGTTGATGGCCGGAAGCTGCTGTCGAATTCGCTTCTTTCCCGGACTCTGTGGTTTGGCGTGAACATCCTCCACCACGGTGGGTTTCGCCTGCATCATGAAGGCGTCATCTTTGGGGGGTGGCGTTGGAGGCCTTTCGTCGCCAGAACCACCCTCATTGACGGCCGGGCTTGTGCGCTCGACCACCTGCAGTGGTTCTTGACCTTGAACCTTGGATGCCTCTCTTGCGCGTTCCGTCGAGCTTCGCACTGCATCCCTCTCGACAATTACAGGTTTCCTCCCACTCCGGAATGAGCGCAAGGAGACGCTAGAGCTATATCCAGAATCGGCCTTGGCCAGAGAGCTGTGAGAAGTCGAAGAAACCGACACTGCGTTGGATACAAAACCACTGTCAGACCTTTCAATCACTGGCTCGCCAGGCTTCGACGCATCATCTGGACACTGTGACGGCACGCGTCTTGCGTTCGGGTCGACTCTGACGTCCAGCACCTCAACAGTAGAGAGTTCGGTCTCACTCTCGTCTTCCGCTTCAAACAGTTGATCCTCGGCCGCGGGCTTAGACTGCGTTTTCAGGACTGGGCTAGCTGGGCTTTTGGGCTCGGGCTCGGCCGGACTGGAAAGAAGCCCCAACGGAGAAATGATTTCGATTTTACCGCTCGGAACGGTCACCGAGAGCGTCGGCGCATTGTGCTCGGTGCGGACTGTAGGAGCTGGCTTCGCTGAACGGCTACTGCTCTCATCCAGTTTCTCGGCGGTCGCAAATTGTACGAAAGGCTGCGTATGGCGCGGTTTCGAATCGCTGATCACCTTCTCCTCGCGTAGTGGCAGCTTTGTAAAATAGCCGAGGGAGGCCCCAGGGAGCTCAAAGTGATCGATCTTATCTCCTAAGGGTCCTGAGACATCAGGGGTCAAGTCGGGACTGCCATTAATGATGCGTAACGTTCCAAACTTGAACCCCCCGGTCGTACTATAGTCGCCTTCTGTAGGCGTGACTACACGAGGAATATCTTGCGTGGCACGGAATGAGGCAGGGATGGGAGGAAGTGGCGGAAGAGACACAACACGACAGTCTGCCCCGTCGAAGGACGCCTGTCTTGATATACTAGGAGTTGCCGGGAGGCTGTGTCTATGACTAGTCCTGGTGGAAACAAGACCCGGGCGGACACTACGTGTGGCAACACCAGGAGTCTGAACTATGGAGCGTCGGCGCATAGGTGGGTGCAAAGACATTTCGGAATTAGACCGGCTTATTGCGGCGCTCGTTGGCTGTACGGGCAGCGAGTCTCGTCGCCAAGCTGGCCTCCTTATGCCGTCGGGCTTTGGCTCATGAAGTGAAGTCGACGTATTGTTCCGAGGTAGACCAGGCATTTGCTCTGGCACGAGACTCAATATCCGCTGGGCTTCGTAAGACGAGAGGTCGTACGCCCATGAAGCGCGCAATCCGGCGGATGGGCAACTGCAGACTGTCAGCAAAACGTGGACTTTCGCAGGAGAATAAGCGAGTTACCTGTCAGGGCTAGCGAGGCCACCGTACACGTTCGGCTCGGCCCCGAGGGTATTGGTGTTCACAGAGTTGGCTCTTGAAATCGCGGGTGGCTCTGACGGCAGAGTTGGTGACCCAATGACAGTATTCCGTCTGGACCTGCGGCGCTCTGAGGACTCCTGGGAGGATTTGGACCGGAATAGGCTGAGGCGTCTCTGAGGCTTGGGCGGGGAGAGGAAGGAATTCCGCTTCTCGCTGTCATTGAACTCGTCTCTGTTGATGTCAATGGACAGCGTAGAAGTGGCAGTCGTCGAGTATGGGATGCTGAACAGGTCAGGGCCTGGATCCGAGGAGCGGTTGGATGTGTTCAACTGGCCATTGGGGCTCAATAGGGGAGGAGTGCCTTGGTGGCTGGCTACTCTGGGTTTAGATAATCTGTGGAACGAACGGCCTTGCGGCTCTTTTGAGGGTGCGTTCCCCATGTTGGCCGGCGGCAGGAGGTTTTCGAACCCGCGAGGCCGGACTGGATGGGTGCAGCGGTCATGCGATGGATGAGACCGCCATGCCGTCAGTCAAGCGCGAGAACGGAAGATGGGACGACTGGACGGTGACGCAAGGCTGTCGTCGATGGCCCCAGGCAGATAGGCGAGGGGGGAAAGGATGTGCGTGGGAGGGAAGGGTGAATGAGGATGAGCACCCAGGGATCTTCGGTGACAGAGGCGGGATAGGCTGAATAGACTAGACGAGAACCAAGTGGATCAACGGCGCAGGCGGACGGGCTGAGTGTGGGCTGAGTGGTCCGGTCTTGTCTGGTCTGGAGTCTGGAGGTTGGAGTTTGGGAAGAAGTGATCTAGTCGACAGAGGTGCAGCAGTGAACTGCAGGTCTGGGCAGAAAACCAGTTCTCAACGCCAGCTTTTCTGGGTCAAGCCAATTGAGTTATAAATTAATTAATGAAGCAATGGCGGCTCCGGGGGGTGGCTCCGTGCTAGTTTCGATCGGGATCTCAACCGGGACAGGCCTTGAACCGGATTTCCGACGACTTGGCTGGGCTTGACGTGACCTGACTTGGGACTTGGACTTGGTCTTGGTCTCGGACGTGGTCCTGTTGTACTTGTGGCCGAGGCTTGAGTGCTTTGAGCAGTTCGATCCGCTGGTGTCAAAGGCTGTGGCTGGCGGTAGACAGCGGCAGCCAACCAACTAGTTAAGAAAAGTGAAGAGGGGGCAGGAGGGGTGTTGCAGAATCCTGCTGCAAAACAAGGAAGGCGGGCTATGTATGGTATAATAAGGCGGCACCTATAGTTCTGTGCTGTGCTGTATTGTGTGCTGGAGACAGATTCGCAAGGGGCAGAATGGACCAGGTACAGTAACACGATATGGTTGGTGGCAGAGAGTCAGTCGAAACATCGGCCAGCCAGTTAGTCAGTCAGTCAGAGAGAGAGAGACTGGGAGACTGGAAGACTGGGAAACCTGGAGACCGGGAGACTGGGAGGAAGGGGTGTTTGTGGATTAATGCAAAATGCAAAGAGAACGGACGGAGGGACGGCCAGACTGACAGAACAGACTGACTGACTGACTGACGAAACAGAAAGACAGAACAGACACAGGCAGACTGACAGATGGACCATGGACCAGTCCAGACAAATGAGGTGAGGTGTCAAGGCCCCCGCTCGCTTCTTCGCTGGGCCTCTGTCTAGGCCTGCAGCAAGGCAGTGGCAGAGTGGGCAGCTGCGGAAGTAGTGGTCAGGAGGCGCTGGCATTCGTGCAGGTGCATGTTGCAGGCACAGGCACGATATTGTTGCTGCAGCATGTTGGATGTCCTGCTGCCCCCGTTGTCTCTGGCTGCTGGATCTCTATGGCCCCGATGCCCTGGGAAGTCCTGTGCGTGCTCCACCATCGGCGCATTTTAGAAACAGGGAAAGGAAGTTGCAGGAATCCATGGGTTCTTGGGGGAGGAGGTGGGAGAGCCAAGTGCGGGCATGGGCCCCCTGTCCACACCTGAGGCTGCGAAGCAGGCAGGCCCCACCCCTGCTCAGCTCCTGCCCTCCTGCCCTCCTGCTCTCCTGCTCCCAGTCTGCAGCCAGTATGGGGCACCTACTGTATGCAATGTACGTACCATCGCCACTACTACTCTTTTGTGAGGGAAGGATCTCTCTTGCCCCCACATTACAATGTGTCTGATATCTGATATTTGGTAATCAAACAGTATCTGGGCACCGTAAATGAGGCCATCTCGGCCGTCAACTAGACAAACTGTGTTCAGCTGGGCCGAGTCTGGTCGCTTCTCGATAGGGTGGCCCCGCTGTCAGATCAGAATATCCCAGTCAGCCATGGCAATTTCCATCCTGAATCCCCATCCAGACAGCCAGACTTGCCATGGGCAGCACACAATACCATTGTTCTTGTGTAGAAAATCCGGTTTTCTTGCGACGGTCCAGACCACACTCATACTACCGCGTAAGACAGTACCTAGGTAGTCTAAATCCAAATACTACTACGTGATACCAACGGCTGGCCCTCAACACATCACATGGAGTCGCCAACACGCCGGTCGCTACCACTCTTCGCTTCCGCGTCCTAGCACCTGATTGGCAGCTAATCTCCGCCTTGAGACTCCTGCAACAGCCGTTGTGTTGTTTGCCCGGGCTGCCAGTGCGAAGCCCTGCGCCTCCGCAGTACGCTTTCTCTAGGCGATGCCACTATCCCCGCCCGGCTGGTTCTGTACCCCAGCCAGCCAAGGCTGCTTACTACATACTGACTGTGTCACTGTCTAGTCTAGATGCTGTCCATCCGTACGGGTAGACAGAGGTGTTTAAGTTCTATCCTATATCACGTCCACCCTATATCTCGATCCCGGGATACAAAACGCCCGAATCCCACCATGGAACCCAGCATGGCGCCTCGCGCCGTCTTACAACGGACGGCCTTTCCCGACACTGTGTAGCTTGCAGCTAGCAGCTAGCAGCTTGCTGCACACAACGACGTACCATACACACACAGCTCCCAGCTCTCAGCTTCAAGCTCCAAGCTCCAAGCTCCACGCACTCAGCTCCTCGTGATCATGCACGCAGCTGTGAGTATTACGCGTCTGGGCGGCGCAGTTGACCATGCATCTCGAGGAGCTACGGCATGGCGCTGCATGCAGCCAGCGTGGCCTACTGTACGATCATCGTCCAGCTGTGCTGCTACTACTGTACATTCTCGTCCACTGGTTGGCGTTGCCGTTTCAAGACGCATCTGTTTCAGCCAACTCCTGCCCTCCCGCACTTTAGGTTGGCTCGCAGAAGACGATATGCAATGACGATCCAACAGCTCCCCGGCACGACTGCTCGCCGTGCGTTTCTGTTTCTCCATCAATACTACAGTACAACATCCGACCGCTTCCGTGCCTCTTCGATAGCCCTGTATCGATGTCGTTACATTGCGTCTTCTCTTGGCAGTGTCAAGCGGTTCGTCCGAGACCATCAGGAGCACTAGTCTTGTCTTTGTCATAGTCTCAAAGCTTCCAACCTGAACTGAGAGCGGCTCTTGTCCAAACCAAATCAGACCAGGATCGCGAGTGCATGCATGTATGCCATGGCTGTCCTGCTTGAGATCCCCACGCAACGAAGCCAGACCGCCCCGAGTTAGCCAGTCAGGGTGCCGGCGATATTTGGCAAAAGCACCTGCAACAAATCGCCGTTTCCAGCCAAGCTTGCAGCCTTGCAAGGTTAGGGGTCGCATCGAGATTGCAAGACCCGGCGGTGTTTAGAGTGCGCCCCTCTCGGCATCTTCGTGGCAGCCGGACCGCACCACTTGGCCGCCCAATCACTCTTCGTCGTTCAACCTCACTTCACCTTCTCGAACCAAGCTCAGCTGTCAAGTTCATCCTCGAGGACGTCATGGTTTGGGCCGTCTATTCAAAGAAGTGGGCTCTTTCTTCAGACGACGGTCATTAAACTAACGGAAACCTGTGCACTCCCAAGAGTTGAATCTCGATCTCAATTTCTCAGCCAGAACGGACTGTGTGATTGTCAGGATACCCCGATAATTAACTCATTGCTCTCACCGATCCTGGGCGCACATCATTCTCCCGGTCAGCTTTCTCCGCCTTCAACATGCCATGCACCCCACTTTGAAATGTTCCAATGTCAGTCAGGGGGCAGGGGCTCGGAAGTGGGCTGCGCGTGGGAGGCTGCGACCGAAGCTGCTGCGTTGTACATCATGTGAAAACGCCAGGACGCCTTCACAGAGTGACAGAGTACAAGCCATCGACGGTGCTGCAGAAAGATTACTGTGGTCCAGTGTCTAAATCGCTAGGTGCAGCAATCCCATGCAGCGAGAATCAGTAACGAACCCACCGCACCAGCACGGAAAGCGGCGTACGAGCTTCGCAATCATCCAGCCCACGGGCTTCATTTACATGATCATTGGACACCTCTCTGCAGTCTTCAACGCGGCCCGGCTGCAGGCTGAAGCCCTTCCCGTGCGGTGTGGGCCCTCCCGCTTATTACTGTCTCTTCGGAGCTCCGCTCTGATCCGCCGAAGCGCGGCACACCTCGAATATGCAGTGGCAACAGCGTCGACTATATGAGTTGTACAATCAACAGCTGTCTTGGTGCTATGCGAGGATCAGGCGTTTTGGCGTTCTCTTCTGCTAAGCACGCGAGAGCCAACGCAGACTCTTGAATGCGGCCCAAGTGGGCGGCCAAGCCGGGGCCGCGAGCTGCAGCTGCAGCTGCAGGGAGGCGCCTAGAGTAGGCCTCTCGCCCGCTATCCGAGCGCCAATGTCGATCTCGACCATCTCACAAGGACCGACCCGTCTTATCGATGCTCGTCGCACAACGTCCGCGTCTCCTGCCGTCCTCCCACCTTCAGGGAGGGCACGCGTAATGCCTACACAAGCTTACCTCATCGCTCCGCATATTTCCCATCAATATCTTGCAATGGGGGGCATTCGTAAAGAGGACAAACTTCGAAGCTGACTCATTCGGACTCCGGGAACTTGGTCTTCGGCATCTGGACCGGCGCATGCTGTAAATGTGACGGCATCTGGACGAAACGCAGGTCAGCATCTCAAAGTGCGCGGGCAGACATCTGCGCGCCCGGTGAAGCTCTTACGAGCAAAGCCTCAACAGGTTCACCACATGATTCACGCACATCCATGGATCCCATCGGCCTGCAGGCGAGCCCAGCTTCTGCGGCCCAAGATGTCGTCCAACCTCAGCTGAAGACTACTGCATCGGCATTACCAGACGGGTAGCCCAGCCTGCCTAGCAAAACTCAATCGGTGCCCACCGCATATACCACTGTCCACTAAGGACACCAGGTCTTGCTATTGGTCTCTCCTTCCATTCACATCCAAGAGGTGCAGCTAAAGAGTTTGCAGGTGATCCCCACATTTGCAGAGGCTTCACAACTATCCCCCGACCCCTCTTGCCAGCAAGCGTTCAGATAAACAAGCCTTCGTGGCGACCTCCAGCAAACAGGTGGCTGGTTCGGCCGGGCATCTTTTGGACCAGGACCAGCAGCGGAGAGCGATGATGAGGCTATCGCTGCGAGGCCTTGAACCACCACGACACCTCGACAAGCTTTGCGATCAGCGGGCTTGGCGGCTTCTGGAAGCAGGAGTCGACTGGCCCGAACATGGGCCGGTACTGATGAGACGACGCAAGCTTCCGACGGTAGAGTTATGCCACTGAAAGCCGATTCAGGGTGCGCTGTGCATTGGAGGCCGCGAATTATCCGACTATGACTTTGCCACCTCATGAGTCGTTCACAAAGCAATAAAGAAAGCGGTGAGTATCTCCCAGAGGCGTTTCGTCCATTTCGCAATGCCAGGAAGATGCTGTATTCACCGTCGAAACTCTGCCTGGGTCTCTTTCTGAGTCTCCTCAGTCCATCTTGAATTTTAGTTTCGCTTGCGTTTCGGACGCTGTTGGTGCACGTGGGACGTCGGGGACGCCGCACACAAGAACCTCGCAAGGCTCCCGGGCCGACCCTGAGAGCTTGCCGCACGCAGAATTCGAAACATTTTGACGACTGCGCGTCTATAAACTCCACTTGTCGTCCATCGCCTGCAACGTCTGCGGTCCCCCGTGGTGCGATACAGACTTTGGGCGGGTGGCGCGTGGCGGCCTGAACGGCGGGGACCGAGCAAACCCCCTCAGCTGTATATTGCGACCCCGAATCACGAGCATTAGTGGGGCGAGGGCTTTGAAACGCGATAGGGTCCTCATGGTTTATTCTCCGGTGGAAGCTGAGCGTTTGCTGCCAGATGGCCGGTGCCGAGATCTGACCGTCCGGGCACGCCGGGTGCTGAGCCGGGTACTCGGAGGCAGGTCGCAAAGCTGCGGACAAACTCACTTAGATTGTCTTGCAGGTCTGCATGCCATACTGATTCTCCGTCGCCTCCGCACGCGTGTCGCAGTGCATGTCTTGCCACCTGAAGCAGCCAAAATGTGGTCACATTCAAACGCACGTACGTGGAATCAAATCGCGAGCGGTGACACGCTGCCTCCAAAATGCCACATGCTGCCACAGACTGCGGTGGGCCCAGGACCCAATCGCGCTGTCGCTTAGATTTGGACATCGGCCGTAGAGATTGTAATCCCCACTGGAGCCGCAAGATTGACTCTACCCCGGAAAGTTCGAAACACAATCTGTGGAGGCTGTGATAACCCAAATTTACACTCTGGGGGACAAGTTTGAATCTCATCTTATCGCGCTTCGGAGACTTTGTCAAGCAAATAGTTGCCTATAACCAACAATATTAGCGAAGATGAAGAAGACGGGTCTCTTTCTATGGTTTGGGACCCCTTCATATCTACAAATAGGACAAGTTCAGAGCTGGCAGAAGTTTCAATTTGAGTACATCTAAGCGAGACCCATCCGTCATGTGAAGAAAAATGAGTCTCAGGCGGGAAGCTCGCTTCCCGCGGTGGATTATGGGCGCATTTTGCAACCACGTGGAAATTATTCTGCCGACAATCGGAGTTCAGCAAATATTAGTCGCGGCGAATAATTGTAATGATTAATTTCTTCTGAATCAGATACAATTGTCTGGACGAAACACATAGTGGAGAGACTCTTCAACCGCTGGAATGTACTTGATGTCATTTGCAATTATTCTAAGTACTGTCCTGGTACGTTCGCTGGAACTCTGCTAGGTAGGGGCTGTATCATCGGCCCATAGTCGTAATAGTTTCACGTTTGATTGAGCAATGTCAGACGACATCATTTTCTTCATCGAGATTGGGGTGCTACTGACTGTGTACAGAATAAACACAGGGGCCGACCGACTTCAGAAACGGCCCATGGATTTGCTGATTCATCTTGAGCTGTCAGCCTAAACAGTGTCATCGAAGAGTTGCATCTCTACTGAGTCGCTTGCAAGCTCGACCGTTGAAAGTGAATCTTGGTCACATGATAATCAGCACGTAACGACTAGTCTACCTAGGTATGGTAACATCGCAGCGCACTGATTATAGCTTGTTGTCGCTTACGAATAAGAAGAAGAACGAGAACGAGAACGAGCCTAGACAAAAGCATGCCGGCAAGAAGCCTTTGGGGCGGACTGAGTAATTGAATTGTATTGTAGAGCCTATGTATATGCTTAGCCAAGTAGGGTCTGAGTAGGTCCTCCGACTTGAGTGTAGACAGCCAGACATCGAGTAAGTTATCACTGGTGTAACTCTGCGTATGTAGACTAAGACTAGTTGCATATTACATTTGCCTTACCACGCTTACTACATGCCTATTTTCAACATTTGCCAAACTAGCAAAGTGAGCTAATGTTAGTCTCATCTGCCAGCACGAATCAGACTCATTCGGCCTTCTTCTATTACTATGCATGCTCAGATACGATTGGCTTTACGGCCGTTCATACACTTCACAAAACATTTGTCAACAGCATGAAAGTTGATGTCAACACATATATATCACCTCCACGATGAGACTGAAAGGTGGGAAAACTAACATGAGGCCTTCAAGCGGGCTACAAAGGTATAGATCAGCTTGATCAGCGGTGTTGGAAAACTTTAAAAAGAATTCCCAGTAAGTCGCACAGAAAGTCTACTAAGCCCGTCTCTCAAGTAAGTGCCGTAGGCAGGCCGCTCACATCGGCTGTATGTAGATTAGAAGGGAGGGCTAAAGCAGTAGGATCCACACTACTTTGGGCAAGCTGAAAGTTGATCCCACAGCTGTGGGTTTGTCCTCGAAATCAAATAAAACGTGCGTACAGTGACTTCTCTAGCTGCCCACCAGCATAGTTTCCTGACCAATCCCCGAGTCAAATCCGCGCCATGGTGCCAGTGCAGTGACATAAGGGCTACATTTGCTTTCCCGTCAAACAGGACGGGTTCCAGAAATACAGTCTTTTGCCGGTGTCGGAATCAGAGGGAGCACCGTGATTACGAAGCTAGTGAGAGGCGCATCAAGCTGCTCAGCCGGAGTCTGTGTGTTGACCGGGGAACTTGCCATGGATGTGTGCGATGCATCGGAAGAGTTTTATTTGAAAGCTCGTCGTCGACAGCCTGAAATTTCCCATGACTTTCGGGTGAGCTGCGAGGCAGGATAACAAGTTTTGCCAGTCCTTTTCCCTGAGAATTACCCTCGTAAAGCCAACTGTAAGTGGGAAGCCCTTTCAATACGTTTTTTCAACATTGCATTATGTGGCTGAATCTGGTACCTGCCGTGAACATTCTCAATAAGCAAATCTGATTATCGCAGAGTTCGAATAAATTTTGCAGGACGAATAATGAGTCACACGCTGCGATATATCATGCCAATCATCTGCGCTTATTAACAGGCCAAGTAAAACCAGGTCACACTGTGATGCCCAGGCACTGTCTCTGGAACGGCGAGCATCCAGAAAAGCTTCATACTCGTTTGAGAAAGCAGTGAAATGAGTATTGGCATCTTTTCTTCGTTTTTCTTTTTCTCTCTTTTTTTGTTGGGGGGTGGGGGTTATCTTAGGCACAGTGAAGGACACGCCGCTCAACTGGCCTTTGTTTCTTAGGGACGGTGCGAGAAGAAAAACAAGAGTAAGTAGAAGGCACTGAAATGATAGTCCAATTCTGTGCCAATATTTCCACATTTAGTAAATTATGGCCCGGCTGCAACAGGGACAGCGGAACGGTCATTTTGTGGACAATTCATTTTGCGTGATTCCCTACAGCGAAGAGATCCCGATGAACAGTCCCAAATTGTTCTCGTGTATATTGGCAGCTTCCCTAGCTCATCGGGGCATAGAGTTGTTTATATGTTTGAAGGCACAGCTATATAAGACTGCACTGTATTCCAGAAGGCGTTCTGGAATTCTGACCTTTTGGTTTCCTTTGCTATAGTGCAGCGGTGAAGGCGCTGTCTCAATATGCTTCAAACCTCTCCTTTCCGTCTCATAAAGAGAGATCTATTCCTTGACATTGCTCTACTTTACGAGCCATTGCGAATGTGAAATTCTTCACCAATAGGGAAATTCTTGCTCCTTGAAGCCTATTTTGCACTAATCTGGGCATGAGCACTAGAAGGTTTCTCTCCGTCATGAATGAGTCTAAGGACAATTTTGCTGCATATAAAATGTGACTGTTGTCTGGGACGAGGAACTGATGATTGAGCTGAGCGCAGACTGTTCTCAAGAAAGCCGCTTAGTCTGAGGCGACTCAATCAGACATTCAAGTGTTCTCAAATATTGAACGAATGCTAAGGCCATGCAAAACCTCTGCAGAAGTGTCTGTGCGGTTGGAGAACACATGCAGATCGGTGAGGCTACATGTGAGGACATTTGGCCTGAGCCAGCGGTCTGGTTATATTTAAATGAGTAGGATGTCAGTTGGACATCAACCATCTCGAGCTAATCCAACGAAAACTCACGTGCGTATGAACAAGATTAGTATACTCGCGTGATGTCCAATGCGCGCATTGGCGCGTGCTATTCTTTGTCATTGCCAGCCTTGGCCTTCATGCAGCTATCGACCTGACGGCAGTCCTGTCTGCTGACTTAAGCGCTTCGGACCGTTTCGCGTCAGGCAGATTCTCTGTTCAGGCAACCTGGCTCGAAAGTTACACCAACCCATGGTGAATGATTACTGTCCTGTGAGATTTGTATTCTTCAATATCATGCCTAGTGACAAGGATTGAAGACTGACTACAACCGCATACTTGTCAGCCCGATGGCCTTCTTCGCAATCAGATGTATCACGCACATTTTGGGTTTCATGAAGGAACCGACAGAGACTTCGGGATGATGCAGCATGGTGTCTGGTTGGTGAAGACCTGGCGAAGAGTCGCGTGAGACTCCTGGGCCTCAGACATCTACAGAGTCTTGGTAACTATCAAAAACGACTCGGATTAGTCGGACCACTCGGGCCAGAGGCGTCTACTTACTCATTTGACTCGGGAGTTGAGCGAGCTACTTAAGGTGCCACGAGGTTGACAGTACGATCCAAGACAATCTAGACCAAGGGGCTCAAATAAGCTCTTGCGGCTGTGAAGATCATACGTTGTGGACAAGCGGTATGTTTCCCATTGGAGAGAGTTTGACAAGGTGGGCCCTCGAAGACACGATCCGTGAAGTGCGGTTAATAAATACTCCGCGTATCTACTAGACTCTCGAGGCTGCCGAACCGCGCCTATTTTAGGGGTACTCGAGTCAGTCGTCCAGTCATTGTGCAGCTGAGGGACTTGGCCGTTTCAGCCGTTCACCAAATCTTGGGAAACAACCTGTCATTCTTTTAAGGCGGCCTCTTATGCATAAGGCTGAACAGAACACATACTACTCACTACGCGGGAGACGGCACGTAGCGAATGCCCGAGAGTCAGCGGCATGTCACTAGCGGGCAGGCACTTCGCCATGCTAAGAGGGTCCAGACCTTGTCGCAGCTTATTAAAAGAATTAAGACCTAAGTACTCCTATACCTTTCCGATGTCAGTTCCCGCCAGCAAGTGACTTAGTGTTCAGAAGCGATCCGTTTCGCCCAATCTTCATGTTCCCAGGCAGGCGGAAAACAAACATGCTATGAAATGTCCTAATTTAAGACGATCTGTCGATATGGCTCATGCTTCGTATGATATGTTACACTCTGTATCGCTAGAGCGCGTTTCTGAACTTCTCTCGTGTTCTTGCGATGTATAGAATAACCGTATACGAATTTAGAACACATGAGGTGATAGACAGATGTCATGTTGCACGTTGAAAGACAGTGCTTGGCATCTCCAGCCTTAACATAGAAACTATAACAGCTCAGCCGCAGCACACACAATTGCGATGAACGAAAAGAGTATAGTCTCAATGCGAAGTGCGCGCGGACCCCCTTCACTAGAGGAATAGTTCGGACGCCGCAAGCAATCGCAAACTGCGCCGAGCATTTGGGCCAAGATGCGATCCTACTCTGTCGCGATTCGCCTCACAGGGCGCCCGTCAAGGCAGGGAGAACTCCACTTGCATACTCGCCGCCTCTCATGGACCTATCGCGAACAGACTTGGCTGACAACAGGCTCCACAGTATATTGACATACTAGTACTTGAGCGCCTTGGTTTGGCTAGGTCCGCCAAACTTCATGAAGTTTGTTTAATTACTGTCTTCTAAGATGAGACGAAGATTACCAAGAACGAGGTAAACGGCTAAAGTCATGATGACCTCCAAGGTGATTCGGATACAAACATTGACCGAAGCTCAAGTATAAAGACAAGCCGTTCTACCCACTACAACAAGTGTCCATTGTCATCCATCATCATCACAGCACCTTCACTTCTACTCCTTAGACTTCACTTACAGTCGCTTCGACAGCTTCGACTTCTTCAAAATATTTACCACAGTCACTATCATTCACAATGGTTTCTTTCAAGGTCTCTAATATTCTGGCTCTCGCTGCCGCCGTGGCCGCTGCTCCTACCGAGCTCCTCGAGACCCGCGCCGTTGTTGCTCACGACTCTATCTCCCCGGTTGCCCAGCGCATCCAGACCGGTGGCCTCGGCAAGATCATCGAGACCTTCAATCCTCTGCTCCACATTGCTCATGGTTGCCAGCCCTGTATGTATCCACTGCGCCCATTCATAGGCCTCCCATCCTCACTTGATGAGCCAGTCACTGACACATTGCAGACCCTGCCGTTGCCGATAATGGGGACACCAGCGGCGGTCTTCAGGACAGTGGTAGCGGGACTGGTGGTTGCAGGGACCAGAGCAAGGGCCAGACCTATGCGCGCGCTGGTACTGTCGACGGCAAGACAGTCGTCATGTACACCTGGTATATGCCAAAGGACCAGCCTGTTGATGGGAACACTGCCGGAGGGCATCGCCGTAAGTACCCTTTGGAACTATTATTGTCATTACTGGAAGCTGACAAGGTATCAAAGACGACTTCGAGAACATCGTGATCCAGATCGATGACCCGAACGCAGCAACCCCCAAGATCATCGGCGCAGCCGCTTCGAGCCACAGCGGCTACAGCAAGGCAGCCGGCGGCGTCCCCCAGATGGAGGGCAACAGCCCCAAGGTTGAATACTTCACCACATTCCCCACCAACCACGAGTTGCAGTTCACCGACACCGTGGGCAAGACCTATCCCATCTCTGACTGGGACGCGATGCCCCAGGCGGCCAAGACCGCCCTTCAGGACACCAACTTCGGCAGCGCCAATGTTCCCTTTAAGGACGGCAACTTCGAGTCCAAGGTCCGCGAGGCTCTGGCTTAACTGTATAGTGCTATATAATGCACTCCCTTTATGACGAGATGAGTTGATGTGTAACCTTTCTATTGAACGACCATGGTGGTTAGGGATATTTCTTTTCATGTATTCTAGTTTCTATTTCCGTCATAGCAATTGATAGCAGGCCTGCTTTGTTCACTTATACTCGTGTGTCACACTTTTGCTCATATGTGAAGATGGTTACGCAGGCTCTTCCTGATGAGCTAGCTTTCAAGTTTGTGGCTCCTGAAGTCCTCATTCCGTAGCTCAATGACTCTGGATCTTTGTTTCATGTCAACTCGGTATTTGAATTCAGCCAATCCGTTGAAGCCCTTTTACAATGCGAAGCGGACTTGTGGTCGATGAAGACTTTGTGATTGAGGGCTTCATCGACGCCTGGAGATGATTAAAACCCGGGATACAGTAGTCGAAGGATTCAGGTAGTATAGCTTTGATATAGCTTATTTCCATACAGTGCCGGAGATATATCATTTCAGAGCATCTGTAGATCGTGGCTTCACTATGTCACTACTATTTACAAACACTTTTTAGAAAAGGATTACACTTATTCGAGCTCAATTCATCTATAACATTAGTCTACAATGTGTAAGCTACATAGAATACTTACTGAAGCGGTACTACAAGAAGTCTTGAATAAGCCGTTTACGCGACTTGAGCAAGGCTCTTGAGTACGGACTATGAGCACATTTCGGGATACAACCTGTCAGGACCCATAAACATCAGAGGTAAAAAAGCGACTTTACAGTCTTGTCTTCTACCCTAATGAAGGATTTTCCACGCAAGAAATATAATTGTGCTCTCTACCAGGACACCAGGATGTGCCAGCCAGAGCTACTGGGCGGATCCAAGTCTCGTTCCTGTACACTCGGCCCGTGACCACCTCCGAATTGTCCGGACGTATGGTTGTGTTGTGCCCAAACTGTCGGAGACTGCGTTATGCGCGAAAAATCATCTCTTTACTCTCAAATCTGATATTTCACTCATTGAACAGCGCTTCGATGACGGATCAAATGTCCCGATGCCATTAGATGCATGAGCGCTGCCTGACAATAAAGGGCCCATAAAGTTGACAAGACCCATATAGTTGTCGTTGAATGCATAGTATATACACACAGGGCAGCTGTAGGTAATTCTGCATTGATGAGATTCGAATCAGGATTGTAGGCCGCAGCGTGTAGTAAAAAAGTTATATTTCAGCCATTTCTCGTCATCCCCCTACTCTGTGACCCTTGCTGATTTAGGGAGGCTTTCTCCTGGATTTGAGGCAATTAACGTTCATCAACGGGGCCCATCCTGATCTTTGTGAGAACAGGATTTCCACTGAATGGGGAAGGACGTATCCTGAGAACACGCCGAAACTAGGACTGGCTGAATTTCTCCGCACACAAGGATAAAATGTGAATTGTGCAGCGCCGCAGGTAAGCACGACCCAGGCTTCAAGCTTTCCGCACAGAATGCGTATGGTACCCTAGAACTGACGTCCGCAGTCCTCTCGCACTTGGCCTCCCGAGTTGCGGCAGCATCTGGTTTTTGAAGGTTTCCTCGGCGCTTTCCTACAGTACTGGGAGTAAATATATTTCAGTACCAGTACGGGTACAAGAAGCTTTTCGCTGTCACTGCCGGATCGAGCCAAGAAACTATGAGATAAATATCGAACCTAATACCGCCGAGATAACTAGACTGCTGTCAAGTGGATTGGTTGGGACCGGGAATATGCTGCTCCATTCATAGAGGCGATAGAGTTGCTGCCAACTGTTAAAGCAGTCTGAGGGGACTGGTTATTGGGAGCATGGGCAGTTCATGTACGTGTAAAGGTTATGATTTCACATCACCAAACCATAAAAAATTACCTAAGATATCACGTGTAGTGGTCTCAGCAAATCAATAGACTATGTGGTCATTGGCTTTTTCAAGAGTGTAACCTTAGGAAATTGCCAGGGAGCTGCGTCCTTGTGGATGCACGAGGATCCAGCTGTGCTGGACTACTCTCGTTCGTCACCTGCAAGGGCTGCCCTGTGATGTAAGTTACCATGTTCATCTTGAGAGAGATGAATTTTTGTCTCCCCTTAACAATCGTTACATCTCTTAACACCGAAATTCTGAAGTTTAAGTAACTTGCGCGGACTTCTCCAACCAGGTTCTCAGGGATACGGACAAGTTGATGTGAACCCCTTTGAGATTTGATTGCTGCGTCCGAAAGAAGTGCGATTTGATCATTTCACAATATGGCGTGTATTTACAATCCAGCGTGTACCGAAGCCGGACCTCCTGACACACTCTTCCTTAATTCCGTTACTGCTCACTCCCCAATGACATAGGTACATCCTTCGCCTCCCACCCAGACCTCGTGGACCCTGCCGGCATCGACGTCCCATCTCTCGCCCACGCCAAGGGTCTGCTTGGTAGGGCTGTCGTCCTTGGGGTAAGTCATAGTCAACTGGCCCTTGAGGATGAGGTGGGTTGTTTTGCCAGCATGTGAGTGTGGCGGATAGTGAGCATTGGGACCGTCAGACCACGTGAAGACATGGTCGAAGCCCCAGGAGCGGACCTCGGCTTCGTGGTCCCGCCGTGTCTTCTTGTCGGCCATGGTGGTGTTGCCTCTGCGGCTGGTGGCAAGGTGGAGGCGGGGATTGATTAGTGTGTCGAGCTTTCTTGTGTCAGAGTAAGACGTGCTTATGGTTGAGTCCGGGCTAGGACATAGATGAGGCTCTGACAGATGGATAGCGTGCACCGGCTGCGGCCGTCAGGTCATGCGAACGGATGGCGCCTGCGACTATTTGGTGTGGTGACACTCGTCGACGTTGAATGTCAGCAACTTCATCGAGCCAATGACGTATACAGTAAATGCCCAGCCGGTGCAGCACACCACAGCGTGCACAGTAAGCTTGGGCTGGCCGCCAGGGATGCAAGCTTCGGGGCAGCGCGCACCTGCAGCTGCGCCCCCAAATCATCTCATGTCATCCCGCGCCGTTGGCCTCAATTCGATCTGTCGTCACGGTATGTGCTCGTCATCTCTCATTCCAAGCAGTCTTTGCCTTGCCCATCAAAATATGAGAGCAATTGGGATGTCTGGGACGATGGCAGGCCAATGTGGCCAATGTGGCCAATGAATACGAAAAAGGATGACCTCAACAACAAGTGACAGGCCCAAAATAGAAACTCGAGCACGGGACTTGGAAGGCTGCCGATCAGCGCCTGGTAAGTGTACAAGTCGGGCTTCCTCTCCCCACACACGCCAAACCGGGCTCCCTTGCCAGGAATTCAGGGGCAGCTTCACCTTTTGATTGCCCGGGCTTGGCTCTCGAGTCCCTCAAAGTCAAAACATACGGACCGTCCGTGAGTCACAGCGGGAGAAGAGTTTATCGACTTCTCCAGATGCCGGTGTCTGTAATGCATGCGTACAAACATGCAGGTGTGCTGGCGCTGCGCCGCGGGCCATGTTGAAGCGCACAGCAACAGCTCGCCCCCACAGACCGGGACGGTTTGATCAGCCCTGCGGAAAAGACCGTCCCATCTGGAAACCCGGGGCCAATGTAGCGAGAGACCACTACTCCACACTTGCTGGACACCTGCGAAATGATGCTGCCGTCGAACTGTCAGCCCCGAGCTTAAGCTTCGCGTGGCCCTGCGGTTGCGACCGGTCTGGATCACTGCCACTCAGACCATTCAGGACAATGCAGCCAGGACACCACCATCACCTATGCAGGCTGCGAGCTAGTGATGTTGTGCGCGCATGTGTGTGTGTGAGCATGGCAAGGCGTGGTCGTGTGTGGCAGTCGAGCAGGATCCACAAGCCACAGGGAACCGCCCTCGCAGCAAGCTCGTCTCAGGTCTTGGTCCCCGTCCAAGCAGTTGGGATCCGTCCCTCGGGAGTTTCCTAGCAGAGATCCAATCGCGGACGACATCTTGGGATCCCCTGGCCAATGCTGCCTCTTGTTCCGCAACTCTATTTGTTAAACGAGCGTGCGAGCATGACCGCTGGACAGACACAGAGGCAGACAGGAGGGAGGGCGCCCACTGTACGTAAGAGCAAGGCTCTGGCATCGCCCTGTGCTCTGCTCTGCTCTGCTATGCTGCATGCCGTGCTGTGTTTGGGGCGACAAGCGAATAGCAGGAGGGCGCCACTCGTTCAGCTGAACCACCTCCTTCGAACTGATCCATCCCTATTCCTTGGCTGAGGAATCCGGGGAGTTTAGGTGATCAATGCTTACCATCTCACGCTCGCTTGTGCTTTCTTAATGCATTCTTCCACTTCTCCTGTTCTTCAACTTCTTCTCCTCGTGATTGATATCTCTCCCCTGGTCGACCGGAATTCGCCAGTGACGGTGTACACGTCACGACACGACACGACACGACGCAACCTGCCATGTCCAACCCGGCCCAGCTCCTCAGCCTGGCACCCAAGCACATTAGCAACGAGACCCGCCCAGCCAACACGGGGGTTGCAGCTGCCAGCTGCAGCCTGTTCCCCATAAATTCTGCACGCCTCGCAGATCTCTGAATCTCGCAGGACGGGCCCCCGGTCTTTCCGCCCGTCCCCTGAACGAACAATCAGGGCCGGCCATACGCCATCGCAAATACGGACCACCCATCATATCATTTTACCCATGGGTTGCCTCGTAAGTTCTCCGGCCTAGAGCAGAGAAGAAAAGAAAACAAGACAAGAGCCGAGAGCTCCCTCCCTTCCAAGTGTTGAGAGGCCCTGTGCATTACCTGCTTCTCGCGCGCACCGTCGCCCAGAAAAATAATTGTCCTGCACTGTAAATTTCCATCCTGCCAGTCCAATTGCACTGCCTGAGCCAATCCCCGCGATAGCGCGTGTCTGCACCAAAAAAGCTCGACTGACAACCTCCGCCCTCTTCCCCACGAGCAGGGAGCCCGCAAGCGCGCCCAAACCCACCCGGCGATGTGGCCGTACAGGGGGGCCAGAGCCACTGCTAGGATCGAAAACGGAACGGCGGCACGGGTAGGAGGGCCAACCCCGAGCCCAAAGTTCGGCGCGCACACGGCATGGAAGCACTTCTTCCAGATGGTCGCGCTGGGCGGCGGGCCCGGTCCTCACCAGCGACAAATTGCCGGCCAGCACCAGCATAGCAGGTCGGAGCAGCTCAAGACGGACCTCGACGATGACACGACGACGGCCACCTTCAGCGACGACTTCTGTGCCGCCTCCCCGATCGATGACCTCCGAGCCGCCCCATTCTCTCTTAACTACAATCCCGACCTCCCCTTGCTCAAAGACTCGACGCATAGGCATATCGAGCGCATATTCACGTCTCTCCGCGGCCGAGAAGGAGACTACATAACTCGCGAGAAGCTGGAGGAGTTCCTCGTCGAGACACAAGGCGGCCTCGTTCGGCCCCTTGAGAAGGAGCGCTACAGCCTCGGCGACTTCGTCTACGTCTGGCTGCACGACTACAGCGTGGCCCTGAAGCCGGCCGCGAAAAAGGACCTATCGAAGCCCATAACGAACTACTTCATCAGCAGCAGCCACAACACATATATCGGGCTGGGCAACCAGCTCAGCGGCGAGGTGTCTGCCGATGCATACCGGACGGTACTGGAGGGTGACTGCCGGTGCGTGGAGATCGACGTCTGGAATGGCGAGGGATACACAGAGAGGCCCAGGACTCCCACCCCGAGCAGGTCGAAATCGCCGAGTCGGGACGTGCACAAGCACAAGAGGAACCCCTCGACCCTCTCAACGAGCTCCATCCACTCGCTCCCGGCGGCAGCGCAGTCGTTCGCAGACAAGATCGACCAGAAGTGGCACGAGCTGTCGGGGAGGAAGCACGATCGCAAGAACAGCTCCAAGCTCAGCCTCGCCAGCGCCAGCTTGAGCTCGCTGCACCTGGCGCTGCCGGCGGCGAGCCACAGCTCGACGTCTCTTGACCCGGCCGACTTGCTGGATCCAAACGACCTCAGCCCGCCGCTGCGCCATGTCCGCTCGGCTGAGGGCCTGAGACTGCAGGCGCAGAGCAATTCCAGGTCGCGCTCAAGGTCAAGGTCGAGGGAGCCGCGTAGCCACAGGATAGAACCGGAGGTGACGCACGCCCACACGGTTCAGGGTCTGGGTGACTTGGGTCTCGCGAAGCGTATCCCCTTACGCGAGGTATGCCGGGTCATCAAGGAGTCAGCTTTCAAGACGAACAAACTGCCGCTCGTCATCAGTCTCGAGTGCCATGCCACGGGCGAGCAGCAGGACATGATAGTCGAGATCATGAAACAAGAATGGGGAGATTATCTTCTGGATGAGCCGCTCCAAGAGTGCGACCCAAGTGTGCGGCAGCCGAGACTCGAGGAGCTGAAGGAAAAGATTCTTGTGAAAGTCAAGAAGGCGGCCCCGACGGGCCTCACCCTGTTGAAGGGAGGCAGCCAGCTGACGGTGCCTACGAGCACGTGGCACGATGAGGACGGCTCAGCGTCAGAAGACGAAAGACTGACGATCTCGGGAGAGACCAGAACAGAGACTGGCGAGCTGGCTCAGGTAGTCAAGGCGTCCAAGTCCCTTATCCGTGAGACGCTCGGAAAGCTGGCGATCTACACACACAGCGAGCATTACAAGGACTTCTCCGCGCCGGCGGCCAAGTCGCTCTCGCACATCTTTTCCATCGACGAGTACAAGATACTGAAGCTTCACCAAAGCAAGCATCGCGAGATGTTCACGCACAACCGTGACTTCTTCATGCGCGCGTACCCACACTCTACCCGCGTCAGCTCGACCAATCTCGACCCCTCGATATACTGGCGGAAGGGAGTCCAGATGGTGGCCCTGAACTGGCAGCGGGCGCATGTTGATGAGGCAATCATGCTCAACAGCGCCATGTTCGAGTCCGAGCAGGGCTGGGTACTCAAACCCCAGGGCTACTTGGGCAGTGACGAGACAACATCACAGGCCGACGCCGGGCAACACCGCGCTCTGATCTTCCGCGTCACCATCCTCGCCGGGCAGCTCCTGCCTTTGCCCGGGGAGCCCGACGACACCGGCAGCAACGCCAGCACCGTGTCCAGCGTCAGCACGTCTGACGGCACCGCTTTCCAACCGCTGGTCAAGTGCGAGCTGCACGTCGAGACGCCCGAGGAGCGCTCTGAGAAGAAGGCCATCAAGAGCGGCCTCGTCCAGGACGGCCAGTACAAGATGCAGACCAGAAGCAGCGAGACCGAGAACCCTGACTGGGGCATGGGCCAAGAGCTCAAGTTCCCAAGAATAGACAGGGTCGTGGAGGAACTCAGCTTCGTAAGGTGAGTTATCACAAGACAGCACAGAACCCAGTGCCTTGCCAAGCACGCAGCACACCCTTGCCCCTTGCAGTTTTGGATGTTTCCGCCGTTCCGGCTCTTGTCACCTGTCACTTTTTATGCATCCCGGAACTTGCCTTATCCACACACACACAAACACGCGCGCATCACGGTTAGCGTACCCTTTCAATCATGTCGCGCCGTTGGGCACATCCCATCAACCTGCCGCCGGGGGACGGAGCTTTCCAACGCGCGCCACCGATTTGCGAGTTGCCGGTTTGACCCCTAGCGTTGGCTGCGTTGGCAATGCAGACCCTACCCGAAGAGGGGGGCTGCGAGAAACAGGCTCGCAGACTGATGTCGGATTTGAGTCCCTCACCGGTGTGGAGAACGGGGGTATGGTGCGGCTCGCCTTCGTGCCCATTCACTTTTGACGTGGTGGAACGCCTCAGGCTTGTTGTTACCCTCTGTGGCCCCGCTCCACAAGTGTTGCATATGTGGCTCGTGCCTGTCAACCATATTGTCTGCCTCATCGACAATCCCAGCTGCAACTATCCGAGACGAGATTGTGTTGCCCTCTTCACAGTTTTGCCCCTCGGGAGGCTAGCCGCCCAGCCTTGACGCGTGTTGGTGTAGCTTCGTTGCCCCGACCGGTGGTGCCAAGTGGCGCAGGTCACTTTCTTAACTCAAGAACCACTTCCCCCATTCCATGCGTGAGATAGGTCATAAACTAATGCTTCTTCAAACCAAAGGTTCAAGATCGAGGACGAGGGGCTCGTTAAAGACAAGCTGGCCGCATGGGCCTGTATCAGACTTGATCGGTTGCAGCCAGGGTATCGATTTATCGACCTGAAAGATGCTCATGGCAGACCCAGTGCTGGGAAACTGTTAGTGAACATCGAGAAGAAATTGCGATGAGGCTTACATCGCGCACATCTGGCAATCTCTTGTGGTCGGATTGGTTGGACTACCTTGCCGCTCCCGCACACTCATTGCCGACGTGAGCCGGTTGGTGTCACATATCATATGTCCCCCGGCCGGCTAGGTATAATATGTCCGTGTTTATCAGGTGGCGTTATTCCAAGTTGGAGTGCAAGATTTACTTTTCGTTTCATGTGGGTTTACATGGGAATGGATCCCACGAGATTTTGATCATGACTGCGGCTGTGGACTTTTGTTTGAATGGTCTTAGATGGCACCGGAGCCAGGATTGTGCACTGCTGGGTGCTGTATCAGCATGGACGCTGATTCCATACAACGCTGAAGATCGGCTGTTCTTCACATCTGGCGAAGCTTTTGTCACAACGATACCCAATTATCAGCCCAAGATTTTGCTGACATCTCACTCTTCACTGCGCTCTCGGACTATTTGTGTGCTTGTGTTCCCGTGCTCTCAGGCGATATCGCGTGATGTACCTCGGCTGCGTCTCACCAGGCTGAATAACATGTTTCATCGAGGTTGCCTGCTCGTGTCTGCCTGCCCAGCAAAAGCAGCGTGGTCGAAAGGCTGATGGCACGTGAGATCAAATATGCTGGTGAGTGGGACCAGCGAGATTCCTGTGCCTCACATCGCTGGGTGCTAACACGGAGAGACCCTCTCAACTGTGGGCGCAAACGGACGCCAACTTGCTTTTCCGTCGGGACGGAGACAGTAATGCCCACATCCTCTTCTACGGCAGTTCGGAGCTGAGAGGTACAGGGCGGCAAAACGGCTCATTCTAGAGCCGACTGTCTAGTCACCCACTCCACATCATGATGATGGCCACTGTCGAATTTATACTGGCTGTATGCATGGCGCAAGGGCAGGTCCACTCGGAATATAGCACTTGCCCCGCGGCATGAACGCCCGTTTGTTCTCGGGGAACGAGCATGCAAATCGTCGGACGGCGGAATGCCTTGGTTACCTGCATGTGTAGGCGCTATGAGCTGGCGAGAACGTTCATGAAGGACGCCCAAAGCTTGATCAACATTCGAAACTCTGCCTAACTGCCTGAGCGGGGCGATAATCGCTTTGTTGGGAAAGACATCATTCGACGGGCTGTCCCGCAGACACTCAAGACGGGTTCAGATGAGACATGACAGGGTATCTGACAGGTATCACAAGCCATTGTCTCATTGAACGGTGCACATCTGCAGTTCTGGCAGGTGTTTGACAACGGCTAGATGCTTTCAACGGCTCCGCCTCGCAAGTCACTTCGCGTAGGGGTTACTCATTGGTGCATAGACAAAGTTGAGCCTCAATCGCCGGAGTGTGCCACTCTATCAAAAAGGAACACCAGGGGCATGAGACTCGTGGAGTCGAGTTGGTTTTTCTCTCGAAATTTGCGAAGTTGCATTTGGCGGTGTGAGTGCAGCCAGCCTGTTGGCGCAGGCGACCGAGCCGTTCTCATCGTGGAGAAGAGCTTGCTCATTTGTCCCGGCGCTGCGGTTCGAATGCGAGGGTATATGCAAGAACCCACGGATCTCGTTGTTAGTGGGCCGTATCTCAACAAAACCCTTGAGAGCGACGTTGATCCGATCTCGCTAATCGGCGAGTTTTTTCAAACAAGCGCTGAGAGAGGGTTGTACAGATGTTGCTATGCCGGCGTCACCGATCTCATCATTGATCGGTCAGTTCAGCTCTCGAGATGATGACCCGAGTAGCTGGGAGACGGGATCTTTGTCCTAGTGCGGTCAGGCAAATGTCCAACGAGTTTCAACTCTTTGCGAACACGGGATCCTGCAGTCAAGTCTCGTTCTCCTGTGGTATTACGACATGTCGACAGTTCCCGGCCGCCATCTCACCGTATGATCACGATGAGCAAGATATGGCGAGGGATCGCGACGCTGTCGGGATCCGGAGATGGCAGCGTCCGGATAGATGTCAAACATTTTACTACCCACTGACTGCCCTGCACCACGCGTGGAACAATTCGGATTAAGATGAAATGTTTGCTCTCCTGTTTTTGGCGCAGGAGGCCGCCGTCTGTCAGAATGGAATTCCCGTTGCTTCGAGTCATTGACATTTCGCCTTATTTCTGGGTGCCCGAATCGACCCATAACTTCAGCCGTGAAGTGAGATGTCACAATATGACAGGTCGGTGGCTGCTCTTTCGCAAAAACCTCCAATATCCGGCTATTAGAATGTTGTCGGCGTGTCGCATCACCCACGGAAGTCCCGCAGTGGGCCCCCTGGGGCGACCCACCAAGCTGATCTATTTGTACCGTAGCATGTACAGGCGGCGCGATCGAGTGCAGGAGCATGCTCGAGCGACAGACAAGTGTTGGAATTGGCGGCTGCATGTTAACGCCAGACTGCACAAAAACTCCATGCAGACCCTCGACACTGTAGTGATCATGAGCACTTGGTTATGGGATATTTGCGAGCCATCAAAATTTATAGCTGTTTGGTTGTAGGTTTTGTAGCACAACAGGTGCGGCTCTGCTCAGCCCACGATGACATTTGCCTACACGCCGGCATATTTGTCGCAGCCGTTGAATCTCAACGTGCCTCTTGAAGATGTATCCGGCTGGTTTTGGCCGCATTGTGGTGCCGCCGTACTTGGCAGATCCAAAAGTTAGGGTAAGTGATGGTCCAACCACATCTCGCCTTAGTCAAAGAAGCAGAGAAGTAGACGTAAATTTCGAATGGTGTGTTCATGAGCAGTCGGTCTGAAAGCAAAAGCAAAGTGAGACCTCAAAATGCCAAGAAGCTATAGCCTCATTGCTCACCGTGACAAGAGCTTCGTCTGCTGCCAACGGCCGAGCATGGTTGGGGGACGCAAGTAGGCTGACGAGCAGACACACGAAGCGATTGCCTGATTTGGCGGGGTCAGGCATCATTGTTTGGTAGTCACTGGAAATCATAGTCGAGAGTGGCAGCCCGCCACGGAATCTCCCGGCGTGTGACCCAAAGAAACTGTAGATTTGGCACTTCATGTTACATATAATGTACACAGCAAGACCCAGGTGCTGAGCCATGAGGCAGGGTGGTATCAGCTGTGGGGAAATCGCAGATTGACGAGGCAGATCCTGGTGCTCGGAATCAGATCATCTAGAGACCAAGTGTCACCCAGTACACCGCTGGTGGTGGAGCTGACGGGACAGCCTCTCTGAGAGTGATTGAGTCAAGACTCCATGCTCAAGAGCAGCTGAGACGGAGGAGCCGGTGGTTAGTGTAGCGATAGTGCTGTGAATGGATATGTTTAAGATGCACGATGATGAGAGAGTGACGAGACCGGGTGAGCGAACCGAGACGTGATCGCGAATGAGGCCGTCTGCCCTTCCAGTCCATCTACGAGGCGAACGAGGTGCAACAGACGGAGATGTGCTCGACGCTGGTGTCATGCTGTCCGACAAGACTACCCAGGTTCGCTCACGGGTTGGCGTCTCAGAGACACTGACTGGCAGGCTCAACCCCCCTTTGGCGATCACCAGACATGAAAATGTCTAGACCGGAGCAGTTCGAGAGCCGTGCCTCAGCGGAGACACCGTTTTCCGCAGGAAACCACTCATTGTCGTTACGGAATGGCAAAACCGAGAAGCTGGGTCGGGAATCGGGCGTGCGCATCGGGTTTGCAAGGGCTTCAGTGCTGGGGAGATTCATGAGGGTCCTCTGCGAGGTGGAGCCGAAGCTGAGAAAGGAGATGACAAGCGAAGGTTTATTAATACTTGAGAGCATTCCGCCCGCAAGAAATGAGCGGTCCGCCACAAGCACAGTATCAATTTGGATGGGGTGAAAGGGTTGACTGGAATGGGATGATGATGTGCGATGCGATGAGACGCGATGCGACGAGATGCGACGGTTGGGCAGGTTGTGAGGACAGCCGAGGACGTCAAAAATAGTTCTGAACAGACTTGGAACTCAGACTGGCGAGCATCCACGCAGTGGACGGAGGGGTGAACCGCGAAGGCTTCGAGAAGCAAGTGGACTGCTGGTGGGCAAAGGAGGTGGAGACTTTGGGGGGGGAGGGGGCAGCAAGACATTTGGAATGGTGGGGTCGTAGAGGAGAATGGGAGGGAGGGGGGTGGGATCCAGTTCATGCCAGTCTTTTCCAGGTAAGGCACGCTACATCTGATAAGCTGCCTTCCCATTTCCTGGACTTCACTCCTACCTTGGGGCCAAAGCAGTGCAGTACTCCTTTACAGTAGGTAGATAATTGGAATTTGGCAGGTGGGCAGACACGCCATTGGGGTCAGGGTAGGAGCGATAGAGACTTCTGTGCAACGGAAGGGGCTACCCGGAGCCAAGGGTGCTGGGGCTAAGAGAAAAGGGACTCGAACTGTAACTGTAACTGCCAGTGGAACAAGAACAGAAATAGGAACAGAAACATTAAGAAAAACAGGAGAAAGGGAGACACTGCGGGTCAACAGGAGGCCGGAACAGCCGGTCGCGCGCGCAAAACATACAGGGCAGCTGGGGGAGAGCAGAGGGATATTCCAGCGCCTGCCAGGG